CGGATCATGCTGCAGTCATACCACACGAGGGCTGTCAGTAGGTATGTGCGGAAGATTCGAACAACAGCTGTCACCACTGTGGCAGGCGCCTCACTATTTGATCCATCCGGTTTTCCTGCCTTCCAATCCTCCGGTTGGTGTTGGTTGCCTGATACATTAGTTGTCATGTCGCTAAGCGCCTTTCCGAAGCTACTGATGCGGCCTCTGGTCGTACTCACCGCATATCCAATGTTTTCAATGCAACCGCGAGCTCAATGTAGACGATCTGGTCATTACCTCCACTACGTTAAAAAGTCGACCTTTTGCAAGCAGCATTAGCTTCGCTTGCTCGAGGTAACACTCTTGGGTGATCTTACTGTTACTCTGATCCCTACTTTTCTTCGCCGTCGTAATCCATAGACACCCAACCGTGCAACAGATGTCCCACTACTAGACACGGTAGTATGGCGATCTCCCTTGAGGTTTTGGTTCTCATCTTCTGTTGTCCATCGGAGCTATCTTCCCTATGGTCGACGTGTGGTGATGCGATTAATGCAGTGCACTAGTTCGCGACGATCTTGAATAGCCTCTCATCTAGTGTGCGCAAGTCAAACTACCACACCACTACGGAAGCCACTTCGTTAAACTCAGGTTTCGTGGTCTTTTTTACGCCCATCTCAAGCCACAAGATCTATCAATGGATTCATGACGATCATGTGCGCTCCTTCCCGCCTCTGGCACTGTTTTCTATCTCCACTCCTTCTAGAAGGTCCCCTTTTTTTACGGAAGACTTCCCAGCCATTCATTCAGCATTATCTTGCAACAGATTTGTCACGACGCCGAATCACTAATTCAGTACAGATAGTGATAGTCGACATTCAGCGACAACGGTGTGTGTGTATTCACTGCTGCTTACATCCATTTGGGAGTAACTATGTCGTCCTACTGAACCTCAGCACCTGGCACGTATATCTCCGAAGCGAGGTTCGGTCTGGTGCACAAGGGGTTCAACTGCGTGGCGCAGTGTCAAGACGGCAAGAAACTTTACCGCAATATTCACCAGGTGTTTTCTATGTACAATACCGGAAGAACTCCGTTCAACGACTTGCAGGCTGTGACTTGCATTGCCTCGGCGCAGCGCCACTAGTACGCCTGGATACCCTTCCCCAGACCCTCCCACCATCTAAGCTATTATTGTCTGCAACCACGACACCATCTACCCACTCGCGACGGCTTACGGCTTTATTCCAACCCCGATGCTTCCCCGACAATCTTTTGCCGCCTGCAGTTAGGTCTTGCACCTCCAAGACATACAACGACAAATGACCAAACGACGTCGACTACTTCAGTAAACAACGCCTATATTTCGACTAATGCATGGTTTGGCGTACCCAGCACCGTCAGGTATCCATTGGGTATGTCTACTTAAGGGTCTCCTATGGCACCGGGCGGAACTTTTAGCTCGGTATGTGCTAGCGGAACACACTCCGCCTTGTTCGCCCATGAATGGTCATTTCGGGGACAACAATACCACACATTCGCTCAATGGCTCGAGCTGCGCACTAGGCATCAGGTGACGTACCCTGACACGGCCTCTGAGTTCATGTCTATGTTTCAGCTCCAGCTGAACAGGGTGAGAAGTTGACAGTGCAGTTTATTTGCTTCAGATTCTTGGGAACCCAACACTGGAATGAGGTCCGAGCTCCACGATTGGCAGGCACATTGTGTGCGCAATCGAGTAGGTTTCAGCCTACTGCTACACGACAACACTATTGGCAGGATATGTGGCGTACATGATCATCACACTCGACTTCCTTGCATCTACGAAGCCCATGGGCTAATGCCAACTCACGCATTGAGTTACTAGGAAAGAGACAATGCTCTTAGCCGATGATGTTCCCGCTATACGAGAAGACAATTGATATCCAATTTACACACATAGCACGACGGGCAGACTGACTTTCTCGCTAAACCTTGGTCTGGCCTTTTCTCCGTTACATGTTGCTGTACACACGGGAATCACATCGCATACGGCATCGAAGCCGTCCCTGGGCGGCGCTGCATATTAAAAACTCGTTAGCCTCGGTACTTCTTTACTATGTTAAATCCCCGCCTATCTACGGGATTTTGATGCGCGCAAGTGAAAAGCGGTAGCTGTAGATGAACGTACGTTGGAGATCCATGCTTCCAGATGCATCTTAGGTTGGGCGATTCATGATCCCGATCGCTCTCGAATTCGCATTGAGCAGACGATTTGAGCACAATCTTTATGAAAGTCAGCCTCCCGCAGTCCAGACGTCCTTGTAAAATTGACTTTATCGAGGTGGTACCAGAGATGCATACATACCCAAGATCGACGTTCAAATGAATTTGCGCTAGTCGTCCCACCGATCGAACACACTCTGAAGCAGCTGTTCAACACTAACAACAGCATCATCATCATCATCATCATCATCATCACAGAACTACAGACCCTTTCCGCGATTGGAGTAACAGGTGAAGCAAGTTAAGCTTTCACGCGCATTACAAAACCGAGCCACTCGGGTGTTTGCCTTTCGCTCCGAACCTATTGTCGTATCGAGTAGCCGAGAAGAGCCAATAAACCGCTACTGGTATCACTCCGGACAATATCGCGGCCGTATGCAGGGTCTGGTACAGTCGCTATCTAAGCAAAACGGGTGATGACTTTGCATGGATGACCCTTGGCTTGGGATCAGACTGAAGACCAGATAAGCCGATGAAGGACTATCAAGTGGATGACATACTGCTTGAGCAGTCTCCTGCGACATGAAAGAAGATGCATTATGCGTATACATCAGGTCGATCAACGAAACCAAGAGGCGGACCCGGCGACGCGAGCCCAACAAGTCCAAATACCTGGGAGCATCTAAGCTAATGGGGGGAGTTGCGTCCACCGTGATCGCTGAAGCGAACCAGAACGAAGGGAATGGTGTATATGCTGTCTTGAATCACATCTGAACACTACGGACCATGTGCCTCCCACACCCACCAGATTCGATACTACCTAGTGCCTCCACTTTCCATTACGCGTCATTTTGGATCTGGAGTTTCATACTCTCGGCGTTCTCAGCACGCAATAGCTGCTTCGCAAGTTGCATGGCAGAAAGTAACAATAGGTATTAGGCATCACTAAAGGCACCGGACAGCCTCGTCAATTGCGAATTAGTAATCATGAAACACAGTCGAAGGTACGGTTGAACTTCCCCCAAACCTCTCCACACTCGGCATCATACTACCGCCGTGGGTCTGTGTCCGATAGCGGTAGGTGTAGCTGATACGACATGCACTTCACATGTCTTCTTTTGTCATCTCAATGGATGGATGACCTTTCTTTCGTTACTATCTGTCAAAGTTTCTCTGGACAATTCGAGTGTTCCTTCACAACATCTTATCTTCAAGACCAAAAAAGGGTTATATTATAAGAGCGTATGAACAAATTCATCGTAACGGCTAGTCCAACACATGGACGGATCCCACCCCAACCCCCAGCGAGCCCAGAGATATCATGACTCAGCAATACACGCAACCTCTCCACCTCCAACTGCGACTCCAACTCCGCAATCTGGCCTCTCTAATCGCTTCCCCAAACGAAAGAAAGGAGAGTCAGTTGTATCCACAACCTAAGGCGCGCCGAAACGTCGCCGCATCCGTCGGAGAAATACCCTTAGTCAAGTACCTAGAAAGCCGTTGCGCAATGTCTGCGGCACGCTCTCGGCCAAGACCAAGTCAGCCGTATCCGCAGCCGTTGTCGTCCGACATGACGATGACTCTGGCCAAGATCAGCAACATGAGATGATGAGGCCATGTTCCCCGAGCAAGGATCGCCAAGTCAGGTACTGTAAGTGGGTTTTGTGGGTGGATATCGTCGAACGGGAGTTGCCATCGCGGTAATGTCCCGACGTCTTTTACATGACTTGTTGGAACGAAGATCTTCATTACCGTCTTTGGCGATCTTTCGTGTATACTTTCTGCCCGGTGATATCACCAAGCGCTTGATTCATTCCATCTGATAAAGGTGAGGCGAGAGGAAAAATGTACGGGGAACATGCTCACGGTGCTGGAGCGCAAACAAGCGGTGGTTATCCGAGCAGAGAGACTGAATTTGATGCCTGAGCAGAGCCCACAACACAAAGCGGTGGTTTTAGTTTATTCCCTCCTGTTCTAACCAACTCCAGAGGTGTGCTGAAAATCCCCTTTAGGGATTACGCCAGTCGGGTTTCTACGTTGAAGAGCACGCAATGCAAGTATAGGCGACCATTGCTTGTCAAGGTCGAGTAGGGGACTAGGTATCGGACCTCCTCGCGGCGTAACATGCTTACGCGCCATACTTAGGACCACGACTATACAGAGGATACGAATCCCTCCCTTACAGTAAGCTAAAGCAGAAAGCGACTGCACAGCCACAACCTGTTATAGGTACCATGCCCTCTCGTGCAAAGCCGCCGTTCGCCTCAGTGTTGGGTCACAGAGATATTGGTTGAGCTTGAAGCATCGGGTCATCATAATCAGGTATCTGAAGATCGCAATCCACAGACCTGTTAGGCAACAGGAAAAGGATCACCCTTAAAGGGCACGGTGAAGTCTTTTCTTGAGCGCAGGGCGCGCACTCGTGTTTATGAGGGGACTGATCAGCAATGGACCCACAGGCTAAGCGGCCAAAGCTTGTGTGTGTGCACCGCCTCAGAGCCCTGGTGCCCTGCATGTCTTGCGAACCCTGAAGTCTTGAGTGTGGCTCAACACTTTTTCAGGAGAAGCTTTTCGTCATCATAAAAAAAAAAGAGAGCAAAAACACGTGAGAATGTGGATTGAGGATAAGGTATAGGAGTCATTCCCCGGAGACGCTGACAAACGAGCCGACCGACTCAGGTTGCAAGCAATCGAATCCGTCGTACAAAGACACGCCAAGAAGCTCAAATTGACCCGTCACTCTTCGCCGTTAACCCTCGGCCGTGTCACCGTTATGATACGTGTATTCATTCAGCCCCCGCAACTTCAAACGCTTACTTCTGCATCATCAGCTGGACGAACTCGTTGTCTGGTGTATGTGTGTTAGTGTCGCACTTTTGATACAAGCAGTTGTGACGTACAGTCGATACGGCCGTCACCGTCCTGGTCAGCCTCCCGGATCATCTCGTCGACCTCGTCATCGGTCAGTTTCTCGCCAATAGAAGTCATGACGTGACGCAGTTCGGCGGCGGAGATGAAACCGTTGTTGTCGCGGTCGAAGACCTTGAAGGCTTCCCGAATCTCCTCCTCAGAGTCGGTGTCCTTCATCTTGCGGGCCATCATGGTAAGAAATTCTGAAGAATGTTAGTTGTGATTGCTGGATTTCCTAGTAGTGCGAGTGGACGTACCTGGGAAGTCAATGGTGCCGTTGTTGTCAGCATCAACCTCGTTGATCATGTCCTGGAGCTCAGACTCGCTGGGATTTTGGCCGAGCGAGCGCATGACGGTGCCTAGCTCCTTGGTGGTGATTTGACCTGTGACGCTTTATCGTCAGTTGTGTTCACTATGGAGTGCCGTGGATGTCGTCGTGTTGGACTTCGGCCCCTTTGCCGATTGCGTGGGCTGGAGATGCGGCGCTGCTTTGAGGGCAGAGTATGCGGAATTGAGTTCGAAGGGAGAGTACTGACCATCGCCATCCTTGTCCTGCAACACGAGGTTATTAGTTGCGTGTTCGTGGTTGCGCAGGGCTGAGGGCTACCAGGCAGCCGCGCGGCATGGCAGAGGATTGGGGCGGCACTTACGAACAGAGAGAATGCCTCCTTGAACTCGGAGACTTGCTCCTCGGTGAGAGAATCAGCCTACGTGGACCTGTTAGCGATGCGCGATACTGCGAGTGGGCGGGCTGTCGTGGTGTTTTGCAGGGCGGGGTATGTTTGGGAATGTGGGATGGCGGCGCGGGGCTACACACCATGTTTTCTTGTGGTGGTGTCTGGGAGGGAGTGGGAGGAAGGTTGTTGGTCGACTAGAGGCCTTGGGTGCAGGCGAGGTTGGAGATATAGCAGAGGCGCAGGTGCGGTGTGAAGGAGACTCCAGTAGTGTTTGCGGCTGGAGAAGATGGGCTGGAGTGGAGCAGGCTGTCAGACGGCCCTCTCTAGTGCCGCCCTGCTGTTGGGAAGCTGTCGCTAGCGTCGCCCGGAGCGGGAAGGCGGCTCCAGGTGCACCGCCCAGACACGTCTACGAAGCTGCGAATGCGCCTCACTCCAAAAGTCGAGCATTCACACATCTCGCTTCGTCATAGCTCGCCCGCGTGTCACTGCAAACATCTCAAAGCCGTACCCTACCATGACATAGCCCTGTTGACGCTCGCCAGCCCACCATGTGGCGGGACCGAACCAATCTGTACGCTGTTGCTTCCGACCACCCTGGCATTCCCTCGCTGACGTAGCTACGTAGCTTTATATCCTACCGCCAGTCCTACTCCCACCACCCCCAGAAGAAGACGCGCTATGGCGGCCCGGGTTCCAATGGCTTCGGTGATGGCAGACGCATGTCCGAGGAGCGGCAGGGGCTCATGTCCAGCGGCGCATACGACGACGACGGCGATGCGGTGATTGAGATGGACCTGCTACCTCCACGATGGCTGGATATACAAGACGAGATCACCGAACACCTCGCCGAGATAGCCAAGCAAACACGCAAGCTCGACCAGCTACACCAGAAGCACGTGCTGCCTGGCTTCGACGATGAAGATGTAAAGAAGCGGGAAGAGCGGGAAATTGAGCAGCTCACCCAGGGCATCACACGCCTCTTCCAAAAGTGTCAGCTAGCCATCAAGCGCATAGAGACCATGGTGCGCGAAGCAAAGCAGCAGGGCAACATCAACCAGGGCGAGGAAGTCATGGCACAGAACCTCAAAATCTCGCTGGCTACCCGTGTGGGCGAAGTGAGCGCCATGTTCCGCAAGAAGCAGTCAGCCTACCTGAAGAGTGAGATATCCCCCGAAACAGTGCTTGGGCGATGCTGATGATATGTCTAGAACTACGTGACCTTGGTGGCTTCACCTCGCCCTTTCGCTCCGCAACACCTGTGCAGAATCCTTACAACGACCCTGCCCTGCAAGAGTCCGACGCCGACCGCTCCTTTTCGCAATCTACCCTCCTCCAAACAAAGCAACAGCGCATGCGCCATGACCCCAACGAAGCAATAATAGCCCAACGTGAGCGCGAAATCGAAGACATTGCCCAAGGTATCATTGAGCTAGCAAACATCTTCCAAGAGCTGCAGACCATGGTCATCGATCAAGGTAGCATGCTGGACCGCATAGACTACAACGTGGAGAACATGTCGCGAGACGTCAAAGAAGCGGATAAGGAGCTCAAAGTAGCTTCAGGATACCAGAAGCGAACCATCAAGAGGAAGATCATGCTACTACTAGCTATCTTGATTGCAGGTGTATTCATACTATTATCGCTCAAGTTGAGCAGGAAAGGAGGAAACGATGCGCCGGTCGCTCCGCAAGTACCAGACGTTCCACCGGCGGCAGTGATAAGAACTAGACGGCAATCAACGAGCATGCGCACGAGTCGCGTGTGGCACCGTAGAAAACGGCGGTTATGGCAGACAATTGAAGACGACACTTTGACGCTTTGAAGGCGGTTCTTTAGGAAATGGATAATTCATGATTACTACTTCTTACTTCCTCAACCCCTACTGTATCATTACTAATATTCGATGACTTCAACGAACAGAAGGCTCTGATTCGCCGAACGATTTCGCTCCTTCAGTGGATACCTGGGGGTTGTGACTTCCGGATCCATTCAGCCAACTCAGCCAACTCGACACACTCTTCATTATGCTTGGTTTTAGAGTCAGCGGCGCGTGGCTCTTCAACAAAGACGGCAGCCGGTATGTTTCTCTGACAATAGTCGCGACTGCCTTTGTAGCCCGCATGCGGAAGGCGCGCCTTAGCAACAACACTACGGTCGTGTTGAACAAAGACCAAGTGTTTTGGCAACATCAGGTTTGCTTGAAACAGTCACCCATACATCTCTTGCTGCTGTGCGTATGCTGCTGGACCTTCTAAAGACATTCACAGTATTCTGGGTTCTTTCCAGGACACCGGAGCAACCGACTCTACATCATGAACATCAAGGAAAGCAAATTTTGGCCTCCATTCTACATCAAGCCCAGGCATCCAGGGCAGTGGCCCTTCAGCGATGACGTTACCACATGGATCTGTCGGCACGCAGGCAGAGAGGCCAGTGCCATGCTCTATGTTGCTCTACACAAGAACAGGGCAGACGGTAAAGACGTAAACGCAGCCTTACAAGCTGTGTATCACGAACCATTCACCTACTGGGACTGGCATGGGGTGGATGCTGAAGACGAAAGTGCTTCGAAACACAAGCAACAACTTGTTTGGGAACGTCAACGAGGCTTTACGACTGCCAATGGTGAGGAATACGGATACCCAACCCCCAAGGACGCATGGCTACGATTCCGAACCCTGATCGATAGCAATGCGGAGAGAAGACGTTGGGTTAAGAAGTTTGCGGTGGCGCATTGGATGTCTGTGGAGGATATGTCGTGGTAAGTCCTCTCTAGTTCATTTACATCACAGTTAATAGAAGGTTCTTCAATTTTGTGCTAGCTTGATTAGACCTGTGCGACTCTGGAATCCATTGGCTGACCTTTTGTTAGGATATTTCAAAACCTGCCATCGCTTGAAGCCCTGGGCTTGAGCGACATTGCACTTTCGACGGTCAAGCCGTACAAGGGCTATGCAAAAGAACCCCCAGCAACTTTGACTGATACATGGGCACTATTATTTGACCGCATGCCCGAGGAATGTCCCGCAAAAGAGACCGCGCCTCGACTAAAATGGCTTGGCCTTACAGATTTTCGAGATGCCTCACTTGTCGCTCCGCGGATCCTGCTCAATAAGTTCCTGCCGATTTGTACCAACCTTCAGACTCTCTCCATCCGTGGAGAATATAGGGAAGAAATTCCACCGCCAAGCCTTAGTGGACATGAATACGTTTGCGAATTCATCAGAGTTATTACGACATACACACCATCTAGCGTTACTGCTCTTGAACTCCGACTTTCCATCTCTTTCCTGCGTGAGCTACTCATCGCTCTGCACGCAGAAGACAAGCTTAATATAGACCATGTAGGGCTTGATCTTGGAGCTTGGGTTCAGGTATACCCTCTCAGGATTACGTCCAAGGAGATACTAGACAGCGATGTGGTATCGGCAGCTTCGAAGGCGGCTCGGAAAACTCGTTTTGATATTTACGAACAACAACACAACAAAGTTCTGTCTACATCCTCAAAATGGCTTTTACCAGCATCAGAAGAAGACCCCCTTGATATATCAGATGTTTCGGGTTCTCCTGAACACGCGACATTCGAAAAGCTCGATGCAAGGCCTACATTCCAGCACGAGCCTTATAACGCTAGGGGAGGATTGAATGTCATGAGTACAATTATGACCGCGACGAGCCTCTGAGCCAGAAGAACTGTCTAAGCACAGACCCGAAGCACCACGAGAATCTACTCAGAGACCTCAAGAATGCCCATGTCAACACTCTGCCGACAATGTTGGTGAAGCTGTACGACGCGGGTCAAACAGCCGCATCACAGAACTACAACATGTATCCACTACAACCTGAATGGCAGGTCAATAGTACGACTCCTCTTCATCCCTACACTTTGATTCAGAAGCGTCCATTCTTTCCCTCTGGAACAAAACCTATTGCGCGGGGTGAGGACTACGAGGAGCCGCTATCAAGTCGACTTTCAGAAGCTTATGCTTGGCTGAACACGACTTTTGCCTGGCGGCCCATCTTTGACTTGGACTACTTTGTAAGGCTGGATGTTGGGAACCGGAAGGAAAACTTGGACGCTGCGTTCAAGGATATAGCATATCAACATGGAGTCGAAGATACGACTACCTATAACAAAGACGTGTTCACAGCTGAAGTTGCCAAGCAATATCAGATCATGCGAAAAGCTGGCATACCGATCCACATCCTTCTGGGCCGTCGCCATTCTGAAGAATCGAGTCTGTACTGGGGCTGGCCTTACAGCCCAGATTCGTGGGAGCAATCGCTCAAGAAGCCACTTGATGCCAGCTTGGGGTTAGTAGCGGCTCAAATCGATAAGTTAAACATCTTCTACGACCTACGTAACCCCCTGGATGAGCGGCGTCTAGAAGAAATCGATAGACGACAACCGTATTGTCGACCTGAAGCATGTTGTCCTCGTTCAGTCGACCCCTGGCGCAGCACAAAGAATAGCCCGTTTAAGAAGCAATGGCAAGATCGGCCATCACGGGTATCTAAGCCTAACACCCAGAAGACGGCGAACAAAAAGCTCATTGGAAAGAAATACCATGTCCCATTAGCCAGCAATCTCGCCTCGTGTCCTCCAACCGGTGAGTACGCCGACGAACACTTATATGATGATTCCGAGCACGAAAAATCTATCCTAGAAACCCTACACCAAGTCGCCCGCCGCGCTGCCTTTGAGCGAGAGGCTGTCGTCTGGCAACGATTCTGGACCGAGTATGCGCCTCAGATGACGAACTTGAAGGAGCTGCAGGTGCGGATGCCCCAGTCCTTTGACCGAGTGGGTAGCTGGAGTCTGTGCGAACTTCTGAGCCCGAAGAGGGCCTGGAGGATGTTTGGTTATGCCGACGAGCGCGGGCATATGCAGACGCGGGAAGATGTCTTACATCACGTTGCTGCTGATTTCAAGCTACATACCCACGCAGTGCAAGAGAAGGTCTGGCCTTCTGGTCGATTTGTACGACGTACCTGAACTTTGTGGACCGCTGAGCCCCCGGGCACTACTGAAGTTGCTTTGCATAGAAGTACAGGTGACGTTGAAAGTCCAACATCGCACCCATCTGCAAGCAACGGAAACACTGTCCCACCCAAGACATACAAGCTCGCGGGAGAAAAACGCGAAAGAGAGCAGCTCAAAAAGGCCATCAAGCAAGCACGGGAGACAGCTCGCAAAGAAGAAGAACTCGAGGCCTCACTCCCCCCCGCTGAGCCAAGATGTCCCATGACGAGAGACCCAGCAACAGTTTCAAGGTCAGAAGACATTGAGAGAAGGCTAACTGGAATTTATGGCCGCCATATTCGTAGTGTTGCTCAAAGAACCTGGCGTGCTAAAATGCGAGGACACATCGAACAGCTGCAATATGGTGAGTCCACAAGAGAAGGAATTGTTAACAATACTTATAAATCGGGCACCCACTCAGAAGCAAGTGAGGCTACAGCTGCCCGAAATGTATTGCGGGACACTCGAGAGCTTCTACAAAAACGCATGCAGTGCTTCCGTCCAGAAGAGGTCTTCGCGCCATGTGATCGTATGGATCGCACGAACGGCTTGGAGCTTGTGAAAAATACTACAAACTATGCTGTCGAAGAGAGCAAACGACGGGCAGGGCCAGCGAAAGAAGACACAGGTCAGACAGGGACGTCAACGTCGAACCCTTCATCTACGGCCGCAATAACGGGCGCCCTTCCAAGGGGGCCACAGCAACCGCGCTCAAATCTTATTGAGATCAGCTCAGAGAGCTCTGTTTCAGAATTCACGAGTTCAGATGAGGACGACCCTCAGTTAGTGGAGTTTACCGCTGCAGTATCAACACAGCAAATTACAGCAACTCAGACTGTCACAGCCCAGCAGCACTTTCAAGCCGTCTGTACGTCCCAATCGACCCAAGCAATACAGAATCAACAGCAGGCCCCTACAGCGCGACAGCTGGAGCTGACTCAGCAGCTGGCTAACAAATTGGCTGCAGGGCAAGCCCAGAAGACTCCTAGGTTTGGGAAAGATCCGGACAAGAAACTGAACATGGGAAAGCGAGCTTCACATAAGACACCTGTAGACTCTTCCTTCGCACAGAATATGGTGAACGGAAAGGCTGCAGAAGAAACAAGAAGGTCTGGGGAGCAAGCTGGCGGAAATCAAAGGCTCCTTGAAGAAAAGGAAGCTGCCGTTGCGAGAGCGGAGGCCGAGGAGAAGGCAAGGGTTGTTGCAGAGATGGTTGCGGAGGCTGCTGAGCATAAGGCTGCCGAAGAAAAGAAGAAGGCTGAGGAAGTAAAGAAGCAGAACACTGAAATCAAGAGGCAGGCTGCCGCAGAGAAGAAGAAGGCAAAAGAGATTGAAGCAGCTGCGAAGAAGATGGCCGCTGACGAGAAGGCCGCGAGGAAGATTGCTGAACAGAAAACCAAGGAAGTCGCCGAAGCTACCAAGGAGGCAGCCGTCAAAGCGCAAGAGGCCGCCGCAACAATCAAGGCCGTCGACAACAAAGATACTCCTGATGTCATTCCAACGATTGAGAAAACCCCTCCAGCCAAGCCGGTCAAGAGGCCAACCAAGTCGCCAAAGACTCCCAAGGGTAAGTCACCAAAAACTCCGAAAGGTACAAAACGCAAAGAGGTATCTCCCGACCCACCTGATGGCGACTCTGTCGATAAATCACCACCTATCAAGAAACCCCGTTCCAGTAGAGAACCACCCACGAATTCTACACCTACCAGACACAGCAGTCGTATCCGCAAACAGACACCCACAACGCAAGTTGAACTCCCTTCAGACGTGAGTGTGACTGAGAGTAGTGAAGGCGATACCGATGATGATGACAAGCCAAAGGGACGCAAGAAGGGAAAGAAGGAACCGGAAAGCGGGGGTGAATATGAGCCATCGGGTAGTACAAAGAAGAATACTCCTACGAGAGGTGCTAAGGCGGCGCGGGGAAGAGGGAACGCAGCGGGTAGGGGTGGGAAGGCAGCAGGAGCGACTAAGGCCAGGAAGAGGGCTGCAGCACATGAGGATGAGGAAGAAGAAGATGGCGAGATTGTGAAAAGAAAGCCGGTTAAGAAAAAGCCGAGGAGGGCGAAGAAGGTCGACGAGGATTAGGATACGTAAGATGGATAGATGTTTTATATGTTGTGTTGGCATTGTTGCTGGGTGCACTCGTGCTTTGAGTTTTCTGGTATCTCCTATTTGTCATATTATGTAGACTCGAATAGCCGTTGAATTAGAGTAGAATGTCAAGCTGAGCTTTTTTTTGTGTAATGTTTTCAGCCAACTAAAGCGGCGCCATGTGCTCAGCTGCATAATCCCCTCACCACTCACCAGGCCAGAATCTTCTATAACCAGCCCTGGTTATTTCCTACTAATTACAAGCCACCGAGTTCTTTCAAGCTTACTCCTAGTGGCTCAAATACACCACTCGATTCTTGCTATTTCTGATTATCACTCTCAAAGATGAACGCAACGATGGGCGCCACACAACCCCTCCTCGACTGGATTGCAGCACATCCCTACCAGACAGTCTTCCACGTCGTCAATGGTGTCGTACTCCTCACACCTGCAGCGGCTACTGTGCCTTTCTTCAGTGCACTTGGTTTGAGTGCGGGAGGACCCGTAGGTGGTACGTCATCGCCTACCTACCCCGGTACTTACTCTGAGTTTGATGCTGATAATATCCTAGGCTCAACAGCAGCTTCTATCATGAGCTACTTTGGCTACGTACCAGCAGGTGGGATTTATGCGACAGCACAGAGTGCAGCTATGGGCGGCTATGGTGCGAGTATTGCTGCTGGGGCAGCCCAGGCAAGTGCCTTGGTGAGTTCTGGAGCTGCGTGGTTGTTTGGACGCAACGGTACTGGAGTCTAGGCAACCAAATGTCAGAATGCATCATACAGCCTCAGGATGGCAGGATGTGGAGCGAATATGGTATGGGTTGCGAGAAGGGAATTAGATGACCAATGACGTTAGTACCTCGGCTCGGTTGCTCCTTCACGCCAAGGTTGTAGATTCGACTTTGTGATCAAACATACGTCTTGTGTAGGGCGTCTTACATCGTTGATTGGTTTCCCCGTGCTATATAGCCTCCGACAAAGAAGAAATACTAGTCCGCTTATCTAACGACCACATCTTTGACAGCAAGTTGTACGTAAAGTATACATCCGGCAATGGAGCCACCAACCTCCCCACCAGCAGCAGACATCGCAAAACCCTTGTCCGATTTCCAAAAGATAGGCCACAACACATACCTCTGGACCTCACCGCCCTATCTGTCTCAGCCTGCAGATCAAACACCACTCATCCTCCTCTTCGCCTGGAATGCCGCGGCCGCAAAGCACATCGCCAAATATACCCTCACCTACCAGAAGCTGTTCCCCACATCCCGCATCTTGCTAGTACGATGCTTCACCGAAGACATGTTCCGTAGCGCCTCTTCCTACAGCTCCTTACTCCAGCCAGCAATGGATCTTGTAGCTGAACACACCACTTCAGGAGGCCAAGTCCTTGTTCATAGTTTCTCAAACGGCGGCGGGAATCAAGTCAATGAGTTTGCGAAAACGTGGACGAAGAATTATGGCACAGTACTACCGATGCGAGCACAGATCCTCGATTCCAGTCCAACGAAAGGTCCATGGATGAAGAGCCACGCAGCGATTTCTGCTTCGCTTCCCAAAAGCATGTTTTGGGTTTGGTTTGGCGGGGCGCTGGTACATCTCTTGCTTGTTTGCACATTTGTTGCTGATAAGGTTATGGGGAGAGAAAACAAGATGGTGGTTTTGTGTCGGGAGCTGAACGATGAGTCGGTATTTGACACCAGGGTACCGCGTGTGTATTTGTATAGTAGAGCGGATCAGATGGTGGGTTTTGAGGAAGCAGATGAACATGCTGATATCGCCAAGGCGAAGGGGTGGGATGTGACAAAGGTACAGTTTGAGAAGAGTTCGCATTGTGGGCATATCAGGGAGGACGAAGGGAGGTATTGGGCGGCGGTTATGGAGGCTTGGAAGAAGGGACCGAGAAAGAAGTAGAATGACTGGCTGGTAGGTATGCCAGTGTAATGTAATGTTCATGTTGACATGGCAGTATTTTGAGCGCAGATAGATGTACTGCGTATTGAGGTATCTATAGTCTAGCTGCAACCAGCGAGAGGTAGATGTTCCATAACAAACCACAGAAACTGAGGAAGACGATACGGCGCTCGACGGGGATGAAGGTTGTGCTGATGAAGTTGGCAATCGGCCAGACCTTATACGAATCGAAGATGAGACCAAAAAGCTCCTGTTTTGTGTATTAGCATTTTATACTCAAGCCCTTTGATCGGGACTATTACTCACATTTCTGAAGTCCTGCCCGATCATTGCCACCGTCTTGCCCTTCATCAGACCAATCAGGATTAAGAACATGGACTGATTCAGCAACGCGCCCATGGTGATACACTGCTTATTGTCAGTCTTTGCCCATCGTAACAGTGAAGCACAACCACTCACGTCCGTGAACCATTTTCTAAAGATATTCCACCAATTCCTGACTCTAACTTCTTCTTCCACTATGCCCTTTCCTTCCCCATCTCCTCTCAGCATTATGCCCTTCTCCTCTTCGCCCTCCCCCACAGCCCTCGTCTGCCTAACGGTCTTCCATCCCGGAAACGCGCGCTCAAGCCAATTCTGCCAATGGTAGTTGATCGGTGCGGTGAGTACGACCATGATGGCGAACTGGGTGAAGAGAACACGGTCGAAGACGAAGGGCTTGGATTCGTTCCATGCTTTAAGGCGTTGCGCAATAACGTTGCTGCACGAGTCTATGGCGAGGGCGGAGAGACACGCTACGGCGATCGGAGGTAGCTTCATCGTTGCGAGGAAGATATGTTCGACGATGAAAGGAGCCGGCAGAAGGTCGGTAGGACGGTGAGGATGTTGAGAATGTTGAGGATTAGGTCGCAGGACCGATTGTAAGATGCGGATCAGCGAGGCCAAATAAGCATCGCAATACACGGGTGTTTCGACGAGACGCGGCGCTCAGGGAGATCCTCGTGGAGCGAAAGCCGTTGAGGTGGAAAAGAACAAAAGCAAGTCGGGACACGGCATCGCAATCTGTTATCGCTGCACCGTTGGAATGCGACTCCACATTTGTTGGTGTTGCTATTGCGCGTCCGCTCGGTACATCCGAGCCCGAATCAGACAGTAGCTTGAGGCACGTCGCGAATGACTCAGCAGCATATTTGGCCTAGACACCCGCTTCACAAAACTCAAAGACTCTCGCTCCAATTTTCATCATTCGCCAAACTTACAACTGTCCTGCTTGGTGAAGACCTTGAGAATAGGTTTTACTAGTGTGAGGCTGCGCACGCGTGTCCGAGCTGTTGTCGTCCATCAAGCTCTCAGGCCACCATTCGAGAAATGTCGTGATCATGAACGTTACACGTTCGTACCGAAGTCCAATCTACCAGGAAGTGCAAGGAGCTCGCAGACATTTCCGAAGAAAACAAAACAAGATACACACAGTCGCAGACTCAGAAATTTACACACATTGCAAAATTCAACAGCTCCCACGCCTCGTTTTTCAAACAGCTACCGGACACGAAGGAATTTGCGATTGCTTTCCAAGCAGCAAGACACATCTGGTAAGCTCATTCTAAACTCCGAAGAGGTGGACTTTAGCTCGTGTTAAGCCCAGATGAAAAGTAAGCATCAGCTGATTTACCTCCTCTCGTACATCGATGTGCATCCAGCCGGTCTCGATATACGCCCGTGTGTTGTACGACCAACTAAGAGCCTGTCGGAAAAGCGCATGAGTTCTTACTCGTAGGCTCACAATAATTCTCACTGAGACCGAAAGGGAAGGGGTGATCGGTAGAATCAATGTTACCTAGGTACGGAGACCTCCTTCGATCGCAACCTGATATCTGTACCTTCTCGAGTTAGGTATTGGGGAGAGCAATCGAAATTCAGCCTCGCCTTATATGTGTATCGTAATGTAAATGCCCTAGGAAAGTACGGGAATGAAAGTAGAGACATGGGATTTGTCCATGAACTCTAAGCTTCAATGCATTCATCCTTCTAAGCATCTTCTCCGTCTCAACATCTGAGAGCCAGTCATCACTAATACACTTTAAGTGATTCAGACTTACCAATCGAATCTTCAATACAACAATATCTCTTTCTTACGTCTCTGCTGGTGTTCACCGGCCCGAACCGTACATGCAGGTCAGCCAAACTCCGCTCAACTCCATCAACGATGACATAACACACACCCATCTACGCTAGACATCATGATTGCTCAAATAACGTCATCGTTCAACCAACTTCCCCATTAACACACCACACAGATCCATTGCTACCGTTGAAAAAAGCATAATGTGGGGTCCAATCTCTGTACGTGGACTAGAGATCTACCGAGGCTCAGTAATCGCCCTCGTGGGTGGACAGTATCGGCGAACGTGTTGTGCCGTCGTACACCGCCGTATAATTGTGTAAACTCTCTTCTCATCAACTGAATTATAAGACATTGACAGTGTATCACATCTCCGTTCATACATTATACGTCAAACAAAAGAACTTCAACAAACCACCATCATCATGTCAAACCAAGCAGCATGGATCCCAGAAGCGAAGGGCCAGCTCCAGGTCAAGGAAGCTCCCATGCCAAAGGCGAGTAAGGGCGAGGTTGTGATTAAGAACCACGCAGTTGCTGTCAACCCCGTAGACTGTGAGTATCTGCACATCTGCAGCTCGTTTCATAGTGCTAATTGGAGCAGGGAAAATCCAGGACTATGGCATCTTCCTGCAAAGGTACCCCAACGTTTGTGGTACTGACGTCGCTGGCGAGGTACACGAAGTTGGCGAGGGCGTTACACATGTCAAGAAGGGCGACCGCGTACTAGGGTTTGTCCCCCTTCTTATGAGCTCCAGCGAAATAGTATACTGACAGCATGGTGCAGACATGCGTTTTCCCTTGTCACCAACGACCCCGCGCACGGCGGATTCCAGCTCTACACCGCCTGTAACGCGCTCGTCGTATCGAAGATCCCGGCGGACATGACATTTGCCTCGGCCTCAGTCCTACCTCTCGCTATATCGACCGCAGCTGCCTGCCTTTTCAAGAAGGAGACTCTCGCGCTACCCCTGCCATCCTCCAACCCATCATCTACAGGCAAATCAGTGTTGGTATGGGGCGGCTCGAGCAGCGTGGGTGCGACGGCGATTCAGCTGGCTGCAGGTGCTGGCGTAAAAGTCGTCAGCGTAGCGAGCAAGCACAACCTAGAGAAGCTCAAGGGTCTGGGCGCATCAGCAGCCTTTGACTACAAGGACCCCAAGGTCGCCCAGGACATCATCGCCGCTCTCGAAGGCACAGAGTTCGCGGGTGTCTGCGACGCTATCGGTACGCCAGATGCTGCGGCTGCCTGGGCACCAGTATACGAGAAGCTCGGTGGACGTTACGGCTCGGTCTTGCCCGATGCGCAGGGTCTCCCTAAGGGCATCGAAGGCACGAGTGTCTTCGGCCCAAGTGTTGCGTTGGCGGACAAGTACGTCGGCGACGTTGTCTGGGCGCAGTGGGTACCAGAGGCGCTGGAGAAGGGTACGCTAAAGGCTGTTCCAGAACCATTGGTGGTTGGAAAGGGGCTCGACGCTGTAGCGGAGGGCTACAAGAAGCAGAAGGAGGGTGTTAGCTTCCGCAAGGTAGTGATTGAGTTGTAAGCCTTATGGACAGATCAATTCGCTAGCCTATAGAACGAACATCGTTCAAAGGCATATCGGACATTGCTACTAAGTGCAGTTCCAAGTCATGTCGCTCCAATGGATTTTCCGGAAGCTTCGTCAATCATTACGAGCACATGTGAATGCTGACCATGCATCGGATCGGAGATGCTTAGCGGCCCCGGCGAAACATATCACCGGGAAGGCCCACTTTAAAGTTTTTAGCTTCCTGCACCTCTTCTTCAGTTCGCGCTCTTCTTCTTCTCTAGCTACAAACACATTGAGCACTCGCCCATCCGCCGCATCTTTACTAACGTCAGTCTGTCTGCGTTATACAGTCGCTCTTGTAAGTACTGCTACTCATTCTCGTCCTCTCTCCCTCCCCTGCACTATGATGAAAAACGTTCCACATTCGCAGTTTCCACGCTAGCCATCAATCGAACCTACTTTAGATGGTCAATGAGCGCGAATACCTTCCTTGGATGTCTGATTTGCTTTTCACCCTTACATTGTAGCTCTGATGTTTTTCGTAAGCTTTCGCTGACTTCCAAAAGATCTCTTAGATTCCACTCGTATACACTGCTACATACAAAGTTTTAAGCAACTCTGCATGTTGCTCAACTACTTGTAGTCATTATACACTGGCATGGACGTGGCTGAAATCGGAGTTTTGACTAGTTCATTCAATACTCATATAACAATTAACACCAAGAATACCTCCACTCTGCCACTCTCTCCTGACGATGATCCATCATGCTACTGCGCCATGTTTCTCTTACAATCTCTCGTTCTATCTTTGCATGGGTATATCATTTGCTTCGCACTCCAGTATCGATCGCTTAGAGCATGAAGAAGGTGAAAAGACCAGTCATACCGGCGAACACGGCGCTACCGGCGAGATGAGATGCAGCGCCTGTCGCTGCTGGAGAGGAGGAAGGTGACCCGGATGTTGAGGTACCGTTCTCGGTCAGGTTACCGCCGGAGCCGGCGGTCGATGTAGGCGATACATTCTCGGTGGCCTTCTCCGAAGCGTTCTTGAAAGCCTCGATAGTGTTGGGACCGGAAGCCCTAGACAATGTCAGTCAAAGCAAGCGTTTCTAGAACCAGTGGGGACTTACGGTGGGTTGATAACACCAACCATGCCATTTTGGCAGTGCTTGCCCTGTGTGCAGTAGAACCAAACAGGCGCCGAAGCGTTCTTGACCTCGTATGTGAAGGTTGTAGGTGCGACAGCCTCCGTGTCGGTTGTTGGGACGAAGCCTGACCAGAATCCGTTGTCCATAGGCTGGCAAGGGTTGGCGAAGGTAGCTTGGGCGACTGAGTGGTTCTTGGGCCAGAACGAAAAGGTGACGGTGTCGCCCTCAGCGGCCTTGAGGCTGTCTGGCTTGAAGACAAGATCGCCAGCCTTGGTGCCAACAAGGACCTTGTGGTCCGCTGCAAAGGCAGCGCCGGTCATGGCCGAAGCAGCGAAGATGGTAGAGAAATGCATTATGATTGGTTTGTTGGAAAAAGAGACTAGCTCGTTTTTGGTAATTAAGATAATGCGGGAAGAAACGAAGGTTGTCTTGGTGTGTAATTGGTAGTGAGAAGTGAAGAACGTGGACCTGCCTGCCGAACAAAGGTGAGCACATTTGCGAGCATTTTATAGTATAAAGAGGAAACAGTTGCCGCCTGGTGAGCGGATGAGTCGGTATACCCATCCCATGGCATAACAGCTTCGAGACTTCAGGCGTCGCGAAGGCATGCTTTCTTGACGCCTGAACTCTCGAAGCGAGATCTGGGGAAACAGTGCGGTCAATGCAGTGCGCTGCTACTGGCCATGTTTGCCATGGGTGCCTGTATTGAGCCACTTGCCGCTCGGGTACGACCGTTTCTTGCCTGGGGCCGTTGTTGTGGCTGTATGAGGGCCAAGACTAGGCCCTGATTCCCAGGGCAAACGTGTTTCTGGCGAAGGGATGAAACTCGGTGTTGAGCGTTGATGGAACACAGTATGTTTTGGAGAGCGTGCACGGAGCCCGAACACTATTCTAGCCTCGCACTCTCACCCGTTGCCTCCATATCGACTACTATGACAGCGGACACCTACCGTCGCGGCATCTGGGGCGCAGACAGTTGACAGGCCGTTGTATCCGCTGAGAGGAGTCCTTCGTGCGAGCTCATACGCTTCGCGAAACATGCGACAGCGTCTCCAGCTTCCGGCACTGACCTCGGGACCTCGGAATGGTGCTGCTCCACGTCTTCCGGTCGAATAGATCTCATGGTATTGCATCAGCTCACCATCCGGCATCTTCCTTCGTTGCGCAAAGCGTGGCGACAACTTTACTTGGGTTTTATTGCTTCATGCCTTCGGAAGACGTCAAAGCGTTGGCGGACACGATAGGTATCCCAGCAATCCGACGCTTTACCCAGTGGCTATGTTCAATCTCCACTCTTACGAGGTCGCGGTCTATGGGCAGAACATTCTAGTCGGCCTGTGGAGATAGAAAGCTACAGTTAGACGTAAAGTGGTGACATTCGAGTGTTACTTTGGTGGTGAGCAGGCAGCCCATGTGCTGACCGAGGTTACCGTTGTTGGTGTGAGCGCTACCATAACGGTGATCTAATCTGACTACGCACTTCCCTGAGTAACAGCCATAGCTGCATCGTACAACGCTGTAACGGATCGTAGTCAGATCTCGTGTTCATCGACGTGGCGTAGTTACCGCCCCTACCGAGGCCATGCCCAGTCCTCCACCTTCTTTCGGTTACAACGCCAGGCCTAACTCTCGTGAGATCTCTTTATTGTGCACAAGTTCCGGTGGGGTGCAGTATTGTTTTATTGATCGCTGTGCATGGCTACCTATTATGGCACATCGAATGTAACCATCCGTTGTCTCCGGGCCTTTTCCTCGTCTACTGGACCCTTTACAGCTAGTGGAAGCCCCTCCCGCTGCTAGTCTTCCAAAAATATCGCAACTCTCCGCATCAACTCTCGTGTCTTTTCGCGCTATGAGCTCATCTGTGCTAATCTACTGCGAATACCGATATTTCATGGTCATCTGCTTTGATAGTAGAAGCTAGTGCTGTGGAAATGGTAAGTCATTCCGGGATGTTGCTCGCGTTCGCACTTCATTACCCTGTACAGCTGCCATTGTGACGAAAGACGAGATGGAAGCCTCGGATTGTCAAGTGGAGGCTTCGTGATGGCGGACGGTATAAAGAATGATGCACTCGCAGCTGTAAGAGAGCATCATCACAACCCAACCTTCCAGCTTCTACACCTTAATACCTAACACCAATCACCCTTCCACTCGATATCTCCACCCAACAGATCTTTATACATCTACCATCAACATCATGCAGTTCTCCAGTGCCATCTCAGCTGCTATCCTTGGCTTTGCCAGCCTTGCTTCCGCTATCACTGTCAGCTACGACACCGGCTATGATGATGGCAGCCGTGCCTTGACCTCCCTCGCCTGCTCCGACGGTGCCAACGGTCTCACCACCAAATACAACTGGAAAACCCAAGCCAACGTTGCCGGATTCCCTCGCATCGGTGGATACGTGGGTGTTGCTGGATGGAACAGCCCTCAGGTACGTACAGTGACTATATTTCCTCGTCTTCACCATCTAACGATAAATCTTAGTGTGGAACATGCTACGGCGTCACCTATAATGGAAAGACCGTCTACGTTCTCGCCGTCGACTATGCTGCTCAAGGTTTTAACCTTGCCAAGGCAGCCATGGACGAGCTTACCAACGGCCAGGCTGTGGCTCTGGGACGTATCGATGCTCAGTACGCCCAGGTTGCTACCAGCAACTGCGGATTGTAAGCACTGCGCTTTACCTCAAGACGATGATGACGTGAGGACGAAAGTCACGACAAGCATGCGATAATGTTTATTTTATGGGTTCTACAGACGGGTATTGCATAGCACAGCGTTCTTTATTGCATGCGGCGGCGTTATATATACACTCCTTAATTGAGTAATGATCAATGTTAAATGTACATCTGATTGCTATCATCAAAGTTTAACGCGTGCCTTGTTACCCGAATCATCATTTCCAGTCTCGCGTTGAGCCTCAAGGCTCGAAGTTGTTATATTTTTTTTACAGTCTCTTTTCCCTCTGCTTTGTTTTCGATTTTGTGGCGACACAAGCCCGGTCATGACCATACTAACACTGATGTGAGACGGTAGGGTCCCTCTGCCACTTAGATATCCCTTTGTCAAAAACCAATCAGACCGCTCGAATACCTAGCTACTATGTGCAAGTTCGGAGATTGGTGCTTGACAGTTCTTAAACTTCTAGTAATTGGTCTCGTTGTGATGTGTACCGAAGAGCTTTACAACGTCATGTATGCGCTTATACAGCCTATGTGTCATTTTGAGTAGTCCTACACGACCTTGAAAAATGATATTTTCGTCGAAAAGACACACGTTGGATACCGCATATCTGGTCGTGACTATGGTACTGCTTTTACAGCAAATGCGGAGAGGTGGGGGCATGAAGCGCAGCAAAGGTCTTAGGCTGGGAAGAAGGCTTAGAGGAGGCTGCAGTCATGTTGGAGGCCAATTCCAGATCATGTCGCGCAAACGTTTGCAAAGTTTCAGTGTGCGACATGCGCGTTCATTCATGAGTTCTATCTACAGACGTTCATCATCATATCTCTATGAGATCTTAATAGTTGGAGTGGTATATCGCTGTTGGCAAAAAAGGGTCATCTTCACGATGACCAAAGGACTTTTATTGTGGAAAGGAAGTATGCGTGTCCCAAGAGTACCGAAGCTACGCCCGCATAGCCATGCGCCCGTGACATGATATTAGATAGGATGCGCAAGAAAACTTGAGCAATTGTGGTCGAGCACCTCGAAACAGCACTTGTTTAACGAGGTGTCGAAGCAAGCAGTCGACCAAGACTTCCACTGGCGAACGATGGCTCAGGGACTGGTGACTTGGCATAGACAATCTCGCCTTCAATTATACTCGTAGACGTCCTTGATATAGAAGCCGCCGACTTGTGCGAGTAGGACTTTGGACTCGACGGAGCTGTCAAAGGGGTAACGAGGTCAATCGACTTGGCTCCATAAGACCCGCTATGCGACGGCTTAGTCCTAGGTGGAAGAGGTCGCGTGGTAGCGGGTGTATATGGCAGCGAATAGCTCACTGACGAGGCTGGTGTATGCGACAGCGAAGGGGCGGCGCTAAAGCTAATTTGTGAGGTGGAGTTACGGTTGTAGCGGGGTCGAGCGGTTTCAGGGAAGTAGGCAGGCGATTGGAATTTGCGGAGATATTTTGATGCTTCAGAGTCGAAGGGCTGATACCGGTCGGCGGTGTTATCGTCGGATGAGATGTCGGAGAAGGCACATGATGAGCGTTTTGACTCGGGTTGAGTGGGGGAGCGCTGAGGTACAATGTCGCGGAAGGCAAAGTCGTCAAAGGTGAAATTGGCAAACGGCGTAGTTGGCGGTGAGTAATGATCGTATGAATAGGTAAGGCTCTTCTCGGTGTCCTTCTTCTTGCAGCTACATGTGCATGTTAGTGGGTGGTCTGTGCATAGCGGAGTGGGTGTGTGCCATACCTTTCCGAGCAGTAGAGTACAGAGTTACTAGGAACAATAATTTGCTTCTCGCAGACAGTGCTACAACAAAACATTAGCATACAGTAGTGAGGACTTCATGACGACAACATACCAGTAATTTAAGAAGCTAACCGCCATTGAGTCCTCGTCTTCGTCAGATTCAACTTCCTTGTAATGAACGACTTTGGAAGCGGTCTTGCTTCCGTGGGAATGAGTCCGCTTTGACAGAGGCCTGGAAGGCCGTGCGTGCGCAGGTTGCGACTTTTTGGATTGATGGGACGGGTGACGAACGTGATGCGTGGCCATTATGGATGTGGATGAACTTTAAAAGCCTCACTCTGATAATCGCGCACGGTGCACGATCTTGTTACAGGGCTGGAAGTCGAAGAAGCGGTGACACAGGCCACCGAGTTACCTGCTGCTGATATGACGGAAGGTTCGTGCGTGGCTTTGTTTAGAATCCTTATCGCTTGGGTTCTGCGCCAACGTTTTAGCCAGGAACACTATAGTGCATGTCTAGATCGTGACGAGGGATAGGAATGGGGCTTGATCGATCGACTAGGTGCCCTTTGGTGGAGAGCAACAAGAACGCGACACCAAGAAGACGTAGACAACAAACTTACCAGGACAAGATAAGGGACGTGTGACGTCGGGAGGGAGGATAAACACAGGTCCCAGTACTTTCTGATAGGCGCTGTAGTGTGTTTCCGGGAATGATGATGCGCGGGTTGGGCTGGGAGCGATAAGCAGCAGTTCGTGAGAGAGAGCAAAGCCGAGTATTTCCAGGAGGCAGGCGGCTTTCAGCGGCAGGGGAACAAGCAATGTGTCGGGGATCGATAAGAAGACGAGCGAGGGACTGTGGTCAATAAGTAATTACGAGACCGGTGCCTGCGAATTCCGAAGTGCAGTTCTAGAACGCGGTTGACGACGACGGATCTAACTATGCGGTCGGGATATGGTTGCGCGTGTGGGGATGATTCGTGATAGCCATCAAGATGGAGCCATTGATATCATCCAGCACGCCATACCGGCACCCGCTGCGCGTTGACTCCTCACCACCGACCCCCACCCGCATCCACCACGGTGCCTTGCTTCAATTTAATTTTTCCCGTTGCAGCCACAGCGGGGAAGCCTGGCAATACTGAATCCTTAGCCATCGCAGCGTTGTGCATGGAGACGTCGTAGGCGTCGCGTTGCAGCGAATTGCGGGCCGAAGCATGCACACGGAAATACTACAAGGTCCACGTTCTTGTGCACTTCGGTGCAAGTTGCAGCGGGTACCATACTACACACCACTGTCCATACGGGTGTGTATCGCTGATGCGACACCGTCACATCTGCTTTGTGTTGCGAGCTCTCTCAACACAATGAAGCCATATTGCGTGTGTCTCGCACACTTCTTCATCCGGTAATCCGGCGCGGCCCTTCTTGCAATCGACTCACCACTCCGCTGTCGGACTTTGAACAGCGTTTTGCAAGCTCACAAATCTCACCGGTCGGCTTACAGGCCGCTATACATTGTGTTTGTTCCTTGTCGATAATTCGCATGTCTGAAGCACCCTCTGCCTGAGCGACTTTTGACTGTGCATAAGCAGATGCGGGTCCATTGTCTACTCGCGTAACTCTATCCTAGCGGCCGCGCAATAAAAGAACCAACCGGATCGTCCAAATGGCCCTCACCGTCTCGTCGACGATCGTGAATCATCAGAAAATCTCTTAGGTCTGAAACCAGACACCTTGCTATGTGCAGTAATCCACGATCGTCAGAGAGAGTGTGTGTGTACCCGCAGTAGAGAGTCTAGCCTTCATGTGTCGGTCAAGAATTTTCTCTCTCAACACCACAAACCTCAAACAGAAAACGGGTCATCCATGGATCGCCCTTTCGTGACGCGCCACAGTTGGATCGGGGTCGAAGTTGGATAAAACGGCCCTTCCTGTTGATGTTCAGGTACCGGTGGGCAATTGACCTGCTCGAAATTGAAACGGTTCCGCTCTACCCCACAAAAGTTAGCAACAAACTCACCTGATGTCGTAACATGGCCAGGAAAACAAGATGCGGAGAGACCCACTACACGCGTTCAGAAAAGCCTCGAACGTCTGCTCGTTGCGAATCGTCGCAGATATTATAGCTTCGAGTGCTGGGTTGATGTCAAAGAATTCTCTCAGGGTCGAGACCAGACGCGGTATGACGGACTTGTCGTATGTCTGCGACGTTGTTAAACCCACTTCTCCACGACGATGCAACGACGATGCAATGACGATGGCTTACGACGTCTGCTCCCATCACAATATCTGGTACTTCCATGCCATAGTCTTCGGAAAATGTCGTTGCGTCGATGGGATAGCCCCACTTCAGTGCCGCTGTCCGCACTTGGACCTGGGACTTGTTATCGACATCAAGTCCGTTGAGAAAGAGATTCGTTTTGATGGCATCGACAACAGCCTCGTCGCCATCTGTAGCAACCATGCCAGCAGCTCCCAGGTGCTTTGCGCAAAGGATGGACAGCATGCCAGTTCCCGCACCAAGTTCAAACAATCTCTTTCCGTGTACGGATGATCGGCCAGTCTCGGACGCAAGATACGATCCGAGTAGTAACGCGGCCTCCCACGTCCTAAGACCAGTGGTTCCGGACGATGAGATGACTGATCGCGCTTCAAGTAGCGTCACTGCCCGCTCTTGCCATGTGCTGTCGTCATCTAACTGCTCAGGGTAAGAGTACGTCACAAATGCTTTTTGCTGAGCTGCGTCGGCCTCGGAGGGCAGATCAGCAATAAGCAGACTAGTCATCGCTTCCATAATATCATCTGAAATTTCCTACAAACAGGACGAAGAGAAGGGTCAGCACATGCTGGAACGTATCTTTGCCATTGAAAGAAGGCTATTGCGACATGATAGGTGGCTGAGCTACAGTGGAAACAAAGCAATAGTGAAGAGACAGGAGACCATACATCCTCCTCAGGGTCAGTGATCGACCTCTCGAGTTTTGCGACAAGTTGTTTTAGTGTCCTTAGCTGATAGCGGTCCGGAGGTGGTGAAATGATGTTGGCCGTGTCGAACAGATTCTTGAACAGCCACGACTGCACTTCCGGTGCTTTCAATATCGCATCATCTGGCCATCTCAAATCGTGAGGCTCTACCAGCTGGAAATACTGCCGTTGCAGTATACGCAACTGCGATACGTTGCGTGGGTCGTCCATGGCGATAGACGCTGTTTGGCTTGAAACAGTAGCTCCAATATCTGCAACGCGCTTCAATATCTCTAGTGGTGCAGCTTGACCTTTGGCGAATGTGAAGATATTCCAATTCAACACTGCAACTTGATGAGGGGAAGGGTTTCCCAGTACATGCTTACCTAATTTTGCAGCGGGGCGCCTTGGCAGTCTAAGCGAGCAGGCGCACCGCCGACCGCCGACACGACGAACGCAAATTCGACATCTCCATCTTGCCGCCAGCTAACCACAGGTAATCGACAACAGCAAGATCGATCTCTGTCCAGTACGTTCATTACCGACTCAACTCGCCGTGTCGCCCTTGTGAACCCCGTCTAATTACCGCGTTGCAGGTCGAATCTTCCCAACATGGCCGACTCTCAAGTTACTCTGCGCACGCGCAAGTTCATCCGCAACCCTCTCCTCGGACGTCGTCAGATGGTCGTGTAAGTGCAGGAACTGCCGGGCACGCAATTGCGGAGGATTGAGTCTGACGGGATTAATACAGCGATGTCCTCCACCCCAACCGCGCGAACGTTTCCAAGGACGAGCTCCGTGGCAAGCTCGGTGAGCTGTACAAGGCCAAGAAGGACGATGTCTCCGTCTTCGGTTTCAAGACACACTTCGGTGGCGGCAAGAGCACCGGCTTCGCTCTCATCTACGACAGCGCCGAGGCCATGAAGAAGTTCGAGCCCCGCTACAGGCTAGTACGCTACGGCATGGCCACCAAGGTCGAGAAGGCCAGCAGGCAGCAGCGTACGTCTCCTCTCGGTCTACATATACTGCCGCGACTATGGCAATGGATATGGGCCATGGCATACAACACATACTGACTGGACAACAGGCAAGCAGCGCAAGAACAGGATGAAGGAGTTCCGGGGCACAGCCAAGACCAAGGGTGGTGCGAAGAAGGACAAGAAATAAGCGGGTGCACACTGATGATGACTACGAAGGTCATGGCTGGAGTCGATTGGCGGTTTCTCTACAACTACTGGTTCGCCTGGTTCTTCATCATGGTGGATACGGAGTTGCTTCTGCGGGCATCGGCATGTATATCTACGAGCGCCTGAAAAACTCTTGCGGATGGGAACAACAAGACGGATGGCGTTTGAGATCAATTGTCTGCTAACCATCAATGCATATCATGGACTTTACGATCCTCCAATTACTTTGCCACTCACTCCAACATTTCGAACACTTCCCCTCGGCGACACTATTACACTATCCTATGCGTACGTACTACAAGACGGGAGAGCCCTTGAGGTCAGATCCCTTACACTTTGGACTTGATGTATCAATTCATGACAATGTCGGTATAAGATCATTTTCTGTTCTGCATGGTTATTAGTTAAACTGTCGCCTTCTTCGCCTCCACAGTATCTACCCCTGGTGATTCAATCCCCACTGGCGGTCCATTCTTCCCCCTTGCCGCCCTCCACTCCCTATCCTTGACCTCTTTGACACTCAAAATTGCCCTAGCATTTCTCTCCAAACCTTCATCCCTCTCGTTTCCTAACCCTTCAAACCCATGCGCACGATGCACCCTAACATCCGCCGCGACCTGTGCTTCCAAATCCCGTTGTCGAGTGCGCAGTTGTTGAAGCCGATTTGCAGAAGAAAAAGAAAAAGAAGAAGAAGAAGAAGGCGTAACGGGGGGACGTACCATGAAGGTAGGGTTCGGTGACATGAGGCAATACCAGAACATCCAGAAGACTATGAAACCGAATAGGACGATAAGACCGACGATCAGGCCAATTGTTGCGCCGGAGGACAGTCCCATCTTGAGAGGAGTGCTGCTCCGAGCCTGTAGGTTCTTGCTAAAAGAACCGTGATAGTATTTAACGTGGTGTCCGCGCCTGTTTGTGATATCAAGCCTGGATGGTCCGCGTTGCACGTTGATGAGCTATAGACTCTTAGTGTAGATGGATAGAGTGGGGGAGGGACAGAGCTTGTGGATGCTGAGGCTTTTGTATATACAATTGCGCTGGAATTCAATAAATCATATCGTGTAGCGAGCTGCCACGGTGCATACACATCAGTCTCACACTCAAACATCACCACTTTCGCCGTACGTGTAGTGTTGTCCTGGAGGTTGTGTCTTATCAGTCAGTACGTCGAACAAGCGCATCGTTGAGAATCTCTTCATGGAGGATAGATGGTCAGCACAACTACGTAGTGACCATAATCAGTCACATATAGTCAAACAAGTGATTGTTGTCATACTTTGAATTACTACTCTTCCTATTCAATACAGATGCACGATCGCTCAAGTGATACTTCGCCAATTGTCGACTGACAATTGATCATACCGGGTACTATTGCTCCCGTGCCTCAAAATCCTCAGGTTGCCTAGGGTATTCTTCTGAGGATTGCGGCGCTATATTCTCGACTTCGGCCTTAGCTTCTTCCCAGGCCGCCTTGTTTCGTTTTGCCCAATCGATGTGACATTGAGCGAATTCCATCTGCATTTGGTGTTAGCGAAAGTTCGAGGGGAGGGATGGACATAGTGACATACCATGTATCGTCGTAGATCATCCTCCTTCTCGCTCTGGAATCTCCGCAGATCCTTCATCACGCCTGAACTTGCGTCTTTGGTGTCTTTCTCGGCGACAGTCAGGGCTTGTTCGAGCTGCGCGTTTGTTAGCATCTCCAAATCTTTTGATATAGAGCATGTCAAGCATACCTGTACCATACTATCTCTTGTCTTGCCAATTTGATCCCTCCGTGTCTTTTCCGGGTCTACGTCTGCCATACCCCGGAAAGCATGTGTGATTGACCCAAACAACTTGTTGGTAACAAAGTTCCCACTCGCAGTCTTCTTGTGCAGGCTGCTAGGTGGTGACTGGCTATCAGGTGCGCCCTGCGCGCTAGACGGTGTGTCACCATGTGTGGGTGGGAAGTCGGAATCGATCGAGACCCTGTCCTCCTCTGTTCTTCTATGTTGCTCCGCTTCACCACTACTGCGCTGTGAGCTGTTCGATGCAGCGCGACTTCGAGGAGGCTGATGACCGACGCCACTCAGATGTTGTTCCAGTCGTTTCGATTCTGCTTCGCTGCGTTCAAGCGATTCGAGTAGATTGCGCTTCTTCTCTAGTTCATCCTTGGTCATGTCCTCCTGTATCCGCTTGAGCACCCGATACCTCAGTGTAGAACGTACAACACCGGCGAATTGTGCGCTCTCACGCATGGGCTCGGAGAAGCCTGCGCTAAGAGACGAAGAGAGTTCGGTCGTCGCGATATACGTAGAGTCGACGGCTTGCCCGGTCTTTTCTATGGCCGCGGCAAGTGACTGAGTCTGTTCGGAAAGCGAGAAGGCGTTGAAACGTGCGCCCAGATCTGCCATGTCCTCGCCCCAGTTTCCAAGGTGCATGAGTAACCGTCTATTGACCTTCTCCATTGGCCCCTGCAGCAGATGCTCTAGGTCTTTGGACGAGTTCTCGAAGCTGACAAAGTATGGATCCAGCTCTTCTTCCGACATGTCCCGTGTCTCTGGAGGGAAGCGACCGAAGATTGCAGGACCTGGTGTTGTATGCGCGGCTGCTGAAGGTAGAGCTGCATTGTTGGCGGGTGATACAGGTGTACCAGAGCTGGACGTCGCACCGCCTGACTTCAACTTTGCGGAAGACGAGGGAATTGGAAGGTAGCTGTGCGCTTGCGAAGGGTTTGCGGGATCGAGCGGGGGTGCCTTGAGGATCTGTTTAGGAATGTTGGAGACAGGCGGGCTATTGAGTACGTCGTTCTAGCGAAACATGTTAGTTCGACATTTTGATCGCTAGAGGGTTGAACAAGCCTACCCAACTTGTGTATGGGTCGAGGAATCTCCAGAACACGCCGTCTTCCAATATGTCTTTCATCTTTCTGCACCTATTTAGAAAGACAGCTAACATGCGCTTCCGCAGCTCTATGATACCAGCATCCTCTTTCGCCTTTGTTGGCTTCGCGGCGTAGTCGGCCATGGTATGCTTTTCGGGTATCGGAGGTACGATGAGTGTCGGGTGCAGTCTGACCAATTCGGCGCGTAACGATGCGAACTCGGAGTATCTGCGCTTTACTTCAAGACCCTATTCGCGTGTTAATTCCATGAAATCCCCGTCTTCCAGTCTAACATACACCACAATTGATGGTGTACTGTATGTAGTTCACACCATCCTTGCCCGCGCTCGTGATCAACACAAGCTGATCCGGGTGCTCGTACAGCCATTGTTCTACGCGCGCATCGTAACCACCCTTCTTAGGCGCCTTGGGGTCTGCATGGTCTTGCTGTTCCTCGTCGTAGTCGACGCTGTCCATGTCCCGCTGAGAGACATACTCGGGCGACTCTTGTGCGGGGGACGAAGCCTCGGAGGGCGGAGTCGCAGGACGATACGGGACTTGATCATGTCAGCTGATGATGCTGGCGACTACTTCAAATAGTATGTAAAAGCCTTACGGGCAGCAGGCGAAGCTAAACCGGGAATATCTGAGGCGTTGGAATCATGGCGGGCAAAGGATCCATACGGATTGTTGTCCTCGTCGTCCCACATCTCGTTGTTGTAGTCTTCGCGCTCACTAGGGGAAAATAGAGGTGACTACTATAGGAGAGTGAGCGAAGTCAGGCAGCAGTAAGTGTGGGTATAGTATTGTTCGGCTTGGACATGTTGAAGCTCCAGGCACTCACGGCAGCGGCAGTGACGTTGCGCTTGGTCCAAGCTCATCTTGTCAGCCACACCTGCCGCTCCAGTCCGCGACTGGGGCGACATGAACATCAATTGTCCACAACAATCAAGCTCACATCTTTCAGGTTTCTCTCGCAACAGCCTTATTCGCTCTTTATGCGATACCATGATATCTATTGGTTCGTTATAGTTTGATATGATATTTGCTCTCAGATATTTCCGGGCTGTGAAAACTTTCAACTTGTGGAAGTCCGTTTTTCAGACCTTATCCTCTTTGCTATTCGCAACGTAATGTTGCGTTCCGTCCACTTCCTCGCCCTCCAGTACTCCCGTAATTGTACCCACAGTCTCATGATTGAAAAACCCTTCATTAGCTGCCAACTCTTCAAACGCCAGCTCCCTGTCCGCACCAATTGGCAGTATCTGAACCGGCCAGATAAGACACAGGCTGTAGTAAACCAAACCCCCCATCGAAAATGATAGTATGAAGCCCAGTTTGTACATGTTCTTGCTAGCATCGGCTACAGAATCAGGATCCAGAGACCCTGCTACGCCATGAACGGTGAACGCAACTCCAGCTACCCAGGCAGCCAACATGCGTAGATTCCAGCCTCTATAATACGAGTACGGGCTCTGGGGTGAAGAGGTATACAACGAGGGAACATGGAAATTGCCTTTCCGAACAAGCCAGTAGTCGATGATCATACACGCGCAGATCGGCATCAAGAAAACGGTGTACGAGCCTAAGAAGGTCAAAAACGAAGTTGCGGATGCGATGATTTTCCACGGAACGAGCAAAGGTGCCAGAACCGCACAAAGTACTTGGCCTCGCACAATGGTCAACCAGCGGGGAAAGATTCCTGTGAGGTCAGCGCCGACAGGGAGTGAGTTGCTCCCGGCGTTTGTGACGAGTACAGCAAGCATCATTCCAAAAGATGCGAAGACCATCCCTGCTCGAGCTCCAGGAGTCCAGTACTGATCCAAGATGGCGTCGTAAAGATCCCATACATTCCAATAACTTTTGCCCAGGACTTGCGTTGCAGCTGCAGTCGTCGCGGTACTCAAGAACATAACCAGAACTTTGCTGATAAGGATGCCTACACCCTGGCTCCACGTCACATCACCGTAAGAATGTCCGTACCGCGCTATGTCAGGTTGGTTGATGAGTACTGGTGCGAGAGCACCCATGACGGAGTTGATGGCTTGAACCATAGGCCAGATGAGATCTGAACCCGAAAGTTGTGTCTGCTTGGTTGTATAGGTGAAGCTTCCGATCTTGCCTCCGTTTGCGCTGATCACCCAGCCGAGCACACCGAAGAGCGCTATCGTCGTATAAACAGCTTTGACAACGAAAAGATGTCGAAGTACCGTTGGATGAATGAACATGACTGGCATTTGTACCTGTCAAAATTAACATGCAGCTCCCCTCAAGAAAGCTTGAACAGGAGCAAAGGGAGACTACATACCATCCAAAACAAAAAGAAACTCAGCAGATCTCTGCTCGTAATTCCTGCACTCTCTGGGAGGTGATTCGGAATGCTCTTGTACCCATTGCCGAAGATACCACGCATGAAAACCGATGTGATACGCCCTCCATAGTACGTCTGCGTGGCGAAATAGATAATCGCGACTACGGCTCGTACAAGGATATACAGACTGGCTCCTCTCACACCAGCAGCAGCGCGGACATAGACAGGGAAGCCGAGAAAGTATTTAATAGCGCCGCGGCTGTTAAGTACCACGAGAATCGTGAGAATGGCTGAGCCAATTACAGCAGCGATCATACCGTGCCACCAAAGTAGGCCGATTGAGACTAGAGACGCACCAAGATTATAGGAAGAGGGGCTGAATGTCATAGTCAGGTAGTAAGCGAAGTAGTGCTGCCATCTCCATTTTCTGTCCGCTGCATCTTGTCAGTCGGAACGGTCACAGGACTCGGGCATCATCTTGCTTACCAGGCGGGCTGGGAAGGAGATCTTGGTTGTATCGCACTTCCCCATGATCACTTGTGGTTTGGTGTGTCCCATTGAAGGACGTTGGAGAAGCGAACGCTGCTTTGCCTTGCTGTAGAAAGCGCAACATCGTAGTCATTCGAGAACGATACCCAGAAACCTGGATCAGTCTGGACGGCCATCTTTCACGCGCGATGCTCTAAAGCATATAAACCTGTTCATTGCCGATACAGACTGCATATCTTGCCGCAAACGTTGCCAAGCCATCGTATCAGCCAGATATCTATCTCTACTAGAATTCAGGGTGTTGGGTAGACGGCATAGTGTTCGGCTGATAACGCGATAACGCGTCGGGATGAAAGAAGCCGATTGACAGGAAGAGGAAGAGTTGAGCTAGTTCTTGAACTAGCTTCAATAAGTGCTAGCGCGGTGTGCATCTTCGAGAAGGCTGGTGATTTGCGACGTAACGCGACGCGACAAAGCATGTGCACCATCGATCCGTGGTTGTCGTGTGTAATACTAGTACGTCATCGCGTGTTCTGCGACACATGTTTCGTCTCCTTGCGCTCAGCTCGAAGCAACAGCATCTCCTGTTGGGGAAAACAATGCAGAACAAGGACATCACCACACCTCTCGTCTCATGCATTATCAAGCTCATGTCATTAACCCGTATTTGTCAAGGATTTACCAACCACCAGTCTTCGACCCGGGCTTGTAGGGAAAAGTCTCGCGGTAGTGGTTCGCAATATCTCTGCGAGTCGCGACCCAAACGCCTTCTTTCTCAGAGATATACTTCATAAAGTTTCTCAGACTCTCTGATCTTCCTGGTTTACCAGCTATCCTGGAGTGCAGAGGGATTGTCATCATCTTACCGCCTTCTCTATACAAGCAGTCGAATGTGTCCTTGAGATACTGCTCGTATACTGCACCAGCTGAGCTTACGAAGCCAGGAAGCATGTGGAACTTCCCATCGTTGCCTGTGAAATGTTGTTAGCTGAAAGTCGCGTGCACTGGCTACGGCGTTTGGCTTACAATCATAGTTGTACGGCATCATCAACAGGCCCTCTTTCTCCGCATCGGGCAGTTGTTTCTCCCATGGCAGATCAATCCAGTATGGCGAGTCTTCGTTGTAGACTTCCGATGTGTAGAGCATCTTATGGCCCATCTCCTTCCACATGATTGGGAGCAGACTGGCTGTGTTTGGTGTTCCTCTGCCAAAGTACGCTCCTACTGGAAACTCACCTACGGTCGCATTAGTTCCATGCATATTTAGCATTGGGTGAATCGTACCGGTTGCCGCTTCCAAAGCTTTACAGGTCTTCTTGATATACGCTTTATCGTCTTCAAGCGAATAGTCCCAGATATCAAGCCACCTATACCCATGGGCACCAATCTCATGGCCATCTCTTACACATGCTTTGGAAAATGTAGGGTTTCTTTCCATGGCTACTGCAATGGCCCAAAGGGTCATGTTCCAGCCAAATTCCTTCATCAGACGAAGTATTCGCCAAGCACCACATCGGCTGCCATACTCATAGTCTTGCTCGCCGTTCACATGGCGCTGTTCTCTTCCACCGCCCGAGGGGCCTTTCTCCCACAGATAGGGCTCGCTAGTACCGTCGCCATCCAGTGGGTTGCGCTCGCCGCCTTCCTCATAATTGAGGACAAATGAGACTGCAATACGGGCGCCGTTTGGCCATTGTGCGTCATGACCATCTTCACCAAAACCTAGAGGAAGGCTCAGTATATATGAAAAAGTAGGTTGTATGGACTCGCACCTTCGAAATCTCTAGGGAGTTGGAGAGATTCTTCGACGTGGACCATGACTGACAGATGCACGATACGGCGTCACCTAGGTAAGGTGTGATGCTAAAGGTAAAAAATGAACTTCAATATAAAGCATAGTAAGTTTCGAGAATGACACTGAGATATGAAATGCTTCAAGGGTCTACTGCAAGCAGACCATCATGGACCGATATCGCGCCAAACTATTTGCAACCCAGGTACACTTCCCTCCACCTGTCAATCTCCTATCAACAAAGGCTTTCTGATTAGCATACAATAAGAGCAATTTTAGGTAAAGAAAGCGCTGCTCGTTGTCTCTTTATCGGAAGTGACTATCCCGACGACGATCGAATAGGCGTCCCACCAACCCCGCTTTGCCTTATCGTTCCTTCCAACTTTCGTAACCCACTCTTGCAACCCTCAACACGGCCGAGATTATTGCAAGCATGCGTTATCGGCGTTTGGACATGCTGAATCATGTGTCATAGGGGTTTCATATTCCGGCAGCAGGTCTACGGCCCGCGACAGGTTTGCGCCGGAGATACAAGGACGAACGATCAGATTCTAAAGGCAATTACTACTTGGAGGGCTACTAGCATCAAAGACAAGTTGCAACCTAATCACCTGAAGTTTTTTCCCTTGTACAGAAAATGTCGGTATTTTCGCTAGATGCAAGCCATGGCAATCCGGTCACGAAAGAAACTCTTGAGGCACTATGCTCTCAGCTTGGGGTCAGTATCGAAGATAAAGAAAAGGAGGACTACCGCCGCTTACTAGCTGTGTTCCACGATGCAAGCGAGCAACTGATGGTTATGGATGGTAGGGCGTAATCGTTCGCATTACATGCCACAAGAGAAGCTCACATCGATTTGTAGACTACGTCCCAATAGTCGACGGGGAACGCTTCCCAAGAGAAGATGTTCATTTCCCGGAGAAATCCGAGAATTCTCATGGCGCTTGGGCATGGAGGTGTGACATCGTCGACAAAAAAGCTAAGAGTAACGGCAAACTCCATGGTAAAACGTTCGCTTTGAAGGACAACGTTGCGGTGAAAGATGTCCCAATGCTGCTAGGTACGAACTTCATTAAAGGATATGTCCCAGATGTCGATGCGACTGTCACTACACGCATTCTAGAAGCCGGTGGTCAGATTCTTGGTAAAGCCGTCTGCGAGAACATGTGTCATTCTGCAACAAGCCATTCCTCGGGTACTGGAGTAGTGGAAAACCCATTCGCCAAGGGATATAGTGCTGGCGGAAGTTCAAGTGGCGCAGGCGTACTTGTAGCGCTGGATGAGGTCGATGGAGCGATCGGTGCAGACCAAGGCGGTAGCATCCGCGTACCAGCCGCCAATTGCGGTATCGTTGGGCTAAAACCTACATTTGGCCTTGTACCATACACAGGATGTGGAAGTAACGAACCCACGAATGACCACGTCGGCCCAATGACACGAACAGTGCTGGAGAATGCCGTCTTGCTTGAAGCCATTGCCGGAACCGACAATATTGACGACCGCTCCTTCGCTGCACCCCACCCATTCAAAATACCCATCTACAGCTCCATCAGTAACCTTCCTACGCACAAACCACTCCAAGGCAAGCATTTCGCCATAATCACCGAGTCCCTCTCAACGCCCGCCATAGACTCACGAATAATTCAAACCTTCCGCACCGCAGTCTCTAAATACACAGACCTCGGTGCCACAGTCAGCGAGATCTCAATACCCCTTCACTCCAAGGGTGCAGCAATATGGACCGGCATATCAAAGGTTGGCGGTTTCCTTGCGAAAACTACGGGCTCATTTGGACGCCGTGGACACCAGATGCTCGGGTTGAACTCTTTGCTACATCCAATGGGCCAGGACAACTGGAACGAAGCATACGCCTCAACGAAAAACATCTATTTGAACGGCCTCTACGCAACACAACAGTTTCCAAACCTCCTCGCTAAAGCAACGAATCTGTCGAGACAACTACGCGATGCGTATGATGCGGCGCTGCGACAGTATGATATCCTACTTACGCCTACCCTGCCGTATGTGGCGACGAGTCATGCGAGCGTTGATGCGACGCCGCTGGAACAGATTGCGAAGCAAATTGGATTGACGTCGAATACGGCGCCGTTCAATCAAAGTGGGCATCCGGTGCTAGCGATGCCGATTGGTATGTTACCAGTGTTGGAGGGACCAGGGGTTGAGAAGGGAGTTAGATTACCTGTTAGCATGCAGGTTATTGGAAAGTGGTGGGATGAAGTAGGTGTTTATGAAGCGGCATTTGCGTGGGAGAGGGAAAATGATTGGAAGGGTATGTGAGAGACGTGTTTCCATACGATTGAGTGCAATGGAAAAGAAGATATATACCATCTTAACTCATGCCCTGAGCCCATCCATGAGATTCCCACGTCACTACGTTATCGTGGAAGCGGAACAGCCTGCTCAATTATCCGCTCCGGATCATCACTTGTTCCAACATGTCCACTCCCACTATCCCGCCTCTTCTTCATTTCCACATCTTCCATAACCTCATCTGGTCTTTGCAACCCCCTATCCTTGATGAAAAAACAGCCTAATAAACACAGTCCCATAAAGGGTACATTCATGATGAACACGATCCGGCTCGCCGTCGCATACGCCTGCAGTATCTGCGCTATTTGTTTTGGATTCAGCGATGCAAAGTCTGGCGTATCGTACGAAGAAAGCGCCAAGGAGTGAAACTCTGCAGGCATAACCTTATGCAGAGTGTTCTGCAGTGCCGCAGCAGAAACTGCGAGACCAACTGCGCCGCCGAGACTACGTATGAAGTTACGGTTCGAGATGACGACTGCGCGTTGTGCTTTTGCGCAATGGGCTTGCAGAGCAACAAGCACAGGTTGAAAAATGGCACCAATTCCTAGTCCTTGGACAAAGAGGATGATGACAATGGTCCAGATGGGCGTATAGAGGTTCAACATGCACGTTAAACCTGCGCCTAGTGTCCAGAGGAAGAAGCCCAGCCAGATTACCTCGCCGTAGCGCTCAAAGCGCGAGATGTACTGCCCAGATATGATGGACGAGATCATTTGTGAAGCGGTTAGTGGTAGCATTAGGCAGGCTGAAATGAGGGGCGAGAGGCGACGGGCGTTTTGGAAGAAGAGGGGGAGGTAGTAGGTTTGTGAGTAGGCTACTACGCCGAAGAGGAAGTTTTGGAGGAGCATGATGGAAACGGGACCGGATTTGAAGAGGGATACTGTATGAGGTTAATTATGGTTCGTAGGAGTTAGGTGTTTGGTGGAGTGGGAATGTGGAGCTTACATGGCATCATTGGCAGTATAGCGACGCGGTGCTCGATGTAGACGAACGCTATCATGCAGCACCCTCCAATACCTAACATGGCAACGACCATTGGAGATTCCCATTCAAAATAGTCACCTCCTCCTGCAATAGGAATCAATAGCAGTATCAGCCCCGCACTACCGAAGAATATGCCTCCATAGTCGATTCTCCTCAACACCATCTTCATATCCGCTCTTGGTTGCTCCTTGGGTGTAGGCAGTACGACAAGACATAGCATCCCGCAAGCCGCTGAAACCGGGCTAACGAGCCAGAAGAAGCCTCTCCACGTACTCTTTTGTACAAAAGCAGCAGCGATGAAAGGACCAGTCATGTTTCCCAGCCCGACACATGCGCCTATCATGCCTTGCCACTTCCCGCGTTCTTTCAAGGTGACGATGTCGGAGACGATCATGGCTGAGAGGGAAGCTATACCGCCGTTTGCTACACCCGATAAACCGCGGAACACGTACAGCATTATCGCATCACGCGAGAGGCCACAGAGAAGGTCGGAGACTGTTAGGAGGGCAAGGGCGGAGAGGAGGACGGATTTTCTGCCTAGTTCGTTTATTAGCTGTTTCTACTGCCTTGTAGTCTTACTGAGCTGCATGACATACCGAATAGGTCACTCATTCTCCCATATAGCACTTGGAAAATAGTGTTCGCTATCAACGCACTTGTACCGGCCCAACTGATCGTGTCTTCGGCATTGAGTCCACGACCGATAGTAGGCAGGGCGACTCCGATACCGGTTTGGTCGACGAAACAGATGAAATGCGATAATGCGAGGACGGAAAATACGACGAGGAGCTTCTTGCGTGGAAGTAGGTTCGTTTGATCGAAGACGGCGGCCTCGGCCGCAAGTTGACGAGCCTCCATGGGGTGGAAACAGGGTGGCTTAATAGCGTGAACAAGAACCTTGTTGTTGTACGACTATGCCGTATGATCCTTTGTGTTTTCGTTGTCACTCTCCAACGATAAAATTGTGACTACCCGCTAATAAAGATGATAAGACGTAGGAGACACCGTGTGTCCGTTGCAAAAGCTTCTGTGCGCATGAGCTGAATCAGATCGAATACCATAATCGCGATATGAGATATCCTCATCATAACAGGCGGTCCATAGATGATCATCGTATCCCTCGTCATTGGTGGGTAGCACGGAGACGCTACCAGCCTATGAGAAGGATAGCCTTATTAGGTCGGGGAATCTATTACTGCTAGGAGTTGAGGAGAGGACCTATGGAACTATGGAATGTGATGCTGTTACAGTACAAGTGGAGTCCAGTGGCCCGACCCTGCGGAGCTAAGGCGTACCTGCAGCGAGTGCGACCAGTCCGGGAATTTGGAGGAGATCGCGTGGTGGGTACCCTGAACTTCGTTTCCATGGTCAGCGTCGGTCTGGACCGAAAGTTAGGCCATCACAACAGCAGGAATGGGCCGGGATGAATAAGCAGTCGTATGTATATCTCCATCCTACACTAATCACTAACTCTTAAACGCTCATGTCGCATCGTTAGCGTATATGGTAGAAAATCCTCTGATATCGATGGAAAGCGCAACGACGAAAGTAAAACAGCAGACTACTCTCCCGTGTACACTGTGGAACGCAAGTAACATGCATACATAAGATAAGACAAGGCTAAGCAATTGGAAAGCCGCGCGAGTGGCCTGAGCATAAATATCCCTACGATAAAAAAACCCACCCGCTCCCGAGAACGCCAAGCTAAACAAAATCCTAGACTAAAGCTTAAAGCAGGAGACCTCGAAGACCAAGGCCGTGGTATCATATAGAGAGTTTGGCCGACAGGGTGTAGTGACTGCACGCACGATATCCGGTCCAATCTGTAAGGTCGAAAGTCTCGAGCGGCGAATATTCTGTGACTCAGCCACGAGCGCGGCCACTGCGTCGGACAATGGGAGTACCGTTGGTAGCGGGAGTAGGTGAAGAAACCGCTGCAGCACCATTCACCTTTGCCTTGCTCGCTTTGGCTTTGGTCGCACTCTTCGCAGACTTGGGTGGTGTGGCTTCCCTGACCGGTTCGGCAGCTTTGCGTTTCTGGACAGCTGGTGAAGATTTGGTGCCGTTCGTCTTAGCTGCGGCTCTTCCTCGTGTAGCCCTCTTTGCTGGTGTAGGCTCAGGCTCAGGCTCAGGCTCAGGCTCTGGGGACGGGGACAGCTCCGGGTCTGAAAGATCAGACTCTTCCGCGGCAGCTTCTTGCTCTTTCTCATCCTCGACTTCTGCATCGTCCATCTCTACGTCTTCTTCGGCAGCGGGAGTAGACTTATCGGCTCCTTCTGCGTCTGATGCATTGGTTTCTTCCTCCTCTTCTTCCACCTCCTCTTCTTCCACCTCCTCTTCTTCTTGGACTTCTTGAGCACCAGCTCCATTGTCTTCCTCATCGCTCGATACCTCGACATAGCTCTTGTGTACAGTACTTCGTCGATCGCTCTTTCTTCGTGGTCCACTAGATGGGGCAACGCCACCCTCGACATCGCTCGCATCATCATCGTCACCAGCCCTCCTCTTCTTCTTTGGTGTTTTGACGGGACGCTCTGTCTTAGCCTTCTTCTCCTTAATCGGCCTGTCGCCCTTGGTCTTCTTGCGTGGCTTTTCCACACCATCCGATGCCTTGCGCTTCTTGCTTCGGATAGCTTTTCGCACAAGTGGATCGAGTTCGTCGACGAGGTCTTCCCCAATCCACGTCTTCTTAGCGATCTCTTGTGCCCGATCGTGACTTTCCAGAGGCCGGAAGATACCGGAAGGCAACTTCATTTTTCCAGGCCATGACTGCATTGTCCAGTTGTTTTGCTCTTCCCACGAACGGATGAGAGCCTGCGCTAGATCTGACAAGATATACAGATTCTCGTCGGCTTGGCGTGATGGCGCAATACCGTCCGCAACACCCTTGACGCGCTGAGCGACATGGAAGATAAGTGACAGGTTCTCCTCGGTGGCCACACATTTCAGGTAGTACAGGATGTACTCTGACATTAGCTTCAGTGTCTCGTCTTCTGTATCGAAGTCTGGGTGGTGAGCAAGCAAGCTTAATAAACGAGCAAATACAGTCTCTAGTATGGTCTCCTTACGCGCAGCGAAAGCAGCGCGGCGTGCGCGAATCCAGGTCATGGTGCTATTCTTGATGGTCTTCTCAGGCTCGTGTGCAAGGAAGAACAAGATAGTGTAGAACCGGGGTGGCAATCGACCCTGACCGAGGTACTTCATCAGCTTATCAGCAAAACCCTTACGCACCTGCGTACAGGGGTCATGTGTGACCAGGGCTAGTTGTATGAAATCGGCGGGGCTCAAGAAAGCGTCGAGGCGCTTGTTGCATGAGAGCTTGAGTAAGGAATTGGCAGCAAGAAGCCGCTGACGAGATTTGTGTCCTGCGGGAGTGCTGTCGTCTGCTGACCCCTCGCCATTGTTTTTCACATAGCGATTCAGCAGCTTGTATGTGTCTTCTGCAGCATCAGTGAAATTGGCATCAGATGGTAGGGAGCGCAAGCGGTTGACGAGAATCTTGACTGCCCAGGATCTTCCTTGGATGTCGTTATCTGGTACCTCCATCCACTCTGCATCTGCATCAGCAGTCGCTGCATGCGGTTTTTGAAGAACCTCTTTTATGGCAATCTCAACGATGGCATCCATATCATCCTCGCAATCTGACTGGGCCAGTAAGACCAGTTGACTAAGCGCAGCCAGCTTTGTAAGCCAGTGAGCACCATCGTACTGGAAGCTCTTGATGCTCTTGGTAAGGATCTCCTTTGCGTGCATCTCCTTCTTGTCGTCGCTGTTTATGATTATAGTGATCGCATGCTTTGCTGCCTGCGGAGGGCTGCCATAGAACGCAAAGTTCAAGAAGCTCTGTACCAATTTTCGGCTGTCTTTGCCGTTCATTGGTATGTCTGTAGGAAACTTCTTTGCAAATGCAGCACAGGCCTTGAGATCATCTACCGCACCGGGAGGGTTGGGTTTCGTTGCCGTAGGTGCCTCACTTTCAAGAGTCTTACAGAGATCCTTTACGTGTGTTGAGAAGACCTTAGGATGCTTTGTGGAAATCTCTTTCAGCAGCTCGTGAGCAGTGGCACCAAGGCCTTTGTCATCGGTACGAGTGTACTCGATGACAGCTGGCACGTGACTCTTATTGTAACACAGTAAACTGACGCGGTAGAGGAGTGGGGTCAAGGTGTCGAGCAGTGAAGAACCTGGCCCGTCTTCAATCCTCTTTCGAAGCTCTTTGATGGACCTGAAAACTCTGCGGTAGTCACTCGCTGGGTCCATGCAGAACCGTATGAGAGTGTAGGCTCGGCGATCGTGGGCTTTGGCAAATTTCCACAAATCGTCTCTGACACGGGTTGGATCGGGGAGAGTCTTTGCGTAATAGGTGATGAGGCCTTCTAGATTCGTCTTGACGTCCTTCTCACCCTTGTCAGTGATGCCACCGTTGTAGTCTTCACATAACTTCAAGAAGTGCTCCATGTACCTGGCACCAGGGCCCTGGTTTCCTTGTTTCGCGAAGAAGACTTTCTTTGCCTTTTCTTCCAACCCGTTCACGAGTACAAGCTGTCTTTCAGTTCGTATCTTGTCTAGATCGGCTTCGGTGTATCCCTGTTCGGTATTTGTCTGGCTATCTTTTACGACTTGTGAGTTTCCGGCGGGCGGTGCTCTCGCTTTCATAGGAGGATACGCGAGCGGAAGCAAGGAGTCGTATAGCGCGAGATCGACCTGTACGTTGATTTCGAGGTCGTTCACGTAGCAGGCTTCGAGAATGCGAGACGGGATTGGGCCAAGCAGGGCCTTGATGCTGTCATCCCCCTCTGCAATGGCACCAGCAGCCACACCCCATATCTTGCCAAGAAGTCTCATAGACTCAGAATGAATGACATTCTTCTTGTCCTTTACACGATCGGCAAGATTGGAGAGAATAGACCCTGGTTCTGCCATGCCACCGTTGCTGCCGAGTTTACGGACGATGTCGTTAAATTCAAAATGCGCAACCGCTTTCACAGCCGCTAGCCGCACCTTCTCGTCGCTGTCGATCAAGCACTCACCAAAGTACTTGAGCAGCTTCTGTTCTTCTTCGAGGTCAAGCCCAATGCCACCAGCTGACGTCATCAGTATGCGACCGATGCCGGTAGTCCATGCGGCGCGAATGATGGCGGACTTGTCGTTCTTGCGCTGAAGAAAAGAGTGATACGCCACAGGATATTGCGTGGGAAACGAGTTGATGGACACTGGTGTGGTAAGATAGTCAAACGGTCGTGCTGAGTCAGAGCGTGATAGGCTTTGTGAAGGATAGGCCACTGGGTCCATGTCGGGTGGAGGTGGTGGACCAGCTGCGCCAATGCCTGAGATCATGTCGCCGAATGTTTCCGTCGCAAGCTGACGAAGCTGTACATTCTCTGTGGCTAGCTCATCCTGTAAATGTGGGACAATCTCTTGAAGTACGCCGGGGCAGCACTTCCACAGCTCGCGCAACAATCTATGTGCTTTGTGTGCCTCGTCGATGTCGTCTTCTGAGGGACCGCGAGGAAGGTCGTCATCATCGTCCTTGGAGTGGCCTTTGTATGTAGTTCCAGAGTTGGTGAAGTCTACGATGACTGAACTGAAGTAGTTGCCAATGAGTCGAGCCATCTTCTCTGGGAAGGAATTGCAGACGTTCTTGGCCATATTGTAAGCAGGCGGTGCCTCTTTGCGACGTAGCGTTGACTGCTTTGCGTCGATCTGCACACTCTTTTTGCCCTTGCCTGAAGTGCCCAGTGTAATGGGGTCTGCCCACAGGAATTGTGCTACAACGACATCCACAACATCATGCGTGACTGCTGGTGCTTCGTCTATTATAGTAGAAAGAATTTCGGTCATGTTGTGTTCGATATTCTTGCTCAGTTCTTCTCCCTTAGATGATCCAGATAAGACATCGAAACAGGTTGTGAAGAGTGCCGCAGTGAGCTGATCGGAGCCCGGAATCTCGTTGATGAGCAGAATACTCTTCCATTCGGCGAGCGATCGGAGGATGTACATGTGCTGGCTATTGTATGGGTGGGTGGGGTCTGCGAGGAGCGGCAGCAGCTTGAGGATGATGACTGAGAAGATTTCCTGTAGCGTTGTTAGTGGTGGTAGGTGATGTATTGACTTTTGTGTCATACTCTGAGCTTAGATGCAGGGTAGGGCGCATCCGGCGCAAAAAGCTTCAGCATGTCGACAATGCAGCAGACGGTCCACGCGCGCACGCCATTGTCCTTGTGTTGTAAAAGACTCTGATGGGCCAGTGACTCTGCGACCGGCATGAGGGAATCCCTATGCGCCTCTTCCTGATCAATTGTCCGCAGTTCATCGAGCAGTGCCTTGAGTCGCGTCAAGAGGTCGCTCACGCCAATCTGCTTGCCAGGCCGGCCAACGAGCGGTTGCTTGAACTTGAGCTTCTTCAGCCCATCGTGGACTTCCTCCTCCTGTTCCAGCTCTTGCTCTTCTTCTTCAACCACTTCTGCCGCGGCGGCCGCGCTCCGCCTACTGCGCGGTGCCATGTCGCGTGGCTGCGCGTGGGCAATGACGTGTGTGGGTGGTGTGATGCGTGTTGATTACGGATACGAATGCGCGCGTGGGAAACTGTTCGGAAGCGCACGCAGGTGTGGAGTCGATTAGCGACGCGGTGATGGGAATGTCGTGACGATGTTGAGGGGATGTTGGAGCGACTTTCTGAGCAGTGACGCGCTAGCCAGTGATACGCGACTGGCTTCCGCCTGGATCGTGCTCCACCTGCATCACCACCGCAGCCACACACCACTTGGCCTACTTTCACCCGCCACCTCGATTTTAGTTGTAACTCCGAAAAAAGTACGTTCGGATTGTGCTGTCGCATTGGCATTGACGCTGGATCTGATCATGTCAGCAATGCTAGTGCCAGTACATTCACCTCACACGCACGCTTGAACCATATCAGGAACACACGACCAGAACGAGTATCCGACATACTCGATCCCAATCATCCCGTTTCTGTAAATCTCTGGTGAGAAGAAAACAGGATGGAGAGACAACAGACTTTCCAGCGGGTACGCAGAGTTTCCAAACCTACTGACTTTTGTTGATCTCTTTTGCAGTTAAAGCAGCCTTGCATACAACTCCTACAAGTCACTGCAAGCATCTCGCAGAATCCAAGCGCTCGAAAAGAGCTGACACAGGCACTTACCAGTCTACTTACTACGCTTCAATCTATAAGTAGTAGGCCTGGTCTACTGGACGCAAAACTGGCTGAATATGCTTTCGTCCCCATATCTCAAGTGCTCAGAATCTCTCGACAGGTTCCGGTTAGAGCATTAGAGCTCTGCTTGGAATGTATTTCGACCTTACTGTCCGCTGGCTGGGGAGGCGGCCTTGAGCCTGCTCTATCTGGGCAACTCCTCATCCTATTCACATTTCTGGCCAAGCCTTCCTCCACAGAGACTGGCATCTCTGCCACCTCAGAGGAGCTACAATCATTGGCGCTGAAGTGCACATCTGAGTTGATGACTGAGACGTCCCGTACGAAGCAGGGTCGAAAAGCTATAACTGCTACGACCAACATACCTGCCCTAGGCGAGGCTGTACTAGTCATACTCGAGAGCCTTACTGATAGTAACTCGAACAACGTCAAATTTCAGGCTATATGTGCGCTTAAAAGCACTGTTAGCGCGATCGACGATGACGATGCTCTGGCCAGCTTTCTGCCTAGGATAGTGTCATCCCTGACAAAGGTATTGACACCAAGCAGCAGCAATCGATCCGGCTTTCGCATTGTCGAGCAAAGCTTGGAGGTACTCACGTCACTTTTTGTTCGCCTGCTCAGCGATGCGAAGACCAAAAACTTACCTGAGAAAACTCCATCAAATAAGTCGGGAGATGTCACCACAACATCGCGATCAACTTCGTGGCTACAAGCGACTGCCTCCCAGATCAAGATCGCGCTTGCAAACGTCTTCAAACTGAGAGACCATGACAAACCAGAGGTTCGGCAAGCTCTTTTGAAGCTATGTCTCTCCACCATACAGGATTGTCGTACATCGCTATCACTTTGTACAAGTATGGCTATTGAAACCATCATAAATCTAGCAGGGCATGAAAACTCCAATGAGAAAGTTGAGAACGAACTCAGAGGGCTATTGTCCGCGGACCAGAACCTTTCCGACCTTTTACGTGAAAGCCTGCATGGTTGGATCGTAGCGCTGCCTAGACTTATGCGATCAAAAGACGATGGTAGCCGCCATCGGATCATACATCAGATCTCAGTCTCACTTCGACTGTTCGAGCAAGATCCAACTATCCTGGACGATCGGCTTACCGATAGCCTTAGGGATGGTGTTTCTGCAGTTTTCTCCGATGCCAAAGGGCTAGAGGAGCTGAGCGACCACAATCCGAATCCAATCACCGATCGCACACTGGCATTGAGCTCGACGAAGTCGTCTTCTTTCCCTCCAATTAGTTTACGATTTAAAGGCCAGGATGACATGATGACAGAGTTCAAAGCATTGGTTCAGGGGCTCGCGCGATCCAATTCAGCTTTAACGGTTGCTCAAGGGCTGACTAGCTCTATTGACCTTGGGTCAACCGAGTCACGCTTGGCAAGCTTTTGGCTGTCAGTCAATCTAGTAAGAGACATAGCAACAATCAACCCATCCGTCGATGATTTCATGGATCTGGGAACACCAAATCCCAGGGAAGAAGTCCTCGACGACTTGTACTCACACTCTTTGTCACTACTTAACCAGCGAGATCCAGATACGGAAAATCCTTGGCAGTTCTATGCATTAGCACTTGAGACGGTAGCTTTGCAGGCGAAGCGGTACAGAACTGAATTCCGCCCGGAGTTGAGCGAGGTACTTTATCCAGTGCTCCATCATCTTGGAAGCTCAAACAGTGCACTACGCGAGCACGCACTGACCTGTCTCAACATCGTCGCAGAGGCTTCAGGATACAGTAGCGCAGGGGAGCTCGTTGTTGCGAATGTTGATTACATTGTCAATGCTGTTGGCTTGAAGTTGGCTTATGGCGATGTCTCGCCCCAAGCTCCGCAGGTTTTGCTCATGATGATGAGGCTCTGCGGTCCATCTCTCCTGCCATATCTGAATGACCTTGTTGATAGTATCTTCAATGCCTTGGAGAGATATCATGGTTATCCCAAACTCGCAGAGCTTCTATTCTCTGTACTAAAAGGCATGGCGGAAGAAGGTGTCAAGGCGCCGCAACTTGCGTTAACAGCTGGAGATGAGAAACGTGAAGATGGGTTTGCGAAAAGAATGGCTACCATGAATAATGTCGTGGAAGCAATCCAGAAATTAGACGCTGACGCAAGAAATCGGGAGGAAGAGGAGAAGCAAGTACTGAAAGAGCCGTTCCCACAAAAGCCCTGGAAAGAAGAGAAGAGTTCAGAAAACACAAACCCAGACGATCCTGACGAGGAAGACGACCATCCGCCTCCACCTCAGAATGAAGAGCCAGCCCCCCCCGCCCCTCGTACCTTCACCATCCTCCTCAAAATTTCTGAGCTCACCCAGCATTATCTCACTACCACTTCGCCGACTCTCCGAAACTCACTCCTATCCCTCCTGCGTACCACTATACCCGCCCTCGCGAAACACGAAAATTCATTCCTGCCACTCATCAACACCCTCTGGCCTGTATTGCTGCCTCGACTGCAAGATCCAGAAGCATATGTGGTATCAAATGCGCTCGACATCGTAGCATTGATGTGCGAACACGCGAGAGATTTCATGAGGACAAGAATCGAAGATGCATGGGATCTCATTAGGAAGATCTACAGGCGAACCAAGCAGCATGATGACCACGGCAGGGGCGGCAGCTCCAAATCCACATCGCTGAAGATCACGGGGATCGAAACTGGCATGACGAGGCTGTCTATGGACCTACAACCCACCACCGACCTTTCTCGGCCGGAACTGTATATCGATGCGCCTACACGCATGATCTGGAACAGCTTAATCAGCTTGTTATGCGCTATCGCTAAGCATGTGACGGTACGAGAAGAGCGCTTTGAGGAGATGTTGGATATGCTAGACCCTGTACTGGCAAGAAGCGACGTGCGAGAAGCGTTAGAACACAGCAACGCCGATGCAGTCTGGTTGCGGCTTTACAAGAAACAGCAGCAGACTGGTAGGGGACAACAGATCAGCTCTGATGCCTCGACGAAAGCACGTGGGTTGCTAGGCAAGATACCCGTTGGGAAATCGTACTGGAAGTTCGTACGGCTCTAGAGACAAAAATAGAAAAAGCCAAGAAGTGGCTCAAGCGCTACACAACCAAATGTTTGGGAGAGCAATGCTCGAAGTAGTCTATGCAGTGCCTTCTAGGTGGGGGGCCGCAGCAACAATGCGGCTGAGCTGCCGTTCTGGAAAAATCATATGCAACCACACTTCGGTCGCGAAGCTATAGTAATTGGTAGTTCGGGTGTCTAAGCTTTAGCGCAATACTCACCAGTCCGTCCCTCAAACTCGCATTTCATACCGTTCATCCTATCGTCTTTACCCCTAGCCAGTTGAAAGGCTTTTCTTCTCTGATTGTTGAACTTCCAATCGATTGCGGCGAGTGCGCTTGCCCGTACCGCCTATCTGGTACGGTTCGGTGTCTCGATTTTCGTCAGATTATGTAAGATCTTGGAAAAGCTTGGTTCGATAACAATTTGTGATGATTTGTAAGCCTACTATCTTATCTATTATCGCCCTCTTGCGTGTTGTTTCAATTTGGTACTCTAGTCTTGCGGGTTTCGTATCAATCCCTAGCCCCTTCTTTGGCTTTCACAAAGGAATGATGGCAAAAGGGAAAGGCTGTGGTTGCTCCTGCCGAAAATAGCTTATTTGGTGTGGAAGTACTTTACTGATGGCCCCTATAGCTTTGCACCTCACACTACGTGTGAAGGACTGATCTGAATTGACCAAGAAATCAGGTGGCTGAATTGATACTCTGCGCTTATATTTAGTCCTGTGAAATTTACAGATGGCCTCGTCGCTTTTGAACCTACATGACTTACGGCTAACTACCCAAAACTTCCGATGACATCGCAGCGAGACTTGTGTTTATTTCATCTCGGTTTACACCAGAAGCGCAACAAGATGAGCATCAACAAAATTTTCAACTTCACGGAGTACAGTACGTATATAGATTTGGAAAACACGGTTCCAGCGGTGCGGCTCAATTGACGGCGTTTTTATGCATCACGTGCCATATAGTGGCGGTCTTGCAGATCATGATGACTGGTAGTTGCGTAGCCACTATAGCCACTATCGCCACTGTTCGTATATTTACTTTTTGGGCTATACCATCTACTGCTCAGTCTTGCTTTTGACAAATCAAGCGAACAGAAAATCCAATTCGGCTGAGCTTGTAGGTCATTTCTGCTGTTGTGCATGGCACACTACCTGCTTTTTGGCACCTAGGTAAACAGGGATGCGACGTGTGTGCTTATGTGGACATCCAAACTCTTTACATAGTAATGCTTTCCAGAGCATCGTCTCACCCATCTAGCCTTGCTCAGCCTATTGCAGTCAGACCAGTAAATGCATGCGGATTTACTGCCGCTGGTGGTCATGCACCTATCATTGCAAGGGTCTGTATTCAGAGTGGCCTGACTCTCATGCTCAGCTGTGTTAATTGGCTATAGTTTTCTGGTTGACAACCCAGCTGAGCGAGATATTATGTACGATATGTATAGCCATTTCAGCTCAGCAAAAAGGCTGTTCACTTTCTACAGATGCATATCTTCTGCCTCTGATGTGCCATACAATATGGACCTATACACTGCTTCGAACTTTCAACAGCTAAATCCACGCGTTGTTTCCTGAAGATTACAACATCGCGCGCATTCTCTCTTCTTCCCATAGCTTATGCATCGTTTACTTTCTGGAACGTCAACTCAACATGAACGTCACGTCACCATTCAACTATACAGCGCTGGGGGTGGGATTTCCAATTCAAGAATTGCTCCTCGGCTGCATTGATTTTGCAATATCTCCGAGCCGAGCCAACAGATCTCGACAGTCTTGCCTTGAACACCCTGACCGGTAAGGAGACAGAAGTCTACGGCTATATCGTTGAAAGCCTCGGGAAATATCTACAGGATACATCACAACAGCCTCCGTCCTTGTCTGAAAAGTTCTGGTCATGGGCTGAAGACAAAGCTGCAGGTGATGTGATGTTCGAGGTCGGAAATTACATGAATTCGTCATCACTATGTAGCGACGATTTGTGTCGCATATTCGGTTGGAGTGGAAATCCAGATCTTGCTGGAGCTGGGGTAAGAAGGGAAATCGAAGTACAAGTCGTGGCATGGCACCAACTAACCCGTTCAGATGTTGGCTACATACATTATACAGGCGATTCTGGTTACGATCTACCTCCTCTCGATTTTAATTTTCCACCGCGAACGCAAACCAAGTAAACTACGTCAAACACGTTTCGTGTCCAGGACATTACTCGCAGTAAAACACACAACAGCAGAGTTCTTGTCTGCATCATCAATCTTCACAGCGTCTTTGCTACTTGCCTCGATTGTGCAGAAAAATGCCTTGACTTATTCAACATGGGCTCTGATGCTCATCATACCATTTAATTCAGTCCTACCGGTAGTGATTTTACAGCTTGCTGCTTGGGATATGTTTCGTCGATCCAAAGGCAAACTAGTGTGGTGGGTGGTCATTGAGGCCTTGGCCATCGCTCGTTTCGCAACCATCTTTTCAGCATCTTACAGAAGGAGGTCGTGGGATGTTGATTGATATTGTGTTAAGTCAGATTCATTTTTTCCCATGGTTGTACTTGCTTTGACAGTCGCTGGTTTGCTGATTCTCGGGATCATTATCTACCTTATCGGCTCTTTCGTATCTCTTGTGCGGAAGAGAACACCATTCTTTGAGAGGTTTCCACGAATTATACGATGGATTACTCTCGGGGTTGCGTTTTGTATCATGTGGGTCTTCCTTGGTTGGTTCGTCGTTCTGACCTTGCAGGTTCGAAAACGGGCAGGGGAGAACAATAGAGACAATGAATGGACGTTTGGACAAGTACTAGCACTCGCTACATGGGTACCCTTTATAACGGAATTTGCATATATCTGGTGGGAAGATCCTGAGAAAGCGATGAGCGGACGTTTGATGGAACCGTACGAAGTTGTTGCAATCCACACTGCACAACCAGCAAAAAATATGGAAATGGAACCGTTGCCCGCGGAGAGAGAAAGTGATGATCTTCAAAGGCTTCTGGAGTGAATAGACGGATGCCACAGAGATAGAGGAAAGAACAAAGACAGTTTGAACTACGAAGCAACTCGTTTCTTAAGTTGTACCTACCCCAAATGTACCCTAAAGATATACGTGATGCACTACATAAGAACTGTAATAGAAAGTAACAGTATATACCTTTAGGGTAGGTTTGGTGTTTGGGCGACAACAACCCCACCCCCCCAAAAATGAGCTCCTTCGTATTGGGGTTATTCCGGTCCCTCTAACACGTCTAGTTAACACTGACGTATTTGCAGCTAATCAATAAAACAGATTCATCTGACGCGCAGCGACGCCGCACCAATCTCTTTTCTGAGCTATGCATAGAGAGATGTCATTCCGCATGCCCTCTCGCACGAAAGCAAAGTCAATTGCTCTCGAAACTCAAGCATACATCACACCAGTCGCCTCTCCCGCTCTGGCCTAGATACGAAACTAGGAGTGGAAAGCTGCGTCATAGTTCGGCTCTAACCATCTTCGTTCGAAGCTTCTTTTAATGTACACTGTCTGTGCGCTTTCTACTTGAAAAATCATCGGTCCGCCTCCAGACATCTTCGCGCGTCTCGTCTCTTCATTCTGCGAATTTGTATATTTAGCAAAGTCGAATATCACGTGCATTTAACAGTATAGGTCAAAGGCTAGGCATAGCTTCCAGAAGTTGCAGCAATGCTAGCATGATATACGAGGACACAAATAGCGAAACGACGAAGTTTTGGTGGAAATTTATTTCATTATACACTATATTATAGAAAGACCCTTTCTATCATCGGTAGTCAATTAAGTTGACATGTTGTTGTAGAGGCACTTGACAGGCGTCTCCTCCTTGAGCGCCTTCATCGTGAATGGGATGCATCCCTCGATACCAGCTGGAGTCGAAACACCCGACAACCAGACGCTGTAACCATCTTCCTCCGCACCCGGGCACGCCTGGAAACCAACAATACCGTTTGCCGCCGCGAAAACCAAGTTCGACTCGTCGTCAATCTTGAAAGGACCACGCTCTTGGTTCCTGCCGATGCCCTGGACACCCATTGTGAATTGAAGGACACCCTGGCCCATGCCGGAGCGGTCGACGTAGGCCCGCAGAGGTGGGTTGGGAGTGTAGAGGTACAAGTCGCCCTCCTCGGTGAGTGAAAAGCTGGCGTAGTTTGCTTCTGGGTCTGTGCAGGAGGAGTCTTGCTTGGGAGCGTTGATGCTGAGACCACCCTTTATGGCTTGGACGTTTCCGAACTGAATGGGGGTACCAGTGCGGAAGGACATCAGGCGGAAGACATCGTTGCCAGAAGGCTTGGTAGCAGCGAAGGGATCGGTGTTGGTAGTGTTGTCGACAGCGGCGATGGGCGAAGCAGAGACAATGGCTAAGGTGGAGGCAATGACGGCGGAGGTGGTGAACTTCATATTGGGTGGTAGTGTTTGGGTTGGTTGGTGTTGAGGTTTGTATTAAGGTACTGGTTGTATTGTGATGTGTTTGTGCGGTGGGATGAGGCTCTTTGGGGAGCGCTCACATCGTCTTATATATCCTCCCTCTCACGTCCGTGTACCATACGAGATTGCATAACAAGGCCGAGGTAGTCCATCACCGCTCACCAGATGTCGCGCATGACGTTGTAAATCTCCGAAAATAACTGCTTTCCTAGCATCTAACCCATGGCTAGTGCCGGCTGCGGCGCACTCGACCGTCCGCTTAGTGCCCCTTACTATGCGATCTGGCTCATGCTTGTCACTAGCGTCCTCCAGGGTAACATTGCCACCACAACATTCCATTTCACTGTGGCTGAGCAGGTACTAAACTTCGATGTTAAGATACCACAACGGTATGTGGTAGATTTTGATAATTGCCACGCATCGATTAGGACTTAGTGAAGTTGAAAGTAGACGTGACATCCATGGCAAGTATACCTACGGACGGGATCGCCTGGCACCCGGTCTTCTGTTATAATGTGTGCAGAGCCCGTGCTGAAGGTATCCATCTTTGAAGCTATCTATTGTGTGCCCAATTGTGATCTCTGAAGTCAGACGATTGTTGTTGGCAGAAGAGCGGACATTGTCCGTCGCGCTCACGACCTCGGGTGTCTCGTGCCGTGCGGAGGAGGGTCTTGGAATAGCTAGACGTATTTGCATACACTACAATAGCTGCATGAATGCGAAAGCGGATCTCGTAAACACAGCTGTTGACGCCTGACCGTTGTGTAAATCAAGGGTCTTCATGACGCACTGAGGTTCTCCATACGAATATTAGGCTGTTCGGAACCATCTCGGCCCCACCCACGACGAGCAGATTCCTGCCCTCAGAAGAGCATGGAGTGGTACCCTGTAAGGAGAAGACAGCATTGAGATGTTTGAAACGAGCGTAGTGTTCTGAGGAATTGGCCTGAGGCTGAAGTAGCCTCCTGAGGTAGATTCCCCAAATTCTGCATGTGGGATAATCGATGTCGGTACTTCGTCTGTTAGGGGCCTGTCAAGCTACTACGTCGATAGCCACGCGAGAAAAAAAGGAGATAGAGTGTCATGTCTTGGAAGGTGCGCATGTAGTCGACGCCAGCAAAAACAAAAACATACAACAGCGGGGATTCGCTAGTGGTCACCCACCTAACTACTAATCCGCCGGTACACTGCTTGTATATGGCTGAGCGGACGGGAAGCCTAATTTTCAGTGTCCTATGGTCGTATGTGTAAGGAACGACAAATTTTGGATTTATAGTAGCCGACAATGCAACAGCCAATCAGTTCGGTCTTGCAATTCGCTAACGCACCCTTAACCAGAGAAGCACTCACTTCGCTATCCCTACACATTGGAGATGCTTCCGTTGATATAATCCACCTCTGGGAATGCTTGACTCGGCACATTCAACCATTCATTCTCACTCAGAACAAACCCAAAGAACTTTCCCACAAGCGTCCTGACGATGTAATCCATCCTTGGCGCCCAAATAGTGCCTAACGAGGGCGTGATAGTCTTGTTCCTTAGACCTTGCAGATCAACCCAGTCGCCCAGGTCAGCAAAGTTCTGATGACTGCTGCCCGTGATGTTAAGCCACTGGTACCACCCCGACTGGTTGGCGGAGAAAGGCGCCCAGGAGGGATCGATAGTGGGGGTATGTTCTGCACCGGCCAGCATCAGAAAAGGCTTCTTAACGTCGGGAAGATCAACAAAAAGACCGTCAAGGTTGATACCACCTAGCAGCGAGGGTTCCATAGCGAGAGCACCAGCTGCTGCAGCGCCACCAAGCGAATGTCCAATGGCGAAGTAGTGCGTAGTATTGAACGGTGCATTGGTCGATTTGACGTAGGCGGGAAAGAGTCCCCTTATTGTCGCGATGGTGTCCGAGACGCGCATGTTGTACACTGCTGTTTGTAATGTGTAGTTCCAGGTTGCTGTGATATCGATACCATATACACCTTGCGCACCATCGGGTAGCTGAAGGTAAGGAGCCTCGCCCGGATGATCAAGCGCAAGCACCGTGTAGCCTTGGGAGGCAAGTTCGGAGTTCAGTGCATTGTACATGATTGCGTTCTCGCCACCACCAGGAGAAAAGATGACTGTTGGCTTCTGCACTGCCCCGACTTCCGTCAGATCAAGAGGTGGAGCATCGTATACATTCCATGTTGTTAGACTTTGAAGCGAATTGTTTGGGTACTCGAGGATGTCGCCCCAGAGTTTTTCCGTGGTAGGATCGAGGTATGGGCTTGTGTTGTTTCCTGGTACAGGAAGGACCAGGGTTGGGTAGTAGATTGTTGCTAACAGAACTGATGATGCGTTCGCCGGAGCCACAGGATCATTTGGTGTGGTTTTGTTGAAGACATGCTGTTTATACCCTACGTGATACGGACCTGTTGGTGGAGGAAACGATGCGGCGGAGACTGTTTCAATTAACAGGGATAGCAAAACCACAAGCATCTTGAAATGAAAGTCCGAGAATGAGAACGAAAACTGGAACCCTGAGATCTTCTTATCAACTCTCCCGATCGGCCCCCAACTATGGCGTCATACTTCATCAGATGATGATCCTATTCTGGTTGCAGGCAAACAGTTGCTATGACGACTATGCTCTAGTCACAATAGGTTCCCTCCATAGATGTGAAAGATTTGGTTGTCTCCGATTCCATTTCAAGCAGACCGGCGTACGATACGAATGATGAGCCTTTGGCAATCTTCGTGCGCTGTAGGGCTGACTGGCGCTCGGATTGCATGCGCTATCATGCTAAATGCCAGGAGTGAGTCGAGTGTGTGTAGTATTGGCCCTCGTCTTACGTGGAGTACAAGATTCAAGGCGTCTTTGAGGTTGCAGAGTCCAGTATACTATCACAGCAAAGAAAACAGTATGACAGGCCCATAACAGCTTTCCAGAATGTGTGATATTCCATCTACAAGACATGCGTTGAGCGATCACTAGTGTTTGCTGGCTGGAGGGAGGTCACGACGCGCCAAGGATGCCATAAGATGAGGCTATTCGGAACAACCCCGGCCCCACGGACCGAGCTCAACATCATCGCGTCCAGCACTCTGACTTTGACCAACAAAATTGTATCACCAAACCACATCCACATATCTTGCGACTCGGCCCATCAACACGCGCTCGGCAATTACTCCCAAATAGCGAAAGACAACACCACAAGGCGCAAAGATGCCGCAACCACGTATGCACTCGCTTCGCGCTCAAGCGCGTCGCAATCTACTTCTCCTACATGCAGCTCAATCCACTAACAACCTACCTCAGCATCCCGTGCTATCTCCTCCAAAGACCTTCCGCCCTCGGTCGAAAGCGCCTACTACAGAAAATGCATCGACCTCCGCCGCCGCATAACCGACATCGAAGAGAACAATGATGGCACGCGCCTGCGCATCACACGCCTGAACCGCGGCATCCAAAAGATGCGACTCGAGCGCGCATTCCTTCTTGAGCAACTCAACAAACACATGGAGTACAACGTCGACGACAGCGATCGCAGCAGCAGCCCGCCGCCTACCCCAACGGATAAGCCCTTGAGGAGCAAGAGGAGCCACAATAGGAAGGGTACGCCTCCTCTTGGTGGCAGCGCCGAAGGAGGTGCAGGCGAGAGGATAGCCATCAGTGGAGAGAGTAGACTGGGACTGGGAGCCCTGTCCCATGGCATGAACCCCATGAGTAGTGCTCAGAGTACCCCAGATCCATCAGGACGCCCCCAGAACAGCTACTTCGGCACCATTGGCGCTTCCACCGCAACAAGTCCACACACCGGTGTTAATGGAGCACCCCCTACGCTTCCTCCCCTGCATTCGATCCCACCGCTACAGCCACAGCAGCAACAACAGCCAGCACCTGCGCAGCGTGCATACTTCGACCCGGCTTACGATGAGCAACGTCCTACACCCGCTAGCAATGAAGACGCAGTTGGTCGTCCACGTGCATTCTCAGGTGCTGCCCAGCAACCACCAGCGACCGACTCCGCGCCTCCCCCGCCGCAGAACGGCGACACCGAGATGACAGACGTTGCTTTTACAGCTGTGAACCGGTAGGACAGTTATAAACTGGATAAACATATCGATGATCAGAACGTCGCAAGGTTGGAAAGGAAAATATCGAAGTGATAGCAAGGCGTTAGGGCACATCGGAGCTTCTGTACTATGCTTTGGGTATCTGTATGGAACATTTGTAATTCCTCTTTTTTTTTCGAGTTCAAAGAAACGTGTATTAGTACAGTTGTCTATCAACTAGAGTTGTGGGCACGAAGTAGGACAGTATTTCCATGCATACTTGATTATCAAGGCTTGTCGTCTTAAGTGTGATTGTGCCCGTATCTGCATGAATGTATTACACGAAATCGAAGCGGTGGGATGCATGCGAGATAAAGCAAATAGGGAAGACTCGTTTTGGTTTAGAGCTACTTTTGATATGGAACGTACTAGGCCGGATTGTGTTGAGAACAATTCCCGCGTCTAGTGAGACCTGTCGGTTCTGGTCTCGGTGAACATAGACAACCTATATGACGCCCTCGTTTGCTCTGGTATCTGCAGCCTGTAACCACAAGAGAGAGACGCCGTGACCATGTGGTGAGCCCGAGAAACCGATGTGACTCTACTCCTCATCTTCATCCTTGTAATGGATGCCCTTGGCCAATTCACATGGATCAAGGGCGTAGCTAATGCTACAGTGCTCCCAGTCCTCGTTATCCATAAGCTCGCGCTTAAAGTTAAGAGCGTGGTAGATATTGGAGAAGCGGAACTCAACATACGGATGCTAGGTTGACTGTATTAGCATTATTCAAGTATGATGGGCGACATCACTTACACCACGAGCAGTCTTTCCGCTCTTGATGCGGTCGACATCACGTTTGTTGACGCTCTTGCCCCGGGCGAGCTTCATGAGTGCCATGTCGCTATACTTGTCGGCACCAATAGCTCGCACACAGCGCGATGCATCGCCGTCGATGCAGTTACGAATGACATCGTTGATAGAGTTTGGACCCTCGGCCTTCTCGACGAACACGACCGTCTTCTTGATATCGCCAACGACCTCGATACCATTCGCAGTGGCCTTGTGGTACTTCTCACACGCCTCGGGTGTAAGGAACTTGACGAGAGCATTGGAAGAGCCCGATTCTGGCACAGAAATGGACTCAAGCTTGCCACCCCACACCAGAGCTTGCAGTTGGTTGATGCTGGTGGTGCCTGCAACTCCTTTCAGGATGCAAGTGCGATGAGCAGCCACTATAGTTTGTCAGTTTTAGTCCCTTTATTCGGGAAGAGACAGACCTACGATTCTCGCGCTTCTCCTGGGTCGGCCATCCTTTCATGTTGTTAACCGGGGTCTTAGAGACAGGCTTGCTGTTCTCAGCACTCGATGCAACAGGAGGTGTTGCCATAGGGGGCGCTTTGATAGCCCCAGCGATAGATGATTCTGCCTCAGGAAGGACGTTGCGCATGGTTGCGACAATACCAGATACTTCGGCGAGTGTCTCTAGGGATACGTAACCCTCTTCTACAAGTTTAGCACACAGCCTGAGAAAATCTCCATCCGCATCCTTGAGCGTCTGTTTGATGGAGTCCGGTGTACGTGGCTGCTCTGGGCGCTTCTTTAATATCTTATTGATGTCGTTGGCGACAGCGAAGGCTAGACGTGCCTTGATGAGATCGTTCTTTTCGACATCCATCTTGACCTCTGGTGTATACGAGCTGCGCAGTTTTCTCGACATGGCCTTGATAAGACTGGCCGCGTTCTCATTGCTATCTGGTAGAGTCTGAATGTACTCACTGGCCTTGCGCATGTACGCACTCTCCAGCTCCTCTTGTGTCATTACCGTAAGCTTGTCGCCATCAGTCTTCTTGTTGTCCGCCTTCTCGGCTTCTGCCTGCTCAGCCTCTGCATTATCAGTCTTGATCTTGTCCGCCTTAGCTTCCCCAAGTCGATCGCGGAATGAAAACTTGGCTTGATCGGGCCTTGATGAGGTACTGCCTACGGGAGTACGGGGGGCAAGGACAGTCTTGCTGTTCAGGTGAGCATAGAGTGCGTCCATGGCAGACTCTTCGAAGGCATCGCTCTTGAACTTGACGTCCTCCCTCTGTAACAGAGCCGCCTTTGGAGTAATCGTAGTCGTAGAAGATGCCAGGTTCCCTTTCTGGGCTGAAGCTGCCTTTGGTTCAGGAATGGCTCTAGCATTCGTTTGTCTATATGCATACACATTAGTGAAGTTCGGACAAGTGCTTACTAGTCCGTACCCTTCAGTGGCCTTGGGCTCCGCTTTGACTGAGCCTTGAGCGGGGGAGGATGTCACTGGTTGGGTAGAAGCTGCAGGTCGCGATGGAGCAACAGGTATGGGCCCAGCAGCCCCGACCATCTTGACGGCGTTCTTCTTGAGCTTGATACTTCCCGCATTTGCTGCAGGTTGAACGGCGAGGTTGCTACGTGCATCTCCAGATGCCCAGGTAGGCGGCGCTGCTGAGGGCAAACTCGTGTATCTCGAGCGATCCATAGCTGCGGCCGATGGGGATAGTGGAGGTGAGCTTATATGTCGAACGGCTTCGTTGCGCGCGGGCGACGGAGGCGGCGATAAGAGTGAAAGTGCGGCTGGAATAAGTTCGCACACGAGAGCACCACTGCTGCTCCTATTCAAGTTGGTGTTGACGTTGTAGGTGGAAGTGGGTGTTGCTGGGAAGAAATTAGTCGAGCAAAGCGCATGAGCAGGTAAGAGAAAATGTACGCACCAACAATTCGCCTGTCTACCGCTATATTCGCAATCCCCTCGATGCAGGCGTCAAGGCAGGCTTGGTACAGCTTGTCCTCGCTATTTCGTATACGAGGACGTGGCGGGGGCTTACCAGGCATGGGACTGCGGCATGGGAGTGGGCGAGAGTTAAGGTGACGTCGGACTATCCAGGCCAGGAAAGCAAACAGTCGAGAGCGCATACGTGCTGTTACCATTCTTGGTGTTAGCCTGCGGCCAATGAGATGACAACGGTGATCATGAAAGCGGAAGGAGCATTTGTACTCGGCTTTGCTAAATACAACGACCTCGAGGCGTGGTGAAAGTCAGATTATCAATAGTCCTACCATCTACTGCACGATCGTTCACCATCACCCAGCGTTTCGTTATACGCTTCGCTCTATCGTTAAACAGTACACTGGCAAGGCCTCCTTCTCACACCTGAGAAATCTTGAACCCTCCCGGCAGCAGTTTCTGGTAGACGCCGAATGGATCGTACTTCTTTGCGACCTTCTTCATGAACGCCACCTTATCAGTACCGTAAGCCGACAGCGGATCCTGGTCTTTATCGGCATAGTTGAGGTAGAGATATTCCACCGCTGTACCCTTCACTGTAGCAAACTTCTGGATGCCGTCAGTCAACATTTTGCCCAAACTAATGAATAGTTCATCATCCTTAGCCTCAGACCAAGAAAGGTATGATTGATACATAATGAAGTTCTCGCTGTAGCGCTCCATACCAAGCACGTTGCCGCCCCTGGCTGTACTGTTCGCGGTGTAGCTTGTAGCCCAAACCTGATGTAGGCACGAGACGCGCCACTGGCCAGACGCCTTAGCTTGAAGCTCCGTAATGACGATTTTGTAGAGACGCGCTGTCTCTTGGAGGGTCGCAAGATCAATCTTGAACGAAAGGGTGCGGAATTGGACCCTAGTGGCTTGCATTAGCAACAATCTTACACCAAAGACAGCAGTGAGACTCACCGTTTGGTTGTATCACTGCCAAACTCGGCAGCAACCGCGCTCATTGGTTGGATCTTGGTCGAATCGCTGATGGTGTTGTTGACGGCAAAGAACTCGCTGTAGGCATCTGGGCGAACCACAGGCTTGGTGTAATCGAAGGCAGCTCTTACTACGTCCACAGGACTGGCTGTTGAGTATCCTTGGAACAGGATCAAAGCAGCGTTTGGATCCCTGTTCGGGTTGAGTCCAAAATTGACAAGCGATTTGAAATGTCGATTGACGGTGGACGCAGGCCAGGAAACGATACCCCCCCAAAGATTTTCGTTCTCGAAGGTCTCCATATCGTACCGTGTCACGATGCCAAAGTTGCTGTTACCACCTTTAAGAGCGGTGAAGAGATCAGCATTGGTCTTCTTGTTGGCATTCACAATGCGGCCATCAGCAAGGACGATCTGGAAATTGATCACGTTATCGCATGACAGTCCAACGCGAGGTGCGTAGTGAGATATTCCACCACCCAGCAGAAAGCCGCCGACGCCGACAGTACTTCCTCGGCCTCCAGCTACCATACGTCCTAATGGCTCCAGAGCTGCGTAGACAGAGCCCCATCTCGCAGCTGGCAAAATGCTTGCTACCTTGGAATCAGCATTGTAGGTGGTTCCATTCATGTGCAGCAGATCAATCGTGACTCCATTGTCGACATTGTTGGCTCCAGGAATCGGAGTATGGCCACCAGATCGTACGGCAAACTGACAAGTCTTCAGCAGGCTCGCAGCCGCAAGAACCTTCACAGTCGTAGAGACTTCCTCGGCAGTTGTTGGTTGCACAATACAGTTGGGCGTCAATCTGCTCTTCCCATCGAAGTAAGAAGCAAGACTAGCATTGTATGCATTCTGGCCAGGGTAGGTCACGCGCTTGGCCACAGGACTGAGGGTCAGAACTGTGCACTAGAGAAAGTCAGAACAGCAACACAAGGCGACGTGGAGCTTACACAGTAGCTGGGGGAGAGGGAATCGACCGTAACTTCGATCTCGGTTTCATCTTGAGCGCGCGTTACGCTGAGTAGAGCCGCAGCGAGCAAGGTAAGGCTCAGCCAGAACATGATTTGAGGAGCGTTCGAGTGGAGGGTAACTCTGAGGAAAGTCCTCGAGCACCCTTGTCTTGTTGTGCCACATGCCCGCAGAACAAGTGCTGTAACTTCGGAGATAGCCTCGACATGCGGATGTAGTGGGCCAAGAGCGGGCCTAGTAGCCAAATCCGTACATCGAGGCCGCGGCTTAGATGTAAGAACCGTTAGTTAAGCAAAGCTTCCCGACATACGCGCCTGCCGGGTATAGCACAGGAAAGCAGAAAGTATTTGAGAGATTCTAGAAACAAAATAAGACAATAGCATCACGCCGTTAAAAAGAAAGATAGTACACCTTCGTAGCGAGCTTAACTTTAAAACCTTACAACATTACAACAATAAACTTCTAGATATTTACCCTATGATAGTCAATGTGGAATCTGGCACAGATAGTTCCTGGACGCTTTGGTGATTCCTTCTCGTCTTGCGGCGCACCTAGAGGGCATTGGCAATGCCATACACCTTGACTAAGAAGTGCTTCACTTGAACTAATCCCCAAAATAACGAACTCGTGCAGTGTCTAACAATGCTGAATCAATTGGAATGGAAAGACCAGCGGGCGTACATGAGAAGCCGCAACAGAGGCTTCTAATATGAACATGTTGAGATATCAAGGTAGTAGTGCACATTGCCTGTACAGATGTTGACACAGCAATGAAAGGTAGAGAAATCATGCCAACTATAATGTAACGGAAGATTATGAGATTCGTCATACGTATCTTGTAACCTACACTGATCGGAAACTATGCAACAGATACTTAAATGAAGGGTATCCAAACACGAGTTCGTGCCCTGTACGCCTCGTACTCATCACCAAAAAATCTTATCAAAAACTTTTCTTCATCTATGTTGAGTTAGTTACCATACTGGTAGGATGAGGATGTGGGACTTACGGTAAATACGCTTCATGAAGAAGTACCACAACACGCCGGTAAATCCAAAGAAGCAAACAGTATTGCCAAGCATGACCTGCGTCCCGATACCCCACCAGAAGAAGCCAAAGTATGACGGGTGACGAAAGTAGCGATACACGCCATGAGTCACTAGCTCGTGTCCGTCATTCCTACGCGACTGCACTTGGTGATTGAAGTTGGTGCCCGCCTGCATCATGGCCGTACTGCGAACAGCTTGTCCCACCACAATCATCGTTATGCCCAGCGCGATCAACCACGGCGGGTGGATCGTCGATTGATAACCGGGAAAAAAGTACGACGTTACAAGCGTCTCGATGAAGGCCATCGCATGAGCTTGTCGGTATTGATCGCCGTTTGTGAGGAGGAAAGAGCCGATGTATGCGACAGGGGTGTTGTAGGCGGCGGTCGTGTAGAACTCGAGGAAGTGGAACAGAGACAGCGTGCTGAGGAACAGGAACGGTCGCCATAGATGGCTACCGCTGTATGCAAGCAGACCAGTACCGACAAGGCCAAGAACCAGCGTGCATCCTAAGCAGAAGGCACGCACAGCGATGCCAGAAAGCGAGCGCTTGCCGTGAGGGAAGAACTCGGACGCAATAGCATTCTGGCTTTTGACCTGGATATTCGAGGCTTCTCTGGCGCGCAGCTCCCGGTCAAGCTCTGGGGTCCATTCTCCGTTCTCGCTGGATCGATTCGTAGGCAGGGAGATATCGACACCGGAGGAGAGCGAGCCGTTGGAAGGCATGGCGATGGTAGGCAGGTAGATGTCGATTATGCAGGGACTTGGGTGCCGAAGATAAGACAACAAAGAAGTTCAAGACATAACTTTAAATGGTTATACAAAGGAGTGCACGACTAACACCCAGTCGCGTGGCGTGCGAGGAAGCAGGACAATAGTAAGATGTGAGCGACTATCCCTTTGCCATTGTCTTCGCTGCGCGTCTTTCCAGGTGGACCTCGGGAACAGCCGATAAGATCATCACGCTAGTCTAACCGGGTCCTAGCGTTCCGATGACCAGCATTCGCGACTTCCACACCTTAGACGTGTTGTTTACCTACGTCAGCCTCACGAACGTCACACCAGCCTCAGTATTTTGCAATTCTGTGCTCGAAACATGGACTTATCAGAGAACAAGAAGCGTATGGCTCGTGGCGAACTCTACCATGCCTTCACGCCTGAGCTCACAGCAGAGCGTTCGCGCTGCAAACAAGCTTGCGCACGCTACAACAATGCTGGCGATGCATCAAGGCGAAAATTGACCGAGCTGTTCCGAGAGTATGTGTAACTACTCGATTGCTCGTCAGCAGACTTCCTTCTTATACTCTAACTAGCATCATCCAAGACAAAACCCCTCTTCCGCCTATCCAATCTACAGAAGACGAAGACAGCAAGCTGTTTGAGAACGACCCGTGGGTCGAACCACCGGTTACTATGGACTATGGATATAATGTTCGTTTGGGCGAGAATGTTTTCATCAACTTCAACGCCGTCTTCCTTGACACCTGCCTAACTACCGTTGGTTCTCGTACGCTTGTCGGACCTAACGTTCATTTCTATTCGGCTACTCATCCTCTTGATCCAGCTGTCCGCAATGGCACTAGGGGGCCTGAGTTGGGTAAGGAGATTCACATTGGAGAGGATTGCTGGATTGGTGGCAATGTTTGCATACTACCTGGCGTTGTGATAGGCAGAGGTAGTGTGGTCGGCGCTGGCAGTGTGGTTACGAAGAGCGTGCCGGATTTCACTGTCGTCGCTGGCAACCCAGCTAGATTCGTTCGCAAGATCGAAACTGAAATGGACACTGAACAAAACAATGGAGAATCCGGTGAGCAGAACCATCTGGACCGCTGACTTGCGTATCAGCCGCCCGTGCAACAGGTTACTTGCTCGTCACGAGAAGCAGTTTCATGTCTTCCACTGAGCCTATCAGACTCGCACTCGGACTCCAAGCTGCATTTGGCATGACATTGTAAGAAGAAATAATCACAGTCGCATAAACCTTCCCATACATGTCTGCCGTTTCTGCCACCGATACACCAGACGTTGTTGCAGCATGCTCTAGCGCGTTCTAGCGCGTCTTCCCGCCTCTCGGAGGCACTTTCAAAACGGAGCAGTAATTGAAAGTAGGCTTCCGAATAATCTGCGGAGTTCGCAACACAGACGGCTTTGATGCGATACTAGTCGTCACCTTGACAGGACACTCGCAACTAATAGTTCACATATGAGTTTGCTTCCGCACTTGAACAGATCAATTAAGATTTGGTGTGCAAGCTCAGCTATTTACTCCACCACCATGATCCGCGATCAAGTCGTGAAAGTATGCGACAGCAACTTGGCATCCTGGAGTCAACTTGTGTCGATCTGGAACGAATGTGGGGGCGTTTAGACTAAGACTCAACACAAGATCTGATGATCGCCCGCAAGCTTCGGGCGCCAAGACCGACGAAACCGGTTCCCAGACGCCGCCAAAACAATGACATCGGCTCGCCAAACACCACTGACTAATTCGTCTCCCATGCACGACATGGCAAACCCTGCGAAATGCCCCATTTGTGTTTGGGGCTGCACTTCGGCATCGCCTATTTCGAGGATCTCGACAGTTTGGAGGCGCCATATTCACCTTGTGGCATACTTCGAAACTACCAGATCAAGCTACTTGTGTGCTACTTGACTGAATGCCAAGGGCTTAGGAGCTCTGGAGTTCCATCCCCAGACTATTGCGATGCATAGGCCTGCTCACCATCATGCCTTGACGGCAAGGCTATCCGATGTGGTAACAGAGGTGGTACAAATACCACAGCTCCCAACACCCAGATAGTCTTCATCGGACTGGTTCCTTCACTCACTAAGGCTAATAACTTCTACTCTGCATCTTCAGCATTTCTTACTCTCCTTCATATCTTTACTCATAATCTTATTCCACTCAATAGATCCGATCTCACAGTCAAAATGAAGTACATTCTCATCGCCTCTCTCCTTACCTCCGCGGCTTACGCTGCTCCTTTCGCCCAGGTCCAGGGTGGTAACGGCGTCAACGGCAACACTGCCGCTGCTACGACTGGCCAACAAACAGGAAACCAGGGTGGCCAAACCCAAACTGGCAACCAGCAACAGCAGCAGCAGCAGCAAGGAGCGCAGAACGGCAACCAGCAGCAGCAACAGCAGGGTGCCACCAACAATCCTACCGGTCTTGGTGCTGGTATCCAGAATGGCCAGACACCTACTGCCAACGATCTCGCCACTGCCGTCTCCAACTGGATGGCCGACACTTCAATGGTCTCCAACTTCCTCAACACTGGAGCCAGCATCCAGAACAACGTTCAATTCAAGCAGGCTGCTACTGTTGCCTTCAACGCCGAGGTTGATGAGCTCAACCACAAGGCCATCATCGACGCTGCTAACGGCGCGATGCCCAGCGTCATTGCTGCCAACAGCACCCTCGCTACTGGCGGTTCGTTCCAGGATGTCGTCGACAAGCTTCAGCAGATGTCTGTCCAGGGTATGGCTGCCGCTGGCAACATTGACTTGATCAACCAGAACCGCTGTGTCAACGTCCTCCCCAACATCGACGCCTACATGGCTTCTACTGGATCCACCTCCCAGGCGGTCCGTCCCACCGTCTGCGACCAGACCGGTGTTGCTGGTGGTGTCCAGGGAACTGGTGCTACTCAGCCCGGTGCCCCAGCAGGTAGCCCCGCCGCTGCCTTCGCCGCTGCTCAGGCTCTTGCTCAAGGAACTGGCAACGGTCTGGTTCAGAACACTGGCGCTGCTGGTGCCGCCGCTGGCACTACGGGAACTCAGGGAACTCAGGGAACTCAAGGAACTCAAGGAACTCAAGGAACTCAAGGAACTGCGGGTGCTCAGGGGGCTCAGGGTACTGCAGGAACTGCTACAGGTACCACTGGCACTGCCACCAATGGACAAACTCCTCAACAAGCCGCCGGTATTACACCCACCAACGGCCAAGCACCCCAGGGTACGACTGGTGTCCAAACCCCTCAGCAAGGTGCTCAGGGTACTACCGGACAGCAGACCCCTCAACAGGGACAACAAACTGGCCAACAGCAGGGTCAGCAGACTGGTCAACAGGCTCAACAGGGTCAGCAGACAGCTCAGCAAGGCCAAGCTCAGACTGGCAACCAGCGGGCAGGCAACGGCGCCGCTGCTGGACAACAGACTCAAGGCCAGACCCAAAACGGTGGTAACCAACAGCAACAGGCTGGCAACAGCGCCGCTGCTGGACAACAGTCTCAGGGCCAAACCGCTGGTCAGGCATCTGGCCGCAACGGTGGAAACGGCGGTAACGGTGGCCAGAACAACAACTAAACGCTGCGTCTGAGATTCAATGAAGAGGACGAGTGCAACCGTTTGCAAGGCGAGGGTAATGTGCTGGTCACTAGCCAAGCAGTCGTTTCTGTACATAAAAATCGAGTCGGATGTCTAATGATTGGTGCATGTACTTAGTATAGTATGTAAGGAGAGAGTTATTTGCTGGATTTGTAGATATATAAGGTATTAGCCTGCCGATTATATATTTTGGGTCCAAACGTTGAAAGCATCAGTGATGTCGTGAAGGATGTGTTATGACAAGAGCATCGTAATACACAAACCTTTGTGAGAACATTATTGCCGAATTTTCGCTTGTCGCGAATCCCCAGGGGTTGAACGGCTTCAGGTTCGGCGCGTTTGCAAAGTCTATGATATTCGACATCAAATGTCGATATTTTGTTCTGGTTGGGGCTAGGACAAAACATCATATAGACAGAACAGCAGTGTACATTTCAGTAGCTGAACACCATCATCATGCTGCTTGTAAGCATTCAGATCCTTCATTGTATCGTGCCTCACATTGAAGACGATGATGTAAGTAGAACAGTCAGCTAACGCTGTTCCACCACAACGGCAATAGGCTTATCTGCCTGAGGTTTCAAAACCTCAGGCCCGAACATGTGGATACCTGATCTTTCCGGACAGCGTGTTCCCTGGTGTAACCCAGTGATCTGGATCGTGTCTCGGGGGTAGCTTGGTCAGGGAGGTAGTTGCGGTGGTTGTAGCACAGGTGAAACCATGTACCAAACATCATCTGCTGCAGGGTTGGAAAGCTTGACACGATGCCAAGACTGAAGGGTATGAGACGGTAGAAGTGCGAGGCGCATGTACTGTTCGCGACACATCGACTATGTTTGTTTTTCCAGAGCTCCCCGTCCGCTCATGTTGTCGGGTCGAAAGATGTGGACGTGCGCATCGCCGTCTCTCACCGACTCTGGGGTTCTGACACGTCGGCAAGTCGCGTGACGTACCGACATGGAGAATTGTCCGCTCTTTGCGGCAAGCAATGTGAGGCTGCAGCGGGCCGATGAATACATGTACCTGGCTTGCTAGGTTGGCGCAGTGTGCAGATGCGCTGGCATGGTATGACGCCTCTTCCAAGTAATAGAGAGGCTCGCCAAGTGCATGGTTGTTGCATCGAGTCGCTGACCGCACAAGCTGAGCTAGCTAGACGGCAACCTCATAGCCAGGCAGCTAATGACGACGTCTTTTGACCAACAGTTTGCGACGAACCATGGCTGAGGCCGAGCGCGCTGGCGGAGTACAGGGCGATCTGGAGAAGGAACTGACGTGCTCGGTAAGTCGAGGTTCACGTTTGTGGTGTTGCGGAGTGGGGGTGTCGCATTGACGGGTGCATGTGTGAGAAGGTCAAGCTTCACGAGTTATCGAGAAAGGATGAGCATGTAGAGATAGACGGCTGGATCGCTCCTTCCGAGTCCTTCCAAGGTTCTTGGGGCCCGCTCAGCGACGAGGATGCGCCTGCTAACCCGACCATGTTCAGATCTGTACCGACCTTCTCTACCAGCCGCTCACTCTCCTCGACTGCCTTCACACCTTCTGCGGCGCCTGTCTGAAGGAATGGTTCGCCTTTCAAGCCTCGACCGCCACATCGATACACCCGTATACCTGCCCCTCATGCCGGGCCTCGGTGCGCACCACGCAGCCCAATGCCACTGTCACAACGCTACTTGATATATTTCTAAAGTCGAACCCCCAAAGAGGCAAGAGCGCCGAGGAGAAACAGGCGGACCGCAACAAGTACAAGCCGGGTGACAATGTGCTGCCGAAACTGAGGCGGCGGGATGAGCGCGATGACGCCGACCAGCGCATGCTTGAGGAGGCCCAGCAGCTGAGTCTGAGGGACGTAGGCATACCGAGTAGCAGCAGGACCAGTCTAGAACCACCGAGAGAGCGTAGGAGGAGGGACAGAAGTCGCGATGGGAGCAGGGACTCTCGCAGGGCTCGGGACGAAAGGCGCTCTACTAGCCAGACCGCCCCCGGCGCATCACCATCGAGGGCCGTCATCCCACCCCGGGCCATCGAACACCAGTCGAGTCTGCGCTCTCTTCTGAGTGCTTCCGATCTCGACGCCGAAGACGTCGACGAGGATCTTGTGCGGCAGGTGCTGGAAGAGCTAGTGTCTGAGGGTGTGGATTTGAACCAGATTGGCACTGCACAAGAGGAGGAGATTACCGAGAGGATAGCTGAAGCTGTGCGACGGCGGCAGGCAGAGCGACATGCCGAGAGACACCGCGAGAGGAGGGAAAGGAGAGAGCGTTTGGCAAGAGAGGGCTTGATGAGCTCGTCATCCTCATCGCTACTGCCCCAACCCGTGCGCAGCCCACTCACGCGCGATGAGGAGGCAGCACGCAGGAGAAGGCATGGCCGTTCAGAAAGTGGCGCATCGACCCCCCAGACGGCAGTAGGACCACCCATATCCAGACCTGGTCTCATCGACGCCGCAAATAGAGGCGGGCGAGCACCGCGCCAGCGATCATCCAGCCAGGGAAGCTCTCGATCAGCGAGAAGGGCAGAGCGCCCTACACCCGTGTCAGCCTCTGCGACCTCCCAGAACAACAGCAGTGGCGAGCGCCAGTCGTCCTCGGAACAGGCTCGTCCAAGGCCGCGCCGCCAGTCCGACAATCAGCAAAGGAGTAGGCTCGACGTTCGCGAGCAGTTCCGCATCAGCCTCCACGCCAATACCAGCACACTCAATACAGTCTCAAGTCCCAACTCACCACACAGCCTCGGTTTCGACCTACCGACCAACAACAGCCCGACGAGTTCTCTAGCTACCGTTGGTACTCCAGCTGTCCCCTTGTCTTCCTCTACCCCCGCCGTTACGCCATTCCAGCCTCCTACATCAAGACGTACAACCGATCCCATCAGAGCCGGACTGCCACGGTCCTCCAACAGCAATACTCCTCCCTTAGTATCACCCCCTCCCTTCCCTCGCTCCACCACCGATCCGACCGTAAGCGAACCTCGATCGAGACATGCTTCTGGCTCATCACTAGGTGCTCCCGTTCTGTACACCGAGCCGCACGTAGCATGCCAGCGCTGCGGAAAGAATGACATACAGTACGAGCTTCACTACAATTGTGCACGTTGCGATGATGGGGAGTACAACATATGTCTCCGCTGCTACCGCCTTGGCAGAGGATGCAAGCATTGGTATGGATTCGGCTGGACTGCTTGGCCACGATACGAACGGGAAGCGCCTGAAGGTGGCTATCCGCCCAATCATCAGCATCCCCATATTCTCGTCGGACACCGGTATCGCAGGCCAATGACACCCTTGACTGAATCTACAACACCGCCACATGTACTTATGAGTGAGGATGATCCCAAGCAAAGGGTGGAAGTTGGAGTTTTCTGCGACATTTGTAAGGCGTACGCCAACGCCTGCTACTGGAAGTGCGATTATTGCAACGAAGGCGACTGGGGCTATTGCAACGACTGCGTTAACCAAGGACACCATTGCACACATCCACTTGTTCCTGTCGCTCGCAAGACAAGAGACTCGCAGTCGGTTACCGATACCACTCCATCCGCGCCCTCGACACCACGTCAAGACGGACATCTCGCTCCACCAGATCACGATGCAGTACCCACAACTCCTCCGTTGACGCCCAAATCGGCATCCCTCATGCGTGGGCCTGGTTACTTCACAATCGCAAACTCCATCTTCCGCCCTCTTACCTTCACAACCTTGTGTAACATTTGCAGTTACCCCATCCCGCCATCAAATACAAGGTATCACTGTCTGAAGTGCAATGCTGGAGACTACGATATCTGCATGAGCTGTTATCACAAACTCGTCGTTAGCGGTCGCATTGCCAAGGAAGATGGCGTAAACGGATGGCGCAAGTGTCTCCGCAGTCATCGCATGTACATTGTAGGATTCGAAGACCGCGGTGGCGCACAACGACGCATGGTCGTCCGCGACCTTGTAGGCGGCTACGCACTCAAAGAGGAGGAGGAGATGGCAAGAGTACAGCGTTACCCGCCAGACGGTGGCGTAGGCCTTAGACTACTAGCTAGATGGGGTTACCTGCCTGATGAAGGCGTAGAAGACGAGCTGTCTTTTCCTCGAGGAGCAGAAATTAGGGAAGCAGCTGACATCAACGGTGATTGGTACTGGGGTGTTTACTGCGGTATTGGAAAATTGTTTCCTGCAAATCACATCACAGCTCTATAGACGAGTAGACCTCGAGAATTCAAACCCGCTTTACCAAGATATCTTGTCTTTCTTTCCTTTTGAAGAGTCACCCATGCTACACATCTCACTGCGCAAACTTTCGCTTCAACCACTCCTCCAACCTCGACACCACCTCCGCCGGCTTCTCATACGTCGCCCAATGGGCCGCATCAATCATTTCCGTCTGTTCCAACTGCGGCAACAACCCCTTTTGTATACTCTCATACATGGTTTCGGGTCTACACACCACATCTTGTTTACATCCAATATACAGCGCCGGGACGTTGACTACATCCCTCCCCTCGGGTAACTTGGCATCGACCTCATGCTGCAGATTGCCTGTCATGGCCTTGTACCAGCACACTGGCGCTTCAAACCCATCGCGCTTCATCCGCTCAATGAAGTCCTTCTTGAACGTCTCATCTTGCGCATAAGGTCGGAGGTTGAAAGTAGGTTTTGTTTTCCCAGAAAGGACATCCCGCATGGCATTGGGCGTGCAGAAGAACTCCAACAAGCCGTCTTTGTCATGCATCATGTTGAATGTAGTCTCGAGATCTCGAGACAGGAGTTCTGCGCCGTCGGACGCTGTGAAAAGATACCAGTACGAGAATGCCCGGTAACCGAACACCTTCTCCATGGTAGCATTTACGCTGTCGAGATCGAAGGGTTTGCGACTTGGGGGTGAGTACGGGACGTTCAGGTTTGCCAACCCAACTACACGCTCGGGATGGTAGTTGTACAGGCGGGAGGCGGCTGTGGAACCCCAGTCATGGCCTATGGAGATGCATTTTGATGCTTTTTCTGCGTCGAGGATTTCCATCATGTCGCCTGTCATCTTGGTCCAGACGTAGGCGGATGGGTCTGTGGGCTTGTCCGTTCCGTCATAGCCCAGCATGTCGGGGATGATGATGGGATGGTTTAGAGAGCGCAGAGGGCCGGCAACGTTGGCCCACATGGCGGCATGGTCGGGGTAGCCGTGTTGGAAGAAGAGGGTTGGGAGGGAAGGGGAGCCTGGGGAGGTGTAGTACGTGTACGTGATGCCTCGAGAGGTTTTGAGGGTCTTTTTGGTGAAGGCGTCCATTGTTGGTTGTGATGCGATATATTTACAGTGTATTTTGTTTTGGTGTAGTTGATAGAACAAGTGCGAGAGCTATCCTATGTATATCAATGCCAAGTCTATTTTGTCCTTCTCTCGGAGCCTCCGAAGTTGATCGTTCTACATCACAAGTTGAGGTCATGTCGGCCGAGTATTAGTCTTTGTTGGGTAGCCACTACGAGACAAGCGGAATTTCCGTCATTCATGCGTCCGTAGCGGCGGAGGTGGCGGAGGCGGGTCCATAACTTCAGTGGAGTTGTTCGGCCAAGTTCCTTGAACTTGTCTATGTTGAGGTAGTTGGCCGGATGTGCTATGCAGAGATGCGGCCGCTAGGGGAGAAAGCGGCGGTTTAAGATCATGCATAGTGTAACCTCTAGCATTTCACTCCAACAGAAGCGCTTCGGCCATTTCATCGTCGTGGCTTGATGCTGGTGATGGCTGCTCGTGGAAGCTCCTTTATAAGGTGTTGGTATGTTTCGCGCTCGGTGTGAAAAGACTCCAAAGGTAGAAGAAGCCTTGAGGTTCGTTATTACGCCAGAGGCCACGTAAGTACTGTCTCTAGAACACTCCACCACGAGCGAGCCGAGGTGTCTCGGTTTACGAAGTGACCATCTGAATGTGGAGTTCATCATCCCCATTGCGGACGATCGCGCAAATGGTCTCGAACTGGGGAGACTTCTAGGCGGTACTACTATGGAGCATGGCTAGTTGTACCGTTGATTAACAACCAAAGTCAGTTTCAAAATCATTTACCTAATTCAGTACATACTATACCTCCAACCTGGCGGCATGTGTTGTGTTTAAGTGTGGAGCAATGCACAAATGCGTAGGGCTAAAGGCAAATGGGATTCCAGCCAATGGCGTCATACCGGTACGTAGCCGTCTCAATCGGCTGCACGCTCGCGGCGCACAGCATCTCAACGTCCAAAGGCATTGCAACTCTACCACAACTTCGTCATGGCTGGAACACGAAGGTCTACGCGTCAAACGGTGGCAGCAGCACCGAAATACAACGAGGATGACAATTCATCTGTTGAAGAAGTACAACCCAAGCGCAATGCCAAAAAGACGACGCGTCGCAAGCGCGACCGCGAAGACGAAGACGAAGACATAGCAGAAAACAGCCCTCCACCACCCAAGAAAGCCGCTACAACCAAACCCAAGGCTCCGAAAGCGACCACATCAACAACGAAGCCCAAATCCAATCCAATAGATACATCCACCACCAAACCCAAGACCAACCCTCCACCCGCCCCTTCCTCATCCACAAACCGCGACGCAAACGGCGCCCAAGAAGTCTACTGGCTCCTCAAAGCCGAGCCTCTCCCCCGCTACGAAAACGGCGTAAACGTCGCCTTCTCCATTTCCGACCTGCGCGCCTGCACAGAACCCGAGCCCTGGAGCGGCGTCCGCAACCCCCAAGCACGCAACAACATGCAAGCCATGCGCAAGGGAGATCTGGGCTTCTTCTACCACTCCAATGCGAAGCCCTCTGGCATCGTAGGCATACTGCGCGTTGTCGAAGAAGCCAAGGTCGATGAGACGGCGTTTGACCCCAAGGACCCTTATTATGATAAGAAAAGTGACCAGGAGAATCCAAAGTGGTACTGCGTGGGTGTCGAGTTTGTGAGAGAGTTCGACGAGGTTGTGGATTTGGCGAGGATAAAAGAATATGCGAAGGAGGGGCCGTTGAGGGATATGCAGCTTGTTACGAATTCCAGACTGAGTGTGAGTAGGGTGAGAAAGGAAGAGTGGGAGTTTATAATACGGTTGGTCGATGGGGAGAAGAAGGAGGACAAGGCTGAGAAGGACGATGAACAAGACGTTGAAGAGGAAGCATGATCAGGATGCCGTTTGACTTCAGGTACCCCTTGGAACCTTCTCTTAGCACTGTATAGCCTATATTTCTGGATTTAATACCCTGTACTGGCCAGACTCATCTACATTCCGTCTAACCGGACCGAGTCACCCCTCAATACTGAAGCGCTTGGATGATCTCAGGACTGTTGAAGAACGCGCATCGCTCCTGGAGCTTCTGCTTTGCCATCTCCCGTGTCGCATTCGCCACACCCAGCGCACTGTTACTCGGATGCGTTCCTCCTATCGTCCTGACATACGGACCACCCGGCCGGCTAAACGCCTCGTCCCAGTTCAACAGTGTGGTGGATTGTGGTCCGCTCTCCGCTGGGACTCCCCGACTCACGAATGTACTCCACGACCGACTTGCTCGCATTGCAAGCTCATAGTCGTACTCTGTTGGATCGAAAGGGTAGCCTGATGTGTTGTATACCTGCATGCTATCGAAGATGTACGCAAACTCCGATGTGTGCACGACTCCAAAGCCGGCGATATCGTCAACGTACTCGAGGATGGGATCAAGGATGGTTTGGTTGAAGTTGTAGAAGTAGACTGGAGCTTCATACTTTTTGTCGATCGCAGCACCGAGATGTAGTGATGGGCACACCATGAGAATGTCGCGGAAGATACGGGCTGAGCGGTAAAACTCTGCTGTCAGGTTCACGCTGATTCCGAACTCTTCTACGGAATACATGTTCAGCAACTGAGTCAGCGAGTCCTCGGAAAAGGCTGGAAGGTAACCGCGGACGAAGTCATATGTATCTTGCGCAGTTGCAATAGAAGTGTTGGTGTAGACATTCAAATCGCCTTGCATCCAGCCAGACATGAAGGTAGCATTACCGAAGCGTCCCTCTGCGATAAGCTGACTTGGTGGCGCAGGAAGGAAATCATCGTCCACCTGTGGCAACCAGATATCACCGATGTTATGCGCGATATCGCTAAGGTACGTCGCATTCGAAGCCTCAAAGAGCGTCTCGGTGTCTAATCCGCGTAGACAGTCAATCGTCTCAGGAGCATCCACATCGGTAGTGTTGCATCCCACGTAGTCGACCAGGGCGATCATAGCATCCTTGGCAAAAGTACCAGTGATACCGGGTTCAAGGGACTGAGACTGGGCGATACCCCGCTGGAACGGAAGTGGCTTCTCCCCACCGTAAGCCATGATCTGCATTCCGATTGCGAGGCCGCCAGAAGACTGGCCGGCGATCGTAATCCTCTCCGGATCCCCGCCAAAAGCAGCGATGTTGGTGCGGACCCACTCGATAGCAGCGCGCTGGTCACGCAGGCCAGCATTCATGCTTCCTTCCTCTTTGAGCGAGTCGGAGTTGGCGAATCCAAAGAATCCAAGACGGTAGTTCATGGCCACATGTATGATTGGGTCGCCGTTCTCCACGGACTGCTTAATCATCCCGTCAGGCGCAGTTGTCGGCTCCGTATTACTCGCCCACCAGAAAGATCCTCCATGAATCCATACCAAAACCGGCAGCGGTCCCTTTCCTTGTCTGTCCTCTGCTTTGGGTCTCGCTACGTTCAGGTTCAGACAGTCCTCGGATGTCTCAGTGATGTTGCCTAGTCCAAGAGGTGGGTAGAGTACGCCTAGTGGTTGAGGACAAGCGGGGCCAGGTTTGGTCGCATCGATAGTTGTGCCTGGAGTGTACTTGTAAGGAACCGGAGGCTTGAACCTGTTCTCGCCGCTGGTGTCGTGAGCATATGGGATGCCCAGGAAGAGTTCAATGTCGTTGCGTCCAATGCCTAGGATGTTGATAGGATCTTCCGCGTCACCGAGCTGAACACCTGCCGTGGTGGTGACAGCGGCGACGAAGCAGGACAGGGTAGGAAGGCGCATCTTGATCCCAATTGCTCTTGATCCAGTGCTGAAACACGCAAGGAGGCGACTATGAAGTACAAAACTCCTACGATAGGTAATTGGCGAGGTTGTTATGGTTGTGCAGAGATGAGATACAGTTGCTTTAGGCACACAGATATCACGTTCCTCCGTGCTAGCCTGCAAGTGGCAGGTGCACGGTTGTGACGTGATAGACGGGAGCAGGTGCTAGGGCGGCATTAGACGGCAGTAGCGTGAGCTCATACGCATTCATGATGCCAACCACCGTCGTCCAAATTCTGGTTTGATCGAAAACTACGCCAAACAGGAAATCCAACGCGAGACATGCATAAGCAACCTTGCGCTGACACACCACGTGTAGATAACGTGCGTTCAAGGTTGTTTGCTCGGCCCGTATAACATCAACAACAATGTACCGACGCTACTACCCGAGCGAAGCATTCTACAATCGCGCTTGTGTACCCCGCAAATCCCTGGTTACCTCCTCAAACCTCTCATAGCAGTCCCTTTCTGCATCAAAGTTCAGCAACCAAGCCTCGCGTGCTAGATGAATGGATTCTGGCTTCTTCGCTATCTCATCCCAGTTGGCCTTGTGCCATCGCTCGCGCGTCTTCACTCCCGTGGCCTGCGCTTTGTGCACTCTCTCGTAACGGATCTTCTCGAATGCTCGTACAGCTAAGGAAATGCTTTTCTTGCCAGCGAGTTCGAGACACGCGGCGAGCACAACACCGTCTTCAATGGATTGACTGGCTCCCTGGATGGATGTTGGGAGAAATGGATGCGCTGCATCTCCAATCAACGCGATACGCTGTTTTGGCGAGATGAAGGTTGGCAGCGGATCACGAAAGACGAGCTTGTGATCGATGAGACGTGCGCCTTTTGGTGTCGACCTCACAATCTCTTGTACGATTGGCGCCCATCCCTCCACGTACTTCAGGCAATCCTCCACTCTCCCCGGAAATTGCCAGCTCTCCTCGATATTCCCGTCATCCACGTGGGTAAACACCCAATTAAATTCTTTCCCGTCCTTGAGCGACGAAACCAGGAAGTGCAGGTCCGGGCCAATGAACCCAGAGTGACTGTCGCCCTCTACAAGATGTTTCAGCATGGGGTTGTCTTTGATAGCATCTCCAGAGAACCATGAGCGATATACGGCGTACCCCGAACTCTTCGGTTTATCATCGAAACCAAGCACGATCTTACGTCCGCGCGAGCGCACTCCCTCGGCTGCGATGACTACATCGGTGACCATTTCTTCTCCATTGACAATCACACCGGCTCTTTCTTCGTCCTCGAAGTAATCAGTTACGCGCTGACCCCACCTGATTTCCACTCCCCGATCCACCGCATGCTGATGGATGATACTGTATAGTTCCCCTCTATGCCCATTAATCCTTGGCCCCCACTTCTTCTCGACCTCAAAGTTCTGTCTCGTGACAAACTCCCCTTTCCAGTGGTACAGATCTAACCATGTTGTTTTCCGTGCGACTCCTTTCATGGCCTCGATAACGCCGGGCCAACGCTCAAAGTTACGCGCACCATTTGGGTCGAACGAGATGATGTCACCGAATCGCGTTATCTCCTCTACGTCTGCTGCTTTCTCAAGAAGGATGACTGAGTGACCTTTTCGGTCGCATTCTATCGCTGCTGCAACGCCCGCAAACCCTGCACCTACTATGATGACGCTGATGCCGGACGAGGGACGACGGGGAAAGTGCGCCATGGTGGAGTGAAGAATATGGTCAGTTGTACAGGATGCAAGGAGCAGGTACGTAAAGAAACTATGCCTTTTTATGGCAAGTATATTGATCTTCCTTCTTCCGCATTTATAGTGTGGGGTCGGCTTACATGTACGCCACAAGGATGGCCCCACATGCAGGCTAATTGAAAGGATAGTGGTAGCCGAGAGCTACTTGTCTGCGCCGGTAACACTCTGTTATACCACTTCCTTCCATGTACCAACCAGTGCCATTTGCAAGTCTTGGACGCATGATGACAATCTTACACCTGTCTCTTACGCGAACCTTTGCTTGCAGTACGCAGAAGGACTAGCTTTTGTTTGCTAACATTCTCCTCTTCCTCAATGTTCTTCACGAATCCCTTCGCCTTCTACTCCGAATTTTCCTTTTAAGATGCTGCGTCGCATCCTCAGGCATTACCGCCGGAATCTCATCTTCGCCCTCACTCTCCGATGTCGAACACTGCTCAACATGCCTTCCCCTCGGCACGTCCAACTTAACAACTCCGTTCCACACATCGCTTTTATTTGGCAACACACCTACCTTGTCCAAAGTCTCAAATCTTTCGTCTTCCCATTTCCTCTTGCAAAGTTCGACAAGTACGCCTGTGAAACCTGGTTCCCTAGGCACGACGATACCGTCGAAGTAGTAGAGGTTCTCGGCTGCGGCAAGAAGGAGGCAGTAGCGTACTAAGCAGATGAGTTCTGTTTCATTGCGGACGTGGGTGAAGGGTGGGAGGAAGGCGATGTTTTGTTTTTTCACAGCCCATGTATCTTCTACTTCCAGTCCAGGTAGATCCGGTACGTGCTGTTCGTCGTCGTTGTAGGCTACGAGTTCAATATGGTAGACCGGTACTGGGTTTTCCGTGTTGGGCTCCTGTGCATTCGTGTGGTATGCCCATAGCTCCAACTTTCGATCGATCTTGAGGTTGTTCTTCTTTGCTTTCACAACCGCGTTGTAGGTGCCAACTCGTACCACGATAGGCAAGTATTCGCCAACTTCAGTCGTCTCATCATATTTGATGTCCTCATAACTGGGCAGGAAGCGCATATACTGCGCGCCGATTGCCAAGTGGAGGTTTTGGAGGTTAGTGTATGCGGCAGCCTTGGCGGTCGCATTGAGCTCTGACAAGTGAGCCCGGAGTCCTTCACCACCTTTCAATATGACAGGGATGCGCTTCTCTGGGAGACTGGCGAGTACAGAGTCTTCTTTTGCTGCTTGAGCAGGTGCTTTGCGTGCTTGTGGATGTTGAAGGTGGTCTCTAGGCACGTAGTCGCTGTCCGAACCCCCAGGCAAAGAGAAATGCGATGTTGTGTTGCTGTTGATATCGTCTTCGAACATGGTGACTGGTGTAGTCGCCAGGGATAGCTATGCTGGCTAGTCTAGTAGCTTGTTCTCCGCGCTGAAATGATTGAATCCAAATTTCCGTGAGGCGGCGATGCGGCTGGTGCGAGGTTGTAGTTGGCAAGCAGTCACGAGTGGCATGGCAAAGTAGGCTCGAAGGGTCTCGACGTTCATCACTGAGTTCTTTATCATTCACCATTCCCGTTCTCCAGCCCATTCCAGAAGTTCGCGATGAATCCAGCAACTTCAGGTACCTGCTCTCTTACTACGCCATGTCCGGCTTGCGGAACAACGAAAACATCCTTAAAACCATATCCTCTTAGCTGCTCCTCCGTACACAAGTCATCGTTTTCACCTAGAACCACCAACGAAGGTATACCAGTCCGCACCGCCTTCCCAAAATTATCATGGTTACACATCGCACCACCATCTCTAAACATTGCAACAACAGAAGCCGTATGCCCAGGATGCTCACGCATTTGCCACTCTTTCACCGCTTGAGCAACAACCTCGCTCTGTGCAACCCTTTTTTGCCAATCGCCCGGTACTATCAACTCCCCACCTTCAAGGAATCGTAAAACGAGCTTTCGCACCTCGTCCTCGTCAACACCGTACATGAGGTTGTGTTGGTCCTCTACCGGGAAAGCCTCCATGCGAATAAGCCCTGCTGGAGCAACGAGCGTGAAACTGCTGACACGAGAGGGCCTTGATGCAGTATATCCAACAGTTAGTGAGCCGCCGAAGGAGAAGCCGATGAGATGTGCGGAAGGCCATTGTAGATGATCAAGCAGCGAGTCGAATAATCCGTGGAAAATTGCGGCCTCGTGTGGGATGACCGGTGTGTCACTCAATCCGTGTCCCCAAAGATCTATCAGCACAAAATGTGCGTGTGGGAACGAATTCTGCAGGGCACGGGCTAGGGGCAGCATTCCTATTGCTGGGGTTTGTACGCCATGGATCAGGAGTACGCGATCGGGTGTTTGTGCATTATCTATAGTTGCCGAAGGTGGCATCGAGTAGTATGCAGCTTTCCCATTTTCCGTTTGGAGGTATTGCGCTGGTGGAAGCAGGGCGCCGAAGGTGGATGTGAAAAATGACTCTGAGGGGCCTGGAATAGGCGATTGTAGAGAAAATGCTGTGCCAGGCCGTGGAAGCACGAGATTGCTGGTAGTATTAGACATGGTGCTGTAATGATTGGGATGGTAAATGAGACATGATGCTGCGCCTGCTACGATTCTTATAGTGCCGCTTACTGTGCTGATAAGGATGTCAGTGAAAGGGCGCCGTTAGCGCATGTACATGACTCGCATGAACGCTACCGTGTCTGTGCGCAAGATAATTATGTTTGAGTGATAATTGTCAGGCCTGGATGACGATATATACTATCCTGCACCATGATTAGTAGTTTACTGATACACAGAGAAACAAGTCTTGCGTGCTAAGTATAAACCGGGGATAGATCGGGTAGAGCACTGTCTCTAAAGACGAATTAGACAAGTTGCATCAGCGAACCAACAATGCAATGAATCGTTTTCATTCAAACACCAGCACCTCACTAACCCTGCTTTCGTAAGGTTTCGAGACGAGTGGAAGTATTGATAGAATAATATTAACGGCTAGTAGTAGAACATGTACATTTTTAAGTATTATAACAATATATCATCTTTACCACAGATGTTCATCGCCAAACAACTCTCTAGACGTTGTTTTAAGCAGAGTACTCGCAAGCCTCCGGGTTCTCCTCCTTAACAGCCCTAGCATTCAGACCAACACATCCCTCGCTACCAGCAGGTTTGTCGGAGCCGTCGAGCCAAACTTTCCAACCGTCCAAGCTGTTAGCAAGGGGGCAAGCCTGGAACGCCGTCTCCTTGCCATTGCGGTCGTAAAAGACAAGATCGCTGCTTGGGGTAATCCTGAAGGGACCGCGCTCCTGCTTCGGGCCAATAGTCGACTCGATACCAGTCGTGTATTGTATCTGGCCTTGGCCCATGCCGGAGCGGTCGACGAAGATTTGCTGCAATGCGAAGTTGTCGGGCGTGTCGCCGGTGTAGAGGAAGAGATTGCCTACGCCGTTGAGGATGAAAGAGGCGTGGTCTCTTGGCAAGCGCGTGGTGCAGTTTGCGCCCTGTGATTCCGCGTTGATGAGTAGGTTGCCAGATTTGGCTTGGAATGCGCCGCACTCGATTTCGTTCGAGACCTTGGGGAGCGCCACGAGCTTGAAGATGTCTCCGGTTTTAGCAGCTTCAGCGATGCTGGGGAGGTTGCAGTCCTTTGCGGATGCGAGGGCCATCATGACGGCGGCGATGGTGGTGGTGGTGTACTTCATCTTGAGGTGTGTAGTTGGTAGGTGGATTAGAAGTGAAGGTTGGATATTGCAGTAGATTGTGTTGATGAGTTGGTAAAACAATTCTAGAGGTAAGGCATCCCACTTCTTATATGTCTTCCAGTCTCGTATACGAGCCCATTGTAAACCCATCAACCCATGAGGTTGGTCCCTTTCGGCGCCGATATCCGCTGCAACTCCGCAGCATTGTGAGCTCATATGGCCGAGAATACGAGGCTTCGTAACCCCAGCAAAGGTGGATCCCGCCACACCCGGCGCAGGATTACCCGTAAACACGAGTCATGAGCCTTACGGGTATAAACAATTGCCGTGGAGATGAATTTTCACTGTTGGAAGCTGCAGAGTGATCAGGACCGAAATAGTCATAATCGAAGAGGAGAATGACGTTAGTTGGCAAGTTCTGGAGTCTACGTGCTCAAGGAAATGCGTACTTGTGGACATGATCGCAAGGTGCCGGCTGCTAATCGGGGAATAAGGTTACGATCGTCAACACACGGATCGGAACATGAACATCCCTGGCGGATAGAAATAGGAAGTGGGGTTACCATTGCTGCCGACATCACGGTGTAGAACAATAATACGTAGGTCGGTGTGCTGTCCACCGTTCATTGTGCGAAGATGTAGCGGTCAAATGTTACCTGCCTGCCATAAAAGAAGTGAGCATAGACAGGCTCAGTCTTCATATCGCCGGATCGCGCAGCTAGAGACTGAGCAGGTGTGTAGTTGACGACGCTGTGGCAAAAAGGTTGATAAAGTTGATGTTGCGGTCAGCACTGCTGTCAGGCCTGGTTGACGATATATACTATCCTGCACCATGATCAGTAGTTCACTAATCATACGTACCCTTTTGGTTGCATGGCGTAGTAGTGCAGGGCTGCGTCTTGACAACTGCCTCCACTTTCGATGTCTACCGTGTCAGTGCACCCAACGCTCGGAGTCCACCAACGCCCGGAGCACAACGGCCGCATTAAACTTCAACGTGTAATAACTCCACAGCCATGCCGGGAATTTCAGATGCACTTGCGGACGTTCATAATTTAAAGTCAGGCGATGATTTATATATGCACATACTGCAGAAAACCATGATGTTGATTGTTCTACTCTGTCACGTGCGCACCAAGGTGTGCAGGTCCCCTGACGCGTCGCCAACGAAAACCAACGCAAACTCACCAACTAACAAGAATCAGGTCTAGTTAACTATGGAGAGAATTTAAGCGCGCCTCGCTTACCATCTGTAAGAAGCATAGTGCAGAACTTCGCATCTGCAGTTGCCTTAACTCCTTGCTCCGAGAGCTAGGACCAGCTCACCTCTTAATGAACGACGGACATGGACCCCAATCGCCACGACGCTGAATTAGAGTACAAGTATAAGCTTTACTTTGACCCCCTGCAGCAGAAAATCACTAAGTACAACCTTAAGCCTGAACATAAACAATATGGATGAGGAGGCCTTCGCGATTGGAGTGCTAGGTAATTCAAAGCGTGTATTCAGCAGGTGTGAATATAAGAAGGGAGTTAGGAAGTCTCGTAAAGATAGCTCACGTGAGTGGGTGAGGCTCCTGCAAACTTCCTTCTACCACAGCAGCTCAACCTTCCCAAAGCTCGAGTCGTCAGCCATTCCCGATCCCTCCAACAGATCCACCACTGAACACCCCCTTTCATATCTGCGCCACAGCCAGACTTGATCCCCACGTACAAAAGTGCACATAAACCTTCTTTACACGATTAAGAAGTCCTCTACTATCCATCACACATTCAATGGTTCAGACAAAAGCATACGAGTCAACTCTAGAAGCCACTACCAACCCGGCATCGCTCCCCCGAAGCCTTCCTTCGCAAGCTGCCATGGCCGGCAAGAAACTACCCGCTCTAACGATATCATGTCGCAAAATGACAAGCGCGCCGAGATCAAGGATACACCTGCTATCAACGAGGAAGAGGGAGCTTTTGCACCTCAGCCTCATGTACCTAACAAAATCAGAGTCATTTCCCCAGTTGAGGTATCGGAAAAGGCAAAGAAGGGCATCATACCCATTGCCGCGACCACAAAGAAGGAACACGAGGATGATATCAACTGGTCCGACGATGACCCTGAGATCGTAAATGGAACCAACACTGAGAATGAAGCCGTATCTGAGGGCTATATGAACATCATCACCGGTGACGAAGCTGACACTACGCTGATTGGTAGTGAAGACGATGCCGAACATGTTGAGACCAAAAGGATCGACGACAAGGATGAACCGGTTGACATCAAGTACACCGACGAGACTGCAAAGCCTATTTCAAAGTCTAGCAATAATGATATGCTCAGAAGAAGGAGTTTGTGGAGAAAGACGACACTGCTACCAAAGAGAAAGCTAAAGAAAATGCAGCTAATAAGCAGAAGACCGAAGAAACAGAGGCGACCAAGCACCAAGAAAGCAACGATGAGTACTCCGCTGAGCGCAGAAACATTGTCTTCAAAGCAGTCGACACCACTCTCCAATATCCAGACGTTGCGATGTGGGTTGGTGTAGGTGTGAGTGTGGTTGTGGTTGGCGCAATGGAACCCGTCAGGTAACGGTTGATGGTGTCACAGTTGAAGTCGTGGTCAAGCTACTGGAAGTAAAGTTTGACGCGCCAGCTACCGAAGATAGCAAGGAGGGTGAAGAGGATATATATTTCGATGATGGGGCTGGGGATACCATTCTCCTAACTACTGAGGCGCCCTAAAAGCTCACGGTCGACACCGCCGTTGCGTCCAAGTGTGCTTTCCTGCACATGCATGATGAGCCGCCTAGGAAAGCTGACGAGACCTTGAAGTTCCAGGTTCCCGATCTGCCAGTAGTTCGCGAGCCTCCTGCGGCAGTTATCTCAGAGCGTGCTGCTGCCAATCGTGCATCTCGTGAAGCATCCGCGGCTAGTGCACCACCACTAAACGATCCTACAGGTCCAAAGAGCAACAAGCGTAGTCGTGGTGGCGAGGACGCAGACGCAGGCGTCTAGGCTTAACGTCCTCGCCAAAACTTCCAGACGCCCACGTACTTTCGCCAGCAGAGATTGTAGCCACAGCAATGGCGGGCGACACCGGGCTTCGCTCCTCAACCAGTTCAGTTCATTTTTCCGCCAGGCGGGTACCACTCCCCACAAGGCCGGTACATCACTGCCCAAGTCACATATTACCCTCAGTAAGCCTCCATAACTTTGTTTATGCTTTCAATCAGCAGTACAGTCATGATCGTGGACGTCGTAATGGTTGGACGCGCGGCGGCGGTGGTGGTGGTGGTGGTGGTGGACAGGGGAGCGGCAATGCACGCCAGAACATCCGCCATCAGAACGGCGGTGGCGGCGGTGATACGGGTGAAGACAATGGCATTAGGGCTAGAGGTACCGCTGAAGGTGCAAATGACAGCGGAATTAAGGCCGGGGGGTCTGCTGAGAAAGCGTAAAGGGGGCCGCGATACTCAGACCCAGTGTGTCGCTGGCTGCCCTTGGGATAACAGGTTGGGCTTCAGTGGACCGATGCGTGCTCACCCCATGAACTCATATTTTCATAGAGCACATCAGGCACGCTCGGCGAGTTAGAGACCTCCATAGTACCGAGTGCGACCGCTTTACGAACTCATAGCTTCGTGGAGCACATCGGGCATGGCGTGGTTAAAAAGGAAACCCGGTTGACAAATAGAAAGTAGAAAATAGAAAAAACCTGAGAATCGACCAATCCCGCAAAACTCATACCAACCATGATTTATCGTATTCTGTCTAATTTCACTCTGTTGATCCTGATGTTATCGTTCACTCGGTCTGGCTGCGACGCCCCCATCGTACATATTTGCGCATTCTGGGCTTCAGCTTCATGTTCCAAGTCGCGAAACCGTCTTCTGATGTCTTCCAAACTCACTAGCCGAACATCTGTGCTATTTCCACTCGAGCTTGGCTGAACGGGCGCATTTTCAGTATTTCGGCTGTGTCCAAGCACATGTTGTCGACGGTACGCGGGCTGACGAAGTCGAAGAGAGCATACGGTGCGACAGCATGGACAAGTATTCTCCTCCAACTCCATGTCTTGCTTGTCAAACCACGCTCCTAGACACGTGCGGTGGAAGATATGTTCACACTGCGTTTGGACAATGCTTCCGAACGCGCTTCCGATGTTGGTGTTCCAGGGTTCGAAACAGATTGGGCAAGCGTCCTGATCTGGTGGGGCGAGCACTACGGCATGCGTTACGACGTCGATGTTTCGTTCTGCTGAGGCCGTGGCGTGAGTTTCGGGCGACATGATGTCATGAAAGAAAAACAACAAAAATATGGACTGGTCTAGGTGATAGATGTAGAGGTACTTGAGAGCGAGTTTAATGGAAGTTTGCTTGCACAGCCTGGGATAAGGCGGCAACGCTTGGCAAAAGTGGAGAAAGCGCACTACGCGCACAGACATGGTACAGTATAGGCCGAAAGCGAAGGCTGCGTCGTTCTCCTAAGGGAGTCGTTTTGAAGATCAAGAATATTGTGGTTCTACTTCTTACTTTGGCCAACCTTAGCAGCATACTCCAAACCCTCAACAACCTCCTGAGGTTGGCTGAGAAAAGGCGAGTGTGACCCGACTGACTTGAAGGTCGGCGCATCCGCACCTAGCATTTGCGCCATCTGCTGCTGAATAGCTAGCGGAAGCGCTTTGTCCGCCTCACAGAAGAAATACATGGACGGGATCTCATGCCATGGCTCGTAGGTCACCTCATCGGTGAAAATGCGCGCTGATTGGTGCTCGAGTTTCGCAATGGCTGTCTTCTGCGCCTCCTCACTGAGATCGTGGTAGAACACTATCTCGGGCGTAGCGGCGTACCCGTAATTGCCCTGACCCTAGGTTTTAGCTTCGCTTTGCGGAAACCAGGAGGACTTATATGTCTTATGTACGAACATCGAATTGCATCCAAGGCAAGAATTGACCGCCAAGCATCGCCTTGATACTTGCTCCCTTAGGAGCAACGAAAGCAGCGAGGTAAACAAAGATAATGACCCCGCCTTCTTTACCCACTGCTTGCCGCTGCTTGCGGCCCAGGCCAGCGAGGGCATTTTGCCCGACCAAACCCCCGTATGAGTGCACAACAAGGACGATTTCTTTGCCGTCATCAACAAGTCTTTCTAAGGTGGAGCGCAACGCTGCGGCGTCGTCTGCAAGGCCTTTGATAGGAGGCTCCGCTCCTACGGAGGGGTACGCCACAGCTTCAGTTTCCCATCCGCGCTGGTGCAGTTGGTCGCGGGTGATGTCGAAGCAGTCAGGTGTGTGCCAGGCACCCGGAGCGAACACGATGGTAGGCTTGGACATGCTGGTCGTGATACTGGTTTGGAACCGATAGATAACGCAACTGGATTGATATGAGTTGGCGAGACTGAAGGCATGCACAAAAACAGGATGCAATGGTGTTTATCAAATATCGCGGGATACTGCTTCGCGCACGGTTGTGTAGCTTCGGAGGGAATTGCAGGCGACAGTTCCGCACCTATACTAAGGCATGGCTCACCGGCCGTTGGCGTGGGTTTAGTTGCATGTCAGAGCATTGGAGCAGCTAGGGAAATAGTCGCTTATGTCGCTAGACATTTACTACAAGCATAGCGATGACCTTTCTTAGTTAGACGTGCAGGCATTATTTTAGTGGTACGAACAGCTCCATTCGATTCCTGTAGCACTTCCGAAGAGGGCAAGGGACATTATAGACAGAAGGTCGGCCCGAGGCGAGAAAGGCGTTCAAGGGTGTGAAACCGGTTTAGAGAAACTCCGGGCATCCATTTCATTTCCCCTTATGCCTGAGTACTGTCCACCAATACTGAACTTCTGTACTAAATCACCAAGAAGGATTAAGAATGAGAATGGAACCGTCTTTGATGAACACCCTTCGTGCCCGCCATGTAGATACGCTTTTCTGTCTGTGCACGTGTCAACACAAAGATCACTCGAAAACTGGGGACACAATGTAGCGAAGGCGTCGTTCTGGCCGTATATGTCTGTGCCAGGGGGTGGCGCTATTGTGCCAAAATCATCAGGACAGGCCAGCAACAGCAACAATTATCAAAACGCTAGTGAACTGTCGGATGGTGGGAAGATCCTCCTCGCGAATCGCCCCACTATGGTCAAGCCCAGCGATCTTGGTTCATGTGTCGCCAATTTGGCGTTTGTTTTACTCATGTCGATATATTCAGTAAAGGAATCCAATGCATTTCCTGCTTGTAACACGCCATGCCTCAATGTTTGAAGACATGGCTCAACCTCAAATAAACCAGGAAATGTCAGATCCAGGCCCCAAGCTAGGAGGTACGACCACTGCGCTGTTGGTTCTAGCGTTTTTCTTTGTGGTGTTACGCTTCGCCGCGCGCTTTAAGCGTGGCCTGACATACGGAGCAGACGACTGGATGATTGTGGTCTCGCTGGCACGTACCTCCGCATCTCTGACCTCTTCTTCAGACAGCTTACTTTATGCTTGGTGTACAGTTTGTTTGCTTCGCTGCTGGAGGACTCAATTATGCCAGTAAGTTCGATACTTGCTCAGGTCTACTTGTTACTGTAACATCTCTCCAGTGATTCGTTGGGGGTTAGGAAGGCATGCTATCACTCTGCCTCCCGACAACGTCGCCGTAGTGCTAAAGGTAAGCTTATCCCACATACGAAGTTGCGTAGGATGGAACTCTACTAACCTGGATTACCACAGCTCCTCGTTGCCTTTGAGTGCGTCTACTGCACTGGCATAGGGCTGATCAAGCTCTCAATACTCATGATGTACATGCACGTCTTCCCGACGAGAAACTTTCGAATCGGCGCATACATCTTAGGATTTGTGACGATTGGTTGGGTCATCGCCATCAATTGCGTCAGCATCTTCCAGTGCAATCCAATAGAAAAAGCCTGGTTGGGCCCCGCAATCCCCGGCACTTGCATCAATCTCAAGGCCTCATTCATTGGGAACGCCTTGCCCAACATCTTGACAGACATCGCTATCCTATGTATGCCTGTTACCCAGGTGTTGAAGCTTCAAGTATCGAACGCCCAACGCGCATCTCTGATCTTCATGTTCTTGCTCGGAGGATTGTGAGTGACCTTTCAACTCAACTTGGCTGTTTCCGTTACTGACTGCGATTGACAGTGTGCTTTTCGCCAGCATCTACCGCTTTACGACACTTATGCAATTCGATATGGCCGACACAACGGGAACACTGGCAACAGCGTGCACCTGGTGTGTAGTGGAGGTCGCATCTGGTATCATAAGCGCATGCCTGCCCACGCTGCGTCCACTTATGCTCCTCGTTTCGTCGCAATTCAGCAGTACTCGGAACCGGTCTGGCAAGGGGTCGGCTACGGGAGGGTGGTCGCACAAGACAGAGCTCGTTACTATTGGCGGCACAGAGAACAAACGCAACCAGGACTTTACGCGCCTCAAGGACAATTACGAAAACCACAAGGATGGCGTTACTATACATACGCGTGAAGGTCGCGATGACGCGTCGTCGTTAAGTGATGACGATCTACCTCTAGCTAGTGCAACATACCGACAGAACGTAGGGCTTAGCTCGACCTGAGAGTTTTGAGCGAAGCCTTGAGCTTTCATATTAGGTCAGTATATAAGTTTCCAACAATGTTTTAGACGCAATAGGATCTCGAACCATTGAGCTTGGCACCAGCAGTGACGACCGATTTTTGTATCGCCCGCTTGGGTGGTAGCAAATGACCCAGCAGCAAGTAGGAAATTGCTTCTCACCTCGTATAAAATTTCGGTTGGCCGTTGAGAATGAGTCACTCGGGACCCTGTGCGTACACAACATACTCCTACATCATATCCCCCTCTTCCAAGTCGTGTTCCAAGCGTGCCGCAATGTAAACGTATGCTGACATGGCGATAGTAAGCGCTTGATGTTCTAGCTTTGGGCCTGCGCTCTGATACGTCAGATAGATCTTGTACTTTAGCATGCCACAGGGTATAGGATTGGTTCTTGGGTATTGGCGGTTCTCATCAGCATTGTCCACTAGCTTCTTGAGCACCGGATGTGCTGCTAACTGCTTCTTCTCTGACAGCTCCTGCCTCGTCGTCTGCAAGCTCGGCAACATCTCTCAGCGACAAGCAGGCAAATTTGTTCTCCATACCCAAGGCCTCAGAAGCAAAGCGTTTTCCGCCGATCCGGGCAGCCTGAAGACCGGATGAGATCATAGGTCGCGGTAGGCGAAAGGCATCGTTGAGTACGATAATGAAATGATGATGGCGCTTCTTGTACGGCCCTGGCCTCAAACCAGGCTTCCATTCTGCGTCGAGCTTGAACCGCGCAATTGAAGAACTTGCACAACACAATTGGTACAAGCATGCTTTCCGTGTTGTTCGCGATGTCTTTGGCCATAGATACGAGAGCGGACACGCTGATTAGTTATCACTTTCTTCCGCCATCGCCCTTGTTTGCTTTTTTGTCATTGCTACTGTTCTTCCTGACTTTGCTGCTCCTTTTGGCTTTTGTTTTGGTCATTGAAGCAACATCATCGACCTCGCTGGTCTTTCGCCGTAGAAGATGGACCGTTTTAGCTAACCAGCCAGCTACTAATTTCGTGTCGTGTTTGTACCGCATGTAAGCCACGAGGAATATCTGAGTGTTGTGCAGAGTGCTGTCACTCATAGCAAGAACATCCAGCCAGAATTTGTTGTGTGAGATATCAGGTAGGTGAAGTATGGTACTGACGGATACATACCATCTTCGAGAAGACATTTGGGTAGCCCGCACTTGATCGAGTCAAGTTTAGCGTTTCGCAAGGAACGCCAACCTTGGAAACCGCCCGTTCCTCATGGCTGCGACTTAGCTTGTTCGAGAGCTTTATTTGAGTAGCGTTTGCGTTGCGGTAATCATGGATGCCTCGCTAGCTACGTTATCCAATGGAGGTGTTTATTTTTCAATCTGAGTTATGCGAATCAAAATACGTCCATTGCGGAGGTTTCACAAGCCCATACGCAACAAATACCGGCGGCCATGATAAGCATATGCTGCAAGGACTGACGAGAGCGAGCAATCGCGAATCCCGGAGCGTGACGACGCGTTTCCGATTGGCCACTGCCCAATAGACCCTGCACCGAGTTCCCGAGACGATAGTCTTCGCTTCCACTAAGAATTGGATGAACCGCGAAAGCTGGCAGATTGCACTGGTGGTAGCTCGACGGATAAGATTTCTGAAAATCGAGTAGGAAGTGCACTAGATTTGTTCTCTCCAACAATGGAATTACACCGAGTTAGCCTCGGCTCATCGTCCACATCCGACCTACTGCCCGATAGAAACCACAACAGCAGTCTCTGCTTGCGCAATGTGTTCACTTACGCCTCAGAGTGACAACGACTGGACGTCGAGGTTTGGGAGCGAACATGGCTAACCAAAGCAAAGAACGTAGCACGCCAGCAATATCGTCGCAACCTCGGACAATTTACCTTACTGCCTACAACATCCTCTTCGCATCGCTATGGGCATCAGTCTTCGTTCGAGCCATCTCTAGTGCCCAAAATGGTAAATTTGAGCTCTTCAATGCGACAGAACCATATGCGCGATGGATACAAACCGCGTCCTTGGTAGAAGTCTTACATGCGGCTTTCGGTTCGTTCATCACCCCTCCTTCTTATGCATCTTATTGAGAATAATGATAGGTATCATCAAATCTCCAGTCAGCACAACCGCTTTACAAGTCGTCACCCGTGTCATTCAGGTCTGGATGGTGTGGTACAGCTTCCCGCAAAGCACAGCATCTTCACATGCTTACCTTGCCTTGTTGCTTGCTTGGTCGGTGGCAGACACAATTCGTTACCTGTACCTCGCGCTGAATATGCACGGGAAAGCATCCAAAGGCTTGGTGTGGCTTCGGTATGTCTTGCTACAACATTAATGGCTATTGCGAGCATGGCTAACAATCACAGCTACACCATGTTCTATCCGCTCTACCCCATCGGTATCGGAGCTGAGTGGTGGCTACTATACCGGGCTATTGCTCCAGGAGCGAAGCTCAGCCCGGTGATACCACCAATCTTTTACTTCTGCTTGTTGCTCTACATTCCAGGTACGTACTATAGTACAGTAAGTACACGTGTGCAGATCTAACTTCCCTCAGGCTCTTACACAATGTACACGTACATGATCAAGCAAAGAAGGAAGACACTCAATACAGCACGCAAGACTCAGTAAGCGCATGGTTTGCTATGTGTCTAAAATGGATCCAGTAGTAAAAAGTAAAAGAGGTTCTTAAACAGCCCTTCTCTTCGGACGAGCTATTGTATAGCAATGTCCTGGGAGCAATATTTGTCAAGAAAACGCAGTCAATTATCGGAAAGCATGGAAAGACGATCCATCTCAATCCATGTCATATCAGTAATATGAACTCAGATTATATCTTTGGAAGAAGCTGGCGGTATATGTCACAGCGCATTCATACAGCCCTATGACATTCTTGCCTTGCACTACACCCAAGCTGAAACATGTCGTCAATAATTGCAAGAGCGATGCTGCAGGGGTCGCGTTACTCTTAGGCGCGTTACGTCATCGTGCTCCCAACTCGCGGCGTCTTCATTGTTCCTCCACATGTTCATTCGAACTCCCCTTCACCCCGGACGCGACGCAAATTTGTTTAGTAGGCCATGTGTTCTTATCCATTGCCTCTTTCTTTCCCTCGAGCTCATTCATGTGGTGTGACGCGCCCAACGCCACCTGCAGGCTACGATGCCGACTAGCGTGGGGCCTTGTTAGGCAACCCCAAGGCCTCTACAAGATCTCGATGAAACCTTCCTTCTTCCATCTTCAAGATGCGCTCGCACACCTTTTCTCTCATGTAACCATTATTCACTGTTGACCATGAAGCTTCTCGATCTTCCCGTGGACATTATCGACAAGATCATCAGCCAAAGTCTCCCTTCCGGTTTCGAAGCCTTTGCGCTCTGCTGCCACGCCATATACACGCGCGCAGCGCCCAAGATCACACGTCACAATTCACTTAAACGGCGATGGAGGTGCACCACCATCGCTGGCTCAAAAAACCGTAGCGACATCCTTCGTATACTATGTGAGATAGCTTGCGATCCTCTTGTCGGGCGATACATCAAGTCCTTGAGTTTGCGTGGACGCGGAGGAGGCCCAAATGTCGATACCAAAAACGATGAATTCCGATTGAATGAAGGTATTATGGAGTCAATTAAAAATATGGTCCTGAAATCAGAATGCTTTGGAAGCACTGAGGTTGATAGGCAGCTCTGGTGGGAAGACATTTTGAGAGAAGTCGACCTCGATAACGAAGATGGTGACAATCGAGATGGCCTAGGGGCAGTACATACAACCGTATCACTCCTAGGTCAGCTACCAAACTTGCAAACGTTACAGTTGCCGTCTGGATGGTATCGTCGTTGCCGAGCATATACGGTAAAATCGGACGCGGAAAAGAGGGCGGTAACTGTGCTTGACGCCATGGTCAAAGCTGCCAACGACAGTCATGATCAGGATCAGGCACTTGGAAAGTTGAGAATCATTGTGCCGTCCACCGAGCAGGGATATGAGGAACGGGCGCCTTTTCAAGTCTTGGAATGCTTCATGCGGTTAAAGAGTTTGGAAGAGTTGTACAGTACATCTTGTTTAGCTATTGACGACGGCAACACTGGCATACCTTTTCAGTGGCGCATTCCGGAGACGAACTCAAACTTGCGAAGAATCGAATTGGCCTACTGTTGCATGGACGAGGCAGGAATCTCAGTCCTCCTGGCACACACGCCGCATCTCAGCGTTTTCAGATACATGCATGAGTGCAAATGGTACGTAACATCCATGTACAAGCTACATTCGAGACATTTAATGACTCCATCCACCAATGTCCAGGCACGGTTGTGGACATGACTGGAATCCCGGTGCCTTTGTGGAGGCTATAGCTAGGCATTGCGGTCGGACTATCACCGAGCTCACAATTAAGAAACACGCGAATTGGGGCACTATTACCAACGGTGTGTCATCTCTTCGAGCGTTTGCTCAATTACGCATGCTAGAGATTGACCTGCCTTCCTTCTGTGGACCATCCGTGGCAAGTGGCCAAAGGCTGGGTGAAGATTGTGTTCGTCCAGAAGAGGGAGAAAAGCCATGGACGATCCAAGACATTCCATGCTTAGGAGACATGTTACCGGAAAGTATTGAGGGTGTGCAGATCGACAACAACGGTTGGATGAATGAGCGTCCAGAGCCAGAGGAGCCTCTGGAGCCATTACTTCGGGATTTCCCTGAGCAGCGCGCATTGAGACTACAAAACCTGGTTCAACTGACTTTGAGTGGCTTCTGCGACGGCAAAGTGCGAGCGTTGGCCAAAGGAGCGGGAGCGAAAACTATTCTTTCTGATAGGAAGGGAGCATTTTCGAATTGGCCCTGCTTCTCGACGGTGCAGAAGTACTCGGATCTCTTTGATGCAGCTGCTAAAGCATCAAACGACGCAGATACTAGACCTAAGCCTGTTGCAGTCAGGCGTGGACGTCGCACCACATGGGTGTATCCAGATTCGTGAGGAACGAAGTAGCTTCGATCCCTTTCACCAATTCCGTTCTACAGATCATTAGCCTTCAACGTGAAGTGAAGGCATACTCAAAAAATGACTTCTATTAAGGTCCTTCGCGGAGCGTGCTTCATCAACATATCGAGCTTGTCTTCTGGAAGAGACACGAGCGTTTCTGCATATGAACAGTTGCTTTGAGAGATAACTATCAGGTTCCGCGTAAAAGACATGTGGCTCAACATCAAAGGAACAGGTCAATGTTGCTCATGTGTGTAATGCCGGTAACTTCGAATGTTTCAATTGCAGGATGTAGTGGTCAGAAGGAACGAGGAAAAGGTCCAATATACTAATCTTTTTCGTTTTGGACATGCGAGAACACGTCATGAACTAGAACATTTTTGGCAAATATGGGAGATGGTAGTTGTGATAGTCAAGTATGATGCTGAGTGATTTGAGACCTATCATGTCAATGTCAAAATGAAACCTTGGATACTTCTGTGCCACGTTGTGACTTTGAACGACCGCATATGAGACAGCCTTTTTGCATTTCTTTTTAGTGTTTGGCTGAATAGGGTGATGTAAAAGAGAAGAACGAGAGAATTTGGTGTTTATATACCCATTGGCGGGTAAAAGCTGTCGAAAAGAAGGCGAAAAGTGTTGATGGAAATGGAAGAGTGAAACGGTTGGAAGATAGTGTTCATAGAAGCGGATCAAAGAAGACTGTGTCGATGCAGTGACGATGAGGATCAAAATGATGAGCATAATGATATTCTCAGTAGTTAGCATAACGGCCCATAGTAGTGGTAAGAATAGAATACAGAAACATAAGAAGCTCGACTCATTGCAATCACATTAGATGTAGGAAACCTTGACACCCATACCGACGGTGCGCCTCACCTTCTCCCACGCATTTCGTATGATCCGGAGTATTCTCTCTCTGAGGTCCCGTCTCCCAAAGGCCAAGCCAAAAGCCAGTAAGAAAAGTAAGGTACGGAAGAAAGCCATAGGATTAGCAGTCATTTGATGGGCCGTATTGGATATCATGGACTGTATATTTGCAAACATGGTAGATGCTCGGTTGTAGAAGCCGGGTGGTGGTGTGATGGGTTTCTTGGCAGGTGTGCGGGAGGTTCGGGAAGACTGCGATGGCGTGGGTTGGGGAGTTGGTTGAGGTTTGCGGAAGCGCTCGTCTGAGCCGCGGGGCTGCCGTCTGTTCTCTTCTTCGCGTTTCCGACGTTCGTCTTCTGCGCGAGATTGTTCGAGGCGCTTGGCTTCGGTTTCTCTGCGGCGCTCCTCCATCTGCTCCTGTTGTTGCTGACGTAGCTTCTCTTCCCGGGCCTCTGTGTCCTCCTTCTCTTCTTTGAGAGAGTGCAAGGCGAGTAGGAATGCTTCCTTGCGCTCTTCATCGAGCACTTCGGACATGCTGATGAACTCGCGGGCGTAGTCCCATTCCTCGTTTCTTGGCAAAATATGCAGGGTATATAGCTCGAGCAGCTTGATGCGCTTTTCTAGGTCGCGTGGCGTGTCTGTACCGGTATGTTGCCTGCGGTGGCCTGGTCGTTTCTCCGTGTATGCAGGAGAAGACATGTGTGAGGCAACATCGAGGGTTGGGTTGGCGGTCGCGGAGAGGTACGTCTCGAGCTTCTGCTGGTTGAGCCTCTGGGAAGGCGCATGGGTGAGGAGAAGTGTCGCCCTAGATGGAAATGAATACCCAACCCCTCATCAAGTCAGTGGCATGCTTACAAGTTGACCACAACATCGGCGTCGACATCTCCCTCAACCCCGGCATAACCGTCGCGTACCACGTTGTCCCAGATGCTGCCATCGCGGCACTGCGACACCAATTGCTTCCATCTCGTGCTCCCAAAGGCGTGCTTTCCCTCTTCGGCGCCCAGCTCTATTACGGCATTGAGGAAGGTGAGGTAGAAGCTCCACACCTTCACCCTGGTCCCCCGTGACGCGGTTGCGACTGGGGCATGACCCACGAGTTCGCCTTTGTCGCCATTGATCTCATCAACTGGCGGCGGAGTAATGATGGGCTCGATGGTCGATAGCGCTTCCGGCAGACGTCGCGTCAGGAACAGTTGGGCGGCCTGTCGGTAGGCTTTGGCGATCTGCGATGATTGTTGCCGCGATGTTGACAGCGACGAGATGGACGACGAGAGGTAGCGCGACCCGTTGATGTCATCGTACAACGTCGCCATGTTTGCGTATAATGCGACGTTTCCTGGCGATGTTCTTTGAGCTTCAGAAGCCCCTGGCGGTGAGAGACGGAACTCGGTCTTGTTCCTGGCTCTCCGCGTTGTCAACATTTCCAACCTCGGCAGAGCAGCTCACGTCACCCGGAACCGCCTTGGCGCGTCACCTGCCTCCGAGACCCCCAGCCATCTGCACACTGCAATTTCCCGCCTCACCCCCTGCATCACAGCGCAAAGCACGTGAAATCGCTTTCAAGACGCGTACAGTCAGAGTCTGTAGACGCAATTGAGTCGCTTGACAGACGCTTGTTTGCGACAAGCTCTGAGTCAAGAGCTAGACAACGGCATTGTCGCTTGATCCATCGCTACTGACCTCATTACTTACTAGAAACCACACAGCTTGCCACCTGCACTTACTTTTGACAGACATCGCATCATTTAACGACCAACCGGCACAGCTTTGGTACAGCGCCTGCGACTTTTCCCTCTAATCGTCAATAGCATATGAAAACGCGCTTCTCTTGTCGCTATCGTCATTGTCAACATGGAGGTCGACGCAGAAACCTTTCCATACCACTTGCTGGGCATGTTCATCCATATATCAGAGGCCGACTTCGTGTCTTTCGATCTGGAGCTGTCGGGTATCCCTTCGCGGATCCAAGACAAACCTGCACATGGCCCGGGACGCTTCACCATGGAGGAGCGCTATGCCGAGACCAAGATGGGCGCCGATCGCTATCAGATCCTACAGGTAGGCATCACATGCGCCAGGTTCGACTATGTTGCGAACAAGTATGTCTTGAGGCCATACAATATCAACATTAGCCCGCTTTTCGACGAGCGTATGGACTTCGAACGCGAGATACGGTTTCAGAGCGGCGCGTGTACTTTTCTTCTCAACTGCGGCTTCGACATGGGCGCACCATTCGCCAAGGGCGTACAGTACCTATCACGACAAGAGGCGGAGCGGGCGAAACAGATGGCCTGGGATCGATTGGAGAACAAGAACCCGATACCGGACTTGCAGCTCAAGGAGGGGGATGTTGAGTCTCTTGATTTCATGCGTCGGGTGAGGGAAGCCATAAAAAAATGGAAAACTAGCACCTCGTCCTCTTTGGAGGTCACAACTCACACCGGACTTCCCAGCCAGCCAGTGATACCGGTAATAACACGGTTTGAGAAGCGTCTTGTGCACCAGCTCGTTCGCGCCGAGTTCCCAGAGCTAGTCTCGATAGGTCGCAACGAATGTGTTCGTATCGTTGATTTAGACCCTGTACGCGAGGCCGACAATATGCGCAGAATCAAGAACCGCGTCAAAGAATCCATTGTACGACAGACTGGTTTCCGCTGGATCTTCGAAGCTCTAGTCAAGGGTGGCGACATCAATCGCGCAGATCCACTCTATGTTGCTCGGACTACTGGCATGGCCGCCACGGCTGACGTGCATGATATACGAGACCGTTATGATAGAGCCATAGAGAGACTGAAGACCAAGCAGCCGGTGCTCGTTGGCCACAACATGTTCACTGATATTGTGTACTTTTACCGCACGTTTGTGGGCGAGCTACCTGTATGTGAGAAATCAGGTTACCTGGACACTGCGCTAACGCCGTACAGGATACGCTACAAGACTTCCAGGATGCCATCCACGAGTTGTTCCCCAAGATCATCGACACCAAATACCTTGCTACCTATGCTGGAGGCGATCTCAACGCTTCTCCCTCATTACAAGATATCGCTGAGAGTCTAAACAGACAGCCGTTGCCCGAAATCATCACTCATGCCGACCACCCGAAATATCAAGAGACTGAGAAATTCCATGAAGCAGGCTACGACAGTCTCCTAACTGCCACTATTATGATCAAGCTAGCCGCCAAGCTTGGTGCAGAACGAGGAGAAAAGGTCCCAGCACCGTTGGCCGGCCGTCCTCTTACTCTGAACAAAGCAAACGGCGTATTGCAGAGCGAAGACGTTCCGGACTTTGTCAAAGATGGACGCGAGAAGGTTGAGGAACCGGTTCCCTTACCTCCAGTGGAACAGCCCAAATCCAGGAAGACGAAGGGACAAAAGGCGAAAGCCAAGAAGAAGGAAGCGAAGGAGCGCCGATTTGAGACTAAGAACATATTCGACACGCTTAAGACACTGGACCCGGAGACCGAAATGTCATCCACGGAAGAAGATGAAGATGCCAAGCTTCCCGAAAATGGCATATCTGCGAAATGGGACGAACAGACCCAAGAAGTCGTCGGGTCATGGGAGGATGACGTCTATGTTCAGGATGAGACGAGATGGGTACCCTTGGAGCAGATGAAGCGACAGTCGATGGAGCTGATCCCGGCTTTTGATTCGAAGTTCTGGGACGAATTCGGCAACACACTACGAGTGTTTGGCACGGAAGAAGCTGTTCTGAAGATCGCGGACTGGGAGACTTGAACGCCACGCAACATGATATGTAAGCTGATATAGAGGTGGAGTTGACACGAGAGTTTGGGAATATGTACCACCATGGAAAAGCCGGAGTTGCGGCCTAAGCGATGTTAGACGAATAGGTTCATTCTCGCATACGCAGTATACCTCTTTGTTCGCTCTTCGCATTATCATCAGTAGTTAGCATCTCGCTAATTCTATGCACGCTTCATGTCCATCTCCAGCTCCACGCTCCATCATCGAGACCATTACACACTCGAAATTATCACGGATGTTGACCGACTAGCAGTTACTCACCAGCGTGTTATAATCACAAGAGCTGGTGTGTTACTTCGATGACAATAATCAGAAAAGGCTACAGATGACGGATGGTCTACTGCTCCTATTGGTGACATTACAGTGGCTTTAGTCAATAGATCACAATACCCACAATGTCCGCCGGAAAAATATACTACTTCCTCCAATGGCCCAACCTCGAGTTCACCGCCATCACCGACTCACCCATTCTGTACGGCGACACAAACAACGCAATCCTAGCCAAGCGTGTTCGAGCATCCAGAGAAGAGAACTTTGAATACGATGCCTCACGTCTAATCCATCCCAACGAAGCTACGTACGAGTAAAGGAAAACCATCCCGAGAATATAGCCAGTGAGGGTGGTGAGTGGGGTCCGGAGTATATGATCAACGAGGTTTAGCCGTTGTTGGATCACGGGAAGAATAGTCGGTTGGAGTAGAGAAGGCGTAATCTGTGGTTCATCAGTTGGATGAGGAGGGGAACATGGAGAATAGAGCTGGTACATACGAGTAGAGGGTGGATGGATATGTTGGTGGAGTTTCATACTCATATTCACTTCAAATCCCAGGTACAGTTACGTACGGGTATGGGCTAAAGTCGACCAGCACGCTTCTGATCCCTCCAGATCCCATCACAACTAGCTTGCTTCGTCACTGCTTCAACTCATGGGCTTCAACGTACATTCTCGACGAAGTTTAGCGAATGTCTTCTAGTTTGATATTTTACTAACGCATTCGTCAGGCATCTGGCGTAACGCCACGGACCATCGGAGTACACAACGGACCGTCGGGTAAGCCACGCTACGGCAATCCGACACGAGATCGAAGTCACTACAGCAAGTTTAGTCGAAGGCTGTGGCACATCCTCTTTAGGCTTAGCAGTTGCCTCGCACCTGTGCATCAAAACAACTTCACAAAATCCTCCGCGTTGGCGCCAGAAACGGCATTGGCACTCCAGACCGTCCGACCCGTTGCTTTCCCCGGGCGCAGTCACGGACGCAGTCACGGACGCCCTAGAAGAGTGCTGTTTGCCGCAGACGCCCTGAAAGAGTGCTGGTTGCTGCGGAGCTACTACTGCACAGCTACTGCATAGTCCAGCCACATAACCTCTGTTCTGCCTTGGCCTGGAACTGTTCCTTCTCCATTCCTTCCTTGCAGTCGCTTGCTTGGGATGCTGACCACGTGTGCCGGGCTAGTATGGTATCCACTACTGTACATGTACACTTGCTTTCACCCCTCGAGCTGCGTCGAGCACTACCCTCCACAAACGAAACCGGGGGCCCCATGCATCGCTTGCGTCGCCCAGGGTCGTGAGTTAGCGCTTCGCTACTGCGAAGCCATACGCGTCGTGACAGCCACAAGCAAAGGCCCACAATCCCATTTGTGGCTCCTGCGACTCACCCCGGATCCCTGGTTGTCTTCAATTGTGACTTGCAGAAGGCAGCTGTCTGCCTACTTTGGCTTGCAAGAGGTCGTCCGCCCACCTGCCCTCCGCGCACCCTGAGTGGACTCTGACCTGCGGACCATGACGCACAAGCTGCTGTCCGCGACCCCACGGGCCCTGCCATTACTGTGGCCTCTGCACGTTGCTGTCGGAAATTTCGCTCATGAAATCTCCTGGAAGCTGCATTCCAGAGCGGAAGTTTCCAGGCGTGGCATTTGTCCATGTTGCACACAACACGTTGATGATGTAGTGTCCGAATTGACATCTACATTGCGAGCACTAAGCCACCCTCACTAATGTAATTCTCAGCTATCAACTGGCCATCTTATGTCGCGAGAAAGGAACAGCCATTGGTGTAGATAGATGCTCATTGTAGCCGGTCCTGTGAATTGAAGAAATCGAGCTTTCCTCGTCCCCCATCGGCAAAGACGTGGCGTGCCGGCAATACGAGTCGAGAAAGCGTTGAGCGTGAGAATAGTCAGTATCAAGTCACGTCTGTCGCAAGCCCTCGGCTTCATAGCGTGGACGAAGCGCCCCCTGTCGCTGCGGAAATGCTGCAGGCGGTGGGTGTCTTCCCTGTCAACCAGGTCATCAGTCCAAGCCCACGGCCAGGCACTGGCAGACGGTGCGTCTGCATGCCAGGGTAGGAATTCGAAACGCTGCGGTCATGTTAAGGGATGTGCAGGAAGGATGTGGGCGCCCCAGGGCGGGCTGCCCGCATGTTCTCGCAGGGGGAGTCTGCATGTCCCAGGCCGGTTCATCTCCGACCGCTTCGATGGACTTCGCAGGAATTACAAGGTATGTTCGCGGATGTAGTGCACAACAAGCGCCTGTCAGGGACCGGTGTAAGGTCGTGCAAGATCAGATGGAATCGAAACGCGGCACCGTTGTCGCGCCTCAGGTGATTAGGGAAGTAGGCCAAAGCATGGCCGGTACACGACCAGCGTGCGAACCGCACGCATCAGCGAATTTTCAGCCCTATCAAACGTTGATCCATGGCAAAGCGTCCTTGGACGCAAAGTGGCCGGTGTTGCCAAGTTCTATCGCTAAGCTCCGCCACCTGATGATCCTGGCTTACCTTCACCCCCGGCCCGCCAGGTTCGTGCGCAAAAACGCCAGTGTAACGATACGCTAGCGATGCTTCGTGAGGACCCAGAACTCTGGGACCGTGATTGATGATGAGATCTGAGATGAGAAAGCGGTTTCGTTGTAAGAAAGAGTCCTTCAACCCTTAACATTTTTCACTATAAAGCTGGGATGGCTCCTTCTCCACTTTATACTCAGGAGCACTCGAATATTCCTAGCCTCCATCAAGCGACAGAGCCAGACTATGCCTTTCATCATTGATGCTCCGGCCCGGCAGGTCCCGTTTACCTCCACAGCAACACAAGACAATGCCCAAGTGCAGTCTACCGCTGCCGTTGGTGAGGAGGATGTTCGTTCGTAAGCATGGCGCCCCCTCTGCTTCGTAGACTGTGCCTTTCTGACGCGTACTCTAGGACCCTGGCAAACTGCTCCTGTTCCATCGTCTCGAACGGCCAGCTGCAGCACACTTGTACCGCTGCCTCCTACACCCCTCAGGCCGTCGTCGCACCTCGAACGGACCCTGCCGATCGTAACATCGACTTGACGTATATGGGTTCACAGTTCGATGGACACGGAGAGGGATGTTGAAGAGTAGATAGATGTAAACGGATTATCATTTTAGACATGACTCGGAACGTGGCGTTTGGCGCAGGGCGCTCACAAGGTCGGTGTCAGAGCTTAGACATCCCATGGTTGGATAATATAGATGTTCTTCCCAGCATTACTGGCTGGATGGATCCGGAAGGCGTTGGCGTGAAGGCGTTTTTCTTAGAATAGACCCAGAACTTCTTCTTTATCACTTCCTCCCGCTGGTTGTGCTTCTTCATGTATTCGATCAAATGTGTTCAGCGATGCGCAGGGCCAGCCACACCCGTAGTCTCAACAGACTCGACGTTTACGTCAACATCCTTCGTATGGGTGGTAGTCGAAGCAAGTACTTCCCGAGGTTCTTCTTCATCCAGGCCAGCAGTATCGTTTTCTTGCGGTAATGCCTCAAAGTGCGCGTTCTTGACTCTTTTCCTATCGACGCGTCGTCTCCAAGGCTTGTACAACAAAACGCTGAGACCACCGAACACGATGAATGTGCCACATATGGCTCCGCCTACATGCCATTAGTGTCCCGCTCAAGTAAGGGTTGCGCAAACTTACCAACTATATCCCAAGCATCACCAAGCTTTTCGACGCCCTCCCAAAACTTGCCATGTGGCTCGGCAACGTTGAGCACCAAGTTCAAGAACTGCACCGTTCCGATAATAGTCGCAACAATGACAGTAATAACCGTCAGCACAATGCTGTAGTAGCAGATCGCAATGGGATCGCGCGCTAATTGTGTGCTCGTATACAAACTCATCATTAGCGCGCCATCCGTAGTATCGAGAAGGCACATGCCGGCTGTGAAAAGCAGCGGGAAGATCAAGATGAGCCAGATCGATGTTCCTTTCGTGGCTTGGATGGAGCTGATGCCTAGGATAGCGATCTCAGAAGAAGTGTCGAATCCCAGACCAAAGAGCACACCAAGAGGGTACATCTTCCAGGGTCGATCGACCAACTTAAAGAGCTTCTGCAAGATTGGGAAGAGACATCCTCCGCCCTGAATTTTAAACTCGTCGTGTTCGCTGCCAGGATCGCTTGCGATCATCTTTCGCAACTGTACGATGAGTTTATATAGAATATAAATGTTCATGAGACCAAGGAGTAAGAGGAAGGCTGCAGAAACGGAAGTTCCGATGATGCCACCGACGCGCTCAAAATTGCCAAATTTGTCTGAGACAGCAGCTGCAGTACCTGCGACCACAAGCGACGTGATGATGACAATGGTAGAGTGTCCAAGACTGAAGAACATTCCAACAGTCACTGGTCGTTGGCCTGCGGCAATGAGACGACGAGTCATGAGGTCGATAGCCGAGATGTGATCTGCGTCCAGGGCGTGGCGCAATCCCAGGGTATATGAGAGAATTGCTGTCGAGATTAGAGGGGTATGCCAATGCTGTAGCTAATGAGTATATGTGACCAACACGACTTGAATTCCGCTTCTTTACGTACCAAAACGATGCCAACTGCTGCCCAAACAAGAAGATTTACTATGATGAGCGTGATAATAATTGCGATCGCCGGGAACGGAAGCCTTCTGAGATATGGTATCTGCGCATGGTATGTAGATGCTTTGTTTGATGCATTGCGGAAGAATGATGGTTTGCCGTCTGCATCGCTACCCACGACTGATGAGGGGCGGGAGGTCGTCATGCTACCAGATTTTGCCTCTGACAGTAACGCAAAGAGCAGAAAACACGACTTGAAGTCTGCTAGAAAGAAAAAAGAGTCCGAGGGAAAGAAGAAGACGAAGCTTGCAAGAAGAAATATTGGAGATGCGGCTCCTGCCGAAGCACCGTGGGATGTAGATGACGCGAAGTGGGGCTCGAAGCTGTTATCGTGACCCTGGCGGGGTAATTAGCATCATGATGTACTAATGATCGCGTTTTGACGAAGCTTCAGCTTCAAATGTTTGACAATCCGAATTGGTACAATACATGCTAAACTAGAATATTGTCTCAAATCTTGCGAAAGCAAAGAGATGCGTTAGTGCCACCAAAGCCGAAGCTGTTCGAGAGAGCCACATTGACGCTGCGCTGTTGAGCAGCATTAGCAACATAGTTGCAATCAAAGTCATCCGCTGGATCGCCTGGGTTATGAAGGTTGAGAGTCGGAGGTAAGGTGTTCTGGTCATTGTCAATAGTTGTACCATGTGAAAGAGCACGCCTAACTTACATGATGCATCCCAAGTACTGTGAATATGGTCTCAACGCTGCCTGCGGCACCCAATAGATGTCCAATCGCCCCCTTGGTACTGCTGATGTTGATTTCAGAAGCTGTATTTTTTCCGTCTTCGCCTAACAGCAGTTCTTTGATGGCTCGATTCTCCGCAGCATCACCCAGTGGGGTGCTTGTAGCATGGGCGTTAACATAGTCGACAGCGCTAGGCTTGATACCAGCATGCCGCAGTGCGTGCTTCATGGCGAGACGTGGGCCTTGACCATCTTCGCGAGGTGCTGTCATATGGTGTGCGTCGCTGGACAATCCGTACCCGGCAACTTCAGCATATATATTGGCACCTCGCTTCTTTGCGTGCTCGAGTTCCTGTACTTCATTAGACACGAGACTCGTGAAGAGGGTGATCAGGTACCTCGAGAACCACAACTCCAGCCCCCTCGCCAATGACGAAACCATCCCTTTCTCGATCGAATGGCCGACTTGACTCTGTGGGTCGATCGTTGAACTCGGTAGCCAGACTTCTAGCCCTAGCAAAACCCGATATGGCGAGAGGATGGATGCATGATTCAGCTCCACCAGCTATCATTACATCGGCATCGCCAAATTGGATCAGCCGTGAAGCGTCTCCGATGCTGTGTGCTCCGGTCGTACATGCTGTAGTTGCTGCGTGATTCGGCCCCTATTATGCTTAGCGTTGTTACAACGCCTGGAACGGGTATTGGATACCTTGAAGCCATACCGCATAGATATATGACCTGCAGCGAGATTGATCAGCAGCCGCGGAACGAATAGTGGAGACACCTTTCGGTATCCCTGGAATAATCAGCCAATAGTTACACTTAATAGCTATAACAACATACGCCTTTCTCATAAGCAACTGTAGTATCGTACACATCGTCCAAGCTGCCGATGCCAGATCCCATATACACTCCCTAATACGTCATGAGTGAGATGCAAGTTGATATTGAGTTCAAATTCTTACTGTGACCTCAAGATCGTCTTCTTTCTTCGGAAACCACCCAGCATCATTCAGAGCTTCCTCAGATGCAACCATGGCATATTGTGCGAACCGCGCCATACGTCGTTCGTCCTAGAACAGAATTAGGATTGGTAAGATAAGAAGGCGAGATCTTAGCACGTACAGTAGGACTCAGATGCTCCTTCGTATTCCATCCGCCATCGCTTTTGCTACCTTGAGGAACCAGGCCAGCCACCTGACTTGGTAGCAACGCAAATTCTGGGCTTCTATCTTTGATGGAAACGATGCCGCACTGGCCGTCGATCAGACGCTTCCATGTTTGTCGAACACCTGTATACGTTAGACGAGAAAGGTTGGAGAAAGGTCCGAATAGTGTTACCTAGTCCGAGAGGGGTTACAAGCCCTAAGCCTGTCACTACTACCCGTCGCATCGCATGTCAATGATGATATTCGATGGTGCTGCGAGGACGCGTTCAGGTGTGCAGAAAGAGCTAGTCCCACGCGCAAGCCACGTGTGGCGCTCTTTAGCGTGAGGTACGTGCGTCTGGCGTCATTCGATATCGAGGACTTTCAAGTTGATGAGATTGATATGCTATGGAAACTACAGCTCTGATACTCGTACAAAGAATCTACCTGAGCGATGTAGTAACCCTTTGGATCGAATCAGCGTCTCCAGTCGAGACGCAATCCCTCTAACGTATTATTGAGGAAATAGATTGGTTTTGAGGCAATTAGCAAATCACTACTGACTTCATTGTCTATCGCATCCATGCCCAAAAACAGTCGTAGTATTGCACTCATACCAAGTCTCCGCCAATGCCTCTGCTTCACCACTCATACCCAGTTCTTCCATGCTGAAAGGAGCGATCACATCGTCATCAGTCTGCAGTTCGCTGATATGAGGTGTGCCTGCGAGATCTTCGCGGGTACATTCCAACTCTTCATCTTTGACGAAAGCGGTTTGTTTGCATCCAGGACCGATAGCGTTGAAAACAGCTCGGTTCTCCGTCTCTATCAGCACGCCGCCCATCTCACTGTCACAGCAATATCGTCGTTTCTGATCACGCTCGTGTTGTACGCGCGCTTTTAGCCAGCCTGTTTTCCGACGAGGATCGCGCGCGATTGCAGAAAGCATAGTGAAGGTGTCGACAGTTTGAGCGCAACTTGACGTTGGCGATCGCGGTGATCGCCTCCGTTCGTGTTGTGCTTTGTTGAACCTCGAATTGCCAACTGAGTTGTGCGCCATCTCATGGCTTATCGAATCAATATTCCCGTGGTATCTCGAATCGATTGTTGATAAAGAAGGCTCCTCGTACCATGAAGTAGCGTTCGATACGACGAAACGATCATCTGCTAAGCAATGTTGTCGATCTTGACTCGATCTTGAAACTGGAGGAAACAATTGTGGGTCATGAATGAAGTCATTTGAAAGCAAGAACGGGTTCTCGTCTTGACTGCGAAGAAGTGGTGCCATCTTAAACCGTAGGTTGTTCGCTTCACAGATGTCGTGATTTGAGAGCTATATGGGGAGCTGTGGGTAGATATATGCTATTTCATGATGCCATCGCACACCTCAAGTGATATGCTCAGTGTTGGCTGTAGGTTTGCATCCAACGTGTGGCACATAGAGTTGGTTGCTGTGGTGCGTAGGACGATTGATCACAATCGCACCGCTTGTTTGACAGTCTTAACGTTTTCAGGTAAAATATGGTAACTCAATCGTCGAGAACCTGGAACTAAGCGCTGAGCATAGCGCGCAAGTCTGCAGTGCTGGGATCGGCCTTTAGAAGTCAGTGAAATCTGTTGAAGAGAACTACCGTCGAATAACTGTCCAAGAAGAGCTTGGATCTTGATCCTGGACATCACAAGCAGCGCCGAAAATGCAGGCCAAAGTATGAGGTAATAGCAAACTCTCAAGAAGCCAATCTAGCGGAGGCTTCTGGATGATCGTTCGTGATATAGACAGCGATTGCGCCGGCGCGTTGTGGTACGGCAAAACCAACTCCACGGCGCTTCGATAAGCCGAAGGGCCGCCGACATTATCGGGTTTTAGAGGGTAAAATTACTTCTTGAGGAATCGCGATAAAAGAGTGTTGATTGAAGTTCGGTCCGTCAAGGGAACCGTCCTGTAGAGAGGCCTAAGCGAATTGCCGAAAGCACGTCATCGTCTTGGCGAGCCTCGTCTAGCGGCATCCCGCGAGCATCACTCAACACCAGAGAGATGACTCCCCGCGATGTGATAAAGACGCCCCACTTCCTGCGACGCAGGCTTTACATTTCTTTACTTAGACTTACTCGAAATTGCCATCATGGACGCCCAAGGACTAGGCACTGAAACCGCCAATGGCTCCAAGAAGTACAGTAAGTTCCCTTTGAACTTTTTTTGCCGTTGCAAACATTTCAAGGTAGTCGTGACACCGTGCGATCGAAGTGTCTCCCGTACGATGGTGTCGTCACACACAAAAACATAGAAAAACACTGTTGATTGTTATGACTTGGTTCGGGCGATCATGCCGACTCCAAAGACGGCTTTCTTTGTCGCGTTCTGGTGTTGCTCGTCTAAACTGACATGCTGTAGAGACGGTGTCGTCGCAACCTGAGAACCCGTTCGCCAACCTCATCCCCGATCAAATCTTCGCTGTCATACCGCAAGTCACGCTCGAATCCGGCGTCGTGTTACAGAATGTCAGCGTTGCATACAAGACATACGGTACCCTCGCACCCAGCGGAGACAATGCGATGGTCATATGTCACGCACTCACGGGAAGTGCTGATGTTGGTGATTGGTGGGGTCCGTTATTAGGGGGGCCTGGGAAGGCTTTCGACATATCGCGTTTCTTCGTGGTATGTATGAACAGTCTTGGCAGTCCATACGGCAGTGCAAGCCCCGTCACGGCAAAGGATGGCGACGTGTCGCAAGGCCCGTACGGTCCCGAGTTCCCGCTGACAACTGTGAGAGACGATGTCAAGTGAGTCAAACAAACTCCAAACCCTTTCCTTGAACCACGCTAACAGGCGTAGTGTCTTCAAGCTCATCTTGGATGATCTCGGTGTGAAGCAGATCGCTGCAGTCATTGGAGGATCCATGGGCGGTATGCTTGTCCTCGAGTTTGCATACTTCGGAAAAGACTACGTCAGAACCATCATCCCGATAGCCACATCGGCTCGCTACAGCGCATGGGGCATAAGCTGGGGTGAAGCGCAACGGCAGAGCATCTACAGCGATCCGAAATACGACGACGGCTACTACCCATACGAAGATCCTCCATCAACCGGGCTTGGCGCAGCGCGTATGTCTGCTCTATTGACCTACCGGAGCCGCGACTCGTTCGAATCGCGATTTGGGCGCAATACACCTGATCTGTCCAAGAAGCAGAGCATCAACACCGTACCGCGACCGACAACCCCATCAAACCCCTCCCACGAACATTGGGCGATACACAACCACGGTCACAAGAATGCTGGCTCACCACGTCTCATGTCGCGGACAAACAGTAGTACAGCTATACCTGGTTCTGCAGCGGCACATGCTGATCTCGAATTTCATGATGCCTCTGACCCTGCCACGCCAAACCTCCAAAGGTCGGATTCGACAAGTAGCAACAGCCAATTCCCTCGCTCTTCGAAGCCTCTAGCGCCTCACTACTTTTCGGCACAGTCGTACCTCCGTTACCAGGCTGACAAGTTCATCAAGCGCTTCGATGCCAATTGCTATATTGCCATCACAAGAAAGCTCGATACACATGATGTATCTCGCTACCGTTACCCCGAAGGCGAGACACCCGAGACGCTAGACCCAGTATCGGCCCTTCATCATGCACTCTCTTTGATCGAACAGCCCACGCTTGTACTGGGCATACAGTCGGATGGTCTCTTTACATTCGCCGAACAGAAAGAGCTGGCCGCTTATATCCCCAAAGCCACGCTCAAGACCATCGACTCACCAGATGGCCATGACGCTTTTCTTCTAGAATTTGAGCAGGTGAACAAACATTTACTGGGCTTCCTGAATACCGAGCTCCCAGAAATTATGAACAGAACGCCAAATGTAGAAACGGTCAAGAGCGATCCTGGTATGACCGCTACTAAGACTAGTACGTTCGGTGAGGCTGAAGTCGACGATATAACTGCATGGTAAGATGGGCAAAAATATGACATTTAGCATGGCGTTCTGGATCCAGGAGAGGACTGCATTGGTCGGCGTACAGTTTTCGGCATATGCTTGAAAGAAGGCTGTATGATTATGATACGCTCTGAGGCGAAAGAGCTGAGGTTCAACCCCTCGTAAATACCAGACACTGCAGTATGAGCGCAGCGATAACAACCAAAGAATATTGAATATCTCCAACAACTTCCCAACATCGGTCCAATCATGTTTGATTAGCCTCTCGCTTGTACCCCGCCTTGGACGCTAAACCTTACTCTCCCCGCGACTCCACTGTATCGTATGCCCCTCAACCTCGGTTCCTACATACTGCGGATTGTCTCCGCAGGTGTCAAAACGGACGTGCTTTATCCGATCTGCTCTCCCGAACTGCGATGCCGTGTGATCACGAGGGCTTGATCACAACGTACGGTAAGCTAAAAGCGATATCTTAATCGTATCAGATGGATCGTCATGTATCAAAACGGAAGCGCTTATGCACTCGTAACTCGGATCAGTTGTACTAGACTATCCGTATGAAGGCCAAGAATAGGGACTATTGAAATCCGAACCCCGCACATAGGGTTGTGAATGTCGGGTCCTAGTTGTCGCATAAGTATTGCCATGCCTTCAGCTACATCCCTTCATCAAGTTCTTGGGAAGTATCTAGTAAAACTCCTTGTCATCTAAGTCACGTTCTCCGCGCCGGATTATCATCGCAAAGGCCACATGATGCAGCTACCCAAGACACAAAAGGCCGCTATCAAGCAAGGCACCGGCGATAATTCCACCATTACAATCAAAGAGATCCCTGTCCCAGAACCAGCGCCAGATCAAATCCTTATCAAGATCAACTACTCCGGCCTCTGCGCTTCGGACAAATCCCTACTTCACGATGAATGGGATTTCAAGATGGCCGAATGCACAAACGGTATCGCAGGCCACGAAGGCGCCGGTACTGTCGTAGCCGTCGGCTCAAACGTGCAAGATCTCTGGCAGATCGGTAACCGTGCGGGCATCAAGTGGATCGCTTCTGTATGCCGGAAGTGCGAGTTCTGCACTAATGGCCAAGATGAATGTCACTGCCCGAAGCAGTTGAACAGTGGTTTTACCATTGCGGGAACATTCCAGGAGTACGCCTTGACAGATGCGAGGTATGCGACCAGGTTACCAGATGGCGTTAAAGATGAAGAAGCAGGCCCGATCATGTGTGGTGGTGTTACGGCGTATGTGGCCTGCAAAAGGAGCAAGGTGCTTCCTGGGCAGTGGCTCGTCATTCCTGGAGCTGGAGGTGGTAAGTACATCCATGCTACGTGTGTAACTTGACGAAGTAGATAGAATCGCATTCGAGTTGGAGAAAGAGACTAACACCTTCAGGCCTCGGCCACTTCGGCGTCCAATACGCCAAACACATGGGAATGCGCGTCATCGCCATTGACGGCGGTGACGCAAAACGCGAACTGTGCCTCTCTCTCGGCGCCGAGAAGTTTATCGACTACACCACATGCTCTGATATCGCATCCGAAATCATGAAGATCACCACCTACGGCGCTCACGGTGTCATCGTCTTTTCCGCCACAAAAGCTGGATACGAACAAGCGCCACATCTGCTACGACCAAATGGCACAATGGTGTGTGTGGGTTTGCCAAAGGACAATACGATCATCGCGGGTGCTAGTCCGATTATGATGTGTATGAAGAAGCTGAATGTTGTGGGTAGTGTGGTGGGGACGTTGAAAGATGTTGAGGAGGTGAGTACACTGTTGAGGGATATGCTTGAAGGAATTTGCTAACCTGAAATATAGGCGCTTGATTTTACTTCGCGAGGCTTGGTACATCCAATTTTGACGCATGGTGGATTGGAGGATATTGATCGGTTCTGTGCGGATATGAATGCAGGGAAGCTTGCTGGACGGGCTGTGATCAAGATCGCTGCGTAGATCAGCATATTATATCGTAATTTTTACCAGATTAAGAACTGGTGTTTCCACTCAAGGCCTTCGGCGAGTGTATGTCGAATTCCGCATTACCTGAGTAACGCGTAGTCTACTTCGTACTTCTTCGAAAACTGTCTCCTCTTTGAGCCCCTGGACTGGTCGAGAATATGCCTCCGAACTCCAGCATCTATAGGCTTTGCCTGTAATTGGAGACTCGTGGGAAAAGTGCAGAAGGTCAGACTCGAAGCGATGTCTTCAAGGTCGCTATGGCAATCATGCTATCGATGGATCCCTACCATTCCTCGTAGATTGCGGGTTTCAAAATGCTGTAAATGATAGGGGTTTTCCATGAACGGCTAATCTTCCGGTACTGCGAGATTATGCCTGTTACAGATGGTCCGTCGGTAGTGCCGAAACCGAATTCGTCAATAGCGGGTAGCTTCAATGTTCTTTTATCGACGCCCGATCGAGTCGCACCACGTAGTCTGACAACTTGCTTTCGGGGCTGCTCGTCTTCTGAAAAAAAAGCTCAACATCGGAGTCAAGACCACTCCATCCCAATGCTAGTGACCACCTTTGAAACTACGTTTTTCTAGTGCCCAATTGCAGTGCGTATATAGTCCCCACCGCGAGTGGTCCCGGTCGAAATCCCGGTGCCTGATAGGATGGATATCTGCACCCTGATCTACGAGTAGCATGGCAATCAATAGACTCAATATAAGCCAGCGCTCCTCTATTGACTCTCTGAGGCTACAGACACTTCCCAGCCGTTCGAATTAGATGAAAGCATCAAAGGTACAATTGAAGGACGAATCTTGTATCGTGAGTGAGAGTGGCAGAGGAGAGATTCAAGAAATAAACTAGACCTAGAGCTAGGCGCATTCGCCGTGATGTTCACCAGTCATGCTGATTCTGACCACATAGCAGGCACGAGATGCACCAATGAGGCCCAAAGGCTGTCGCAGAACATAATAGCTTTCCCTCTGGTTAAGATGAACTAAGCTACTGATAATTCAACACTTCGTTACTGCACGCCCCTAATATTTTGGGCGGCAGTTGCTATCAACAACTGCTATTTTGCGATGATGCTTGATTAGCTGAAGAGCATATGAATTAAAGCCGCAGGATAGCGATCATAGGCACCAACTTCATTTCTACATATAAAGAGCATGACGCCATGGTACGTACACCAAACATGGCAAGGCGCGATACACAGTATCGTAAGCTGCAAAAGTAGCCAAAGTTTCATAATCGGCTTGAGGTAAGATTTCGCATGTGAATGCAGCAAAGCAACCATTGAAGCGCGTACATAAGCGGCGAACACTTGCGAAGATCAGCAGAGAGGGGCATCTTTCGTCCACGGGGGTTGCTCGGTACACCGTGTCAGCTGGCGTGCATGCATTTCACGCAACACTAGTGGTCGCCACCGGAAGCAGGCTGCATGTTGATGGAGATGGCAGGGTTATAATGCAGCGACAGGGTTGATAGCTGGGTTCAACGGGCGCCTTACCCTATGAGAGAACGATCAAAGAGGCTAGGCCTGGCGGGGTAGGAAGCTAGCTTTGTTGGGCGGCAAACTTGAACACTGTGATTGGAGACGCCCAAGTCGAAACAGATGCGAAAGGATGAGTTCGAAGGCAGCGCCATGAGTAGTATGCGTGAGATGGACAAGTATAAGATGCGGTGACATGCCCGCTGAAGTCCGCATCTAAACATTCGGCTTCCACAACTCGAAACCAGCCCCATCTAGTCAATCTTAAAGTCATTCCTCTAACGCATCGCCCAAAGCGAGGTTGCAAGGCCCTCCAGACATGAATAGCCAGAACGCAGCCAACAAGAAAACGAACGCATCGAATGATGCTCATCAGATGGGTTCGTCGACTACGATGTTCGATATCCCTCCCCTACCCTTCTATGTTGTCTAATCACTTCAAAAGCTTCATGAAGACGACCCCACTCTCCGAAGCTGCTTTAAGAAAACAGAACACCAACATGCCCTTAGCAGGTTATCTGTGGGAGATTGAGGAGAGAAAGAGGATTGAAAGACTCCAGCGTGCGGCGATCGAGCTTGGTTTTGAATTGCCACCGCAATGCTACCAAAGATGAAGGCTCGGAAAGGCCGAATCTTATATATCCGTTCCTCGGTTATCGATGTATCCTATCCTTGATAGCTCCAACAATACTCTTCAGGCCACTCAATCTCGTCTCTCTCGTCTCCCCAAGATATAAGCTCGCGACGGGCCATGCGTGAATGCCACCTGGCTCTTCCCAGCTATCAACTTCCTTCCCAGTCTTTCCGAGTAGACTGATCAAGTTCCTTGTTTCGGGCCCAAGAACCTCTTCGCTTCCATACAGGAAGTACCACCCCTGTTCGGGACTAGCCTCCGTCCACTTCTGCAAATCATCACACTTTCCAGGCGAAACCATTGGGTCTTCTGGTGAAATTTTGTTACCGATATATTGGCGACCGTACAGCTCTAGTGATGAACTGTTGAGGTAGTCGGAACCTGTGTTGCGATTTTCGCGCGATACTATCGTCACCCAAGGGCTGATCATGATAGCAAGACCAGGTTTCTGATGACGTAGTTCGGTATGATCGGACAGATATAGCAAGAAAGTCAGGATGAGGGTGGCGCCTGCAGAGTCTCCGCCCACAACTACGCGAGTTGAAGACTGGGCTAATGATAGAACGTATTCGTAACCTGCGACAGTCTCATGGAGTTGAGTGGGATATGTGGCATCTGGCACCAATGTGTATTCCAGAGCGAACAGAGCAGGATTGCGATACCCAGCGGACTTTAGTAGAGCGACCCATGCAAGTAGGAACTCCATATAGAAGAAGCTACTTCCCATAGAAAAGCCACCACCGTGACAATAATATACAATCACATCTGGCTGCTCTTGCTGATTGTGCACAATCCAGACACCCCTGAAGTTGGATCTTTTGATCTCAGTCCATCGAATCGGACTTGTGACAATGCCGTGTCTCAACATGCGAAACCTCAAGAATGGGAGTGAGACGGCCTTGGAAAAGAACACCCGGCCTAGAAAGGCGGGCATGTTGGCAAACGCATAGCGAACAAAGCGGATAACCAAATCTTGGAATGGCGTTGCTTTTTTAACAAAGGGCGCGCGGTGTTCATGTGGCATGAAGAAGCGTTCATGGATGAACTGATATGGTATGGCAATGGCTTTTGGAGCTATGAGCATCAGTATACCCACGCGTAGAGAGCATTGCAACTTACCGAGGGATGGTAGAGCTGGAATCAGCCATGTCAAAAGTGGTACGATGCCAATCTGAATCAGCAATTGAGGTGCAAGGAAGATGAGGAAAGCTACACAGTCCAGGTATGAGATCTGGCTCAGTATCATCTTCACGAGATAGCGTATGGGTGAAGTGTGTTAGTTAATGGCACAACCAGCGACATCGTCCAGAAACGCCAATGGCGATGACGCTGACAAGGGTCCAGCTAAGCCACGATTGTCTAGCGCCACAACCAACGGTACCGGAGCCTCACTGCTATAGCCTAGACCAGAGAGCATGCGAAAGTTTCGAACGCCGCTTCACACTAATCTATAGTGTTTAGTGAAGGGTAGAATCTGCCCATTGCCATGCTCGAACAAGAGGTAGCACGCACGTGACAGATATTAGCGGCGCAGCGCACAGACCAGTCGGTCGGTCGGTCGCGACTTCCAGAAAACTTCCGCGACTCACTTAGCTGTCACTCCGCAAACACGACTGCCGCGCCTGCAATCAACGTCGCCTGCTTGCCTGCGCCTGCATCGAAAGACTAAATCGACCCCGTCACTTCCTTTCTCTCATTTCTCTATACTCTTTTAATGGAGTGAAGTCCAGCGCAGACGTCGATCCTTCTTCTTACACGGCAGCCTTATCCGAAGTCGCGAACCCGTAGAACCTCACCTATGGCCAACCCCGCAACGGACCCCAAGGCGGCACCGCTCGCCGACGAGCTGAAAGAGCTCGCGCTGTACGTATGCTCTCTCCGGACTAGTATGATTAATACTAATACATGTAGTTCGCTCCCGACAACCGTCTTTCCAAAGAACTTCTTTTGCGCCCTTTGCAACCAGCTTGCATTCGACTCATACAAACTAATCTGTTGCGCCAAGTCAATCTGCTCATCATGTGCGTATAACAATCTCTACGATCGGAGGATGTCACAGGTGCTAACATGGCCCAGGTCAAGGAAACCTCCAGTTCCCGACGACGTGTCCATCATGCGACCACTCACCACTCGAAGCCGAATCGTGCACAGTGAATAAATCTCTCCGCAATACGATGCGAGTGTGGCTACAAAAGCAGAAGAAGAAGGAAGAGGCCAAAGCCGCGGCACAGGCAGCTACCCCGCCCGTGGAGGTTACACCAGCTGCGTCTGAGGTACAGCCGGTTGGCGATGGTGCAGAAAAGCCCGTAGACAGCGTTGAGGATACACCAAAGGCAGAGGACAACGCTGCTGAACAAGCTGCCGGTTCTGCGGAGAACGCGGAAGAGGCTGGACAGCGCGCTGGCTCTGCCTCGGCCCAACCGAATGAGGTAGGTTTTCAATGTCTTTCTTTTCGCTCTCACTTGGGTCTGTTGTTACTGTACAATGAAAAGAAGAAGAAAACAAGCAAAAGAGAGACCATCGGGTTTCAAAGAATTGCAAAACATGGTTGCCACACGTGCCAATGACATGATGCTTTCCACTTCACCTTTCGCTTTGACTGACCAGACTAGGACAACCCCTCTCTTGAGAACAAGACTGAGCGACGCGGTAGCACCGCCTCCCAGAACGCGACCAAAAGCACCGAACCTGCTGCTGCAGACGGAGTGTCCGACGAGCAAAAAAATACGAATGGAGCAGATGGCATGATGGGCAACAACCCGGCGCTGAACGGTATGCAAGGTCAAATGGGGTTTGGCTTTCCCAACCAGGGTGGCTTCAACAATGGTATGGCCTGGAACGGCATGCCCAACATGATGGCCAACGGTGGCTGGAACGGCATGAATCCTATGGGTATGTCTTTGCGTCAACCTCATCTGTTCTGCAAGCGACTAACGTCTATCTAGACTTCAACAGTATGAACGGCATGTACGGCAACTTTGGAGGGAACATGAGCATGGGCATGAACGACATGTCTGCCATGAACATGATGCAATATGGTGGCGGCTATGGCAATGGGTGGAATGGCATGGGCGGTGGTTATGGAAACTTCAGCGGGCCCAATCAGATGGGTGGCTATAATCAATCTGGAGCATATCCCGAGATGATGAACCAATTCCCCAAGAATAATTTCCCAAACCAGAACCAGAATCGTTTCCATGCCAATCAAGGAGGAGCACATCCTCAGCGAAACAACAGGAATGGCAGCCAAGGTGGCTTTGGTCCTGGTTTCCAGACAGCGCCAGGTCGTGCGGGCAGCCACGGCGGTCCTTTGCAAAACGTACGTTCAACCCATCAACAAAACTCACCGAACCCGTACAAGGGAATCGGCATAACTTGGAAATCGAAAACTGACGCGATTCGTCCTACGCAGCGTGACGGCCAGTCGCCTGATGGTCTCGCTAATGCTGCCCCTGAGGTCAAGACTGAGGGTGAGCAGCCGAAAGCGTCCGCAGAGCCAACTGAGGAAGGTAAAGAGACCGTGGACGGTGGTCTAGTATCGGTTGAACAGCAGACTTCTGCAAACAGCGTCGGCGCTGGCGCCGTGAGCGAAGCTGCTGGCGATGATACTAACCAAGCAGGCGATGGTGTACAGGATGAGGCGCAAGATGATGGTCTGAAGCCTATACAGACCGTAGACTCTGGCGATCCAGACATGCAGGAGTACGACCAATCCATGATGGGCCATGGCATGCCATACACCCAAGGAATGATGAATCAGTTCCCGGATCAGCACATGAATGCACCCTTCAATCCCAGCATGAACATGAACATGGGATACAATGGCAACTATGGTTCTCGTGGCGGCTTCAATAACGGTGCGTATGGCGCTGCAACGGTTCTGACAGGCCAGCCAACGGAACCTATTGGTGTTGGCGTTGTAGGCGCGCCAACTGGACCACGTGCGATGAGAGAAGGTCGACCCAACACTGGCTTTTCGAGTCGTATGAACAGCGGACGATATGGACCACCGCCACCACCACCCAAGAGCGTATCATCTACCCAAGATGCGGCACCTGGCAGCCCTCAGCGAAGAGTCCGATCGTGAGTAGATGTGCTTGAAACATGCCGAGCAGACAATGACTGACTATGACACAGGCGGTCTCCTCTACGTGATGAGAGCATGCGCGTTAAGGAACGCTCACCAACGCGCTCTCGGTCAAGATCACGAGTAAGGGATGATGATAGGGATGCGCAGCGTCCGCGATCACGTTCTGCGGACCGTCAATCTCGCCGCGATGACCGCGGTAGATCCGCCACGCCAGTAGACGATGACTATGAAGACCGCAAAGACCGCAAGCACCACCGGTCGTCACGCTATGACGATCGTGAACAGGAATATGATGATCGATACCGCGATGAGAAGGGTAGTCGGGGTGACCGTACACGAACTGCATCAGCAGATTCCAAGTATCGCAGCAGCCGCCGCGACAAAGACAAGCACCGTTCATCGCGATCACACCGCGACCGAAGCAAGGAACACCGTCGTCGCCACCGCTCCCGGTCACCTCGTGAGGAAGACAAATACGAGGATGAGGAGGCGTACGTCAATGGTGAAAAAGATTCTGATGGCAGCTCACGTCGTAAACATAGGAGTGGGCGCGACCGATCACGCGACAAGGAGCGTGAGCGAGACCGCAAGGATCGTAAAGAGCGAGATCGCGACTATGACTATGATCGTGAGAAGGATCGCTCTCGCGACAAAGACAAGGACCGTAGGCGGCGCCGCGATCGCGAAGCTGAAGATGAAGAGCGCGACTACGATGACGACAAGTACCGCTCTTCACGTCGTAGCCGCAAAGACCGAGACCGCGAGCGACGAGACTACGATGACCGTGAGCGCAAAGACAAGCCATCCCAATCGGAGAAGGAGGAAGATGTTGTTGGTCAAATGATGAAGAAACGCGCAGTATCCCCACCTTTGAATGCGCCGACAGGACCCTCAGCAAATGGCTTCAGCATCAAGGGTCGCTCGAAGAACACCGTCATGCCTCCACCGGCTCAACCTCCAACCGGCCCGCGAGGCTTTCAGCCACCCAAGGGTCCGGCTGCTGATCGTAATAAAGAACGTAGTGGAGATGCGAGGGATCACCGTCGCAAGAGCAGTGTCAGCTCGGCGACGAGTACCCCAACTGGCTCTTCATCAAAAGAGAAGGAAACATCCCAAGACCACTATGCCGCTGAACGAGAGCGCAACGCCCGGGAGCGGGATAGTCGTGAACGCGTTGAAAAGCCTTCCGGCTCTAGCAAGTCTCTCCACTCGCGCATCTCCCCGACATCTCGCCCCGCGCTGTCTAGTAAGCGCAGCAGAGACGATTTCGATGACGAGGCCTCTGTACCAAAGGGTCCCAAAGCCGATGTGAAACCTCCTACAGGTCCCGCATCCCATCGCGACAAGCGTAGGAAGTCTGGAGCAACAGGTGACGATAACATTGCCAACCTCTTCACAGCTGGTCTGCGCAAGAATGCGAAGGCTCGTCGTGGTGGTGTGAGGACCGAAGGAGATGTCGAGCGCGAAATGATGGAGCGCGAGCGCGAGCGCCGGTAGGGTGGCTCTTTTGACCTTGCGTGCATGTGCATTAAGAGGATCCATTTGTGCTTTGATGAGGGACGATTGGGCTACGAACGACTCGAAGTGGTAATGTGGAGAACCTGGGGGATTGCTGGAGGAGATCTTATGTGCTTCTCTACTTCTTTGTATTATACCCTCTGATGTATGAGTCAGGATAGATGGACGAGCGTGTATGCTGCATGCTTTGCACTTAGCTTAGGCTTAGGTGCTCATAAAATACATTCTTGACTTTCATCGAATGACGCGGCGTGATGAGGTTGGTGATTTTGTTCGTGGTATCATTTATGTTTGTACATTTAGTCCGAGACGAGGCTATCGAGACATTATTTGACCTCGATATATCTACCGCCTGTGGTTCACAAACTCCTTCTGCTCGCCTCCCAGTCTCGAGGCTACAACGGTAGCTTCCCTGATTGCCTTTGCGACGGCACCCCTCACGCCATCTTCCTCGAGCGACATGAGACCGCCGATAGTGCAACCGCCAGGTGTCGAGACCTTGTCCTTCAGCACAGCTGGGTGCTCGCCGTTCAGCACGAGTCCAGTGGTTCCCCTCATGGTCTGCGCAGCCATCATCTGTGCCTCCGCCCTCGGTAGACCCATGGCAACCGCACCGTCCGCGGCGGCCTCCAGTATCAGCGCAAAGAACGCCGGGCCCGAACCACACAGCGCAGTCGCCGCATCCATGTTGGCTGGGGGAAGGTTCGTAACGCGACCAATAGAGCTGAAGACGAACTCAACAAGCTTGTACTGGGCCTCACTGAGCGGCGGGTCCGAAGTCTGAATCACAGACATGGACTCCCCAACGAAGGACGCCGTGTTGGGCATGACCCTCACCACACGGCAAGCGTTCTCTGTCTTCTCTGGTCCATCAGGGTACAGGAAAGCCTCAATCTGCTCTCTCGTCACACCCGCCAGAATGCTAACAAGCACCTTTCCCTTGAGCGCCTCCCTCACACCCTCCTCACCCAATATCGTCTTGAAGCCATGTGGTTTGCAACTCAGCAGCACGATATCCGCTTCTTGGATACCCTTGAGGTTCTGGTTTGTGAGGGTCTGGAGGGGGAAGTTGTAGTGTCCGAGGGCTTTGCGGACGTTCTGTTCGGCAGGCGCCCATTGGTCGCAAGCGATGAAGTTGGAGAGGTTGGGGACGTCTTTGGGGGCGGAAGAGGGGTCGAGGGAGGCCTTTGTTTTGGCGGAGGCGAGCGAGGACATTACGCCGCCCATTATTGCTATGCCCATTGTTCCTGGGGGTGTGTTAGTAGGGTTGGGGTGACTGTGTTGGAAAGTACGAGAATGTTGGAGGGCTTCTAGGTTTATTGACATAAGGTGAGGGCATCCCAACGATATGAGAATCTCTGAATCCTTTCAAGTGCACTACAGACTGTCCAAAAACCCAATCGCAGGGCCTAGCTACTCCCATGGTGAGGATGGGGGGCATTGGAACTAAGTACAAAAGAGATATCGACATACCTGAACCGAGAACGGTCAATGTGAGAGGTTTGGATTCCTGTGTGTTTGCCATCTTGGGTATCTTTCTGAGTGGTGTTGGACAAATGCGAAGGAAGATGACTGCTGAGTTACTGAGCGCGAGATCGGCGGCCTTCCCCACGTCCACTTAAAGAAATCCTGAGCTATGACCATGGCCGACGATATGCGCGCGCAGCTCTCCAAGCTCTCCGCCTCCACGCAGACCATCACATATTAAGACATATTGCTCCACACTACCCCGATCACTATACCGAGAAGACCACCACCCAGGCCCAGAGTAGCCGAACACCTTCGCAACCCTTCGTCATGGCCGATCCTTTTGAAGTTCGCCAACGCTTCACGACGCTCCTCTCCCATCTCAGCGCATCCCATACCTCCCTCCAAAAAGCCGCTTTCTACGCGCTCAAGAACCGTGAACTAGATGAAGACCTTCATTCTTGCATCCTCGAACAGCTCGAACGCACCAACATGAACACACGCGCAAACATTATGTTCTTCATCGAATGTCTCTGCGAATACGCCGTCAAAGAAAACAACTCGGGAGACTCTAGCGCAATGGGCTACGTCCGCATGTTGCAAAGAGATATCTTAGCAGTCGTAGAATGCGTAGTAGGCGAAGAAGGAGCAAATATCCGCGTCGTGCGCAAAGTCCTAAAAACCCTCGAGAACCTCTCCATCCTCATGAAGGAAACTGTTCAAGAACTGGAGGCTGTTCTGAAATCAAGAGAGGTCGCGCATCCGTTCATGGCGACAGGTTCCTCCGATTCCAAAGACGGTTCTGCGGCATTACCAACCCGGATTGGAGGGCAGAGGATGGATAAACGGCAGATTGAACAGAGGATCGAGGAGGATAGGGAGAGACATAAGAGGTTGAGGGAGAGTATTTGGGCGGTGCCGGGAGATGGGTATGAGGAGTTGGAGAAGCTATGGGAGGAGGCTAGCGATATCAATGAGGATGACTATGTTACCGCACGGGAAGATGCGGAGGAGAGGAGGAAGGTCATTGCTTTTGGGTAGGTCCACAGCAAAGAACAGGCGAGTATTGAGGCTGCCGCAGACACTTCTGCGGCGTTTCCGGGTACTGCAAGTGAGGAGGACTCAGGGAGTGATACAAACAGCGAGAGTTTGAAGACGCTGTCATCCAAAGTTCGCTCTTAGAACTGTGTGTAGGAGGAAGTTCACACACGCATTTTCGGCGTTCATTGGGTTGAAAAGGATATTGTCACAGCATGAGTTAGGCGTTAAGGCAGAGATACCACGGGCTTGTCCCATGACGCCCACATTGTTATTGGAGTTTTTGAGTATACTGAATACATCCATGGTCATTCCAAACATATCTGTACACGCCCACATGCAATGCTATGATACAGTATCCGTCTCTTCCTCATCTCTTCCTCTACTCCATAACGACCGTAGCACCCAGCGCCTTGAGGGTCTCAACAATCTTCTCCGCCTCCTCCTTTGGCACACCTTCCTTCATCATCTTGGGCGCTCCCTCGACAAACTTCTTGCTGTCCACCAAGCTCAATCCTAGCATCGCCTTGATCTCCTTGATCACCTTGGGTTTCGCGCCGGCGTCGAACTTCTCAAGCTTGAGATTGAACAGGGTCTTTTCTTGGGCGGCGGGTGCGGCTTCCTCTTCTTCGACTGGAGCTGCGGCTGCGGGGCCTGCGCCGCCTCCGGGACCGGCGACGAATCCGCCCATGGGCATGTCGGGGATGTTTAAGCGGGTCTTTGATATAATGTTAGCATGTGTGCGTGGTAGGACTTCGTAATCAAAAAGGTGCCATGTCAACCAACACCGGCAGTTGAATCCAAAGAGAGGAGCAGGCAGCGAGTGCATCATGTTATGCTTGCTCCCTCGGTTTACATCGCATGCCACCAATATTCGTTTCAATGACTTCAACCGCCACATCCCCCCCACGTAGCTGTCTCCGTACCTTTAGTGTCGACACCAAGTCCGCAGTCTCCAACAGAGTCAATTGGCTAATCTGGTCGACGATAGTCGCAATCTTTGGGTTCGTAGGAGCTGCCGCATCTGATTGCCATCTCCGCTGTATCCTCTGCTGTGTGGCTCCAATCGTCGGTCGTACGTATGCGGACTGCTTTGCGGTGCAGATACAGCGCCTGAGCGCGCGAGATGCTGGTGCTGCCATTGTGCTGAAGGAGAGGGCGAGGATCGATGATGATTGCACGTTGTGGTTGTGCCTGCCATCATGAGATTTTGCGGAGCGGATTACGACTAATCGAGTTACCGCCTTGGCGTGCCTGAGACCCGCAAAAAAGTTAGAGAACTTCGAGGCACTCAGACATCGCCGCCACAACACCACTCTCCGGGCATACTAAAGCGTCGAAACGATGGGAAGGCGCCCCGAAAGCGAATCACGAATCAATCCTTGCAGAAATGAAGGGAACCAATAATCGCAAGACCGGTAAAATGGTCAATATCAACGCGCTTGCTACGGAAGCGCTGAAGCCTGGATCGACGGACGACATTTTCGGGCAGCATGACGGACTTTTCACAGAGCTTTGTGCGCGTTGGATACAGTCTGGCGCGAAGACCGACGCAAAAGTTGCGGCTTTTGGACGATTACTACCACTTGCGCCTCACCTGGCGGAGCACGTGGAACGATTTCTGACACATACCTCGAATTCGTCAGTGATTGGATCAAAGGCTTCAAGCGATGCGACGAGAGAGACCCAAGACTCGGATTTAGTGGAAGTCCTACTGGGAACATTCCGACTTCTCAGTTACGACTGCAAGAACTTCACCCAATATGTACGACCGCTAGTTCTGGAGAGCTTTTTCCAGCACTCCAGTCGTGTTGTACGATATCTGGCCATACGGACGCTCTGCATATACGCGCATACAGCTGATTATGCAACTCAAGAGATGATCAAGATCTTTGTTGGAGAAGGTGAGATTGAGGGGCTATGGGAAGACCAGCAAATCGACTACCGATTCTTGTCATTATGGGAAGAGAAGAGGTGGAAAGATTTGCAGAAGAAGATGCGCCAGGAAACTCCCGCAGATGAGACTTACGCAGCAGCTGTGCAACAAGACCTTTCGCCATACACGGTTAATGTCAATGGCGTTCTGTTGCCTCGATTAGACGGCGCACCATCTCAAGAAAGGCCTGCCGAGCTGGTCTCTACAGCTACTACGGAAGAGAACATGAAGAGGATCGCCTATGGACTTCTTGGATCCAGCCCAATTCTACTCACTGGACTCGCAGGTTCAGGCAAGACGCTTCTTACTCGTCATTTCGCATGGCAGCTCAACAAGCTCGACAAAATGGTCACCCTCCATCTCAACGAACAAAGTGACGCGAAGTTACTAATCGGAATGTACACAACTGGGGCCAAACCGGGAACATTCGCCTGGCGCGCAGGTGTGCTTACCACGGCTGTCCGAGAAGGAAGATGGATTTTCATTGAGGACCTTGATCGAGCGCCAAACGAGGTCATCAGTACACTTTTGCCGCTCATTGAGCGCGGTGAGCTGCTCATACCCAGCAGAGGAGAGACCGTACGAGCAGCACGTGGCTTCCGCATCATCGCAACTATGCGAAGCACGCTCAATCCGCGAGGACAAGAGATTATCCCCCGTCAGAGCATGATCGGCTATCGGTTTTGGAAGTCTATTACTGTGCAAATGCCACAGCTAGATGAATTTCGCCAGGTGATTCATACCAAGTATCCTGCGCTGCAGAAACATCTTTCTGGGATCATGGAAGTCTATGCGCGGCTATTGGAACTGTACTCAGATGCCAAGTTCTCATCCGAGAATGGTACATCACTTCGAGCCATGACACCTCGAGACCTACTCAAGTGGTGCGACCGGATAGCAGTGCTTCTTGGACAGTCTGCATCTTTCAGCAACGCGCAAAAGGATGACATATTCATGGAGGCATTCGACTGCTTTGCTGGAAGTCTCCGTACCGAGGGCGCGCGCCTGAAGGTCATGTCATGCGTGGCTGAGGAGTTACATATTGACCCTCAACGACGAGACCACCTATTGCGGAATCGTGAAGTCAAGCTTCAAGTACCTTCGAAGATCACGGCATCTGGTACTATCCAAATCGGACGAGCGCGACTGTCCAAGCACAAGTCCTCAAAGAAACTGGGCTCAGGACGACCGTTTTCAACCAATGACTACACCTTACGTCTGCTTGAGAAGGTGGCTGTAGCAGTCGATCGCCAGGAGCCACTCCTCCTAGTGGGTGAAACGGGTACCGGAAAGACCACGTGCATTCAGTATCTGGCTGAGCAGCTTGGCCGAAAGCTGGTAGCCTTCAATTTGTCACAGCAAAGTGAGAGTGGCGACCTGCTTGGTGGTTTCAAGCCTGTAAATGTACGCAGCCTAGTAATCCCACTCAAGGATGAATTCGATGAGATCTTTGATACTACCTTCTCAAGAAAGAAGAATTTACGGTTCATCGAAATGCTCGGCAAACGCATAGCAAAAGGCGAGTGGAAGCGCGTATGTGCACTCTGGCGCGAGGCCTTGAAGATGGTAGACGCAGCCCGGAAGTCGCACGAGTCGCAAACGTCATCCCCAGATCCTGATGGCGGCCAACCCAAGAAGAAGCGGAAGATGGACTCATTACCTGTCAACTTCCCAACTGCGCGATGGGAGAAGTTTGCGACCGATCTCCACGACCTAGAAGCCCAGCTCTCTAATGGTTCAGAGGCATTTGCCTTTTCCTTCCTGGAGGGTAACATTGTTAAGGCAGTCAGGAATGGCGATTGGGTGCTTCTTGATGAAATCAACTTGGCATCTTCAGACACACTAGAGGCGCTCACTGATCTCCTAGGTGGTGGTCCAGATGGAAACCCATCGATACTATTGACCGAGACTGGCAACGTTGAACGAGTGGTCGCACATCCCAATTTCAGGGTGTTCGCCGCGATGAACCCGGCCACCGATGTAGGCAAGAAGGACCTGCCGCCGGGCATTCGATCACGGTTCACAGAACTATACGTTGAAAGCCCAGACGGTGATGAGAAGAGCTTGCGTAACATTGTGGAGAAGTATCTGGGTGGCGACGGCACAGATCCAGCAATAGTACGGGTAGCGCGCGATGTCACCACACTGTATCTTGACATTCAGAAGCTCGCCAAAGCCAATATGCTCGTGGATGGCGCCGACCAGAAAGCTCACTTCAGTTTACGGACTTTGACACGAACATTGTCATATGCCAGGGATATTGCGCCTCTTTGTACCCTCCGTCGAGCCCTGTACGAAGGATTTCACATGAGTTTCTTGACCTTTCTAGGTAAGGCTTCGGAAGACCTGGTAGCTCCGCTCATTACCAAACACCTGTTCCCTCAGAAGGCTCCCATGAAGGCTGAGCTCGGAAAGCCCCTTCAACAACCTTCAGATGGTCGAGGCTACGTCAGACAAGGCCATTATTGGCTTCGACAGGGTATACATGATGTGGAAGAGCAGTCGCACTACATTATCACTCCCTTTGTTCAACGCAATATGAACAACCTCATCCGAGCTGCTTCCACACGAAAGTACCCAGTGTTAATTCAAGGACCCACATCCTCCGGTAAGACAAGTATGATCGAATACCTCGCCAAACGATCAGGGAACAAGTTCGTCCGTATCAACAACCACGAGCATACCGACTTGCAAGAGTACTTGGGCTCGTATATCTCCGGTGCTGACGGGAAACTCACATTCCAAGAGGGTATACTCGTGCGAGCACTACGCGAAGGCCATTGGATCGTTCTCGATGAGCTCAACTTGGCACCCACAGACGTCCTGGAAGCCCTGAATCGCCTGCTTGATGACAACAGAGAGCTTCTCATACCAGAAACACAAGAGGTCATTCGGCCGCATGAGGACTTCATGCTCTTCGCCACGCAAAACCCGGCTGGTCTGTACGGAGGACGCAAAGTCCTATCGCGAGCCTTCCGTAACCGGTTCCTGGAACTACACTTTGACGACATTCCCGTGGAGGAGTTGACCGAGATTCTGCATCGTCGCACTATGATTCCGGAAACATGGTGTAAGCGGATCGTAAAGGTCTATCGGGAACTTTCCACACTTCGACAAGAGAATCGCATCTTTGAGCAGAAGAGTTTCGCCACGCTACGAGACTTGTTCAGATGGGCACAACGAAAAGCAGACACCGTGCAGGATCTTGCAAACAACGGTTACATGCTTCTTGCAGAACGCGTGCGCAAAGAGGAAGAGCGAGTCGCTGTTAAAAAAATTCTGGAGACCGTGATGAGCGAAAAGGGCCCTAAAGTGACGATTAACGAAGAGCAGTTATTCAGCCCCGACAGCTTGTCGAATATTGAGGGACTCAGCAATGGTGTGACTATGGTCAACACTGATGTTGTTTGGACACGCGCGATGCGTCGTCTATCTGTTCTTGTTGCACACGCGATTCGCAACAATGAACCCGTCCTACTCATTGGAGAGACAGGTTGTGGAAAGACGACCGTCTGTCAATTGCTCGCCGATCAGTTCAATACTCAACTTCATATCGTCAACGCTCACCAGAATACCGAAACCGGCGATTTGATCGGTGCGCAACGACCCATCAGAAACCGAGCCGCTATTGAAGAATCTGTGAGAGAGCAGGTGCTTCAGGCGTTCGCTGGAACCCCAACCGAAAGCATACAGGTTGATCCGACTTCCCTGGGTTTCGAAGACCTTATGGCGCTTTACGACAGGATCGCCAAAGAATCGCCAAGTCTATTCACCGACGAGGTTCACAAGTCTATACTTCTCAACCGAGCTAAGGCTGGCGCTTTGTTCGAATGGGCGGACGGTAGCTTGGTCTATGCAATGAAGCAAGGCCACTACTTCCTTCTCGACGAGATCTCGCTAGCTGATGATTCCGTGCTCGAGCGCCTAAACAGTGTTCTCGAACCTTCACGGTCCCTCTTGCTTGCAGAGAAGGGCCCGGTAGACTCACATATCACAGCTAGCGATGGGTTCCAATTCCTTGCTACTATGAACCCAGGTGGAGATTACGGCAAAAAGGAGCTTTCGCCTGCCCTTCGGAACCGCTTCACGGAGATTTGGGTACCTGCCATGTCCGATCTTGATGACATCCTGGAAATCGTGCGTTCGAAACTGAAGCCTAGCCTGGTGCCACACGCTGGAGCTATTGTGTCATTTTCGCAATGGTTCAACGACAAGTACAACACCTCCGTCGCCTCTTCGATATCAATTCGTGATACCCTGGCATGGGTGTCTTTTATCAACGACTCGACACATGATGATCCGATATTCGGTGTCGTTCACGGTGCGGCGATGGTTTTTATCGATACACTTGGAGCCAATCCAGCAGGTTTACTCGCCATCTCTGCGGCCACAATCGATGATGAGAAGACGGCATGTCTGCATCATCTGAGCAAGCTTCTCGGCCAGGATGTCGCACCGATGTACTTTGGCGCTATTGATATCTCGAACACGGAGCACTCCTTCCGACTGGGATCTTTCTCTATTCCTAAGTTTTCGTCAGCAGCGTCGCAGGCGTCAAATTTTGCGCTTGAGGCACCGACGACTCGTTCCAATGCGATGCGTGTGATCCGCGCGCTACAGCTTCCAAAGCCAATCTTACTCGAAGGTAACCCGGGTGTGGGTAAAACCACATTGGTTACTGCCCTAGCTAAAGCGATTGGCAAACCTTTGACCCGTCTCAACCTTTCGGAACAGACAGATCTCATGGATCTATTCGGATCGGACGTGCCTGTCGAGGGAGGAGCCGCCGGTACGTTCGCTTGGCGGGACGCGCCATTTCTCAAAGCAATGAAGAACGGCGACTGGGTACTTCTTGACGAGATGAACTTGGCGTCACAGTCAGTACTTGAAGGTCTCAACGCGGTCCTTGATCATCGTGGTGAAGTTTATATCTCTGAGCTAGATCAGACGTTCCACAAACATCAAGACTTCAGAGTATTTGCTGCGCAGAATCCGCATCACCAAGGCGGCGGCCGCAAGGGTCTGCCTGCATCCTTCGTCAACCGATTTACCGTCGTTTACGCCGATGTCTTCCGTCCAGAGGATCTCACGCTCATCTGCAACAAAGTCTTCCCTAGTGTTAATGAGCAGGAAGTCTCCAAGCTCATCCGTTTCGTTGCAGAGTTGGATGAACAAGTAGTCAACCGTCGCGCATTCGGTAACCTTGGCGCACCTTGGGAGTTCAACTTGCGTGATACTCTACGCTGGTTGCAGCTTCTCACTTCGATAGACTTCCCGGGTTCAGCGCGAGACTTTCTGGATACTATCTTTGTCCAACGCTTCCGTGCGGAGAACGATCGCGTCCGACTACGTAAGCTGTTCGAGAACCAGTATGGCATCCACCAACCCCGCATGAATCTCTTCCACAACTTGAGTACTGAGGCTGTTCAAGTTGGCCTCGGTTTGCTACCACGTGATATCGCCGTGGCACGTCCCGATGTTATGTCAACTCTCCGCACTTCGCAGCTGGGACCGATGGAAGCTCTTCTGGTCAGTGTCAAGCAAAACTGGCCGGTCATTATCGTAGGTCCACCTGGCTCTGGTAAGACTGCTATGATCAGCCAGTTGGCAGGTTTCGTCGGTACAGACTTGATCACCTTCTCTATGAATGCAGACGTTGACGCTATGGATCTTGTTGGTGGGTATGAGCAGTTGGATCCGACACGAGAGGTCCATCGATGCCTTGAGCAGGCGGAGGAGCTCGTCCGAAGACATGTCGCAACCAGCACGAAACCTTCAACCGTACATCTTCAATTACTGGAACGTCTTCAGGTTGGCTCCTTCGCGACCGACAACGGCGGTATAGTGCAGTTTCTCGAGAACCTTGCGGGGCTCAGCCCTGAAGCGTCTGAGCTGGCCCATAAGCTGCATTCAGCACTGCAAGCTTCTAATCAACAGATCGATGGCGCACGTTTCCAATGGGTCGACGGTATCCTTATTCGCTCGCTTGAGCAGGGCAAATGGCTCGTCCTCGACAACGCAAACCTGTGCTCAAGCGCTGTTCTGGACCGACTTAACTCGCTACTCGAGCCTAACGGCTACCTTTCAATCAACGAACACTCCACAGATGATGGCGAAGCACGCATCGTACGCCCACACCCGAACTTTCGTATATTCATGACTATGGATTCGAAGTACGGAGAATTGTCAAGAGCAATGCGAAACAGAGCTGTCGAGATATGTTTGTTGGAGGGTGAACATGAGGCTGTCCAAGACGATCGACTGATGGTTCAATATCCGCTTGACTCTGCTATGTATCGGTATCGCCAATTTCAAGAACACGAAGGTCATTTGTCGATAACTCTAGAACAACGCTTCGAGAGTTTGGGACTCCAGGACAACGATTTGTTGGCAAGTTTCGCCAAGCAGACCCGACAAGGACTTGTGTCATCTACCTCTATGCAATCGAATGGTATCAACGGTCTTGATGCCACACAGCTAACACCCGTGGTACCTCAAGCTAACGTTGACGATCGAATCCCACGATTTTCTCGTTTCCTAGAGACAACATGGGCACCACACGCAAAGGAGGTTTACAACAAACTGGGGACGGATGAGCTGACAAGGCTTCGCTCCTATCATCCTCTAGGCAACGAGCTGTTCCTCAACCGTACCGAAGCATCAAAGAGCCTAAATGTCTGGAGTGCGTCCATGTATGAGATCATGTTCGATCTTTACAACATGCAACAGGCCATTCAAGATCTTCCATCCGCTCGATTTGAACGTCGCAAAGAGAGACAGAAGCTGCCAGCATTCTTGTATGCGTACTGGCAAAGTCTCGTCAAAGTCATTGACGACTTTTGGAATGCGCTTCAGCAAGACCATCAGTTCGACGCTGCTTTCCTCAAGCCCTTGCGAACATTGTTCTGGGCCTTCCATGCTCTCACTACTGCTTCCACGTTCGATCGCGCTACGCTCCAGACTTATCTGAAGATGCTGGCGTCTGCTATACCCGCCATAGCCGGAGACTCAGGTCCCCTTATACAGTCTATGAGTAATGCACTCTCCAAACAGATCGCCGTCTTCGGGTCCGACGTCCAGCTAACCACAGGGTTGGGTATGGAATATATCTGGCGCGCGTTCAAAGCATCTACACCCACGACTTACGCTCAGCTAAATGCTATCTTGGAACTCGAAAGCTTAGCCGACAGGCTTGATGCAATTATGTGGCAGTCAACCCTACGCGTGGATGAGATGGTACAGTTACGCGAAAGGGTCGCTAGCTCGCTGAATCTTGTTCGAAAAAATCAAGTAGACGCCAAAGAACTTGTCGCAGGTCTCAGTGCAGCGATCCACGAGCTTGAGCAGAACATCAGCGAAGACAGTATGGTGATCACCCCATACTTTGAGGACGAATTTGAGGGTCTCTGCCAGTTCCTAGACATCGCGCGCGACGACGTCGTTACTGAAAAATCCGCATCGCCTACAGCGATTGTTGTAGCCACGCGAGCGAAGTCAGCCCTGTTTGCCCGGCGAGCAACAAAACTCGTAGATCTCGCATTCGGGCGATCTCATCATGGATCGGAGCATTTTACCAAACTATATCGCCATCTCGGGTTAACGCGCAAGCCAGCGAACGCTATGGTACTCCAAGGCCGATTTCACACCGCGGTACTTTTAAAGCTACATGATGCCGATGGGGTTCAGTTGGCACAGCTCGACCGGTTCGAGACGGAACTACAAGTCCTCTCCCAACAGGTGTCACTCGACGCTGGCCGCATAACGAACGACCAAAATGCTGCGCTAGACTTACTTTACACGGATATTTATAACGAGATCATCGCATCGCACGCCAATATACTTGTTAAGGTGGTGAATGAAGGCCCGGTTGTAGTATCTTCGGATGCCAACATTCCTGATGTCTATCGATCGACTCTAGAGGCTGGTATCGCAAGATGCGCTCGAGCGCCTAACTCTAGTATCGACTCAACAGCGTGGGTCCACTTGGGCCTTCTAGGTCTACAGTTGTACGTTCCTAATTACCCACACGATCCTGCACTCAGGCCCATGATCGAACGGGATATGTTTACTGCCGAAAAAGATTATCTCCTGAAAGCACTCAGTGCCTTGAAGCAATTCCAGATTGACTTCACCGGGCAAGATACAAGCTTCCGTATCCGGCGAGTCGAAGAAGTGATCGATAACATGGGTCAAGAGCCACCTGTGCCGGCCATCGTTCGTCCTGTTATCTCCGAGCTCGATGATCTTCAAGGCGAGTTCACAAACTTGTTGAGCACCGTACAACCTCTCTTGAACCAATCAATGTCAGTTCAAGAAGCGGCCCGTGACCAAACCTTGCAGCAAAATATCCTTCGAATTATCCAGCGGCTCACGGAAGGATATCGATCATATGACGACATCACAGATATCGCAGTCGGATTCCTCGCTTGTCTGCAGATTGGTCTCACTATGGGCCAAAGAGAAGAAGAGAAAAACGTCCAGGGCAATGTCAGCAAGAGCTTAGTATATATGTCATCGAGGACACCTTTCTTTGGGCGATCCCAGCCAATGGAGAGATCGGAGTCAGTGTTGCAGCTCATGGAAGAGAGTCTGGGTCACCGCGAACATGCTGTCGATCTCAGGTGGCACACTTTGTACTTTCTGCTTGTGCTGAACAACACTGATTCGGCTGCTATGACTACACCCACAGCCAGAACACTACTGCATGATTTGTTTGCTAGCTTGTACGGCGATTGGAAGGCCAAGCTACTTCAAGATCAGGAAAAGGAAGCGCAAAACTCGAGCCTGTACACGTATCGTGGAATGGACGACGATGAAGTCGAAGAAGACCCGACTCTCTTTCCGGACTATGATGCAGATGAAGAGGAACAAGCCAAACCGGCCCGATTGCCTTCAAATTCTCGGGATCATGCAATTCGACTTGCCAACATTCATGCCGAGCTTTTTGTCCAAGGCCGGGACGCTTCAGACTCCATCAAGGCTTTGCTAGAGTGGTGTGCCACCGAACTGAATCGCATATCGGTTGGCAAGAGCTATGGTAGCAAGCATGAAGATGTGTTGCCAACCATCTATCTCTCGCTCGAGAAGAAGGCCAACGCGCTATCGACCCCAGGCACAGCGAGGACCTACAATTTCTACTTCGACGCCAACCTATCGGAAGCCAAGCGCCTCATCACGCTCATCCACCGTATTCAGGCACGCTACCGCCAAATCCGCAGTGTTTGGCCAGAGCATGCTACTCTCTCGGAAGTTTTACGTACCTGTGACGAAGCCCTCGAGTTCCGACATGTCGATCCTGTGGCAAAGTTCATCACAAAGGCCGAGAAGCTTTATGCTTACATGCATGAATGGCAGAAGGTTGCCAGCAAAGAATACAACACTGCCAATCTCTTCGACGATCTTACCAAGCTCCTGGTTAGCTGGAGAGAGCTTGAGCTCACGACGTGGGCGCGACTGTTCGACATGGAGGAGGAAAAATACCGTGACGACGCAAAGAGCTGGTTTTTCGTCGCATATGAGACGGTCATCGCCGCGTCAGAGAGCAGCGAAGATGAGAAGAACCTGCAGATGCATGTCAAGAACTTACTCAAATCCTTAGAAGGGTTCTTCGAGGCGACAACGCTAGGTCACTTCGAGCAGCGTATCAAGCTCTTAGGGCAGCTTCGTCAACACGCAGCCATGCGCATGCAAGATGTTGATGCCTTCAAAACTGTGCATGCTGCACTCGACAATTTCCTTGCCTACTACTCGCGTCTTGAGAAGCCAGTGCACGAAACTCTCGCTAAGGGCCGCCAAGCACTGGAGAAGCAGATCACCGATGTCATCAAGCTTGCAAGCTGGAAGGACACAAACATCGAGGTCTTGAAGCAGAGTGCAAAAGCCAATCATCGCAAGTTGACCAAACTAGTCCGCAAGTTTAGGGCATTGCTCAATCGGCCTATTTCTGGTATAATGGGCGCTGGCTTCCCGGATGAGAATCATCTACTACAAGACGTCTCCTTGGAAAACGTTATCACTGCTGTCAACCCTGAGGCACTGGAGCTCTGCGCAACCAGCATTCCTGGATGGGAGGAGAGGCCTACTCGCTTCAAAAACCTTGCTGTTACAGTCTCGATGATGCGCAATCTCACAACGCCGAAGACTGATACTGTTGATGGCGCATCGTACATCAGCGAGTTCATTACTGACCTCTCTGGTTCTATCATCGAGCTGCAAAAGGCTACTCCCACTACGCTCACTGAGGAAAACAAGGCATCTGTGCAACATCTCAAGACTCAGAAGCGTAAGCTTTACGCCGATACGATGAAAGAGCTGCGGCAAATGGGCGTCAACTCAAATCTAAGTGTCGATACACTAGCAAAGCAGGATGAACTTTCGACAATACTCTCAACTATGCCACTGATCAAAGGAGGCGAGAACACTGGCGATGTCGCTGAGTATTACCTACACAAGGCACTCAACATCATGCCTCAGGTTCGCGCAGTCACTAGGGAACATTCCGGTGACTTGACTCCGAATGACGTGGCAAGAAGTATCGGCTATCTGGAGGGTTTGCTGTATGCTTCTATTCGGCAGCGCAATGTGCTCAGCAAGGCTGCACGCAGTTTCGAGCAGATCAATGCGCCGATGTCGCTTGTCGCCAACTCTTGCCAATTGGAGCACGGTCAACTCTCCCTAGTTTCCGAACAGGTAGACGTCTCAGACTTCGTACAACCACAGCTGCGTTGGCTCTCTGCTATGCTGAAGACCGCCACCGATGTGATAAATGCCCAAGCCAATCTCGGGAAGACGAATGAGCTGGACGCGTTGATCCGGGAAATGCGCGCCTGGACCAGCACCGCCCAGAACCTTGCCGATGCATACGATCAATTGCCAAAGCTACCATCTAACGTCCAGTCCGCTGGTTACCAAGGAGTCAACAATACCGTCAAAGCTTTCTTGTCCGACCTTCGGGGAGCGTTCAGCGCATCTATCAACAATAGTGACATTGCGCACACCGTGCTTCGGCAAGTCGAACCGTTCCTCTTCCACTACCCTGCTACCAATGTCGTCCAATTTTCAGATGATCTACACACATCCGTGGAGGCTCATACCAAAGACATTCTTGCTTCTCTGGATCTTATCTTGGGTTCGATGCAAGATGTGGAGGCTGCAATGGCGGGCATCCCTGCTTCAACGGATGATGCGTCCTGGCTCCTCAAAGAAGAGCAAGCGCTTTCTGCTGCGCTCATGGCTTTACACGCTCCTCATATCAGTGATACTTTGCAGACGCTGCTCGACAAGATGCAGTACCTCCATGGGGACGCCAATTTACAAGGTATTGTCGCTTTGTTCGCTTGCGTCAAACCTATCATGGATCAATACGTGGCAACGCACAAGTATATCGTCAACCGCCTCGACGCTCTTCATGCGTCAACTGCGAATCTACTTCACCGCCTCTCGAAGTCGTTTATTCAAATCGGCACGCAAGGCTTCTGTCAACCCCCCGAGAAGTCTAACGATCCACAGAAGGGTAAAGACGAGAAGCTTGAATCTGGTACTGGTCTCGGTGAGGGAGAAGGTGCTGAAGATATCTCCAAAGATATTGAGGACGACGAAGACCTTGAGGATTTGGCACAAGAGCAGAAGGGCGAGCGTGAGGGAAGTATCGAAGAACAGGAAGATGCAGTCGACATGGGTGAGCAAGAGATGGAAGGCGAGACGGAGGAGGTTGGAGAGAAGGAAGACAAAGGCGATGAGTCTGGCGAAGAAGGAGACGATGACGCGCAAAGTGAGGTTGGCAGTGTGGATGATCTCGGCCCTAGTGCCGTGGACGAAAAGATGTGGGACGATGGTGGCAAAGAAGACGATGCCAAAGACAAAGAAGGAAAAGAAGACGTGGGGACTGAAGACCAAGAGGAGCAAGTTGCTGCCGAGCAGAAGGAAAAGGAGAAGAGCGGTGAGGATAAAGAGGAAGATGGAGAAGATGAAAAGAAGGAGGGAGAAGAAGACGAAGATATGGAGATGGAAGGCGAGGACCAGGATGAGAACGTTGGTGCTGGCGAGAAAGAGCAGATGGACCCCCACGCAAAAGAAGAAGAGACATTGGACTTGCCAGAAGACTTGAATATGGATGGTCAAGATGACGAAGGCAAAGAGGACGATGATCTTGGAGATATGGACATGGGTGACGATTTGCCAGAAGACGAAATTGGTCCGGATGTCGATCCAGGCCAGCCCGATACCGTGGATGAAGATATTGGTCCCGAGCAAGAAGGCGAGGAGGAGAAAGATACAACCGGTCATGTTGAAGATGAAGAACAGCCAGATGGAGAACAGGAAGATGAGGGTGACGAGCCGATGGACGACGATGACGCTGTTCCTCTTCCAGATGAGAATATGCCAGAAGACGAGGTTCGCGACCAGAAGGATACTGACCAGGCTGACCCCAGTGCCGAAGCTGGTGCAGGTACCGAAGCCAATGAAGAAGCGCACAAGAACCAAAATGAACAAGCTTCTGCCAGTGCCGCGAACCAAGACGAAGGTCAAGAGGGAGAGTCAGCCGAACAGCAACAAGCACCGACGACTGAAGACGGGCAGCTTGGACAAACAGCAGCGCCAGATGCTGGTGGACATGGAGAGCAGCCTGAGGAGTCTAAAGAGACGCAGTCTTTCAAGAAGCTGGGCGATGTGCTAGAGAAGTGGTACAACCAGCAGAAACAGATTCAAGACGCCCAAGAGAAGGATGAGACGCAAGCTCAGCAAATTGACAAGGAGATCGACATGGCTGATGCGGACTTTGAACATCTTGGCGATGACGAACAGCAGGCGGATACACAAGCACTGGGTACCGCGACTGAGGACCAAGCAAAAACTTTGGATCACGACATGGCTCTGCCGATGAACGAAGAGGAAGAAAAGATGCCAACTCGACCCGATGATAAGGACGAAGAGATGACAGGAGCTGATAAAGACACCGAGATGGAGGAGCCTGAGCAGCAACAAGACCAAGACCAAGAAGCTCAGCAACCGCAATCGAACGCGATGGAAGGCCAACCGCAGGCTTTCGTCGGCGAACAGCGGCCCTTCCCTGATCAAGAAGACGAAGACATGGCCGATGCTGTTGAACTCGACGATGATGTTTCGTCTACGACGTCTTCTGCAGACAACATTGAAGCCCAGCTCTCGCTCACGCACCTCGACCCATCCACCATGGATTCCACATCGGCACGCGCCCTTTGGCTCGCCCATGAAGCTTCGACACATTCGCTGTCCCAACAACTTACAGAGCACCTCCGCCTCATTCTCGCGCCCACTCTCGCCACAAAGCTCCGCGGCGACTTCCGCACGGGAAAGCGACTCAACCTCAAGCGCATCATCCCATACATTGCATCAGGTTATAAGCGCGACAAGATCTGGCTACGACGCAGTATGCCAAGCAAGAGGAGCTACCAAGTCATGATAGCGCTAGATAACAGTGGCAGTATGGCCGATAGCGGAGCCAGCGGTCTCGCACTCAAGACCCTTACTCTCGTCACTCGCTCGTTGTCTATGCTTGAAGTTGGTGAAGTCAGCGTCGTAGGCTTCGGCGACGAGGTCAATGTCGCGCATGACTTTGACAAGCCCTTCACTTCCGAAGCTGGTGTACGTGTCTTTGAGCAATTTGGTTTCGACGCCAAGAAGACAAATGTTCGGGGCCTGGTTGACAAAAGTCTGGAGCTGTTCAAAGATGCTCGGCAGAAGGGATCAAGTTCAGCAGGTGAAGACCTATGGCAACTAATGCTCATCGTTAGCGACGGTCTATGTGACGATCACGCCGAAATTCAACGCCTCGTTCGTAAGGCACAAGAAGAGCGTGTGATGATTGTTTTCATCATCATCGATAGCTCTGCCGCCGCACCTCTGGTGCCGACACCAGCACCGTCTGATAACCCAGGCGCGCAGCCACCGGCGCCAGTAAAGGATCAAGCGAAGACTTCTATACTGGATCTGCAGTCTGCGGTGTTCACACCCGAGGGCAAGATCGTGAGATACAAGTACATGGAGCAGTTCCCATTCAGGTACTACTTGGTAGTGAGGGATGTTAGGGAGTTGCCGGGAGTTTTGGCGGGGGCACTGAGGCAATGGTTTGGAGAAGTTGCTGGGAGTGTTTAATGGCTTCGTTTGAGAGAAAGGACAATAGGCATGATGAATGGTGCATTTGCATAAATAGGAGTCTGGGTTGGTTTGGGTATTTCCGCATTCGTGGAGTTGCATTTGCTGGAGTTGTAGTTTTTAGCAGTTGTTAATATGCTATAAAAGTTTCTGTGCGAGTCCTGAACTACATGATGTTCTTTCATTGTCTATGTTTCCCGTATCCTGCAATCGGGAAAACCCCCATTAAACATCAATCGCTGAAATAATCCGCAGCAAAAAGGTTCTCTACAGTCAACACAATTGGGTGTATCAAGCTGCAGGATCGGTATTGTATGGTCAATGCAAGGAAAACGCGAGCTCGAAGCTACCGGGACAGGAATCTCAAAGCCTGATACAATTCTTGCACGAAGTACGCAAGCTCAAACGGACTAGAACATGACCAACAGCTATCATTGGCGCTCACAGCTGCTCTACTTGGCCATTTTCGCAGGAATGTTGGCCAGCTGCAGTAGTCTACCCCGATAACTGGGGCCTCGTAGGAGCGCGAGCCATCAGACACATGTCAACTGGCGCAGTGATGCTACCTACTTGAGTCTCGTATGCACTTTGGGTGCTTGGACTCTTCAGTCGTCGAGGTTAAGCAGGTGCGAATGGGTATTCATTCAAGCACAATGACACAAGGAACATTCGTCGCATGCTGTGAGATGTAAGCTGGTTTCTACCTTCAGTCTTTACCTTTTACAGCACACATACGTTGCCTTGCAAAGCTCCTTCTTTTGTCGAATGATCGAAGCGACAACCAATTATTTCTAAGAATTCAAGCCACGAAAGCTCTCTTGTCACAAACACGCCTTTGACTACACGGCCTGCCGGACAGGGCAACTCCCATAACCCTACCGAAGATACTTTTTCGTGAGTGATGCCGCCCTCAATCTGTGTTTAGCAAACACGTCCTCTAACAAGCATTAGGGTCACAGCCACGTGCGCCTGCTCCACCTTCAGCGCCGATGACGAACACTATACACATCGCATCAATACTGATGGTATTATTCCGGGTTACTCAGGTATAATTACGATCAGCGGGGATAAAGGGATCGAATTCAAATTCATCAGATCACTATTTGAAACGACATCAGAGAAATGATGCATGCATGCGTATAAATGTTCGGAAATGTGGGCATGTATTTAGTATTATGATAGATCGTGAGAGAGTCGTGGTGCTTTTGTAAGTATCTAAATGAATGATTTGGCGATTACGGTTATCACTTTATATCATACACCTTTTCCAATAGGGTGTTAGTTCTCTCCAGTTAGGAAAAATGTTTGATGGGCTTTACTGCCGGCAATTCATACTTATATCTTCCAGCTCGTCTGCTTGTTACCGTTCACTAACCCCATCTTTCCACGCCTTCACCTCCTCTTGCCTCAGCTGCGAGGCCGGCCCAGTCCAAAGGTCTTCTGGTGCCTTATTATTCGTACCTGGATCCTTCATCTCCTCATTTTGTGTATACATCATCACAGCGTCAAGCCAAGCTTCAACTTTCGTTTGCTCCGGAAGCGATTTGTGGACCTCAGCATTATTGTGCCGCAGAGCACGATGCAGCAGTGGACTGCCGGGTTGGCTATGAGACTCGTTATTATGTTCACGATAGCGACCTGCTCTAGTGCAAGTGTTAGTAGATGCTCCTCTGACGGAAATGACAACGTAGTAATATCAGATCAGGGTATGGTACTGACACTTTGGCTGCATGGGAACTTATCGAGAGTGAGCTTCGCTCTTCATGCATAGTTTTCCCACGTTTGATGCAATAATATCTGCCCACTTTGAGTGTCGAAAAGATCGTGTTGCGAGAACAATGGGAACCCGGCTCTGGCAAACGAAGCTAAAACTCGGGTAAGACAACGGAATGCAAATAAAGAATCGTGAAGCATGCTAGATTTGGCAGGTGTGACGATGTCGAATCTGCGGCCCAACGCTTCATCATGGGCGAGTCACAGCAGACAGCTAGATACAACTGTAGTCAAGAGAATGCATGAGGTTTCAGAAACTCGATACGACAAAGATATAGGTCTAGTGATTGTACTGAGGATGTCGTCCATGGAACAGACTTGTCTAGCCCGGGAATGGAGGCTCGCTTGGTAGCATTTACGGGACAGTTGATGTTACCTGTGATAACCTAGTTAAAGCGTCCGAATGAAGTGTGGTCATTCCAGTAAAGTTCGACGGTGTGATGTAGGTAGTGGGTTACGCGTAACCGAACGCGACAACCCAGTTGAAGGAATGTGAGTGACCTGGCATCTAGACTGAATGCAGCGCGATCAATTCTTGGAACTCCCACGTTTGCTATAGTGGACGTGCATGCCATAATGCCCGTGCAGTCCAGGTGACTCGGAAACTCGTTCCACTATACACGACCCGGATGTCCAGAAGCAGAAGAACACCTGCAGACTCTTCGGCGCGGATCGGCAAGACTGCAGCCGTAGGAGCGAATGGGTAATCTTACAAGAACTTGGCAATGGTGACAGAGATCCCGACTAAACGGTAAGTTGAGCCTAGTTGCAATTGAAAATATAGGACGGGAGGCCTAAGCCAGTTCCGCGAGACGCAAGCGAGATAACTTTTCTGGAAGGCTTCCACATCCGCCCGTTGCTCGCTGTGTGTCATTTATTATTCCTGCCAAGCATATCTTCGCCCAGCCCAAGTTCAGGACCCTAAGCATCGGCCTCGAAAAGGAAGAGCGTATTTGACGCCGACATCGAACGTCCTCAGAGTGTAGTTCAGAGGCCATGGCCAACTTCACTTAAGCCTGCGAAAGTCTCGCATATGCCAACGGAAGAACTGACTGGGCCTGCACCGGGTGCAGTGCACACCCCCGAAGGCGGCATATCAGCTGACCGTCGATCTTTGCTGCTCGCCTTCGACAAATGCCCGTGTTGTGAGGGGTGAGATCTGTCATGGATGGCCATTGCTCAACGCGCAGGTAGGGTTAAACCATGAGCGCGTGGTAAGATCGCAAGGATGAAGCATGAGGCGGTCGTTCTGGTTTGTTTAGCTATGTCGAGGTTCCGCGTTCATCATGGCTCAAAATGGTGGGCTGAACCCTGGCGCGTAATGCCCCAACCCGAGCCGATTAGCAGTGCGTCCGACGGCACGTTGCCGAACCATAAAATCATCAAGCTATCCACCAACTAGGGATTAAGGTTTCGCATTAGTGCCGCCAACAGTGTAGTATGCGACGGAGAAGGCCTGATAGAAGATGCTCTTGGAAAGGATGTCCATTGTTTCGCTTCGCTAGAGGAGCATATCCTGGGCGACGGTCGAGGCAACCCAGAAATCTCAAGCTTCGTATGAATTGTCCAGAGGCATCTCGGTGCTATTCATCGAAGGTTGTCCAAGTTTGTTAGGAGCTGCCGTTGGCGACATTGCGTGTGAGTACCTTCGCACTGCCTACTAGCCGAGGTATTGGCGGGGAAATTGCGTGTGGAGATGGTGAGAATATGAGATCAGCCATCTGACGCATCGTATCTCCCGTACGATACCGGTGAAAGAGCAATAATGGTGCCTTAACGCATCCAAAACTATTAAGCTAGGCTGGACATTCCAAGACCCGATTCGGGCGGAGATAGCTCCGATTGGTATGAACACCCGCGCAGAGGTCCTCGGACATGGAGCGGACAACGTAGCAAGTGACCACGACTGTGCATTCGTGCAACAATTTTGTAGACGGCGCCGATAAATCATAATCAAGACATTCCATACTCATTTATGTACTAAAACTCTTCGATTACAGCCCGTATTGATTGACCAACCAAATATTACACATTAAGTCATCCGATCCCATGATTCAACTTGCGGTAGGCACTCTTGACACAAGCTTGGAGCCCGCAACAAAATAACGACTCCGCCTCGAGATACCCTCCCTCAAAGTGCGGACGTCGCAGTGTATTAGTCAAGATGCGACTTTTCAGGCATATAGCAGTGGATTGGCAACACGAAGTTGAGGTCTAGTCCGGCCTTCTGTAAATCAATAGCTTTGGAGATCTTTTGACATAAGGCCGCACTCTGGTCGAAATGCGAGTCATTAGACTCTAATTTTTCTTGTGTAAGAGCTGAAACGCTGGTACGACTCGACATAGTCGTGTTGTCAATCTGAGGAGTGTCCTCTTGTTGAGTGGCGGGTAGTATATCCTGGCACACGTTGCTCGCTAGGGGTCTGTGGCGCTGGGCTGGAACAGATTCGACGATGATCGGGCATTGTGTATAGTCTTGCTCCGACATGGACAGTGATCGGAACTCCGACTGGATCGCTGCTACCCTACAATACGTTAACAACTCTATATCCCCTGACCAAGGCCGCGGAAAGATGGCAAACAAATGCTTCCGGCAGGAACAACGAACCAATGAGTGGAAAACACATACATGATGTCGTTGGCGTGGAAGATACAATACAAAAGTTTGGAGTGTAGGCACGGCGACGTATACGGAGTTTGATTGAACGTAGCGAAACACAGTGGACCAGCAAGTGGAAGTGATACCGACTTCTTGATGGATATCAGGATGGAATGAAACACTTTATACATTATTCCTCCACGTGGTCAAGAACGCTAAGCTTCACAACGGGCTATCATAACTTGAGAGATATCAATGAAAGCAAGCTAATATCATGTCTACCAATGCGATTAGTTGGAGATGTGGAGACGACGAGGGGGAGTGGTCATTCGGAAGAAGTTTTGAAACTTTCGTAGTTTGATACAAGATCGTCCGCAAATTTGCGAAAGAAGGCAACAAGGCAACCCCCATTCAGCGTTCTTAGCGGCCGCTAAACCTATTACAAGGTTAGCTTTGGATATGCGATGCCTACTTGTAGGCAATCATGGTATGCGCACCACGTTGCTTACTACTTCGGCATTGATACTGCTATGCCTATCGACGAAGGATGGCGCGTCTCTTGGTTGATCTACATGGACATTAACATACTCACAATATTTCCGCCGAGCTTACCCACGGAGACAATGCCTAGTGACCATTACCATGTCATCTACATTGGAGCGGGTCGGAATAGCATATCTGTTCTTGCCGATCGGACGACATGACGGGGCGTCGGTCAATAAACACATTTAGTATGATCAATTGGGTGCCGCGCCCTCACATCTGGTGTACACTGCGGCGCGATGGACGTGTAGGTTGCGTTGTTGTGTGCCGATGTGTGGCACTTACTGCCATAACGATCGCCACAAGGATGAAATAGCCACTCTGTCGAGCTAGCGCAAGGCACAATTGAGCATTTGCAGGGACCCTACGATGGCTAGAACGTTCCACTATAGCTGTCACCTCTACCTGCAGTCTCCACGAGCCAGACGTTATAATGGCCCTCAACAGGCATACTGTAAAGGGCAAGAATAGAAGCGTAAGGGGCCTCAAACATGAGGCCATCTGAAACCCTCCAAGCCTATGTGTTGGAGAACCGCGGGTAAAAAGCCTTGGTGTGGCAAACGCCTGTCAGTGCTCGATCGACACGCCAGCGGGCGTGACGACTTTTGTTGAGAGTGCGGCGCGTGACGCCTTGTAAACGGGGAAAAGAAAGCACGTCAAGGCGGCGTTGGAAGAGTCCCTCGCGGCACAAAATAGTATGCCAACCAATTTCATCGGTTGCGACGCATCTGCGTTGTGTTTGGAAGTCGCCCATGAAGACGCAGATATAACAACTTCGGATGTTATGACATCATGGAGGGAACTGTAAGGCGCCGAAAGAAGCCTTGTGCACTGGTTAGGCTAGAGACGGACCTGGCGAGGCCGCACAGCGAGCGGCAGGCCTTTGCGAGGCGCCGTGACCACAAACCCGTTCGGGACGGCGGAGACTTGAGTTGCCGGAACGTTGGAAGAGGCAGCCGAAGCGAGCGAAGCTAGGTTTCAGTAAGCGGATAGGGTGTCGCCATTGCTGTCCTGTAGATAACCGAGTGAGTGACAGGTGCCAGGCGCCGGGCGTGAAGATCCTCCCTAGACAAGGTTCTAGCCCTGGAACCATCAGGGGTCCTAGCTTGGGATGCTCGTAGGGCGACATAGCGAAAACGGGAATCTCGCAATCATCAGAACTCTTGACCGATCAGTATCATGCGATGACGAATGCCACATCGGCCTCACCTTGATGTTTTGACCCGCACACGCTATGATGTTTCTACACACGATTGCCCAACCTGGAAATAAGAAGACGAATGATGTTCGCGATTCCGCAGACGCGATCAAGGCAAGCAACAGATCCCACCGCTCCAGACCAGTACTGGCATGGATGCTCAGAACACAGCATGGATTGTGCGTACAACTGTTGCAGCCAATCTTTTCCAGGACCACCGCCACACCCACTACCATCCGGCGGACGGATCATGTTTGTTTGAAGCAAGCCCAATTAAACGTACTTCTCAGAAGGACTAAAGGCCCGACATGATCAAGACGCATTGGCTTCAGGAACAGCCCGCGGGTTTGGTACCGAGGTGCGTTACGATAGTAATGGGCCGACGCATAAGACACCTATGCAGGCTATATATAGGGAGGCCGATATTGGACCGAGAACTAAACAGCTGACTTATTTTGCCTTGTACAGGGTGCGCAAACCATGGCAGGATTACAAAGACATAGAACTACATGTTTGTCCCCGCAAAGCCTTTGTGTCTCCAAGCCGTACGAATCGTCCCAGCGTGAGAAGCACGTCTCTTTTGTTTGGCCTGCCGTGCGAGCTCTGGAAGTTTTGTGGGCTTGCATCGATCTGTCCGTAAGAGCTGCTTAGTACTTGCATTATGATCTTCAAAGACGTCCGAACAGCAACGCGTCCAGACATCAACGAGTTCTACGAAACCTGTTGCCGGCACAAAGATGGCCAAGTTCCTAATCAAACGAGCATAAGTATGCTGTTGTTGCATGAGCAAGATCGCTACGACATGTGCCCAGATCGCGATCAAGATCCTCGCGCCGCTGGAAGAAGCTAGTGCAGTGCCAGACGGAACGAACAGATCATCATTAACTATTGCCCATCTCTAAGCCTCACTAATACCTTTAACGGTCGCTTCTCCCAGAAAATATAGGTCTTTTGTTCACCAAAGTCGCGAAGTTCCTCCATAGCCTGTAAGTCGAATGTGAAGATGAGCCGCGCGAGCGTCAACCGCATGATGGTCCAAGCCAACTTTTGTCCACTGCACTTATGTCGCCCAAGCAGAAACGGCTCGAATGCGTCTAAGCGATCAGACGCAAGCGGCGAGTCCGGTAAGAATCGTTCAGGGATGAACGTATCTGGGTTTGTAAAGTTCAGTGTTGAGCGAAACGTCGGGTATTGATTTACGGACACAAAAGTCTGCAGGATGGTGTAAGCAAGTATCCACTTCCAAATATCTCTCAAAGTCACTTACGTTGCCTGGTACAAGTTGACCGCAGATACGTGCACCTTCGTTGGGTGTGACGCGTGGCAAACCGACGGCTGTTGGCGGTCCCATTCGAATCCCTTCCTGTATGATCGCTGTGAGGTACTCAAGCTTTGCCACGCTAGCAATCGTGATCTCGTCTTCGGTCTCGTATGCTGAGCGTATCTCCAACTCTAGTGTCTTCAAAGCACTCGGGCTCTGTAAAAGCTGCGTGAGTATCGCTGTCATGGCTGTACTTGTAGTTTCGCTGCCAGCGAATATGAGCACAGTCATGTTCGCCTCGATCTCCTCTTTCGGAATCTTGACCTCGCCCTTCTCTTCATTGTAAGCCATGATAGAGCCAACGTAGTCTTGTGCCTTCATCTTGTTTTCCATAGTAAGGCGTTGCATGAACTTCTCATGCACGAGGTTTCTGTGATAATCCATCCTTGCAATGATCTTTTTCGGCATCCCAAGTTTCATCAACTTGTTCAAGGGACGAAAAAAATTGATCGAAGCTAAGAGAGCGATACCCTTTCCGAAGCTGCAACTAATCTCTACCCAAGGATGTGCGCGGCCTTCTGCAACGCTACCAAAGGGCTCGCCAAAGGAAAGAGCGCCAGATATGTCGAATGTCAACCAGTTCATCCAATTCGTAAGATCAGTAACGGCGTTTCCTTGGCCTTGTATGCTGGCGTCTTTCAACTTTTGTATCATAAGACCAATGAGACCTTCGAAAACGGGCGCATGTTCCACGATCGCATGTTCGGTGAATGCACCAGTCAATGCTCTACGGTTTCGCAAATGCGTCGCTTCGTCCGTACTTACGATACTAATTGGGTGATGTTCTTCCTCCTGGCCGGCCCAAACTCGATTTTTCACGATTTTGCGATTGCCATAGATGTCTCTCCAGGCTTCAGCAGTAACATAAGACAGCTCGTCCGGCGCAACACGAACGACTGGACCATATCGCTCATGGAACTCGTGCAGTTTGAGGTGGTAAAGACCAGATTGCATGGAACGCGCCCACGTCAGGCGCGTGGCTGCCCAAGATTTCGGTCCCGGATAATTCCGGAGAGGATGTAAGTAAAGGTTGTATAGTACCCTACATACGATCTGCACGTTGTGAGCATCCTTATACCTATGTGACTGACATCCGAAAACTTACCAGAACGGTAGTACTCAGCAACCCGAAAGCGATAATATTCTGTAAATGGCTCATTGTGACTGTAGCAGGTAATTGTGCGGATGTACTGTTCTGCGCTGAGCCACACTTATATTCCACGACGGCATGGCTCGTCAAACCGGTCAGTCGGGGATCGGGCTCTCGGTATCTCGCGCTGCGAAATGCCAACAGTATCACCCGACTTCAGCCTGCCGAGCGCGTACGACAGCTCGGAATTACATCTCGTAATCACCAACTGTAAGAACGATAGGCCTTTTGATAAGAACAGCTGTGACATGACGAATTTGAACATCTGTGGACCGGAAAGGGTACCTAAGACCCTGGTCGGTGACTCGATCAAGGCCCTCCAGTTGCTTACATAATGGCACTAGGCAATCGTCGGCTATATGCCTAAGCCTTCTCTCTCACACATTCCATCTCTAGTATCCTGCAAATCCGATCATGTAGTCCAACGTCCGGCCCTCCCTATACTCGGACGCGAGAGCTCGGATAAATGTCCACCTCTATGACATTGCAGTGCGCTGTCTTTTTCGTGCTTGAACGCCCGTCATTGTCGAACTAGTACAGCTTGTTTCCGCCTTAGCATCCCTCGAACATCACCTAGATCCAGGGTTTTCCTCTTTTCTACCAACAGTTTCAATGGATCCCTCGGATTCTGACGCTTTTGGCTCGGTTACCTTTATATGGAGGATGCTGGGCCTGCCACAGGATGCACTCAACTCACTACACGTACCTTTGGATGTCGAATGCTTGCCATCCTCCTTCAAGGTCGACGTCCTCGCACAATCTACCATCGCATCGTCTGCGCTTGCTGCAGCTCTCTTTTGGTCCGTTCGGAATGCTTCTCCGATTCCTCAGGTTACAGTTCCAGCTGAGCACGCATGCGTCGAGTTCAAATCTGAGCGATTGTATGCTGTCAATGGAAAGTCTGCATTCCCACCTTGGGACTCTATTGGTGGGTTTCATAAAACAGCTGATGGATATGTGAGAATACATGATTCTTTTCCAAATCATCGTTGGAATGCACTACATGTCCTAGGACTTCCACTAGACGCATCGAAGGAAGAGGTGGCTCAAAAAGTGCTGCAATGGAGAGCTGTGGAACTGGAGGCCGAGGCTTTGCGCTGCGGAGCTGTCATCGCTGCGCTAAGGTCTCTCGAGCAATGGGACGCGTTAGCCCAAGCCAGGGCTATTGCAGACTTCCCAATCCTCATGAAGCGAATTGCAAAGTCTGAGTCGTATATGCCACCGACACCGATAACAAAGGCAGTAAACAAGTGCCTTCAAGGTGTCCGCGTCGTAGAAATGAGCCGAGTCATAGCTGCGCCAGTCGCTGGAAAGACGTTAGCCGCGCACGGGGCCGACGTCATCTGGATCACATCACCATCCCTACCTGATCTTCCTGATCTCGACATCGATTTATCCCGCGGCAAGCGCACGGTGCAAGTCGATGTCAAAAAGGCTGAACATAAGGCCAAGTTACTAGATCTGCTCTCCACGGCCGACGTCTTTCTCCAGAGCTATCGTCCTGGAAGCCTTGCTGCACAAGGTCTCTCCGCGGAAGAATTGACAAACGCAAACCCAAAGCTGATCGTTGCAAATCTCAGTGCTTATGGCCCTGATGGTCCTTGGTCGAAGAATCGCGGGTTTGACTCACTTGTGCAGACGTGCTCTGGTATCAATGTGGCAGAGGCCGAGCGCTATGACGCCGACGAACCAATGCGTGTCTTACCCTGTCAAGCGTTCGATCATGGTGCTGGTTATCTTCTAGCAACTGGGATCATAGCTGCGTTATACAAGCGTGCCATTGATGGAGGCGCCTATGAGATCAATGTATCGTTGGCTGGTGTCATGAAATATATGCGGTCTTTGGGCCGATACGATAGCAAAACTGGGTTTGAGCGTAAAGACTTCAAGAAGCCAGAGGACGTGAAACAGTATCTGGAGCTGCGGCAAACGCATTTCGGGAGTCTAGAAGCAGTAAAACATGCCGCTCACATTGAGGGCCTGTCAGTCGGGTGGGACATCATGCCAAAACAGTTGGGTAGTGATACGGCGTGTTGGCGCTGATGATTCGACACTATACTACTCGTTCAAATAGCACCGCATTCATGACGAGGACTCTTCGATGCCAACCCACAACGACTCAAATCAATGCTGGATGAATTAAATTCGTTGCCTTCGAAACTTTAGTTGTCCATGATACAGCTTCGAGAAGCCGGAGCGACATCTCACCGTCATCTTGAGGCTTCGCGATCGCGCAATCACGAGCGTTCTATCCCAATCATGATAAACGTAGACTTTAGAATTAGTATCGGATGGCCACATTTCTGACGCGTATTGAGTCGTTGCAACGTGCGTTCCAAAGCCGTAGTCGCTGTGGAGCCATTGACGTCATCATCGCCCGCGTACCTGCATTAGCCCTCGCCCCTCTCTACGCCATTCACGTCTGCCACTATTTCTTGTCTTCGACTCATCGTCTGTCTATCAGTCAAAATCACCGTTACCAATCAGTACCAGCATCATGGCCGAAGTCGCAGCAGGCGCGTACATCGCGGCGGAGGTGGTTGAACACACCGCGGAAGCAGGCTACGCTGCTTACATCGTCTCTAAGCCAACGCTCCCTCTCAAAGTCACCTTTACGCGTATGGCTACAGCAACAGGTGACACATCGGCGTATGTAACCCAGTGTTTTTGTCAACAGGGTGAGGCTGACCTCCAGACGCTCGTTGGCGCGCTCCAATCATACAGTCACGGCCATCGGCAACAAGGCTTACATCTTCGGTGGTGACACGGCGAACAACGTTCTTGCTAGCAACCATGTGCATATCGTCACTCTTGAGCACTCGGGGAAACCAGAAATGGATTACAGTATCATCCCAGCTTTGCCGACATCTGAAGGTGATCGCATACCCGCAGCAAGATCGAGTCACACAGCTTGCGCCTTCCACGGGAACGTGGCAGTATACGGCGGTAGTGATGAGAACGGTGGTCTGATCGATGAGCAATCATCTGTTTGGCTCTTCAGCCCCGAAAGAAAGAGCTGGGATATTCTGCAGCCATCCAAGGGAGATGTCGACACCGGAGATATCGGCCCAGGGCCACGTCGCAATGCCCAATTGTTCGCACATGATCAGCACGTGATTTTGTTTGGGGGAGTGGATGGTTCTGGCGACAATGCATCAGACCTATGGCAGTTCGACATCGCTGCGCGGTACTGGACACAGCTTCCGACAGCACCAGTCGCGACATCAAACGCCGCACTAGCGAATGGTCAATTATGGCTGATATCTGGATCAGATCAAATGAGCAGTCAGCTGCATCATATCAGTGTCTCTTCTTCAAGTGAAGAGAGGAAATGGGAGTCTTTCACGTTTCCTACGAACCCACTAGCACCAGGCCCTCGTGCACGACATAACGGAGCCTTATTACCAGTCACTACAGGTTGGGGTCGTAACTACCTCATTTACCTCCTTGGAGCTCGGAATGACTCCTCTGCTGATATTCCGAACACCAAACCCGAAGATCCGAAGCATGCGAATGAAGTTACTCAATTCAGCGACACCTGGGTTCTCCAGATACCCTCAAGTGACCTGGAAGCTAAGCCATCGATGACGCTCAAGAATGCCATCAATCCTGCCAAGATCAAAGATGCTATTAGATCTGCTCTAGGTGCTGATACTGGACACTTGTCATGGGCGGAAGCGGTAGTACAGCTACCTTCGGACAAGCAACTGGAGGAAGGAGATGGCAAGCTGCATCCTGGCCCGAGAGCGTTCTTCGGTGCGGATGTTATGGAGAAAGGCAGCAGTGTAGTCTTTTGGGGTGGAGTGGATGCAAAGGGTGAGAGGGTCGGTGATGGATGGGTCGCAAGATTCGAGTGAATGATGCGGTACATAAGAATGTGTGTGTTCTGATGGGGGGTGCAACAGTGGATAGTTACATGGCAATTTTTTGTACCTGCCTCGACACCCATCGATGACCCATTTGTTCTACAACGTCTTTGACATATCCCATGTCCCGGGTCTTCTAATGTTTCGTCATGTGTCATGGTCTCTTTCATAGTCATTCATTTCTCTTCTTCGAATTGAGCACCCATACGGATGAGATCGAGATGCTGCAGGTATGGACAGCGAGGAGGAGGAACGGGTGTTGTCGTCTCAGTGGTGGAAGTGGCAACATGTTCGGATTGTGTATCAGTGTTCGAGTCGCCTGGCTGTACCTTGGTACTTGCAGAGAAAGTCAGTAGATGACAGGGCAGTAGATTTGGTATAAGCTCACGACGAAGTCTCTTCGTTGCTAGCGCTGAAAGTTGCGTTTGCATGGTTTAGGTTCTGACCAATGGGGGTGTCTCGGTAAGAAGAGCCCATGATCGATGAATCTGGTTAGAAAGTAAGAGTTGGAGGAGTATTAATAGTAAGTAGTAAGGAATGGAAGGTCGAGGTTTGGCGACTGTAAGACAAAGCACACGGGTAGCGGGTGCATTATGTATCCGGACATGCTGGGAGAAGGACTTCGTTCAGCGTCGCCAGACACTGGACTTCGGATCCTACAATGACTTCTTGCTGCGTTGCGACATCAGGAGCCCGTGTGTCCTGCTGTCTGAGCGATCGTTGCAATTCCGGCACCGAGGTGCTGGGGGCCTAGTAGTATAAGACTACCCTCCCCAGTTTGTCATTGGCTCCTCTAGTAATGGCGGTGACAACTTCAGTTTACTAGACCGTGCGCGGCGGAAGGTATGGATGTAAGAAGGCGCGTCGGTGGTTCGCTGTCTGTCTACGAGCAAAACGCGCGGAAACAAAATAGTGGGGCGCCTATATGATTACCTCGCGCTTAGCTGGATTTGGTCGTAACCTAGCCCAAGCGTAGTCGAATGCTCTTCTCCGCCTTGGAGCTGCCACAAAGGAAATTGGAAGTGAAGTTTGACGCGTTGGTGGCTCGCTAGGTCCTACCTCAAAGCGTTAGCACAATCGCCGTCACGCTACGTAGGTAATATCCCACAACCAGCCTAGGCGTCTTTGTGTTATGTGGGCGCATTCCCGGCGTCGCTATCTGTTGGCGCGAGTCAAGATCTGTTTCTAACGTGTGTGATCTCGGTCTGCATATTGCAAAAGCACACTCAACAACGAAAGTCCAACGCGCTTGCTATTAGTGATGCCCAGCATGGTCCACTGACTAACGAATCAAGCCACTTTACTTCAGCCACTTTGACTCGCATGCATGAGATACGAATGCGTCCCTCAGAATTCTGGAGTCAATAAACGTACTGCGCTCCTGAAGCAGCGGTGTGTGTATAGATGCTGATAGGAACATCCGCAGGTAGCTGCTCATCTTCATCGACCCATACAGCAGCACGCAATTAGGTAGCCTCCCGATGCCGAATGTTCACACCATACAGCTTTACGAATCCGACTATACGGATCAAAGATGAGGTCCATTTACGATGTTGAACTTTACGATGATGCGAAGCTTCGTCAGCAGATGATCTGGTGTCACTTGCCATCATTTGAAGCCACAGTGATCTACGCATTGTCAACACCAGGCTTGTTCTCCTCTAAACATGACGCCACACTAGAACACTGCAGGCCTGGCAAGGGGACCTTCAACCTAAATTGCGCAACCACGTTGTCAGCTTGGCACAGCCCTAGCGGCAGATTGGTGGCAAGACTGAAAGCAAAACAGTCCGCATGCACGGAGTGGTGTGCATGTAGTCGGCAGCCTCTCAGCCCCGTGGCACTAGTAGTCGCCGATCGTACCCTATCTGACCGTAGCTCCCTCAATCTCACGCCCCACCAGCTCCTCGACCCCACGCTCCACCTGCTCGGCAACTTTCACGCAACCCTTCGTAAAAACAGGCCTATCGACGAAATCCTTATTGCGATCACTATGCATTATGAATCTTGCAGGCCCCTATCTACTTTCAAGGCTCCGTCAGATCGCACCACGACATACTCTTGCTTGTTGTGGACCAAAAATAGGCGATGATCAGAGAAAACAGTCCTTCTACACGCCACGAGCGTCATCAACCCAATTGCCAAACTGCGATCTGATGTGTTTGAACTTCAATTCGTTAGCGCGCATATCGGCTTTTAGTACCTCGAGACTGCTTGCTTCCGTTTCGCTGGTCTCCACCTATTTGCGACCGCAAGGTAGTTGATGATGAGGAGGAGTTCGCTCTTGTTTCTTCCTATCGTCGGCGGTGAGATATAAGAACGTGCGAATGTGGCTTACGATGATATCTCCAAATCACCCTTTACATCTTGCGTGGTGAAACGAGATGTTTGTGTTCCGCCGTTTAGGGAATGCGGCATGATGCTATTGGTGGCTGAAGTTAATTCTGGTTTCGAGCAGCCGCCGTGAAGTATGCATCGTGAAGTATTTCTGATCAATGATAGAGTTGGAAGACTTTGGCGGACATTAAGAAGAACGAGGAATCATGGGCTACATTGCACATATTGAGAGCAAACACTTTCCATTAGGAAACACCACGTTAAGTCTACAGCATCGTGTTTCGCCGGAGATACTGTATGATTGGAGCAGACCACGCGTCCTTCAGTGATTCCCATTGAATGAGGCAAACGACAGTCGGATAATACCGAAACCGGTAAGATGTGTCTACGTGCAGCGCTAAGATTTCCTCATCTGGATAACAACCGGCGGATAATATAATACCTGTAGAAGTAGAAAACGAAGACCTGACCAGCGAGTAGGAGCGCATACACTACAAAGTGTACGGACTATTCCACGCAAGGAAATCAGGTGTAAGCCGATGGTCGTGTTTTCCTTTGGCACATTCCACTGGATGATAAGTTCTGACCTACCCCGTAGGCACTTTCAGTTAGACTCACGGATGTTGGAGTGATAGAAGTATGCGTGTGTGCCCAGCAAATAGTACCTAAGTAGCTTCTGAGCGGCGCGGAAAGAAAGCCCCCAAATCCACAGGGGCGTCTAGGTGTATCTGGGAGATCTGCACTAGGACACGATTGGTGTGAACGGCACGATGCGGATAGGATCCTACGAATGACCTGCATCAGCTCCAGGTCCGCATACGTAGCGCGACTTCCCTGTCGTTGCCGCGCCTTATCATCAATGCTCTGCAGACACGGCATACCTAGGTATGGGCAATCAAACCTTTATCGACATAGCAAACAATTCAGGCTTGTTACAAGCAGCAGCCTGATACCCAGCTCATGTCAGACGGCGAGACACGTCCCATACTTTCAACAGGCTTCGAGGCAGAATCACTGCTGGCGCAGTAGTATTGATGTCCCGTCGATGAGCCGAGCCACAGCGCTCTAAGAGGCTACGCCGTCATCCGCAACACAACCTGCATTCCTGTGTGTCTAGAAGCTACTGCTCGAAGCCACTATCGGCGGATTTGACCTCATAGGCTTCCCGAGATGGTTCTAAATAACCGAAGAGGACCAAAATCACATGTCGCATGCTGGGTATGAAAACATTCCTAGTGATCCATGAACCCTTAACTAGAGATCGCCGGGTGCGTCGTGGTAGAGGCCTGGTTTCCTTGCACAGCTATCACTTTGGTATGATGCCATGCTTCGGTCGTCCGACTGTCCTTACTCGCGAGCCTGAGGTGCTTTGCATAGAGCGGGCGTCGTCTGCTGAGCTGGAACCTACGACGTACGTCACTCCAACACCTCACCGCTAGTCGTTACTCCGTCCAATGTCGTGAGGCAAGATCTATGATAGGTCTTGTAAATTGAATGAGTATTTTCGGCGGTCAGGAGCGAGCAGTTTCGCCGCCAGAAGGACAAGGCACTTCTCTTTTGCATGCAGCTAAGCCCAAGAGGGCAGACAACGAGCAGGGGAGTGTCAGGGCTAGATACAGTCTCTCATGCAGAGGGTATTGAATGCGGAAGGCGAACTGAGGGCTAGCAAACAGCTCGGATGCGGGTTGGTGGCTTGGGGATGATGGGGGTGCGGGGCACAGCAGGCGATCAGGATGCAAGATGCAAGGAAAGGCGTACCCGGAGAATCGTCTGAAATGTCATCAGCGCATAATCGGATGCGTGGCGTCGCCGAGCCACGTGCAGCATGGTTATGAGCAGCAGGTTTGATCCACATTTCGTTGAGCCATGATTCGCACCTGCCGGGTGAGAGTGAAGTCGCGCGTCGAGTGCCAGATCCCGAAATGTGTGTTCAATCGCACTTAGGCCCAGACGATCAATGGAACTATGGGTGACTGATGCGGTTGCAGAGTTTCCGAATTACGCCGTCTTCCGAGGTCATTGTATCAGGGTCCATATTCTAGAGGCAGGAAAGCGTAGCGACATTGAAGCTTTGAAGCGCGAGTCGCTCATTTTTCTTTTCTTCTGGGTTCTTTCCTGGTGTCAGCCCGGCAGGGGCATAACGCAAAACCGTTGCAGCCGCGTACATAAGGTTCTAGGCGCAGCCCCATACTGACAAGGTAGACTGCTGGATCGATCAAGCTGCAGTTACACCGCAACAGTTGATCTTCGGTCCATATGAGACGCCAAGCACTTTTAGTTTCTTGACATCATGATGTGACTTACGTGTACAACTCAAGAATGATCTCATTTGCTGTCTCTAGTCACTCAATCTCTGCGGTAGATGCCTGCTATCCAGCAAGCTCTCAACAGGGCAAGGCCCCACGCCATTCCAATACTATCCCAGACGACATTCAGTTTGCTGCCCATGACCTCTTTCCAACCAATAGCTACCTCGATCATGGCGATATCAGCGCTCTCGGCCAGCATCAACATCTCGACATCGAAAATCCAGCCTTCAGAGTGCATGTACGGGACGATGTACGGCAATGCCGGTCGCGAGAACAGCTTGAAGCCGCACTGTGTATCCTTGATCCGCGCAGTAGCCGGAGGTGTCATGATGCGGAGGAGGATATGGAAAGAGTGCATGAGGAAGTTGCGGAGTTTAGAGCGCTGGACAACGGCTTCACTGCCGACAAGGTGAGCCCGGGAACCGATGGCGACACCACGTCCATGCTTGTCCTCTATGCTTTGACAACCTTCAACTAGTGCTCCCAGATCAGAGAAGCGACTCGCGCCATCTGCGTCTGCGAAGACAATGTACTGGCCTCGAACGTGTCGCATGCCGTGCGTGACTGCTCCGCCTTTGCCTCTGTTCTCTTCAAGTGTTATGACGCGTATGCTGCCGTGTGGGATGTGTGTAGAATGTGGTGCCTTTGCGTCGCCGTTCTTTGACCACGGTCCTGGCTTCGACTTTGGATGTTGGCTTAGTTGATGCTCCTTGGCAAACTCCAGCGCTTTATCGACCGTGCCATCAGTACTCCCGTCGCTGACGATTAGGATCTCCCATCCTTTCTGCCTCGTTTCACCCTTCCGACCAGCATGCGCATCACCGTATTGACTCTCCAGATAGTCAACGGCCTCTTCCAGCATGCCTTCAAGGCGCTCTTCCTCGTTGTATGCGGGTACTACGACGCTCATGAACAACTCGGGTTCCTCAATAGGCATCTGTGGTGGTATGACAACTTTACTTCCAGGCTCTTTCGCTGCTTCCTTCTTTGCTGCCTCCTTCTCTGCCGCCCATTTATCCAGCCAGCACGGTAGTTCCTTTGGATCGCTCTTTGCGCCGTCGGGTAGTATCGTCGTGTACTGTTTCTCTGAGCGTCGTGGGAGCCGCGGAGTGGGTGCTAAGAGGTTCAATGCGATGTAGAGCTGTCACCCATGTTATATTAGTCGCGTGTAGCACTTCATGTACGCGTATCTATTCGTACCCAGAAGCCCATTGCACACAGCAGAAAGCCTAAGCCTACGAGAAGCACCCACGTGGGTGGCATCTCAATGACGCGCTTTGGGTGCGACTCGAAGCCATAGCCAGCGCCCAATCTCTGGGTATCGAAAGCGCGGTTCTCTTTTGACATGGCGATTGCGGGGCCCTAGAGAGGGCTGTCCAGTGATGATGCTACCGGAATGCTGTTGACATTGAGTTGGGGTCGCGACCGCTGAAACCAAAGCTTGAAGCAGCTGGAAAGGTATTCGCTACAAGAAGAGTGAAAGTAATAATGGTTGCGCGACAGCCAATTGGCACGGGAAGATGCAACGTGGAAGCTGACGTACATGACGGCCCGAGGTTCGTTAGTCAGCCCCGCTATAGCGCCGGTCGGCTATCTCCATCTCTTGCTACACCAGCTATCCTAACCCTAATAAATGAATCTTGGTTACATGCTGTACAAGTTCTTGATGGTGTGGCACAGCATGGGTTTGACTTTATCGTCGTATATTACTACAATATCAACGAATCGCTGCGCCGATGCATGCGCCTATACACACGACAAAGGACACCGAGACAAGGGCATATCAAAACACTAGGCTATTGCACGAACAGCTTGGCTCATCAACTAGATCTTGGGTACAGCTTTCATGTTTACTAATGTAGCAGAAACTCTCTGTTATCCCGCAAGGTTGGCGCAGTATGGTTCTCCGATCTGTTACCAATTGCTAGCAGCAGCCCAGATTTGTCTCGGTGTGCGAAACACGAAACACCGTCTTACTCGTAAGGCTAGCGATGCTAAGGCTCTAACCTTTGGCAACACCTTTTTCCCATGTATCTATTCAATGCTTCATTTGCAAAGGGCTGCGCACTGCCAAGGGTATAAGGTACCATGGTAGAGTGTAACACCCTTACCAGTCTCCAGGCTATTGACTCATCAACTATTCCGCATTCTTCATGAGACTCGACTTACAACGACAAGAGTTAATTTTTGTGACCAGAATGTAGTAGATCGGATCTGGTATGATTCAAGGAGCCAGTGTCTGGTTTCCCTATCAGCGGCATGGTGAGCAGTGCTATTGACAACAGCTGCGCCCAGGAATCCCATCGTGTCCTTGATTGAGCGCCTTCCACTACTCTCAAACCTGTTCAATATATCATCAGTCACATTGCAGGATCCGCTGTTCTTGTCTGAACCATCCCTGTCTGACTCTTGCATCCGTAAGGTAAGATCGGCAACTGTATAAGTCTCAGTGCGGTTGTATATCGGACTCTTTCACCACGTGCAACATTATCTTAGGAGTACCCACGACGGAAACCAGAGCTGCGACTACTCGACGAAATACCACCGGTGTTGGCCAAGCATTTTCGACTGAAAGAAACTTCTCGCATGCGAATTCCCTAATGGAATTGCTCGACGAGTTGCTTATCGTTATTGTCCGTCAGAACTCAGGCCTCCTTCGACAGCAGCGACGAGATCTGGTTCAAGTGTCGCTCGTATGCCGGCTTCTGGGCTCACCAGCGAGAGAGGAGCTCCTGTCGAACCCGGTTGTGCATCTTTGCAATACACGTGCTCTGATTCGGACATATATGAAGTATCCCGATCTGGTCAGCAAAGCCTGGGACCTTGGGATTATCGCTTACAGACGTATGAGTCTTGAATACGACGATACTGGCCACTGGAAGCCCACTAGACCGATATTGAGACTTGGTTTTGAGCGTGTTTTCCGAGATGCATGTGCCGCTCTTATCGCGTATCCCAGCTTTCAACAGAATCGAAGAGGGAATGCGTCTTCGATGTGAAAGAGAACCACGATAGCACCTTTCTCACGGTCCTCATACTTATGCTACCGAAGCTTACTGATTTGCGATGCGGTACCCTGCGACTCAACAGTTTATCGATGTCTCAAGCCCTGTATTCCCACGCGGATGCGAACAATTATCTGGTCCGCAGCGAAGGGTCATTTTTCAAGAAGCAATACATGGGTGATGCATTGAGAAAACTTGCACCCTTTCTGCAGACCCTAGAGCTGCCTTGCCATTGACGTGGCCGACAGGCCTACCTTTCTTTGCCGCCTGTAGAATCTCTCTTGACGTTCACATCACCCGAGCATCTCTCGCTCCCTATCAATGCTGCTCCTTTGTACATCACAACTTTCACTTCCGATTCTCACTCCCGGATCTAAGACCGATTGATGGGAGAGCGGCTACGTCCTTTCCCGCCTACATTAGAGACGCTGAAGTTGCTGGTTACGTATGAACCAAGGGTCACGGACTTGGTGGGCTCCCTCACCTGCTCAAAAATCGATTACCCTACCATGAAGCATATTACCATCATCCACAACCTCGACGCTGGTGAGCAGATGAAGTTCAGGGAAGACGAAGTACTCGTGCTGATGGGAAAGAAGAAGGGAATTGACATCTGCTTCCAGTATCGATCTGTAAAGCAATTGCGTGACGCTTTCTCGCGGCCAACGCCCAACTTGAATACAGTCGTTTCAATGATTGAACCCCTCTCATAGTCCGAGATCATTGCGTATGAGGCACGAGACTGTTACGTAGATCTAGAGAAGGCGAGGCATAAGCTTGACCATGAGTTAACCACAGAATATGAGAAAAGACGTAGAGAGTTGTAGGTGTCAAAGTGTGGACGGAAGCTAGATAAGACGTGGATGCAGATGGGATGATCAAGCATTACAGAGGAACTCTGGTGGGTCTAGATTAATGCGGTGTACGAGTATGGATCAGTTAGGATGGTAGAAAACTACAGATTTTGTTCGGAATTGTGTATACACTCGGATGCCATCCGTGATGCTAAATATCGATCTCACAGCGACTAATGATCACCTGGACATCATTTCCTGGTATATCGTAGATGGCAGGCCCTTGATCAGGGATGCAGTTTTATCAGCATAAAGTCTCTTCAGCAAAAGTCTAGTGAATACATCTAGAGTAGTTTTCAGTGTTTAGGTATACAACTCATAGAAAACGAGCTTCTTCGTGCACGAGGAGAGCCAGGATGAAAAACCAATGATGCGGTTGATGCAAGAAAAGATATTGAACATTACGTCTGCTTCAGATATACAGGCATTTAGAACAACAACAACAAGCTATGTGTTTCAAAAATGCCTTCCCAAACGCCATCGCTACTTGTACTGATACATGCGGGAAAAGAGGACGTCGTGTCCGAATAATCTAAGGGGCCGAAAGGATTGCGACTGAAGCGCCAGCGTGAAGAGAGACAAACTATGCCTCTTGTTCATTCGCTTGCGCAGCGCGTTTGTCATCTTCATCGATGTATACTTTGAAGTGTTAGCGTTGACCTTGGAAGATATGCGATGAGAACTTACCATGTGGACGAATGAACCAACTGCAGACGAACGCGGTTCCAAAGGTTGCCGCGAGGGAGACAAAGACAGTTTGGCGATAGGTCCCGACTGTCGCACTATAAATACCGTTGAAGATGGTCGGACCCATTACACGTGCAACGGCGTGAAGCAAGCCCGTTGCACCTAGTAATTGACCGACCTGGTCTTGCGGTACATGTTTGGTCAATGCAGCTCCAAGAGTGGGCGAGCCGATGCCGCCAACCGCAGCAAGAGCTCCAGAGAGTGCGAACAGCTCGCCTTTGCGGGCAAGGGCATACCCGAGGTAGCCAGCCATGTCGAAGAAGATAGCTGCACGAATGACGGAAAGGTCGAACAGATCAGAGCCGGAGCTGCGCATGCGCGCCGCGCCGTTCTTACCGCGGAAGATGCGGGTGAGAATGGGCAAGATGACAAGAAGAGCGAAGACACGGGAGCTGTTTACAATGGTTGTGAAGCGACCAGACTCTAGCTCATGCCAATCGAACTGTCGGCGAGTGTAGACTAACACAACGCTCATGGCACCCATTGCAACACCAAACATGATAGTATCGGTAGCAGCAAGTAGAAGAAGGTTCCAGCGCACAGCGGACGACGTTCCAGGCCCAGTAGGCCAGAGGATCTTGAGAGGGCCAAAAAGGTTGATCGAGCGTAATTGGTTGATGAAGTCTCCAGCAGGTCCTTGCCGTTCAAGTTCTTCTCTGCGCTTCTCACGTGCAGCTTCCTGGCGTGCTTTGCTGAGAGATTCTGGAACAAGGAATGTTAGGAATGCGATGAAGATCAGATGAGCACCAAGGGCCATGTAGAAAATGAGCAAAACGGCTTCAGTCTTGCCAACATATTTCTGGCGCGCGTTGATGATGTATCCGGCAAGCGCAGGTCCAATGGCGATACCACCAAACAAGCAAGCGTGGAAGTACGAAAAGGCAACATTTCGCTTTTGAGGTGCGACGCAGTCGGATGCGTAAGAGTGGGCGCATGCCATGCCGACAATGAACGATCCGGATATGCCTTCCAAGCAGTAGCCGACAAGAATCCAATTGACATGTACTGTCTCGGGAAACTTTGCAGCAAGTATGGTGAGCACTTCGCCAAAGAGCGCACCACATGTATTGGCAATCATGAACTTCTTCCTCCCATATCGGTCGGATAGCGCACCGATCTTCGGACTGATGATAGCAGAGAGTATACCGGAGCACAAGCTAGCGTATAGGAGGAATAGGGACGAGCGCGAGGAAACGGCGTCGTTCTGACATCGGTCTTGCCCTGGGTCCATGGGAGAGGATATCGGATCGGTTTCTAATGTAGCGTAGTAGTCCTCGCATACCAAGTCCATGATCAAGTTGATCTTGGGTACTATTATGCCACCAAATGCGATGGTGAACAGTAGGAATGGCGGAAGTAGCCAGTATATCTGTGATCGTCAGCCGATAAACTCTCAATGCGAAGGGCTTTATGCGCCTACCGAGGGGCGCTTCCACCAGGGAAGACCTCGAAAGTCGGCATCTCCTGCCCAATCCTCTTCCCCGTCGTTGTTTCCAGCGCCATTCGTGCCCCCATTGGTGTTGCTCGAAGAACCCAGGAGTGGCGCATCCTCGTTATCGCTGTCAGGTCCCGGAGATGTCGCCCCTGACTTGCTCGGCTTCTTGAGATTCCTGACGCGCGCTCTGAACTCCTGCTCAACCTCGACATCCTCGACGAAGGCAGCGTCTGTAGTGGAAGCCATCTCGATTCGCTTGTGTTCTCCAACTCGTTTCGCGTGAGGTATCGTTGCTGTTGACGGTGGGGATCCGGGGTATCGTGGGGCGGTGTTTGAACTACGATGGCCTTCGCATTGCTGTAACTCGATTGCTTCTCCAGTTAGTTTTCCCTTCATTAAGCGATAGAATAATGTGCGAAGAAACGTCGCGCTTCGCTAGCTGGTTCCAAGTTAAGGAGCGCGATTCTAATCATCTTCCGTGTCGGGTACAAGGACAAATCTCAGCTTACCAAGAATAGAACGCCTCACAGCCGCTCACAATTGCGACGGTCAGCAGTAAGAGTGCAACGAGAAGGTAAGAGAGTCAGCAGTTCCAGTGGTTTGTCCGCGCCATTAGGTCCGCTAGCGTTCCTCCACACAGGGCTGACAGGGCGAGACTTTTGTGGGTTCGTCGTAGATACCTGATCATGACGTTGTGATACTTCATTATCAGATCCCACACGATCGGCGTCTCGGTCGCATTGGTCCCCCGCGGGCGCTAGTGCATATACAGCTTAATGCCACGGACCAATGTTTTCCTTGCTTTGCAATGTGGCTTTCACAATCGCCCTTTCGTTGGTAAGGGATGTCAAAGCACGTTGTCTCTGCACTGTCTAATCATCATCGAGTAGTGCACGGGGTAATGCTGCGAACACGCCGGAAATACCTAGGTAACTGGAGATCTCGCACAGACATGTAACTTAGCACACATACCCGACAGTCCGTCAATAACCAGGTCATGTGTTTGACGCATTCGTAGCATGCATATCCGATCCGTTGCTCACCCTCATTCATCGATACAAGAAGTTCATCGTGAGAAATATGTGCCATGGTTTTTATTGCTGACCTGAACTATTCCTCCAAACTTCAATAATGCCCTGCAGATCCTTGAGTCTTGTAGGTCGAACGAGGTAATTATCGACACCGGACTCATACGCCGCATTACGATCCTTTCCACTCACTAGCCCAGTAAGTGCACATATGTACGTCCTATTACGCTCTAATCGTGCTTCCGTCTCACGTATCTCTCTCGCGACATCAAAGCCCGAGACATCTGGCATTGAGAGGTCGAGGAAAATTAGATCGAACGGTTGCGCAGCCTTACCGTCATCTGGTTCGATAGCGCTTTTGAACGCGTCGATGGCTTCTCGACCCCCACCGACAGAGGTCGCAGGCGCCTTGCTACATTTACGTGCATACATGGTGAGCACCTTGAGGTTTACGGCGTTGTCGTCGACAAGCAGCAGCTTCGGCTCCGCTAGAGGTGCTTTTGATGACTTAGATGAAGTCGGTTCTTTCGCTTGCTCTGCATGCGCCTGAATGTCGTAGTCGTATGTTCGAGCTTCATTGCGCCCTTCTGATGTGTCCGTCTCCAAAGCTCCAGGCAGGCCGACTGCTGGTATCGCCGGCGAATGCGCCACGCTTTCCTCACTGCTTACTTGCGGGCTGTCCGCAAGTTCTAAACGTGACAGTGATGATGTTGGTAGGTCGTCGCCTGTTTCGGCAGCGTCGCCACTCGATTGATTATGACTTCCTTCGACTGATCGCTCCTGGTGTTCCGTGGTATCTGATGTCTCACCGAAATGGAGTCGAAGCTCGAAGGGTGAGACTTCGTTAGGAAACAAGTGCGCCAGCGCATCTTGAAGTTTCGAAATGGTTATAGGGCCGGCGATGGTTGCGACCTTTTCTGAAGGCGTTGTGTACGGGCTAACAGCGGTTTGCACATCAGGGTAGAGCAAGATACGCTCAGCATGGTCGAATGTGCCACCGCAGCTCAATCTCGCAGCGTCCTCGTCCTCTTTTAGAGCGATAAGCAGGCGCGGACGCGAGTTTGTGCTTGCACTTTCCCACGGAATGACCGTGATGTGGAACCAACGTCTTAGACTTTGTGTGAGCGAATCTAGGAGTAACCCAAGTCGCCGTTGGTCTCGTACTGCATCTCCGGTTTCCCAACGTCTTGGTATGAAAAGACTAATCCCTAGCTGGGGCAGCTCAGTAGTACCAGACTGCGTATTGAAAACCTTCGCTGCCCCTTCCAGCGGGTCGTGTAGTAACCGAATTGATGGAAGTGTGACAGTGAATGTAGATCCATACTGTTTGCTCGACTCAATCTGTACGTCGCCACCAAGCATAGTGGTTGTCTGTTTGACTATACAAAGTCCGAGACCAGTACCTTCCGTAACAGGGTCTTCCTGAGAAAATGGTTCAAATATTGAATGCCGAACAAAGTCGGAAGCTATTCCCTGACCAGCATCTGTGCAAGAGAAAGTGACGTAATCATCTGTGATGTTTAATGAAACCCGAATACAATTCGTCGGCTCACCAAACTTCAGAGCATTATTCTCTCCATTGTCAGCAGGGTTGATAGAAACGTTTTTGATACATGACTCACCATGAGGTTTGTTAATATCACACGAAAGCTACCGACAGCCTTGAGGCGACACGGCCAAGTGGCATTCGTATCAAACACTATGATCGGAGGATGTATCGCGCCTGTTGGCCGTGAGCTTGAGCCAGACTTGTACTGCGGACTACCAGTATACTAACCAATGGACGGTTCAGATTGAACAGCCTCCTTGAGACGTAGTCTTTGCGACTCACTATGAATTATGTCTTCGCAAATGCTAACGACCTCCACGGTGTCACTTTCCACTGGGGACGCTGCCGGGTGGTGGTGTACAAGACTTGACGGATGAAGGATTCCGTCTGCCGACTCATTGGATCTTGCTTGTTCTAGACAATGTGATCCAGAGCTTATGTTACTGAAATACAGAACACGTTCTATGGTATCAAGTAGTGATAAGCCGCTGTATCTTGCCGTTTCTAGTAAGTCATGTTGGTGCGCGTTGTGTGGTGTATCGGCTAGAAGCTCAAGGCTTGACAAAATGCCGTGGAGAGGTGTCCTCATCTCGTGAGACACTGATCCAAGGAAATCTGATTTGATCTTGTCCATAGCTTGTGCTTCGAGACGTCGTACTTGCGTCATTATTGTCGTGCAGAATGCAGAAATCGACGCAAGATCCGTCGAGCCGAGGTAGACTCTAGCCTGGGTATTGGCAAATCCTAAGACTGCGCCAATATTTCTTTCGTGAAAGGTGTCCCAGAGCGGCATCAAGACGACCTGTACCGCTTTTGGAAAGGATCTCGAAAGCTCCGTGGATATGATTGTATCGTCAACTAGAGCAACATCGCTTGCACTCGTTGCAGCAACAATCTGGCCTGTCTCTTCGAGTACTTGGAAGACAGCTCCTTGTGGAAACAGTTGGAGTAGTCGGCTGGTTAGTGCATGGCTTAGATGTTGAGGCCTATGCGCCTTTGGCCCTAGATGCTCTGCCAACATGCTAGAGCCATTCCAGGCGGGATTTCTGTTGACAAAGTTATCTGAAGGACCCAATTCTTGGATTCGAACTCCATCGAATTCGAAAGCATCGTGTATCAGGGTCGCTGACAGATGATACAATCGTAAGGCCGAATCGTTATATAGGTTTGATACCAGAGATTGCTGTCCATTATGACTCTCTGATAAATGTTGCTCATGTGCAGATTCAGCCGCCAGTCCTGCAGAGGAACCCAACCTCAATAACGAAGCCACACCTTGGTTGAACTTCATCACACGTTGACCCTCCAATGCTTCTACTGCTCTTTCCAAATGTCGTATAATGTGTGAGGCGATTTCAAATAAGTACGAACGGTGGGCGGGGGACAGACCACTCACCGACGGCGATGAGCTGAATATGAACACGGTGCCGATATTCGGCCCACCGTAAGGATTCAAAGGCACACCAGCGTAATGTCTGAACTTGGCGATCTCGCCCATTACAAAAGGCAGGTCTTTGGTCCTTTCCAACGCCGCCATGTCAAGTTCTTCGTAAATGGCCATGTTCCCTGGCTCATTCCGCTTCGTAATGGTCCGCTCACATAAGCCCCCATGATGAGTTACTGATTCGCACCCATACCATTTCGTCGAGTCTTCTGTAGAAGTTAGACTCTCGAATAGAGTGCCTACACCACGGCATTGATATGTAATGTACTCACCTAATGTGACTTTGGTTTCCTCTGCATTGGTCTGACTGGCCCCCGAGATAAAGTATTGAGTATGGTCGTCTAGCAGGCTGACCATTGCCAGGTCGGCGCCCGTCTGATGGATAATGCAACGCAGCAATGCAGCAAGCGCACCGTCCGGCTTAGTCCCGGAGTATCCTCCGTACGGCTCCGAAGACGTGCTCGTCAGCCCTGCATTTGAGCCGCGCACGTATTTGACGACAGATGGCAACACCTGGCAAAAGCGTCGCACTTCCCATATTCGCGCTCGGTCAGTAATGGTCGCTCGTTGCTGCTCGCTGAGCTCTGACAAAGACATGGTTAGTGGTGGCTGCGGGGGTCGTTGTCAGTGCCCTCCACACTACTCCAGTGCCTGCCCGAAGTTTTTAATCGCCACCACATGTGGCGCAGGGAAAGACAGCTGCAACTCAGCTATACCCTGCCTAACAATAAAGTCTAACAAGTAGGACCGTTTACTGTTGCAGTGCCTAAAAGGCTGAGAGGATGGCAATCGAAAGCTTTGGGCGGGCACCACAGTAACAGCCTCGCATATGGAGAACCCTGCAGATAGGCGGAGAGGTTCGTTCACGGTGCCTTGAGGGGTAGTTACACAATTGTGAGGTCGTCTGACGTCAGGGATTGAAATTTGAATGGCATGGAGGCGCAAACCGAAGATTTGCGATGCGTCAGCGGGATATGTAAATCGGGAATTCGTTTCGGTGCAGAGCCGAAATTAGGGCGTGCTTCGATTTGTCGCCCCTCAGTTAACGCCATAGCACAGCAAGTGCTCCACTATTCCCACGATGTTGATGGGCTAATTCCCCCAAACATCTCCACTCTCCAAGTTGGAACTATTCATGAACCATCGTCCATCGTCTGCTTCTCCTAGGGCCTGCTTGTGGAATCCAAGCTTGACGTATATTGCCGTACAGCAATGTGTTCACGTCAAATGCAAGCGACCCGACATAGCACGCCAGCAGATCTGCGACGGGTATAGAAGGATACACGACTTCACATTGAGGCGCATCGCAGCGAGTTGGGTAGTGATTTCCAGAACGAAGCTAACATCTAATCTACTCACAGAAGTTAGCCGCTTGGGTTCATTGATCTCTGCACGAGAACAATAGCTTCGCCTTTCCGGCTCAGGACTTGTGTAGATACATCCTTTGCATCGCATATCACAACATGCGCTTTCAGAGTCCTGTCCACAGTACGGGGAACTTCACCGTCGAACATAGTGTGTGGAGGATGTAACGCTACTCTCCCCGACCAAGCGCTGCCATCAGCGTCAACCATCGTATCGCACACACGACTTGTTTCACACACTTCGAAGTTTGATGGGCTGACCCCTTTCTCTGCCGATACGATGACTCCGCTACGATCACTCAGGTCCGGTCAGCTGCAAAGAGGTAATTCATGCCATGGAGCGCCCTCCGAATACGGCGACACAACAACACAGCCACTGAATTCGTCATCGGCTTCTAGATGCTGATCACGGTCATATCAGACTATATGATGTGGGAAGTAAAGCTGTTCCAGGTAGACGCGCTCTCTCGACAAAGGTCTGTCACAAGCGAGCGGCATATCGCTGACGCTCGGTGGAGCCGAGTCCTGCCGTTATGGCTCACAAATTTCCACAACGGGCTCCCAATAGTTTCGTTTCATCAGCAGCATGATTCCTAGCTCTTTCAAAACATGCATGCACTGGCTTGCATACGACTTCTCGCCTTAAGCTTGTGACGCTCTTGCAGCTGTCCACTCTTGCTCGCTTCAAGAAAGAGTGTACGTTTGGTTGGGAGAGAGACTTGAGACACTGAGAAAGGGAAAAAGGCTTCTATTGGCTGATGCCGGATTTCAAATCCACGCTGCACATGGTTGCTACGCGTATGTCGGGTTAAGGACGGCAGTGTTGAGAGCAATTGCGGCCTGATGCTTTTCTTTGCAGAAGTTGTAAAGGTGAAAGGCTACGAGAAAGGAGAAGAACGAAAGATTTGGACTATATTACTGCTGCTGTTTGCTGCACAGCCCAGATCATGTTATTTTGACCTGAAGAAAATTGTGACAGCATTCTCTCGAACCCCTAGGCTCGATTACAGTATCTTTTTCTAAAGGACTCGCAGTTCGTTCCGAGTAAGTTTAGTTCAACACCAGGCGTCCTCCACCCTTAGCTTACCTTCCGGAGAGTTTTGCGTCGTTCTGAAGAGGCTGAAGAAAGGAATGCAATTTTATCCGTCGTCGTCCTTCGATTTTGATGGTATACACTATGAAGGTCTCAGCCCCTAGTCCGGTGAATATCAACCGGATGTCACTCGGGTACTATTGCCTGCAGCGGATCGGCGGCATTTTTGTAATTCGATGAATCGCGAAATGCTTCTAACCATACCATGGATGTTCTGCCGTCTCCGTGCCGTTCGTCGTATACCTTCTTTCCCTTCCTAGGCGTTGCTCCGGAAAATTTTGCAAAAGTGAAGGCAACATTCGAAGTCGCCATACCAATCAGGGCGAGCGAATGACCCTCCTCAGCAGCTGAACGCGTATCCGTCATCAATGATGACATGACAGTCATCGATAGTTCATGCGCAATGCACGTATTGTATGCGAAGTCGCGATTCTGGAATGTAGCCATGGTCTGCATAAATGCGAACCACTTCATCTTACGAAAGTATGGCTGTTTTGGGGTTGAGCTCCTAGCCCCGCATATGGAGGACCTCAGCCCTATGGCGCACGCCCCACTGGTTTTCAGCCCCCAAAAGGTGAAGTTTGTGCCTGAGGTCCTTCGGTCGCGTACTCATGAGCTATCGCTCTTTAGTCCCACCCGACTACCTTGTATTGGATGGGATATTTCGTATCTAGCGAAACCGGTGAACTGCAGGCTCTGATCTGAGGTTTGGTCCAACTCTGGTAAGCTTGTGCACCGCCATAGGTCGCGTCACCTGACCGTAGCCAGGTAAACACACTCTCTCTGGACAAATGAGAGGAAGCATTGTCATAGTCGGAGTACACCCTTTTCCTTGTGACTACTCCCAAGCATCCTGCCTGGCTTTGCCGTTGGCCTGCTGATCAGTTGCACCTATTTTTGCCTATCCAAAAGCAAGTATCTTGTTCCCTGCTTCAAGATCTTCGCGTCGTCATGACATGGTAGCCTTACACTCTAATTGAATCACTCCGCCGTCATCTGCTTATAGCGTTGTGACATCTCGCGTGCAGCCCTTCGAGGGGTTGCACATTGCAATCTTCAGGCGTTTCAGGCCTATGATACTAGATACGGCTAAAGATCGCTCTTCGCTCATAGGTCATGCGTGGGGGTACATATTGGGAAGGAAGAGGGGATACTCGGAGGGTGTGGACAGTGATCCGAAAACAGCTTTTCGTCGGGATATGAATACACCTTCAGTCATAAGGATCAGATCAAGGTATGCAGCTTCTTCTTCAGCCCGCAGTCACCAGTTGGTATGCTGTATCGATGAACCAATCAGTACGAATACAACGGCTCACCAGTCATAGACTACCTGCAGTGTTGATGGGACCGTTGGGGGGCGCATAACGCAACATGGTTTATTTGGTCCATAGTAACCACGTCAAATGGATTGGAGGCTGTTTCCCCCAGATCCATCCAGGCGGTTGCCGACACTACAATTGGGAGCCTTACAGCGGGTAATACTAGACGCCGTCGATAATCCGTGCATCGGCTGGAACCTGTAAATAAGCAGCCCGCTACCTCATTGGTCGAGACCTTTGTGCCTTTAAGACAATTAGATCTCACTAATATCCACAAAGAACATGATTCCAGGATTGAGTGCGATTTCTGGTTGGTAAATGGGATGGTTTCAGATCCCTAATTCAAGCGCCAACTTGGAAAGCAAGAACGAAGGACTCAGTCATACGAGACCCGCTCAAATCCGATGCAGAAGTGGAAGACATCTTATCAATACCTGCTACTTCCTGTATGTACCGGAGAGTGTGAACATGGTCCTCCATTCTCCCGGGTCTCAACTCAATCTTGGGTCAGCCTTGTTTCCGTCGCCCTTTGGTATTACTCACTGGCTTGTGAAGCAAATCTAGTATAGCAAACCCAATGACTTTCGTTCAGTTATACACTGCATCCTAGGGTCTGGCTGCATCTAGCTCTACATCCGAGTCATTCGCTTTCCCTATCAATATGCATGAATCCGATACCTCAACACCGCCGGAAACGGTTCTTTGACCATCACAGCGCCCTATATGACGCGAATAGGTCGTGATGCGGGTAGTTACCATACCGATCGGTTGCTGCAACCAAAAAACAAGTGGCATATGTAGTGGAACTGTGCCCTACGTGCGGCGGATAGCAGGCAAATGACCCCACTTTGTACCACCATGTTCCGATTGTGTGGGTTCTGTATAACTCTTGCCGTGATGTGATCCTTCCGCAGTAGCACTATCACACGTCACTTTGATTATGCGGAGATGGCGATTCATGCGACCCTTTCCGATCCTTTCTAACCATTTGTCGTCTCCAACTATTTGGGCTGCCATCGGTTCATCGGTACCTAGATGCGGAAAAGGCAATTCTACAAAACTTGAGCTGGGTTCTCAACAACATCGCAGTTGATCGAATACACTATCCCAATCCGGCGTTACATGCATCAAGCATGGCCTGAGGTGTATGAAGATAATGAGGCCGCACGCTTTGGATGCCTGATTGATTGAGACGTTTGATCGGCCGGCTAGCGGAGGGGCCTCCCCGCACAGTCGCACAGCAACGCTTGAAGGACCACGTCACCGAATATGCATACCAATTGTGTACATCAGTTTCAAGAGATCTAATGTCCAAATGTAAAGATAGTTTTCATGCTACAGCATGGTATGCAAGTAGTTGCGCACATGCAGTCCCCGGTTGCGTAGCGGCATAGGGGACATCGGTGAAGCTCTTGACATGTATGTGACTGGTAAAGAGCCTTGCATTCTTTAGTCACCAGGTCAATCATGAAGATCAGGGATCTTGTTGAGCGTGATATCTCGCATGACGCCAGATGTGCATACAAAATACAGCCTGAGTCTAAACACTATGCTGTAAATCTACTATCGGTCCTTTTCTGATGAGGGTGTAGCGATCTCCAAAACGCCTCGTCGCGGAAACAAATCGGTCTGCTGTCGTGCAGCGCACACCGCTGGGTTTGGCATTTGATACCACTGCTGTAGTGTGATCACCATAGAACGTCGGCACATCTGATTCTCACCACATCTGTCGTGCTGGCTTGATGACCATAAGTCGGAAGAAGCGGGACGTGTGTCCTAACTGGCTTCTTGAAGCTAGACGATAAGAATGCTGATGCGTGTTCAGTCTTTCAGTCAGCCATCATCGAATGAGAAATATGTATGCCTTGCCTCAGGCCGCCATCAGATTCAGCCCGAGTATATATACACATGTCAACAGGCTGCAGAGTGTCAGATTGATACTGCTAGCTGTTTGGCGATGTGTAAGATGGTTTCACCGAAAAGCCCTGGAAACAACCGGGATTTGAATACAGTTCGTGGACACGTGGACACTTATAACGCTCCGCTTGTAACACTGTACCGGGGGTGGCAGGATCTCTCGTCCTGGAACGATGTTTTTGAGGCTCATAGCAAGCTCAGGTGCTTATTATTGAATGTTGTTTTGTTTTCTCGTTCAATGGATGATATCGAATTATCGGGCTGCTGAAGTCCCTCAGAAATACTAATGATATATCCCGTTTACTGATTGGAAACAATCTTGAGTTGCTGTGGGAAACAAAGCATGTACATCCGAGCTCGTCAAACTTCGATCACATCAAAGCTGAACAAGGTCTTCCCGTGCGGTTCCAGCACAGACTTGTAGTGCTGACGGTGCATCGTGCATTATATCCGAGCAAAATGGCGCAGCATATGTCGTCGATCCTCGTGCGGATACCGAGAGTATGGTCGGCGTTCATCCCTAGCGTAGCTGTAGAGTCGACTTGCAGGGCTTGGTATCTTATCGACAACCAATTGTTCGGTTGCGGAAGTGGAAGTGTTTGCTCCCAGACTTTCATAACAAAGGTGTCTATCGGGTCGTCCAAGCGGACCGTCGGAAATTAGAATGAACACAACACAGGGATCATATGCCTATGCCGCCTGACGGAAGCGGACAGGCAATGTTTCGGTTTCTTTGTTACAGTTATCGTGCACAAGGCAATGGCCTGTGAGACGTCGGAATCCAAAAAGGCTAAGGGCGCTCAGACGTGGTCCTCTAAAACGTCGTTACTCCTATGGTGAAAGCGCATCATGCTCGTTAGATGTTGCCTGGTCTGGGACCATGACAGCTAGCGAGAGGCCTCTCGCAACGCGTATAATAGCGTTGTCTTTGAAAGGGGTCTTACCGGTGTTGTGATGGGCTGTAACGTTGTCCTTGCGTTGGCGTTTACGTTGGCTTTGCGGCTGCGGTGTGGCTCCACATCGAGTCGTGGCCGGTCAAGCTTTTCTTGAGAGCTGAAAACAAGCAAACCGGATCTGTGACGAGGGATGGAAGTGGTAACCAGAGCACAGAATGAGCTTTGCGCCTCTATTGATTTTGTCGCCGTTTCGAGCGTATCCAAGTGATCTGGAGGACTATACGATACACAGGCACAGGCGGCCCACCAGTGTATTATGGTATGGAGAAGATCCTCTCTTTCGCTGAGTAGTTTTACACACAGGAAGCTTCAATATGGTACTCGCAGTAAGCATATGGCGATGATGAGTTTGATAGACAATTCCAGGTTTGCCCAGGTGGTATTCGCGGATCATGGTGGATGCGCCGTTACTTTTTTCAGCGCTACGCAAATAACATCGGCTAGAATTGAGTGGGGGGCTCAACCAACACATGCTAGAGAATCGAGCGCATGTACCGCAGAGCCGCATCTCGTGAGCATAAAAGGCATCTGTCTGCCCACCAGAAGGCATTCAAATGTGGTCAGAGATATAATAGTTTACCCTCAGGAGGATCAAGCCAGACTCGTGGCTTGCATGTTCGCGTAGATGCATTGATCCGGTGCCCAGGGATGTCGTTTGCCTTGTTTTGCCTTGTTGCCTATTTTGCGAACCATTCTAGCAGAGCCGCAATTTAAAGCATGATGATGCCCACTTGGAGCGCACTCTCAGAACCCATACTCAGCCTTTGAGCTACATATTACACGTCATACAGCCTTTTTTCTGACTTCTCTGCGTCCTATCGCGCGCGAGGTTGCTGTCACTGTCGTCGCCAACGTCATATTTGGCCAAAACGAAGACTTCGCAATACCTTCTCAAATTGCGCGTTTCGGCCCCCTGAATCGCATCGCATCGCGTCGCGTCGGATCTATGTGCGACCGTGTACAAAGTTGACAAATCTTGACTGAAGAGCGTGTAAGCCGGAATCTCCAAGATATCCAGTTCACGCTGACGCCGAGTGCGCACGCACAAGTGGGTATGTGCGCTATAAATCCTTGTCCAATCAGATCACATCGCTCTAAATCATCATCAAATACGGAGATCAGAATACGAACGCGAATCCTACACCTGAAGATTCCAGCCACAGAATGGATACCGGCGAATTTGTGCAGACGAAGTTCGCTCAGGCGCTGAAGACTCAGGGCCCGACCTTTAAGGCTCACACCTGCCCTTATCCGGGTCATGAGGGGCGTGTCTTTTCAAATGCTGAACAGCTGCATGACCACGGAAGAGTTGACCATCGCGCCGACTTTGAAGGTCTGAGTCCACGTCAAGTACGAGATAAATTTCGCGAGCTAGGTCTTAGATTCAAGTGAGTTTGAACGAATTCTCTGTGTGGTCACTTGCTAGATCAACGATTAACATGATCAGGAGATCCGATCATTCGTCGGCCGCGACTGCGGGAGATCGGTCAGCGCCTGATATCGGTGGCCTCACTATAGATTCTCCAAAGGGTTCGCGACAAAATTCACCGCCCTCTGGAAGGAAGCGACCAGCAGAGCACGAGTTTACCAGCCCTAGGGGAAAGGGTCCCTCTCCTGTGGAAGTGGCTGATCCAGATTACTCAAGGCAGATTCCACATACCGTTATTTCAGATCGAACAAGGCCAAGACCACAAGATGCACGCCTTTTTGATCCTAAGCATAGCACTAGAGGTACCTCCTCTGCGTACCAGACCACGCCGGAGCCCTCCAGTGAATGGTCGGTCGAAGCTACGAAGAGTAGTCAACCCCAATCACCTGCTCGGACAAGCCAACGATCTATTCCTAAACCCCAGCAGTCACAACGCCAGCCGGGCCTCATCGAGCTTCAACGCTATGATCCTCGGTACCCTGGTCTATTATTGCAGCCCGACAGTAGACCTATATCACAGGAGCAACTTGCATCTGAAGTGAAATCTATCTATGCAGGATTAACCATGGTGGAGACAAAGTGTATACATGTCGATCGCGCACAAGCTGCAGCTGCACAAGACAGCGATACCAAGCTTGCGTCCGATCATTGGCAAGCTTTAATCGCGCTTCATCGTACGCTCTTACACGAGCATCACGATTTTTTCTTAGCTAGTCAGCACCCTTCCGCATCACCGGCTCTCCGGCGTCTTGCGGCTAAGTATTCCATGCCTGCTCGTATGTGGAAGCATGGGATCCATTCTTTTTTGGAGTTACTGCGGAGGCGTCTTCCTGACAGTATCGATTACATGCTGGCGTTTATTTATTTGGCGTATCAGATGATGGCGTTATTATACGAAACCGTTCCGGCTTTTGAGGACACATGGATCGAATGCCTTGGAGATCTTGGACGCTACCGGATGGCCATTGAAGACGAGGATGTTCGCGATCGTGAGACCTGGGCAGGTGTTGCGCGCTCTTGGTATACCAAGGCTGCTGATAAGAACCCTACAGTAGGCCGACTGTATCATCATTTGGCCATTCTGGCACGGCCCAATGCTCTCCAGCAGATGTATTACTATTCCAGGTCTTTGACTTGCGTTAAGCCATTCCAGAGCGCGCGGGAGTCTATCTTGACTTTGCTGGACCCGATCCTTGGTCGTGCAGGCGCAACTCTTACACATGCTCTCGCAATCGACACCAACTTTATCAAGGCACACGGCCTGCAATTCGAGGAATACTCAGTGCCTGAGGATAAGAGAGGCCAGTCACCTTCAGTCGATTTCACAAATGCAAAGGCAGAGTACATCGGAAATCTCGACAACCACATTGGTCGTGTGACAGCGAAGTGGAAGGAGCAGGGTGTGTACATTGCAGTGACCAATATTGCTGGTTGGTTCGCTTATGGGCAGGACGACAACATCCTACGTCAGGTTTTCCTGACTCAGATCTGCGAGAAGGCGGAAGAATCTCCAGGAAGCGTTATTGAAGATAAGATCCGAACTGCCTCTACAGCTGACCAACAGAATCCAACAAAGCCATCTATCGCGAAGGACAACCTCGAAAAGGAAGTTGTCAAATTTGTCAACCAAGACAGTTTCAAGAACGCCAGAGGCCTTTCCAACGACACATTCGCGCTGGTACTCCGGCGTATTGGGGATAAGAATGTGTTTCCTCACGTGCACATCATGCTCGCTTTCCTTGCGTCTTTTGCTTCCAGTCCCTACGTTCAGAAACTCTTGAAGGATATCCCATGGGCGGAGCTCGTCGCCTTTCTCAATACGTTAGTCAAAACCGAAAATCATATCCATAGCCAAACACAGAACCAAACACCAAACATCGACACGTTGTTCGCCACCGGCTTGTTCCCTGCTGAGGGCGAGAGGAAAGACGAGCTGCCGCTACCCGAGGATTACCTTGTGAGGGGCTTGATCTGGGCTCAGGACTACTTTCCAAAAACCTGGTTCGAGAGAGAGCACGATGAAGAAGAGAGATATTTGGAGTTGGCCAGCACCGTGAAGAACCGCATGGACAGGGTGCTCAGGCTTGGATATACGATTTCTCAGGTAAGAATGCTGTGCACACCCCCGATGCTTTGACTAAGCATCCTACACAGTACAATCAGTGGATTTCATACGACAGAGACACACATACGTTTGCCGTCATTGGCACATCTGCTCAATGACGCCAGACGCTCCTAGTTTATTTTTCTGGTTTCTTGTCTTCTTCGCACTACACGAAATGTCTTTTCTTGCCGCCAACCCAAAACTCAACATTCCTTATTCACGGCATCTTTATCATCGCTGTCGTTGAGAGCATCAGGGTGGTTGAGTGGTTTCGACATATGGCCTTTTGGCTGCACATTCATGGAGACGAAGTGAACCGAAGAGGATCCCAGATTGATATATATAAGCCCTCTGGTCAATCAACCAGTCGTCGTGTTGCGGACGATATGGTAAGTAACAGGAATTCTGAAGGCGCGAGGGAAGGGATTGGGGTTGGAGTTGTTGTAATATCATACGTTCAACATCTAGGTACAATAGGTTTGGCACATATCCTACTCAACATGTGGTATCCAGACGACAAATCACACACACTATATAGTTATACGTACACCAAAAAATATATCACGTTTGCCTTCCTTGAAGATTTGTTGCGTGCATCTGGCGGGTGAAAAGTTGCAGTAGCCGCGAGCACACTCCCAAATGCTCGACTCCCACACATAGAGACTCTGTCATTGTAGGAGTCATCTGCAGTAAACATACCTGACAGCCGATATCTGTAGGATTGTCTGGGTTCCATGCTTGATATGTTTAAATTGACGCCGGAAAAATCAAACTCCTCTCAGTTTACAGACCATCCTCTGTTGCCACCCCCACTCCACGGCCCACTAGCCAACCAAGTCAAGATGAGCGTTATCCTAGTTCAAGGAATGCACAACGTCAACATGATAACAAAGAACAAAGGCTCCCAGCAAAGACATGTACAGTAATATTGAATTCGTAGCACTCACATATATGGGCTTCCTAACACCTAAACGCCTCAGCTAAAGTTAGAAGACATTCATTGCGCCCTTCACAATCCTTTGCCATCGAGATACTCTTGTACCCTCTCCAGGAGCTCTGCCTTCTTGCCACCTGTACTCAGATTCCTCGCGCTGAGCCACTGTTTCAATACCGCTACTGTCTGCTTACTTATCTTTCCACTGTTGTTTATATCGGCCATTTGCTGATCACTCATACCATCTTCCTCTTCTCCATCCTCTGCTTGGACTTTCAACTCTTTCTTGACTCTTTTGGCCGCCGGCTTGTCCTCACCGTCTGCACCGCCACCTGTGCGTTTCTTCGCCGTGGGTTTAGCACGGTGGGCAAGCGCGGATTTGTGTTGCTGTGCATATGCTTCTTCGAACTCTTTGCCATAGTCTTCGATGTACTCGCCGCAACGCTTGTCGATTTGTTTGTAGCGAGGGATGGTTTTGTCCTCGGGTTGGACGGGTAATTCTTCTTCGAGAGCGAGCGCTTGTAGTATGCGGTAGAACCATTGCAGGTCCGGGTTTGGGTACTTGGATGGGTCGTAGATGCCTTTGGGTAGTTGAAGTTGCTCGATGATGAGCCGCATCTTGTCTGTGAGCGCATCGGTGGTCTTGAGGGGATGCTCCGGTGGTGTTGGGAACTGCCGAATGTCGTCTGCGAAGGGGAGGGGTATGAGCCAGAGGCCTGGTGGCGTCAATTGCTCACCTTCTTCATTCACCTCCTCTTCACCAGGTATCAGGGCGGCGAGCGTGGGTGCAGCGTTGCGACGGGGGATGAACCATACCAAGCCCATTTTCTGGGACTTGAGTAGCTTCTGCTGTAAGGCTGAGAAGACTCGAGTGGAACCGATGTAGTCTGCTTCTGAGGGGTAAATGAAGGTCGATTTGTTCGTATTGGCCCATATAGGGACGCTTGAAAGAGGCTTGAAACCAATTATCCGGATCACAGGTTCGCCAAAGCATTGCCGTATCTGTGTGATCTCGTCGGGTGTGAAGGTGATTGCGTCCCCACCGAATTTGTACGCCTTTCGCAGCTCGGTCTTCTCGATGGCTCGGGCTGAGTCGTCTGCCATTTGTGTGGTTGAGGATGTCGCGATCTGTGGCCTTTCACCTCCAACCCAGACGTAACACGACTTGACATGTTCCTGACGCTTGATGAGGATGTAGCCCTTTACCCCAATGCGGAGATCAGGACCAAGCTCCATGGGTAAAGAGAATAGAGCGCGACGGGGTGTGGCTTTGGAATTAATGGAGGAAATGAGCTGCTTGAGGAGAGATATGCCTTCGCCACTCTTTGCAACTTTGGTGGTTGATGGTATAGCGACGGGCCCGTCGGGGTCAGATGGTGATGTTGGATATACGAGGTCATCATAAAAGCGCGATCGATCGAAGGTATGATCTGGTTGTGATATAGGGAAGAGATCAATAGTACAACCAAGGTCGTACAAGTCGCGTGCTCGAGTGACTGCCGTATCTTTGTCTACCTTTACCTTGATCGGGTAGTCGTTGTCTGTGACTAAGAACAGGCGTCTCGACGAGAAGTTAGGCGCCTTTGTGGTGAAGATCTGGTTTGCACAGAACAGCACCGTGGCTATACTGGCACCATCCTTGGCTGGCTTTAATATCTCTTCGGCTTCCTCTTCATTCTCAACCATGTCCCTTAGTCTTTTGACGTCCTGAGCTGACGGTACGTCAAGATCTGCAAGCAGATAGCAGTTCTGGAACGTGCTATCACCATCCTTTAGGTCCGTCTTCTCGGTGCCAAATAGCAATATGCCCATCATGTCGTTTGGGTTGGAAATGATGCGCTGCTGCATCAGCTGATAGGCGCATTTCAACGCAGCAGATGTTGGGGAGTCGCGTTCGGCTTTCTTGTCTTCTGACTTGGGTGGTTTCTCAAGCATGGTTGGACTAACGTCGATCGCAAAGAGAATAGCATCCTTGATTGTCTTGTAGCTCTACGTATCATTAGTGACCTCCTTTGATACCAAGAGTCGCATTGAGTGTACAGAATCATCAATCTCCTCCTCTTCCTCCTCTTCTTCGCCTGGCCGATGCTCCTGTGGTGCCGCCATGATGCGACAGTCGCGTTTGGCTCAAGTGACGTTTGCTGGCTAAAGTAGGAAGTAAAAGTTCAACAAGACGATGGTGTTTACGGCATTGAAGCTTCGGACGATTGGCAATTAAGGCAAGAGGCAGCCTAGGCTGGCAAACACAAGTCAGCGCGATGCGGGACAAAGACGTAGGCAGCAGAGTGGGAACGCGACACTAGCTCCGACACGTCGGCACGTGCTTGCAAGGCGGCTGTGGGGCAATCTCTAGTGTCCGATCGCCAGCCATGATCGTCATCAACTGCCAACGAGGCTGCCGCCATTGGCCAGAGCTTTCACTCCGCTTGCTCCTCTGAACATTATTCACGTTGTTGTTCTGGCCTCGGCATCTTCTCCTCTATACATCACTTCGAGAAGTCACCTTGTTTCTCGTCGCAAACCTTACAATGGCACTCCGCATATCTTGTCAGCGCGCTGCAAAGCGTGCCACTTCCATCACACCCGCCACATCTGTCCTCTCATCATACAGCGCACAATGGAGGAGAGGCAATGCGACAGTTGCCCCCACGCAAGTAACGCCTGGCTCCAAGGGACCTACTGCTATGGTCTTCATGAATATGGGTGGACCAGCAACAACGGATGAGGTTCACGGCTTCCTGAGCATGTTGTTCGTACGTAACTTGGTTGGAATGCACCAAAGATTCTCAGCTCACGAATTCTAGGCCGACAAAGACTTGATTCCCCTTGGGCCCCTCCAGAACTATATCGGACCCTACATAGCGCGGAGACGGACACCGAAGATTCAAAAGCAGTATGCTGAGATTGGTGGCGGATCACCCATCAGGAAATGGTCAGAACACCAGGCCGCAGAAATGTGCAAGATCCTTGACAAGACCTCACCGGAGACCGCCCCTCACAAACCCTACGTCGCTTTCCGTTATGCGAACCCTCTTACCGAAGACACATATAAGCAATTGATAGCAGACGGATTCGGAGCAGGAAAAGGTGGTCGCGCTGTAGCTTTCACGCAATACCCCCAGTACTCCTGCTCGACCACCGGCTCCTCGCTCAACGAACTCTGGAAATGGAGGACAAGGCTGGAAGGCAAGCGCGCAAACGGAGAGACCGGTCAAGAGGTGGAGCCCGAAGGCGCTATCAAATGGAGTGTGATTGACCGCTGGCCAGCACACCCAGGTCTAGTTGAAGCTTTCGCTCAGAACATCGAGAAGAAGCTGGCTGAGTACCCCGCCGAGCGACGAGACGGCGTCGTCATTCTCTTCTCTGCACACAGTCTCCCCATGACCGTCGTTAACCGTGGCGACCCATACCCGTCCGAAGTCGCAGCGACAGTATACGCCGTTATGCAGCGCCTCGGCATGAAGTACCGGTACCGTCTCGTATGGCAATCGCAGGTCGGCCCTCAACCCTGGCTCGGAGCGCAAACCTCAGACACCGTCAAGGAGTACATGAAGAAGGGACAGACAGACATGCTCCTCGTACCCATCGCTTTCACCAGTGATCACATCGAAACGCTATACGAACTAGACAAGGAGGTCATTGGCGAGGATGCGGAAGGCCATGAGGGTGTCAAGCGTGTCGAGAGCTTAAACGACAGCCCCGTTTTCATCGAAGCACTTGCGGACATTGCCAAGGCACATTTGCAGAGCGGACAGGCGTGCAGCCCGCAGATGATTCTTAGGTGTCCAAAGTGCACGAGTGAGAGGTGTTTGGCACAGAAAGAGTTCTTTGCAGGTCAGACACAACACATCGACCCTCCTACAGCATAGGCTAGGTCATGACTTAGAATTGGATGCTTGTAGACATATGTAGCGTCTATGTACAATATGAAGAAAGTACCATATATCGGCCTTATGAAAGACAGCAGTAATCAAGCAGCCAGGCTATTTCTGTGACGACTATCATCTTGCTGTAATTGCTGGCCAACAGAGTTTGAGTGGTGGACAAACAAGCAGTAGTCACAGGCGCAAGGGTTCTAGACGTTGACCAAGCCCAACTTAATCTTTCTTACCCTGAACTAGCCCAGGGGCGATATCAATGAATTATGACCTTCCCGACGCGCATTCAGTGGTTACAGGTAATCTGCAGCACAAAATCTCGGTCTCTCCATTGCGACCTCCCAATACCTTCGCATCAGGGATGGAATTACAAGAAGGTAGACGAGAAAGAAGGGGAGAGTTAGGTGCGGCAGAAGCCAGCTCAGTGCCGGAAGTCAGAGTCCGCGTCTCTCAGGATACATGTGCTCGACGATTAATGGGCGCTCCGTGTTGGTCCGTCGTATGAACGTTCTGTATAATCTCGTACCAACGCGTATGACATCGCATATCTTCTCCAACTGTTGCGCTTACAAAGGCAAGGGCACTCCACGGTAGACGGCCATGCAGCCTTCCTGCTTTTGAGCAGCCGAACATATACCCCTTGACGATGATGCCTCACTCTGGATCATCTCCTCAACGACTGTAGCTTTGAGGTAAATATTGATTCTGGATCCATGAGAGTGGCCGGACTGGCTGTGTGCACCACTCTCAGTTTCGATATAGGCAAGCTCCAGTTCCTTAGTACCACCTGATCCCCACTGGAGGGTGTGTCTCGTGTCCATACCGAGTTGATGTCTTCTCAAAAAGAAATGCCTGCGATACACTCCGCAAGCAGCCACAATACAGGTAGGCAGACTTTTGGCTTCCTTCCCTGTCTTTCTGTCTGTCTCCCAATATTTGTCTTCACATCTTTGGCACGAAAGCTCACGACTGCTAGACGTTGAGGACCTCATCTGAATTCTGAATGTGGGCTCCGTATATCTGTGGCCGTAGTCACGACTCGGTAACTTCAACGTCCGTCTGATGTAAAACCAGCTACATAGACAAAGCGATTGATCCACTGTGCGGAGAACCTCGCTCAAGAATTGGTCGGGTGTACTACCATAATCGATCGGCATTGTTCGAGCATCGGAAGCCACGGAGACAAGTGAATAAATCTGGTCACGGGCAATCGTACACTCTCTGTTGGGAAACTCGTCGAGTAGTTTCACGAGTGGACTTCTTTGGACTCGTCTTTGTCCACATATAGCGTCTATGTAGGCCCTGAACACTTGTTCATTGGACTGCGGCGGATCCCGAAACCACGGGAAATAGCTGAATCGGAGCTCAAGCATTCCTTGTGTGCTACTTTCGTGGTCGTTTGCAAGTAGAGTAACTCTACGCCCTAGTAGTATTTCTTGTGTGATCCACGCTCTGTTCCAGTATGGTGATCCAGATAACGATTCGAAGTCTTGTCTGAGCTGCCCGTTGAGTTCCTTGTCCCGATTATGCCACAGGAGCCAGTTAGCAAGGTCTCGGTCTCCGAGCCCATACCATCGAAGCCCCTTTAGCTCATTACAAAACACTAGAGCGCGAACGATAGCCTGATCCAGCCCGAGCCAGGAGATCACTTTCTCTGCATTGAAATAAATCAGACCCATCTGAGCAACCTGGTGATTTCTTTCCGAGATTGAACTTTGGTCGATGCATACTGCATCTATCCAGAACGTGCGTGAAGCAGTTCGGCTAAGGCGCCATGCAGGTGCTTTATCCCGATCTCGCCACCATCTAGAAACCAACTTCCTACCTATTGGATTCTTTTGATCTTGATACTTGATACGCGCCACTCCCATGAAATCCCAGAGGTTCTTCCGAACACGAAACAGTCTATGGTTGATGAGAATCTCTCGTTGGTCATCCTCTGAGCCCCAAACATAAGACAAGCAGCTGTAAGTGGCTCCAGTGGTGTCATGCCAGATCTCGCACTGTATTAGACCCGTATCGGAGAGCTCGGGCAAGATTTTGAGTAATCGTATCGAATTTTTGGTGTGATCGAGAGGCGCGTGTTCAAAAGTCCGTATAGACTTCATCGGGGCGTCCTGATGCCGAGGATTGCTCATTGTCGACTGTTTGGGAAACATCTGTAGAGCCAGGGAAGCATAGATAGCGAGTCGTACATGACGGATTGACCATGTCGCGAGAAAGCAAAAACATCATGGTGCGGCTGAGGAAGGCTGAACTTGTTGTCTAAAGCTCAGCTGTGCAAATCACTCGGGGGCTGGCTATCATCTTCAAAGCCACCATCCCACAATCAAAAGCGTTCGTATTTGAGTTCCTCCATATATCATACATGGCGGATAAATCCGCATCTAAAACTTTAAGACCATTTTGAATACTTCGCGAATGAACGGGTTTCGAACGATATCAGTGATGTGCTGTGCGTAGGGAGAAAGTGCGACGAATGATCCAGCGTTGGAAGCAACAGTGCCAAGGCACTAAACATGAAGCCCCAACCTTAGAATCTATGCGTTGCTGTTCTCATGGACGCTCGGATCAAGCAAAGGAACAGCCAATGTAGTCCACAATCGCAAGCCTCAGTTTGGTGCTCTGTGACCCCATGGTGAGGCGTAGAACACTCTTGTCACTATGTTCTACACAGGGCAAAATTGAGTGGATTCCATGAAATGTCATTCAATGCAAGACCGCGCTCCCTAGCTGTATACACGCATGTAGAAGCCTCTAAATCCTAGAATTACAGATCTCTCTCATCACCTAATCGTTGCCTCCAATCATAACCCCATGAGTAGCTGAAGAGCTTTACGCAGTCCTGGCGACAGGCTTCTTCTCGCCACCCATGTCGTGCTCAGTGTAGTAGAAGTTCTCCTCTGGGATACGTCCCCTGAGGAACTCCGGCTCAGAGCCACGGACGTAGATGTCCTCGTATAGTACCTTGCCAGTGGCCTCGGGAACGGCCATCTTCTCTGCGATGGCAACCTCCTCGTCGACGTCGGAGCGTGCTTGCTTGTCGATCGACTTGAGCTCCTCCTCGGAAGTGACACCCCAGTCGAGGAGCTTCTGCTTGAGTCCGGCAATGGGGTCGTTGGTGCTGCGCATGCGCTGGATCTCCTCACGAGTCTTTCATTCCTTATTAGTACTTGCTTGGGAAGCTTATAATGCGTGTAACTTACTCGGTATGTGGTTCCGGGGTCGGACATGGAGTGTCCTCCGTAACGGTAGGTAACGTATTCGTAGACGAGGGGACCCTTGCCAGCGGCGGCGTACTCCTTTCCGTACTTGACAGCGGCCTTGACAGCGAGGACGTCCATACCGTTGATCTTCAGACCGGGGATGTACTGTCCACGCTTGTAGTAGTCGGTGAGGGCAGACGAGCGGTTGGCGGCGGTTCCCATACCGTACTTGTTGTCTGAGGGGTATTAGCAAACTCAAAGTATGCTCATGTGATAGGTATACGCACTCTCGCAACCAAAGATGACGGGCAAGTTCCAGAGCTTGGCCATGTTGAAAGCCTCGAAGACCTGACCCTGGTTGGAAGCACCGTCTCCGTAAAGAGCAAGGGTGACGTTCTTCTTGTTCTCGTACTGGCAGGCGAAGGCGATACCAGCTCCGACAGGGACCTGGGCACCGACGATACCGTTACCACCGTAGAAACCGGGAGCGAACATGTGCATAGATCCACCCTTTCCGTAAGCGATACCCTCTCTCCTGCCGAGGAGTTCACCGATAATGGACTTGACAGTTGCTCCGCGCATCAGAGCGAAGCCGTGGCAACGGTAGGCGGTAATGAGATGGTCGGCGCGCTCGATGGCGTGTTCGATACCGACGGCGACGGCTTCTTGACCGGTGGACAGATGGCAGAAACCCCGAATCTTCTTCTCCTTGTAGAGCCTGTCGGCGGCCATTTCCATGCGACTGTTCCATATTAGACCCTGTTTGTAGCCCAATCCTGAGATGGCGGGTTTTCATACCGTACAGCGACCATGTCGTAGTACATCTTCTTCAGCTCCTTCTTGGTAACCTCCATTGTGTAGGGCGGCGGGTCGAGCTCGTATGTCTCAAAGGCCTCGTCGGAGAGGCGGATCTCGAAGGGCTTGTCGTCCTCCTATAGACGGTCAATTATCTATCGCTTGCCTACAGCCATTCTGTTGGCTCTTCGGGGTGTCGTCTTACCGATGGCACATTGGCCGGGTCGGTGTGCGATGAGGCCGCATCCGTGGTCACGAACCTGCTGAAGGCGGGTCGCGCAGCGGGGGCGACGACATTGCGTCGGAAGGGCGACGCAATGCTCCGCCTAATTGTCCTGGACAGCATTGTGAGGTGTGAGGGGAAGGAGCGGAGGGTGAGGCGTGGGTATGCCGTGAGGTTAACTGCTGAGGGTGTTGATTCGAAAAGTTGCTCAGCTCCGCCAGCTCGGGGATCCGCTTTCGCGCTAAGCGATTAGGGTCCGCCAACGCCAAATCTCAACACATCCCGATCCTCTCCGACCCAACACCTATCCCTGTGAACAAGCCGCTCAACACTTCGCAACTCGCTATACGACTCCGCATCCACCGTTTGACTTCACTGCAGTCTGTACAGCATAATCGTTGCTGCGCCATGGATCATGGGAAGGCTGTCTGAGCACACGTATTCCACAACATCTTCGCGTAGGCATGGATTGTTTCTAACCGTCACGATCCCTGTTAGCATGCAAAAGAAAAGACACGAATGTGCAGCTTCGGGGAAGCAAGACATGATGCGACAGCTGTCCAAGAGCATGGGAACTTATTTAAATTTGAAGAAAAGGTCTTATGTAACGAGTGTCCGTCTCAACACCACGCCCGCATCGCTCGTCAAGGCAACTACCCTTCCGATCTGTTCCATGACACCCCCATCAGTACTCTTCATGCACACTACCGTCACGCAGAACAAATACTTGCTCGCACTCACACTATACACTTCCTCGAATATACCACTTTCTAGTACTTTCGCGAAATCGACCAAGATGCATTCGATTGGCCCCAGGACTCTTTGTGTAGCGTAGTAAAACTGCTAGGAGCATACAGGTTATACCAGATGATGGTGATATCAAGGTCATTGTGCGGCGTAAACCCATCATTCCGAGATTTAGTCTGTATGACAAACGAGTGGGTTGAATCTTTAAGCAGTTTCAGCATCTCCATCGAGAAGGCCGACGAAAGCCAATACCCACGGTCAACGTCTGCAGTATTCTCAATGGTATCTCTTGTCGTCCAGGAAAGCACCAGTGGGATCGCAGTGAAAATGAGCACGACGTCGTATGTAGTAGCAAGGTAAGGTGTCGCTTCTAGCCTTGCGGTAAGCCTCCAACTGAGCAAAAGTCTGAAACTTTCTTCTCCTTGTTAACTTGGCTTCTGGAGTATTCAAAAGGATGGTCTCAAGAAATGTTATGACCACAGACAAGTTGGAACATGCGGGGTGTTTATGTTGCCTAGAGGTGGCGAAGAGACGAACGAGACTGACATTTCGGGTATCACAATCGACAAGTGCCCGATATATGAACTGAGACTGGGAGAGCTCTTCGTGGTTGGAGCTGGCGTTCATAGAGATCAATGGGTTGTAACCAACACTTGCGTGTATTGAGTTCAATCAGGATGTTGTTGTTCCTGAACCGCTCTACATCTCATCCTACAGGAGGAACTAAGATATGAATCTCCAACGGTTGGCTTTTCTACCTAAGCCTTTCGAGAGAGCAATGATGGCCAGACATCAACATGCGAATGTCTATGATGAGTTGTGAAGCGGATTACCTTGAGTGTAGCCAATGATTAGCTGCCACGGGTCGTCCTCCAGGCTTCTCACTGGTCAAGGCCTACAACTATAAGCGTATTAGTTCTACATTTACCGGTAATTCCCTGAAGGTCCTTTGAGGGACCTGAAGTACCTAGGTATGAGACCACTGCCAATAAAGGCCTAGCGCCTTGGCATGTACTCTGTTCCTTCCTATCTTCGCATCTGATGTCGTCGGCGCTTCTTCTCCTACGCGCATAACCTTCTGGTAAAGCAGCAACCTCCGTCACTAGACAGTTCTGTATGTTGCCAATATTTCACTGTCGACCCTCGCGATGGGAAGCTCTAGCACATCACGAGCCGCGCGCGACGCATCCAGGCGCTTACTGGAAAAAACAACATGAATTCGGATCGAAACCCTAGCAACATCCTTGAGCAATCGTCAACAGCGGCTAGAAGTTAGCGCTTCTTCTTGTAGGTTCGTGATTATACATGGAGATCAGCCTTGCACTGCCCGGTACAGATAAGTATATCGCGGCTGCCTCCCACCATAGAATCCAGACGGTATTTCGTTATCAATTATTTTCCCGGTGGTCGCCTCTACCAACTAATATCCACACTGAAGACATTTGGACTACGTGTCTGATCACTTGGCCACATGGCGCTCAGCCTACGGCAGCAGGCTCGAAAAGATTCTGCTAGTCCTCACCTACCAATTTTTCAATACGAACCTCTCGACTACGCAAGAGGAACTATTCGACTGCTCAGTATTCTACCAAACCTGTCAAAGGATGGCCTCGTCCAGTGTCAGCTACGGCATGGCAGTGTTAACTCAACTTACGCATGTTTGTCCTACGTATGGGGAACCGAAAGCAGCCAACACGATATCTTGATCAATGGGAGAGTCGCCAAGATACGCAAAAATCTTCGAAGTTTCATCGAAGTCGCTCGGAAGAAGCATGGGATATCGTCGCGCATGTTCTGGATAGATGCCTTGTGCATTGATCAAGAGTCTACGAAAGAGAAGAATCATCAAGTAGCACAGATGGGCTTGATCTACTCGAATGCTGTCGAGGTTGTTTCGTGGCTTGGGCACAGCAGAGCAATTTCATCTGCGTTTGCCGGCTATGTCGGAGCGAAGCCGGATCCTAGATACGACTTCCTAAGAGATTGGCTCGAGGTGATCAGTAATCAGTATTGGAAACGATCCTGGATTACCCAGGAGATATTGTTAGCACGGCGTCTAATACTCTGGGTGAACGACTTTGAGGTGGATTCCAGGAAACTACGCGACATGCATCGATCCTTGGGAAGCTTGAATCCGACCCGCAAGGAGCTGCCTCCAGATGAATGGCACCCTGACGTCAGTCTCTTCTCCACACTCCTCGCCGCAATGACTGGCCGGAGTGACCTTCGAAACCAAAGTCTTGTCAACCTTTTTCATAGGCTACCAAGCAGAGAGAGTCAGAGACCGCGGGATCGTATCTACTCTCTCCTGTCAATTGCTTCCGACGCAGCTTTGATTCCGGTCGACTATGGCAGTTCTGATGTCGACGTGTTCCTTGACGTCCTCGGTGCTCTGAGCAAATCCATGTGCGTCTGCTTCTGGTCTTTCATGGTGGAAACCATGGAATATCAAGCCCACTCCAGCTCGAAGCCTGGGTCCGTACATCGCGCACCCATCCTTGAACTACCGATAAGAGTTGCAGATACGGAGTTCTTCAGGGCACCGGATCTGGCGGACTGGCATGATATGTGCTCAACATGTCGAACCAGGCTTCCTGATGTTGATCCCGATAGACGGGGGCACTTATTCTGCCTGAAGAAGTTTTGCGAATGCTGTAAAGCTGGGATGCATTTCTACCTACGGCGTTATCGGACCAGAGATGGCGAACGATATACTGTCCAGCGCGTCACTAGCCACAGTGTCAACACCGAGAGAGACGTTCTCAATGTTCGTGTCGATCATACTTCAGCCGATGCTTTCGACTTCAGTGCTCTTAGTATAGACGATGAGGTTTCTATGCCTTTGTTCAGGATCTCGTTGACCGCCGACATATTGATGTATCTTCTTCATCAAGACACTGGGCCAAACACACCACCAGTTTCTCGCCAACTATGTCGAGATTCACGGGAAGGAAAAGGAAGACTTATTTATCATAACCCGCGACCGAAATCTAATGCTGAACAACCGTTAGTGGATGTTCGGAAACCAAGCTTACTGAGTGGTTTGGCACGGTCGACGAAGAGGATGCAACATTGATGAATTGGCAGGGTTGGTTTCCTCTTAGCTCTAGTCAGTATATGGCATGGTCGAATATAGTGCAACATATCACGAGGAGAACGTAGGTTACATTGAGTCCTTGTAACCATTATTGAAAGTGTTACGAAAACGTCAGAGCATCGGTATCAGACTTTTTGAGGAACTCTATACGGATTTGAAGACCCTAACTAACGGGATTCGCTATGAGAAGACCATTGGTGACGACACACCATAGCCAGGAGCATGAGTACCAACTATCAAGACAGCTCAAGCAGAGGAAACGAACCACGATAGGCCAAGTAACATATGTCGTCGTGATGCTTTCATTGTCATCATCGTATCTCGATGTGGGGGAGATTCGGAGCTGCTTCGCTGTCTATGGAGGGTATCAAAGCATGCTAGCTCTCAACGCTACGGTCTAACCCTCTCCACCACTCGCGTTCTCATCCTCAGAGTCCTCTTCGTACTTTTGTTGTGTGGACTTGTCCTCTCGCTTCCTCTTCGTGGCCTCAATACCACCGGAGGTCAGGTAAAGGAACTGCGGGTCCTTGTAGTTATCCAGATGCGTGAAGAAGGTGTTAAACCTATCAGTCGTTAGCAGTGATTTCGATACCACGATATCTAAGTTGAACTTACTGGTTACCCTCTGCCTCTTCACGGAAGATACGCTGGTAAATCTCCTTCTCCTTGAAGTCCTCGATCTTGTCGTTGTACTTGTCAAAGTCAATCGTCTCACGTCCATGTTGCTTAGCTGATTTCGCGTTATACGACTCGAACACCGGCCTCTCAAGCAGCAAGCCCAAGCCAGGCGCCTTAGGTATCCGGACAACTTCATTGCCGAAACTCTTGTCCATGATCTCAGGGTCGGTACCACATCGTACTGTCAACGCAGCCATGCCCACCATCTTGCGGATTTGGTGCATCATGAAACTCTGACCGTGTACCTTCAGACTCAGCCACTCTGTGTCGTTGATGATAATAGGCTTGGGTGCGACCTTGAAGCTCTTGATGTAGCGCTGGGCGGACTTGTCATTGTACTTCTTGTGCACGGTGTAGTTATGGTACCGGTGGGTTCCGAGGTACTTGTCAAGTGCGGCTTGGACGCGTGCTTGCCGCTCAGGAGAGATACGGTACGCCTTCTTGACGTCTAGGTACGCCCTTTTCAGGGTCTTGATGGCTTCTTCGAGAACGGGCTGGTTGATGACGCCTTCGGGGAGGGCACGAGAGCCGTCAGTGGAGCCGTCGAGGGTGATGCTGGGATCGTTTTGCTGTATCGTATCTATAGCTTCTTTGACCTCGTTTGCGGTCTGTTCACTCGGGGTAACTTCGCCGCCGTCTGGTTTTGCGGTCTCTTCAGCGGCTTCGGTATTCACAGGCTTCTCTTGCTTGGCTATGTGGTCGATAGAGGCGTCAACTATGCGGTCTTCACCAGGCGGCGCGTCAACGGTATCGACGTTGTACAGTGCTTCGAGCACGAGCGGCCGTATTGAGTCGTCGAGCGAATCCAAAATGGGCTTAATGTGTTTCTCTTCCACTTCAGGCCAGAAGTTGGCTACCTCAGCCTGTCTCTTGCGGTATCCCTCAACGTCGTTCTCCTTTTCCGCGAACTCCTCCAATTTTTTTCCTAGGTAGCTTGAAGGATGCGGTGGGAGGAACGAGTGGGTCGGAATCAAGTATTCGTACCATCGCGAATCGCATGCTTGGTAACAGCTGAAGGAGCCAATGGTTCGTTGAATGCCCCACACCCTGATCTGATCAGGTAGATGGCTGTTGATCTTTTCAACAATATCATCCTCTTCGATAATCAACTTCAGCGACACAATGTTGCCTGCAGCATGTACACCCTTATCGGTACGCGCACAACGAACGAGAGACGATTTCTTGGGGTCGGATGCGTTCGCCTTCGATATGGCGCCGGCCGCGACAAAAGCGTTGAACAGGTCTCCCTCGATGGTCTTTTGCTTGTAGTCGATTTGCATGCCCTTGTAGCCAGTACCCGAGTAGCCGATCATGACTGCGACTTTGCGCTTCGGTCTGCGCTCTTCTGCCTCGACTTCCTCTGCAGGGAATGCTGCAGGCAGAGCCGGCCTGTCCTCGCCCTTCTCCTCTTGCTCCTTATATTTGGCTTGTTGTTCGGCATTGCGGTCTCGTCGGTCTAATTGGGTAGAACTTGCTTAGTTAGAGACGGGCATTGAATAGGCCGGTAGCTGCTCACTGATGTTCCTTACGCCCCATATTTCTCTTCTTATTCGGACGGCTTCCATGCTGGTGCCGTCCACCTCCTCCCCTCGAAGCATTTCTGCGATCCTTGTCGGCCCATTTGCGCTTCTTATCGCTCCTGTCGCGATTCGACGAATCATTATCGCGGCGCGGGCCTTCGTTGTCAGACATGGTCGCGGAAGACGTATGAGTAGCTTCCTTCCGTATATGAAGCTACTGGTCATGAGGTGGTCGGGTCACAGAGGATAGCTGTAGCCGCAAGTAAAGGCAAATTGTGGGGTCGCGGTTTCCATTTTCTCGGAGCTCTAGGCTTGGCGCGGCAGGTACGGTTCACCGCCCGGGCCACCGCTTATCGCTGGAAACCATAGTTGAGTCGTCCCTGCCTAATGTCTTCTGAAAACTCACCTTGCCTCCTACATCACCATCTAACTGTCACGTCAACTCGCGTGCGGACAGATATCGCACAAACTAGAAAAGGATGCGCCTTTTCTGATACGTATAGAGCCGTCCCGAACCCAGCGCCCCGTCTGCATCTTAGTCTGGCGCATTCGAAGGAAGCCCTACGCGCCTACCGCATCTCCTCAGCCGCCGTTCGAGCAGAACCTGAACGTGTCTCTCTACAACCGCAGTCATGGGCGCAGCAATGAAGGACCCTGTAGAGAAGAGCGGAGGAGATCCCGTACAAGCAGTGAAGCAGTTGTTGAGGACGGTAGTCCGCATGTTTTACGAGACTGAGCACATCGTCATCATGGACGCTCTCTGCTACCACGGCGCACTGCCCGTGGCCGACATGACCATCATTCTCGATGCAGGCAAGAACTCGAAACATGTTAGTAAGGTCGCGGGTAAGCTTAGGGAGGCCGGGTTGTGTTCGTCCTATACTCAGCATGTCCTGCGCCAGGGTGCAAACAAAGCATCAAGCAGAGAATTCTTCTACATCGACTGGCGTCGCGCTGTCGACTCGGTCAAGTACAAGATTCATAAGATTGATGAGGGTATCAAGAGAGACGCCAAACCCACGACCGAGAAACCCGAGTTCAAGTGCTTGAGATGCAAATCTACGTACACAACCATGCAGGCACTTGACCACCCGGATGACAACCCTGGACCAGATGACAGTGGCTTCATTTGCGCTAGATGCGGATTCCGGTTAGACGAAATCGACCAGGACGTCCAAGCAGACGATGTTGACGACACTCCAGCCAAGTTCAACAAATTGTTTGGCCCGCTGATCGAGATGATGTCGAAAATTCAGGATATGGGCAATCTGCCCAATTTGGAACCACCAGACATTATCAGCGAGCGAATCGAGCTCCCTCGTGATAGGAATGTGGACCCTGGTACGCAGGTCGAAGTCATTGAAACGACCGTTTCACGCCCGACCGCTGTCAAGGGTATTGATACAGGCCCAGAGAAGATCAACGTCATGATCGGATCGAGCGCAGAAGAGAACGAGAAGCAGCGAGCGGCAGACAGGGCCCGCCAGGAGAAGATATCTTTGCAGAACCAGCTCCCCACCTGGCATACCAAGTCTACTGTTATCAAAGACGCCGCAGGAAACACGACAACTGTGAAGAGAGAAACAGACGGAGTAGACACTCCCAGTATCAAGACCGAGACAGGCGACACTGCGGCCACTAATCAGAACCTCGATGCAGTCTTTGCCCAGATCGAAGCCGAGCGCCGTAGGAAGGAGCAGGAAGAGGATGATGACGAGGAGGACGAAGATGATGATGAGTTTGAGGACGTTGATGTGGGCACTCCCAGCGCTTTCCCAGATGCAAAGCGCGTCAAGTTGGAATCGTCCGCCGCTCCTACTCCTTCAGCCGCTGCAACCCCAGCTGCAGCAACCCCAGCCGCATCGAACGGCGGTGACGAAAGCGAAGAGGATGAGTTCGAAGATGTAAACTGATTGATCACATAGCGCTGGCGTCTGGGTTCAAGTGGCGTTCAATTTCGAAAGCATTATCGGATGGTATGGATGTAGTCAAGACGTTTGCATACACCGGGTGGCGTTTGTCGTTTAGAGCATTGTGTCCTACATAGAGCATTCTAAGGCACAAAAGGCGCTGAAGCATATCCAATACCAAAGGATGTCGCTTGACACTCTCGCAGTAGCTTCGATCCTGTGTTGTCAAATGATCGTGTACTTACAGTCATCCCATTGAAAATGAAATCGTGGTGTTGAGTGACCATGTCTGTCAGCCTTCAGCCCTACGATTCCAAGCCACTGGAACTTAGGGTCTTAGGCGAGCTTGCACCATCCCACCTCAGATCCCCGCGCGCCTTCACCAAGACCTCCGCAATCTCCCCGCCAGCGCCCATCGCTACACCCTGAACCTCTGCGCCACTTCCTGATGGGTGAAAGATAAAGCGCGAATTGAAAATGGCCGCATCGACCAAATCCCTCTCCTCGCTGCTTGCACAAGCCACCATCGAAGACCACGACGAAGTGCTAAAGGCCACCAATGCAGCCCTCAAGAAGTCAAAAGGCGACCTGGATGCGCAACACACGAAAGCGGTAGCGTTACTGCACTTGGATCGCTACGAGGATGCATTAGAGGTGTTTGAGAGTGCGCAAGAGTTGCAGGAGAAAGCGCGATTCGAGTACGCATATGCGCTGTACAAAACTGGCAATGCCGCTAAGGCTGTGGAAGTGGCCACAGCGGCAGGACCAGATGCAGGTCGGGGGATGAAGCACATGCTTGCTCAGGCCGTATGTACTGGAAGGCATCTGAAGCATGCGCGTAGCTGACACTTAGATGCCAGGCATACCGTTCAGAAAACTTCGCGCACGCCACCAAGATCTACAAGGAACTCGCAGACCAAAACGTCGAAAACGAAGAGTACGACATTCGCATCAATTCGGGAGCTGTGGACGCACAGCTGGAATGGACAGGACAAGGCGAGCTTGCACAGAAGAAGCAGCCCACAAGAGAAGATCTGGAGGTCTTCGAGACTGCCTTCAATGCGGCATGTGGCAGCATATCCCGCAATGAGTTTGGACAGGCCCAAGTGTGTCTCAAGCGCGCGAAGGATCTATGCAATGCGCTCTCGGACCTTAGCGAAGAGGAGAAGCAGGCCGAGTTGCTGCCAATTACTGTTCAGCAAGTCTATGTCCTGACGCAATTGGGCAAGGTTGATGAAGCAGAGGAATTGGCTACTAAGATTCCTTTCGCCGAGTAAGATAACCATGGAAGACTCAGAACAACTACTAACAACCGTAGCATCAAGGAACTCTCAACCCGTTACATCGCCCAGGTTAACAGTATTGCCGCTTCCAAAGAGCATTCGAACCCGTACCTCTCCCACCGTCTCTTCCACGCATCCCCGCAGCCTCCTGTTACCGATCAGCATTTCTCCTACCAGTCCAACATTCTGCGACAGGATGAGTACGTCATGGCATTGCTATCGCAAAAGGTCGCAGGCGTTGCATCTTCAACTGAGAAGGTCATCTCCGCATCTCCTGCACCCTCTTTGTCTCCTGCCGTCAACATGGCAGCAGTATTGAATGCAGCAGCTCACGCCAGGAATGCAGACACCGAGAAAGCTGCACTGAAGGAGATTGTGCCATTGCTAGAAAAGAGGCCGACTGATGTGGGTCTCATACTCACGATAACACACTTATACGTTATCACAAACAACTACGCCGCCGCGACACATCTTCTAGAATCGTTCTTCAAGCGACTGGAACAGAGTGGCTCAGCGTCCGACTTGGACGTTCGTTTTGCACCGGGACTTATTGCAGCACTTGTCTCGCTGTACGCACAGCAAGGTCGACCAGGCGCTTCAAAGAACGAGCTGGCCAAGGCAGCTGAATATTGGCGGAAGCCTCACAAGTCAAAGACGGAAGCTCCATCGAAATCTCTGATGGTCGCTGCTGGTACAGCACTTCTCGATACTCACAATCCCGACAACGTCAAAACTGCAGGAGAGATCTTCCAGGGCTTGTATGATCAAGACAACGAAGACCGGGCTTCTATCGCTGGTCTTGTAGCCGCATACAGCATCACTGATCCATCATCAATACCTGCAGACCTTCTGTCGTACCTGCCAGAAGCCAACCGTCTGGTCTCCGACATCGACGCCGTTGAGCTTGAGAATGCAGGCGTTCCACTCGGCACCCTCACATCAGTCAACCTTGGAGCTGAGTCGCGGAAACGTAGCCTCGCACCCACTAAGGATGCACCTGCGAAAGCCAAGAGGTTGCGCAAGTCAAGAATGCCAAAAGATTACGTCGAGGGCAAGAAAGTGGACCCAGAACGATGGCTGCCAATGCGTGATAGGAGCTACTACCGTCCCAAAGGTAGGAAAGGAAAGAAGAGGGCTGAAGGCCTTACCCAGGGTGGTGTCGTGGAGAACGACAAGGGCACACCGGCCGCTCAAGAGAAGAAGGGCGGTGCAGATAAGGGAAAGAACAAGAAGAAGGGCAAAGGAGGCAAGTGGTAAAGAATCAATTGTGATACTTGTCCAGACAAACAAGTGCAGATAGATCTATATCGCTACGCCATCGAACATGATGCAGCAGGCGCGAGTCATGTACATATGCCCCCACCTGCCACGTGCATGTGTTTGGAGCTCCAAGCTACCCCTCCATCCCCTCAATCAACCGTTAGTCCATCATCACCGCTTGGGACATGCTTTTGAAATACCACTACAGCTCAATTAATCATATCTCAATTTCATCGGACGAAAAGCGGATAGACTACCGTAACGTGTAATGGACACGTTACGCAAGAGTGGGCGAAAAATGGGTATCACAGAAAGCCGAGGTTCACCGTAAACATTTCTGCACTAACTAATCGACTCTATGCCAATTATTAAATAGAGCTAGCACGTCTTTACACGTCTCGTACGTCTAGGCCTGGCATGTCTAGGATCAACGTGGAAGATCTGTTAGACCCCACCGCAGCTTCGAGACTATTTAACTCTTGGTGTACTTAAGATGGGGCGTCACCGCATCCCGTACCTGCTGTATACACCTCTTCATCATTATCATCAACACACACAACCACCTCATTATCCACCTAAACACATAAAGAATACAAGTGAATAAAGAGATAGAAAGATGCCGGGCCAACAAACTCGCCAATGGGTTCTCGCCAACCCACCGCTCAATGACCCCGTCATTGAGGGCAATGACGCGACCTTTGACCTCAAGACCAACGATCTCCCCAGCCCAGGCGTTGACCAGGTCCTCATCAAAGTACTCTACCTCTCCAATGATCCAGCACAGAGAGGGTAAGCTCCAACAGTAAATATTGTCAAGACATTGAGCTAAACTTCGTGCCAGATGGATCCAAAAAGACATGGACCCCGAGCGTCTCTACGTCGAACCAGTAAAGCAGGGCGATGTAATGCGTTCCTTCGCCATCGCAGAGATCGTCGAATCTAGCACAGACAGCCTACCCAAGGGTCAGCTCGTCATTGGAGACTTTGGCTGGACCGAATATGCCGTCGTCTCCGCCAAAGCCGTTCGCCCTATCCAAGCCGATCAGAGCGCCGGTATCCGTCCCACGCACTTCCTCGGTGCACTCGGAGGAACCGGTCTGACTGCGTACTACGGCCTCATCGACATTGCGCGCGCTACTGCCGCCGACACCGTTGTTGTTTCTGGAGCTGCGGGCGCTACTGGTTCCATGGTCGTGCAACTCGCTAAGAACGTTCTCGGATGTAAACGCGTCATTGGTATTGCGGGTGGTGAGAAGAAGTGCCGCTGGGTCGAGAGTCTCGGCGCGGATATCTGCGTCGACTACAAGGCTGCAACTTTTGAAAAGGACTTGATCAAGGCCACAGAAGGATACGTGGAAGTCTACTTCGACAACGTCGGTGGCGATATCTTGTCGCTCATGCTTGGTCGCATGAAGCGCCATGGACGTATCGCTGCGTGCGGTGCTGTTGCAACATACAACTCTATGGGTGACAGCGGCGTTAAGAACTGGTTCGAGATTATCAGCAACAGGATTGAGGTCAGGGGATTCATTGTTATCGATGCTCTTGAGTCGGGTAGGGCTGGACAGATTGTTCCGGAGTTGATCAAGGGAGTTAAGGAGGGCAAGATTCAAGTTGGACCTGAGACGGAGACTGTGGTCAAGACTAAGTTTGAGGATGTGCCGAAGACTTGGATGATGCTTTTCCAGGGTGGAAACACTGGAAAGTTGGTCACCGAGATCCAGGGTTAGATGCAGTTCTGGAAAGTCAGTAAACGTAAAGTAACCGAATATGACTACTGCGTTACGTAAGAACAAAAAGTAGAGTATTTTTGGAAGCTGTTGAACGAGTGACATTTCTCAATCAGGTTGGCCATAATTGTAACAACACTCCCCTTTTTCTGCGTTCATCTTGCTGTCGGCCCACTCTCGTATCCAATCATTCCTCCTCATCTTAGTATAGCCTGATGCCGTAATCTACGAGTCTCTTCCTGACTATGGCCCATCAACCAACTAGTTCCTGGATCTGAAGCCTGCTACTGAGAAGCTCAAGGGTGACTTACGGTCAACGGTGATCCATCCATCACCCAACTCAACAGCTCCACCATCTCTGGTCTTGGTCTTTGTTTCTGTGATTTTGACCCTCAATAGTTCCGTCGGTCTTTTCCAAACGCACACTGTTCAAATGCTCAATCTTCTCCGTGACTTCAGTGATGTCGGTGTAACCGATGCGACTGACGTCTTTCTTGTCGTTATAGATACGTTCGTAGAAACCCATGTTGGACCTGGGCTTCGGTGCAACCTACAGGCCTCGAAGACGTCTAAGTGTTTATATGTTTGAATATTTAAAATCAGATATTTGGTGGTTACAGTTTTTTGTTGGTCTACACGAACGTTGTGTAGAGAACTGATGTTTGGAAGATTAAATTTTCACGTCGGGTTCTATCATCCCATGCGAGTCCTTACCTTTGGTTTTGTGTGACACTTCTCGAGGCTTGGAGTCGTAGCTGTTGATCTGGAATGTAAATATACGAGTAAACGTAGTACCGGAGTGATAATATGACTCCCTAAGAGTCAGTCATGACCGCTACGTATGCGCTCTCGAAGCGCTGTCCGCGTATCGAAAACTAGATCGTGCTCAGTATATGACCAAAAATTGTGGTTCTCGACAAGTAGAATCACTGGAGAAGAATAGCTGGTTGGACGAAGCGCGAAGACAAGTGCAATGTCTTTCATGTATTGTTTCGCACCCTCCGAACGTATAACTCAAATATATCGCGGATTATCCTTGACAGTTTTCTTCACATCTTCAAACGGCTCCAAAGTCATTGGCGCTTGATAGAGTTCCGGTACTCTCGCACCCATATAAACCTTTCCGCACCAGCCTGCTTCAGTATGAGCTCCTTTCATCTCGTAGTACTTTCTCGCAACCATAAGTGGGGTCAATGATCCGAACTTTGCAGTATAACCAGTAACGGGCCGACAGTTGTACGGTACGCTTCGACAGATTGCATCCGCATAACTGCTGAGTTGGCGATCCCACATGTACAGCTGCTTCATATCGAGTTGTCGATACTGTCGAAGCAACCTGAATGTGTTTCCTTGCATGATCAACATACTCATGTTGTAGATCAGGTAACAGATGCCAGCGCCGAAATAATGGAAGTAGAACACAGGATCAAAGACGCGATCTGCGCAGATATCCAGAAATCCATCCATCGACGCAATGTCTACCATATCGTAACGCGGACCGTTTCTCTCGAACGTCGAGAGCCACTCAAAAGCACGACTTGCGACTTGTTGCGAATCCTCAATGAGAGAGTCGATCTCTTCTTGTAGGCACCCTGGTCTGGCGACTTTATCCGTACGCTCTAGAAGTCGTGGGATGTGTATGCAAACGTCATTTAGAGCAACGTATGGATCGACCTTCGCTGCTTTGACTGTCACCGCTAGCCATTCTGGGCTGTCCAGCATCGATGCCTTGCGCATGTGGTAGCCGATACTCAACTAGAAGACATTAGCGAGGTTACATGATGTCTGACGGGGTTGTTCGTCGTACTGAGTTGTACCGTATAGCATGGAAAATCTGCATACTCAACCGACTCTCAAATGAAGCTGGCCCACGCTGCTTCAACAAATGTAACAATCCTTGCACATGGTAAAAGAAGCCATGGCCCTGTGTGACGCCCACGAAAACCTACACGGAAAATTAGAGCTAATCCTGATAGTAAGGCATAGCAGGTCGTACCTCATAAAGCGTGAGCATGTACGTTGATAGCAGTGTTTCGTCCTTCAGGGCTGTGACTGGATCTTGAATTGCGCGCATCATCTGACTCAACGCCGTGCCATAAAGCGACCTGGACCGATGGATGAGCGGATGATTCCTGTTGTTCACTGCCAGTTGCGCTGCAGATAGCGCATCAATAGCAGCCATGAGTACAGGGCTGTCGGCAGGCATAGTGGGCAAGCCAAGCATTAGGGCTGATGGAGGCGGTAATGCTGGGCCTTCAGCTCTGGGTAGATACAGCGCGATGAAGGTACCCAGATGCTGTATCCTGTCGGCGGCCACTGCGCTGACCTGCTTCGGTAGAGGCGCATCCGCAGGCTTTCTTTTTTTGTCTTCCTTACGTACGAGAGCATGTCTAGACGGGTTTCCAGCGTCTGTTGAGCTTGACGAAGCTTGATTCGCGTATTTGTAGCGGCTCTCGTCCTCTTTGATCAGGGCCGGCTTTTCTCCGCGTGCATTAAAATCGTGGAGAATGAAAGCTTGTGTTGGCCGGTACCCAGGACATTTTGTTCCGCGCCTCACGCAGGTATTGCATTCTGGTTTGGTTTCGTCGCATCGGACTTTTCTCTTCCTGCATTCAAAGCAGCCTGCCGACCTTTTTGGCATTATCAGACCACACGCGGGGTATTCACCTCACGAAACTCGGAAAAGTAAGGGGTAAGAACGCTGCGGTATGGTTTCGTTCCCTGACTTTTCAAGTGCACTCGAACTGCTTGGTAGTCTCGTTGTTCGATGTGGTGGCGAGGACGGCGAAGAGAACAACGACCACCCATCAAAGGCGCGGCCACTAGAATGGAGGGCCAAGAGGCGTCCCGTATTCAACGGTTTTAACCAATCAGTAGCGACAATAGTAACGCTATGGCAGTTGGCTTCCAAGCTCCGCGGCCTTTCCCGCATCTACTTGCCCTTGCATACTCGTGCGAAAGTGGTGAGGGGAGAGGGGTTTGTGAAACTTTGTCTCTCCCAGCATGTTTCCTCAGCTCAACGGGCGTGTGACGTCAGTATAGTAAAGAGAGCCAACGTTCTCATCAGTAGAATTTTCCATCTCTCGTATCTCCCCAATACTGGCTAAGGCTCAAAGCTTCGAGCCGATCGCTATCGCAGAGCGGCGGCTCCTGGGTAATTCGAACCCAACTTGGTGCACGGCTCCGCCGGGCCTGCGCGGAACTGCGGACGACCGAACGCAACAAGGGATTCGGGAGCGGAACAACGACGGGGAAGAAGCTCAAGACACTCTGGCGCATAGCGACATCGGTCCAGGGTGAAAGAAGGGGCAAGGAAGCCGAGGAAGCTATGTCAATGGAGACTAATCACCCGCTGATAAAGGGTTCACCGCTTGGGTAGAAGTACCGCACATGTCGACAACAATGGTGAGGAATATACAATTTTGGATTCCGAACAGTCGCAGATTTAGGAATAAGGCTACGATGTTATATGACCCGCCGTTGCGATACCCGTTTTCGCCTCGACGAATCCTACGGCACGTGTGGCGTCTTCATGCGGTAAGGCTCTGCTCATCGTCTCCGCTTATTTGTTCTTTAGGAAGGAACTACGAGCTACTCGTACCACGCATCGCGCCGACATCTGTTGGCTCGTACCCAGGTGTACTATTGCGGGATGTCTTCGGCGCGCGGCACGGCACCATTCGCTTGTTAGCGATGAGACAACGACAGAGGAGCCGATAAAGGCCGCCGCGACACTACGTAGGTAGCAACTCTGAGCGACCGTTGATCAGCGCAACATGCGCATATGGCGCCGACCTCTCGCACGAAAACTATCACACTCTTCCGTCCTATCTCCTCTAAAGGCACCCGGAAACACAACGTAAAGAGCGCAAAGACATGAGAAGGCAAGTCAGCGACAACAGGTTATCATTCATCCTATAAATTACCATTTCGCTGGAAAGCGGGTGTCTGCTTCAGCTCAACGATCTTATCAAACGCGTCAGTCAAAGACTGGTAAAAGTCAATGTGACCAGTCCACCCGAATGTCCTCGCTGTGTTGACGCTCAGCGTTGCTGACCAGGCGCGTTGGGACACCCAATCCTGGAACGCCCACGTCCCAGAGTCTCAGGTCGCCTTTGCTTAGGGACAATCGTGTTTGTCGCAGATGCGATTCTACACCTCTTGCTTATCCGCAGCCTATTCGGCTAAGCTGAGATCGAGTTGCGTCTCTCCAGCTGAAGGGCGAGGCTTCCTAAAGACTCGTTCACTTGTTGCGCGAGCTCCTGCGTAGGCTGCGATGCGCGGCCACATGTCTACGAGAACAATAGGCCTATAACATGTTCCTCTTGAAATCGATCGCGGACTAAAATACACCGATCACCATGTCCTCTTCTTCAAGCGAGTCAATCCCGACTGCGAGCCTACAGCCGCTCATCCTGTATTCGAGACTCATGACTTCGACGTCGAAGCAATTAGGCCATAAAAATCCTTGGGTCGACAGGATATAAGAGTTGCTGGGGTGTAGGAAGGGTCCGTCATTGACGAGCTGCTAACTGAATGCAGCATGTCTTCGGAAGTTGGGGTTTCGACTACTGGTTCGATATTAGCAAGTTTATATTGGCAGGCGACAACAATTTCGGTTTGATATATATGATGCTAATCGTGCTACAAGGAGCACTACGCGGATGGCGATTTGGCCAATGCTGAGATGGAGGTATCGCATGTACCTGCTGGACCACAGGCGCTTACGATCTGGAGACCACCTGTTCCGGACGTGTTCTAATTGATGGGCCACGGTGCCCACACGAGATGGATAGGTACACGAATATCCAGGTTTTACCAAAAGCATCGATCAACATGAACTGCTACAACACTGATCTATACACCATCAAGCTGCTTTGCCTGCTTCTTGTGTATCAGCGCTGCAGTCAAGAAACACATGAAGCCCAATACACCGCATGAGCCAGCAAGCACTTGTCCATACAAATAAGATCCGTTGCCGGCTTCTACCAATGCTCCTCCACCAGGGCCTCCAATAAGGCAACCAAAACTAGACAACGCAAATCCCATACCCATTCTTGTTCCAATTTTCTTATTGTCTAAGGTTAGATCAGCAAGTGTGGCAGGGAACATGGCTTGCAAGCCCGCAGCAAACAACCCGTAAAGCGCTGCAAAGGCATACATGCCTGCAGTCGACTTGATCGCAACCCAACAATAAAGTAGAAGGGCGGTAACGAAGCTGACGATTAAGCTGATGGTCAGTGGCCGGCAGTAGTGATCGGCGACGTACGCGGGCAGCAGTCGCCCCGGTATGCCGACGCCGTTCAGCACCAATAGGAGCGGTATTGATTCTTCCAGTGTCATACCTAGTGTTCTTCGGGCGAAGGCATTGATCTGAAAAAGATCAGTTGTGTGACTAGAGACAAATATGGGTTATACTCACGTAGAAGAAGGCGAACCAAAGACCTGCGAAGCAGAACACCGAGCCGAGAATCTTGACGAATTAGCAAAATGCCATTGAGCGTTGAACCGGATCACCTACAAAAAGATCGAAGACTGCATCCTTCAGCTCACTCGGTTCGAGCATCTTCACCGAACTCTTGGGCGGGAGTCGTTTCTTCAGCAGCCGCTCCGCAATCAACAGCATGACCAGCGCCATGAAGCCCAACGTCCTCACCGCCCATCCAAACCCAATACGATCAATCAGCCTATTGAGCATGATTGGGATAACCAAACCCCCTGTCCCCGATCCACACAACGTGATACTAATTGCGAAGCTCCGCTTCGTCGCATCAAAATACGTTGAGATAACGGAGACCATAGGCACGAACATAAATCCGTTTGCGAGCCCAATGCAAAACCCCTGCGCAAGCACAAACTGCCAATACTCTTTGCAAATACTTGTCATGAAGATGCCGACAAGCCACAGTCCAATGCCAATGCGTAGGACAAGCTTAAAATGACCGGTGTCCGACGCTGCGCCGGACCAGAGAGGGACTGAGAGCAGGAAGAAGACAGTGAGTGCGCCGATCCATGAGATGTTGGAGGGCGTCGAGAGGCCGATGGAAGTGTAGTGTGCCTGGAACATGCCGAAAGATGTGATGAAGCCCCAGGTAAAGAATGTGATGATGTGCCCGCCTAGCACTTGCGACCATGCGACCCATCCGCCATTAGGAGGCGGCTCGATGGACGCGACTCTCGTCACATCAAAAGTTGAAGATACTTCTTGCTTGGTCGGCGCGATTTCTTCTTCTTCTATGTGACTGAACTCCTCAGTCGGGGGATCTGGTCCAATAGCGGCCATCTTGTCGCGAGCCGAAGATGTTGTTTGGATGAAAGGGAACGTTGACCCCGGGATTTTGCTTCCCCAGACCCATATTTTGCTGAGTCACGACCTGTGTGAGCTTGCGAGACCGCGAGTTTGCCGAAGTTTTCAAGCTCTTTCCCCAGAAACTATGAGGTAATTGAAAGGGATTGGTGGCGGAAGAAGGCCGCATCGGTCATTGCCGACGGGCCGAGCGAGTACGTCGGGGACGTCACGCTCGGCCACTGTGCTTGAAGCAGCACACACAGTCGACAGACTCGCGGATTGACATGGTCGAGAAAACACAGTACGTGCAGTTTACTCTCCCTATGATCTTTGGATGTTACTCGTCTCTCCGATCGTTTGTGCATCCTGCCTGTTTGCGATGAATGGTTATGTAGCCATATGCAAAGAACTAACGGAGACAAGCTTTGTTTATCTGGCTTAGCTATTCTTTGAAGGGCTTATGTGAAGCGTCATAGCAAATGGCTATACACAAGACGCATGGTAAGTAATTCAGCTACCCAGGTTCCCCTAAACCGAGCAAAAATTGATCCCTAGGCGATGATCAATATGATCCGCTTCTACGACAAAATTGCAAAAACATACAACAGCGGGGATTCGCTAGTGGTCACCCACCTAACTACTAATCCGCCGGTACACTGCTTGTATATGGCTGAGCGGACGGGAAGCCTAATTTTCAGTGTCCTATGGTCGTATGTGCATATCTTAAATTTTTCATTAAATATATTGTAAGGCACGTGGGAGGAAGTGGCGCCATTGTATTCCGCCCAGCTTGTCGATAGTACCAGATGCGGAATCGCGTTATAAGTTGTTGATTCCATGGAAGGAGGGTGATTCGTGTTTGAAGCATGGTCCAAAGATGTTGATGGATGGAGGGTTGGGGAGAAGAAATATCCGTTAATACTGCGGCCGGGCCTTGACGAGTCATTTTCACTTTAGATGTCTGCTGCTGCCATGGCGCGACGGCCGTCAATCGCCACTACCCCAGACCAACGTGTTCTGCTGGAATATAAGGCGCACGATTTAGTCTACACCATGGCAGTTGCCTCACGAGCCTCGAGGCAGAGTCTCCACTTTCAATGCGTGTGCCATGTGGCAGAGTTAGCGCGATTTCAACCCACGTGATAGCCGAGGATGTTCCCGAGGTCTTGCCTGGCAACAGGAGCCAACTTCCCTCCACATCATCACCTCGAGGAAACCCCATTTCACCGGCACAGTTCTTTACCTACTGTTTAGTTGCCAACCGTCGCAATCGTAGGGATGCCCAATTACGCCTGTCGACATGTCGAAAGCTCAGCAAGCCTAGCAGGCACAGCCTCAGCCGGAGCCTAGCCATGCACTGCACCCCTGATGTGGCTGAACTACTAAATGACCTCCCTGCAACACAAGAGCAATCTTAGAAGCGTCTTGCTCTTCTCCTAGGACGTACCGATGAATCTTATATATTTTGCGAGATTTCAACATCAACACCAAGCATTCAGCATGATCGACATCTCTTTTCCTAAACTGCGCGGTGACTGGAGCCTTGACGTCGTCAACATACTAGCCTTCTTAGGCGAGCACAACATCCTAGCTTGCAGCCAACAGATCTGCCTGTCGTGGATGTGTTTCCTCCCGCGACTCATACCGGCGCCCCAGGGCCTCCTCGCTCAGCGACCAAGGAAACTTGCGTCTGAAGACGAGGTACCGGTAACAGGAATATACTCGGGTAACGATAGGCCGTACTTACCGTAATTTGGTCGGATGTCGCACACTGATGGGTCTGAATTGAAACCCTTTACGACACGTGTATTTAAGATAGGATGGGACTACGAGAATATAGATAGATGTCTCAGAAGAAACTCGGTTCGACCAAGAGTAATTTCGCCAATGAATTTAATCGCCATTCTCAGCTGCGCGATGTCTCTCGGGCTAGCAGCATGGGCTCTTGTGCTTGGGGATGCCGTCGCACTTACTGTGTGTCGGAATGCGTTGGAGGCCAAATTCATCTTGGTCTTCTCGTCGTGTAATGGATAGCAAGAGAGAGGTACCGCAAGGTACGGTCGTCATCAAATCTCCGAACGGATGCTTCACGGTTGTGGAATGTGACGAGGACATCGCTCGCCGTCTTTACTTCCACCCCGGGTACATCGACTACGCGGTCAGCTCCTTTGCGGGACGTGGCTTGAGCGGTACTGTGGGTGGACTAACGCTTGTTGGTTCTATTGTACTGTTTGGCAATGCAGTATGGACGATCGAAGCAGCGCTCGCTGTCACATATACAGTCTTGAACCTGTTGTATTGGGTCGCCGCAATTCTACCGGTCCGCTTGTCATGGCACATCGATCTTATTCTTAGTCTACCCCAGATCACACACCACGACACTTTCACACGATGCCTTTGGACAACTATCTGTATTGCTAAAAGATCTAATTGGGCAAGGGAGTATGTGCCAAAGACTGAAGTATGGAGTGAGTGGCTTCGTGAAGCGCAACATCAGGCTCAGCATGCTCCAGGACCTGAGTGTTGGGACCCACAGGATGCTATCAGGAAGCTTCTCATAAAACAATCCAGACTTGTGGAAGATTCGACACAGTTGCATCCCGAATCGGGGTAAATAAGCCGCATGATATTGTATAATCCGTTCTGCTCCGTCAAGCGCATAGATAGCAATCACTCCTCGTTCCTCGATCAAATGCTCTCAAACTTGAAGTTTAGTCTAGTTGCCAGTCGCACTTTCTCGCATACTCATTAGCTGTTTAAAAGTTCCGACTAGCCCCAGCTTCAGTTCTAACACGTATTGAAGGTAGGCTCTTCTACCAACCATTTGTGCCGACGTACATGATCTAGTAGGATTGTATCCTTTCTATTAAGGCTGTCGTTCGGTTTTGCAATCATGTCCAAATATCGCTAGGGTCAAAGCATCACAGCAATGGCTTGATATTCGCACCTGAGTGGTGTAAGTACCTGAATCGCCTTCCGGGTTCGCCGAAGCAATCGTGCGCGCGCGCCTCGCAGCTCCGTACTGCTGCATACGGAGAAGTCAGCCAGGAACCCAGATCTGATCAACGATACCCGCCACCATACGGCCAGCCTCTTCGCTTCCCTCAGCGCAGGGGCAGTTGACACAGGGGCGCGTTGCCAAGCGGGCCTCGACCGGGGGTCGGAGCTTCCACGTGCGCCTCGGCAGCGCCGTTCAGTAGTTGCAGAGGCAAACTCACCAGACCTCCGTCAGCCTTATCAAGCCCTCATCACAACGCTTGGTCCGATCTGTTCGCTCGATGCAGGGGCTGTGGAGCTTTAATTCGGTTCATGAGCAGTGGACATTGGACTGACTAGGTACTTTTTGTGGATCTTGTTGATGTGTCCTGTGCCTCCTGAAGTCTGACGAGACTGACGATAGATAGACAACTCATTCTTGCTTGTAGCCCCGGAGAGTATACAGAACCTAATACGTGATTACCAAAGCCTGAAAAAAATAGCGGACTGATCAAGTACTTTTGGGATTGTAGCGCAAGCCTGGAACACGGCAACCTCCTAAATATCCGGCTAGTTGTAGTTCCCATCAGCCAATGTCTGAATTGGACTTCGCGCGTAAAGCCACCAAAATACATTGCGATACTCCACGTTCTACTAAGCCCGAGTCTCAGCTCGCCTCGATGGCGCCTCTTATTGAGTCTAGGGATGCGGACCCTCATGGAAGCTCGAAATATCTTGCACGTGGTGCAAGAAACACTGAGGCAGCAGTATTAAAGACCTGTCGCCCATCCTCAGGATTCATCACCCAGCTCTCTCTTACAGCATTCTTTACTATCAGGTTTGTTCGCTTTGGTGTGTTTAACACCGTCCAACTTGCAGCTACCCTGCTGCTATCACTCCTTTTACTCTCTTTGCCCTCTTTTTAACATTTGCATTAATCCTAATCCTAATTTTAATACTAACCATGCGTTTCATTGCTACTACACTGGGTCTTGCCAGTATTGCGTCTGCATATGCGCCCGTGTCATCGTAGGTGTTGAAAGTCTTTCACGAAGAAGAATGACCACTGACAACGCACGCAGTGTCTCTCTAGATCAATCATCCAACAACCCCTTGAGTCCCGCATCCAAGGTCCCGGCCAAAGTTTGCGAAGTCAAGACTTATACGGTCTATGAGACTGCCCACGGTGTCCAGGATAACGGTTCAAAAGCCACTCCTCCTGCTTTGCACGGCAACAACTATGATGTCAAATATACTTCTCTTGCGAGCACTCCTGCTGCAGCCAAACCTACCCCTTCCACTATAAGAGGTGCGTCCTCGCACTATGAAGCACGTCCTACCGGCAAGGTTGCAAAACCCTTTGGTCAGAACGAGGAGTATTTTACATACAACTCTGGAGAGGATGTTAAGCTCCAACCGTGTAGCCACTGGAGCCAAAACACAAAGGACCCCAAGAATCTCGTGCCAAAGGACAAGACTCAGCTTTACTACGCCGAAGGTGGTCGTGACAATGCGAGTAAGTACTCGTGTCTTACCTCGAACATGCTCAACCACTAACAATCAGTTCTAGAGCCGACTAATGAGTTCTACTTTGGTGTAATCGATCTCCTCTTCAAGGCCCCTGCTGTTGTGCTAGAGCACTCAGATTACATCCGAGAGGCACAGTACTCTGATAACCAGCTCGCTGTCGACTTCACTTCTGCATTCGCATGCGACTTCGCCAAAGAATCCTGGCCTAAAGGTACCATCATCGTCTCAAGCACGGCCGGTTGCAGGGTTCGATCAGACGATGATCAGTGCTACTTTAAGGTGGAGGATACTATCAAGTCTGAAGACGGCAAGTCTATCATCGTCAAGGGTTATCCTCAAGCGCGAGACGAGTGTACAGAGGGTGGTGAGGCCCATTGGGGACGATACAAACCTGAGAAGAATGGGAGCACCAAACAGCCAAACAGCACCGTTTCTTACTCCGGCTTCCCTTCTCCTACTTCATCGTACCGGGGCTTTTCTACTCCCCACGCCAGCTCTGGTTCATCAACTGGAAGCGTGATTCCGAATGTCTTGGCATCCTCTGGTATCGGGTCTTCGTATAGTTCCTACTTGAGCTCGCTTGTGTCGACCGGAATTATGTCTCAAGGCTCTGCGCACCCTACTGCGTCTGCATCCTCTGAGCTTGTATCTTCAGGCTTTTGGACTGCGGGACCATCTGACAGTACCTTGAGCTCAGGACAACCGTCGCTCACATCGTTCGGGTCCAGCATATTTGTTTCCTCATCATCAGAGTTCGAGTCCTGGACTCCTGCCCCTACATCTACACCAATGGCTTCGAGCATTCTATTGACGAACTCAACTGATGATGGCAACAACAAATTCAACCAGGACATCATTTCTGACTGCAAGGCCCCAGTTGACACTAAGTACAATCTTCCTACCACCTGTACCGGCAAATACTTCGATTTGGACCTTGACGAGTTTATGGGCTACGGTGAGCTGTCCGCTGAAGACAAGGCGTTCTTGAAGGATGCCACTGCCGGTTTGAGCTCCGATGACATCGCCGGTCTCTCTCGTCGGGCCCTGATGCATGGTCGACATATGGGTCGTAGAGGTCTCGTCAGCTGGTTCAAGAAGAACGTTGTCGCCCCTGTGGCTAGCACGATAAACCTCGGCAAAGTTTTGGTTCAAGGCGGTATCCAACTCATCACTACTGGTACTGTCAGCGGTAGTATCAAAGAATCATACAAGTTCGCTCTTCCCGACGGTAACAAAGCCGACGCAAAACAGGTCGAATCACCCTGGGGCCCCGCTGCTCTCATTGCCGCTTATGGTACGGAGTCCAAGATTAAGGCCGACAAGGGTGTGCAACGAGATGGCTATCTGAACATCTACTGCGTTGGGTGCGGCGCCCAGGGTGCTATCGAGTTGGCTGGTCGCGCGACATGGGCTGTTGGAAAGGGTATCACCCAGGGCGAGATTGAAGCCTGGGCTGATCTCAAAGTCGCTATGAAGGTTGGTGTTGACGCCCAGATCAAGCTCACCCGCGAGTGGAAGAAGACGCTGTTCCAGCAAGGTCTCCCCCAGCTTTCCTTTGGCCCTATCATCATTGGCCCCCAGGTGCGGGTTGAGGCTCGTGCTACCCTCGAGGCCGGAGCAGAGGGCCGTATCTTGGCTGGCGCTGAGTTCAACTGGAATCGTGCTTATGCAAAGGTCGACATGGTCGACCCTTCCAAGTCCACCCGCCAGAACTTCGACCCTGTTGGTCATCCCACATTTGAAGCAGAGGGCTCTCTCTACGTCGGCGCTGAACTGGGTCTTCCCATTGGCATGCATTTCGGTGTCACTGTCGCTAGCTGGAGCAAGACTATTGCTCTTATCAACGAGCCAATGATCAAGGGTATCGCAAAGGCTGCTATCAAGGCTGAGCTCGCTGACGGCAAGATCACTGCTGGTTTTACTCCCACCGAAGGATGCCAGGGTATTCACACCAACCTCAGCTGGAGGAACAAACTGGTGTGCAACGTCCTCGATGTCAAGGAGTTTGAGTTGCTGGATAGCGGTTACAAGAGTATCAAGTCTATGTGCATTCCTCTTGGTAAGCAAACTCAGCAGCCATCAACATCGCCTGGTAGCGAGGAGGCTGGCAACGGCGGCGAGGGTGGAAGCAACGAGGATACCGGTAATAGCGAGGGTACCGCTGGCGAGGGAGCTGAAGGACTACCCACCGGAGGACTGCCAGCCGGTGAACTACCTGCCGCCGAACTCCCTACTGGAGAATTATCCACCGGAGAACTGCCTACTGGAGAACTACCCACAGGACAAGAAACTACTGGAGAAGTGCCCAGTGGAGAGGCCAATAGCGCCGACAACGCTGGCCAGAGTACTGGGGATAATAATGCCCAGGGTAGCAGCGAGGACCGCGGATCGAGTAGCGAGGAGGCATCCATTCAGGTGGAAACTAAGCGATCCATCTCCATCAGACAAACAAACTCAACGCTTACACCCTCTTCGTCTGGTGACCTCCCAGCCGGCATCCGCGAGATTACCGACTCCGTCAAGAAAGCCACCGATAACGTCAACTACACAATTGCAGATGTCAAAACCGTTCCCTACGACCGTACCGACGGATACGAGTTTACCAAGCTCGTTGCGGGCGACTACAGCGTCATGTACTGTTCCAACGGCAACATGTATGTCAAGCAGGTCAACCAATCCACTGGCCTTGGCTGCGATGAGCTCTTTGCTTACAGCGAAGATGCCGTAGTTGGTGACGGCCAGGGCCGCTACTTCTACTACCACGACGACGCCATGAAGGCAGCTGGTGTATCCCGTCTCCGTCTCGGTGACGAAGAGAGCCCCGTCCTAGGCACGTCTGCTGTTGCGATGCTTGCTTGGAAAGCTGAGTTGACTGGAACCGAATACAACGTTGATCTCGAAGGTCTTTACACCGTTGCTGATTATGCTACCGAAGCTATTTACTGGTTGTCCTTCTGTACCTACAAGGATGGACAGGCGCCTAAAGTCTTCGTTGTCGCCGACCTGGTTGCCGGAATGGCGGTTTTAGAGAGCGCGGACGTCAAGTACTCAATCACTGGTGGTGATGTGGAGAAGTGCTACCCACTTATGGCTGTAGAGGATCCTGCTCTGAAGAACACTTGGGCAGAGTGGGACGATTCGTTGGATAATGACGCTGATGGCCTGGACTTTGATGTCGAGGAGTTTGGTGTGGAGCCGTAAAGTGATGATTTGTTTGGGAATCAGTAGTATAATCAAACCGTGTGTCGAAAGCATTGCAAATCCCTTGATGTGTGACTGGGCGCATGGTGGGCGGTTGGCATCAGTGCAAAACTTGCTCAAGATGCCAGATGGTGTTGTTGCGATACGGTGCGGTAGAGTACCACATGTCACGATGACCCCTACATCTTCGCTTATCGTAACGCTTTCGATGTACATGACCAGGCTACCCTTCCGCTTCCAAGAAGCTTTTCCAATAAGTACGGTAAGCGTACTCGCATTCTTTGCCATCGAATGAGTGCGCGCAGGGTCATCTGATCGCGTGGTTCCTTCCAAAGCCTGGCTAAGCTTCAGATGCTGGGTGGGTTAGTCATTTGCCCTGGGTTTTCCGCAGCATTGTTCGCCACTCTGGCACGTCTTTCCCTTCACTCGCTGAGTTTGAGCTGGAAATGCACCCGAGACAGCTGATGGGAGATGGTACTATCAACGCAGCGATGAAGCGCTAGCGCGATCTCGAAGACATTCCGAGTGAGAGAAGTCCTGGGAAGAGAAAGCTGAGTTACACCAAAGGGAAGAAGAACGGCACTCTTTGTTCGAACACGAGGAGGATGTAAGGAGCTTTGAGTCTGGACATCATGTCGTTGTGATGGGAAATGGGCCCTTCGCAACCGCCGTGATTTGGAGAGATCGCGCCCAAACTTGCATAAATTCATCTTGAAGGTGGGTGATAGATATTATGATACACTTGGATCAACCATCCTGGACTACTGTGGGATCACAAACCGCGTGTTCGAGCTCTGGTATCTGGAAGCGGGAGCACCTCGATCGCCGCATTGGGGCCTCCCAAAATTTGCGAACGTCAAACCTGGAATTCCTGGAGAAGCAGCTTATCTTCATCGAACCCGACTCTACTGGCGTGTCGATCGCGAGAAGTTGTGGGACGAGGTGCAGGAAGCTTGAAATGCCGTAGCTGGATCAGAGGCGAAAGTTGTGTTTCTGAACGAGGAGAATTGGGAAGGAACACAATGGCCATGGTAGTGTCATTGCGATGGAGATTTCTAAGTTAGATATTATCCTGCATGGTCTCTGTGTAAAAGACATGTATTCCTTGGGTGGTTTGTTGCATTATTACTCGCTGCTGTGACGTGAGTATCTGTGAGTCAAGATGCAACGCGTTGACCACGATCCATCGACTACAGAACAACGGGAGGTCCATGTACAAGTGAATCCTGCCGTACTTGCCGAGTTTTTGGATCCAAACTCATCGCAGTGGCTGGCGGAGTTCGCACTAAGCAGAGTTATCAGAATACCCGGTGGCGCCTCTACGCCGCTACACTCCATGTGACTGAGCTACCGCCAGGACTAACTCCAATAGACTACATCTGTTGCTAACTTCTGCTTCTAGTAATCCTCTAGCATCATCCCAGCACGAGGATGCAAGCAACCGTAGCGATAACTCGGGCACTTATGCAGGGCAAAAGGGATAGAACCACACCGGCCTCGTATGAGCACCTCGAAAAGCGCGCTGTACACGATACCGATACTCTTGGTAACGATCGAATTTAACGAGCTCGTATACTGGATGTATTAAAGCGACCGGCCTTTGCTTCGACATGATACCCCAGGTACACCTCAACAGACCCTTACGCTCTTTCTGAAGTATCAAGCCTACCTGTGGTGTCCACCTCCACGCTCTTTAATCGCTATACATCCTTATACACACGTAATTCCTAATCATGTCTTTCAACATCCGCAACACCCTGGCCCTGAGCGCCTTCTCTGCTCTCGCCGTTGCGTAGACCGTAGCTCCGAAGCTCGACGCAACTTGCGCTGATGTAGTCATCTTCATGGCTCGCGGCAACGACGCGCCATACCATGACGGTCGCACGTTCCCCTTTATCGAGGCGACGTGCGGCAAGTTGACTGACCAGGGCAAAAGCTGCGATTACATTGATATCCAGTTCGACGTTACCCTGGGTGGTGACTACTGCAACCAAGTTGCCGAGGGCGCTCGTAATGGTGTCTCTCAGATCACTGCCTTCCACGAGAAATGTCCTTGCTCGCACATTGTGGTCAATGGTTACTCTGAGGGAGCTCATGTTGCGGGCGACGTGCTTGGTGGACCGGCAAGCTTCTTGCCATTTGTACCGATTGCATATGGGATATGCACTGACTTCATGTTCCAATATAGGGTGGATGCACTTTCGTCTCGACCGGGTTGGATAACAACTCTGCTGCTGGCAAAGCGGGTAAGCAGATTCACCGATGCCATAGCCCTACCTATGCTGACACACACAAGTTGCGGCAGCTCTTCTTTGGGGAGACGTGATGCATACCGCCAACCAGCCCTACAACGTGCTAGACGGTGCCGACAAGCAAGCCAACGGACGTAAGCCAGGGGATCTCGCACGCCTCAACCGCTACGCGCCAGTACTCCGCTCTTACTGCGCTGCTGGCGACCCAGTCTGCGCCGGCGGTAACGTTGTGGTTAATCACCTGAACTACTTCGAGCTCTACACCGACGACGCGTCTTCCTGGGTTGTTTCTAAGATCGACAACGTCGCGCCTCTGCCATCTTGTGCTGCGCCCAGCTCGTCGTCCACCCTCGTTCTCTCCTCTACTGTCGCTATCTCTTCAGCTACTAGTGCTTCCGTCCCTCAGTCTTCCGCTGTCGCTCCTACCCCATCTTCCATGGTCACAGTCTCTGTTACACCTACCATGGTTGAGTCTTCTGCGACCGAGACGCCTTGCTCGACTTCACCAGCAATGGTGTCTCCATTTCCCTCGCCTGTCCCTTACAGCCCCGACTCATACGTCCTTGAAGTTCATATAGAGTATGCATACGTATAGAGAGAAGGAATGGGATAGCGAGAAGAAGGAAGGACTGTGGATATCAGAGCAACGTATAAAGAGCGCTTCTAGCAGCAACAGTACTGTGACAATATATTCAAGGTGGGCCATTCGCCCGACAAACCAGTACTTACTTACCTCCCGTTCATTGATATGACTATGATGTCCCCGTTGCTCGTGAAGCCTGAGCTGTTCATCAGATAGTTTACCTGAGCGTTTGAAAAGAGGCCGTTATCTTCTAGGCCGTATTCTTGAGTATACCAGCGGATGTGCCGATACAAGTGCAAAACGCGTTGAACTAAGATACCACACGCGCCCTTGGCTATCGACACAGCGTGTTCTAAGCGTATCATTACCCAGGTACATTGATACTGTGCTTGATGTCAAAGCGTATCAGGCGGCAAGGCTAAGGACAAAGTGGGTGAGCAAGCCTCGCTGACATAACGCTGAACTACGTTTACTGAATCGGCGGGGGATAGCCAACAATGACGAAAAACGTCGACAGCGATGATGCCTGAGGAAGATCGCGAGTGGTTGCAGCTGGCGTAGGCTTGGCATTCCCGCGGACTTCACATGCGTGTCATCCCTCACACAAGTATATATCCACAACCAAACCTCACTCAGACAGCATCAACTCTCTGGAACAACTTTACAATGCATCGAATACGACCGCGACTTGACGCCTTCCGCACACCACCTCGCGTAGCTCAATACACATACCAACCTCTCCGCACCCACCCACAAACACGCGCCTACCAACAACTTCCCTTCGGTCGAGGCAACGGCCCCCAATACAAACGCTTCAGCGCCCAATCAGGTGGCCTGTCCGGTCTCCTCTTCCGCTGGGCCCAACGTCCAACATTCTACCGCGATGTTGGCTTAATTAGCGCAGGCACCGGCGGCGTCTACCTATACAACCTCGAACAAGTGCCCGTATCCGGTCGCCGCCGTTTCAACATCATCTCACCTGGCATCGAAGAAGCGCTCGGGCAACAAACCGTGGAACAAGTCCGGCAAGAATATCAAGGCAGGATATTACCGGATGGCGACGCGAGGGTGAGGCAGGTGAAGAGGGTTTTGGAGCGGTTGTTGCCGTATGCGGAAGGTGAAGGGCTGAAAGATCTAAACTGGGAGGTTACTGTTATTGAGTCTCCAGAACAAAACGCTTTTGTTGCGCCTGGGGGGAAGGTGTTTGTATTTACGGGGATATTGCCGTTGTGTCGGGATGAGGATGGAATTGCGGCGGTGTTGGGTCATGAGATTGCGCACGTGGTTGCGCATCATACTGCGTCAGTGCCCCCCATATTTCTTCCCTTTTGAATATCTGGACAATTTACTAACAAAAACGCAGTGAACGCATGTCTCAGGCTCCCCTAATCCTCCTTGGCGCCCTTGCCCTCTCCATGTTCGATGTATCCTTTTACTCGGGCAAAATGCTCCTCGATCTCTTCCTCTCTATGCCTGCGTCGCGTAAACACGAAGCTGAAGCAGATTACATTGGTCTCCTCATGATGGCACAAGGCTGCTACCGACCAGAAGCCGCAATGCAGTTTTGGACGCGCATGGAGAAGGTGGGTGGGGCGGGCCCGCCACAAATACTGAGTACGCATCCGAGTCACCATAATAGAGAGGAAAAGATTAGGGAGTGGCTACCCCAGGCAATGGAGAAGGCTGAAGCGAGTGAATGTGGTGTTACGAGTGCATATGGTAAGTCGTGAGAAACGCGTCACGTGAATTAATGAGAACCATGACTGACATGATATAGCTACTCAGTTCAGTTCTGCTTTTGACAGCTTCGGACGTTGGTGAGGCGTTGAGAGGCTTTTGGCGTTAGCGCTTGTACGAACACCTTGTATGATACTGCATGAGTATACCAATACTGAATTACGATAGCGACGCAATGACGAGGACTTTCTCTTCACACTTGGAAGAAGTGCTCGGCATGAAACACGATATTACGATATAATGTCATAATTTCTTATACTCTACTATCCTCGGCACACCCGTTCTATACAAAACATGCACATCCGCTGTCCTCGCAACCCCAATACTAGGCCTACCCACCGATTCCGGGTAGACTGACTCCCTTTGCTCCACATCCGACGCGCTATCATCGAAGTAGCTGTTCTCCATATCCATAACCTTTCCCATCTCGATCTCAGTGACCGTCAATCTCCTCTCGCCATCGAAGTCAAACGCGCCATCCTTTCCCTTTTCGAGATCGTCATCGTCATCGATGCTGACCAAGTTCTTCTCTCCCCAACTCCCGCGGTATCCTGGTATGGTGGGTACTTCAGAGGGTGTGGCGGTTCGGTGAGGACAGTGGAAGACTTGTTTGAGTAGAGGGGAGAGGGAGGGGAGAGAGGCGGCGAGAATACCGATGTCGACTTCGATCTGAGACCATACTGGGACCCATGACCAGCCCCTATAATTAATCTGTTAGTAGAGCTACTAGTGAAATAAAACGATTGGAGGAAGACGTACCAGCTAAAATCGACTTCCTGCCAAGTACTTCCTGGTCTGATGGGGCTGTCGGACATGACAATCTCGCAGAGGCGCATGGTGCTTGCTACGACTGGGATGACGCCGATAGAGAGGATGACTGCGAGAGCCGCTGGGACAATTGTTAGCAATCCACTCCTATGGAGTTACATGCACGTTGACCCACTTCTTTGTCTCTTGTTGAACTTGATTACCCAGATCAAGGGCAACGGGAAGATCAATAAGACGATATCGGTAACGACATTGATGGCACCCGAGATGACCATGAACATGGCGGCATTGATGCATCCATCGGGTTGAGCCTCGATGTCCCAGACACGAGATACTGGAGTGCAGATGAATAGTTGAGTCTTCCAAGCATGTCAGTCATGATCACTATACAAGCAGGGACAGTACTTACGAGAAAGACAGAGAAACTGAATGCAGTCATAAAAGCGGCTACTGTCCATACAGCAGGTGACTGTACGATCCATGGCAAGCCCTGTTTTCCATACCCAATCCGGTAGTACAGAGCTAGAATGCTCATCTTGACAGCCCTGCAATTACGTTAGCCCTGATATTTTGTGACAAGGGCGATGGTGCGGCATACCAATTTGCCACAAAGTAGATTAGCATATTGATCCATTGGTACTAGTCGGCTGTCAGTACGATGTCGGATACCTCAGTATGGGTCAATAATACCATGAGCATCTCGTCGAACTGCTCAACGTGTAGCTCCGAGGCATGTCGTCCCTGTCCATGTTCGATCTGTAATATGATGGTGACTGTTTGTGCGGCTCCGAGGGTGACGGCGATGGCGATAAAGAGGTCGTCTAAGCCAAATTTCTTGACTATATATCCACGAGTGAAGCATCTATTATCGTTAACAAAGTTACACTTGGTCACCACGAAAACGCATGCTTACCGAAGAGCCACAAACGCCACAGCCATTGTGTACATGGCCATGCTGACTCGACCTATCACCGGCCCTTGGTCACGTCCATTCGCGACGTATACAATGTGTCCCATTGCGAGTTCGGTATGTGGCTGAGCTATACGATGTTCGAAGGTTTGACATGAGGCTACGAGAGTTAATCCTATAGCGGCGCAAAGTTTCCCAAACGCCCGACTCGAGAATAGGAAAAGAAGTAAAGTAAAGGGTGATCGTCAGACTAGATTGTGCCAGAAGGGGCCTACACACATCTAATACAACGTGGATAAGTTACGACACTGAAAGTGCGACAGCGCGATTGGGATGTTGCATCTCTCTGCGCGGCATGATTGACGCGGCACTGCTTGAAACCGAGATTTCCTTCCAGAAGCATATCAAACAGTGCACAAAGAGACACGCGGCCTGTGCATACCTCTTCTCGGCATCGGCATTGTGGTTTGTCGCGTGGCAATGGTGCGGCGCGCCCTGTCGCAGGGTGCATCTCGAAACCTTGTTTAGACCCACGTTCCCGGGACTTAGGATATTGAATGTATCTTTGGATAACATGGCCTCGGGTTCGAGAGCGGGTGCCTGAACGAATGGTTCGAGTGTTTATGGTATGGGATGCGATTGGCTGTGGGGTGTAAAAAGCCGAACGGGCTATCCCGGTGTGGCTGGTGAAGCATCGCATAAACATGTTCTTGGACATCTCAGAGGGGAATCTGACAGAAGAATTTAGGCATATGTGGATGCGTACCAGAACCTGGAGTTGGGCAGTTATGAAGTTGCATCATAGTGCATCCATTGCCGATCGCAAACTTTGTGTTTGCGATGGAAACTTGACAGGTGAAGTCGAGGCACGTGGCCGAGGAAAGGGCTAGCTACCGAACAGAGCTTCCCGGGCGTGGGACAGGCCGAACATGAGATAGAAGGGTTCACCATGGTCACGGTGGCAACAGCATTCGAAAAGAGACAGCCGTCGCATATAGTTTCTGTAGCAGCGCTACCTGGGTACCTGCTGACATGATCTGGTTGCTATCTTGCGCAGTTTGAATAGACCACAGTCGAGTTTGTGAAGGGTGGTGGTTGCGTGGGTAGACATGTGAACATGTCTGCATATCCGCACCCCACATTGTGCGATGGGCGGTCGCCACTGATGCTCGCGAAGGCTACATCAGGACGCGTCAGCTAGAAGAATGGCCGCGCTGGTTATTGATGGAGAGAAGACTGTGAAGAAGTTCGGAGCTGAGTTCCGTAGTGCTTGAGGTCGGGCCATGTAGTGGAGGATCGCCGCGGAGCGAGCTGAGTTGGGTTACGGGTGGTTGATGAGGCCGTTGTGACGGGCCAGGTTGTGGACCTAGCGCTGACAACGCTGGACGTTGCATTCACGTCACTCTTGAAGCATAGCAACCCCCCGCCAAAAGAATGGAGGCTCGGAAAGCTGCAGGGCCTGCTAGAAGTGTGCGGAGATGGCCGACACGATTTAGAGGCCGAGCAGAAGGATCTACCGCAACAACGACGCTGGTCCCAACATTCACAAGCCCCCAAGCCCTCCACATCCGCGCATCTTGCCCAACGAAACAGGGAAGCCGCAACCCGACAATCGAGCCGCTCCTGCCTTGAAGCTGCCTCAACGCTTCCCTTACTACCTGGGATCGATATCGCAATTTTTCACGTGTGAGGCAAGCGCATTTCTTCCAGCGGAAAACGACTAACGGCTTCTCATCACCCCACTGCGCGGTAAGCTGCTATCCTCGACTGACACCCACAACCCCTCCCTCTGTACTACACCTATTCCTCCCGAAGCCCAGTCTATGACCGAGCACACCCACCGCCAGCGACTAAGGGCTCTTCAGCAACTGACGATATTCCTCTCTCAGTAGACCCTACCCGCACCCACCAACCGCCGCGGCTTACTAGGCACGCAAGCGATCCTGTATACCCCACTCTTATACCTCCACCTTCCGTACCCCTACCGTCGTGGAATACCATTCCCCACGACACCATGACCGGCCACGCGACCATCACCTTCTCACAGACGGGCGTGCAGCCGCCCGTCTATGTCACTACCTCTCTCAATGATTGGATGCCGGTTGAGATGGACGTGAAGGAAGACAAAACGGCCTCGGACAACCTGATCTTTAGCAAAGAGTTCAATGACGTTGCTGAAGGCAGTTATCAATACAAGATTCGCGTTGGCGAGGACTATTGGGTGCTGGACGAGTCAAAAGAAACTGGTTTGTCAGCTCACATGCGTGTAGACTTTCCTACTGACTCTTTCCAGCTGCCGCCGACGATGGTATCCTCAACAACGTTATTCACGTCGAGCCCGCCAGCGAGACCAACTCCTTGAGCTCAGCATCCGAAGTTACCACAGTACATGGGGCTATTTCTGAAACGGCATCGCTAAAGACTTCCCCTGGGAACTCGTCGAAGATACCCGAGTACCGAAAAGACAGTACAATGGACGATCAACTGCCCAGCGCTCCAGTCCCTTTCGTAGTCCTTGAGAAGGTCGAAGACCAGGAGCAGCCAGCTTACGGCGACACCAGCCACGTCGACCTTACTACAGATGCTGCCAAGCGCACGGCCGACGCAGAGCCCGACTTTGAAGAAACGAAGGTGGACTCCCCGGTCGAGACAGAAACACCCAAATCACCTCAAGTTCCTCTTCTGGTAGTCGACAAGGCGGACGACTGGCCCGCATACGGAGACAATTTCGGCGAGGATGCTACGACTGCTCAGAAGGTTGCGCACGATATGAGGGCTGCGGACACACAACCAGACAGACTCAACATCACACCAGAATCTCACACAGAGCCTAGTATTGACCAAGACGACGAAGCTGCTCCATTGTTCCGCCACGAATCTTTCCAAGCGGACGACGACTCACAGGCGCCTCCACATATTACCATGGACGGTGAATCCACACAGTCATCAACAGATCAGACTAGTTCCGGGGATGCAATGGATACACCTTCTGAACCTGATGATGGTGACGAGCTAGATCTGGCGCCCTTGCTCAGTCACGAGACTGTACTTCGAGATAGCAAAACCGAATCGAGAGACGCACTACGAGCTTCTCACGAAGCTGATGGTGACGAGGACGATACCGATGAATTTGGTGGAGCCCCTCTTCTTCCTCACGAGACCGGCTTTACCGAGGATGATGGAGCTGCAACTGAATCCGACGAAGAGGCGGATGAGCTTGACAGGTACCCAACACTATCACACGAAAATGGTTTCTCGGATTATAAGGGAAGCGAGACCATCGCTAAGAATGATTACTCGAAGAACCGGAAGCTACAACATTATGGCGCCCACGGTGATAAGCATGACGACGACCGCCCTGATAATGAGGAGGATGACACACCTCTTCTTCCACACGAACGGGAATCAGCCGTTGTCGGCAGCACTGGCTCCGACTTTTCGCAGGATGATACCCCATTCTCTTTAGAGAAGCAGCCGACCTTTGGTTACGAGACTGACCGTGCGCGAGAGCTGTTCGGTGGGCCCGATCGACACGACTTCTTCAGAGGACGAACGGGGAGTAATCTTCCCCACAGGCTACCGCAATCAGATGCGGAGGACCATGACCTGAACGATCCGTCCCTGGAGCGATTTCCGACCAATCGTGAATCGATCTTGGCGCGTGTAGCGACAATCGGTATGCATCTTCCCGAGGATGAATCGATGCATGAGTGCCCACACTCTCCGCAGCCGTCTGTCCTGTCCCAAGCATGCTCCTCCGTCGATCTTGTGCCCGTCAAATCGTATACTTCGTTAGCGTCTGTGCCCGAGGATGAAAACAGTGATGAATACGAAGGCGATCACAATGATCTAGATAGTATGCCATCGCCCGTGTACATCAGCCACAATACTACCCGCAGGTCAAGCCCGCCAGGCAGATTTGTTCGAGACCCATACGCAACCCCTTTACCTAATGAAAGTAAGCAACTTGGGGACGCATTCAATGTCAAGACAAACGAATCTGGCAATCATACCCAGGAATTTAGTGATGCGGAAAGTGTCGCTAAGCATGACGGTGCCAAGGACGTCTCACACGCTCACAGCGCCTTGCATGAAGTCATCTCCATGCCAGTTAATGTCGCAAAATCTGCCACGGGTTCAGTCACATCTGAGCCCAAGATCACTGCTCTAGAAGCCCATCCCGTCGCCAGTTTGGACTCGGAGCTTCGGCAGCGTAGAGCAGTGGTAGAAGAATCTTCGCAGACATCAGAAGAAACGCCTACAACAGCCACAGATGGTGCCAGCATTGAGGACAAGATTGTCGAGGCAGCAAAGCCTGCACTTGCACAGCAACCAGATTATCACAACGAGAACTTCCTACAACATTTCTTCCGAGCCACGATTACTACTTGTTTTGGCGACCTGAAACGCGCCAGGTGAGTGAACACCATTTCCTTCCTCTTAGAACCCTTGAGTATGTGCCTTGTGGCACTCTTCTACATGTTTCTCACTATGCAGTCGTGAATCTGGGAAAGACTATTGCTAACATTGTATTACAGTGCTTCTGCTCTTGTCCTTGGTACCACTGCTGCGACTTACTACTACGCTGCGAAGGCATCAAGATAAAATCAAACTGGAACACAAAATGATCAAAATTGGTACGGATTTCGGAGTTGGCATTGCACCACACTGTATGATATGAAGGACATGAAATGAGCATAGCGATGCGGGACTAGATTGTACTGTCCTGCATTGCACCGCATACGCATAACGAGATTAATGACCTGGGTTTCACAATACATGAGCATGCGCTTCGGCGCACTGGCGTTTTATGTAGCATTCACTCTCCTCCTCTTCAAGCCTCAATAATCTCATCTTACAACAACAAGTAAAAACTGCGTTTCTGTGCTGTGCATGCGTTATTCGGAGTTGGATATAATGGTGATCAGTAAATACGAAGTAAGGAGGACTAGCAACAAGAAACTCGCGAAACCCTTTTTAACTCATAACGATTTAATCCTAGAATAATATCACATTCACAAGCGCGTGCACGACATACACGCCAAACAGCTTCATCAGTCACCATGATAAGACGAGGACAATTAACCGTGGGTTGTATCATGATCTCATTTCTTCTGCATATTCCTACACAGTGGTACTACCTAGGTATCTCATATCTTCATATCAAAGGTTTCTTCATGTAAAATAGCGACGAAAAGACTCAAGTCTATTGAAGCAATCGTCAGTGAGTGTAACACAACGGCAACTACCATGCTACCCACTCAGAAAATAGCACACACATAGAAATAGAGAAACTAAACGCGACCGGCACTGCATTTCTACAGACGCGGCCTGTTTGCTCCACTCGATTGTGCACTCACCGACTTGTTCTTGATGTCGTATCGGTCATTGTTCATAATCTTCTCCCAGCCAGCAACAAACTCCTTGACGAACTTGTCCGCGTTATCGGGCGACGCGTAGGTCTCCGCGACGGCACGGAGTTCGGGGTGCGCACCAAAGACGAGGTCGTGGCGGGTAGCAGTCCACTTCTTCTGGCCGGACTTGCGGTCGACACCCTCGTACAGCTCCTTGCTTGCGTCGGTTGCCTTCCACTCGGTGTTGTTGTCGAGGAGGTTGACAAAGAAGTCGTTGGTGAGCTGGCCGGGGCGCTTGGTGAAGATGCCGTGGGATGAGCCGTCCCAGTTGGCGTTCAGCGCACGCATACCACCGGTAAGGACGACCATCTCAGGGGCAGTGAGACGGAGGAGGTGGGCCTTGTCAACATCAAGTTGCTCGGTGCGGACACGCTCGGTACCCTTGCCGAAGTTGCGGAAGCCATCGGTGACGGGCTCGAGGTGCTCGAAAGACTGGACGTCAGTCTGCTCCTGCGAGGCATCGGTGCGGCCGGGTGTGAAGGGAACGGATACACCGGCAGCCTTCTCAACGGCAGCGGTACCGGCCAACACGATCAAGTCAGCCAGAGAAACCTTCTTGCTGCCGCCGTTGAACTTGGACTGGATGCCCTCGAGAGCCTTGAGGACCTCAGCAAGCTCCTTGGGGTTGTTGACCTCCCAGTCCTTCTGGGGAGCGAGGCGGATACGGGCACCGTTGGCACCTCCACGCTTGTCGCTGCCACGGAATGAAGCTGCTGAAGCCCAAGCAGTGCGGATGAGCTTAGCGGGCTCGATGCCAGCGTCAAGAATCTGCTTCTTCAGGGTGGAGATCTCGGCATCGCCAATGATCTCACCCTCGGGCTGAGGAACGGGGTCCTCCCAGAGAAGGACCTCCTTGGGGATCTCAGGGCCCAACCACCTGGAGCGGGGACCCATGTCACGGTGGAGAAGCTTGAACCACGCGCGAACGAAAGCGTCGTGAAGCTCCTCGGGGTGGTCCAACCAGCGACGAGTGATCTTCTCGTAGGCGGGGTCCATGCGCATCGACAAGTCGGTGGTCAGCATCCTTGGCTTGTGCTTCTTGCCCTGCTCGTAGGCGTCGGGAATGATCCTGTCGTCGGTTTTGGCGACCCATTGGTTCGCACCAGCAGGGCTCTTCTCTAGCTCCCACTCGTACTTGTAGAGGTACTCCAGGTACTTGTTGCTCCACTTGGTGGGTGTGCCAGTCCAGGTGACCTCGAGACCACTGGTGATGGTGTCAGGGCCGTTACCACGGCCGTGCTTGTTCATCCAGCCAAATCCTTGTGTTTCGAGATCCTCGGAGTTGGGGTCTGGCCCAGTGTTCTCTGTAGGAGCAGCACCGTGAGTCTTTCCGAAAGAGTGGCCACCAATGATGAGGGCAGCGGTCTCCTCGTCGTTCATGGCCATGCGGCTGAAGGTTGTTCGGATATCGTGAGCGGCGGCAACGGGGTCGGGAACACCCTCGGGACCTGAAAATGTTAGATTGATAGAACACACACGTTTGACCAGATGTGCTTACCTTCTGGGTTTACGTAGATGAGACCCATGTGTGCGGCCGCCAAGGGCTTCTCGAGATCCCTCGATGTGTGAGTCTCGTCCTTGTCGACCTTGTGCTGGTCACCGTCCATGATACCCTCGCCCTTGACACCCTTGGCGCCATCAGCGTAGCGGACGTCACTGCCGAGCCACTCGGTCTCGCCACCCCAGTAGACAGATTCGTCGGACTGGAAAGTGTCGGAGCGGCCACCAGCGAAACCGAAGGTTGGGCAGCCCATGGATTCAAGGGCGACGTTGCCGGTAAGAAGCATCAAGTCGGCCCATGAAATCTTGTTGCCGTATTTTTGCTTGATGGGCCAGAGGAGGCGGCGAGCCTTGTCGAGGGAGACGTTGTCGGGCCATGCGTTGAGGGGAGCAAAGCGCTGCTGTCCATCGCCACCGCCACCACGACCGTCGGTCACACGGTAGGTACCAGCAGAGTGCCATGCCATACGGATGCTGTGGTGGATGTTAGCCTGGCTAGCTAGAGGCAATTGGGTGCTGGACGTACAAAAGACCACCGTAGTGACCAAAGTCGGCAGGCCACCAGTCCTGGGAGTCGGTTATCAGGGCGTTGATGTCCTTCTTCAATGCATCGTAGTCGAGCTTCTTGAACTCCTCAGCATAGTTGAAGTCAGAACCGAGAGGGTTCTGTCTGGGGTCGTGTTGACGGAGGATGTTGACCCTGAGCTCGTTTGGCCACCAGTCCGCGTTCCTGGTACCAGCGCCGGCGACGTTGGGCGTCTTCTTCACGGGACACTCGCCTTGAGACATGATGAATCGATTGGTAGTGTGTTGTGGAAGAGGATGTTTGAAGAAAACAAACTGCAGAGCTCGCTGTCGGGACAGCTTATGGGTATATAAGTAGCGGGGCATTCATAAGCACGACCAATCTGGCCAGCACCTCACTGGCTTGCCCCTCCCGCACCTGAGCAATCCACCAGTGGCTCCGCATCCCTTAGCTCCATCTTGCCTAGCATCACGAGAGGCTCCACCCCATCATCGCGACTTTGTCCAAAGACTCCATACCAATCCTACATGCTGACAGTAGCACAGTATTCCATTTGTTGCATCTTTTCCCCCGCTACCAAATGCTCTCATCAAAAGCCACGGGTTCCGTCGCCGCCACGCGCAATGGCATGACGTGCGCGAGTGGCATGTGGGCCTCTTGGACCCCGCTTTCGGAACCGCACATCATCACTGTAATGTTGGCCCTGTGATTCGTCGACGCGAGTTCACGTGACAGAAAGTAGCACCGAGGCAACGAGAAGCCATGGCGGAAATCGGCGGCTTGATGCGCTGGACAAGGCCAGACACCGACTTTGAGTAAGCCGCCCAAAGCAAACGCATCGCCAACAGTGCCAGACCAGCCAGACTGTGCTGGATCGCGTAATAGATGGAAACTGCTAGACGCGCCGACACGTTTGATCGACCGGGTATGGCATTATCCATGACTTGGCGGCAAATAGAAGTATATGGAATTCCAATCTACTGACCACTACGGTTTTCAAGACAGCTAGTAGTACGTTCTGTTAGTCGAATATTTTCTGCTACTCGCGGGATCGTATTCGGTACGACTGGGAATACTCATCGTGGCAAGAAGACTATCGTGACAATGCAAGTCTGCATGGCGATTAGCCTCGAAACATCGGGAAACAATTCCTCGTTACTTAGCGGCATCCAATTCAAAGAGAACACGCGGTGATATGTATGACAGTCCCCTACGCGAACTTTGGTTTTCTGAAGCCTGAAGCTGGCCGGCTCACGCCACCTTATGATATCCGTCCCGGTAACCCCACGTACATCACCCCGCATCGCCCACGCCTCATATATGGGGAAAGCCAAGCGCCTTGACGGCTCCAACAGCCGCCCACTTCGCTCCTTTAACAGCCCCTCGCCGCGGAAAACGCCCGCTTTTACACTTGTAGGGAAGAAGGAACGATTCGAGCGTACTGAGTCGCGTTTGTGATAATAAATCTTTTACTGGATGATTGTGGATATTTTCCAAGACCGAGGTTGTCAAACTATCGTTCCATTGATTTGTATTCACGATGGACGCGGTTCTACTTCGTCATTGGAGAACTTTACCGCGCAGACAGTAGTTGTGGGGATCTTGAGTTGAGGGGTAAGATGAGGATGAGGGGTTCATGTACCGTCCTTCATCCGGTCGTTTGATTCACCTTGTCACTAAATCCATACCCTTCATTCCAGGCGCAACTGTACCAAATTCGTCAATCAACCCAACATATACACACATTTCAACAACATGGCAGAAGACAAAGTCCAGACTTTTGATATCCCAAAGACATGTAAAGCCGGTGTAGTAGTCAACGAGGGTCCAGACTTTCACGTCGAGGTTCAGGACGTTCCAGTCCCAGAATGTGGTATGTGTTGAAAAGGTATCCGAGATATCTGACGGTGTTCTAATGGTCTTTTTCAGGACCAACGGACGTACTTATCAAGCTCAATGCAACTGGTATCTGCCACAGCGACCTCCACTTCATGCTCAACGACTGGGCACTACCAAAGATGTCAGACCTCGGTACAAAGTGCGCCGGACACGAAGGTAGCGGAGTCATCGTCAAGGTCGGAGATCAGGTTAAGAACCTGAAGCCGGGAATGCGCGCTGGATACAAGGTGAGCAGACTAGCTTTCCACATACTCCCGCGTCGTAAAGGAAGCGAAGACGTAAGCATATCCGAGAGAGCCGAATGCTGACCCTTTCAGCCAATCCAAGATACCTGTGGCTCATGTGAGCTTTGCCGAAACGGCAACGAATGCTACTGCGCAAAGGCAGTCTTGACTGGACTGATGGTCGATGGTTCATACAAGCAATACATTGTTTCGCCCGAACGTTATACAACACTCGTCCCAGATGGCGTAAACGACTACATAGCAGGACCGATTATGTGTTCTGCTTCAACAATCTACACCTCAATCAAGGAGTCACAACTCCGACCTGGAGACTGGGCTGTCTTCCCTGGTGCAGGCGGCGGCGTCGGCCTACAAGGCGTACAGCTCGCCAAAGCCATGGGTCTACGCGCCGTAGCCATTGACACTGGCGACGACAAGCAGAAGCTCTGCATGGAAACCGGAGGCGCGGAACATTTCATTGATTTCAAGAAAGTAGACAACGTGGGCGAGGAGGTAGTACGACTGTGCGATGGCATCGGTGCTCACGGTGTCTTCGTCACCGCTGTTCAGACCTACCCAAACTCGATATCATACCTTGGTAGTCGCGTTGGTGGAAAGGTCATGTGCATTGGGCTACCGCCGGCTGGTACTCAACACATTGATGTCGATCCTGGCCAGATGTGCTTCAGAAAACAGAGTGTACAGGGTACGCTTGTGAGCAGTATGGCGGATGTGGACAAGACGCTTGATTTCGCTAGGCGAGGGTTGTTGAAGCCGATCTACACGGTGTATCCGTTGAGCAAGTTTAATGAAGCTGTACAGAAGCTTAAGCGTGGGGAGATTGCTGGACGGGCCGTTGTCGACTTCAATATGGAGTAGAGGGGTCGTGAGGTTCTTGTAAAGTAGCTGTGGAGAGGAAAGGTGTTTTGGTAGTTAGAAAAACGATCTGAATATCCTCAAAAGTTTATTTGGAAAATCATATGAGCAAGTCAATGTTCCAGAGAGTTGTATAACGAGATTGGCATGACTGTGGAATGTGATGATGGCTGCGTTTTGCATGTGATTGGATTGTCCCTGCGGATGCACAGACCAACCTTGTTCGTCGCATCGTTATCCAACGTCAGCCACGCCTCATTGTACATCGCAACAACAAGACATCCTTTCGCTCTACGTAATGATTGCTTGAGCAATGCGCCCCAGTTTGCATAAGTGTATATGTCGAGGGCATGTCCAGCTCGTCGTCAGATCCGTCCTCCCGTGGACAGGCTAAAGCATCATCGAGCCGCATATTGAACGGGAAGCAGCCAGTCGTTGAGGACGATCACAGCGATGAAGAGGTACTGCTTGCGGATGACCCACTAGAACGAGATCTACCTGAACAGTAAGCAGATATAGCACACTTTTCATATGCTCTATCTTAAGACGTGTCTTCAGGCTGTCCTTCAAGCGCAAACCCAAGGCATCCACAGCCTCCTTCGGCTTCTCGCGATACCTCCCATCTTCCCTCGGGTCATCTAGCAACCGCGCCTCGCCCCAACCACAATCGCACCGCCCAAATGGCTCAACAGAGCTTATACTCAATTATCTCGATACACCTGGCAACGCAGGCGAACATCTCCAAGACACCAAAGATGCGAACGGACTAGACTGGTACGTCGAAGGGCCTGGGCGGCGAGTAGGATACGATGACCTCACCGCAATTGATTGGATCTTCGAATACGCGAAAGAACGGCAACGACTACGCTATCTATACACGGGTACCAGTGGTGTACTTGGCCATATCAAGCAGTTGGCGGATGCAAGTCAGGTCTGGATCATTCTGGTTGCTGCCGGCATATTGAGCGGAGGTATTGCAGCCTTTATCGACGTGGCGAGTGATTGGCTGGCAGATCTCAAGACGGGTTATTGTCATAATATTGATGGAGATGGGCGGTTCTACCTGAACAAGAGCTTTTGTTGTTGGGGAATCGAGGAAGAGCAGGCTTGTCATGACTGGAATTCTTGGGGTGCTGCCATGGGAATTGGCAGCGTGGGTGGAAGATATATCGTCGAGTACATCTTCTTCGTGCTCTTTTCGGTATTTTTTGCTGCTTGCGCTAGCCTGCTGGTGCGCGAGTTTTCGCCCTACGCCAAACACAGCGGTATACCTGAGATCAAGACTGTTTTGGGCGGGTTCGTTATTCGGCACTTTCTAGGTGGATGGACTCTGGTCACGAAGACGATTGGATTGTGCCTCGCAGTCGCATCAGGCTTGTGGCTGGGCAAGGAGGGTCCGCTGGTACACGTAGCATGCTGTTCAGCGAACCTCTTCATGAAGCTGTTTGGCAATGTGAATGGCAATGAAGGTCAGCCTCCTACTCTATCCTTTGGTTTCAAGTACTAACGGGAAAACAGCACGAAAACGAGAAGTATTTTCTGCAGCGGCTGCAGCAGGCATCTCAGTTGCTTTTGGTGCACCCATTGGAGGCGTGCTTTTCAGTCTCGAACAACTGTCGTACTATTTCCCGGACAAAACCATGTGGAGCAGCTTTGTATGTGCAATGGTCGCTGCTGTCACTTTGCAAGCCTGTAACCCGTTCCACACTGGGAAACTCGTGTTGTACCAAGTCACGTACCGTAACGGGTGGCATGACTTCGAGCTGGTACCTTTTGCATTCCTCGGAATCCTGGGTGGACTCTTTGGGGGTTTCTTCATCAAGCTCAACATGGGCATTGCTGAATGGCGCAAGAATCGACAGTATTTGAAAGGTCCGGTGAAAGAGGTGGTCATCGTATCTTTCATCACGGCGCTTATCAACTTTCCCATCAAGTTCATGCGCGCTCAAGCGTCCGAGCTTGTGCACATTCTGTTTGCCGAATGCGCAGACCTCAACGAGGATACACTTGGGCTATGCAAATCTGGCAAAGCGAACACGGGAGTTATCGCACTCTTGCTTATCTCTTCTGGATTGGGTATAATACTCTCAGGCTTCACATTTGGCCTGCAGATTCCTGCTGGCATTATCCTCCCATCTATGGCCATTGGGGGTTTATTTGGACGTGCTGTCGGACTTTCTGTTCAAGTAGTCCAGGCGGCGTGGCCAGTCCTCTTCGTCTTTAAATCCTGCGAACCAGACGTACCCTGTGTAACTCCAGGAACGTATGCTATCGTTGGTGCCGCATCAGCGCTTGCCGGAACGACACGTATGACCGTATCGATCGTGGTCATCATGTTCGAACTTACTGGAGCGCTCACTTACGTCCTTCCTATCATGATCGCGGTCATGATCAGTAAGTGGATTGGCGATGCAATCTCCCCACGTGGTATCTACGAGTCCTGGATACACTTCCAAGGCTATCCTTTTCTTGACAACCGCGAAGACAACGGTTCTAGCATTCCTGACGTTGGCGCAAGTCATGTTATGACACGGATTGAGGACTTAACCGCGATAACAGCGACCGGTCATACTATCGGGTCGCTGCGCCAGCTTCTATCTCAACATAGATTCCGTGGGTTTCCTGTTATAGATAACAGTCGCGATGCTCTTCTACTTGGCTACATCTCCAGAACCGAATTGCAATACGCACTTCAACTTGCTTTGACGCCTCCCCGAAACTTGGCCGCCGAGACAGAAGCGTACTTTTCTCATCAACCCCTCTCCGATCCTGCAACATCACTCGATCTCCGACCCTGGATGGACCAAACACCAATCACCCTCAACGTGAAAGCTAGTTTCCAGCTTACGGTATCCATGTTTCAAAAACTTGGTTTACGCTATGTTTTGTTTACAGATCGAGGTATGCTGAAAGGCCTGCTCACCAAGAAAGACGTTTGGTATGTGATGAATGGGATGGAGGAAGAGCGCGAAGAAGGCGGTGCAGGCGTTGGTGTCGGTAGAGGGGGACTTAGAGAAGAGGGTGACGATGACGAAGAGAATGAGGAGAGAGGATTACTCGGTACACCAGAGGAGGAACGGGATGACTTCGTCGGCGCGCACGATAGATAATCGCGTGTAGAAGTTGTAGTGCTCATTGCGCATACACATGTAGAAGCTCTGTAATCATTATCAAAACAAACTTTGAACTTTGACTGTAAGACGAGTTTCTGGCGATCTCACGGGAACCCGCAGATCCGGAGCATGGCAAGGATGGCATCCGATCGCTGTTGTGGCAAGTTAGCCGTTGATCGGGGTGTGGGGAGGCATGTGTGCTGGAAAACCGGAAATAGAAGCCTGGCCCTCTGTTCCTGCAGGCACCGCTACAGGCTCGTTGTTTCGGCTTTCGCGACGTTTACAGAAGGTCACGAGGCATACCTGCATCGACAGCGAAGGGCTACATGCCCACCGCTCAAATACGCGCCAAGGCGACTGGCGTCCAATCACATATGCTTGTGATCAAGCGTTGTGTAAGCAACCAGTAAAGGGCCTAGCGCGGTGGCTATACCGCGGCTTCCTTGCTACCTGCATAGACCCGCCCTTAACAGCCGGCCGCGCCCATCCTAACTTCAGAGCCTTTCACTCCTTCGGCCTTTGACGTGTCCCCTCGTTTCTTAAACGTCTTTGACCTCCCCAACAAAAGCAACACAACCTGAACCCGAGAATCAAAGATCTACGCCCATCATGCAACCTTCGTTAGCGTAGCGCAAAAGCACGCAGCGGCTATGACTGAACCTTGGCATACGTCGCGGACAGGACATCGACGACGATTACCGCGTTGAACAGATCCCACAGCTTCCCCACCATTACGACACTCTACATATCATTCTTTTTACTTTCTTGCAAGGCCATATACAGATTAGGGGGACGACATGGCGGCGGCTGAAACTGAGAGAAAGAGCAGGAGGAAGCACTCGTCATCGGCGAAGACTTCGAAACCGCGTTCCTCATCCAGGAAACCACGTGTATCGCCTTCAGTAGCAGATATGTACTTGCAAGATTACGCGCCTCCGGTCCAGGCGAATTCTCCTCAGTGTGTAACAGCGACGAGGCCTCCCCCACCTCTCTATGGCTATTCTTCAAGTCCGCCTCAGCACCCGGTTTACCGTCAGATGCCTGGTTCTTTCCCCGAAGATGGTTATCGATATGGCTCTCCACCACCGCAGCCTGTTCAACCTTACGCTAGTCAGTCAACCATCCGCTTCGCTTCTCCACCACCTCATGAGCCCCGCGGCCAAGCTCCATTTGAGCAACAGTGGAATAGCCTTGACCGAATGGCTGCCAAATCGTACATGAATCTTCGAGATACGGCTGGGAAGAGTGTCACGAAATTGACTAGCAACTGCATCGAGCGACCCACGGCGGCCGTCGCTACGAAGAGCATGCAAACGTTGTGCAAAGGAGCCGCACTATACGACATGATCAGCTCAAAGTTTGACTCTGTCATTACTAGTATTGATGATGATCACTTCAGTGGCAAAGAACAGGATCTCATGATGGAGTTCAGTGAGCAGCAGCAGGAAGAAGCCCAGAGAACAAGCCCGCCACTCGGCGAACCCAGACGCCGTCGTCAACACGAAGTGCAATCGCACTCTACTAGCGACAAAGGGTCGAACCACTTTTCTAAGGTGTGGCTCTATTCAAACTCTCGACTACCGCCCCATCTGCCGCCATTCAAAGTTTATCTTCCAACGTATCCCCTACTTTGCTTAGCAGCAACCTATTCAGAGAAAGCGTACACGCCCCCAGGCACGAAGAAGAACCCAGAAATGGAGACCTTCATCCCTGCTGATTGGCGCAGTGGCACGAAAGCCATGGTGCTTAAATCCATTCCTGTGGAAGAGCTAAATACCATTGTCTTTGCCATTCGCGGAAGTCAGACCTTTATGGACTGGGCTGTCAACTACAACTCGGCACCTCATAGTCCGGAAAAGTTTCTCGACGATCCGTCAAATTTGTGCCATGCCGGCTTCCTCTATGTGGCGAAGAAGATGATCAAGCCCGTCGCAGAACGGTTGAAGGTCTTGCTTCAAGAAAACCCCGCACGTTCAAACTGCAGTTTGCTCATCACCGGCCACTCCGCAGGCGGAGCGGTCGCGGCACTGCTTTATGGGCATATGATGAGCACGAAGATTAATTCTGAGCTCAACTACCTCACCAGTTTCTTCAAGCGTGTGCACTGCGTCACGTTTGGTGCGCCGCCAGTCAGTCTACATCCATTGAAGAAGCCTGACGATAAACGCCATCGCAAGAGTCTCTTCTACGCATTCATCAACGAGGGCGATCCTATACCGCGAGCGGACAAGGGCGTACTGAAAAGCTTGCTGAAGCTCTATGCCAGCCCAGCACCTGCTGCGGTTTCCAACCTTGCTTCGACCATCACATCAATGTCCAAGCCCAACCTCCGAGACCCGTCGCAGTCCTCCCCACCTAAATCAAAATCAAAGTATGGTTTTGCGCAGCGACTCAGCAGGCCTTCCAAATCCTCGCTGCAAACGAACACGTCGAGCTCTACTTCCTCAACGCTCCCAGCATGGCCGATACCACCATGTACTTTGTCACCTGCAGGGCGACTGGTAGTACTGAGGCAACGCGTTGGAAGCAGGACTGAAGATGATATAGAGGCTGTGACCGTGGATGATGAGATGTTAAGGAAGGTTGTGTACGGTGATCTGCTGAAACACCAGATGACCGTCTACAAGAAAAGAATCGAGAGCGTTGCTGTTAGGGCCGTCACTGCAAATGGATGTTGAGTAGCCAGGATGGCTGTATATGAAATTGATAACCGCACACAGAAATGAATGAGCGATGAATTTATATACCCAATTTATTGATCAACTGTCCTTGTGCTGTATGTCCTGTTGTGCCTGTCCAGTTTCTGTGCGTCGAGATCTACCAATAATACTGTTGCGAATCCTTCAGGTCCGAGGAGCGAAGATGACGGCTTTCTCTTTGCATACGCCCACGGACTTCAGGTAGGTTGATCATGAAGTCCCCCTCTATCTCAAAACCGTACTTGCAGCTTACCATTCTACTATTGACATTTTTCATGCTCTAGGATCTTCTGTAATCATCTTTAGGGCTTGAGCCACCACGCTCGCCACCTATGCCTTGACGGCGAACTTCTTACATACGCACCATGATACCAGCTTCGGGTAGCTTTTCGTTACTCCTGCGACGTTTGTATGATCTTATAATTCGTAACTCGCCTTATGAACAGCTTCGTGGGAGAAGCTACTTCGACATCCAGCTACGATACCAGCTCGCGAAACTGGATGTATCTTAACTGATGTATTTATGAAGGGGACTGAAGAAGCCTCTCAAGGACCTTATACATTACAAGGCGGTCCGAAATATCTATAAACCTACCTGACACACCTTAGACTGCCTTGATCGGCTCTGGTTCGTTATATGCCGATTCTTTGATAGATCTAGCCGCTACGTCAGCTCGAACTTGGTTCAAACTCTGCAAACATATCTAGTCCATCTCGGAGTCTTAGCGATAGAGTTAGTCTATCGAGGCCAGATCTTCCTTCAGTCTGATCAAGATGATCTCGACCATTTGAGCTTTGATGCGAGTCGGATACCGTTTTATTGTCTTGATGACACGGAAATATTAGGTTTGAGTAAGAAAAACGAATGAGACATAGGATCATCCACGTTGAGATCTGTGGAGAGATGCATCGGCCGCATCGCTTCACTAATAGAATTTCCAAATGTAATTGCAATGTCTTTACGATACTATCGACTGAGCAGACCCATTTGACTAGTAATTAGTGTCCTAAATATTCCTCGCTGGGATTTTCTGTGACAATAGTAATCAACTCACCTTCGCAATGCTGGGGCGGAATGACGAAATGGTCAACTTCGCCCTTTAGTAATCTACGCCCCATGCTACAAAACCATTACTCTCCCCACGATTCAGTCGATGGTATTTTGCCCATTTTAGATCCTTTGTACTACCATATAGCGAGTTTCACAAGTAATCGTATTTCTACGTTCAAACGGTGGGTACCAGCTCATCAGTCGACAAGGTCATGCTGATCAACCACCCATGCTCACCCACCCACCAAGTCAGCCCCTCGGCTCACACAAGCGACGACTCCGTACATCTTCGTCCTTGAATGAGCACATTCCATCTCCAGGCCTCCTCTGGTACCTGAACACTCAACACAATGTTGGCTGTGCGACTCACAGTAACGCAGGCAGCTATGCCGTCGCGTAGCACCTGCGTCATGCCGTCGGCGAGAAGATGCGCCGATTGCGGATCTCTCTCCTGACCTTCCGCTGAAACTCGTCCGCGTCGCAAACAATTGGAGACACATTGCACCGATCTGAGTACAGAGAACACAGCACCAGAACAAGCAAAATACGACGAGCAATTTAGGAGACGTATAAAAGGCATACAGTCGGCCTCTCTACGGACATTCTTGAACAACTGGGAGACAAAAGAACACGAATTCATTAGATTGACTACTACATCAACGACAAAATGGCGATTATTCAGATTCCCAGCGAGTACGGGTACGTTCAACCTCCATTACAATTGCAATGGCAGAAACTGCAATGCATTTTTTTTAACAACCCCCCATCGCCATCTGCCCTCCCCTCCAAAACAATCTAGAAACCACAAACTAACCCACCATCCCTCAGCTACGTCCTTGCCGCCTGCGTCTCCACATTCTTCGTCGGCATCTGGCATGGCGGCCGCGTCGGCGGCTTCCGCAAAGCAGCCAAAATCCCGTACCCTTACGAATACGCATCCTACGAACAAGTGCAGACCGCCTCCCCACCATCAAGAGCCGCAATGCTAGCCTTCAACTCGGCCCAACGCGCGCACCAAAACTTCAACGAGAACCACGTTACAGCCCTCGGTGCCATGTTGATTACCGGATTGAGGTACCCCGTCGCAGCGGCCGTCTTGGGCGCGGTGTGGAGTGTAAACCGTGTGATTTATGCGATTGGGTACGCGAGGACTGGAGAGGATGGCGGAAAGGGAAGGTACTATGGGGCGCTTGGAATAATTGCGCATTACGTGCTTGTGCTTATGAGCGGCAAGGCGGCTTACGATCTTGTTATGGGTTAAGCGGGTTAGAGATGTGGGAGTGAAGATATGCTTTGCACTCATTATGTCCTGGAGCTTGATTAAGAGGGTGAGGCATATGCTTTGACGCTGTATGTAAAAATGATCATCTACACTCCGTTGACCTTGATCTGAATGTGAGCTGCGATTCCCCTTCGAAATAACCTTCCAGTGTGAGAATCTCAAACTTCCCATATTGCTCTACTACGCCGAGATCTCACGTACTAAGAGCTCGCTCCTACATTCGGGAGAACACACTGCCAGCTGTACTTTGGCCATACAAGTACCTCGGCCCCCCTTTTGGAAGCTCCATTCTCACACTTCTGTCTTTCCAGTGAGTCCTGATACCTCCAGTGCATGTAGAGTATCTTGTACGTCCTGCATCTTGTTAGCTGCTTTAAACCTAGCATGTCAAGAAAGAAAGAAACTTACTGGAAGCGCAGCAATCAAACACAAAAGATTACCACCGAGAAAGAGACTGATGGACGCAGCAACCTGAATGAGTAGTAGTTTGGCGTGCTTCCACATTTCATTCCCTGATACACGGGAGTGTAGAACAACCACAGCGATGGGCGCTGCGAGGAGCCTCTGCATCATCCATCGACACTTTTCTTCAAAGGAGAGGAACCCAGGGCTGTAGTCGCCCTTCTCGTGTTGGCGGTTGGGGAAGTCAACATGTAGTTGGAAGCCCCGTATGCAGGCCAAAAGACCAATGGCTGCTAGAGCGTTCAGCCAGTCGTGATGGAATGTTGCAGCCGAGCACTCTAGCCCCCTCGTTAACAGGCGACCGCATTGCTTTTGAACGTTGCGATCGGTTGCGAATGTAGATGCAATTACCCGCGCTATCTGAACAACGAGTAGACTGATGATGCACTGCACGCCGATGAAGAGTCCCTTGTTGCACATCGCTTTCGCCCAAAGGATTGAGCGAGGGCCACGACTAGTGCGTGCCAGTAATGAGAGTAAGCCTGGAATTGACGTTGGGGTTTCAAGTTTGTCGTTGACAAGGGTGTAGCTATAGGTCCGGCGAGTGCGACGAACTAGGTATAGACGGAGCCGATCATAAGCTACGGAGAAGACGGCGACAAGAAGTAGCGTGACGAGAGCGGCATTGGCTGTCATTGAGAAGTTCATGGCGATGTAGAGAAGGGGATCTGAAGCTCAAAATCAGCGTGTCGTGCCTTCTATGTTGATGGGGTGAAACGTACTTCCCTGCCATAGCGTAAGCCATACGGACTGCACATGTGCAGATGGCTGGGACATATTGGTTGCGGGTAGTGTTAGGGTTGAGGGGAGAAGAGATTCCAATGAGTAGAGAGTCAACAACGTGACCGATAAATTATCTTTATGACTTGGCGTGGTGAAGGTGAGAGCGCCTCCCTTCCCTGACAGCGTCGCGTCTTCCTCGTTTTGAGCGCAAGCACGAACTATGGATCATTCGAGCCAACACGAGACATTTTCTGCTCTTTCACTTTGACTGGCTTCACTCCCGCTCGTACATGCAAAACTCGAACTTGACACCCTGCTCCTCAATACCACCCTCTTGGATCTCTTCACCAGTAAAATCCTGCACTTCCTCTCTGCTAGCATTCCTCCAAATCGTGGTCTCGTCCAGGTTGATCGGAAAGAATGTGTCACACTCAAACTCTTTATGAATCTTTGTGAGAAGCACTCGCTTCGTCTGTGGAAGCTCCAGCGCCGTATTGTATATGGTTGCCCCGCCAATGACGAAGACCTTGTCCAGCTCCATATTCGAGTTTGACAATTTGTTCTCATGCTGACTTTCAAGCTGGGATATAGCATCTAGTACACTAGAGCATACCATCGGCCCTTCAACTTCAATCTTCTTGTCTAGTTTACTCGCGAATTCTTCTGGCTTTGAAGTAACAACGATGTTCAAGCGATCTTTCAGAGGTCGAAATTTGGGCGGTATGCTCTCCCATGTTTTGCGACCCATGAGCACAGCGTTCACTTTCTTGATGCTCTCCGACGATGTAACAGGCGACGTGCGCTTGGTCACTCGCGCAAAGAATCCCATCTCTTTTTTCAGCTGTGGCCATGGTAAGCCTCCGCCGTTTCCTATTCCAAGATTCGGTGTGGCTGCAAGGATGAGAGTAAGAGTTGGAGGTTTTGGTGGCATAGCAGAAACGTTGGTATCGTGGTTAGCTGGGTTTTTCTCCGGTGTCGTGCTGGCTGGCTTAGTGGAAGAGGATTCGTCGGACATCGCGTAGCGCGTTTCGCCGCTGGTGGAGCTTTAGATGCTGAAAGTTTGATTGCGAAACCGAGGTGTAAGCTGTATGAAGACCTGACGTAGGATGTTGCATTAATTGCATGCGGGGCCTGCGAACGCGCTAGCGTCAACGCGAAAGAACGTGATCCAGCCCTATGAATACTTCCGTCCGATCGTACTGCGTTGCTAGATCTAGCTCATAACGTCCTCGCATGTCTTTAGAGCAGTCCTTGTCATGTTGCGTTCAGCACTGGAAATTGATATGATTTTCATACGAGTTGACATTCCCGCACGAAGACTCGAGGTATAATACACAGGCCGAATGCCCTTATTCGTGCACACGAAAATTCAACACCGAAGACACACGCTGACAGTACGACACGCAGCGCTGCATCATCCCATCATGCCCAGTCCAAAACCCTGCCACTAGCCGAAATGGACAAGATACTGAACGCCAATAATTACACCTTTGCAATGCCGCTACTTGATTGAAACCATTTGCATGAAGAAGCAAAATCCCGTACAACCCCTTTCATACAACGTCGTTCTTGCTTGCCGAGTTTCCAATGGGTATCTTTTGAGTTATTTCAAGGCTTGCTGTTCAGCAGAAATACGGGGTTCCTCCACATGCTCGATTATTGCTTACTGTCGCGGAGGAGGCATACGATACTATTCGCTTTCGCCACCCTCACCACTACTCTTGAGTGGTATTGACAATGAAATCTTCTTTGGCGTACCACCACTATCCTTGCCTGAATTTACATTAGGCGACTTTCTACGCAAACTCCGCAAGCTTCCAGAACTAGCGTTGCTGGATGTAGAAGCGCGCCGCTTGGGTCCGGCAGAGGTGGAAATGCTTGCGAGTAGCTCGTCCTCTTCGTCTTCCTCTCTGCGGCGCTTCTCCGATATCCGCTCTGGTGGTGATCCTGCGGATGCTGAGCTTGGTGAAGTGCTTTCCTCTGGTGTTTGGATTGCGGACATCTTGCGTGCAGATGCGGGCATATCAGCTGCCAGGTCATCCATATCAGCATCGTCCGCATCGTCATCTGGATAGTTCACTAGAGGTCGCACTGGCGATGCGCCGTTCATGGCAAGTTTTCCGGCCCCAGACAGATGGTCTTCTTCGTCATCTGACGTATTGAAGTAAGCCTCTTCATCTTGATCCACCTCTTTCAGACCTTGACCCCACTTACCACCGTTGATAGCGGTGGCATGTCGCGCGGGTGTGTCGCTGTCCACACTTGTGAAGGAGTTGTCCATCTCTTGGGTCGTTACCGGCTCATGGTTCTGGTCGTACTTGAGAATCAGGTTCTGGAACGTATCAACGTATGTAATGTCCTGTAGCTTTTCTCTGTACGTCTCGACAAGATGTTGGACGATCATCTTGATGTTCTCGCGTCTGATGAATTCGAACAACTCCAAGCATGCCGAGTTGAGGAGGTTGTCGCGAGGCATAGTGTCGAAGAGTATCTTCAAGATTGGTTCGAAAAGTTCGTGTTGGATAATCTGGCGGTTATGCGTCTCGTCGTGAAAACCGAGCACAGTGCGGAAGTACTTGAGCGCAGCTAGAAATAATTAGTAAACCGAAACGAACCATTAAAAGGGAGACTCACTGAGCTTCAGGTGCTTCTCCGGGCAGCCCATAAGCTGGGCAACCCGCACCGCCAAACCTTCTGACAGGATAAAGTATTTGCTGCGGAAGGAATGCTGGCGGATGAAGAAGCACAAAACCTCGACGAGATGGGCGTATAGTGACACTTCCTGCATCGATAGGTCATCCACTGCATCGTGTCAGTTGAGAAAGCAAGGATATGAAGAGCACCACTCACTTGATTCCCGGCCCTCTAAATCTTTCAGGGGCTGGAATAATTTCCTTGCAGACTCGTCGTAGAAATTCTGTATGAAGGAATCTGTTTGAGGTATGGATGGCAATTGCCCCCTCATCTTGGCAAGGAAGTCGCTGTTCGTCCGTCCGAGCGCTTCAATGGAAGCTGAGTTGGCGTTGGGGTCAAGTAGGATCTTGATCGCATCAGCCATCTGCGCCTTGACCCCGAGGTCCACCTCGATGAGGAGCAGTTCGATCAAGGTATCAGTGAGCGGCTTGGACTTCTCCTGGATGGCCTTGAAGATGTAACTCCGCACCATCAGCGCGTCATGGTCGATCAGGGACACGAGTATATCGGTTCCTGCGACGCGAACCGAAGCGTCCTGGTGCTTGAGAGCAAATTGGATTACTTCAAGTAGGCCACTGCTGATGAAGTTTTGGTATAGCTGCGCCCTGACATTCGCCTGCAAGCTCTTCGCAATGGCGCAACATTGCTGGATAAATAGTACGGCATCCTTCTTTCGCGCCAAGTTCTGCTCCTTGGGTGAGAAAATGCTAAAAAGCTCCTTCAAGAATGGGCCGTTCGCTTGGAGATGCTGGACGATGTCAACCTGGTGGAAGAATATGAGCGAGTTGAGAACACTGAATGTAGGATCGTCGAGGATGCGCGCGAGAACAACATCCTTGAGATACTGGAGGCGGTACGTGTAGTGTATCTTCCGTTTTATGTTTTCGTCCTCTATCCGCACGACCTCCTTGAACTTGGACTCGTCCGCGAGGTATTGTCGGTGATTGGCTTTGTGTAGGGGGAAGTCTGGGTCATCTGTGCAATGTCAGCAAGCCGTGTGGGAGGTCGCGTGGGCCAGCAGCACTCACACTCCAATGCCCCAACGACGCCCAAAACCACCGGGTCTGTTACGACGTATTCGATGATGGCGGTGTCGTTGAGCAAGATGAGCATCTTTACGATGCTGCATAAGCGGTGTAGGTCTGAGACACTTTCGAGGTCTTCGGCCATGTCCACCAGTGGGATGAGTTTCGGAATGTAGTCCTGGGCGAGTATGAACTTGGCCAGGGCTTCACGACCGCCCGGCGTCGAGTTTGCAGCGCGCATGTGGTTCTCGATCTCGTGGAGGTTGCTAAGATCGGGACTTGGGAGTAATATAGGACTAATGTGATCGATGTCATCTGAACGACCATCGTCTATGTTAGCATTAGCTCGCTTGAAGCTAGGCGCAATTGATATCACGTACCCTGAGCGAGTGCTTGCAGCCGCGATTGAACTTCATTCACAAAGTCCCTGTTGTACATTAGCATATGGCTTCAACTACAAGGCACTTTGGCTCACCATATGCTGGCGCAGCCCTCTGGCTCCTGGAAGCTGAGGGCCATGTCGGTGCCATTCTGCTCGGTCCATACGATGAGTGTGTCTGCATATGTTCAGCTAAGATGTTCCCGCAGCGAAAGACAGGCGCATACCCTGCTGTTTCTGGTAGCCGTCATCTTTGGAGATGCGCGTTTCGAGCAATTGTCGCGACTGGTCGTCCTCGGATAGGACCACGATTCTCGCTTCCTCTTGCTGTAGTCGCATAAGTTAGCCTAGAGCATTTGTAGAGCGTTATATGCGGGAGTTGCGCAAACCCAGCGCTTATGCCGGCCATGATATGGGGAAACGTACGCTTGTTACTACGCCCTTGCAGAAACCAGTCCCTCTGTCGAACCAGTCATTATTCTTGAGCTCGTATACCTTGACGCGCTTTCGTTCACTCGCAGGTGGCGGAGCGACGTTTGCCATAACCGGCGGCGGCGTGTCGACACTCTCCGGCTAGGGCGTGTACCCTCCGGAGGCAGGCGGGCTGTCGCGATCGTTTGCGCAGTGTGGAGAGAATAATTGGCGGTGGATAGGGCGGAGGTCGGGGGTGCGGTGATCGGGGCGGCTGGGTGTTGTGCTGGCGGATGACGATTAGGAGGCGCGGCAGCGCTTGCGGGCTATCGCAGAGCTCGGCAACGCGACAAAAGAGGTGTGGATTGGAGAGCCCCTGCGCGCGCAGCAGTGGAGAGGATAACGCGATGGCGCGTGACGGGAAGGGTGATGGTGATCTGCCTCGGACACTCTGCAGTCGCGTCGTGGGTCGCAAAGTCGAAGCGGGAGAGCACAGGGCCGGGCTTGGGCACAGTGCATGCACTAGCTTGGAAGTGCAATACGAATATCGATAAGAGCCTAGACCGGCGGCAGCAGCAAGAGCCTCAACACCACGCTGAACCCTGAAGATGGCTGCGATGTATGTGCGCGATCTAAGAGATGTTGCGGGGTAAGGGTATGCAGTCGCCCGATTAGTTTCCAAGGTTGGTGTGAATGAGTGCAGCAGCTCTCGCCTCGTATGACGGCAGCCGGAAAGATACGCGCTTGCCCACGGCCTCACTGACGCAATCCTCTTGGCACAGCGACACTCAACACCACGCTTGCTGTACACGCTGTCGAGCATTATCCTCGTCGCATGGCACTTGATATGCAATACACAATGCTTCAATCCACGTCTTACGTAGATCCCGCCAGGCAGAGGTCAAGTCGCAAATCATGGGTTTTCGACACCTGTCATCGGAAACAGTGGGTTGGTGGTACCGTCAACCAGCTGTCCCACTCAGTAGGACCGAAAACTCCTTGGATCATCGACTGCTAATGTTAGCATTTTCTGTCTCAAAGATATCGATCGATTTCTGTGCTTATCGTAAGCACATGACTCGACACATATAACTGCCACCATTATAACGCTGCCCTCGTCTGTCTCGTGGTCACGTGCCGTCCGTGTTCCATCTCCACTTCAGATGGAAGGTGCAATGGGTCTATATTGTGTAGGCGAGAGGTCGACTATAGACGGAAAGGCACGATGTTGAGACAACCGTCTATGTAGTCCCGCCGTTTTCATCGTATTGCTAATTCCCATCTGAGTTGCAACTAAACTCCAGTCAATACCACTAGGCGGGAACTCCTTCTCTACAAAAGCCACTACCTCACGACTAAGGCTCGCAAGATCAAATACACCCTCTCCGGATAACCTCGATAGCCACCAAGCGTGCTCATACCAATCTATTGGCGGTTAGCTGGAGAGTCTCGACTCTCGACACGCTGTACGTCCTCATAGAGCGAAAGTGCTTTCCCAACTGCAGGACCGACAGCCACAAGTATGCGTGATGCGGGACCATGTTCCCACATAGCCGGTGGCCTGAGCCGCCCATGTTCAAATGTCCTAGTCCGCAACGCCAACAACCAATACTAAAACGCGTCATTGAAGCCCACGGTCCTGCGCGAGCTGTCACCGTTGCGACGAACTCAATGAACCATTAACTAGGCGAACGCCCCGTCATATATTCTACCAGTCTTGACACTACTAACTATAGACACGGCACACTTTGATGCGCCGGCACTGGGTCTAGCCTTGGTCTTCCAGGGTATGGGCATGATAGCGTGGGAGGCCAATCACCAAGTTACGAAAACGCGCCATGGTCCGCGACCATTGCCGCATTCGTTCGTCCGTGGCATGTTCGGAGGCCAGACTCAGGCGCTCGTATACGGGAGCTGAGCTGTGTCGGGGGTCGCTAAGCAGCTTGGGTTTGTTTATCAACGCTCGCTAGCCTTTTTCAAGTTTCAGCAGCTGCGCCTCACAGAGGGATCTGCATCTGAAGCGCTAGAAGCAACGGCGCATGGACGGAAACCCAGTTACCACGCTACGCAAGTGCCTCCCGCGCCCGTCTGTTGGGAAATCATAATTATCCATTATAGATTGCGCTGGCTACCCCAGAGGCAAGACACTTCCCGCAAACACCTTCACACTGGGTCCCAACATCTGCACCACAATTACTATCAACCACCAATGATGTCCACGTTCATGAAACACAAGAGCATACCAGCAACATTCAACGAAAAAGAGCCCGCTGCTACTACAAAGTCTCCGAGACCCACATCCGCCCCGTACCCAAACTTTTCCAAGCCTCTGGCAAAAGAAACTGCGCCTACTACAGAGCCCAAACTAGTTGCCGCCGAAGAACTACAGGCCCGGATCAAAGCTGCGAGAAGGAGCAGAACGGTTACTCAACCACTGCCTGAAGCAGTACGACGCAAACTCGACCCTTCGTCCGACCTCATACACCCAGCCCTGCGCGCCAGAAGCGGCGTCACACCAAACCCTAAACGACCTACCAGTCACAGGCCCAAGAGCCGTGAAGATCTATCCATCGATGCTGTGATCCGGCGCCTGTCGATGGAGGTCGACGGGCAGAACAGTACCAGAGGACGCCATCTTTCAGAAGACATACCTCCAGTACCTACGCTACCAGCGTTTCCGCCCGCTGCGAGCTATCGTCCACGACCCCGCCAGACCGCGAGCAGAAGGTCTTCCATGACGATGAGACGAAGTCCCTTGTCAAATGTTTCATCTCCGGACGGTAAGCAGGAAGACATTGGTTCTCGAGGAAAATGCTAATTCTCAGGTATAGACTCCGCGGAGACATCTTCTCACACATCCAGACGTACTTCAGCCTCTTCTCGTAAGCGTTTCTCACACTTGTCACACATGAGATACTAATGCTCAAGATAGGCACATCCAAGTCTGAAGAGTCCAAAGACGGCAATGACGACAACGACGAGATGGTACGAGTCATCAGCACACAAACCTCGAAAGCCAGGCTCGCCAAGCGGAACCATATCTCTGAACCCCAGGCTGCGTCTCAACCCCCTCCCTCGATTTTACGATCCACATCACAGCGTGCCAAGAGTCGGAGCTCATGGCACACACTTTCTCGACGCAGTATACTCTGCTCAGTTTGATGGCCTCGCCTTCAGATATCGTGCCATTGGCCTCAGATACATCGCAGAACATCTGCATCTTGCATTTCAGCGCTGTCTTACATTGTGTACGGAGTTTCGGCAGCACGGCGCTTAGGACTAACTTTTGCTATCCGAAACTGTTTTGTTTTCACGTGACGATTAAGAAGGATTTGAGCGTTCAAAGGGGCACAAATAGCGCAGGAGTTCTGGCGTTTTTTTTCATGTGTTTCAGCAGACGACATTACTGAGCATGGTCCTTTGCAAATCTACGCAAATAGTCCGCGACATCAATCATGATAATCTTACGACATTAATTATCTTACGTCTTGCCTTATCTCTCCTATGCTCAGACAACACAAGCCTCGCCTGGATTCTTCCATGCATCTCAAGCACGTTTATCGACGCAGATCCACTTTTCTGGAAGCAATACCTGTTCGACTTATGCAAGCCACCAGCCACAAACGGGACAGGCTCCGAACCTGGTCGGCAATACAGCAAGCTGCAGTAGTCGGCACTCCGATGACCCTGTAACAGGAAATCGGATATTGTGCCGCGTCAAACAGGCTAGTGAAAAGTGGTAGTTGCGCGATAAGGTGCGGCGCTCCCGGATCCACAGCCTAGCCAGCCACCCATTGATCCAGGAACGTGGCTTCCGGATGCAAGGTTGCTATCTGCGGCCGACACTACGGGCCCAAGGTGAGACGCCTTGTTCCAGTAACCGTGAAAGCAGGCCTTGTATGCGATGATTGCGGATTTTGAAAATCCACGACGACAAAGCAACATATAACGTCCCTAAAATCAATGGGTGTCAGGTGGAGACGGGTATGGCGGCCGTTCCTGACGATCATCCGTGCTGGTGACGATGGTTTCAACTACGCGAACCTCCGAACGTCCACAGAACGTCTAAGGTCAGCTCCGTTCGCTGGTCTTCGACTCGCCAGTACCCATGACGAACCATTGACAAATTGTCAACCAAACCTTCACCCCTCATCTTCAAACCTTAACGTCGCCGTTTTGAACAGCGCCAGGTGAACATGTATCTGGAATTCGATTTGATATGGCGCGATGCTACCAGCTACCGGGTCCATGATACTATTACCGGGGAAGAATGGATAAATGCTTCGGTCCCAGATTGGCGACACACGAGGGCCCCTTGGAGGACGTCATGCCCAGGGTCAATCAATAGCGCGACGCGACGCCGATGTTTTGGGTCGTGGAAAATGGGATCTTCAGGCTTTCGGAAACCGGAGATCGGAACTGTGGGCTGTGCATCTTCTACCTAGTTCTGATGCGAACACGAAATCTCCTTACTTTCGGCACAAAATCCCCGCGTTGATCACGATGGCGATCACCTGTGCTAGATGCAGGGCAAGTTTGCACAAGTTGTGCGGCGCCCGTTATCGATAAGTCTCTCGATCAAGATGGAATGCACTCCCGAAACTCCGCAACTCACTGCACGCCAATCCCACCCACAACCCCGACATGAATCCCTCAGAGCGGACAAAGGAAGCGCTTCTCGGTAGGTTCTCTCTATACTAGTGAGACGAAGACAAGTCCATCACGCGTTCGTCTTTGTCAACCATCGGTTCTCTACCGCGATACCATCTTTCGAGTCGAGCGCTTGCTAACCCTCTACCAGCCAAGACAGAAGCATTATGCAGCTCCATCATAGACACTAGAAAGGAAGACCCGTGGGGCGGTGACGGGTACCTCTCCACCATACTTCGCGCCGTGAAGATGCAGGATGCGACCGACTACTCAGAAGACGACACGAGGACCGAGTTCCCAGCTGCACTAGACTACGCGACATCTGCACAAAGAGAGCTGCTCATTCGAGAGCAAAGTGCTGCGTTGGTGCGTCACACACTCTGGTCACAATTTGTGCCGCCAGTCTTACATACCTAGTCAAGCTAGGCCTGCGCGGTGTACACTGAGTGCTGAAATAGCTGGCTAACAAAGCATATAGATAAGGACGGCACAAGGCATCTCGACCCTCGTCCGCGACTTGCAAGAACTCTGGCTCTTCGGTGGCCTCGATACCCTCTCAGATCCTGCCGACGAAGAAGCGAATCGGACAAAGGCCCTCGCGGTTGCGGAAATGATCGAAGCGCTGGCGAAGCAGGGTCCTGGTGGCGCCAAGCAGGACGAAGCGGGTGCAACAAAGAAGGGGGAGACATATGGCGGAGCCTGATGTATTCATAGCCGACTATGAACACAGGATAACTACGGAAGAGCAGCGTGAGGGGAAGACGAGTGATATTAGCGTTTGATACCCCAGAGGACTCCTTCCAAGGAGCAGAGCGACACGAAGTTCACTTGCTCATCTTACGTCCATACGTTTGGGACTTAGTAGTAGTTCCGGAGGATAGATATAACTTGTATCGCCAGGGCTTGATCGTTGGTCTTACTCTGTGATCGCTGAACAATCGCGCATTGGTGCATAGATACGCGTCTTTTCAATGTCAGCTATGGAGCCACTATCATATGCGAAGTTTGAATACAAGGCGCAGCACAGGCGACCCTGCTAGTCCGTCGTATCCGACATCTAAAGCTCTGGTGCAGCAGCAATTTGATTGTGTATTACCTCTCCAAGGTCAGCTCCCGTCGCATTTCATGAATCTCATCCGTTCTCGCTTCCAGTATGTCGATTCTGCAGCGAACCTCTTTAATGTCTTTGCCCAGCGCATGCGAGTCTGCGGAATTGGGAGTTGCATTAATAGCACAAGGATTGGCACGCCGAGGCTTCAGATAACGGATTGAATGGGTTCTTTGAGATATGGTCGTCTCCTTCGAGGATACATTCCCTGCTCTTGTATCGTCAGGTCGAACTGACACCGCGATAGCAGAACAGCAACAGCTTTTCGTCAGACCCCTCGTACCAACGCGATGACAAGAAGTACCAAGACAATGTAATCTTATATACGACCGTTTTTACTGCAAACCCCAATCACAGCATGCCGTGGCGCTTATGTGGGGTTCGCTCCGCCCCTGCCTTGTCCGGATGTAGAAGCTGTTACCTCCAGGAGGCTATGCTGCCACGTTGATGCTCATACCTATAACTCAAAACTTAGATCACTAGTATCTCGACGAGTTGAAGGCCTCTTTCCACTACCTCGAGTGCCATTAGGTGCTGGATCCACGACAACATGACGTCCCGGTCTAGGATGAGGCCTGCGGCGCCCGCTCGTTCTCCGTACTCGACAGTACCTATTAGTCATTTGCAGCGGGAGATACGACTAGTGGAGCTTCAGCGCAATGAGCCAATGCAAAAGATCAAGTGCGTCTTGCGATCATATCCTGTCGTGGGACCCCATCCACCTTACATCGCCCTCTCATACGCATGGGGCCGCAATGTACACTACGCAGACATCGAACTCAATGGGTACACTTTCTCTGTCGGCCGGAACCTATGGCACTTTCTGAATCAGATGAGATCGAGCAAACAATTTGACGTATATTGGATCGATGCGATCTGCATTGATCAAAAGAGCCTGCAAGAGCGCAACCACCAGGTTCAAATGATGAGACAGATCTACAGCAACGCTGAATCAGTGTATGCATGGCTTGGAGAAGAAGACGAAGCGACTTACAGCAACGTAGCCATGACATGTTTGGCACAACGAAATGTGTTCGAAGCCGCTACAGTAAGCACCAAAAGATTCTGGACCACCCGACAAGCCAAAGCCGTTCTTTCACTTTGCGAGCGGGCCTATTGACGCGAATCTGGATCGTGCAAGAGTTATTACTCGCCAAAGTAGTGACAGTTCTTTGCGGGTCTAAAGCAATACCATGGTGTCTCTTCGAGAGATTCTTTGGAGATGTCGCTACCGTTGATCAGCTCGGTTGGGGGCAGCATACTGGTGTTAACCCGACGTTCGCCTCTGCAGCTAGCAAGGTCGTCCAGGCAAAGTACAATTGGAAGGAACAACCGTCCCTACCACTTCTTACCTTGCTGCGACTTTGTCGACACCAACAATCGACTGATATTAGAGATAGAATATATGCTCTTTGTGGACTGGCCAACGAATCAGACAGACTAGACATTGATTACGGCATCACCGCCAAGCAACTCTTATCTGTAGTTTTTGAGCATACCTGTACGTCCCTAAAGACAAGTCTGGATGTCAGTAGATCGCGGAAACAGCTTCTACAAACTGGCAAGCTGCTACAGGATCTTCTCAGAGTTTATCTTGACGATGAAGAGCTAGAAACTATGATCATTGCCAGGGAATATCAGCTAAGCTTCCATGAAGAGTGCTTGAGTATAGTAGCTGCGGGACTGGCACATGACACGTCTCATGGAAACAAAGAAAAAGAAGATTTAGCGGCTGTATTAGACGGTCTGAGGAGGGAGGAAGCGTGAATATCACTCACTGTTGAGGCTAATTTCAAAAGCTACATGGAGCAAGTTTACCGCAGCGAGCTGAGAAATGAGTCTCAATACTCTACCGAGCGTCATTCTATGTACTTTCACTTCAAAGGTCTCCACGAAGAGAAGGCCGATGGCACGTGGTTAACAAACAGCTACTTCGAAGCACACAGCGACCCCGAGCCTCGAATTCCTCCCAGGTTCATAGATTGCGTACTCTGCCGCTACAAGGACAACGCATGGAACGCTTATGTGTGGAAATGTACAGCCGAATGGTGCCACCGGTCCAAAGATTGCAACTTGGGGAATTGGTTAGCATGGGGGTTCTACTTGGGCCACATTGAACAGCATCATTCCAAGCTGGAAACATATCGGTACCTTTCTGAAAAGGTACCGATGAGGGAATATGTCAGATCTCGATCACACTTTGGGCACGTTCCATCCCTGATTGGACTCTCTCCTTATTACGAGCAGGGGCTTGGAATCACCGGCTATTCTGAGCCTCTATACGATCATTCACCAGCTATCCGGAGGCCTAAACTGATCCTTCCATCCGAATTTCCATCAAGGGTGAGTGGAATTGATGCAATCGTTTGTCGTATCATTCCTTGGTCATAAAGCTAACCATAGTGTTGTGTAGAGGGTCCGTCGCCGTCACACAAGGTGACAACAATCACGTAGCAATGGAGAGGGAGAGCACGGCAAAATTATACGCGTGCCGCTTATTCGGGTGATTTTCCGGATGCGGTCTCATAACCAATATAGTTGATGGGGTTGTGAGTTCCCGCTACGTACATGTATTTGAATGTGCTGAGCCATTTTTTGGTTCGAGTGGAATTGCTAAAAGCTTGTGTCAAGGTACTGGCTATGGGCTGGATTTCCGAGATGCAATCCAATGAGATTAATCTTGATAAAGAACTTGATGGAACATACATTGTGGAATGAATGCATGTGACGGTTCACAAATCGATTAGAATACAGTGTCTAAGCTGAGAAAGTTGAATCAGAAACGCCTCTCTAGCGAACTACTCGTCTACCCTGATCTTCATACCAAACTCATTAAGAGTCTTCACGTATTGGTCTCCCAAAGTTGCGGGTGTGAGAATGCCACCGCCAAGCTTTCCCGCCTCGCTCTCCTCTAGCCTGCCACGGAGAATGACTTTAGCAGCGGCACTGAGCGTCATGGCCGTCGCAACATAGCCACCATGAGCGACTTCGAGGTTTGCGATCACCTTCTTTCCATCTTCGGTACTGCCAACTCCACGGTAGTGCATAAAGTCTTCCTTCATGCTCTCCTTCGACGGTCCTTGGCCAGGGCTTGGAATGACCATCTTGAAGAGAGGTTCGAGCAACCAGCGCGTTACTGGTATGGCAAGCAAGATGGCAACTGAGGTGAGAACCGCCTTCTGCGCGAAGCCGAAGAAGAAGTTGGGAGCTCGTGCGTACTCGTTAAAGCGGAACTTAGGGCCATACTGTAGTGTTTTGTCGCCGGAAGACTGATACAATCCCCATGAACGATGAGCAATGCACACATCGACACTTGCCATGAGTCCAGTGGTCTGGATACCACCAAGCTCGGGGATGGTTTGCAGACCAAAGAGACTGTACGGGAAGCTTCCCGATGGCGGTGCGACGACGTTGTCCGCGTTGACAGGCGACAGCGAGTACGGGTGCATTGACTTTCCGAGATGGCTGAGCGAGTACTTCTTGAATAGTTCCAGCATTGTAAGAGAGGTTCCGCCACTGATTCCAGACTTGAAGTCGTATAGTGTCATGATGGCACGCTCGCAGGGTGCGTTGTGGCGCTTGCGCACCTCGCGCGCGAGCACATAGGCCATGATATCTGCAGGAACAGAGTCGAGGCCACACTCTGGGATGATGATAGTCTTGTTCTTCTTCGCGAGCTCATCGTACTTGGCAACCATGTCGTAGATCCATGGCACCTCACCAGTGGAGTCCAAATAGTGTGTGCCGTTGTTGACACAGGCCGCGAGAACAGGCTCGCCATAGTGCATGAAGGGGCCCACAGTCGTGATGATCAGCTTTGTCTTCTGGACGAGGGTTTCCAGCTGCTGGCGCTCAAGCTCGCATGTCTCGATGGCTGGGGTTCGTTAGCTCAATCCCGAGTTTCGTCTGTCACATGTTTGCAACGCGGATTCCGTCGCCACGTACCTGGCTGCTTGCGATTTGGCCTCAGCTTCGTCAGTTCGTCGACTACGCCCTGCAACTTCTTCGCATTGCGTCCAGCGACAGCCCACTTCAGATCGTCCGGTAGATGGGTGGTGACCCATTCCGCGACGAGTTTTCCAGTGTAACCGGTTGCCCCCAGCAAGATTAGCTCATACTCTCGTGATTGTTGAGCCATGTTGTTGAACGTGTGTGATCAAGAAGAGAAAGGAAGACAAGATGAGAGAATATCGATCAGGAGATAGTGTGGCTGTAGCTAGGGGAAATTCCTAATCATCGAATACTACGCGACTCGGACAAGACCCTTCTTTTGGTATGCCTGAGGTCATACCGCGGCAGGCAGGCGCCGGCGTGCGCGATAGACATGGCATCGTCGCGCTACAACTCGCAACACAGGTGGAGCAGAGAGAGGGGAGTATCGCGAGTGTTGGGTTGCAAGCCACAAGAAACCTCAAGACCTTTACACTGATCGCTAACAGAAGACACTACAAAAAGAGTAAGCCCTTACATAAATCACAGTGTGATCGTGCACTATTCTCAAAGCGATCCAAGCGCCTTGGCAACAGACACGGAATTTCCAAGGTTTGAGAAATGCCCCTCCAAAGTCGACAACTGATCCTTCTCACCGCTATGGCTTTTTGGCCTCCACACAGGTTGTCGCATTCTGATCGCGCGATTGGGCCATATATCTGGATTTGCTAATAGGCCGCCAACAACGCATTCATGAAGGCTGGGAAGCCTGGTGGAAGAGCGCGACTGTGGGGATGAAGCGGTCTGCTTTCTGCGACATGTACATACTCCGCAGTGTCGCTAATGTAAAAAGTCGATAGGGAAATCGGGAAGCTGAGCCCAAGATATCCGTAGTTGTCTGGGAGAAGCCGCCGCAAGCGCACTGCGAACTCGATCGCCCGCGTCGCGCGGTATCCTCGTCCGGCGCTTACAGAGAACTGAGCGAGACGCTACACATAGAAATGCAAGATCCATTACCTTCCCAAAACTTGTCTACCCCAAAGACAAAACTCTCGAGTCGTCTTCGAACGCGAGAAAGAACATATAACGATTGGCACTAGCAGCGCCAGAGTTCATGTTGCAACGCGTTCGTCAATGTCTTGCCTCTCTCGTATAAGTGCTAATGGCCGATATTCTTGGATAAAAGGATGCCTAGAGCGAGAGGACTACACATACACATAAGACATGTACTCCGTAGGCCAAATCGTTCGGGCGAAGAGCACCATATGCGGCAGCTGTCGTTATCTTATCAGTGTATCCCATAGTGACCCTTCCCAACGAAGATAAGCCTGTTCAGATCTCGAGCCTATCCGGTCTTGTATGTCCGACCTTCCCACCTCATCTATCCTCATATATGCGGGACGGAAACCGATACGGACACACTGAGGCCAAGGACGGCGTCATAAGCATGCGACAAGCGCATCTAATGCGATCAAGAGGCGAAGAGATAGCGGAGCGACCAAGCCGGAACGTGTTCGCATCCTGAGTAACAACTCGGTGACCTCGCAAGTCATTTGGACGGCTGCTTAGGGAACCTCGACACGTGGTGAGGTAAGCCCGAAGACTGACTGATCATATACGATCTATTAGCAGTAGATCTACGAACTCGATACGTACTTCACGCTACCAAAAGCCACACTAGTCTCCACTTGGGCATCCTTTTCCTGGTAAACATCACGGGTTTCCGGGGTTGGCTGCGACTGCCTAGGAGTGTGTGGCTGCTGCAGGGTGACCGCGAGGCCAAGCCACTAGCGTCCGCTACTTAAACCACAGTCCCCGCTCTCTTGACTTGATCATCTTCCCAACTTATGAATCGCGTCGACGAGTACTTCCGCTCTTTCACTTTCAAACATCACATCAATGGCCGAGACGTGCATAGTCTGCCTCGGCGATCTCGTCCCCCACGACGACGGCCCTACCGCCACCGCATCATCGCTTGCGACCAAGCCGCTTGAGGATGGCGCTGATGACGACCCCCAACCCCATGCCAAGAACAAGATGGTGGCCGTAGAGTCAAACAAAGAAGACGAATTGGTCGCACATCTACTGCCATGCGGCCACGATCTGCACAACGAGTGCCTCAAGCCCTGGGTCGAACGAGCGAATAGTTGCCCGATATGTCGAGCCAGTTTCAATATGGTCGAGCTTAGCGCACGCGTTGGAGGTATGTCAGTCCTGGATGTTACGGAGCCCTGCGGTTGCGACGTTGCTATTGTTGCCTGGTAGTAGCCTGGCTACTGGCTAAATGGTCAGTCGAGCTCAGCATGAACTCTACCCAATCCCACAATGTCGTGCCGCACCAAGTGGCGCTGCTGATATGGAACCCCAACTAACACCGCATTAGGACCTAAGCTATCCGAGTACACCGTGCAAGACAAACAACAAGTCGCCGATATTGATCCTTCCATGATTGTCGAAGACGACTACATACTGGAGGACGACGGGAGCTATGACGCATGCATGGTCTGTGACGAGTTTGGTGACGCCTCACAGCTTATGTATTGCCATAGCTGTGAACAACTTTGCCATGTCTTCTGCGCTGGTCTTGACCGGATGCCATCTCGTGGCCCCTGGTATTGCCAGGGCTGCGTTGAGAATCCTGGTCTACTAGAAGCCGCGTCCCGACGACGACCAGCGGTTCGGGGTCCTGCCGCCTGGATCAATGGCCGAAGCCGTGTCCCGCGTCACAACCATGCCCCTGACGAATGGGTAGGCGTTTGGCAGAGCGTCTGGGACCGACTGCAATTTGACATTGAGTTTCCCTTCGACGAGGAAGAGCAGTCGGAAAATCAATCTGATGTTACGCGACGCGATGACATTAGATGGGAGCAGCGCATGCGAGTAGCACGGCGAGCAGGAGCCGGCAATCGTTTCCAGGCTGCCACTGACAACATTGTTACTGGTCGACGCCGCAACTCCAACGTCATCACACGACCCACGAATCGAACACTCCATCGTGAACCTCCGAAGACACCAAAAGACCCCGAGTCACAGGAAGAGCTACGCGCATGGAACCAGTTCGAGAAGGCGCGTGAGCAACTCGCTCAAGCTGACGCACCCCCTGCTCCCAGCGTAGCGAGCACTAGTAGCAGACGAGGACGCAAGCGAAAGTCTATCGACTCTTCCTTCGCCGACTCTGAGCCTCGCGAGCAGAAGCCAGAACGTAAGCTCAAGCGCCCTCGAACTCGTATGCACTTGGACAATGGAGAGTCATCATCGGCTGCCGCACGTCGCAACACGGTGACTAACACGCACGCCCCTGCAGCTGCGTCATCACCACCAGCGGCTCCAACTGGTGAAACTTCCACCCCCGCGCCTGGCTTCCTTCAGTCATTGCTTCAGGAAGTGGAGGTTGACCGATTCGCTGAGCGCGACAAGGAGATCGCCGCCCCACAGCCCCGGCGCATCATTGTGGAGCGTGCTTGTTCTCCTCAACATTCATCGCCTGGTCTGTCGCCTGTCTACCAGAAGCCCCCTGGGATGACTACACCGCCGCCTCTCAACCTTACCCGTATCGCATCGCCTGTACAGAAAGATCAACAGCTATCACCCACGTACTCGCCATATTCTCCTGCAGATGACGACCGGCCTGGCCGCCGCAGGCTCGCACATCGCTCTGTCGGCCTTAGTAGTCCACCTCGCTCAAAGGACTCATCGCCCAGCCGCCCCGCGCTTTCCTACTCCACCAAGGCTGAGCTGCAGCGCATGGTCACAGCCGTTTTGAAGCCTATATACTTGAAGAAGGAAGTCACGAAAGAGGAGTATACAGATGTGAATCGCGATGTGTCGCGTTTATTATACGAAAAGGTTGGTGAAGCTGGTGCCGATGCACTGGCGGATCAAGATACGAGAGAGAAGTGGCAGAAAATGGCGACCCATGAGGTTGACGTTGCTGTAAAGGCCCTTCGTGCTGGTGGACCAGCACTTTCGCCTTCTGCTGAGGACTCTGCATCTTCGTCCTCATAATGGAGTTATATCGCATGGGAGCATTTGGGCGTATGGATATCTAGTACGCAGGCATGCGTACTTCGACAGGGTGTTTCAAGGAGGAAGGATATATGATACCACGGGCTTCTTTTGTTCTTAGCATCCACGGCGTTCTCGGTAGCACGTAGATATCATAGTGATTTCGTCTGCGACATAATGAAGGAACTTGCAGCCGAACTTTGGCTTTCACGACTATTTGGTACTTCTGCAGTAATGACTATGAACACCTGATGCTTGCACGCAACTGACGAGAACGTGTAAGGCAGATTACATCTAAGATGTCGAAGTCATCAACGACTGCATGGTTGATTGCTATCTAATTGCAGGTTCATAGTAGATGGGAATGGGAAGTGGATGTACAAGTTGAGCTGGTTCTGAGTCGTAATCTGCGCGTCCGACAAACACCAGACTTTAGTATCCTTGCGTTTTGGAGCATAGCTTAATAATTCGGCCTCCGGTACTCGCCATCGCGATATCCTAGATGAGGAAAGTCCTGTTGGTTTTGTGGAGGGTAGCCTTGCTGCTGATAGCCTTGTTGCGGCGGTGGATACTGCTCAGATCGATGGTCTGGAGGACCATGGTTATTATAACCCTGTGGAGGTGGCGCGTGATGCTCAGGTCGATAGTCTTGAGATTGCTGATACTGCTGGGGGGCATAGCCTTGACGAGGCGGTGCGTCATACTCAGGGCGGTAGTTTTGAGGCGGAGGGTATTGTGGCGCTTGGTGATCTTGGTACTCTCGTCTCGGTTCCTCTCGGTATTGGTCGTGGCTCTGGTACTGCGGCGGATTGTTGTATCCTTGTTGCGCGTGTTGTTGTCCGTTGTAGCTCCCACCTTGAGGAGGAGCTGGACGGTAGTCGCCTTGTGGTGGTTGTGACGGAGGTTGGTATCCTCCTCCCATTTGAGTATTCGCAGTCGGTGCTCCAACGCTCACGTTCTCGTTCCCGATATCGTCTGGAACATTGATCTTGACGTCAGGTAGGTATCTCTGCACCTTCTGCTCTACCATGCCCTGCACAAAGACCCAGCTTTGGCGCTCGAACTTGCGATGTCCACCGTTGACTACACCTAAGATGCTCTCTCGCAGCGTCTCTTGTACTTTTTGGACTAAGGCGCGAATCTTGCTGAGCAGTTTAGACTTGATGTCATCCCCAAATCCGCGGTCAGCGGGACCTGACGCATCGCGGTCGAGCTGTGAATCGAAGGGATTGCCACCTAGTATCTTCTCGAGCGGTCGTTGGAACTGATCGGGCAGTAATTCGAATAGTTGCTTCTCGATTTGTCCAAGAATCTTGCGGAACTCTAGACGAACTTCACGGTGGACTTTGGCGAGACCCGTACTGAGCTTGTCGCTGATAACTCTGGAAAAGCCACCTCCACTACCACTCTCGCCATCGCGGCTAGAGTCATCGAAGCCTCTGGAGGATTCTTCATTGCTGCTCTTCTTGCTTCCGAACAAGCTTCCAAGACCCTTGACCAGGTCACCTACTTGTTCGGCAATCTCGGCTTTAGCACCGTCACCAAGATCACGTGTGCTTGTGTTCCCACGGAGCCAGCGCTTGATGTGATCCAGGGCTATACGGGTGAATTGTTCGGCGAGGGGTGCATGTTGTTCGCGTAGCTTGTCGCCCACTGTTTGCTTGATCTCTGGACTGATGAGTCTTGCTTTCTCTTCAGGGTTCTGTGATGCATCTTTGATCGTGCTACTGATCATGCCGAGTAGTCCACCAATCTCAAAGGATTGGCCACCTTTCGACCCTTTTTCGTCGAAATGATCTTGTACGACATTGAGTGCTGAGGAAAGAAACCCCCTAGCTCCAGAGGAGAAATCCCCATCTACAGATCGAGACTGCTCAGCACCGCCTCTGTTTCCTGAAGTAAGATCGAAGATATCGCGTAAATCACCGCTCGCTTCATCAGAGATCTGTCCGAAGCTTCGTGTCAACTTGGAAATCTCATCAGCAAAGGGCAGTGACTGGCCACCATAGGAATCAGGTGCTGCGTCATTGAGATTCCAAGGACCAGAGCGACTGCCATCTGATGAAGACGGCTTGTCCTTGTTGAACAGCGAACGGAACGCGTCTACGACTTGCGTCTCAAGACTGTCGATAGTCTTTTGTTGAAAGGTCTCAAGTTCGGAGGCGATGCGGGGCTGGATCTGGGGCGCCAGCGAATCGACGTAGTCGTCGACTTTTTGCATCAACACGTCAGGGAGACCGCGTGAAGACATGTTTGCTAAAGAGAGAAATGATTTAGGCTGACGTTTAATGCGGATAGGGAGGAATAAGCTTTCGTTTGATAAAGAGGTAAAGGACTTGGGTCATGGTGGGGAGTAAGGTCGAAACGTGGCTGGTGATAAGTGGCGCTCGGCCAAGACAGGCTAGTGACGAATACCAAGAGCTCCTACCAGACAGTTCGCGCATCTGCTCTGCTACGTCTGCTCTGGCAAATGCGATGTACCGACCCAACCAATTCTTAGATTCACACGTATCTAACGTTCTAGCGAGAGCGACGACTTAGAAAGATGGGGGAGTGCTATAAGTGACTCGCTAATGTTCCGTTAGATCCGCTCCAGGCGAACATGTGGCGCGGCGCGACGTGGCGTCCGTCATCTTACCTCTGAACGCTCGGCCAAGATCCATCCAAGGATCGCGCATGGAATCACTATAAACATGAACACACAACGTGTGGTTCTTAGCAGGAAATTTCCGCCTTCTTCTACTCCATTATGAGCGAACTAAAACCCGCCGGCTCTCCGACTACGGGCAAGACAGATCACGCTGCCGTACCTTCAAAGCGTTACGAACTCGAACCACCACACATACCAACTCCTGGTACTGTCCTTCTTGCATTCACGGGTAACCTAGCTTGCTGGGTCATTACAGGCGCGGTCGGCTACGCCTCACCCTCGTTCCCGGCCAACGATGACTGGACGTGCCTTGTCATGGGTCTCTGGCCGCCACAAGTATTCGCAATGGGCTACCTCATCTTCGTAGCTCTAAAGAAAGGTTGGATATCAACAACGCCGAGCTTATGCGCAGTCACCGTCGGATCTAGCATGACGATCTTGTATGTTGTGTGTTGGGCTACTTGGAAGAACTTTGCAATGTTTACCTTCTGGATTGAGGCAAGCGTCTACTTCTCTCTTGTCTGCGAAGCCAAATTCCGGATTTTCGAAGCTGCGGAAAGGAGGATGGGGATGTTACTAGATTTTTGAGAGCGGAGGTTCAACCGTTTCCTGAGCAATACGGTCGCTGAGAGCTTTCACTGCATAATGCCATTCGCACTCGGTGGCCTGCTGTCCGCATTTCCAACCAGTTTTCTTCGGACATCCAGACGAGCAACCAGACCATCTCTCAGCTATACTAATGGGTGTGGAGAAACCGGGATAAGAAGGCAGGTGTAAATTCGATTGATTTACTTGAACCAAAGAAAGTTTCCATAAACGCTGCGTAGCGGCCAATCCATCCCTTTGGCGCAGGCGATCTATCGGATTCCCTCTTGGTCTGTTATTTCTTCACTGTCTCTCCGCCAGAAAATGAGTTTCAGGAGTCTCCAACCGAACGCAGAACGGAGTGTCACCCGGCGCAACTATGCGGATCACAGTCAGCATTATCATTATCACTGAGTGCTCACGCTTCAGGACTCAGCACCAAGTGTTATTTCTCACTTACGATTGATACTGCCAAAGACTTCATCGTTGCATGCCCCTTCGCCCTGGTGTAGCCCGAACGCATAACTGTTCGCAGCATCGCCGTTGACACTGATCAACAGAGAAGCGGCTTGGCCACCAATGTTGTTCAAATGTACGCAGTCCCACTCAACATCATTGCCGTTTGATTCGACAGATGCAATTCTTTGGCCGGTACATTGCTGACCGGAATATCCTTGAGCGATCCACTGCGCGCTACCATAGGTAGCAAAAGCGAAGATGCCGACGAGTGTAGAAAGGATCATGTTGTGAGGTGTAGAGTGAAGTAAGTATTGGAATGAGAATGCCTTTTACTTGATGGATGGGTGAGCTGAGAGGACCGCCTCGACTACTGTTTATATACCAACAGACCGAAGACATATTTGACCTTGACCGCTAAAAACGAACCCTCATCAGTATCAGTAGTTGGACGCCTGAGTGCCCAGTGAACCAACATCCACAAGCTAGTTCCTTTACTGGGCAGTTCATTACATGTTCCCTAAGGGAATTCGATATGCAAATACATATCACGGAAGAAGCGGGTGCTACCTTGGAACGGCAATGGTAGATGCAGACTTGCCCAGGCGGCTATATACGCGCTGCGGGCCGTAGCCACGCTTGGCCATCCTACCAGACGTAATCAAGCCACCTAGCGCTCGAGGCTAGCGAGGGAGATGTGGCGCGCTTCGGTAAGTCATCTCGACGTCGCTCTATCGTCTCTCCTGCGCTTCTGATATTTGCTGGAATAATACCAAGTCTGGCCAAGCAGAGGTATTAGCAACTACCTCGCAGGAGACCTATAGGACAAGCTCTGGAAGAAGAACATGAAATCCTTTCCTGGGATATTTCCGTAAGGCCACCAGCGTACTCCGCATACTTCAAACTAGATGATCGTGAAGTGTAAGATTGATCATGAACTAGAGCGGGTATTGGTGCCGTACCTACCATTACAGCGACCTTGGCTGTTCTTAACGTGTCCAGCAATGGCTTAGATACTATGATACTTCAGATCCTCAACACACCCATATTGTTCGATCGTATCACTGCACCGTCAGTTGTTCGGTGACTCCGTACTTGGCGTACTTCATCGCCAACACCCGCTGGGCGCCTTGCGTTACTCGAGGCAGAAGAGATACCGGTCGTGAGTAGGGGGCTAGGAGGCTCGGGATAGCACTACGAGTTGGTTGACTTCCCCAACGTTGAATGGCAGAATTTCAGATATAAAAGGCTTGTACATCCCCCATAGATCTCTTCATCGCACTGCAAGCACTTCACTGCTTTGACTCTTATTTCACCCTACTAGTACTTATTTCGGACACCATGAAATACTCCCTCAGCTTTCTCGCAGTGTTTTCAGCTACTGCTCATGGCATCCAGTCAGCCCGCTCTTGGGTCGTCAATACGCATGCTCTGGAAGACTGCAGCGATCCTACACCAGTCGGCTACACCGGCTTCGATGTCACGTTGATGGATAACCACATACGTCCCATTCAATTCCCAGAGGGCACGAGAGCTATTTGGTTCCGTGACTCTGATACTGCAGCCCATGTGCTCGATCTCCATGATGGACACAAGGGTAAGCTCCACGAACAACCATATCATGCACCACTGACTTTGATATACCAGTTAACCTCCAACCTGGTTCTGCCGCTGTGTGTGTTCCAGTTAGTGGGATGAACGGCTTCAGTCTTTCGCCAGCCCTCCCTTCCTCGTCGATCGCCTTGCGCTCTCCGGACACCGCTCTTGCTTTGATCATGCCCGACGCCGAATTCTACGCTTGGAACCTTGGACGCCGTCAGCAGATTTACGCGCACGCCACTGCTACCGTTGCTGCCTGTGCGCTTTCGCAACCTTGGCTCTGCGGCTTCGGCGTGATTACCACCGTGATTGAGACAGTTTTCCTCGTCTACGAAACCGCGCGCTATAGTCAACACCGCGCAGGCGACAAACGAGACCTGCACAGCCTCATCGACGGCCCCATTGAGCGAGACGATATGATTGAGGGAAAGAAGGTCATTCTGAAAACCGTCGACGTCAACGACCCACTCTCCAAAAGCGACGCCTTCTCCCTCGTCGGCCGTGATCTAGAAGAATCGCACATCTACATCACCGTAGATGTTATCGACGACATCACCGGCAAGGTCGAACATGCATTCGCCGACTTCAACCCTGCGACTAACGAAACCATCGCTTCTGCGCCCGCTGCTGGAGGTCTTGGACGCGTCGGTGATGGCCACCTGACGCGCCGCCAGGCAAATGCTGAAGACTACACTGTCCATTACCAGAGCTACAACATGGATTCCGCGGCTGCCGATTTCTTCCCCATGCGAAGTGACACCGCGCAGAAGCTTGCTGGGGAGATTTGGGACTGGGGTCGTGAGCAGAACCTGGGGGGTAAGTGTGCGGCGCTTGTCAGGCAAGGTGAGCAGCTCAACAACGGCTACTTTTCTATCAGGACTGGTCCTTTTACTGCGCACCGCGACTGCTAGAACTGTTGTATAGTTTGGAGGATAGCTACAAGCTACGTCGTCGTTATGTTAGGTTGCACACCAAGAGTAGAAGTATAGCTATAAGTAGTACAAGAGATTGTCTTATGCTCTGAACAATATAGCCAAACGGTCTGAGCACTGAATGGAAAGGGGAAAGTGATTGCAGAAATCGTATCTTTCATTAGCTTTCATATGCTTCATCACCCATCTAAGCAAAACGGAGTATTACCCGTTGAGCCTTCTAATCATATCATCTTCCTCTAAACGATAGCCTCAGGCCTCTCAGCCCTCCTCCTGGCCGTACCAACTCCAGCATGTCCCCTCTCCTGGTCCTTGCCCAACCACGGCTTCAGCGCCTCACCCACAAGACTCTGTCTTAGGAAGTAGATAACCTGGCCAATGATGATGAGAACGAACGCGATAGGATACATCCAGTGAATGTTCAGTCCAAACACCTTGACACCGATCGCTACACCCCAAAAGCTTCCCGTAAGCAAGGAAATGTTGAAGAAAGCGGCGGAGCTGAGACGGAAGAGTACCGGTGCAAGAGAGTAGAAGAGCGAAAGGATGAGCGTGTATCCTGTGAGATACCCGCCAACCCTCGCATTCCAAACCGCACTGCGGAAAGCAGCACGGTCGAAAATGCCAGCTTGCGTACCATTAATGAACATGCCCCAGAAGGCAAGTTGACCAACAACCTCGTACAGCGGTCGTTCAGAAACCAACCACTCCTCGAAAACGTTGGATAGGCCGTAGAAAGTAGCGCCGAGCAGCGCGAAAAGATCGCCCTTGACTTGGTCTGTGGCGCCAAAGTTGTTGGTGCCGGTGATGTGATCAGAACCGAAGATTACGCCTAGACCGCCGATGCAGAGGAGGATACCGAAGATTTGTGTGTAGTGGTAGCGGACCTTGAGGAAGAAAAAAGATATTATCACGACGACGGCGATGGCCCAGAAGTTGATTAGTTGGGCGCTGAGAATGGTCGTCTGTTTGGCTGTTAGCATGGCTTGGAGCTATTTCAAAACGGCATTATGGTAAGACTTACGTAGCGGTATGCTAGCACGATGAAGTAATTGCCCTCGACATCCATAAAGGCTAGTATGAAAAATCTCCAACCATCTTTTATGACAAGACGTCCCCATTTCTTGAAGCCGTATTTGTAAAGAGTGTATGATGTGTAGATTATGTTGAGCAGGACATAGTTGAAGAAGGATTGGAATGCGGGGATCGATGTACCCTCTTCAGCGAGCAGAGACGATAATGTGTTAGTGCCGGTGATACAGAGAGCGAGGACTATAGGTTCTTGTTAGTTTACATGTCGTCCATTCAACGGAGATAGATGGAAGCGTACCCTGCCCCAACACCAAAGTGATCCAAAATTGCTTCGTCTTGAGGTATTGAAACCAGCGTCCCTTGGTCTGCGCATCGCGCGCCAGAATCACATTCCCGGGCGCACCATTATGCGACTCATTTTCAGACGTCACATATGTGCCAGCGCCGGTTTTGTTGTCGACTGCCTCAGGCGCATAATGTCCGTGATGCGCACCTTGTACAACGACGCCTTCGGCGGGGTAAGCTTGGATTGGGTTCATGGTTTCGGTGATGATCCTAGAGGATGCGGAAGGAGCCAGAGCCGCAAGGCTTAATGCACCTGTCAAAAGCCTATCGACGAGATCGTGATATTAGGTAGTGGTGAGTGGGAGCTTTTCGAGATCAACGTGAGCGCAAAACTCCAGAAGTCGCTCACGGTGGTGTACAGCGTGTACAATTGCGCCGCGAAAGGTTGAAAAGCGCTTTCTAGGCGGGGGTCCGCCACATTATAAACAAAGAAGGCCGCACTCGTTCTTTCTCACCAGTCGCGTCTCGCGCTCCGGCCACCATGCGCGGTGGTGAAAAAAGTGTGCTTGGCGTGCCGTCCAGAGCATGAGAGCTCCGCTCGTTCTTGCCCGGGTGGGGTTAAGCTTCGGAGACTAACGTGCCTTTGTGGAGACCGACGGTACAAGAACATGTCGATGCGCGTGGGCTAGAGCTAGGCGAGTCCCGGGAATGCTTTTTCCTGCGTTATCGTGCATGCTAGATGTGAGAGAGGCTGAAGCAAGTGACGATGAATGGACGACAGCTACGACCGCGTGGTCAGGCTGCATGGCTTTAGCGAATACTAATCAAGGGGTGGGGGGCATGCGGCGGCGTTTACACTTCACTAATACGAGGTATGGGTATGGGAATATTCTTATAATGTTAACTCCCACACCGCATTTGTGCATGCAGAAACTTTCCAGCGTGCACGATGGTGGTGGGCCGAAGCAACTGGTATGAGGGACTAGTAAAGGCGAACGGCAGTGGGGCACAGGTATAGCAATGCAGGTCACAGAAGCGAGGTGGTGCAAAAGCAGGGTTTTCTATAGGCTAAGTAGAGGGGAGAGAAGGATACAAGACCACCCTCCAAACTGGCCAAAACAGGTGTCGCAGACGGGAGTAGAGTTACCTACACGCCATCGGTGACAAGGAAAACAAGATGAGTGAGACAAAAGGTAAAGACAGTCAGCAGTCGGACATCTCGCGTACTTTTACCATCCACGTGTCCCTACAGTCGGGATCTTATTCAGAGTCCTCGTCCTCGCTGTCCTCATTCTCAAGCCATTCCTTGAACTGCTCGGCCGACTTGCGGACAGACTTGCTGATCTTGATGTCGACATACTTCTTGCTAGCCTTGGAGCACCAAGCCTTGAGCTGATCCTCCGAGACAAGGTCGTTCTCGTACACCTTGAGCAGAATAGCAGAGACCTGAGGAATAAGCTCAGGCTTGTCGTTACCGACAAAGCGCTCGATACCGCCAAGGAAAGCCTTCTCGTGCTTGTCCGACGTGATCATCTTCTTGAGCATGGGGGCGCGACCATCCATCTGCTTGACAATCTTCTCGGTGAAGAGGGTCTGGGGAATGACAGTGAGAGTGCGATGCTTCTCCTCAATGCCAAGTTCCTTGGCCTTGATATAGATGTCGACGTTGTCAAGGTTCTCAACACCGCCCTTGTCCGCGCCAGTGTCGATGATCCACTTTCCGAAGACATCGTAGCTTGAGCCGCCCTCGTCGTCATCCTCAATGACAAGGGCACGCTTGAGGTCGTCGGGAAGATCTTGGGCACGAGCCCTAATGGCTGCCTCGGACGTGTCGATGGACCACTCAACTTCCTTGGCATCCTCTTCTTCAATCTCCTTGGCGCCCTCGTTGATCTGGCGGGTAAGCTCGTCGTCGCTGCCGGCCTCGAGTGCCAGGTCATCGTCACCATTGTCATCGGCGCTGTCACCGGGGCTGCCGCCGTCGGGGGAGGTAGCCTCACCACGGGCTTCAGCCTCCTTGCGAGCACGACGCTCAGCCTTTTTGCTGGACTTGTCCTTCTTGCCCTTCTTGGGTTCATTCTTCAGGATGAAGGAGCTAAGCTTCAAGCGGGGGTCTACGTCGGAGATCTTTCCGCAGGCCTTGCAGTCGAGCGTAATGTTGCCATCCTTGATGTGGACATCAGTCTCAGGGTTCTTGCACTTCTTGCAAAGGACGAACTTGGAGATGAAGCCATCGAGGTAGTCCTGGAGCTTGCTGGCATCGTGGGCGCCGTTGATGATCCAACGGTCGTCGTTGGGGCTCGTGTTGGTCTGGGCTCCGAGTTCGAAGCCAAAGTACTTGATGACGTGAGCGGGCGGACGGGCGAGAGACTGAGCCACGCTGCTCAGGTTGACGATGACGGTCTTGATACCGTTACCCTTGCCTTCAATCTTGGACTGGATTTTCTCCATCTTGTAGCGGTAGAAGGGGTCGGTGACATCGCGGCGAATGTTGACGGTAGCCATGGTGACGGTGGTGCGGGGGACTGGTTAGTGAGGTTGTTTTAGTGATTGTGCGGCGGGCGGGCGAACGAGGTCGGATCAGGTATGTTGACGAGGGCCGAAAGAGACATGCGCAGAAGCAGTCTCTAGTATGTGCGGGTTGTGTATGTGCGTATGCGACTCGAGGTCAAGAGGGGCAGTGGATTAGCCGTTGGTTTGGTGGATGGTACTGCTTGGTATCCGCATACAGCGAAATTTTTGCAGTTTGGGGGGAGGTTCGACTCGGAAGGAGTAGCTTTGGCGCGAATACATATACTCCTGTTGTCGTTGGCGACTCTGAGGTGCGGTTTGTGCGTGTGGCCTGAAGGCGAAAGTGGCGGTTTAGGCAGGTCGCGGGTTTGCGACGAGCAGGCTGTTTGGCGTCTAGGGCAGAGTCTGATGTGTTGTTGCCAGTGGCAGTCACTGGTGTGGACGAGGGCGACTGATGGATTTTGCGTTGTGCGAAGGTTGAGTGTGTGCGAACCGCGCGTGGTGGAGTGAGGATATATGGGGTCGGACTTAGGCTTAGTTTTTCGAACGTGCCGAGCCACGCTAGTGAAGACCGTTCTACCAAACGCCTCAGGAGCCCCCGCCCTGACTCAGTCGATTATTTGTCTTTTATCCTGTTCACGCGCTTACACAGAGCTTTCGAGAGTCGAATTCCAAACTAGACAGCCGAGTCCTGAAGCGAGTGGCATTGTCAGTTTAGGGCATTGGCGACCGGCAAGGAGTTTTCTGGTCCGCACAAACGACGGAACATCAAACGGTTGTTGCAGGAAATTGCTGCATGGTTAGTCTACCACAGCGGGCAGGAATGCATCACTGTTGCACAACCTTGGTGCTGTACTGCCACGCGGACTGCTTTGACAGAGGACAATCATCCGCGAGCGTCTAAATCACAGTCTCGTTACTGTGGTAGTCGTGCTTGCCATAAATGCGGCACGACAACGTTCTTTTCCAATGCGGTACCAATACGTGGCTAGGGATATGTGAGCATTACACGATTGTTATGTGTCCTGTACCAACCCTGAATGCCCCGCAATTCGACATGAACACCACTCGCCGTGTTAGATCTGACAACGTGGGGTAACATGTTGGACAACACCGAGCAATCGCCGTTGAACAAGCTGTATTCTGCAATACAAGACTGTCGCTTAATACGTGTACATTCGCTAGCAATTTCCCGCGAACCCGAATAAAGTCTTTGGCGAGCCGCTTAGATTGCGTCATCGTCCATGTCGGCTTTTCTCAAAGAATTCCATCATTGATGGACAAGATCAAGCGTTTCACACCAGTTGTCCGTCCACTCGCAAATATGACTAGTCAGAAAGTAGACTACTCGCTGTACCTCGTAACAGACTCTACAGAAGCCATTCTGGGCTCGAGAGATCTGGTTGAAGTGGTTGAGCAGGCATTGCTTGGAGGTTAGTCACATGCTTCCTAAATGCAGTCTTGTGTTACATGTCCTCTATATCTCTTGCCATGCAACCATGCTAATTGAAAATCTCCAGGTGTCACAATCGTCCAATATAGAGACAAAACCTCAGATACTGGCATCTTGATCTCGACAGCAAAGAAACTGCACGAAAGATGCAAAGCACACAACATTCCGCTGCTTATCAACGACCGCGTAGATGTTGCTCTGGCAGTAGGTTGTGAGGGCGTTCATATCGGCCAAGATGACATGAATGCCCGTGAAGCACGTCGCCTCTTGGGAAAAGACAAGATCATCGGCGTAACAGTCTCCTCTGTCGACGAAGCACGTACGGCCGTTGGGCAGGGAGCAGACTACCTAGGAATTGGTACTCTATATGCCACAAACACCAAGAAGAATACCAAAGACATCATCGGAATTACTGGAATTCGGAGGATTCTGCGATATCTCGACCAAGGTAACGAGGCAGAGAAGAACGTCAAGACAGTATGCATCGGCGGCGTCAACGCTTCAAACACCCAACGCATAACATACCAACTTCTTGCCCCAACACCGACCAACGCGACCCCAAAAACCATCGATGGTGTCGCCGTAGTATCCGCCATAATCGGTGCTCAGGACCCCAAAGCCGCATCTTCACACCTCGTCAACCTCCTCAAGACCCCTCCACCGTTCGCCCCTCAATCGTCACTTCCCCACTTCTACCATGAAAAGTCCACCGACGAAATAACCTCAGTCCTCAAAACCGCCACCACCGCAACAAAAAAGGTCAAGGAAATGAACCCCTTATCCCACAACATGACCAACCTTGTCGTCCAAAATTTCGCCGCAAACGTTGCCCTCTCCGTAGGCGCCAGCCCCATAATGAGTAACTACGGTGCCGAAGCTACGGATCTATCTAAACTAGGTGGCGCGCTCGTAGTAAACATGGGTACCGTAACACCCGAAGGACTAGCAAACTATCAAGCAGCCATCACTGCTTACAACGCCGCCGGTGGACCCATCGTCCTCGACCCTGTGGGCGCAGGCGCAACGAGTATACGCCGAGACGCTCTAGCTAAACTCATGGGCGCCGGCTACTTCGACCTGATCAAAGGAAATGAGAGCGAGATTCTCGCTGTAGCGCGGGCAAGCGGGTTCAAGCTTGATAATTCGACTCAGCAGCGGGGTGTGGACTCTGGTGCCTCGCTCTTTTCTGTGAAGCAAAGAGCGAATATCGTTTCTAGTCTTGCGGCGAGGGAACGAGCTATTGTTCTTATGACTGGGGCGGTCGATGTTGTTTCTGATGGAACAAGGACGTATGCTGTTTCAAATGGGCATGAGTATTTGGGAAGGATTACGGGGAGTGGGTGTACATTGGGTACTACGCTATCTGCCTACCTGGCTGCGTACCGCGAGGACAAGCTGCTTGCTGCTGTGGCGGGACTATTGCATTATGAGATCGCGGCAGAAGTAGCTGCGCAGAAGGAGGATGTCAAAGGGCCGGGAACCTTTGTTCCAGCCTTCATAGACGAGCTGTGGAACCATGGGGAGAAGGTGGTGAAGGGGGGTGTGGAACTGAAAGATGTGGCCAAGGTGGAGTTTATCAAGGACATGGACGACGCTGGATTATCGGAGGATCTGTAAGCATTATAGTAGTAGTCGGGACTTGTACAAAGAGATCTGGGTATTCCTGACTATGGGAAGGATACTACTATTACGCCTTGACTTACTGCCTTCCTATCCCTTATCGTAACGCCAACGCTCATTGACTTTCAACATGACTTGATCGTACATCCCTATGCTGACGCTCTACGCCAAACACATCTACCTCGCTTTCCTGTATCGACCTTGGTTCATCTCCGCTTTCAGGGCATCTTGCTGATCTGGCAACGGCGCCCTTCTCTTAATACCATCTGCACCCACTGTTCCTCCTTGTTGCTGCTGTGGCGGCGGAGGAGGAGGGCCAGGCCATCCTGGTGGCGGCGCACCCATACCACCGGGCAGGGGAGGGAAGCCGGGAAATCCTGGAGGTGGCATGCCTGGGGGGAATAGTGGCATACCGGGCGGCATGCCTTGTGGGAAGCCGGGGAAGTTTGGTGGTGGAAAGGGTGGTGGAGGACCATTAGCGTTTGGTGGTGGAGGACCGTGACCATGAGGTATAGGAGGTGGTGGTAGGGAGCCCGACGCGATGAGCTGTGCGAGGCGAGAGGGGTCCATGCCATTAAGAGGAGGCAGAGGCGGACCACCTCCGTTCGGTGGTGGGAAGGGCATGCCACCTGGTGGAGGGGGCACTGGAAGATGATTCGCTCCACCAATACCAGGTAGAGAACTGGATGTGCCGTCTGCGCTGAGTCCTGGTAACGAAAGGCCAGGAGGCAGGAAACCACCACCGGGGTTCTTCGACGGCATCTTCTGGTCGACTAGGCCTTCGGCTTCGTCCTCTGCTTCCTGTTCTTCTTCTTCCATCTTTTGTCGCCTACCCTGACCACGGTCGAATGTGCCTTGAGCCTCTGCTGCTGCTTGACCAATGTGGTAACGGTCGTTGACATAGTTGGTATCGCCTGGTCGTGGACGAGTCCAGAAGCGTGTGACTCTGTCGTTGGAGCCAGACGCAAGGATGTGACCCAGTGGGTGCCAGTCCATTGTCCAGACAGTGAAGTCGTGAGCGTATTGCAGGCTGTGTGCCGGGTAAATGGTTTGCGAGGGCGCGTTTTGTGAGTCGGCAGCGTCGTAAGGCGATATTGAGGGTGCAATGCCAGGGGGAGGGTTCTGCTCGTCGAGAAGATAGTGGTGGATGCTGCCATCGACACCACCGGTAGAGAGGAGATTCTTGTGCATAGGGTGCCATGCCATGGTAATGATGTCTTTTTCGTGTCCCTTGAGCAGTAAGACATCGCGCATCATTCGAAGATCAAAGATGCGGGCTGTGTGATCACGAGCGCATGTTGCTAGCATGTTTCCTTGGACGGGCTCGAACATGGTTTTTGATATTGGGTTTTTATGTCCATGAAGCGTCGTAAGACAGCGCCCTGTCCGCGGATCCCAGAACTTGACTTGGTGATCCTTTGACCCTGATACTAGCAGTCCCTTGTGTGGATGCCAGTCGACCGACTTGACTTCCCATCCATGTCCTGTTAATGTCGACTCTTCTGTACTCGACGCGAAGTCCCAGATCTTCAGTGTGGTATCGTCGGCGCATGTGACGAATTTGGTGTCTGTGGGTGCGATGGAGAGCCCTCGTACCGCTTCAGTGTGCGCTTGTATCTCTTTGACGTTGTTGAAGTTTGTCTGCCAATACTTGACGACGCCTGTCTGGTCTGCCGACAGCAGCCAGTCATCGGTGGACGTGTATTCAACAGCTCGGATTGCAGCCTCGTGGGCCTGCATAATAGTTTCGAAGTTGAAGCCCATTCCATTCCACAGAGTGAACTCACCGCTCGTTGAGCCTGTGAGCAGTCGTCTGCCTTCTGGTGTCCATTTGACGACGTTTATGGGATGTTTGACTTTGTTGAGGGAAGAATGTACGGCTTTGGCTGGTATCGACTCGGCTGCGCTGGCAACTCGGGCTGCTGGAGGTTGCATATCGACAATGTAGCTCGCGCTCGGCCGTTCCATCTCCGGCATGGGAGCATTCTTGTAACGTGGGCGCCGGTTGCGCATCCACTGCACCGTTGTTGAGCCATAGTCGGTCACCGCTCCTGTAGGTTATACAGTCAGTTTCTGATGCTGGAATTGGTAGCAAAATAGTCGTATGAGCAGACACCAACTCGAAACAAGTTTTTGATGCTCGGGAGAGTATTTGTAATAACCGTCTCTCTGAATTGTGCTAGTAGACATGATGAACATGCATACTCACGTTTCGGTCGAGGCCGCAATCCTCCCTCAAAGTCCGGACGATGGTATTCGCGCTCCATTACGGCTGTTCTTGCCGTAGACGACTTTTATGCGATTAACATGGAAAGACCAATGGGAGGGCGAGGTGGTGACAGTGGACGGGTTGGGCGGTCGTGATGCGCAAGGTGTCGTCGTATAGTAAAGCGCGTCCTTTGTCGCGTTGAACCTCCGCGATAGCTCGGCCTAGCGTCAAAGCCACACAGTTCACGTCGTCAGCCACATTCACAAGCCACGGCTCAACCTGGGTCGCGCTGCATCACCGTGCAGATCCCCCCGCTCACCAGACTCCCAACAGAATCCGTAAACGCCTTGATAACTCTGTCGCCATTGCTGCCAGAACCCTCGGTCATGGCGCGCTTATCCCGAGTACAAATCCATCGCTTCCGCCGAGAGCCACGGCCGAGTGAACCTGTTTCCGTCGTCCCAATCGCCGCATACGAGCATCACTCCTACTCCTCGCTTCCACCCTGAGATCTTTAATTGCTTCCGCATGAGCCATTGCGCTCTGGGGTAATCTTCACTCACTTCCCGATTCGTCCCACCTTTCGATAATGGCGACCCTCACCCAAATGGCAGCCTCCTCTGCCCTCGACATGCAACAGGCCAATTCCCCTGTGTACCGCGGAAAGGCGACCACCGAACCCAAGGCCAATGGCACAACCAAGCGTGCTCGCGACACCAAATATCGTCACGTCTTTGCAACGCATTCTTCCTCCCGTACCTCTTGTCTCAGCCAGGATGCAGAGAAGATTCCCAGCTTCGTCGGCTTCAGAAATCTCATGATTCTGGTTCTTAGTATGAACTCCCTATTACCGAGGATAGCCGCAGATGGCTAACAACTGCAGTCGTCTCTAACCTGCGATTGATGATTGTGAACCTACAAAAGTATGGCGTCCTCATCTGCCTATCATGCCACGACTATCGCCGCTCCGACGTCATCACTGGCTTACTCCTATATCTCCTCGTCCCTGCGCACCTCTTCGTAACCTACTTGATCGAACTTGCCGCAGCCTGGCAGGCCAATCGAGCGTACGCTCGTATATCATACGAACGTGACGAAGACACCCCCGCCAAATACGCCGCCGCCCTTCGCAGCTTCAACTCAACATGGTACATCGTGGCCTTCTTCCACAGCGTTAACGCAGTCGCAAACCTCTATATTGCGACCAAGTACGTCTACTACGATATCTACCACCCGGGTATCGGCACGCTCTGCGAACTCCACGCTGTCATCGTCTTCCTCAAGTGCGCTTCGTACGCTCTCACAAATCGCGACCTCCGCCATGCCTACCTGCATCCCAAACAAGCCGATCCCCTACCAGATCTATACAAATCATGCCCATATCCACAAAACATCAACATGAAGAACCTGTGCTACTTCTGGTGGGCACCGACGCTGGTCTATCAACCCGTCTATCCCCGTACCGACAAGATCCGCTGGGACTTTGTCCTCAAGCGCCTCGCCGAACTCGCAGGTCTCAGCATCGTAATCTGGATCGCGTCCGCCCAATACGCTGCGCCTCTCTTGCAGAACTCACTTGACAAGATCCTCACCTTAAACTTCACATCCATCGCCGAACGCGTCATGAAACTCTCCACCATCAGCGTCTTCTGCTGGCTCTGTGGCTTCTTCGCCCTCTTCCAATCCGCCCTCAACGCCCTCGCAGAGGTAATGCGTTTTGGTGACCGAGAGTTCTATGGAGACTGGTGGAACGTCTCTTCTATCCGTACTTATTGGACCACTTGGAACAAGCCTGTAACAAACTTTATGCGCCGCCATATTTACTCACCCCTTGTCGGTCGCGGTGTGCCTCCTGCGCTAGCTCAGATTCTTGTCTTCCTCTTCTCGGGCATTCTGCACGAACTGCTTGTTGGTGTTCCAACGCATAATATCATCGGTGTGGCGTTTGCGGGCATGATGTTCCAGATTCCGCTTATCGCACTTACGGATGTTATTCAAAAGGTCAAATGTATCCAGGGCAAGGTTGCGGGTAACATGATCTTCTGGATGAGCTTTTGTTTGGTTGGACAGCCACTTGCGGCGTTGCTTTACTTCTTTGCTTGGCAGGCGAAGTATGGGAGCGTGAGTAAGAGTGTGGGCGAGAGTGCTGTAAATGTGTTTTATCGGCGGTAGTGTACGATTTCCTTTGCACTTGTGTGGATTGCGGTTGAGGTTGTGGCACGTTTACAGAATCTTCTTCTATCAAATCGAGATAATACTTTTCTTCTCTGAACTGGCGTGTTGAATCACCAATCACACTTTCCTAACTTACGTCCTAAGCTCCAACAGACCTTCGTTAACCCTCTTCAACATCCTTACCACTTCCCTGCTCAATACGCTCTCAGTCCTCTCAACCCACAAGCCATGAACACCCCTATCAACACCCACGTCGGCAAATATCCTCATCTTCTTCACCACTTCCGTTCTCTCCCTACCACCCCATCTCATCACTACTTCACTCGCACAGAAAATCCGCATACCAAGCGTGAACACCTCAGATTTTGTACTCCATCCAAGCGCGCCATCGCCTTCCTTCTCTGCAGTCTGCGTAAGTGTCGTGATACCATCGAGCACCCAGTTGGTCAACCCAGTGCGCAGGGTCTCTGGAACAGCGGAGTGTGACAAGGAAAAGAGGATACGGGACCAGAGGATAGTATCCAGTGTATCGTCTTTGTACAGATTTTGCTTCTCTTGCGCAAAAAGCGATGTGTCTTCTTGCCTTTCCTGAGCGAACGTGTCGGCGAAGGATATCGAGAAGCAAGGATTAGGCGAAGGTGTGCTTGTCAGACGTCGTACCGCCTCTTTAGCCAGATGCTGTGAGTTGGAAAACGCAGTTACCAGGTAAGCTGCAAGATGATGCGTCGTGGATATCGGCACTGTGTCTTTGAAGGTCTGGTTGCCTTGTAAGCGCAGGAAGGAGCCTGTTGTAGTAGCAGCTAAATCCCGAATCTCATCATCATCGTCGTTGAGGAGATCGTAGAGAACGACTGCCAGACCGAGGACCAGCGATCCTATTACTTTCCCGTTCGGAGCCAAGGTAAAGATGAACTTGAGTGCGGAAAGGGATTGGACAGCGGCGAAACGGGTATCGAAGGGGTTTGTGTCGATGGTCGTCATGCGTAGGAGGCGGATGTAACGCCCGATTGCTGTTAGGATTTCGGTACGGCGAAGTGGGTACGTATGATACGCATGGTCGAGGAAGGAACCTAGCAGATGTAGGGCGCTTTGCATGTTCGATGGTGGGCCTTGGACGCATTGTGTTTCCAGCTTAGTGAGGGTGAGAATAATCTGGTCTTCCGCGACCAAGCTGAAGAAATCACTCTTCAGGTTGTCGTTGGTGAGAGCTTCGGCTAGCACTGCTTGCGCCTTCGAGATGATTTCTGGATCGGCGGCTTCTAGGACTACGCGATGGATGTGCGCTAAGACTAGCGAGAGCGGAACGGTCAAGTCGTGGGAGGTCTTCGTCTGCAGTGTAGTGTCCAGCGTTTCCAAGGCTTCCATGCAGGTATCCGGATCTTCGGTTGCGAGAAGCATGAGTGCATTGCCGATGGTTTGGTGATCATCCGAAACCATGAGCTGAAGCGAATCTTCGCGCAGAATCACGCGATCGATGATGTACACTTGTGCAAGAGATGTCCGGAGCAAATCGTCGCCGTGACGGTCGCTAGGCCCAATTTTGTACTCGGGTCCAATGGTTATAGACGTAGTGAGGTCTATCCACGCATCGAGTATTGAGATAGCGTTTGCCCTCCGGAGCATGGCCATGCCGCAAATGCTTACGATGTCAAGGAAGGCGGCTCGTACGAATGGACAATTGCTCGACACGTACCAACTCGTTGCATGTTGCCCGAGCTGCTTCATCAAGGTTCCAAAGTGTTGCATCGCTATAAGTAGTCAGTAGCTGGGCATGTAGCTTGCTATTTCCAAGATCACTTACTACATTGAGTTTCATCCCTCAGCAGTTTCCTCAGCAGGTACTTCACCACTAGGAGACTCCCATGTTGCCCGTTGTGGTTGCTAGGGACTGTGTCTAGAATGGGAGAAAGCTCATCGTGACTTTCGTTTGTAGCGCGCAGTGATACATACGTCCTAGCTGCCATATCCCGCATATGCCAATGTGGGCTTAGGAGCAAGTCTCTCACTAGACCCCGAATCTTAGAAAGATCTCCCGGTGGTCGGGCTTGACGCAAAATCTGGAGGGCGGGGAAAACGCCTTCGGCGCCATGGAGATCCATCGGGGAACTGCCGGCTTCGGGTGTCTCCATAATCTTGACATCACTACTTGGCTCGAGCAGCTCGATTAAGATCTTCACTAGGCTGGGGTAGTTGTCGTAGGAGAAGCGCGAGGTCTTAGCTCGCTCTCGCTCCTTCCAGTCTTGTGCTTCGTCGCTACCGAGTAGTCGTTCGATCAGAGCTTTGAACAACATCAAGCTACAATTACGAAGAGGCCATCTAAAAAAAGGGGTCAGTCTGGAACCAGTACGACTTCTTTTCATGTCCCTTACATGGGAGAGCTCAAGGTTTTAGCAGCAAGCTCGAGACCTTGTCCGATATATGCCTCTGACGCAACACTCAGCTTGGAGGTTGTGAATATCTCTTTGATGCAATTGAGGGCATGTACTTGAGGAAGACGGCTTTCCTCTATATTCGTACTTTGCGCTGCTACCAAGGTCTCGGCCACAAGATCTTTGATGGCTCGTGGGAAGAGCTTGCCTCCTGCTTGGGGTTCTGCTGCTAGTAATGCGGACATGGCTGCTGGAATACCCGCAGATCTCCTAGTGATGGCGTCTGACTTTGCTTGGATGGATCGAAGGGTTTCCTGTAGAGTGTCAGTTCCAAGGCTCATACCGAAATGACTATATACAAACCTGGTACCACATCTCTGGCAGCGCGCGTATTGAGGGTGTACTTGAGGTAACACAACGGCGACAAAAGACCGCAAACGTCTGAGATACTGTCGAAAATGCACCGCGGTGACGAAGTTCAAGCAGCTGAGTAAAGCAGAGTCTGCCCAGCTTTTCAAAGAGCTCCGGGCTGACAAGGTCGCCGTCTCCATCGCCTACAGGGGCTTTAAGAATGACAGTTCGTAATAGAACGCTTTAGCAATTAGCGAAGTTGACAGTGTTGTAGAGACATGATTACCTGGCCTCCTTCAGTCCCCTCCATGAATAGCTTAGAATCTCTTTTGTATCTAGACTATTCTCGTCTTCCAATTCGTCGGGAACATGGCCTTCTGGTGCATCCGCACACAAGACGTGATAGACGCAAGACCAAAGACTCTCAATGCTTGTTATGATGTCGCTGTGGGACTTTTTCCAATTTGCAAACACATCCGATGGTAAACTCGAGATGAAAGGGTAGAAGTCCGGCTGATCAACTACATAGCGTAGCGCAGCAAAGGTGCCATGTACAGGCCGACCATCGACGGCTTGTGAAAGATCGTTGTGAGCCAGATTTAAGGTATCCTTTAGTTGTGTTTTTAGATGTTCGAACAGACTCTGCTTCGAACAAAAGTTTGAGCCAGCGAAAGTGTTTGAGTTGTCGCTGGCCAATGCGAACACCATCCCGTAGGCACGAGCAACTCCGTCTGCTTGATCTGCTCGACCCGTCCGAAGCATTGTAGCTTCCGCTCTCGCAAGGAAGCGAGGAATCATTGCCATGGTGCGTTCTTGATCAGCCCGAGGAAGCGCAACTAGACATAGCTGCAAAACTGATACAGCTGCGTCTCGAATATCGTCGAAGGGATCTAAGATCAGGTCAAGCAACGATCGGCAAAGTTTCGTGTTTCCAATCTGAAGTTCGTGAGCCCAGTTGAGCTGCCCTTGCGCGGACTTGGAAAGACTGGTGAACGATACCCCAGGATCTATTCCAGATCGTAATACAATGATAATCGAACGTAGTGCAGTAATGCGACTCTGATAAGATGCAGTTGGGCGTAGCTCCCACTCGAGAAACTGCATGTACCAGACGATGAAATTCAAGGATTCAGAAAGCGGATCGTGTCGTCCAAATTGTGTTACTGAATTATGTGGACTGGAGCTTGCTTTCGGGAACGGGAGGCGTGTTTGGCTAGATGCGCTGCTCTTCGACCTTGACTTTGCGAGAGTCGCTGTGCTAGCCCTGAGACGGTCAAAGAGTTTCTGTGTATAGCCATGAACCTCTCGGCGGAAATTCGCGTCCGTATCTGTATGCAGGTGGAAGAGGTTACGCTTAAGAGCCTGTAAGACGCCACCACTGATAGCTCTCGTAACGGAAGTAGAGTATACGCAAAGGAACATGCCTGCAAGTCTGACTTCAGCCTCCGGGTCCGCCATCCAGGCACCGGGAATGTCGTCCGGTAAATAAAGTGCTCCATCGCGGATTTCGATATTACTTTGAACTCTATAATCTGGTATACATATGAGCGAATGCCTTTGTGCAACGTTGGTGAGTACCTACCGTTATCCTTTACAATGTTGAGTTCCTTCCCGGTTGCGATTGCTGCTAGTAATATTCTGAACTCTTCGAGTCCCTCGAGAGTCGATGCATGACCGCCGGCTTGATTCAGTTGACGAGGCAACGTATTCTTGTGTGGAACATGGGACTCAAAATGGAGGAATGCGAGGAATCTCAAGTACTCCGAAAGGTTAGGTAGAAAGCAGTGAGGGAAGACGTGAGTTCTGAACTCCTGAATCCGATCCGGCCAATCGCGCAACGTCTGCGCTACCGGCTCTATCCAGAATGGTGAGACCGAGTCATTGTTGGCTTGCTCGTCATAGTCTGCGAGACGTCGAGCCTGAAGTAGGTAGTTCTTGATCAGATGGCCCGCCGAAAGAGCAGTATCATGGTGAACGACCCAGGCAAGGAAAGATTTGAACACTGTCCTTGAAGTCACGGGGCTCTGAACTGCGTCTGATGTGCGCTTTAGCTGCTCGTCAAACAATCCGATTAACTCCGTGATGGAGATGACGTCCCTAAGTAGGAAATGCGCAAGGCCTTGCAAAGCTGGTTTGACTTTGATACGATCCTCTCGCTCACACGTAATGTCCAGGAAAGACGAGGTGGCTCGTCTTCGAAGTTCGATTGCACGCGGACTCTGGTCTTTAGTAACGACATTCGTGAGGACCAAAAGCATCTGCCTCATCGACTTGCCCTTTGCATCTCCAGACCGCTGGAGGTAGATGTTGAATGTTCTCATCCATATCGAATCATCTAGGATTGCCTCTCGTGCATACGCACAGTCGGAAGCCGCACAATACTCAATAATTCCACACAAGGCATTGGATGCGGCTGCCCGATGACTGTTCTCTAGATCTGGTAGGTCTGCGGTCTCCAAAATAGGAGCGAGAATAGAATGAAGTTCTCTAGTCAGATGTTAGTGGGGTTCGGTATTGATAAAGCAAAGCTCACGGACTTTGCGTCCTTACTTCAGAGCAGTTGCAGGCTCTTTCTCCGCGAAATTGGGCAATTTCTTCGCCACATTTTTGGCCAAATCTCGCAATGCCTTGTCAGGAACAGGAATTCCGGAAGCGGTCGCGATTTCTTCTGCCATTATTTTGGAGATGGATCAATCTCGCACGGGCGCCAACAATTCTCCCTAGTAAGTCAGAAAGGCGAGGGATGGAGATTCGCGACGTGGGCCCACTAGCTTAGTAAGCTGCGAATCGATTTGTGTGTGCGCTGACGTCTTGCTCTTATCTTCAACTATATTCCGACGCGACGAATACCCAACCACACCAACCAAAAAAAACTTCAGATATCCCGCTCGTCCACCACTCACTACGTTTACCCAGCTCTCTGTGATCACCCGCTCATATTTTACTTCAATGGCCATTCTCCAGCCCCGCCGTAACGCGTCAATACGCGTCGGATACGCGCTTCCGAGCATAGCATACTTAATCGTCCCAAGCAGCAATCATCTCACTTATGGCCCCCAAGGAAGATTTTGTAGGCTTGTTTTCGATCAGTCCTTCTTCTCTTGAACCATTTCAACGTTTCAGGAGCCTCCGTTCGTATTGTTGTTGTATAACCTGCCCTCCTTCCGTAACTGAGCAAACGCCCTGAATTTACCATATAGAATCTCAAAGGATACAAAACTCATTAGCAGATCTAGAACTATGTCATGCCTAAGGGTATAACATCCATTCCGTTTGCACCAACGGAGCTTACCATATTTTGGCAGTATCCTTGGCATAAGGTGTGTTTACTGGAAGGCGAAATTACGTATTCATCGCTCTTGATAGGACCAGCTTGGGTAGCTTGATTGTGTTTATCCGATTCGTGTCCGCTTATGCGTGAGAAAAGCGCGAAGCATCACTCGACGGCGCAGTAATGTGCCGCACCGGCGTTTGTTTGGCATAGAACGGGACATCAGGAGGCGAATATGCCTCACGCTTTCCAGTGGCGGACATAGATTCCTTCGTATTGACTAAGGAAATTGAATGAGCCCGGCAGTGTGTTGTTGATCATGTTAACTTCCCGCGGAGAAGGCTACCACACCGGGGAGCGGGTCGAGTCTCCGTTATTCAACACTCCATCGCCTGATGAGGAACTTGTTAATCTCACAGGCGCGTTCGACGATGACAACCAAGATGCCGAAAGTACGGCTTTCTCCGGCGCTGCAGTTTATAGTGGTACTTTGTTTTGCTCCCAGGGACATGCCCAGATTGCTCAATCGTGTGCTGCTTGTATACCCGATTCCTTTCTTCTCAATCTCTCAAGTTCTGGAGTCTCGAATCGTGAGCTGAAATTGTCACCACTCAGGCAACAGACAAGCCACAGCGAGCAAGACGGCCCTCCCAACATGTCTCCTACAAATGGGTCTCTCACCTTGTTCGACGATCCTTTTGACAACGACCAAGCCAAACAGCGCAATCACCTGTCTGGCGATAAACTTTACGAGTCTCGCCACACAAATCCAATCTCACCAACGACTATCCCATCGTCAATCTCTAGGACTAACACAAGACCTGTTCAAGCTTCCCAGTCCTTAGGACAACTTGCTGGATATGCAACAAGCGAAGAGGACGAACCCGAAGAAGTCTTGATACAAGGCGCTAAGAAAGGCCGACCTAAGTGGACAATCGTCTATAAGTCTGCTGAACTTGTTACAAGCGACAGTAGTGAGTTTGAGACCTCAACTTCTCTCAAGCACCACAAACGCGCTGTGGGAACCGTTCCACATCCGGCCTCCCGTAGCAAGCTCGATGACCGAACCCGCAAGATGAGGAATATGTCGACTAAGAAAAGCCCAACGTCAGCGCTTGCCTCTTCCAGTATCGCAAAACGACCAAATACAAAGGGAGGTTTCGTCGTGGACAGCGAGAGCGATATTGGGGGGAGTGATCACAGTGATGAAGATGACTACGGCGGTCAGTCGAGATCAACTGTTCGGCGATCAACCCACGCGTCGGAATCACCAAGCTTCTATCAAGCCAGCTTGAAGACCGAGCTCAGTGCAACAGCTCTCCCGACTAAACAGCTGAACAAAAGCCGTCTCAACAAGCTTTTCGGAAGAGCTAAAACTGTAATAACTACTCCCAAACAAGAGCGATTGCTTGCTCATACCCAGCGATCTGTCACAACGGCCCCGACACCTTCTTCCAACTCTCTTTCCACAGCATCACTTGGGCCACAACAGACATCACATTTGCAGTCAGCCGGTAGCCGCCATGCAGACCGCGCCAAACACCCCAACACGGCTTCTACGGCGAAGGAGGTGAAAGTTCTCAGCCAGCAGACCAATTTTATGGATTTGTCGATGACCAAGATCGATGGTAAGGCGTCTTCGATCTCCCGAGAGATTCAGCAACCTACAATTGATAGCACAAAGCAAGGTAGGATGCTGATACAAACCGACTCAGTCTCTACTCCTCCGACTACCGTGGCCGCAGGCTCATCCTCTAGCCCCCTACTCCAACAGCGCAAGCCGGTGCTGGGGGTGAGCATTGCTCGAGGGAGGAAGAATAGCAAGTCAAGTGATAAGGCCTCTTCAGCTACGCAGCTCAGAAGTCTTCTCCAGTTGACATTGGACGAAGCCAAAAACGATAGCATAAGGAATACAAGAGGTGCACAGCTTCAGGTTAGCGGTCAAGAAGAACCAAATATAGCTAAAAGAGCTCCGACCTTGGCATCATCAATCCGCAAGTCAGAGAGCATACATCAGCCCTGTGTCAAAGAGCGCGAAACTACTGCGGCTGATGCGGCGTCGAAAAAGCACTCTTCATTGGTAATACAAAGTCCGAAGGCGTCCAGGCTTGGGACACCGCAACGGACCCAACACCACACGCAAGCCCCTGATCCAGGACCTGGGAAGTCCACGCCAGTTGCCCCCAAGGCAAATGCAGCATCCACGAAATCCACACCATCAATCTCTAAACCGTCAGCTCAAAAGCGGAAATTGGACAGTATGTCCGGCGGTCCTGATAATGTTTCCACTACAGCACCTAAGAGGCCTGCTCCATCGCCTGCAACTGCTTTGAAGCGCCTCGAAACTACACAGGCAGTCTCGAAAGTCAAAACCAATCCTTACTCAGTTACAGCTTCGGAAGCTGTTGTTCGCAAATTATCCACTGTGAATAATAAAACTTCGGCATCCGTCACTACGGCTTTGAATACCGGAACAACCTTGAGCTCCGGTCGGCCTGTCAGCGAATACAAGCCTGCTAGCATACTTCCTTCACTAGCTATCAATGCGTTAGTCGGCCGTCAGGGAAGTAGCGTAGCTACCTCGAGCAATCTGGGTGCCACTCCAGTAGTTTCACATCTACCAGCACATGCAAGGAAGGCAGCCATCGACCAGCCCGTCGAGAAGTCTAGGACACCAAAGGCAACATTGCTCTCACAAACAGAACCAGTCGATCGACCTGAAGGCTTTGCGGCCTCTCTTACGAAGCTCAACTCGAGCAGGTCTCCAGAGTCTACTGAAAATACTTCTACGGGTCATGATAGCGCAACATTTGCTCAACATAACGATTCTTCCTCAGGTGTAGTTGCGACATCTTCATTAGACCTCAACGTCTCATCAGAGTGGCCGACTGCCAACAAGTCGGACGCTACCGTTCTAGGAATTCCCTCTAAAAGGAACACGCGTCGTGTTGCGGTTACACCTTATCCAGAGAAGGCATTGAGCCTTTCAGTAACCACTTGTCCTGAGGAGTTGAGACAGATTGCTGAATCCAACTTAGCCGTCCAGAGACAGCATGGCTCTACTTCTACAATCTCGTTTGCGAAAGTTCCTCCAGTTGCGACCGCTGATTCTATACTTCCAACTACAGGGAAAGAGCCTGCATCCATTTCCTCGATGACTGTGCCAATGCCGTCTTCTATAAACGAATCGCAGGTGACCAATTTGGCAGAATCGGCAACTCTGGAAACGAGTCTGCACGTATCAACCGACAGTATTGAGAATGCGGCACTACGCTCTGAAGATACACCGACAGACAATAAAGAGATGGACGTTGACAGTGTTCACACTATAACAATATCCATTCAGAGAGACGATTCGAATGCTGACGCAGTGTCTGTTTCCAAGGCTTTTGATGGTCATGGGTCTTCACATCAGTCCGACACGATTGTAGAAACCAAGAATGTTTCTCTCTTGACGAGCTTGGAGCCGGCGTCGCCCAAACAGATGATCATAGACGCACCTAAGATCGCTTTGACACCACCCTTACCCCATTTTATCCCAGGTCCGCCTTCTTTGGAAGTTGCAACAACCTCTGACGACGTCCTAACTCTGTCTGGTTCGTCCAAAGTATCCAAGGGGGCACAATCTTACTTTGAGTACTCAGTATTCCAGAAGGTTTGGTCCAGTGAGCAAGCTGAAGAAGACATCGCGGGCACCGAGATCATTGTACGACCTTTCACCAATATCGTTGAAGCGAATGGACACGCCGAAAAGGTGTTCCAAGGTAGCCGTGCACACTTCTTCGACGCCATCTTCGAAAGCAGCAACGAGCGCGATGAATATGGTTGCTCAATCTTCACTGGGTCCGTCACACCCTTTGATAACCCTACAAAAAGGTTTCATCTCAGAATCTGGATACAGCGTGATATTGTATCCAAACTCGCGAACCAGACGCCACAAACACTGAAGGGAACATCGTTCATCTCAAGCACCTGCTACGTCCTACGCTTATTCAACCTCGCCGAACAAGCCGACACCGAAGGCTCAGATAGCTCGGATTCAGACGATGGCGATGCTCCAGCTCGCGAGCCAGTTCGCGTATACCAGTCTCACACCCGTCCGGAAGTATACACTACTCTCGATGCCGCCAATCGCGCAGCTCGCGCCCTGCAAATCGAACTCAGTCATGAGAAAGAGCCGAGAGGCGCGAGCAAGGCGTTTCAGGAGAAGGATATAAGGGAGCTGAATGCTAAACTGGTAGAGCTTCAATCGGCGGAGAGGAATGGTGGAGATGGATGTTGGAAGAGCAAGTTCAATGCGTGTGGTCTGGGAGCAGATACCTTGGAAGTGGTGGTGGAGAAGACTGGTATTTGTGGACCACGGAACATCTAATGTGCGCATACGACGAGTCAGTTTTGAGGGGTTAAAGGTGAACGATGTGTATAATAGGAAAAAGCTGGTGGCAGTTTTGCTGATGGGGTTGGTTCTGGTTCTGGTTCTATCCTGCTTGGGTTCTCGGCCGAGTTGATGATGTCACTCTCGATGGAATGTTCATACACGAGGCTGCGGAAGGAGTCTTGTGGAGACACAATTATCCCATGTCGGCTTCTCTACGGTGACAGTACGAAAGAGCGTCAATTAATGTGCTTCTCGTCGCATCTGGTGCATGTGAAATTTCGTGAAGTAGGGCCAAAAGTGGAGAGTATAGCTAAAGACCCAATAACGCCAAAGTAAGAAGCACTAGTCAGGGAACATGAAGCAGTTCGCAGCTCCGATAAATTAACTGGTATGAGACACTATTTTTAGTATGTCGCGAAGACGTGCTTGCTCTCCACTACGCAGCATCGTAATCGGGAGCGCAAGCCGAACATGTGGACCAGCAAATAACAACACAACAGATAAACATGGACCGCTCTCCGCGCGGTAATCTGAGCAAGGATCAAGCCTTGCAACAGATGAAACTTGACACGATGTTAACTAACTAACCCTTATGGGTATGAGGGAAAAACAATCAAGGAAAAAACATGCCAGCTGACTTCAAAGTGGCGTATATGCAGCTAAATGTAGGTAGTAAACACAACACAGCCCACCCACAACATACCCAACAATCAACCCCGCAACAACTAGCGCAGTAAACATGGATTGGAAGCCTCATCGGGGGCGCCTCCGGGCCGGGGTTGGGACGCCACAGTGGGTTTACAACCTTTCCCGTGCGCCGAACCTTGGAAGTTTAGCGACTATGGAAACTGGATTTTTTATCGATATCAGCGCTTGCGAAATACGATGAGGGACCGTGTCTGTTTAGTTGGTGCTTAGCGCCAGCAGTGGAGACTAAGAAGCTAGAATCGTGGAATTCATGCATCACAAGTCAGATGTGACGGGAAACGGGATTCATCCTACTTTATGCGTTCTTGGGTGATAGGAGTCAAGGAGGAGGATTTGTTACATTCATTATCATCATCGTGACCTCTATCGTAAACGCCATCCGATGCACGCTTTTGTCTTGAGACGAAGGCGTAAAAGTGATATATAGTACATGAAATCTTTTAATCATCACATATTCTTGCAAGTGGCTCAGATCAGAGCTTCACCCCTGAACATAGCTTCCCTGACTTCCCTAACGACATCCGCTCGATCACCGGGTCCAAGCAGCACGATACCCCTTCCTCGCCTGCCCATACGACCTGTTCGACCGAGACGGTGGATAAAGTCAATGGTCGTATGTGGGACATCGTAGAGAATAACGTGGCGGACGGATACCGTGTCGATACCTCTTGAACCCAAGTCGGTTGTGACAATAACCTTTGTGTTGGGAAGGGTACGCTTATTCTCCGGTTCAACCTTCTTCTCTGCACCATCTAAGGTTTCCTTGGTGGATCCATCGTTTGTGAAGGACTTGAGGATCTTGGCTTGACGAGAGGGATCAGTGTCGCGGTGGAAGGCGAGGGCGTCAATACCCTTCTTAATGAGATATTGTGCTACTTCTTCCGTGTCTTCACGTTCGTTGACGAAGACCAAGACACGCTTTGTGGGTATGACTTCCTTGCCTTCGTTGGCGTCATAGTCCACAGATGCCTTGCCAATCTGCCATATTGTGTCTGCACATGCGAGCATCTTGTTGCCACGGTATGGGTCTTTGTTCACATCGACGACACCCAATTGTACTCTTCGTGGAATGGCGTGGAGGTTGGGCGTAACGAGACGCTGCATATCGGGGAATCTGTCTGCAAGGTACTTGTCAAGGTACTTGGGTATGGTAGCGGAGCAGAGGACAAGCTTCTTGAGGGAGGGTGTAGCGCGCTCCAAGATCTGGGTTGTGCTTTCCTTGAAGGACCGGTCAAAGAGGGAGTCTGCTTCGTCACAGATGAGGTGAGTGACCCGTGCGAGGATGTTGGGGTTGCTCTCGGCAATGCTGGCGAGGAGCGGTGGCGTGCTGATTACAACATCGACACCATTGGGGTTGAAGAGCTGATTGCGGATGACGGTGGCGGACATCTTGGCTGAAATTGGGGCAGCGCGAAACTTGACGGTATGGGAGAGAGACTTTGCGACGGCTCCGACTTGAGCGACGAGTTCGGCGGAGGGGACGAGGATGATGGCGCGCGGTCGTGCTGGGTCTACGGCCTTGTTCGTTTCAGGCTCCTCGACAGCGAACATGTCTGTCCTCTTATCATGTTCTTGCGATGCCGCCTCTTCAGCGTCTCTTTTTGCCTGCTCCTCGGCATCTTCCTTTTCGCGAACCTCCTCCTCTTTGATAGCATCGAGGGTGGGCAGAAGGTATGCCAGTGTCTTTCCGGAGCCCGTCTCAGCCGCCAGTAGGAAAGAGTCTGGCCCACTCTTCTTCGACTTTACTTTTGTGCGCACAGCCTTTTGCAGGCCGAGGAGGGCGGGTATAGCGACGGCTTGTGCGGGGGTTGGGTTGCGATATTCGAGATCGGGCAGTGCATCGTTCACGGCGCGTAGTATAGGCTCGGCGAGGGGAAACTTGTCGAAGGAGTCGTATTCTTCAATCTTTCGCTTGATGGCAGTGCGGTTGTTGTAGGGCACCTGGTGCAGCGAGCTCTGCATCTTCAGGGCATGAAAAGGCTCTGATCGCGTCCTCCTCTTGCCGTCATCCCGTCCTGTGGCCGGCCGGCTGCCACGTGCTTCTCTCTGTTCTCGTATCCGTTCCAATCCCCGCGGCACATCTGTCCGGTTCAGGAAGTCGAAGGCGTCTGGCTTCCTCCTCGGTGCTCTGTCTGCTGTTCGCGCGACATCTTCTGAGAGGACCATGCGCGACGGTCTGGGATTGTCGCGACCTCTGAAGCCCGAGGGCCGCGAAGGGCGTGAAGAAGAAGCACCATGGCGTTCCCCTCTCTCGCGCTGGACCTGGGTATATAGACGGATTTGCTGGGGTGGTGGTAAGTTTGTCGATGGCGCAAGCAGTGAACGCACTTCGCAAAACGGGCAAACTCTCCGCAACATGGCTACAAGGCTACAAGTGCAGTCAGAATTAATCGAAGAAGTCAAACTAGACTAGCATGCTGTGCCTACACTAAACCTTGACTAAAGGGATCCGACCTGACGTCGGCACTGCACAGGCGATCGTGCTGATAATTTCAGGCGCTAAGACGCGATAAGCGGCACGTTACCGGAGCAACTGCACGCAACACCGATGCCCTGCCTACATCCCGGCTATCAACACTTGATAGCCACCAGCGGCCCCAACCATATCACAGTACGCGCACCCACACATCCTCCTCCGCTTCTCCATCGCACACCTGCCCAAGCGCTCTGTCGGTGTCCTTCGCTTCTTTGCCATTTCTTTAATCAGCCCGCATCCGTTAATCGGCTCATCACACACGACTCCTCGAGGGAGCCCATTCTTCTTCATCAACAGTCGACTTGCCGCCGCACGCAAACACGCGCACTGCATCAATCAACACCAGAACGCAAGCACACAGCGCGAGCGTAATCCACCGGCCAACATGTCGCGCAATGAAGCGGTAAGCATCATCTTCATCTTATTCTTCCTTTTTGACTCCACTGTTTCGTGTGTTGGCCACACGATGCTGACCGCAATGACCGCAGGTGTCGCCGCTGCGCATAAACAAGACGCCTACTCCTTCGCCCACAAAGGGAAGCGGCCGTCCCTTGTCAGAAATCAGCCCCCATGAGCACCGCAGGAACTCTCCCAGCTGGAACCAGACAACAAAGGTAAGTGCCGAGACCGCTTTTCCCACCTGCATTTCCACCTGCATTTCCACCGCAGTCCCGCTGCATTCCCGCTGCACTCGCACCTGCATGGCTACTAACACCCGACCCAGAAGATCATCCTCGCCAAAGAGAGCTCGCCATTCCGCGACTCTTCGCCATTCACTCACAGCCCACGTCTTTTCTGGAAGGAGCAGACCACTTCGCCCAAGAGCCGCTTTGACACATCGGAAAACGAGTACGAGGGCAGCTCGCCTCTCTCGCCCAAGCGCAACTCAATTGAGAACCTGAAGAAGCAGTCACGTGTCAAGAACAGCAGCATGTTCGCGCGCGAGCAGAAGCACGAGTACGACCCCAACTCGGTCCAGCCGCTGGATCGTCCACTCGCTGCAGGCCGCCCACTTAGCACCGCTGTGCAGGGCAACGCCTATGGCGGTAATGGCCTCCAGGGCCTGCGTAATGAGAACGAGAGCCCCACAAAAGGTCACCACCATAGCCGGTCTGAGAGCCAAACACGGATCCCCATCCTCAGCCCGTCCAAGACGTCACCAGCGAAGCTTCCCACACAGTCTTCCTTCGCTTCACCGTCCAAGCCCTCTCCGTCCGAGGGACGCATGTCGCCGACCAAGTCCTCGCTCGTCAGCAATGGTCGTTTCAACTCGCCACAATACAACGGTGACTCCAGCGCCGTCATGTCAGATGACGAAGAGCTCGTCCATCAGACTCCACGCCCGCTGCGGCGTCATGCTAAGAGTGTGACCTTTGACACTGCTCCACCTCAAATCACCGAGTTTGAGATGGTCACACCCGACCCTTCAGTCGCCACCATGTCCCGGGACGGAAGCTACGATTCCGAGGAGGAGACAGAGGAGGAGATGAGCTTCGACCAGGATGACAGCTTCGATGCTTCCCTAGAGGACACCGACAAGACACCCGTCGTGCTGCCCGAGGATTGGCGCCACATGAGCCCACAAGCCGCAGACACCTCCCTCACCGATCTCTACGACGATGTCTTCGATCAGCGAGACAACAGCCCTATGCCTTCTGCACGTCCCAACGGTACAACCAATGGATCGCGCATAGGTTCGACAGCCTCCGATGGCGATGCGAGGCCACTTCCTCCTCTTCCTGCCATACAAGGTAGCCCCAACCGGCGGCGCGATTCCAGCATTGGCCTGTCCGCTGCCGCAGAGCGGGTTGGCGATAGGCGGCGTTCTCTTCCTCAGCTCCCGCAAGCAGCTGGTATCTCTAAGAGTGATCTCCTCAACATGCGCGAGGTCTCCATGTCGCTTGAGGATCGCTTACGCCTGATGAACTTCGATGACGACCGCGATACGAGCACACCGACTCAGGAGATGCAGAACAAGAAGAAGGCCGTAGAGGTTGATGTTGCAGAAGTCGATGTTACAGAGTTGGAGCTAACACTTGACGAGCCGAAGATCCCGCGCATCTCTCGCGAATCAATCCTCCGACGCGTCAAGAGCCGCACTTTCGACGAGGGTGAGGAGGAGGACGACGAGGAGGTCGAGGAAGAGTACAGCACGTTCGAGCCGGAGTACAGCCCTGAGCGCAGCTACGGTGACCTTGCTGACTTGGACCCCGATGTTCCCATTCCATCACGTGAAGCCTCCTCCAACTTTGACGAGCACCCACGTCAGGTCTCCGTGAGCGAGGCCGACAGCGTTGTCGACGCTTACAGTTACCACAACGCAGACAGGACAGAAGGCGACCATGCCGATGAGACTGATGTTGATGGCAGCTCGATGTCTCAGCTCGAAGACTATGAACGCGAGTCCTCTGTCATCCGCCATCCTATGCCTGAACACTCGGATGATGAGGACGACAGCAGCCAATACTCACCTCAACCTGAGGAGCAGCCGACTGCGGAGAGCACCATTGACTCCTCCGGTCCACCAACGCCCGTTGTCGCTCCCTCTTCTCCTGTCTCGGCAGAGAAGCAGGCGCCACAGGACGAAATGTATTCTTCATTCGAAGGTAAGGACATGGACCTGAGCTTGGATCCCCTGAAGGCTTCTATGGCAACAGCTCCGAGTCCATTGGACTCACCGCCTAAGCTAGATGCCATGCGCGACTTCCTACGACGACCTGTCACACCTGAAGCTCCCGAGATGGAGGAATATCAGTCAGAGTCAGAGGACCCTGGTACTCCAGACTCTGTCATTCGCCACCCCATGGCTGTCTCCCCAGCTCCTCAGGAGAATGCCCCAGAGGTTCCTCAACGGGAAGCTACCATCCGAGGTGCCGGTGGGAAGTTGAAGACTCGCCCATCGCTCATTCCTGATGATATTGATATGGCAGCTACACGCCGCCAAGTTAGTGGCCAGCATGCTCCCCCTGTTCCTGAGCGAAGCCCGAAGCGCCAGTCAATGAGCCTCGAGCTTGGCAATGCTGATGAAGAGGGCAATGACGACGATGGCGATACGCAAGTGAGCATCACGACCAAGCAGAACCGCATGCTGGACCTGCAGCTTGGTGACCTCAACCTTGGTGACGATTCGAACGACCTCAGCTTTGGGCTGGACAAGGAGTTTGATCACATCATTGAATCACAGAAGGTAGAGAACCTTTTTCCTATTCCCTCATTTGCCAGACTCCCTACATCCACCGCTGCTGTCATGGACGCAGCCTGCCAGATGTCCGGTGAAGGCTTTGTTTATATGCACAGTTCCGCTAACGAGCATGTCCACGAACAGAAAGGATACTTGATGCGCGAAAACACGAAGGTCGTTGTCGCGAGCAGTCGCCAATTCAGCGACGAGAAGCCTCCTACTCCTACCGAGCCTACCAGCGAGGTGGCTGTCAAGCCTGTTTCTCGTAAGACGAGCGCCGAGCGCAAGCCTGCATGGACAAAGGAGCCTTGGAATGGTAAGCCTCGCAGGAAGAGTATCCGAACGGCATCTGGTCGTCGCACTCGAACCTCAGAGGGCCCTGCTCCACCACTACCTGGTCAAGAATCTGCCGTTGCTGGCGGCCTAGACTCGGTCGCTGAACAGGGAGATGATGGTGAGCCTGAAGAGGGCGAAGAGCGAGGTCTGGTGTTTGTCAAGGTTGTCGGAGTCAAGGACCTCGACCTTCCTCTGCCAAAGCACGAGCGTACCCACTTCCAGTTGACGCTCGACAATGGTCTGCACTGCGTCACGACGTCTTGGCTAGAGCTTGGACAATCCGCTCCTATCGGACAAGAGTTTGAGCTCGTCGTCATGGATGACCTCGAGTTCCAGCTTACACTTCAGACCAAGCTCCAGCCTCCAGCCGTGCCTCAAGTTGTAGCTGCGCCTACCGCCAAGGCTGTCAACCACAAGAAGTCTCACTCTGCTTTCCGCAACCTCCTATCATCGCCAAAGAAGAGGAAGGAGCAGGAACGCAGGGCGCAGGAGGAGGCTGATCGTATTGCTCAACAGGAGCATCAGGAGGCTCAAGCTGCCGCCAAGCGCAACCAAAAAGCCACCGCTTGGGATCTTCTCCACGACCTTGTTGGACCTGACGGATCTTTCGCCCGTGCCTACGTTTGCCTCAACAACCATGAGAGCCAAGCGTATGGTCGTCCGTTGACCGTCGACATCCCTTGCTTCAACGAGTGGGCTGTTGACAACACTGGCGCCAGTAGTGTCAAGAGCAAGCGCGGAGGCGTTGTTCGCCGTCCACCTTATCGGGTGGGCAAGCTCACGCTCCAGCTTCTATACGTCCCGAAGCCTAAGAACGGAAAGGATTCGGACATGCCCAAGAGCATGAACGCTGCTATTCGTGAGCTTAAGGAAGCTGAGCAAGTCAAGGACATCAGCTTCGAAGGCACGTTGAGCCAGCAGGGTGGAGATTGTCCATACTGGCGACGTCGTTTCTTCCGTTTGGAAGGTACAAAGCTTACCGCTTATCACGAGTCTACACGGCAACCGCGTGCTACCATCAACCTAGCGAAAGCCTCCAAACTCATTGACGACAAGAGCGCTCTTCAGCAACCATCCGCGACAAAGACTGGTGGTCGGCGAAAGTCCGGATTCGCTGATGATGAGGAGGGCTACATGTTCGTCGAAGAGGGCTTCCGTATCCGTTTTGCCAACGGTGAGGTTATCGACTTCTATGCCGACAGCCGTGAACAGAAGGAGGCTTGGATGAAGGTGCTCTATGAGACCGTCGGCAAGGACATTGCTCAAAACAAGGGCTGGGCTGCCATGGTCCTCGAGAAGGAGCGCAAGGAGAAGACTACGCGGTCACAGATTGGCACGCCAATCTCACCAACCAAGTCACACCCCATGGTTGGAAGCTCACCGAACGTCAACCGTCGGCCTTCTCACCAACGCACCCAATCGCACGATGTACTTGGCTCTATCAAGTCTCCCCCTTCAAGTCCTGTAAAGGCCCACGCCCGAACACAGTCGCATGCGCCTACTCCACCTTTGAAGGACGTTCGCATGTCGCACGCGCCGCCCCCACGGCCGCGAACGCAGGAGTCAGCCAAGCCGGGACGTAGAGAGCAGGTTCGATCGATGATTTTCTAGTCTTCTTTTCCATCTTCATCAACGATACCACTCATCTACTTTCTTTGATCGTTCACTTACTTACTGGCTTTTCTTTGCGTTTTAGCTTCGCCAATACTCTTCCCTTTCGCATCGACTAAGATTGGGGTTTTGGAGACGGCGACAGAGAAGGAGAAGTCTGAAGGGCATGGGTGCTGCGCATCCATTTCCCGAGTCGAATACCGCAACCCGATGAGTTTGGCATTTGAATACATTCGCGCGGAGCCGCGGAAAAGTCGAGGGTGCGCTCTTGCTTTCGTTTTCTTGTATCTTGTCTTATCATTGTTTTTGTTACTGTCTGGCGCAGGTCGGCGTTGTTTCATTCCTGGCGTTGGAGGCTATGGTCTTATGATACTCTGCATAATGATTGAAGTAGCGATGAAGCACATGGGGTACGAGCAGCAGTTGTATAAGGCGGAGAAGAATATAACATGACTTTTAAAAGAAACTCGTCTTTTGCATGACTGTGACTAGATGCAGGTTCGATGTGCCATGGTCTGACATGTAACATGGTGGATTGCGACGTGGTGGCGCGTCATCTGCGCGCCCCACCAATAATCTAGTACCTCAACCACCGAGCATCCAATCGATGCAAAAGGCATGCGAAAACAGTCTCACACCATTGTTTTTCTTATTATCTGAGCCTGGAGCCTTGGCAGTCTATTAATCCATCGTGGTTAATTTTCGCACGATTAGCATAATGTCGCTCTGATTGCAATAAGAACCACATCGCCAACTGCACATCCGCCAACCGTTACGACAAAACATGCTTGATATTATCTGAATTACACACCTCTAACACTGTTTTGTCTCGGAGTTGTACCAATGGTTTATTCACACGAGAAAAGATGGATAGGCAAGCAAAGTTCTCGCATCACGAGAAGTGACCAGCTGCGACACGACAACAGTTGCTGTCGTGCAACACAGCGCAACAGCCGTGTATCCTTCGCAGTACAGTATAGCAAACAAGCAGACGCTGAAATGTCAGCACACGCACAAGCTGTAGATGCTGGACCCGTCAGCCCTTGCTTCTCATCTTCGCATTTCTCTTCTCCTACATAAAAACAAGTCTCAGAGTGGGTGACTCGATAGGCACTGGTTAGGAATGTCTTCGATATAGACGGTAAAAGTACGACTCTCATTTTGCGAAGAAGGAAATGAGAACATCATCAACCAGAATCCATCTGTGATCACCGGAAAACAGTCACATATACAGCACAGCCGCCTCCTTGCAACGGTCCGCACGACGCGACCACTATGGGTGCATCGCATTCTACACCCCCACCACTCGTCGAAGTCAATGCACCTGGAGGAAAAGTCTTGGTTCCACCTGGTAAGCCTGTCCCATCTCTATCTCTTCATCCTCACCACATTTGATCCTAATCCCTATCAACTAGGCACAGCGTTCACCGTCCACCCACCCTCTTACGCGCGCTCCAGATCTGATCCATACACACGCGGTCCCGTCTACACACCCTGTCTACCGCCATATCGTGGCGAACGCCGACACCAACGTCCGAGACCTCGACCCCATCCTCGCTACGGAGGACCAGACATCCATATTGCAGAGGACAGTGAAGATAGTGAGAGCACAGGGACAGAAATCAACATGATGGAAGGTATGAGCCCACGGGGTATGCGACGACAAACGTCAAAGGGCTATCAAGGAGGTATGATGGGTGGTGGTGGTGGTGGCATACCAGGCATGGGAGGAATGGGACGAATGGGACGAAGAGATGGACTGAGAGGTTTCGATGGCATGGATGCGAGACCTAGGTCTGCACCTGAGATGCAGGTGGGTGGTTATCCGGGTATGGGCGGTATGCCAATGGGTATACCTGGAAGCCCACGGATGGGAGGTTTAGTGGGGATGGTTGGTATGGGCGCGATGGGAGGTATGCAACCGTCCGGTATGCAACCGGAGTATACATCGAACCCATCGATGGTTCGATTTGGTGTTGGCGGAGGCATGCCAGGTGCAGGCATGAACCTGTACGCAAATCATGCGGGAGCAGGTTCCAGCCAGTCATCACGCAGTAGCCCCGACCCACCTCAGGCCACGCGAAGACCCACAGGTAGAACGGCCAGGCACTACGAGCACATTCCAATGGGAGTATATGCCAACGCGGAGAAGCCACGGCGACCGTCACGCAGGGTGGAGCCAACAACGTCAGCCCATCTGAACCGCGGTCAACCTTTGAACAAGAAGGTTGGACCTTCAGGGAGTGAGTGGGTCGATGGTGAGAATCCCTGGCTTGATGCTTGTACTTGCACTACTGGATGCGATTGCCGGAAAAGTCAACGCGTCCTGTATCGTGCACAACACGATCGTCATCGAGGCAGCGGCTCAGGTGAAGAAGATCATGTCCTCACTAGCGGCGAGATCAGGTACGTTCTAAAGACAGATTTAGGCCGCGACTGTGGAGATCACTCAGGATGCAAGAAACATGAGAGCAGCGACAGTGAAAAGGAGCAGAAGAGCAAGAAGAAGAAGAAAGACAAGAAAGAGGATAAGAAGCGCAAAGACCAGTTGGACGAGTTCAAAGATGACATAATAGAAGCGCTTGACGAGCGGTTGCAAGATCTCAAAAAAGACAGTCAGCAACGAGGTAAACCGGCGGGCCCCGCAAGACAACCTTTTGGCGGACCGGGCATAGCGCCGAGTGCGTTCATCATGAACGATATGGATATGGATCCACAAATGGCCCAGCAGATGGGCATGATGGCCGGCGACCTGTACGGCACGGGTCGGATGCCAACTGGCATGGCTGATCCAACAGGTAAACGGCCCATGCATCCTCGTATGGCGATGGGTGGTGTCATGGGCGGCATGGGTCTCACTGATTTGGGAGGCTTTGAGAATGACCTTTCTGACATGGGTGGCATGGGGATGATAAGAAACCCATACATGCAACCTGGCATGATGAACAAGAAGGGTATGCGGCCCAACTTCATGTCGCATCGTGGGGCCAAGACAGAGAGACAATACGGCAATGGAGGTGTGGACACGGGCATGGACATGGATCAAATGGCAGCAATGTATGCCAAAGCCATGGGAAGAGGCCGCGGAGGCATGCCGGCGGGTGGTGGACGTGGCGGTGGTGGAGATAGGCGAGCCCATCTAGACTCAGAGTCCGATGATTTCGATCTTGGACCCGGGCCTTCAATGCGGTCGCGCATACGACAACAGGCTGGCCGTGAATGGGCCGGTGAGTATCATCATCCCACCGAGATATCCATGATATACTGAAATCTTGTAGGACGTGGCAGCAGGAGACTAGGCAATGAAGACAAGGATATGCCCATTAGGCGTAACTTCGGAGGCAGCCCGCTTGGGAGGAATCACGGCAGTCAGGATCGAGGCAAGCAGCCCCGAGTTGATACAGATGACGACGATGCTTATTGAAAATATGACATGTTGACCTTGGATAGTTCTCCACGGATGAGCAACGGCACGGAGACACTGTCCATGAGGATCGGTTAAATATTGGCCTGAGCAGACCAATCATTGCGTGGAACCAAGCTTTCTTTTCTGGGCGCGTCACGTTTCGCCCATAAGTCGATCATCCCAGCGTTATCCAGACGCCCTGTTTCGCGTGGTTGAGAGTTGGTAATGAAACACGTCGATCCGCGGGCGCGGACGCACCCCTCTCGTTGCTGTGGCAGGGGCGGGGTTGAGTTGGCTGGCAGGCGCAGGCTGCAGCAGTGCCGAGAACCTGCAGGATCGGGCTTGCTTTAGCTTGGCTGCATTTCTACATGACCAACCTCATTGTTGGCACGACCCGCGTCAACAATATTGGTGCGCATTGTCAGCTTCTGTTTGAAGATGGGTTGAGGCATTGGACACACTCTTGAGTGTTGGGCAGCCACAACTCATGCAGCTGCACCTCGATAGGGCCTGTATTGGGCATCACAATATAATTATAGCAAGGCATCATCCCTCGGAGGAAACAAATGACGGAAGTGGCATGCATCGCTGATAAGCAGGAATATGTGCGAAAGACGTCGTCATGTAGATGTTATCATTCGTTATATGAGCTAACCTTTTAAGATGAACCGTGTTAAATCTGTCGCAATGTCGCTTGGCAGCCGCCATGGGACCAAAATGGATCTCTCGTGAGACCGCCGTCATGATGACATGGGCGTATATGAGATCTATCGTAGACTCATGTCCATTCCAAATGTAGATCTTCCCGATCTGTAGTGTAAATGCCTACACGAATAAATGCCAACCGACCAACTCCTCGCTAGTAAACGCACAGGAAGTGAAGCAGAAACTAGGAAACAGGACTCCAAGGAAATGGGAAAGGAAAGGAAGTTCGTGGTCATGGACAGGCCGCAGCTGGAGTGCTGTGCCAAATCACGTGACCGATGCGTTCAGTGAACCATTTCGATAGACCAAGTCGAGGAGATCCACCTCACTAGCCTCTACGGGGCGGACCAGCCGAGTCCGGTGGTAGCAAGACCGGCGGCACTCGCAAGACGCTTGCCCCGCTCGTTGAGACTGAGAATCAGCAGCTTCTTCTCGGCCCAGAAGTTCTCGAAAGCGTTGATGCCGCCAGAAGTGAGGGCATCCTTGACACGTTTAGCCTCTTGCCACTCTGTGTCGACCTTGTAAGACTTGTGACGTAGACGGGGAAGGGCCTCAGTGCGCAGGTGCGACAGCTCCGCAGCATACTTGGCATCGTGCGACCTGAGCGGCGTGGAGAAGGAGCGCTCACGTGAGCGAGAGAGCTCCGGGGGGCCCAAGCAAATGGGTGAGCCGGGGGACATGATTTGAGACTCAGACACGCCAGAGAAGGCCGGAGTCGTAGGGGACGCGCTTCCTGACTGGGAGGCCGATGACGCACTAGTCAGAGGCGGAGAGGAGTCAGACTGGAAGACGCTGCTAGCATTGCTGACTGTACGGAATTTTGGGGGAGGGAGCTCGTCGAGGTGAACCAGAAGCTCGTCTTCAGTAGCCTTGGGGTCGACTTCAAAGCTGTCAAAGTGCTGGTCGAGACGCTCGAAGCCTGTTTCGATTAGTATCGGACGACTTGCACGCAGAATGATTCGACTTACCAGTTAGAACAGCGGCACCTGCATGCTGAACATCGGTCAGGCTAGCTTGGACTTGCTTGGGAAGGCGGTCCCAGAGCTCTTGAGGACAGTTCCAGTGGCGTAGGTGAGAAGGGTCGTAGCTGAAAGCATCGCCGTCCTTGGGGCAGACGGTGCGAGGAGCATCGACGTTGGAGGCAGTTCGTGAGAGGCAAGGAATGGTCTTGCGACTTGAGTTACGACGAGATGTTGGGATAGGGTCACGAATGACAGGGTGGGGAGATGGTGGAGCAGCCATAACGGCAATGTAGTATATCGAATAGGTCTGTGTGGAGTTTTGGTCGACAAAGAGTGGAGGTGGAGGCTTAGTAGTGGATTGCGGGGTGCACTGCAATGAGTGATGCTTCTGAAGTCTCAAAGGAGCGTGAGTGGTATTTGTAGAGAGCGACGGGAATCTTCTAGACAAATATTTTGGGTGAAGAGTGGTGGAGGTGGAAGGGTGAAAGATCGCGGAAGCGCTGGTGATCGAAGGTCGCAGCGGAGTAAACAGGGCGAGGTGTGGAGTCGAGCAGGGGTGTGCGGGCACTTTGCGGGCAGCGTTGGTGCGTGTGCTGGTGGTGATGGGAATCTACGGCCCAAGGCACTTTCCCATAGAGCTTGACGGGGCAACTACGTCAATTCACGGTGCGAGGAATTGCACGGGCTGTGCAATCGGGGATGCCGTGAGGTAAGGGTACAAAGCCTGGATAGTGAAGGGGTGATGGGGGCGGGTAAGCTGTGGCACTGTGGTTGGTGAGCCCAAGTGCCCAGGAGCTTGAGAGTGAAATTGCAGGCTACTGTGACGCAGGGAAAAACGCTGTGCGTGCGCGGACAATGAAAAAGGTGCTAGGGTGAGATACCCAGACATTCGGGATCATGGCTGCCCACCTGCAGTTGCTGCACGGCATGCCCGCCACGCTATCGCAACGCAAGATGGACCCAGAATGAATTATCTCGGCATGTCTAGAACCTGCGCCGGATATTGCTGCTGCTTGTCTGCTGAGGTGGGCTGACGCCTAAAAAAGAAAAATCCCCAGCCAACTTACATGGTACGTCACTGGACCGTCGCTTCCTTGCTGTCTCGGGCTGATCCGGAACTGGGCTGGCTTGGGAGCGAGGCGCAGGCTCTTGGGATGCCGAAACCAGCCACACACACTGAAACCGTTCGAGTGTGAGGAGAGACGTGTGCGAAAACGGCTCGCAGAATGCTCTAAGACGTCTTTTAGTATTTCCGTTTCAAGTTTGAACATCAGCTGACTGAGGTACATATGTACTTAGAGGCCGGCGCCTACTTACTGCAGTAGCGTAGGGATAGCTTTGGCGGGGGAAGTCGCGTTAGCCGAAGTCTCTGTCAAAGCGCAGGAGCGTTATGGTGAGAGATGGTGGATTGGAGAAGCAAGTCCAGCTGCGCGCTTTTGTATCAGAGCGCGATTTTGGTCGACGTGGGCTGTGTGCGGGCGATTACGAGGATTTTCATCTCGACTCCTCTGGTTCCGGCCCCACAAACTCTATCTCCTGCTGGATTGTGGTCTGCTTGCCGTCAGCACGCGTTGAACGACGTATGGTCCCCTAACCAATGGCTGATCGACCAGATGAGCATGGCAAAAGACGTAATCAGGTTAACAGATATACGACACACCACACTTCCAACGTGCCCGCGCCCTGAGACGGTTTTCACATGCATGTCTTATGATAGTAGCATTACTAGTACTACCATCATCACTGTTTGGTGTTGGGTGGTCATCGACGACGCGCCTGAGCAACGCACCCGAACTCTTCCAGTTTGGCATAGCCCGCACGCGTCCCAGTAAACCCCTCATCACGGTACGTCACGCTCTTATGCTTTAGTCGTCGCGCGACTAGTTGGTTACTCGAGCCTGTATTGCATCCTGTTAGCATCATACCTAGACATGTGAGAGTCGTCCCACCTTTGAATCAAGTGAACGCCCGACGCCGTCTCGACCATGCCGCTCACCTGGCCCTTGTCGAGGGCAAAGGCAGCCTGCTCAAACTCCTTCTGCATGTCGCCCTTGCCAAAGAAGCCCCTGATGGCGTTAGTGTTTCCCAACGTGTCCAACGCCGCAAGCACTTACAGATCGCCCCCCTTGCGAGCGCTGCTGCAATCCGACTCGGTCGTCGCGAGCTCAGACAGAGATTTGGCGTTGGGGTCTTCCTTTCCCTCCTCGTATGCCTTGATCTGTTCGTGGTAGCTCTCAATCATCTTGCGCGCATCTTCCACTGAGCGCGTAATCTTGGGTTCCCGCCAACTGGCCGGACGCCTGCTGTCACGGTGCTTGACAAGAAGATGGGCGCATCGGATCTTGCCCTCAGTCCCCGCCGACGCTGCTGGCGCAACGCCCTTGGAGCTGTGGTTGGCAGCCATGTACGCCTTCAGCTTGTCCGGGTCTGTTCCCTGTGGTGGTTCCCATCGCGAGTCTTTTGTCTGGGCGTGAAAGTAGTATGGGAGGTTCTTCGTGTTGGAGCGGCGCACCTCCCATCCTTCAGGGAGTCCAGTTTCGGCGGACGACTATGACGCGTGAGATGCTGCATAAGATGGGTTGGGCCGAAAGGCGCAATGCTCACCATGTTTGCTGATAGTCTATCTGTATACGTAGGACGGCGTGTGCTACGGCAGAGGGCAAGTAATGCAGAGCTTGATAGGAGTCTCCGCACGGTTGTTATACGTGCAGCGTGGAGCGACGTCTAGAATTGCAGGCGGTGGACAAGGCGATCGGCGCTTCAAGGTCGATAATGCGGGGGCGCCATCCAAACACAGAGCGCGGCTCTGCACAGCAACAGCAGCCGCGAATCAAGACGGGTGGCCCGCGCTCACCGACGTGACTCTGCCTCGACTTTGACTCTCAGATTTCCTTGCGGCTGCACTTTTTCTCGACATTTCTCGACTTGCGCAAATAATACGACCGTTACGACTACACTCGCTACACGAGCACACACGAATTACGGCTTTTACACCCGCCACATCTGCCATCGACATGGCATCCCCAGCAGCACAAATGGGAGGCTCCAAGGGCGGCAAGGAGCCCATTCTCTTCCGCTTCTGCTCAGAATGGTGAGTGGCATTTTCCTCTTCTCTGTGACAAACAAGGTTGCTAAACAAACGCAGCTCGAACCTGCTGTTCCCCCGCGAAGACAAGTCTGAGAACAAGCTGCTTTTCGCCTGCCGCACATGCAACTTCACCGAAGAAGCGCCCTCATCCTGCGTTATGCGCCACGAAATCGCGTCCACAGTCGGAGCCACAGCCGGTGTCACAGCCGAGGTTGCTCAGGATCCTACGGTTGGTTACTCCCTGTCCGATGCCCAAGCTGCCCAGGCCGCTCTTTCTGAGGAGATGCCCTGCTGCACCATGTGTGGCATGCCCATCATGTGCCAGGAGTGCGGCGAGGAATCGGCTCCTGGCTTTGCCCTGGAGGCCGAGGACGAGGACCCGCAAGCAGAGCGTCCCCAGCAACAGATGCGCGAGGAGGATGACATGTTTGAAGATTACGACGACGACTTCGATGAGGACATGTGGGACGAACCTCAGTCCTGAAAGCGCCCCTTGCGTCTTCCACCAGTACAGTTGCTTGCTTGCTCTTGGGCGTGCTCGCTGACTGTGCCTGCCTCTAGTTACCGCGCATCCAGAAGCAATGCACAGAGTGCGGCGAGAACGAAGCCGTCTTCTTCCAGTCGCAGCAGCGGACCGCCGAGACGGGCATGGTAAGTTTGTCAAACAACTCGGCGAGCGATTCTGACTTTCCCAGGCCCTTTACTATGTTTGCGCCGGATGCGGTCATGTCTCACGCCCGTCTGATAATTAGAAGGATAACGATACGGAATGCATGTAGCTGGCGTTTAATCTCACAACATTTACTGCGAGGAGTTTAGGAACAAGCGATCTTCAGATACCCGTGGGTATAGTTTAGTGGCATACACATAATGTTACATTCCAAAGCGCTCCATAGACTCCCAAAAATGCATCTTTGATCCCCCCACCATCATGCCTCATGCCATTATACGTGCATAGGCGCCAGCGACAGAATCTTGGACCACTGCTTCTGCCTCAGTTCCGCCGCAACAACACCACTGACTCTGGATCCAATAGGTTCTCCAGCCTTATTGATCAGCACACAGGCGTTATCGTCAAACTTGACCACACTGCCATCCGGTCGCTGCCACTTCTTTGCTGTCCGTACTACAACCGCGTGTCGTACATCTCCTCGCCGTACTTTGTTCGCTGCGCCGATGGAAACGCTGTTACCGGTTTCGGGACCGAAATTTCGCTGCTTCTTTACGACTACTACTATGCGGTCGCCTGCTTCCATCAGCCTTTATTCTAGGCGTATGCTATTCCTCTTCAATTTTCTGCACATACCGACTTTCGCGGGGCGTTTCGATCGCAGGACGTTGACGCATTCAACTATGGCGGCACCGGAGTTGTCGATGCAATTTACGAGGGTCTAGAAGGGTGGCCATCAGTCCTTGCTCTGCCGCCTCCATCGCCGGATTTGGCACACCTTTAATTGAATCATGTTGTGTGCCTTCTCTTGGAATCCCGATTTCGACTGCCTGCCTCGATGCGCGCTATTTCGTGGTTGTGCAGTGGGTGGTCGTGTCGGCAGTATCAAAGTTGCAAGTCGTAGTAGTGTCGGGCTTTCTTTGGCAGTTCGGCGGCTTAGGCCATCACCCCCAGTCTTCTCGCTTATGCTTTCACCCCAGGGCCTATGCGCGTCTCCATAAGCAGGGCGGCTGAGTACAGGGATATCGAGCGCGAGCCTTGTCGACGCAACTTACTCCCGCACATTGTCGTCGGGTGAGCGGTTGCGCCCGTCGCTCTTTCCTCTCCTCGCGCGCATCGCTGCTGTTGTCTGGGACGCTCTTTCTCTTTTCGTCTCCCTGTTATTGTACTCTGACGGTGAATGCGTTGTCGTTCCGTTTCTGGCTACAATAACGTCAGTCAGCCCTACCAACCACCCCCTTAATCACGAGACCCTACGACTCCTCACGATCTTCATGACCAACGGCTGCTTGCGCATACACCCCCGACCTCATTTCACTATCCCATCGCGCGGTCATGGCGCCCTCAACGAAACTCACGCTGGACAAGCTTGCCACATTCGACGATATAATCACCGACGCGCTCGTGGATAAACTGTACTTCTGGGCTAAGATTCGCAAGAACAGAGGTGGTCGATTCACGGGATCGAGAGGGCTGCATGAGGAAGATGTTGCCGACATCATCCGGCAACACGTTGTATGGGAGAAAGACCCGGCCGAGGCTGTGCAAAGGTTATTACAACTACCAGGCCTACGCAGATTCGTGAATACTCTCAAGGATGAGCGAGACCAGGACCAGTTCAAGCGCCACCTCCGGAGATATGTCAATATCTACATGTCAGATTGCCAATTCGAGGTCACCACCACCAACCGTTACATGATTACCGAGCACGAGGCTTCCATTACCGCGCGACGAGACATCAATCCACGCGAGGAGATCAAGTATCTGACTGGCGTACAAGTGGCTATGACAGAGGAGCAAGAAAAGGTTTTGGAGTTGGCGCGCAAGGACTTCAGTCTAGTCATTTCGAGCAGGAAGAAGACGCGCTCGCTGTTCTTGGGCCCTGCGCGCTTCGCCAACCACGATTGCGACGCGAACGCAAAACTCACAACCAAGGGCTACGATGGCATGCAGATCGTTGCAGTGAAACCGATTCTTGAAGGAGAGGAGATTACAGTTTCCTATGGTGAAGATTACTTTGGTGACGACAACGAAGAGTGCTTGTGTAATACTTGCGAAAGTCTCCAGCAAAATGGCTGGGCACCCATGAAGCGAGTCGAGCCCAACGACGACGACAACGATAACGAGATGCAGAACGCAGATGAAGGGCATACAAACGAAATCGCCTCCGAAGCTGCCTCTTCTTCCATGAAGAGGCCGCGAGATGACTCAATAGACGAAGATCCTTCGCGCGACTCGACGCCCACCCCGAAACGTGCGAAACTTGAAGAAAAGACTTCACCAAACAAGCAGCACACATCTAATTTACTGCGAAAAACGACACTCAAAAAGGCGCATAGCACGTCATCCCTGCGCCAGGAACTCCCAGTATCGAGCATCGAAGACCCGGCGGCCAACTTAGACAAATCGCCAGAAATACCGCGCGAGAACCGCAACCAACAATGCGAAGGTCTCCTTACGGTGAACACGGATTTGATCAGTTCATCACGGGAACCGTCTCCGCAATCATCTACAGCAGCGGCCTCGCCCAAGTCAACACACTCATCTACAGATGCTACATCAATCGACGAGGATCACGCACATGAGGTCAGCGATGATAAAGAGAAGGTCGACCCTCAGACGATACAAGATCGCCCAGCGCTTGGAGTGGCCATAGTGAAGGAGGAAATCACTACGACAACGGTAAACGCCCCGTGGCCCTCCCCGCCTGCAGACGAAGACGCATACATGTCCGATCTCAGCGAACTTTCTGAGAGCTTCGAACTTGACGACGTGAACCAGCAGATTGTCAAGCGCAAACCTCGAGCCACTCTCCGTACGACACGTTCCAAGTCACGATTTGACGTTCAGAACCGCGTCGGCACACCGATCACGGTTGAAGAGGGAGATGAGGCAGAGTATGTCGAGAATACGCGTAAGCCAGGCGACTACATGACCTCGAACGCTCTTCTCTCGGCGAAGTACTCTAAATGGGTCAACTGTCAGACATGCGACACCGACTTCGTACAGCAAGATGGCTACAACACGCGTAAAGAGTGCCCCCGGTGCGAACGCCATTCGAAGCTCTACGGCTTTCCCTGGCCCAAGACTGAAAAAGAAGGCAAGCATGACAAGGAAGAACGTATTCGTGATCACCGCACCGTGCATCGTTTCGTCAATCCAGATGAAGAGCGCCAGTTGAAACGCGACAAGACGAAGAAGGTCATCCGAGAGCATATCCGTGAGCGGTTTTCTACACCGAGGAGCGCGAGGGATACTATGAGTTCGAGTATAGAGATTGGTAGTGGGAGAAAGAGGAGGCGTGTGAGGAAGACCATGTAGATGTGCTATCTTCTGGGTATCATACGTTTCGTTATGGCATAGAATAAGAGAGGGATTGAGAGACAGTCTTGCATGCCATAAGACATCTACGCCTACCTAGACTTAGGCCTTCCGCATATTCCAGCATTGGCGTTGGAGAGAGGGGCATTGCAACTCCTTTGGGAGAAGAGTGGCCTTGCATATTTGCATTGTTTTCATCGTTTTGATCTATACTTTTGCATCGGCGCGGATTATCTTCGCATTATACACTTCTTATCATCTCCATTGCATCCTCTGCATTCACAGGGGCATACACTCGCATATAAGCAACGGCGTTTCATTCAACATCCAGCATTCGGAGCTTTTGTACTGTACGATACCATAGGATACAAGAATCACGCTATAGAACGAGACAACTTCTAATAAGTCGATGCATGTTTTGTAGCTGACCGAATCAATCACATAGCGGATAGAACCTGACTAAGCGGTGAAAGCAACCGCTTTCTACTCACTTGGGTGTATAATTCTGTTAGCCAGTTTGCTTCGACCCTCGATCCCATCAAACCTTCTATCACAAACCGTCATCTAGTCCCCTTACTTCGAACAACCCACAGCTACTACACAGAACGTCTGAGCAACCACGACTCAAAATTCTACGTAGTTTTCCGCGATATATCAGGCGATGCCCTGCTGACCATGCTATACGAATTTCATACCTTGACTGAAGCAGACCATTATCTGGATAAACACCTTGAAGGCCTCTCGAAGGTCTCTTGAAGAAGTATCATGCTACAAGTAGGGCGATGGATTTTGATTGGCTAAGAATATTCCACATAGAAGAATGGTATAGCCCCTTGAGACAGGGGATGAAGATGTATGTTTGGGTAGAGTGTGAGGATATCGTAGATGGAACATAAAAAATGGTACGGAGGGGGCGAGTGGGATAGGAAAATCAAATGCTCAGTCGAGCGCGCCGTGAGGTGATGGAAAATCCCACATCTCTCATAGCCAAGAAGATAGACGCAACCGTTTTCTGATTACAGTTTTTGGAAAACTTGGTCTTCCCAGTTTGCTACCGTTCGCACTCTCTCGTGCCAATTTCTAAGATCATCATTTACTAGTCCTTCTTGTACTTTTCCTGACCGCATCTTTATTCTCATACACCAATCCCTTCATGTCTGCCCAAAAACCCAAAGCCTGTCTGATAATTCGCCAATTAGAAGAAACTTTACAGGTTCCATAACTTGACTATAGCAGATCGATATCTAGATGAACAGAGCTATTCAACTTTATCGTAAAAGTCTTTGTCTACTTCAAGGCTATCGTACGTGCTTTCCGTGCCTTGGAACCTGTTCCTCAAATATACGCTCCTAAACTTCCCAATGCGCTCGTCTTTGGCTTCGAATACGAGGTCATCCGGATCGTGAATCTCAATCTTCTGGTCTACATGCACGTTCTGGTCTTGAGCATGGACGTTGATCAGACCTGGTATGGCCATTGTGTGCTTCATGCGCTCCTGCACTGAGGCGTTGTCGGGCGAATGGAATATGAAGTAGAGTAGCCGAGTATTCGGGTGGCGGTAGAAGGTGAAACTGGGCTTGCCTTCTGGAAGTGTTGATGCGACATATTCTGGAAGTATATCATTCTTGATGTAGTTCAGTTCGAGAGTTTCGGTGGTGATATCGACGGACTGAAGACTGTCAGCGTTTCAGATCAAAACGAGTAGCAACATAGGTATCATACAATCTGCACAGCTACACCCTGAGTTTGGAGCAGCTTCAGTGCCTCCAAAGCTGCAGGCGAGATCCTGTTCTTCATGCGACGATCGCATAGCCGGCATTTATTCTTCTTGTATCCTACATCTTTCATACATATCTCGGCATGCTCAGCGCAATTACACGACCCCTTGTCATCACATTGGGTGCTTGCAGTATCAGGCGACGTAGCATCCGCGTCTCGTTCTGCCCACGATCGAGCGTCTGTGATCTCTGCAATTTCTTTGCATATGATCGAGCATGATATATACGTTCCGCCAAGTTGTTGTACAACATCGTGTCTGCGTCCGAGGAGAATATTGCGAGTTTCTTCTTTAGCGCGGTAAGGCACATACGTGATGAATGTGAGCGAGTCGCCGCGGCGTAGAACGATGTAGGCTGGCTTCGACGTATTGAGGTTGCTTTCAAGCTCGTTCAGCTCGAGTTGGAATGATGTATGGGACTGACGTATAGACACATAGGCTTCGATTCTGTTGCCGTCTGTTAGGTTGAAAAGAAGGGCGAAAGAGGACCTGTCCTCGACGAAGGCGATGAAAGCATCATGGGTAGCTGTAGGCAACTCTTGGGATTGGGTTAGCTGGAAGTCTAGTGTGTGGTGTATTATCTTACCGACTAAAAGCTCTTGCGTCATTGAGGTAGTTTGTCACACTGGATTAATGTCGTTTCGACTCAGTGATGGAAATATTGGTAGTTCGAAAGCCATTGTAACATGGTAGCCTGCTGCGGATCTCCGCCGCGGGTCGTTTCAAGTCCATTACGCATCCTTTGCTACGCGTCGACAACTACACGCGATGCTCAGGAGGCCGGTATCAGCCAATAGGTTTCGATCAAAGGAGCGACGCGTGCGTGGGATTCCGTCTATGAAGGCTGGCATGGGTGCGGAATTCCGCTGAATGCGGAGCTTATAGATCGTTGCTTATTGTGTTCATTCTCGGCTGATCTTTCTAACAGTACATTGTTGTCCCATAGAGTCTGTCTTCCAGACATTGTTGCAGGCAAGATAAAGATGTCGATGGTGGAGGTTGGTTGTGACAGTATGACGTCTACCCGCTGGATCATGACTGAATCGCGCTAGACGCGTCGGTGTGATGGTATCGCTGGCAGCCACGCGCCGCATTCAACTTCCGATCAAATTCAGCTTACACTGTCGCGAGGCTACCTTTGCATGCCCAAGTTGCACCCGAGATGCTATGAGTTCGATCATAGGTAGGTGCGCATTTTTGCGTTGCTATTAAGAGTTCCCCGGACGAATGGTGGGCGCTTCTGGTTACGCCGTATGACAGCAGCAGCGACGCGCCTCCGTAACACTTCCACGTATAACACTCTAGCTGATACCGAGTAACACACCGCGAATCATCTGGGTCTATCTGTCAGCTTCTCCGAGTTTGCTATTCAGATATTCTTGTATCCGCGTTCAGGTTCATGTTTTGAGCGCCACTTCACTGCCTCAACGCACAAAGTGTGCAGTCTAGCCAACTACGTTCGTACCGCCATGAGTCGCGGCAGCTATGAGGCACCGCTCAGGTATCGGGATTGGGAGTCCGACGGATGTTTTAGGTATGGCGAGTACCTGGTGTATCTCCACCCCGGACATTCTCTCACGGACCACTCGGTGGCTGTGGACACTGATATGGAGACCTACATGCGAGCGGATGCGGACACAGTTTCGAAGGAAGCGCACCATGTACGCATGTAAGAGAGTTAATGAACACATTTTGGCACGCATCAGATCAGATCCTGGAGTCGAGGTGGTGGTCTGTAACTTCAGGTTCAACACTGGACAACTGACACCCGCACCTGATTCGACTATGTTCTACCGGGCGCCACTCCTTTACTCGAACAATCAGCATGGTGAGAATACTCCAGGTCGATATACAGTCATTCTACAACCAGATCATTCCTTGACGGGGCACTCTACCGCTATTGGCATAAACATACTGCATTATGTTCAGAATCACCGACAGAGAACTCCGAAGGAGTACAAGTACAACTGTGTGGATGTCGACGATGAACTCTTGGGTAGAATAAGGCGGGATCGCCTGAAGACGCACCAATTGAAACAGGGCCGGGAGACTCCGATATCACCATTCCAAAGTTTACGCTTTCACCCGTAATCGCAACGCCTCCAGCTATTTAGGCTTGTGACCTGGCGAGCGCCTTCGATAGCCGAACTAGATGGAACGAGGGCGAGGAGAACGGTAGCACTTGTGCAGTACATTGGACCAGCTTCAATACGACCATACAGGGATGGCACCGGGGTCTGGTAAACAAGAATTGCATACATACGAGTATATCATTACATTGTCCTGGCACATCCGCCCATATTCATGTACATGCTTTACTCTCTTGCCCTCCTGAGTCATGGTGTTTTAGACCGCTCTAACATTTCCGCCATTCCAGCTTCCAAGCAGCGTGTTTGAAGTCATAAGTACCAAAGTCACCTTGGATGACTGGCCTGAAGTTGACGTTCAAGATACCGGGGTTGCCGTCCGCGCCCGTGCACTTTGACCACTTAAGATCCGCAGTGCTACTTCGTACGGTGATGTAGTCTTTGATCTCAGGACCGGCGCATGTAAGACCGCCAGTAAGTACACCCTACATATAATCAGCATGATTTATATCTACCCGGAGGAGATAGCACTTACAGTATTCCCAGCGTTTTCACTCCAGAAGACCTGTGTGTATGTATCGAGCCCGCTGTTTCCCTTCAAATTCACGTCGCCAACGTAATCAACTTGTCTGACAGCAACCTGCCAGCCAGCACTCGCTCCAGCCGATTGAATGTGCACGGCGCAGTTGTCTGTTGAGTCACCTTTGAGTTGCGTGAAGGAGACACCGGCGGTGTCGCTGAGGGTCGCGCTATCCGACTTTACGGAACCGGAGTCATTGGGACATCCTGAGCCGGAGAAGACGAGCCGCGTTATTGTTGGAGAGGTAGGCGGGGCGGCGAGAGCTAAGAGCGGAAGGGTGACGAGGGGGAGTAAGGAGCGCATCGTTGGCGATGGAGTTGATGTGTAAGTTGATGTGCTGCGTGTGTAGCGCTGTCTGAAGCGTGGTACGAGTTTCTCACTAAAAAACGATGAGCTGAATGCGAGGACAATATGTATGTATCGAATGCTCTCTGGCAACAATCGTGATCTGCTCTGCTTTTATACCCAACGCCCAGTCTAGCCACGCCGCTGCAGTTTCGAACTTTTCTACGGGATCTGCATCATACCTGGACCGACACGAATTCTGGCCACCGTATAGCACTCTGCTATTCCTTTATACCTAATATCCAATAGCGATTCCGTCCGCTCTCGACCGCATAACATCCACATTTACCCAAATTAAGCGAGCCGCAACCCAGGCCCAATGGCCCTCGTCTCCAGTATCACCAACGAGAACGAGAACGCGATAGGTAGACGATGGGGCTATTCTAAGCTTCCCCGCAATATCGTAGAATGAGCATGGTCGGTCTTCTGGAAGGGCGAGATCTGCGGTGCATATGACCGGGTGGCAATCAGGGTCGCGATTGACTGTTTTGGGGTTGGGGTGTAAATTATATGAGCAAACGGTCTCCTCGCGTAAAGAGAATGTTCGTATTTGAAATCTGAAAGGAATCTGGAAATTTGCAAGCAGCGTGCGGCCTCGAATTCGTCTACTGATCTCGCCGTGGTCTCGTAACGCGATCGGTGCGCTGGGCAGATTTCTTGCTCCAGAGTTTATAGGTGATTAACAGGCTCTTAGAACCATACAATACTCTTTTCAGTGAATTCTAGAATGCTTGGATATTCAGTAAGGCAATTGGAAGCCTCATAAAGCATTGTGCCGCTCACGTCTAGCAAACGGGTGCACACTGAGTTCCTAGGCCCAAAACTCTATTATTCGCCTGACAGTCTTACGCTCCTGTGCTAACTAACAGCGATAGCTCCAAGGACTAGGAATGGCGTTTCCAAGTAAAATAATAAGGATGGTGTCTTGAGAATGCTCAAAAGAAAAGCGCTGCACAGTCTAGGAAGAGCTCTCGCTTTCTGACGGTGGAGACTCGAGCCCCGGAGATAATGACAGGCATACGACCTCATTGATCCCTGTCAACGCTAACGTAAGCGAATGACCCGCGCCTTCCCGCATACGCCCATCTCCCCTTCATGCACAGAAGTCATGTTCGAACCTCGGAATTCCATCTCAATATGCGCAGGACACTCAGAAGATCCTGTGATGCTTGTGCGAGATCCAAGCTGAGCTGCGATCTTCGCACACCTCAATGCTCACGATGTCTCAAAAGGAAAGCCAGTTGCGTCTATGCGAACGAGCCACTTACTTCGTCGCCCACCGAGACCATACATTCTTATACCACAGAAATCATCCAGAAAGACACATTTTCGTCCCCAATACTATGGAATAACCCCGCGAGCAATGCTTTAGATCCGTTTGACGCCTATCCAACGACGAGACTACCTCGGGCTCGTGTGCAGCAACTCATCGTTCACTGTAAGTAAGAGAAGTCATGCCTGCTCCGCTGGCATACTTGCGGCACGACAAAACGCATCTTACTCCGTGCATCAACCATCGTGTTCCTCTCGCCAAGATCTGGAGAGAGGATGACTGACAAAGTCTAGTCTTGTCAAATATCGCTTTTCAGTATTATCCATTAGATCTCAAGACAACATCAAACCCGTTTGTCGTGTCATGGTGGCCCCGCGCACTGCAAGATCCAGCTCTGTTCCACGTCAGCCTCCAGACGGCATCGTTAGACATCGAGATGAGAGCTCAGAACGGTTTCGACAACTCGGAAGTCCTCATGGCAGATTCCATCTCATTGGTTCGGCGACGCGTTAACAATCCGCTATTAGCTTCTCAGGACGAAACCATGGACTCAGTCGTTACACTTGCTGCTATAGAGGTATGATGGTTTTCTACCCATGGATATTCAACGCACATGATCGACTGACATTTGGCATCGTAGTTTGGTAAAGGTAATACGACGATTGGCAGTATGCACATTGAGGGCGTCAAGAAGATGGTGCGAATGAGAGGAGGCATACATTCACTAAAGATTACAAGCCCTCTTACAGCACGCATGGTTTCTTGGTAAGTACAAAACCTCTCTTTCACCATCTATGCATACTAAACTGATACTCATTGTTAGGGTTTCAATGATACTCATGCAAACTCCACAATTCGACGTACAAGATGATCTACGCCTTGGTGATGGGATAGCTGCAATACCTCAGTGGTTCCATCTACAAACTATCTCTCGAGATGAGATTCCATGTGGCTTTCTTAATCTCGAACTGGATCCTTCTATCAGCGACGTATTCCTGCAGCTGCGCCATCTGTTTCGCGTATCACATGAGCACAACCTCTCGACTACTGATCTCCATGATTTGACATGCTACATCCTACACAAGCTCTTGGCCTGGTCGCCGGATGAATCACAGCCTGGGCATGCAAACCTGATTGCGACATCACAATCCATTCGATGTGCTGTAGCACTGTATATGCTCATCATTCACGGACCGACTTACTTCTCGCATGCGCATCTACAGTCTTCCTTGGTTGCAGAACTCAGAAGAAGTATCAGAAGCCTTTTACCCATGTTTGCGATTGAAAATGGGCCTTTAGCTTTGTGGGTTCTGATTGTTGGGATGGCCGCATCGCAGGACGCTTTGACGTCTGGTTGGTTCACTGCGAAAGCTACGACCGTTGCTCGTGGTTTAGAGTTACGTACATGGGACGATATTCTCCAGTGCATGGAAGGAGTGGTTTGGTACAAGACACAGCGTGGGGAAGAGCACTTTCGACAACAATGGGAGGAGGCTCTGAGTATCATATGATCTCGCTGCTAGCGAGGTGTCTGGAGTACAGTGTATAACCAGAAATCGACGCGCACTTTTACGCCATTTGCATGTCTACTCGCAGTTGCTATGATATGGGGAGGTAGACACGGTACTCCGATGAAAAATGCGAGAGCCTAGGTCATTGTCAGAGCTAATGGCGCCGACTTTTCTCCGTTACCTATGGTACTCGTCCATGTTGAGTCAAAACGGAGTTAGCTGGGGGCCTTAATACTCGGAGACTAAGCCTCTTCTGTTGCCCATCGCTCTGAGCCCGCGATTCTTACAGGCATGTCAAATGCAGAAGTCTCGTGCAGTCGGCTTCGGAGACTAAGTCTTATTATTCTTCTGCCTGCTAGAGTCTGCGGATCGCATACTTTATCGGCAACGAAATGTCTCGAACACTCGTTGAACGAAACGAGAGGCTCAGAAATGGAGCGAAAGAACCGGTTGCAAATACCTTGTTTCGAGAGCAACAGTATCTGCAAAACCTGCTCTCTCTTGCGCCACCACACCTCAATACGTATCTCTCCACTTAGTTGTGCATATCTAGACTATCAGATACTCTCTCAATCATCGTGAAGCATCTGGAGAGTATAGTAACTTTCGGTATACTTATCAAGTACATAATGACTATACAACTGACGATTGACACGTAACATGACTACCTATATGAACAACGGGGATGGTAAGACTCTGCAGCAACCGAGGGCGCTAGCAAACTCGTGGCACAGTAAAAACAACTCAATGTCACGCTACGAATATGGCTTTTCAAAAAGAGATCAACGACCGTCCAAAGAAACCGAAGAGTTTCCGCTCAACTAACACCCCATAGCTTCATTGCCACTACCTTGGGGTCAGGAAACCACTCACACCTCTTTTGAATAAAGGGATAAGCTCTAACAACCTCCGCATGTCTGACTGTTGTCACCTCCGTACTTAGAGGCACAATCTGACCCTTTAAGACTCTCCGTCAATTGCACCAATTTACGTTGGCTTCCTTTTAGCACTCGATTTGCGCTATCTTTCCAGCAGCCCTTATATCTGAAGGGCACCCCCTTGCAAGTGCGCAGGTCTGCTGACAGTTGCTCCCCACGCTTAGTGTCTCTCTCTTTGTCATTGAGTTGAGTGTTCAACTCCTGCTCGCTCTTGATATATGTGTCCTTCTCTGCCTGGCAGTCTTCCAGAGAAGAGCAACAGCTCCCACCAATTTGAGAAGACGAAAGGTGCGGTTGATCGAAGATAATGCTGTTGGTGCAAGTACACGAGCATGTGTGTTTGTTTGACGCCGGATCGACGCAATTAATCGAAGGCCTCACATCTGGAACTTGATTTTAGTTGAGTTGGGTGATACGATGGTTTGGTCCAATCACCATCCTTGTACTTGTACTAGTTCCTGGAAAGGTTGAGCGAGCCGAGGAGTTGTTGCGCATCGTAGCCATGCACTTGCGTGCACAAGGCGGAAACAAAAAATATCCCAACAGCTCTTATTGCACGTAAACGTATGAGGATGAAGCCAGGAATAGGAAGAGAATGAACATAAAGATAGAAATTCCACAACGTCTCCGATGTCTGTCTTCTTACGATGTTCTCCTCATCTAGGTTCTTGTATACGACAATGATGTATACGAAAAAGCAACCATTTGTAACTAGTTCGTTCGGCACAATGGTGGGTCGTCGGCCCTTCTCGAGCAGTTGAGACTAGCCTATAATACTTTTTCGAGTGACGCATTTGCAGTTTGCGGATGCAAATGCGTCAATCTTGCTGTGCCTATCTGGGTCTCCCGAGTTTCTTCAATGCCAGCCTCCATACTAGAACAGCTTACCGTCTGCCTGGGAACGTTGTCACGACGCGATTAAGAATTGAGGAGACTCGAAAGATTATTGGAGATGCATAAGTAGAACCCGTTTCAAATAGAGAATGGTATAACATCTTCGCCCTGCAATCAAATTTTCAATCAGTCATTCACAAGAACAGATACCATGAAGGCCTTCACGTTTCTCATTCCTCTCGTAGCCAGCGTATGCGCAAATGATCCAGCAGTGATACTTCCTGACACACTACTATCTTGTAAGAGTGGTGAGTTTCCGTCCCTGCGCAGATATATGGTTACAACTACTAACAAATGATTCCAGGATACGCTCCTGCTCTGACGTGCGCTGAACCGACACCAGTCGACGATGCGTGCACTTGCAGTTGTCGCAACGGAGTGGTCTACAACACGACCCGCCCTGATTTCTCGGGCTCTATCCTTCCACCTTCGGCGAATGGAAACCAAATTGACGGCAAGCCGTGCACTGCAGAGATCATCATACCCTGGACGCAGGTTACGCTCCCCCACAAGTATGGTACTCGAGAGCCTTCAGCAATTGGCTCGCAAGAAGTCGACATCCCCGAGGATAGCGTCTTCCTAGTCGCTGATTCTGCACTAAGATGCCAGCACTATGAAGTTTATATCGACGGTCAACGCGTAGGAGAGACTTCTGGAACAGGTGAACTGGACGGTTCTCGTTGTGGAAGTGGAGAGGAATGCATGGAGAAACATGGTGGGAGTTATGCGTATTTCAAAATTCTCAAAGGTAAGGCAGTTCTCCTTGATTTCGTTTCATCATGTATGAAAAGGAAGCATAGATCATTCAGGCTAACTTTGATATTTCCAGGGCACCATACGATTGGCCTGAAGTGGATCAGATGCATGCAAAGATATTGAAAACGGAATTGGATCCTTCCAGATCTATAAGCCATGCCATGACACCCAGACGACGGTGTAGAATGCAAGCGCGCTACAAGATATTTGGATCTTAAAGATTAGCAATGAATAACGAAAGTCCTACTAGCCGCACAAGTCGTGCTCTTTTTTCCTTACCTTATCGCAACCTTACAATACTTCCACTGTTTCTCTACCTAGGTACCCAACTCGCGATTCCCCACTACGTCTTATTCATATAGTACATTGACGTTTTTCGAGCAAGCTTCACACCAGTACTAAGTACACGTGCAAAAATTATCACCATCAGGAGCCGCTTCCTGTAAGCATATGAACAAGCAAGATTGACAATGGCGATGTACCTATTAAAGTTCCTACTGCTGTATGTGAGAGACACGAGTTGCGCGTTCCCGTGTTGTTGAGCGAAGAAAGACGGGCAGCTATCAAGGGGCTTGCAATGGGCCGTCCCATGACGTACCGGTAAGCTTTGTCTCGCGCCAACTCGCCGCATGCCCTCTCGCCGCGCTGCACAAGGGACACGTATCTTCTACGAACTTGTATCCACATAGTGACCATGCTTTATCACAATTCGTACATTTGCAAGCTCAGCATCTCAATATCGACAAAGACCAGCGTGATTGGCTTTACATCCCAGCTCCCACAACCTATGACATTCGCCCGCACGCAATAGCTCGTAGTACGCCTTCAGCGTTAACGTTAGTGCTCACTGCGTCCATGGTTTGACATACTGCCTAGCACAGCTGCGCTATTTAGATAAGCAAGATCTTCAAACACATGAAAAACGTGCGCGGATGATTATTATTTCCCACAACACTAAATTGTCCGCCACAAACGAATCAGCAAATAGACACGAAAAGACAATCATAAGCACGTCCGTAAGCAAAAAGCACGCAAATTAGCAGTCGGAACTTCGCGACTACTAAGTAGATTTCAAATCTGCTTGCGGCGCATAGTCAGAGCGGGACATCGGGCGGCGCGTTAATCCTCCGACTGTTATGGCCGCACGTAACGGCCCGAATAGGCGGAAGGGTACATTCGTCTCTTCGACTTTGACCTTACGGCCGTTACTACTTGAGCAGCGTCGACCCAACGAAAATATGCGGTTCGACAACCCTCCGGCCAAGGGATTCGCAAGATGGCGCACGGGGTGTTTGCAGATCTATGTCAGAGATAATGTAGATAGCACAATTTGGTGCTTAGCTATATGGCTGGGCAATTCTGGAGTTCTTCTAGCCTTCAGCATCCAATCGTCACCGTGTCACCTTTCTAAGTACCCTCTTTGGACTTTTTCTGTAATACTTTTATTTCGTTTCCTTCCCCAACGCCAGTTTTTACCATATAGCACGGCAGATGCAAGCCGCCACTCCCATGTCCGGCTCGAGTACCGAGCGTGTCGACGAAGACTCCATAAGTGCACATAAGACTTCGCCGAACGACAGCGAAACATGGCCTATTACTCGAGAAGTCGAGATTCTCAGGCAACGTAGCGAAGCCGACGGTGGTAAACTCCGAAAACTGGGTGTAACATGGAACAATCTCACAGTCAAGGGTGTCAGCAATGATGCCGTCTTCAATGAGAACGTACTGTCGCAGTTGAACCCATTCGGAAAGTTCGGAAAGAACGCCCCGATGAAGACAATCATTGACAACTCATATGGATGTGTGAAACCTGGAGGTATGTTAAACTTTTTAGAAAACATTAGCAAAACTGGTGCTGACACACTTTCAGAAATGCTCCTTGTTCTGGGCAATCCGGGCGCCGGCTGTACATCACTGCTCAACATCCTATCAAATCACAGGTTAGGCTACGCCGAAGTCGATGGCGACGTCTCCTTCGGATCCATGTCGAGTGATGAAGCCAAGGCCTATCGTGGTCAAATAAGTACGGAGTCTTCCGACAAAGCAGTATTTTACATGCTAACCTAAACATAGTAATGAACACGGAAGACGAGATCTTCTTCCCTACCATGTCTGTGGGTGCTACCCTTGACTTCGCGACACGCATGAAGGTTCCCCACAACCTGCCACCCGATATCACATCCGCTGAAGAGTACGCAAAAGTATACAAGGAGTTTCTGCTAAAGTCCCTCGGTATTGAGCATACACACGATACCAAGGTTGGCGACGAGTACATTCGCGGTGTCTCAGGTGGTGAACGAAAGCGCGTTTCCATTCTGGAATGTCTCGCCACGCGCGGCAGTGTCTTTTGCTGGGATAACTCTACGCGTGGTCTCGATGCCGGCACAGCACTAGACTGGACGAAGGCTATGCGTGCCATGACCGACATACTTGGATTGACTACCATTGCAACCTTGTACCAAGCTGGCAATGGCATATTTGAGCAGTTCGACAAAGTGCTCATTCTCGATGAAGGTAAGCAGATCTACTATGGTCCACGGGAGGAGGCAGTTCCCTTTATGCAAGATCTTGGGTTCTTCTGCGATCCAGCGGCAAACCAAGCCGACTTTCTCACAAGCGTAACGACTCCGGACGTCCGTGCCATCGCAGAAGGCTTTGAGAAGAGGTTTCCGCGCAACGGCGAAGAAGTACGTGCGGCGTATGAGCAGTCATCCATCAAGGTCGCGATGGTGGCGGAACTCGATTACCCCAAAAGCGAAGAAGCGAAGCAGAACACGATTGACTTCAAGGAGATGGAAGCCCGCGACAAGCACAAGTCCCTTCCAAAGAACACTACAGTTACTACGAGCTTCTACTCCCAGGTCAAGACGGCCGTCACTCGGCAGTACCAGATATTGTGGGGTGATAAGCCTGTGCTCATCGTGAAGCAAGTCTCTGCCTTCATCCAAGCTCTCGTCGCTGGATCGTTGTTCTATCAAGCCCCAGATCACTCGGCTGGTCTCTTCCTCAAAGGTGGCGCACTGTTCTTTTGTCTTCTGTACCCCGCCTATGTGGGACTTTCGGAAGTGACAGACTCTTTCTCTGGAAGGCCCGTTTTGGCCAAACATCGATCATTCGCTCTGCACTACCCCGCCGCTTTCGTCATCGCCCAAGTTGCTACCGACATACCGTTCATGTTGTTCCAGATGACGCACTTTGGAATTCTCATGTATTTCATGGTCGGGCTCGAGACTACCGCGTCAGCTTTCTTCACGTTCTGGATCATCATCTTCGCATCAGCTATGGCTATGACTGCGTGCTTCCGAATGATAGGGGCCGCTTTCCCGACATTCGATGCAGCGACCAAAGCTTCAGGCCTTCTCGTTTCAGCACTTTTCATGTACATGGGATACATGATCATCAAGCCTGAGATGAAGCCTTGGTTCGTGTGGATCTTTTGGATCAATCCAATGTCATATGGATTTGAAGCCCTGCTCGGCAACGAGTTCCACAATAAACAAGTACCATGTGTGGGTCCCAATCTCGTTCCCACCGGGCCAGGATACGTGCCTGGCGAAGGCGGTCAATCGTGTATGGGTGTTAACGGCGCACAACCTGGAGCGAGCACTCTCACAGGAGACGAATACCTCGCATCCATGTCTTTCAGCCACAGCCATCTCTGGCGTAACCTTGGCATCATTTTCGCCTGGTGGGCATTCTTCGTCGCAGTCACTATAGTCTTCACTTCAAGGTGGAAGGAGATGGGTGAAGGTGGTCGTGGACTCCTCATTCCCAGGGAGAAAGAGAAGAAGAATAAGCATATCCAAGCCAAGGACGAGGAGTCGCAAGCTGTTGAGAAGCCACAAGCCAGCTCTGAGTCCTCCAACTCTGATGGGACACTCGCCAACCAACTCATCCGCAATACATCAATCTTCACATGGAAGAACCTTACATACACCGTCAAGACTCCTTCGGGTGATCGCGTACTTCTCGACAACGTACAGGGTTTTGTGAAGCCAGGCACTCTTGGAGCCTTGATGGGATCGTCAGGCGTAAGTAATATGCTAAGGTCTTTTGTATGCGTCTCGATGCTAACACTCTGTTCAGGCCGGCAAAACAACACTACTGGACGTTCTCGCCCAACGTAAAACCGATGGCACCATCCGTGGATCTATCATGGTTGATGGACGAGACCTTCCTGTATCATTCCAGCGATCGGCAGGCTATGTTGAACAGATGGACGTACACGAATCGTTATCCACGGTACGCGAAGCTTTGGAATTCTCCGCCCTCCTCCGACAGTCTCGTGAGACACCAAGAGAGGAGAAGCTTCGCTACGTGGACACCATCATCGACCTCCTACAACTCCATGATATCGAGCATACCTTGATCGGTCGACCCGGTGCTGGCCTTTCCATCGAACAACGCAAACGGTTGACAATCGGCGTTGAGCTAGTATCAAAGCCTAGCATTTTGATATTCCTCGACGAGCCGACGTCTGGTCTCGACGGAGAAGCTGCTTTCACCACTGTACGCTTCCTGCGCAAGCTTGCGGAGGTTGGACAGGCAATTCTCGTGACGATCCATCAGCCATCAGCCCAGCTATTCGCGCAATTCGACACCCTCCTCTTACTCGCAAAGGGTGGTAAGACGGTGTACTTTGGCGACATCGGCGATAATGCAAGCACGGTTAAGTCTTACTTCGCCAGCCATGGAGCGCCTTGCCCCCGCGAGGCGAACCCTGCCGAACACATGATTGAGGTTGTCTCTGGCAGTCTGTCCAAAGACACTGACTGGAACAAGGTCTGGCTTGAGTCCCGGCAATACGAGAAGATGACCGAAGAGCTCGACAATATCGTTGCGGAAGCTGCAGCTAAGCCACCAGGTACAGTCGATGATGGCCATCAGTTCGCATCGCCCATGTGGGAGCAAGTCAAGATAGTCACCCATCGTATGAATGTTTCGCTTTTCCGCAATACCGAATACGTCAACAACAAGGTGCTCATGCACATTCTGCTGGCCTTGCTCAACGGCTTCACCTTCTGGATGATAGGCGACAATCTTCAGGACCTGCAGTTGCGGCTGTTCACTGTCTTCAGTTTCATCTTTGTCGCTCCTGGTGTCATCTCCCAGCTACAGCCGCTATTCATTCAGCGTCGCGATGTCTACGAGACACGTGAGAAGAAGAGCAAGACATATCATTGGGCGCCGTTCGTAACAGGTCTGATCGTTTCGGAGTTACCGTATCTGGTAGTATGTGCGGTGTTGTACTTTGTGTGCTGGTGTAAGTGTGACCGTACAAACTGCATGTGAGACATACACTGACTTCAACTAGACTTCACAGCCGGTTTGCCTGGGGCTGCAAAGTACGCCGGCAGCACCTTTTTCGTTGTGGTAAGCAATTTTCCTCTCATACATACCCCTGTAGTGCCGACACTAACGTACTGTAGCTTGTTTACGAGTTCCTCTATACCGGCATTGGGCAGATGATCGCCGCCTACTCTCCCAACGCTGTATTCGCCTCGCTCGTCAATCCTCTCTTCGTCACAACCTTGGTGTCGTTCTGCGGAGTCCTCGTTCCCTACAGCCAACTCGAGCCATTCTGGAGATACTGGCTTTACTACCTTGACCCCTTCAACTACCTCATGTCATCCCTGCTTGTCTTCACCACCTGGTCTGCGGACGTGGATTGCAGGAAGAGCGAACTCGCCATCTTCGACCCTGCAGCCAACCAGACCTGCGGCGAGTACCTATCAGTCTACCAGCAAGGCATGGGCGTCGGTATCAATTTGCTTAACCCCGATGCCACCGCCGATTGCCGCGTGTGCCAGTACAAAACCGGAGCGGACTATCTGCGGACACTGAACTTGGCGGAGGAGTACTATGGGTGGAGAAACGCAGCAATCGTGGTGTTGTTCTCAATCAGCAGCTACTCTTTGGTGTACTTCATGATGAAGTTGAGGACGAAGGCTACAAAGAAGGCGGCCTAAAGAGTTGGCTTGGTGTGCGATGCGCGGGAGCCGATACGACCTCGGGAGGCTGGAAAGCTAGCGAGAGCGCGGCGAAGGAGAAGGTGACCGACGAGATTTCCTAGCATTGCATAGTTGGTGTAATTTAGGCTTAGACTTCTTATGTTTTGTAATACTACCACTGCTTCTTGACAAGTACTTGAAATTGTTGCACAGTTAAAATGTGAGACTGTTCACCAAGACGAAACAGCGCCAAGCACAATGTTAATGACTAATCGTGACTGTCATGCCGCTAGCGACTCAAGCCTCCGCGGATCACGCACGTCGTCAATCTCCACACTCGACAACCCTTCCCGGTTTTCGTCAACGCCCTATTCCACCTCATAGCTTGTAACCTACCTAGTTGCCGAGAGTATGAGACACAACTCATCATATATCCTTGGCGCCTAGTTCCTTGTCCCCAATGAAGGCGCAAAAGAGATGAGAATGATGGACTAAGCCAACTGATAGCGCCGCGGCATGGGATTGGCGTTCTCGAACGTTGGCCCGCTGCATCGACGTCATGGTTCAGGAACGCGCAGATGTCGCGTGCGCGGCGACGATGATGCTAAACTCCATCTCCCTAGTCTTATACTTAAGAACTAGTTGGAGCGTTGCATCATCCTGATCCAGGACCGACATCGTGCCGATTTCCGTTCTTCACCACACAATCACAGCGGATTTTCCTCCAGCATCTTACCGCTACAGCAACTTCCAATCATGGGTGTAGCTGCAGGCGAACTCATTGTACCCTTTACAGGCGCCATTCAAGCTGCCTTCTCCGTCCTTCTGACCATTGCTTTCGGTGTTGTTGCAGCGCAATGCAACCTACTATCGCCCAATGCGGCCAAGGAAGTCTCGAAGCTATGCGTGCGCATGTTTCTGCCGGCTTTGCTAATCTATAAAATTGGATCCAATCTACATCAGGACACAGGAGTAAGATATGTGCCCGTTCTGAGTAAGTTCAATCCCGTTGGATGATGGACGGAATAGGTGCTCACGCGATTTGTCAGTATGGTCGATATCCTACACACTACTCTCCGTCCTCTTCGGTCGCATCCTTACGCGCATCTTCAAACTACCAGCCTGGGTTGCACCAGCCATCGCATTCAACAACACGACTTCACTCCCACTTCTCCTCATTCAGTCGCTCAAGCAAACCCAAATCCTCGATGCTATACTTATTGGCGGCGAGTCTGGCAGCCAGGCCATGGATCGTGCCGAATCATACTTTCTGGTGAATGCCATGGTCAGCAATTCGCTCACGTTTGCACTTGGACCACGGTTGTTAAGGCCAGGAGACGAGGATGCGTCAGACGAACAAGAAGAAAATGAGGCGGATGGTCAGGCGAATGAGGATGGCGAGAGCAGTGATATGGAGCGAGGTCCGGACGGGATTATCGACGAGGAGACTTCGCTGCTCCCACAGCGCCTTACCAAACCCACTAATCGTGTTGGAAAGAGGGGATACCTAAAGACACGAAAGTGGTACAATGATTTGTCGCCATGGCTACAAGAGACGTTGGAAATTACATGGCAGTTTGCCAATGCTCCATTGCTAGGCGCTATTGTCGGCGCAGTCATTGGGCTTACACCGGCTCTCCACAGACTCTTCTTCAGTCCTAGCAATGAAGGTGGATACTTCAACGCGTGGCTGACGACTAGTATTAAGAACATTGGCGAGCTTTTTGCTTCTATGCAGATCATTGTTGTTGGGGTAAAACTCAGCACGAGCATGCTGCGCATGAAGCGCGGTGAGAACAGTGGTGAGGTACGCAAAGGAAGTTTGGCAATTGTCACCTTAGTTAGGTTCATCATCTGGCCTTTGTAGGTTACACAGCAAATACTTGGCAGAATCATCCAGCTAACTGTCAACAGGATAAGCATACCCTTAATCTGGGCAGTCGCGTCGAAGACGAAGCTTTTGGATGCAGACCCCATGCTTTGGTTTTCGATGATGCTAATGCCAACCGGGCCGCCCGCTATGATCTTAGTAGCACTGACAGATGTCACGGGTGCAGCCGAGTCAATGAAGATGACTGTTGCGAAGTTTCTGACTGTACGAATGACGCCGATAATCTGTACCAACTGCTAACTTGCCTCTAGATCAGTTACGCAATCACACCGGTGATCTGCTTCGCCGTTGTTGGAGCTCTAAAAGCTACCGAATCTGCGATCGAACACATGTAAAAGTGCTTTTCGACCAAGCCTACCATGTACTTAGTCTCAAATTGCAAAATGTTAAGCCTGCTTACCATGCAATCTTCTAGTCGTCGCTGTGTTTAATCGGGTTCACCCGAGCTGCGCATGATTCAAAGTCTCGATTTCCTGTATTCATCCGAACTTGTATATCGTAGCGATCGTATGAATATGCGCAGCCTTTCGCGTAGCGGTCACTAGGCTCTGCGGAAACAACCTGGATAGGGCCGTGCACAACCATACGGTAGATACGGTGTGCTAACGCTCGATTCGGGCCGTTGTTATTTGCAACAGTGGGCACGGAAAACGAACAAGCACAGAATACACATGAGCACTGTTCTGTGGAAAAGCTGAAGCTATCATCGAAGGTGGATATGCTCTTTCTAGGGTAACGCTGTTCTCAACCGAGTTGCTTGGTCTAGTTCAATGCATGTGCATGATACTGTTGGACCCCAGCACTGCATCTTGCTCCATTTGTGAATAAGTCGCTCAGTTATCGTTGCGCCTTTTCATCATTTCCAACGCTTCCGCTAGGCTGGTCGTCACGAACGGCTCTACGCTCTGTCCGCTGTGCGTCGCTGTATGCTGGGCCACCGTTCGCTTTCGACGGTGATCCACCACACTACGGTACGAGTGCAGTAATGCCCGCCAGAGATCTTTGAAGCTCAAAACATGGATGATGGCCTTTGTCCAGTGCATCTTCCTTGGCAACAGGGCTGCGTCGTCTTGCAATGAAAGCCCTATGGCTTGGTCGTTCCCGATATGATTGTCGTGGGTGCCACTCTCTTCTGAGTTATCAACTGTTTTGTACGTCTGGAATACGTCGTACGGGTACGCATATAGATGCAGCATCGAGACTAGTGCCATCTCAAAGCACAACACAGCTTTCGGTATACCGACAGCAAGAGAAGGGTACGAGATCTTGTCGGTCGGACTCATTTCGCTTCCTTTCCTAGTGAGATGACTGAATATGAACTGTATGTGTCAGTATTCTTTGTGGCATCAGATTGCGTCGTCGGAGAACTTACGCTCTGTACGTAGAAGAGGAAGACCACGAGCTTGATAGCTAGAAACTTCAACAGCGGCCGGTGGACGGCTAGCTCAAGCTTGGTTTGTTTGTAGAACTGGAGCAGGCAGATCATAGCAGTGACGAGGGAGATGATCTCAATAACTTGGATCTATGTACAGGATGTGTTAGCATATATTTCGAGATGTTGAGTTGTCTACATACCCATATCCTAGCATGGTTTGCGTAGTTGGACGTCTTACAGTAAACGTCGACAGCTTCGGTAATACATTTCGTCAGAGCGTCGGCGAACTTGACGACGCAAAACTGGAGGATGCAGACCCATATGATCTGTTTAACGGCGAGAGAAAGCGTTAGCAAGATGTGTAAGCCAGGTTGTGAGCGAAATGATGACTTACGCTGAAGTATTTGGAGCTATCAGGGGTGTTTGTCGTCTTGCGCCGAAGCACGTATTTTCTGAATAGTCGCACGGGGAATACCCAGGGTTGTGGTTCAACGAGAGAGAAGAGCTGTCACACTGAATGCAGATCGGTATGGAGGTACCGGCAAAGCAGCAAGAAGAACGAAGCGATGGCGAGAGACTCGTAGAACTTGTAAATGGCGCCTAGGTAGACACTAGCCTTGTAGAATGGAATGCTCAAGGTACAGCAGATGGCATAAATTGGCACCATAAGCACGATTCGAATGATCCTACGAGGACGTGTCAGTCTCGCCCGCGTAGAGTAGGATGAAGCGGTTTATAACGCACAATTTCTGCAACTTGGGCTGCGTGTAGTTTGTCACATGGCGATAGACGAGATATAGCGAAAGGGATATTGCGACGATCGAGCTCGCGGTGGCTATGGTGACGAGAAGCTCATGTGCTGTCATGTTTCCGAACAGTGGGCTCTCGTGAACTGTTCTACATCAGAAGGCATTCGATAAGATAGTAGACTTGGTTGGCATACCTCCGACGCTCAAAGGATTGTCGCATTTCGCCATTTCGCCGGATTTGGAGTCAAGGTTGGTGTGTAGTCAGGAGTTTTCAAAGTTGATGACTTGACATAACATGGTGGATTATGGAGACCCTTATTGCTCAACCCATACATCTCCAGTGCTCTGGAACGATGTGAAAAAAACCCCTTAGAGGCTTCTTTACATGCACAGCCACTCCGATCTCACGCATATCTTCTTGGCTGCTGGGTCTGAGGTACCCAGATGAAGTGAGTTTGTTTTCCTGACTGCAACCTGGTATGGCTGCGCTTTTCCGTGACCTTCGGCCGAAAGCTCTTCGAAAGTCCTAATGATATTGTCCTATCAGAAAGTCTTCTCCGTAGTACAGTATGAACCCCAGAACCTTGTCAAAAGTACGGTCAGTGCGCGATACGGGCCGTTCCAAACTTCTTTTTGGTACGCCAAGCCATAAACACCAGACACTGTCTTGGATTTGCACTCTTCTGGTGCCTCAAGTCCCAAATCTTACCATTTGCCAAGTGATGCGATCCAGGGGTAGACGATAATGTCGGCGCAACGTCTTCGGCCGAGCTGTTCTGCCTAACTGTGATCTACACCGAGAAAGCTTGGAAATCGGACCAAAGGTCGGGGTTGCACTGGCTAAGTAGCATCAGATGTGTAGTGGCATATGAGCCGTAAAGCCTCACACCAGCTCAGATGTACTTGAACCGACCCACAACCTGAATCTCATCCAACGACGCTATTGGAGGGATGGATTAGAGATGATAGAATTTCGTACGATGCCAATGTCTTCTAAAAGCTCTTGCATATTACCGCGGTTCATACCTGACCTTGGTAATGTTGAATGATGTTTTCATACGTTTTCCGTTTTCGAGCGCGCCTCTACATGGCAAGAGGTTGTCCGAGAAAGCATTGCAGGTCTTCTCACAACAAACAAGACCAGAGTCGCGTCGTCCCAAGTTTTCCTAAGTAAAGATAAAACCATCTCGTGCATCTGATCTGCTATGTAAAGAGTCCATATATTCCAGTTTGTGGTCTTGTTGACTAACGTCGGTCCGAACATCAGATTGCGGTGCTCAGCCCACAAAAAACAGCAAACTCGGCATAGACCTGCATCTGCAAGTTCGCGTACTCAGAGTGAGAACCAAATGCCGTTTACGAAAAAACCAAGTCTCTAGTCGAGGTCTTTGGACACTGAAATCAATCATTCTACCTCTTATGGCGGATGTCGCACCTTCCTATCGAGGCTAAAGGCCGTTGCGGGGTATCATATGCATAACATAGTTAACTACGATAGCTGCCCGGGGCGAGGTACCTCACGTCTCCCATATCATCTTTCTCTTCCTGAACAACTATCGCTCGGTGTCTTAACGCTTGGTAGCGTATGCGAAACTTCGTCATGAAGTTACCTACTGTCCTGCTCTTCATCGCTTCGTTCACACTCGCGCACCCAAAGTCTCCGCAGCCTCTTTCATGGACAATCACACCGACCAACAGTACACAGCAATTTCGCGGTCTTTCGCCTGTTAATGACAAGGTCGTCTGGGTAGCAGGTACCACTGGTAGAAATAACCCTGTACGAACTGCATGTGAAACAGACACTAACATGTACACGCGCTTCCTAGGCACTGTCCTACGTACCATCAATTCAGGTGTAACATGGATGAATGCGTCCCCAAGATTTGCCGCCTCGGAGAATGTATCAGACTTTCAGTTCCGCGACATTCAAGCCTTTTCCAAGAACACCGCCGTCGCCTTGTCCATTGGAGAAGGGAATCTATCCCGAATTTATATGACGAAAGATGGTGGAAGGAACTGGAAACCAACGTTCATTAATGAGGAAGAAGCAGCATTCTACGATTGTATGGCGTTCGAGACGAAGAAAGGAAGAAAAGGCCATGGTGTTGCGATGAGCGACCCTGTGGGAGGCAAGTTCCGGTTGCTGGAGACGTGGGACGGTGGTGCTCATTGGTCCATCGTTTCGAACAACACGATGCCGCCAGCGCTGGAAGGCGAATTTGGCTTCGCGGCTAGTGGAACATGTATTGAAGCTGCGGCGGGTCGATGGTATATCGCGACTGGAGGTGTTGATCCGGGTCATATCTTTTACACCAGTTCCAGCAGTGTCCGTCAAGGCTGGCAAGTCGCCAACTCAACCATCTCTGGTGGCGCAGCGGCCGGAGTGTTCTCTGTACGTTTCCGCGACACGCGGTATGGCGTCGCGGTCGGCGGCGACTACGAGCAGCCTACAGCTAGCAATAATACGGCAGCTTGGTCGAGTAATGGCGGCGTAAGCTGGCGGAAGGCTGACACGTTTCCACGAGGGTATAGATCGGGTGTCAGTTGGGTCCCTGGAAGGAGACAAGTAGCTATCGCGGTGGGTACAAGTGGTTCAGACTTCACTGTTGACGGAGGGAGGAACTGGGCGGGTATAGGTAATGGGACGTTCGATGCCGTAGAGTGCATTGGGAAGGACGTTTGCTGGGCCAGCGGGTCTGGCGGACGGGTCGCAAAGTTGAACCTACGGGCGCTGTAAGCAAATAGCAAGGCAAAATACCAAAATGCTGAAGCTAGATATGCCGATACACTTGTCAGGCCTAATGCCGGTCTTGTTGTCGCCGACTTGCTTTCATTACTACTTGCTGTGAAAGCGAGGACAAACCCTGAAGGGCTCTTCGTCTAAACAGCGGCATGCTTGATCAACGTCCGATTCGCGGAAACTGGCTTCGGATCAAACCAGACGTATTGCGAACGGGGCGTAGATAGCGCAATTGTGCCACAAAGGCGAATGATTGTGGAAAGTGTGAAGGCTGACGGGCGTAAGTGGGTCAAATCTTAGCACGGCTAGACTGCGGGCCGGTAGATTCAGTCGCTGCAGGCCTGAGGCGTCCGCGCGCCCATACACTGTACAACCTTCCACGACACTCTCATCAACATCGCCGTCTCTGCGCTCCCCGTGTTAAGATGGTAACAATCCATCGAACAAGAGGTCATATAGCGCACCATCTACTGCGCTAATCACCGAGCACATTCGTCTTCCAGCCGCACAATTTAGCAACGAATTCTGCATTCAACCCATGTCGATAAACCCAGGCAGACACCGCATCTCGGAGGCTGCTTCCCCGGGACCACCTTGAGAAGAGCAGACACGCTAGATCGGCATCTGCATCTCATCCTAGCATGGCATGATTGCAGGTGCATTAGACGACTTCGATCAGCATAGGGTTTGCCTTGATCAAGAAAATGCCCCGATTTAGACTCATCGTAACAGCCTGAGATACTACCTAAACATGCCAAGAAGGCGTCAATGTAAAGGACTTTTCATCTTGCGTCCCACAGCATCGTAAGCGAGAGCACTAAAACAGCTTGAATGTCTAGGTGGATGCGGAGAATGCAGATTAGTGACTTACTCACTGTGCTGATTGGCTAAACACTCTACATGCAAGTGGTTTTTAGGGTGTCCCTGCTCAACACAATCAACTATCGATCTATACGGCGGCGACATATCTCCGAAGTGTAATACGGCTGACATCTGGATGCACTCGATCGCTAACAAGTCACGCTTCCCCCAGCAGGCAGTCCCCAGTTTCCCTTTCCTGTCCCCACAACTGAGCCGTAGACCTGGTTCTCCTTTTGAAGGGCTTGCGCACGGTCCTGGAATTCCATGTGCCTCGTCAAACAGTATGCAGCTGGGCAACTATAAGAACCCACGGCGTTTTCCGCACCGCTTGGCGAATCGTGTTCACGGCTCTTTGATCGTCTTCTCGAAATGAAGTTATCACTCGTTCTAACAACAGGTATCTTGGCTGTTGCTAGTGCTGCGCCGAAGGCAAAGTATATGGAGAATGACAAGCTGGCTGATCGGGGTTTGAACAACTTGAAGGCATACGTCGCCGAATACGGCTATCCAAACGCGCATAAGTGCACTTTGGAGACTGCATATGTAAGAAAGGAATGGTATGCGAAGACAGACGTTTTTGGGGAGGGCTTCTTCTAACTGTGTACATTAGGGCGAATCTTTCAAGATCTGAGAAACGTGATTATATCAAAGCGGTGCAGTGTCTTGGGAAGAAGCCAGCCAAAACCCCGGCTGCGATCGCTGCGGGCGCGAAGAGTCGATACGACGACCTTGTCGTGACACATATTCAGCAATCGCTCTTTATTCATGGAACGGCCAACTTTCTGTCATGGCATCGGTACTTCACTTGGACGTTCGAGCAGATGCTTCGCAATGAGTGTGGTTACAAGGGTTACCAGCCCTACTACAACTGGGCTCATTGGTCGCATGACCCAAAGAGCGGACCATTCTTTGATGGCAGCGAATTCAGCATGTCTGGTGATGGCGCGTACATTCCGGGAAGAAACTACTCTTGCTTTCCATATGAAGACCCATGTCTCATGAAGCTGCAACCTGGCTCGGGAGGTGGTTGTGTCACTTCAGGTCCGTTTAAAGAGTATGTATCTTTCGATGAATGAGCAACACGGAAACGCGACGCTCTCTTATTGCATATACTGACCGATTTGTAGTTGGAAGATCAACATGGGCCCCCTGCAAACGATGCTGAAGGTCCCTGGTGGTATACCACCAAATCCACAAGCCGATGGTTTGGGCTACAATCCACGCTGTCTTTCTCGCGACATTAGTCTACAGGCAGCGAATTCAACAAGTGACTTCGAAGTCTCTTCTCTCATCAAGATAAAAGACCTAGCGCGCTTCCAAACGGTTTATCAGGGAGAGTTTGAGAAAAACTTCATGGGCGTACACACGGGTGGCCATTATACTATCGGAGGAGATGCCGGCTCAGACTTTTACAACTCGCCTGCAGACCCAGCATTCTTTCCTCATCACGGCATGATTGATAGGGTATGGTGGTAAGTTAGCACCCCGTGAACACTAGCTTTAGCACCTATGCTGACCTGGTAAATCACCATATAGGACGTGGCAGAATCAGGATATCAAAAACAGACAATATGCCATCAGTGGGGGCACTATCATTGGGAATCAAGGACCTAACGGCACGCTTAACGACACGATCTCATTTGGAGAGTATGTTGGAGCGCCGAACATCACTATCCGGGATGCATTGAGTACTCTTGGTGGCCCATTCTGTTATATATATGCGTAGGGTCATGTTTTACAGTACTGCGGAACTGTCTCGCAGTCAGTCTACAATGCTTGGTTGCATGCAAACATTTCGACAGAAAGCGTAAGGATGCAAGACTGTGTCTTATGATGTTTGACCATATATGGGCTGCTACTTGCACATCAAACTTGTCTAGTGTCTTATTTCGATACCTTCTAGTCTTGCCAGAGCTGAGACCTGTATGAAGAAGCAGGTATAAATGATCGGCATCTGCTATGAAGGGCTCATCTTCATCAAGCAAACTATTTCTCGGATTTCTGCGCCTACTACACTCCGATCACCGCCAGTTAGCCATGCTTAGAAGTATCTCAGCCCTTTTCACTCGACTGAGAAACCCAGATATGCAAATCTTTCTCGCCACCTTCTTCGTGTGTGCTATCTCGCAAGTTGCGTTGCTAAAGATCGATCCGTTCGTGCGGCTCTACTGCATGAACATCTTGGTCGCCTTTTGTCTTGCCCATGCAGCGCACGTGGAGCGCCGTCTTGGTCAACTCCAAACTCGTGTCGAAATAGCCTCCGATGACGATGGCTCATCCGGTTCTTCGGATATAAATGACGACCAGACCACCGGTTGAACACCACCGATGATCAAGATCGACGCGTCCACCAAGACCACTCATGTCGAATGCGAGGCTACGCCGTCGTAGGACGAGATCTTGGCAGCACGCGCTTTTATCACGATCAAAGAGCAGGCAATGATCCTGGCGTAGGCCGAAGGAACACTGCCTGATAATGAGCCTTTAGAAAGCGATACACTGTCGGAGGATATTAAGCACAGAATGATCACGGCTTGGTTGGCAGCTAGGAGAGATTCGCTCGAAGAACAACTTAAGCTTGTCCGCGAGCTCTGTGAACGTGCACGCCATCAACGCGACCCTGGCAATTCTAGATGGAAACCAAGCCTTTGACTTGTCCACATCGTGAGTCACGACTTGTGTACGCTACCCGGCAGACTTTCATATCGTAGCAGCTGGTGATGATGATGGTGAAATGCAAGTTGGGACCATTTCGGCCCGTATAGATTACATGTATTACTGCGTAGTGATTCTGAATATCCCCTGATGTAACGACTTCCTTACTTTCTCCCCTTGATACTACCTTTCCACTTTCCTCTTCCTAGCTTATCAACTTCCGTTTTCACTGCATCCACCCCATTGAACACCACACTCCTCGTATCACCTCTTGGCAAGATAATCTCCAGCTCCTGCCAGTGAGGCCAGAAACCGTCTTGCAACTTCTCCTCATACTGAACCAGTACTTGAGTCTCAGTCGTCTCGTACTTGATCGTGAAGACTGAGATCTTGGCTGGTGGCGGCGAAACACCATCGTCTTCATACCAAGTAGATGTATACACCTTGCCCTGTGAAGAAGCCTTCGGAGGGAAAACTTCCACACCTCTGTAGTCATCTAGTGGTAGATTTGCCGGATTACCTGTCTCGCCTACGGAGAGGACTTGTTCGGCACGTCCGACTGGGATTGCACTTCCTACTTTCGCCAGGACGGGGATGCTAGATTGCCAATGCGCTGGGATATCGACCCATTGCCCAGCGTTATAGTACGTCTGCGGCTCGTTGTTTAGATCCAGGAATGCGGCATCGGAATTCGCTGAATCCTTGGGGAGATACATGTTAGAAGTCTCGGCACCGGGAGTGAAGACACCGCCGACCAGCAGTGCATCACCAAGCCAGTATTGTGTCTCGCCGTCTGTGAGCACTTTGTTCGCCCAGATCTCCAGGTCACTCTCGTTTCCCCAACCAGTCCATCGCTGCGGCGGTGTGGCAGTCGTGTGAGAAATCAAAGCCAGCGAGTACAGGTAAGGAATGAGTTCGTAACGACGTTTGATGGTATCGCGTATCAGCCCCGTAACCTCAGGATACATCCAAGGTTCAATAACGTCGCCGACGCTATTGTCCTTGCCCGTTTTGAAGCAATTGATGGCAAAGCGCGGACTGTAGATGCCCTGTTGGCACCAGCGGACGAGGAGTTCGGGACTGGGTTGTGGACCTTCGAAACCGCCTATGTCGTGGCCGTAGCACTGCATTAGGCAGACTCCTGCAGTGAGAGAAAGGGCATTAGCGCCTTTCATGCCCGGCCATGATGTTATGTTATCCCCGCTCCAGGCACTAGCACAGTAGCGGAGGGTTCCTGCTGTTGCGCTACGGGTCAGGATGAAAGGCCGTTGTGCGGGTTCTATGTCTAGGGAGGCGTCATGCGAAGATTTCCCCATTAGCTCGGTGTTGAGTGCGCGGCCCCAAAATCCAATGCTGTTGCCGTAGTCGCTGCTCTTAGGCTCTTGGATGACGGTCTGTTCATCCAGGGCGCACTGCCAGCCATCATGCGGGATGGTATATTCGTTGTTGTCGTTCCAGATACAGTCGATACCAACACGCTTCAGCTCGCGAATTCCTTCGTACCACCATTGATATCCAGCCTTGGATGTGAAGTCAATATGACCGCCGACCCCGCTCTCACCTCCACCCGCGCTCCACAGTCTCGCTTCAGCAGATGCCAAAGTCAAGGAATCCGTGAAGAACGCACCAGCTTCTTTAAGCCTTTGATACTCTGGATGACTGCCCAACACATACGGTTTCACATTAGCAATAAGCCTGATACCCTCTTTGTGATAAGCATCGATCCATCCTTTTGGATCAGGAAAACGGTGCCTATTCCACGTAAAGACATTGCGCGTCTTTGGTTCCGTCTCTGCAACCGTATAACCAGATGACATTTGCATGCCAGAGCAAGGGATGTCGTGTTCCTTTAGCTTCGCAGCAAACTCTATCATACTCTGGCTTGCGGGAGGATCGTCCGTCATGGAGTACTTCATACCGCCGGCCAGATAACCGAACGCCCATCGTGGTACTAATAGTGGGTAGCCAACAAGATCAGCGTAAATGCGTACGATATCTGGTAGCGTCTTTCCGACTAGAAGATACTCTTCAAGGCCGCCGTAATCCTGACGGTAGACTTTGAAACGTCCCCACATGCCATCCATCTCTGAGCCTACAGAATAGAACCCGCGAGCATGCGATGTTGAGAAGATACCAACACAGCCATCCGGGGTAGCATTGATAAGGAGCTAGATGTAGGTATACGAAGTCAGTGTACGTCTCACATGCAGTTCGTACAGGGACACTTACCGGGATGTGCTTGTACATGGGATCCGTACGATACACATCGTAGCCGAAAGAATCGGTGGCAGAAAGAACAAAGTGACGGTTTGATAGATCCATTGGTGCTGGCTTCTCTCCGAGTCCAAGATGAAGCGTTCCATTATTGTAACGCGTGTAATGTGACACTCCAGGTCCATCGGCGGCGTATGAACGGTTGGGAAGATCAGCGTGAATAGGTGTTTTTTGGCCAGGAAGTGTGAGTGAAACAATGGGTACGCCACTTTCCCAGTCTATATTGGCATTGATGCCATCGACGGCTAATGACTTGGAGGTGGCGTTTGATGAGACCAAAGTCGTTTTTGTGTCGTCTAGGGTCTTGTCCGGCACTGGAGTAGCTCGATGCGGCGGCAGCAGATGCTTTGGAGAGGTAAAAGATGTTCGGAAAAGTCCAGGTCTTAATGCGTCAAACGTAAATATGAAGTCTCCTGAGTTGGACTGCAAATGAACACTAGTCTTTGATGTAGCTGTTGCAGTAGCAGCTTGATAGCCGCTAGGAACGTGCTCAAGCATCGGCATGATGGAGGTAGGATGAACAGTTGTCAATACCTTTCTTCTTGCTAAGTACCATGACCATCATCAATCATACTTATAGCAAGATATGTCGTGATACTTCGCCGAAAGTACCATCGGCAAGATGCCGAACGGTCGCCTAACCGCGTCACGAGGTTGGAGTAATGCTTAGCTCGGTATCTTCGGCCGCGCGAGAGTGCTGCACCTGCCTCAATAGAGTCAAGATCAGCGTCTGGGGTCCCCGTGGGGATGCGTATAAGTGCAGTCGGGTCGTATCTACCAAGTATCCTCTTCTTTGGAGCCAGCACAGGCAACATCATCGGTCACCAGCTCTTCAAGTCTTCAGAGAAGCCGCACTACTACCGGGGTTTGCGCGCAAACCTCGCTCTCTTCATTGCAATCATCGTTCTGATCTTACTTGCAATGGTCTGGATCAAGTTGCTGAACCGGAAGCATGCAGCAACCAGAGAGAGCATGGGAAAATCGGCGATTGTCGTCGATACAAGTATGGGATCTGCGCGTGAAGGAGACGCAGAGGAAGCTGAGAACGCGCGAGCTAGTGGCGTGGGCGATAAGGCGTTTGACGATGTGACCGACATCAAAAACGAAGACTTTATCAATGTGTATTGATCATTGAATTGGTATACAACAGAACTTATTTTTGCCGCATCGTATCTCAGCTACAATATATCCTGATAGTACACACAAGCTTGTGTTCCATTAGCATTCGCACATTTCGCATACTCCATACCTTTCGGGCATCCTTGCTTTTTAGGTTCGACTACCTGAGGATGAGTGCTGTGTATGCGTCGGCTTCTTATATGTATTCTCGTTCTAGAACAAGCGATCAATGTTGACGAAGAGGTCTTGCCATCCGAATGGCATATGTTTGAGATTCAATCCAGGGAAATCCCATTCAAAGACAAACTCACTTGGCACATAGCCCTGGAATTCGTCTTCTGCTGCGCCGCTTCTCGCTCCAGTAATCGAAGAGTCTTGGTCGGGGATTTGTTCCGCTGCATACTCTCGAAGGGCGGCCTCGCACTTCTTGATGCTGGTTTGCAGAATTTGGAAGTATGCGATGTGACCCACAGTCACGGTTTTTAGCTCTTCCAGCACGCGGTGCGCATCGCGGAGTAGCGCCATGACAGAGGGTACGGGATCGCGGAGGAGTATAGCTAGCTTGAGGACAAGCAGAACCGAGACGGCGCATTTGGCCCAAACGTAATCGAGTGTCCAACGGAACGTACTGAGGTACGTTGAGCCAGAGGTCGTGGTGTGAGATGCCGGCGATGAATTTGGCGTCAACGATGATTGAAGCATGTAATGTAGATGGCAGCTTGCCGCCTCTTTGGCTTTACGTATGAAGTCGCGTTGGAATTCGGTCATGATTGCGATGTTTTCGATCCCTGAAGAAGCTACAGCTTTGAGGTAAAGAGTCATCATCGCGAACGCTCGTTGGATCTGTAAGTTTTGCAGTGCTAGTGCACGTTGATGTGGCGCTGGCTCCGTCATTGCGATGTTAGTCCACTCAACGAGCCACAGTGACAGCTCAACACTAGCGTCATCCACTGTAGTTCGCAGTTGATCTTCGCTATGTTGGGTCGTGAACTCACCGTTCCGACCCATGATCTTAGTGTAAGCTTCGGTGCGGATGATGTTGAGCTCGACTTGTGAAAGTAACCGGATATCTATCGCTGTGCGTTCCGGATGCACCAGAAGACTCCTAATCTTTCGGGATGACATGTGAGGAGTCAGGCCCGGAAGTTTACCTCCATCTAGCGAGAAACTTGAAAAGTTTTAGCGAATGCCGCTAAAAGGGCTTGAATTATACCCACAAGAGCTCAAGGTTGCAAATACCGTACCAAACTCTGGACAAGCGGTAAAGGTTTTGCTCATTGGTAGTAACAACCCTGGATCGTGCATGACTTTTCGCGATGAGTTGATCGACAACAAGAGGTAGCCCAAGTTGAATGGCGAAGCGAAGAGCTGTTGCGATTAAGACAAAGTCGTTTTCCGAGTACGCAGCCACCAATGCGATTGCCTGTATATCCTCAACTGCAGGAACGCTCGTATTGATGAGCATATTGGTGATGTGATCGCGAACTCGAGCCTGCAGCCGACGATAGATGGTTGTATCGAATCCCTCATCGGCGCGACAGCCAATGCTGACAATGGCATCGAAAAGAATTGGGCTCCGTGAAGACACCGATATGATTGTGTCGTATCTCTCGCAGAATATAGGTACTAAGTATTGCTAAGTCTGTCAATGTGGTTCAAACAATATGCCAAGGCCTTCATACACTACCAGTGAAGAAGCTACTCGTAGTTAGTGACATGAGATATTAGAACTGAATCCGTTCTGGCTACCTTTGATACCAATGCGCAGCTTGCTCCCATGTGATCAGACCTGCACCAACGGCACTAGCAGCTGCATTGGACTTGGGCAGGGAGCGAAGCGTGAATTCGGGAACTGTCGCATTCGCGGGCTCCATGAGTGACTGCAGTCACAGTCGTAATCAGCGAAGTGTCTCATGACAGTCTATAAGGTGGGTTTGGAGTCCGTTGCTGTGGTTCTAGCTTGCTTAGGTACTCCTGGTTCACCCGTAAATGCCTACGTACGCTCCTGTCCCGACGCTCCTGAATACGCATGTGCTCGCGAATTTGCATTACTTCTTCCTCCAATTTTTCGATACGCAACACATTCTCATCCTTGACTGCGTCGTAATACTGGCAAGTCGCACTATTCCTTTCACATCGTTGGCAGGGACGATTCCCATCGCAGCGTACCTTGGAGGTTCGGCAATTGACGCATGCATTGATAGCACGGCGCTTGCGTGGTCGTGGAGAGACTGGCGGATCCATCGGTAAATTCGCGCGAGATGTGCAACAGTGGGCTTGACCCGGTTTTTGACATTGGGAATGGGCCGAATCGATGCGGGGAAGCTGCACACACGAGTCGTGGTCTCTATGGCGGAAGCCACTAACGGCAATGGAGGAAGCGGCGAACGTCTTCTGCAGCAAACACGAAAGTCTTTCCTAGAGAAAGAAACAGATCAGTAGTAACTGCAACTTGCGCGAATCTCGACATGGATGGTACGGGTATGGTTTGTTCACACAGACTATTGCTTCATGCGAATGGGACGCTACAATCGAAAATCTTGCTCGGAACAATGGGCAGTCGTTGAACATGCACGGCCTGGCCCTTCCATCCGCCCTTAGTTCGGCGCGATGTATTCATTGATCGTGGGTGTTTTCTTGAGATCAAGGTCAATACCGAACTGCCCTGTAGCTTGCCCATAGCTAGCCTTGACAGCCTCTGTTGCGTATATTCGCATCTCTTTCTCGTATGCCTCCGTCACACCCACCCATTTATCACCATCGCCTCTCTCCCAAGCTTCGGCAATCAGGCGACCAAGCAGAGCTGAATCACGCACAGCCGTGTTCGCGCCGTTACCACCTGCGGGCGTCATGGCATGCACAGCGTCACCGACCAGAGTAACTCGGGGGTCGTTGGGCCATTCAGGTACACCTTCCGGCGACGAACAGGTAATCTTCCAGAAGGCCGCTTCAGACTCTACCATGTTATCGAAGAGTGGTTTGACGCGCTCGTGCCAATGCGACGTGAGCGCCTTGGCAATCTGTGCAACAGGCTGTCCAGTAATGGTGTAATTGTCGTTGGGTGCCTTGATGACGCCGGGCGAGCCAATCATGGTCCAGCCAAAGTTTATATCGGGCTTGTCCATATCACCTGCGCGTACGTTGGTGATGATGAATACTTTGCCGCCGTTTGGCTGCGACGTATCATCGACGAATCGGAAGACGCCTTCACCCAATGCCCTGAAAGCAGACGTTGGGGCTTGTCCATGTATTCCCCTCGATCCAAGGTCGTAGACTTTGATAGCGCCGTCGGACAGCTGTGCGCCTACTGCGCTCTTCACGCCCTCGCCTCCGACCAGCATGGACCCTTCTTCCGACTTGCTGCCATCGGCGAAAATCAACCGCACACCATTGTCCGTCCTCTCATAAGCTGTGGCATGGCGATTCCAGCGCACATTGTCCTCTAGGCCCTCCATGAACAACTTTCGCATGTCACCGCGCGAGATGCCGACCACCTTGTTGTCTTTACTTGTCAAAGGCTCGCTCTTCACGCTTGGAGCATCCCCGCCCAGTGTCTCGCCCGTCAATGGGTTGATAGCAGCAAAGCCCGCCCCACCTGTTTTACCGCAAGCGTCGTAGAACTTCTGGAAGCCTGTTGGGCCAAGGACCTCTTCAATAGCATCGAGACCTTGGGCTGAGAGCCTTAGACGGTAGCCCTGGGCTCTGAAGATAATTGACGCGTCGCGCTCGAAGACAAGGAACGGGATTTTGGAACGGTGCAACGAGCGGGCGAGGAGGAGCGAGGCGAGACCGGCGCCAGAGATGAGAATTGGTTTGGGGGCGCTCATGGTGGTTGATGGACTGAATCGGAGCGTAGAGGATGCTCAGCATGAGACGACATGGCTCGTATTATAGCAGGTGCGCTTGGTGTTGAGGAAGGCGCGATGTATTGCGTCAAGTGTATCATTGGGCAAGTGGGGGCCGCGTCGGAACTCCGGGACCTTCAAAGCAGCGTGATTTCTAAGCCGTCGCGTTGTCGGTAAGCATGCTTTGGTCTCTTTCCGCGCGACAACATGTCGAGTTTCTAAGCCTAGCAAGCAGCTGCGTTGTTGATGATCACGCAGCAGTGTTGATCAGAATCTGTGACAAAGATGTGCAGTGGAAGCTGCGTGAAGACGTGCCGAGAATGGTTTCCAAGATTGCTGCACGCGAAGCTTGCCAGTAACACAAACATCCCGCCCGCAAACGCTCCATCATCAACCCACTGACACAAGTGCCTCGTTTGGAAACTATTGCATCCTGCACACCGAGCCACATGACCGTTCGTGTCATCTGACTTTCGGTTGTCGCTACAGTATGGCTACTCCTTACTACAACACGCGTCCAGGCTCTCGAATAGAGCTGAACAATCATGTCTGGCTCTTAGTTGTAGACCATGTAAACCGCATCCAAACCTGTTATGTTATTACTGAGTCTGTGATATAGATCGTATCTATATCAGATCTCAAGGCTCTCTGCCCCACCTCGAAAGTCCCACGCAACGTCGCAACGCCCCGACTATATCATACTATCCGCATACCTTTGTGGGATGAAGAAAGGGCCAGAACATTCTTTGAAATTGTTCGATGCGGTGCTGGCTTACATCTGGGCAACACAAGGGCTTTAATCTCTGAGGACAAATACCCTCTACAGGAGCCGGACTGCAGCTTCGTGATATCACTGGCTCTTCCAAAGTTCAACTCGTCAATAAGATTAGCACGTTTGAATCTTGTGATACGATCCTTAGGGCGATGGGGGTATCGGACGTGTCGATAATGGAGATGGAAGCTATGAAGATGACTTAAAGGTGGCGTCTCAAGTACTACCGACCTTGTAATGTGCGACATTGGTGATTTACATGTTAATCGAGGTTGCACCCGTTGCACTTTGTCCGAACTGCAAAGCTAGGAACATCCGACGTGCTGCCGACACTCCGCATCCGCAAGCTAGCGGACGTTCCCGTCGATGCTTGACAACACCAAGCATTTCGCATCATGAGTTTGCTTTTCTCATTGGCTGCGTCCCTGGTTCCGCCCTCTTCTGGAAGCGGAATGACGCTGGTATACCGCACCAGGAGTGGTCCTGCGAGCTTCAACGCTCGGAGTGATAAATTTGCATGTGGGCAATTGAGATACACGACAAGCTTTACATGTCGTTATAAAAAGGACTATCTGTGAGCAGTCAGGAACTGTATCTTCATCTCTGTCCCTTAGATCATACCTTACATTCGCACTACCGCCACTCTATCACCTCAAACATGTCCAAACTCGTCGTCGTCGTAGGCATCACCGGCAACCAGGGTGGCAGCGTAGCAGATGCCTTCCTGTCAGATTCCAGCTGGCGAATCCGCGCCATCACCCGTGATCCATCCAAGCCCTCAGCCAAAGAGTGGGCGTCAAGAGGTGTCGAGCTCGTTCAAGGTGACATGGACGATGTGGCCTCTCTCACCAAAGCCTTCACAGGCGCAACGGCCATCTTCGCAATGACCGACTACTGGTTCCCTCTTTCCGACCCCAAAGTCCGCGCTGAAGCCGAGCAAAAAGGCATGCCTCCCAACCAGCTCTGCGCTGAACTCGAAACTCAACGTGCCAAGAACCTCGCTCGCGCCGCCGCAGCGCCAGAGGTGCAGAAAACCCTTGAACGCTACGTCTACAGCAGTCTGCCTCACTGCTCCCTGCTTTCGGGTGGGAAATACACCAAGATCTGGCACTTTGACAGTAAAGCCGTAGCCGAGAAGTGGATCCGTGAGGACCCTGAGATGCAAAAGGCTGGTCTGAGTGCGAAGGCTAGCTTTGTTCACGTGGGGCTGTACACAGATAACTGGACGCGCTCGACTCTTGAGATTTGCAAAGCCAAAGAAGGGGATGGCTACTACCATCTCGACATCACTGATGGCCGTGCCAAGCAGCCTTTTGTCTGGACACGCCGCGACACAGGCCCGTTGGTCAAGAAACTCGTCGAAGACCTCCAACCGGGTACTCGTCTCGTGGCTATGAGCGAGTCGGCTACGTACCGCGAGTTCATGGCGAAGTGGGCAAAGGTTGGCGGCAAGACGTTGGCGGGCGATGGAGGTATTAAGCAGTTATCTGAAGAAGAGTACCGTGATGCACTGCCAGGAGATGAACATATCAAGGAGCATCTCACACAGTGCTGGCAATGGGCTAGGGACTTTGGATATAACGGTGGGGATAAGGATTCCGTTTTCCCGGAAGATGTGGGTATGGCGGAGACAATGACGAGTTTGGAGGATTACTTCAAGCAGGAGGATTGGTCGACGTTTGAGGGCTAAAGGATAGAGTTTGGGATGAGGTAGCGTGTTACATGACAACTGTATTACAGCAGAACTTGGTAGTGCAGATGGTAATCAGGTGCTTTCTTTCAAGCTCGTTTCACCCATCTTAACCCTACACTCTCTGGATCGACCATTTCATGCAACATATGCCCTTCGTGGTCGACTTTCAGACTGCACTCCCATGCCCTCCTCATCGCACCTTCCTTTGTTTCCCCTGGTTCAGGCACGACTTCTACTTTCCAATCCCGCAACAGCGCGGCTAGAACAGCTACAAGCTCGACTTGCGAGAAGCGTTTCCCTGGGCACACGCGCTGGCCCCATGCCCACGCCAGGTAGTGCTCGGAAGTATCTGGTGCCAGAACTTCACTTTCGAACACACCGAGCTCTATTCCTTGGGACCTTGAAGCGCTGATGTGCTGGCTCGGGTTCCAAGCCAGAGGATCAGGGCCCCAGTACTTGGGGTTTGCGTGGAGAGCTGGAATAGAACAGTGGACTGATGTTCCAGGAGGAACTATGTACGTTTCGCCGTTGTATTTTAGGGGCTGGGGGGCTGGACCTGTTGTTTTGACGAGTTGGGAAAGGGGGTGGCAGATTCGTAGGGTTTCCATCTATGGATGTTAAGCATATTCTCAGTAATAGGGAGTATGGGCATGGCACTTACGATCACGGCACCACAGCGTTTTAGCTTTTTGAAGTTCTCAAAGCTCCATGTGCTGGTATCACTAGACGTAAGGTAGTACTGTAGTTCTTCTGCGATCCATTCTTGCGACTGCGGGTTCGCAGCGAGATGGTAGAGTATGCTGGTTAGCGCAATGGCTGTAGTGTCGTTTCCGGCGAATGCGTATACAAAGAGGTTACTTATGATTTCCTCCTCAGTCATATTCACATTCTTGGTAATTGTATTCTCCTCCGCGAGTTTGTCGAGAGCTGCATCGTTGGTCTTTTCGTCTGCTTCTATTGCACGCACTAATCGCGCGACGAGATGCTGGCGATCAGTCCTTCCTTGCTTTATGTATGTCCGTTCCTCGTTCATCAAATGCAGGATGTATGAGCGAAAAGTGACCATTGCCTCTGCGGCACCTTTCCAGGATTTGGGTGTCCACCAAGCTTTCAATCCTTCTTCACCTAAGATGAAGATCTGAATGATGGAGCCTAAAATGGTTGATAGAGAAGCTCGATACATGTATGACGTGTCACCCTCATGCTTGCTCTCATTCTCCTCAGATTTCCCTTCGAACGGATAGACCTTGTCGAACATTGCTGCTGCAAGGACATTGAGCGTGAAGACTTTGGTGTCTTCGTGAGTTGAACGAATCGGCTGCTTGCATCGCTTGGTCCAGAATTCGAGCATACCTATAGATCCGTGAGCAAAGCGGCACATCGAATCCGTGAAAGGCTCCATAGCATACCTTCGGTCTGACTCAAAGACTGCTTCCAAACCAGCTCATTATTCTTTTCCGTGAATGTAACGCCAGTCATTTTCCGATGCCGCTGCCACTCCTCATCATCTGTTGTGGATAGGTTCTTTCCGTACACATTCAGAACGGCCATCTCTTCCATGTTACGTCGGAAATCCCTGCGGCGCTGCAGAATATCATACGTAACCGCTGAATCCGCTACGCAAAGCTGGAGACCACCGGGATGAACCACGATAAACACGTCGCTACCGACATGTTTATGGACCTCGGCGCGTGTGTTGGCTTCCCAGCCGTATGAGTAGATGCGGGACATGTTCTCAGTCGCAATACCAAGGCGTTCGCATAATCGCACGAATCTGCTGCCGCAGAGGAGCCAAAATGGATTCATTGGGGAAATCCATCGTTCGATATAAGGAAGGCCGGTCGCTTTGGCTTTTGCGCGGTTTTGTGCGAGAGATTGCGCAGACCAGATTGTCAAAGCGACTGGCAATGCAAGGAGTGTGAACAGTATTGTCAAGAGTACCATTATGGATGACGACCTTTTCGCGCCCAGCAGAGCGGCTGGTGTATTAGTTTTCTAACCATGGCGTGCGCTGCGCGTTAAGTATCGTCAAGTGAATCCTTCGGGCGTATCCCAACGCGCGGGTTACCTAAATGCCTGGATGATTTTCGAGGTTGAAGTGGGGGCTGCGTCTCGGGCTCATGCCCCTTGCGCACAGCGTGTCGCTTCTTTCCACAGCCAGGTCGCGATGTTTGGAAACATCCATCATAGCAAACGACGGTATCGCACATACACGTAAACTCACAACTCGTTCTCTCACGTCAGTGTGGCCTAATTACAGGTTCGCAACCGTCACAGAATTCATGCGACTAGTTAGTACCATTGCCGTTCCGCAAGCGTTTTGGCCCCCAAAAGCCTCTGCAAATGGCGAGACTCGGCAAACTTTGGTAAAATCTTGCTGGATACCTTACGACGAAACCGATCAGCAGCCACAACGATGTCATTCTTTGTCTGTGAAAATATGCCAATACCATTACACTTGCATTCTCGTCACTCAGACAGATAACCCAGTATGATGGGATATGCAAGCTCTAGGGAGTCTTCAGCGCGCAGACTCTACACCACCATCTGTCAGATCGTACAGCTCCCCTAGTTTTACCAGCTCCGTGTCGCTCTCTTTCCATAGTGTATCGTAGAAGATCAGAGGCCATTACCGAAGCTTCCAAGCGCTGAAGGAAGTCTCAGGGATATACTGTAACCCACTAACCCAAATTTCCTCGGGTTGACTGAATTCGCCAGAATTGTACTCGCCATACCGGATCGGCAACTTGTTTACAATAGTAGATTCTAACAGCTCACTCAAGCATAAGATGCTCATGGCGTACGAGAAGAGCTAGTGAATACTTTAACCATTGCACAAAGTCTGATCAACGATCACAGGGCGGTGTGGAACTTCTGCAAAGACCTGTCACTGCTGGAGCTGAAGAATGGGGTCGACACCAAATTGTTTCGGCGTACCGAGAAGCCAGGAGCGGTTGCGACATGTGATTTCACACGTAACAAATATTCAAGCATTTTGAAACTAGTACTCAGTGTGAGTCTCGTTATGTTACACCCAGGAGCCTCTCGCTAAAGTGCACCAAGTACATACTCGTCGCATACCATGTCGCGATAGCACAAGATCATGCTTGAGCATGGAGTTGCCTCGTTCACCATCAAATTGCCATCGCAACCAGAGCCCATCCCAACTAGGGATACCCGTTACCGGCTTGAGACCCGTCAAGAGACTGAGCACGAGAACTCAGAGTAAGCCTCCACCATATAGTTCATGATGTAGTCGACCTCCGGCTTCATCAGCAGCATGTAGTCTTCTTCCGCCATGATTGGCTTAGGCTCTTGAGCGACGAAAACAGCCCAACTGGAGTCAACGTCATAATTCCATTTCCACCAAGTGGACTCCAAGTTAGGAGCGTTCGGTGCATCGTATCTCTGGAAATGGTCTTCTTTGAGCAGCTCGCCGATTAGTTGAATACATTCATGAGGGTCCGGGAAGAGAAGCTTGACTTGTTTAACGTTCCGCAAGCGTCTGAACAAGCCTATGAGGGCTTTCCGGTTGGCAGAGCCATCAAGCGAGATCACAAGGTCCAGCTCGTCGAGGTGCATGCATTGCTTGTTCAACACGTACTCCTGCCATTCCGTGATATCTTCGTGGTTGCAACAGAATCTCAGTTTCTTCACGTCGCGTAGAAACTCATCGGGCTGCTGATTGGCAACCAATGTAGAGTCTTTAGAAAGTACGAGGAGAGTCTTCTGAATGGCAATGCGACTGAACTCGGTGTAGAACTGGCGGCATACCAACCGTATGGAAAGATTGGTACTAGGCTTGTATCCCTCATCGATCGTGAAGCGACGCGTCTTCCTCGCCGTGAGCGTCCGTATGAGTCCCGCGTCGGGCTGTTCCAGTGCGTATCCGACGATCTCCAAGCGAAGCTCGATGGGTAAAGATAACAAAGTCGTCTCCCCGATGACTTGCGACATGATATGATACGCTGTGAGCTTGCAGATAATGAGTATAGATATTGCGTATAACTTGTTTTCACGGGATGATTGGACGACTTCTGGCTTTGAAGCAACGATCCAGCTGACACGAAAGAGAAGCGCCTGATCTTAGTGCGAGTCTGTGCGCTGCCATCTGATAAGATTTCTTCACCCCCGCCAATCTCCGAGATTGCATCGTCCATCTCGTACCTCATCGCGTCCACCCATGCGCGCTTCTTCGATCTCTGTTATCCTGTACACTCTTGCAGATGTAGCACAGTCCCTGTATTCGGGCAAATTCTGCCCTTTGGCTTGCGAGACCACCATCAACTATGTAGCCTTCAACGACACCAACCCTTCGCTTTCGAGAAAGATCCGAGCATGTCGAAGTGATCTGCGCGTTACATCACTGTACCTGTGTTTTGAGGAGTTCTGCAAACAGGATGGTGCATCAGAAGGATGGATTGAGAGCCAGAAACCCTGGTGTGAAGCATACGCAAATGTGACGTTACCATCTTTTCACAATATTGTGGATCGATGGACGCCAGAAGAAACGGCCGCAGTAAGGCGATTGAAGGCAGAAGAGGCACTGGGGTTTCCGAGCATTGATGAGGTGGTGATACCCAGTAATATGCTCGTGAAGCGGGCTTTCACGACTATGGTACAGCATTCACCTGTCACGCCCTAAGAGGTAATGCAATGCTAATTACAGCGTACAGGAGGCTGCGGATTGGGAATATAAGATCCATCTTGTATATGGGTAAGTCGAATCTAGATAAAATCGAACCTACAATCGCTGAGATCAGACTCACAGTTGGTACATATACTACTTCTGGATCGCCGTAGTGATCGTTGGCGTCACAACGCGTCTCTTATCACTTATGCATGCTCAACAACACCGTAACAAGTCGTACGAAACGATCCCAGATATCGAACCTGGCACACCTTCTACATCACGCAGTCCTGCGACTTTTCTCCAAACATGGCTAAAGCGATACATTACTACACCTGCCACATTCGGTGACCGCTGTTCTCGACCATATGGCTGGTGCACGATACCACCACGGGTTCAATCACTTACCATCTTTCTCTTCGTCGCACTCAACATCGTTTTCTGCATCTGCTCGTACCGTCTTACTGAAGGCAACCTCTACTGGCCAGAGAAGTCAGCGCAACTTCTCCGCTATGTATCGGATCGCACTGGGATCATCTCACTGGCAAACTTCCCTCTTGTCTGGCTTTTTGGCATGCGAAACGATGTTCTGGTCTGGATTACTGGATGGGGTTTCGGCACATACAACGCTTTTCATCGATGGGTAGCTAGGGTCGCCACGGTACAAGCTGTGGTGCACAGTCTAGGTTACACACTGATGATACTGGAGAGCGGAGGATGGTCACACTTTCTCAAGTACTGGACAAAGCATTACTTCTGGAACGGCGAACTGGCGACCATCGCTATGTGCGGTCTCTTGGCGTTCTCCTTTTACGGTATTCGCCGTGCGCACTATGAGTTCTTCCTCGTCACGCACATAACACTTTCTATCGCCGCACTCTGGTCTATGTACTACCATGTCGAAATATTCACCAATGGTGAATGGAATATATTCATCTGGCCATGTGTTGGTATCTGGGTCTTTGACCGCGTTATGCGCCTCGCTCGGATCTTAGCGTTCAACCGCAATCCTTTCAGTACTAAGGCGAGGGTCACCTACGACCCTAACAGTAACCTTGTACGCATGCATATTGACTGCAGCAAGAGTGTAGTCGCACCAAAACCTGGCACGTATTACTATATCCACGTGCTGGATGATCTGTTGTATGCGCACCAAAGCCACCCGTTCACGTTGGCGTACACCTCGACAGATACCGATAATCCCCTGTTCACGCCTCTATCGCCACTTTCACCAAGGCCAGAGCCCTTGCGTACGTCATCAGCCTCCTCTACCGAGTCCGATGCGCTCTTGCCGTCTAAAGGTTCTGATGCTGTATCTAATATGGTGTTTTTTATACGACCGTACGATGGTTTTACATTTAGACTAAAGTCACACTGTCTCCTACATCCTAAGCGACTCAATGTCCTCATCGAAGGGCCGTATGGGCACACTGTCCCTCTCCAAACTTTCACCAATATTCTGTTTGTGGTCGGCGGAACTGGTATCGCGGTCCCATTGTCACATTTGGCCCATGTTCTCTCCACCTCCTCGCGCGTTCAGAGCGTGAAGATTGTATGGGCGGTCCGCGAATATGGGTTCCTTACCTCGGTTCTCCGCGACTTCAGAGGCTTACTGAGTGACGAGAGAGTCGAGATGGAGGTACATGTCACTCGGGATGATGAGGCGAAGGATGATATATTGGGCGAGGATCTAAAGAGCGTAAGGATGATGGCACACAGACCCGACGTACGTGCAACGATCGAGGAATCGGCAAGAGATGCGGGGCAACAGCGCCTCGCAGTTGTAGCCTGCGGACCAGCTTTGATGGCTGATCAAGCTAGAAGAGCAAGCGTAGAGATGCTGGGTAAGGGATATGGAGGGGTTGAGTACTTTGAGGAAAGCTTCAAATGGTAGGACGTACAACACTAGATTGAGCTGAAGACTTTTGCCTAGTAGTTTGCTTTGCTGCACCTTATAGATTTCTTTTCTCTTCTTTCCTCTTCAGTTCAATATACCACTGCGCGACTTCCTTCACACTATCCACTAGCCCCCTGATCTTGTCTCCACTCAGCAGCATCTTCTCCGTCACCCTGGAGTCGGCGCGAAACGGCATGTTGATAGGAACCCTATTTCGCCCCACGTTGAACAGTCCTGTCTTGACTTCGGCTTCAAAGTCTTGTTCGACCATGTCCACCGCAGCTTTCCACAGTCCTTCTCCATCCATGCCCTCCTCCACCGTCCCAGCAGCAACGTACCAGTTAGGCATGTCCTCGCTCTTGTTTGTCCCGTCCAGCGCCTCGATGTGAAGACGAGCACAGTCCTGCACATGCACGAAGCCAAACGCATAACGCGGTGTCATATCGTCGAAGAGCAAGGCCTTGGTCTGTCGATCCAAATGCGCGAACGCTTGGTCAGATGTTGTGCAGAATTCTGAAGGTCCGATGACGGTTCCTGGAATGATTTGCGCGATGGAGAAGGGGAGCTTGTGGGTGGCTTGCAGAAGGGCGAGGCTAGTCATGCATTGAGCTTTTGCGGAGCAGTATGCGTTGTGAGGGGACTTTAAAGGGGGAAGGTATTTGAGGGATGTTTGCGAGACTTCGACTTGTTCTGGGTCGGTTAGTATGATGCATTGAGATAGATAGGAGAGCCGGAGGGAAGAGACATACCATTCAAAACGCGATCCATGCGCCTGCCTAGGGTATCACCATCTTCCGAGTCAACGAGCCCAGCCCCAGCTTGCGTGAAAACCATTCTCTTCACAGTCTCTGACTTCTTTCCTGCTTCAATCAAGCCTTTTGTCGAGTTGATGAATGGCCAGTAGATGTCTTTGTCGGGATCTAAGTTCGGTAGTGGCCATGCTCCTGCTATGTGCACGACATAATCGGCACCTGCAACAGCTTCATCATATGCTCTATCAACCGCATTGTCTGGTACGATAGCGTATTCGATCAGGTGGAGATGAGGCTGGACTGAGGGCCCGGATTTGATGGTTTCGATAGCGGAGGAACGGCGCACGATACAGCGTACTCGATAGCCAGTCTGTAGTGCATAAACAACGCAAGCATAGCCTATTGTGCCATTTGCACCGGTTATCTGGGTGGTCTATCAGCCTTGTTATGTTCAATGTTATGGATGAGGTTTGGCGTACAGCGACAAGGCCACGGGCTCCGCGATCGACTTTCATGCTTCAGTGTCGCGACGGCCGGCCTTTCCAATACCACGAATGCTTCAGGCTCAAGTCAGAGGCCTGGAAAGACATGATCAATATACAGTAACGTTCGTGTCTTACTAAGATTATGGTGGGGAGAGTACCGCTTACAAGCAGGGGAGGGCAAGATACTGGGGTTTCCGATGAGCGTTCCGACATCCCTCGGCATTTGAGACGTCAGGCTTGTCGTCATCGGATCTTCCTCCATCAATCCACAGCTAGGTACGACCAGGGCGATCACTGCGCGGACGAGGCTCATTATGGTCGGCCCGTCCTCACTCTACGCGCCAAACGTTTGGGATACTGGATGACGGAATTGAAAATGGCAGATAGTAACGCGCAATCGCAGGGCTTCCCTCATGCCGCCAGTGGGAAGCTCGATATTATCATCGTACGCTCCCGTACGCATGCGCGCTTCCTACCCTGAGAATAACTGACGTCACTGCCCAGGCTGGAGCTTCTTTAGGTGGCCTCGCGACAACTCTTGCGCTCAAACGTCTTCCATCTCCGCATGCGCACAATGTCACGCTTCTCGAACGGAATCCGACCGCACTCCTCCACAATCAAGGCGCTGGCATCGTCGCTGGTGGCGATACGCTGGCATTCTTCAAGCGCTATAACAGATGCAGCCGCGACCTAGCCGTTACCTCGACTCGAAGGCAGTATTTAAACAAAGATGGCGAGGTCACGCATAAAGAGGATATGGAACAGAACATGACGAGTTGGGATCTGGCATACTACATGCTCAGGGCCAATGTTGATGGGATCAAGAGTGACTATTGTGACGTACCGCCAGATGATAACAGTAGGAGCAAGATTACGCATCGTCATGGACATAAAGTGATTGAGCTGCAAGATAAGGGAAACAAAGTGGTTGTAAAGTACGAGACAAGCGAAGGAAGCACGGGTGAGATGGAGGCTGATCTGGTCATCGGCGCCGATGGTCCAAGTTCTACCATCCGCTCACTCCTCACCACCGGCATCGAGCGTACATACGCAGGCTATGTCGCCCTCCGTGGCACCGTACCCGAGGATCAAGTCAGCCCAAAGACACTGGAAGCTTTCAGAGAACGCTTTACCTTCTTCCATGCGAAAGGGATCCAGATTCTGGCATACCTGATACCAGGCGAGAACGGCACTTTAGAGCCTGGCAAACGCCTCATTAACTTCGTTTACTACACGAACTTTCCATCGCCTTCTCTGACTAATCCTTCCCCCGACTTCCGTGAGCTGATGACAGATGTGGACGGCCAGTACCATCGCATCACCATGCCACCTGGCAAGATGGATCCACAAGCATGGGAGAAGCAGCGCAAAATTGCAAGTGAGCGACTGCCTCCTCAGTTCGCTGAGATCGTCAGAGCAACGGAGAAGCCATTTGTCCAAGCAATCACAGATGTTCTCGCTCCGACCAATGAGTTCATGGACGGTCGCGTCGTTCTGATTGGCGATGCTCTGGCTGGCTTCCGACCGCACACCGTCGCAAGCACTAGCCAAGCATGCTTCGATGCCATGATCCTGGCAGACATGATCGAGGGCAAAGTAAGTCGGAAGGAGTGGAAAAAGGAGACACTGGGCTATGCGAGAACACTGCAGAAGAGAGGTGTGGATATGGGTAATCGCAGTCAGCATCAGGATCTGCCGTTAGCCGATCATATACACGATCGAAACCTGGCGAGCAAGCCGAGACAGGAGGAGGTATGGCCAGAGTGGGCAGTCGATGGTCTAACATAGCTAAAATCACACTGAGCGAGACGAGGCAAGCAAGTCGCTGCTGGACTCTATGACCAGTCACCTTCGTCTTCAACCGCTTCGCCACGTTCCGAAGCCCCCAGTAGCTCGCGCACAGTCCACGGTTTGTACTTGTATCCTGGTGGAATGCTCGTGTTTTCAAACTCGGCGCCCGTGAGCAAATGATCAGCACACTTGTAGTAGTTGTCGTAAGCGTACTGCTCAGGGTTATGGTAGATCAACCAATTCCCGACCATCTTTTCCTCCTTCTTCGGCGCCGCCTTCTTGTCTTTCCAATCGGTGTTGTGAAAGACTTCTCTGTTCTTGAAGCCCATTTTCTGCGCGCAGGATACTCGCTCGAATCTGTAATATCTAAATTAGTCGCTGTTGCTCCTGTGCAATCTATGTTGGCTTACCTCAGCTTGTTATGAACTTTTGTCGCAAGCGCAACGTCCTTCTTGCCATCGATATGCAGACAGGCTGCCAGTGAGTACGCGTCTTCCATTGCCATTGTGCCGCCGCTGAACGACGTAGGCAAGAATGGATGCGCCGCGTCGCCCAGCTGAACGACATGACCACCTTCTGACACCCACTGTGGCTGTGGATCGCGCCACATGAGTTTCCAATCGAGACACTGATTATTCGGAGTTGCCTTGATCACCTCAGTCACAAGCGGATCCCAATCTTTGACAACCTGGAGAATTTTATCCGTAGACGTAGTTTTTGACCAACTCTCTGTTGCTGCGCTGTTCTCATCCTGATGGTCATTAGTAATAAGAACACGACCAGATAACTTGGAAGTGTAAACAAACCTTGCAGGTCAAGAGATAGCAGAAGTCGCCCTGATCGATCCCAAAGACAATATGCGCGCCTGGACCAATATACATGAATGTGCGGTGATCGTAGCCCCCAAATTCCTTAGCAACAAGCGAATACTTCTCGAGGGCCGGTTCAGCTGGGAAAGAAGCACGGTAGACCACAAAACCAGAACTGATTGGTTTATCTTTGTTCCCATCGATGATCTCACGAGACTTGGAGCCCACGCCATCTGCCGCCACAACCACATCTGCAGTTATTCTTTTACCAGTGTCGAGGATAACACCGCCCGTGTGGTTCGTCTCAAAGTATGTGCCCACTTTCGTCTCGTATGTTATGGGGATACCAAGCTCCTTGACGTACGTATTAAGCAGGTTGTGAAGTCTCTTTCGGTAGATGTTCAAGGAAAGATTCTTAGCATCGCCAGGCGCGTGGTGCTGGATGAACGTGCCGTCATATTTGCGCAGGTCGAAATCCGGCGGTGAGGCGATGGTTCTGGCACGCTCCATGAAGCCGGGCCACTTCTTGGGCGTTTCGAGTGCGGAACTGGTTATCATGATGATCTCGCCTGATGGCTAGCGTGTTAGTTACTCGTATACTGACTTCAACATTCACGACACTCACCAGAGTATTGGCCTTCCTGGTTTCGTTCGAGAATTCGTACATTGTGGCCTTTGCGATAGGCTTCGATGGCAAAGGTTAGACCGCCTATGCCGCCTCCTATTACAAGGACTTCGATCCCGGTCAGTGGTTCTCTTTCCATTTGGGTTTCTCTGGTGCCGGGCATGTTTGGTGTTGTGGTGTTCTTTCAATATATACTCTGAGCTGCGTACTAATAGCCACTCATCAGAATTGCTCTCCATGGCACATATATACTACCCTCATACACGCCTGAACCTCTATCTTAGACGGCGCAACAATATACCGGCGGTCCAAAGCCCACGGATGGATGAGACCGTTGAGCCGTACCTAAAGTTACGGATGTGTAGATCAGTGTGGATCTGCTCAGCAGAATGCGGTGGTGTATTGGATCGCAGATGTTGCTTCCGGCATCCCGAAACTATGATCCCAACTGCTCGTCAAGCATGAGGTTATCTGTGTGCTCGGAGACTAGACGCGGAATTGTAGTGCCGGCGCCGAACGTTTCTAAGTTGGGTGCTGGGGCTTTCGTACATAATGTACGAGGCGATGTACAATCCCAGACCCGCAGATGAGCAAAGCTTCACATTACCACCTTCAAAGAACAGTGCGGATCGAAGTGCTATGTGACATTGAACATGAGCAAAGCACTCACATACATCCGAGAGATTTGAAATGGAGAAACCACTACCATATAACTCCAGAATCCTCGACATATATTTGCTCAACCGTATCTGTTAGGCCCCGTTTTGCGCCTGCTTCTGTGTCTCTTGCGCAATAACCTCCTTGATCTCATGCATGTGCTTGCCCACGACCGCACCACCATACCCACCCTCTAAATCATCATGTACATCCTCACTGCCCCTTGGAAAGATACCCACGCTTCTTCCGCACAGATCTCGAATCGATGAGAACCTCATGACAGCATCTACCACCCTATCCATCGACGCATACCCTACGATACCAAGCACGGCACCGTTGTCCTGTAGGAAGTCGGCCTGTTTGGTGATGGCAGTATCGACGAACCACGGCGCAACGAGGTTGATGCGAATCGAAGAGTGCATAGCGCGCTCGCGTAGGCTGTAGAAGAGTCCACGAACGCCGAACTTAGACATGCTGTACGTAGTGCTGTATGGGTAGCCAATGTAGGCTGCCAACGAGGCGATGAGAACGATGCTGGGTTCGAACGTTGTTGCTGCTCTGCGCGGGAGGCGGAAGTGATGTAGCGCAAGATAGCAAGTATTGTATACAGCGTGAAGGTTGACGGACAAGCAAGCAAAACTTGGAGGAGGAGGCGGCGTATCTCCAGGGTTTGGTAACGTGGCTGGCACCATATCGAAAACATTCTTTTCAGCAAGGATACCTGCATTAGGAACTACAACATCGATCTGCCCATTGCCAAATTGTATTGCTGACTGGAACATAGAGGCTTGAGCCTCGTAAGATGTTACGTCGCATTGTACGAACTGCGCTCTGAGCCCTCGAGCCCTTAGTTCCTCAATCGCTGCCCCCGCTGTATCTTGCAGGTCGGCCATTGTGACAATTGCGCCTGCTTCAGCCATCTTGATTGCGCAGGCTAGACCGATGCCGGATGCCGCGCCAGTAATCAGAACTGAGCGATCTTTAAGGTTGGCTGTGTCCAAGGGATCGCTGAAGCTGATCGGAGTCGCCATCGTTGCAGTAGCAGGATCCGCCATATTGATTGAATGTGGTATGTGAAATCTGTAGGTTTGGAAAGAGAGCGAGCTGGCGTACGGTATCGTCTTGTATTAATGATAGACATGATCGTCGCGCAAGCGCTGCGCCTGGCAATACAGTAGTGAGCTGTTGGAGACTATGAAGCGGGGAAGGCAGCCCAAGGTAAAGGTGGCGCTAGATTGTAGTCAACGAGCCCACTGATCGTTCGCAGTGATATATGGGAGCGAATGAGCGCAGAGTGCAATGTCTCGATGCGTGCTGCAGGAGCAGGCGCGGGGTCGGCGGCCAAGCGATCATGCGGGGAAAGAAGTCACCGACCACCATACATATCAGGCCAAGGAATGGCGATAATCCCGCTGACGTGAGAACTTTGCCTGAAGACATGAGTCCTAGGGTGTTATGGGGCGGCGATTGTATCCCTGATAATAGATTCGGATCAATGTTCTCAAGCAGCAACGTAGCCAGAGCATCGCACCAGATTTTCCGAGGCGTGCCAGGTGCAAAAGGCTTGAATCACGTCTCAGGAAGAACTACATTCAGCAAGCCTTAACCCAGAGTGAACGACCAATTCCACTCTCTCACCACCTCTTCCCAGTCTCTTCTTTGACCGCCTTCAAGTTTCGGTCGCCATACTTCTTTAAGCACCTTTTGGACACATTCGACGTTCTCGTAGCGATTCCTCTTCTGGATGTCCTCTAGCCTTCGAAAGCATTTCTCAATGGCGGCTTCATCATCGAGCTCAGCCCCTGCTAGGAATATAGGGTAGAGTAAGCTAGACTCCGCAGCGCTTCCAGGTGGTATGCGAGCAATGAACTCCATCGCGCGTGCAGCACAGCCTGCAATGTTGGCAGAATGGCTTGGTGAGGTTCGATAGAGCTGAATGAGGGCCGCCAAACGGTAAGCTTCTGCCAAAGCGATAAGATCGAGAGCTATAGGGGTGTCGACACCGAGTGCAAATGGATTGTCGTAAGTCCAATTCTGTATGCCCTGCTCGATAACGTTGAAAGACGCCTCGGTAGCGAGCGGAAATGCTGGATTTGAGGATGTCACGTACTGGATTCGAGAGATGAGATCGCATAACTGGTACGAGATGCCCATGAGCGGGTCGATTGTGCCTGGCATTAGAGCGGCACTGATTGGTATCAAGCCCTGCTCTGTTGAACATGCCTTTCCTGCGTTTGAGACGCGTGCCATAAGAGACGCAGAGGCGAAGTGATAAGTGAAGTGTCGATGCAGAGAATCAACCTCAACGCAGTCCATGATGCTCTGTTCCGGAGTGAGTGCGCTCAGTATCCGTTGAACACTCTTTAGTTGCGATATCCACCTCGTAGTCTTGACACCATTGAGCGCTTCAAGCCCTACCAGGATGAGGATTACCGCAGTGACCTGGTATGTGTCTTCTGGCAGTCCACCCGATGGATGTAGGCGCTCCTTGATGAATTGGTAGCATTTCCTCTCATGGCGAGAAGACACGGCCCGAAGATGTTTCGCGCGATCTGCATCCTGGCTCCGCCGTGCCAACTGAGCTGAAGAAATGGCCAGAATGGCGTCAAGCATACCTTCGATCTGGAAAGACCAAGGCATGTAGAGGCTAGTATAGAAACTTGTTGCAATAGGCGCTACTTGAACACTGGGTACAAAGGCCTCGATATAGTACTGTAATAGATGCATCCTTTCTGCTTCTCCATCGCCCGGTAGTGCATCCCAAGGATCGAGAGAATTTCGCAGTGGAACTGCGACCTGAAGCTCGGGACTCCTTGAGCTGGATCGTGTAGAAGACGACTCCGTAACGATACTTCGTGGACTCTGCCACTCACATAATAGGTTGAGGCGTTTGCAATTTGCACATTGAGGCTGGGCGTTATCGCACCTCTTTCTTCGGGTTCGGCAGGTCAGGCAACCTGTCCGCGACCTTGGCGCGAACTTGCGCTGGCGCGGCTTCGTCTCAGCCATGGTCTGAAGGGTAAAGGTACTGGAAAGAGCTTGATTCGGATAGTCACCGAGAAGACATAAAGACGTGCATCGTTGCGGGAGTGTTATTGGCAAAGATAGCTGGAGATTGAGTCAGCTTCCCCGATCGCGGGTGTGATATCGATAAGCGGCCTGACTAATCGGGGCATGCACCTCCGAAGAGCGACAATTGCATCGACATGCATCGTCATCAACCTGCATTCAACCGTAGTTCACTCACTGCTTTGCTTGGAGTCCATAACAACTTCGTCTTGAGATGCGCGAAGGATCGCGTCCCGCAACGGGTTCTCTTGGCCGTTGAGGCTGACCGCGCCACAATGCGAGGGAACCACCCACAATGTTCCTGCTCCCACGTGCAGCGTGGTCCTGAGTATCCTTACCGTCTTAGGAAGCATCGCCTGTACTCATCTCCGAGGCTAAAGCAGGTGCTGTACTCGACAACACCACGATAAATGAAGATATTGGGGTATAAAGATGATGATTACGCGCTTTGTTTCCATCTGCAGTTTGGAGCATCTCACATTCCCCATCGACAATCATGAAGTTTCTCGCTGTTTCTTTCGCTGTTAGCAGTGCTGCTGTGGCGGCTCAAGACGATTTTAACATCTTCCAACATATCGGTGGAAATGGGCAATGGTTTCCCGGCGAGGAAGTGACGGGCATTTCTTCTGAGATACCCGCAGGATGTAAAGTCGATTTGGCTGGTGAGAATAGTTTAGTGTCCATAACTGAATAAGCCATACTGAATTCACGCAGCCTTCTTCTCCCGTCACGGCTCGCGGTACCCTGACAAAGGCGCCTACAATGGATGGGTTGAATTTGCCAACTACATCCAAGCTGCAGGTGATTTTACTGTTAACGACGATAAACTCGCTTTTCTCAAGTCCTGGAAGCCGGTGCTCTCAGATCCTGATGCTCAGATCGCCAACATAAGCCCGACTGGATGGAAAGAGCTTCACGAGATGGGTACAACTTGGCGCCTCCGCTATCCTGACCTGTACGATTACAACACCCCCTTCACTATGTGGGCAAACTACTATACGTCCGGCCGTGTGCGAGATAGCGCACGCTTGTTCGCTCAAGGCTTCGTCGGACCCAACGCTACAGATCTTACCACTATCTATGCCCTCAACGCCAGCGACCCTGCAAGTTGGGGCAACACTCTTGCACCCAGTGATCTTTGTAAGCCTTACAACGACGCGGGTGGTGGCCCTGCCAAAGACTTGTGGGACTCCATGTATCTCCCTCCCATCGTCGCCAGGCTCAACGCTAAGATTCAGGACGACTTGAGTCTGACAACGAGTCAAGTCGACCAGATACCTTACCTTTGTGGTTTCGAGACCCAGATCACTGGTCGCCGAAGCCCATTCTGCGACATCTTTACTGACGAGGAAATCTTGCAATACGAGTATGCGCAGGATCTGCGTTATTGGTATGGTACCGGCTTAGGATCCGATATCGAAAAGTATCAGATGTTGCCAGTTGTCGACATGACCGTACAACGCTTTGTCGACGGTCCGAATGCGACTTACAAAGCGGGTAACGGAACTTTTGTTCCTCCAAAGATCATGGCCAATTTTGCGAATGATGGCCAAATCAACCAGCTCGCCGCTGCAATTGGTGTTTTTGACAACCAACAGCAACTTCCAGGCAATATGTCGCTACCGAATCGCCTCTTCCGCTCATCCCAGGTTGTGAAGATGCGCGGAACGATTGCATTCGAACGCCTCTCTTGTCCTGCTGTTGCCCACAATAGCACGTACGGCTATGGTACCCACAACAATTATAATACTACCACATTCGAGGAGACATTCATGCGAATCCGCATCAACGAGGTCGTATACCCTGTGGTGGACTGTAATAGTGGTCCCGGCTCTTCGTGCCCATTGTCGCGATACCAGAGCATCATCAGAGCGAAGCGTGTACAGGCCGGCGACATAACCAAGTTGTGCAATATGACTGATGAAGGCCTTGCGCCTGAGCCGAAAGCGACTTTCTTCTTCGACAATACTCTGCCTTGGCAATCAGTTGTTAAGCCGTAGTTACAAAACCGGGTGTTGTGTTACCTGCAATAATAAAATTCGTAGCTCACGCCTATATGTGTGTTTTCGTGCCGCTTCTGGTGCTTTCGTGTCACAATTTGGCAGCTTTCAACATCATGCACCCGACGAATACCGTACGCATTGCCTGTAAAAAAAATGAGTGATCTTTACTAGAATCACAACATCGGACGTGCTCAATATTGCATCCATAAGGCGTCTTCGACCACCGACAATCGACATGTACAGGGCGCGCGCATTGCTCACTAAGACATGCTAACCCCACTTTTAACTCATTGCACAAGGCGCACGCCTTACCCAATCTGTCAAACATGCTCTCTCCGCTCTCTCCCCACAGGCTGTGCAACACATGATTGCAATTGCTAATGACGCATATGGGCAAATGTGTGACTCCGTTGGCATGTGTCGGTGTGACCTCGCTCTCGTACAACTGAGCAGATTTCTTAGGATTTCAGTTGTACGAGAGGTACCTCTCTATCCGTCGGAAAAACGACATCACACTAGTCCCTTCCGGAAGCAGGTGGCTTCCGCGCGCGTGTCCCATTGGACACAATCATTACATCGATGGTGCAAAGTTGTCCCCACATTGCGCCCCCGAGTGGATGGTCATGTTTTCGACATGGGAAGCTACTGAAACAAGCCTCCCACGCCCTTCAGGTCAATTACCAAAGCAGACATGCCGCGACGGTAAAGCCATGTTAGAACATAGAGTCATAGGGTCTAGGATTCTCGGATGTCCAGATCGGTACGGTGGACTGAGCTTCGTAAGAAGTATAAAGGCAAGTTGTAGTACCCAGCTGCAGTGATCCACACATTCGCGAGCAAACCTTTGTTCATACAAGACGACAAATCATCTAAACTTCCAAACTACGTTACAGATCCACGCAAGAACGACAAAGCATCCTAAACCCAACGGAAGGCAAACAATTAAATTTGAACTTAACGGGAACGCACTGAGCCACAACAACCCAATAAATATATTCACCATCTCCTCGGCCAGTCGAACAAGTACAAATCCGCAATACGCTCAGATTATCCACACGTCATACACCTTCTGAAACTCCCAAGATGACAGCCTCTTCTGCATCGACTCCTCGCACCTCTTTCGAATACTTCAAGTCGCCAGCCAAAGTCTCCTCCTCTTCGGTATCCATCACATCGTCATCAGCATCTACGCTAAGGGAACCAAGCAAAGCACATAGGGTATGGAACTCCATCAAGCAACACGCGAAAGAGCATCATGAGAGCATGAATTCTGCCTACGCTACATACTACGGCCAGGGTGGAAGTGTGAGTGAGAGAGGGCAAGAAGTCTGGGAATATCGCAGGGGTAGCGGACAGTAGGTGGAGTGTATGAAGCGACCATAACGGTTTGAAGTTTACGTTGGATGATCGGTGTTTTTGGGCCACGTGTTTGGAATTGACAGGCTGCATGATCCGCAGAGCTTTGTTTCTCTATATTGTGGGCGAAATGGTTTGGTGTTTGGGATATCGTACATACCTTACTTGTTTCTTCGATTGTTATATCTAATCCAACAAAAGTATAATCATTATCATAAGCACATGTCCTGATAGGACCAAAGGTGGCGCCAAACTATCCCGATGAAGATCTCGAGGCTCTATATTAGTGATCAGGTTTCGATAGAAGGTGGTGACGCTCGATATCAGTCCAGAGAGTGCAACTGTCTCGACTCATATTCGCATCATCTACATACAGTTTCCAGCGACCAAAACCTCAACACCGTCCCTAACCCCCTCAATGACCTTCCCCATAAGGCTCTCGTCCACAGCGCCCTCTACCCAACAAAAATTCGCCGTCGCGTTACCATCACCGCCTGTTACAACACTGACTGCAAATGCACTAGTCACAACATTGGGTGACTGACTGAATACCATCCTTCCAATGGCCCAATTACCTGGATTCTGCTTGGTCTTCCACACTCCCACGCTCGACAACTCTACAGTAGGATCTCGAGGCTTGCCCAGTTTATCAAGGAAGAATTGTGACATAGAAGGGACGTACTTCAGCAGCGCGATGGAATTATCAGTACCGGCTTTGGCAACTTCCGCAGAAATGATAGTTTTGACCGCTCGTGTAGCGTCCCATGAAAATTGCTTCAAAATGCTGGGCTTTGTTGAGTCTTGAGAATCTTGTGACGCTCGACGCTCGTGGAGATATCCATACTGTGCCATCGCGACTGTCATCTGCTTTTCCCCAACATCCAACAACCTTTTCATCGCGATCGGACCCTCGATCTTGAGCTTTCCGTGATCTTGTGCTGGAAGATGAACGAAAAGTGATGCAGCAAGAAGACACTGCAACGTTGCTGTTACACTAGTCTTTTCGGCTCGACTGAGTTGTACCAGTTTATCTGTAGTCGCTTTTGATAGAACTAGTGTGCGATGTCGCGGCTGCGGAAGTGGTGTAGCGTCTTGCTGTACAGGACCTCCCGTCCATAGTCCAAGAGGTCGCTTTGCGAACATCGAGGGTAATAGCGCACCAAGTATGGCTCGTATGAAGTACAGCCACGAGAGCGTCATCGGGTGCAACTCCTCTAGTGGTGGTGGTAGAGCCATATTCAACGATTTGACAATTGGCTCTGCGTTGCCTTCCATTTCTGACGAATTTAGGCCACCCAAAAACGACTCGTGGAACAGGAAGGCTGACGCTCCGTCTGCTAATGCATGATGCCACATCCATGTTGCAGTGAACCTGGTTGCATCCTTTGGCCATGTCAAAACGAGCACCCGCCAGAAAGGTCTCGATCCTAATCCTTCTTTGAAATCGCGGCTATGTTGTTGTGTCAACATCTCGTCCAGTTCTTCATCCACCTCGCCGTCGTTTGGGAGCGGCGTGTTACGCTCGCATATCTCCACGCAAGTACGGAGATCGATCTCAGGCAGTTCTGCAAAGTATACGTTGGGATAAGATTTGTCTTCGTCTGCCGCGATGGCGCTCAGGATTGGGTGCTGGGCGATAACGTTTCGAAGCGCGATGTAGACTTGATTTTCGAGCGACTGTTGGGAAGTTTCAGATGCTACGTATTCTGCGGTAAAGCCAACATTCTTGTAGAATCCTAGATGATGTCGTGCAGTGCTGTATGTTTCTAGTCTGCCGCATGGACGCAGTTTCTTGAGGTTCGACAGGTCAGCCATTCCGTACAGATGCGAACTTCTTCAGGTGAGATCTGAAGAGGCTCTCGGTGTCGCGGCGTCGTGGGTATATCAGGTGAAGCTGTAAATACCGCATACTCGCAACGATTGCCATGTGAGGAAGGATGAAATTATTCATACGAAGCGGTAAGCGGCTCCCTTCCTATCCGTCTACTGACTCGTGTCGCTGCCTGATGGAGGGCTGCGAGCGCAGAAAGTTACTCAAGATCGCGGGTGGCCGCGTGAGGCTCATGATGGAGGTTGGTCTATCAGGTCGCAAGTGTCTGTGAGTAGTGGTACTGTTGATGTGGTGTTAATGTTGGGGCATCGAGCCTTGCCGAGATCGGGACAGGTGCTTGCCCTGGAGTTGTTGACGGGATCGTTCCCGCTTCTCCTGCGTTCGCGTGGCAACAAACCTGCACCACCAACTCTAGCGATGCTCCATCACGACACGATCGCAAGGCGCGCTTGAGTCTTCGGAGGAGAGCGTCATGGTTTGCTTTTATCCTCCTACCACAGGGCTGGAAGGATCGTCGCGACCCTAAAGATGGGGACACAAGATGTGCAAGCGTGCATCAACGGCGCGGCCCCCACATTAACCGGGGGCCGAAATGGACTGATGGAGGAAACACCAAACCCATAGTAGTATGATGCCAATTGGGCGGGCTCTAGACGCTCCTCGTATCTGTGAAGCCTTCTAACCGGTAGGAAATGCTGTCCAATCATGGCAAGCCTACAGACGATGTATGCCTCCCAGATTCAGCCTCGAATCGCCGTGGCTTCATGCGACAATCAGGCGGTAAATCCGTTATAAAGAAAGCGATTAAAGCAATGCTTTGCTCGATGAGCACATCACCATCTTGCCTTCGCTCGCCACCATGGCTCCAAATGTGGCGCTGCCAACGGCAACACCCACGCTGGGTCCAACGCGATTACTGGATTTCTTACATGTCCCGAGACTAGAGGATAAGATTTCGCCCAATGCGAATGACCCACGAAAAGAAACTGCTTCTGGGATGGTGTTCTTAGGCATATGTCTGTGTATTACATTCGCACTCGCAGCTCCCATGATAGGGATATGGCTTGCTGATCGAATCAAAAGGCGAAAACTGGACCCTTTCAAGAAGCTCCGAGATTTAGAGCGCAAAGGACGACGCCCAGGAATAGATCCACCTCCGTACAAAAAGACTCCACCCAAAGATTCCATATGGGCTCGACAGGAGAGGTATAAAACCAAGAAGCCGCCGAGAGCCATCACCTCAGACCAGGTTTTGGGTATCGATAAAACATCATATCTACAACGCATCGTACCTCAGAGTGGTTCGTGGGCCGTCTACTCTATCTTGGAGCGTCTGCTGATAGGTAGCAATAGAAGGATCATCGCAGCTACTTACAGTCGCGCCTGCGCACATCGGATGGGCCAGGCAAAAGGTTACGTCGGCAGAGGACGAAGAGCAGTATATCAGCCCGTGGGATGCAGAACATACTCCGAATCCGGTTATTTTCCCATGGCTTCAACGGAAACAGCTGTCCGAAGACAACATCAATGGCAAAAACTGCGAAAGATTGCAAGTGATGACAATGTCCAGTACTTCATCACCACTGATAGCTGTCTCGCCAGTGGAAGGCTCCAAACATGCCCCTATCGAGAATCCTTTCCTTGATTCTCCTACAGAATACACAAGCTCTCCACCAGATAGTGAGAAGTTCTACGAACCCTCCGAAATGGTCTCCAGGAAGCACACGGCATCCGATCAACTGGACGATGCTGCACAACCGTCTGATCATTCATCATGTCTCTATCGATGTGATACATGCCAAACATCATATCATTCGCAAGGACAACTGAAGTAAGTCGCTAATCTAACATGAAAGAAGCCGGATGGACCCAACACTAACAATCCCTTAGTGTGCATCTCAATCGCAAGCATCGCCGTAGATATCGCTGCAAGCACTGCGACTCAGCTTTCGCGCTAAAAGCCGATCTCAAGCGACATGAGCGTGGCGTTCACAAGGATATGTACGCAGTCAAAGCGTTCTATTGTGCCAATCCAACCTGCGCAATACCCGAGAAGAAGTTTACGCGCAGGGATAATTTCGAAAGACATGTGCGAAGATGCCGTAGTCGCGGAACAGGATGATGGGAAGTGTCTAAGGCACGAAAAATAATTCATTAGGACACAGGATGAGCATTTCGACGTTCGAACGAAGCATGCTCATGTAAGCGGCAAACACTTCTGACTGGCACACTATGGCAGACATTGCGAGTAATGCTCATTGCTCACCTTGCACGTTCCTTGTGCGCAAGTTGTCGGCCCAGTCCATGTTGCGCCGCCGCACTGCGCATATAACGCCGCTCCTGCAGCCGGCGCTTCGGGTGCTGGCGCTGGCTCTTGCGGTGAGGGCGTCGAACCACTGTCTCCCTCCTGTCCAGCCGCACAAGTGAGGGGCACAGGCCCCGGAATTGAGTATGCTTTGCCACCCATATATGGTTTGCCAGTGTTATCGTAGATGCTGACCTGGATACCAGCATCGTTGGCTTTGTAGGCACCAGGGAAAGATACGAAGTTCGAGCCTTTGTTCGTACCACTGCCTGTAACGCGAATCTGGGCACACTCCATGTAGAATTGGGCACCGCCTATCGATACAGTCAGCAGCGTAATGGAAAGATGGCTCGAGGATGTTACCTTGGTTTTGAGCGCCGTGAAGGGCGATGAGCTCAACACCTAAATGTAGGAGTACAAAGTTAGTACATGTCTCACATACGGTTCGTACATAGACGTTACGTACGCATAAGATAGTCGCCTGGAGCTACACAAGTAGGCATGGTAAAGTAATGCCACCCCTCATTCGCGATCATAGTGTCGACGGCCCACTTGCCATTGCTCAAGCCATCATGGGCGACCTTGAACCATTGGAGGCCCGTGGTGCCGGTGGTGGCAGCGTTGTCTACCTTGGCAAGATAGTATTGTATCGGACCTAGAACCCATTCATTAGCTCATACTCTCTATGCGGTCATGACAGCCCTCATGGGCGCTACGTACCTTTGTGACTTGCAGCAATAGGATGGTCAGGATCGTTAGCACTCTGCTTTCCTCCAATCACATGCCCCCACCACGCGCCGACTTTTGCTCCTGCCGGAATGCTTATCACGGTAGTATCTTTGTGCTTGATGTCTTTGTTGCAAGCGAAAGCTGCATCGGTGACGCTAGTGATGGGGTAGTCGGAATCAGGTGCGCGGACGCCCTTGAGCTGCCCTTGGTCTACACCGTTCACCGAGACCTTTTGGAATATGGTATGAGCTGTGGCGGTACTCGCCAACGCAGCGAGTAGAAACGTCTTCATGGCGAAATGTTCGGTCGTGCTCGAGGTTCGTAAATAGTATCTAGATTGTTCAGTGCCAGGCGTTGATTATGTATTCCGGACTGGAACACGCGCCAGAGGTATAGACTGGAGTAGCGCGCAATGCACCTCATATAATGTATCGATAGCCATTGTCGCATATATGAGTAAGGTAACGGAAAAGTATTACCCAAGCTAGTGGGAATGACTGTTACTCCAAATCGCAATAACGTGAGTCTTGTTCGGCAGTCATAAATTACCGTACCAACTTTCCGACGATTTTAAGTAACTGTACACTATATGTTAGGTTATATGTTCCTGAATTGTCTTTGGGTGCTGATCGGTCCGTGTGTTCCGTGCTTAATTGAACTAGACTTAGATGTTTCATAGTGAGCCAAGTCATATACAATATGTCGCTCACACATGACCTGTTCAGGATGCTGGGGTCCTTTCTCTGGCTGGTCAAATTTGGCAACGCTCGTGAGCGCATACTATGAGTTCGAAGAGACCATAATGATTGCAGGTTTTCTAGTTTGATATTTGAGTTACAGCTCGGCGAGCCTCAAGTAACAACGGGCCTCGTCTGTTGCGTATCCATTGAGTGGCAGCTTAACTCGAGCTATCCAAAGTGAAATCTGGTAGTTTCTCCACATTGTCAGCATTGAGCCTCCCGCTCTACCAACAACTATCATAAGCCTCCCAACCGATGTGTCACCACAATCATCAGCCTTATGGAGAAGTCGGAACTTGTCACGAACAATCATGATCTCCTTGTTATCCCGCTCTGACATAAAGGACCCTTGATCTGCCCAACACGTCCTAGTAGCGTTTCGTGCGAAGTGGTTTGTCGTCTCTTTTCTTCGTAATGCCGAAGATGTGATGTGCACGCGCACCTAGGCCATCGAATTGGGTGACATTCTTGTCTTTATCCACTTTCGTCCTGCGTCGAAGAGCTCGTGATGACTATCGCGTCTTTCCGTAAGAGTCATGGAGGGCCGAATATCGTACAGGCCGCCCAGCTTCCTTGAGATCGATGTGTGTATTGCCATACAACGCAACTTTACAAAATGTGCACATGTAGGTGATGTACAAACAATCCTTGTGTTATAGCTGCTCGAAGATCGAATCGTTTGCAAAAGAGCGTGAAGTTGTACAACTTATGCCAAGAACGGCTCTAGCCCGCATTGTAACACGATCTGGAGGAAGTAGAGAAAAGTGAAGGCAACATTTCTGCCACTGCTTGCAGCAGCCCCTCGAGCCGTCTCTTGCTTGCACGTGCACTCTCTACTCCTTCGGTCTCGGCACTGAAAGTTGGGTGGAGCTCCTCGATACGGAAGGCCGTGAAGCGGCTTCCTCTCGTGCCGGAGTTGTATCTTTCTTTAGCATTGAATGCCATTTAGACGTCGTAATTTTGAGTAGGTCGTTGAACAAAGACTGGTCAGATGGGGCCGGATTGCCTTCTAGGTGATACATTGTCAGAGATGTAAGCGAGTGGAGATATTTCGAAGAGATGTGCAATAGTGGGAAATCAAGTGGATGGGTACAAATGGGGCCCCGCTGCCGGTAAATACTCTGAGGTAAACACCGACCGCCATCACGCTATAGGTACCTGGTGCCACCTGCAGGCCGCGTCTTACATTTCCCAACGGTGCAGTCCAGCCCCGCGATTTTTTGACGATCACCTGCAACCCCACGGTAGGATTCTGGCTAGGCCCTGTCGCTACCCCAGGCATTGCTAGTGTTGGCCACATTGATCAACACTGCATTCGAATACAAGTAACTCCACTTTCTGTGAGTCACACATGTTCAAAGACATGGCACGACCTGCGTCTCCAGTCAGTCCTTCACCGTCGCTTTCGGCTCATCGGTCTTGGTCACACGTCGGCTGCGATGCAAGCAACACCTTCAAAGGATGCCCGCGTCATAATGTCACTGGTCGGAGTACTCACCGCTACCGAAGTTCAAAAAAAAGAAAAGGGCCTTCTGTAGTAGATCAGGATATCACCGTGAACAAAGTGATGATAGCGCATTCTTCTGGAGCTGATGCTGCAGCAGAGACAGATGCTCTATTGGCGCAGCGCCGTAACTGTCATTTGTGCGACCTACCTTCAACGGCTTTGATTCAGCCGCATCTCTGTGCAGAGATTTTACGATGTGCGTGTTCTGTTTGATTGGCCTGATCGAAGCTCGATATGGTGTTCTTCGCCGCCCATGGAAGTTGCCAGCATGGAAACGAAGCGGTGTGAAATTGCGAGCAAAACATGCAGGTACGCTTGTGTTGACAGGAAGACTTTGCGAAACGTAATGACGACCAAAGGCCACCTACAGGACGTTAGTTTTGGTGACTGAGAGATGAAGATGGCTCCATGTCCCGAACCGTGCCGAACTTAGATCTGCTGATGTCATCGAAGTACTTGTGGTTACAGGAGCTTGGACGCGCATCTTCATCCTCTTGATGCCCACCGATGAACCTCCATCGCACCATGAAATTTATCGTTTCTTCTGCTTTGAACCCATCGTCGTCTCTCGGCAGTGGGACGAAAATGCGCGATGCGACAACACACGAAACAGCATAGGCTATTGAGTCCGACGGGTGGCACCTAGTGTTGTTGGACCATCTGCACCTGCCCCCGTGTGCCGGCTCATGACATAACAATGCGGATGCATGCATTCAAATAACAGCTATTCATCTATGTCTTTGAGCGCATTCAGTAAGAATGAATGATCTGTAAGCGTAGCGGGACGCGTGAATGTCTACTGGCGAGGCGTTGAGCCGCACGCACAACGGCGAACCTCCTAAAGCGAAAACGAAACCCCCAAATTAAAGACGTCTTCGCGCATTTGTGGGTGGGAGCTCCAGAATCTGTTCCAATTTACTGGAGAAGGCTCTTGGCCTCGTGCGTACGGCGGACCAAACCATAGCGTTACAACTCTTGCTCCTGTGCGCCTGGTTACTGGACCCTTATTGTTGGTCCTGGATCCACATACAGAGCATCTGTAACTTGGCTTGATTCCAGTGGAGCAACTGCTGAAATTTAGTACGGGGTAGCGATGTGTGTACAACTTGGGCGTCACGGTTTGTGGTCATTCTATCAGTGCATCTTGTTGGGTGAGATCAACCGCGCTCCAAGAGGCGAGGACTTGTTCGTCTTTGAAGTATGGCGAGCCTTGCTGGTACTTTCTTTCCGATGTATAAACTCAGGGAAGCAGTATATAGAAAGGTTGATCAAACAACTACCGAGCATTCAAGAGGCGATTACTTCTGCATGTTCCCTTCCCGCACGGGCTGTTGCACTAGCAAGAGCTGACGGATAATGCACGTTTTCACCGCAACGCTGGTATGAATTGGTAAGAATAAGGCACATTGTGACCCTATCACTCTTCGCTACCACCAAAAATCCCATACCTCATCTTCGGTTCACCACACTCTCAGGGTCACTGTCCAAGCGAAGAGTTCAGCCTCACATCTAGCGTTGTTTGGTGAGTTCAGCCTTCACGTCTAGCGTTGTTTGGTGAATTCAGCTGCACGATCAACATCTCTTCTCACCTCCCTATCACTCCTTTATCACACCAATTGTAGTCGAACGTAGTGCTCTGGCATTGGAGCGAACTGCAACCATGGACTGGTCAGTTCTTTCAACATCATGTTAACCACCAGCACTGACTTTGATAACAGTACGACTAAGAGCCGAGTGTCACAAGCGTCGTTGAGTGCGAGTGACACAAAGCCCGAGCATGATGCTCCTGAACTGCGGCGTGTCAGGGGAAATATACCATGGCAATTGTGGGTTGTCGCAGTAATCGGGTTTTGGGAGAGAGCAACATTTTGGGGACGTTAGTGTCACCATCATACAGCAGCATGTTTAATACGATGCTGACTCTACACTGAATAGTCACCGCTCCTTGGCAAAACTATATGGAACACCCTCAGCACCATGACATGGACCATACTCCTGGCGCTCTCAACCTTGGTCAGACCGCCGCAACACGAATATACTGCGGATTCTTCATCGTCTATTTCACAAGCCCCGTTTTTATAGCACCGCTGGCGGACAACCATCTAGGCCAATACAAGACTTTACTGATCAGCTTTGGGGTGTATACTTTGGGATGTATCGTCTTAGTGGTCAGCTCGCTGCCAGTGATGCTCGACCGAGGAGCAGGTTTGCCCGGTCTGATCATTGCAATGATTTTAATAGCCTTGGGTGGCGGAGGTGCAAGTCTTACTATCAATGATACTTCCTGCGCATACTAACATATCTTAGACGCAAGTTACTATGAGGTCGTTCATTGCCAATCAGTATACAGATAGGTCTCCCAAGGAGACAACGCTCTTAGCATCCCACAGCCGTTTTCTGAAATGGAACTGTCTCTCGAAATATTTTTCGGCTTCGTTGGAAGAGGAACGAGTCGTGATCGACAGCGAGATTACTCTACAGTTCATCTACAATCTATACTTCTGGACCGGCAACGTTGGCGCCTTGTCAGCATTCCCATGCGTTTACATCGAAAAGCACCACGGCTTTTCTCCCTCATATGCTTTGGGTCTTGGCTGTATTGTTATTGCGCTCTTGATGTTGGTTATCGGAAAAGAATGCTTTGGTATACATCATCTAGGATTTTGTAAGCTCCACGCTAACTCAACATAGTCAACCCACCGCAGGAGCAAGACGTCGTAGTACCGGCCGCAAAGGTTCTCAGCTGCGCCGTGCGCAACGGCTGTCGGATGGAACGTGCGGATCCAGTGTATCAGCGCACCGAGAAAGGCAAGGTGGTTTCATGGAGCAGTCAGTTCGTCGACGAAATTACACGTGCGTTGGACGCGTGTCGGGTGCTGTAAGTACTACCACATTCCTCTGCTTGCACGAGCTGATGTCTCGTTCAGCCTGGCATTCATTGTGTTTTACATCTGCTTCGACCAGATGCAGAACAACCTCATATCTCAAGCGAGCAACATGAACACCGGAAGCACGCCTAACGACGTACTGCCCTGTATGAACCAAGTGGCATGCATACTAATCAGTCCGTTCGTGGAGTATGTCCTCAACCCTGTGCTGGCCAAACGACGCATATACCTGAAGGCAGTCACCCGTATCGCTATCGGCTTCTGCTTCGTCGCACTCTCGATGCTATATGCGACCCTGGTGCAGCATCACATCTACGCGTCTCCACCATGCTTCGATCACCCGTCGGATTGTGGAGACAGGCTTTCCGCTGCACAATACCGGCCCAATGTTTGGATACAAGCACCTCTCTACTTCCTGGTAGCAACTGGCGAGGTGTTCGCCATGACGACTGCCATGGAGTATGCGGAGAAGCATGCGCCGAAAGAGATGAAAGTCCTCGTGCAGGCCATCAACATGCTCATTACAGGTATAGGCTCAGCCATTGCTTTAGTCATTGCCGAGGCAGCTCGCGATCCTTATCTCACCTCGTTCTACGGCAGTCTAACAGGTGCTATGGCCCTCACGACCATTATGTTCTACGTCATGTTCCGGAACAAGGATAGGGATGATGCCGTGGTAGACATGGAAAAGGGCAGAAGAGACGCCACACCGACGCCGTCAAGATTGCCGTTAGGATCGCGCGAATCAGATCTGGATGTGACTATTGGGCCAATAAGCATAGATAGGGACATGGAGTTGACACCGATCCTGTCCTTACCGACGACAAGAACTGGGCGAGACAGCATAACTGTACCTTGATGAAGCTGGGAAGCCTTTGTTCTTCAAATACTGCGTAAGCAACTTGGCTGAGCACTGTGTAACGTACCATCGTCGTTACTATTGTACATATGTAAGCATTGTGGGGCCGTCGTGATGGGATATGGATCTGTGCAACTATGCTACGGAGGCGGCTGTTTGCCCGGCACAAGAGCCGGAGCAATTCATTATGACGCTTGCAGCCAGATTGTCAAAAGTTTGGTTTCCGGCGTTTCCGGCGTCCCCAAGCAGTATCGACTGGCTAGACGATGGGCCATAAGCAAGATAATAGCATCGATACCCTCATCAGCAATAGCAATTACAACCATCACATCTTTGCATCTAAACGTCTTTTGCTACAAGAGACAGCCGTTGTTGGTTCGCAATCGAATCGCAATGCAAGCCATACACAACTCCTCGGTTCATTCGCTTATGCCGCTGTGTCCCCACCTATCCCCACATGGCAGCAAAAAATCACCCCGTGTAGCAATCTGATACACTGACAGCAGTCAACAATGCAAAGTGCAGCTATCGGCAAAAAATGAACACCTGTTGCCTTCCGCCAGAATTGAACTGACGACCTCGTCATTACTAGTGACGCGCTCTACCACTGAGCTAGGAAGGCTTTGTTGATTTGATGGCAGAAAACCAAACAGTGCGCAATATAATGAGATGATCATTTTATACAATCTTTAGACATGAATAGCATATAGTCTTATTGGGGTAATCATCATCTAGGTACAATGGATCAAAAAGTGTCGTGTCATGAGTAGCGGGCTGAAGCGAGAACCACACTAGTAGGGGCAGGTGGGGCTGGATTTCATCACCGTGTAACTATGTTTGCGACAAGATCAAATCTGAGAGAATCAACCATGATGACCCAGAACATGGTCCAATCGAAACACGCGTTGTTAACTTTTCTACAGCTCGCAGCCAAACGAGACTACCTCGCCAATCGTCAATAATGCACTTCTGTTATGTCCTCTCTTCTTACAGTTCCCTTTTTCTATGTCGCCAATCTTCTTATCGATGGTCCTTCTAATCTCGATTTACAGATGTTTTACCACCATCTCATTCCCCTTGATCTCAAAACGATGTATCCTAACAACGTCGCGCTGCCGTTCATCTCTGACGCGTTTAAAATGACCGCTAATCACTGTCGAACGTCCCTGCTCAGTAGGAGGTTGAGGCGGCTCCTCAATCCATTTATACCTCGTTTTCACAAACGCCACATCGCCATTCGACGGCGCGACGTTGACGGAAATCGGCCACGTAGTTCCAAAGCGCGCTGCCACCAGTGGACAAACGTTCTTGTCGTTCTTCTCCCAGCAAGCTGGGTCCGCCGCGTACGCATTTGAGGGATAGAGCATAATGGAGCCTAGGTCACAAGGACCTTCATCCATGATCGGAGCGATCATAAAGTGAAATGCATCATTCTTGATGTACTGTGCGCCAGCTTCGAAGCCGAATTGGTTGGCAAAGGCTTGCTCGGTGCAAAGGCGCTCTGCGGCGTCTGCGTGGCCGGCGGTACTAGCAGCGACGAGCGCGTCTTTGTAACCTACTAACATGTCGCAGCGAAAAACGACGTAGCCGTCACGGTCGTAGCGGCACTGCTCGTGGAGCATACCAAGGATGTGCCCAATCTGTCTCGGCGTTAGTAGACGAGAGAGAGAGGCTCTAGTGTTTGTACAGAGACTTACTTCATGTGCTACTCGGTGCGCTTCGGTATCTGACGAGCCCATGACGAGGAAGTGACGGCCAGGATCGCTGCTACGATCATCGTAACCAATGCTAGCATATGGAGCTTCGCCTGCCTCACCAAGGTGTATTGCTAGAACGTCCGGGCGTATTCTCGGATTCCAAGTTCCAGGTTCTTCCTTACTCTTGTAGTCATCAAGGTAGCACGAAGGATATATTCTTTCACCCTCGTTCGCGTTCCCGTCATGAACCTCCTTCTACCCGAGGGAATGGCCGTTCTCTGCGCTAGCTGGAACCTTGATGGCTTCAGCCCATATATTGAGACCTTTCTGGAGTGGACAGTTGAGTTCCGCTCTAGCCTTGGCATTTGCAAAGCAGTATCGGATAAGACGCATCTTACCCTTCTTAGGGATGCTGAAGAAAGGCCATGGTCTCCTGATACCAAACCTGAAGAAATTCATATTGCCCTCTTGGGGGCCGACAGAGCTTGAATCGGGGGCGATATCATTGGACCCGGTACGGCAATACCGATTTGTAGAGGCTAGTACCTGAATATATAGTACTGCGAAGAGGAGGTAGGTTAAGGTAGGGCGCATAGCGCAGGCGATGCGATAGTCACGCCTTGGTTATCGAGATCGTTCTCTGGCGATGTAGTACAGGACTTAATAGTAGGGAGTACTCCTAATCTATCGTTGGTAAGGTCAAGACACAGAGTAGGCAATTGGAGCACAAATATTCGAAAGAGTGAATCCGCGGGAGCAGATAGCACTAGATCTTTTCGGACCATAATGCAGGGAAAAAAGTGGATTCGATCGCGGGCCCGCACGTGAGCGGCGTGTGCATAACGGACAGTGCGAACGGTTGTACCACCACATCGCATGGCAAGAACGATTGAGCGAGTCCTGGGATGGTGAGTGTGGAAGAAGAAGGCTATCTACGGAGTGGATACCGGCCCCACATATGACCCTACTTACAACTGAAACGGCAGGTTCGAGAGGGATGAAAAGGCTGGGAACGAGCTCCGTGGATATTTCGGAGAGATGATTCCATGTATGTTCTACTTTTATCATGTGCTACCATTTCGTCTACGAAGACATGCTATATGCAACGCCAATCTAGATGCAGTGCATGCCCTGGGAAATGGCCTGGATGTGAAAAGAAAGACCGCTGAAAAATAATGAGGGTATGACGCTATTCAAAAACGAAGTGAAGGAAACAAAATACAGACATGACTCAGATCTCATGCGCTTTCTTCTCCTGATGCTCAAGTTCTTTGACATATTTGACGAAAGTCTTCTTGTGAATCTACTCGCAGTTAGTATTGCTCGCCTTTAATTTCTTATGGTTCACATACCAGACCAGCGTACTTGCCGTCCCTGAGCACGCAAATATACCGCAATCCAAGCTTCACGAAGCATTCGTATACCAAATCCATTGGTGAGTGGACGTCCAATGCAACAGGTGCCGGGTCAATGTAGGGCGTGAAGTCGCTTGGATCGTACGCTTCTTGCTCTTCTTCATCTTGCGGCTCGCGTCCTGCAGCCCAGTCGACTCGTGGTGACATTAAGCAAAGTGTGTTCTCTTCGTTTTCTAGCTTATCGAGGGCGAACTCCAGATCTGGTGCGGGAATGAGGCCAACAAGAACGCCATTCTTGATGATTGACAAGCCACCATCAAGTTCACCTATCATCTGTAGTCCACGTTGCTTTGCACGAAGCTCGACTGCGGGGATAAGTGCGTCTTCAGAGATGTCGATGATGTGATCTTGTCTCTTCCCAGTGGTGATGTCGCCAAGCTCGGACGTGAAGATTGGTCGCACCTTGTTATCGAGGAAGGGATACGAGTTCATGTCTGTGAGCAGGTCGTAAATACTTAGTGGCTCAATGGCATCGGCTACCCATTTGGAGACAAGAATGCCGAGAGAGAAAGGTAGTACGTGATCCAAGCTACCTGTGAGCTCGAAGAGAATGACTGCCAGGGTAATACTCAAACGAGTAACACCTGTCATTGTGGCACCAGCAGCGACAAGGGCGTAAACTCCTGGAACAACACATTGACCTGGTGTTCCGTCGGCGGAGCACTCTCCAAAAACGCCCAAGTGGTGGAAACGCAGGGCAACAAGTTGCACGGTGTGGCCGATGAAGCGTCCAGCAAGGCCACCTACAACCATCGAAGGTACGTAGATACCAGCTGGAACTTTGATGCCAAAGGTGACGACGGTCAGGAGCGCCTTGATGACGAATGCGAAGAACAAGACTTTGAGCACGCTTGGGATGTGTTCGACTGTAGGACAAAGACCGTCACCGGAGTCTGTGTATGTATCGCATGGACTGGCCAGTTCGAACAGAAGCTCAGTGACTGGAAGCTTGGTGTATCGGTTCCAGAAGCTGATCAGACCGGTGATGAGCGCAACGAGAAAGACTTCGAGAAGCGGGTGTTTCTTGATGATGGGTATGCGACGGAATGTTCGTGCCCAGATGCGAGATGCTTTGATGAACAATGCGCCAAGAACACCACCAACGGCGCCCGTAAAGACGAAAGTTGCCAGCTCAAAGAACTTCCAATCTAGATGGTATCGAACCTCGAAGAGGACAATCTTCTTTGTGCCGTATGGATCCAAGAATTTGAGGGATAGGGCAGCCGCCTATTGGACAATTAGCTTGGTCAGTGTGAGAGGTTGGTGACTTACGATGCAGCAAAAGAAGGTTCTGAAGAGCGTCTTGGATGGAAAGTAGTAGCTGACTTCTTCCAGACTGAAGAGCACTCCGCCAATCGGAGCACCGAAAGCAACGGCGACACCACTAGCAGCACTAGCGCTGAGGATCTCTCTGCGTTTCCCGTCGTTGTTACTGTACTTGGAGAAGATACGACACGCAATGTTTCCTATGCAAGTCGCAATGTGCACGTACGGGCCTTCCTTGCCGAGACTGAGACCTGAAGCAACACTAAGAATCAGAGCCAGCGTCTTGACGAGCAGGGTCCGTACACCCAAGTAACCGTGAAGAACGAAGCCGCTGAGAATGACCTTGACTTCAGCTACACCGCTGCCAGCAGCGGAATAGTAGACCATGGGTGGCCGGGCCTGAACTTCCTGGAACCTCGACTCTGGGCTGATACTACGTTTACGGTCCTCTTCATCTGCTTGATCAGAGTATCTTCGCACTTCTGCACCCAGGTTTTCGTCGAGTGTAGAGAGTGAAATGGCTGAGGGGATGACTGTCTTGGTGGTGAGGGTGAGCAGGCACGAGGCCATGGAAAGCAGGACGACCGAGAGCACGAAGAAGCCATACTGCGTCTGGGCCACATCCAGCTTGTCGTTGCGGACCGCCTCGGACCAGTGGACCCAGCTCTCGCATACTGATGCACCATCACAGCACGTCTTACGGCTTTTGTTCCAGCCTTTAGTGCAGTATCCTTGTTTTAGGTCGAATAACGTCGTCTCGGTGGTGTTGACAAGGTACGCGCAGACGGCAGTAAGAACGCCAATGAGGGCCACGAGTATCCAGCCCTGAGCGCCATCGAACCATGCCGCTAATCGCCCTCTTATATCCTTTCTACTTCGCAGCGCCTTGACGCGATACGCGTCGGCGATGTTATCATGGACCCAATCAGTGGACGTAAACTGATCGTACCACACGCGGTTGTCCTGGAGGAAGGAAGCCTTTGCTGAGTGCATGCTCTGCTCCAGGCCCGCTCCTCGCTCGCCCAGGGCATTTACTAGCCGCTGACTAAACGTGTGTCCACCCGTGAGGGAGCCTCTCCTGCTCCGCATGCGCGAACTGATAGGCAGCTGGCTGTTGTTACGCGTCATGCCCGGTCGAGGCGTGCCGGGACTTGTGGCAGGAAGACTCTTGTAGGATCTGGCGCCTCGCAAATGAGGCACTCCTAGCAAGGCGGTCCGCTCGTTGACGCTGCCTGTCGACCTCGTGAGGTCCGTGTCCGAGGCACGCATCGGTCTCTGGGCGCTGAAGGTGAGTGTGGGGGAGGTGGGCGTGGTGCTGCTGAAGGTGTCATGGCGCTCGCGTTGTTCGGCAGCATAGTCATCGTCGGCGTCGTAGTCGTCGACGCTGCGGTACGACTGCATCGACTTGGGCATGGCGAGGGTGTATAAGGGAGGCAGCTACAATCCGGGCAAGGGCGGTCTAATAGTGTCACGGTCAGTCAGAGACATGTCGCCGAGCAGAGGCCGCTATCATGGTCATCCGGAAAACGATGGCGGTGTCACGATGGATATGTTATGGCTGGGCACCATGGCTCATCCCCACTACGCCGCGGATCCCTCAGGATGCGTTGTTGTGCTTGGTCCGGGGATAGATACGCACCGACACGGGCAAGACGACTGTTTCAGACCTGCTTGCGTATGCATTGCAGCGATCCGCACAAAACAGCAAAAGCAGCAAAAGCAGCAACAAACTGTAGGCGGCACTCTGAGGCTGATCTCAGGCGCCTCACCAGGAAAAATGGCGGTAGGCGCGTCCCATGTGACTATTTGGGTTGCACGCGATAGTGACGAAATGCAGGGCAAAGGGAAGGTGCTAACCACACATAGAGAAGGCGCGATGCCATAGCCGCCAATCGCAGCCCCCAGCCCCACCACTACACACTGACTTGCGTCTGCAACTCGGGAGAATTGGGGGGTAGATGCTGGCAGTCCGTCGTTTCTTATCCGCTCGTGCATCCATCTGTTGCTGAGCCGCTGATCTGAGGGTACCAAGGACACGACTCGGAAAGCCTGTTACGTCGGATTACCGGGATTTCGCCGAGTGGCATCCTTCCAGGTACTAGCAAACATTTTGGAAGGTTTGACGACGATCGAACCTACATCCCTCTGATACAACTCAACATGGTGAGTGATACTAGGGCATAGTCTGAATTTGAGCAGGCATGTGCTAACAATCGCAGCCTGCTCTCTACGATCAATTCCTCCTGTTCGGAGACAGCATAACCCAAGACTCCTTCTCCCAAGAGCGCGGGTTTGGGTTCTCCGCAGCCCTTCAAGCTGGTCAGTCGACATATTCTGATCTTCTCTCGGGTCGCTTTTTTCTGGCCTGATGCAGTCTTTCATGAAGCTTCTATGCTGATCACTGGCTCGGACCGCTGGAAACAGGCGCTGATACCCTACTAGCATACATACGACGACTTGATGTAATCAATCGCGGCTTCAGGTTATGACGTCCTATTCTTGCAGCCATAGCTAGGACTAATATTATAGCAGCGGGTACAATACACGCCAAGCTCTCCAGATCCTCCCCGCAATTGTACCTCCGCCAGATCAGGCTAAGATCCGGTTCATGGTAAGACTTGCCCATGTCAGACACTACCCTAGTTGACCACGCAGACCATCTTCTTCGGTGCCAACGACTCATCCCTGCCAGACGCGCCGAATAAACAGCACATTCCGCTCGATGAGTTCGTCAAGAACTTGAAAGACATTATCTTTCATCCGCAGATCAAAGCTCACGGGCCTCGTATCATCCTGGTTGCTCCTCCCCCAATCAACGAGCATCTTTGGTGGCCAAGAGACCAATCCAACGGATATACTAGCGTCTCGCGCCTGGCAAGTACAACCAAAGCATATGCCGATGCAGTTGTCGAGCTTGGCGCTGAGCTCAACCTTCCCGTCGTGGATCTTTGGAAAGCCTTCATGGCGAAGACGGACTTCAAGGCAGACGCTTGGAAGCTCGGTGATCAGCTGCCTGGGTCTTTGGACGTCGCGCAAAACGACGCCTTGGTGGAACTCATGTACGATGGTACGAAATCTACATGGGATTCTCGTTTTCGGTCTCATGCTGACTGACGTATAGGCCTCCACTTCAACCCAGCAGGCTACGATGTTTTCTACCAAGAATTGATCAAGGTGGTTGAACAGCAGTGGCCGGATCAGACGCCTGAGAAGCTCCCCATGGTATTGCCGCCGTGGAATGATCAAGAAGCTTGGAAGGCATGGGAAGCCGCTCAGGCATCTTAGACTATAGATGAGAACAGCAAAAGTTGCATACAACGAGCAGGCTTGAATTGTGAGACTTGAAGGTCCGACCAAGCGGGGCTCTGGGGAAGGCCCTAGTCAATATCCAATCGGACAGGGGTGCATAACTCCGGCAGCATGTGGTTAGTGGCGGCGTCGTTCCCCATGAACATCAGAATAGCATCGCGACGACAATACGCATCACCATTCCTGTAGTCGACTGTTCCCGTTCCTATTCCTGTTCCAAATTCTTATGAACTCCTGTATATTACTTCGCTCTTTTCCTTAGGGCCGCTCCGGAAACCGCCTGATCTTCGGCAAAGGCCGTTGTTACAACAATCGCACCTTCTGCTTCGAACAGTCCAACTAATTACATCGAACAACGCCTGGCACTTACCCTCTGAGGCTCTAAAGCTGTCGCAATCTATTTGCGCATCTTCAAAATCTTCCCCGAGTCGAACACGTTCCAATTTGACTTCCACCTTCAAACGCACCCGTACCGATTCTTCGTCACCGACGACCCAGACGTTCGCATAACCCCCAACACTCCGATTGCCAGCCAAGAAGAATTGCATACCAAGCAGGTTGAGGACAGGTGCATAGTCGCTCGGCGTTCGTAGGTTGGGGAGTCCCCACGGGAAGGCTGGTGTCTCTTTGTTGAGCACGTCACCGAGGGATGAAAGAGTCACGGGCATGGATCCCCAGAGCGTAGCTTTCCAGCCGCGCGACGATTTCTGGCGTTTTCAAAGCGAAATGCTCCGAGTGCAGGAGAATCAAGCCGACCTCGCTGATCGCGTCGCTCGCCTTGAGCGCAAGCATGAAGACGATTCACGCCTGAAGAACGTCTGGGGAACTTCATCACCCTTCCCTTCGGTGTTGGGAGGGACACCCCAACAGGGTGAGAGATCACACTTGGATTCACAATAGCCCAGCTGACACATTGCAGTTCCCCTGCAGCAGCCAACCGCCGAGCATTTCACAAACTTTGACGATCAGTCCAGCAACCTCATCGGCAACCTTCAGCTCGATGCTGATGAGGAGCCCCGCCGTGTAGGCGCCACATCCCGTGCGAATAGTGTTCGCTTCGATGAGACAGCCAACCACGGACACTGGGCACATGCATCGAGGTCATCGCTGGATCTAATACCCCGCACTGGCAGCGGCATGGGCGGACACGTCATGAGTGAGCGCAGCTATTCTCACAAGTCAGATGGAAGGCAAAGCTCTGCTGGTCACTCAGTACATTCCATCGCCTCTGGTCGCGCGAACAGCCTCACTAGCTTTGGGCCGACAACGCCTCAAGACGCCCCAGGACTGGCTCCTGGCTTGTTCATTCTCGGCTCCGTCCCTGCCATAATACGTTGCTGGCTCAACACTAACTTCAAGCACGATACCCTATTGTATGCAGCAGTGTGTTCAGGCTCATATACATCCTATCTGGACTCCTATATGGTCGAGCACCTAGGCTTCCAGGACCGAGTCGTTATAGATGAGGATGGTGCCCGGAAAATCAAGCTGTCCGTATATCTCCCAGAGGCCGTGCCTATCTCAGCGTCCTCGCGATCCGACAGCCCGACGCCGCAGCTTCCTTCGGTGGGCGTGAATTTCACTGTCATCAAGGAGCACAATGCTGAAGTCAACCCAAAGGCCATCCAGATCTTCCTTGGCAGCGACATGCTTCGAGAGCATAATGCCGATCTTCTTTTTTCTTCTAGCCAACTAACTCTCTATGATGATGACCGCAGCAAGCTTCAGATACCACTTGTGCGCCCGGAAGATGATCGCGCTTTCAAATCTTTGCGCACTAGCGGTGCTTCCACGGCGAACCTGAACCGTACAACTTCTGCTCTTGCTTCAACGCAATCGAATCACATGACCGAGATTTCCGATACTTCAGCAACTCGCGATCTTTATCCGTCGGCTGAGAAGTCGAATAGCCAAGGCCTGACGACTAACTCTGACGATGGCGGGTCAAGTGGCTGTGGGAGTCTTGAACAGCGTCCACAGTTCGGCCTTTCAACATCAAGTCGCTCTGACATCAAAGATGCTCAAGAATCAGGCCCCGCCAGCGGAGCGCCCCGCTCAGGAGCATCGCCAGCTATCTGGAGCAATTGGCGCCGCGATCAGGCGGAGAAAGCAAACACGGGCTCTCTGGATTGGGCTAATGTGGGTAAAACCACCAGCTCGAACCCCAGCTACCAGCGACGTGATACTGGTATCAAAGTATTGAAGCCATCTAGATCGACACGTACCTTGTCGACGTCAAACTCATCGCCAGTCACAGGACAGTCACGCTTCTTCGATGATGGAAAGCGAAGAAGCGAGGGCGAAACGAACAGCAATCCAGCACCTCCTCAGGTGAAAAGGACTGTTTCTGGAGAAAAGGGAAGAGAAAATATGCCTACGCTGTCGAAGCCTCGATCCGCGAATCCAGTTGGCGGTGCCTCTGCATTTGCATGGCTGAACAGTGGCGGGTCGAAATAAAACATCGACGCTGTGTAATCTCTGTATCATACATAACAACGGACTGCCGCGCTAACAGAACAATGACTGTTGAGCGGGGTTTAATGAATATCACACATGATTGCAACATCCTTCACACTCATTTGTCCGACAGCTGTGACATGTGGTAACAAGAATATAATAGTTTAGTCATGGGTCCTTGTGATACATGACAAAGAAAAGAGGCCTTTTGACGTCAACGCGGATTCCTTTTCACGGTGACCAAAAAGTGTTCTGTCCTGTCAAACACGCGACAGGGGTGGAGCATTCACCGCGTCGCCAAGCTCGCTTAGTCTCCGCAAGGCTGAGTGATTCGAAGCCGACAGTGACGACGGCGTATAGCACGGCGCTGCTCTCATTTTTTGCGGACATTGCGCTTTTACCCCACGTTTTCTTCACCGCCGTGTTACTGTGTTTGTGAAAGAAGAGGCGCCATTTCCTAGGTACTGCGGCCCTAGCTACGCGCTGCATAATCTTTCTCCGCCTTTTGCTTGTCCCTTCACCCTCCTTCGTTCGCCCTTTATATAGTCTGCCTTGAAGCTCTTCGCGGGCTTCACGGTAGGCAATCAGCTTCAAGACGGCCTCCACTAATAATAAGAAGCGGAAGATCGTGGTCCCGCCAAAAGATTCGTCCAACCCCGACGGCAGCCATTCACCGAATGTGGGAAGCGTCGGTGTAGGGTCCCCTCGCTCCTCCCCGCAACCCTCAGCATCACCACCGCGATATCTGCCACCGCACCTGCACGACGAAGTTCTAGTTGACGCTCCCGACTCTGGTAGTCTTGCCGCAAGGGACAACAACTATACTGGGGCAAGCTCACCCAGCGAAGCCTACGCCAACCTTACCCTCGACAGCCGCGAGGGCTCCTTCACCGATCTCGACCGCACACGTACCGCCGAACAACACCCACAAAGACCCCCTCCACGGGCATCTTCACCCGCTAAGCGCCTCCATTCGGACATGGACGACAAGACGGACGCCGACAGCACACGCAGCAACGACGCGCAGTCAGGCTCCCGAGCCAATAAGCCCCTACCTACAGGAACATCACAGCGCAGCGCGCGCGCAACTTCGGTAGAGATGGCCGATGCGCCCAATGGTAGCAGCCTCAACGGCGACGGTGACGCCTCTTCACGTACGGATGTCCCCAGCATCGACGAGCAGGTGACTCGCGTTATGGGCATGATGTCCACCGAACCCCTGGTGGACCGGCAAGAGGGTTATGTCATCTCTGAGCAGTGGTTAGAGCGCGTGTGGGCCAGGACGTCGGAAAACATAAGCAGGCCAAACGACTTCAGTAAAGACGCAACCGAGGGCCCAGTCGGCGCGGTGGATAATTCGCATCTTGTCGACACGGAACTGATGCACGAGGACCTGGTCGACCAGCACGGAGAAGACTTTGTACCGCTCAGCAAGGCGGCGACGTTGGGCCAAGATTTTGAGATCTTGCCCCGCAAAGCATGGGAGTTGGTGCAAAGCTGGTACGGGCTTGAGAAGTCAAGTCCCATCATACGGCGGTACGCCCACAACACGGTACCAGGGGGAGTCAGCGAGGATATCTCTTACGAACTGCACCCTCCCATTTTCACAATCCGAAAAGTGCGAAAATCTCCGAGTTCTACCGACAGCAGCAAACCGGCCGTAAAGATCGTTGCGAGCAGATACGAGAGTTTCGTTGCCTTCATTGAAGCTGCGAAAAAGGCCGCCGGCATTGACCTCAGCAATAAAGTCCGCATTTGGCGTATCCTCACACCTGCTCCTACAGATCAGCCGCAGCCATCGCAGCCCTCTGGCATTTTGACCCCGGACGCGTCCCCTCGCAACGGATCTCCTGTGGCGCCGGCACCCACCCAACGGCCTACGCTTGTCATGGGCGTCGAGAGCTTCAATGGTCTTGCCTTTGGATCGGAGCGCGAGCTAGTAACCGGCAAAGATGAGAAAGAGAATGAGACTTCTAACGAGGACCTTACTCTGGCTGATGCTGGTCTGACCCAGGACCAAATCATCGTGCTAGAGGAACATGACGAAAAGGGCGAATACATAGCAGACACCACCAAAGCGGCGTCTAAGAACAAGACTAGCGCTCTAGTTGGTAAGAGCAACTCGAACAGCGGTAGGAGTACTCCAACGGGAGGTCCGGTGACGCGCGGAAGGAAGCAAAATGGCAAAGTTCGTGGCCACGTTGGGCTTACAAACCTCGGCAACACATGTTACATGAACTCCGCTCTCCAATGTCTACGGAGTGTCGAAGAGCTGAGCATGTACTTTCTGAACAACAAATGGAAAGACGAGGTCAACGTGGACAATCCCATCGGCTTCAAAGGTGTCATCGCCAAGTCGTATGCTGGGCTGCTAAGCTCTATCTATGGCCTTGACAACAGCTCCTCTGTCTCGCCCAAGGACTTCAAGCTCAAGCTAGGCAGGGCCAACCCTATGTTCTCTGGCTATGGACAGCAGGACTCTCAAGAGTTCGTCAGCTGGCTGGTCGATGCACTCCACGAAGACCTTAATCGTATTCAGAAGAAGCCTTACCGAGAGAACCCTGACTCTGATGACAACACCTTCCGCGACCCAGAGGCAGTCAAGCGACTTGGCGAGATTTACCGGGAGAACCATCGGGCACGTAACGACTCCGTAGCCATGGATTTATTTAGTGGATTTTACAAGAACACCATGGTTTGCCCGGATTGCGAGAAGGTCAGCATCACTTTCGACCCTTACAGTCAGCTTACCTTGCAGTTGCCGGTAGAGCAGTCTTGGTCTCATACCATCACGTATGTGCCACTCTTCGGAAAGCCCGTTCAAATCGAGCTCGATGTTGACAAGAACACTACAATCAAAGCCTTGAAGGAATTCGTCGGTAAGCGCGGTGGGGGCGTTCCGGCTAACCGCATAATGGCGTCGGAGGTCTACAGTCACAAATACTATCGTCACTTAGACGATGCGTCATCAATAGCGGAGTCGAACATTGGCGCGCGGGACGACATCTATTTCTATGAATTAGAAATGGCTCCTAGCAACTGGCCCGCACCCAAGAAGAAGGGCTCGAAGTATCGTGTGATGCTTTCTCAGTCCTCCGATGAGGAGATCCCAGAAACGGTTTCACCACTTCACGACCGCGTTGTATTCCCAATGTTCCACCGTATACCAAGTCAGTCTGCATATAGGGCTACAGGACAGTCTATGGCATTATGGCCCAGCTTTATCGTTCTCACTAGGGAGGAAGCGAAAGATTACGACATGATCCTTAGAAAGGTTTTGGCTAGAATTGCTGGAATGACTACCCGCCCAATTCTCAGTGAGCTTAGTGGGCCAGACCAATCGCGCCCTGGGTCTGATGTTGTGCTGACAACAGAAGAAGATGCGTCACCAAACGATCCACAAGTCAAAGACGGATCTGTTGAAGGCGAGGACATGGTCGAGGTTACAATGACGGATGCAAAGGACACGCCTATCGCTCAAGCTAACGAGGTTGATGAGATTCCTGAAGTGCTCCGACCGGGCAGTTACATCCATCCGGAGTTTAGGTACGTACAAGCCACTTCCCTTACAGTTCAGCAGCGCGAGAGTTCGTGCCTCTTGGAAAGCCCCTCAAGGTTTTGTAATAGTGACTGACATAAAACAGGAACCTGTTCGAGATGAAGCATACCAGGAAGAGCTCCGAGATCGTCACTACTGGCTGGAGTACCGTCGATTATTCAAAACCACTTGAGCCTATTTCGAAAAGAATCAAGATACCGCCATCTCGAGAGGAATCTGTACAATCGTCCGCTGCTGGAAGCGAGACTACTTCTAGCGATGAAGACGAGGATGCGTCCCAGTCCACGGTCGTTGATGCTGACGCAGCGATCGATGCAGCCAATGTTAGTAGCGACGAGGAAATGCAGTCGATCGAGCCAGAAGCACCAGAGTTCGCACGATCTGGCCGTCAGAACAAGAAGAAAAGTAAGAAAGCACGGAAACACGAGCGCAAGATGGAGCGAAAACACAAAAACAATAAGAACTTCAAGAACAAGAAGGCAGGCAAGATGCCAGACCAACCGAACTATCCCGATGATCCTGAAGACGAATCTGACGAAAGACTACTTCGAATGGGCGAGGCTCTTGTCCTTGATTGGGATTCTAAGGCTTATGACGCTCTGTTCGGGGCCACAACGGCGGACGATCCTAGGGGTGCGGACGCCATGAAGTTCATTGAACTCCTCGATGACCCAGAGCTCCAAGAGAAGAAGGAGAAGCGTGCAGCCCGCCGGAAGCATGGCATCAACCTCGATGAGTGTTTCAACGAATCCTCCAAGAGCGAAGTGCTCTCGGAAGACAACGCATGGTACTGCAGCCGTTGCAAAGAACGGCGTAGGGCAACAAAGACACTCGAGATCTGGACCGTTCCCGACATTCTCATCATACACCTCAAGCGCTTCAGTGGAGCGAGAAACTTCCGAGACAAGATTGAGGATCTGGTCGACTTTCCTGTAGAGGGATTAGACTTGTCTGGCAAAGTCGGCTTCCCTGAGAACAAGGATCTTACCTATGATCTATTCGCCGTCGACAACCACTTCGGTGGACTTGGAGGTGGTCATTACACAGCCACTGCTCAGAACTTCTTCGATAAGCAGTGGTACGACTACAATGGTAAGTTTAACCTCGTACTTTCAGAACATCGTCACATTCATGCTAACTTCGCTAGACTCAATAGTGAGCAAATGCGAATCAGGCAGGAAAGCTGTATCGAGATCAGCCTACCTTCTGTTTTACCGACGCCGTTCGCCTGTCCCTTTAGGCCCCCCCTCCCTTCAGCAGATCGTAAGCGCCGACATCAGCAACCCCGACTCTGACGAAGACAACGACGCAGAAATTCGCTCCCGCTCACCGGCGGGAAACGGCTTGCGCCTCGGCGATTCGTCCCGCAATGGGTCGTCGAGCGCTGGCGCAGTCGCAGCGGGAGCCGTAGCCCTGCGCGGGGGTGGTTATCCGCGCTCAGCAGCCGCGAACCGTCCAAAGAACGAAGTCGCAGCCGCGAGCCCGAGTGATGACGAAGATGAGCTACCGGCCTATGGTGAAGATGAGGGTTATGCTGACGATGTCCCTTACAACACCAACACTAACATCTGGGAGGATACCGATCAGCCGGCCTGGAGCTTCAACGGCCTCAATAGCACAGGCTTGGGTGGTCGCAACAACGACTCCGACGACGACGGCATCCCATCTGATACTGGCGCTCTGGGTTCAGAGGCTGATGGCGACTTGGGCGATAGGCTCTTGGAGGACTTTGGTGACGACGGTGCGGTCAAGAGTGGTTGGGGTGGCGTTGGTACACCTGTTACGCAGCAGGACGACGAGGTTGCCGAAATCCGGCTAGTTGGTGACGATTGAAGATAGGTGAAGAGAGCAAAAGACGCAGGAGACTTCGTTGTCCCTGATGGCAAATCGTTGCATCGTTCGTTTGAGTGTTTTAGGTCGTGGTTACAGGCTTGGGCACTTTCAGATTAGATAGACATGACTGATGACAAAAGGCGAAGAACCGGAGGTTGTACGTAACAATGAACGTTGAAGAACTGGATGGAATGGACGACAAAGGTGGGTGGGGGTTATTCCTCCGGGCGTTTTGCGAAAATAGCATTCGTAGGCGCATGCTCAGGCGTATTATTGAATATCTTGCATCGCTCACCCTACATTTGTTGAACCTTGCGTGCAGAGTTTCGTCTATGGTAAGGAGACAACTCTTTCGAGTTTCGCTGGTAACGCCAGTCGATAGGTCAAGACCATGCGCATACTACACCAGTGCATTCCTTATTCAATAACACCAGCCGTGCCATCATCGCATGAATCCGTAGAAGAAAAGATACAGGGATATCGGATATCTGGGAACACCAAGGAGTTGAGCGCGGCCAATGACATGAGAGCTTAGGGGCTTTTACCACCGGTGGATGAATTTCATGGTCAGGGTTTTCGTTTAGAGATGACGTTGGTTCCCCTTTTTCGAGATTTAGCGAACGTGGCTGACAAGGGGGGTACCCGCGGAGTAGTCATACACGACGTATACGGCGTTAGATCATACAAGAGCTTGCGGGACACCGGCTGCAAGCGTCCTTGCTAGCTACACCGTGACTTTCAACGTTTTTCAAGCGACTAGAGTGAAACATAAATTTACGCTGTAGCGAGCTTTACACGTGCTTTCACCTCCGTAGAACCGCTGCACGGCAGCTGGTATCTTCTCGCCTTCTTCAGCGTGAGTCAAATCGCAGCGTTGCTACATGCTCGCGTTCTAACAGTTGCAGTAAATCGTGGTTCTGAAAATCGATGTTCAGGAATACAGTGTGTAGGAGTGATATACAGCAAGGATGTGTATTATCAATAGATCTAGGTCCGCATATGACGATCACCTCACGCTACATCGAGGAAACACTCCGAACCGCATACCCGGACTACGTCCGCTTCGAGCCACTCTCGCCCAGGGAAATGACGATGACGAGCATCTCTCATGCGAAACTAGTAGTCGATGTTTGCCATGTGTAAACAAGTTTGTAGTACTCTAGGAACAGAACGTATAAAACAGTTGTACTTCGTTTTAGTTGGGCTTTATCACGATTCACTCACTCAATACCATTTCTGTGTATACTCCAGGTCCTACTTCCCCGACACCCTCACCTAATCCGAAGCAAACCCATACACAACGCCATAATGCGTTTTTCCCACCTCGCCGTCTTCGCCCTCAGCGGCCTATCTCTCGCCAGCCCTGTTGTCCAGCAAGAGCGTCAAGAAAGCAGTGTGGAATCCCTCCTCACCGATCTCTTCGCAACCGTTCAGATCTACACCGGAGCTATCAGTACGTTTTTCACCTCCAGTACACCAGGGAACTCCATGTGCTAACGAACTCATCTTAGATGCTACACTCGCTCCCCTCTCTCCCTCGTCTCCGCTCCTTGAGAAGACTGCCGCGATACCCAAAGTAGGCGAGCAGCTCAACAAGATCACCGCTGCTATTACTTCCACCACGACTGAGATCCGCGACCTCGCTCCTGCAAACGCTACACAGCCCATGGTGCCTGCCGACGGAAGTGAAAAGCGCTCTTCAACCGACCTCGAAGTGTCTCAGCCAAAAGAGAAACGCCAATTGATTGCTGCCGGTGCCCTTCTTGCTCTGATCATTGTTGAGATCTTCGCGACAATTACAGCCGCAGTCGCGATCTTGGGTCTTGCTGGATTGTTGATCTTCATTAACCCATTGACGAGTGCGCTGAGTTTGTTGATCTTGGCGGTACAGCTTGTGCTTAATGTTGTATTGGTGGGCGTTATTGCGCTGCTGAACAGTGTGCTTGCTGCTTTGGCGTTGGGACTTAGTGGTTTGTAATAGAATGAATGTTATGGAGGATGAGAAGCGTATTTAAACAAATATTACTACGTCTTGTATGAGATAGCGGTTTCTGCCTTCCTTGATTCTCGTCCAACACATAACCACTATTCGTTTATGCTACAATGACCAGTCTCTAACATGGACTAAGCATACTGAGTCTGCTCTTCACGTTTCTTTGCGATCAACTTCTTCCTCCTCTCCATCCACATCTTCTTGGCCTGTGGTCTCAGATGCTCAAAGTGGCCCCGAACTTCTAAAACACGGAGATCGTTGAACCAAATATGCTGATTCATGCTCGGATTGGCTGCCAGCATCAGGGGATGGAACTGCGCAGATACAGCGCGCTTGTCGCAATACCTAAGTGTTACGCGCATTTCTTGTTCTGAAAGCCCGTCAATAAGACTCTTGTAGAACTCATCCTTTTTATCGCATTTCCAATATCCGATAAACCCCTCACCATCTTCAAGTAGGGGATCGATGGCATCAACATAGATGGAAACATCCTTTAACAAAGGTAGTCCACCACGTTGTTGCTCAGCCAAGAGAGAATTTAAGATTTCCATAACTTGGAGCACTTCTGGAACCCAAATATTGAGTGTTTCAAGCCCTGATGGTAGCTCCCACCAGACATTGCGCATAACTCCATGGAGCTTGTCAAAAGAGAGATGTAGGCGTGTAAGTGACATCATACTTCGTAAGCCGTATGATCTTCCATCGTGGAGAGTGTAACGCGGCAGTTCTAGTGTCTTGAGTGTGACGGCCAGACGTTCGTAAATCCTCGCGAGCCGGCTTGCATACTGCATTTGCGGCAAGACAAGCGCTCTTGTTCTATCAATGACAATGCTGGACTTGAGGAACTCAAGGTTTTCAAGGCCACCGAGAAAGAGGTGTTGCAGATTTGGAACTGCAGTCAAGAGGAGAGTGAGGAAAGCGTCTAGATCTAGGTCCTGGAGCCCTTGTCTCAAACCCTTTTGCACACTTTCCGGCAGTCCACTCCTCGTTGCCAGATCCAGATAGGCAATCATACTCGTCTGGTAGCTCTTTTCCTGTGGACGATATGCGTGACACGTGTGTATCGTCTTGGATCTGCACCACCAATGTCCAACCAAGGCGGCACTTCCTTGGTCATACAAGTCCAGGCTCTTAACTAATTTTGCCAGATGTGGTCTTTTATTGTAGAGAGCTAACAATGTCTCGACGTTCTGGACGTTGAGATACACACTGGTATGTAGTTGCTCGATTGCAATACCGCCGATCCGCTTGTCCACGGTGGTCAGTGCCACAAGATCACCGCGGCGGTCGCGCGGAAGGTGCGGAAGGTGACTGAAGAATTCTAGAAGGAGCTCGTCTGGGAGTGTGAGGATTGCGCAATGCGTGGTATCTGCTGATCTCTGCGATGCCATTTTCAGGGTGTGTAGTCGCCGGAGACGTTTGCGTTTGACTGTTGGGGAGGCTGTCGAGATATGTGTATGTGAGTCGCTCTGGCTTCGAGCATGAGGAGAGGAGAAACTCTTTTTCATCTCGTAGGTGGCATGTTCTTGGATAATGCTATGCGACCCAGTGTTCCGAACCATGGTTGACATATTCCAAGCCAAGCCATCCCATTCATAATCCTGTAGTCATAAGTCGCTGCAGTCGCCATCACTCCATACCATTCACAGCGAATCACACAAGCGGTAGACTTCATCGCTTTCTTCGCAAACGAGATGCACAGTCACAAACAATTACTCACATTACGCACCCACGAAGCAAACCTTGCAGGTACGTTTTACCTCGCTATACTGGCAGCCATCCTCGCACACTAGTACATGCCTCACTTGACGATGCCGGCAAATCTTCTTGCACTTCCAAATGAGCTCGTTCTCTCGATCGTAGATCATTTACCTCGTCTACCTCGGGACCGTCGGGCGGAACTTGTCTCGCTGACCATGGTGTGTAAGAGTTTTCGTAAGTGAAGACCAGAGGAATATGCAACTGGTTTGGATACTCACACATTGTAGATGAAATTGCGATGGAAATCCTCCACAAAGATGTCTGCGTCGACATAGCTAAAGTACATCGGCTCGTCTATTTGTACGTCGCTCAACCCAAGCTCGCGCAACTAGTGAAAAGCATAGACCTTTTCGGAGAGGCTGATCCGCATGCGTTTCTCGAACTTGAAGCGAAGGAACCGGACTTTTACGAGCCAATTATCGGATCATCAGGCCTCAACGACTCACTACAGCGTATACTGATAGGCGACCTGCGACGGCAAGACCACCAGGCCTACATGGCCCTTCTCTTACTACAGACTTTGAATTTCCAAATCCTATTATTGGGACAAACATATCATAGCGATATCCATTTCCTCGATCCGGTATTCTTCACCGGCCTGTCCACTTCACCAAATAGTATGAGTCCAGATCATGTACACACTAGAGACGTTCAGCCTTATTTGAGAGAGATTATCGCAACGCGACTAAAGCCACGGTTGACTAGGCTAGAGATCCCGCACCACGGACTATGGGATGTTGTTTGGGGAGGACACCAATCCTTGGATTTGGGCGAATACATCCAGCTTAGCCACCTGACCACAAGCGTCGACGGATTTTTGATAATCAAATGGCCAGTTTGGGGAGCCAGGGCTGTCTACCATTTTGGTGTACTACCCAAGACACTCACCCATCTAACGATCGGAGGCGTGAGCTGGGACCTTGGACATCTACTAGCTCATCTCGCCTTGGAAAAATCCAGTGGTAGAACGCCGGAGTTGCACAACCTCGTCGTGTACATAGCGGAGTATGCGCAAACAAAACAAATCTTCGCGCAAGTCCAAACGCTTGAAGATGCCGGGATCACAACGACGCTTAGATACGATGACCTTTGCTACTGTCTTCGCCTCGATACGCTAGATACTGGCTATCGCTCCCGCCACATGGACGAATCATTAAGGTCCCTAGAGATGCGAGGACATTTCGAGCCTTGGAGATACGTAGCTACCGCCAGGGAAGTGCTGCAAATGACCCACGGCCGAAATATGGAGGAAAGAGGGCAAATAGAAGAAGAGGAGCTCAAGTCGCAGGAAGACCAGGACGAGAACAAGACCGCTAGCGAAAGCGGTAAAGATATCTAAAAGAGACACCCAGGCGTTGCACTCAACCACCGAATAGATGATCTTGACATCCTGCACCATTTGTCCTACTTCTTTTTTCGACACAAAAGCGCCTCTTGCAACCAACGATATCGCAGCCCGCCGTGTGCTCATGTTCAGTCTCATGTCTTTCTAGCTCACTCTTTGTGAGCAGTTTTCCATCATTGCAAGCTGTACACTTGTATATCAGAACGGCTGCTATAGCTTTCTGAGTATCGTCTGGCTTGGGTCGTGCACATGGGTCGCGCCACCGGATTTGTGTTGTGGATGCCACAAAGAAGTCGTCAAGCCATTGCGGAGATTCAGAAGATGGCGGCAGGTCTTTGGTAGTTGTCGCGTTATTGGGATTGAAGTGGAAGGGAGTGTGGACTGGAGGGCCCGTCGCAGTTGCAGTGATGGTAACACTAGACGCTGGGGAGCTCGCAAGAGCACCCATCACATCGGAGTTCACTAAGTCAGTGGTTGTAGTATCGTTCTCAGGTTCAAGCACCATGCTAGGTATTGGTTGTGGGTCCAGCAGTGCGATGACGAGCTTTTGATCGAATTTGTATTTTGGTAGATCAGCCCCATCTCGCATTGAAACAACCCAAACGATCTCATCCTTCTCTTTCGAGCTCAGCATCTTGGATTTTGCCACCCTAGTCATCGTGTTTAGAAAGTATTCGCTTACGACCGTAAAGTAAGCTCGTTGGAAGATGCTTTGAATGTGCTCCGGAACCATGTTCCGCATGTTGAGCATAAAGTCGCCCGTTTGTCGTGTGCATGCCATGACTTGATCGTAGGTCTGCGTTTCCGAAATTGGAAAGTGGCCTACAGTCCACGTATATGAGATGCCATCGACGTGTCGTACTTGTTTTCCTGGAATCTTGGACACTAACGCTGACATGATCTCGGAAAGGAGAGGCTCTTCGAACGTCTCGGCCGCTCGGATGTATGGCTGGACGCCGTCTGCGTCTTCGGCTTCAGGATCTGCGCCGCCATCGAGAAGCATTTGAAGACGTGGAACAAGATCCACGGCGGGACAATCTGCGATACACTTTCGCAATGGACTGATGGAGTCCCGAGCGGCTCGATTTGGATCGACACCTTTTTCGAAAAGGACTTGGACGTCGCGCAGCGTATCAGCTGGATGGCGTTTCGCATTCGGACAGCAGCCTAATATTTCGTATAGGAGTGAGCTACCGTTGTTGGTAGGTGTTGGCACAAAGCTATCAATGAGCCACCTCGCAAAAGTCGGAGTCGAATGCCACAGCGCTTGATGCTCAAATGTATCCTTGTAGGGAGATTCGCAAGGGCACCCTTGAAAGTATGATGGGAAGCTGGCCCCTTTGCTGATGAACAACCGAAAGCATTCGAGCTCCTCTGGCGAAAGCTCAAAAGCCCAGTAGGGACGATTCTCCCAGGGCTTGACAAACATGGTGAAATTTGACAGGAAGACCAGCTCCGGAGGCTTGCAATGAATGTCCGCTCCAGCGCTGAGAAGCATATCCATGATCAGATGGCAGTTTTTCCGAGCCGCCAAGTCTGTGTAAGTGTTCATTCTATGTAATAGGCATAGTTGTAACGCCGTGTGAACGCCGGGATTTTCAGGCGCAGGTCCAGCATCGTCGACCTTTGCACCTCGATTGAGAAGGATCTGGACGACATCGGGAACATTCCAGAAGACTGCTTGACGTAAAGGACTCCAGCTTGAGCCCGGAAGTCCGTCGACATCCGAACGACCCGGCTGCAGTAGCGCCTGAACAGTATAGGCTCTCCCATTCTTGATAGCATTATGCAAGGCCAGGTCGGTACCTAGTGGGTGTTTGGAGCCTTTTGCACCATAAGCAAACAAGACCCATATGATTGGACCGCAAGGCATGCCGCAAGCAATATCAAACAAGGTCTGATCAGGGTGCTGCAATATGACCATCTCGCTCAAAGCAGGATGGTCGGCAAACCGGGCGCCTGATTCGAAAGGCAGACCTATGGGGTCATTGACGTGATCGACGTTACCAACGATAAGCTTTTCAAGCTTTTGCAAATCGCCTTCCAAGACTGCACCAACCATGTCTAGTACTATGTATGAGGATTGCATAGGGTTTTGCGACCATGATTCCTCGAACGATGGTCGAAGGCTACCGCATAGTTAGTAAGTATGAAGTGCAAATTTGGAGATCATTGAGGTGTTTGCGTACTCTTGTGGCTGATTCAATAGTCCCAGGAAAGTTGGCTCCGCAACCGTACCAGCTTCATCAGCAATCAAAGTCGGCAGACTAGCCACGATCTGCCAGCCACCAGTTCTAGTACAATGTTCTCTGGAATCTGTTTCTATCGCAATAGGTTCAGTCACTTCGACTGATTCATCGCCGCGCTGAGCCGGCTCATCGGGACTTTGTTCGCTTGGTGATCGCGTCTCACGACGCTGTTTAGTGGTCCTTCGCGGTTTGTGCCTCATAATACCCCATTCTTTCAATTTCATGCGATAGGCTCGCGTGCTATATTAATCATCAGCCATGATATCAAAGTATCAACGTCGTTTCGAAAACTCACGAAGCCCGAAACTTGTGTTTGCGTTCCATCAGCTCTTTGACCTCTTCCAAAGGCTTCTTTTGAACAAAAGAAAGTTCCTTGATCTCATCTTGTACCAACTCCCAGTCTTTCGTCATATTTTATAGTATTGTAGCTCGAGAGTGCACCTTTTGATGCGATGTTGGTAGACCAATAGGCATTCGATGTGCACTTTTGAAGTGCGAATGTGCAGTTGCAAAGTAGCGGTGCGCGGGCGACAGGCCAGCAAAGATACACGAGCGTTTGTGACTTTGTTGTCAGACCTGAATGTGCTAAAATTGCTTTCAGTAAGGCCATTGTGCGATTCTGGACATATGCTGCGGTTATAACAACACGCGTGGAGAATGCGATGTGCAAAAGTAAGCAGGGGTTCAGGTGAGGGACAGCGAAAGTGCAATTCCGCCTCTAGTATATATTAGGTCTAGCGCATGAGGCAGGAATTGCACAGCCCCAAACATTAGGTCTGGCCGCAATCTCAATGCCTGCGCTTCTGGATCGAAGTCGGGCTTTCGCTGTCTCTACATCTTGCTACTGCGGTGATTATTTACCTACCTGATCTACGTGGGGTACACCATCTCTGTACATGTCCTCCGTGTTCCCATCTTGCCAGCCTTTCAGTTCGTTTTTGCGCAGCACTTTCCATTCCATAATCTTAGTAGGCTCGAAAGCGACTTCCTCTTCCCCTTATCTACGTAGATTCTCTAAATCTACCTTCGAGTACTCTCGCTTTGACCATTTCTCCTCAAGCTCACTCAACCGCCAAAATTCTTTTGGCTCAACTTCTCTAGTAAAGACATATGCACCAAACATCTCCATCCAGTAAAGAAGCCCTCGATCAACGTATATCCCCGGGACCATGTATCGCGCCGGTGATCCAGCCCAGTGTTAAATCCTGTAGCCTTCTCCACGTTGAACAATGGCGAGGCTCGAGAAGTTATCAGGCGGCGGAGGGATAAATCGCCCACTACTGGAGGCATTCAGATCTTCCTTAATATTCGGAAGCGAATAGATTTTTTACCCCGATCTTGACATGCGTATAGCAATGCTTACAGTCAAAGGTTTTGGTGCCTTCGCAACGAAGATCTGTACCAAACACCTGGTTGTAGTCCAACAAGTTCAGGTAGATAAAAGCACTCCGTCTCCAGGTACTCATCTCGAAGGCGAGAGTGGGAAATCAGGACGCTGGGTAGGGGCGTGTTATAGACTGTGATAACTGCTAGGTCGCTGGCAAAAGGGTATGTTGCACGGTAGTGTGAGATGAGTCTTATGGTGTAGGTACCTGTAGATCTTGTCTCGGATCCCGCGTGGAAGGGTAAGAAGGTGCGGTCTTAGGTCATTCATCCTATGAAGTAGCCTTGCGCTGGGTGCGGGGGCTGTGGAACAGAAAGAAGAGTTCAATCGATCAGTTGTTCTTGGTAGGAAGGAAGCACCCTTGCTGATATAGTATAGTGGTGATGTTAGTAGACGAAGGTATAGCATGTGATACGGGTCTCTGCCAAACAACAGGCGAGTATTGTGTCGTTTGGTCGTTGGCAAAGGCGAGCGACATATTATGCGCAGTACGGTAACGCTAGTGCAGTATCGTCGCACGAACCTATCACGATGACGCATACGCAGGTGAAGGTGGAAGGAAAACATACAAACGGGCATTTCTGGGCCCAGTACTTTCCTATGCACTATTCTAGCGTCAAATCATTATTTCTAATATACCGTGGCTTCATTGCTCCGTAATTCCTGACAACGTAGAAAGGCCATGGATAGTTTTGCTCACTGCAGCAGGACGGACCGAAAAGATATCATTCTACACATCTTGAGAGTATTCGCAACCTCTAGGTTCAGCACAAAATCTTGATAGCTTTACTACCGATAGGTAGATGATAGCCAAGTCAATGTCATCCCAACGTAGTATCTTGAGGGAGTTGGTGACCAGCTTTTCTGCACCGCATCCTCGTTAAGGTACTAGTTGAGTTGGGACTTGAAATAGTAGAGGAGAGGGTGAATTGGATAGGCGAGCAGAATATCATCTCAATGTGGAGAAGAACGTCAAAATTGCAGGGTACAATTAACAGAGGTATCATATGTACGAGACGCTAAAAAAACAGACAGCAAACAGAAATGAGCCTCAACGGCCACCAATTTGGCCTTTGGGAATAGGCTTCACCCACATGAACATGCAGTTAAGCACAATGATCATGATGCCAACAATCCAGAACACCTGCGCATAGTCCGTCTTGTGGTAGCGGAAGATGATGGCAAAGATGATACCACCAAAGTTACCAGTCGCGCCGACGATACCAGAGAGGATACCTTTGAGGTCGTTAGTAAGCTATACGTTGGATTGAGAGAGAATTAAACGTACCATTAGCGTGAGGGTGGATGTGAGGTACGAGCGCAAAGTTCGCACCGTTACCAGCCTCCAGAAAGATCGCCATAACAGCGATGAGACCGATCATCTCGCTCAAGTTGTGCGGGTCTAGCTTGCCAATGACGATGCAAAAGATACCAGACATGACGCCGACGAAGTGAATCCAGAACTTCTTCGCCCAGAGGTTGTGACCGGTAACCTTGTAGATTAGATCGGCGACAAAGCCACCAAGCGGTCGAGTAATAATGTTCAGGAGACCGAACATAGCTGCCCATCGTCCAGACTGCGTTTGTCCAAGGTACGGGAAGTTCTTGAGGTAGTAAGCACCCAGAATGGAATTGATTGCTAGTTCACCGCCGAAAGAGCAGAAGTAGCCCGCGCAGAGCATCAAAGTTTGAAGTGAGAACATAACTTTGAGTCCTTCCTTCAAGGTGGGTTTGACGACTACTTCGTGTTGGAACTCGTCCACGATTTGAACGTCACCGCGGCCAGATTCAACATCAGAGGTCGGTCGTTCTTGCTTCTTCTCGTCACTGGAGGAAATTGATCCGGTAGTCGCAGGCTTGTCATCCAAGGCTCCAGTTGTGGGGACAACAGACGCAGTGTGGTTCTGGTCGGCGCTGGATGCGACGGCAGCACCGCGCTCAGACCACTTTCCTGTAGGCGTGTCTTCGGTCAGAAGCAGAAGAGCGGTGGCGCAAGCGGTGATCAGGATGAAGGGAACGATGAAGGATACTCTCCATGCGACGTGCGAAGAGAGGCCTTGGTCGCCCTTGAGAGAGTCGTAAATGGCAGGCATGACGAAGCTAGAAGGTGTGAGCGAAAGTCGCCATATGGAACAAGACATGGTGCTTACTATGTGATACCACCACCAGAGTTACCCCAGCCGCCGACTAGGGCATTGGCAGTTCCAACGACATTCCTGTCGAAGAAACCAGTAGTCCAGACCTGACAAGGCACGAAAGTGCCTCCGAGGATACCAACGAAGAACCGGATGAAGTACAAGCCCATTGCGTTGTGAGCGGTACCAGCAAGCGCAGTTGGGATAGCACCGGCGAATAGCAGTGACGCAAATGTGATACGCGGGCCAAAGTGATCGCACATAGGTCCCGCAATGAAGCGAACCAGTAGTGTTGCGCATAGCGCGACAATGTTGGAGTTGGCGATTTCATTCTGGGACAGATGCATGTCTGCCTTGATACTCTTACTCAGCTGTGAAGGTGTTAGTCGGAATCATGTGCACAGTGACGTGAGATGAGGGTGACCATACCAGAGGTGGAAACGCGTACCTGGACATTGTTAGCATACTCTAAAAGCAAGGACCCACATGTGGGGAAGGACTTACCATGACCAAAACGCAATGAAGAAGCCCAGGTACGAGAAGAAAAACACCCGTCCATACTTGTTGATGGGGTTCAAGACTGGGATGGAAGTGGCCTTCTTGTTGTAGGGGTTGATCTCTGGTGCCGACCAGAGCATGTTAATCGCGAACGGCATGATGACGATAAAGATGACCTGGAAGGTCTAGTCCTGCTGTGTCGCTGGTATTTCTGGGAAGGTTGGAGACGAGGATGTCCAGCTGGCGCGGCTTCTCAGGCACAGTAGAAGAAACGGGAGCGGGCGCTTGCTGAAGCCGCAACTACAAACGGAAGCCGGGAAGTTATATAGGTTGATACACAAACTTCCAAAGATGATACTTCCGCGGTGAAGCAGGGTGACGCACAGCTAAGGTTGTGGCGTAACTCGTTCCCCAGGCCAAGTGAGATCAGACTTCTCCGTTCCTGTATTCAGTAATATTGGCGAATTCGTTATCTTCGTTGGCGATACCTAGCACCTGCGAGCCCAATGCTTCGGAGAAAGTATGCTTTGCCGCGTATTCGGGTGTAAAGAGTGCCTCCGATGAGCGCTGGGGTATTAACTTAGGATCCACATGCTCTTGTAGCGAATCAAATCTCATCGTCAACTGGCTAAACTGTAGCACAAGAGACTGAATTTCAATTCGACTGGCCGTGGTTCGCTAAGTTGAGGTTTGACGCGGGATGGTGGGGGACGGCAAAGGCGTTCTCTTATCTCTTGGCGCTAACCAGGCGAGAGACTAGACTCACTGTAGTCGAAGCCAACAAGGATCCTTATCAGAACGTCTCAAGATAATATGAATCGCTGCTTTTCCGCGGTCAGTATCTGACAAAATGCCTGTGTCGCCAATAACTTCAACCTCAACAAGTTCCTGTTCCTAGCACAAGCATACTAAGACGTGTCGAACTGGTGGCGTTGTCGAGAGCATTCAGAAGTGCTGCAGCAAATGACACTGGTTTGGAACGTCAGATCTGGACGTCTTCTGAATTCACAAAACGTGGTTTGCTTTTGTGTTCTAGCGCTTCCACAGACTTGGTGTGTTGGGTGTCGTGTGTTTCTACCGGGTGCGTGTGGAGACGTGGCCCGATAAGCACAACCGTAGCTCTACCAAGCAGGCGGGTGTATTCGCACGTTGCACAATTCTTACCTGTCAACTTGGTGTTCCGATCGCTTCTTCCTTTGTGGATCAGCTCCTAGCATAATTGCTTGTGAAACACGCTTGAGCCAATCAATCGAGGGACGAGAGTCTTATCTCGCATGACTGCGGATTCGCCCCGAGAACGCAGAATATGCACAAGGGCTCTTGGAGAACATTGATGATCTGGGGGGATATATCGCCTTGGGTCTCTCTTGGATTCATGGTAACGTCATCGTTTTCTTGGAAATCCGATATCTGATTCTCATCACGCCAAGACTCGTCGATACTTGGAGATCATGTCTGGCTCACCGTGACGAGTTTTTTGGTGTTTTCAGTATGTTCGGGGGCTTTTGCAGGCGGAGATCTCGGAATAAGGCCTAGCATGTGAAGATTGCTGCCGCCGCTGAAGCGACATCGGAGACGAAGACCGGAGAAACCATCTTAATTGCTCAGCTGTGGCAGAGAGACGATGCGTCTCCGGGAATTTGAGAAAGAATATTGTACTGCATGTGTGGGTATGCTCCACAGTGGAGTCAGCTGCAGCTGTTGAGCCTCACCGCGGAGATCCTGCGCTCGTCCTGGGGCAGTGACACAGCTGCTTCGTTGCTCTGTTGACCGTGACTTCGATACGATACTCAGCGACAATCCTATCGCGATCTTGTCGATTCTACAGTAGGCGCCGATGGAGTGGTTACTGATGAGAAGTAGGCCCTCTGACGTATCCGTGCAGTTCCTACATTGCCTACACTTTACATTCTTTCGTTTGCCAATACTCCTTGGCGCCCAAGACGCCCAACCCGTATATCGCCGCACCACACACAACCAGCACATGCATGATTTGATGGCTATTCCCTACAACATCGCACCTCCTGGGATACCATCTCTCAGGGATTCTCGCAGCGTACAACATGGCCCCAGTGCCATGGCACACGCCCAGCCCAAGATAATAGCCCAACCCCATTCTGTGATTCATATCCTCCATTCCGTAGAGACAGATCCCGTGGATGATTGGGAGGAAAGATGATAATCCTAGAAGGAGATAAAGCGTGGTGCGAAGATGGCGGGACTGGGGGCCGGAGAAAGAAGGGTGAAGAGTGGTGAGCGCGCAAGCAAGGCCTACCACAGTGGCAAAGACACCGTAGGTATCCTCCAGTAAAGGCTCACAGTGGAAAGCAAAGTGCGTACTGGCAATGGTCGTGCCATAGAGTGGAACCACGATACCAAGGTAATCGAATCGGCCCGTCCAGGTCCGGACCTGCTCACTGTGATCAAGGAAGATGTGGTAGCTGCCGAATGTCAGTCTCACCAGTTCTTCTGTATCTAGAGCTGTGAATGTAGGGTCAAGAGGTACTGACATAAACGAAAAGAAGAAACAAGTTATGACGGAGCCAAAGTAGACGTAGATTGCTCCATCGTCGCCACTCCTATTATTTTCTTCAATACGACTTTGACGTGTAGAAAAGTACAAAGCAACTGCAATGCAGGCGAACACGGCGGTACCCAGAATGTGTGACCAAATGTTCACTGTCTCATTATGGATCTCAAGGACGCTCTTTAGAGAGCGTAGGTACGAAAACGTTGCTCGTCTGGTTCTTGTCGTCAGTTCATATTGCTTTGACGGTAAGATAATCGAGATCATACCGATAGGATGTGAGCATGAACTCATTGTCTCGCTGCCATGGCACTGCATAACACATATGAGTTGATCTCTTTCCACAGATCCATTGAGTATGGCATAGAGTCGAACTTACAAAGATCGTCCCATCCGATCAGTGCATTGTAGTCTTCAAAAGCCTCCTTCTCGCCCCCGTCGAAACGGACATGTCGCGATGTCGTCGTTGCTCCGTACCCGTAGCCATGGTTCTCTCCCTTCAGAATCCCCGCTTTCTCTCTAGCGTCTTGGCATGCGTGTGATGTCATGCTATTAAGCTCAACTGAGGCTGATGTTGACCGCAACCAGAAAAGTATCTTTGCTATGTCTTCGTAGAGGTTTGAGATTAGCGGAACAAATGGATATGGCGATAGCTCTACTTTTGTGTTGATAGGAACATGCCCTACGCAATAGTCACTCGCAAGATCATTCATCAAGTCGTCACACTTGCGATGCACGGCCGTGACGCAGTCAATGAGTCCGCGGACCACTTCCGCCTTTATGTATTTATGATGCAGCCAAGATACACGGTATGCCTGTGTAATATTTATTCTCTGTTGTACGTCGTCTCGCCGGATTAGTATGATCCAAGCAGTTTCTGCTGTGTATCTCTATCTCCATCGCCCAAAGACCCGACTCTCCTGTTTCCCCTGAGAGCGATTGATCTTACGGAATCCATTGTTCAAGAATTATGTTTTCATGTCAGGCTCGCTTAGATTGTCGTGGCTGTCTATAGCTCGTCAGTCAACCTTAGCCCATCGCGTGCAACTCTCTCCCTGCTTGGACGTGTTCTCAGCATTTGCTTTTTCTTACCCAAACTTCAAGAACGTGAGGTTTGCTACAAAAGTATTTCCTAAACAGGCAACTTCGAGTTTCCATCGATCATAGCCGTCTATGGGTGAATAGAATCGTGGTTGTTGAGTGCCTTGTGGTTTGACAAGCGATGAAGGCTCCTGTTCTCACAGCTCGTGTTCACCTAGTTAGCTCACTCTACTTTCTCTATCTCAGTATCTATGGGCATCGCAATCTGAAGCTTGCCATAATCCATTGCCTAAATAAGCGATCGGTAGAAAAGTGTTTATCGTGGTAGCTTGTGAATGAATAGAAACTGCCATCACAGGTTCGTCGCCATCCTCCTCTCTGTGTTCACTCGAAACCTGCTCTTATGTCTAGGCTTTCTCCAAATGACTTTCACCAAAAGTTATTTCCTAAACAGGAAACTATGCAGTATCTGTTGATCGCGGTGCCGTTTGCGTGGAAGTAGCACGGCCTGCACGCGGCCAACACACTCACTCATCCATCACTGCGAATCCACACCCGTCCACCGCCTTCTGCTTGCCCCTCAAAGTCTTCCTCGTCCTATGCTTTACCAAAATGAAGGTCTATCACGCCGACAACTGCCGAAACAGGTAACTCTCTAATACCCGTTGATTGTGGTGCCCTTGCAGTGAAAGTACCACAGCCACCACCAGCTTCAAATATGCTCAACCTTACCACGCCGTTCCATCCATACCTACTCTTCACTCGCTCCACTGTACGTCTCCTTCATTTCCTTTCCTCTTGAGCGAAGTTTGCCAGATTGATACTTCCCGATCAGGTAACCTGCGATCAAGTGTCGATCGTAGCGAGGTTTTGGTGAATAGAATCGCAGCTGGTAGCAAGACTAAGTTCAGTATAAATTCAGCTTTCTTCACGCCTAATGTTGCCATGTCCGATGGGAGATGTGTTATTGTCTAAAGTAGTATCGTCTTATGATGGTTGAGACGGTCCTCCAGTTGATGGAAAATTGGACTAGGAAATTTGTGACTTGGTTCAACCCGCGATTAGGTCTGGCATCCTCTCACACCATGAAACCATTTGTCTCTGTAGTCACGTTGTGGAACTCGAATATCGTCGGCTCAAGCCTTGCATTGCTCGTCATCCCATCCGCTCAATACACGCGCATCATTCCTCGTAGCAAGACCGAAGTTTCAGCATAAAGCTAGTAAGGTTTTCCATGACAACATTCTAACAACCGCGCCTGATAGACCGGATACTGTTCAACGATTATAGACCATGGTTCATCCTCGACGATGGAAAATGCACCAATCCAAGCAGTTCCCAGCAATCAACAAGTAGTAATAGGTCATGGGTTCCATACACGGAAAACGTTTGCATACAGTCAGAGAACTGAGAGGATCAAGGACAGAGAAGTATGTAGGACGAATGGCGCGGACTTTCGACGGGTACGTAGACCAGGAATCGCCGTGCCTAGTTGGATTCTGAAGGAGAGGCTTATCGTATCTCTTTTCGATTACGGGTTTAAAAGTCGGGAAATAGGTGCCCGTGACTATTCGGACACGTCAGAATGTGGTCTACAGTATAAGGAGGACTCTGCACGCACGGGTCATCTCCTGCCTGACCGTATGCCTCCGTCTCCTCCGGATACTTATCGAATTGGCTGGCATCGCCAACGCCAGCTCGCACAGGGGGCACGTAGGGTGCATCAATGTCCTTCTTTTGTAGTCGGTCCCATGTCACTTCGGCGAACCAGGGGTGGTTCATAACGTCCTTGCTTCCGCCGTGCAAGTTGCCCAGTCGCTTGGTGAGATCCGGTGTGATGAGTTTCTGCAGCAGGTCGTGTGCGTCGGGGTGGATGTATGGTGGGTACTTCACCCTCGACTTGAGGATGTTTTCGTAAATCTTCATGGGTGAACCACCGTCCCAGAAGGGAGTGAAACCGCACAACATTTCGAAGATGAGAATTCCAAGCGACCACCTGCTGTTGTTAGTGCGAGTCGCGTCTTTACGCACGTTTTGACTTACCAGTCGACAGACTTGTTGTAGCCTTTTGACGCAACAACCTCTGGCGCCAAGTAATCAGGCGTACCGCAAAGTGTCCATGTGATGTCGGGGACCTCTTTGGCGAAACCGAAATCAGTGATCTTGAGATGACCGTGGCGGTCTAATAGCAAGTTCTCGGGCTTCAAGTCTCGGTAGATGATATTGTGCGAGTGCAGGTAGTCGAGCGCGAGCGTAACCTCTGCGGCGTAGAACTTGGCAACGGGGTTCGGGAAGCGCTGAGGATGTTAGTACTGGATAGCAGCCTCAGGCTAGGGAAGGAGTAATAAATGACGTACCTGGGACTTTCGCAGCAGACTAAACAGCTCACCTCCTTCTACAAAGTCCATGACCATGTAGAGATTCTTGGAATCTTGGAAGGTGCCCCACAGCGTGATCAGGAACGGATGCTTGACCTGCTGCAGCATGCGCCGCTCGTCGTTGGTGTGCTCGACCTGCTTCATCTTGACCACCTGGGCCTTCTTTAGCACCTTGACGGCATAGAAGCGCTGGTTGTGCTTGGACTGGACAAGATGGACTCGCCCAAAGCTGCCCGTGCCGAGTGTCCGCTGGATGGTGAAGTCGGTCAGCGAGTACTTGCCCTTGGTGACACGGGTCTGGTTGAGCGGCTGGGTCTGAAACTGCACGGCGCCGCCATTCTTAGGGGCCGACTGGTGCGAGCTGGTGTTGTTGGGGTGTATCAGGTTCTGTATGCTGGGGACATTGTGCGATGGCGTAGGGTTGGACTGGGGACTGGCGCCAAACTGCTGCTGCTGTTGGGCGTAGGCGGGGTTCATCGAGTCGGCCGGCTTGCTGTTTGCGGCAGGCGCGGCCGGGGCCGTGGTGCTGGTGTTGCTCACAGTATTGGTGAGAGACTCGTTCGTCTTCGTCTTATGGAGGTGGAAGGAGCCTGACTTGCGCGAGGTCGTGGGCGTAATGGGCGAGTGGCTGTCCTTGATGGGCGAAGTCGGCGAATCAAGGTCCTTGGAGCCGTTCGAGTCCTTGGTCCGCTTCTTCTTGAGGAAGCCCAGAGTAGGCATTGGAGGGGCGGATCGAGGAATGCGGCGGCCCTGCCCTGCCTGTTCCTGGACGCAGCTCGGGCGATCTCAGCAAGCAGCGGCCAGGAATGCGCGGGGAGCTCGGGACGGTGTTGGGCGGCGCAGAGGACAGCAATTGATGCGCTCAGAATGGGTGTGAATGCGCGGGCGTCAGCAGAAGCAAGGTAAGGATGGCGTTGGTCAGGGAGTGTTTGCGGCGTGGGCGGGCAAGCTTTGGGCTAGTTGATGGGACGAGGTTGGGCTAGACAGTACAGGCTCGCTCGCGGGGAAGAAGCGTCCAAGCTACCACGAGCGGGCGGCATTGGCAACATGATCCAAGCCTCGTCAAAGAACCATGTTTCAGTCGGCGCCAGCATCTGTGTTTGCCAACTGCGCTCAATGCCCTTTAACCAGTAATGTCTCATTGAATGCAATGCATCCCAACTTCAACATATCCATTCATTACATTGTGTTAAGCCCAAAGAGGCTACACGCGAAGCATCGCTTGTTGCGTCATGCGTACCGTCCATGGTCGTCCCAGGATTGAGGAACATGGCTCCCGAGTCTTAGCCCTGCTGATATACCCAGCCTGCTATACTGCGAACAGCTAGCAAACCAACAGTCCCGACCGATCAACTCCTAGCTATGCGCGCCAACATACATGATACACCGAACACCGACCCTACGTACCGTACGAATAACCCAAGAAGACTCATTATACAAACATGACTCGAAAGTAACCAAATCGCACACGTTGCATCATCAAAAGAAAACTTTGCCGTTTCATAGTTCATCATCCACCACGTTCGTTTCACCAGCCCCACCAGAGACCACGATCGGCTGGTACGTCTCCAGGTCAAGGCCGCACACTTCCATGCGTCGTTGCCGGAATCTTTCATAGAGGTTGCTCCATGCCTCTTGTGCTTGTTCGTTCTGCGGTCGTAGCTTAGCGCGTTCCGAGTACGGGACGTCGTACTCTGGTCCTGGTATTTCGGGATCTGACAGTCTCACGAATGTGGTCATTTTCTCAAATGCTGTCGCGTTGAAGTCGTCGACGACATTGCGCAGGTTTTGCGACTCGTAGACGACGTTGCCCATTGACAGTGACCATTCGGAGATTAACGAGTCTGGGACTGTGAAAGTTTTCCGGAACATGTTCAAGTCGGAAGTAGGTTTCGATGCGCGCATTGTTCTCAGCTGGTTGAAGCTTTGTTGCGACGGGTGTATCATCAGAAGAGACGTCGACATGTCTGTTCGCTCTGGTGTAGCGGGGTATGCAGCCATGGGTTCTGACTTGGAGAAAGCCAGCAACGAGTCCAAAGCTGATGCATCGAGCAGTACGCCTGGGCCTTGGAGATAGAGTATGCGCTCGTAGTCGACCAGTGAATACAAGCTTGCTAGCGAGTAAGAAGAGGGCAGTGTGTCTGATGCTGTTAGCGATCGGCAGGACGTGGCTTCCTCAGCTCAAGACTCACCATCTGCGCCTTCCACAATTGGCTCCATCGGCATGAGGGTGACACCGTACCGCCTCGCCGCTGTCCTCAGCAGTCGCCTTGTGGTCGACATTTCCGGACCGTATTTCTCGTCATCTGACTCCACCAACCATAGTTTGGGAAACATCAGTATTCTTTTGGCGGGGCTCTTCATCCTGTGCAGGTCAGAGAGCAGCATCACTGCACTGCATAGTTCCACATGCTCCCTCACCACCTGCACGTAACCCAGCCTGCTCCAGTCCATTGTTTGCCCTGCAATGTATTGCGCATAGGTATCGTCCACCTCGGGTCGGCCGCCCATCGGTCTTGCCCATTTTGCGTCTAATGTTGGAGGTTCTATCGGCTTCGGAGGCGGTAAAGGCTTGGGTAGCCGCGGTTTTATGGCGGCCTGTAGAGAATGTACGTATCGCTGTTGTAATACCCACCCAGAAAGGAAGAGTGCAAGTGTGAAGAGTAGAACTACATGCAGCGTTAGTGGATGCGACTTGTCGGTCCGTTGTGGACTGTACGTACCAATTGTTGCCGACAGGATAACACCCACCTGGCTAGAAGAAAGGAGTAGTCTTCCCATGGCTACAAGTAAACGCTGAATGTAAGAGGTATAATAATGCTACGATAGTCCAGAATGTCGAATGCTAAGAGTAGCTCGTGCAGGAGAGCGCATGCCGTGGATTAGTGTGACGTGCCATGTGGATCTAGATGTTCATAGGGCTGCATGTTGATCGTTGGCGTTGAGTGGGCAACTATCGATACTTTGGGAGCTGGCAAGACCCCCCGGTTCAAATTATCGCGACCACTGCGCGAGCTTCATACAGCACCACCCTAATCTCACCCATACTCCGTGCCCAAGCCCAAGAGCTTCCGAGGTCTCGAATTCCCTGTCGCAAGAATACTCCACACCTTCACATGTCGAAACCGCAGTTCGACCGCGCCGACGCCAGCGCGCTCCTCGACGACAGAGGCTATCGCGGAGCCCTCATCAGAGGACAGAACCCCGCGCTGCTCTTTGAAAAGGGTGTACGTGAGCGCATTACCGAGTCATACTACTGGAAAGAGCAATGTTTCGGTCTGAACGCTGCAACTCTATGCGACCGCGCGGCAGACCTCAAGTTCATCGGCGGGACAACAGGAATTACGGGCAAACCTACGCCATTTCTATGTCTAGCATTCAAGATGTTGCAGCTGGTACCGGACAAGGAAATCATACTAGAGTACCTGAACTTTCGCGACGATGAGGAGGACGAGGCACAAAACGGCGAGATAAAGAAGGAGGGAAACGGTCACTCATCAGAAGACGAGGATACGACCAAGAAAGCACTCGACCTAAACGCAGCAGGAAAACTTGGCGACTTCAAGTACCTGCGCTGCCTCGCCGCCTTCTACATCCGCCTTGCTTGGGAGCCCGTCGAAATCTACACAACCCTCGAACCCCTCCTCACCGACTACCGAAAGATTAAGCGACGCCTCAAAGACGCCTTCACACTCACATACGTCGACCAGTTCATCGACGACCTCCTCACAAAAGACCGTATATGCGCAACAAGTTTGTGGAAGTTGCCGTCACGCGCGAACCTGGAGGATCTAGATATGCTGGAGCCGAGGGAGAGTCCGTTGGGCGATGAAATTGATGAGCTGGATGAGGAGCTGGACAAGAGAAGTGATGCAAGTGCGAGGAGTTACAGAAGTAGGAGCTATGATAGCAGGAGCAGGAGCAGGAGCAGGAGCAGAAGTCGGAGTTATGATAGCCGGAGTCGTAGCAGAAGTCGCAGCTATGATAGCCGGGATCGGGGAAGAAGTCGCAGTCCAGGAGAGCCGAGTCGGTCAAGGAGCAGGACACGCAGTAGGAGTACAAGTCGCAGACGGGACTAGATTTATGAGAATGAATTGCTGCTGAGATTACCTCCGTTCCACTTAGGTCGCGCGCATCGAATTTAGCCATATACCACCCGTCGTTAACTATTGCCGTAAATTCTATTACTGATGCACCTTTTGTGAAGACGTTTCTACTTTCCTAAATTGTATTTTACATGCAAAATGTACCTTGAAGGTATACGCTGTAGTTTACATCATACTATATGGATATAAAACACTACAAATGACTTCAAGGTACTCTATAGCACTGCGGCAAAAGTCATGACTGCGAGCTCTTGTGTTCGAGCTGTCTTCTACAAGTTGAATCGCGCCAAGTATCTCCTATTACTACAATGAAATGTAAGCTAGACTCAAAACAGTGGAAGAGACTGCTTCATCTCGCGAGCAACTACCAGCAGTAGTAGTCTACCCAAACGCGCTCTACCTAGGTGATATCTCAAGGAGCACCACAGTCGCAACACCGCTGAGACCCTTGCACCACCCGAGAGCGTTCATCACACTAGTTTCTCCATTTACCACTTCGTCATACAACCCCTCCTCTCCCGCTCGACACACCATGGAGATGGTGTGAGCGGTAACCTGAGAATCGAACATGTAAACGCCTCTGACCTCAGCCCAGCTGATACACTTGGATCGGAAAGCTTATATCGCATCTTCTCACGCCACGCCAAGGTAAGCCACAACCGCCATGCTGTGACGTGCGCCATGCCTCTTGGTATACGTGAATCGACCGATGCTCATTGCAGCGGGAATATTACAAGATTTATAACCGAATCAACGGCAATAAGGTAGACTTGGCAGCATAAACAGTTCATGCCGTGCATGCAGCATCTCTGGCACAAATGAGAACTGGTTTAGTTGCACATTTCATAGACAAGGACTCGGGATTGTGAATTACAGCATAGATGACAAAGCATCCATGGTGACATTGAATTCAGACTATTCAACAATGGGTATTAGAACTCGAGATTAAAAATATACATCTTCGTCATGGGTATCATCCCATGCGGTGGTCATCAACTTCGGCGTATTCTGTGCCGACCCATGACCTGTTTCTCATCTTTTTGTGTCCAACAGGCGACGCATTATTTACAGCTGTAGCATTCTATGCACTGCTCTATGCTGCGTGCTCACGGGCAGCCGAGTTGTCGACCTTGTTGCGACGCTCACGGCCCTTCTCAGACCAGGGGAAGTGAGCGACGGGAATGACGAAGAAACTGTAGAGGAAAGGTTAGCACACATGCCATGATGGTACCGATGGAAGTTGTAAACTAACCTGTTGGAGCTGTCCGCAATACCAGCGAGGGCGTTGTACCAGGCAGCGAAAGCGGCCATGAGACCAAAAGCACCACCAGCGACAATGCAGTCACTCTGAGGACCAGCGGCACCGGCGTTCAAGTATCCAATTCCCAGCATGAGGAAAGCCAAGTCAAGAGTAAAGAAGAGGAAGAAGAAGGCGACGGTTGATCGGAGTGTGCAGAGTAGTAGGAGGAAGGTAAAGATGAACCAGCCCATGAGGAAAAGACCAAACGAGTTGTAGAAGTCGCCTGATTCAACAAGAGTCTCCTCAATGGCGAATCCACCTGGGGTGAGGATGATGGCGAAGGCGATCCAGAAACCACCGTAGGATGAAAGGGCAGTGGCACCGAATGTGTTTCCAACGGCCATTTCCCTGGTCCCTGTCAGATAGAGTGTCTAAACATTGTACACAACAATACATACCACATGCCAGCCAAAAGCTGCACAAGACCTCCATAAGCGTATGCGATAGCCACAACAATGTTGGGATGACCAATGCCACGGGTCTTGACGTTGATCAAGGAGAGAACAAAGGTGGTAAGGGCGAAAGCCGACAGACCCAGGGGAGCTGGGTTGGCGAACTTGCGGTTCGGTGGCCTGTATAGACCAGGCTGGAATTCACCACCGAAGGCTGCAAGGCGCATGTCTGGGTCGTTGGTAGCGACATGGGCAAGAGGGTTGCCTCCATAGTCGTAGGGAACCCTTTGCTTGGGGGCTCCTGCGCCGTTAATCGCCGCGTGGTCCAATGCGCTGGTGCCGTTGGTGTTCTTCTCGAAACTTGGGCCGCGCTGTGATAATAATTAGACTTGAAGTGCTTTACGCATGGAAGCAACATACTGCGGCGTCGTTGTGCTCACGAGCTGTCGCCATGATGTCTACTATGAGTGAATATAGTTTGGACTAACTCGAGATGGGTCAATGGGAAGAGAGTCTGGGGAAAGGGAAAGCAAGCCCACTCTGGGGGAGCGGAGAGACTGATATATGTCCAGACCAGACCTCGCAGGGAAAGCATGGTCCATCTACGTGTGCCATGAGCCGTCGTCCCATACTGGTGTTAGGCCCGCGACTAAGGGTTGGTAATTAGAATTCCAAACAAGTGCTAAAGCGGGCCACTCATGGCAATTCCCCATAGACGCCTCTCCATCCCGGGTAAAAGGACAGCATGCGTCTCCACAAGCGTGTCAATCAAGTGAGGGCACGGTGAGCGGACGAACGACAATCAGTCCAACTCAAGCCACCATGCGCCGTGTGATCGGCGCCAAAACTTACCTTGCCGAGGTCGGATGGACACCGACAAAGAGGATCGCAAGTGGTGCGCCAACCGATTCAACAGTAATTTGTCTTGTTCAGACGCCCTCGCTGGCTGCAATGACGCGGAGAAATTAGAGATGCTGCTTGGATTTTCGAGTGCGGATCGCCGTCCAAGTACCAAGCATTACATCATCGTTGCTTGTGATCATGACACATCAGCTTCCATCAAATGCCTTGAACGAGAACACGACAGACATCGCGAGAATGAGTCTTCGAGACATCGTATAACACACAGACCGCCATTGGCATTTGCATGTTAGCGGTCTGACTGCATGTTTACCCTTGAGGAGTGCCCCCTGCGAGAGACGCGTGCAGGAGTGGAGCTCAAGCCAGTGCACCAACGCTCAATTTACTCGGAGTAGTTAAACGCGAAATCGGCGTTCTGACCATCCATGTGTGTACGCGAACCTCCAATGTGGACACTCGTTCTCTGTTCGCTGAGCTAGGATACCGGATCTCGCGGGTACGATATTAGATCATAATATGAACGCAGCCCTTCCCTTGGTATTTGCGCGGCTGTTGGACTTTGACGCTTTTGTATTGGAAACAGCCACAACGCGTCCTGTTGCTCTACAAGCAATTTATTGGGCGTTGATTTGAAACTTGGGATCCTTAAAGGCCGCGGAGAGACGGGATGATGATTTTGTGCATGAGGTAAGGCGGCTAAGCTTTGTCCAAGAGCCTCGGCATAAGCCACCGGCATCTTCCAAAATCATGACATAACAAAAGTCTGGTAGAGCTAAAGAGACGCGCCGTCGCAACAGTTTACACAAATGCCGAATGTTAGAATTTGAAATTGTCGTTCAGAAAACGACGAGCGGAAAAGTCTGTCCATCAATTGTGGGATTGAGGATCCTAGCGTAGCGTGAAGCCGCCATCTCCCTGGTTGTCCGGGGCTGCATGGGGCCGCAAGTGGAGCAACATCTTACCACCCATCCTAGCCGTGCGGTTGAGACGCAGGCTAGTTGTTGCAATCCTTCGGACCAGCGGGAGCAGCTGTCAAGTCATTTGCACCTGCATCCTGCCGTTCCGTGTCCGTTGTCTCCGCGACGGAACTTGTGGTGCGTAAACGCGACGTGTTGCAATCGATGGTCTCTCAGAGTCCATTCATTGCCTGCAGCATCTGTTATCCTCGCCGGGCCTTCTTGTTGAAGGTAGCAGGTACAATGTGGAAGATTCAACCCAGTGTGCAACATTCGATTGGTATTGGATGCCATGATGATGGGTCACTCAACACATGCATGTCAGTTGCGCAAAGTAATATGATGGCGCCAACTGGTCGCACTTTAGGCTAATGAATCGATGTAAGATGCATCCTCACAATGATTGTGGTGGCATTGCTTGGGATGCTTTGTGTCTGCCACCGGGCTTGACCACAACGTCAAGAATGAAGCAAAGTTTATGGGACATGTTCACTGGGTGATGGCCAAAAACAAATCACTTTTCTTGTCCATTGCGCGAACGCGCTCAGGTTGCTTTTGTCAACGAAGAACCCCAGTAGTTGCCAGGACATACCACTGTCGAGGCGCCATACGGTACCTGCATGAAACAAGGAGAAGCCCTGAGCATTGTTGAACTGACCATAAAAAGGACCAATGTTCTGACAGAGCCGCAGGTCAGTGACAGGATATTGACAAGTCACTTGCTGTAGCGCGGATATGGGAGATTTGTGTTTGGCTGCTGTGGCTGGTCGGTCTCTGCCGCACTTCCACAAGGCTTCGGAAACGAGGAAGTAGGGTCCACCCAGATTGTGGAGGGACAAGATCTGGGGACTCCACTTCGACCCTGCGTAAGAGCGTGCCAGGAGTCAGGGCGCTGGGAGAGCGGAAAGAAAGTCTCGCCACCTTTGTGATACCGAGGAGCCAAGTGTTTCCCGCGGTCCTCCGGCACGCTCCTATCCACACAATGGCTGGGAGTTGCTGGTGTCCGTCTTGCCGACACGCTACGAGTTTGAACAGTAGCCATCAGGTGATGCAGGACGTCGTGTATCATCTGTTGGTTTGTGACCAGGAGAGTCTCGCGGCTCTGGCGTCACCCAGCAGTGTTCTGGACTCTCGATGATGCTTTGCCCAGCATCACCTTGCACACGACCACCCTCCGATGCCGCAACACGTTACGTGTACGGCTTGCATGTATACAGGAAAGGTGCGGAGAAGTATAATGTTTGTAGTTGTCTGGGCCTGTTGATTGATTTAGCTAAGAGCAACATTGCCTTATCGTAGTGCCACACCATATCACTTGGTAAATGCTGACTTTACCAAGTGTTGTCGTCGATTTACGACAAGAATCGCGTCCCCAGAAAGCATTGAGTCTACAGTCGAAAAGACGAGAGGACGTTGCAACAAACAGTACAAGGGGAGAAAAGTGGCGTTTCTTATCCCTCTCTGCCGGCTTGGTACCAACTTGGCGCGTCTCGCTACCAATACAGGCGCCGGTAAGCAGAGGAGGGCCGATGACGATACTGGAATGTCCGAGCTCGTCAATGGGAATGTCAAACTCTCAGTTCGAAGTAGGCTGGCGATATTTGCTTTGGTGTTGAGGCGCGTTTCTTGCGGAACGCCAGCTACGTAATGGGTGGACGATCTATACTTAGCGCGGGGGAAGCTGCCAGAGCTCCGCCACGCTACCCGTGGAGCTTGCCTGCTTGCCTGAACTCGGTGTTTAGGCAGATACAGTCGACGGTTGATGGCTTAATACCTTGATGAGAGACTCTAAAGATACAATACCTCAATTCATACACCAGACAGATTGCCAGCCCAGTATGTCAGACAACAACAACAACACGTCCCACGAGGACATGCCCAGCCTCTCCTACTTCGACCACTCATCAGGCAAGCGCGTCAACACCGACATTGTACTTGTTGAAGCTATCCGCTCGCAATACCCCAACCTTGATCTCGTTATCGCGCCTCAGGGACGGCTCAACCTCCTCGCCTACGCATACGCTGGCCATGCGAAGGCCACCCCCCTCGAAGATGTTGTGAAAGACCCCGTATACGGCCCTGGGATCAAGTGGCGCTCATATGCTCCACCAGCCCACAGGCTTGATCCTAGTCCCGGAAACATGGTCGAGCGTGTCATCTTTGGCAAATACATGTACAAATGGAAAGACCAGGAGGCTATTCTATACATCGCCGAAGGTCGCGATGGAGGGTCGTCATACCCGAACCCAACCTTCCATTACATCCTCTCAAACGCGTCGCACAAGATCGATGAGCTGATCAAGGACGCGACAAAGTGGGGTGGCGAACTACACAACGAGGTCTGGGTCTTCGATGGTGGTTACTGGCAGAAGAGTGCAGAACTATTTAACTCGGTACAAAAGAGTACATGGGATAGCGTCATTCTCGACGAGGATATGAAGAAGTCTCTCGTTGCCGACGTAGAAAACTTCTTCGATGGTCGACAGACGTACGAGGACCTAAAGGTGCCGTGGAAGCGCGGAGTCATCTACTATGGACCACCAGGAAACGGCAAAACCATCAGCATCAAGGCCATGATGCACAGTCTTTACCAGCGCGGTGCGAACGGTGACTCCAGACTCGCAGTTCCGACCCTCTACGTCCGCACGCTCTCATCTTTTGGCGGCCCTGAATACTCCCTAGCGCAAATCTTCGGGAAAGCTCGTCAAGAAGCACCCTGCTATCTTGTCTTCGAGGATCTAGATTCAATCGTTACTGACTCCGTGCGATCATACTTCCTCAACGAAGTAGACGGCCTGAAGTCCAACGACGGTATCTTGATGGTTGGTTCGACAAACCACTTGGACAGATTGGACCCCGGAATTGCAAAGAGGCCCAGCCGCTTCGATCGCAAATACTACTTCCCAAACCCCGACTATGACCAGCGCGTACAATATGCCAAGTTCTGGCAGGGAAAACTCAAAGACAACAAGGACCTTGACTTTCCTGATGAGCTCTGCGGGAAGATCGCTGAGATTACGTCCGACTTTTCTTTCGCTTATATGCAAGAGGCTTTCGTGGCATCACTCCTTGCTATTGCCGCTCGGGGTGGTAAGAGCGTCGAGGAGGCGGATCGCGAAGCAGAGAGGTGGGCAGGTCCCCAAGATCCGATGAAGTCTACCATTGGTACTCTACATGCCAATTTTGCACGGAAATTACCTGGAAACATGTTCGATTTTGCTCCCGAGTCGGACTCGGATCTTGAACAACTAGAGCTGTGGAAAGAAATGAAGAAGCAGGTCAAGATCCTGCGCGAGGAGATGGACGAGAAGAAGCACAAGGGCGACTGGGAATTGCCTACTCGGTCAAAGGTCGCGAATCCCATGCCAAACCCGACCCAGTTTAGAGACGAACTGGATGCGATCCTGCATGGAGACCAGGAGAGGCGCCCTGGGCATCCTCACCCAGGATTTGGGTACATGGCTAGTCAGACGAGGTTTGAGTAGAGACCGCTTAGTTTATACGACATGGAATGGTATGGCGTTTTGGTGTGATGTTATAGCTAGCTTTTATATAGTATGAAATGACCATGAATAATTGACGATCCATAAAGATGAGTTGGAGTTGACTCGAGCTATATGGTACAGCGGCCTTGAGCGATCCTCGACTTCAATATACTTCCTTGTCATCTGCTATGATATACAAGTGCCTCTTCGAATTGAAACGATGTAACCAAACCCCGGATGGTCTAATCTCCATGCATAGCAGCCTCCTCCATAGCCAAAACAGCATGCTCTAACTCCCTAACCCTCTGCCCCACCCTCCTCTTCACCTCGTCCGCAACCGCCCGATCCTCACCTTCAACAACGCCCCTGTAGTACTCGAGCAACGTATCCAACTCCTCTCTCGCCGCTGCCCGATCATCGGGCGCATACGTAGTGTTCTTCTCACTCTCCTCGGACGCAATTTCGAATTCGTCTTTGGCAGTACCGTACAACTCTTGTATCTCCTCGATGGCCTCGTCGACCGCTTGTTGCGTTTCTGGCGATAGCGAGGAAGGAGCTGAAGAGGTGGCCGACGCGAATTTACCACGTGGTGTGGAGGTAAATGTGCGGACGGAGGAGAGGGTGTTGTAGGGCGTGGGGAAGCGCGTCCATTGGTTTGGCGCGGCTAAGATGGAGGTGTTGCGTGCCTGGTATGGCGGGGGAGGGGAGGGTGATCGCGAGCGCTGTTGTGTGTAGGTTTGGTATGAGAACTGTTGGGTTGCTGGGTAGGATGTTCGTTGCGCTGCTATTGCGCTTGCGCGAAGGGTTGTCTGGCGGAGGAGAGTGCGGATGGGTGCTGCGCCGGATGCCATCTTTGGGGATGATTGTCTGTGGTAGGAGGCGCGGAATTGACGCGGCACTGAGCGTTGGGCTACATTGCGCAGCGAGGGCGCTTTTGTGAAGAGTGTGTGCGACATTGTGGGTGGTGGGTGTTGGTGAGATGGACGATGGTGAGCCTGAGGTTGACCGGAGTTAAGCTTGTCACGCGGACATGACGGTGTCGCGATCCGGTATCTCTCGTCACTCCTAGAGATGCATGGGTATAACTCATTCTGCCGCCGTTCTACCGAGCATGCTCATTGCTGCAACACCCTAGGGTCATTTAGTGCCATATTGTACTGCCTGAAGGTAATTATGAGGTGTTGAGGCATCCAATGCTCCTTATTTTGTAGGCTTGTAGACAGCCGTCTGTCGCAATACTTCGTAAATGCTCTCATTGAAACCAAACCACAGACTGCTACATAGTAGTCTACATACTTCCTCAGATTCAGGGAACATACGGTTGCTGCATACATAAACACGACCACAGCAAAACGTGATGAGTGCCTTTTCGATATGCTTTACATACTTAGAAAAGCTGCAGCAATTTATTGTGGTGATTGCTGATGTTTGTGCAGCACGAAAAACGTAACGTAGGTTTAATCAGGGAAGGGGCAAATCAAACTGGGAAACTTCGCTGCTGAACTTCGAAATTTAAACTTTGACCAGATTTTTGCTCTTATGCTCGCATGGACCATTCCATCTCATCTTATACCTTCTTCTGTGATACATGGACTTCCAGTGAGTGGTGACTCTCGCCTGACGCAAATGAAGAAAGCCTGAAGGTCGTCTAAAAGAAAAATTACGAAAACACCAAAGTCAGAAGTTACGAACACATCAACCGACATTCATTCCCACAAGTAGTGCCTAGTGGTAGTTACTCAGACACTACAATGCAATGCAGGAAGATGGTTTTCATACCGCCCCACCAACCCCACTGTCGCCGCTGTCCAGTCCCGTTTTGTCACTGAGCCGCCTTCGTAAGACCCAAACATGTAGATACAACTACAAGGTTTGGTGTCTAGATATATGTGATTCTACCACCATTTCTTCCATCAATCAGTTCCCAAGCGAGCGTAGTCTAGTGGTTATGATGTCTGCTTTACATATCACATGTAAAGTTACGCAGAAGGTCGGGAGTTCGATCCTCCCCGCTCGTATGAGCTATTGCATCATTCTTTTTGCAGTTTTCCGGACTTCTCCAGGTATCTAGATATTGTGGCAGGGGAGTTCTCTATCTTTTGAGCTTGTAGGATGGAAATTTGCCGAAATGGGTATGTTGAACAATTTTTTGCCATGTTCCGATTCTCAACCACAGTTCGATATCATATGCTACGCGGTAATACTGCTGCCGCACATGCTCTCGAACTGTATGTGGTTTCTAATAGTATTGCGGATACTGAACCGAATTGAGAGAGCACCGATTAAGTTCAAACATGGGCTTTGGTTCGATCACCACACTGCTTGCATGCATGCGTTCATCTCACGTCCATAGTGCTCTTCTTGTCCGTCCTGTATGATCCATATCTCTCGTTGCTTGCGTCTTGATTCAGTTGCGGAAAGTTCGCCGAAATCGGTGCATTGAACCCCTCTTTTTTGCGTTTTGCGAACATAACGCCCCACTACATTGTGGGCTTGCACAAGTCTAGGCGTCATGCTTCTGCGACAGTTGCTCGCTCCAAGTACATGAAGTTGACGAAATTGTCTATTTCGATACTGTGTTGGTCAGGTATTGGTAGCAATATAAGACCTATCTGTCAGAAAATTGTCATATTGCACCATTTGAAGCATCCATAGGTTGTGTAGTGTACGTTCACCCTCAACCGCAATGCGTTGAAGCATGCGCTCATTCGATTCTAGGTAGTGGTTATCACTTCAGATTTTGACTTCATTCAATTTTCTGATAACCCCGGTTCGGTAAGACATCTCTTCATCCGAGATTGAGTATCATTTCCTAACATTGAGAAGAACCCGGGCACGACCTCAAAAACTTCTTTTTTTGCTGTGTGAAGTCGTTGGTATACTGCATACCGTCGTGCTGTGATTCGCCGTTGATGCCAGATGACGTGCTTCTTTTTGTATGGCACATGCAATCAAAGGTAATGCAGTGATGCAACATGCATGAATTAATTCCTATACAACCTGGGTATATACTACTATTGTTTGATCAGCCTTTTGCTCCATTCTGCATACCAGTACGCCTCGCTATACAACAATGCCGGGATATCATGCTAACCACCGATGGCCATGCTATGCGCTACTATGATATACCTAATTCTTGAAAATACCATAAAACCCCCACTCTTTTCTTACCACCACCGTCTCGAGTTCCTTCCACTGGTCGCGCACTGCAAGCAATGTCTCGTCGACGACACCACCGCACAAGTTCCACACACATTCCTCCCACAATCATTGCACGCGAAAGGACTATGCTCCACAGCCCCGTCCATATCCATATCCATATCTACGTCCATATCATTGACTTCACTCTGCAGAGGTGTATCGCAATCTTCACACCGAGGCCATTGTGACGAACTCTGCTCCTGCTGCACAGGCATTGAGAAGATGGGTTGAACAGGCGGCGCAGGAAGCTGTTTCCAGAAAGAGTGTAGCGTAGACTTTTGCGGCTTCGATGAGACTGGATTGGGTTGTTGGTGCATTGGAAGAGCGTCAGATGGAATAGGTGAGGCGTCAGGGTGGTTCCGTTGCGCGGCAAAGAGCATATTCAGCGTATTTTCTGGCACAGAATTAGCATTATGTAGCTCGATGAAGTAAGTATGCAGGACCTACCGTGTATCGCTCGCTCATCGGGTCTGTTGTCGCGGACCCGCTTGCGCGTGCGGTTACCCCAGTCGCTGCTCTTGACCCGATTCACGCTCATAAAGTCCCAAGCATTGGATCTTGAGCTCACGTGCGCATCTGTGTCCATCATCTTATCGTAGCCTTTGGGAAATGACATTGGCGATTGTGCATCTGGTGTAGAGACAGCACCGAAGCTGGAAATGGAGAGCGGCGAGTCGTCGGACGAATGCTTGCGCTTGAGGCCCATGGTCGCGATAATGACAAGTAATTGGGTTTGTTGGGAATAAGTGGAAGGTGTGCTTTAGTTGGTTACAATGTGGTAGAGTGGTGTGCGAACGGAAGGTGAGATGAGACGAAACGGGGAATGATGATGCAAAGTGGTTGGCCTGGGAGACGCGATTGTCAGCGCGAGCGCGTCGCGTGATGGCGTGTCGGGATCGCATTGCATCACTACCCGAGAGCACATTCAAACGGAATCAATACATGTGCCATCATGAATTTTCGTTTCGATAGAGATGATATATCATTCCCGAGCCATTTGATAACCTTTGAATTCAGAATGTCCCAGCACACTTGCCCAGAGGGCGATGGTTAGAGCCGAAGGCATTACGTCGGTCATACGAAGGGTGAAGCTCACCTACCCCACCACCCCTCACACCAACACCAACTACTCCATACAACATCACAATACCAGTCTCCAAGGTTTGTACCAGAACATTTCGCTCGATACTTGCATTCCTAAAACCCAAGATGGTCACCCGCAAAGCTACCCACGCCGGCTCCTGGTATACGGACAACAAACAGCTCCTATCGCAGCAACTCGACGGCTGGCTCGGAGAGGTTCCCGACTCCACAACGCCCATCGGCTCGGCGTCCTCACAACAAGGCCAAGTTTCTATACCGACGCCCAATGCGCGGGCCATCATCGCCCCGTATGCTCCCTGAAGAAGCTATAGAGAACATAAGGCTCATGGACATGCAGGCATGCCGGATACTCGTACTCAGGTCCTGCTGCTGCATGGGCCTACAAGAGCGCTGACTGGGCGAATGCGTATGTATAACAATATCAAAACAATATCTAGATAATATACTGACTGCTTGTAGCAAACGTGTTTTCCTCCTCGGCCCTTCTCACCACTACTACCTCACTGGAGCTGCAACAACGGGCTGCGATAAGTACCGTACACCTCTCGGCGACCTCACTATAGACACAGAGCTAGTCGAGGAAATACAAAAAGAGTGGGACCTGGAAACAATGTCCAAGGGAGTAGACGAGGACGAACATAGCTTGGAGATGCATCTACCTTACATCTACAAGATGTTGTCACTGAAGAACACGACTTTCCAGAACGACTCGACATCTGTTCCACTAGTCCCCATCATGATCGGCAACACTGATGCAACCGCTGAAGCTCACTACGGCTCCCTCCTCGCGCCTTACCTCTCTGATTCTTCCAACATCTTCGTCATCTCATCTGACTTCTGTCACTGGGGTTCCCGCTTTCGATACACGTACTATCAGCCAGCTGATGGTTCAGCAGCAACCCAGCTTCGGTCAAGCTCCCGCGTACCTAGCGACTATCCTATACACGAGAGCATTGCGGCTGTCGATCACGAGAGTATCGATGCGGTAGAGAGTGGGTCACATAAACAGTTCTTGGATCAGCTCAGGAAGACGGGCAACACCGTGTGCGGAAGGCATCCAATTGGTCTCTTCATGGCTGCGGTAGAGAAGGCAGGTGAGTTGGGTGAAGGAAAGGGCATATTCAAGTTCCTACGGTATGAGAGGAGCAGTCTGGTGGAAGGAGTGAAAGATAGCAGTGTATCGTATTGCAGTGCTTTTGCAGTACTGTGAAGTAGATTCTATTCGAGTAGCTCGCTGAGCCCTCAAGAAGTGACAGTTAATAATAGAGAAAAGAATCAACGACTATGATCATGCATACATGCCAACAGTACATCGTAGCTAAATGCTGTAACGCCAATCCATGCATCCAAGATATCCCAACAAAACGCATTCCAGCTTCCCAAATACACATCATGATGGCCGCGGTTTTGGCATGGCATTATGCTTCACACTCCACGGCTGCATACTCCGTCTCGCACCCAACGTTTTCCTCTGTGCCGATTGATTTTGCACCTGATTCATCGACGTCGTGTGAAATGTAGACGCTGGTCGAAAGCCAGATGCTGGTGCAAATGACGATGATGTCTGCTTGGTCGGGCTTCCTGGGTCTATACCCTCTTTTCCTGCCTGATGCAAATCCTCTGCATCTGGTCTAGGGGGTGAACTAGACAAAAGGACGTATCGTGCATTCTCCGTCCCCGGTTCAGGCTCGGCACGTTTCGGCTTAACGAGGATCGGCCGGTTCGTAACTTTGTGACTGGGTATTGAGAGTGGTTGAAATGGACGAGGCGGTCGTGAGGCGGAAGGTTGAACGTTGGATATGTCATGTAGTGGGGCATGAGTGGGGAACGAGGACTGCGAGCGTTGTAAGGATGGCGCGGTGAAGGATGGCGGTGTTTCTGTTTCCTCAGATATCGCGCTGTTTGATCGTTTAAAAAAGCTCGTAATAGCACCTTGGCCTTTTGCAAGTGGCTTGACGGCTTTCACACGGGCAGGCTTTGCTTCTGCTTTCTTCGAATCATTGTAGGCTGCTTTGCCAGTCTCTGCGTCCTGAGCAGTGGCTAGAGTGCGAATGCGCTCTGCTTCTCTTTGCATCGCCTGGAGGTCTCCTAGATCCCGAGCACTAGTGAAACCAGCTTTGACGGTCGGCATCGTGGTTGTAGCCATGGAGAACCCAGACGTTCTATTCATGGTGACTGCTACTGAGTCTGTCGAGAAAGAGTTTGACGATTCCAATTTGCGCCGCTTGAAGGACTGATTTTGTCCATCACCGTTGGACTTTGCGCTTTTGTACTTGTCGGGGCCGTATGCGCCCCATGTTGGATCATCCCCGTCAATCTCCTCTCGAGTCGCTGGGTATCGATCATCCTCTGGATGTTCCAGCAACCCTAGAGCATTCTTAATATCTTCAGATGATGGACAGTCTCTGCGCAGAATGCGGGCTAAATCTGGTATAGTACTTCGTTTGAAAGCCAGGTCTGGTCCCCGGTCGTTGAAGAGCTTCTGTATTTTCCGATCCGAAATGAATCTTGAAAGGGTTGTCGTCTCCTGGCCCGACTGCTTGACTGGACAGCTCAAGTAGAGCAGGCCTTGTGCTCGGGTCATACCAACGTACAACAAGCGCCTTTCCTCATCATGGTCATCGGCTCGAGAGTGAGGTATGGATCCGTCGTACACAGCAGGCATGAAAACGACAGGCCATTCTAGACCTTTCGCTGCGTGAATGGTAGAGATGGTGACCTGGTCTAGTTCGCTGCCCTCCTGGTCTGCCGCGCTCGAAAGTGTGACGTTGGCCAGAAACTTAGACAGGATATCTGCCGCGGTGTCGTTTCGCTGTTCGATGCCCTCTACCACTGGCAAGGCATCGTCAGAGATTTCTTCCCCGTTGGCAACTGCGGTAGCCATCTGAGTCGCCTGATTCACTAGCTCCTCCACGTTTGCCCATCGATCTTGCCAATTCTCCTTATGCGTCTGCTTGAGGTAGGACTCGAATTGAATCTTAGTCAGAATGTGCGATATGAGACCTAACAGGTTGCAGTCTTCGTCTTTAGCAGGCATGAGCTTCTCTCGAGAGGTGAGAATAACGTTGACGAATTGCTCGATACCCTTCTGTGCCTGGGCGGACACTTTGCTTGCCGGTTTCCTCCTGCCTTGGGCGACATCGAGCACCAGTTTCCATAGAGTGACTTTCCTGGTCTCTGCTTCTTCGAGCAGCGCCTTGGCAGTGACGTCGCCAACCTTCCGGGAAGGTACGTTGATGACACGTGCTACCGCGTCGTTGTGTTCTGGCTGACTGACCACGCGTAGGTAGTCCAAAATGATTCTGATCTCGGCACGGTCGAAGAACTTCGTACCAGCGACCATGCGATAGGGAATTCCAGCTTGTCCGAGCGCTCGCTCAATCTGAAGGGTGAGCGGAGACGAGCGCACAAGTATAGCGTAGTCATTGTAGCCTAATAGTCCCGCGCTAAGTGTTTTGGTCCGATGTACCTCTTCAACGATCCACCTCGCTTCTACGTTCGCTGATACCAGATGGCGAAGAGTGGGTTGTTCGCCGACACCGTGCGTAGCGATCAACGACTTCTGTGGTCGGCTCTCATCCTGCTCAATTACAGCCATAGCAGAGCTTAAGATGCACCCCGAAGATCGATAGTTGTTCTCTAAGTTGATTACGACTGACTCTGGGTAATCGGTGCGCATCCTCAGCAAGTTCTTGATCTCAGCTGATCGGAAGCTGTATATACTTTGGTCCGGATCACCAACGATGGTGATGCGTCTTGTATGTTGAGCTAGCAACCTCATTAATTCGTACTGGATATTGTTGGTATCCTGATACTCGTCGATGAGTACAGCCTGTATCGTGGAGACACATGATGGCGACTTCTTTAATAGATCCACACACCGGACAAGAAGGTCGTCATAATCGAGAAGATTGGAAGCGGCTAAGTGTTCTTGGTAGGAAGAATAGACCATGGCAAACTCATTGTCGTTGATATTCTTGGCTGTCCTTCGAAAGTCGTCGGCCGTGGTGCCCTTGGCTTTCAATTTGGAGATCCTGGAACGAGCATGACCAGGCTCCACTGTGTACTGATGACGCGTGACTATTCGCTTCAGTATCGCCGTGCTGTCGCTAGTGTCCGCGATACCAAAGTTCTTGTCAATTCCAATCTCTTGACCGTACCGAGACAAGAAGCGGCGCGCGACCGAATGGAAGGTACCCAAGATCAATTTCGCCTCAAGCTTTTCTCCAACGAACCCCTTAATTCGCTCTTTCATCTCCCGTGCTGCCTTGATGGTGAAAGTACATACGATGATGTTCCATGGCTGTAGTCGCTCGTGGTTGATGTGGTACGCGACGCGTGCTGTGAGTGTTTTAGTTTTGCCTGAGCCTGGCGGCGCAAGCACCTGGACGACATTGGCAGGACTTGTCACCGCACTCTTTTGCGCATCGTTGAGTCCCTCCAACAATGCGTCCATGGCGGGTCGTGTGAGAGATGGCGTCTCATTGAGGGCTGGTCAGAAGCCTGTGGCGTGGAGGGATCGAAGAACGCGCTAGGAACACGGTGCACGTGTCGATAAGATAAGCCAAAGTTCTGCACCTCGCATCATAGCCGAACAGCACCCGTTACAACAACGGTTCCTAGTAATCGGTACGGATAAACTGGGTTTACAATAAAATTAAGGGCTGGGTCAATGCTCTTCATACGAAAAGCGTAATGCTTCCGCTGGAGCTTGCGCCGGCGGAGTCTCCATGAAAAGGGCTTCGCTCGCCAAGTACTAATTTCTTGTGTTTTTCCCCGCAATGGGGACTGCGGAGGAACCTACCTCACTCGGACAGCTTTTATCCGACAACCCGGCGCGAAGTGACGATGATCATCAGGTTTTTGGCTTACATTGAGCAAGCCTACCGACGGGCATTGAGGCTCTTCCCAGTTAGCCGTTCATGATGAGTATACAGTACCGAGGAGTATAAAGGTCCGAATGTACCCAGTGTCTATGTTGCATCCCGCGAAGTATCACTTCATCCTCTAATCATGCTGGGACCGCGTGTTTTGCTCAGCACAGCATTTGCTGCTGCTGTTGTTTCGGCTAGCTATCTGCCCGGAGTCTCGAGCAACACTGCCTTCCAATACAATGCCCGTCGACAGGCCACTAACAGCACGTCCCCATCTTTCAATGGCCCATACAGTACACGAGGCCGGGACATTGTTGATAGCAACGGCGAGAAGACGACTTGGGCGGGTGTCAACTGGCCCATGAGTGGTATGTACTAAGTATCAGACGAACTACAGATGTACATGGACTGATCTTCTTTGTAGGCGAGACTATGATTCCCGAGGGACTTGAGTGGGCCTCAGCGGAAGAAATTCTTGATGATATCGCGGGTGTTGGCTTCAACTATATCCGCATGGGCTATGCTATTGAGATGATCGACCAAGTTTACGACAGGAACGGTGTAGACGTGCCACTCGAGGTTGGCCTCATCAACGCCCTGGGATACGTCAACGGCACCAAAGTTACCAACGAGATCATCGAGAAGAACCCTGGTTGGACAGCTCAGACTACTCGTTTTGAGATCTGGAGCGATATCGCGCACATTGCTGCTACCAAGGGCATCTTCATTAGCCCAGATGTACACAGTGGAAAAGCGCAGTGGTGCTGCTCGCACACCGATGGTACCGCTTGGTTCGACGACCTACATTTCAACGCCACACATTGGCGCCGCGGTCTTTCTTACGTCGCCAATTGGGCGAAAGACCACCCGAATGTAGTCAGCATGTCTCTTCGCAATGAGTTGCGCGAATCTTGGAACGTCACGAACCTCTACTACAACTGGGACACGCTTGTGGGAAACATGACGGCTGGTGCTGATGCAATCCACGAGGCCAACCCCGATATCCTTATCCTCTGGGGCGGCATGCAATACGGACAAGATCTATCAGCTCTTACAACCGGTAAGAACATCCTCACCGCCCCATGCTACAAGTGTACAGCGATCAGAGATGCGGCAAGGAGGGAGCCAGTGTACTTCAACCTTGACGACCACCCATGGGCTGACAAGCTCGTCTGGGAACTCCATCTTTACAGCATGAGCGAGGACATCGACACCGGAACCTGCGACATCGTCAAGGCAAACCTCTACCGCAACGGCTTCAATGCCTTGGGCATCGACGCACCAGCCGCCTGCAACATCACGGGAGACTGCCCGAAGGCTGTTCGCGAGACACCAGTGATTCTGAGCGAATTTGGCAGCGCACAGGATGAGACACTTTTCAACAACACTCTGCAGAACTGTTTGAAGGAGTACACCATCGACAACGATGTTAGCTGGATGATGTGGTCCATTGCCGGTTCGTACAGGATCCGATCAGGTGTGCAAGGGTTCCCTGATACATGGGGCATGACAAACTACAACTGGACAGGATGGAATTACGAGCGTGGTATTGAGGAGTTCTGGAAGCCATGGGTACAGGCGATGAACACGACGAAGATTCAGTAGTCCACTGTAGAGGACTATATATCCATGTCTGCTAACGAGTGACACATGAATGAAGAATATCGCCCATGACAAATGTGTTTGAAATATCAACTAGTTCCTGCTATAAACAGTCGACTTTCGCGTTCCGATAACATTGCACTTTGCTCATCTTAACACTTCCTTCTTTGCATCCTCTTGCACAACGACCTTTCTCTTCCTTGCCAACTCAAGATCCTGCTCCCCACTCAGCTCGGTCCGCCAGGATCCGTGCCACATGACGATTTACGACACGTTGTAACCCATAGCCCTCATGATAGCCTTACCCTCCTCCACATCGTCCAGCCCCCAAATTCTCAGCCCATACGACTCTAGAAAAGCTTTGAAGCTATCGAACCCCAAGTCCTTGGACGCTCCGTAGGTAGTAGTGATGCCGGATTTGTCGGTGTTGGAAGACATGTTGGTGGTGCTTGATGTTGCTGCCAGATTTTTGAGGATGAATATAGATCGGGGTGTAGGTGTAGTGGAGAAATTTAATTCTTGGTCTTCAATTAAAGCGAGTGGAGACACGTAGGGTTTGCGGGGTAGAGGAAGCAAGCGGAACCGGGTTCGGTGGATTATATGGTTGGGTACAAGCGGATGCTGGGGAACCCATGAGCAAGAAATGCAGCATGTGATTCTCCGCTTTACCGTGAACTGTAATTCACTTGGACATCACAGTGTCAAGGAAGCATGACCTCGAAAGCTACTGTAACCCGTTGCTACCTTACAATACCAAAGCCCAGGATACCTAGGACTGCACCCATCCACCACTCCAGCTCGTTTCTTTTATCCGCACTAGCCCCCTTACTGGAGGTAGTGGCCAACCCAGCAGTTTCCTCACTTGGACGTGCAGAATTGGTGATGCTTGCTTCGAAGCCGGATTTTGCCACAGTCATAGTGGTAAGCGCAACACGCACAGTAGCAGTGACAGCAGTCCCACTCGAACTGACAGTGACCAAAGTGTTACCCGTGGCGTCTGTTGTAATTTCTAGCACTGTGGGATATATGTTGCCCCCGAGGTTGATCGATAGACCAGGCGTGAGCGTTACTGTCCATGATCCAATTATAAGCGAGCCAGTGCCTACTACTGGTGTTACCTGTGGTGCTGGCGTGGTGTTTGTATCGCTCGGCATGTTAGAGTCGGGAGTAGTTGCTGGCTGTGCAGGAGCACTGCTTCCTCCATTGTCGTTACTTGCGGGCGCGACAGGCTGAGCGAGGCTATTGGTGGTTGGAGATGCGGGCTGGATATTCGACAGTGTGCCACCAAATTGAGAGACTATCTTTAGCAGGAGACTGTTCTGCCCCGTCTGTTGTGTTGTCGTTCCTGTAGCACTAGAGGTTTCTCCTCCCGCGATGTTGTCTACTGTTTGCCTGGGCATGTTCGAAGAACGGGCTGTATTCGCTTGCGTGACGAAGAACGGCTGCCCATTGTTTCTCTCACTCCCTTGGGTAGCATCATTTAGATCGAAACCCGCTGCTGCCGTGTTTGTCTCAAGATTGAGAATTGTCGGTCGAATTGTGGTAATAGTCGTCTCGATTGGAGTCAAAGTCACAAGACGATCGGTAGCCGGATCGGTCTCCCCCCATCCTGTCGCAGCCGGAAGCCCGAGAATGCCTTCAACATCGTTTGTACCACACATGGCAGGATCTATAACACAACATTGTTCGGTCACAACAGGAAAACATGGATCGACGTCTCCAAGCCCGTCTCCCCCGTCTCCCCCGTCTAGATGCACACTCTCCGTGGCAGCGGCGTCAAGCGTTCCTGTTGTCTCTGTCGGGATAGACACGGTCGACTGTTCGCTGGGGGTAATCTCGGTGACGTTCGGTAGCAAAGAGACCTCTGCTTCATATTAGCCTATATTCTCTCAAGTTGGATCGGCATCAGTTGCACACGAGGGACAGCCGCCGCGGCATTCGCTAGGAAGAAGAGCGTCAAGAGCTCTGGTGGAAGGAACATGTCGATGTGCTACAGCTGTCATTCTGGCATGCAGGAGAAAAGGCTGAGAGCATCCAGCGCGCCCAAACGCTCAAGCCCCTTTCGTCCCGCCATGTTCTCCGAGTAAGTAAGTTCGCAAGTTGCGCCGCAAGGAAAGCCTCATCGTGGCTAGCCGAGAGAGATGATGGCACGCCTAGGTGCGCAATCACATGCCAAGCGCTGCCGGGCGTTGTCACAATCTCCGAACTCTCATGCATCAACTACAACTTCACAACCAACGACGGCATGTTCTTCGCTACGCATACGCATACTCTCTGCAATCCTGCAAGATACTCGTCAGCACTAGGAGCAATACCTGCCTTGTATGCCGCCATTTCAGATTAGACGCGTCTTCTATCGCGGAACAAGGATCGCGTCACGACTAACCGACACCTGAATCACTCCGCCCCCATGGTTCGATGCACTAAGGTCTAGATGCAATTCTACCACCAACAAGGAGAATTCGGTCTAAGAGTATCTTACCGCATCGGGTAACTCTACAAGATGTACAGGGTATCGTCAACCGTTCTCCATGCAGCCATTGGGGACTACATTTAGAACAAAGCTAACAAAGTGCCCTCCACCGCAGGTCTGTAGATGATATTCGCGTACACGTCTTCGCCCAGGGCCAGCTAACAGACCGTCTCTGCCAGCTGTGTAAGTTTTGTTGTGGTTTAAGTGTGCTTGCGCCTCAGCTGTGGCTTACCCACGCGAGCATGTGCGGCTCTACAGCGTCGCCGCCTTATGCACTGACATGTAGAACTCTACCGACATCCATCATTTGACGCTTACGGGTTTCTGAAGAGGGATTCAACTCGGTATACGATGGCTACTCTCAAAAATACACATCAAAGCACTCAGTGCACGGAAACCTTTGCAAGCCACCATCTTGTGGTTCTCGGTCTTGGATCTGCACGTTGAAAAGCGTCGGTTTCTCTCAATCTGTTACATCCGACTGTATTGTCGTAACTGGGACGCACACAGCGTCATAATGCGTTAAATCAGCGTTCAGTGTGCTTGCAGGCGTATAGCAGATGTTACGCGACACTTGTCTGGATGTGAAGGCCTATAAATCTCACACATGTAGGCGGACCACCGGCGGAGTATTTTCGAATCCTTTCGAGCGTTTCACCAGACTACTTCAAAACAGCAAGTTCTCGTCTCAATTCTCTCACTCCGAACGTCAAGCAAAGCTTTAAGTGTGCTTGCAGCCTTTTGGTCTCAATTTAGGCATGCCAGTCATTATAGGCATCGTTGTGGATAGGACGATCGCTCTTGAGATCATTGTCTGGTCACACTAGCTTCCGATAAAGGAGCAGCCTGGCAGGACCTGAGCATACGACACAAGCTATACAGCGACGAGCGACGCGACCACATAACGAATCTGTTCGCTGAAAGCACAAGGAGAGCACGAAGAGAAACAAGGAACATCAACAGAAAACCACATAACCTGCTTAGAGAAGGAACAAAAGCTTAGGGTTAGAGCTGGAAGACGAAGGCAGTTCGGTGGAAACAGAATAAAGCTCGAAAGATTACATGACCAGTGCAGCTGACTAAAAATGACGCCTTCTAGGCAACACATTCAACTACGGAAGTCAGATGCGGAAGATTTTCCATTCTCTTAGGATGGCACGAGTCAATTGCTTGGCCAATTCTTGCTGTAGGCCTCCTGGAATGGGACACTCTGCGACGTTCGCATGACCACAGCCCGGGAGTGCGCAATCCGATGGGTTGCCCGACTAGAGCCTTGTGAACCCAAAGCTATCGCGGTGTGAGAGCGCCCGCCGCCATACGTCAACTGTGATCATGCTTGGTAGTGAGTCACTATCAACTACAACATAGTCGCATCAACAGTCACACCCCTTGACCAGCCTCTACCAAGGCTCAACTCGGAAAAGGCGCCCCCAATTCCAACGATAATTCATCTGAAGCGCATGACCTTAGCAACGTCGTAAGCTTCAACCAGCGAAGTATCCATGAACACCAGCGACAGAGAAGACCAGCCAATACATCGGAACAGAATGGCGTATCTTCATAGGCATCCATATCAACGACGGCAGGTACCCGCTACATTTTTGTACGTTGAATACCTATAATCCATCGTTCACCGTTGTGTTCCCGGCCCCCACACCTCCAAACTGTCATAGCCTCGCAGTGGCGACCGCAACTTCAGCTGTCATGACCCCTCCATGATACACACCGCGGGGGCCATCAAGACCGCGTATCTACGAAAGAGTAGATTTAAGCCTCAATGTTCTGGCGGTCAGGAACTCATCGGTAAGGTATCGTTCATGCGGAGCACGCCGGTGGTGGGGCGCAGCCAATCACACCACGAAAAGATCTGCTCCAGCCGCAAAAGGAGGCGCAGCACGTTGGGTGTTCATGCGGTTCATTGAGGCAATGCTAACCAAACATGATGTCGTTCGGACTTTTTCTAGGCAATTGAGACATCTGGTCGGATGGTATATAGAGGGTCCTGGAGGACGGTGGTTTTATTCACCCGGTTCACAATCTGCACCACTATAAGTATTTCGATCTATCGACATCCTGAGACGGCAACTTTCTTCTGAGCGACTGCGAGTCTATCGTCTTATTACAAGTCACTGCAACCATATAAGGCTTACCCAATCAGCCTCACAAGGCACCCAACAATGTCTTACCTGCACCTTACCCGAACTCGCACTCGTGAGCGCACCCCAGACCACGACACCTACTACACCCGTCCCCTCGTGCGTCGCGACTCCAACAAACATCGTCACAGCATCACACTTTCTGATCTCGATGACGCCGACGACTATCCCTACTCTACCAACCAAAAGCCAGCCAAGCTATCTCGCGCCTTGACGGTCCGCGACCAACCCTCTCAACTCGAGCGCTACAACATCATCACGGACAACCGGCACAACCACAACGATGCTGGCGATAAGAATAGACGTCGTAGCTACGAAACAAGGCGTACATACAGATACTCCTCCGACCGCCCCGCCTCTTCAGAGCCAGAAGAGCGTGACCTCCATTTGAGTGTCAACGCAAGGTTCGGCCGCCCACACCACCACCATCACTCCTCCTCCTCCTCTTCTTCTTCCTCTCTGCTTTCGCCCACATACAACCCTTCCCACCGTAGCGACAAGTGGTGGGTAGACGAGCGATGGGAGTCTCGCGAGCGCTCTACTTCGCGGGAGAGGAGCCGAACGCGCCGAGACAGTTTCTGGGGCGAGGCTTATGAGGAGAAGGAGAGGCAGACTGAAAAGGAAAGATGGAGGAGTTACTCCAGAGTTGGTGGGAGGGAGGTAGAGAGGGAGAGCATTAGGCCGTTGAGTGGGTGGAGGAGGAAGAGGATTGTCATGGGTGATGATTAGAGGTTTTGGAGGAGGAGTTGAAGTCTGGTATTTCGAAGGGATCTCCAAGTATGATGTTTCCTTGGTGCTTCTTATTTGTTGGTAGTTTGGGTGTGCGTTGGGCGTCGCGGTAGACGGTCCTTCTTTTTTCTTTTGCTTGTTTCGCGTGTGGCTTTGTGTGTTCACATGTATACCTTGAAATGATATTTGGTTAGGGATAGAGTACTTGTACTTCGTTTTCCAAGAACAAATTGCTACTCTTAATATGCGCAGAATACACTCACGATACTTCAAATGAAGAGTAGTAAACGGAATACTTGTCTGGCAAGGCATTGTATCATCAGCAGACCAAAAATCACTTTAACCATTGGAGAACAGAATGAAGTATTCGTGTTGTCATTCGTGTCTAAACGAGACAGTAATGTGAGATAAAAGCAAGTGATTCCAACTCCATCCACGATCATCTCCATTGGAGAGTATCGGTTCACCCAGAAACGCCAGAAATGCCCAACTGTATCGTACAGCATCGTCCATCCATGATATGCAAGACCCCATCTAACCGTGTGCGTTGCCAAGAGCACAGCAAAACAAGCAAGAGCAAAAGTATGCAGAGATGCCACCAGCCCTCTCCCTTATCTGGCTTTGTTGAGTTCCTACGAAGGCCAACCCTTGTGGGAAGGCAGCACTCAATAGAAACCCTCAAGCCTCGATGAAGGGTGAAGAAGGGTGGCAACAGCACGACTAAGACCTCGCAAAGTAAACAACAGACACCATATCCTTCCGCGCCACCCAATGCATCCATGATGTTCCAAACTCCGTAAAAAAAACAAGTCCGTCTGACACCAAAAAATCGATGAGGCGGCTAGAAGAGACGCAACTTCTTTGGCGGGCCAAGGGAGCTATTGAAGAAGGAGGATTCTGCTGGGCGCTTCTTGACAGTGGTGAAGGCCTGAGGAGCAGGCTTGACGGCCGAGAAGGCCGGTTTCGAGGGTGTGGCTCCAAGGAAAATGGACTTGGATGGGGTCTTGATGGCTGACCTGCCAAACAGGAAAGACGACTTTTTAATAGGAGCAGTGCGAGGTGCGAGAGGGCTCTTATCGTTGTCGAAGAACATGCCAACCTCGCAGTTTTCTTTATCGTCGTTGAAAGAGCGATCGAACTCGGAGCTTGTTGGTGTGCTGGGCATCTTGCACTGAGATGAAGGAGGCAGCGCGTACTTGGAAGGAGTCTTGAAAGGTGTGAAGGGCTTTGCCGCCGTTGTGGGGAGAGGAGTTGCTGGCTTTGCAACCGAGAGGTCAACCAGGTAATGCTCTTCATCCATACGCTTCTTGTTCGACTCGCTGTCCAACACCCACCCAACATTGACACACTTGATGGCTCCCTTGCTTTCAAGGCACTTCTCCAGTGTAGACATGCTTCCATCCTTGAAGAGAATGTGGCTCAGAGATGCATGCGATATGTCTTGGACTACCTTCGCGCCGAGATCCTCGAGCAGACCACGGAACAAGAAGTTTTGCTCCCTGCCGTTGCTCGTGACGTCGACGTAGAAAACCATACCCTGGAGGATGCCATCATAGAGGAACAGGTCGCTCTCGTCCGCTTGTACATCGGTCCAAGCAACAGTCTTCTTCGGGGTCTTAGCGTCCATGACCTTCTGAGGTGATCGCAAGGCGGACTTCTTCGGTGAAGCTGGCTCAGGTGCTGCAAAAGTGGGTGCAAGTTTGAGTGGAGCCAGTTGCACAGTTGGCCTGGTTACAAATGGAGAAGGTTCAACAGTCGTGTCCGCAACAGCAACCTCACTGAGATCGCTGACCTCGGTAACCTCGCTGATGTCGGCAATCTCGCTCGGCTCCTCGAGTTCGAATGAATCATGTTTTAGAGCCGGGTATCTTACAGGAGATGGTGTTTGCTTCTTGACCGAGCGGGTAATCTCTTCCTGGAGAGCAGCCTCAAGCGCTAGGCTTGGTGTGGTGGGATAATTGGGCAACTCAGCAAGAGCGCGGCAAGGAGTCATCGGTGCCTTGATGTGAGCAGGCGTTTTGGGGTAACCCGGCAGCTCGGCCAATGCTACTTTGGAGGTGACAGGAGCGGAGATATGGGCTGGTGTGGTAGGATATGCCGCAGGAAGCTCCTCGAATGCTTCTTGGTCGGTCACGCCCCAGACGATCTGCGCGGGAGGAGTGCCAGGAATGTCGACAATTGACTCATCCATGGGTGTCGCGGCCGGGTAAGGAGTATTTGGCTGGACAGATACAGGAGTCTTTGCAGCGGGTGTGGAGGAGACGTCCACGGTAGCCTGGAGGTCCTCGTGGTTTTCCCCTTCGTCGATGCGAGGGTACTCAACGTGCTGAGGACCTCCTGGCACCTCTACTGCGGCATGATCCTCACTCTCAGCAGCTGTCGAAGCCTGACAGGCTTCATCCTGCTCAGCCGGCTCATCCTCCTCAACATCCTCCATGGCGACGTCATTGTACTCATGCTCGGCGACATCGACTTTATTCTCCTGCGTGGCGGCTACGGGGGGTGCAGTGATGTGTGCAGGTGTCGTGGGGTATCCTGCGAGTTCTGCAAGGCCCTCCTTGTTCGACAGAGGCGCGAGGATGTGGGAGGGGGTAGTCGGGCGGCCGGGAAGTTCAGCGATAGCTTCCCTTGAGGTCATTGGGGCAGTGATGTGTGTAGGTGTTGTAGGGTAGCCGGGGAACTCTGTAAAGGGTTGCTCGACAGCCTCAACAACAGACTCTTCTACCAACTCCATGGCGGGTTCTTCGACTGTTTCAACGACTGCCTCAACGACTGCTTCTTCAATTGCCTCAGCAACTGGCTCTTCTACCTCCATGGTTACATTTTCGACTGCCTCAACTATTGGCTCTTGTACTGCCTCGACGATCGGCTCTTGGACTGCCTCGACGATTGGCTCTTCAATTACCTCAGCAACTGGCTCCTCAACTGCTTCAACGACCGGCTCAGGCTCAGCCTTCGCCTTGGGAACAGCAGCAGTCTTCTTTGTAGGCTTGCGGGCCGGCGCCTTGAGGGGCGACTCTTGTGGAACGACGGGGGCGTTGCGACCGCGCGTAGCTCTGGGTGCGATGACAGGAGCGGGAGCGGATGCTGAGGCTTTGGGTACTGCTGGCTTGCGCGTGCGGGTTGCTGGCTTAGCTGGCTCACTGGCGACGGTCTTCTCGATGACCGCAGGCTCGCTCTTCTTGGTGGCGGGTGCCTTCCTTGTTGGCACAGGTGCTTTGCGTACTCTTGTTGCTGGCTTGGGTGCTTCTTCGACAGCTGGCTCCTCGGTAATAGTAGGCGTCTGGGCTTTTGGCGTAGGCGCCTTCTTTACAGCCGCGATCTTGCGTGTACGGGTAGCTGTTGGCTTAGGTGCCTCTTCAGCGGTGTCGGGCTCCTCTGCGGCGGCAGGCTCCTCGGCCTTGCGACCACGCGTCGCCCTTGTCGCTGGAGCAGACACGGCTGCTTTCGTCTGGACCTTGACTGTGCGCGCTGTCTTTGTGGCGACCGTCTTCTTAGCCACAGGGAGCTCGGCATCTTCGGGCTCAGCTTTGGCCTTGCGCTTCACAGCGGTTGTCTTTGTGGGTTGGATCGGGGAAGGCGCGAGTTCATCGATCTCGTCGACTGCCTTTTTCCTGCCGCCGCGCTTGGGAGGGGCGTTGAGTGTGTTGGAGGGCGCAGAGGCGACCTCTGGGGCTTTCTTCGCACCGCGACGTGTAGCGACCATGATGTTTGTCGATGTTCGCTGTCTTCGTGATGTGTCGTTGTCGGGTTGGTGCGAGACAGGTTCAATCGAGATTGCGGACGTGCTTGCCGTGTTGTGTTATCAAAGCGCGAACACATACTAGCCGGATCCGGCCATATGTTGTCCCAGCAACAATCGCTTAGCGACGAATAGCCGCTTCTGCGCAGCGGCAGGGCAATCTTGGGACGATCTCAGATAGCACTCGAATGCGGAGGATTATCATGGCTAATCTACAGGCAATCTATCTACTCCGTTCTTGCCGTTGCCGTTTTCATATCGCTATACGTATGACTTCCATGCCAACTCCACATATCAGCACCCTCGCATAGGTAGCGTCATCGCTTTTATCAAGCACAGCCATGCTAGACACATCTGCAACGTTCGTTTTGATCTTGTTCAACCTCTGGATCGCCAATGCATCTTCGGGCTCTGCTGAAGCTTCATGTCCAACTTCTTTATCAGTCTTTCGAAGGATCATCTCCCACAGCCTAACCCACTCGTCGTTTCCTGATGTGGCAAGGAGAATGCGTGATTTGTGTCTGAACAGACTGCACGCTGTTATTGCAGAGCCATGTGCACGGCTAGCGAGGATTGGTGGGGAAACATAAGAACTCTCAGGCGAAGTCGGCGAATGCGAAGCATCAGACCGTGCGAGTATACACGCCAGACTACCATCATCTCCGCCAGACACGATGAGCCAAGTGTCCGCATCTACAAGATGGCATGCCATAGCTTTAGATGAGTTCTGGTGTATCCTTGCTGGATGATGCCATGTCAACTGAAGGGTCGGCCCTAAGGATTCTCCCGACAGTCGTTCAGTCTCGGTTACCAGTGGCCATGTGACGGCATGGCCATCTGTACCAGCTGTCAAGACGTTCGTTGTAGATAGGAACACACACTGCGTCAAGCAGGATGTGAAGTAGAGGCCCTTTGCAAGAGCCTGCCATCTCACAGCAGCGGTAGGGTCAAAACGGTAGACCTTTGCGTGTCAGTGCTTTGTGATAGTGAGAATAAGGGACCTAGTTCACCTTGATACTAGAATCTGAGGACACCATTGCAATGGTATATGCAGATCCCGACGTGGTTACATCGAAAGACATGAGTCTCAAATCTGCATGCTCACTTTCTGGCGTGTACACATGTTCGCACACTACTCCAACATCCAGGGCGGATGTCGACAAGTCCCGGACCCGCCATACGTAGACTACGAGGAAGGTCAGCAATATACATGAAAAGTCGAGCAGAGGTCTAACATTCTTCACAGCCACCACTACTGAACAAATAGTCGCCATCGTGTGACCATTGCAGATGTTGGATGCCTGTGGTGTGCTTGCGGATAGTCCTTCGGCAAACGATGTCTTTCTCAACGTATTCGAAGATCTTGATATCGGTATCCTCGGCGCCAGTAGCTATAAGTTGGCGAGATCTGCTGTCACCCTTTGGTGAAACTGCTACCGCTTTGATCTCGCGCCCATGGCCGCCTGATCGAATGACAGCGTGATTTGCACCATTCCGACTGCAAATATGCATACTGGAAGCTCTTGTCCACACGAGGGTACCCCCTATAGACGAATGCGACCGGAAGGCCCAACTCCTATGGGCTCCTCCAGTGTCAATGCTCATAACCTCCTCTTCGTTAGTGAGGTCGTAGAGATACCATTTCTTGCTCGAGAAGCCATGTATGAAAAGTCGGTCATCCTGGAAGTATGAACCTTCGATGTTGGGTCCGAACGGTAGCGCAAGGTCATGTACCGATTCGATTGTATTAGCAGACGAGTCAAATTGGTGCACTCCAAGACGCCCATCCCTTCCCACTGAAAACAGATGACCATGTGTGGCAAATTCGGGTGAGGGACGCCATGTAAGTGAAGTGACTGCCTCTCCACCGTGTGCTTTCTCAATGACTTTTAGCAAGGTAGCCTCATTCACAAACCCTTCGCCTTTGTGAATAACGAACAGCGCAATCGAACCGCGCCGGAATCCAACAATAAGGATATCTTTACTGGATACTCTCGCATATTCCATGCTGGTAATGACGGAACCAGTCGAAGAGTCCGCTATGGGTATCTGTACGACCCTTAGGATACTCGTGCTGCTAACAGGATCGACATATAATAGTTGCGCTTCACCTTGACCAACGAGAGTTACAAGTAATGCCGTCTTGTCTGGGCCATCAGGGTCTGACACTTCAGCAGCAAACATGTCTCCGACTTTGCTACCAACAGCATGGAGGTTTGTTAGGGTAGCTGAACTCTTGCTATACACATAAATATTGCCGCTGCCACCAGCAACGTAAGCGAAACCGGGACGAGATCCACTCGTACAAACGGAATAACCAGATAGGTCGCCCAGTTGATTGAGTAAAGTTGAGTTTGAGAGGAGGCTTGATTGGTTCGGAGCTTTGCTGGACGACAGCGTACCGACAAGCACGTTTCCAGAATTCGTTGTAAGCAAGAATGAGGTCTCATCCACAAAGCAATAGCTTCTAAAGAACTCTGCTTTCTTTGAAGACTTTGGGCGTTGCGTAGATCCAGCTGTGTCAGAACTAGGTTCAGCCGCTTGTGCCCATGATAGTACGTCATTTATGGTATACTCGGCGATCGTACCATGTAGGTTTTTCTCTGCTTGTAAAACGTGAATGAGTGGGGTAGCTGTGACTTTACTATCAGCACCACCAGCAATAACCTGCTGGACTCCAGTGGAGATATCAGAGACAGTTGTCGACCACATGTTCTTTCCGCTGTGGTGCGCAGCGCAGTCGAGTTCCAGCAACTTGTAAGGGAAGCTTGCGCTGCCTGCAAGATTTGGCGTAAGTTCCCACGTTCTTGCAGTGGCATCTTCACCGGCGGATTGAAGCAACAATGATCCATTGCACGGAGATGCTTCCAGGAAGCGAACTGTCCAAACCCGTGAAAGATGCCCCCATCCGATAGCGAGACAGTTCGAGCTATTAAACTCATCTGAGTCAAAAGCTTCGTTGGTGAAGCCGGTATGACGCGTTCTTAGAACCTCCAGGTCATTGGTCTCGGCCTCGGAAGCAGTGGCGCTTGTGATCACATCTGAAACGTCCCATATCCGAATCGTGCGGTCGTCACTGCAGCTTGCTACTACCCTCCTCAGTTTTTGGCAGCATTCGGTCGGCAACTCTTTTGATATCTGAACACCGAAGATTGAGCCTTCATGGCCCAGAAAGACGCGGTGGATGCGTGAAGCTGGCCCATCGTGACTGTCATTGCACCATGACCAGTATATAATCTCCCCGAATGCTGTACCAGCGGCAACGAGAACCCGGTCCAGATCCTCCCAGAAAAGGTGAGCCGAATAGAGAATAGATCGCGAACTAGAAGTAAGGTCGGACACAGACACATCGATTCGGCTGAGATCGGAATGTCAGTAAAGAAATGTCAATGTGACTGATCAGTGTATGGTGTGCGCACTTGGTATTCTGGGCTGTGTCTGACTTGCTTCGTTCAATCTTCACCTGCACTAGTGCGTTGTGAGCAGTGACAGCAACGTAGGATTCTTTGTGATACTGGGAATCGTCATCCAAACTTTTTGGTCGAGGAGCAAGATCAAGAATCCAGTCTGAAGCTTTCGCGATGTTAGAAAAACATAAGCTCAAGCCTTGTACGCCAACTTGGCCCGCAAGATGGATTTCAAGAGCGCGGATAAGTCTCCCGCCCCAGATGACTAGCTTTATGATATGAGCATTCTCTTCTGGAAAGATACGTATTCCATGAACGGCTTGAGCCTTGAAGACGCGTTTCGATGAGATATATTGCGAGTCCTTGGCATGATGGAAGCGTAGAAAGGGGCCTTCTGCGGCGATGAGCAGAGTGCCGCAAGAGGCCAGTGCCGTCACTGGTACGCGAGTGCATTCATGCTAATGTAATTAGCTAACGTCTACCTATGCGCAATGTAGACTCACGTGTAGAGTGGGCAACATTGGCGAGGAAAGATCACATGTGAAATTCGTGTTCGTGAATGGGAAAATTGGGGTTGAGTCAGCCCCGCGCCGCTGAAGGGTGTGGCGGGGCCATGACGGAGTGTTCCCGCGATTTTTTGTCGGCCTCTCGCGCAGACTATCACTATAGCTGCCTGCCTTGCTCAACCATCTACACCCTCACTTCGAAGTATCAGTGAATTATACCCCCCCAAATCTACCGCCAACATGTCTCTCGCTGGCCCACTAGGCACGAGCATCAACCCGGAGGAGACGGAGAACTTCGAGGATGTATGTGCGCCGCAAAGCAGGTGGATGCATAGTTGTCGCTAACGGTGCCTACAGATCGAGAAGCAGTTCGCTGTCAAAGGTAAGCTGCGAGCAAGTCAATATTCGCGACCCTTCTAATAACGCCTCTCAGTTGTGCAACATATGGAGACATACTGGAAGATCCTCGAGAAAGTGCCTGGCTCTAAGCTGCGACTGACCAAGATCGACGACGAAATCTACGAACACCTCAAGAAGGATTTCCCCGAATTCGACGCATCTGCCACATTGAACGAAGACGACATGAAGAGCAAGGAGGGCAAGGAGCGATGGCGCAAGTTCATCAGTGAGTACGAGAAGAAGGTGGAGGACTACAACTTTGGCACAATGCTCCGCGCGAGCCCCAAAATGGAGTATAGTCAGGAAGGCACAATATTCGCGGTTCGCATGCAGTTCTACGCTATTGAAATCGCACGGTAAGCTATGGATTGGACGGTTCGGCGCGCTCCATACTGACTTGGGCAGGAACCGGGAAGGGCTGAACGACTGGATATACGAGAAGGCGCAAGGCAAATAGACTGCCACAGGATGATCCTGAAAATGCTAAATTGGAATTCGCAAGGGATACCAATACTTAGCTGCATTGCCGACATCCGGGCCGTAACTTGTCCGCCGCATACGAGCCGACGCTCTTTGTTAGCCGTCCAACTATACCGACTTGTGAACAGCCATCCTGCAAGCAACCGGCTCAACGGTGAGGCAGTATAGTCATCCGGCCACGAACATTGTAGTGAATGTGAAGCCTATGTGAGTTGTCAATCTACACTCAGTGTGCATATCAGAAGCAAAGGCCAGCAAGAGCGCGTCGTACGATGTGTCAATTCTAGTATACTAGTCTTCTCAAGAACTTCACTGAGATATGCGAACATTTCATCTCCTTCTTAAATGATCACATGAGCTGACGCGACTCTGGGGCTTTCTACAAAGACTGCGATTGGTGGCTTGAAGAACAATGTTAAGAGCAAACAAGGTGAGCGACGAAAACAGGTGCTCGAGAATATCCCAAGACCACATGGCCGCCACACACTAGTCCGCATCTAGTGATTCCCTATACTCTGACCTTTTATCGCTGGTACATTACTCTTCGACTCTTATCAATTTTAGTACTTTACACCTTTTTTTTTGTTATTGCGGTCACGGCCCTTGGGTGGCTGACATGGCAACGACTATCAATCCCAACGTTACGGCCAATCACGAAAACACAATACCTCAGGCCGATGAAGAGCAGGATTACATATCGCAGGTTGGCTGGAAGACATTGTTTAGTTTCACCACAGAACGACATCTCCCCGTACTCGTTGGTGGCATTGTGACGGCGTCCCTCGCTGCGCTCACGATGCCTGTTTTTGCGATCCTCTATGGTCTCGTTTCTGGCCAGTACTTGAGTTATGGCAACGGGGAGATGAACAGCAATCAGTTTATCGCAAACGTTACAAAGCTCTGTATGATTCTCACCAGTGTCGGAACCCTTAATTGGATTACGAACAGTTTCTACTTTTTCTTTCTTCTTGTGTTCGGAGAGCTCCAGGCCAGGAGTGCACGCGATAGGGTCTTCGATGCCCTTATCAAAAAGGACATGACTTGGTTCGACATGCGAGAGACCGGCATCGCTGCATTTCTGCCGACAGTACAAATGTAGGTACCATTCTAGTTTCCAAAGAGCTCTAGATGACTTGTTGTTAACGAAGAGCAGGCACATCCGCGACTTGCAGCTGTCAGTATCGTCTCCTTTCGGAGAGGCTGTACAGTCACTGGTACAAGGTGTCGCATCCTTAGGAGTTGCCTTTTACTATTCATGGAATTTGACATTAGTCATTTCATGTACCATACCAGTACTATACTTGGTTCAATCATTAGTCGCAAGTCGGCTATCGTTGCGAACACATGAGCACGCCGAAAAGCTACAGTCTGCACTAAAGTACGTTACCACTGCGGTGACAAGCATTGAGACAGTTAAATGCTTCAACGGCGAGCGATACGAGCTCCATGTCTTCTCTAACATCATCACTCTTGCAGCGAACCTGTACAAATGGGTGGCCAATCTCCGCTCGATTCAGATCGGTATCATGCAATTCTTCACACTCAGCGTCTTCGTCCAGGGCTTTTGGTACGGTAGCCACCTGGCCGACATTGGGGACAAAACTCCCGGAGAGGTCTTCATAACGTTCTGGGCAGTACTCATGGCAATGTCTGGGATGACCCAAATAATGCCCCAGTTGATTGTATTGCAAAAGGGCAAGACGGCGGGCGCAAAACTGAGCCTGCTCATGAAGCAGATGTCGATAAGCGACCAGAAGCTTGAGTCGCAAGGCCAGATGCGGCCTGCGCGGTGCTCAGGCGATATAGAGTTTCGAAAGGTAGTATTCTTCTTGTCCGTGCCCCACAGCTGCTGATTGATCAGGTCACATTTTCATACCCAACACGCGGAGATGAAATTGCCATTCGCGACGCCTCGCTGTTCATTCCAGCCGGAGAGACGACTTTCGTTATTGGTAAAAGCGGCGCTGGGAAGAGTACGTTGGGTCAACTTCTCGTACGCTTCTACCAGCCTTCTTCTGGGCAAATATTCTTGGGCAAGGTACCGGTTGAAGAGTTAGACGTCCAGTGGTTACGGCAGAATGTCACGCTTGTTGAGCAACATAGCGTGCTGTTCAACGACACTATCCGCCATAATCTTGCGCTCGGCAAGATAGGCGATACACTTGATATGCAAGAGATCCACGACGCGGTCAAGTTTGCTATGTTAGACCCTGTCATGCAGGGACTTCCAAGTGGATTGGATACCAATCTGGGTATGAAGGGTGATTCATTGAGTGGAGGGCAAAAGCAGAGGGTGGCTCTAGCACGAGCGAAGATTCGAAACTCACCAGTACTGATCTTGGACGAGTCAACTAGTCATCTCGACTATATCACAAGAGCGGAGACACTTGAAGCTATACGAAGCTGGCGGAAAGGGAAGACCACGATCGTCATTACCCACGACATCTCGCAGATCCGATCCGACGATTTTTTATACTTACTAGAGGATACACGGGTAGTGCAAGAGGGATATCGGAAAGAGCTTGAGTCTCAGGATGGAGCTTTCCAAGCTTTCCTCGATACGCACAAGGAGCTCTGTGCGGATGAGGAGTCGGATAGCGATGACGACTTCTACTCAGTAAACGAAGCCGACGATACCAAATTGATACAGCCCGAGGTATTCGTGACTCGGATTGTTCCGATGCGACGTCCGCTCCCTGCAGCCTACTTTGGAAAGACTCGTGCATCTTGGGCAGGAACTGAACCGGCCGACCTAGTCGCGTGTCCGAGACAATTCATTCACGAAAAAGAGGGTGACCGAGGCAGGCAGTCAGAGCTAACCTTGACATCCGAACCACTGGAGAGCACCGAAGCATCTCCGAGTACGATAGAGTTGAAGCAGCTTGAGAGCCCAGACAAGTCACGCTTTACCGGGGAAACGTTCTTATCGAAAGAATACGGCTCAAGGCCAGGCCCTCAAGCTTCGGAGGGGTTGCCAAGGTCGGACTCACGTAGGCGCTCTGTATCGTTTTCGAAAGAATATGGTCCCCGTCCAGTCTCCATACTATCAACACGACCAGTCTCGTGGATAGGCCCACATCCACGACCTCTTATGATCCCAGAGACTGTTCCAGTTTGTTTGGACGCACCCAAGAAGTGGTCGAGAAATGACAAGCTTCTTTCCAAGGTCGGCCTTTCCCACCGGAAGAGTCAAAAAGAGCGAGAGGATACTTCGCCCGCCTCTCTTCCTATAAAGGAGATCTTCATGTCTATATGGCCCGCCATAGGCTGGGACTCTCGTCTTCTTCTCTTTGGAGCTTTACTTAGCGCAACGATCCACTCTGCATGTACACCAGTCTTCGCATGGGTATTCGCTAGGCTTTTGAGTACTTTCTACGACGCTGGCACCGACGACCATCACGCCCGTACCTATTCCCTAATTATTCTTGGTGTTGCTGCGGTCGATGGTCTCACAAGCTACTTCATGTTCTTCTTTTCTGATACCGTGGCGCAGACGTGGACTCTTTCGCTCAAGAAGGAGGCCATGCGCCGCATCCTCATGCAGCCACGAGCATTCTTCGACAAGGAGGAGAATAGCATATCGCGCCTTGCCGAGACACTGGACCACTTTGCCGAGGAAGCGAGAAATCTTCCGGGGCGGTTTGCTTGTGTCCTACTTGCTATTTCCATTATGGTCGTTATTGGGATCACTTGGAGTATGATCATAGCGTGGAAGTTGGCGCTTGTTGCTCTTGCGACGGGTCCGATACTCTTCGCAATCACACAATGCTACAACAAGATCAGTATCTACTGGGAAAGACTAGCAAACGAAGCTGATGACAGGGTTGGTCAGGTGTTTCACGAGACGTTCGTCAACATCAGGACTGTCAGATGCTTGGTATTGGAGGATCATTTCAGAAAAAAGTACAACGACGCGACCACCGAAGCAGTAAACGTCGGCATCAAGCGGGCAATATACTCAGGTTCCATCTACGGACTATCGTACTCTGGCATCATCTTCGTCGCTATACTACTCTTCTGGTACGGGGGGTTGCTCATATCGAGGAACGAGTATTCTGTCACTCAAGTAAACGAGTGTTTCTTAGTGCTCATGCTCAGCATCAACCATGTCAGCTACATGTCAAATTACGTTACTCAGATCAACATTTCTCGAGACGCTGGATCACGCTTGCTGCGCCTCGCTCGACTACCAATGAACTCCCACGAACTCACCGGCACGACCCAAATTCAATCTGCAGGCGACATTTCCCTGAATAAGGTCAACTTCAGATACCCCACCCGAAGTGGCGTTCAGGTACTGCACGATGTCTCTTTCAGCATTCCACAAGGAAGTTGCACCGCCATCGTCGGTTTCTCCGGCTCGGGCAAATCGACAATCGCCTCTCTTCTCCTCAAACTATACCCGACAGACAGAAAACTAGTTTGGGCTTCAGAACCCGTAAGCGACACGGCGGTCTCGGGTCACAACATTAAAGACTTGCATACCACCACTCTCCGTTCCCGAATGGCGTTGGTATCACAGATTCCCGTCCTCTTTCCCGGCACCATTGCAGAAAACATCGCCTACGGCCTCTCCCCTTCCCTTCCCGAAGCAAGCATGGAGAGTATCCGCGCTGCCGCTTCTGCAGCCGGTATATCTGATTTCATTGACAGCCTATCTCAGGGCTACAACACGCTCGTCGGCGAGGGCGGAACAAGTCTATCTGGCGGCCAAGCCCAACGTCTCTCCATTGCGCGCGCCCTCGTCCGGAACCCCGATATCCTAATCCTAGATGAACCGACAAGTGCGTTGGACGTAGCTTCCGCCAACGTCATCCGCGATACAATTCTCCGTCTCGTTAGCGATAACGAGGATACTCTGTCCCCCGCCTCTCCGCCGCTATCACCTCGTTACCGTTCAGGTGGCATCTGGGATGGCGTGGACGCGGATTGGGATGTTAAAGTCGCAAAGCATCAAGAGCGTATGGGTGCGAGTGGTGGTGAGAAAGGTAAGGAGCCGAGGAAACGAATGACGGTTATCATCATCACGCATGCGCAGGAGATGATGGCTATTGCCAGGCATATCGTCATGTTGGACAAGGGGAGGGTGATCGAGCAGGGAAGTTTCGATGAGTTGAAAAAGAAGAGAGGTAGCGCTTTCGGGCGATTGCTGAGGGGTGTGAGAGAGTAGGGATGGCATGATCAGAGGGGTCATGACTTTCGTTTTGGGAGGCTTCTCTGTGTATGCCTTCGTGGATGTTTAATACAGTTTGTTTCCTTCACACTTCTGAATAGAATTTCGAAAACAAGACATATATTTTTTTTGGTAATCATAGCTATGGATTGTCCTCCTACAGCCGGCGTATGCTTCTTACAGCTGACCCATAGCCAAACTCTGAAGTGCTAGAAGTCCAGTGAATAGGCATGTGAGAAAGCAGTGAAATAAATATTTGAACCTCGTTCAAGGCAGAGGATAACACTCTTTATTCCACGCGGATAACAGAGGTACCATAATCATGTAGCGAACAAGGAGATTGTGCAATTTTGTTGTTGTAAAGCGAAGATGAGAGCAGAACAATGAAGGAGAATGTGCTCGTGAAGAAGCAACCCGTGTAAAAGGGCATGTTCTCCAAGAATGCGGTTGTACCCAGCTTAGTCGTCAGACGTGGCGACAGCTTGGGATTGACCGAGACTTTGGAAGGATGAAGGACACGACACTCCGGCGGACCAGTTGCTAAGGCTTGCGCTCATCTCTTGACCAACGTTGACATGATCTGATGTAGACTGAAGGGTGGTTGGGTCATTGTACAGTCCAGTGCCTAACCTACTAAAGCCTTGCTGTACTGATGTCTCATGTCGTGATCATAATTGGCGTTCCGTTCGAACGATGATAGCGTTGGAAATTTCGATTACTGCGTCGCTGTTGACGCTCATCGTTCGGTTTGCTAGTTCGGCTCCCATAGCTTTCTCCTGCCGCCACCACCACGGACCGGTCCGACCTTGGGAGCAGGACGCGAGAAGGAGTCTGGGTCGAGAGGCGCATTTGGATCATGACGAGGAGCTGGCGGAGCTCGGAAGACTGGGCCTGGAGGGACGTATGCGCCACGCGGTGCAAAGGTTCCACGACCCCGGAAGGCTGGTCCACCGCGACCTCGAGGTGACGGCACATGACCTCCGCGTCCACCACGAGGGGATTGATGCTGGTTTGTACGTGCGAAATCGTTCGGATCGAAGACGCGTTGGTTGTTCTTAGTAGATGCGGGGCCTCGTGGAGCGCGCTTGAAAAGCACCTCATCCTCGTCATCGGAGTTATCTACGGGCTTGCTCTCGGTTACGGGGCTGGACTTGGGTCGCTCTGCCGCTTTGGGTGCGATTGGAGCGGTGCCCTTTGCTGCGGTTGCTTCTACTTCTATCTTGTGGATGGTCAGATGGTTTTTGTATTCGCGGTCTTCACGAGCGACAGCATCTCGGAGCTGCTCAAGGCGCTTAGCGCGGATGCCAAACTTCTGAGCAATCGTCTGCTTCGCAGAGTCGTTAGTGAGGAGGATGAAGGACTCCAGAGCTGCATCAGGGTTTCCCTCCTTGTTGATGCGCCACAAGATGTGGTTGAAGAGAGGCTGGAGATAGACGGGCACAGAGCCCTTGGTCGACTTATCGGCGCGAGCCATCTCGGTGCTATTGTGGGCGTTACGGTCGGGGGATGCCTTGAGGAGCGTGGCTGCCTTGTCGGCATGTGTGGAGCCATCGACGGGCTTAGATGCCTTGCTTGAAAGCGAGCGGGGCGACTCGGGAGTCTTGGACACGTTCTCGAAGCTATGCGTAGAGCTGATGGATGTGCCGTCAGACATGTCGAGAGCGTTGAAGGAGCTTTCTAGATCTTCATGGTAGTCGTCCTCGTCGGATTCACTTTCCTCCATTGAGAGTAATGTCTCGGGAAGCAGAAACTGCTCCACCTCTCCCCATGTAGTATATGCTTCATCAACGCCCTCGAGGATAACGCGGCTAGCAGCTTCGTTGGACGTGACTTCGTCGAGCCACTTGACGGCTTCGCGGGCATCGGCGTTAATGCGCTCGGTGCCATTCTTGAGGCGGTGGAGCTGAGTGAGGGCTTGTTATCGTGTTAGTGAGGGGGCTGGGAAGCTGCGATGCTATAGCCTACTGTGCAGCGGTACATAAAGGCGTATGGCGTCCTGTGCTATCCACTTGCGGATGCCGTCGCGGGTGCTCTTCTTGACGCCTGCGATCAAGGCGGTATCATCGACGATGCAGTTGAATATCTTGCGCTTCGGCGGCTCGGGTGCGCGCATGGCGGCCTCGGGCTTGCCAGACCGCGGAGGGATGGTACTGCGACGCATGCTTGTTGGTGACGTGCCTTCAAGGCGATAATAGTGAGGGTTGTGGCAGCGATCAGATATGGCTGTGCGCGGCTGATGGCAGATAGATTGGTTTTTGTAAATCAAGGTTCCGGCTTGAGCAGGTCCAAGTGCGGGTTTGTTGTTGGGCGCCAGTACAATCCACATGTGTCGGCGCAATATTTCAAGGTGTGCGCATTATATTTGCGCTCGTATGTGCCAGCGCGGGAGCGAGTGAGTCAGTCTTGGGCATGGCGCAGAGGACCATAGTCGTTGGTGTGACTGTCAAGGGCAAGTGAAGTTAGGGCCCGCATCACCGCACGATGATGGGGTGCTCACGCCAAGTGGGGGTGCGCCACTCGCTCAGCCACAGCAACTGAACAGTCAAACCAGTCTTGCATTTCATTCGTCTTTTTGGTCTTTCTTCAATGTGGAAGATGATACATCTCAGCACTCAGTAACTCTCAACCTCTCTAGCACTGCTCATATCTGGCATCCAGCCCTTGGGGCGCTCGTTGCCACGCACAGTCAAGCCGTAAAGACCCTTCTCTACCTTGTCCACGCACTCCCGCATTACAGGCATCTTCTTTGTCTCTAACTCTGCTGCAAATTTTGAACCTCCCGGTGCGTCAAACATCTCGAGTTGAAGTCGGATCGCCCTCAGATCATCCAAGACCGTCCGTGGCTTCTGGGTCTCAGTTGCAGCTGGGGCTTGCTCATCGATATCCATCTTGTCGCCAGCGTCATCCTGATCGCTGTCTTGCTTGAGCCTTTTGTTTGACTCTGTTTGTTTGCCGGATGGTAGCTTGCCGTTGGTAGCCATGCTTGTGACAGAGAAACGCATGAGCTCGCCGGTCATATCGCAAACACCGAGAATGTAGTCTTCTGGCGTGAAGGAAATTGGTCCAGCTTCGCCGCTCATGGTAGCAATTCTGGATTTGGCTTCATCATACGTAATGAGTGATTGTGTCTCCAAGTAATGCTGAAAGCTAAGTGCTTCCATGAATTCTTGGTTGCCGCCCGTGATATTGTGTGAGTAGCGGTAAGCGTTGAGGCCTTGGAGGTCGGCAGCAATATTCTTGTAACGATCTTCAATAGTCTCCCAGTACTCTGCATTTTTCTTGGTGACCCACGGTGGTACTGCTTGGCCGACAGCGCGGACCCTTAGTAGGTCAGTATATTCTTAGTGCGATCATCGTGAAGGCCTACCTCTGGAGAGTGAAGATACTGCCAGATTGTTAGTATTCTGCTAGGGAAATTTCGGCCATGGTCCTATACATCTTCTTGCTCGACGCGGTGATGTCACGCGACGCCTTGATGATTCTCTCTCGTCGATCATGGTGTTCGTCTAGCTCTGCACGGAAGCCTTCAAACATCGCCACAAAGGGCGATGATGACGTCTCTGGCTTCTCGTCCGCCATTTCTGCGTCTCTCGGTCGTTTGAAGCCCATGGATCTGCGTTGATAGTGAGTATATACACAAACGTCAGACAAACGCTGGGATTGTCCGCTAGTGCACGTCCTCACGTGGGAGCTATTGCGTTTGTGGACTAGGCGCTTTCGGCTGCCCTTACTCTAGTAGCCCAGGGGAGTCCTCACGCCAGGGTTTCCTCAGCATTACTGTCCAGCAAATCCGTTCACGACCATTTCTTTATCGAACTCGCGTTTGCAGCGTGTCCTCTGAGTTTGCTGGACTTTCACAATCCCGATGACAGCATGGCTCTTTCGTCCTTTTTCCGCAGTGCACCATTGGTCTTTACAACATCCATCATCCTAAGAGCCATCTTCCTAATATACGGCCTTTGGCAAGATGCAAACTCGCCTATGAAGTACACCGACATCGACTACTATGTCTTCACTGACGCCGCGCGCTATATCTCGCGCGGCCAGTCGCCTTACGCACGAGACACGTATCGTTATACGCCTCTCCTAGCATGGCTCATCTACCCTACTGTATGGTCTGGGCAATTGTGGTTCTCATTTGGCAAGATTCTGTTCGCTGTAGGCGATGTAGTTACAGGATGGATGATGTTCCGCATCTTGAAAGAGTACAGGAAGATGAGCAATGAGAGAGCCCTAAAGTTTGCGAGCATCTGGTTATTGAACCCAATGGTTGCTACTATCAGTACAAGAGGCAGCTCTGAAGGGCTACTCGGCGTTTTCGTCACGGCACTACTTTGGTCGGTGCTGGCGAAGCAGAGACCGCTTGCTGGGTTCTTGCTCGGGTTTGCGGTACATTTCAAAATCTACCCATTCATATACGCAGCTTCTATCGTTTGGTTCCTCGATGTTACCCAAACCGGAACAGAAGGATTTGCTCAGGCGCAATCAGCGACATCGTTGTTTGGCCGAGTGCGCAACTTTCTCAATCCCGCGAGAATATACATCGCGCTTTACAGTCTCCTCACATTCGCAAGTTTGAATCTTCTCATGTACAGCATGTACGGGTGGCCATTCCTCGAGCACAGTTATCTCTACCATGTGACTCGTAGCGATCACCGTCACAACTTCTCGCCTTACAACACGTTTCTCTATCTAAAGTCTTCGCCAAAGTCTACAGATCTGGAGCCGGCTGCGCCATACCTTGAACTGGAGCGGTTGGCGTTTCTCCCACAACTGCTCCTCAGCGCGGTCTTTATACCATTAAAGTTAGCGAAGAAAGACCTCCCCAATACGATGCTAGCGCAGACCTTTGCATTCGTTACCTTCAACAAGGTCTGTACTAGCCAGGTACGTAATACGCCATCTTGTCGATGTTGCACACATAATAACTCTCTCTAGTACTTTCTTTGGTACATGATGTTCCTCCCATACTACCTTCCGGACTCAACTCTCCTAAAATCCCCGTCTATCGGCATCACTGCGCTCGTCTTCTGGATTGTGGGACAAGTTGCTTGGCTACAACAAGGCTTTCAGCTTGAGTTCAACGGTCATTCTACCTTTGTTCCAGGGCTCTGGGCGTCTAGCATACTCTTCTTTCTTGTCAATGTTGGTATCTTAGGGGTCATCATCTATGACATTAAACAGAAGAGACCGCAAAAGAATGTTGTGGTGGAGAAGAAGGCTTCATAGCGGTACCTCATAGCACGCGATTGTTATGCACACATGATTTGTTTCGGCTCGGAGGAGTTCCACACTACAATCCAAGTCTCTCAATATCCCCAATAGTAATACTCGAATTACTATGAGAAAATCACATCAGTCTTCGTTTCACCTTTCATCACTCGCTCGTACTCTTGCTCTTCCACAGCCTTCACCAATATCAAGACGCCTTTACCGGCATTCCACTCAGCATCCATCAAAACTTTTGTCAAGCTGTAGTCCCAGAAGCCCGATTTCCGATACTGACTGTGCGGTTTTGCCCACTTCCACAGCAGTCTATAGCCTTCAGGAATCAGATGACCGCTTTCGTCGCCAAGGACTGTGGTGCTGAGAATGTTCACTTTGGTGCCATCGCCACCACCATCGCTGGCCTTTAGACTGTGCAAGTTGGCGACGAGCTTCGACATCATCTGCGCATCTTGAGATGAAGTCTCCAGAAATTCGATCCGGCGGTGTAAGAAGTTTGCGAGACCAGGTTCGCTGGCCGGGATGTGCAAAACGCCGAAATCTTCATAGGAGTGAACTAGCTGGATCTGAGCGAGTGTAAGCGGCGTGTGTAGCTGCATATAGAAGCGCGAGGGGCTTGACGGCGCCCAGTAGCTAATGGTGGTCGAAGAGTTGTGAGTCATAGGGATGGCTATGAGGAGAGTATAAGGGCGAAGCCTTCCTAAATCTGGATGCAGATTTGAACCCTGCCAGGAGTCAGCGCAGCCTCTCATCAGTACATCAGAAGATGGCATGCGTAGATCTCACCGAACCTGGCGAAGTTTGTTGCATCTTTGTCGTGTCTTTCTCACTCTGCAGGGCGGAGTAATTCATCTAGGCGGCTTCGGTGACTTCATTTCCACTGACAGGAACGAGCGGAAACTATATCCATTCGTGCACGTAAAAGTGAAGTCATTATTGGTTGAAAGAAACGCCAAGGGAAGTATAGGTACGCCAAGTATACGTGGTAAGTCAGCCACAGTACGTGAGGCACGGTAACCGTTGCAGGTATAGTTTACGGATAGTCGGCAGGGTGAAGGATCTCTCAAACATGCTTTTTTATCAATGTCTCCAACAGCAATACTCGCCTTACATTGGAAAGAACATAATTGTTGTGTTATTCTCAATGTAAGGCGAGTATTGCTGTCGCAGTGACTTTCATACATGTGCAAGCTTTCAACCGTCTACACAACTCAAATTTCCAACCTTATGATCAGCCGCCTGATAGCCATGCACCACCGTCACTCTCTCTCTCTCTCTCTCTCTCTCTCTCTCCTCCTCCTCCTCCTCCTTGCACATCTTGCATACCCACCAAGGTACCGGTTCTCCCCGCAAGAGATACGGCTGGCTAGCTAGCCCATACGGATCGCGTCCCTCATGCCAACCCTGTGCGTGCTGATACAACTGGCGTTCTGCTTCCTCTACCAGATTATGTACTTCGAGTATCAATCCTATCTCCATAGCCGCTGATTTGTTTTCGAGTACGATGCTTTCCAAAGACTCGGTTGATGCGAGAAGACACTTTTTGGCAGCTTTATTATTCCTGATTTTGACGGGTTTGGGTTTGGCACTCGAAGCGGAAGATGTGATAATAGTAGCAGACATCGGCCCTGAAGAAGACGCCGCGGTGACGGTGTTGTTCTTGTGGAGATATATTCGATGCATCATCTCCATCGTTAGGAACGGCGGTTCTTGTCTTTGGTTTTTTGTTTGACCTTTGGGGCTCCCAGGTAATGTTTTTGATGCCGGTATTGGTATTGGTGCTTGTATTGGTTACTGTAAAGGACGATAAAGAGGAATTTGCAGACGGACTCACAGCGGCTTGATGTACCGAAGCCGTGTCTTCCGCAAGGGAAGCCAGCGGTCGGGTCATATCCCCAATGATGCAGACCACATAAGATGGGTTGGGGGTTGAATGTCTAGACGAGAAAGAAACTCGCCTAATATAGGATAAATTACTGTTAGTGCTCGCAGTTTTCGGGATACATAATTGGATAACCATGTTTCTGATGTGTCGAAAGGACGAACCAAGGACTAATATATTACTCACCCAATCAGCTATCTATATTTACATATACATGTACCAGTTATGTTACGGAGGTGATATATCCCATTTTAAGGTATGCCTTGAGATACTTACTCATGCTGCGGATATCATGGAAAAGACGAAATATATGTCTAGAGGGACTCGCTCTATATACGCTCTCCTTTTGCTTGCAGCATACAAACATGATCTCCCATCCGAGAACTCGTAGATACTAAGCGATTTGTAGCGTATATGCTACACCGTGGCCCTCCAGGAGTGGCCAAAAGCGTAAATTTAGGACTACTTCGCTATCATGCCCTGCCCCATATCATTATCTTTCTCCATCACTTTCCCCACCTCGACTATGACTTCCACATTTTTCACTACTACAACCTTCGTCTCCTTGCTCAATTCGCCTTTACGGATAGCTTCACGCTCAACTTTGACGGTGGTAACATTAGCAACAGCAACGACACCATCTCCATCGTCCTTCTCTTTAACTCCATACAAGATCTTATGCAGAAAGCTACCTGGCGCGACCATCTCCTGCCTGTATGAGAAGAGCTCTGGGTCTGGGACGCCATAGAGAATGGCCTGGAGAATACCCGTGCGCTTTGTACATGTGTCGGAAGCAGAAGTGATGGTAGTGCTATTCATGAGCATAAATGTTGTACCATTTTTTGGTTGAAGGAATGATGGAAGCGAATACGGCAATGATTTGAAAGTCACTGCTCCTTTCTTTTCAGCATTCATTTTCTCAACAGCCCTGCGTATTTCTGGGACTGTGGGCTCTGAGAGTATCGTAGGCATCTTCATTACCATCCGGCTCTGCATTGGTAGAGGAAGCAGACGAGAGGAACACGGATCGAAGGCTGAATAAGTAGTCATCTAGCCCAAGTCCTGTTCGACGTCCTTATCGAAGACTGTTCCAGTGTTGAAGAGGTTTGGGCGAAGAGTGCGGTACGCACACGGTGTAATGCGCTGACGTGCAGCCAGCGCTGTGTTTTTGCAAAACATCGTGATGCTATACTTGATGCTGAATTCGCGTGTGCTTTGAGGATTTTGCGCTTTCTGTTCCGTTAGGTTTGGGTTGTACGAGAGTTGGTAGCGTATGCAAGATCAAGATCTAGCAAGAGCGAGCAGAAGAGAGTATGAATACCGCAGTCGCCGAGAACCTTCTTCAGAAGGGTTGCGCATAGCGCTGTTTGTGCATGAAAAGAAGATTTGATGAAGTGACAGTGTTTGCGTTCCACTGCTTTTCACTACGATAGTCCTATCAGCGTTATGAAAGTGGAAGAACTGGACGGAACAATGCGTCACAGCTTTCACTCGTTCCCCTTGAAGATACACGTGCGTGGATTGGTGAAGTCTTGCTCTTATCTCAGCTTCATAGGTGTGAGCCTGCTATGGTCCACGGTGCCATGGTATCGATTTATGCGACATATAAACATATACGCACCTCCACTCTGACTCCCTACCAGCCCTTGACCAATGAGTTAAATCGATATCACAACCCAAGACAAAGAATACTCATGAGGCAGCGAATTATATTACTAGCGTAGACGAGGAGATGTGTATGGGGTCGCTGTTCCGTTAATTACAAAACCGTCAATAAACTTAATCATGATTAAACGTATATGTACAAGAACCATACAAAGAACGAAACAAAAAGGAAGACCGAGACTGTCCGACATATACAGAAATGAACGATTAGGGGTATCCAACTTGGCTCCAAACGCGTAGATCAACCTAGATGCAACGGATGTGGTATACGAGAACAGGAAAAAAAACGAGACCCTATCGCTCCCAAGGAAATATTAATATAAATCATAACAAATAGTGGGAATACAGCTGAGGTCATTGGGAACAAAGCAAAAGACCAATCAGAAATTGGAGACTCAGTCGCCATCCCACATGGGCGGTACCCACTCCTGTCCAGGGTAGCTAGTCGCCTTCATAGTGGGCTCGTCATCATCGACGGCAGGCAACTCAAATACCGGTCTGCTGTGACTTCCGCGTCTCTCCCAGCCTGGAGGGCCCCCAGTAGTGCTACCACCGACGCTCCTGAGGCTGGGGACCTGTCCACCACCAGATGCGCTGCGTTCAAGCTCTCTGGCTCTTGCCCTTGCAGCCTCACGTTCTTGCCTGTCGCGTTCTTGCCTTTCGCGTTGCTCTTGTTCGCGCTGGACGCGTTCCATGTGTGCGAGGTTCTCTTGCTGCAGGAGCTGGCGGCGCAGAGACTCGGCGCCCATGTCCGGTGATGTGCGTTGGGGTGACGCAGCCATCGAGGCGGGTTGTGGATGCTGTAGGATACCAATCGATGGTTGACGTGGTCGAGATCCAGATTGTCTGCCGCGTGATTCATAATCCGTATCCGTCATGATGTTGGGTGGCCGGAGTGCTTCGGGACGACTCTTGTTCATTCCGTCGTTAGGCACACCGGGACCATCGTACAATGGAGGAGCTTCGTCTGGTACTTGCTCATCATACTGTGGCGCGGTTCTTGGTTGCGAAGTATATCCATCACCTCGCGGCGATGGGTTATGGAAGTGCTGTCGCTGCTCCTCGAATGAGAACGGTTGGGTACTGCCAAACCCAGGCCGTACAGGACTATGGGCGACCTTCGGGGGTGGAGGTGGAGGCAAACCACTTGCGGTAGGATTCACAGGGCTACTAAGCACCATAGGGTCAGGCGACATAGGCAGAGGGTATGCTGCGGGTGGCGGAGATTGTCCAGGATGTATCGGCGTGGGCTGTACAGGAGTCGCATCACGACGGACTATGGGCTGCAGATCATGACTAGACTGTGCAACCTGCAAGTCCGTATAGGGTTGTGAGGAGCTTCGGGGTAGCAGTTCTCTGAAACCACCGCCTTGTGCTTGAGCATGTGGGGGCGTAGTCGTTGGCGTAGTCTGTTCGGGCGACGCACAAGGCGACGGCGACCCGGCAGCTCTCTCAGCTTGTTGCTGTTGCTGCGCGGTGAAGCGCTCTTGCATGTATTGTCCTTGGCGTGCTCGAACAATTTCTTGTTCAGTAGCACCCTCTGGAAAGCTGAGATGCCATGGACGGTCTTGCTGATGCACTTCTGAAATACTGCTCATCCTTGGCTTTTGATACCGCTGTGCGCCAGGAGCTGGAGAGGAATTAGGTAAGGCTGGTGAGTTCGATATTGGCGATACAAGAGACATGGTGCTTGCATCTGAGTGCGATCGACCGTTGTGAGGCGCCAGAGACTGTGCAGATATTTGCGGTGACACTGCTTGCATCCTGGGTTCAGAATCTCGACGATCAAATTGACCTAGCAACGGCCGCTGCTGTCGATCAATTGGCGATATGAAGGCCCCAGATACAGGATGATACGCGGCAGGTATTGGAGGTGCTTCATATCTAGGTTCTTGCATAGGAGAAACGGCAGGCGGAGTGATAGGAACAGCATCCTGAGAAGGATGATGAGGTCTTGGATCGGACGCGTTGTGGTAGGGAACAGGCCGGGTATCGTCCGATTGCCAGGATTCCATGTTTTGGCCCTGCTGTTGCTGGCGTAGTTGCTGGACTCGTGCATCGTCATTCGGCCATGATCTGTCATGTCCGTATGCATGTTGCTCACGTTGCGCTAGCCAGGCCTGGTGGGCAATTTGCCTTGAAGATGGCCCATGCTGCGCATATTGAGTGTCTCTGTAAACATTCTGCCCGTGCCCAGATTGCTGCCTGTCGTGTTGTCGATCAGTCTGTGGTACTACATAAGATCCCTGTTGAGGTGTCTCCTGATGTCGACGCTGCTCTGCCTCTTGTCGTGCGGCTAAAGAAACCGCATAGGCTCCACGTTCGACAGAAGCTTGCTCAGTATGAGGGTTGTAATACCCTCCAGGAGGGGGTCCTGAACTTGGATCACGCATATGTGAAGGATCGTTTTCAGACGACGTACTGGATGACTGTGCTACAGTTCCGGGATTGGGATTATGAGCTTGATGCGACTGCAAACTGCTCTGCCGAGCTTGGTGTTCCATCGCTAGCTGCTTTGTCTTGAGAAATGCAGAGCCTTCCTCTGGACGCGTACTAGAGATCGACTTCCGCTGCGGTGGACCTTGTTGCGCTTGCTGGTATTGCTGAGGTGGACCTTGGAGATGCATGTTCGGTGCTGGTTGAGACGGCCCTAGCTTTAGACCCATGGGCGGTCCATTCTGCACAGTGTGAGGCGGAAGTTGTCCAGGAGGATAGTATGCCAGACCGGACTGCTGTGGCTTGTATGGCTGCTGTTGGGGTACCCATTGAGAAGCAAGAGGTTGAGCAATAGGGACAGCGGTGTTTTGTTGGGTCTTTTGTGCCCTTTTCCCTTCTTTCGACAGCTTGTATTTCGTGGCCGATCCATCACCGCTCGCACCTCGATTGAACAAAGCTCCAAATGCAGAAAACCTCTTTTTCTTACCCTTTTCTGGTGTTCCTGATTGGGGCACTTGATGAGGTTGAACCTGAGTGTTGGGCATTGACGGTGGCTGCTGGGATGGAAAACCATTCGGGGATGCAGATATTATGGGCTCCCTTGGATCAGAATTCGAGCCAGTCGAAGGTGTTGTTAATGGGGTCTGAATAAACTGCGGTCGTTGACCCATACTTGGACGGTTAGGTGGCACGAAAGACCTTGGCTGTTCGACGAGCCTCTCTGCGGACGCCTCTCTCGAGCGCGTAAATCTATCCCTTACAGATTGGACCGGACCACCATAGTTAGGATTCGGCGGCAGTGGCTTGGAATCTGAGTGGATGACTGTGTTGCCAGCGCTTGACGGAAGCTGAGGATTTGGTTGAGCTTTCCCGCCAAGGCTCTTGAACATTGATGAAAGTCTAGGTTTCGACGATGGCTTCGCTTGTTGTCTTGGTGTTTGTTCAGCGGACGAATGCGAAGAAGTAGCAGGCGGGCGAAACTCCGCATCGTGTTCTTGAGGGTATTGCGCTTGCCGCTGCACCATTTGTTGATGAAGTTCAAATTGATTCCTTGGTCCATTGGCCTGAGTATGTGTCTGAGCCTCGTGGTATTCCGTCTGCTCCTGTGGGCGATCCAGGTTGCTCTGCGGAACCGACTGCCCTAAAACCATCTGTCTCCCTTGCGGCTCATGCAATACACGATCCGGAGGTTGACTAGTCTGTGGTGGTTGATGGCTGACATTAGGATTCTCGGAAAGTACTTGTTGGGAAACTGGTTCACCTGAAGGACGCCAAGAGCCGATAGTCGCCTGGGTCATCTTGTTACTAGGATCGATTGACTTGACAGCCTGAAAAATGTTCTTCGACGGACTTGGGCCTGATGCAGGCATTGGTTGGTACCGTGATGCGATATGATCGGATGGCGGAATCATGCTTGCTGGTGGATTCATTGAGTACACTGTCTCCGTCTGTCGTGACTGCTGCGGTTGATATCGATGCTGCTCAGGAATTGGAGGCACCTGCATTGCATTTGAAGATGCGGCCTGGTTGATCTGATCTTGAGGTTTGCCATCCTGGTCTTCAGGTCCTGAGATGAAACTCATTGGCCTTTCAAAGCTATATCTTGGTCGGTCTCCATCACGAGCTGCTGGTGCAGTCCCAGTGTCGGAGGTTGAAGGTCTTGATGGCTGTGATTGCGGAGTTGCTCCTGGTACCTGGAGATCTGCAAGTCGCAAAGGTCGGCCACTCGTGTCTTGCACATCCTTGACGATTCCGTTGTGGTCTGCATAAAGATCAAAGTCATCGTCTCCGCCATACGACGTCAGAACCTCCTCAGGGATCTGTGGTGGAGCCGCTGAAGGCTTCATGGTAGAATCCGGCTGCATGCGACGAATAGTAGACGGAGTAGATCTTCCGGTAGATGTCTGAGAATATGGATTGTTCCCGTCGTCGGACACCATGGCTGATATTTGCGAGAGCATAGACCTTGATCGCTCTGGAGCTATTGTAGTATTGTTTGAGACCTGCAGTTGCTGTGCTTGGTGTTTGAAGTCCGGAAAATTAGCCTGACCATGGAAGTAGCCATTCGACATGGCGGGATGAGAATTCTCGTTGTGCAGTTCTTCAGCCTTGGGTGTCTCGGTGCTATTCTGGGTGATGCGCGGAACCTGCGCGACGGGCGTTACGCAGTCCCTTTCATCCCTCATCTTATCAGAGTCGCCTGTAACAACGCGCGGTTCAGTGGTGGGATATCTGTGGTCCCATGATATATCAACTGAAGCAGATGCGGAATGTTCTTCAACGGCGTCGACGCCTTGAGAAGGCGGCGTAGAGACGCGGCGCGTCGAGGTGTCGCTGTCAGCAGCTGCAGCATTGGCCCCCGCAAGGGTGTCGCTAAGCGAAGTCACCCCATGTCCCCATATTTGTTGCTGGGCTGGGGCTGCAATCTCGCCGATGGCCTCTGAGCTGGGGTTTGGTAGACTCCTTGCGTTTTCGTCTCGTTCCTGTGCAAATGTCGTTGCACGGACTTGCGCCCTTTCGTCTGCATCCCCGAGACTCCGTGTGTTTGTGTTGGGCAGCTGCAAACCATTCTTGGCAAACCACACGGGACTAAAAGCACGTTCTGCATCTGCCTTCTCAACCTTCGACGTCATCTGTTCATCTTTGACATCAAAAGATGCATCTGAGGTCGGTGTTGCATCACGCGTAGTAACTACCTCAGCCTCGAACGAGGCTATACGTCGAACTTTGCCAGTACGAAAGGTACTATCAAGAAGACCAAGTGTAGGTGATTCAACATAAGAAGCGCGATTCCCATATCCGATTTGTCGCTCTGCGCTTGGAAGCTCATTGGCCCTGCGTTGTGAGGGGATTGGCGAGTTCCCATAAGGGGATGGTCTGTCTTCAGGCTCGAACGACGAGTGCTTTGCGGACTCCTGAGGGTTTTCTCGAGAGACTAGGGCGCTGATGGTATCTGTAGATGACCGTTCAGTTGTAACGACGTCGTCTGGCTGCTGTCGGATCAGAACAAAAGGTGTGTCCTCGTATCTGATGATTCCAGCTCCACACATTTCTTCGTCATGCTTAACACCCACCGCGCTGTCATTCTTGTTCGACGCAACACCAGCAGATGTCCCTACAGGGGGTAGCACTGGACTGATACTATCAGCTTTCTGTTTCGTATCCGACGTTGGCAACGGAGCTAATCCTCTTCCACGAACAGGGTCCCTATCGCTATCCTCATCGCTTACATCCATGTCCTTGTTGATGTATATGAACCGTTGTTGTAGATCAAGCTGCGAAGACGCTGGAGGTGGATCATGGTTCAATTGCGGTGGCTGATCGTCATCATCAATACTGTCATGCTTAACCCTCTTCGATGCCCCCTCATTGAAGCCGAACTGGAAGCCATCACGTTGGAGGTCACCAGACTCGGCTGTAGGCAGATCTGGTTGGAAAGATCCCTCTGGAGCACGGAGCAATATCTTATAGTCATCAGCTCTTTCTTGTGCACTAGATGGAGGATCATCCTCTGCAAATACTGGGTGATGTTCGTGATTGTTTGGATCCCTCGGAACCGCTGCTGGCATTGAGTGCCTATCAAGCACGATTGGAGGTGCTGAGTGCCGAACATTAGATTGTAGTATCCGATGGCTAGCACTATCCTGACTGGATCTGCGTCGATAATGCTTGATAGCAACCTCATCTGGGATGGGTGGAACAGGAGGGACGTAATCCCCCGTATCCCTATCCTGGGTTGAAAAAGCGCTCTTTGCTGGAGAGGGCAATATACCCAAACGTGGTTGTGAAGAGCTTCGACGCGGCGGTGTAGCAACAAAGTACTCGTTAAGCGCGGTTGGTGGGGTGCCGACCCAAGAGTCTGGCGCATGGAAAGAATGCGGTCTACGTTCGCCCATCAGATAGTGGTGGAGCTCACGGGGAGGCGAGGTCTTAGGGGTCGAACTAAAGACCGATGGGGTATCTCTCGGTAACGCAACACTGCTCGGTCTGCTTCTAGAGCGACTAGCACGGCGGAGCTGTGACGAGAACGAGAATCGACGCTTCTTCTTTTCTTCATTTGGGGCTTCCTCCTTCTTTTCCTTCTCCTTCTCCGTCAAAGAACGTATCAAATGCATTCCTGTCGACGCTCTTGATCTTCGTGTCACAAGCTCGGGCTCTTCGGAGGCTTCGCGGGAAGAAGGCGCGGAGTCGGCCCGGACATGAGAAGCCTGATTCACGCATCACATCAGCAAAAAGCACTACTGTAGAGAAGCCGAGCCGTATTGGATCCAAACTTGAAATTACGTTCAGATGATTATGGGGCTACCGGCGAGGACTACGATCGTTAATGGCAAAAGAATGAAAACGCCCAAAACAAGGTCATAAACGCCACATTTGATGTCCATACGATTCCATTTAATCACCCGCCGTAGTCCATAAGCCAAAGAAAGAAGCTGTAGTGGCATTCCCGTCGCATGCCATATAAAGAAAAGGAATAGGAGAGATCATTTGTCTACCTTTTCGCGGCCGAAGCGACTCTTGCCTTTCGCAAACAATCCTTTAGCGCTCGTCATGCCCTTCCCACCTAGTACATTGGCGGTGTGAAGTAAGTCCTTGCCCTTGAGCTGCATCTGCTGATTTGCGATTCGCCCGCCGAATCCTGAGGTAGAGGGTGCACCGGTGGTGGGAGAGCTTGAGCTCGCGGGGACTGGTACACTAGCATTGTTATGCTGTTCGCTGCTCACATCGTGGGTACTTGATCCCCCCAGCTTGCCAAATAGGGCCAGAGAGCCGGTATGCCTATGACGCGCCGAACTTGTAGGGGCTCGCTGTACGGGGTAGCTTTGAATGGCCAGATCAGGGTTCGCTTCGAGCGCAGAGCGCAGCCAGTCATTGAGACCATGATCATATTTCGCCCAATACTCTCGTGTTGCATTGTAGGCGTCAATTCGCTCGGCAGCTGTAGCCAGTGTTGCAATTTCTCGAGCGCCTAGGGGCTTGTCCGTGGTTGGCGACTTTGGTGAAAAGTCCTGCACAGCAGTAGAGGTCGTTGGATCCTCATTGGGAGGCACAATGGCGGGATGTTGCGTGGGCTGCTCCAGCTGTTGTTTTTCATTCAATTCTGGCTCTTTGGGTTCTGGGGGTGGCTCGTGTTCCGCACTGAAGCGCGGAGGGAGATCTACGGCTTCGGGGTTGAGCTCTGTGTTGACAACATGGAGTCCCGGCGAGCGTGTTCCCTCTCGGGTAGGGCTGGTGATTGGACTAGTAAGTGAGCGTGCAGAATCAAGGGGCGGAGAAGAAGGTTGCGGCGGCATATCAGTGTCACTAATAGGATCCGGTTTGGTGACCGTGAAAGTATGATCAGGACCGAAGTATGAGTCAGGAAGAGGTTCAGACGACTCCTGACGTTCCTGATCTGCAACTCGCTCAGCAGGAGGAGGAGAAATTGCGGCTACTGGTGATGCTTTTGTAGGCTCTGCCGTGGGTCCGCCTTGTGCTTGCTCGTCTGGTGTTTGCAGTTGCGAGTTGCTCCCTTCCCAGCTGAATCGGTTGAGAATCACGGGTTTAGTCGGTTCCTCAGACTGTGGTAGGAAAGATACCCTCTTTCCCGATGGCTTCTCTTGATGGTGTCGCTCAGTGACTTGTGAAGACTGAGGAGAAGCGCGGTCTTCTTCTGCCCAGTAGGTATCATACTCACTGGGCAGGATAGAGCTAGCACGGTTTCCGCCTGGACTAACGGGCTGGAGTGAGGCTCGGTTAGATTCACTAGCTGGCGATGCAGGAGCCTTGAACGGGCTGAGACTTGCAACAATCTCCTTGCGCAGACGATCGCTTTCCTGGTCTTCAGCTGAGGGGTCGGTACTCAACTGTGGGTCAAGACTTGGTCGCTTAGGTTGACTCGTGAAGGGCTGTAAGGATCTCTCTTTCAGAGGCGGGGGTGGTGGGAATTCTGATTCCGGTGTATCCTTCGCGGGAGGGGTCGGTGGTACACTTGAGCTACTAGTGACCGTACGGTCCAACTGAAGGGGTCTAGGGAGATAAATGTTTCCATGATCGGTACGACGACCCGGCTGCTGTTGAGTTTCGGATGTATCATCATCGGCTCCTAAAGTCGTGCGAATAGAATGGACCATGGCGGCTCCAGCATCTTTAAGCGCAGCAAGCGGATCAGAAGTTTCCGCCTCGGCTGAAGACACCCCAGCGACTGGATGCTTGGCCGTTGTTGGCGTAAGTTCAGAGTTGTTGAGTGAGTCCGGCCCATTGGTGTCGAGGCTCAATCCACGATCCTGCTCACCGTGATCTGAGGGTGTCATAGCCGTGGTCGCGTATGATTCCCACTGGCCTGGAAGATGAGGACGAAACTCTTTGACAGGACTGCTGTGTCTTGAATGACTAGCTTTTGTTGGAGACCCCGCACGAGAGTTGTCGTTGCTCCGTTCCCAAGACTGAACACTGTTCCTCGAGCGATTGGATTGTGTGGAGCCACGTCTTGACGAAGCTACCTCTCCAAATTTACCTGCCAAAGCCTGTACACGACCTTTGCTTGGAGACTCAGAGCGATCGCGCGGCAAAACATCATCGACGGGGCTTTGCGCATTGTGCGACTCTAGGAAGGTGTCTTGTGACCGGAGCTCTGCTGCACCGAGTTCAGCTGCACCACTGTCTGGGCCATTTCTCGCGGCAGTGGCGATGTCTGCCTCACGGGTAGCATACGCAGGGGATGGGCCTTGGAGACCGCCTTGCATTGCGTCGGATGTCTCATTGCTTTCCGTCGTAACAAGAGCGGATTCTGGCTCGGGCACGTCCCTGCTCGGTGCTAAGACAGGCGAACGGGCAGGACTGTCACCACGTGTGGGCGTAGCGAGACCGCTGCGCGGTATGGAAGAGTTTGAGAAGTTGCGATTGTGACCTGGCGAAGGTTTCCGTGGGACGTGGTGCATTGGCTCGATAACGTTCGCGGATGTTGGCTGGGTGATGGGCGTCGTAATTTCACTAGGCTCTTCTGCAATAACGGGTGTATTACCTTCTGCTTGGTTACGGTTCCTCAGCGCTGATGCTGCAGAGCTGGGTACACGGCTCATGATTGGGCTGATTCCGGAAGTACTGCCAGTATTGCTTCTCAAGAGGTCCGAACTGGAATCGTTATCGTTCGATATGGGCGTTGGCGGAACCGAGCGGTTTTCATCAGCGCGAGTGAATGCTTGGTCGACAACGGACCGTAGGCCCTGGTCATCCTGCGGTGACACGAGGGATCGGTCTTGCTGGGATTGCTGTTTGTCGTAGTGCGGGGCTGCTGCATCACAACCAGGCAGAAAATACTCGCTCTTGCGCTCAGCGACAGTTTCCATGGGCTGCAGCGATCTTCCGCCCTCTTGAGGAGATGTTATATTGTCCCGTGTTGGGGAGGAAAGAGAGTCCAGGCTTGGTCGCGATGAGTCTAGTGAAGCACGTTGCCGCTCCTCTTCATGCCGCTTGTAGATGTCCGCTGGTCTGATAAAGGGTAGCGACTTGTCGGACTGACTGCCCTGCCGTGATCGTGGGGAAGTAGGCATTGGCATGTCTCCTTGACCTATGCTGCTCTTGCGAGGGGGGAACTGCGTGTTGATGGGTGGAGTGAAGTCGGCAGGGACCTGCGAGATGCGTGTCTGAAGGGGCGGGGGCATCGCGGAAGGGCTGAAGTCCCCTCTATCGTTGGTGTCGTAGCCCTGGTCAAATCCACCGCCGCTTGTCTGTACTCGTGGCTCTTCATATTGTTGACCATGACCATGCTGGGGGTGTGGTATCGTTGAGGAGAAGGCCCGCTGTTCCTCGCCATGCTCGAAGGAATTTCTTCGGCCTCTTGCGAGAGGTGCCTGCTGGGAAGGGTCGGTGAAGCTGCGCGATGGCTGCTCTGTACGCTGAGCGTAGTATCGCTGCGCCGGTGCTTGTGGCTGCTGCGGCTCCTGGTTGACGCCGTATTCATCGTACTCGTCGTAGCCGCCCCAATCATCACCATCATAGGCATTCTTCTTAGCCTGCACCCATTTCTTCGTTTTGGCACGATTGACGTTAGTCTTGAATGACACGGGCTGGCCTGCGGAGAAGGGCGACGCGCTCCGGTCGCTAACACGAGTCAGTCTATGAATGCATGCTCCATGTACGGTTGCCACCTACAGTGGTGAACGGGCTTCCTCAGCCTGGAAGCGGAAAGGGCCGGACATGATGGAGTAGTATACTCGGGGTATAGGATATGCACACCACTCTAGCTCTACTGGGGCCAAGCCCAAAACCACCTATATCCTACAGCGCATGCAATCTAGGGAAACGAGAGGATGTCTACAGAGGCGAGCTCTGCGACAAAAGAGCTGGCTAGGTAGTGCGCGATTGCAGCGCTGAGGAGGTGGTTGACAGCCGGAGTGGTGGTGATAGACAGAGTGGCTGGAGCAAGGCGGGAGGGACTCGATCCAAGCTTCCGGGATAACGTCACCTGCTGCGCGTGCGAAAGGCCCGACCAGAAATGAGACGAAGAATCACTCGACCAGGGTAGAGTTGAGAAGAGTGGAAGAGTAAGAGTAAATACAGTGAAGATGCAAGCCATTAATCCCTCTAACAGCACGACTTCTCCGCGCGGCTTGACGGCTCTACGGCTCAAAGGCCAGCGCCACTATTGGACTGCGGCCCCGTCAGGTGTGGCGCAGGCGACAGCCCTAAGTTGGGACATGGGCCGCCCTAGGAACTAACCACGTTGATGTTCCCCAATTCACCCCAGCCCAAGCCTCAACCCTCAACATATTCCACGTTTTGCTGTTCGACCCCCCAGGAAAACCTCGATTCACCCACGCGCACGTCTGCGTCCCGAATACCTCATCCAGCGCTAGAGCGAAAACTAGTGAAGGCAGTCATTTCCCCTACGCCACGCAAACGGACGGACTTCCGCGTCGCATCACAACACCATTTAGCCTCGCCATTGCTGCCTTGACACTACGAGAGACGTAGCTTGACCACTTCAGCAACTGAGCGCATACCCATCTTCTCCCCCGGTGCAACTTTCACCCCTCGACCGCATCCGCATCGCCTCGCTGTTCTGCCGACAGGTGGTGTGCGCCTCCCCTTTTCCGACCCCACACACGACAACAAATCATCACCATGGCCGTATCGATACAGGACCGCACCGAGGAGTTCCGCTCCATTCTCGCACAGGCTCAGCGACGGCAGGCACAATCCAAGACGGGCGCGCAACGGCAGTCGCTCCTCACACAGCAAGAGAAGGCACAGGCAAATGCCAACCCGCGGCGTCAACGCTCCGAGTTTGCGCGTAATGCGGCAGATGTCGCGCGTGGTGTTGCGAGCACCATGCAGAAACTCGAGCGCCTTTCACAGCTGGCGAAGCGCAAGACCCTTTTTGACGATCGGCCAGTCGAGTTTGACGAGCTCACGTTTGTCATCAAGCAGGACATGACTGCCCTGTCAGGCCAGGTGCAAGCGCTGCAACAGATGAACTCGAGGCAACACCCCAAGTCGAAACCCGGCGTGGATCAGGAAGGAGAGCACAACAGCAATGTCGTGGGACTGCTCAAAGACAAACTACAGAACGTGGGAATGAACTTCAAGGATGTTTTGGAAGTGCGAACAAAGAACATGCAGGCATCGCGGTCGCGTACAGAACAATTCCTATCAACGGCTGCCCAGCAGTCCCACAGCAACCTCGAGCCAGGCAGGACTGATTCTCCACTATACCAAACACCCCAGCGAGGTCGATCACCGGGAGGTTTTGGTCGGAGTACCAACGCAGTGCAGCAAGACCTACTCTCGCTCGAGCCTTCCGGATCGTCGGCTCTGACACGGGGTGGACCGCAATCGGACGCACAATTGCTGCTGATGGAAGAGGCCCAGCCCCAAAACGCATACATCCAAGAGAGAGGGCGGGCAATCGAGTCGATAGAGTCTACTATCCAAGAGCTAGGAGGCATATTCAGCCAGCTCGCTCAGATGGTGTCGGAACAAGGAGAGCAGATCCAGCGCATCGACGCCAACACCGAAGATGTCGTAGACAATGTAGAGGGTGCCCAACGCGAGCTGATGAAGTACTGGAGCCGTGTACAGGGCAACAGATGGCTTGTCGCAAAGATGTTTGGTGTGCTAATGATTTGTACGTATACCCCCAACCTTCAATGCGTGAATGAACAGCTAACGTGGTGCAGTCTTTTTACTTTGGGTACTCATTTCTGGATAGATCTGCACTTCATTGTTACGGCATATTCCGGCGTTCAGGAAGACAAGAGGCATCATCACCAGCTCGGTCTGGCATCGTACTGGGAGAGCAGCAGTTGTGTAAGACGCTGCTCACTTCTTCACTTGTATCTATACTTTTTTTGTTGTTTGTTCCTTTTGTACCTACGCTCCCATGAACACCATTACGTCATGAGCAGGCCGGTTGAGTCACTATTAATGAAGCTTATTTATCTTTCACGTGCAACATCTCGAGACTTTTCGTTCCGAGTGTGGGGGTCTATGTGTCCAGTAGCCCGATCTATGTCTGTGCACTATCCGATCTTGACTTGCATGCCTTGGCTGCATATGTACAGCATGCGGGTCGGTAGTCGCTTAGATCGGTAGTACCATCATCAGGAAGCCAGAAATAGACAATGACTACTATTGTATAAACTCAAACATATCCTCACTTGACCGTTGTGACAAATGCATACATGTTTGCTCATTCTGAGCATGCGCAAACTTATGTCACCACCTTCGTCATCGATCACGGCGATCGACTGTGGGATGAAACTGAATTGCACGGTTGTCCACATCTGGTGGCTTCTTACTGTGGATTGACCTTGCGCTGTGTCACCAACGTCGCAAAGAAAGTATTCATTACCGGTTAGTCAAGGATGTCTCCGACGCCCACCACTAGTTTGAATGTCAGCGCGACCAGTCTTGACATCGGAACTGGTGGGAGCTAAGCTGCAATGCCGAAGCTATACGTCAATCACTTGGTAAGCTCGGGAAAGTACTCCGGCTACACCGCTACGAGTCGTCAAAGGTCGGTTGACAGGCGCCGAACCATGCACCCGCATCTCCAAGACAGGCGGAATGATATCAACGGTTGTTAGATCGTCACTAGGTCGCCGTATTGGCGGCACGACACCTGGGAAGTGCGACATGACGAAAAGAACGGCGCGACGTCGGCCGGATAGCTGCGTTAGTTTGACGGGCGCGAACCCATTAGCGGCCTTGAACAGATGTCATATTGATGTTTGGCGAGTGGCATGGCATGCAAGCGGCAGGATGAATGCAGCATCAGCAGATGATCCCCTTGCTGCAGAGTGGGCGTGTGGGCGTCTTCTATCCCGCTAGCGCCCTCTCCTTCTATCCGTATGTCAACCACACTCTCACACTGACTTGCGTCCTCGACACCTGATCCGCTGTGTATCTGCTGCACACCTCCGTTAGTCGCCCAAGATTGTGTGGCCCTCCCACCTCTGACGCCTCTGCCCTGCGCAAACAGAGACAACCCTGACGCTGCCGCCTGCATGTCTTGGTAGCGAACTCTTGACATCACCCGAGAGGCAAGTGCATGCGCGCTCCGGCGCAATGCCCGACCGCATATGGGACGAAACTGTTGCCCTCGGCACGGCTCCCATATTCGACGATACTGTGTATCTCTCCGAGGCCTTGGGCCTACCCATAGATCAAAATGAAGACCATCTCGACGCTGAGTTAGCGCTGCTTGCTCGCGAGTCCGGTGTCCCCGATCCTTATCGCTTCGTACCCCCGCCAGAAACTATCTCACGCGCAATCTCGACTATGACGTTGGACAGCGACCAGAGGAGTTCCAGGTCAATTCACTCTCAAGAAACACAGTCAACAAGCTTCACGTCGGCGCCTTCCCGGACATCAAGAGACCATCTATTCTCTAGCGACGGCTCAACCACCAAGAGGGTACCCCCAACACTTCGACGGGCTGCATCAATCGTCGAAAACTCTCAAAAGGGTACAGAACGTCCCGAGTCTAACTTCGAGTCAAGACAATCATCGACATTGTCCATCACACCTTCTCTCGTCTCTAATTCAGCATCGTCATGGCAGGCACAAGCACGGAAGAAACGCAGCTCAGCCATCTTTTCCATGTTTCGAAGAGATTCGGGGTATGTCATGGGCAGTGGATTATGAAGCCTACTTACTAAAGCCTTTCCAGTAGTACTTGCACAACGCCGGCCTCGCACCACGGACACCACAGCAAGCCTCGAGGCGTAAAGCTGGCATGCGGTCACATGTTGTCTGACTACGATATCCGGGCGCATATACAGGAGGCATCGAGGAAAGGCTCACATGTAGCGCCTGATTGCTGTGGAAGCCTAATACCGCGCTCGGTGTTGGAGAGCGTTCAGACAAAAGAGACTAATCATGCCATGAACAATACTGCCGACCTCTCCGACACTGCACTCCGCGACTCTGGCTATTGCGAAATTGCAATATCAACTGCCGACCCACCACATCCAATCAAGAATCTTCTCCTTTCAGAAAAACCTCCCACCTTGCCACAACTCCAAGCCAGGCGCATCCGGCATGAAGCGATCAGTATTGAATCAGCATTGGCAAATGAGGCTTTCAAGAGTTTCAGGACACAACAGAAGGAGCAGTTTGAACGTGTTTCCTCGTTCGAGTGCAACCAAAGAAAAGCCTTGTCAACGTACCATCGGTGCACAATGGTGCTGTTAGAAGCGCAATATAGAATTGCGAGGGAGGAGCGAGTTGAAAAGGTATGGGTAGATCAAACGATCGTACGACTAACAGCTGACTCAACCTGCATAGCACAACGAGGATCTCGAGCGGTTAGAGGAGCGACAACTGCTCGCTGAACATGACCTTCTGAAAGCGCAAGCTCAGGAAACACAGAATGTAGCGACAGCTTTGAAGTATATCGAGGCTTACTGTCTGAGTACAAAAAACGACCAAGAGCGCGCGCATACCGTGTCAGAGGAAGACTTCAAAAAGTTGGATCGCCAAAGACTGATCCAACAAGACCTCCCGAAGAAACATGCAAGCGCGATCAACGTCTTACGTGCAAGGCAAGAACTGGACACAGAACGAAGAATAGAGGCCCAGGAAGCAGAGTTACAGCAATTGGGTGTAGACCACGAAAGAGAGAAAGCTAGGAAAGAGGCTGAATATCAGAAAGAATTGGAGAAGCTTGATGCAGTTATCAACGTAAGAAGAAAGAGGCTGTTGCAAAGGTGGGATCTCAAATTTGAGATGTGGCGGCGAGACTGGGAAGCGCAACACAACACGACTCTGACGGCAGAACTTGAACACGAGGACTGGCCATCTGGCAAAGCAGACTATACCATCTCCATACCCGAAGCAAGTTTGCTGGCTCAGTACGTCAAGACCGCGGCATGAAGTGACGACAGATTTTCCTCTAGAATCTCTGCGCATATCCTGTCTCCGATTCCACGTTATCGTTAAGAAACCGGCGTCTTTTTGGGCATCATTATCTTTATTATCATTTCACAGCGTGGCGTTATAACGGACGCCGACGCCGATATGGATCCATTCTTCTATTCTTGCTGCATTGGCGGGTTTGTATCTTCGCGACCATATATACCCCTTTGCGCATTTGCGAACACGCATTTTTTCTTCTTCTATACATCTTATTTGGCATGTAGCAGACCAAATCTTCTTTGGTTGTAGGGCTAGATATACACGTTATGCTGTAATGGAACCGAGTTACATAAAAAAACACACTGAGCTAACCACCACACCCTCGTCGACTAGTGACCCAGACTTTTGGACACGAAGAGACGCTGAGCCCGACAATCCGGACACCTTTTTAGGTGGGGTGGGTGTGTGTGTGTGTGTGCGGCTCAAGCTCGAGACTGTCCGCATAACCTGATATCGAGCGAGGTGGTGGTGTGGTAGTCTAGACAAGACTAGTGTTAGCAGCAAACCCAGTCGCCTGGAAACTACGGAGCATTTTTCCGCCCCTACGGCGATTAAATAGCGAGCGAACGTCGTTCACTGGAATCCATGGCTTGGCATGGAGCTGACCGAAAGAGGAAATATGCGTTTTCTCACGCCATGGTGGGTCGATGGGGTATGCGGTGCATAGGTATTGGTTTTCCTAGTATTATGGAGTAATGTATTAGATACTCTGGAGAGAAGGAGGAGGTATTTACGAGATGTAACATAAGACTGGCGGCATATGAGTTCGCTGTCATCAATGGATGTGATGGAGAGATATAAGGACGAGAAAATGCCTGTCGGCGATAGCTACATTTTGCACTAGAGAGAAGCCATGCAACATGTTTATCGGAGAATGGTAGAGATTCGCAACAAGTGCATGTGCGCATGTAAAATTGCTATCTGGGTATCTTGCTAACTCGTGGAACTCGTAAAGACATAGTCAACTATCGTTAAAATAAACTTGGTATATGCTTTTCAGCTTTTGATACCGATTGTCCAGCAGTCGTGACCGACAATGCTTGCTTAGCCATGAGTGAGATCGCTATTGTACTGCTCAACTGGAGCTAGCATATCCCACTGTAGACCCTCTTGCGCATCCATGGCCGGTGGCAGATGGTCTAAGCCCATAGCCATATCCATCTCAGCGTCATCCTTCAGGAGAGAGAGCTGGTCAAACTGCTGATCGAAGAAGCCATGGTGTGTATCTGTGCTCTTCGGATCAGGGTAGGGTAGCATGGACATGTTACCTTCCGTGAAATATGGAGCCGGCGTCTCTGGCATGCTTGGCGTAGCAGAGTCGAACATGTTCATGGAATCGTCGAATCCACCAATCCAGAACTGTCCTCCGCTAACAGCATCGCGCTCCTGGATCAGCTCCTCGATCTCGTCCTCGGGAATGTTGTGCTCGGCGAGCAGATGACGGCGTAGATCGCGGTCCATGTAAAAGCGGTACTCGCATGTCTTGACCAAACACGGTACCTCTCGGCCTTGTTCGTAACCGACACCGGTAAGCATCGTCAGCATCGAGGGCTCCGGCTTCTTCTTGGATTTTGCGGCCTTTCGCAGCTGTTTACGGTTGCCAAGACCAAGATGATGTGTCCGAACGTGTTGATCAAGAGACGACTTGGCTTTGAAGGAAGCACCACATGCATTCTCTCCATTCCAGGCTCTGAGATCTGCGTGTTTCGAACTTTGTAGAGCATCCGAGGTACAAGAGTACTTGAATTGCTTGTCGTGGACGGTCTGAATATGAACGGTGAGGTTGTGTTTTCGATTGAAGACACTCTCGCAGCCCAGTCTGGGACAAGCATGCTGCGATTGCTCTTGTGGATCGCCATGTGCGGTGTCGAAGTGTGTCTTCAAATTCGATACAGTCTTGAACTTCTGACCACATTCCGTGCACACTGGCGGGTGACACTCGGTCGTGTGCGTCTCTAGCTCCTCTTTTGTAGCGAAAGACGGCAGTTGTGTCGGGATGATGGATGTGTCGACAGACTCGGTCTGCAATGTTTCCGGATCTGCACCAGTTACACAGAGCATACAGAAGTGGCCCTGTTCTTGCGTGTATGCGTGCGCCCTTTCCATATGCCGTTGTAAAGCTCCCTCAGTCTGAAAGCCACTCGTGCATCTCTCGCCGGTCTCTTCATCCACATGAACACAATTGTAGGGCTTGACTTCGAGATGCTGACCCTTGATGTGTGCCTCCAATGCCTTCGCCTTCCTGAACGCCTCGTTGCATGGGGGAAAGTCGGTGCAGTAGAACTTGGACTCGTGGACGTCTCGGTGCCTCTGGAGCCGTCCGTTGGAGGTGAAACGCTTGCCGCATCCGTTCCAGTCGCATATGAACGTTCGCTCGGTTGCCGGGTCACTATGAGCGTTCTTTAGGTGGCGTTGCAAGTGATCTTTGCGGGGAAACGTCTTATCGCAGCCGGGTTCGGTACAGACAAACGGTCGCTCCTTGTTGTGGCTTCGCATATGCGTTTCGAGACGGCATGGTCGGTTGAAACGTTGCGAGCATGTCTGGCAGACGTAATTCCAGGCGCGACGAGCCTCGCTCTCGGCCCTCAAAGTACCATTGTCGGTGTAGTTGACCTTGTAATCGGCGGAATCGTCTGAAGCATAGTCTTGCTCGGGAGTCTCCTCCGCAGCACCTCCGAGAATGTTAGCTTTTGGGGACGACGTCATGGTGGCTGGGTTATCATACTCTTGCGAGACCTTTTCTGCGGCAAAAGGCCTGCCTCTTCTGTAGTTTTACGTTTCGGGGCCATGGCAGTGCCTACAATTCACGGATCGTTTACAACAGGCGGCTCGAGGATGCGGAGAACCATGGGCGAAATTCGAGCTCCACTGTATTTTTTGGATGCCAAGATTTCATCCGCTAGCGCCGACGCCGACGCTGACCCCTGCGATTTCTGATCGCGAACTTTCTTTACTGTCGCATCGCATCAGGCATACACCCCATCTTCCACGCGTAATCTTCAACCCCACTCGAAAAGACAGACCTACGTGTATAACCCAAATCGAACGCAATCATGTCCGACTACGGCGGTGACGACTACGATGGCGGTGCTGGTGATATGTATGTTGATTCCACCTCTGCACTTTCTTCACAAGGCGCATTACCTGGGGGGAGGGTAGAAGACATTCCAGCATAATCTAACGTCAATAGCGATGAGCCTCTCATCGAGTTCGACGAAGAAGCAGAGCCCGATCTGATGGACGACGAAGACGACCAGCCCGGCGGCGGTGAAGACCCAGACAACGCCGAGCCCAACGACGACAACGTAGTAGTATCGGGCGATGCAAATGCGGCAGCAGCTGCCAGAGAAGCTTCCAAGAACACAGTCACGAGCGAAAAGGACAAGAAGGTTCCAAACGACAAGCGCACAACCACTCCATACATGACAAAGTACGAGAAGGCGCGTGTTTTGGGCACAAGAGCACTCCAGATCAGGTAAGCTACAGCTGTTTAGCAGGTATGCTCGCGAAGACTAACGATATCGCAGTGGTAACGCTCCGGTATTGATTGACGTGGAAGGAATGACGGACCCTCTGCAGATTGCTGCGAAAGAGCTGCAAGAGAAGAAGATCCCGCTCGTTGTACGGCGGTATCTGCCTGATGGATACTACGAGGATTGGACTTGCGAAGAGCTTCTGACATGAGACATTGAGTGTTTGGTTGCATCTGATAAGGAGTTTTGTTTGGCTAAATATGGAGCATATCGGCGAAAGGAGTCTCTAAGTGGTTGCATAATTATATCCCGAATCTCACCCGATCTCCGTTAGCTCCAAGCCTTGTCCGTTGCATGTGCGGATCCGCGGATAACATTCCTGTAACAAGCCAAAAGTCTAGAGGAAGGTGGGGTAGCTTGACATAGCTATTTGTCCCCGCACTAAATCCAGGCACAACGTCACTCAATGCGCCTGCTCACAAAACTTCCAAGGGCCCCTCGACTTGTGTCTGCATTTCAGCCTCCTACACGATTCTCCCGCTATACCACACTGTCCAACATGTCTTTCGAAACCACAGGTACCATTGCCTCCTTCGGGGGCAAGCTTCTCAAGTTGAAGCACAAGTCCGAGAGCACAAACACAGACATGGAGCTTAACATGTTCCTACCTCCGCAAGCACTCAAGTCCGGGGCCAAGGTTCCCGTTCTGTTCTACCTCTCTGGACTCACATGTACCGGCAACAACTGCTCAGAAAAGGGCTTCTTCCAGCACGGCGCAGCTAAGCATGGCATTGCCATTGTATATCCCGATACTTCACCAAGTGCGTGTTTACTGTGAGGTTGAGATCCGAGCACCTGACTAACCCTCTGGCTAGGAGGTCTCCAGATCGAAGGTGAGGACGAAGCGTACGACTTTGGATCTGGCGCAGGCTTTTACGTCGACGCCACCAAGGACCCATGGTCCAAGGGCTACAAGATGTACTCATACATCACCAAGGAGCTTCCTGAAGCATTGTTCTCATCCTTTAAAGAACTCGACTCCAGCAAAGTCAGCATCACAGGACACAGCATGGGTGGTCACGGCGCATTGACATTGGTGGGTCTGCGGTATACTCGTTAGGAAGGACCGCACTAACCACCGCTGATAGTTCCTCAAGAACCCCGGCATGTACAAATCCGTCTCTGCATTCGCGCCCATCGCCAACCCCATCAACTGCCCGTGGGGTCAGAAGGCATTTAAGGGATACTTTGGCGAGGACCAGCAACAAAAGTGGAAAGAGCACGACGCTTCAGAGCTGGTAAAGCAATGGAAGGGTCCTCTGGAAGTGCTCATCGATGTGGTGCGTATTGTATAAGACATCCTCGGAGTATGTTACTGACTGAGACAGGGCACGGGTGACAACTTCTACAAGCAAGGTCAACTTCTTCCAGAGAACTTCGTCAAGGCAGCTAAGGAAGCTGGCAACGACAAGGGCATCCAACTCCGCATGCAGCCCGACTACGACCACAGCTACTACTTCATGGCCACATTCGCCGACGACCACGTCGAGTGGGCGGCGAAGCATCTGAATGCATAGTAAGTTGGCTTGTCGACTGTTACCATAGCAGACTGCTCACTACTACAGAAGCGGCTCGGGTATTAGAGAGAAATTATAGAATATAATAGAAATCCCACACATATGGCGAGACTTGACTGCTGCATTGGTGATTTACTAGCCCGGTTGATGCTTACCTTTCTCGGCAACAAAATTCCTAGTATCGAATATCGAAGGTTTGTCGCGGCGGGTTTGCAGCCTGCAAGCCTAGAGCAATAGGGAAGAAGAATACATCTGCATTGTCGAGTCTTGGCATGGCGCATCGTAGACAAGTGTTCCGAAACTCCAAGTGCCCTCAGTTGATGTCGAGAGCAATGGCCCATGATGTCGGAGTAGCACGGCGGTCTCGAAGTCAAAATCTCGTGCGCACGTGTCACTGGATCAAATTGGGCGTGCGAACATCCCACCATGGGGCTTGGCGCTGCCACTTCAGTCACTGCACAGCTGTTTTTTGCTCACTACGCCTCGACCAAGACGCAGAACCACTTTTGCTTTTTTCTGCCGCATATCTAGTTGCCTAGAGCATAGAACCTAAAGCTCTGACCGTAGTTTCTTTCAAGCATAAACCCTTGCACACGCCGTACGTCAGCCCCTCGTGCCCCGCCTCTGCCTTCACCGCTGTAACGCTTTCACGATGCAGTCTCCCGCGCTTTGCTCCATGGTTCGGTAGCACACCAATCTACTTATTCTTCTGCTCCATCACGTCCGATGTACACCTCATAGCCTGAACCACAACGACGACCCAACCTGTGACTCGACGCTGCTTGCTCAGCTCTGAAACCACGAGGAAATGGAGGACCAGGTACGCACGACTGTCTACAATCCTTAGTCCTATACTGATGATATTGCAGGTCGAAAATGCCATCCAAATTGCAGCGAACCCGACGTCAAGCCAGGAGCTGCGCGGCCAGGCTATCGAATACTTGAATCAGCTCCGCGCAGAAGGCACAGCATGGCAAGCTGCCCTCACACTCTTCGCGCGCGACCCTCGCCCCACCGACTTCGTCCGTCATACCTCCCTCGATCTCGTAAACAATGCCATTCAAGAACACCGCCTCGATGAACAGAGTCTTGCGTACATAAAGGATACCCTTATGGGTCACATCCACCGATCCTATGTACCAGGCAGTGGGGCTGCAGACACAGGCCACATTCAGAACAAGCTCATGCAGACTATCACTTATCTTTTTGTAGCATTATACCCTTCTTCGTGGCAGTCTTTCTTCGACGATTTCCGTGCCTTAGCTGGCGACCAGTCTACCATCGGGAATGTCAACACAGCGACGACATTGCTGTACCTCCGCATGCTCGGTCAGGTTCACGATGAGATTGCCGATCAGCTAGTCGCCCGACCAGAGGAGGAAAAGAAGCGCAACACAGAATTGAAGGACCTCATCCGACAACGAGACGCGCAAAAGATCTCATTATCCTGGCAAGAAATACTTGCGAAGTGGAGGGAGACAGATTTGAATCTGGTAAGGATGTGTCTGGAGACCATTGGGCGCTGGGTTAGCTGGACAGACATCAACTTGATCGTCAACCAAGCCATGATCACAACCTTCCTGGAAATGGCGGGTCAACAAGGAATCGGCGACCCTGAGAGCGCTGCCGGAAAGGTGCGCGATGCTGCAATCGACACTTTCTCAGAGATTGTGAGCAAGAAGATGAGCCCCGCGGACAAGATCGAACTCATCACTTTCCTGAATCTCTCAGAAGTCGTGGGCCAACTAATTAGCAGCCCAGCTTTGGCCGATTTCAACAGTTCGAACTACGACAACGACCTTGCTGAGACAGTCGCTAAGCTCGTAAACAATATTGTATTCGATATCGTAAAGATTCTGGAGAACGAGGCTGTCGAAGAACATATCCGGCAACGCGCAGACGATCTCATCCGCATCTTCACTCCCTATCTGTTACGTTTCTTCGCCGACCAATACGACGAAGTCTGCTCAACAGTCATCCCATCTCTCACAGATCTCCTCACGTTCCTCCGAAAACTGCAAAAGAAGTCTGGATCCATCCCTCCACAGTATGCCGCGGTATTACCACCCGTCCTGGATGCGATCATCGCAAAGATGAAGTATGACGAGACAGCCTCATGGGGTGAAGAGGGTGAACAGACAGACGAGGCAGAATTCCTCGATCTCCGGAGACGTCTCCATGTCCTGCAGCAAACAGTGACCGCTATCGACGAGCCCTATTACATCGAGACCCTCAGCCGCTTGGTCAACGGAACGTTCGGACGCCTATCCCAGGGCGATCAGTCCCTGAACTGGCGCGACCTTGAATTGGCTCTGTACGAGATGTACTTGTTCGGAGAACTTGCAGTCCGAAACCAGGGACTGTATGCAAAACGCGAGCCCTCATCTGCTGCAGCTCAGCAGCTTGTGACTATGATGAACAGCATGGTTGAATCTGGTCTAGCAAACTACCCACATCCGGCTGTCCAGTTACAGTATATGGAGATTTGCGTCCGCTACTATCAGTTTTTCGAACAGAATCCTGGCCTCATTCCCAAGGTCCTTGAAAACTTTGTCAATCTTACCCACAGCAATCATGTCAAGGTCCGCTCACGATCTTGGTATCTCTTCCAACGCTTAGTCAAGCATCTACGGGCTCAACTGGGCAACGTGTCCTACGACATCATCCAAGCGGTTGGAGACTTGCTTACAATCAAGGCCGAGCTTCCTGATACTTCAGAAGACGAAATGTCATCTGATGAGGAAGACCAGTCGGCAGATGCACTTTTCAACTCACAGCTGTATCTCTTTGAAGCCGTGGGTTGCATCGCCTCGTCGAACACTGTATCTGTGGAGAACAAGAAGCTCTACGCGCAGACTATCATGAGCCCTCTGTTCAACGATATGCAACAGACTCTTCCTCAGGCGAGGAATGGCGATGAACGAGCTATACTTCAGATCCACCACATCATCATGGCCATAGGAACGCTAGCTCGGGGCTACTCTGATTGGGTGCCATCAAACAACAACAGCGCCGTACCACAGAGTGAGGTTGCAGAGGAGTTTGTCAAAGCATCCGAGGCTATCCTCGTCGCTGTCGAATCCCTCAACTCTTCTGGATCTATTCGCCACGCCGCACGATTCGCTTTCTCACGCATGATTGCTGTTCTGGGTTCGCGTCTACTACAACAGCTGCCCTCTTGGATTGAAGGACTTTTGTCACTCAGTTCCTCTATGGACGAGATCAGCACGTTCCTCAAGGTGCTAGGCCAGGTTATTTTTACCTTTAAATCAGAGATCGCTGGCATCCTGGATACTGTTATGAGTCCAGTGTTGCAACGTATCTTCACAGCACTAGCAGTAGTTCCATCGGGCACAGATGACGAGATTCAGCTGGCGGAGCTCCGCCGAGAGTATCTGAACTTCATTGTCGTTGTTCTGAACCAGGGTCTCGGATCTGTGTTCGTTAGCAATGGTAAGTCAAAGACGTTAAAACACAAGCTAACACTACTGACGTTATGTAGCAAACCAAGCGACTTTCGAGCCCATCATCTCTTCCATCGAAACTTTTGCGCGCGACACACACGACTACCCTACCGCACGCCTTGCCATCTTTGTGCTTATCCGTATGATCTCAGTGTGGGGCGGACCCGACAAGGTCGGGCCTGGCGCGAACTCTACGCCCACATCTCCTGACACCGCTCAAGCACCGTTGCCAGGTTTCGACAACTACGTGGTAGATAAATTCTCTCCATTAGCATGGTCGATACCGGCATCGCCAGGGTTCAACTCGAAAGACGCGCAGGCTAAACAGGTACTCCATGAGGCTGCCAATCTGCAACACGAAATCATCAAGAAGGTCGGCGAGTCTTATGTGGATCGCCTCAAGAGCGATCTCGGTGGCATGGGAGTGGGTGATGATGGTGCGGACCAGTACCTGCGCACTCTTGCCGGCTCATTCGAAGGACCAAAGAAAGAGAAGGAGTGGCGCAACTTCTACGCCCAGTTCGTGGATCGCATGCTTGCAAGCCAGGGTTAGATTATGAATCCTAATTGGAGGTCGGGACATATAGTGGAGATGGGATTAATCAGCGGGTTTGGCGTAACGTTTGTCCATCATGAAGGCGGCATCATTCTGCATCGTAGCGGGCGCCAAAAGGATTGGCATTGAGTTTGATTTCCGTGATAACCCCCAGCAACTAGCTCGCATTTCGTAGTGGAGCCTTGTTACAAAATAAATTTTCGATCACTGTGTACACTAAATTATCCGCAGTCTTTTACTCTACTGATGTGTTACAGTCCCTTTAGGATAGGTTGTAGTGAGGCACAACTTAGAGGACGCGATTGTACGCGACACGGTTGCGCCTGCACTTCGGCCCCCACGCTTTCAATCCTGGCCTACCCCAACATCACGACAGCATCACTCACTTTAGCTTTCCTCACCTAGGCGCCTTTCTAATTCCGCCTCGTGCCGGCCCGAGGACACCATCATTTCCCCAAGCAGTGTAGCATGGACGCCGACGTGCATTGTGATGTCCCGATATGGAGTTGCACAGGACCCGCTCAAGCGCTTCGAGTTTCACCCCCACCAAACGATTCGCCAGGAACGCACCAACGTAGAAGCGCGCTCCTAATGAAGGGAAGATCAGTTTAGTGCTATGTTGAGGATTCGCTATGGACTGTGCCGCAATGGCTAAGACTATGCAAAGGCAAAAGAGGTGTCGTTCGCTGTGTGCGAACTATCAGCCTCAACTTACTCGTACCTTACAGCTCACCGCTTTCGCCCGACGTTCATACGGCTCTTCGTATCCTACGCGTGACGGAGCGCCTCCGAGTCAGCATTGGCAATCGCGATCATGAACGTTAACAAGGTTTCGCGATGGAGTCCTTTCCGTCGGCATGGGCTGGGTGGACGGACTGTGGAAGTGGAAGAGAGGGATGATGCGGCTGCAGATGCGAATACGATACCCGTGACTGCGGCGAAAACGAACTCGAAATCGAAGACTTGGGAGACGACAGTTGAGAGGGTTGAGAGTTGGCCTGAGGAAGCTAGGCCGTTGAAAGCTCATACCTGGTTGACTTGGCTCTATGCATTTGGGGACCTCTTACTGGTATTACTACCGTTGTACTTTATTCGTAAGTCGTACGTCGTCGTTCTGCGTTGCTCACCTGATTTCTGTAGTTCTTGGTGTGGCTGTAGTCACCCTCAATGGAAAACCGACTCGAGGCTCTACATTTGGGTCCAAGGTGGAAACAGCTATGGATCTTGTAAGACATCATATGCCGCTCTGTTCAATGGCACGCTGATGTATGCAGGGTCCTACAATGTTTCCCATTGTGTTTGCTGCCATAACCGGAAGGAGTATGAAAATGATCGCCCGGTTCCTTGCAGAAAGAGGATCTAGAATCAGCGTACGTGCACCTCTTGGAAACGACCTTGTCAAAGATCTTTTGTACTCTTGGTTTCAGCTGCTAATGCGGTATCTAGACGTTGGAGCTGCTCATGGCAAGCCAGTCTGTTTGGGGTACTCTCGAAAGTCAAATGTTGATGCAACGACTTACAGTGGTTGGAGTGAACCTTCTATTCCTGTGGGCTCTTTCACCACTGGGTGGTCAAGCTTCGCTTCGACTAATGACTAGGGACATGAAAGACTCCCATACGTCTGGGAAACTTCGATACATGACCACTGGGCCAGCAGCAACCATGTGGGGTCTATCCTCAACCTACATTGACAGCGGGAAGTTCGCTGACGCCGGAGCGCTCTATACTGCAGCATTAATGGCACCACTATCCACAAAGCTAGGAAGTCAGGATCCCTGGGGCAATGTCAAAATCCCAACCGTGGAGGCAATGAACTCATCTGCGCTAACACCTGATGGCTGGTATACTGTACCTGCAGACGCATCGTTGCCAGAGGATTATTCTTCCTTAGTTGGCCTTCCTATCGTTGGCCTTCCATCCCACAAGAGCTCGAACTTCAGCCTCCAGTACACTTATCTCTCATTAGACTGCCAGCCCTGGAAGCAAGCGCCTTATCCTGCACTTAACGGTAGAGATGATTACTTTACCACCAACTCCACCAGGCTAGAAGAGCTGGTGCCCGGTCAGGTGTGGGACGACAAAGAGGCGCACAATCCATTTGGTAACGCCAGCGCAGAAGATCGCAACTCTTTCTTCATGGATACAACCCGTAGTTATCCATGGGGCGTCAAAGAGGGAGACGATGGTGATCTTTATATGGGTCGCCTGAACGGGTTCTTTGGCAACTACAACAGCTCTCTCATGCTTGAAAAGGAGCTTACCACCAACCGAGACCTTTTGTTCGTTTCGCAGTACGCAACAACCCACGACGAAAATGGGATTGGACTGAACATTGCGACTTGTTCATTATCACAAACCCATGTGGAAGCACTCGTACGATGCAAAGGGAACGCTTGTGCTACGACCAAGCTTCGAAAGTCTCTTGAAGACAATCGCTCCACATCACTCACTGGACTTGAACACGGTACGATTATGTTTGGATTTGCGAAGCAGTTCCCTCGCGCAGTGAAATTCACGGCTGGATCGAGTCCCACTGAACGCTTCTTGGCCAACACCTCGGTCTTTCCCTTCGTACAGCAAGTGGGTTCCTTACCTTCCGATGTCATGTTTACGAACCTTTCACTGGTGTCTCCTGATGTGTTTTCCAAAAGACTCAGTCTGGCAATGAACACTTTTTATCAATTGAGTATACAGCCGACGGGTTACTTTGGCAGCTTACCGACGAACCTGTCGCTTTATGGGCCAGATACGAACACATTCGATGATATCAACGCCTATCTTCCGAAAAACTTGACGGCTACAGAACACACCTTCACCGAATGGTGGCCGGCGTTCGATGAAGTAGTACAAGACATCAAGTCGCCATTCATTGGAGCGACGACAACGGCCGATATCACCACGACAGAGCAGATCTTCGTCTGCAACTTTGCCTGGCTTGCACTTCTGCTTGTCGCGTCCACCATCACCCTTGTGACGGGCAGTGTAGCGTTGGTCTTGAAACGCAAAACATTAGGACCAGAGCTCTTTGGGTTCGTCACCAGCATGACCTACGAAAACCCTTGGGTCAAGGTACCCGATGGAGGTACTATGCTTGATGCCATGGAAAGAGCGAGACTCTTGAAAGACGTTGAAGTATGCGTTGCCGACGTGCGTGGCAACGATAACGTCGGTCACATCGCTTTTGCTGCCGGTGTTCCCTTGCGCAAACTAGAGCGAGGACGTCTCTATTGCTGAGCCCAGCTCGAGCTCGACGCCGCATAAATGCAGACTGCATGCGCCATTCCACATATCATTGTGGCGCAGCAATTCGAGTCATCTTTCCAAAACCGGCGTCAGTGACCCTTGAAAGTGACAAGTGAGCCGAGATGCCTCCGATCATCGGTTTGTCAAACAATAAACCCCCTCCAATATACTGGCTTCATAACCACATCGTCATAGGTTGAAGAGACTGCATCCGAAACCATGGGAATGTTCGCTCCCAATCGGCATTCAGAAGCGACATCCCCACAGTTATGGCTGGCGTAGATCGTGATCGGCGAACTGGCGGTTTCCGACAGCCAGTCCTGCACTGTAAACGGACGAAGGTGTGACAGGCCTTACGCGGCATCGGGGAAGAATTGAAGTTTTCTTCGTAGGCGCGGTGGAGCAAGTCGTGGACGCCAAAAGTTGACGGCGTCGAGAGGCTGTAAGCGGCTCACCAATGGGCCTGGTAATGCAGGGGATGTTGGCTCGGAGGTGCGACGTAGCATAAAACACACAGGGGGTCTAGATCTTCTGCTGACGTGCTAAGCGACTTAGCCCCAACCAATGGTCGTCCAGATGCAACATCGAAACGAAACCTCTCTCCTGAGGCCCTACACCAACGCATGGTGATCTCATGTCGACGTCTTCATCGCCTTCCCGCTTAGGCGTTGACGCATAACGTACCTGCGTCGGCTGTGCGCCGTTCTGGAATTCCCTTGGCTGAGAGCCTCAGCATACCCGGACCGCCCGTTTCATCCCGTAGACGCTCGCCGCTGTGGACCGCCAACGTCTTCCATGTGTCTTGTCTCGCGTTTACACGGTGGTACTCTAGACTGCTAGTTTGATTAGAGGGTCGTTCGAAAAAACGCATTGCGGAGGGCCTGGTGACGGTACAGAATGGATATTGTACCCACCATGTAGATCGTGACACGAGTATAAGAGACTACAGCTGCCTCACAGCATAATGTCCTCATCACAACACACGCTCTCTCAGCAACTTCTACATTCTTTGCATTGCAGCCTCTTTTCCACGACTAGCAGGGCTAGATCATTCACATTCTCTTCACATTTTCAACATTCTACTGTCGTTGTACGATATCATTACTTCTACCTCCAACATCATGTCTTTCCGGTCTACCATCATGGCCGCGGCTGCCATCTTCGCTACCGCCAACGCCCACATGATCATGAAGTCTCCTGTACCATACAGTGCAGACAAGATCGACAACGCACCGATCACTGCAGACCAATTCCCATGCAAGTCCAACCTTGGTTTTACAGTCTCAACTATGAACTCAATGGCTGTGGGCGAGAAGCAGTCACTCACTTTCTCTGGAAGTGCTGTTCATGGTGGTGGCTCATGCCAGCTCAGCGTAACCACGGACACCGAACCTACAAAGAACTCCGTCTTCAAGGTCATCAAGTCGATTGAGGGTGGCTGCCCTGGTATCGACGGACCTGAGGCTTTCGACTTCGAGCTTCCTGACAGTATCCCCAACGGCAAGGCTACATTTGCCTGGACATGGTTTGCCAAGTTGAGCGGTGGCCCAGAGATGTACATGAACTGTGCACCCATCGAAGTTACTGGTGGTGCCAGCGACAAGTCAAAGTTCGACGCACTTCCTGACATGCTGGTTGCCAACATCGCATCAACCACTTGCAAGCAGGAAGTGAGCAAGGACTTGAAGTTCCCTAACCCTGGCACAAACCTTGTGGCTAGTGCAGACTCTGCCAACGTTGTTGATCCCACTGGTGACTGCGGATCTACTGGTACCAGTCCTGAGCCCTCGGAGTCATCTTCCCCAGCTGGTGGCGCGCCTTCTGCTTCTCCTAGCGCTCCAAATGATGGTCAGTACTCTGCTGCTCCCACATCTTCAGCTGGTGGTGAGGCATCTGCTGCTCCTACCACTCCCGCCGCTGGTCAACCCTCTGCTGCTCCCACATCTGTTGCGGGTGGCGAGCCGTCTCCTCTTCCATCCAACGGTGGTGGAGTCTTCGCTCCAGGAGCTTCCAGCGCTTCGCCTGTCGCTCCCTCCGCCGCGCCTACACTTCCGTCGACCTCCACCACGCTCGTTACTGTCACTGCCTCGTCGACCGCTCCCTCCCCAGCTAAGCCCACCGTTCCTGCTGGAACCGGTTCTCCTGCCGCTCCTTCCACGCCTTCGACTCCTTCAGCCGGTGGTAGCTCGGGTACTTGCACTGAGAACGGCTCAATAGTGTGCAACGGTGCCGACCAATTCGGTCTCTGCAACAACGGCGAGATCGTCTGGCAAGCAGTCGCAACCGGTACAACCTGTACCAACGGCAGCATCACCAAGCGTGGCTACAACGGCCGCATCGCTCGCCCTCGCTGGTCCCGCCGCCATATTCACTAGATGCACAAACAAACCGTTTTTCGCATCGCTCACGACGACACATGTTGAAATATGAACTACATTCACACACTCGCTTTTCACACATTTTTTTCGACAAAGGGGGATAGGTCTGTGACCAGATTTTTCTGTTGTACATACCCAAACTTTGTCTTTGCATATTCGGCGTCTGGAATTGGGGATTTTACTCAATGAACATTAAGGGGTTTGAGTATTGGCAGGGTCTTGGGATGCCTGTCAATAGTCAAAATCACCCTTGGCTTAGATGCCTTAGAAATGAAACACGGTTTCTGATACAATGGCTTTTTCGAATGGTATTCCGTGAAAATGTGATTTGTCATATTCTGCATGTCGTGAAACAGTGCCGTATGTAGTTGGTTGGTTTGTAAAGTTGTGAATGAGATGGCGGATGGCGTTGGTAAATTGCTGATGATAGTTCGCACAACTTGAGTGTTTCACACTACATGAAACACCTACTTACCAAAGATCGACCCATATGCAGCTATCGCCAATCAATTAATTCAAACTACCCGAACGTACTCACTTACACATTTCCTCTTCAACTTTACTCCAGTCCGACCTACGCCTCAAGTCCTGAGCCCCAAACCACCCGTACAGTTCAGGCTCCCATGTCCGAAGTCTGAAACCCCACCTGCATGACCATCCCAGGGTAACTCAAACCCCGCTCCGCCACAGAGAGGGCACAGGCATGACCCCTCCGACGGCCGTGTGGATCTCTCGGGTCTGGAAATAGGTTTGCTCAGCCACTGTAATAGCTTCAGGTACCAAACCCTCGATATTCATGCAGCGGGGTTGGTGGGGGCGTGGCGGAGTATCCAGTGGAACTAAAAAGAACGGTATGAGAAGGATTCTAGATTCTAGACGGGAGAGTGATTATGTGATGTAGAGTGTCTTTGTGCTTTTTGTTGAGCGTTTGAGTAGGCGAGGTTATTCATTTCATGGGTACTGCGCCAATGACAAATGGGTATCTAATATCATTATGAGACTCGTAGTATGCCCTGCTTCTAATGGCGCCCCTTCAAGCATTCCTCTTCGTTATCATGCTAATCGCATGGCTTTTATTGATACTTGGTGGTCGTTCCCGCACTTGGTGTTGGGTTGGTAGAACTAGGACTGGCTAGTTCGATGGGCTCGTGTGGTGTTGCGGGCAGCTCAACAGGGGCGGTGTCTCTAATCATCTTGTTAGCCCTAATGCTTGATGAGTCAATCGAATCTTGGCCTTACCCTGGCATTTCGGTCTGACGATTGTACGCATACTTTTCCTGGGGAGGCAAGAATCCCTCATTGCTCAACTCCAAGGGACTTTCAGTGCCGTCGTTTGCGGGCTTGTATCCTTTCTTGCGGCGCCAAAGGAAGAAGGCAGCAATGAGGGCCGCGAGTAGGCCCACGCCAAGACCTACTCCCAAACCTACTCCGAGCGCGACGTTGTTTGTTGATCCTCCTTTAGAATCTGGGGCTGTTGTAGCAGTTGCCGAAGTCGATGGGACAGAAGTCGCGCTGGCAGATGCACTCGGTGTGGACGTAGCTGATGGCGTCGAAGTATGGGTCTGAGTATACGACTCAAGGATGATGGTCATGGTGTAGACATCGGCGGGTAACTGATTGAAAGAGAAGACCTCGAAGGGGTTCTTGCATTCACAGTCGTCACCACAGCAATATGAATTGGTATCAGTGGCATTACAGCTGTAAACTGGCGCTCCGTTATCTTCGATGTCTGTTTGATAGTTAGTATGTAAAGATATATGGGTAGCAACTTCTGTACCAAGACATTGTCGGACACAGTTCCCACTCTTCCATGCTTCATCTGTACATGTCCCTCGATGGTATCGCGCCTTTACAGGATCGTGAGGATCGGATACACAGAGTCCATTTGAGAGGCAGGCCTGATTGTCATAACAACACCTATAGGTTGGTGTATCAAGTCAGTACATGTCTCATAGGCTGTTTGTACAGGGACATTACTGACGATGATACTATCGCGTTTGGATTACAGGCAGTGTCAGAATCCGCCTCATTGCCATTGGGGAAATAACAAGTCGCCAGAGCAGTTGAGGAAGCGCTCAAGAGAACAGCGATACCAGTCGCGACACGCATGGTGGATCAGTGCACGAACAGTGGTAGGGACCAGGAACAAGCGTGAAGTGTGGCTCAGGACAGGACGACCCACGACAGCGGTGACGGGTGCCTTATAGCGGGCTTGACCAGCCACAAGAAAAAGTGCCAAACCGGATTGATGATAGCAGGATCCTGCGGGCTTACTACGGACCATTACTAAGTTTGTAATTTGCTGTTCAGGCCTCCTGTTCCGACATGTCGATCATTGAGGGCGGTATCTGGTGGCATGCATGGCAAGCTCGACATGGTGGTTTGACCCACGATTCTTGTAACGCTTCCTGATGAATTTACTCATGACGTTTCTCAGAGAAGAGCACTGGAACTCTTATCTTGAACATGACATGATTGCGGTTGGCTGAGGGACGACGATGTTAAGCACGAAGATGGCGGCTCAAAGGTAAGCATTCGGGAACCTTAGCCGTGCAGCGCTAGCGTGCCGCCATATCGGAACGCCTCGTGTCGCGTCCGACAATTGCAAGGCGCAACTCACCACGCAACCTTGAAGATGACGTGACGACAAATATTCCTCCCCACGCACGAAATGTCTGAACCACGACGGTCGACGAGGGCACGCGCCCGCGAAGAAGCTGCCCCAGCTGTACCGGAGACGCCGAGTGAGAAGCCCGCAAGAGGTGCCAAATCGTCATTGAAGCGCAAGCGGACAAGCATCGCCGTCAAAGATTCAGCGCCCTCGACGCCCGTCGCTGACGGCGCATCATTGCCGCCCAAACAAACACTACCCCTCCGAATAGTCGACGGCGCACCTCTTCCTACACTTCCCGAACCACAGCCTCTGGATCTGCCCTCAAGCGAATGGCAGACCATCCAGCAAAGCGGCGTATTGGAGACGTCGTTTGAGCGGTCCAAGGCAGTATGGCTGTCCGGTGCCAACTTCCGCACCTTCCATGCCCACTTCAATCAGCCCAAGAAGCTGGCCGACCGGACAGATGAGGACAAGGCCAAGACAGCGAGACAGAAGGAGCTACTCAAAAACTTCCCCCAGGTCGGTGCTGACAGAGTGAGTGTGAAGCTTGTCATAGAACCGCACACGCTGCCTATCAGACTCTATGGCCCGCGCGAGGTAGGCAAGCCGGTACAGAAGAAGGCTCCGACACCATCGCCATATGCTCCATGGCCGAACCACAATCACAACCAGCCCAACCAGCACACCAAGTACCAAGGCGGCCAGCCCATACAGCAAAAGCCCCAACCACGGCCGCCACAACCTCCCAAGCCTGTGCAAGCAGCGCCTCCGCCTCAAGCACCCGCAGCGCCCGCGCCCGATCCCGTCATACACATGCTTGCCGCGAGAGCTGGCACAGATCCCGAGCTGAAGGCTGTCATGAAGATTGTCGCAGCTGGATCCGCAAGCAAGGAACAGCTGGAATTCTTCCAGACGCACATCAACGAGTTGACGGCCATTCTGGCGAGGCAGAAGGAAGAGAAGACGCCCAAACCAATACAGCCACCTGCGACTCCAAAAGCTCCCCCGCCGCCGCCTCCAGCACCGAAGCAGATAGCTCCCCCTCCGCTGCCGCGACCAGTTCAGCCTGTCCAACAGCCTATCCAGCCCAGCGCTCCCAAGCCATATAGTCCGGTTCCACCACAAGCGCAAATGCAACAGCCCCCGCCTACACAACAACCATATCCACCATACCAAAACAACTACAGCAAACCGCCGCAGTACCACCCACCACCGCAGATATCTGCCTACAACCCACCCCCGAGGACAACATACCGCCCTCTAGTCTTCAGTTTTGTCCATGGCAGTGAGGACAAGTTTTACTTCCCTTCGTATAGTTTCATGGAGTGGCTCCCTAATGGCACAGGCGCAAAGCTATCGTTCCTCATCACCAAGATGAAGCCGAAGCCAGAATCTGTTGTCAAGCCTCCATCCACACCTGCACCAAAGTCAACGCCGACGCCGACGCCGACCCCGACACCTGGTAATGCGCCTAATGCGACACCCAATGCGCCGCAATTGAATGTCATGACACCAACAGCCAATCCTACAAACCCTACTTTTGCGGCCATACAACCCTCGGCAACAACCCCTTCAACACCCTTTGTGACACCTAAACCTCCCCAACGAATTGAAGATTTCGACGAGATGAACGAAATTGACAATATTGAATTCTACCAGCCCGTCACCGTCCTTCTGCTCATCGAACACGATGAAGGCGACGAAATCGCAAGTGCCTTGCCGCGCTCAATACGGCCACCGCATGTTGTAGAAAAGTACATGAATGAGGTGTTTGATCGATGTAAACGAGCGGATGAAACGTACTTGGCATTCAGATTGCCGAGAGACGGTGATGAGGCGCCAGAGAAGAGGGCCAGGAGTGGGGATGTGACGCCTGCGCTTGCAACCCCGACACAAGATGTCGTGATGGGAGGTATGGGGGTGTCTGCTAGCAGTGCGGCTGAGAAGAAGAGGGCTGGACGACCTAGGAAGAGTCTTGCTTGAGACGGTCTGCAATCCTGTATAAGTACAAATGATACCCAATTTTTGCGTCAACCTATCTATATCCCATCTCTGTCATCGCGCATGCTTGTATGCATATTCCTCTTGGTTGCACCTGAAATCTCGAGTTGCTATCGCTCAACTCCGATGCCAAGATCTCTGCTGCGGCCTGCTTATCCCGGTTAGACCACCCGCTTGCCTATCTACATGTACGTTGTGCTTTCCTCACATTCCGTCTCCGCAACAAACAGTAGTCAGTGCCTTTATTTCGGACTCCACACAAACTATCTCATCTACATCGACGTCCTCTCCTTGTCACTGGCTTTGACGGTGTAAAGTAGCCCAAGGGCGCAACACGGAAACGCAAGGATGCCCAACTACAAAGGAATCTTCACCAAGGCATACTGGACATTCGCCATCCTGGGTATAATATGGGCGGCCTTTGTAGGATTGTTGATTAATCCCACAGTGCAAAGACAGTACGATGACTCCTATCTTTACGATATTTCAGAAACCTAACAACTTCTCAGCGCTCTCTACGCCCATAAATTCCAAACTTCCTTCCTACACAACGTTTCTAATCCCGAGGAGTTTGGGTTCGCAAGTAAGTTACTCGTCCTATCTATTCGTCTTTTAAGTTATTATTGTCATGCTAACTGTGATTGCGTAGAGGGCCAGGTTCAGCCTTTTTGGCTTACTACTGCAGATGAGGAGAAGCTGTTTTGTTGGCATGTACTTCCTCTAGATGTGTATCTGGAGAATGAACATGAGCTTTTTACTTCTGCCGTTTCGGGAGAGATTGCAGAGGAGTTGAAAGGGACGGTTGGGGAGAAGCTGTTGAGTAGCGATCCGGATAGTAAGGTTGTGGTTAACTTCCATGGTGTAAGTTCCGCTTTCGTTCAGCTTCTAATTCCCTTTTCAAATGATCTTTTCCCATTTCTAAGAAGTCACCAATCTTGTCGCATTATATGTCCCTTTTCTTCTCTATCTCAGGTCATCCCTTTCATGACAATTCTCCTTCTGTCTCTACATCAGTCCAACATCCTCTCAACATCATTATTTACAACCACCGATTCTAACACACTCATCCAGAATGCCGGCCACTTAGCCCAAGGCTACCGCCCCTCAACCTACCGCTCCATCTCCGGTATCCCAAGAACCCACCTCCTAACCTGTGATTACCGCGGCTATGGTCTGTCCACCCTAACCAACTACCCTCACATCCCCACAGAAAGCGGTCTAATAACCGACGCCACGTCTTTAATCTCTTACGTCAACGACGACCTCTCTCACCCCAGCACCCGTACCGTCCTCCTAGGCCAAAGCCTGGGCACCGCAGTAACAGCAGCAGCCGCCCTCTACTTCACCCAACCAGCATCCGAACTCATTCCCGCCATGTCGTACCCCTCCGCCATGGCGAACTCCAAACGGAAGTTCGATGGGTTTGCTGGCATAGTACTAGTAGCACCTTTCACTTCTTTACCCCAACTCCTCAAGACGTACAAAATCGGTGGTTTCCTCCCCGTCCTGAAACCTCTACAATCCTACCCCAGAATAGCAAATTACCTTGCATCTAGAATCATCGACCACTGGCCCACACTCCCCCGTCTCCGCGCTTTGATCTCCGCGCCCTCCAGCAAGAAGAATGGTTTCCACATCACGCTCCTACACGCGCGGAATGATCAGGATATCACGTACTGGGAAGCTGAGGCCCTGTACGAACCGCTTGCTTCCCAGATGTTGGGCGAAGAAGGGTTTGTGGCGGAAGAGGAGAGAAGGACGATTCATGGGGGAGATAGGGTGAAGAGGGGGGCTTTTGCTTATAAGAAGGTGGAGGATGACAAGGGTGATAGAATGGTTGAGTTGGAGGTTGTGAGGTTCGGGGGCATAATGAGGTTGTGGGGTGGACGCAGGTTAGTCTTGCTGTCAGGAGGGCGTTTGCAAGGAGGACGCTGAGACCAGGGTTGGATGTAGAGTAGATTTTTCGATGGGAAAGAGTGGAGAGGAAACGATGGTTTAGGGTTGGATCTGTGGAGCTGGAATGGGACATGGACATGGACAGGGAGCTGTTGAGGGGATATCATTCGTCGTCATCTGGCGGCGTTATATACTACATGTACAATACTTCTACACCTTTCTAACCCATCCATCCACAAGAAATGCGCCAGACGTCCGTCAACGTAGATAGATGCAAGCTTCAAGCGCCCTTGGAACCCATCAGAAGCGCGCGTCATAACAGCACTGTCGTTTCCGTAGTCCCTCGTCCCTGTTTCAATAGTCATCGAGCCTAGAAATTTAAGCTCAAGCATTCCTGTCCTTCTGTTCCTTCTCGTACTTGGCCACAAGCTCCTTCTGCAACTGTGGCGGCGCAGGACTGTAATGACTAAACTCCATGCTAAACTCTCCCTTACCCTGCGTACTAGCACGCAACTGACTGCTAAAGCCAAACATGCTGTTCAAACTACAATCCGCATAGACAGTAAAGTCTTCAGGTCCGATTTCTGTATCGTTGATAACAGCGTTACGCTTATTCAGCAGACCAACAACAGAACCCTGGAACTCGTTGGGCGCAGTAATGGTCGTCTTCATAAGCGGTTCGAGGACCTGTGGCGCACCAGCCTGGAAAGCTTTGCGGAAAGCCTGCTGTGTGGCGTTCTTGAAAGCCATTTCCGAGGAATCGACAGCGTGGGTAGCTCCGTCGTTGATGACCATGGAAGTACCCAAGACCTTGTGGCCGAGAAGCGGGCCCTTGGCTGTCGAAGCCATGAAACCTTTTTCACAGGCAAAGAGGAACTTTTCGGAAATCGTGCCACCGGAAATTTGCTGCTCGAACTTGTTCTCGCCCAGGGCTTCGCTCGGCTCCATCCAGCCTACTACACGCGCAAAGTCTCCTGATCCACCACTCTGCTTCTTGAGTGTGTGGTCAAAGTTGACGCGTTTGGTCATTGTCTCGCGGTAGGCGACTTGTGGCTGTCCTGTCTCGCACTCGACGCGGTATTCACGGCGCATACGTTCGACGTAAATGTCCAGATGCAGTTCTCCCATACCAGAGATAATGGTCTCTTGCGACTCGGGGTCGGTGTGAACTCGGAATGTAGGGTCTTCGCGCGTGAAGCGGCTCATGGCTTTGCTGAAGTTTGGTGTGTCCTTGGTGTGCTTGGGCTTGATCGATAGGGAGATGACGGGTTCGGGGACGAACATGGAGGTCTGACATGTTAGCTTGGCTCTAATATAGCAATGATACTGAGCACTTACCATAGTGTATCCGAGACCGCCGTCGGTGAAGGTATCTCCAGACGCGCAGTCGACACCGAACACGGCGCAGATCTCTCCAGCACCAATCTCCGGAATTTCCTCCATGTCGTTGGAGTGCATGCGCACAATCTTTGGGATTCTGACCTTCTTGTCTGACCTCGCGTTGAATACGTTCATACCCTTTTTCAGCGTACCCTGGTACACACGGATGTACGTCAACTGTCCAAAACTGCTCTCTTCTAGCTTGAACGCCAAACCGACAAAGGGCAGAGAGTTGTAAGATACCAGCTTGACTGGAGCCTCTGCTCGCTTCTTGTCCAGCGCCATGTTTTCGACTTCGGAGGGGTTTGGGAGGTAATCGCAAACGGCGTCGAGCATTGGTTGGACAGACTTGTCTGCAAGTGCTGAACCCATCATAACTGGCGTGAACTTGAGAGAGATGGTAGCACGTCGAATTGCAGCCTTGATCTGGGGGATCGTGGGTTCCTGCTCGTCTAAGAAGAGCTCCGCAATCTCATCATCGACGTCCGCAAGTGTCTCGATGAGTTTTTGTCTCTTCTCCTTGCAGAGCTCAACAATATCCGCGGGTATCTCGTCTGTCTCTCTGATGATCTCGCCCTTGGGTCCTTCGTTATATATCGCCTTCATCCTAACCAGATCTACCACACCCAAGAAGCCGTCTTCACGCCCAATGGGTACTTGGAGAGCCGCAGCCGGGATACGAAGCTTCTGGTTGATCTGATCGACAGCCTTCCACGGGTTGGCACCCATACGGTCCATCTTGTTTACGAAAGAAATCCTAGGAATGTTGTACCGCCTCATCTGCCTGTCGACTGTGATAGTCTGACTCTGTACACCGCTAACAGCACAGAGAATCATGACCGCTCCGTCAAGGACTCGTAGCGCCCTCTCCACCTCGATTGTAAAGTCGATATGGCCGGGTGTATCGATCAAGTTGATGTGGTATTTCTCCTCCTTGCCTTCGTCGTTCTTCTTGACCCAATCACAGAAAGTCGCTGCGGATTGGATAGTAATACCCTTCTCACGCTCCAGGTCCATGGAGTCCATCTTTGCACCCACGGCATCTTTGCCTCGGACTTCGTGTATGGCGTTGATTCGGCCGGTGTAGAAAAGAACGCGTTCGGTGGCGGTGGTTTTGCCAGAGTCGATGTGTGCTGCGATACCAATGTTTCGTACTCTCGATAGTCGCTCCCATTCGACCGGGTCCAGGTTCTCGACGATCTTCTCTTGTGTCAAGGTAGACGGGTCCTCCTTTGCTTGCTCTAGCCTATAATCCTCAATCAGCCTTCAATTGCTTTCTCGCCATCGCAAAGCCGGATTGTGGCACATACACTTGCGCGGCCGCAGACTGCCACCTTCGCTGTGGCTGCGTTGCTTGGCTGCCTATCCATGTGTCTGTCTTTGTGCCGTTGGTATAAGGTGTGCGCGTTGCCGCAATTGTCGAAAGAGCGCATCGTGAAGGCGTCCTGGCAGCCGAGCGAGCAGAACAGCGAAGACTGCTCGCGGCGAGCGATTGTGCCCGGAAAAGAGATTGAACCCTCATCTTGAACACCCGAAGACACTTCAAGAAGAAAAAGAACGAAAGGACAACGCGGGGGTCTGCTGTCGCTTTGCAATGTCGATTTGCCCGCCAGGAAAAAGTTGGGCCATCGGAGTTTCGGCGGAGGTGCCAGTCACGTGCCAACGCATCGACATCCGTGGCGGGGATGTCTTTTGCACGATTGGAGAACGAAGGCTATTTTGGAGTGAAGAATGGGATTGAGATCTACAGGTAAAGTCTGCCAGCTTCTGCGAAGCCTATCGCTAAAAGAACAACTATGCACGCAAATAGTCCGTATCCAAACCCATCTCTCCGCTCCTTGTCCTTAGATATCCGCCCATGAATATCATTTGCGCCAAACAATCGCTCCAGAAAATGCTGTTAAGAAGTGAAAGAAGGGTAAAAGTTGGGTAGATAGAATTTCTCCTAAATCCGTGTAGCTTGCGGTTGTGGACAGCCTGAGACAATGCCATGTATTGCAGACGTAGGAGTTTCGGATTTCATATACCGCGGTATGCAAGGTGCAGGAGGTTTTTGTCTACCGGATTGTCTCCTCTTGGAAGTTCGGTGTCTGAATCTCTGCGACCGATGACTCTACGTCTTGAACTGGAGTGGCTGCCTTCTCGGGCTCGGGCTCGTGTGATGTCTCTTCGGCGGTGACTTCTTCAGGTATCTCCTCAGGATGCTCAGATTCTTTGGCAGGCTCATCCTCAGTCTTGTGCTCTTCAGAGTGTCCGTTAGTCACTAATTCCTTCGCCTTGGCCGCGACCTCTTCCACCTTCTTCTTCCCCTTTTGTAGTGTGCTAGGCTTGGAGGCGGCTGGAGCTTTACGCGGCGGCGATGAAGCCTTCTCATGGGGCTTGTCATGTGTCTTGCTGGAGCTGGCGGCTGTTGGTCGCATCATGCGCTCGAGGAAACCCCCCTTGGGCGCAGCACTAGCGGTCGAAGTACGCGATTCGGGTCGTTTGGGCGCGCTAGGTGCTAGTGACGTACGCGAAGTTTTTGGTGCCGCAACTTTTGGTGGTGCAGCACGGGTTGTGGTGGACGGCTTGCGCGTGACCTTGGGTTCCTCGCCATGTTTGGCAGCTGAGGCAGCGGTGGGCGCGGTCAGACGAGATGGTAGACCGACTGGACGGGTAGGTGACTTTGGTGTTGGCTTCTTGAAGCCAGTCGGCGAGATGCTGTAGTGTTGTTAGCAATTGCGCATTGCTCCAAATCGTGTTGGACTTACCTTTTACGAGCGGTGGTGGTGATTGGCTTGGGGATCGCAGGCTTCTTGTTCTCCACAGGCGCGGCGGCAGGCTTAGTTTTAGCTGCTGCGGCGGCAGTAGGCGCTGTAGCTGAAGAGGAAGATGCTGCTGGTCGCAGAGAAGTGCGGCTTGTCTTCGCGGTGGGACCCTTGGCCGCTGGAGCTTTGGTTACCGGGGCCTTCGCGGCGGACGCCTTGGCGGGCTCCTTGGGAGCTGCTGGCTTCGGCGCAGCTGCCGGCTTTGTTGTCTTCACGGGACTAGGCTTCGGAATGGATGCTGTGGTTTTGGGCTTCGTCGGGGTTTTTGGTGCAGCTTTGGGTAGTGGGCTTTTGGCGGGTGCGACAGGAGCCTTTGTAGGTTTGGCAGTAGAGATGGATGCAGGCTTCTTGAGTTCCGGCTTCTTGATCGCAGGAGTTCCGTTTGCCTTCGCTTTGTCCTCAGCAGGTGCGGCAGCTTCAGCAGCAGGTTCGTGGCTCGAAGCTGTTGCCTCGGTAGCAGTGGGAGTAGTAGGCGCATCGGAGACAGTGGTCTCCTCGGTAGGTGCTGCGGGCCGTAGGGCAAGCTCCTCCTGAGCTCCTGACACAGCCTTGTCTGGGTTCTCGGCAGGTTGGTCAGCGGCGGGCGATGGGACGGATGGCTCTTCCTTTGTGGCGGCAGCTTCCTGTTCAACAGCGGCCTCCTCTGCAATGGCAGCTTCCTCGACAACAGCAGCTTCTTCCGCAATGGCATTTTCCTCGGCAACAACAGCGTCGTCGTCGACAGAAGCTTCCTCCAGCGCAGGCTTGTTATCTTCTACAACAGCTTCCTCAGTGGGAGCTGCGGGCCTCAGCGAAACATCCTCCTGCGCGCCTGTGGTAGCTTTGTCTGGATTCTCAGCAGGCTGAGCAGGAGCTAGCTCTGCCGAGGAAACTGGGGCGGTCTCGACGACATTCTCCTTGGCCTCGACTGGTGTCTCTTCGACGGGAATTTCATCAATCTCAGGAGCGGGCACAAGGACTTCTGCCTCCTTCGGCGCGGCTGCAGTAGACGACTCGGGGAAGTCGGAGCCCTTCATGATAGAGCCCAGGTTAGGCATGTCGGTGTCTGGTTCCTCGCGAATAGGCGGAGCTGGTATCGAGGATTCTCGCGATGCGACAGCCTGTTCTGGAACAGCTTCGGGGATGGCGATGCTCTGTCTGCGTTGTTCTTTCTCCTCGCTAACCACCTTTTTGAGCTCAGCAAGCTCGTCGGTCTTGTCCTGGCTCACTCGGAAGCTCTCTCGCCGAGTCGCGTTGACGCTATTCGAGGGCGTGCCCTTGGTCTGGCCCAGGTCGGTCGACGTGGTCGGGGGTTGGGCGACGGGAGGTTCCACTGGGACAAAGGAAGCGCGCACCTTGGACTTGGGGCGTTCCTGGCCGTCAGTCGCAGCTGCGTTGTCTGTAGGGGAGCGGCCGCGGGGCTCAGGCGAGGCAGCGGCGTTGCCGTTCTCAAACATTGCGCGTAGATTGCGCACGCCGTTGGACATGGCTGCAATGGGACGAAGCGATCGTCAGTGGTGGGTATCAGTAATGCGTGGTTGGGCGTCGGTCGTGGCAGGAATAAGATATATGAGGATACGTGGGAGATGGCCGTGGCCGCGCCTGAAACCCGGCCAATTTGTTTATGTACTGCCAGTGACGACTGCGCGACAGGGATATCCGGGGTTGCACAAGGAGGGTGCAACTTACAACAATGGTTTTAGGATCAAGCAAGTTTCAATTGGCGTTTCCTTCAAGAACAAGAGTGGTGACAATGGGTGAACCCCTGGGGAAGTCGTTGGGTGGAAGGAGTCGATGGTGCTCCGGAGTAACCAAGACAACTGGGCCGAAAGCATCATAGCTCCAGTGACGTCTAGCCTCGACCTCGCTCGCGCACAGCACAACAATGCGCATTACATGTGCACCGTATAATCTTTCATCTGGACACCTAACATCTAATTACCTCCGTATTCCTTCATCGACGCCCCTGAGTGCCCGTCTTACGCGCGAAATCGCCTACCTCTCACAGCATACACCGCTCATTGTAAATGCCGCATTGTCGAGCAGCGTTCAACGTCTATCCTCAACGATGCATGCAAACAAAAAAGAAAAAGGTTCCGATGCGATTGGCAAGTTCACGCCAATATTGCGGGTGAATAGTCGGAGTCACACCAATCATGTTGCGTCTGGGCATAATTCCATCGCAATTTCGTGTTCTTGACCAATCAGCGGCTATCACGAGCACTCGACCATAATCCTCCTTTTCTCCTGATTATATACATAAGCAAGATGGGTGAATGAAGCATACAACAGCGCTTAAGCAGTCATGCTTATTGAGAGAGCCATATGGGAATGATGTCAACATTACAATATTAAACACTACCATTTCCAAGCCCGCTCATGTGCACTTTAGACAGGACTCTCCTGGTCCCCCTCACAACTTCCACTCGCCGTTCCACACCTCACATGCAAATCATCCGACGCGCCACCAACCCAAACCCCATAATCCCCTTCCACAGCAGGAACAACCCAATTCTGCGATACAATATCCCAAACACTAAGATCCTTTCTTGTGACTCTCAGAGTGAGCGTCTGACTAGCTCCAGCCTCCAACTCCCTCGTCTTTTCAAAATCGCGGAGCTGGATAACTGGCGTATCGACTGTGACTTCGCTGGGGAACTGAATGTACAGTTGTGCGACGGCTTTGCCCGCGCGACTACCTGTGTTGGTGACGCTGACCGTGACGTCAAATGCTGTGTCGAACAATGCGGGGTTTCCGCCTTGTGCGCCACCAGCTGGAAGACCGGGTTTTTGATCGTTCGAGTAGCCAACGGGGTATGGGTACTTTGTTGTTGAGTTGCCGATCTTCGCCGCAGCGTCCGCATCGTTCTTCTCGAGCCAGGAATAGAGGTACCGCCAGATGCGGTTGAAGTTTGCTGGCCAGTATGCCTCCGAAGCAGGAGGAATGGCAGTCGAGTAGGTGGGCGTTTCGCCTTTCGCGGGACGAGCTGGGGGCGTCGCTGTAAGCGGAGTTATTGGAGTGATGGTCGCGTTAGAGAAAGAGAAAGTGGTGTAGCTGAGGCCGTGACCGAAGGCGTAGCGAGGTGTTATGTTGGCTTTGTGAAAGTGACGGTAGTCAATGTACAAGCCCTCCGTAAAAGTATCTTGTGGCTGTCCGATCTGATATCCGACGAGGCTCAAAGACTTCGGGTAATCAGCCTCAGAGTTGGGCAGAGTGTACGGTAAATGACCGGATGGAGAGACGTCGCCGAAGAGAACTTGCATTAATGAGTCTCCAGCTTCTTGGCCCGGGAGGTGAGCGAACAGAACTGCTTTGACCGAAGGCAAGTCGTGCCATTGATCCATGAGAATGGGGCCGACGGTATGGACTACGACCACAACGTTAGAGTACTTGGCAGCTACGTCCTTGATGAGCTTGTCGCCATTGTGCCACAGGTTGAGGTTAGAAGAAGTCCGATCTCCCGGGTTGTTCTCGACGGTAATGTAGTTCTCACCAGAGTCGGCGGTGACGAAGACAACTGCAGTGTCATTCGGTGATGGGTTGGAATTTCCTGGGAACGAGTCTGTGTTGAAGAATTGATAGTTGACCCCACGAGTCTTGAACCCATCGATTGGGCTATTCATATACGGGTACCTCGCAGAGCCGGAACCCCATCCCATTCCCAATGTACCTTTGTTGCAGCCTTGGTCCGCGCACGAGTTGATACCATCGGGGTTCTTCTCAGCGTCCGTACCAAAAATCTTCAAGGTGCCATTGGGAGATAGTGGCAATAAGCCATCCTGGTTCTTCAAGAGCGTGATAGCATCACGAGCCACTTCACGAGCGACCTCTGCATGGTTGGCCTGAACATCCACAAACTCATTCACGACACCTTGAGGCGAGAGCAGAGCGCCAGGGTAAAGGGGGCCCTCAGCATTCTGCGTGTTGGTATCGAAGTTTGGTCGTGGGTAGTCCTGATCCTGGCCCATCTGGAAGTAGGCAGCGAGAATGCGTGTGACAGCATCATTCAAACGATCCAAGGGGAGAGAGCCGTTAAGAACTGAGCGCGTCTGCTCGTACATCCAGTAAGAGTTTCCGAAAAGTGGAATCGTGTGGATGTCGCCAGGCATGGACATGTCCAGCCCAGCGAGAGCTGAAGGGACGCCGGAGATTTGGGCCAACCAGTCGGACATGACAAAGCCTTGGAAGCCGAGCTCATCCTTCAAGATACCATTAATCAAGTAGCTGTTCTGCGAGCATGCACTTCCGTTAACAGCATTGTAAGCAATCATGACGGAACCTACGCCGGAACGTACACCTATTCATAGTTAGTCAACGATATGTGTTTCAAGTCATTCTAGTAGGCAGGGTTCAACTTACCTTCAGCAAACGGCCAAAGATAGAGTTCATGAAGCGTACGATCGTCCAAGTTTGATGAAATGCCAGGCTTGACCAGATTGTACATGCGGTACTCCTCCTGCTCGTTCGCGATCAGATGTTTGATCGTAGCTATGACACCAGTGCTCTGGATGCCCTCGATAGAAAGAGCTCCACCGAAGGCCTGGAGAACGGGATCTGAACCAAAGCCTTCCCAGTCTACCACTTGTAAGCCAATGCTATGGTCATCACAACCCTGTTTGTAAGATATACGTACTCCTGCCGCCACGCGGTTTACGACCTAGAGGTCCGACTGACGGTCCGAGGTGCACATTCACTCCCTTGCCGCGGAACTCTTCACCGATTGCGACACCACGGCGGTAGAGAAGGTCCTTATCCCAAGTGGCTCCAACGGTGATACCGGCAGGGAATGCAGTGTTGTGGTCCGAGTTCCTTACACCCAGAGGTCCATCTTGCAAGCAAAGCTGAGGGATGCCCACTCTCAATGCGCTGCCTGTATTTCCGACACATCTTCCCATGAAAATGCCACTACCAGCTGTGAGGTTGGTTTTCTCAGCAAGTGTCATGTTCGAGACAAGTAAGGCTGCCTTTCGGTAGCTCTCAGTCCAGTCGGATGTCCATCCTCCGTGGGGAGCTATGTATAATCAGCATTACTAGACTCAGCACGAAAGCAACAGTTCGATGTTGCTTCTAATGACATACCTGGGTAGTATGGTGCCGCGACATATCCAGCTGGTACAGGATCACGTTGCTGGATAGCTGCACCCGCGACGATTGTAGAAAACCCTAGAACAAGAAAGGAAACCATGATGAAAGAGTGACTGTAGGTAAGCAAATGAGCGTCAGCACGACGGTAACCTGAGACCAAATTCTGGAAGGAAACCACGGTCCTTTGTATATAGGCCCCTGCTGAAGCCATATCCAACCCTGCAACACCAAGACGGTGTGGATATCGCATTTTTACCAGAGCTAAGCTTGCGCTAGCCATGGTGTTGTATGGTGATGGACACACGGTGGGTGACGCGAACGACTGAAACAGGAATATGACCGAGCAGCGTTGTCGTGCGTCAAGGTTCAATGCTGGGGTCAAGGATTCAAGCCGGGTAATGATCGGGATGCTCACAAGGCGCGTGACAAGGGATTTCAGCTATTCCAGCTATTGCGCAACCATCAAAAGATCACATGTGTATAGCAAACATGTGTTCGTTCAGCGTGATGGTTTACCACGCCTAGTACAAGCTGAGAACGCAGCTAGGTACAATGACGAGCGTCCCCACGAGACCAGCTGCCTGCTTAAACTGAGTCAAGTTTCGACTGATTCTGAGTTGGTCTTCGTCTGAGACTCTTGGCTCAAAACCGGGGTACAAGTCGTTATATTGCCAAGTTGACTGTCTTCTACAAGCTGCCTGTACAGGAGTACAACTGGCAGATACGATCAAGTGTAAATTGCGATAGCAGCTTTCCATGCGCCACTTGCGGTCAAAGGCATCACGCGTCGCGTCGAAGCCGCATTGGCAACTGTATGTATTTGTTTTCAAGCCACATCAATGCCCCTAGCACATGTCAAGATGCCCGTTGGCTCGGGCAGTCGATGAAGGACTTGCGGGGTGGACGTGGAGATGGCAAAGAGAAGAGCGATGATGGACAGGGGCAAAGCAACCTCGGCTGCACTAGCGCTTCCCCTTTTGCTTCCGGAGCACACATCAAGCATCTTCTCCGTCAACACCATCGCGTTGGTGGACCTATGATCTCATGCTCAATCGCGTCGGCTTTATGCGAATATATATCTCCCGAGATGGTGTATTGAATGTGGTCTTAGCATACATCAGCCGGGCTGCTGGATCAACGCCTGCATCGTCGAGTAAGGGCAGTCCTTGCCGACTAAGTACCTAGAGAGGGCAACTAGAAGCGGTCTTGAAGAGGAACGTAGGTAAACAATAGACACAGATTCGACATACCGTTTCATACAGGCGGGCATCTTCAACGCAAGAACATCAGTTTCGAAGGCAGCAAACACCCAAGCTATGTGGTGTCGCCCAAGCGCCTGTGAAGCAATCTTGGAGCAGTGTGAAATTACGCTCCATAGTACTCAAGCTTACGGAGTTTGTTCAACCGTCCGTCCACGAATAGCGGGAGCTTCATAGCAAAAATCCCGAATCCCATGAATGATTCTGGGTTAGTTGCTTCCGTGCAAGGCCGCAGTAGATCCGACGTGTAATGATTTGTAAACCGGGCGCGTGTGCGTGTCGCGACATGTGGATATGCTCCATATCATACCATATGTTGAGAAAAGTCGTATTTCAGAATAGAGCAAGCTGGAGAGGGTGGAATATTGCGGTGTACAGTTGTTGGTTCCACGATTTGGCTAGCTACCGAGATATCCAAGCACACTCGCCAGCAGCACTGAGTGGTTACTATTTTCGAGATGTCACGGCTGGCTTCGATCCAGAGACTGGGGTTTCTACTCCTCTGGTTTGCGGTGCGGCACGCTTTTTCCGCTGTTGAATGGAGAATCGTAAAATGTGACGATGTTGGTATGAAGGAGGCTTGGTGCATGCTGTTATCGATTTCTGTGAGTTCGGTTGCCGAGGTTGGGGCTGAGGGACGAGGCTGAGGGACGAGGCTGTGTGAACGACTACATGGAGCATCAGACGAATGCTTCTTTTGTGCGACGTGACCGTTTGTCGAATCGAGCAGCCTTTTCGGTGTCGCAAGACCAAACTGCAACTTCTTGTCATCTGTCGCTCGGCTATGCCCATACTTAGAATGCCTGGGTAGTGAAGCGCGGGAATCACCTGCATCTTCACATCTCTGCTATAGCTCCAGGGCCCGTCAGTTCCGCTCCGACTGCAAGCGATGCAGTCTAGCATTTGCGAAACACTGCTACAGCACGTCAGGTATCGATCGTCAACGTTCGTCAGAGGCACAGTAACGGCCGGCAGCAGTTCGCGGGCGCTTCTCATGGGAGCCTTGGACAAAACGTGCTTTCGGTTCTTCCCGCGGTCCCGCTGTGATCTGTGATCTTGTTTGCTGAAACGACCCACAACCCACACTCGCCCATACAGTGACCGCGCCTATTGTGAGCGCCTCGCGGGCTATCGGCCGGCTGCATGTTCTTTTTGTGTACGGGTCTGCTATTCTGAAGCCTTCCAAGGTTTCTTTGAACTCCCAGAGCCCAGTGCGCGGGCTTCTTTGGAACGGCTTGCTGACCTCCCGCTCCACGTTCCTACACCTGCACCTATCTGCAGGTCCCCGAGCTCAGCCCTACTGACTATTGATGACTACGTCCTACAGGTGTTCGACCAGATGAGGCACCCCTTGCCCTTGTGTCGCTTGCCAAGGTCTTTATTTGGGCCTTATGCGCTCGTCGAATCAGCGCCAGATTAGCCGCCCTTCCCCTCCATCGCTGCCCCTCCACCACTCGGCAGCGGTATTATTCTTAGACACAGCCGCATCAGGGAGTACAGTAGGTATTCTCAAACAGGCGCTTCCGCTACAGTCACTCCTCCTCGTTCGAGGTGACGAACCGCTCACGTTTTGTGCTCCAACCATTCACAGGCCCAATTTTGGCCTGCCCTGGTCCCTTTTGATGGCGCTTGGAGCCACGACCCAGTGAACAGCCTCCTCTTCGCCTAGTCGCACATACCATTCTCGGTAGATACAGATCGATCCGGCGATTACAGAAACATGTCCTGGTTTCAAAACAATTCTCCGAGAGGCCTACTGGTCTTTGTTGTTGATGGAGGCTCAGTATGCGACTCATTGTATAAAGACGTTCGCTATGCCCCTTGATTCAGGCCTCAGACAACACAGACCCAAAGGTACGAACAGCAGCTCTTTCGTTTTCATTCTTGAGGATATCTCCTACCTTTCATTCCTCATACGTCACTCTCGTTCTCCTACGCCAGCTCTACCTTAATCCTAATACGCTACTCGATCGCTTCCATTACTCTCATCTTCATCGTCGCCGCGTCTTTCTATATCTCCATTCCCGTCATCACTTTCTCATCTCGCTAGTCTTTTCTTTCACTTGGTCAACATGCCTAAGGTTGAAAAAGGTCCGGCGCACCGCCTTTCCGTGTCGACTGCATCGGCCGCAGGCGGAACTCGGAGCTCCTCCTGGTCCGCTAAAGATGACGAAACACTCATCCAGGCCAGGGCCCAAGGACTCAACTGGAACCAGATTGGACCGAAGCACTTCCCCTCCAAAACCCCAAATGCTTGTCGCAAACGGCATGAACGGTTGATGGAGAGGCAGAATGCAGAGCAATGGGACGGCGTGAAGCTTGACGTGCTAGCGCAGGCCTATATGGAAGTGCGACGAGAGATGTGGAGTATGCTAGCTGCTCGAGTTGGAGAAAAGTGGCAACTAGTAGAGACAAAGGTACGTCGTGTGCGATTAAAGCTACTACTGAAGCACCTGACGCTAACTTACTTAGTGCATGGAGAAGGGATTAAAGAACCTTACTCAGGCCTACAGGTCGGCGCAGAAGAAGCTCGAGAATGGTACCTACCACGACCATGATGATAGTGGAGTAGGCGTTTCTGACCTCGAAGAAGAACAAGAGGATCATCATGTGGACTTGCACATGTCCACAATTCCCGATACTCATTATTCCGCATACCCAAGCTACCCCATGCATCAACAACGGGTACCAAGCATTCAATCTATGTTGCAACCGATGCAGCAACAACACCCACACGCCATGCAACAGCCAATGCAGCAGCCAATACAGCAGTCGATGCAGCAGTCGATGCAGCAATCGATGCAACCGCCGATGCAGCAAACCATGGCACAGCAAATGCAATACTCCTCGCATCACCACTCGCACCAGCAATAGGCTCCCGATGCCATTGCCAGCCGGCTTAAGCTTTCCCCAACATCTCTTATCCATTTTACATCTCCTTATCACGATCTTTACGAATCATCAGCTTGCTTTAAAGCGGCAAGCGGTCTCTTTCTGTAACAACACCCCATCGGGGAAACACCGATACCAAAGCCCACCTCTCTGGTGGCTCTCATCTCCGAACATCACCTCAACGGCCGACCCCGGCTAGTCACGTTGGCAGCCTTCTTATACCCCTCGAGAATTCGACATCCGCACGGAGGATTGTAATCAGGACGGAAAATTGGACACTCGGTTCCACCTGGACCGGCAATATGATGGAGGCTTAATGGGCGTTTTTTTGATTTCTAAAGTTCTCAATACATGCTGTTCATGGCAACACTTGGGCATTGGGACAAACTCCCTTGTAGATTGTGTAGCCATACTTTTCTTGTCAATGTTGATTTCTTTCATTCTACTACCTATCATGCATGCCTCGTAGTGGTTGTTATATAGCCAATCACATGTAGCTAGTCAGATCTTTTGTGGTAACTACCTAGGTAGTTGACCATCATACCTATTCAACATACGCAAAAAAAACCGGATGTATCAACATCCTAATCACTCACGAGTCATGATTGAACCCCTCCTCAAGCTCTACGTAGCCAAAGTTTCGTTCTTTGTTGTAACACCAGCATAGCCACCACACGCACACAGCCTCACGTACATTCTACCTCACTCCGCAAAGTTCAAACATAAGCACCAAAGAAAACCAATACAATCGTGCATCATCTTGCAGCCCCCAAATATACATTTTCCTGCAGCGGCACGATAGCTACCCGTTGGCTTTACCACGCGACAAACCATGCAGCTCACCTAAGCCCCTAACACGCGGTGACACGCAAATCTGCCATCGATCCCCAAGATCGATGGTCCCGCGCTAAAAGTGTATCATGACATAACCACCGATTCGGGTGCACGCGCGCCAGACACTTGGCCCCCAATTTCACACAATGCGCGAAACCACAATGTTTGAACGTGTGCGATTGAGCGATGCCCCGAGCCCCTCTCCTTCGCGTTCCCTATACCGATCCTCTCCCGGCACCTAGGATCATTCCTGCGAGTGCGACGACGGCTAGCGGTGCTATCAGTGCTTTGGTCGACTTCTTGTCGCCTTCTTTGTCCACGTCCACTACGCCTTCTCGAGCCGCGCAATCGAGACTTTCTAATCGGCTTGACCGTGGGGAGAATGCCGGAAAGACGTTGCTTCTTACTGGTGCTGGCATCTCGGTAGCTTCTGGATTGGCCGACTACAGAGGCACGAATGGCACGTATACGTTGAACAAGACGTATCGGCCGGTGTACTTTCACGAATTCTGCGAAAACCATGAGGCGAGGAAGAGGTATTGGGCAAGAAGTTTCCTAGGTTGGACGAATCTAGAGAAGGCGAGGCCGAATAAGGCACATGAGGCTTGTGGAGATTTGGGACGGATGGGTGTGGTTGGGAGTGTCATTACGCAGAGTGAGTTTGACCTAGCAAACTTCACAATATATGCGTCGAGGACGTTCTTTACTGGGATTCAATACTAATGTGCATAACAGATGTAGACTCCTTTCACCCAAAAGCGCACCCGCAGCTCCCCACGATCGAGTTACACGGCTACCTACGTAACCTCGTCTGCCTCACTTGCCGCAATGAATACTCGCGCCGTTCTTTCCAGAACCAGCTCTCTACTTTGAACCCCTCGTGGGCCACATTCCTCGCCGAAATGATCGAATCAGGCGCCTTAGATACCGAGAACCCCGATGAGCGTCGCAAGAAAGGGCTAAAGTCGAATCCGGACGGCGACGTCGATGTCCCAGACGCCCCATACACCACGTTCAGATACCCAGCATGTCCAACTTGCTTGGAGAAGCCGCCAAAGCGCGCAGACGGAGGCACAGTCCGCGTACAAGTTGACAAGGACGGCGCATGGGATCCAGCGAGCGAAGGCGGAGTACTAAAACCCGCTGTCATCATGTTCGGCGAGTCTATACCCGCAGCCACGAAAGTCGCCGCTGAGGAAGCTGTCGATGCTGCCGGTAGGATACTAGTCATCGGCAGTAGTCTCGCGACGTACTCTGCCTGGCGACTAGTGAAGAAGGCAAAGGAGATGCAAATGCCGATTGGAGTACTGAACATGGGCGGTGTCCGAGGCGAAGAGACCTTCTTCGGGGATGTTGAAGATACCAATACCGGCCGGGAAGCTGCTCGCTTGAGTGAGAATGCGGAGAAGGTTTTACCGCAGGTCGTGAAAATATTACAGGAGATGAAGGAGAAGAGGCAATAGACATGCTATAGATCACAGAGTAAAAAACACAATTAGCAGAAACGCGGATATTGGGTAAAAACAATGGTGATGAAATTTTGCCGTCGAGGCAGTGGTGCTAGCTAAACAATGCGCAGCATTCTAGACAAACCTTTGATCCAAACTCCAACTTTGCGTAAATGTGATATCATATGAGGAAGCAAATCATCCACCCACCGCGCCTATGCTGGGAACGGAAAAGAAACAAACAGGAATCCAAGCCAAAACCCAAGGTTCTCAGACCCTCCCCTCCCTGTCCTTTCTCTCGCCCTCCTCCTCCCCATCAACATCCTCAACAACCATTCTAAACCCCTCTTCCTGTTCCAACTTTTTCATCCCCTCAGCCACCACCGTTTCCCCCTTCTCCCTCGCCTCCAGCAAAGTCCTCAAGTCCCTTCCAGGAACCGCCCTCAAATCCTCACTGCAACTGCGGCAGATCCGCAACTGACACCACGTACACGCCCACTTCCTGTCCTTGTCGTTTTCATGGCACACCATGCAGCCCATGGGTTGGAAGATGTTGTTGGACCAGATGTTGTGGCGGTGCGAGGTATAGCAGGAGACTTGTGCAGGGGTTATGCGTGGGATGTAGGAGACGGGTAAGGGGATTGGGTGGCGAGTTAGAGGTGTAAAAGGAGGGGGTGTTGGTGGGGTTGTAGGTTCGGCGAGTGCGTCGTCAATGGGAGATGTTGGAACAGAGGGACCCGGGAAAGGAGAGAGGTTCATGTCTTGTAGGTCGAAGGATGTTGGGCGGGATGGGGCGCTTGTGGGTCGGACACCTGGAGATGGCTCGGGTGGGTCGAAAGATGTCGTGCGGATAGGGATTTGGGTCTCGACGGGTAGCATTGTAGTTTGAGGCGCTGGCTTAGCAGCCATTGGTCTTTCTTCTTGCTCCGCTGGCTTTTGCTGGGGTTCAGCAGCGGCAGCAGCAGGCTCGTAGCTAAAAGGCCTCCTCTGCTCGCTTGGCGGCGGTAAAGGCGAGAAAGGAGATATCTCACCCTCCTTCTTCGCCAGGATCGGCTTCAGAGTTGGAGAAGGTGTCATTTCAGGCGTAATCGTTTGTAGTTCCTTCGTGGGGATTGGAGGAGCCGGCCTCATTGCCTACATAATCTCAGTCAGCAATCAACGTTCTTTGGTAGGCAAAGGATGCAGGTACCCTAAAGTCTGCGGCATGGCCACACGGTGCGGCTATCGCACAAGTACAGGAGAAGGGAAGGGGAGGCGGATATATACCTTCAAAACGTTGAAGCCGGTGCTGCTTTTGCCGCGAGCGTGCATAGGCGAAGCTGGGGCTTTGACACGAGGGTTTGAGGGGAGGCCTGTAAAGACTTTCTTGGGGGGTGCAGGGACTTTGGTGTTTTCCTGTTCCTCGTCTGGTGTCGGAGGAAGTTGTGCTTCCATGTTACGTGGCTGTTCTCCTGACATGCTTGCTTGACTGTCGACACTGGCTTTCCTGGGCATAGCATCTGACCGCTGGCTGTCAACGCTCACATCTCTTGGTATAGACGTAGGAGGCACTGATGCACCCTTCCTTCCTCGCGGTCCATTAGTCAATTCTGCCAAGCTCTTAAACTTCTTGAGACCTTGGTCTGGTACTGCTTTGCGTTTGACAATTGGTGATGTAGTTTCGGTAGACGTCTCTGTCGCGTCCCTGCTTCCGTCTTGGGAAAGAAGTGAGTCGTTCCTTGAGAGTTCTGTTGCTGGCCTTGATGATTCGTTTCGCATATCAGACTGCTTGATTGACTTCCGCCTTTCAGACTTGGCTGGCGGTGGAGGGGGAAGATCTTTCTCCTCGGATGCTGACGAAGGTAGAGACTCGGACCGTGCCGGGAATGCTGGGGTAGGGGGAACCGTTGCTGTTGATCCGTTGCTGATAGTGAGCTTGAGAGATGCTGGTTTAGATTCACGAGAAAGGCTACGTGACTGAATCCTCTTCCTTGGTGGGGACCCTGGAACCGGACTTGCCGGAAAGACAGGTGCGTCTTGATCGTCTGTTGCCTGTTAGTAAGTTTTGCTCAAACACACACGATCGTTGCCTTGTCGACGCTGTGTTCCAGTTCGACAACACAAGAACGATGGTACATAAATATGGATATAGCGCATTGATGATGTGAAGTGAGGTTGTGGTAAGGGACATGTTCGATACCAGCAAACGCTTGATCGACACCCACAGACACATGTCATTCATCAGATTGAGGATTAAAGTCTCTGCTTACCTCTCAGTTGAAACTTCGTTTGCATTCTCAGCGCAGCTGGTAGTGGTTTGCGCGCAAGGCTATCTGATCGTGGCGGAGGCAGAGGAAGTTCCTTATCCGCGGGTACAGGCGAATAAGTTGAAGGAGATGCGTCACCTCGACCAAAGGAGTTGCCATAGTCGTTGAGGAGCGCGCTGACAATGTCTTGCCTGGAGGCAGGGGCGGATAACAGGCCTTGTTGGGCCATGACGTCGGTCATCGTGAGTTCGAGATATGAAATGTCGTGTATCAATGAGAGTATATGTTGCGATCAAAGGATGGTATCGGATGAACGGATAGTGTTTGAAGGAACACGTTAATAGTGAGCGTGTATAAGGAGCGTGGTGGCAATGAAGAGAGTGACTATGCCGTGAAGCAAAATGAATAGACAGGTCCCAGCCCGATTAATATCGACTTTCTCAACGAGCACAAGTCATGGAGGAAGGAATGAGAGGAGTGGAAGGGACACGCATAGCAAACCCTCGCGGCGAAGCTGGACGTCTCAGGTACAAGAAAGAGCATGGGACACGGCTGACAGAAGAGTGGTCGGGCCTTTCAAACGCATGAAGTGTTTTACATATGGGCCAGGAAGTGGCTGGCCTGTCACAGCTGACGACCAACGACTGCGCGGATCATCCATGCAAGGGTAGAGGCGTTGGAGATGACAGGATGGTCCCGAGCTCCACCGGGGAGCGGGATTCTATCGATTGTTCTGCGGAATTGGTTCACTGTCACATTGGGCGGCCCGGCAATTTCTTCATTAGCCGGTCTTGAGACGATCACGATAAAGTTCAAAATACAAAGCGAGCACACGTTCTTAACGTTGTACAAACGGCCCGACAACGGGAAGCTGAAGCACAACGTTGATGCATCACGTCCCAAGCGACCGCTTCTGCCAAATCACGGCACCCCACAAGTGTGATCCGCACGTGATCAACTTCCACAGTGTTTCAGGCTACCGGAATAGCTCTTTCGGAGGAGATCGAAAAGATATGCCGAGGAGCTGGTCGGACCCACTATTGCACATGCGCTGACGCGTGACGTTCGCAGATCCACATATCATCGTTGTCCGCCTTACATGGAGCTTCCATGTCCATAGCATGCCGTGGTGCAATTTCCTTTCTGGAAACAAATGCTTTGGTCAGAAACGAAATGACGATAATGTAGACAGGGTGTCTGCAAATCGTTGGCGGGAGCGGGCCCAAGTGCGCGATCGTGACGGATAGATTGTGTGGCATTGGCGTCGAAGTTTCCCGGGTCTGTGGGTTGTGTCATGACCCTTCATATTGTACAGACAGACAGATGACCAATCACTAAGCATGCCCTGGATACTGGTGTTCGTGAAACAAATTTCGAGATTGCTTTTCATGTAGCTGGCTTTTGATCTTTCGATCATTAGTCTGTTATTGGTTTGGATAAGACGCCTCACTACAGGCGAATTTTGTACACAGCTGGACGTCGCCTTGTGTCTCGAAAAAGGACTGTCACAATGACAGCCAATGCTCTGGGTCAGAAGATCCATGGGTATCCCCTTCCGCTCTGCAACAGTCAACCATGACCAAGAAAGAATCCTCCCATGCGCCGTCGCTAATGAACAGTCGATCCTAAATATCGACAACGACTAAGATAAAGTATTTACAAGAATGGTAGGTATAGGGTATCGCTCCATCACTGGAAGAAATAGAGTACAAACATTAAGATCAAGGTTATCGTAGGTGTGATTGTGACGCTCGTGGTTGGTGCAGCAGCTTTAAGAGGGGCGGCCGTGACGTTAACGAATGTCGAGCCGCATGCTATTGAAATCTGCTGGGCGGCTGAGGTGTAGGTTTTCGAAAGAGGTTGCGTAGCGTTGTTGCCGTAATAGGAAAATACGCTCATTGCTTGTTGTAGGCACGAGTTGCAAGTTGGTCGTGATCCGCCGGGAAGTTCCTGGCCAATAGGTAGGTAATATGGGTATGAATCTCCTGGTGATGACGTGTTGCTAACGGCATTTGCGAAGCAATAGTTTCCTTGGTCATCATGCAAGCAGCTTGCCTGGTACGATGGCTGGTATGCGACGAGGCCGTTGTAAGCTTGCAGTACCAAGGGATTATCGGTTTCATAGTCGGACTTGCATGCCGTCTCTGATAGCAGTTCTATCGCGAAATTGTCCAGGATTGGTTTGCATTGCGCTGCGTTTACTGCGCAGGTCGCATCGAGGGTTTGTGTAATACGGAGTGTAGACTTGGAGGCATCAAAAAAACCGCTTGATGTCTACAGCTCGTTAGCTAAAGTTTCTGTTTACAAGTCTTTCGTTGGACATACTTGTATCAATAAGGAGAAAGGGTGGCAGTTGTTAAAGTCTGTACTTTGGCGTAGGCGATTGAGGAAATTTGCGCATGAGTTGGTGAAATTATTTGAGAAGCCAGTATCGAATGCCTTAGGAACTTCGAATTTGGAGCTATCGGCAGTATTAGAGTCGGTATTGATGGCTCGTTCCGACAGTGGAGCAGAGAGTGTTTGGATGACATCGTCGTTGCGTTTTAGAGGAGGCATCAACAGCGAGGCGGATGGTGGCGGGCTAAGGTCCAGGTACAATGCCGATCCTGTCCAAGCAAGGTCGTCTTCCACGAGCAGGGCCGGTCGGTCACCATGTGCTTCCGTTGCGGATACGGGGGCAGCCTGGGAACTGCAAGATAGAAATACGACGAGCAGCAGAAGCAACGCGCGAAATTGAAAGCCGATGCGTGGTGACACTCGAAGATATAAGGGGACACCGCGGCAGCCGTTTTCGTGTTGCCTCTTCCGCGTTGGCAGGGGATTATGGTGCGACAGGATCGCTACCGACTCGCGTTCGAAACATTGTGAACGCATATCCAATAAACGATGCTATAGCCGTTGATGATACTATTATTAACCGCAGAATCTCCTCGGAATCCTGAGGCCCATGACCGAACCTTCGTGATGGCCAGGCAGGTTACGGTCGCTGTCGATGACCACTTTGTCCCAACTCTCAGTCAGGTACGGGTACCTTGCAGCGGTTCAGCAAGTGTCCGAGGGCTTTTTGCGGGCCGCCAGGGGTAGGGAAACGGTCGTAACTGGGAAAAGGCAAAGAGTGACAACCAGTTGGGGACTTGCTTATCAGTGTCGATCGCAACCAAAAGACGGGTCGAACAGCCTTTCGTCGATTTATTTAGCTACCTCCCGAACATGTCAATGCATGGGGATGACCAGCCCTTATGATGATTACCATGGAAGCTGCGAATCCTTTCAAGCCACCAGCTCATGCCTGGTCTGCTAATAAAGCCACGGCGGGGCCCCCGTCCAAGCAAGAATCGTTTCTTCGGCTGACGACTTATAAGCGATTCGGTTAATAGAAGATTTCGACCAAGTCACAGTCTCCAAGTCTAACGGCTCTGATAGGTCGGTTATGCGTTGGTCTGTCCAATGCAATAAAAGTTAACCAGATCGAGCGACGTTCTGGCCAGAAAAACGGGACGCCATTCTCCCTGGGCGGCGCGGTCCCTAACGCCTTCGCCAAAGACTGCCCCTTGCGCGGCGATAAGGCTCATTCTGTGCAGCTGCTGTGCCGGTAGGCAGCCGCTATAGGGTGTCGTGAGGGGCAGCGCTGCGATGGTAATTATGTAACGATCATTAGAAGCTGCACTGCTTCCCAAACGTCTGGAAGATGGTATAGAACGTCGCTTTGTCCTGTTCAATGTCGATATTTGATGAGCGACGTGATGTTGGTGTTAGACTTGTAGCCCGCAGGTCCCTGCAACAATCTCGCCATCGCAGCGATCGCCCAACACTCTACACAGTATCGCCAAGCCAATAAGCCACTGCGAGCCACGCCCCTATCGGCTCCGTTCCTTAAGGTCTCTCGTGTCCTTGTCAGCTACAGAGCGTGAATCGACGCTCATATTGGATCGCACATCTCTTCGCCGGAGTGCGCGTGATTTGTATTCTGCTCGACCAAACCAGCTTCAGCCAACACTTCAAGCCAGACCTGCTTTCTATCCTACGACCTTTAGAGGCAGGTGTAAATGTCAAGCAGAGGACGTGCGCCGTCTTGTCTCTCAATACCTTCCCGCTGTCGCGTCCTATGGTTCTGCCAAAATTACTCAATACCATCTTGTCAGCATACCAACACTAATGGCGATGTTGGTCATCTGCGGCGCACGTATATGCTATCGAAAACAATCTGTATGCGCCTACAAGCGACTCTACGCCCCTTTCCACAAGCCTGATTCGGGGAAGCTGTCCGCATGAAGCTACTACTGATGCTCTATCTTCCACAAAGGTCAAACGGTTACCGTCAGGTTGCAGCGTTAGTGCTCACGTTCCGGCTCTCCACACCATCAAAGCGTGCGCGCACATGCATGCGCCATCTATCAACACGAAGATGTTTAAGACAATGCATATCTAGAATTAACTTGCTGGCCTACCACATGCATGGCTACCACACTGATCAGAGATCTTGACATAATCCCGGAGCCCACGTCGATGGGCTGAGATCCAAGATCGCCCCCCATGTTCAATTCATTGAGCCTGAACTACCTCGCTCATAACGAACTTGGCATATACTAATCTTCCGGCATCTGCAGACTATAGACAGAACAGGGTGTTGGAGGCATAGGATCTGGACTTATAGGGATGAAAAGAATTACGATTCAACTCGAAGAACCTATTTAGCATTGCTAGTCTTGCCATGTGGATGTGCTACTACGGTTCCTCTACTAAACTGACCTGAAGTATAGTGCCACCACTAACCCGTGCGACGTGGAAGACAAGGATGAAGATAAATAAGATCTTGACGAAGGCGAGCCTCCAATCGTGCTCTCTGTTGAGCTGCTTGAGTAGCAATAGCGTTGGGAACAATCACTTGATGATGATCAGGAAGCTTTGCTGCCCAAAATGGAGAATATCATCAAGGCTACATGACCCATTTTGTGTTCCGATATGGTGTCGCAATCATGGCTTAGCGTCATGTCTCGATATTCTTGCCATGGACCTTGGGTTACTCATCCATTCCTTCACAGAGGATGCTAGCATGGAATTTCCTAACCTCCCGACAACACTACTCCCGTAAGAATTGAAGCGTTTCGATATTGACACTGTCAATCTGGCGTTGCTTGACCGCATTGTGAGCAAGTAAAGCGCAGTGGAGCGTCGTGACGTGTTAAGCTAGCTGATAGCGGCGTTGTCTACTGCAGCCCCTTCATCATCGAGACTTACGAAAAGCCCTCTAACCATACCGTGGAAGTCTTGAAGTCGATTAGTACTGACTGACGAAAGATGGGGGTGGGCCTGGAAGTTTGGTGGAGGGATGAGAAGGGTAAGCGAGATCAACATCTTGTCTAGGGTCGAAGTCAACGGAGCTGGCCTAGAAAAGATTGGGAAGGTATTAGCATTGGACTTTGCTATCTAGAGTGAACACGTGCCTAGCCTAGGCTACTAATTCCCTGTATGTATTCCAGACAGATGCAGTGGTATTTGTGTTCAGGAAGCATACGTGCTGTAAGTTAGACCGTTGCCTTATGATATCAGTAGGAACATCGTATACACGGTCCGACTGATGATGCTCATGATACACTCGGACTGATGGTTTCGGAGCTGAGGAGGAAACACGTCAATTTCTGCGTGAGGTATCACAGTGAAGAACGCAATCCGCTGTTGCAGGTTGTCTAAGATGACGACGCGAGATGGCGTCGAGCCGATGTATAGAGGAAAATGTGCGCTACCTGATGAAATTAGCTCGCACGATGTACCATTTTCAAGCACTTGAGATCATCGTCTTAGAAACTCTCAGTACGTCGCAGGAGTTTTGTATGTTTAATATATTGACGTTGAACGGATCGAAGCTGTTCCTTGAGGCGGCCACACGTCAGGAAAGAAGGGTTTCGCCGGCACGGACACCATCCTCGCTCCGCATCCGCATCCGTGTGGTCGCGCCCTCCAACAACAACGACAACCATGTTGTCAGCGGCCCGATAAACCAGCGGAAAGCACCGAATTGCTTACTACTAAGGCCCTAGACAGAAATGCGCTGACGAATCTCATGCCAACGACGAGGACTCCCCTCTTTTGGTGGGGTTTAGGCGGGCTGTCAGCACAGTGAACTTCATTTCTGATTGTGCCACCACTTTCACTACATCATCCATATTCTCCTTACCAACACGCGCTCCCATAAACATGGCGAGTCGATCGATCGTATGTGAACATCCAAACTCATGGCCCTGGGGCGGTCGACAGCTGATGGCTGACGTGTGACGTAGTGGCTTATCGCGCTTGCCATTCTTGCGCCGTACGTATACGACCGCTACCTTGCATTCTCGACGATATTGGCAAATAGGCCGGGGAAATTTGAGAATGTCAACAAATTCAAGAGCCACGAGGTCAAATTTCGCGATCAACTTCGCAACTGCGAGGATGTGCTCTTCGAAGAAGGCATGGGTATCGCGTTTTTGAGTTGTAACCCAGAAAGGGATCAATGGAACACAGTGATGGTGTGTAGCTTCCCATTATTTATTTTCAAAACAAAACTATCTCTTGGTTTTGAAGACTCACATTTACAGGGAACATTTGCTACAGCTTTAGACAAACGAGACGGCGAGGACAGTCCAAATATCTGGATCTACGACTATTCAACGCCCAACATTCCGGACTCAGACGCTCTCAAGCCGCTCGTTCTAACTAACTACGATAATGCGGCGGATTTCCAACCCTTGGGTATCGAATTTGATGCCGTAACTTCAACACTATACGTCATAAACCACTCCCGGAATTCTGGAAACATCATCGAAGTATTCCAGGTCTCTGTCCAAGATGCAGTAGCGAGATACATGCAGACACTGAAACACCCGTTGATCTATACGCCCAATTCTATTCATTCTCTGGGGGAAGGAAAATTACTAGTTACCAACGACCACTACATTGGGGCCCTCATTTCCCCATTAATCTCACAGGTCGAGACATTTGCTGGGATTCCCGGAGGTAGCGTCGTCTACACCGACATCCATAACCCGTCACATACGAAGACGTTGGTTCGTGTTCCTTTCGCCAATGGTATTGCTATGCTCAACTCGTCGACCGTAGCTGTTGCTTCATCCGCGAAAATGGGAGTGAACTTATACACTTTCAGTCCCGACACGATCAACTTGTATTTCAGGAAATACATTCGCGCTCCTTCCAGTGTCGACAACCTTTCTGTTGATGCCTCCGGCAAGCTACTAATGGCAGGGCATCCATTTGCTGCAAGCCTCATGAAAGTAAGCAAAGCTAGGGCGAAGTGCAATATGCGGGGATCGGAAGAGGAGAAGAAGGCTTGTGAATGTACAGCGGCTAGCTTCGTGGCTGAGTGGAGCGAAAGCGGAGGACTGAACACTTTGTATAAGAATAGTGGAGAGGAGTTCTGCAGCAGTAGTACGTACGCTCGGGATGTAGGCAGAGGCGTGGGTATCGTCACAGGGTTATACGACAGGGGGCTTTTGGTAGCAAGGGATGACCCAATCACTGTGGAGTGAGGTTCGGGAGTGATCATAGAAAGTATATCTGGGGTAAGACCACCTTGGACTACATCTGAGAAGTCACAGTATATACATCGCTTGACCAAATCAACTTTGGAAGCTCCGATGTGATGCTCGCTCACATCGGTATACTTCCATTGCTCATTACAGCTCCCTGGGCATCCTATCCATGTTTTTCTTCTTTGCCTTCTTTCCCTCTGTCCCCAACCGCACCACGGTAGTTCAATCTCTCCCAATAGTCCCATACTTCCTCTTATAGTTAACTTTCAGCTTTACCACTAGGCTCGGCCGCTCGCAGCTCTCGTCTTGTTCGGTAGTCCATGGTACGTAGCTCCATCGCCTTGCCGGACCCTGCTACTTTGGCGGACCACCATCAGCGGCATGCACTGCATCATCGCTACTCCCCCCTTTGTCGTCAGAATGCACAACAACAACTTCAACGTCTTCTGGAGATGCTGCATCATGGTTGACGGAACGGAACTTGGGCGGTAGATGGGTAGCGTATTTTGAAGGGCCAAGAATGTAACGCCCACAACCTAGAGACCTGTGGTTGCGGATAAAGTGGGTATGTCGGTGGAGCTGCGCTCTGTCGGTTGTGCTCTCGTACACATCAATCGCGATCATTTTACCGCATAGCGCTCCGTTCTCTGAACGTGGTAGTCCCATACGCATGAGATTAATCAGATCATCTGGCAGGAAGTCTAGTAGCACTCTATACAACCACAATACCGATCCCACTGATCCCAGGTTCTGACGTAGAGCGGTGGTCGATCACCGTCTTGCCTTATACACCGAGTATAGTGATCTTTACTCTGCGGTATAGTATTTGGGAGTCTCTCGGTCACTACGTTTGGCGGGTTGCGAAGCATCCAAAACGTCTTGTTGAAATCGTCTTGCTGGCACCATGGCGGGTGCCAATGCAGTGATAAATCGTCGTTCAGATTGGTAAGGGCTAGTAGATTCTGCTGAAGTCGTTTGAGCTGCGAATTGGCTTCTAGGTCATCGCGTGTTCGATCCTTGGGTGCCGGGGTTGTTGATGTTTGAGGTCTTGGCTTTGGTGGTAGAGACTTGGGGCTGGTTGAAGTCGCGAGGTTGATTGCGGCCTCATCAGGTGAGGCTTTCGGTACTTGTGGCTCAGGGGTGTTGGAACCCGACAATGGTGGCATGTTGCGATTCTCCATTGTCACGATTATCTTTTTTTGTATTCAGTATCGAGGCAAAAGAGTGACCAAAAAGCTTTCATCGTAGAAATGTCGGGTGTTCAATATGACCGAATGACGGATATACGGGAGTGGGTGAGGGGTGAGGCTTCGGGTGCGCGTTCACCTTGATTGTTGTTTGTTTAGATCTAAACGTCGCAATCAGAAACCCATGATGCCGTACGAGCGTGGACAGGCATGTTAGTGTCAAACGACAAAGAAAATCACACCCATTCAAGCGCTGTCCCATCACGTCCAGTACCAGGCGTGCTTTTACAGTTTCATGTGCGTTGTCGGAAACTGCATAGTTATTCGCACCGGATTTAATCGCAAGTGCTGATAGGAGAATGCACAAAGAGACGAGATCTTAAGTGCTTATGTTCAATGCTATTTCTCATCTCACTACTGTGAGATTAACTCAAACTCGACACAGCCTTCCGTTCTGGGTTTGAACACCTTGCTCTCCGTCTTGGACCAACCATCTTTCACTCCCAACGGCAGTAGTCGCGTAGAATACATCAGTAGGGTCCCACTTCTTCTTGATCGCGCTTAACTTTGGGTAATAACCTCCATAAAACGACTCTCGCCAGTCGGACTCTTCAACACTGGCCTCGTTCAGGTAAGTACCGCCACCCTCAGATACAGGTGTTACATCGCGCCAAGGCTGGAGAATATTCTCCTGGAGATCCTTATTGGCAGCGGCAAGGGCCGCAGGCGTAGAGTGATCAGCTGACCTGTTCGAAGAAGTTACTAGGAACAGACCGCACTCACGCCAGGCTGGGTTAATGGCATTGTTCGTGTTTGCATACTTCTTGGGCGACTTGTGGTATCCAAGGAAGTGTCTGCCCGATGAGACGTGTTCTTTGATAAGCGCAAATGTTTCGTCGTACTTTTCCAGGAAGTTACGCCTAGGCACGATGCGATTAGCTGGTAACGAGCCGTCTGAACCGACGCCAAAGCTTATACGTCCCCAGGTTGATTGATATGCAGGGTAAAACGTGGTATGGGCGATGGGCGAATCTGGCTTCGTAAGTGTGATGTTATTTTCGTCGAGGTAGAGAAAGAACGGCTTCACAAGCTCGTTGTATGACTCCATGGTGTGGTTTGCTGCGAAGAGGAATCCCATTTGTAGATACGGCGCAGGCTTTGCTCCCATGAAGTAGAAGCTGTATATGCCCGCATCTGCCCAGTCAAGGAATACGTCGTAGAACTTCTTCGTACCAGCCCAAAAAGCATCGACACTGTTATTGGAGGCATCGAGGGTCCAGCTCGAAGTGACGACGTTGAGCTTGGGATGTGCTCGAATGATGACGGATGTGACGACAGCAAACGTACCACCGCCGCCGCCTCGTAGCGCCCAAAAGAGGTCAGAATTCGAGTTTTCTGAGACAGTGATGAAGCGACCAGCCGCGGTGACAACTTGGAAAGCGACAACATGATCAGCGGACATTCCATAGATACCAGCAAGAGGATTCTGTCCTCCTCCAGTTATCATGCCACCAGCATATCCAACGGTCTGTTGTAAATTAGCCACATCATCTGCATAATGATGGCGCCGAACTCACTGGAGAAACTGCACCCAAGACAGTGACGCCATTCTTATCTGCAGCTTCGTACACTTGTCTTACAGTAACACCTGCGGAAAGCTTCAGCGCCGGTCCCGAGTAGCCAGGGCCCTCATATTGGGGAAGGAAGTCAATCTGGTCCATGTTGTGCATCCATAGACTCAATGCTCCAGCGCCAGTTGACTTCCCAAGATAGCAGTGGCCCGTGTTTTTGATCACAAGACGCACGTTAGTGGCGCGCACAAAGTTCAACGCGAGCTGTATCTGCGCTACGTTTGTGACCTTGACCGCGTATTCTGGGTATCCACCCAAAGTGCATGTCTTGCCGGTGGTATCATTACTAGGCATACAGGTCCTGCCTTGATAGATAGGCCACATGTCTAGAAAGAAACGTTAGCTTGGGTTTTACAGTATGTAATAGAGACCACTTACTTGATGTCGGATCTGCATGATGTAACAGCGGGTTCGTGAAGTTGTTGGTAACATCCGAGCACGTTGTGGCGTCCTTCTTTCCCCAAATCGAGTCATAACATGATGCTGCAATCGGCTTCGTTGGAATCAGTGCTCCGCCTAGAAGCACATTGAAAATTTTCCAAACGTTATCTTTTGGCCACGCAGCATCTCCAGGGAATGTCTTGCAAGATCCAAATGCGGTACGTCGTGTTTGCGCACCACCAGAATCATCGCCAGCCTCGAACGTAAAGTATTTGGCATAATTAGACGTGGCCTCTTCGTTACCCAAGCGCTCAACGACTTCATCGGTCAATTGAAGTATCTCCGCCGCTTGTAAAGGTGCTCCTGCTGCTGAAGTGATCGGAACTGAAGCAACTGCAGGTTCGATAGTGGAGGTCTGGGCAAAGGTAGCCAATGGCGAGGATACTAAGAGCAACGCCGCTAACCGCTGCATAGCAGGCATTGCGAATTCGAGACCTGAAGTCGAGGTCAATGAGGCTGGAGAGAGTTCAGCTTTGAGTCTTTTGAACTTTTATCTTGTATCTTTAGCCGGTCGATACCCGCATGTCTGGTTCGTTCTCGGTGGGGTTCAGTACATAGTTCTTCTGCTAGTGCTCTAGAATCCGACAAAGACATCTCTTTCGATTATCATGTTACTCAAGAGGAAGGCCCTGAAGCTATACACGGGAGCACAAACGCAGGGACTGCAGAAGAATGGCAGCGGTCGGAGTGATGTACGATTCGTCGACTGCGATAGAAGGAGCCACAGACCCAGTCTGTATTATGGATCTGCTGTTTTGCCGCTCGCATGCCCAGCCTGGTGGCATTTGCAAGACCCAATCATACACCCAACGTTGAGCTGTGGTGGCCCGAATGTGGAACAGCCGACCTGCCTTCTACGTCTTGTTGCAGGGTTTCAAGGACACTTCATCAACTCAGAAGGATTGTCCTCTTGGCGCGGTATATAAGGAGCTGTGGGAATGCGGCGCAGCTGCGACGGCGCATCCCGGCTGTTGCTTCCATTTAGAGAATTGGTCCCGGGTATCGTGTAAATATGCTCCAGTTTGTGTAATGGATGTAAAGCTGAGACGAGATAGCAAGATTGCTGGTCTACTTGATAACGTCGTTGGTGGCAGGCAGAGGTTCGCGATATTCGAGGGGCGGGAGGGAAGCCCGCTTCCGCCTCACCCGTCCCTAGGCCCTGGCGTTGGGGCCTTGGCATGAATCCCTAACATTGTGGGGCGTGGCACTTAAAGCTGACCACATCTAAGATTTCCTTTCCCCCATACCCAAGCGAAGATACATCTTTATACCCAGATGGTCTGTGGCACGGTAAACGGGAACATCAGATCGACTGCTTGCCAATATCGTTTCCCGACATCTTGGAGATTGTCACACATGTGATAGATGAAGGCATGACGGATTGCGGCGTTGTGGGAATGCTACCAACACGGACCCGCCGTCTAATAATATAGGACTGTCGACGATTATACAGTGATATGTGCATAGGCTCTGTTGAAGATAAAAAAGTTCCACTGCAAGCTATTCGAAGCAGATTTGTGAGTCCATTCCCTGCGCAGCATGGCAGGGACTGGCCTCCAACCGGTCAACATATTCTTGATAATTTTTCCTTTCCTATCATCATTCGTTATTGTAGCGGTCAGAATATGGAGGAAGCTCAAGGAGCGTACATATGCTATTGGTTAGTACTTCGTCTCTCTACCACACGAAGCTTTTTACTTACGAAACGCGTCAGAGGATACACTCTTGGTGATAGCGGAGGCCTTACTGGCAGTACTTACGGCAACTACGTGGAAATGTACGTTCAAATCATCCTCTACGACTTTTTTTTTAACCTAACCAAACTAGTCATACTGGTATCGTACGCAGGCTACCATGCGGAAGACATTCCAGTCAGAGCTCCTGATCGGACGGACGTCGCCTATGTATGTCCGACTTTGATTCGTGAACGTCGTGGTTGGTACTAATAACAATACTTATAGTGGCGACATACGAACAGCATCATCTACAACCCGATCCTCGGTCTAGTCAAGATATCGTTCTTGATCACACTCTTGAAGCTCCGTTGCATGGATCGCCTCATCATAGCGAGTCTCTGGACCCTGATCGCTACAAATGTCATGTTCATCCTTGGTGCAGCCATCGGAAGTCTGTTCATGTGCTGGCCAATCCACAAATCATGGTATCCTCTCGTTCCTGGCACCTGCGGTGATCGCGCTGCTTACGTGTTCGGGACTGTGGGTGTAACGATTGCCACAGATGTCCTTGTTGCGCTTATACCTGCGTGGGTCCTCCACGATCTACAAATGCCTTTGAGGAATAAGGTGTTTGTAATCACGTTTCTCTCGCTCCCTCTTACCGTCACAGCTATTGGCTGCTACCGTCTACACAAATTTGTCGAGGTTATGAAGCTGCCCAAGGTCTATGCTGAGGACCCTCATAACGTACGGAACGTGTTATCAAACGTTGAGGCCAATCTGGGTGTGTTAGCGGCTTGTGGTCCCACGATCAAGTGGATATTGGTAAGGAACCTCTTGGTACAACAAAGGAACAGTGTGGGCGCTGGCTAACCACTCTCAACAAATAGAGCAGGTTTATCCCTTATTTCGAAACAGTCCCAAATAGAAACGCGTGCGTGTCCGACCAATTTCCACATTTTAGATGGCGCACACGAGAAATTCTGAAGACGGGGGTCGACATCGAGTTACAGGAACGTGGTAACGATGCTGAGAATGATGAGGAAGACGACAAGGACAGCCAAGAGCAGTGTACAACAAGGAGTAATGTTATTCGGAAGACCACGATGGTACTAGGGGATGGTGATGAGACGTGAATGGCGGGATCAGAGCTACATTCAAAACCGGGAATGTCTAAAGCTCCTTTCCAGTCTGACAACCAAGGCTCCTACTCTACTTCTTGAATTCCAGCTCTCCATCTTTATTGCGATACACCTTCGATCTTGTACAACATTGCCGCCCTTCTTGTTTGGTGACTGCTTCTTCTCTGCCACAACAGCCTTTTCCATCGCATCGACTGCCTCACAGGTATCTATCGAATGAAGCTTATTGGCCCTCGTATAGTCGACAAAGCAGGATGGCACCGGATGTGAGATTATGATGGAGGATACTGTGGAAGTGAGGGGTCGTTGGCCGGAAACCGGCACGGGAGCTGGCATGGGCGCCATCTCAAAAACCTTGATTCAGTCAGTATGTAACATCAATCAAGTTCAAGAGAGGAAAGCTACATCATGATTCACATCCTCTTCAGTCCCCTCGTCCGAGCCGAAGATTGCCGCCAGAGTCTCGTCGCTAAAGCGAGTGTCTTCAATCACAGCTTCAGTCCGAGCCTTTTCTTCACCAACCGGGTCGCTCGTATCCACGGGCTGCGATGAAGATACTTCCTCAAACCCCGTCTTTACGTCAAGACCCCAGGAAGCAAGAGCAGACAAAGTCTGCGAGTCTGTGCCCTTGATCTTGCCAGACCCAAGAGCACGTACAAATAACCTCAACTTTTTGATGTTGGGATCATAGTCTTCGATCTGCTGTTCGAGTACAGCCACAGCAGTCTCAATAGCTTCGCTCTTTTTGACAAAAGGCAGGAGCCCGTCATGCGCCAGCTGAGCTACACCGCGCCGCCCCTCAAGTGTCATCAACGCATCTTCCTTCATGCGCTCGAGCGAGACGTTCTCTACAGTTGTCTCGTCTTAGGTGAATAGAAGTCGCTCTTCTTCGTGAATGGGCCAGGTGCATTCTATTCTTCCACCACCGGCGTCTTCGTCTTTGGCTTCTTCGTTTTAGGCTTTGCGGTGAATGGGCCTGTGTCATCGGCCTTGCGTTTCTTGAGATTCGCTTTCGGCGCTGCTCCAACAGCCTGCTGTTGAATGACTAATGCAGTGCGCTTGCTGGCTGCTTCCACAGCGTCGCTCACGTCCTTGGTGTGGGAGCCATTGTTTGCGATCTTGATCTTCTTGATGACGGGGTTGGGTGTCGTGGTGGCCGGAGCGTCCAGGTTCTTGATAGACTGAAGGATGTTGGAGAAGGAAGGCATTTTGTTCGTCTAAATAGAGGGATTGGTTGTGCTTGTAGCATGGACAATAGGGGCTGGTAGGAACAGGAGCTATGGGAACGTCCGCAGAAGCTTCGGTCAGTGCGTAGCATCCGGAGGTGAAAGTGAGAGTGGAAATGCGTGGTGTTAACGCTGAACAATAGCGTCCAATCCTAGAGTCGATATTATGCAGAGCCGGACAATAGAACAAATGCATTGAGGTGATGAGAATAATGGACGGTGACCTAGGAAGCTGATGACATGACAAAATGAAAGTCCTGACGAAAGTCACATCATGCCCAATGTGCAACGGCGGCAAGGCTGAGCGAGCTGGCAGCTTCTGGTGGCATTTTTTATACCTACCTGATGCTATGTACGTGTAAGTAGCCATTTCAGACTCATGGGATGTATCTCCATTCGTGTAGTATGTCATGCTCGCATGTCTTCGTTATACGGGTCAGTCCAGACCCTCTACAACTCCTCCTTGTCGACGCCCTCAATGTTGACTAGCTCAGACTCGAAGACTGCTTTATGTTAGCCTATGTGTTGACTATGTATCTCACTATTCCGACTTACTCAAGACACTGTTGGCGGGGATGGGGCCAGCACCCCGCGAGCCATAGGCCCACTCAGGCTGGATTGTGAGCTTCCTCTTCTCGCCGGGGCACATTTCGAGCAGACCCTGGTCCCAGCCCTTGATGACCTGACCGGTACCGACGGCGAACTTCAAAGGCGGGCCGCGGTTGTATGAGGCGTCAAATTCGCTGCCGTCGCTCTCGAGTGTGCCGCGGTAGTGGACGTTGACCGTGTCGCCGACCTGGGTTTTGCGTGTGCATTTGACTTCAGTAAGGACCTCAGTCTTGAGGTGCTGTAGGATACGTTAGTACGTTATACATGCTGTATAGCTTCCTTGGGGTACTACTTGCGTCGTTGTTGATGATGTCAGCGACGGCGGCCGTAGCCAATGCGAGGAGGATGGAAATCTTCATTCTGAAGTCTGATTGCGAGGGTATCTTGCTTCTGGGTGTTTAGAGGTGTCTATAGAGCAAGGCGACGTTGCAATGGCGGTAAGAGGTGGCGGAGGGTCTTTGTGGGGATCAATGCCAAGCGGCGATGTGGCCCCAAGTTATGCAGGGACCTGAGGAACGTCATTGGACGTCGCGGAGGTAGCTTTCCAACCTCAACCTCCCATCGACCCACCCACCATTGCCAATTCCATCACATTGCGTATCTAATCTACTTCACATATGGCTCTTTTTGCCTAGGTAGCTTCGGGCTTTCTTACGCAACATGTTACATATGCCCTAGTTTGCCAGCTGAGAATTTACCAGGCGCTGCTGCGTACTACTAACTCATCTGCCATTCACTGATTAGCTTGTACAGACTCTTGTGCAAGTATCACAGGATCAAATCAAATGGAACCAAGACACAGCACGTGCTTCTCAAGCAGTTATCCCAGCTAAACAGATCTGGAGAGAATGTTCCTGCCCGTACTGACCACCTGCCTGCAACTCATAACAAACTCCCCTTCACTCTGCCAACGCATACGAATAACCTTTACCACGATGTAACTAACCCGAATGAACTTGTTGTTCTGTACTCTCGAAGTCATGACTTATCTGTTTGTGCCAGCGTCCCATCAACTTCTCCTGTATCTCCAATGCAGTCGATTGTTCATCGTATCAAGACGGTTTGTTCGGTGTTGAGTGGGTACTTTAAGTACCTTCTCTCGAACTCTGGACTGCTATGCTCCTGCTAAACATACTCTCCCATGTTTCAGTCAACTTCCCTTATATACTACAGCACTTCTCAGTATCATGCGTCAAGCACTACCTTATGTTACCTGCGTAAATGCGCTCATACTCATAAGAGTGCACTCGACTTTTTCCTTTCACTTTTTGCCTTCCCCCTCACGTCGTTAGGTGCCCAATGCGTAGTTCCCTCGAGCGCAGACGATGCACGTGAGGTCAACTTTCATTTCTTGGCACATGCCTACCCCACCACACCGCTTAAGCTCACCTGACCTCCCATCGCTTTCCTTCTACACGCCAGCGCACTCAATCTGCTTTCTGCATTCTGGAAAAAGTCAACGACGTCTCTCTACAACACTTCCAACCATCTTTGCGAATCCCACTTCTCGTCTTTTACAGACAACCTCAACTTCTATAGCAAGTATGAAACCTCGCGCGGATATGGGACCCACAGGCAAGAATCCCGTGGGCCTAGTTCAACCTACCGCGCTCCCAAATTCCTTCGCCTCTGAGCCGACTCGCGACTGGTCGAAGGCACTTGCCCACTGGAGAAACATCCGTGAGGCAAAGAAGGATGACATTTCCGAGTGTAGCACCAATCTTTCGGCTTTGAACGCACTCAAGGAACACATCGTGACGGCCCCTGACTTCCCCGAGAAATCCGAAATGACCGCGATGCTTGAGGACCGCCTGTCAGTGGCCAGTAAACGTCTCGCTTCCGCGCAAGAAGAACATCGGCAAGCAATCAAAGCCGTCAAGGCATTCAAGGCCCACACAGTCAGCCCAAAGCAACTGCTGCGCCAAAATCTTTCCATGATGGATGCAGTCTTGTTGCTACACACTGAAGATCCCAACATGACGCTTGGGGAGCTGCGCGAAAAGATGTTGAACAATGCAATACTTGTTTGTTCCAAGACGCTGACGGTAAGTAAAGTATCGAGAAATCTCTAAATACCGTAATTGACTTTGCCCGAAAGGTCAAGCTCACTAGCTCAGATAACGAGCCTGTGACCAAGGTCGCGAAAGGCCCCAGCGCTTGTCGTTCTACTGCAACCAAGGACGACGCTCGTCCACTAGAAGACACTACCAACAAGCTAAAGAAGACGGCTCCACACGGAAAGAGTAACTTTTTCGAGCCTCCTTCGAAGCATACTTCGACGCCTGTCATCAAGTACAAGTCCGCCCCTGACACACTAGCAGCGCGCAGGACAGCCACTACTACGAAGACCACTAAGGTTTCTGGATCCAACAGTCAGGTCAAAAAGCATCACCATGGAGACGACGAGCCTTCTACAGACGAGCCAGCTACCCGTCCCAGGGCACCTGTCGCCAAGAGGAGCTCCGGACAGGCGTTTGAGGAGACCACCGATGGGCCCAGGAAGCGACAGTCCACCAACTCGGTTGAGAAGGCTGCTGTCGAAAAGAAGTCGAGCGAAAATACGAAGCCGGTCGACACGCCTTCCATGGAGCTTTCCGAGGCTAAGTCGGAGAGACTCAATGATTCTGAATTAACAGAAGTCGTGATGTCGGATGCATCTGTGAAGGCTACTTCTAAGAAGTCCATCAAGCTTGATGATTACCTTGCACAGAAGAAGGCTGAAAAGGTTGATACTACCCCGGAAGTCCAACACAGCACCAGCGCGACTAAATTGAAGACCGGCAGTAGTGATGAAACAGCTCCTGTAGAAGAACACAGAGATGCTCCCCCAGTCTCCATTAAAGAAGAGTCACCGCTGGAGGCTGGCTTCGACGTCGCGTCCGCACTTATGACCTTTAAAGAAGATGTCAGTGCGGATGGAGCCAACAAGTCAGAGCAAAGGTCGACATTAAGTGGATCCAGTTCCCCGATAGAGCAACATGCGGTTCGCAAGCCGGTGGGTAGGAAGGGTGTCCGCAAGCCCGGCGACGCGGGTGTAGCGCTCGTCATGAAGAAAGACAAGAAGACCAAGAAAGTGTTTTCGCCACCGAAAGCTGAAGAAAAATCCTTCATCGTAAACGATGATGAACCTCTTGAGGTCGACATTGACGTTGCCGCGCGAAAGGCACTTGAAAAGCAGGGTCTTGCAACAGACGCCATTATGACAGGAACCCGTCGTACTGACAGTGGCTCCCGATCTCAAAGCGATCGAGGCCGCAAGCCCACTGCTAGCTCGTCTAGAGGAAAGAAGCAGAAGCGCAAGCGGGCTAAGGACGACGACGACGAGTCAACGCCTGCCAGGAAGAAGATTAATCGCAGGGCTGCAGTGCCTAGGGTACGTACCGCAACGTCAGTCTATTCGGTACCAAGACTAACGAAAACACAAATGCGCCATGTCGCTCCTATTGCAAATGCCGATGACAGAACCGTCCGTTCCGTATTTGTTAGACCCGCTCCTTCGCTTCCCGCTCCAAGTACAGATATCGATACCATGGATATCGACTCTGTACCTGCGCTTACACCTGCGCCTCTCGCCCTAGCCGCCTCAATCACCTACGGGCCTTGGAGGGCTGTTTGCGGGTCAGACGACGAGTTGTAGGCCATTGCCACGACTTGTGATGGCGCGCCCGGAAGTATACGTGAACTTTTGGGCGTTCCGGATGTTTTACACAGTGCAAGCGACATTTCGCTGCGCTTCAGGATACCGCTATTGGATTGAATAATTTTAGCGAATGTTTATAGTTTAAGCTAGCGACATTTCGCAGCACATACAATACACAAAAGCTAACTGTATCATCGGTTTTGAGCATCTGGTGATATGGAAGAATGTTGTGAGCAATGGACTGATTGTCACGTCTTCTGTAGCTGCTTCACGGACGAATCACTGATGACTGTTGTCGCATTTGAGGAAACATTTAGTCTACAGCGTCCTTACTGATGGCACTGACAACACTTCACTTATTCGACAACCAATTCCCGACTTCACTGAAAAAAGTTCTTCGTATTAGAGAGCATCCAATATGGTCTATAACCCACAAAGCTACCGACGGTAGCCTCAAGACGGTCCAACGCCATCCCTTTTCCAAATAAAGAACACGAATCGAAGAAATGATAATCGTACATCCATCCCATCATGAGCAACTTTCTCCTCTTCCACTCAATAGTAAACCCCTTTCTTCAACCCAATCATGCCTTCCTCCCTCCCGTCCATCTCCACCTTTTTCAGCCCAAAGTCCTCGAATACCAACCCAGCAGCCTGAACCTCCGAATTAGTAAGCATCCCAGCTTGACCCGCGACTTTTCCACTCTGGCTATCATCACTGGTCTGCGTGGAGCACTTGAAGCTTCCAATCTCTGGCATAGCGGTTGCAATACCAGGGAAGGTCACCGTCTTCACTACATCCCCCGAACATGTAGACCCTTTGTAGAGCCAGCACACAGAACCCTGGTCCGGACCGATGGATGCGATACCACCTGGGCTACCCTGAATGTGACATTCCGTGTTGGGTTGCGTCCAGCTGCATTCACCGGCGAAGTTGGATTTGGTACAAGTATAGTAAGCACCAGGGAGGCCGCGGCGGGAAAGGTGATGTGAATGTGTTGGTGAGGCTGAGATGGTGGTGGTAGTGGTGATGGTGAGCAAGAGGGCTATGAGTGCGATGGCCGTGCACATTGCTGGCTTTGTTGTTGGAATGAATGGGGCGACGATTAAGAATTACTGGTTGGGTTTCCACGCCGTGCGTATAGCGTAATATGCGTATGTGTGTAGTTCGAAAGAATACTCGCTCAATGTTTCAGATATCCTTATGACAGCAGTGAGGTGCCTTTATGACTAGATCTTGAATTCTTGTGAGCCATCGGGTATGGTGAAGACCTTGCGCATGTCGTGCACAATGAACTGGGTGATCACGGGAGCTCGTACCTTGAAATATGTAGACAGGGCGGCGGTGCGTCAAGCACAAAGACTGGATTTAATCTCTTTGTCGCGGACAACAAACATCTGCGAGGAGATGTAGAACTTAGTTGGCGTGGCTCCATGGCGAGTGACTACGCCACGAATGCTCTTCAATGGGCCATTCGGAAACAAAGAAAAGGGATAGGGTATAAGAAATTGAGAAAGTGCCAAAATATCCGGAACCTAAAGATGTGCGAAGGTAATATGTGCGACGGTTGCTTTCGGGTGCGGTCCGCTACGATGGCGCGACATGGGTGGGTTGTTGTTGTGAAACGTCACTCCGGCGGGGCTAATGATGAGATGCGGCACTCTGGGACCAAAAGGGTCGCAGTACTCGCAAGCCTACGTCCCAACTCGTCTTACAGCCGTGAACTTGCTGGGTCGGGGAACTGCGTGTGCCTGGTCAGTGTCATCAATGTGTTGCCGCCAAGCTGTCGCTGGTGCCGCGATCACCCACTTGACTTGACAGGTATGACTAGGGTGGGTTGATTATGATCGTCAGGTACGAAGCCCTGGAGCTGGCTGCGGGATGCCACTATTGGCGGGTAGCGATTTGATATATAGTCTGGATCGTATTCACCAGGATTGCTGTTGTTTGCGTTGGCGTACAAAGTCCGTGATGATCTAGAAGGCGAAGCTGAGCGCGTGTGTTGGAAGCGCGACGATGACGCACCTGCACCTGCCATCTTCTACAACGCGCCAACCAGACCCACATTCCATGCCCCGAACGCCAAAAGCAAAAAAGTCTAATAATGAATTCATTCCTCACATCGCGCGTGGTTTCTATCTGAGGGAAATACACGTAGTCGTAGTGAATAGACTCGGTCGCAATTTACTTGCTTGTTCCGCGATCATTTTAAGCACGGCAGCGGAGGAAGGCCATCCTCGTATAGATCTAACAAGCCATGACAGCAATTTTGCTACCGTTCATTGCAGGTATGTTGAAGAGCAAAAAGACCTCAACCTTCAGCCTAGTAGCAGAAATCCTTCGGGCTCTTTACGTCGCACCCTTTCAATCCTAAAAAGCCGTCCTGATAAAAATATCAACACGCGAGTCATCACCATTTTCATGGTGTCGCGTCTTGTGGAGAACTGACGCGACGTCAAGACCATGAATACTCACATGTACTTGATAAGCACTTCGTTCGAGAACACAGTACTTAGTTCATGCGTAAAGATACGCGTTCCATGATGAGTTGCGTCTTCCGAAACCGCGAAACCCCATGCGTTTTGTAGCTAGGGTACCATCTGTGGGGTTGCCCGCACGTCAAACGAGTTTCGTAGTTGGCTTGCGCGGAGGAGCAGAACCCGGTTGTGGTTTTCCCGATTGCGCGTGGTGGATGTCAGGTGGATCCACGGTTCCCTGTGCGAGGGTATGCTGCACCCTGAAGGTATACAATGTCTTCTACGGTTACATGTGTTGATGTAGAAATCAGTAAGTATCTCTAGCGTATTGGATGAAGTCTGATGTTTGATGGTAGAAATCCCTTTGTATACTGCAAATTTTTTTTACGTGTTCATTCGTAATTTCATGTGTGGTCTCATTCTGTTTACTTAGCCACCATGATTGCAGCTTTCCAAACCCGCTGGTAGATTTGTATACGCCAGGACCCAACATCATCCGCGCCTAGCCCTTTTGCGCGACCAACTGTCGCTACTCTCTTGAGATGAGGGGCCCAGGTCTGAGCGCGGAGACTGAGATAACCCCCGTCCACCTCCAGCTGTGAATATGAAAGGTGGTATCGGAGGAACTTGCTGCTTCAGCTTCGCAATTTGCTTCGCCGAGTTCTTCATCTCCTCTTTCATCTCCTGAAGCTGTGCTTCGTACATCTGCTTCATCGTCTCCATTTTCTGCATCTTCTCCTTCTCGGATTTCTCCTGCATTCTGAGCGAAGTATTTGCGTTGGCTAGTCGCTCGGCCTTTTGATGTAGGATAAGGACTTGGTCTGCGTGGGATGCTTGCATGTTGGAGACCTTAGTCTCGTTCTTTGAGTTGAGCGCAGTGATCTCGTTGGTAAGTCGGTCGAACTCGTCTTGAGAGTGTGGTGATGGTGATTTGACGGTTCGGGGCTGAGTGGGCTTTGCATCTGAATGTCGGACTTGTGCTGTTATTACAGACGGCTTTGCTACCTGTTGTGCGAGAAGATTCTCATACGCCTGCTTTTGTTCCTTCAGCTCCTGGAGGTGATCATGCTGCATCTGAAGCATCTGTGCCCCAATTTGTCCGCTGAACGTATCCATCTCTCTCTTATGCTTATTTTCAACAACGCGATCGTAGTCCAACTGGGCTTTCGCATCCTCCATCCGTTGGTGCTCGGCCGCCTCAGTGGTATAGATGACTCTAGCAATCGTGTTGTGCCACTGCCTCATGATACCTGCCAACTCGGGACCAGCTTTAGCCAGCTGTTCAGGATTGGCCTCCTCTGCAGCTTTTGCGTTGTTTTTCATGACGTCGAGCAGAGAGTGGAGGGCGGCATGCGGCGCAGTGGAACTGGACGCGGAACCGCTACCAATGGACTTGTAGGAGTGACCTTTAGCTCTGTGCTTTGCTGGTCCGTTGTGCGACAACAACGACAAGATCTTGGCTTCGGCAATGTCAGAGTCATCCTGCTCTCCAGATATTGGGGGAAGCAGACCCATAACATCAGTGTCTCCGATCTTATCATCCAAGGAGCGCGCAATGGCTTCTGCGATATCGTCCTCTTCTCCATTGATGGAGCTGTGAGTTTCTGAGCGATGTGGCGCGGTCGCCTTGTCCTTGCCATTTCCAATTTTTACAGAAGGCTTGGTCAACGCTCCTGGTTTGCTTTGCGCTTCGGCGGTACGTGGTCGGTTTGCCGCCTTGGTGGCAGCTCGCGCGGCCGTCCTGAACCTAGCGCTGCCACTGTGAGTTCCCCGAGCGCCGCGACTGATTCTTTCGAAGGCCGCCTCGCCCTTGGCTTCGTTATCGACGTCGTTGTTAGCCGCACCCAGGCCGTGTGGAGTACGGGTAGAAGCGGAGTAATGGCTGTATATTACAGGTGGTCGGGGCACACCAGAGGGACCAGCTGGGAGTTGTGGATACATTTTCCAGTATGACTGTGTTGTATTCGTGAAAATTTGCAAGACAGGTGTCGTGGTTGAGGTGGAGGTGGAGTTGGATCGTGAGAAGTGGTTATAAGAAGAAATCGGACGTGAGTAGAACGCAGTTGAGGGTGCTGGTGAGTGTGAGAGAAAAATTCTATCCACGATAGGAACGATGGACGACAATAAAAGCTCGTGATTGGGAGAGACGTGTGATTACAATAGACCCATGAGCAGGTGATCAGAAGTGAAAGTGAAGGTGGAAAACCAGAACTACGGACGTTCAACGACGCTCGCCCTTGCGCCTAATTGACCCAACTGCCCTCTATGGGGCCACTCTATTGCTTATCATACATGCGCAAGTCTTGACTGTAACTGATGCACTTCTGCTTTTGTACAATCCCGGATCCGTCCAGGACCTCGCCGCCGATGCTTTGTCTAGCAGTATAGATTCTAGTTCTTCTCATTTTGAGCGGCGCGCGGGTACTGGTAGTGTCTTGGGAGAATCATGGGTCGTCGGTTTGCGCTGTTGAATGCTTGTGTAGCGATGGGCGAGCTGTCCGTCCGAATGGTGGTACCGATGGCCATGAAGAAGCTGCAACATACGTTAGCACGTTGCAGTGGGACTACTTGAACATGAGAATTCATACCCAAAGGTCGCGGCTGATCCCATCATGTATTGGCCCAGGGTGCGCAGCATTCCGTTAGGTCCAGGGCCGAAGCGGACGATGTTGGTGAAGCCTGCAAGAGTCAGAACAGAGCTTCAACAAGGCCTGAGATGATGCGAACCGAAGATGAAGCCAATGATCAGGCCGACAGCTGTCAACGTGTCAGCTCATGCATTTTCTGGTCTGTCACAAAGCGTACATCCACCCATCATGCCACCCATCTTTACTATGCGCTGTTAGCCATTGCCAGGCGCATACAGATACGGATGCCTACGCTTGTCTAGTGTTGAAGGGCCATGCGCCCCTTGAGGCATCGAACCGACTGGTACCGGCATCTTGAGGCTCTACAAACGTTGAGGTGGTGAAGGAACTCAAGAGGGGAACTTTGATTGTCCCACTTGAAGCTGCAGTCTCGCCGCGGCTCAGTCAACGCCAAGGAAAGACCACCGAAATCCGGGGAAAACACAACCATGGATGCACGAGGCAGCTAATACTGGGCGTTGTCAACATCGCGTCGGCGCGTGCAGTACAGATGTAAACAATACAATACAGTCAGTCACGACTTGCATATTTGGTGGTTTCTACACAGTCGCCAAAGCTGATGCAGCGACGCTTGCCGATTACGCACGTGACTCTCTCTTAGAGGGCTGGCTGGCCCTTTCACTGGTTGACTGCAGGTGCGGCGTAGGAATGAAGCGAAATAGTTGCAGCCACGGCTATGATATCCCCATCTCCATGCGTATATCGTTCGTAGCAAGAACAAGTGTCTCGTTTCGTAGTGGATATCCATCCGTGCTGCCCCCTTCTCCACGTCGCCATCACGCCTGAGCCGTCGTGTCGCCCATCTGGCCAGTCAGCGCTGCAGCGTCCCCAAGGCCGGAACAAGACCTCCTGCTCGTCGAAACTCGCTGGAGGCCTCATCCATACCGTCCACCCCAACCATCGAGCAGCCTGCCTCGAGGTCTGCACTATCACATCCGCACTTGCTTGACCCTGCTGCCGTGCACTGCGCCCAACTGCAGCGCCTTGCATCGCCCTGACGTCGCGCGGGCTTTCTACGGACAGCACACGACAGACGACGAAGGCGAAGCCACCATAATCCTACCCGCGACGACGCTACCCGAATATCCGACTCCATCGCGACGCATGAGTGCATGACCGACTTCGCGATATCGCCTGCTGTTGTTGTCGCCTGCTCTCGGCGTCGTCACGCTGGTGTCGCGCCGCTAAAAACGGACAAGACGGGAATCGTGCAGGAAAAGTGACCGGACACTAAACACGCCCACCTCCTTCCCAACACACGACGTCGCCAATGACGGCAGTTGCGCCCCCCGTCAATTACCAGAACATCAATCGGCAGGCATGGAGCGCTGAGGGCGTGTCCAACGGAGGTGGCATGTTTATGCCTCGGAAGAGCGCCCAACGATCCAACTCGTCGTCGAGCCTCTCTTCACAGGCTTCTGGCACATCGACCATATCCGCCTCATCATCTGCATCGCAGCCAAACGGTCCCCCGCAACCCAACGGCACCGACTGGGCTGCCACCCGCAAAGCCAAAGCCCCCAAGGGACTATGGCCTGCAACCAAGACTGAGCCCATCGCCGGAATCACTGCTGCACGACCCCAACCCATCGCATCGGCAGGACCAGCGTCATCAGCCGCCTCGGCCATGAGTGCCCTGCAAGCACCTTCCGCCATGGTTCCCTCCCAGCATAATGGCCAAGTTCAGGCCCAACAACAGCCCAACGGCGCACAACGCACACAGGGCCAGGAGAGCACCGCCGTACTGCACCTTGTCCCCATGAACGGCACCTTTGAGCGCAAGACCATCACTGTACCTTTCTTCCCCGACGTTCTCCGCATTGGCCGGCAAACCAACAACAAGACGATTCCCACGCCACTCAACGGATATTTCGACTCCAAAGTACTATCCAGGCAGCACGCTGAGGTTTGGGCCGACCGACAGGGCAAGATATGGATCCGAGACGTCAAGTCGTCCAATGGTACCTTCGTCAACGGCTCCCGCCTGTCACAAGAGAACCGAGACTCTGACCCCCACGAGCTGCGCGAACAAGACATGTTGGAACTCGGTATCGATATCGTCAGCGAAGACCAGAAGACTATCGTCCACCACAAAGTCGCCGCGCGCGTTGAGCATGCGGGCATCTATGCACGATCCAGTAGCGACATGATCGACCTCAACTTTGGTGAACTCGAAGGGCCCCAACTCTCAAACATGATGAGCCCCAATGGACAACAGCAACAACAACAGATGGCAAACATGCGCGGCCGCACCCCCAGCCAAGGCTCTATGAACGGTCAGCGACTCCAAGGCCCGGGCGCCATGGCCAACTACCCCAACGGCTTGCAGCAACCTCGACACCCCAACTTCTGGCTGCAGCCTATTACTATGGAGCAGGTAGTCAAGAAGCTCAATGTAAGTTCGACGCAGCTACTCAGATGGTCCCCTTTCTAATTACACTAGACCGAGATCAAGGCTGCAAAGCAACAGTCGCAGGACCTCCAACAGACCCACCAGTACATCAACGCTATCCTCTCTGCAGACACCAAAAAGGAACCCATCAAGACTTCGCCGATCAACCAGGTCAGGATATCCCCAATCAAAGACGGTAGCTTGAAGGCGAGATTCTCAGATCCACCTGCGCCTCCACCACAACAGCCTTTACCCGAAAAGCCAGACGTTGCATCGTCACTTAGGAGGTCCGATACTGAACGTCCAAAGACAGCGTCACCAGTCCGCTCTGACGCACAGTTGTCCACGCTTACAGAGGCCTTGACCAGTGCGAAGAAGGAGATTGAAACACAGGGTATGCGGCTACGAGACTTGGAGACACTGTTGAACGAAGAGCGTCGCGCAAGAGAAGACGCTGAGGAGCGGGCGGCCCGACTCGAGCGTGAGACGAACAAGGACCACGGAGACGCTGAGACCGTTGTGGGCGATGATGAGACACACGAGCCTGAGGCCGCCGACCCACAGCGCGAAGAGCTCACTGGATCAGAGAACGGGTCCACATCTCCCTCCAACGCCGAAGACGCCACCGCTCGCTTACAGCAACGTCTGGAAGTCATGATGTCCGAGATGAATGAGATGAAGCAGCAGATGGAGCGGTACCGGGAAAGAGCTGAGACTGCAGAGGCCGACCGCAAGACTTTGGCAGAGATGATCGAGAACATAAGACAAGACAACGCAAAGACCGCGAGCAAAGAAGCTCAACGTCGGAGCAGAAGCAACAGTGCGTCAACGAGGGCGACCTCCAAGACCCTCGTTGAAGGATCAGATGGCGAAGCCGAGGAAGGCGAGATCATGATCATCAAGGAAAAGGACCTTGACGAGGATAATCCAGAAGTGTCGATTCCTGCCAAGAGCGAGCAGAACGGGCATGCTGTTGGGATGAACGGCGCAAAGCAGGCCGGGAAATCGAATTCCTTGGTCGCCCATCGGCCAGATCGAGATTCCATGTACTATGGCGGTCCGGTCGGAGCCATGGTCACAGTCGTTGCAATAGGTGTCGCAGTCATGGCCATGCTTAACCAATACCCCAAGGCCGAGCGTTGAGGAGATACCTATCAGAGTTTTCGATTACTACGTCAAGAAAGACTGGCCCTGTGCGGGTACTATCGCAGGGACGAGCCCTTGAAGAGCATCTTGTACGTCAAGCCTCGAGATATTGCTCTTGCGAGGTTCTATTCTCTATCAACGCGATATACTACGCCACACCACGATAGCCGCTTCTGAACTGCTTGCAACAACATCACTTGGATGCCCAAGACACAATGTTGTATGATGGCAACGTCGCCCACGAAGTTATTACCAGTTACAATGGTTCCATGACAGAACCATCTATCCAAACCATCCACGCCATCCCTTTCGTCCATTATGGGACAACAGAGGCCCAAGGGGCATTTTTATATCGAACCATCACAACACGTTTCCTTTCCGTTCTGGCGTAAGTACTGGGAGGTGCATCGGCCTGTTTTTCTACCGGCGTTCGGGAACTTCAGTGCCAGCCGCCCCTGGGCCTTTTAGGCGTTCTTTCTTTGGGAAGGTTCGGAAGCATTGCAGAGCACTTTTAGTCCAAACAGTCATTAACTGCGGTCAGCGAACCATGAGCATTTTCCTTTGTAGTAAACACGACTAGCTTTTCTTTTTCCTTTTTGGGATTTTGGGAGTTGGATCATGCGCACGATGAATAAGGAGGCACAGAGTGTGGCATTAAGAGAGCAGGCAGAGAGAACCTTTTCACACACTTCAATCATATATACTTGACTCTTGTTATAATGTTTGAATTGCCTGGGTATCTATTTCTTTTTTTGTTGGCGAGTGAACTGTGATTGTCGTGACTTGTTGCGTTTTAGACTCTACATTACTTCAAGCCGATAGTAACAGTAACTGAACTCAGCGTGCGTATTCTCGTCTCTGGTACATCGTCTGCCTCTTCCTCTTCCTCTGCCTCCCTTGTCCCCACTTCCGCTGTTCCTGTCCTCCTCTTAACCTCAATATCATCAATCGCACTCACACTCCCCATCTCAACCTTGACCCAACAATCCTGTTCGGCTTGGAAATGCAATCCGATTTCCAGCGCCCTCGGTATCGCCCGTCCTGTTGCTTTGAGATAGACCTGTTCCCTTGCCTTCAATTGTCCTTCGCCTCTAATCCCTCCATTGCTTCCATTACGGTTACTGCCATCTGCCTGGCTAATCGCCCCGGCGATCTCTGCTTCCACGTCTCTCGCTTCTAACCGTCCATTTGCTTCTGCATACCGCCCTCCTCTTCCTTTTGCTTTTTGCAGAGATGCCGCAGATTGCTTCTCACGCTTGACTACTTCGTTTAGGAGTTTGCGCACACGCTTTACGGTGGGTATGTAGGGTGTTGTGGCGGTTATGTAGAGTGTCTTTGCAGAGCTGGATGAGGAGAAGGGAGATGGGAGGGGGGCGTGGAGGAGTGGGCGGGTGGTTATTGTGACATCTGAAATTTGTTAGGTTGAATTGTCTTCGTCTTCAACTGGTGTGCGTACCTTTGGGGAGTCTGGCAAGTTTTTGGCGGGGCTTGGGATTTGTAGAGCCAGAAGCGGAGGGTTGTTTGGACGATGTGGATGTTGGAGATGGTTTCTTTGTAGCAGGCTCTGGTTTGGGAGAGTTTTGGGGGTTTTCTGATATGTTGTTTGACGAGGTAGTTTTGCCAGAGGGTGGTTGCTGTTGTCCGCATGGAGGTGTTGCGTCCGTCATGGCAACGTCCTCTGTTTGTTGAACTTGTGTTTGAGGTTTGGCTTGCCCGTTAATTGATCGCTTGATTCCTGTCATGGTGATGTAACTGTAGAAGAGAGATCCTGTAACCTACCCAACAGCCGGGAGGAGAGTTTTGGTAGTCGCAAAAGTCGCGTCGCGTCACAAAACTTATCGATAAGTCCGCGCAAGGATATCCACGGCTCTAGCTCCCGCCGCTCATCCAAGTCCCCAGATCCCAGATAACCGTCATGAACACCCTCCAATAACAGCGATGGCTAGCTCTATCCGGCAAAAGCTCCATCACATCCACCTCCCAGGCCCCATCCCCTACGCAACGGCTGCCCGCCTCCAAGAAACCCTCGTATCCCGCTTCCTCGCCTCAAAACCGCCATCCAATGCTTCCCCACCACCACCACACATCATAACCACCGAGTTCACCCCCGTCTACACATGCGGACGACGAGAAATCGGCACCGTCTCACAAGAACAACAAACCTACCTCCGCGCCAATGACCGTGCAGACTTCATCGAAGCCCTACGTGGCGGACAAACCACATTCCATGGCCCAGGCCAACTAGTCGCCTACCCCATCATCGACCTTCGCGCACACAAACTCACGCCTAGAAACTACGTTTGCCTGTTGGAGAAAAGCCTAATAGCTACTTGTGCGAAATACGGAATCAAGGCTATGACTACAGAGCATACTGGTGTCTGGACGAGCCCCGATGATAAGATTGCGGCCATTGGGGTGCATATGCGACGCAACATCACGAGTCATGGTGTTGGGTTGAACGTCAATACGGATCTGTGGTGGTTTGATAGGATCGTTGCGTGTGGGTTGGAGGGGAAGAGGACGACTAGTTTTGCAAAGGAGGGGGTGATGGGGAAGAGTGTTGAGGAAGTTGGGAGAAGCTATGTGGATGAGATAGGGGAGAGGTTGATGGGCGTGGAGGGTGTGGAGAGGCTTGGGGGAGATGAGATTGCTGAGTTGTTGGAGAGTTCAAGACGAGGGTGAGCGTTTTTCATGCCATTACTAACTCAAAGATATGACTGCAGATCCACGCCAACCCACATGTTGCCGTAGACGCCGACTTCCGCCAAAACGGAAATTTGAGCTTGATCACTATCGCCGTAGTCAAGATGCGTGAAGTTTGGCTCTCTATGGAAAACACGGTAGTGGCACTGCCAGAACGACAAATGGCACACATTCATACGTACAATTCCACCGCCAATGATAATATGTGGCACAGAGAGGGAAAAGTTAAACAAGACCACGTTGCATATCGAACAACTTAACGTCCTGCGATCTTATGTCTCGTTGGCGTACTTAGAGCAGATGAGAGTAAGAATTCTTTGTGATCCTGCAGAATAGACTGAGAACTCCAACTAATATTTACATGTATGTTTGATGACAGAAGGGTATAAAGCCGACAAGGACAGACAGACGGATTGTGGTACACAGATGACAAAAAGAAGAAATTGCAACGTAGCTCGAACCGGCCCATCGTAAATCATGAACACCCATCCTCCAGAGTCGAGAAAGAAAGGAAAAATTAACGCTACGAAACATTCAAACGGCATGAGGATGTACCTCTGACTGTCTAAACCGCCACCACTTCTTCTCCACATCCCCGTCTCTCAAACCTCCCTCACTACTTCGATCAACGCTCCTCGCACTCGCACTGCCGCTCCCCCTTGCAATAATAACCGACGTGTTACCCAGCATGCCCTCTACATCCGCACCCCCTCCACTCACTATCCCGGCAGCACCCCCACGATTCCGCCACTGACTAGCCTGCAACTCATACACATCTTCTTTCTCGCCAGCCAATTCCTCCAGTCTCGCTCCTTTCGATTCTGGAACAAGGAAACTAGTCAACATACCCAGAAACATGAAAAGCGCAAAAATCTGCATCACGCCATGGATCCAAGGCGTCGGATTATCATGCGTAGCCCCCCTCTTGATCATGGGCGCAAAGAAGATCTGCGCAAACACCGCACCTAGCTTACCCATTCCGGCACTAAATCCATGACCTGTACACCGTACTCTTGTAGGGAAAATTTCTGCCGGTGTGATGAACGTTGTGGCGTTTGGCCCGAAGTTGAAGAAGAACTGTGCTAGCACGTATAGCGCTAATAGGTGAGTCTTTGTGAGGCCTTGCCAGGCGAAGCCGAGGACGCAGAAGATGATGGTTAAGATGCCAAATCCGGCTATCTGGATGGGTTTGCGGCCGATGGTATCGACAGTAAAAACGGTGAGCCAGTATCCTGGAAGGGCGCCGGCGCAGATAAGAACGATTTGGCCCGTGGCTGTGTTGCGCAGGTAGAGATAGAGATTTGCGCGTTGATCGAAGCCCATTGTGGACATCAAAGAGGCAGAGGAGAATCCAAGGCCATAAAAGGCTAGGTCTAGGAAGCTGTGTGGATGTCAGCTTGTATTACGTCTGTGTTGGGTGAACTGGGTTAACCTACAACCAGGACATCGAAGTGCCGAATAAGCGGATGGCTTGACGTTTCTGCGAGTAGAAACGTAGTACTTCCATCAATGTAGGTCGCGGCGTCTTGTACTTGGCCATTTCACTACGCGTCTTCGCCTGCATAACAGGGTTTACTACATTGCCCTGCTTGCCATAGCGGTATTTACGTGCATCGACCGAGGCTTTCTCGACATCGTACAGCACATCGAACGTGTATCGTGGCGTTTCCGGTACTGTGAGCCGATAGTATAGTGCGAACCATCCGGGGATTCCGCCAAAGGCAATGATGATACGCCACATCTTATCGACACGCATGGCACACTGCCCTATACATTCTCCCACATTGGCTACACCGATTAGGTCGTCTTTGAAGATTATGACTACGATGAGGGTTACTAAGGCGGCTGCGAGTTGACCAAGGCCTTGCATGGCGAAGACGGCTGCGATGATACCACCGCGGTATCTGGTACTGGCGAACTCTGCTGTGATGACCGCACTGAGTGGATCTGGAGTAGTGGTCAGTAAAGTATACCTTGAGGATATCCTTCTTCCCACTTGCTTTGGATCAACCCCCAAAACATGCAAAAATATGGGAGACTCTGGCCGTACGAAATATGTACTTACAGTCGCCACCGACACCGATTCCCATTACAACTCTGTAGAAGATGAGCACACCCACAATTGAAACAGTCGCCGACTCTCCACAAAGCGATTGTGCAAGTGTTGTGCCGATAATGATCATCAGCTCTACCCCATACATTTTCTTTCTTCCTAGAAGGTCGCCCATATATCCGAAGATACATTGACCGAAAATGGCGCCAGCGGACGTTGCGACCTTGATCGCTGTATCGGCATCATGAGGCATGACTCCTTTATGTTCCTCATCTTGCCAGTATACGATCCCTAATAAAATGACGGCAAGGTTTATGGCAAATAGCTGAACATGTCGTTAGCCAACTCTCCGCCTCGCCCGTAATTTTGACCACCAGACTTACACTGTAGGCATCGGTAAAGAACCCAATCCCAGTCACAACTGCTAGTCGTATGTGATACCATCCAAATGGTGCTTTATCTACCTCAGCGAGGGCCATCCGCCGGCGCTCATTAGGGTCCGCGATATGGGTCTAGTAACCTTGTTAGTTACTGCGTAAGACTGCAAGGCTAGGATCATCATGTACATAGACTCCAGGTATATCTCGGTAAGCTGCATTCCCAACGCGTCCAAATGAGAACATAACTGGCAACGGAGATAGATGCTTTGAAGGGAAGTGAGCGCCGCGGTTCAGCGACGTCCATAAGAGAGGATGAGATGACGAAGACTATGTCAGCCCGACAGCCGCAGTATGTACAAAACGTAAGTAGGGCTGATGGGTGGAGCGGCCGTCAGATGAGACATGTACTGCGGTACGATATAAGGCCTGTAGCAACGTGCTGCATGGCCGACGTTCTTTTGGAAACGCCAGGTCCCATGCCGAGCTCCCGAGATGCTGAACCGTGAGGGACTTGTGATCATGCCTCTCGACATCAATTGGTAGAAGGCCCGAAGCAGCTGCGGACGAGACTGTCGCGATCAAGTTCAACAGCACATGCCATGCGGGAGACTTGGAAGTTGCACCACAGCACGCGTTCACGTTTTCCTGGTGTCGCATGTGATTGGTTGACTGGATCCGAACCTCAAAATACCCCCATGTCGATTTCGTTACTGATGGCACGCCCCGTGTTCCTATTGGCCATTAGCTTCGCGAGAGGACTCGAAAAGAGCTCAATGGAACAGTGCCACGCCCGCCATGGTCTCGGTGCCATGGACCGTTCTCTTGGGATAAGTCTATGCTGTCGTCTAGTCTAGACTAAGCTGCACGCCGTCCTGTCATCGGCAACGACCCTTATATCTCTTCGCAATGCCATCGAGTACGGACGTTCATAGTAAGCCCTATGGCTGGTGCCGGTCGGCTGTCCTCCCTACTAGCGTGATCTGGGTGTTTATCCAAGTCTGGTTCCCTACAGTTTTCGTGAACTGGAGTTCATGCCTAGGTCGTCATTGGCTATGCAAAGCCTCTCATTGCTCGTCACTGGGGGAATATTGCTCGATTGATGGCTTGTGCACATTGGCACCACTGGTACAGATTTTATGACGATTCATTATGTAGGCGTATCTTGGTCGCCGACTACAAATTGGTCGCCGCGTATACCATCATCTCTCACAAAACTTGGACGAAGAGGCTGCAGTCTCAGAAGCGCCACCAATGCGTTAAATGCACGAACATAGCTAACGCGAAAGCTTGCATACCATAGAGATGACCATCGCACCGCCCTGCAGCTCCGCAGACCCACCGTTGATCCCTCGTCTGACCCACCACGTCCTCGTACTTCTCGATCACATCGCAACTGATACATATACCAAGCAGTAGCAGGATACTGCCTCAGCTCGTCGAAGGCACGTGTGACATATGAAGCACCAAATATCGAAAGTACCTGGGTAGTCCCTCTTGCTGTTCTCAGACGGTATCGTCACATATGTCTGGCTACCCCAGATCTGCTCGCGGCCAAGACACCATCCTCATACGTTTAGAATACCCACTAGATCTTACCCAATGCAAAGCTCATATCAACCATTCCGTATCTACATCGGCATCCCCTCCTAATGGATTACTCTGCTCAGATGCATGCCATAAAGACTTCAACCTTATAAGCAACAATATCGCCGCGAAACAGCTAGCAAATACAGGAAGAGCTCCGACAACCGCAGCTGCCCTCCACCACCTCACGACGTGGAAGTGATCTCGGTAGAACTCAGCACTCTCGAAGTCCAGGTAGCCACTTAACCCACCTCTGCACCGACAGTTTTTTAGAACCCCGCTGAACTGTAGAAAGGAGCCTAGCATCAGTCCATGTCTCGTAAAGTTAGATAGGATAGGTACAAAAAGGGTCAACTTACGGCCGCAAAGGTGATAAATATAAGGCAAAGAGTAGACAGCAAACATATAAAATAGCACACTGCTTTCCTCTTCACCCCGGGATGTTTGAACCCAGGGAGCAAATGGATGATCCAAGGCAGGGTACTAAGACCGCCGTAGATGATGTAAGACATTGATCTACAGCCAATACCGACCGTTGGAACGTTGTAGGAGATCATGAAAGCCATTCCAATCTCTAGCCAGACGAGCACCAGGGAGATCAGGGACAGAGCCCACCAGGATGCAGGACGGCGACCCTTGAGACGCTTCAAGGTCTGATCGACGATAACATCGAGCCGCTGTACCCGGCGGTTATCATTCGGCGTGTTATATACGCTGACTAGAACGGCGTATGCTAGTCCGTGGTATCCCATTTGCCTTCCTTGGCCCGCAAAGTTGGAGATATAGCTATCAAAGCAGGTGTCGGTTTGTTGGGTGTCCTGAATGAGAGGCTTTAAGGGTGTTAGTAGAGTTCTGCTGTGGTGGTGGAGGAGGAGGAGTAGGGTGGGTTTGATGCTTACCGCTGTTGCTGTACCTAAATCTGTCATTTCTACATCTGCGGCTTGTTCTGTGGGCTGTTGACCGAGGCCATGGTTCTGACTGGTATACTCTCTGGCTGCATCCTCTTTACTTTGTCGCCACCAGTCAGGATGTTGTGGCGGGTCCGTGCCCTGCTGTTTAACCTTCCATTCCATCACTGCGTTCACATTCCACATCCAGCGAGATATAAGCTTCCTATACGTGGACACCTCAGTAAACACAATATAGGATCACGTGATGTTAATGCTTACCGGCTTCGATCCGCAGAAACGGGATTACGGTCGAGAATAGCAAACAAAACAAAAAGGGGAAGCCAACTGATTAGTATACCGAATGCGAGGGAGTGGGTAGTTGTCCGTTCGCCAACATCGGCAAAGGCCTGAACGATGGAGATAGCGTAGGCGATGAAAAAGAGGATCACGGTCATAAAGGCCGGATATACCCCTCGGCGCCGCAGCATTCTCAACTGAAATGCCATTGACTGAAGGAGTTCTCGGGTCCATCTGGCGGATTTTTCCTGAATAACCCTGTCCGCGGCGCTGCCTGCGTGGCCACCTTCCCCCACAGTCACGTCACAAATGGGCATAAACAGCCCATATGTGAGAGTGTCTAGAAATTTCCGATCCACTTTGGAAAGCTTGAACTGGCCTATGCAACAGAGAACGTAGTATGCATCTCTTTTCAGTGGTTGCAGGGCGGTACTCCCGGCTATACCTTGACCCGATGCTGCTGTTGCATGGAAGCATTTTCGAATTTGATGAATGTTAGACAGTGTCGCAGTTAGAGCAATCTGTGGGCTACCGATCCAGATTAACAGCGCACCAATCGTCCTCGCGAGTCTGCCTTGATACCAATAGGCCCCGTCATTCCTCCTATGGAGCGACTCATAAGGCAGGGCAGCGAGTAACGCGAGGATAGGTAAGATCCAATTGGAAACGATGGCTAGGGTCGCGGTGATGTCCGACATCCAATACCAGTCAATAGAATTTCCGCAGAGGACTTTGCAGCCTATTCCATGGTCAAATTAGCCACACGCACCACTCCGGACTGTCCGGGGTTCAGCGACATACCTTGGGTCGTGATTGTGATGAAGTCGTCTCGCGATACTTGCCCATCCGCAAAGTTAATGCCTCGCACTGGACCAGTGTACAAATATGGTCCAATTGTCTCCTTGCTGATCGCCCCAAAGGTGTCGGTGCCATTCAATATGCGCTCAACGCGAGACTTGCAAGCATCGAACGTAGATTCTCGACCAATCGCACTTCCTCCAAACAAGGCTGCCGCCAAGAGGCAGCTGGGTAGAGGTTGACCGCGCCAACACAACATATGGTCCTGCGAGTAATTTTCAGTAGGTAATCCCCACGACGGTTATAAGCTGCCCTTAATCTTTGAAAGGTTGGCAGCCAACTTCATATAGGATCCGGCCGAGACGCCACAGTATTGAGGCTGGTCTACCGTCGCAAGGGAAGCGGTACGGCTGAAGTGACACGTCAACCAGCATGTTTCAAACTCAAGGGATGGAAATCACAGATGGGTCGCGCAACAGCATACAGACGATAAAATGAAACGGAGGTCCCGGTGCCACAAGCCACTTAGCGTTGCGAGCTAAGTTTGTTGTTCAAGCGTCCAAGTTTTTCTTTCGCAAGTTTAAGAAGAGATCGTCTATGTGTCGAAACTTCTCGGAAATCTACATGATAGCCGCGTGTTCAATGTTGCCTAGCACTGCCTCGAGGGTGATTGCTGAGTCTCAGCGTGGCGCGTTGAGGCTGATAGTGGGCGTACCTAGAAGGTGTGTCACTCTAGCCGCTTTCAATTGTCTAAATGATTCCAATAACGCCGAGTCCTCAGCTACCGTCCCAGAAGAATCTATCATCCTGGTCAACTCGCCACAAGTAGTATTAGTCTTATACTTTTGGTGTTAGAGTAGAACTCAGGCAGTACGAGATCCTTCGCAGTGGGCAGTGGAATAGCAACAAGTACCTGATCCAAATTCCCAAACACGCTCTTCCCCAAGAGTGACTGTCTTTGCGTGTGGTGTTTGGTGGCTACTTTGCATTCCGCTTACAATGCTGTGCCTTTAGTAAAGAGACCAAGATTGTTCGCACTCAAACACAAAGCTACGCCCGCACAAGGGACGTGTTAGAACGCCAGCAGAATGGCGATATTCCAGTGAACCACGACAAGGACCACGAATAAGATGATGGTCGTAATATTCACAAAGAGATGGCTGACGGACACGCGCTGTGGCGTCTTCGGAGGCTGGAAGTCTGCAATTCTGATGATCACATGTGGTTACCTTGTATTCGAACGTAAGAAAATAAGTGAAGACGGCGATATAGCGTCAGTCCTAATGCGTGATCCTGACAATGTTGATGTTGATGTTGATGTTCTGGTGGTGCGGACACCACTTGATCAAGTGGAGCCATCGACGCCAGTCCTTAAACGGCTAGCCCCACACACGTTCGAAATTGTGTCTCGCTAAGCTCATGTCGAATTCGCTCTCGCACGACGAACCCGCGACAACTCCCACCCTCGATACTAACAACAGCGTCACCAGGTATGTACCTCCACTGCACTCTGTAGACAATCGATTACTGACAGTTCTTGCATAGTCCCCAGCCAAAATGAGTACGCCGAACTCCACTCCACACTCGCAACAACGAACTTCGAGACTGACTGCGATATAGCGAAGGGTACCTCCAGTTTCGGAAAGCGCCACAACAAGACGCATACGCTCTGCAGGCGTTGCGGTACGTGATACCTTCTCGGATGCTGGCATTGGAGATGCGAAAGCATGGAAAGGAAACAAGGGCTGATTCCAACGTTTAGGTCAACGATCCCTTCACATCCAGAAGCACACCTGCGCCTCATGCGGCTACCCTGCTGCTAAGACCCGCAAGTGTACGTTTACCTGAGACGCGCGCATCGAGAGCGAAGATTAACATTGGACAGTCAACTGGGGCGAGAAGGCCAAGCGCAGGAAGACCACAGGTACCGGCCGCATGCGATACCTCAAGACCGTCAACCGCAAGTTCAGCAACGGATTCCAAACTGGCGCCCCTAAGGGCTCCAAGGGCCCCACCGTCAAGTCCTCGTAAACGTATCAAGCATAAGGTTGGCGACGAGGAGGAGTAGAGGCGCGATGAAGGCCATTCGGACGGGTGCATGATCGGAAAGCGGGTTCTTATAAGCAAATGGTATTGCTCGGCATGGGGCGTTCTGTCATCCCTCTCCCGGTTGCTGTCCATCCCACATGACGAATGAGGATGGCATCACCGTTTGAGCGCATAGCTCTGGAGGCATAACTACGGAAAATTCATCATGTTCTGTCACGAAATAAAAGCATGAATCAAGCCAGAGACTGTGCCAATATACCACGGATAAGACAGGATGCACTGATGAGTTGTAGGAAACCGAGGCTTATCGAAGACCGTTGCATGGATTCAAATCTCGCCAAAGACCGAGATTATTTACACGCTACGCCTTTGAATACTAGCATGCACACGAACGACCGGCGACACCTACGATCCACCGCTCGAGTGCGAGACAACCGTACCTACTTACACATCTATGCGCTGCTCGATTTTGTTGACATTGAGAACTAAGCTCCCTGGGCTTGTCGCTGCTGTACTTGTTCTGCTATTCTTCTACAATGAAAGGGCTTTGTTCTAGCACATTTAATTATTCTCTTATACAGTCATATATATCATCAAGGCTGCCAAGCACAACAGATCCACCACACGCTCTAATGACTCAGTCCTCCCCTCAGAACCACCTTCTCTCCTCGATCTTCGTCCACCACCTCCCTGTCTCGCCTTCCTCTCTTGGTCCTACAAACTCTAGAACCTGATTGCCTCTTCCAACTCTGATATCTAGATCGAATATGTCACTCGCACTTCTCCTCTCCTCCTTCGCACCCAAGCAAAAACTGGCCCTTACACGTACACCACCCTTCCTCTCTTTGGCCACTTCGCTCAAGAATGGCCCAATGTCCCTTGCGACACGATACGCGAGTGCAGATGGAGTAAACTTGGTTTTGAGTTCCACAGCCCAACGGTTGAAGTTCTGGATTCGTGGCACAACGCGTTGGTTGCCGAAGTTGGGGAACTGGCCCGGATCAACTGGTTGATCGTGTGTCGGTGAAGCGGGAGGTGTTACAATAGTAAGTGCTGTAGATGATGGAGAACGTGTGTCGAGCCAGGATTGGATGATTTCCGGGTCGCGGTAGGAGTCTTCGTACCATGTCATCAACCAGAAGGAGATTACAAGTTGTTTAAGATTGTCGAAGGAGCGGAGACCGGTTAGAAGGGGATTGGTAATGGGCGTGGTGTAAGAAAGGATCGGGCAGCCATTGTAACCGCATATCTTGAGCTCTTCGACTGTAGATGCGTGGTGCAGGGCGATAGTTTGGAGGAGAGGTGCTTGAGGTGGCCAACCGTAGTTCGGTTCGAAATTGAAGTCTACAGGCATAGGGAAGCCGCGACGATAGGCGGCTAGGATGCCTGCAAGATCCTCATCTTCAAGGTTATAGATGAACTCAGAGCCAGCTTGACCAGGGTCAATGGCTGCCAGCTGCTGTCCTCCCGCACCCCAGGTATTTCCTGCTGGGAAAGAAACGCCAATCATGACAATTTTCTTTATGGGACACCAATGTAGTGCACGGAGTAACTCTCGCTTCTCGTCGCGTGGTATACCACCTTCCAGCTTGATTTGCTCGACTTTCCGCATGTGGGGCGCAAATTCGTCAATGAATCTGCGTCGACGCGTACGTTCTTGCATATCTTCCATGGTGCTACATTTGGCCGTAAGTGGTTCGCCGGGTCCCCCATATTGTGTATCGATTCGAAGGTCTGTCAGCGTGTTTGCCAGATGCGCGACCAGACTTCGACATCGATTTTGAATATCAACAGTCGACTTAACATGGTTGTATATCCTGTCCATTGGCCAGCCGAGACACTGGATTTTGGGGTGTGCCTCGAGGAACTCCAAGAAGGGATCTTCCAGGAGATAGACATTCTTTGGGAGTATCGTGAGCGGCAACACAGCATTTCGAATTTGAAAGGCACGTAGATGCGGGAAACGCAAACCGCTGAGTGAAGACAGAAACACCTCAGAGTCAGTGATTGAACCAGATGGCTCTACATCCCTTCGACGCCAATGTATCCAGTCTAGATTTAGACTGGTAAGTGTAGAAGCGGAATTTGCAATTAGCCACTCCATTGAGGGCCTGGGGTCAGGCACAATTTTTCCAAGTGATATAGGTTTGGAAGACACCGGATTCGCATCGATGTAGTCTCTAATCTCCGGAAGCTCCTCCCACATGATAGCGTCATATGCCTTAGCCTTGTCCCTTAACTCTTGTGTTGAAGAACGCGGCCATCGTTCCGGCAAACCCTCATGAGAGATCTGGATGGTGGTACCAACAAAACCTCCTGCTCCATTATGCATTGTATAATATTGCCCGCCACGCGAAAGCGAAAACTCCATGAATTGTAGCTGCTGAGTTTCCGTTCGATCTGACAGATCCTTTCCAAGTCTACGCAAGCGGATACTTTCAAGTCCGGTGGCTTTGTTTTGTAGGAGCCAGTATAGTTCAGTCTTGTCGAAGCAACAGCTCTCTAGCCACAGTTTGCGCACAGGCATACGTCGTGGTCGACCTTCATCGAGGAAGCCAGTAATGAGTGCGTTTGTGAGCCTCCAATGCCCGTATATGATCCGTAGTGTGTGCACGTTGACCAAGTTCGGTATCGCGAGCTTGACGAGAGTATGTAGTCGTTCATCTTGTGAGAGATTATCGGCGTCGAAGCGCATTCGTGGGAGTTCATTGAAGATGTTCGGCGCTGGAAGGTGGCATCGATGGGAGAGTGTCTGAACTTTAGATGCAATCGCAGGGTTACTGCGACGTTAGACTGGTTTGGATAGCAGACTTTGGTGTACCTACGTCGCAAGTATGTGCAGTTTTTGGACAATAGGTGTATCGTCGTGCTCATCAGGTTCTCCACGGCCGCGTTCCCCCCACATCAGATCCGTCTCTTCATTTAGGTGTAATTTCCATTGGTCAGTCAGGCAGACGTTCCGCCACAGTATATCCGTCGCATGTTGGTTGAGTGTCTGAGAGACTAGAGCTACAAGCTTGAGCGTGGGAGTGTCGAGGTAGGCGACGATGAGTTGGAGCAACTCGCTAGGGAGAGACTGTAGCTTGGAGAGGGGTTAGCATTTCTCATCATATAGAGGAATCGAATCAAGGACGATGCATAGTCGCACAGTGTGGGGATGGTACGTCCGTAGAACGAATCAGGCTCGTGTTACAGTACATACAGAGAGTGGGCGATCTTCTGTCCTTGGGTTTGGCGGAGAGGAGGTCATGATCTCTCATACATTACACATAGGAATCAAATGCGATCACAGATGCGCATTGCAAACAAAGGATGGGCTTCTCAATCGCGCATGTTGAACAGTAATGAACATTCGATGTGTGGATTCAAGAAGCCTGGGCGGTGATGTGCATCGACGCCATCGGCGGGGTCCAGCCCCCCACAGCCGCCCCTGTCTACCTTGACATGTGAACGCCACGCCATTGACAAATGCAGCGCTCATCCGCTTCAGGTTGCACTCGAACAGTCATGTTCTGATTGTAGAAATTCTCGGTGGGCATCCAGTGAGGTTACGTATCCCGAGAGGTGTCAAGTTTCCTCCACTGTATCTGTCGCAATGTCCTGTTGATCCTTCGGTGGCCTGTTCATCCTGTACATGCCAATACTAGGCGACACATCTTTGAATCCATAAAGCGGGTATAGCTTTTGTGCCGGTCCATCAGCTACAAGGCTCACATAAGCCAGAGGTGCATGCTCGTCCACGTAGTCCAAAAGCTTCTGCACGATACGCTTTCCCAGTCCTCTGCGCTGATGATCTGGGTGCACCGCTATGTCAACCATGATCAGGAAAAGCGACCCATCGCCGACTAATCGGCCCATTGCGACAACATCCTGGGCAGACCCGGGGGTTGTACCGTCAAGCATGTATTTGCGCTTGTAGGCGACGATCATGTAGAAAGAGTTCGCGAGCGCCTTGGGTACAGCTTCAATTGGTGGGGGCGTCATGCCAGCGAGCTTGCGGATATCGTGGTATCTTTGCGGCGTCGGTTTGCCTTCGAGGATGACATATTGTGATTCGGCCATTTTAGATAGAAATGGGGAGTTTTTTATTTATTGACAACGTGTGGAATCTTTACGTGTTAATGCTAAAGATATAGCATGCTCGGAATGAACGCGGAGTAAGACATGGCACGCCCTACGCGGGTCTTCTCATCGTGACTCCATACATGTGCGCTATCCCCATGTTTCCATACTTTCGGAGTACTCTTCGACATATTTGCTATTCGCTTGGTTTATCTGCATACATGACTCGTTCCGGTCGCGTTGTAAGTGCAACACCACGTGTAGTAATGAGCATCACCTCCTGCCAATTTATACAGTATATGATCTCCTAAGCAGCATCAGCCGTTGTTGTTTACTCAGCCAGTACTCACACGAAGCCATTGAAATTAAACGGATAACCACCATCTGTGAATGACTGTGGCCGCAATCTCCTCGAGGTTTGTGATGTGCGGTCATGGATGGCGGCACCTTCCCGAGCGAGGACAGTCACATTCACCCTTGCGCCTTCTACACAGTCGGGGTATCATGAAGCAACGATGTGGGTATCCCCCATAATTGCCTCAAATATCTGCTCCCACTCCACCTCTTCAGAAATATATCGTAGAGCCATCGCTTTACATCAATATCGCTATCCTTACTGGCTCCACGACTAGCACCACTTTACTTTACTCACCACCTATCGATACCTCCCACATCTTCTATTCGCTGAAGATGGCCGGTAAGCAGGTTGAAGCTAATATCCTACCAACAGCTGCTACGAACGACGCGAAAGTTAACAACGGCGCGAAGGAAGAGACCAAGAAGCGTCAGAGAATAAACAACGGTCTTCTTCTAGTCCCAACACTACTATATCGTCGCGCTTTCTACAAGTACACCTGGGAACCGATACAGAAGATACGACAAACGAAGGAAATTGATAAGACTTTGGTCTCAATTGTCAATTTTGTGGAGGATAAATATGCGGAGCTCCAGTCTGTGCAGGTTGCTGTAAGCACATACTAAACGAGCTTCTTTGTACCACAAGACATGTTTCGTACAGCGCTGACAAACTAGGCATCTTTCTGTGGTTGTAGGGAGTACCTCAATGTATCCATGAATCCAACACACTCATATATACCCTGGTCTAACATCTCCAATCATAGGTGCAGCAATCTCCACTCTCCCATGGTGCAAAGAAGCAACCGCCCACTGGTCCGTTAGTGCACTCTAGTACAGCGCCCTAATCTGCACTATCACCGCGATCATTACAAGTATTCAAACGAAACCCATCCTTGACGGCTTACCAGATATGGAAAAGATCACCAAGATCGTGTTGAGTGCAGATGAGATTACACATATGCGACGAGCGATCCTACGGTATAGAGAAACGCCAGGCTATAATCATTGGTTCATGGTGTTCATTTAGCAATTCCCGAGCATGATGATGGCCAATGCTTGGGCTTTATATCTGTGTGGGCTCACAGTCTACGTCTGCACGCCTTGGGTCCGCAAGGAGGACTTTGGTGATGAGCAAAGGGTAAGGAGATCCCAATTGCGTCATCCATCTGCTTACCATCGAGCAGGTGGCCATCGTCTACCTATCCATCGCTATCTGCTGTCTCTTGGCTTACGCAGTCGCTACATTGTTCGTTCACAGTGGAGAGAGCAAATTGCTACACTCTGTAGCCAGCTCACCCACCAGCTCGGTCAAGGAATCGGATCTGAACTCTTCTCCCCCGGCCAACGGTCTGGAGACATCACAAACGGAGTCGGCGATTGTCAGGAATTTTCGCAAAGAGAAGAAAAGGCAGTTGATGTTCTAGCAACGTCGCGGAGTTGGTGGCCAAGGTCTGATGAAGAGCATACGAATCACTCCCGCGTGTAGTAGAGGTTCGTACGAATGGTAAGTAATAATTCTCGTCTACTAGGTGCTGTGGTACCATCGTAGATGGCTGTGCTCAGATGGCTCCCCAACCACCCAAGACTCCGAGCTTGCGTATCGCGCAGAATCGTTGAGGCATGATAATGAAGTGATCCACGGAGAAGCCGGCCCGTGTGCTCCAGTGCACTGTTTTGAGTGACATTTTAATGTCGTGTCTGAGGAAGTGCGATATCCAAGCAAACCGAATTCTGGTAAAATGTGTTTCACAGCAGCTGTGAAGATTACCCTGCATGAAAACGAAATTCGGATGACCCCAAGAGCATCCTCGAAGCTGCAGGGCTATACGAGTGCGGGATGCTGTAATGCGTGTGATCATGTGGATTGTAATAAGCTCAGTCTACGCGATTTGGTATTCTTTCTAACCTTGGACGCGGAACCCAAGGGTGACGAGAACCGGGTTCTTGGGTTGATGAACCACAGGAATGAACACAAGCTTGCAGCTGTTCCACAAGCAGTTTTCTTCGAGTCAGCATCGTGTGACGATATTCATCACCCGTGCGCCATACCGCTTAGCGGATTGGCAACCTGCCGATGGATCTGAGGCAGAGTTTATAGAGTGGACACTAGGTAGCCTGCGCAGTCACTGCACTCTTCATCGGTGTCTGGTATTTCTGCTCTCGAATTCGTAAAACCAAGCGGCTAATGTCGGCGACTTGGACGAGCTTGTTGGCTGGACGCACCTCCATAGGATCCTAGAGACAGTTGATCGAGCATGCGACTGAGGCCAATGCAGACGAAACAAATCGAGTTTGCACGTCAGACAAGCGCGTACGCATCCAGATGCAGTGCCTTTCTGCGGAGCCGTGGTGCGCCAGTGACTTGGCGCAGAGACCGATCCCGTTGCTTCCTAAAGAAGAGCATGCTGAGACTGGACTTCATGGATAAGCTGGCATACCAGGCATCGACTGTATAAGAGATCGATATTTGGAGAGGCACCGGCGAAAAAGGTTGCGGAGACAGCTGTAGGAGGTTTGTATTTGGCTAGTAGGTAGGCGTGAGCCGGGAACCGCTGGCCGTCCAGCGGGTAGGCTACTTGCGCAATCCCTAGTGGAAACAAATGGACTACTCCAAATAGTACACGGGTTTATTGTTTCAAGGCGTGACGTCGCAAGCATCTTGACTCAACACTGTTTCTGGAGACCACGGGGCGGGAGCAGGTATCCTGCCTCTTTCTCGGCCGGTGTTTCTGCCATAGGTGTCACCGTCTAGAGAGGCTGACTTCGGTGTGAAGGAGGTTGCAGTCGCCGACGGAGGCTTTTCGCTTGTGGTGGGTGAGACAAGAGGCTCAGGGTCCATGCAGGGTAAGATGACGTTAGTGCGCGTTAATAACCAAGACATTCATTACCAAAGCTGAGAGGGGGCGAGAACTTCGGTAGAATGATGAGCGTCGGACTTGCAACGTCGGCTCTCCTCACTTTAGATAACATAACTTGACGCGAAGGGAACAGGGGCTTTAGGCTGAAGAATGCAGATGGGGCGATCCACGCGACTGCCGGACGATCATTGGGTTTTGGAGCCGTCTCAAAATAGATTAGCCCATGTGCGGCACGACAAACGACACCATCAGCACCGATCACCCGTCACAACGCTGATGTTTCCAAGACGGCCTCGCCTCTCGGATGCATCGGCGAGCTCATCAACTCAGCCAGCATCATTTGAGCCTCTCGTGATCAATGAATGGCTCCAGGTTCTTCCTACGGCTGTCACAAAGTGTCACATATGCACGCAATCTGTGCCCGCTTACTTCATGCTGGTAGGATATCCGCAGAATGTCAGCTATCCAACCTTGACTGAGGAGTTTCTTGCTACTATCTCCGGAACGTCTGACGAGTCACTCACTTACGAGCAGCTAAGCCAGCGTAGTGATGCCACCTAGATGTGAATTGCATCGCCGATGATTACTCGTTAAGACTGCGGCTTGCAGCGATCGCCCTGGTACTTTCCTCAGGCTCTCCCTTATCATCTTGGTCTACAGCAAGCTAAACAAAAACGGCTGCGGAGGATTTCCAACCTATGCCTGGCTTGGCACTGATGTTGCAGACTCAGCACAGCCAGAAAACCCTTGGTCCTTGCAGGCCACTGAGGTCGTCAAACAAGCGAGAGCACTATTTACGATCATAGCCGTCAAGCTCGTTAGAGGCCATGATCCACTCTCACGGCTCTGACACGCAGCGTCCCGCGGCTGAGCACGGGATATCGGTACTCGAAACTCCTTTCCTTGTTAGAGAATATTGACACGAGCAGGCTTACATGCTCAGGCAGCGTCTGTCCCGATATGAGTCCCACAGTTTCTATATGTAGTGCTTCATGCACCCGCATCTCTCATTGAAGGCTGAACATCTTTTGTGACCCGAAATCCAGGTTATTGTCACGCTGGTAGTGATTCTTTTTTCTTATTACACAACTCACCAGTATGGGTCTTCCTTCAATATTATTAGCGGTAGCTGTGCTGGGCGCATATGCATTATACAAATACTGGGACTCTTCGTGTCGGCAACGAATACCAACAGGTCTCAAGCCTCTACCAGGGCCTAAAGGTATGGCACACTCTCCGTCGGTGGATCATTCAGACATAGCCTACAGCTAGACATTGAAGATCATACAAGTACTTTGGCTGACAACTATATGCTAGGCTACCCTATCCTTGGCTCAGTGCCTGAGGTACCAGAGAAGAATGGTTTCATCAAATTCGCAGATTGGGGCAAGCAATACGGGCCTATCTATCAATGCAACCTGGCTGGTCACAATCATGTCTGGATATCTAGTGACCAGATTGCCAAAGATCTGCTGTCGAAGAGAGCAGCCATCTACTCGGACCGACCACATATTCCGTCTTTGATAGACGATAACCGCTCAAGCGCCCAATATCTCCCGCTACTCAGTCGAAATGGTATGGAACACTCGTAATGCTTGTTGTTGCTGGTGCTGACGTTGAATAGAGGGCCATACTCGTCAAAGAAAGTTTGCAAACATCATCATGCGGGAATCGGAGAAGGCTGCGTTTCATCGATACCCTGAGATGGAATCAAAACGTATGTTGACCGAGCTGCTGGACGCACCGGATCAGTACAACCACATCCTCGAGTCCTTTATATCTCGTGTCACTTGTCGACTTGCTTGGGGTCACAGCGAAGGCAGCGATGAGCTGAAGCAACGCGCGCGCGAGCTTCTCATCGGTGTTTCACCTACCGGCTCTCTCAGCAACAAGCTTCCATTCCTCATGTCACTTCCCGACTGGCTCTCCCCACCCAAAGCCTGGGAAAGACGACGTGCGACCACTGAACGTACATGGTTCCAAACCATGCAAGAACAAGTGGTGAACGACATGCAGTCAGGACAAGCGGCTCCATCCTGGATGAAAACCTTCTTGAACGGTCGCAGCAAATGGGGCTTCAAATCTGACACCGAAGGCGCATATGCTGTAGGCATGCACGGTATCGCTGGAGCTCTTACTATCGCTGCTCCTATGCAGACCTTTTGCTTAGCCATGACACACTACCCACAGTTCTTGCCCATGCTTCATGAGGAGCTTGATCGTGTCTGTGGAGATCGAATGCCACGTTCAGAAGACCGACCCAACCTTCCTTTTCTACGAGCCATCATTCGCGAGTGCATTCGATGGCGCCCACCAGTCCCCACTGGTATCCCTCACTACCTGATTCAGGATGACGAGTACAACGGCTATCATATTCCCAAGGGTAGCACTATCCATCCTTTGGAGTGGTAAGTTACATCGAATCCTTGAATGAAGCCCAGAGAGACTAACAGACTTCCATAGGGCCATCTCCCGCGATCCTGATATATACCCCGACCCAGAAGCTTTCAACCCTCTGCGATGGATCAAACCAGAGTACCCCACCTACCAAGAACCTCTTACCCAGTATCCAACTATAATCAACTCGACACAATTCGGTTATGGTCGAAGGACGTGCACTGGTCAGGCTGTAGCTGACGAGGATCTGCTCATTGGCATTGGTGCCATTGCCTGGTTGTTCGACATCAAGAAGTTATCGGAAAACTCGACGATGCCGCCCATCACGAAGCCCATGAAGACAGAACACAAGATTGGCATGAACGAGAAGGCCTCCATCTCCAACGAGGAGCTCAACGCAGGTCTCGATACAACGGAGCCAACCATGGAAGGAAAGATACTCGCAAAGTTCACATATCCTGGATCCGATCCATCAAACAGCGCACCGAAGAAATCGAAATCGGCCGAGCCAGCGTACAAGCCCCTAGAATGGGGCGACATCACCAAAAAGCCTGAGGATCCGACACTCGACTACTCCATTCTACTCATCGCAAAACCAATACCCTTCAAATTCGATCTCAAGCCTCGTGACACTCTACGGATAAACACGGTGCGCAATCTATTCAACGAGGGCGTCGAGAACGGCGACTATCCCGAGACTCGGGAGTACTGGGGTCCAAACCAGGGACGAGGTTTACCTGTGGGCTGGAGTAAAGTGTGAGACACGTTGTTTGTGATCTGCACGCTCTGCAGATGCAGACTTGCTTACCCCAGTGCGCAGTTGGGGACCCGGTGCTGAGCCTGCAGCGCCGATCATGGGTATCTAACGGAAACGATAGTAATTCATTTGGAAAGAGATTTCGAGATACCAACAGCGGTTGAATTTACATGTTGCTCCTGCATGATTCAGGTGTTGGCGGTGTTATGGTGGTTGATATGGTATCATGATCTGGACGTTCTACAGCGCTTTTCCTTTGTATATCCGGTTACTCTAGTTAAATCATCAATACACATCTTGAACAGTAATCATCCTTGACACTACTTGCATGTGTTGACCGTAGCATGATCCTGAAAACGGTAAGAGGGTTCACAGCTGGCATTTGCTAAGAACAGAGAACAATGTGATAGCACGCTTTGATTGGATGAACCGCAGCACGCTACGACTTGCTTTTGTCGTAGTTCATTGAGTGCTGACCACCACCACGGATAGTTTCTCGGCTCGCACGGCGCCATAAGCTGAGCGTTGCTACTAGCGCGAACACAGTCTAGTCCACGCCTCGGGGGTAAGCATTGCACGCACGTGATGCTGCCAGAACTTAGCCACACTTGGGCACCATCCAGCCACAGCTCTGACATCACGTATCCTCGGACCGAACGGCCGCAACGCGACATCACCCTTCCACGAACATCATACTCGACATCTCAATGCGCCTAAGATAAGCCAGGTCAGCTCACTGCGAGCTTAAATCGCTCCAATCATGATCGGTCTCCAATTCACCGCGACGCGCACACAAATCGCATCGTACCTCTTTGGCGTCGCGCTCTTCAGCATCAGCTTCCTTGTCTTTCTCAATAGCTCTATATCCTTTGTTATCACACAGCGCATTGGCCAGTCGCGGAATGTCGGAGATGCGGTCGGTACGCTGGGGTTTGTGGATGAGTTGGTGGCGCTTGTTGCGTGTCCAGCATGGGGTCTGCTGAGTGATAGGGTGGGTGTGAGGAGTGTTGCGGTGATGGGGTATAGTATTGTGGGTGTCGCGTTGTGGGTTCTCGTGCAGGCGAAGAATGTTTATCCGCAATTGTTGCTTGCGAGGGTGCTGTTTAGCCTGGGCGGAAGCGCGACGTAAGTTTGAGTAACTGGGATGTTTAGGAATTAGACGCTGATGTCTGAACAGTGCGACTATGGTCACCGCGATTCTGCCCTCGATGACTATTGTCAAAGAAGTCAAATCTGACCCGCGATCGCCGACACAAAGTCGTGGTAGATCGCATGCGCCGGCTGCTTCGATATCGTCCGAACTTACTATCACGCCCGCGCGCTTCCGCTCGAACTCTCCGGAGGACCATACACAAGAGACGCCCGCGAAGAAGGACTCGGGCGCATCTACGTCACAACTTGCCGGGTTGGTGGGTATGTTTACAGGGTGCGGCGCCTTAGTCGCACTGTTCGTCTTCCTACCTCTGCCAACACAATTCCAAAACGCCGGCGAGCGTCCTGCGACAGCTGTGGCAGATGCTTTCTACGTTGTAGGAACTATCGCTTTTCTTGTGGCACTCGGCTGCTTCTTCGGTTTGCGCCAGTTACCTGGCGAAGAAGCGAAAGGCTGGAAACGCCTTACTAGCAAAGGCGACTACAAAGATGTAGACAGTCATCTGACACGCGACGTCGTGCTATCCTACCCACGCCTCTTCCTAGAAAGTGTCCGTCTAGGTTTCACTTCCCCAAATATTGGACTTGGCTACGTAGGCGGTTTCGTTGCGCGCGCATCTTCAGTTGCTATATCGCTCTTCATCCCTCTGTTCACGAACCACTACTTTCTACAGACCGGCCGCTGCAAAGTCGACTCCAACATCCCCTCTGACATCAAAGTCGCTTGTCCAGAAGCCTACAAACTTGCAGCCATGTTAACAGGCATCAGTCAGCTCGTAGCACTTATGTCCGCACCCCTCTTTGGCTACCTCTCCGGTCGATTCCCTCGCTACAACATCCCCTTGCTGGTAGCAGCTGTATCTGGAATAGTAGGCTACTCTGCATTCGGATCGCTTACGAGCCCAGACTATAAGAGCGAAGACGGCACAAGTGCGATCTTCTTCATCGTAGCGCTACTAGGCATCAGCCAAATCGGCGCTATCGTCTGCTCCCTCGCTTTACTTGGCCGTGGTATCAACAACGATGAGCACGCCTCCACATCCACTTCAGCATCTGTATCAGTGAACGGAACGACGTCCCATCCATCTGCAGGCGCTACACCACCACATAGCGCACCCATCACCCCCTTGGACGAAAACGCCCCTTTGCTTCCAGAGCACATACATTCCTCTCGCTCAGGCTCCGCGTCAAGACGAACAACATCGCATAACCATATCAAAGGCTCAATAGCAGGGACCTATAGTCTGCTGGGTGGCTTTGGTATCCTGCTATTGACTAAAGCGGGTGGTGCACTGTTTGATAGTAGGGGGCCCGGTGCGCCGTTCTACATGATGGCAGGGTTTAATGTACTGCTTCTTGTGGTTACGGTGATTGTTAGTGGGTTGCAGGGTGTGAGGAGGTGGAGGACGGTGGTGTGGGGGCCCTAGAGCGTGGTTTGTCTTCTCGGCATGTCTAAAGATTATGTATCGATGAGATTTGATAAGGCGTTGAATGACTTTTTCCATGGGGAGAGCAAGTATATACCCTCTTGCAATGATATCGGTATCTCAATGGTTTTCAGTAATCAGACACCACAAGTGAAGTCACGCAAGACTGTGTTGATTTGTTACAAACTCGAAAGTAGGTAAACTATAATTCTTCAGATCTGTACAACCATGCAGCAAAGTCGGATAGCATCGTATCCAAACTCTCTCCAAAACAAAAACATGGACGAATGCGTAAAAGTCCTGGGTATCCTATTCTACAAGCCAAATAAACTCAGGACCAAAGTCAAAGCCCAAAAAAAAATCACCTCATTCACCACCTGTCCAACCCGTCTTATCCAACACATCGCCCCAATTCAGTACATCAACCTTCTTCCTTGGCGGCAACGCGTCAGCAACACTCGGCCTACCAGCCAGACTCTGCGGCCATCGTTTATTGGGATCGACCTATACATACCTTAGCTTAACTCCTTTTCAAACGACTTATTTGGACTTTGGTCACCTCTTGTGGGCGTGGAACTCACATCAGTACTACCGGTCCAGGATGTGGTGCGTTGAAAACCGAAGTAGAAGTCGCGGTATTTGTCGCGGGTGCTGCCTTGATCATTGAATATGTCGGCTGTATCGGCGCTCGAGTTGGTAGCGTCAGATGGGGAAAGGTGAGTGCGAGTTTGGTGGGCAATCCGGGAGGCGGATGAGACACGCGTGATGGGGTTTGAATGCCGTGGTTCGGGTCGCGACGAGGAAGCGGATGAGGTGGGTCGGAGAAAGCTTTCATTGCGCATGCGTGGGTTTGTGGGGAGAGAGTGGCGTGGGCGAGACGAAGTGCTGATGATACGTTCATGTGTACGTTTCTTTGGCTGGCCGAAGGCGCCTGGGAGAGACTTCCTTGCATGCTTTGGCTTCTGGAGAGGCTGCGGTGGTTGTCTAGGTGTGTTGGTCTTTGCGCCACCAAGCTCCTCCAGTGCTCTTTGCAGTGTCTTTGTGTTCTGAATAATGCCCAGCGTATATAATGTATCGCGGATGTTGTCTTTGTAGAAGCGATAGTATGGCTCAGGGTCTTCTCCTTGATCGATACAGTCCATGGCATACTGGCTGTAGTCTGTCCTGTTGCGGATGATGAAGTCGTCCCACTGCCATTTCGGTACCATCTTGTCTTCTTGTTCCAGCTGATACATCTGGTTGCATTGATTTTCAAAATGCCTCTCATTGCCATTGTACTCTGGATACGCGGCTTTGAAAGACTGAAAGACGGTCATGTTGCTATCTTGATCTACCTTCTCGGACGATATTAATGATGATTGGACAGGTATCGGAACCGGACCACGTGTCTGAGTATCACGCGAATGAGCCTTGGACGGATTGTGTGTTTTTGGTGGTTGAGATGCTGGGCTTGTAGCGGGCTGTGCTCTTCTGGGACTGGGTTCGTCGTATAGACCTTGATGTCGAGGAGACATGCTAGGCGATAGCTCTTTTTTCGTTATTACATCAACACCGTCAAGATTCATAGCGTCCGAACATTGCTCAGCGGTAAGCTTGCTTGTAGGCTCATGTCGACTCTCAAAGCTTGTTGTGCTTGAGTTGCGTTGCGCCCGATATCTGCGCAAGGACTCCTCTCGATCTTTACGCAGTGTGCCTATCAGGTCGACGTCGGATGGAGCGTCGTTTCCAAAGCCGACAATCTTGATTTCTCGCCTTTTGGACTGCCGTCGGTTGTTCTTGGTCGGCGAAGCGACAAGCTTACGTTTGGTAGATTGTGAGGCGAGATGGGGTACCGTCGGTGATGCTTCTGAGTCACCATTCTTCGGAGGTAACTGCGCAGAATTTGGCGTTGCACGCGATGTAGATGTGGGCATACCCCCGCTATCTAGATCGTTCGGTGGCCGTTGTGTAACTATGATACCACGAGCGGTTTCTGTGTCTGGAACGTGGTCGGGCATCTCTATATCTCCGATACCGTCTGTGTTCGCATTGTTGGCCTTGTCATGGTGTACTTCAACTTCCCTGTGCTCGGCGCTTATATCTTGCTCATGTGTATCTAACAGATGTTCCTTGGCAGTTTCAACGTTTCCAAGGTCAGCGAGATCAGAAAGACTAGGCGTATCGTATGTACTGTGGACTATTGAGGTAGATGATGTGGGTTTCGAGTCGCCGCTTGAGTTCTGTGCTTTCTTGTGTACCGAGGCATTCTTGCTTTTGGCGTATGGAGTTTCCTTCACTTGAACTACCGGAGAGCGTAGAGAGACAGCATCTGAAAGCTTGTCGCTCGCTGATGGTGAGTGTGTTCGTTGTACAAGGTCTTCGCCCAAAGCTTGTGGGACAGACTCTTCCATTTCCATTTCCATTTCCTCGTCGAGATCAGCGGATGCAGCAGCAGCAGGTGGCGAAGAAGGGGGACCAACTGGCTCGTCATCATCCGAGATATCAATGACAGAAGGATGGCTGGACTGCTGGCCTCTGGGTCCTAGCTGCGATGGAGATTCGTGCTCCGAATGCGATGCTTGCTTCTCGATACTTGAGTCAGGAGGAAGTCCCTGAGGAGCTCCTGTTGGTCGTTCGGGTGGGTCTGGAGTTTGTTCCCAAGACATCTCGCTAGCTGTTTCTTCGTCTTCCTGCGTAGTCACGGGTTCATCATCTTGCGTCTTTTGAAGCCGAGATTCGGGCGATGGATCAAGGCTCTCTGGCGACGGATCTATGTCTGAGTCGTCATCGATATCAGTACCAGCTCTCTCATCAGCCATCAGGTGAATATTCTTGAGTATTGAGGCTGGCATATTTCCATCTTGGAAAGGCGGCACCCCAGGTGGAGGTTTCAGCCAACTAGCTTCTCTGCCCAGAATGTCCGCCTGAGTTCTCGGTACCTTCAACGTCTCGCTATTGAAGACAAACCCTTGCATCCAAGAGCACTCAGGTGGTTTATCACTGTTGCCCTCAATAAGACTTTGTTGAATATCGTGCTCTTCGACTTGAGTATCTTCGGCAGCTTTCTTAACCTCAGGCGAGATATACCTAACCTTTTTGACCCTCTCCTTTCCATGGTTCGGTATAGATGATGCAGCCTCTCCTTTCTCAACTTCTGCTTCGGGCTGCGTTGACTGTCGATGCGATGGATCTGACGGCGGTGTGGGAGATTCATCTGTGGTTGGCGGAGCAGTTCTTTGCGGCTTACTAAAAGCATACTGTACAAAACCTGGCGCGGAAGACGTGGCACTTGTGCTAGCGCTTGACATCTGATAACCTCTGACAAGGCTCAATAGTTTCATCCTCTTCTCATAGTCGGTATACGCAGCTCCTGGTCGTATTTCTGTTCGTTGCGTATTCCCAGCCATTACTGGCTCCAGCCGGTTCACTCCTAAGAATTGTGGCTCATCTTCGCTTGTACGCGGACGCGAGGGTTGTGGGATTTGTGTCCCAAATGGAAGTTGAGTGTCCTGCATCTGGGAGTGAAGGTTATTGCCATCCGGCATGTTGTCAGTCAGACCCATGGCATCCGCTGTGGTGCCGTCGCCTGCCCCTTCGTCTGTCTGCTCAGCAACAGATTTCAAGCACCGGCTATCTTCTAATGCGCGAATATGGCGTAGCTGCTCTAGCAAAGCGCCAATCTGCTCACAAGCGTGTAGTGATCTTAGACTTTCACTGTTCGGATTTTGTAACCGTTCGCAGCTCTCGCCTAGCCAATCAATTCGATTAAGTACCAAGCGTAGCCTTTCGCGCGGGGGTCCGTATGAAGTGAATCGGACGGTATATTTTCGGGCGGCTATGGTGATGCCTGTGGCTAGGTGCGACACAGCAGGGTGTCGTTGGAAAAAGTCTCGAGCGCAGTCGGGCGTGAAATGGGAGATGATTTGATTTTGGCCGTCAGTAAGCGTGAGAGGAGAGACCTGAGGTATTCAAAGTTAGGCGAGAGAACTAGAGGGGTGCATAATGACATGCCTTGAGGACCTGGAGTGCGCAGTTGCGCTCGGGGCCAACGTAATTGATAGTATCCAGGGACGAGCCGTTATCGTGGTAGGTGCTCCACTGTCTATCAATCTCCGGCCTGACACGATACTTTTTCTTCTCGTGTCTGTCCTGGAGCCATTGGTTGCCTAGCAATAGCTGTGACTCGAACGTGTCTTCAAGCCAAGCGCTGAGACGAATGGCCATAAAATGCGAGTTGGAGGCGCAAATGGGAGACGCGACGCGTCTGTTCCCGGCGAGACACGTGTAAATGGGAAACAGCAACAAGTCGTATGCGGGGTAGAGGAGACAACATGATAGAAGTCTATCCAAGGAGGGATAGCAGCTGGTGTTTCACTTGCCCAGCGCGTTTACCTCTTGTGCGACCTCCCACGGCGGCTGCATCTCGTGGCTGAGTGCTCCTATGCCGAGGAACGTAGGGCGGAGGTGTGGGAGGGCTTGAGGCGGAATTTCTTGGCGGCTGCGCGTCATCGCCCGCCGCCTATCTTGCATACCTAGCTAGCTGTATGCACCTCGTGATGCTTTAGCTGCCCGAATCGTCGAAGCCTACCATCGATGCCTGGAATCGTCTTTGCTGGTTTCATGAAGCTGCTCGTCTGGCCTCCCTCCCTGCCGGTCAAACAAGCAATACACGTGTAACGAAATTCTAGATATCCTCCACTCCACCTCGCTCGCTACCAGGCCATGATCCCTCGTGAAGCCTGATGCTGTCCTTCACTGACTATTGTCGGACGCCGCTCGGCTTCCAAATATCCGACACAATCCACTGCACTCGCAGGCTACCATTCCTCTGAAGGCAGCCATGTCTCGAGATTCACGGCGAGGGTCGCTGCAGCCGCCTTCGCTCTACCAAATGCATGCCACGGCATCACGCTCCGACACGCTTACCACCTTCGACGACTTCACTGTACCTCCAGCTCCGAGCTCGGTCGGCGAGCCCAAAGGGATAGATCTGGTACAAGGCGGCTTCAGCGGGCTGTATAGTCGCCTACGAGCGTCAGTAGGAGGCGTCAGAGAACAATCACAAGATGGCAAGAGTGGATCTTCATCAGCATCCAAGCCTGCGGCACTCAACCGTAGCCCCGCAGGGACTTCCATGTCTTCGCCTGTAGTCACGTCTAGACCGTCCTCGAGCATGCAATCACCAGCAACGGCCACCTTTCCCGACGCCCTGCCTCCCTCTCGCGATTCCAACATTTCTAGTACTACACTCTCAAGCAAGGCTTCGCTAAACGCATCCAAGGCTTCCTTAGGTACTACGCGATCTCGACCCTCAATTACCCCGAGCGTTGACACTGGGCATGTAGCCAAACATGACGACTCCTCCATCTTGAGCCCCGTGAGCACTCACTCCAGGCACCAGAGCATCTCCAATGCAGACCTGCCGAGGAGCAACACACCGAGAGACCCTGCACTAGGAAGCCAAAGGCTGAATTCCCCACATTTCCCCCCGAGCCGAGACAGCACTGCCCGAAAACGAAAGGGCGACTTTGACCTTGTCGGTCAGGAAAGTGACGATACAGATGAAGACGACATGGTACTTGTGAAAGGCGAAGGCCAAGTAGGTGACAGCGCCAACTTCAAGGCTGCATCAGACACACCGCGCGAAAGTCTGAGCAGGGTCAGCTCCCGAGCCGACAGCCAGTATCAACCAACCCGTTCTGCACCTAACAAGGCGAGGGAACAGCCTGAAAAGTCCCCAGAAAGGATTACACTTAGTCGCGCCGCTGATTCCCAGGCTACTATACACGCACCTGAGCCACAGCGGCCTCCTATGCTCCACGTCGGTCCTTCGCACCTCCCAGGCTACCGGCCTTCGAGGGCCTCTTCTTCCGACGGTCTGAGCTCCGTCGTCACAACTTCCACCATACGCACTCCCGCTGTAGCTCCCATTGAGGAGCTCCAGCGACAAGCACAAGCTGCCCCTGCTGTACACAACATGTCAAGAAGCACTTTCACTCAAATGCGAAGAAAGATTTTAGACCGCGAATTCTGGATGCGAGATGAGAATGCCAAAGCCTGTTTCAGCTGTGGTGATGCCTTTACTACCTTCAGACGTAAGCACCACTGTCGTACGTGCGGGCAAATCTTTGATTCCAAGTGCACTTCCATCGTGTCAGGCAAGATATTTGGACAACAAAGCAATTTGAAGGTCTGCAAACCATGTGAGGGTATCATATACGGCCACGACGATGATTCTTCCGACTACACAGATGAAGGTGACCAAGCTTCCATATACGACAACGGCGACAGAGCCCAGTACTCGGACGATGACGAGGCTGATCACGTTGAGAGTGATCACACGAAGATCGGAACACCTACCATCAGCATTCCCATGTCTCGGAAGGTAGGCAGTGAAAAGAAACGCCGGTCACATGTCATAGAGGTCGGTCCTCAGACTTTGGCCCGTCCAAGTTCTTCACGATCATTGCGGTCGATAGCCGGGCGACCTCGGTCGTCGAGCCACAAACGCCACGCTTCCAAACACCAACACATGCGCCATGTCAAGCATGACGATCGCGCACCCTTCCATCAGTATCACGACAACTCGCGTGGTCAACCGAGTTTGTCGGCTTTTCACCACGATAACATAATTGATCCTGATCTTGCGCCCTTCATGTCAGACGAGGGCTCGAGCGAAGAAGATCATGCCAGTATTTTCGCGACCCTAAGGGAAGATCCCGCAGCTGGCGCAAATTTGGACAGCGAGAGAGGTGGCTTGGGTGGTTTGTTGGCTGCGATGAGAAAGGGCAAGTCAAGAGCTGGTGACAGGGGTGTCATAGGCACGAGCCATGCTCGAGATGCAGATAACATTAGTATCACGAGCCGCAACGGAAATCGTCCGTCTCGACGAAGAAACCTGAGCGTAAGCAGTATAACTCACCGAGCCTCCCCGAGGCGGTCCAAGAGCAACACTCTGTTGAGGCCGTATACCGGCTACGGTGCTAGCGGACCAGGAACACCGCAACTTCAGCCATCTCCTTCGCCAACACCACCAGGGGGAAGAATCACCCGCAGCGCTTCAATGCAAGGCATGACACCCAAGGTCGAGCTCAACAAAGCCAGCCTGGATCATGCGCGAAAGCTGCTGATTCAGATGCTCAATGATGCTGGTGTCCCACACGCGTCAAGTTGGGAGAAGGCCTTGATCCCAATCTTGCGCCAATGTACAGACGATGTCAATCCTGACGTAGATAGAGGCGACGACATCGATGTGAGGAATTATATCAAACTCAAGAAGATTCCAGGTGGGAAACCAAAAGATACAGCGTACGTATCTGGGGTGGTCTTTACGAAGAACGTCGCCCTGCGGAGCATGCCACGCAATATACCTAATCCGAGGATTGCAATCATTACTTTTGCCATCGAGTATGCGCGACACCAAGCACACTTTATGAGTCTTGAACCTGTCATTGCGCAGGAGCGCGAGTATCTCCGTAATCTTGTCAGTCGTATCGCAGCTCTCGAACCTCATGTCTTGCTTGTACAGCGCAACGTGTCTGGCTTGGCACTCGAATTCCTGGAGAAGGAGGGAATTGCTGTGGTCTACAACGTCAAGCCCACAGTCCTCAATGCAGTTGCGCGATGCACCAACTCGAAAATGATTTCCTCAGTTGACAAGTTGGCGATAGACCCATCTCACCTGGGATCCTGCGGCAGCTTTGACGTCAAAACGTATGTGCACAGGAATGCAAGAAAGACTTACATCTTTCTCTCTGGATGTCAGAAAGAACTCGGTTGCACGATCGTTCTGCGAGGCGCCGAAAGCCATGATTTGGTCAGACTGAAACGTGTTACTGAATTCATGACATATGTTGTGTACAACCTCAGACTCGAAACTTGCCTAATGCGGGACGAGTTCATAGATACACCAACGGCTTCTATCACTGGAACCCTTGCCTCGAACCGTCACGATCAGGAAAGCTCACTATCCCAAACCGGTACAGGGGACTCCGTTTCTCAACCTACTAGCGCGTTGTCCAATGGCAATGACCCACAGTCTAATGATGCTGCGCCTTCTTATTACAGCGACATGGTCGAAAACCATCGCACCAAGATCCTTTCTTCTTCGCCTTTTGTCAAGTTCATGCAACCTTACTTGCTTGAACAGGCTCGCCAATACGAAGCAAAGCTCGGCCATCTAAAGAAACTCAAGAATCAGTATACTGCCCATGAGGATGACGAGAAACCTGGAGAAATTGGTCAAAAGTTCGAACTCGTGCAACCTGAGATGGTTCATACTGTCGTAGAAAAGGCTTCAAAGCAGGTTCGAGAGTTCCTGTCTGCAGTGCATGCATCGGAGTACGACAAAGCAATGCATCAGTATCTGACACAAAAGCGGCAATGGGAACAGTATCTGTCGGGTAACACTGATCTTTATGACCCTTTCAACCACCAGAAGATCGCTGTTCTATACAGTGTTGTCAATACTACAACATCAACACCATGCATTGGCCCGGAGATCATCGCGCTTGGCTTCTACCAAGAGCACGACTATGACGATGGCTTCACACCGGACTGCACTCTCGGACAATATGTAGAAGATCTGTGCACTTCAGCCAGCGTTGCGTGCGAGGTAGGCAATTGCGACCGAAGAATGCTCGATCATTCCCGGCAATACGTGCACGGAGAAGGTCAAATGACGGTTATCGTGCAGAAGCATCCGCCAAAATTGAAGGGCATGTACCAGACCATTCTCATGTGGAGTTGTTGCAGAATATGCGGCCAGGAGACGCAGGCATTCCCAATGTCCGAGTGGAGTTGGAGATACTCCTTCGCCAAGTATCTCGAGTTAACTTTCTGGAGTACCAAACTGCATCCACGAGCAGGCATATGTCCCCATGACATCCACAAGGAACACGTTCGCTACTTTGGTTATAACAATGTTGCTCTTCGTATCCAGTATGATCCCGTACCAATGTACGAGGTTATTGCTCCCAAACCGAACGTGACCTGGAAAGTGGACAGCGATCTCAGATTGAAGAACAGCCAATACATGATGATTGAAGAGAAGCTGGACTGCTTTATGGACTCGCTTCGCGGTCGCATCCAGGGGATACACGTTGAAGATGTCATACCGGAGAAGGTAGATGTGTGTCGAAAGGAAGTTGAGATACTTTTGAAACGCGCAAACGAAGAACATGAGTGGTTGAAGGCGAAACTCCAAGACAAGTACATGAACTCCAAGTACTACGAAATTATCCCCATGAACCGCGCTATCCGCGCGATTCAGGAGAAGGCTATTGCCTGGGATGTAACATTTTTGGAATTTGAGCAGCAATTCTTCCCATCCGAGCGAGACATTAGGAGGTACGCGAATATGCAACTTAAGAGATTTTTGGAGCGCGACGAGTCCACAAGTTCATTGGCATCTGTCGATGAGGGCACAGAATCGGGTGCTGATGATTCATACATCGACGAGAAAGACGAGCCGATTGCCCTGTCGCCTAGGCCCTCCAACATGTCGCCTGAGATGGCTCGCGATATGTTGAGTTCCGTTGTCAAAGAAGAGAGCGCAGCTAGCGATCAGTCTGTAGATGGTGGGGAGCAGACATCTGAGCCCAGGACGCCCACTCCTCCCAAACCTAACTTAGACTTAACAATTCAAACACCGCGCGAGGCATTAGAGCGCGAGGACGTCCGTCATCTGGATCTGGCAGTGCCTTCCAACTACCCGGATACCCCTACAGTCGCCAACGATGAACTGACCAAGACTCCCACTGTTGCTTCCGATCCAACCAAGTTCGACGAGGGGTCGCCCACACCTACTAGTCTCCCAAAGGTGAATCCTATCGATAAATCGCTTGCGGAAGCGATCGAAAATATGCCAAGTAGTCCATCTCCGTTGCCTTCAGCTTCGAATCCGACAGCAGAAAGCAAGATCCCGCGACTGGTTGAAACCAGTCGACGTGAGGCAGTGGCCAGGCCAACCTCACTCGTCAGGACACAGTCCCAGCCAGGAAATATCGCGAAGCACCTAGGTCCTTTCCCAGGCTCGACAGCGGTCAACAGTGGACCTACCAGCCCGAAACCGAACGCAAACGACTCTTCGAAAGCCTTTGAACGTATGACTGAACGACTTGGGCTTGGATTGACCACTCCGAAACAATCCAAATCCTCATCCCGGATACCTCGCTCGATTCCCTACAAGAGTCAAAATAAGGTATCGAAGATTGCACAGCATTTCGAACAGCTATCACGAGAGTTCCAGAATCAGCGTATGCGTGAGCGACGAAACGATCGAGCTAGGCAAGTGCGTGCATTCCCTCTCGCCTCCTCCAAACCGGTTGTCGAGGTGTACAAGAACGTCCATGACGCTGTACAAGAGAATGAGGATTCTGACGAAGATTTGCGTACTCCAACTCCTTCTCGGGCAAGTCTAGACAATAGCACACTTGGTGACAGTATCCTCACTGAGCGTACGGACGACACTACAACGGCATCCCAATCGCCGATCGAAGAGCGACATCCACAAGATACAATGGCCCAACTCCCCAGCAGCGATGAATCGCCCAAGTCTCCAAGTCAGTTCCCGTCAGATACAGAGAACGACATCAGTGATACAGAGATCACTCCCGAAGATATACCTCTACCAGAAAGCCTATCAGGTTCCAAACTTCTGGATTTGAGTGATTCACAGCTGGAAAACTCACTTGAGCTGCCCAAACACGAGAAGAACACACTGCTCAAGATTCTTACCAGCTTCTGGTCCGAACGCTCAGCGAGTGGGTGGACACCACTTGAGTATCCTTTCTCGCAGATTGAACACGTTTGGGAGAACTCCGATATCATTATCCGAGAAGACGAACCTAGCTCCATCATCGCATTGGCACTGTCGTGTCCCGATTACGTTGCCAAGCGGCAAGGCTTCCGCGATGACCACCCAGCAGGCGATGGTGTTATGGAGTCGTTTGAAGAATCAGTTGAACGCAACCTCTTGCATGAAGAAAACCACAACATCCGCTATAGTTTCACGAACCGCGGGGTCAAGGCACATTGCAAGATCTTCTACGCTCAGTCCTTTGATGCGCTGCGCCGCAAATGCGGTGTGGCAGAACGCTTTGTTGAGTCCCTATCTCGTTGTTCGAAGTGGGACTCCAAGGGCGGGAAGTCCAAATCCATCTTCCTGAAGACGCTCGATGACCGCTTCGTTCTCAAATCGCTCTCCCCAGTGGAGGTACAAGCATTCTTCAAGTTCGGCCCCAACTACTTTGCCTTCACACACCAAAACCTTTTCAAGTCACTACCCAGCGTCATCGCCAAGATGTTCGGTCTCTTCCAAGTCCAGATCAAGACACCCACGGGTCGAGACTTTGACTGGTACATGCTCGTTATGGAGAACTTGTTCTATGACCGCGAACCTAATCGCCGCTATGACTTGAAGGGCAGCATGCGTAACCGCAAAATTCAAGCTACAGGCGAACGCGATGAAGTTCTTCTTGACGAGAACCTCGTCGACATTATCTATTCCGAAACACCTATCTTCGTCCGTGAACACACGAAGAAACTGCTCAAAGCCAGCGTCTTCAACGACACACTCTTCCTGTCCCAAAACAATGTCATGGACTATTCTCTCATGGCGGGCTTTGACGACACCCAACGCGAGATCATCGTGGGCATTATCGATTGCATCCGTACTTATACATGGGACAAGAAACTAGAGAGTTGGATCAAGGACCGTGGCAAGAACAAGCCGACTATCACGTCGCCACGTGATTACCGAAACAGATTCAGAATTGCGATGGAGAAGTATATCCTTCAGGCGCCTAATTGCTGGCATCAGTTTAGTGGCAGACTTGTTGGTCAGAGTGTTGATGGAAGGAGGGCGTTGGTTGAGGGAAGGAGTAGCATGGAGGCTGGACATAAGAGGGGTGTTAGTGGTAGTAGCACGGCGGAATCGAGTATCGTGAGGGATATGGGACGCACATTGGCTTTCAGCGGTGAAGGTCGTAATGCTCGGAGAGCTTAATTGATGTCAAATTGATATGAGTATGATTTAGTTGGGTAGCATAGCGTTGACGAAGAGGTTGCGATTCCGATCATACTTTAGGTTACAAGCTTAATTAGCGAGGACATCAATCCAAACCGCAGTACAATGATTGTGTATCACTATCTCTATCTATCACCTTTCCTCAACCCCTCACCCAAAACCCCCACAACTCCCTCCACATCCCCCATCCCTTCCTTCCCCTCCCTCTCCACTACATCAGCCAACCCCTGAAACACGCCCGCAATCTCCCTGAAAACCTTCGCATCACCCTTCCACCCACCCTCCTCCTCGAAACACTCCCCAATCTGATTCATCTCCTCCACCCACCGATACGCCTTCCCCGTACATCCGACGACACTCTTTTCCGCCTTCTGCCTCGCACCGAGGTTATACAAATCCATGTACTCAAGTAGTGGGCTCAGTACCCCAAGTGAAGATGCAGTAGTAAAAGACTGTAGAGCCAGTGCCGTAAAACCTTTTGACAACGCAGCGAAACAGCATTTCAAACCTGATGCTGTACCGATTTCTGAACCGAGATACTGTGTATTCAGCACTTCTGCTAGATGGGCACCGGATATGGGTGCCGAGTGAAGAGGATGGGGGCCAGATAAAGGGACACCAGGTCTCTGCCACCCACTTTCTCCCGATTCAGATGATTCAGATGATGATGATTGTGAGGGCGGTCCGCCGATGATGCCGCCATCGATGAAACGAAGTAATCTTGCATTTTGAGAAAAGGATGTTGCGATTGCCTTTGTGGTTGTCGGACTTGTGGCGTTGAGATCAAGATAATACAAGTCCTCTCTTCCCTCCCGGTTCGCTTTCGCCAAAGCAACTTCCACACGTTTCGCGGTTGCGACTGCGTCGCGCGGTGGTACGATACTTAGGATGTAATCTGCTTGAGCGACTAACTCTTCATCCGTCTCGAATAATTCAATACCAGCGGATTCAGCGCGCGATTTTGTTGCGGTGCTACGGGATGAGATGTTGGTTGTTATGTGGTAGTTGTGTGACTTGAGGAGTTGGGCGATGCCGAGGCCCATTTGGCCGATTGAGAGGACGGCTATTGTAGCGTGAGGTTTAGACATTTTGGTAGATGTGTTGAATTTTTGTGGTGTAGTATGATGTGATGTGTTGTGTTACTATGATGACGATGGTGAAGTGGGGGTATGTATGGTGGGGTGAACGTGAACGTGAACGGGAGCTTTAACGCAGAGCGGTTACAGTGTCCGTGCACCCAACGCCCGGAGTCACTGAACGCCCGGCACGCAACATCTACACAGTATTTCAACGCGTAACAACTCAACAACCATGCCAGGCCTGCAAGATGCGCTTGCAGAGATTCGTAATTTAGACACAGGCGATAAACTTGTCTATACAAATATTGCTCAAAAACACGGTGTTTCGCGCACAACGTTGTCCCGCGCGCACCGCAGTGTGCAGGTCCCTCAGGGCGTCGCTGACCCAAACCAACGAAAGCTCACCCCACAACAAGAAGCAGACCTTGTGCAGTATATAGAAACACTGTCAGCGCGTCACTTGCCACCTACGAGAGCTATGGTACAAAATTTCGCGTCTAAAGTAGCCCAGGATCCTTGCTCTAATAGCTAGGTTACACGCTTCCTGCACCGTCACCGCGACCGACTCACCTGCCACTGGGCGACGGGTATAGACTCCAATCGCCATAACGCTGAGTCTGGATATAAGTATAAGCTTTACGTTGACCTACTGCAGCAGAAGATCACTGAGTATGACGTTGAGCCAGAGAATACGTACAATATGGATGAGAAGGGCTTCGCAATTGGGGTACTTGGAAGGTCGAAGCGCATCTTCAGTAGGCGTCAATATGAGAAGAAGGAGGTTAGGCAGGCTCGTCAAGATGGCTCACGTGAGTGGGTGAGCTTGTTGGCTACAATCTGCGCAGATGGTACTGCTCTGCCTCCTGGCATCATATTCGCATCAAAAAACTCCACAATCCAGAGCCATTGGGTGGCCGATATTGAGGCAGGAACACACCCAATTCACGTGGCTTCTTCGCCTACTGGCTGGACAAATAATGATATTGGATTGGCTTGGCTTGAACAGGTATTTAACCGCTATACAAAGCCAAAGGCGCGCGAAGTTACAGGCTTTTGATAGTAGATGGCCACGGGAGTCACCTAACGCAGGACTTCATTGACTACTGCGATCAAAATCGAATTATACTCGCTGTGTTGCCACCTCATAGTACACAGACGCTGCAGCCGTTGGATGTAGTCTGCTTCAAGCCACTCTCCTCCGCCTACGCCTCCGAGCTCGATGACTACCTCCAGAAGTCTCAAGGCCTATCGCCATTGACGAAAGGTGACTTCTTCCACCTATTCTGGCCTGCCTGGGTGCACACATTTAAGGAAGAGCTTATACAAAACGCCTTCACTGCCACAGGGATAAGCCCGATGAACCCTGACGTTATACTGGATAGATTCCGCCACGCAACACCTAGCGACTCAGGCTCAGTTTCTTCTAGTTCTACAGCCTATTCTGCAGAGGATTGGCTTAGAGCTTGCACTACACTGCATGCAGAGGTGAAGGATCCTCGCAGTGCAGGTGCACGGAAGCTTGGCCAAACTATCCACCACCTATCGACACAGGTAGAGCTCCTTCACAACGAACTAGAAGGCTTGCGGCAGAAGCTATACCTAAAACAGAAGCGTCAGAAGCAACCTAGCAGGCAATTAGACTTGCAACAGCACCAGGAGTATCACGGCGGGGCGATGGTGTGGTCTCCTCGAGCTATTCAAGAGGCGCGCGTCCGCATGGCAGTTACTGAGCAAGAGAAGGAGGAAGAAGAGCTAAGAAAGGCAGAGATAAAGGAGTTAGCAGCTGCTAATAAGCTATACAAGGAGAAGATTAAGGAAGAGAAGCGTCAAAAGCGGGCGAGGGAGAAGGAAGAGCGTGCAAAGGTTAAGGCAGAGGAACGCCGAGCAATAGACGCGCGGAAGGCTGCCAGAGCCGCTGCTAAACAGGCTCGCGACTCTGCAAAAGGTATACAACAGTCCCAAAGAGGCAAATCTACAACCTCAAAAGCTTCTGTAGTCAAACCAAAGCCTGCGCGTCGTGCTGTAGGTGCTCGTAGTCGCCCGAAGCCTGCGACGCCTCCTCCGCCCGTGCGAACCCACACTACACGTAGCGGCCGCACCGCCACCTTATATAAATAATATATATAGAGGAACTTGATCGCATATGTCTATAGAGTACTCCACCAAAGACTTTCGTAGTAATAACTATTGTACGTGGCTCTGTAGCCTCATCTCTGTGATGGGCTTCAAGGCTCGGAGCGGGCGTCCGGTGACTCCGGGCGTTGGGTGCACGGACACTGTAGTTGAGTGTGGGGGTCTCGTTCAGAGTTCAGGACATGGTTGCGCCCAGATTCAACGATTTTCGGCAGGACAGTGTTGGATGTGCATTGCTAGACTTGCTGTGATTTATCAATATTTTTTGTTGTTCTTTCTCGGACATCCTCTACCACTGCATTCTCAGCGTCCTTCCCCAACCTTCCGATTCTCAAAATGGCTTGAGCAGGTTCAAATCGTGAGTCTGAACTTGATACCCATCAGCCTGGTAGCCGCTGGTGAAGTAAGATGCCGCTTGAGCGTTCCCCTTCATGGTCCACAACATCCAATTGAGAATAGCTTTGCCGAAACGCCCACCATCCGCATCGCCAAGTGTACCACCATGACCAACTGGAATGTTACCCTTCCAAGAGGGAACACCAGCTGCAAGATTCTTGAAGTCGCGCTCACCCTATAGTCTACGTTAGTCTGTCCGTTGGCAACGAAAATGGGTAAATGTGGCAAAACTCACATTCTGGAACGCGATATCGCCCGAGCCGCCCAGTACAAAAAGCACCGGCTTCCTCCAGTCCCTGGCCGCGCTGGTGTTTGACAGCAAGCCTGAACTGATTACCCCAATGGTGTCCACACGGCTATCCCAGATATTGTCGATGGCCTCAACACCACCGCATGAAAAGCCCGCAGCCATGATTTTGCTCGCGTCGACATTAGCATACGCTCCCTTGCCAGCGTTGTTGGTCACCCAATCAATAGCCTGTTTCATGGTCTGCGCATTGGAACTACCTCCGCCATTGGGACCGCCCTCAGCGATGGCCAAGAAGCCGTAGCTTGCAATGTTCTGCAAAAGAGCGGAGTTCGACCGGCCGTCAGTACTGCACGCGCCGTTGCCCCAGACGAGTACGGGGAGTTTCTCCGAACCCGTGTTTTTGGTTGGGTAGTAGATTGTGTGGCCTTGAAGGGAGTTGTCGGTTTTGTACGTGCCGGGAGCATAGGGGCCTGCTCCGCTACCTTGCTGTCGAGCCTCTACATTGAGCGGCGATGCGACACTGGTGTCGAGAATCACTGCCGCAATGGCGAGGGTGAATGTGTACTTCATGGCTATTCAAGATGCGATCGGATCGGGTAGGATGCGAATTGAATCAGTGAGCGGTGCCGATAACTGCGTCAAGCGTAGAGCGTCTTATATACTCAAAAAGGTCCTTGTTGTGCTAACAAGCCTATGCCCATTTCTTTCCACCTCATCTTGGCTGATGAAAGCATACTCTCTCACACCTGCAACCTTTTTGATTGCGAGGGGATAAAATCATCGCGCCGACTGCCAATGAGTGCTGCGCATGTATACTCTGTCGGGCCTTTATCGTCTGGGATGACACCTGAACCTGGTGGGCCGCATCATATACATCCGGGGTTGCAAAGTCACACAAGCACTCTTCTAGTAAGTAACTATGCGCTAATTGGACGCGAGTGTTCCAGCTTAATATGTAGTGGGTGGACAAAAGTCTTGGCCGGTGGTTAAGCTTGCTAGCTAGTAGCCGGATGAGATCTTCGGGAGTGAAACGCAAGATCGATTGCGGGGAATCACATCGCGTATCGATACTTTAATCTCGACTGTTGCGTAGGCACAAGCATTGATTTTAGGCGGGGCGATTTCAGGTATACTCTGTTCATATAGGAAGTAAAGAGCTTGATGAGCTTGTGTTTGGTTGTTACGTCATGGTGGTAGTATGTGTTAGCGGATATCGTGAATACCGGATAGCAACATGCGATGTGCTCATGTTCAAGAGAGTGATACGGCCACCGAGAAAGCGAAGAGATAAGAAATGTATTCGTTGACGGCCATGAAGTTGCGATTAGTATCGATCCCTTTACCAAGTTGGACATCGAAGCATCGTAACTGATCCGTTCTCGGCCGCCGCTAAATCTAAGATCTCATCTATCTCGACCTTCAGGCTCTCAAGCCTCGCGGATATATGCATGAGCATAGCACACCGCTGCTGTAACGAAACACGAGGGTTATGATGGTGGTCTCATCAGATGACCAATTTGCCTCCCGATCGATAGGTGTGAGCGAACCTACGCGACACCTGGGGTGAATGCGCCATACTCCCAACCATTGAATGTTGTTTTTCCTTGGACACAAACAGCTGTCCTGATTCACGTCATCCCAAGCTCTTCTCCATTTATTTAGACTATTGTCTGACCGCGACATAGTCTACTTCTGCGGACAATATTCATCAACCGCCCTGTGCTCGCAATCTCTGCCACCATGCTGCCAGCACTGACTGTCCCAGCCACTGATAGTGCTAAACCAACTGTAGAAACACTGATCGATGTATTTCGTCTCATTCTCGCAGTGAAACAGACAGCGCGGGCAATATTCCTTATACCCACCAGCTTCAGCCTCGCAAATCTCCAGAAGTGTCGTCGGAGTAGGAGTAGGTGTTTGGCTAGTGCTCGTTACGAAGCTACTGGTCGGAGATGGTGTTGGAGGTATACCCCAGTTCTGTTCGATACAGTATGAATTCCCCAGTATGAGTTTGCAGCCATCAACTAAACTTGGGTTCTGTTGAATGCGTTAGTGTGAGCAGAGTGGTTCTTGCAACGTTCTAGTCATACGTATGTTGTCAGTTGCGCCTCCGTGATATACCAATCTGTACTTATACTGGCGCAGGTGTCGTTCGCTACGGCCACATGCCACCACGTGCAGTCCACGATGGTATCTGGCGATGTGGTGGTCGGAGGGTCGACTTGATATGCTCCACTGAGCAATGGTAACAGGGCGAGACTGAGGACGAACAAAGCTATCATGGTGCTAGCCTTTCAAGATATGAGATGTAATTTCTGCTGCTGGGAGAGCGATAGTATTCAGCCAGAAGTGTGGATGATCAGACCGCTTTATACCATTGAGCGGCCTGCTCACAGAGTTGGTGGCGCTGTACGCAAGAAGCAAGCTGCCCGTGCGATAGATTAGCTATCAAACCCATGCCAGGCTGCCACAGAGGCTGATGAACAAGGGCTTTGAAGATATCGTACAAACACTCGCTTCTCAGGGGAAAGGGCTGAGAGCTTGCTCAACGAGGGAATTAGCTGCCTGGAAGGAGCAAGAAGCTCATAGGGTCAGATTCCCTTGGGCGCCTGATGGACGGAAAGATACCAGTTCTAGACAAGGCAAGTAGACCGTGCCTGCAGAGCTTGAGCTCGTACGGCAACGAGAGTTGATATGTTGGGGACCACGGGGCATGTATCCGGAAAGCCGACGATGGTCTTCACAACTGTGCCCGTGCGTACAAACAGCCTGTTCTCGCCGTCCCGCACGATAATCTACAACATGGCATGTATTTGCGCAAACACGTGTGGTGTTACAGTAAGAACCGGGCAGTAGCTTCTTAGCCCTATCGCTTCTATCTCGTCTGCCGCAACCCTGTAGCAGCGCTTTTGGGCTTTGGCCCGCGCTTAGGCGATGCAGGTGCGTATGCGTTTAGAACAGCACTAGCTTGAAGGTAAAGTTACTAGCATGATCGCTTACTAACGTAAATAATCAACTTAAATATCTTTGCGTTAAAGGCAGTATGGTTCTTACAGTTGGCGATGCGAGTGGTTTTGAGTTCGCAAGACTACGTCTACACGCGATTTCGAATTGGTAATACTGCAAGTCTTTCTTTGTACTTTAAGAATCTTGGGTTCTGATATCGCTTCCCCTAACTTTGTTGTGACAAGTTCTCCTAGCTGTTTCTGTTTTATACATAGAAAGAACGATAAGCGTCTACTAAATGTCCAGAGTTACAAGATGGATGTATGAAATCACACTCAGTTTGCGAGTACAACGATGCTAGTAAGTTCTAGGAAAGCATCGTGGAGCCTTTGAGGCAGAACAACAATCACGTTCTAACAAGGGACAAGTATGGAATGCGCATCATGATAAGTCGGCATTTGCAAAAATGCCGACGAGCAGGCAGCAGAGCACAACTGTGTGGAGGCCCAGCGACATCTATTTTTAGCGAGCAACTAACGCGGCCCCATCAGCCTTCTCCCCCTCATTCTCTCCGCCCAACACGTTCTCACAGCAACAGATATGCAAAACAGAGAGAACATAGGCATAGTCACGACTACACTAACGAAACTGATTGACTACTCGAGATCTCAGGTGCACTCTTTGTTGTCGACCCAAGACAAGATCCCCCTGTCCGCTCAGCCTCAGTGAGGTCATCATTTTCCTAGTGTATGATCCCACACTGTTACCTTCTGCACAACCTTCCTCATACATTGAGACGGATCCGGAAAATCCAGTCATGAAAGGCCGATTCGAATACCAGAAGCTCTCTCGTGATGGACGCGAGATAAGACTCCTCGAGCTGCTCCCAAGCAGTCACCATTTGAGCAAAATCCGACCCGCATGTCGGACTTTCCATACTAGTCTTGATAGTGGTCGGCCATTCTTGGCATTATCATACGTTTGGGGAGATGAGAATAACAAAAGAGTTATAATAGTGGATAAACGTCCATTCCGGGTTACGCGCAACTTGTTTGATGCGATGATGGGCTTGCGAGAAACAGAGAGTTTGATCGTATGGATTGATGCTATCTGTATCAATCAATTGGACGATGAAGAGAAGGGCTGGCAGGTCGGACTCATGGGCGATGTCTATAAAAAGGCATTTGCAGTCCTCGCTTGGCTTGGAGCACCAGCTGACCATAGTGATGCTGTGATCGACCATCTGAACATATTGGGAGAACAGGCTGAAGCTTGTGGACTGCATAATGGACCTGAAGGGTGCATGCGAATCTGGCAGGCAATTACAACAACGCCTTCATACATGGACGACCCTGCCAAGATCGTCTTACTGGATTCGCTTGACGAGCAGTCATTACTGGTGTCCAAGTATGCCCTGGGGTGCCTTTTGCATTATGTCAGTGATTGGGGGTCGCAGAATCAAGTACTTCGTGCGGCCGCTTTGAATAGTCTTTTTCGACGGGCATGGTGGGGTCGTGTTTGGGTTTTGCAGGAAATCGCCCTTCCAGAACATGCTTACTTCGTTTGCGGAACGAAACGGATTTCTCGTCGCAGATTTCGAGCTGCTTTCAATGCATACTACGCTTTGCGTCACATATTGGCGTTGAAGATACAGCGACAGCAAGCTTTGACACTTTATGAAAAGAAGATCTTTTTCACGGCATCACACAGGGCTTTCGTCATGCTTTTAATGTCTCATGTGTTTCGGATAGAAAAATTTCCATTGGTGGCATTGCTTCGTGCAACTTGCGTTGGAAGTGTCCACCTTCTTCAACAAGAGGGCTACCAGCATCTCGAGTCCACGAATCCACGAGATAAGATATTTGCTCTCTTAGGTCTTGCAGGGGACCAAAAAGAGCTTGAGGCATTAGGTCTTTTTCCGGACTACCTGAAGTCCAAAGAAGAAGTATACATGGCAACCATGGTTGCTCTGCTAAAGCAAAACCATATCTCGATGCTGTCAATTTGCCGCGCCTCTGGAATACGAAGTATACTACCTTCGTGGGTACCGGACTGGTCTACGCCTAATCCACAAACCCTACAAGATGTGAAACCGGACCACCTCACTCTCTACCCAGCATTCAGTGCGTCCGGGTTGGAACGTCAATGTCAAGTCGTTGTTTGCAAAGAAGACCAAGGAACTGCCAGAGTATCTCTCCGAGCTACCATCTACGACAAAGTTCTCGAAGTGGGCGATGTTCCCAGAGTACCTGGTACGGGGACCTGTATACTTTCAGTCCATTGGCTATACGAAATTTTACGGCTTACGTACGTTGCCAGGGATATCTACAAGGATTTCAATGAGCGCTTGCATGCAGTAGTCAGGACCTCACATGCAGCTACTGGATATGGGGATGATGCGGATCTGAAGAGAGTTGATCGGTATTTTGATGCTTTACCCATCCTCGAGGATGGAATCGACCTCGTTTCCCGACAGGACATGAAACAAGGCCTTGAGCGTTTCTTCGCTAGTAAGAAGGGAAAAGACGGGCTCAAGCTCATACGAGGAGATCCGTGTAAACTTGACCGAGAATTCATGAGACTCACTGGGGAACGATCACCTTTTGTCACTATGAAAGGACACCTAGGCCTGACCTCTCGGTGTGTCCAATATGGAGATATCATCGCCGTGATTGGTGGAGCACAGGTTCCATTTATTCTTCGATGGTGTGACAACAGAAAGTACAAGATCGTTAGTGAAGCGTACGTGGACGGAATTATGGATGGAGAGGTGGCAGCAAGTAGCGAATGGGAACGTATCGAGTTGGTGTAATAGTATACATCATAAGCTATTTATCGAAGACCAATACCAATACGTACAAATGGCTACTCAGATTTGAAGCAGAATAGCTTATCATCATCTCTGATTACTGTTCTATATAGTGCTATACGATCATGTGCTATCATGATTTTAGCGGAGTTATAGCAGATTCTCGCTATCTAATTGAAGTGGCTACTTGCTTATAGAGTATTTTATAGCTTTATTCTCATTTAATCTTTATCCATTAGAGCGGCGCATTGTGTGTACTGCCACGGTCGCCTCGTTTCCAGCCGGGAGACTTTTGGCATTAAGAAGATGCAACAACCAGGAATCACACCGACCTGATGCAGTAACAAGCTAACAATAACAAGCAGAGAGAGTGGTAGGATTCATCAGCATGTCGCAATATCGCGATCCACCTTTCTAAACCGCAACACTCCGTGCCCTGTCCGCCCCCTTTCAAATCAACAACGCCGCAGCAAAACTAGCGAACCAGGATACTGCGTTCAGAAAGCTGAACGCCTGTGCATTATTCCACTTGCTGTAAAGGCTATTCCTCAAACTCATTTCATTCCAAGCCCATATGCTGCCACAAGACATAGCATTTTGGTACCAATCTTGCAGCAACCCGAACACAGCGAACCACGCGCTGCAGAGAAGAACGTCACCGATTACATTCACAATGTGTGAAGTGATGGGGAGAATCCAGGTCAGGGAAGCAATGAGCGATATGATGGCTATGACCACGCTGTAAGCGAGGCGGCCGTACGAGTCATTGTAATACTGGTGCTGTTGGTGGTGCAGGAGGTAAGATGCTTGGACTAAAACTACTGCCACGCAGACGAATTGCGCGAAGTATAGGGTAATGGAGGTGAGACGGGGGATGATCATTCTACTGCCACACAGAATTGTTGGGTTTGAGCTGTTCGATTGTAGGTATACATCCAGGCTCGAGGTGACGGGTAGACAGCAAGATTGGTGGAGGTGTGATGAGTCCAAGGCTCTCGGATGAGGTTTCTGCGTCGTTTCTTGCTTGCGTCCTAGATACTGTGCACTTTGTTTGATTCCGGGTTAATTCAATGTCCAAACGATCGCATAGATCTTCCATTAGTTGTGAAAAATGAACGTATGATGAGGCTGATGCAATCGCTATTAATCACGTAGCTACAAACTAACAGCTTCTGTTTGACAATTGTGATCACGAACGTGTTATTGAACTACCAACACAACATCATGCCCAAGACCGATCATCATTCCAACGCGTCATAAATGCCCTTCTCCGCCATGAACCACGCAGGAATAACTTTGGGATCTCCGTTCGGCAAAACCTGCGATGCGAGCATGCCCGCAACTCCCTTCTCCCTGTCCACCCACCAGAAGCAGTTGCACAGGCCCATCCACCACAGCGTGTTCGCCCCACGACCGGATGAACCAGGCTCGATGGTGATAAAACCACCAAAGCCCCATCCTTGAGGAGGGTTGCCAGGCTGAGGATACATATCCGCCGATTGATTGACCAGCAAGGGGTTCGCGGGTGGAACGTTGGAGCGCGCAAAATCGGGCTGAGATGGAATTTGGTTCTCCCACAAGAGATCTACCGACTCCTTCTTGAGGATGCGGTTTTGTGTTTGTGGATTTGTTCCGTCGTTCAACAGAGCAGCAAGGATCTTAACATATTCGCTCGGCCTTGACCAGAGTCCTGCGCCGCCAGATTGCAGGAAATCCTTTTGGTTTTCTTTGGCGCAGGAAAGAGGACCGTTATAGAGATGTTCTTTTTCCTTGAGTGTACCGTCGGTCTCACGTTGGTGCATGTGTGCCAAATTCTTTTGAGCATCCTTGGAGGGAAACATGGATGCGCCTTCTGTGGCGATGCCTACAGGCGTGAAGATGTGCTCTTGGAAGTACTCTCCTAATGTCTGACCGGTGACGCGTTCCAGGACAATGCCCGCCCAGTCCAAGTTGATACCATATTCCCACATGCTACCTGGCTGGTTCACCATCTTCGCGTCGAGAATATCCCGCTTGTCGCCACTGCTCCCTTCGATGCCGTCCGCTTGGAGCCTCGGATCAGCGAATCGGTAGCCAAATCCTGCTGTATGGCTTAATAGCATGCGCATCGTAACACCCTTCTCTTGCTCAACGCCGTTAACACCATCGGCATACACCTTCTTGTCAGATAGTTCCGGCACAGTTTTCTTGATGAACTCAGCATCATCCAAAGGGATCTTGCCCTGCTCAACAAGCTGCAACAAAGCAATAGCAGTGACGAGTTTCGTACAAGAGGCAATCCAGAAGATAGTACTTTGAGAGTCTATGGGCTGATTAGAATCTACCCCCAGCGTACCTGAAGCATGTTCGACTAGTGTTTTGCCCGATTTGTCGATGGCGTGGAAGGCGAGACCAGGTGAGCCATCCTTGACGAAGTGGTCTAATGTGCCCTTGATACCTTCGACAGCCTTAGTGGAAAGGGGCATGATGGGAGGTGTTGCTTAAACAATTACGTGGGAGATGGAATACAGAGGCCTGTAGGTATGGTTCGCATTTCTCTTATAAGAGATTGTACAATGTACCGAGGGTAACAACTTCCCGCTTTCAGACATGCTATGCTACATTCAGACAAGAGTAGGCGAGGTGCACGGCTGGTTGTGCGAGAAGAATGCGAAAGTCACGCGAAAGACCAATGGGAGGTGATGGGCACGAATAACCGAGCAGGGCGAAGCCTCAAAACACCATCTTGTTGATATTGAACCTATCAGTCGTACATGCCGTCATGGTGGAAGACCCTCGCCCAACCGCGCTACCCCGCAGCGGGGTATCAAGTGGGTTGTTCGTACGGTAGTGCAAATGCGAGGCTGATAATAGCCGCTAAGAACACCCGTCCGCTGTAATATTACACGGCTAAGACTTATGAGCCAGCTCATGTGTTGGTCCATGGAGACAATATCGTCTTGTTGCAGCTTGAACATACTTCACCTCGTGTGTTCATCATTCGCATATGATTCGATATAGTCGAAATCTGGAGATGCAGACGAGTGTCTGTATGAGCTCCAAAGTACACTGGAGCTAGACAATGTGATGAGGCGTTCAGCCTCGCTTTAGTGCTGACTTCAGCTCTTTCAGGGCAGCCATGACCAGAGGAACAGCAACAGGTCCTAGTAAGGGTAAGTACACAGCGACCTTGTGCTCATCGGGAAAGTAGACCTGGCCGACCATGGAACGCTCGAAGAAAGCCTTCTCAGCCTCCACCTCAGCGGCGCGGGCATGTTCTAGGGCGCTCGGGAAGCGGCCATCTCGAAGGTAGTCGCAAGCTTGTTGCAAATGTACAATAGTTTCTTGCGTAGAATGGGCGACATTATCCGGGACTGGAATAGAAGGAAGCTTTTGATACACTTGAGCTAGAGCTCCCAACGTAGAAGATGCCGAGAAAATGAGTGATGCAGCTCGGACGCGTTCGAGTGTCGAGATGCGGAGGGGCAATGAAGCTGGGTTCTGCGGCAGGCCAAACAACGAGATGAGCTGATTCGAGAAGGTGTGCATTGCCGGAGCAAGCATCTCAGCAGTCAACGCAGGCGGCGTGTTTGCCTCGCCCTCCAAGTTGAGGATGTGCACACCACCCCATTGCGGGATCAGCCAGCTGTTTCCAGCGTTCTCCTTGACTAGGAGTGGAGACTGCGTGTGGTCCGGTACATATAGGATGAAGTTAACTGTCGGGCCCTCACCAATACTGGGACTGAGGGGCCACTCAGCAGCGTTCACGAATCCACTAAGATCCTCCTTACGAAGGGTCCATGCTTTTGTATCTTCATTGTATTCTGGCTGGCGAACGGAAGGGGCAAAGGTCGCGTAGAGCTGTACTTGGGTGTCCACGGTGAAGTTGCTGATGGCCGAAAAAGCGTCAAGAAGAGGGCTCATGTAGGTTTGGAGTGCAGTCTCGATGTCCCACTGGGAAGGGGCATATGAAGGGCTAAATAGGGAGAAAGTCAGGTGGTATGTTGGAGCATACTTCAATGCGCGAGTGGACTGGCGTTGGAGCTCTGCGGACGTCTCTGGAGAGAGCGCCTTGATCTTGGCAGCATGTACGCCAGAAGTAGCCGATAGCACGTGCGCCAACTGGGCCTGCTCTTCAGCGAATATGTTGTGTAGTTCCTGGGCGAGGAATGTGGCCAGACTGGAGCCGGTAGACGACTGCGAAGGGATCTGGTTCGGCGAGTAGTATACGTCTAGCGTTGGCGAATATGGCTGGAGGTGTGACCGAGGCGTCGCGCCCGTTTCAACAGGTATCAGTCGTATGACTAAAGCCACGTCCCTGTCATCGCTCTGGATGCTTGTTCCGTCTCTAATCACTTGTTGCGAGGCATTTGGCTGTAACGGAGAGTCGGCGAGCATCAATCGGAGATGGTGCGCGGAGAAGTCGTTGATATCGTCAAGGGCATGCTGTGTCGTGCGAAGAAGGTGTTGCGCGTCCATAGAAGGGATCGGGGCTTCTACTGCTATCCGCAGAGGGAAGACTGGCTTACAGACCTGCTATGGTGTTAGCATTCTCACAGATAGGGCGCGAAACTGCAGAGTTCTATACCTTGCCCTCAGCCCAGTTCGTCATATCCTGTAGGGGCAGCTCCGCCCTGTAAATGGCTGTTGTTTTCAGCCATATTGGTAGGCCCAGAAACACCACTACAGCCCAAAAGGAGAAGATGGATAGGCGTCGCAGCCATAGGCTCTCCTTCGTCTCTGGAGGAGGCTGCTTGGGTAGTTTTGCGACAGCTGTTGGCGTTGAAGAAGACGAAGAGGTCGTCTGCTTCAATTCGTCCGCCAGCGACGCGTCATTATCATTTGGTGCCGCCATGTTGCGGTGGAGTTGTTCACTGCTGTCACTTCGGGCAATGCCGCGCTAACACGCGTGTCCGTGCGCGATCTAGCCTCCATTCACGTTCAACGTCGTTTACATGAATAGGCTCCAAATGCCTCACTCGAATGTAGAATGTCCATTTGCAAGATAGTAGAACCAAGAGAGAGACTACATCATTGCCTGTCCATGAATCCCGTAAGCCTTCTCATCATGAATGCTATGTTTTCCAATAGATCGTTACACCTTCTGTTACCCCTTCTTCACGCCTTCGTACGTTTAGCTTGCCAATCAAGCGACACTTTATCGCTCAGATTCCTTCCGTCTCTTGTCAGCACGCTGAAAATAAGCCAATACTATTTCTTTCAACTGTTGGGTTCATATGACCAAGCTTGGCATCTCCACGTGCAGTTACTGCCTTGGAATACTTACGCCCCGTTCTATCTCAGCGGCGGAGTGGTTCAGACTGCACCCATATCTCCTCCACCTTTCTTCCACACTCCCCAACCCGCTTAATTTAGCAATTAGTCGTTGTTCAAAACCTGCCACAAATAATTACCAAAGTCTTTACCCAGCCACGACACAATCTTCGATCTATAAAATGACCACCAGTGTGGTTCCCGGCTTTTACCGCTTCTTCTTTACATGGTTCGATCCAATCGTCGCTATCCATGCCGCTTATAACGACTTCGTGGACCAAGAATGGGTTATGAGTTCGCTTGTCCCAAAGGAGCTTCGCAGCGAAGGTGTCGATCGCAACTACCGGTTCATCTTCCAGCAAGCCGGGGGCGGGATGTTAGGGATAGCCCTCCTCTCGGGCGGCCTTCTTCGAGCAACCAACGATCTGAAGGTCTGGAGATACATACAGGCTGCCACGTTACTTGTTGACCTTGCATTCATTTATTCGGCCTGGGATGCGTTCAGGGTACAAGACCGGTTGGAACCTTCGTCATGGCGAGGCGAAGATTGGGGTACTGTTGTTATTATAGCATTAGTGACTTCCTTGAGAGTCGCCTTTTTGGCTGGGGTACGATTCAAGAAGACGCATACAGACAAGGCCCACTAGGCGATCGGTAGAAGACGCGTTATTCTGTATGCGACATCCGAGGCACAGCTTTCAATTGGGGAGGTTTGGCGATCTGGACTCCACCAAAAGAAAGTAATAGTCAAGCGGGCCTAAGCTGCAGGGCAATTGAGTTTCAGCTTATATCATGTGCTTTCTAGCGTACAGCCTCTTGGCACCTGTCGAGAATTCAGAAAACATATCCAGCACGCATCGAAGGACATGTATACAGCAGTTGATCCAGTGTTGGTTGAGAGCAACGTAATCTCTGGTTGTTCACCCTCGATGCTTCGCTCGTGAACGATTGGTCCGTGCATGTCAGTTAGGGAATGCAGGTACCGTCCGGACTTCGTGTCGTTGAATCTCATTCATTCAGCAGCCACCCGAGTCCCCAGTAGAACTGTGCCCTAGATTGGCTCTTTACAGTTTACAATGGGTGTTTCAGAGACGCATGCGATCGAGGTGGTTCAGCAAGGGTCAGGGCACCAAGAGCTTCGATCTACGTTCTGCCCCGCCGGCTAGTCTACTTTCAGCCACCAACGGTCCGTGCTATGCGGGGTTGCATGTCTGGGGAATGAGCTCGAGTGACGCTGTGCTCACGAGATCTATAGCAGCTACCCCTCTCAGCTGAGATAGCTTCGCTCCTTCCCACTGCTTCCTTTCACGACAACTTCATGCTCACTCCTACAACTTACTCAATTCACTTCAACTCACATTCTACATCAAATCATTCACAATGAGTGCAATCGCTGACAGCACCGATGGCCCTGTCGAGCAGGTCAAGGTGCTGTTTGCCCTGTTTCCGGGCTACAACACGCTCGACGTGGCAGGTCCGCTCGAGGTTCTGAGTCGCTCCCTCCAGGACGCCAAAGACAAGTGTAAGGCAAAAGCTCACTCAATTGATCCTTTGTTGACACAATGTAGCCAGTAAAGCCTTCAACTGCCAGTTCGTCGGCACCGCAGCTGCCATGACATCCGTTCAGGGCCTCACCATCAAGGCAGACATGGACTACGAGGTTAGCCTACATGTACGGAGCATCGCAACTTACGCTGACATTCGTCCCAGGACGCCAACAATGAGCTTGAGGACTTTGACGTCGTCATCGTCCCCGGTGGTGAGGGTGTCTTTGAGGTCCTCAAGAACAAGTCTGAGCCTCTCGATCTCCTCACCAAGTACGTCGAGCTTCAGGAGAAGAGTCCCAGCAAGGAGCGCACCATCCTTGCCATCGACGTCGGTGCCCTGCTCCTTGCTCAGCAAGGTATGCTAGAGGGCCTTGCCGCTACAACCCACCCAGACTACTATGTCCGTCTCGAGACCATCTGTCAAGACGCGGCTAGGCGGGACATGTCCGAGCGTACGGATGTCATGGAGGAGCGCTACGTTGTCAACAACGCCCGCTTTGACTTGGGCGAGAACCCCGACGACAACCCGTAAGTGAACACCAGTTTGCATTGGTATGCATCGCTCACCCTTACAGGTACATCATTAAGAAATCGCGTGAGCCACCGAGCGCTCCCGAGGGCACCAACATGGGACATGCTCGAAGGAAGTCGATCGCTCGCAAGGGCAGCAACGCTTGGCGCGACTCTCGCCGTCGCGAGTCGATTGCTAGGCGTGCATCCATGCCCCTGGGCGGTATGCGTGTCATCACCACCGGCGGTGTGACTGCTGGGCTCGATGCCAGCCTATACTTGGTGGGTTCTTTGGCTTCCCACGACTCGGCCCTGGAGGTCGCTCGTGCTATGCAGTATTCTTGGGTCAAGGGCGTTACGGTCGACGCGATCGATGTTTGAGCTACGGCTCCCGCGCGACGAGCGAAGGCGTTTTGCGAGGAAAGGGTTGAACAGTGATCATCTGATCGGGTCATCTGGGACATGTCGGGAATCCTAGAGATTTACCACGACGAATCATGTGAGGATTCATTGAGAAGTATGTAAAGAATCAAGAAATTCTGAAAGAGCTACCTGGTAGGGTGATGTGTAGTAGTAAGAGATGTTGGCGGGGAGCTGTGCCGAAGCTGAAGCGTCTCCACAGCTCCACTCCACCTCGGGCAACCGTGCCTCCGTTGTTCGCGCTCGCAGGCCGAACCATCTGCACTACAGCTTACCTAACTCTCGCCTTTCTTCATGTCCCTATATGTACAGATTTTAGACACTCATCGATCGTCATGTAAAAGAATGAGTTGCATTGCAGTACTGGTCTCTTGAGCCAATCTATTACAAATACCCAGATCAGGAAGACGCTATCCGTACTATCAGCTGGAGTGTCGGCCGTTTCGGTGCATCAAGGATTCGTCTGGAAAAGAGACCGAGACACTTCCTTGTCGTTGCAGCTGCAGTATGACTGACACATAAGCAGTAACACCCATCTCTTGTGAAAGCCTACGAACCATTGAACGCCGGCATGCCGTCTTATCACAGTAATCCACACAGAGATTATCCACGGGCGTAGCTCACTGAACTCAGCACCTCTCACCTTGAAATCATCAAAAGCAAAATGGTCTACTCTTCTGCTCCTCGGAATGGTTTCGGCACTGGGCAAACGCTAGATACCGGCGCGACCCTTTGGTCATACCCGAGGTATCGCTCATCACATTGCTGTGAACCTTTTGGCATCCTGCGGGTAACCCTTGCTTACTGTTCTCATCTGGCGGTATCTAGGTATGCTGTTTAAACCCGCACTCATGCTCGCTGTGCTCGGTCTGACTGAGTCTTTGACTCTTGATGGTTATTTGCCTATAGGAGCCAGAATATGGACATCCTGCTAGACTTTGAGTGGGAGAATTGGAGAACCCACTGCTAGGTCCAGAACCTGACTACCTATTCTACTGACTCAAAGAACCGAGTTGTACGTTATCGACTGGACCGTCCAATTGCTGGATACTCTATTTTCTTGTTACCTTGATGTTTTTGCGTAGGTTTCTTTGCGAGCATGTCCCCCATGCTGAAACAAGGCAGACCAATTGCTAGATACATACTACAATCAAATCTGTGCAGACCAGCAAGTTCGAGCAACAAGCAGTGAGCAGCAAGCCATCAAGCTGTTACGCTGGGTGTGCTACCCGACCTCCATCAACCAATCATAGCCGATTAGTGACATGCTTACCTAAACCTGACCGCTTCCCCGTGCATCTTCCCCAACGCAGCCGCCATGTCTTGGCCACGACAAACCTAGGCAAGCCACAAATGTCGCAACACATGGACACGATGATTGGACGATATGCGTCCATCACGCCTTCTTCGCGACTGAAGTGTCTTGGCTTTCTTGCGCGTATCTGTGCATGCGCGCGCCCAGGAATAATTTCTAGACAAATATAACCGTCGAGCTATTTCGACCTCAATCCAGCTTCTCATGCTACAACGACGCACACAAGTAAACATCATCGCCAATGCCACTTCAGTCTCTAATAAGTTCGCTCCGGCGACGTAGCCATCGCGCTGCACCTCCCCCACCTCATCTACAAGCAAATACTCAAAAGATCGAATGGCGTCTATTGGACGTCTTCTCACGTATGTGGGATCTGGGCTTCACCGCTTTTGGGGGTCCGCCTGTGCATTTCCAGATCCTGCATCGCAGGTTTGTCGAGGGTCTGGGGTTTCAGGGTGGGAGTAAATGGTTGGATGAACAGACTGTAAGTATAGCAGCAGCAGTAGTAGTGGGTTGCGAGAAAGAGCTAGAATTACTTTATGAGTACGAAGGAGAAGATGATATCAAGGAGAGACATCTTCTTCCATCTATCCCATGTATTCTAGATGTCACACAGCTAACACCCCCATCCTCAGTATCAAGAAATCTTCGCAATATGTCAAGCCCTCCCCGGCCCAGCCTCAACCAAAATGTGTTTCTGCATCGCACTTCTCCACGCGGGCCTCCTCTCCGCCGTCTTCGCCTTCCTACTCTGGAGTCTCCCTGGCGCAATCGGCATGTATGGGCTCTCCCTCGGCGTACAGAAGATGCCCGAACGCCTCCCTCCCATCGTGTACGCCCTGCTCTCCGGACTAAACGCCAGTACCGTCGGTATCATCGCACTCGCCGCTGTGCAACTGTCTGAAAAAGCTATTCAAGACCGTGTTACACGAATTCTGGTCATTTTCGCCGCATGTGCGGGATTGTGCTATAATGCGCTTTGGTATTTCCCTGTGTTGATTGTGATTGGCGGTTTTACGACGGTGATGTGGGATATTTGGCTCAGGCAGCGCGTGGGTAAGATGAAGGCTGCGTATCTCGCTAAGAGGAGGAGGGCGAGGGATGAACAGGGTGATGCGGAGGAGGTCCAGGCTACGAGCCAGAGTATTCCTATTGAGATTACGCGGCCGGAGGCGGTGAAGAGGAGACAGGGAGCGGGCAGCTCGACGGATCGGATAGTACCTGAGCAGGAAGAGGCGGAGAGTAGTCATGCTGGAGAACATCCGGTTGTTGACAATGTAGCTGATGTCAAGACGCATAACATCTCCGTCAAGGTTGGTGTGTCGCTCATTGTGGGCTTCTTAATCTCCTTCATTGTTGTCATGGTTATCCGGGGTACGGTATCCAGCGGCCGGTCCTTCAACCTTTTCTCCAACATGTAAGTCTCCTACCTACCTACCTTCCGTTCTTTGCTAACGACATGACGCATAGGTATCTAGCCGGAACTATCATTTTCGGCGGTGGTCCCGTAGTAATCCCTCTACTCCGCTCCTACGTCGTAGACCCAGGCTGGGTTTCGCCACGGGATTTCCTCCTCGGTCTAGCTATTATTCAAGCCTTTCCAGGGCCCAACTTCAACTTCGCAGTATACTTAGGTGCCCTAGCCATCGCCTCAGCACCCGGTTCTACACCAACGATCGTAGGCGCCCTCCTCGGTTTCATCGGCATCTTCTTCCCTGGTATCGTGCTAGCAGTCGGCGTACAGTCTATTTGGCAGGTCATGCGCACCAAGGCATGGGTGCTCAGTCTATTAAGGGGGATCAATGCGACCGCTGTCGGGCTGGTATTTACGGCTGTCTACAGGCTTTGGGAGATTGGTTACCTAACGCCAGAAAGTAGTGATGGAAAGAGTTTGGCGGATGAGCCTTGGTGGGTTGTTGTTGCTGCCTTGGCGTATGCGGAGACGGCTTGGTTCGGTGTGCCGCCTGCTGTGGCAATTATCATTGGCGCCGTATTAGGATTGGGGTGGTATGGAGCTGTTGGGCAGTAGGAGACTTGTCTTTTGGGCTTCACACACATCACCGTCTGGTTGTAGTAGATATAGGTTAAGGTACGATACGAGCGTACGCTATTCTGACTATTTGTTGTACAAATGCTATCTGAGCTCGTTGCACAGAAGCTAATTAGGGGAGATGCAACCCAATAAAAGGACCTCGACCCGCCAGCACGAAGGAAATAATAAGAAAACTTCGGCAATAATAGAGCTTGAAGTCCAGCACAGTGTGTCATCGCCACAGGCATCGAAGCCAACCATCTAAGAAGAAAGAAACACACCAGAACGCCATTGAAAGCCAATTACTCCGAAGGAAAGTGGTAACCACCACGACCACACGATAACATCATCCTGTCTGTGAAGTCATGAGCCACTACCACACGGTTGGCGCCTGGCCTACTTGTAGTATCCTCCATGCGGCGCGGACGTCGACGTATTCGGGTCGTAGATCTGACCACCACCATTGTGAACAATAGGTGGTTTGCTGTATGCTTTGCTGCGTGACGAGCTACCGGAGTTTGTATATAGGCTCGAGGAAGCGGCAGAGTAGGCTGCAGGCATGTTAGACTCATCTTGGGGAATGTTCTGAGAGGAGCAGGCAACGTACATGTGGATGAAGTTGACGGACGAGATGCATAGGCACCCTTGCTCTGACCGTAGGAGCCGTACGATGAGCTCGACGACATGGTCGATTGGTGTTGGGAGCGTTGGAGGCGTTCAGAAGCCAGTGGTGATTCAAAGGATGAGATGAGTGATCGTCGTATAGAGTGTGACTGACGGCGATGTAGCTGTTTCGGGTGTATGCGAGACGAGAAGGGCGGATGGTAGTTGTGATCAAAGTAGATTGTTGACTGAAGACCAACACGAGGACAACTCTGACTCTTGCTCAAGATGCTTTATATGACTGTAGACTGAACGATTGATAGATCGATTGACTGATGAAGAGAAGAAAGAAAGCAACCACCCACCTCAGTCACAACTATTTATTCCAGGCAGACAGAACCTGAGGCCGCCAATCTACAAGACTCACTACTCGCACTGTTGACTGTTCCTCCGTCGCCATCGGAGTTCTCCTACGGTCATGTAACGCCGTTGCCTGAATAGCTGGGCTAGGCGCGTGGACGACGTAAGTGACTGCGCGATTGCGATGATTCACACGCGTGGCTATGTCCCCTCGGGACAGGTCCTGAGGCAGGACACGCGTAGGGGAACGAATCAGCGATTAGGCAGCCCTTTTTGGCACCTGCTCGACCTGCCAAGGAGAAGAGTCATCGCGCAAGTTCACCGAAGGGACCAGTTCAGTCGGTTTGAACTAAATGCGCGTTGCGGCTAGAAAGGGCGCAGGCGGAGTTAATGACCTGGGTGGTGTGTAGGGTGGATGTGTTACGCCGTCGTCTCCTGCAAGGCACATGAAGCAGTACAAACCTATGAAAAGGCAGCAAGGAATCTGTCAAAGACGCGTTATCCAGTGACGTGCACGAGACCCCCAGGCGACAGCGGAACCCAAAATGGAAAATGACAAAGCGGACACACTGGTGAACAGAAAAGTCACCGGTCGACCGAAAGAAGCATGGGTGTGGGGGCTGGGGGATAGATGGGTGCCTGAAGCCATTGGCAACATTGCGAAGTGTTCACCGCAATGCAACGTCATAAGAGTAAACCGGCGGCGTCCAAAGATGGGAGAAATGCGCATATGATGATAGAAAGAGAAGGGAAAGGAAAGGCAAAAGGCGGTGTTGTGGGATATGGAAGAAGGCGCAGTCGAGGGTTGCTGATGCATAGCGGGGTCGATGCGCTGTGAATGGCCATCGATCTGAGCAAGGCTGTTGCGAGGCAGCACGCCTTTCACATGGCCTAGAATCAGTTCTGATTCGAAACAGGGAGTTATGTGGGTGGCGATTGCGCAGCTGTGAATTGCGCAAGCGCGCATATCGTCCTGGTGTTTGCCAGCGCATAGCCGGTGAACTGCTGGAGACGTTCTGAACAGAAGGCGCAGGACCGAACTGATGGTCAACTATGTGGCGCATGTGTAAGACAGTGACTAGAAAACGTTGCGGGTCTGGAATCTGCCAGCACAGAGCCGGTGAATTGTTGGAGGCATAGCATTCCATACGTGGAGGTTTAAATGCTTGTTAAGCCAGCAGCGTGTCAAACGGACAAATGAGTCAGTCTCATCATTAATTGGTGTCGAATGCATTGGGTATCGCTGTAGCTGCTTCCTGAACCTCCCCTTCTAATCATACAATTTCAAAGCACCATTCAGATCACCAGCAACCACCTTACTTGTCTCCCTAGGATGCCATTGTACTGACAGCACAGGCGCATCACTCGCCGGAATCTTGTGGTACATCTTGCATGTCTTCCAGTCCCAGAAGCACAAGTAACCTCCGCTGTCACCGGAACTGATGAACTGCCCGTCCGGACTGATCGCCACGTCTGGCGCATATCCAGCCACATTGTGTCCTCGGTAACTCTTCTTTCGGTTTTGTCGGAAACGGTCCGTAGAGCTGTATACGGTGATCTGGTTGTCGGAGGATTGGAAGGCAACGTATTTGCCTGACGGGTGGGGTGAGGAGCGGACCATGGAGAACATGTAGGGTTCGGCGATGAACTTGATGGGTACGGGAATACCGTATTCCCAAGCGCGTAGGGATTTGTCGTCCGATGTGGTAATGAAGCGGCGGTTCTCGTCGCAGAAGGTAATTGTGTTGACAGGTCCGAGATGATGATCGTATTCTTGTACCATCTCTCCGCTTCTTGTGTCGTATTGTAGGATCTTCTTGTCGCTCATACCGGCCAGGAACTCATGTGGTGTACTGGGGTTGATGCGGACGACATGCGGCGTCTTTCCAGTCGTGAACTTGTTCAAGCACTTTCCAGTCTCCGTGTCCCATAGCTTCATGTAGCGATCGTAACTTGCGGAGATGAATTGTGTGCCGCTGGGGTTAAAGTCAATGTCAACAACCGACTTCGTGTGCCCAGAGTATGTTCGCAGGAGCTCGCGTTGGTGATAGACGTCCCATAACGCAATCTTCGAATCGGCCGAGGCAGAGAGTAGGAGGTGACCGCTGTCAGGTATGAAGCGAACTTGGGTAATCGACTTAGTGTGGTATTTGTAGGTGTGAATGAGCTTCTTGGGTATGAAGTTCTTGGGCTCGTAATCGCCGGTAAGTTTGATGTCGAGATCCGTGGGCACATGCATATATGTCCGTCCCTGATAGTCGTACTGCTGGCTACCGACAAACTCGCTCGTCTCGCCTTCGGCTTCGGTATCGCGGTAGTCTGTACCAGCGAGCTTCTTTTGCGCGGGCGCAGCGTTGTCGACGATCTCATCTTCCTCGTAGACTATTTCCACCTCGACGTCCGACCCGAACTCGTCATCTGAGGCAGCGTCTGGCCTCTCTTCCTCATATTTCGCCCAAGGTCCCTTGTATGCACCAGCACCAGTTACGACACTTGAGTTGCCCTTGCCCTCTCGCTTTCTCTTCTTCGACCCTGCGCCTGATTCGATTGCGCGCTGGCCTTGGCGGAAAGTATGTTCGCTGATGTACGTCTCTGCAGCGAACCCGGTTGGCACCCTGCCCGAGCCTCCAGCGGCCATTATAAGCGTTTTCGAGGACTAAATTAGGGTCGCGGCACGTATGGAGATTAGCGACGGTTCTTGTATTGGTGTTTGGCAAGGTTGAGAGGTAGATGGCGAGGAGTGACGAATACGGTGTTGGAGTTGGAAGCTTCCCAGCTCACCAGAAAATGTGGATGACTATGCACGGGCCATGTCCGACCATGTATTGAGTAGTCTGCGCGGTATTACATGTGAAAACTGGGTTTCATTTACGAGAGCTAACATAACGCTATCATACCCCGTCAGGACATAAACTCGTTCAATCCTTCCCTGTGAGCGCTTCCTGCCGCCAAACCCATCGCTTTGGGTATTCCACATTATCCTAAACCAACAATCATTCATGTCCTCCCGCTAGCAATATGCGTACGCGTGGCTCGTCTGCTTGAGCCGGATATCAAGTGTATCTATCCGCCATTCCTCAACCGCTGTTGAATGTGTGTCTCGTAGTTCAATGCAACCAGTACGGTCACAAAGATGCCCACAGTCAGGACGAAGGGCGAGATCCCCACCTAGTGAGACTCGTCGCGGATGAGGGCGACGATCATGCTGTAGAGGTAGAAGAAGAACATGAGCAGGTGGAAGCCCAGCTTGATGAAGGATTCCTGAGTCTTTGTTAGCCTAACGTCATGTACTCTGTATATTCTCTTATTGTACCTTCTTGTGCACGTTGAGCTTCCTGAAGATCTCCGTCGCGTCCAACAGATGCTGGTTCTCAAAGATCCTGTGACTGTCAGCGTTGTCCTGATTGTATAGTATAATCCGATGTCGCGACGTACTTCTTTCCGTTCCAGGCCAACAGAGGCAGATTTAGAATCAGCGCAATCCAGTATCCGTTGATGAGGAACAAGAAGGTCAGGAAAGCGTGGACAGCGGCTTCGGGGATGATGTAGGTGTTCAGGCGGTTGCAGAGATCGATGGGGTTGATGTAGTCACTGGCGCAAAATTAGCATGTGCTGATCAAGGTACAGGCTGTGTCGCAAAGCAGGCTGTGCCATGGTGTCATGTATTTGGAGCTCACTTACCATTCCAGATCGCTGTACATGATAGTAAAGAAGACTTGTAGGAACAGGTTGACGGCATTTATCAGCACCGCCAACAGGTACAGCCATGCTTCGCCTGTCATTGTGGAAGTGTCGTGTGTTGCGTAGCACGGCTATGGCGTATGAAGAAGGTTGAAAATAGACTAGCTATATCGCCAGTAGGCTCTTGTATACGAGTGGACAGATAGACAACAGATGTTCAGGACTCGGATGCCGTCGTGTGTTTGCAGGCTGCCGAGCTAGAACGCGGGAAGCTAGCTTGTGCGCGGGGCCTAGCTACAAGTTGCGATGACGTGGGTGGGCGGTGGAGTTACACGACGGTATGGCGATAGTAGAATCTTGAAGAGTAACGGCGATTGGCAAGGTCGTTCAAATTCTGGTGGGAGTTGGGCAAAGATGTTCGGATGACGTTGAGGCGGAGACACGAGTTGCTTCCCTGGACAGCGGGCAGGCACAGTTAGCGTCATTCGCCTCGCTTGCAGGTGTGCGTTGAGCGGGCCAACATCGTCCGACCAAAGCTTGACGGAAGGTTGCCAGTCTCACGGAGATAAAGATTGTTTCGCCGAAACGAAACGTAACTTGATGTGCAGAGACAGAAATGCTAGCACTATGTGCACTGCTACAAATAGCCATCACGAGCAGCATTGATGGTAACAACCCACCACATCTATTAAGTGTCAAATAGGGCAAAGCCCCATTTTCTTGACCCACGCCACGCAATCCAATAATGAAGGCCATAACGGGGTGATATTATGTAGCTATGTCAATCACCCAGAATACCTCAACTTTTTTAGGCAGCTGTTTTCGCTTCGCCGTTCGTCTCACCGTTCGAGGTTCCCGGCATCTGTACGGGACCGCCGGGCGAGTCTGGTAGTCGCGCGGTCAGAACCTCTACGCCATCCTCTGTTACGAGTAGGGTATGTTCTGTAGCAAGTTAGTTATGGAAAGAGTATATGGATCAGTGGGTCAAGCTTACCAAACTGCGCTGTCAGAGAGCCATCTTGCGTGACACTGGTCCATTCATCGGGCCATGTCTTGTCCCTATGCGAACCAACACTGATCATGGGCTCAATGGTGAAGCACATTCCAGGCTTTGCCGATCCAACTGCCTTGTTCTTGGCGTAATGAGGAACGTTGGGCGCGCAGTGAAATAGCTGGTTGACACCGTGCCCGCAGTATGTCCTGATTACGCTGCAATTCTTGCTCTTTGCGTGCTTCTCAATGACGTTGCCATACTCACGGAATAGTGTACCTGGCTTGACAATCTCGATAGCCTTGTCCAGGCACTCTCGTGCCGTCTCCGTCACACGCACCGCATCTGGATTGGCCAGAGCCTTGTCTCCAATGTAGAATGTTTCATTCAGATCCGCGTGGAAACCGCCGTGGTAGACGGAAATATCAACGTTCAAGATGTCGCCATCTTTGAGTACGCGCTGGTCGGGAATGCCGTGGCAAATGACCTCGTTTAGCGATGTGCATACGGACTTGGGGAAGTGGCAGTAGTTGAGGGGTGATGGGTACGACTGTCGTTGTCAGCACATTTCTCTGTTTTCCTATGATTGCCGCTCTTACGTCGCGCTCAATAGTAGCCTTGTGAACGATCTCATCGATATAATCGGTGGTGACCCCAGGCTTTGCCGCTCTTCCTGCGATGTCCAAGATCTCACGACCGAACCGGCACACCTTGCGCATGGCATCTTGCTCCTCCTTGTTCAAGATGGTGATCTTGTTCCTGTTGACAAACACCTGCTCCGAGCGTGGTATGCCATCCTTAGCGTAGTCTGGGTGTTTAATGTGCTTAGGGACTTCGCGGCGTGGCGAGAGCGGGTATACGGGTCTTAGGGCGCCGGTGTACGAGTACGTGGGAAATGGGTTGTAGTGACCCGTAGCTGGATCCGGGTGAGAAACTACTTTGGGCGTAAAGATGTTTTGGAGAATACTACTTTGTGACTTGTGCACCTTCTTGTGCTCACTCTACCGGGCCGTTAGATTGTTTTGTCTGCAACGTAAGAGCAATCTCACTATATACCCAGTTGCGCTTGAAACAATCTTGCGAGCAGAAGTAGCTCTCTTTCCCTATCTTCTGGCAGTTTGGACATTGCAGAGAGCCGGCATCGTTCTCGCAGTCATTGCCTGAGCATTTGCGCGGGGCGTCTGTGGCCATCGCGTGCGGTAGTGTAGGAGGAATAGCAGGCGTGGCTAAGGCGGGAAATGGCCTGTGTTATTGCAGGCGTTACAGTCTATAGCGCGCTATAAAGCTGTGCGTGTGGAGTAGTGGGTTGCGCACAAAAAGCCTGGTGGATTGCTACTTTTGTTCGTACGCCGCATCGTCAAGTCGGAAATCGTTGCAGGGGTCCAGGCCGCCGGCCGCCGATCGCTGATTACTAAGTAGTGGCTAGAGAGAGGCCGCGCTTACCATGTTCGGTCTTGACGTGCTTCATGAGCCCTACCTTGCCATCCTATCTGAGTCTTTGACTTTCTGGTTATGCTTTGATAATTGTCACCCGCGTCTCACCTTTTTCTTCCCTGCAGAAGATGTGTTTTTACTTCTCTTCCTTCTTCCCTTCTCTTACTCCCCGCCTCACACCACCCCGCCTCTGAACACAAACTAGCGAATTAAGCAGCTTTTAATCCATCATCACTCCCACTGCTTCCTATATATTATGTCGCAGAAGGTAGTCGTGGTCGGAGCTGGGCCAGTAGGCTCGCTGGCTGCACTCTATGCGGCTGTGCGTGGATTTGAGGTTGAGGTCTACGAACTCAGAGCAGGTAAGATATGGCTTGTAAACCATCTCGGTTCTAGCGAGCAACCTAACGCTAGCCAGATCTCCGAGACCCTAACACCACACCATTAAACTTTTCCAAGTCTATCAACCTTGCTCTCTCCGAGCGAGGCATCCACTCTCTTCGCAAGACCGGACTATCCGACCTTGCCGATGCAGTGTTAGCAGAGACATTCCCCATGCATGGTCGCATGATCCATATACGGAAAAACGGAGAGTATGTTCGACAGCCACAGATATACGATGCGAGAGGACGGGTAAGCATGGTCTTTGTCCCTTGGTTCGGGTCTTGCTAACTTTGGCAGAGCTTGCTGGCCATGGACCGAACGGGTCTGAACAAGACATTACTCGACCATCTAGAGGCCATGCCTAATGTCAAACTCATGTTCAACCACAAATTGGTCGGTGCAGACTTTCGAAAGAAGACTGCATGGTTCGAGCATCGAACCAAGTCTGCTGAAGAGCAGGGCGACGAGTTCGAGATCAACTTCGACCTTATGATTGGTGCTGACGGTGCACACTCCGCCGTGCGGTATCACTTGATGAAGTTCGTTCCTATGTCGTTTCAGCAAGAGTACATCGACAAACTCTGGTGTCAATTCCACGTCCCACCTGCACCCAACGGCGACTTCCGGATACCTCCAAACTACCTACACATCTGGCCTCAAGATGAGTCTATGTTCATCGCGCTTCCAAACCTTGACAAGACGTTCACATCCACGCTGTTCTTGACCAGAGAAGGCTTCGAGCAGTTGGATGCATCTGGCAAAGTCGTCGAGTACTTCGATGAGAAGTTTCCAGGAGTAGTGCCAGACCTTATCACCGAAGACGACCTCCGCAAGCAGTACGCGTCCAACCAACACCTACCTTTGATCTCTATCAAATGCACACCATACCACTACGAAGACTCTGGTGTCATTGTGGGAGATGCTGCCCATGCTATGGTACCATTCTACGGCCAAGGAATGAACGCTGGACTGGAAGATGTTCGCGTTCTGTTTGACTTCATTGACAAGTATCCTAACGATAGATTGAAGGCGCTCGGTGAGTACACGAAAGAGCGTACCCCTGATGCATACTCAATCAACGATCTTGCCATGGGCAATTATCGTGAGATGGCAAGCGACGTCAAGAAGCCGCTATACCTATTGCGAAAGTGGGTAGAAGAGCAGCTCTACCTCTACGTCCCGAGCGCTGGCTGGGCCACCCAGTATTCGAGGGTCACGTTTAGCAACTTGCGATACTCCGAGGTTATTCAAGCATCACAAAGACAGGCCAAGATACTGCACGGCATGGTTGGTTTGGCGCTTGCTTCTGTCGCAGGTGCCGCGTTCTGGTTCACGAGATCCGGAGGCGCACAACAGGCAAAGATGAGTATCCTCAGGTCAATTTGCGTAGTTGCGCAAAAATTGCAGAAGCTCACGGAAGGTTGAGCTGTAATGGTAATAGTATGAGCGACGGCTTGTACGCAATCTGTAATATTATATGTCGTTCTGGTATCAACCGCTCTCAATCACGTAGCTGACCTCTAATTTGCTCGCTAAGAACGCCACGAGACGGGAACTCTGGGCTCTAGCTGAGCTCGCACGGCATCAGCAGTTGTGTACATCTGACACCCCGCTCCCACTGCAGAGCTTCCAGGCTAGGGTCGCATCACCATCAGGATGCGGGACTACGAATACAATGTCTTTGAAGACTGGTTCTCCCAATCTGAGCTGTTCTTCGATTTTGAGTTGTCTGCTCGCTCTAAGGCAGTGTTCTATCTTCGTCATGTTCTATACAACGACCGCACACTCGCATGTACGTGTAGAACCCAAGGATCTGAAGATACTAACAATGACAGATATATCGCGATTGACGCCAATGCAAAGCTGGCAGACTGCTGATGCGATTTGGCTTGAGATACATCATGAAGCTCCCGGTCTGGCAGAGGGAACTCTAAATAAGCGAGACGGCGAGGGATCTCCATACACGACTCTTTGCTTTCGCGGTTTCATTTCGGTTACCACACATGGCTATGCTACTGTTGAACTATCGGAGTGCTTTGTACATCACCACCATGAGTTCAGTGCTCACACCGCGGTACAGATATACGGACTTCTATCGCAAGACCCAAGGCTGTCCTCTAGGCTGACGTTAAATGCCCCTGAGAAACATCACGCCGGAATTCCAATACAAACTACTGCAAAACGTAGGGCTTTGACACATAGGCGAGTCTGTCCGAAAGATCTTGTCATCTTCAACGCGACACTTTGCTCGACCTCTCCCGCGGTCTTTGAAGTTCCGAGCACGACTGCAACAGTTGGTGTGGTAAGCTAAACAAACGAAAACCCTCCAGCGGAGCTTGTATGTTGACATGTCTCTGTGCACATAGGAATTTTCCACCGAAAACATCATTGTGGACCTTCTTCATATGTACACGCTATCAAATGAATGGCGTCCATTGCTTACCAAGGAACTTCTTGCCTGGGCTACGATCCCAGCAAAAGGTGCTTGCCCGACCTGGACTGCTGGCCACTGGGCAGCCACGCCTACAGTATATCCACATGATCCTGTACAGCTTTCACTGTTATCAAATCCCGATTTTGGCTATAACATAATACGCGACGCGAACTCGCTCAAATTCACCAAGATAGCGGGGTTTAGTTATGTCGGCTGGTCACTGCCTAGCGCTACCTCTGATCCCATAGGAAGCCTTTGTGGCATGATACTATGGTGCATTTCCATCGCTCTGCTCTATTTGAAATTCAGACAAGAGAGGAAACTTGGTGGGTTTCGCAAAGCCCTGCGCCCTCATACTCGACCAGGGTATGTGCGGCTAGAGTGGACCTGTGTAGGTTTTCTAAATCTCGACGCGATTACTATTTGCGGATCGCATTTATTCGAGGACTATGCTAACAACTGTTTAGCCATGTGGCGAAGAACTTTATGCGGATTACGCAGATACCACCAACAAAACGGCGCTCGATCGTTTCTGTAAACAGCTACACAAGCTAGGCAATCGCTCTGGAGTGGAGTCATTACTTGACTCACCTGCGGACTGCATCGGTGCCTCACCGGGACCACACGACGGGATCCCAGGTCCTTCAGAAAGACAAGGAAATGGCAGCCGCCGTGGATCTGGTCCGGATAGCGGTAACGAGACTTCTGGTCAGCTTTCATCACGCCCATCTGGGAGCTCTCAAGATACTGGTAATGACCGCTCTCAGTCCATGATTGGAAAGATCAACCGACACCTGAACGATGAAGGCCATCCAACCCATTGCAGATATCTCGAACTTTGCATCGACACAAGCCAACATGGCACGTCCTTGGGAGAGATTCGTCTGAATGGGGTGGGAGCTGGCTCGGGTCCACGCGTGCAGAACGACTGGGAGCTCTTTACCAAAATTTATGAGACCTACTCCAACTCTCGTCGATCCAGTCGCTTTGGTTTCTTGTATAAGCCAGTTGACATCCAATTCGTACGATTCAGTGTCTTTGGTGGTGGGCATGTAGGCATCTACGAAAAGCCAATGATTTTACCGCCAGAAACTGACGTGAGAAATGGAAAGTGGCAATACTACGAGTGTCCGCTTGAGCCGCTCCCGCCGATTGATAGTCGTACCTTCTTTCACTACTTCTGGAATCACAGACGCCGTACATCTCAGGATGGCACGAGTAGCTTGTTTCTCAACCGCTTGCCGAAAAAGGTTGGTACTAGCATGCTGCAACAGGAAGCGTCAAACACTCTAAATCTTGGATACGGCATACATATCATCGAAGGTCCAAACAAGAAACTACTCAGCGTCGCTGTCTTCGTCATTTTGGTGGTCAGTTTTGCCGCATCACTTGCTTACTCACTTGCCACGCATGCCCAGGAAAGCGGATTTGGCATCGGTCAATGGATGGTAGCTGCCATGACTGCTGGATTAGGCGCGATATACTTCGATCTGACCGAGTAGTAGTCGATATACATTATCCAACTTTTCCAAGCTCTGGCATTAGGTGCTGGAAGTTCCCATGCCAAGAAAACCGGTTTATATGAGCAGAATATCAATGGGCCCCGAACTGCTGGTTTCGCACACCGCGTATATCATACGAAGCGGTACCAATATTGAAGCTCCGCCACCCACTCAATTATGAGTACACCCCTAGCTACAACAATCTTCGCCGCGCCACAAGCGACCAGCCACGTGAGCTTCGCGTGGATGTTTTGCTGCCCCACAAGCTAAATGTGGGGAAGCGATTCGGAGTGAGTGCATGGCATGGCGCTCGCTTGCGGTGGCATCACCACTCGACATGCTACATCCGGGGTACATACAGTCTATACGGTTCAGAATCACTATAATTCCACTTACGTATTTCCATGAGCAGTGCATTTGCATTACAGCCTTCTTGATGCAATTTGTCGTCAACCTCATTCGCATTTTCGGTGCACATTAAGCCGGAGATACTGGTATCTTCATAGTCGCGTTGATCTCTCGCAGGCGCGTGGCAATGCATCTCCACTTCTTCGATACACAAACCTATCTATCATACACTCTACACACTATGCGGGTAAATACGTCAACCTCTCACAACGCACACAATGAACATCGTACCGTCGCTCACGACCTTCCAGAAACAGCGTGTTCACCGCACCCGCAAGGTCACATTCACCAAAAAGCATTCAATGATGGCTTGGTGTGGTAATCAGAGACATCCCTGTGGACGCAGGCCCACGCTCCAGAAGCCTTAGAACCTCACACCTGGGTCGTAGTGAAGTCAGTCACGCGTGGCTGTAAGGTCTCAACCTGGATAAGGTGGTTGCTATTCTAGTCTATCTTGCACGCGTGCTTGTATATCGCCGCTTTGTACTCTAAGCTGTGGTTCTCGAGTGGATGGATCTCCAGCACGGAACCTTGGCGAGTCTCGATTGGTTCTTATTAAAGCACCTTGTCGCTCCAGATCTTGCTTGTGACACGCACGATAGCTTTTTTTTTTTAAATTCTTTTTCGACCTTCAGATACTTGACTGTCGTGCGATTGCGCTGCTGATCGTCTACAGGTATCTTTCTAGATCGACAATACAGTCAAGATGCACTTCGCATATGGTCTTGCGGCTTTGGCTAGCCTTGGTAAGTAGTCTATCTCTAATCAATTCCGTTCTTAACTGATATCATGTAGCTCAAGCATGGCCAACATCAGAATCACAACATCTAGCGCCTCGCGCCGTAAGCTACGTGGACTCAGAAACAGGCTTCACGTTTTCTGAAACCAAAGCGGCTGCAACACTTACCTCCAATATCATCTACCGCATAGCGCAGCCTGCCAATGTCCCAGCAGGCCAGCCTTACGACGTAGTCCTCCAAGTCGTCGCACCCAACTCCCTCGGCTGGATTGGTCTCGCATGGGGTGGCAGCATGATCCGCAACCCCCTCACAGTCTCATATCCCAACGGTCAAAAACCCACCGTATCCTCGCGATGGGCCACGTAAGTCACTATCCTTCCCAATAGCGTCAAAGAACTGTATTAACACGTGCCATAGCGGCCACTCCACGCCCCAACAATATGCCTCAGCTACTTACACGCCCCTCACAACCGGCAACAAGTCAAACAACACGCACTGGCAATTCACCGTGAAATGCACCGGCTGCACTACCTACACCGGTTCATCTGGCGCCGTGCGCATTGACCCTACTGGTAGCAAGCGTTTTGGCTTTGCCTGTGCGCAGGGTAAAGTCTCGAACCCTTCTTCGACCAGCGCATCTATCCCGGTGCATGACGTATATAACTACATCACGCATGACTTCTCTGCGGGTGCGAATCAGAATTTCGAGGCACTTTTGAGTAAGAACGGGGTTGCGAGCACGGGGGAGACGGGAAATGCTACGGAGAAGGTTTAGGGCTGCGCGTGGTGTACGGTGTGTGGTGTGTGGTATAGACTGCGGAGGAATAGGATCTGGGGAGAGCTTTGTAGATATCGCTTGCAATTTCGTTGATTATATTTGATATAATAGAAACTTGGTGTCTACTCTCGAGATTTGCTGGCGTTGCGACAAGGCTTCTTGATATTCGGATGATGCAGATGTGAGAGGTTGAATTTCCAGCATGTGACAACCATTTCCTCATGTGGAGTTTTTACGTAGAAATGAGGTATGAAATCATCGAGGTTCATCTGCACGAAAGAGTCGTACAAAGCATATGTCAGTTCCATGGCGACATCGCGAGTGCTTGACTAACGTCAAAGACGCGGGTGACCGCGGCGAACAGTCAGTACAGAACAATATCACAATCGAACTGCACGGCGAAATGCATATCTTTAACAACAACATGCATTCTTATTTGTCTCTGCAATCTAAAGAATTATACAACATAATGCCAAACGAGTGCTAAGCCGAAAGCACCGCACTTAACAACTTTGAGCCACGCAGGACCGAACCGACAGCCATCGAGTGACAGTAGCAATAAGATAAGTGCGCGAACCGGGGGCTTCTATGCCTTGATAGCCATGTCACCAAGCGGCATCTCCTTGAGCCCTGTATTTCATACGTTAGCTTTGCATCACAAGCGTGTAATTGAAGAATAAGACACTTACAGCCGTCGACCGCCTCAGGAGCTTGTTGCTTCTTCTTGCAAGCGTTGTATTGAGCGGGCTGTTGAACGGTGAGACCAGCTTTGGGGCAAGCGGTGTTGAGGTTGCAGTTGTTGTCCATGGCCTTCTGGAGAGAGTCGCCTTCCCAACCGAAGACGTAATCACCGTGTGCAGCAGAACCACTAGAAGTCCAGGGTTAGCCTTTGTATGTTTCGCTGTGGCGAATTGCTAAAGAGAAGTAAAGAAGTCGAGCTACGTACCCAATGTTCATGCTGTAAACGAAAGGATCCGAACCATCAGTGGGCCACAAGCTCTGGTCGGCAAACTTTCTGACATCCCACATGAGTTCGTACATGACCTGAGGAAGCTTGACGGGGTGAGTAGATGGGCAAGCGCCGCCTCCAGTAGCACCTGAGCCCTGACCGTAAGCAACGTGGCTCTGGTGGTCTGGTGAGTCGAGGTTCTTGCCATCCCAGCAAGTAGGGAAGATGATGGTCTGGCGGATGAGCTTGCACTTGGGGTCCTTGGGGATAGCGACAGTGTCGGAACCCGTGCAGGGTGCACCTCCAACGAAGGTGCTCTCAGATGGAGCATTCCAGCAGCGATGGCAGATGTTGGCGAGCTTGACTTTGCTGTTATCGGTGTTGGTGGCTGAGCCTGCAAGCATACGGAAGCCCTTCTTAAAAGCGGTGACTTTGCCACTGGGGATGTAGTAGACATCGAGACCGCCGTCGTTGATGAGCTGTCCTTGTGGTCCACCGTTTCCAATCTAAGTTTCGAGTTAGCGGCTTGCCCTATTGTTCTGGTTCGTGCCATGCTGCTACATACCTGAGGCACACGGATGTAGGTTCCGTTCTTTGCCTTGAAGAACATGACAGCAGTCCAGTAGTTCGACTTGTCCTGGACGAAACTGCATGATGTGCACTTGGAAAGCTGCGCAGGGTCGTTTGCGGGGTCCATTGTGATGTTGAAAGAGTCGCCTCCGACAATCTGATGAAGATGTGGGGTGTATTTCACGCCGGGGTTGACAAGCGGATCTGTTCGCTCAACGACAAGCTGCGAGCAAGCAAATCGCAACATGTTCTGTGCAGCGACATTTCCGGCAAGAGCCGTGGCCGCGGCGAGAAAGGTAGCCCACTGCATCGTAACTAGCGATCGTAGTGTAGTCTTCGACTCTTGAGGATGTGACTGATAATCGGAGAAATGAACGATGATGAGTGAAGAGACACAGAACTCGAAACAACAACCACGTTTCGCAGTAACTTCTCTTATAATGAGACCGGAAAAGTAATCGACGAATTGGTGTTGTCCACGAGGACAACTGCCGGACCACGGGGAGATCCTGATCGATCAGTCGTGCGAATTATGGGGTTAATATAAGGTGGTCTAATGATTGGGTTGGGAAACTTTGCAGCGCATATTGTTCGCCCACTTCGTATGATGAACCAAAGAATAGCAAATTTTGGAGTGTGCACTGGGAAGGTCGTTGCAGCTTGTCACGCTCGCTGTCGAATCATACTACTGAGTTGACCACCTACGAGCCCGGAGGCCCGGATGCAGGCTTTAGATTTGCCGCCCACGATATTACGTCCGTGACTGTGGAGGCAAGGCACCCATATGCTGTGTTTTCCAAGGCACTTGGCATGTATCAAAACAGCAGATACAGGGCGGTATAATGACCACCGAGTGTCTCTCAGACGGCACAGTCCGCAAAGACCGAAAGGTTGATAGGGCCTCTCCTGAAGAGCTCTGGAGGGTGCCGTAGAAAGCCTGAAAACGTCACAAGCACAGCAAGTTGTGAGCTCGACTACTGTCAGTTTTGTGCAGGCTTTCATCGTGTAGAGCTTCGTCAGTCGCATCCGCTTACATTGTGTCACGCGTCAAATTCTGAGATAGCTGAAGCGTGGGATGAGGATCAGCATCATAATTCAGATTAATGTGGGTCATCCGCCACTCGAACATGTCGCCGATATGGCATGCATGCATGCTTTGAAGTTCTAGAGCTTCCAAGTTCTTCCAAGAAGGACTTATCAACGTCGTGGTGAGGCTGATTGAGATGTAGAAGTAGGTTAGACTCCCACGTTTGCGATATTACATCGTGCGGGAGGTGCCTTTGGGCCTCCTTGATGACACCGGTGTCAAATTGATGTAATCGTGCGGTGAAGACGCATGGCAATAGAGTGTAGGGAAACAGAGATGCCAAGAAGGATCTGACATCCGGATTCTGAGGCTATATGTGATGCTTAACTCAAAACACTGTAACGGGCTTCCGGCTTTGTTGGAAGCACTCAATGTGCGCCAGTAGATGGCGAGGACAAACCATGCATCAACGGGAATACGCCGTAGACCGTTGGAATATCATGCATCGAAACCACTGGCGTGTTTCGAAACTTCCACGGCGTCGGCGGGTTCGAGTGGTACGTCGATACTAGCATGTGGAACGATGAGGTCGTCAGAGCAAGGTTTGGCGAAGGCTGCGGGGCGTCTTCGCTTGGCTCTTCACTCCGGAGCAGGCGCTAACACTCGTCGAGTAACGCTTGCTTCGCCGCATGGAAATCATCCGCAGACACCAAGCCTTTCCTCTTTCAACCACCAGATTCATCTAACGTTCCTCACGCAGAAAGCCAGTTATGCTACGGCTGACTTTAGCCGCGACCAATGTGGTTAAGCCTGCGTCCTGAGTTGTCCTTTGCGACAACCTTCATATTACAAGGTGTCTGGATCGGCGCCAGCTGATGAAGGCCCCTTGCGCTCACTCACCGGCACTTCAGCCACGCGACTCTTCGCTATGCAAGGCGGATTAAAGTTTGTGTGGGGTATCGCATGGAAAATTGCCGATGGCAGGGGTTGTGTATGTCGAGATATTTCGGCTGAAGTGAGAAGTAAAATACTGTATTGCGGAACGATTGAGGATGTGGAAAGGAAGCACGACTCTGGGTCATGTTGCTGATGAATACAAAGAAGAGGCTGGGTTCTGTTTATTCTGGAGACCAAACGTGCGCGCGCCAAACCTTAGGACGCCGCTAATGTAACTACGAGGTATTCTACCCAGGGCTGCTACTCAACTAGCCATTCGCCCGAAAATTGCCCTTGCCCTACAGACCACCCTCTATAACGAAACAGTTCCGGACGCCCACCGACTCTCGTACTAATTGGTCCCCGCAGGGTGGTATAGCGAGCCAAGCGAGTGGCATCTTCAGCTGGGAGCGAAGAGATCACCAAGCAATCTTGGCAAGCAGACCGTTGGGCCACGTGCGCACACAATACTTTCTTGTCTCATCAAGAATGAGCAGCCCCATACCAAAAGCAGCGGGAAGAAACCAGTGCTCAACGGACACAGTCCTTGTGTCGATGGTATTTTGTAGAGATGGAATGTAGCAGAAGATGAAGACGACAACGATGGCGAAGACCATGGCGGGGAAGAGCGACCAGTTTTGAGTCGCTTTATTGAAAATTGGTGGCTGCTGGAAAATGCTAAGCCTACGGGTGCGAGTAGCAAGCAAGTTGAATAGTTGCCTATCATTGATGTCAGCTGGTACCCTAGTTCACTTGCTCGCTCATACTTACATGATCACCAGTGTGACGAAGTAGATACTTGAAGCCTGGTTCGCGACTTCAGTCACGTAGTCTGGATCGTATTGTTCGTCGTAGACGCCGAACTTCAACCACATTGCCGTGAACGGAACTCCTTGGCGCTCCATCCACCAGAAACTCATTGTGAAGGCCAAGAAACACTGCAGCAAACCGACGAGGAAGTAGGCATGGAAGATGAGTCGAGCGTTGACCAGTCTGTCCTTCTTCGGATTGCGCGGAGGGCGCAGCATCAGATCGGCCTCTGGCTTTTCGTAGGCAAGAGTGATAGCAGCAGCGCAGTCGGTAAGACAGCAAATAATGATCTAGTAAAAGTTAGCTAACAGACTTCCAACGTCTGAACGAGATGTACATACCATAAGGAAAGACGACAAGATCTGCGGAATGCCAAATGCGACGTTGGTAACGACCGGCCACAGCTCACTGAAGCTACCTGCAGGAAGCAAGTACACTATTGTCTTCTTGAGGTTATCGTAGACGAGTCGACCGTACTGGACAGCCTCAACGATGGCGGCGAACGAGTCGAGAAGAACCATGTCAGCAGCTTCGATCGCGATGTCCGAACCACTGCCCATGGCGATACCAATGTCGGCAGCTTTGAGAGACGGAGCGTCATTGACACCATCGCCTGTCATACCGACGATGTTTTCTCGGGCTTGGAACTCCTTGACAATACGGAGCTTCTGCTCAGGCGTCGTCCTAGCGAATACAATCTCCTGATACTGGCAAAGTTGATCCCACTGCGCTACATTCAAGGTGATGAGTTCGGGACCACTCAAGACGATTGATTGCTTGGTAGTGCCAATCTTTCCATCTCGACCGAGAGCGCTGATGTCATCGACCAAAGCAGAGTTCGAAATAATACCGCACTCTTCAGCGATCGCCTGAGCCGTGAGCTTGAAGTCGCCAGTCACCATGAAGATACGGATGGAAGCTCCTCGAAGAATACGTACTACCTCTGGGATCTCGTCACGGGGCGGATCCACGATACCGACGATGCTGACAAACGTGAGACCTTCTCGGGCAGCGACCAACACTTCTTTCTCAGGGTGGCTGGAGAATGGCACAATGGTCGGTTTACGAGCGAGGAGTATGACGCGCTTGCCCTGGCGAGACCAGCTATCTTTGATGGTCTCGATACGGAGGCGTTGGGCCTCAGTAAGCTCTACCTCCTCGCCCTTGTCGTTCAGGAGAAGGTCGCATCGAGGCAGGAGGATGTCAGGAGCTCCTTTGACCATGAGAGTGCTAGATGAAGATCAGCGAGGCTACTTGGCAGCGGGATCCTAAAAGCTCACGCGTTGTTGCTTGTCGGTGTCTGGTTGGTAGGTGTCATAACCCGGACCATGAACTTGTTCTTGCTGTTGAACGCAATCTCGAAGACCTTTTTCCAATCACGGCGCAACTCAGCCACAGAGCCAAGTGTTTCGGAAAGCCGAAGTATGGCTTGGTCCGTCGCATCGCCGTTGATCTTGCGCTCCGCGATGGGCAAATGCGAAGTAGCGGCATCGAATTCACCGGAATTGCAGAGACCACCGAGAACACGGACATAATCCATGATGCTTTGTTTGGGCTTAGAGAGTACCGTGAGGTTCTTCTCAGACCGGAACACCGCCATCATGTCGCGCGCGGCATCCGTGGTATACTCCTCGCCCGCTGCGTAAATATCTGTGACCACCATCTTGTTCTTGGTCAATGTTCCAGTCTTGTCAGAGCAGATCACTGAAACGGAGCCAAGTGTTTCGACAGTCTTGAGTGACTTGCAAAGAATCTTGTTCTTGCGCATGATGTTGGCGACTATGGTCAAGCTCGTCGTGAGTGCGATCGGTAAGCCTTCAGGGATGACTAGAGAAGAAAGAAGAGAAGTCAGCACAGATGAAAGGAGAGTACGGATTGAAGGCCTCATACATGCGACAGCGCACGAAACGCAACTGACAATGAGAAGAGGTACATCGATCCAGGTGGGATGAGATTTCCTCAACCATGCCGCCCTGGAACGCGTGAGTAAAGATCCATCAGTTCATAGACAGCTAGACATAAGCATGTCGCTCGGAACCAACCATAAACATACCAAAGTACAACAATAAGAATTACGACACACGTGATGAACAGAGAGATGATGAGTACAAATCGCAAGATCTCCTTCTGCAGTGGTGTCATGCCAGTTTTTGGATCCGAAGTGAGTTTTGCGATGCGACCGAAGATGGTATTGTCACCAGTGGCAACGCACACGCCCAAGCAGGCGCCTGATATGCAGTGTGTTCCTTGTAAGCCGATATTGTTGGTCTCAAGATAGTTGTCTTCGGTTGCTTCGATAGTAGCTACGACTGGCTCGGATTCACCTAGCGTATGTTAGCCTTCGTACCCAGGTTGTGCACATACTACTGACCAGTAAGGATCGCGCGGTCGAACATGGAATCGCTGGAGATGTCGACAAAACGGACATCGGCGGGCAGCTTGTTGCCCTGCTTGATAACAATGACATCGCCGGGCACCAGGTCCAATGCCGAGATGCTAACATGTGATCCATTGCGCACAACGATGCACTGATCAGGTAGCATTGTTCCGATAGATGCCATCACTCTGCTTGTCGACCAGTCTTGCCATGCATTGAAAGCGGCTTGAAGAAGCCAGACAGCGATCAATACACATGCAAGCGCCAAGTTCGCGACAGCTGGCGGGTTACCGAGAGGCTTCCAAGCAACGAACACGAGTATACCGGCAACGACGAGAATGCTGCCGAAGCCACCGAAAAAGTAGCCTATGATCTTCCCAAGCAGACCCGAGGGTGGCGGTGTCATTTTGTTCTGGCCGTGTTCGCTGAGGCGACGCTTTGTCTGATCTTCGGAAAGCCCCTGCTCAATATCGACTGAGAGGCGGCGGCACAGCTCGTGGACGGCAAGTGTGTGCCATTCGAGGTCTGCTAGGTCTGTAGAGACGTATTTAGTACCAATAGATGTGCTATCCTTGAGTAAACTTACCAACGGCAGCCTTCTCCTTGGCTTTCTTCACCTCGATCTGCTTCTTATGTTGACCTTCATCGATCTCGATAGAGAGCGTACGGTCTAAGTGTTGGTTTGTGGGGTCAGTGTATGTCTTAAATGTGGTCCATATGGAAGCATTGCTCACAAGTGATGGGAAGCGCAGTCTCGGGTTGAACAGTGCGAGCTCCTCCGGCACTGCGGATGGACAGACTGCCCACACTTGACCGTCGCGACAAGTTGCGCTCATGGCGACGTTCGTGCGTCGTGTATCCATCTTCCTCGTCAGGAAGGCGTAGCTCTCCGAAACGGACGCGAGGTGCGACCTTTTCTTCTTGATCCATGTACGGACGTGTCGATGAAGCGGACTAGACACCGGATGGAGCACTACAAGAAAACGTGCCAGGAAGAGGTAGAGACGAGCCAGGAAGCAAGAATAATGGTACCACAGAATTCAACGATGCATGGAGCGCGACTTATACTGTGACAAGTAGGCAGACCACTTGCCGTCTTGACAAGCAGCGTGGCTCTAGCAGCTCTGGCAGCGCGTCAAACACGTGCTTGTTCGCTCTAGGAGGCGTTTCCAGGACGTAAAAGATCCATCGAGAGCTCAGCTACGTGAGATTACACCAACAGTGTGGAACAAGATCTTTCACCTCTTTGTCATAGTCAAGGTGAAGCGATTCGACGCACAAATACCTCATACAGTCCAAGACAGGACCAGGGTCCTGCAACAGGTAAATCGTAACCTCCAGAGGTATCCCGCCAGACCTTTTTCCACGTGAGCAGGATATTCCATTAGCGATAGTGTTGTTCGGCGCCGTTGATGGTTAGCCGTGAGCGATTTTCGAACTCTTACACAGCCACGCTACGATGCACGAAATCAAGCTTCTGCCGGTTCAGCCTATGACCATGCGCGATTTTCAACCTCACTATTTTTTGAATCTTGTCATTTCGTTTCAAAAAGAGATGAACATGGCTTTTTGGCGTTTTGTTGATGCTTTGCAGTGGTGAGCAGCTGCCTGTTGAAGCAACCCAGGTTTGTGGGCATTCTCAAGTCCCGCCGGCACGTTTAAGGCCTAACGATAGCGTCGTATCAGAGGCTACATGAACAAGCGTTATATGCATGCCTCGAGGGACCTTGACGACAACGTGGAGAATTGAAATCGATCTCGAAATGGTTCGTGCCATCTACGCCTTTCTCAATGCTCAGTTGAGGGCCCCAGACAATCGCGGGGTGTGCACGTGAATCATCATTTATGCAGGCTGGATGCGCGGCGAGACTATATGGAAAGTCATGAAGTCGATTAACAAGTCATCAGATATTAGGCAGAGCTGGACGTGGCAACAGCAGATGCTCGTTCATAGAAAGGGGTGGGTTTTGTCTGTGCGCAACGGAGCCCCCAAGCCAAGAGACGCCCAGCACGCCAGGGCGCGAAGCTTACCACCGCGTATGACGTCCCTTTCGCGATGAATTCCCACCGCACGAATGGACCGTCACAGGAACCTCCGAATGTGTCAATGGCACACCCTCTCCCTAAGGGGGACACAGATTCGACAATCTTCGCATTCCGCTGATACATTTACCTATACGCCCCCATGAGTACCAGCGTTTTTGCGGTATCCTTCTCGCCAGCCATCGCTCAAGCCCTTGGCATAGAAAGTGATCCAAATTGTATACCTCTCGAAATATTTTTCGCCATACCTACGTATCTCGTGGCGTCCCTTTTCTACCCCATGAACCGAGTCGAACCTATCTCCGAGCGGTCGATCCGCTTCCCGCGCAGACAACCTCTACCTTGCACGCATAATCGCAACCTACGGTCGATTATTCGATACACCATACAATGATATACGCTACATGAAGGACGTACTCTGATGTTGATCAATCCATCGGCGAACGTCCTGTTGGGACAAAAAAACGGCGGTCGAACTTTCTGGTCGCCTTGCTGTGGATTGTTTCTCACTGCTCGAGTTTTGTTACATCTTTGGAACTCCATGTTGATCAAGATATGGAGCATGTGACTCGGTATTATTGATGCTGATTTTGCAAGCAGATTCTTTGGATAGTAGGAAGCTTTACTTGGGGTCTCATCAAATGACTACATACACTTCAGATATACGATAGTGGTTCTAGCGATTGGTCTTTCGGCCAGGTCATTCCTCTCGTCCTCCTCGCAGCTCTCTTGCTTACCATCTTTGAACCTTTCTTCGAAGGTATATACTTTCCCCTTGTTGAGAAAAGACATAATGTTGATTGTCCTAGCCGAACAATCCACCAACACCCTTTCGACAGCGCTTTTGCAGATTTCTACTACCTAATCGCAGTTCGATCATGGCAACGCCTCGTCGGATACGCCGCTCCAGGAACGCAATCATTCAGATCAAGATTTCTACCAGAATTCCAGCTGGACCCACTCATTGATCTATACTATGGTTGCCTATGCCATTGTAGTCACGACGGAGGTACTAGTGTTTAGTAGTTTGGGCAATGCGAACTTGGTCGCGCTCTTGATTCCCATCTCACCTTTTCTGTCATACCTTCCTATCTATACAGCTCTAACCATCTGGGTGTTCATCATGCTTTCCATGCTTTTCGCAGAAGTCCGGTCGTACTTCTCTCATTCTCGAATCAGCATATCACATCGCTATACTGATACACCCCACCGCAGCTAGTCTCCTTCGTAATCACAAACAAATCAGTTTTCTTACAACTCTTTCTACTAACCATAGACTTGTTCCGCCAGAACTGGCTCAATCTTCTAATCATCACTCACTACCGACACTGCACTCGCGGTGCTCCACTAGCGACCTCTTCAATCTTTGTGGTTATTAACATCATGTTCAGCACTCCTATCCTGTCGTTCCACGGCCTTGGCTTTCCTGCATGCTTCCATCCAACACTCTTCAGCCTTTTGCAATCCCTGAACAATCAGATCCGAAGGACACTCCTCCGTAGACCAATCTTTGGGTGTAACGTTACCGATTTTGGCTGGCATATTATCAGGCATGTTGAGAAGGTCTTGAAGCCACTTCTCAACTTTGCGGTTCTCGGGGACGTAGAGGTTCATGGATTTACCAGGAATCGCGGTTGCCGCCCAAGGTAGCTTGCGCCATCCTGACCACAACTCGGGATGAACGAAGGTGTTTGTGTTCGAATTTTCTGGCCGGGCGTCGAATTATTTCAAGGTCGACATAAACACATTGATGACGAGTTTGTTGAGGTGAGGGATAGCGACCAGCGTGTTGATGGTACGATCGAAGTGCCACGGGATCTGCCGGGAATAATGACAGTTTTCGCCTTCCCAAAACTCCATGTCGATGTTTATCTTGCGCATGAGTACTAGGGGACGGACGCCGTAGCGAACAGAGCCATCACGCGCTCTGGACCAACTCATAAGCTCGAAGAAGTGATGTGCTGGTTGAAAGTGATATGTACGAGTCCAAAAATTCGACCCCGAAAAATGGTAGCTGCCGCCATCCTTAACCTCGAAGTAGTTTTCCCCATAGAAGATAGGCTTGCCAATCTCGTACCTAAGTTTGTTGACTGCGAGCAGCGCAAGTATGACTACAGAAGGTTCGAGCGCCCAATGATAGCTGAATATCTCGGTAGAACTGGATCCAGCGTCCGGAGGAATCACAAACTTTGGTACTTTTACATACGGAGCAAACCTGTATGTAGTATGCTCCATCTGCTTCTTGTCATCTTTGCAGAGATCGTCTGACCAGGTCCTGTCGTTATAGGTACTGGCTGCAATGCTCAATTTACTCGGGAACACCAGCACCAGCCGTGCGATCTTAGACTTGAGTTCTGCGGGAAGCGCGCTTAACCGGTCGCGTGGCGGGCCTGCGCGTTGGATGTTCGTATTGGTATCGTCAGCAGGCTGAATGCGATGGAAACTGGCAAACGCGACGTTCTCCATTCCTGGTGGAAGTGTGTGGACGCACATGACTGGTCCAGATCCCGACTCGAGGCGGTCTAAGATCTCCTCCTCTGCATCATAGCACCAATCGTCAACGTTCGCGCCATAGTCCCTGTTGTGACGGCCCTCACCTTCTCGGTCCTTTTCTTCTTCTGCGATCTCCGCGCCAACTTTGAGTGCCCATGCCGACAAGACATCCTTGTTGCTTGTTTGGACCCGAGCTTTGGGTGCCGCTCTGAGTTCATGATAGTCTTCGGGTGGAAACATGACTTCGAATTGCGTCTTCTCTTTACTGAAGTAAGCGTCAATGTCTTCCAGTAGCTGCTTGGCGTGAGCCTCCTGTCCCGTCCCGTTTTGAAGAAGCGCTTGCTGCATATAGGGCATATGGGAAGCACGGTGGAGGATCTCTGCTTTAGTCGCTTGTCGAGATTCATCCATCATGAGCATAACGGCAATCATCTCACGGGTTGTGGACGCTATCGGTTTGTCCTTCATGAACAACATGTTGTTCAGGAAGGCGCCTAGTTGGGAGTTCAGCTTCAACGTCTGCGCGCGGAAGTCGCCATCGGGAGGTGCGCCAGGAAGGAATGTGTCGAATGCCTCGGCACTAAAGTACTATTGGAATACAAGATCGGTATGCGCCGACATCTTGAGGAGTTTTCGAGCCGGAGGATTCTGGAGGAGGTATGTGACGGATACTGTCGCGGGCGTATGGATCAAACTGGTGGAGAGTCGGGAACGCATTCGACTTGGGAGGATGTCTGCCCTGCGGCGCTTTCTTACTCGTGTCAGTCACTGCCGCCAGTTGATAAGCTTTCTGTGGTAGCACCTCGTACACTGTTTGTCTATGCCTCGCTGATTGCGAAGCTACACAGGTAGTGCACTGACCGGTCGCAAGAGCGGTATACGCTGGCTCGTTCTGCGTATGTGAAAAGTCGTAACGGTGTGACCTTTGCCTGCTTGCTTGACGGACTCAACTCTGGGATAGATGACTAAATAAGTCAAAATGAAAACTCTTTGTGGTGTGGCTACGCGAAGTGTACCTCGTCTACGTAAGTGAACTCTCACTTCTGGGAGTACACCTGGACACTGCCGACCCCTGTCTGAAACGCCAGCCTGTATCCACTCAAGAGAAACGAAAATTGTCGACTAACAGACTCAAGATTCCGTCTTTATAGTCAGACATTCGGCACGGTGACTGATCGGGTACATGATGGATTTAGTAACTTCTTGCCATATGCTGTCACGGGACGGTCGCGATAGCATTGATGAACATAAAGGAACAAGGAGCTTACATGTTATGCCTTCCAGTGACAGCCCACGACTTAAAACTATGCAACTATTATGGTTTGGCATGTCAATCCTTTTCTTGTATAATGGTCCTTTTTACTGCGCTTACTCATCATCGCTTCATGCTTGTGGCATGTAAGGCTTTATGTAAGATTCGCATCTTGACATCCAACATTCTAAGCTCATTCAGCTATGTGGAATGACAAGCGCGCCGAGTGAGCCGCACACTTGAAGATGTAAATATGTCTACAATCTGTCGGTTCTAATGGTGGCCTTCTTTGTTAGCGGCTCATAGATACTGCTGAGAAGCCATGCACTTCCGGATGGACAGCTCATCGATGTTCGTTCGCTGGAACCAGACTCTGCTTTTTTTTTAATTTGTTCATCTGGCTCCACTTTCTTGTTTGTGGAGAGAGGACATTTCGGCGTGTGTGATACGCGTCATGGCGAAATGAAAGCCCACATCCGCGATACACCCACGACCTTCGAGGCTTCCAGCCTTGTGACCCCACTTGACTACCACCATCTTCGATACTAGCACACCCAGAATTTTGCGAGCCACACAGTTCAAGGTATATTAACCTCATCAGTCGCTTCGCGAAACGACGTTTTGTTAACAAAGATACAAAAAGTCACCAAGCATAACGATACCTCGTCAAGGACGCCCGCCTGCAAGCACTACAGTTCGCAAACGCGGACTTCTGCTCTTTTTCTTGATCTCTCCGGGTTTCGTTCTCTCTACCCCCTCTTGTAGATACTTCCTCGCACTGTCCATTGCGACGCCCGATATGAGTGGTGTCCCGATGTTCAACTCGACTCCCTTGGTATACTATCGCGTAATGACAGTGGAATCTGCAACCAACAACGAGACCATCGTAAACACGCAGGCCGTTGGCGCGCTGCCGATAGCCATGGCCGCTAGCGCTATATTCGTGGCTTCCCCGGCTCACGTTCTGTCAACCCCAGTCAGTGAAGTCTTTTAGCAGCGAAAGTCCTCCAGCTTACAAAAAGCGCAGAGTATGACGACGGCTAACTCCCTGTCTAATCGCAAGATGCTCACCGTCCCCCGCATTCGAATGGGCAACAGTCGGCTCTCCTCTCCAACGACAACATTTTTTGGTAGTACGTCTACTAGACAAGCTTCTTTCTCAACGGCTGCTGTCGACGGCATTCATAACACGCCTTCGCCTTCTCCCGAGTCGGCTTTTATGGCCACTGACACGCATTCTATCCGTCGATCGCCGGCCATGTCCCAGTCCTCTTTGTTCGACGAGCTTCAGGGACGATCTGGAAGACTACTTAATATCCCTGGAAACTACGACATGTTGGGTTCGGACGGCGAAGATTGCGACTTGGAGAAGCCTCAGCAGCAAGGCTACTCAGACGATATGATCTGGGTTCGGTTTCCACCGGCGTCTGCCTCAGATCTTCCCGAGGGCATACAAACTGTAAGATCAAAACTGTTTAGCGTCTTACAACCCACTGACAGCGACTAGTACGAGCGGTCAAGGTTCATCATTGATCCAACAGTGATTGATCCGTGTATCGGCATGTCCTTACCAGTGGTGGGCATGAACCTTGCTTTGCAAACATGTATAGCACCTCAACCTCTTGCCTCTTCGCATATCGCCTCGACGGTCAACAATGCAATGCCGTCGCAGATCAGCGCATCTGTCAACCCTGGTTTCGAAATTGAGAAGCTACCCGAGGAGCTGTTACTTGAAGTAATGGGGCATGCTTTTGTTTTCCCAGGCCAAGAAATTCGGGTGAGTAATATGAATCACCAATCAGGAGAGCCCGAACTCGAGGTCAGGAAAGTAGGTCAGCCAAATGAGGACGTCATCCCGCTACCACCATTAAACAAGCTTCTGGCTATGGATGAAGCATCGATCTATTGGCGACTGCGGAGCCCAGCTTTGAACCACTTCTTTCGATACAACGTCTTCGACCTAACCTCTCGTAACAGCCTGAAATGGATCAAAGGCCTTCCTCCACATTATCGAGGGCAAGTAACTCATGTCGTTTTGTCCTTCAATTTGGGTTCAGTCGACAACCCAAGGCAGCAAAACATTTACAGCAGACAGCTGGTCGGACTCGTTGGCGAGAGCACCAACCTGCGGACGATTAAGATCAAAGTGCGAGATTTTGCAGGCAGGAGGCATCGTACACCCGCCGAACTAGAGTGGTTGTTTCGTCAGATGCCTGGACTCGACTTGCTTACCCACCTTCGGGGTGTTGGAGAGCTCGTGGTAGACGCTCCGTTCCAGATCGCACCGACCCAAATTCGTCGTCTAGAACGGTGCCTAGCAAAGCCTAAAGGAAGACAAGGGACTTCCAACGATCCCTATTCATATCCAGCTCTAGCTTTATCACCACGGAGCAGTAATACTCTTAGGCAGAGGAATGTGTTGGACTTGGACAGCGAACTCGATGCTTACGGTCGTATCTCCACGGATTTCGGAACAAAGACATTGAAGGCAATTGAGCTGGAACGTTTGAGGCGGCTTGATTGGAGGAATCCGGACGAATAGTACGCTCTGAGTCGGTAGCTGGGGTTACTAGCTGCATTGTCTCCGTGGCTGTGGTCGGAGCTTTTTGCACAGTTTCAAAGTGCTGGATGTTCTAGACCGTCTGTTCTAATCAAACAACGATACAGATAACTTCTTGCCTCTGCAAACCGTATTTACATATTATCTTTGGCTAACCGTAGGCAATCAACCCTGAACAGATCAATCGTGATGCCGTAGTAACTGTTGCCGAACAACATCCAAAAGATGCCCCAAAACTACAGAAGTTATTGATATCTTTCTGTGAATGGTGCGTATGCCATGTTGAGTGAAATGAGCCTCTCTTCCTTCATCTCTGAGCTAAGAGCTCAGGCACAAGTACCAACTGCTCTTCGGTTCAGGCGTTTTCTTCTGATTTCCTGAATCTTTGCGTATCTTCGTTGGTCACTTGGAATTGCGCTTCTTCCGTACGCTAAGAGTGATCCATAGACTGGAACGTTCCTTTGGTGTCGTTAAAGCTGTCTGCAGTCACCTCCGCCACAGCCCTCCGCCAAAGCAGTCCAATCTTCTCAGATTCTGCCCACAACTCTCTTTGTCGCGACTTTGCTGACATCGAAGATATTCCAGAACCGACACTTGCGAAGATCCACTCATCGCCTTGGCTGAGTCTGCGCCGCCTTCTACTACTAAAGCTGCCGCTGGAGCCATCTTGCCGCGTATCTGCCCTCGTAGTAAGAGCATCGTTTTCACCAGTCTCGCCACCACTGCCTTGCTTGTCGCCCGGTTCCAAGCTCAGCCGCCATACCCGGTCGAGTATCTCCATGAGTAGCAATCTCGTGACGGCTCCAACTCCCGCGCCACAGTATGTATACAGCACATCTCACGATACTTGTTTTTATCTGACGGATTGTAGATGCCGTCTTCCTCCTCGCCATCTTCGACAGTTGCCGATCAGTTCGAAAATGACCACGTCGCTGTCGCCGCTACCATCCTGCCGACGCCCGCAGGCACGAACCAGCCTCGTCCCCTGTTCCTCGATTTGCCCACCGAGATCCACATCGAGATATTCAAGCACGTATTAGTCGAGGGGGATAAGCTATATCCATATCCGCATACTACAAGATATACGCGCGCTGAACCTAGGCTCGAGACGTGACCACGCGGCTACTACAACCATATGGTGAACGAATCAACATTTCTCAAGCCCATGGCTGAGGTCTTAGAGCTAGGCTTGGTGGCGAAGGCGCTGCTGCCAATCGTGCGAGAGGTCTTCTTTGGACACAACTGCTTCGACTTGGGGACGTATCAGAGGTGGACAAGAGGCATCCATCCAAATCTCCAAGTTCTCATCCACGACGTCGAGACTAGCCTCACAAACTGTCTCTCCGCGTAAGACTGTAAAAGACTTTTTCCACGTTCAAATCCAGATCAGGAGGCTACATGTATCAATCGGCAACTTGGAGTTCGAGGAACATCACTTCCGGTTGCAGAAGCAATCAGGAAAGAAGACGCCTCCTCGAGAACAGGTTTTCCGAAATGCTCCTGAAGTTCGCGCTCTAACCCGAAAGCGCGTCACTGGGAAAGTAACTGTCGAATTTATGTATGAAGATGAGCTGCTCAGCCTGCCAGGTTGGTTGTTGGCCCAAGTAGCTTGGCTCAAACATGCCATAGAGCAGAACTAGGAATGTGAAGGCCCTGGAATAGATGAGGATTTTGCATAGCCTGCAGCCAGACAGTATCTCCTCTTTAATCAGAGTAGTTTCAAACATTGCAACTACACCAAGATGTTGTCTCTGGACAACTAGAAAACTTCCTTGTGGTATCGCAAGTTCCGGAATGTCACTAGTGATCTTGTTCGGTCGAACGCATTTCTTGAAAGCCTCGAAATCGACCATGCTCGTGCCTGGACGTTTCCTTTGACTGACGAATTTTTGGAAATCATCCCCTCTCACCATCACTCCCTTAATCCTCTTCGAGCACTGCCTAAGTGACCGTTCGCTAACGACGCTAGCTCGCTCATAGTCTTGGCGGGGAGGTCAAAAGTTACAACAACTCTGTCTCACTTCCCCTCTTCTTAGCAAACCAAAATCGCATAATCATCAACATGCGGTTTGGTCCCTCCCAGTCAGACGCCTCTCTTTCGGCCCATGGGCTTGACCAACCTTCTCTTGACATCCTTGCTGAGCAGGAAGACTTCATCTCCGAGAGCGATGCGGCTAATATGTTCAACGATGCTCCTGAGGACGTGAAAGCGTATATCAACGCTATCATAGATCAAAGAGAAGCTGGATACGGTCTTGACCTCTTCCCACCGTCCGTTGTCTCGGAGACCGCAGAGTTTCCAAGTCCTCGTCGTCGGCAGCAACCCTCGGCGTCTCCCCCCAAACCGCCTACTCCTCCGCCTCCTCCATCCCCGCCTTATCCTGGTGCGTGGGATCGTGGTCGTACCTGCGTGGTCAATGCAACCAATACGTATTGGTCGTATGGAAGGGAACCTGGTGTAGGTACCACCTGCTCCCCATCTCACTCAACCGTATACTAATATATTGCAGCATAGTCAAAGCTCAGATGACGGCCTCGCGGACGGCGAGCGGGTTTACACGAGGCAGCCGAACGGCAGTTATCGCTGGGCAGTCTTCAGACAGCAGGCTCGGAGCACGCTGGCGGCACAGTCGCGACTCGACCAGATGGTGATAGCCGTCGGCGGCGACCCTGCGTCCTTCAGGACCAGGCTAGCCAAGGCTGACTACGTCCTGGCTTGGGAGGAACCTATCGGTGTTGTCCACAAGGAGGACGACGAAGAGATGTTCTCGGTTTCGTTCCCGATCTACTTGGGCCAGCCAGCGTCCGGTTTCTTCTGGGGGGTGGGACAGTTGGCTAACGGCACGCTGACGATGGCGGCGTCGACCCAGGATGAGATGGAGCGGGCTTGATAAGTCTGGATGCGTGGGCATCGGACTGACGAGGCTTTGAGGTTGGTGTGCGTGGTCGCTAGACCGTCGATGAAAGACGTCTTGTGGGTGAAGGAGCTGGTCGCTTGACACCAGATGAACCAAGCATGAATGAAGACATATCCCCCTGCAAAATCTCTTCCCTACCAACATGCCTCATGGCTATCTCTTCAAGCGGCTCTACTCTACTGTAGAGCTCTGCCTTGACTCTTCAGGTATAGACGATGACAGATTACGCTATCAGTCTGAAGTGCTCCCAACTCTTCCTTTGATACATTCTACACAGATCTAGAAGCTTGAGAATCGTTCAAGATGTTGGAATCATCATGGCTAAACGCTTGGGCCTCATAATTTGGCGTGATGTTGATTTTCGTCCAGTGCGTTGGTCTCTCGCTTTCGACAATCACCGCATCAAAACTTGCTCTTCCTCCACGTCGGACCGCAACACACGAAAAGATCTTTGTAATCTTCCGTCCTCTTTCTCCAGCCATAAAGGACTGCAATTGAGCTATTCACAAGCGGAATACCATCGGCGCTGTATACTGTGCTTGTAGGCTCTCTGTTATGACAATGCTTACCCCACTCGACTCCTGCATGCGGAGACCGCGCCTGCACCCTTTCAACCAAAGAGAGAAGCTCGCCATGCCGTGTTCTCCCTGCGGGTCGACCGTTATATCCAGGTTCATCGCGCTAACAGTCTGTCAGCTCCCGCTCAAACCGATACGGCCAGACCAGAGCTGACTGCTGCATTTTGAACGCGCTCGGCAGCTCGAAGCATCCATACCGCAATGTCTCGTCGTAATGCTGACATACACCAACGGAGTTATTACATCATCGTAGAGTACTGGGCCACGAGGCACCACGTTCCAGGATTCCTTCTCGCGCCTGCCGGAGGTGGCCACGCGCATCATGAAGCACAATTACAACTACCATATCCGGGGTAAGCTTCTTCTGGGTTACATAAAATATGAAGATACTCCGGGCTTCGCACGCCATCGCCATCGTGTTTTTGAAAGTACACTGGCCTGAAGTGGAATGAATACTGCGAGGTCTAGGGGCGTTGGAGCAGCCGTGAATGATGATTGTAGCAGACATATGGTCCAAGGTTTGACAGTATTGACGGTAATTCAGCAGCTTGAAAAGTGGAAAAGCCACAGGAAGATACATAGGGATGTGGCACGATCCGCTGCAGTTTGACTCAAGAATGCCAGTTATTCCAACCTCAATTCTAGAAACTGCGTGTGTGATGTGGAGGAAGCCAGAGATTGGTGTACGACTCTTGAGATGTGTGGTGCCTAGTCCATAAGCCGTAACACTGGCGTGCTTATTGTAAGAAAACTGCATGTTCTACTCTTGTAAAGTGCTGTCCTGTGTTCCAGCTTGCCGCACACGTTGGGGATAATGTGCCAGCGTCTTTTGACAAGTTGCATCTCGCAATTCGATGATCGTAGAAGCTGGTCTCTCATCTCCCTCTGGACGCCAGGGATGAGATAATGAATCTCGTAAGACCTCGGCATCCCAATCATCGTCAGAAAGGAGCGTCGACATGACTGTACGCCTCGCAAGCCCACAGTCCTTCAACTACAGACTGGGCCATCGGTAGTGTGGACATAAAAATATCCAACCCATGCGGTACTGTTCTGGTGTGGCGACTCTCAAGTTTGGTGTTCGCCTATGCCCGTCTCTCCCGACCTCTGGCTCCAAACTCTTGATAACTTCACCACACAACTGCCACAGAAGACAAGCACCTTCTTCTTAGACGCAAAGTCGATAGTTCCCCGTACGCACAACTCTCGCGAACACTGCGAGACATTCATAGGCATTTCAGCGCCATCAGCTACCTCCGCAGTTCCGTGCTCCCAGCGCGCTTCAATACGGACATTGCCAACGACGGTGACGGCGACGACGACAGCAACATCCACCACGATAGCTCTTCTATCCGGCCTCGAACACCTCCAAAGGGCTTGCGACGATGCTAAAGACCACATCAACATTGCCTGCAACTTCTGCGACCACGCCTTGTCGCGAAATCTGACCAAGTGCGATCACGAGACGGACCACCTCTTCTGCAAGCCCCCCTGACAGTTCTGAAAGCAGATTCTGGACTCCATCTGAGATCTGGAGGACTACTTCAGACATATCCGTGTCACTTCGCCGGGTGTACAAGGCTAGGTCATCGTGAAAGGTAGGCATCCTCGACTACAGGGACACTCCCACACAGCTTTGCCAGCATACCGTCGCACCGACGACAGCATCGCTGATCGCTATAGGTAGCATTCGCAGCTATTCAAGCGACACTGGGCTGGTGTTCGGATCCACAAATGTCATACTATCTGCCAACAACCGTATCGGCTGAAGTCAGTTACCCACCGGGGCCCGACTGTAGTTATATGTCAAGCGTGCGTGCTGACGGTCGTCTTCGCAAGCGAAATAACGCAACGACTCTGCAGTCGACTCAACCGCCACGAAGAGAATCTGACATCGCTTTTTACACACTCAAGCCAAAGGCAACCATGGGCAGTCTCCAAGACCATAGAACTCTTCCCGCTCTCAGTCATGAAGAGTGGCCAATGCTGCCTCGTAAGTCGTCGTCGGGAGAGGTGCTGGCATCGCTAACAGATCCAGCTTCAACACCAGTCTTCAATCCTCCAGCTAAGCCTAGTAAGAAATTTCGGCGTCGCTCCCGTTCCTCAATCACGGACATCCACGTCAAACCGGGGGATTCGAAAATTACAACATCGCACAAATATCCCTGCCGTACCGTATCAGGAGAGGAGCGTGTCTGGAGAACCGGACAGGATGCCATGACCTATAACGCATGGCTAGCGAAAGAGAAAGAGCTAGACAATGCCTTTCGCATCTGGAAAGAGACAGGCAACGGCAAACGTGAGATCGCGGAGGTTTATGCTCGCTTTCCAGGTTTGCGGCTTACATCCATGGGTTCTGACGATGTTTCCTGGTTTGTGAGGGAGATGTCTACCCCAGGTACACTATTGCGCAAGATGTGGGACGATTCCACCAGCAACAAAGACACCGAATCCGGCTTTTCCGTAATACAGATGAAGCTTTTGCTACTCTTGACATCCCCTGAGCGATGTCTTGGTCCCACCGCGATGTGGTGCGAGTGGGAACACTTGTTTCCCTTCTACCGTGGAAGAACAGATTTGCTGTGGAGTATGGTTTATTCAGGCGGTCCCATCTTCAGGGACGATGAGCAAACAAATGGCTACCACTGTCTTTTCCCCCACTACGGATACTTGGAAGGTAACATTCTTAGTTGGCCTGTTCGACCCAATTGTGCAGTGGATGTCTTACCATTTCGGTATCATCAGGCCATCACTCTTCCACCGGGTGAGGAGAGTATGATCTTCACGAACCGTTACGAGCTGCATGAGCAGCTGTACCGTGATGCACCACCATACATTGCAGAGAGCTGCATATATCCAGGAAAGACTGCGAATGGTCTATCCGACATGCCAGCAGAATTACTCAACAAGATCTTCAAGAATGTGGGTTTGTTCGAAGGCCCGGTGCTCATGGCACTAAGTTTCCGGATTCATAGCGATGATCGTATATGTTTTCGCTGTCGACTGGTGCCTCCAAGCCACCGTGCCTGGGTCGGAGGTATAGCGAACTATGACTGGACAGTATCCGATCTTGATTTCGAGAGAATTCCCAAGGTTCTGTATCTGCGTCACGTCTGCCGCATTTGGGGCGACATGATCCTCGACGTATTCTTTCAGAACACTTTCGTCTTCCAGTACGAGCGAGCTAATCTCATGGCAGATTCAAGGTCCCAGGACTTATGGATCATTTCTACATCCATGAGAGAGGACCGATACAACCTAGCCAATTTCAATATCCGTTTCATCCCTGTCATGGAAAACGAGGTGACACGACCGCTAGTAGAGGCTGACGGCATTGGCTTTACATACGAAGAAGAATCGGTTCACCTCGGAGCCAGCTGTGACGCAGACAGAATGGTCTTTGGCACTGACTCTCCTTGGTACCGAATTTCTGATAGGACCAAGATCAACGATCAATTATTCCGGGATAGTAATAGTCAGCTGATTGTGCGAGCATTCCGACTAAGATTCAATATTGGTACTCCCATAACAGAGCTTTCCACGCAATGGGTCTCGGACATTTTCCAATGCTTGCATCAGAGAGGCATCGCAGGCAAGCAGGATAGCGGTAACACCTTGGTGCTCGGTCGAAATGCCGAAAGCAAATGAGTTGGTCGATCCACGGGGTAATGCTCAACATTCCTTTGTCAAGAGGTGCAGCGTAAGTGCCCAACCCTTCCTGGTGCCTCTTCAACTAACACAAGCAAAGTCGACGGGGTTTTTGCATGAAACACGACGGTGTCTCATGTCGAGACTGAGTCTGCAAGATATCGATAGAGCTTGCTCGCCACGTAGGTTGGATGGACAGTCGTCTGTGTAATAGTTCTTTGTGGATCTTCCGCTTAGCGACTATCCCGGGTTGTGTGCAGGTATACCAAACTGGCAATTCTCCAATGCTTTCCGCCGGATGTCCGTATGAGAGTCTAACCATCATTGAGCCCTCTCTTTTCGTAGATGTAAATGCTTCGATGCTAATCGTAACTAGTTTCAGAGCTCTGTGGTCTCGAGATGACTTCAAAAGTTCCTCGATCCCTCGCTATCTCGACGCAACTGCCAGTGTACCGTCATCTGTTCGAGCGTCAAGATGATTCACGACGATAGTAGCGACAGGGGCCAAAGCTTTGGGTCGTGATGAGCTTGGCCGTTAGCTCCACTCCTTTTCGTCAGATTTTCAGACAACATCTGTGTATGGCTTAGTGATCATTTCCAGAAATCCGGGTTCTTAGCGATCAACCATGTCGACTGCATGGAGGTTGTGATCATAATGCATGTCTGTCGGAGTGCTTAGCGGACGTGTCGGTGGCGATAATGGCTTTGAGTCGGATCGATGATCGGTGTGCGGCGAGAAAGAGGCAATTTCTATCACACAACAACCTTCGGTGCGGCCCGAGGTGGTCATCAAGTCAGCAAAGTCGCCCTTTCCTAGAGTGTAGGAGCGTATACCTGAGTATTGTCTGCCTTGCAGACAGGCTTGTCCTACCAAACCGATCGTGGTCTATCCTTTCTTAAAACAATTAGAAGGGCAAATGTAGGGATCATCTGCGATAGAAGGTTGTTCGGCCCGAGCGTCGGAGAATTGAGCTGCTTTGCTGAGGCTTTGCGGCGGCCGCCAGGCTTCCTTTGCAGCAGAACGCGTGCTCTCTGAAGACACAAGCAATCCAAAGGAGACGTCTCTGCGCCGTGATTCTTGGAAGTGCTCAGCCCGAGTTGAAGATCGAGGGGAGGAGAGCTGATAGTGAGGCCAAGTCCGCCTATTTCCTGAAGCCAGGCTCGCGTACAACGCCCTTGCGATTGAGATAGCCCAGAAAGTCAGAGAGATGCGATAGTGAGCCTGCTCTAAGGTTGCTCGACACCCTGCTCTGTCAGCAAATGGCGAAGCCGTCCTTGCCCGATCGTGAAGAAACTGGACGGCCTGCCTCGACACCCGATAGACATAGGCAGGTCGGGCAGGTCGGGCAGGTCGACAGGCATGTCTTACTTCAGCCTTGCGCTTGCATCGCTGCGTCTATCCCGATAGTAGAGGTCGGAAAGGTCGAATTGAATTGAAGGAAAAGTGAGCAGTTGTTCGTCGTGATAGACAATGAACTTCGAATTGAGCCATCGCCAAAGCTTCAGCCTCCTTCGCACTAACGATTATTCACAGCCGCGCTCAAAGATTACAAACCAACCATCACGTCTAAATTACCTCGATCTAAATCCTAATGTCATCCACTGCAAGCTCAAACGATGATAAAGCAGGTTTCGCCGCCGCTCGCGTCAATCATTACGCAACGCTCTACGCTTCTTGTCCTGCAGATCAGCATACGAGCAACCAACGCACCTGTGTATGGGGATGGCGCAGAGTTGTCGCAGTCCAGTCGTCCAGGGCTATCCAGACAAGCGACCTACTAGAGTCCCCCACAAGAGATACATCGTCGAGCAGCGCGACGCCATGGTAGCCAGGACGAAATTGTGGAGCGTACGAAGGATATATAGATCTCAAGAGCGTCGAAGATTAGATAGCTCAGGAGGTCGTTGGATATCTCTTGGCCACCAGTTGCAAGACGATGATGTCGCGAAGACCCTCAGGAGGCATCGAAAAGATACATGATGACCATACAAAACAGGCTAGATGCAGACTACAAAGCAAGGATTTGGACGTTAAGAGAGCACGCGAAAATGACGTGAAGATACTCAGAGCAGATACGTTGTGTGAGACATGTCGGAGGTGCCCGTCCTACAAGAGATGGGATGAAGTCAGAAGGTTGGGAAGCTACCCCACCAAGTTTTGGAAGCTCCCCACTGCGCGCTAGAGAGACCCCTACCTCCGATGCAGGCCGACCGAGTCACCGATAGCTCTCCCAAAAATTGCGACTTAACAATTGTCATTCTAATAACAACAACATCACAATGGCAACCGTACCTGACTACTCACGACCGACTACGCCTGACAATGGCCCCAATGGTCTTGTCTCACCTCGCACACCGAAGACAGGCCTCGCTCTTACCGAGTACAGCGCAAACCCGAGTCCGCCTTCCGAATCGAACATTTCACGAACCAACCATGTCATACCCGAAGCGTTTCTTCTGCCCAACGGCCACCCCGACTATCTCCGTCTGATCCTCACTTCGCGCGTCTACGAAGCTGTTCAGGAAACGCCTCTCACTCACGCGACCAATCTGAGCAACAGGCTAGAATGCAATGTTCTGCTCAAGCGTGAGGATTTACAGCCTGTGTTCAGCTTCAAGCTACGCGGTGCATACAACAAAATGGCACACTTGGACCCAAAGGACAGATGGAAAGGTGTCGTTGCATGTAGCGCTGGAAACCATGCACAAGGTGTAGCATACTCTGCGCGCAAACTCAAGATTCCCGCGACCATTGTCATGCCTTCTGGAACTCCCGATATCAAACACAAGAATGTCTCACGTCTAGGAGGCTCAGTCATACTACACGGCGCTGACTTCGATGCTGCAAAGGCAGAGGCTGCAAGATTGGAGAAGCTGCATGGGCTTATATCTATACCGCCATTCGATGATCCGTATGTCATCGCAGGTCAGGGTACAGTTGGCATGGAGTTGCTGCGACAGACAAACTTGCAAGACCTCAAGGCCGTCTTTTGCTGTGTCGGGGGTGGAGGACTCATCGCAGGCACAGGTGTATACATTAAACGGATAGCACCACACGTCAAGATCATAGGAGTAGAGCAATACGACGCGAACGCCATGGTAGAATCGCTCAAGGCCGGAAAGCGCGTCTTCTTAAAGGACGTAGGGTTGTTCGCAGATGGAGCCGCAGTCAAGACAGTAGGAGAGGAAACGTTCAGGATATGTCAAGAGGTGGTCGATGAGGTAGTCCAAGTTACAACAGACGAGACATGTGCAGCCATCAAGGACATGTTCGAAGATACACGCTCTATTGTGGAGCCCGCCGGCGCACTCGCCCTTGCGGGTCTGAAGAAGTGGGTGAGCCGCAATCCCTCACCAGACCGCAACCGTGGTTTGGTTGCTATTGCAAGTGGCGCAAACATGAACTTCGACCGTCTCCGCTTCGTCGCCGAACGCGCCGCCATCGGTGAGAACAAAGAAGCCATCTTGTCCGTCACAATCCCTGAACAACCCGGTGCCTTTGCAAAGCTGGTTTCCATCATTCACCCAATGGCCGTCACAGAGTTCAGCTACCGCTACTCCGGTCCCGACTCCGCCCAGATCCTTGTTGGTGTCGAACTGAAGGCTGCAACGCGAGCCCGCGACCTACCCGACCTCATCGATCGCCTTAGCGCTGAAGGCATGACTGCTGAAGATCTGTCCCAAGACGAACTTGCAAAGTCGCATATTCGCTACCTGGTCGGAGGTCGCAGCAACGCAGCCGACGAGCATCTCTACATGTTTGAGTTCCCTGAGCGAGGAGGTGCACTATACAAGTTCCTAAACACACTGCAACCGGGGATGAACATCAGTCTTTTCCACTACAGGAATTACGGAGGAGACGTTGCGAAGATCCTGGCAGGTATACAGTGCAAGGAGGAGGACAGTAGCAAGTTGGCGAGCTTCTTGAAGGACATTGGGTATCCGTACAAGGAAGTGACCAACAGCCCAAGTTACAAGATGTTCTTGAGGCATTGAGATGGTTGAACCCAGCAAGGAGGGAAAAGGTCATGTGTCAAGACGGGATTGGAAACGAAGATATGAAGGAACAATGCAGATACCCCTTTCAATTTGTCACAACAACTCACTATCGTCCAAGCTGCATGCAGACTACACAGTCCATGCCTATCATCCACACAAGTACCATCTACCATGGCCAGCATCCATCCGCCTTCAAGTACCCCCCATGCTCCTCATCCCTCTTCCCCTCCAAGATGGCAACCATGGGCTTCGCGCCCTCACTCGTAGGCTTCGCCCCATGCTCCACTTTGTTCTACTCCAGCTATCAGTACGCACCTCACCATACCGAGCCTAAACGGCTAATAAGCTGCGAAGAAGACAAACATACCATAGGCCCCAAATTACTCTCGGTAAAACCCGGGCAAAAACAAAACACTTTCCATCCCTTGGGTCCATACTCGTAATCTTGACACGCCGTGAGCATATTCAATGCCGCTTTAGACGTACGATACGGTAGCTAATCGCCTCGTCAGCAAGAACACCGTAGCCCTGTATAGGTGAGAGACATACGGCTTTCATCTCCTGATGCGGATTCGTTCTATCACTCCTCCACCCAATACTGCCAGCTCCACTCGTCACGTTGATGATCCGTGGTGTCTTACCCATACGCCCGCTCTTCTCCAGCAACGGCGCAAAAGTCTCCACGACGACAGTAGGGCCCGTGACATTGGTCTGGAAAGCAGCCGTCATGCGTGAGGAAAGGGAAGCTGAGGTGGGTTCTTCACTCGTTATGGCAGCGTTGTTGATCAGGGCGTCGAGGCGGCTGTATTTCTCTTCCACTACTTTTTGAGCATTGGTGATGCTCGCTTCGCTGTTGACGTCGATTTGCAATACTTGCACCTTCCCTGGCAGCCCTCTTTCCTGCAGAAGCTTCACAGCGGCTTCGCCCTTTTCGAGAGATCGGCTGCCGAGGAGGATCAAGTATTTACTGTCGTGCAAGAGTTGGGCGGTGAGTTCGAAGCCGATTCCTCCATTTGCTATTGTTTTAGCGTTAGTGTCCAAACTCAAGAGCTTTATAGGGAAAAGAAAGACGAGAAAGAGGGAGAAGAAAGATGACAAAAGAAATGTGGTACTATACCACCGGTGATGAGAACAATGGTTTGCTCCTTGGAAGCCATGATGTTTGTTGTTCACGCGGATGTATGTTACTTGTAAGTTTGCTGCTTTTTCTATTTGCTTGAGTTGGTAGAGTATCTACTTTTGAAGTGACGAAGCTCTATTGCTTTATACTCCTCTGCCTCAACCTGCTGCAAGCATCTCTTCAGCCTCAAGATATTCCCGTAGAGTGCAAGAGTATCAGGCAGCAATAGAACGTTCAAACCAATCAGCGGTTCTCAAAACATCAGATCAGTACGTCAGTGCTACTGTTGACAATCCAAGAGGGTGGAGTTAGTCGGCATGCGGGGATAGCGGAGTTAGACACACGGCTGTAGGATTAGACGGGAGCCGTGGATTCCTTAAGAATACGAAACGAAGTTAGACTGAAAAGGCGTTTTCCTTTTACGGCCAACACGCAAGATGGAGCTTCGTTGATCCTCTCGTTTGTTTATTGACTATCTACATTGTGCGGTGATGTTGCAAGCCGAGAGCTGCTGTCGGTTGCGTGGTATCCTATGATGCAAGTTCCATCCTTATCCAGAAAGTAAATAGAAAACGCCGGCGCCTTTCCAACGCCTACCCGATGCAATAGGTATAGCGAGTGTAGAGTTGGTCGGACGGGAGACAAGTAATGTGCAATCGTGCAAGATTACACCCTATCTTCTGCAAAATCCAATACTTCGCAATCGTCCTCGAAGAAATTATCCTCGTCACCTTCCTTCTTCACACGCCTTCGCCTGGTGGTGACTACAACCTGTTCCACTTCCTCTTCACCGTCCTGAAGAACGAGCTTGTTCTCAATCCTAGCAGCAACACCGGTAATATCGTCCTCTCCGGAGTCATATGCTTGAGTAATTGGTGTCGACAGCCGCGTCGCTTCTATGCTCTCGCCAAAGAGCCAGGGCGAGCTGTCTTCATGATGGAGATCGGAGATAAGTCCCGGTAACGAGGGCTGGTACTCACTGCCTTCATCATGGACCTCAAGAGACTGTCTAGAGTAGACAAAACGTGTCACACGCTTGTCGGTATAAAAGGGCTGGTAAGGAGGGTTTGTTTCAATCTCGGAGAAGCTGAGTGGTGCGAGAGACGGTGTGACAGGCTTACGAGACGGTAATGTCCGAGGAAGCCAGTCGCCATAGCAGTCCTGTGTTGGTTCCGGGTCACCGGATTGTGGGAATAATTGCTCGGTGACAGAAGGTGGCAATGCAGAACCAGGGATGGGAGCAAGTCCGAACTCCACAGTCTTCTTCTTGGTTATAGACGCAGTGTTTGATGACTTCCCTTTGCCTGTCGCAGCTCTCATCTGCACCCGCCAGATCTGAAGTACGCCGCCCGATACTAGTGCGATTGAGCCACGCCCTCTGCCAGAAAGCCAGCGTACGCTATATGGCTTGATACCGCTAGGCGAGGACGGAAGCGTCATCTTGTTGTCACCTGCATGGCGGATGTTGTTGATTGACTTGCCTACACCCGCAGCAACGGCTTTACCAGATTTTGCGCCAGCGGCAGGCGTTACACCTAGACCACTAAGACTGAATCGAGATGCGCCAGTGCCATTCTTCGCACGAACGGCATCAAACCAAGGCTTAGCGCTATTGACGGCTTGCATTGCTGAGTTGACCATACCAGTAGGGCCTGCAGGAGACGTAGCATCCTTTGGTGGCACAGAGGATGTCGCAGGACGAATCCGTCGAGCTGGCGGCCACTGAAAGGCCGACGCAGGCATCGGAAACATGTGCACAGTTCCTTTATCGGTAATAACTGCTAGCTTGTCGACTCGAGGAGCAGACCAAACCACATCAATGACGTTCGCGACTGTCATCCTGGTAAAGCGAGCAACTTGTCGCACATAAGGACCAGTTGGCTGCTCTCTAACAGTCTTGCGTGCTCGTCGGAAGTTCATGCGCTTCAGATCCCAAACGTCCTGGTAATCACCCTTCTTGCTCACGGTCATAAGCATCAGACCACTAGGTGCAAAAGACATGAAGCTGCAACCGAGAGCCGCTGGCATGGTGGCAACAGGATGGAGTGCGTTCTTGTTCCTTGTTTCTTCCGCATCTACCAGTCTTTGCAAGTCGTAGACGGATATCACAGATGCTTCTTGTCTTGGCTGAGTCTGGTTGTGGCCATGAGTCGGCGGGAAGTAGTGTTGCATGGGATCCTGACCATATGGCACGTTGTTTACTTGCTGACCTCTATTCATGTAGCTCTTGAAGGCTTGAACTCCCTTCTCGGTAGCCCAACGTGCGCTCTTGATCGCTACTTGTGTCCCTTCCCGGGCAAGTCTGTCCATCAAGCCTGCTTCGTTGGGCATATCGACAGCGCAATTGGGCGACGGCTGAGGTGGTACGCTGTGGTGCGCAAGACCTGGAGCGCGCTCGTAGTAGGGTGACGTTAGCGCCACACCGTTTACAGGGTAAAGCGCACTCGATGCTGGCGGAGTAATGGCAAGCCAGCGATCAGAGAGAGAGAATACGGGCAATCCATATTTCTCGGGAGGAATCTCGTCATGATTTCCATCAACGGCACTGGAACCGTTTGAATGAACGGCTCGTTCCCTGTTCTGAACCGATGTCCATAATTTGCCGATGCAGCGGAATTGCTCAACATACTCTGGATGATTTCCCGAGTAGGGTGCGAATACGAAGACTTCTCCACTTGCGCCAGATGCGACGACGACGAATTTTCCCTTCGCGTCAATGACAAATTCGCCTACCGGAGGTGGAGGCTGGAACAGAGGACTGTCGATTGGGCTTGTGAGGGGTATCAGTGGAGTGCGATACAGGACTGCCAACCTCCGTCTCTCCTTCAGTGAGTATACTTCGACGGTTGTCTGGTAGCCACTAATCTGCCCATCACGATTTCCATGTCGCGAGGATGGCCTGCTAGGCGACTCGGACGCCGAATCATCAACCACGGAGGATGCACCGCTTCCACTAGAGCTTCTGCTGTCCTTGATGACCGGGCCGTGGAGTATGAGTGCGATCAGTGGACGGGAGGCCGCTAAGGGGTCTCTCCGCGATGTCCAAGGCAAGATCTTGGCGCCTATGACACCACCCCGAAGTCCTTCTAGACGACCCACGATGTCCATCTTGCTCTTCTCGACACGGAAGACATCAAGCCCTCCTTGTGACCCAACAAGTAGCACGTTCTCGGATGACCGAGCCGCCTCGTCTCCTGCCATAGATAGAGTATCGAAACCACAGAAATAGCCTCCCTCCCCTGGCTGGATGCCATCGGTCGGGCCGCTGTTGAGGCCGAAATCGATATTTGGCAAGCCATAGTAATGTGCTTGAGGTTGATGTGGCAGGGGCGGGTTCGGCACGAAGTGTTGGGATGGCGGACGAGCGCCTTGCTGCGAATACATAGATGCTCTACGATCTTTGCCGGGCGAGTTCTGCAGGCGTCCGCCAAAGTTTGTGTATTGACTTGGATGACTCAGAGGCCTTGCACCTGGAGGTGAGTTTGACATGGCCTGTTGTGCATAGAGTCCGTCTCGTGCACCGGGCGAGTTGTGAAAGGTAGGCGGTGAACCAGCTATGGCTATGCCACCATTTCCTGGCGAGCCCGAGTTGGGAAAGAATGGCACCGACTTGGCCCACTCGTTGGTGTATTGTGCGGCCGTGGTTCGTGTGGCACCGATAGCCGATAGCAACGGAGATGTAGTGGCATTGTAGTTTGAGGGGGGAGACGTGGAGGACAGACGCTTTGCTGAGGAAGGCGACTTGGTTCTGTGGCAATATAGTCAGTAGTGTTTGAGTGCAAACAAGAGTCACTCGGTCGCTCTTTCCACCTGAACGTCATGCCTTGTGTGCACATGGCAGGAACGATGGCGTGAGCGCAAAAGGAGGTGTCGGTTCACATACATCTCTCTGGGGTATATCCGCGTAACCTTGTCCGTCGCCCTATTTCTTCTTCCCAACTCATATCTCGACGTGTTGCGACCGCGCGCTTGTGGTGTGTCCTGTACCTTTGTGCCTTTGCGTTGTTGCTTGTGCAGGTAGGTGAGGTTGGAGACAGGCGTCGTATGCTCGGCGGCGGTATCGGGCGATGAGCTCATATAACCTGTGGAAGAGCTTGTGGAAGTGTGTGCTGGAGCGCTAGCTCAGTCGTGAAGAGTTGCTATGTGTCGTGGCCCTGAGATAGGTTGTAGGGGTAGCGACGGATGAGGGCGGCGAGTGAGTTCGGATGAATGCTAGACACAGGGTTGCGTCATGCGCCTTCGTGACCAAGGCGCGTGGAGGTTGCAGTCCCGTGCTTGCACAGCAAAGACACTTATACACAGTAATGGCTGGTGCCTTGTTCCTGACTCGGCGCGTTATCTGGCCCTATCTGGTCTTCACTCGGTACTGTCGGGAGGCTTGTCGTGGCTATCGTTTGAGCCGCGGGGCTGGAGCTTCACGTGGCACGCTATGTAAGAGGCTCCTCAGCGCGTAATACAGACGAGTCCGAATGTAACGCGCAGTGGTGAGTCAACTGGGAGCTTTATCTAACCCCTCAAGTGTTGAGATGTGTACATGTATGCAGGGCGTCGCAAGTGCACTTAGTTGTGTTTCTGGGCTGGTCGCGGTACTGAGGGGCACCTCACAGCTTATGCAGGTGCATGTCGCGCCCTCGACCTTCCATTCGCCCCAACCATTACGGCCGCCGGCACCGCCCTTTGCGCTGATATCTAGCCCCTCTTTAGTTAATTCTAGTCATTCGTAGATTGCGAGCGTGCTAGTCGGGTCAAGTGACTTCATCGAGCACGGTAGATGCCTCAGCATGTTGTTGGGCAGCCACATGCGGCGTTCCGCGATGCATTCCGATGAGTGACGTCCTGTCATGCATATCACGAGGCCCACATCCCGCGAGACATCCCGTGGCTTGCACGTGCTTCTACCTCAACTTCATCATACAAAACCACAGTCACACCAGACTCAGGAGAATTCACATCTGCCAGGTATCACCTTTTCATTTCCGGTACACAGACATGGTCCGTCTTGTCCCCGTCGACAACAATTATGATCAGCGAATTAACCTTCAGCTCCGAAGTATGCCCAGAGAGCTTTTTGCCCGAAAGCGTATGAAGACCTACCACTTTTGGAGTAAGCGACCTCTGATCCCAGAAGAAATTCGCTTCGTGTATGCTAGTCGACGTAACCAATGCAAGCGAATGCCTCGGGGTAGCCTCAGGTACAAAAGTATGCATTTCCCAGGTAGGTCGCCATGATTCAGCATTCACCCATCATGTTCAAGTCAAAGTTCTTCAGCCTCGTCTCCTTGACTCTCTTACCCTTCGCTCTTGCGCAATCCGAATACACAAACCTCCCAGAAGTACCACCAGGTGTCTTCAGTGCAAGCGCGCGCACTGAGATCAGAACCACTGTCGACGCTGCCTGGGATGCACTCACCGACTTCCCCAACTACGGAGCCTGGAACCCCTTTGTGCGCTATGCCCTCGTCACTTCAGCCAAGAACATCTCTCTGCCCGACCAGCGGGCTGTCGAAGGCAACTACCTGTTCTTCCGAGTGCAAATTCCTCCGCTCCCGTTGCCGGTGAATGAGGACACACCAGACAATATTTTGCATACGCAGTTTGCAATCGAGCGCATAACTCATGTGCAGCCGGAATTGGGAAGGCTGGCGTGGGATTTCTTGGCGGAAATTGCTGTCAAATCAACGCGATGGCAGGCGGTCAGTGATATCGGGAATGGCACCGTCTTGTACGAGTCTCATGAGGAATTTAATGGGCCGTTGGCGGGAATATTGAAGGCGACGATGGGAGAGAGTTTGCAAGAATCTTTTGTAGCACAAGGAGAGGGACTGAAGTTGTACCTTGAGGGCAAGTAAAAACCATAGGGCTGCGAGATTGCAGCGTCTCGTCTCAAACACACCGTACTCCTTTGAACCCAAAACTCATGGCAATCCGATGCTATGTTTGATGTGAAAGCCCGGCACGATATAGAGTCGGAATAGTCAAGACAAGCGGCGAATGAGCACATCGGTGTTGGAAGCAGCCATGCCGACATCCCTGTCGCCGCACCGCGGGCATGCGCGCATCTCTGTCGCAATCGCACATGTTCAGTACACGCCTCGACATCAGGCGCCGACTATCATGAGCGCTTGTCTCAGCAACATGTCTCTTTCTTCTGGCTGTTTTTAATAACACATCCTCTTTGGTTTGGCACTCGCTACGTTCTCGTCTCTGCTATCGCGACACGGCGAATCCGCATGCCGCACAATCGTTATCGCGCGTGTACATACCTCTCCCTGAGGTCTTTTCTCCATCATGATGATAAATCCTGAGCTTGAAGCTTTTGCGCGAGCGATATCGCGCGTACTGGGTTGGGCATACTTCCTGTCGTGGTCAGCACCACCTACCCCTTGTTACACACTCTATGAATGGCATACTAACCCCACAGCTAGGTCCCTGTCCTTCTATCCCCAGCCCATATCGAACTTCCTCCGCAAATCTACGCTCGGTCTTGCAATAGACTTTCCCACTCTCAACGTCCTCGGTTTCACCTGCTACACTATTTCCACTGCCTGCTTCCTGTATTCGCCAACCATCAAGTCACAATACGCGTACCGTCATCCTGAAGCGCTCAAGACAACAGTGCGCTTCAATGATTTTCTATTTGCGGCACATGGTGCCGTCATGTGTGTAATCATATACAGCCAGTTCTTCGAGAAGATCTGGGGCTTCGAGATCGGCAAGAGGCAGAAGGTCAGCCGGGTCATATTAGGAGTTTGGTGGGGATGTGTGCTTGCTATCGTGGTCGTGGTAGGTCTTGTGAAGACCAGGGGGGCAGACGGAAATGGTGCAGAAGGGTGGGCGTGGATCGATGTTGTGAGTTATTTCAGCTCTACACCTTCTGACCTTACGAATTCATGCTAACAACAAATAGATCTACACGCTCGGCTACGTGAAACTTCTCACTGTCTTCCTCAAATACATACCGCAGGCCTGGGTCAACTACAAGCGCAAGTCGACACTGGGGTGGAGTATCTACCCCATGCTCTTAGACTTTGCGGGTGGGTGGCTTTCGCTCGCGCAGCTATGCATCGACTCCGCGCTAGAGAACGATTGGAGTGGTGTCACTGGTAATCCAGTCAAATTCGGACTAGGAAACATCACTATCGTGTTTGATATCATCTTCATGCTGCAGCATTATGTGCTGTACAAGCATCCTGCGAAGCGTTTGGAGGATGAGGACGAGGAGGAAAGGCAAGGACTTGTCGCGGGTCAGAGAGACTAGAAAATACATCGCAAGGTTTTGTTGGACTATCGAGCCATCACAGCTTGAAGTTATCCAATGGTGAAGCGCCGCTCTTTGCCCAAACTCCAGGAGTCATGGAAGCGATATTAATGTTCTGCTTTTCGAATATCTGATAACCTTTGGTCTCACGACAAAGCCCGCTCAGAGGTAATCCAGGCCAGTATTTAACACTAAACATCTGACTAAGTACCGCCAACTTTTACCGACTGACTCAAGGACCGCAAGGAGGCGCGTGGAGCAAACAGTACAAGGAATAGTTTTCTACCACATGTTGCGGCATCATAAGAAGCGCCGACAAGGACTAGGCGTCGCGTTCCTGAACCACGTTCTCCCAAAATATGCCCCGCACTAGCCTCCCGCTCAACAATTCCGAGCCTCCCCACATCTTTCCGACCTCGCGTTAGCAAGTTCCGGTAGAACATATATCCACCATAGACTCACATTCCGATCCTACAAATACAGACGGAACCCTGCTCGAAGAACTGGTTGGAAATTCATCATCCTCTCAGATACACCGCAACAATGGCACCAAACTGGGACAGACTTATTCGCTTCATCGCAACAGATGGCCGTGAGCTGCGGGGTCAGCCAATTCTTCCTTCTGCAGACTTCGATGTCGGTACTACAACAGAACAGACGGGACTCAAGGCCAAAGTGATTGATGTCAAGAACAACGATATCTTCGACCCAGCTACCAAGGTCACAGATGAAGAAGTAACCGTCAAGAAACTGCTCGGTCCCGTGACTGTAGACGAAGTACCCATCATCCGGTGCATAGGTCTCAACTTCATCAAGCACAGTAAGTCTACCTGTATATCATCTCATTCCCCTCTTGCCACACTAACAACCTCGCCACAGTCCAAGAAGGCGGCCGCACCCTTCCCCCATACCCGTCAACCTTTATTAAAGCAAACACATGCCTGAACGACCACGGAGCCCCCATCGTCATCCCTAAAATCGCGCAAGACAACCAAGCAGACTACGAAGGCGAACTCTGCTTCATCATCTCGAAGGACGCCAAGGACGTCTCTGAAGCTGATGCTTTTGATTACATCGGCGGCTACACATCCGGCAACGATGTCTCCTCCCGCAAACTCCAACGCGACCCCCTTCTCGCCGGAACAGTACCCCAGTGGAATTTCTCAAAAGGCTTCGACACATACGCGCCTCTGGGTCCCCAGCTCGTATCCACCAAAGTCATCCCTGATCCGTCCAAACTGCACCTCAAGACTATTGTTAACGGGGATTTGAGACAGAATTCGGGCATTGATGATTTGTGCTTCAAGATTCCTACGCTGGTGAGTTATTGTAGTCAGGGGACTACGCTGAAGAAGGGGACGGTATTCATGACAGGCACATGTGCGGGTGTCGGGTATGCGATGAAGGAGCCGCAATTCTTGAAGCCGGGAGATGTAGTCGAGGTTAATCTTAGTCCCGAGATTGGTACTTTGAGGAATACGGTCGAGTATGCTTAGATGGGTCAGCAATGTTTGGTGGATCAATTAGGTTGGCATAGTAGACCTCTAGGTGCGCATTAATCAAAGAGTTGAATCACTAAGTTTTATATAGAGATCAAACTGGTACTAAGAAAACAAGAGAATATACAGTATTTTCTTTCTCTACGTATGCAGCCACTGTACTCACGCCATCAAATCTTCGACCTCGCCTTACTCTTCTGCGCCAGCTCCTCCCTCTTAATCCTAAACCTCTCCGCTGGCGCACCCTCTACAAATCGCTCCGCCAGCGCATCAACGGCATTAACTACAGCCACCAGCCTTGCATCCCTAATAGGCGCATTCTGCAGCCTCTTCATCTCCATCATACTCTTTCCATCATTGCTCTTCAACTGCTCCTGCAAAAACTCCACAACCTTACCCTGGAACTCATCACCCGTAGCGTCCCACACGTAATTATATAGACCAGCATCAACCAGCTCCTGCGCGGATAGCTTACGGCCGAACATGAGGAAGTCGTTAGCCCGGTGGATACCGATGGACTGGGCGAAGGAGAGGGCAGACCCGTTTTCAGGAACTAGGCCCAGAGCCGAGAAGGGGCATTGTAGCCAGGCTGTAGAGGAAGCGAGGACAATGTCCGCGATACCTGGGAACCAGGCTGCGCCGCCGCCGACAGCGGGGCCATTCAAGGCGAGGATGAGGACTTTGCGGTGGTCGATCATCGAACGGAGGAGCTCGGTAGCGTAGTGGAAACGAGCCAGATAGCTCAACTTCTTCTCTCCGTCATTTTTGAATTCTTCGCCGGCTCCGGGAATGCCCTTGACGTCTGCGCCGGCGGAGAAGAATCGTCCTTCGCCTGTTAGGACGGTGAAGATGGTGTCTGGGTGCTCGTTCAGAACGCGCAGTGCGGCAATGGTGTCTGGGATGAGGTTTCCACCAAAGGAGTTGAGGGCCTTGGGGCGGTTGAACTAGGCTATGGTGTTAGTAACAGGCTTAAACCGTGATACGGGTATGAATGAATCGATGTGAAGAATCATTCTCGGTAGATTCTTGAGGATGCCGGCACGGTAGAACGAGTATGAATGGAGAGATATCATACCTTGATAATACCGATCTTCCCCTTGATCTCAAACTTGATATCAGAGTAATCCGATGAAGAAGTCATGACGTTTTCTAACGTTTTCCCAAAATTCTATGAGGTGACTAAACAAGATTCGACTATGACCAGGACGCTTCGTTTCAAGGAAAGTTCGATGAACTATTCTTCTTGATGAAATGGTGATATGATGCAGGCTTTCGGCCGAAAGAGGTGAGTTATAATTGAATAGTAAGCTTTCCCCGCAAGAACGCGACAGGCCTCGGTCCGGTTAACAAAGCTGGGGTATCTATTGGGCGTGTGTATGTGTTAAATCGTAAGGTTTTAGAGAGTTGACGAATAATTGTTCAGCTTGCGACGCTGATTGTGTAGTGGAGAATGATGCAGCAATGCGATAAAGTTGCTGACGCGTGGATGGATTGCTAACAACGGTGTCGTGGATATGTTCGCGTTTTACCTCGGCCCGTTTTCGCGGCACGTCATTATGGGCTACACGTCCATGCTCAAGGGCACGTACACGGTAAAGAAGAGGTGTCAATTCCTTTAGGTGAGATGACTGCCTGGACTCGTAATTACACACATATAACATTCCGTTTACATCGAGCGATGCTTGTAGTAAATAGTTCATACACTCCAGAAATCAGCGAAATGCACCCGTCTTATCTATGAGGGGAGCAAAACATCTATAATACATCTACAGCTATCAACCCTCAAACACACCGTGATTTAGCTCAACGCCAAAGTCTTTAGCCATAACGCGCATATGCGCTTCAATGTCATCCTCCATACCTCCACCCACACCAACCAACTGCTTGATCTTACTCCAGAAGAATACCGCATCGCTGAGTGCCAGTACGCACCGGAAGCGCAGATGGTTGACCCAGTTCTTCCATCTCTGGCTCACGCTGAGGTCCTTGGATTCGATCAACGCCCTACTAGCCCATAGTCCAGTGATCTTGATACGGTTAACAGGTGAGCCGAGGAATTGATTGTTGCCCTGTACGATGCGTAGGTTACGGCCGATGAAAAGTAGTTCACGAGGGAACTTTGCGTCGTCGCCAAGAATAAGCTTGATGGCGTCGCGGCCTTTAGCTTGCATTTCAAAGGCACGTTCAGCTTGGTCTTTTCCCTTTCTTTCGGATTTGAGAACAGCTGCTACGCTATTGTCACCACCTTGGTACGGACGCATGAGCGTTGCTGATGCGAAAATGTCGGCGTGCTTGACGCCCCAGCTACTGACAATCTCTTCGATCTTGTCGTTATCAAAGGCAAGGAGTGATTTCCAGAATTCCGAGTATTGGAGGCGGAACTTGGGGTCCATGCGAATGTATAGACCGTGATCAATGAGGACAACTTCGGGCTGTCCGTTGGGTAGGCGGCGGATGAAGATGTTTCCAGGGTGAGGATCGCAGTGTACCGCACCCCAAAGGAACATTTGCGCTGAGAAGAGATCAACGATGGTGTTCATGGTAGTCTTCAGTGAAACACCGAGACCGCCTTTGCGGTCATCGCCTCGCCATGAGTTACGGTCCGGCTTAAAGCATTCATACTGTGTGGCGTCTTCCGGGACATGTGTGTCAACCTCGGCATCCTTAGGGATAGGTGGAAGAAGGTTGCCACCAGCACCAGGGCTGCCACTGCGCCATCCGCCTTTCCAACTGTTTGTGATGCCCTCCTTGTCCCACAAACGCACGCCTTCAATCCATTCCGCAGTCATGACACGCTTACTCGAAAGCTCGCGATACACTGCAGGTATGTAGACGCGACCGTTGAGCCGTGGCTCCCCAGCCACAAGTCCCTTCATTTCTACTGCGTTATCCGCTTCATTTTCGAAATCGGTTTCCAGCATCAGGCGCTCCGAGATGTATGGAACCAGTGTATAGACCGGAATACCGAACCACCAAGTGTAGACTTTGGAAACAACCTTGAAAGCCCACAGATCCCATCCGACCTGCTGCACAATCTCTCTCTTTTGAATCTTGATCGCTACCTCCCTTCCATCTGCCAGCCTCGCCCAGTGCACTTGGGCTACACTTGCACTGGCCCTTGCAGTCCTCTCCATTATACCCCGACCATCTTGTCCTTCACGTGTAAAGCTGACACCAAAGACCTCCTCGACGCTTTTGCCGAAATCCTCTCGTATGACTTGCTCGACTTCCCACCATTCATTTTGCGGCGCATCGTCGAACATTTGCTGGAACATCTTCTGGAACTGCGGCGGCAGTATCGCGCTCTGCATAGCAATCGCCTGTCCTATCTTCAAGTATAGTCCACCATTGTATCGCAACAGATCAAATATCCTCGTTGCGTTCCTCGCATGTAGGTCCTCGATGCTATTCGCAAGCGGTGGGTGCGCACGGAAATTGATCTTGTAATCGATGCCTATCAAAAGACCCGTCTTGAATGTGCGCAAACTGCGTGTAATGGAGGAGGCGTAGAATTGCCTGTCAGCCAGCCATCCCGCACCGAGCAGCGCAGAGATGACAGCAAGGCGGCGCACCCATTTTCGGCGAGTGAACGGAGGTTTAATCTTGCGCTGTCTCGGTTTGGGCAGGTCTGCGGGGTTGGGAGGGCGTAGAGGTTCCCATTGTTGTGTTTGCAGGCGGCGCACGAGTGGTGCCTGGTAGAGTCGCGTGGGGGCGAAGCTTGACGTCAGCAGGCGTGATGTCGCATATTGTGCAGGTGCTCTTCGAAGAGCAGACAGGCCATGTATCATGGCTGTCGGAGGCAAGACGAAAACAGCACGAGAAAAGTGTGGTATGGCATGAGGACTACGTCGTAAGATTGGTTTATCTTTCGCGCATAATCGGACTTAAAGTCATGACGGCATTTTCACGCCCCCCGACTACAACCGTTATTTCGTCCGTGCACCGTGAGATACATCAACCTTAATCCCGATCTAGTCCGAATATCCCACTCCATCTGCGCCTTGGTTACCAATCTCCTGGGATTATTGAAACGCCATGTCTTTTTCCCCTAGTTAAAGAATTGACTTTGCGGAAACGCTCGATGCAGGGTTACCAAAGAACTACGACCCGTCCAGGACTCCGTAGCCTGAACGGTCCTATCCCGATACCATAGACCCTTGTTCTTCGTCCGATCATAGGAATCTGCCTTCCCGTTGGGCGGGTTGTGGCGTACTCTGACTTGCAGCACGGCAAGCCGAAAGCTGGGACGGCATTGTAACCCCATTCAACGCTTGCTGGTACGGATAAGAGCTTTGGCGCAATTTCAACGCACTCTAAAGATGGTGCTGGACAGTAGACCAGTCTTCGAATATGCTTCACGATTGTTCATCCTGCGGCGTTTGACTCTTCTCGACAGCCTTGAGATCAACATCCCACCTCTTTGCGAACCCCTCAACCACACTCATCCATTTCGTCACTAGAGGATGTTGGTCCGAAACCTCCCTAAACGTAGGATCATCTTCCTTCCCTACAACACCCCACTTCCATATTCCTTCTTCGTCTACCCATTGACGACCTAGCAGCTCCTCAATTGCAAGCTCCTTGTGTGCAGATTCGTAGACTTGTGTTACTTCCTTGTGCACTTGCTCATCATGGCCTCTCCATGCAGCAACAAAGCCTTGTAGGATTCCCAGTATGTACCCCACCCTCAAGCCTAGATTTGCGCCGAGAGAGTAACCTTCATCGAAGCCTTCTTGTACGTATTGCCCCTTGCTGTTCGCTAGACCTTCGCGGTAGGCATCTGTATCCAGTGCACGCTGACGGGACGGGAGATCTGAGAGGATTTCATGGGGGCGAGTATGAAGGACGTTCGTGGAGAGTGTGGGTGAGGCGGGCGCGGAACCGTAGATATCGTCGAGCGCATTCTCGTGCGGAGGCGTTGGAGGGGCATGTCCCGCAGCAAGTTGAGTTGGATCCAAGGTGGGAGACATATCACCTAGTGCATTCATGGTGGGCGTGTTCCCTTCCCAGCGAGGACTGTGCAAACTGTGAATCGAGTCATGTCGCGAAATGTACCAGGTGGGGTGAAGAGTAAGGGTTTGGTGGAGACTAGCGCTGTCTTCGGCGGATGCGGAAGCTTGAACTTCTTTGAGCCCTGATCAGCAACCTTCTGTTACTACGAATGTTCTCGTTGCTGAAAATTGCTCGCCAGCATGAGTGAACGGTATTTCCGGTGGATTCAGTCCGATACAAACATCTTCAGATGATGGTATCTCCGTCGACACCGACGCGGACGAATATTGGGACGCTCGTCTGAGCTGCATCCATCAGGCATCCAAACCTTGGAACACTTTATCAAGGACAACAACCACCGCAAGTGAGCAATAATTCAGTGCCTTCACGATTTGTTTTCAAACCAAATATTATCAATCCTAACCTCGTTACCATGACTTCTATTGATATTGTTCGCGCTCACAATGCATCGCTGAAGAGCTTACCCCCAAAACTAGTTGCAGTCTTCGTCGGGGGCACAAGTGGCATTGGCGTCTTCACAGCTCGAGAAGTAAGTCGCGACTGCACGAAAGGCATGTGAGACATACACTGACTTTGTACCTCACCTCTACAGTTCGTCCGCAACACCACCTCACCACATGTCTACTTGATTGGCCGCAACGCGACTGAAGCTGGCAAGATCATGAAAGAGCTCAGCTCCATTAACAGCTCATCCCAGGTCAGCTTCATTCAAAAGGATCTCTCATTGTTGAAGAACGTGGACGAAGCATGCAGTGAGATCAAGAGCAAGGAGACGCAAGTCAACGTGCTATTCATGACGTGCGGCTATCTTACCATGAAGGGACGAGACGAGACAGCCGAGGGTCTGGATAGGAAGATGGCGGTGCAGTACTACTCACGAATGCGATTCATCAACCAACTCACACCGCTGCTCAATAATGCCTCCGAGGCGAACAATCTCTCTCGCGTTGTCAATGTCCTGGACCCGCAGGCTGGCTTAAGGCTGGGAGGCCTCGACTATTCCGACCTCTCCCTCAGGCATAACTTCAGTCTCAAAAAGGTGCTATATCACGCGAGTGCCATGACAAATCTCTCCATAACTCACTTGGCAACGCAAAACCCGAAGACGAGCTACATCCACGCATACCCGTCCGGTGTGGAGACGGGCGCAACGCGTGAACTATTCGGTCGCTTCAACAACGCTGTCATGTTTGTGTTGGGTGGCCTATTTGGACGTTTTATATTCGTTCCGCAAGTGGAAAGCGGCGAGAGACACTTGTTCGCTGCCACTGCGCCGCGTTACGCCCCCAGGGCAGATGGCGCCAAGACAGAAGTCGTTGGAAGTGATGGCGTGAAAGGGAGTGGAGGCTATCTCCTGAACTGGAATGGGGACATCCTGGCAGATACAAAGAAAGCGCAGAAGTTGAGGGAAGAGGGTGGCATTGAGAAGGTTTGGAAGCACACTCACGAGGTCATGAGCAAGATCGCGGAGAGTGGAAGGTTTACTGGATAGAGTTTGAAGGCTGAGGTTGCCGTAGGATCGAGCGGGCCGGAGAGCAATCCATGGGACAACTGAATCGCACTGTGTGGGGCATATCGATAGGCGCACGTCTTGCGTAATGTTACAGCCGAGACGTGTTGCTTGAAATATCGGGAGGCGCAGTTTGTTGGCGTTGGTGAGGATGCTGAATCTGGAAGAGCCAACGCCCACTCCTGTTCGTGTTTGATGGGAAAAGAGAGTACAATGACGCCAGAATTGTTTATTCAGGTCTATTCTGTCTTTCTGCGACGCGACATCGTGGGTATTCCCAGAAGCATTGTGTCGGATCGGAGATGGCGTTAATGCGCTCCTTGACCAGTAGAAACACATGGCTTCAGCTTCCTCAGCCCTCTCTGCACTGGGCACCAGGGCTTCATAAATGAGCATCCGCTAGCGGGAACCCCTATTCATGTGCATGACGATCTCCAGGGACCGGTACCCTAGCTGCATGTCGCCGGCGTAGCGATAAGGATTACACAACATGAATCTGCCGTGTTGTGAAGATTCATTGGGCGCTGCTTGCAAATTGTCGCGCTGCCGGTGGTTGTCTGGTTAGGCCAGCTGTTTCGCATTGATATTTGGGGGCGTGCACACCCCCGTCAGTGTCACCATCGTGGTTTCCCGCTGTGCATCCAACGTCGAGAAGCCGCGGCCAATGGTACGGCTCCTTCCAGCCTTCTTCCTGCCGAGACGCGTCACGCTTTTGTTGACGTCTGTGGTGGTTGCCATGGCTTGTCTTGCACCCTCACCTGGCTCTCTTCTTCCTGGCGCAATTAAACTACGGCGATTTACTTTTGTCGAGAATCCGGGGGTGCCATTGCGCCGTATCGTTCCTGCAGTAGTCTCGGGCCTTAAGGTTAGTCAAAGCCTCTAACTAGACCCTGGGCCTTTCACCCGCACGCGCCATCGAGATGCGCGTCTGAGCAGGTGCTGACCTTGCGACGCAGCCGGCATCTCCTCCTTCAATTTCACTTTGACTAGGACGCCAATCCGTCCCGAATTGCTGTGCCGTGCGCAGGATAGCCCGACCCAGCAAGACTGTCCACTACGCTGCTGCAGTCTTCCATTGCTAAGATTACACGCGCGCGAAGTAGCAGCCACTGATATTAAGAGCCCTCCCGCCGCCCACCATGGCTACCACCATCGACGACCGGTCCCCTAATCCACCTAATACCTCGGCCCACAAAGACGGCTCTCCTGATCCCTCTGTACGCCCATCAGCAGCCCAGTCCCAGTCCTCTGACCAAGCCGGGCCACGCAGATCCAGCTTCAATTTCTTGCGTCGAACCAGCGGGAAAGGCTCCTCCGAGATTCGCGGTAATAGCACTAATCGAAGCACCTCACGCGGCAAGATGAGCAGGAAGCAGAAGCAACTCGCCCAAGAGGAGGCCCTTCGCAAGCAGCGCGAAGCTACCATGCTGCCTAAGCAGCCGCCGCGTTTGCCCTCCCACTCGGCCCTTCCCCAGATTGCCACTTTCGGAGGTGAAGACGCCCGTCCAGACTCCATTGCCATTGTCTCCAACAAAGCCGGCACCTACAATCCCAGCGCCCACAACTTTAGCCGACCTTCGACCGACACGTACAGAATGGCTCCCAACCCGGGCCCCAGCCCCGCTGTGGCGCCGCCTGTGCCTGGCTCCTCACCCTCGACCTACATGGACTACGATCCCTACCCGAGGACTGAAAGTATGACCAACCGCGGTCGCTACAGCTATGCCAGCAGCCAGATCAGCACCGTCAACAGCCCCCGCCGTGTGAGGAGGAGGAAGGACCCCACACCTTTCAAGTATGTCCCACGATGCATCTGTAAAGGCTAGCACTAACGATCACATAGCATCCTTGTCATTGGTACCAAGGGCTGCGGCAAGTCGTCTTTCATCGAGTTCCTACGCACTGCGCTCGCACTGCCGGCACGAAAGCGCCCACACACTCCCTCGCCGCCTGCCACGGCTGTAGGTGGTGACGATTCGCCTTTCACTTCAGAGTTCCTCGAGACTGAAGTAGATGGCGAGAGAGTCGGCGTCACGCTTTGGGACTCTGAGGGCCTGGAGAAGAACATTGTCGACTTCCAGTTACCCATCATCACTTCCTTCCTTGAGTCCAAGTTCGAAGACACATTCAGCGAGGAGCAAAAGGTCGTGCGCGCTCCAGGCGCCAAGGATACACACATTCACTGCGTCTTCCTTGTCCTTGATCCGATTCGCCTGGACCAGAACATAGCCGACGCCCGCAAGAAGTCCAACATCGTAAATGCCGGCAGTGCCATCTTCGGTGGCCTAGATGAACGCCTGGATCTCAACATACTCCGCGAGTTGCAGACCAGAACGACTGTAATTCCAGTCATCAGCAAGGCAGACACAATCACCGGCGCTCACATGCGCTATCTGAAGAAGACAGTCTGGGATACCATTAAGCGTGCAAAGCTGGACCCCTTGGAGGCTCTGAACCTGGATCTAGGTGACGATGATGAAGACCCTGACCGACTTGATGAGCGAGACGAGGACGAATACGAGCACTCGTCTGAGGGCGAAGGCAAATCCGAGGTACTTAACAAGATCCTAGAGCGATCCTCTTCTGAAGCTGCGCGCTCGATTGCTTCATCTAGCTCTTCCACCAGGTCGCACTCACCTCCGACATCACCTCCGAGTGCCAGGAAAGGTCACAGCCGCAAGCCTTCCGCCATGTCCGCTTCAATTCATAGCGAAAATGCCGAGACACCGTTCTTGCCTCTTAGCATCATCTCCCCAGATCCTTATGACCCCGAGGTCGTCGGTCGTAGATTCCCCTGGGGATTTGCCGACCCTTACAACCCAGAGCACTGTGACTTCGTCAAGCTTAGAGAGAGTGTCTTCAGCGATTGGCGCTCTGAACTACGCGAGGCTTCCCGTGAGCAATGGTACGAGGGCTGGAGGACGACCCGTTTAGAGAAGAGCAAGCGACGAATCGTGACTTCGGACGGACCAGCATCTAGGGGACTCTCCGCTCCCGCAACGAACGGCCGAGCAGTCAGCGCTGGGGGTCCCCAGTATCGCCCATATCGCCCCAACGAGTTCTAGACGTCTTGACCCCGAATACTCACGCCTCTTGCTTGACCGGCAACGTGACCATGTTGAATCAACGACAGGCAACATTTACTGCACGGCGGTACCATCCACTATCTATCCAGCGAAGCATCTATTGATCCCTCCACAGTCAGCACAACTCAAACGGTATATGTGTACACTTGGAGGTTTCAATACCTTTTCCTATATCAGTTTGCATCTGGAAGCTTGTGTTTTTATCTGATTTTGAAATTGCGCATACCCTTTTTCTTATTGTTTAGTACCATTCTAGAGTCACGCCGTCCCGATACTGCTCGCTCTGTTCAACAAGGATCTGGGTGGTCGATGTCTTTTACGCTGAGCGTAGTTGGAGCAATGCGGGATCAGCTTCAAACCTGTGTATTTAGCGAATGATTAAGATATCAGTGGAGGATTTGTAGCAAGCAGACCGTAAGGGTTGCAGCGATTTAACAGAAAATTGTCTTTTATAAAACATTCGTCCCTTTTGCATCACAGATCGTGGCTGTTGAAGCTAGTGCCGATCAATCTGAAGGCGCAGGGGAGAGGCGTGCCGAATACCAAATTCTTGGGTTCAATGCAAAAACAAATGTGATCAGCACAAAGCTTCCAGGAACACGATCGGAAGTACTCGTCGTGTTTAAGACCGAGATACCAGCTGGCGGACCCACTCCGACATCCCAACCGACCAATCGCCTTCTCGTATCTCACATCGTGCATCTTGTCTTGCGCGCAGCAACCATGCTTCTGCTCCCAACGTTCGTCATCAACGAGGAGACCTTCTGCATCTGCAATGGCTCCTGGTGTCGTGCCTTGAGCAGTTTAGATATAAGACATGCATCATGCTGTCTTCTATACTCTGTCCGCGTTCGTCTTGATTTGTACCGTTTTCACGCTCTTTCATCTCCTGCCTCACGACATCGACATGGCCTTCTCACGCAACTACATGTCGCTATTCTTTGCTTCTATAGCTGCTACAACAGTGGCACAGAATGTGTCAAAGGTAGATCTAGGCTGGTACGCGCCTAAGAGGAGCTGGATCAATGACCTTGGTCGAGTGTTGAACAGCACAGGGACGAATGGGTTCGTGTTCAATAGCTCGCTATTACCGGCTGGTGTCGAGTACGGAACGTACAATTGGTGCAATATGCCGCATGTGAGGAAACAGGAATATGTGAAGGTCGATGATGAGTTCGAGCTGCTGTACGTGGAGGTGTAAGTATCAATGCCATTCTATTCGGGTTAACCTAGGAGCTTACATCTGGCATAGTATCCATCGCCATCACAAGCGCACACCTTATGCCTCTAATACCTTTCTTAAAGAGGCTTATTCCTGGGATTGCAATGATCAGGGTCTCTTCTACTACGGCGAGCCTCTCAATCCTGCTGGTAATACTTCAGCGTCAACATACTGGAGTGTCTATACCAATCCTGTCAATCCCTTCGCTGTGACTGGTTTCAACGGATCATGCCAGTTTCCGCAAATCACCCGTGAAGGCCTCGACGACTCTTTACAACATGGCAAAGATCTCTTCGGCGTGTACCACGACATGCTCGGCTTCCTCCCAGAGGCCATCAACGAAAAGACAACATGGCGCGTCTCAAACAACGTCATCACCAGCCAAGTCGCCGGCATGCTAATCGAGGGCATGTACAATCCCAAAGAAAACATACCACTACATGTCCAACCCTCCACCATCGACTCCCTAGCCCCCTCCTACTCGTGCCCAGCAGCCTCCTTCTTATACAGTTCCTACGGCGTCGGCAGCAGCGCCTCAAACTGGACCGCACATCTCACCGCAACAGCACCCCTCTTCACCGCTCTCGACTCCATAAGCGGCGTACCGACTGATTCCTCAGAATGGCACAACTGGTTCGACCACTACTACGACAATCTCTCTGCCCGTCAATGCCACGCCAAACCCCTTCCCTGCAACATCACAAACCCAACTCTTTGCGTCTCCCAACAACAAGCTGACACTGTTTATCGGCTGGGTCAATACGAGTACTCGTTCATTTACCGAGATTCTCCGCTTTCTTTACAGGCTGCTGCCGCTTCCTATGGCGTGTTCATGGCGGAGGTGGCAGAGAATATGCGGGCGGTGCTCGTGGGGAAAGACAAAGTTATCTATCGGCATAATGTTGCGCATGATGGGTCGCTGGCGCGTTTACTTAGTTTCTTGCAGGTTGAGCAGATGGTTTGGGTGGGTATGGGTTCAGAGGTTGTATTTGAGGTTTATCGCAAACAAGGCAAAGCGTACTTACGTATTCTGTGGAGTGGACAGGTGATGAGGAGCTCGAATCCAAGTTTGGGAAACAAGGACGGCAATGTTGATTTGATTGATCTGGATGTTTTCCTCGGGTATGTGGATGGGTTGGTGGGGAAGAGGGCGAATAAGGTTGTTGGGAATTGTGCGCTGTAGCACGTTCGTGGATATAATGTCTAAGGGTCCATAATCGGAAGCACTGCCAGCCTCGAGGGACAAGCAATACCTGATCCCGGGGTCCATTGCTCCGACTTCAGCCCGGGCGTGTGTTTTGAAGATACGCGTACGTCTAACGATTTTAGTCTGTAGGCTTACTAAACCTGGGAAAAGGCCGTTTCTGAATTGTAAGCGAAGCATTGGTTAGTATGCAACATGCGATGTAAGCATGCTAAGCATGCTGTCAGCCTTCCTTCGAAACACCACCACCAATAAGATTGTACGTATTAGACTAGCGACCTGGATTGCCTCATCGTTTGCAGCGAATAAATCGATAAGTTGATTAAGTCACTTTTCACGAGTGTTGCGATTTGGAATAACTTCTAGTGTTAGCAATCAGGTTGTATGAGAATACGTGCTTATTATGACGTGTATACGGTAATGTTTGATATAAAATAAAGTAAGAGTCGCCTCGCTGGTAAACTGTAGATTCACTTGCTTGCTTTATCTTGAACAGTTTATACCTGAGGCTCTCAACAAAGACACAAAAACACTTTTCTGGAAAGACACTATATACTGATCGAATCATGCCACTTTCTACGAATGCAGAGGTAGTAGAGACGAGCCATGGTCTCGTGAGTACTCTTCGCGGTATGGCTGGTGGTGCACCGCATAGTTTTAGACCAGGTATGTTGTTTCTTGCCTATCCTCTCCTTGCTTAACCCTCCTTCGGGTCCCTCCGTGATGCATCACTTCAAAGATTCCCACTTCTTTGTCCCGATTGCTCCCAGCTGACACACACCTAGCCCACGCAAAGGGCCACCTCCTCACCGGAACCTTCACACCCAGCGCCACGTCCTCAAGCCTAACCACAGCCCCACACTTCAACCACCCTTCCACACCGGTAACCGTGCGCTTCTCCTCCTCAACCGGCTTTCCCAAAATCGCAGACACAGACCCCAATGCCAACCCCCGCGGCATCGCAATTCGATTTCACCTGCCCCCCAAAGAAGACGGAAGACGCCAACACACGGATATCATTGCGCACTCGACGCCATACTTCCCCACACGTACCGGCGCGGAATTCCTGGAGTTTCTGAAAGCGGCAACAGGGCAGCATGCGGAGGAGGCAGTCCCCGAGTTTCTTGGCCGCCACCCAGAGACGGCAAGGTTCTTACAGGCTGCGAAGCCTAGTCCGGAGAGTTTTGCGACGGAGAAGTTCTTTGGTGTGAATGCGTTCAAGTTGATCAAAGAGGGAAAGACGACAGTGGTGAGGTATAGGATTGTGCCAGTTGCTGGCGAGAAACATCTTGATGCCGAGGCGTTGAAGGGAAAGTCTGACTCCTACCTTTTCGATGAGCTGGCTCCCCGTCTGCAGTCTGGGCCGATTGGGTTCAAATTGATGGCTCAGGTTGCGGAGGAGGGAGATGTGACGGATAATGCGACGGAGATATGGCCCGAGGAGAGGAAGATTATAGAGTTGGGTGAGATTCAGGTTGAGAAGATCAAAGGCGATGAGGAGAGTGCGAAGGAGCAGAAGAGTATCATCTTCGATCCTATTCCGCGAGTTGAGGGTGTGGAGCCGAGTGATGATCCATTGTTAGAGGTGCGCGCTAGTATCTACCTGATATCTGGGAAGCAAAGAAGGGCAGCGGAGGAGCCGGCTAAGGCTGATGGTGTAGCTGCTACGGAAGCTGCAGTGGCTGCAACGTGAAAGAGTAATCCTTTGTGGTACGAACAAGGCTGGAAGAGGTGTTCAGACATATTTGTTAGTCTATCGATGAACTACTCTCTACACACATCCGGTGACACATTGTATTGTGCTTAAAATTGACAGTGGAGCCGCTATTAGTAAAGAACTTGACAGAAGAATCTCCTTACTATATTTTGGTTTAGTTTGATCGTTCAGAAGATCAGTCATACCACTGGGCGTCCTCCCCTTGTTCTGCGAATGTCGAAAGTAAAGGTGATGGGCATGGGCTGCATTGCAATCGACCAAGCGTACAGCAGCAGAAGTATGGGTACTCCATTAGCTGTGTTTCGGTAACCGTAGTAGGGCCTTCTAAGTTCTGGAATTATGATTCGGCTAGGGTGTAGTATGTAAGGGTGCAGCCATAGCCGCAGCAACAAAGGCGAAGCTGAGCTGCAGCTGAGCATCCAAATCGATACCGAAGACTAGGCCGGGACGGTTACGATGCTCAGACGTGCAGCCGCCCATGTCAAAGCCTTCAAGCGGATTGTGCTTCTAGACGTGACTGGTAGGGCGGTACTCATTGGAAATGCGGTAGCTGTATCTGGCATTGCTCAAGGCATCCCCAGCAATACTAATGTCGTATTGGATAATATAGTAAAATCTTATGCCATATCGAATCGAGCCTTTGATAGTATGATGTGTGGCTGCTCTCTCGGGTAAATCTGAGGTAAGTTGGAAATCAATAGTAGCAAAAAATGGTTGGCGCCATCAATCGCCAAGCGTCGGGGTAGTCACGTCTCACTGACAAGGTCACGATAGCCAGACTGTATTACGGTTGCCCATTATACGAGTTCGAGGACTGTCCTTTGTGCCCTTGTCTTTACATGAAGGCGTTTTAGAATCTGGCCGCACATTCACTGTCAGCTTCAGGCAAAGAACGCAATTCGCTTGGAAATCGTGAATGGGTGGGTGAAGACGTATTATGATAGGGCTTCGTAGGCGAACGCCTTCTCCATTATCCAGAGGTGTCGCTCTCAGGCTAGTGACGGATATTGCGTGACCAGATGACTGCGCATCGCGGGTTGGTGGTCTGTGACGGGCTCTATAATTGGTGTGCTCAGTAAGCTCTTTACAAATGCTACAGCTCTCCAGTTACCCATAGGTGCTCGATAATTCCAACTACAAGCTCTAATTCATCTTCGAAAGGGATCCAGCTACCACTTGATCGGAAAGGGCTCTTACGGGATCGTACATTACCGTTGTCGTAGCGTGCGCGATGACCGTAATGTGACGGACCCGACGCACCGTAATCTCACATATCCTGGCTATGCATACCCCCGAATCTAGTTAGCATGCTTCGAGGGTTCTTTGTTCTGTGATAGCGATATGCAGGTGCGTTTGGAGAACGGAACGTGCGCCAAAAAGCTGCCAATTGAGATGAGGGTGGAACTGCGGGGAAGGATGACATGTTGTCTTGGCACCTCCCACGTCGAGCTCTCGATGGCACTGCCTTCCAGGTCACAGACCTCCATTGGCAGACTTCTCATGCCATAGGTGATCGGTCGGCACTAGTTTTGCGAACGGCGGCCCGCCTACACGCCACTTTTCCGGGCTTTTCATCTGTGGACACTAGTACACAGAGGCTGTTACCAAAAGTAGCTATCGCCTGCGGCAACCACCGTTCCCTATAGACGTAGTGATGCTAGTGAAGCATATGACTGGGATATTCAAGGTATGATAACAGTGAGACGCCTGTATTATCTCAATCGATCTCACGCTACATTCGATCCAAATTGTATCCTATCAACACTCCGCTGTCGTGCGCGATACTTTGTTCGTAGGAAGACATTTTCACGAGCTGATTCAGCGGTTCAAATTGTTTGTATCTTTTTCCTCCTTCTTCAGGCTTTGTACAACGTGGTGCGCAAGGGTTCGTGCTTTCCCCCCAAGCGCATTGTACGCGGTTTTACCACGCGTCCTGCATTGTTACAGGCAGAGAAGGCTACCTTCTGGACCACGATCATGGTCTGCACTGCATGAATACCACGACCTTGCGTTATTCATTCAACTCACTTCCAGGATTTGAGGCCATTCACGCCTCCCAAGTACTCCTTTTTCCCACAGCGGGACAGTGGTTGCTCTCACGCGATACAATTTATCCCTGTTGGTCCTTACATCGATTTACCAATTGTTTGCGCATAACCACCTCGTCGCTACTTTCATTCGGCCGATTCGACTCTCTTCCGTTAGCTTACCGCCAATGCTGTGGCACTATTAGGCAAGTTCATGTCCACTGCGGCGGTGAACGATATCAAATAGCTTCTAAGCGCATTCGCCCGCATTCGAATGCATCAAACTACCACTTCTAGTACTACCGCCGCATTGGTTACACGTCCAGTCTCTCAGAGTTCAGCACAAAACCACAACCGTTACGAGCAAAGGTAGACTTTTGCAACGACTTCGCAACATGGTCACTCCGCTGTCTCATAATAAAGACATTGCCATTGTTATCGCCACACGAACAGCGTCCGGACTTTCCGTCATAGGCTCAGCACTCATCATCAGCACCTTCGTCTACTTTCCATTCTTCAGGAAACGTATGTTGTCTTGCCTCATTCCAGTTCAAGGGCTAATCATACACAGCAATTAATCGTTTGGTGTTCTTTGCGACTTTTGGCAACATCATAACCAATGTAGCCACTTTGATGTCAATTGCAGTATTACCGAAGGGCTCCCAGCCTCCATCCGGCCTGTGCGAGCTCCAGGGTCTTCTCATCCAATGGTTCTTGGTCTCGGATTCCCTCTTCTGCTTGTCCATGGCTATGAATGTTTTTCTCGTGTTCTTCTATGGGTACGATGCTCAACAGTTACGCCATCTGGAGAAGTGGTACATCACCTGCAGTTATGGCATTCCAGGAGTGCCGGTCCTAGCTTACTTCATCTTGAGTAGGACAGGACACCAAATCATCGGATCCGCAACTCTTTGGTGCTGGATAGCGTCTGATGTTGAGTGGATGCGAATTGCTTTCTTTTACGCTCCTGTCTGGTACGCGTTGCCCTCGTCGACTTGAATGTTACTAATCTCAACAGGATCGTCATCACTGCGACTATCAGCATCTACGTTATCACCGGCTACCGAATCTGGAGAAAGAGGGCTGAACTGCGTTCAATCTATCGCAGTTCGCACCAATTCCTACACAGGGATTCTTCAGCTTCTCGTACACATAGCGGTGTTCGAGGCCCTTTAGTCGGCATGAACAACATCGTGGTGACGACACAAATCAAATGCGATGTTCAGACGGAGGATACCATCTCGTGCGGTGTTTCTCCCGAGCCAGATCAGAACTCCATCAGTTCGTTCGCAAGCACCCGGTTACTTTCCAAACCAAGCAGAATCAACGATCTGACAATAGAACCACTGGCAGCCCCTGTTTCTACTCGCATGTCTAGGATCCAGATCGGGGACGTTGAAGCCCAGAAAACTCTACATCAGGGCACAACTGGAAGGAATGGGTATAGGGCGACTGTCGTTGCGACGAGTCCTATAGCAGACACATCAGTGGTGCCAACTTCATTGTCGATATCACGTCCTATCCTCAAGCGAACTGCTGAAGGACATGCTGCAGCCATGGCGTACTTCCAAGTTGCCTTCCTCATGTTCCTGGCCTTGGTTGTTGTCTGGCTGCCCAGCAGTATCAACCGCATGTATCAGTTTACGCACCAGGACCACCCGAGCTTTGCCCTAAACCTCATTTCCGCAATCGTCCTACCGCTCCAAGGAGCTTGGAACGCCACTATCTACATCTCCACTACCCGCGCCGAGTGCAGAAGAGCTTGGGGTATGATGATGTCGAAGCTGACTGGTAAGCCAAGACAGGATCGACCACCGCGAGACACATATCGCAAGGAGGCGATGACGAGCTCACTGGACACACGAGAATCTGCTGTGAACATCGCGTTAGACGATGTCCTCAAGCAAGGCGTTCAGGCGCGCCACTCCGAGGTATCAAACGATGATATGTTGGAAGAAACCAAGCCTCGGGGTGACTAAGAGTCACGGTGATGTGTCAATGTTTCTCTACGTCGTCGTGTTACTGTGGCGTTCCAACAGTGCAACTTGACCCGACCCGGCCATATCTTTTCTTTAATTCCGTGTACACTCCTTTCCACAAAGGGAAGTGTTTCCTTCTTGAATGTATTCACGATTACTGACTATTCGGTTTGTTTCTCCGTTATGGCTTCCGCTATTTTGGCGTCTCCTGTCGGTCGTTTGGTATAGGATGATGATGATACCCAAGTTAGGCGCACGGTGTTATACAGCAGTCATTTCACATTATGTCCAATTAATTCGAGTACATATATAAAACAGCACCTTCTCCTCAATTACCCAACGACCTCATCCCTCTCCTGCATAACCCCATCCATACCCCTCCTCCTCGGCACAAGGATACTCCTCAAAATGCAAAGCTGCCCATTATTCGGACAGATTTTCTCCCTATTCAATTGTTTATCAACCGGCCCCGTCGGTCCACCCGTGAACTTCGCCTGGCCAAACAATTTAACCTGTCTCTTATCACTCTTTGGATACTCTTCGTCGCCCCACCTACCCTTAAAGTTCAACCATGCTGTCGGCGCCTGCCCATCATATGCTGAAAAAGCGTTGTTACCAGCATTGAACTTGTAGAAGTTGGCCGATAGCACGGGGTCCCACATTACGCCTTTATCCGTGTAGTCTTCTAGGACGCCACCGGGGAGGTTGAGATTGGGGATAGTGTGGTCGTGGGTTCCAGAGATTGCGTAGTTGGCATGGGAACCTTTGGAAGAGTATGCAATGGGTCTGTCGCCAGATTTTTCGACGGTGGAGTAGCGGAAGGCTTGGCCGTTGGCGTGTTGAGAGTACCAGATTGCTTGGGGAGAGCCGTTTTGGAAACGGACCATTACGTGCTCCCAATCGCCTACGTGGTTACCTGTGGTTCGAATGTTAGAGCTGTTGGATTTTTAAAGGAAGAATGGGGGAGCGACGTACCGAAGTTGAGTTTATTCCATCCTAGTACCTCACCACCATAGTTGTAGGCGTAGAAATACATGTAGAAAGCATCGACGTTGCCGTTTCCTTTGTCGTTTACAATGATAGCTGCGGTAGTGGCTCCTTCGGTCTTTCCTTGCCCGTTGGGCTTTGTGCCTTTAATCCATGTGGGATCTTTGGTCACGTCATCGTTGGATGTGAGCCAAATGTCACTGCCCATTTGATCGAGGTTGGAGCTAGTGAGGGGCTTCGAAGGACCGGGAACTTCATTGAATTTCACGCGTGGAGTTGTATGATCCAGAAAAGTTTGTATGTCGGTGGGAAAGTATGTATCCTTTGAGTGAAGGTAGACGATTGGTGCTAAGGGTATGTTAGTGGACTTCGGGGTACAGCAGTGAATGGATCAAGATTGTAATCGGTACGTACCGTATTTCAGTACATAATCCGGAACACCGTTTGGTGTCTGCCTTTCCTGCAGTGTAAGCGGCGCGCAGTTAACCAAAGGCACAACTATCGTAGCCAAAGCAACGATGGATCTGAAAACCATCATGACGTTTTTCGAGTGTATAATGAGAGTAACAGATGCAAACAGATTCAGATTGAATTGCGCATAAAATGTCCACTTCATGGATTACTTGTTTTCTTATACAAACGCCTACAACCAGCTGACTACCAACTCACCTTCCTCAGCTGTCCAGCAAACGAACCATTTACCCACCCATTCTCCTTCCCTATCGGCCGCATCCTAGCGACATTCCGTCTATGCATGGCAGACATACCCTCACTAATTCGTTTACCTACCCGACTGGTAATCAGCTGCCCCTGCCAATAGTCGGGAAACCCGCCACACGTGGGAACATATCTGCTGGGTGACCAAAAGGAACATTCGAATTAGTTGGAGTTGACAGGCGATGTGGCTTGGATGATTGGTTGTCGAGCGCTAGGGCCCCTGATAGCGAGGCGGACGTGGCGATCCGCGTGGCAAGGATGCACCGAGTTTGATAGGGTGGAGGCTAAAGTGATGTGCTTCTGAAACATGATGTTCAGGTGTCAAGGCCGTTACTGGTGAACATGCACATACGATAAGTTGCGATGGCGAAACTGATGCAGGAGTCGTGAGGGGTGTTGGATATGATTGCCCATCTTGCGTGGTGAGAGGTGGCACCATTGATCATGCCCACATCTAACTCTCGTATCTTACAACCGAATCCTAGAATACAAAGGTTCGCGCGTACTTGCGATCCATCTCAGCGTATTCTTCCTTGAGCATTCTACTTCTGAGCTTGTTCAGCCGAAGAATTACCCCCTCTTCTTCTCCCTCCAGGTCCTCTACTTTCTCATCCAGGTCCTTCGTGCCTTTAACCTTCCACACTAATCCCTGCAGACCCCCGCTCTTCGCGTGATCGCGTTTCTCGCGTGCCTCAGCAGCTAGGTATGTCATGATCTTCCCCCATGACTCGAGTCCAACTTCTTCGCACTTTTCGCACTTCTTGCGGATGTCGTCGTTGGCGCGTACAGGTTCGAGTGATTGCGCGAGCTTAGAAGTGGAGACAGCATCACGCACCCAAGAAAGACCTTGTTGACGTTGGCTAGACGAGCTGCCAGCTGTCGCGAAAAGGATCTCGCCGATGTAGTTCTTCAAGGCAGCTTCTTCGCAGCGATCGCTTTCCTTCCGGACCAGTGGTTCGTCGCCGGAAGGTGGTACGTCTGGGTAGTCGGGTTCACGCAGCAAGCTGAACAAAGTTCCGACGAGAGTGGTGTCCTTCTTGGGTTGTATCGCAGGGGTACGATCTTCTTCAGCTTCGATGCGAGCACGAAGCAAAGAAATGAAAATTGGGAGCGCGGATGCGACTCTTCGTTGCTCTGCTAAGAAAGTAGCCAGGTTTGTCGCAGCATAGACAATGTTTGATGTTATGGCTTCTTTCGGTGCTGTAGATGACAAGATGCCACTATCACGATCGATGACTGCCGAAGGCTCAGGTGTCGGCAAACCTGCAATGGCAATGTCGAGTGCCCACCTGTACATCTCCTCCGCCGAATCTGGAAGCTTTCTGAAGCTGAGCCAGTCCGCGTAGCTCAAAGCAGCCGATAGCCGTTGGTATGTGGTGAAACCCTTCGAGGTGATGATCTTGAGGTAAAATGTCTCTGGCGCTTCCGCCGCGGGTGTGCGATGCTCCTCATCTGGTGGCTCGGGCATGCCAGGGAGAACAGCCTTTGGTCGTAGATTTGAGGGTGACTGAATGAACTCCGGGGCCCATACATTTCTCCTCCACTTATCCGTCACCCATCCGTCTAGTCTTTCTGCAGCATTGCCCATGCCCATAAGCACTTCGTAATATCCTTGTCGCCACTCTTCGCTTTTTGCGGTCAAATCGAAGCCTGCCTTGCCTACGCCGGGCACCAGTATTCCCCCTTCTTCTTGATCAAGTAGACCTGCCCCATCCTTATCCGGGTTCTCCAATCGATTCAGCGCATATTCCAGCTCTGAGTAAACCCGCGCCCAGTTGGGGAAACCCTCTTCCTCGTTGTTTTCAGGCACCTGCCACCACTTTCCTCTCCTGAACCTAAACCTCGTGATCAGGCTCCACTCATGAGGCGACGGAAAGGCCCGCTCTTGTTGCTCGCTCAATATGCCTAGACTTGCGATACTGACGCATGATGAGAGGAGAAAGATGAGAATGCTATAGCGCACACTCAGTTTCGCCGTCTCTTTTATGAACTTCTTGTGGTTCGCGCTAATGGAGAATAGACGTTGTAGTTGGCCGTTGGAGAGGTGCTGGCCCGAGGGGTATAGAAACGGCAGCTGTGGCCGCGGCGAGCCTTGGTGCGCAACGAGGAATTGGCGAGGGTGCTTGTACGAAAACTGGCGTGCACATGGACGATCGGAGGTGCGGGTTGTCGGAGGCCTCCGGGAGCCCTGGGGAAGCTTTATTCGATGCGCCGGGGGACGCATTATGGCTTGCGATTGAAATACTGTCACTCGTCGTGTGCCTTGAAGCCGTGGTTCACGCGCCAAGACAAGCTTGAGCGACCGCCCGGCAGAAAAAGTTCAGGATCTCCATTCTCGTTTCGCGACACGCTCCTACATATCTACAACATTTTTGCGCGCTCACCATGTCCAAGTCTAAAATTGATACCCCCGAGAAGAAGCGCAAGCGCGACGCTGAGGTTGCAGAGGATGCACCAAAGAAGTCCAAGAAATCTAAGAAAACCGAAGATGTCCAGGATGCGCCAGTCGATGCGACCGAGGTGAAGAGGGAAAAGAAAGACAAAAAGGACAAGAAGTCTAAGAAGTCCAAGGACAATGTCGACACATCGGCCATCGAAGATGCCTTAGAAGACGCAAAGAAGGACAAGAAGGAAAAGAAATCGAAAAAGTCCAAGAAGTCCAAGGATGCCGATGTCTCTGAGGATGCGCCAGAGGCTGAGCTTATCGACGAGATGAAATCTTCTGAGAACTTCATCAGCGTCAACGACGATGAGCCAATGCCCGATGCCACCGAAGATGCGCCTGCAAAGAAGGAAAAGAAGGACAAGAAGGACAAGAAGGACAAAAAAGACAAGAAATCGAAGAAGAGCAAGGATGCTGCCGTTTCCGAGGACACACCTATGGAAGACGCGGCCGAGGAAACTCAAGCGGAAACAAACGGAGTAGATGCTGAATCCAAGGCTGAGAAGAAGGAAAAGAAAAAGGACAAGAAGGAGAAGAAGGACAAAAAAGAAAAGAAGGCAAAGAAGGCGGCGGAAGCAGCGACTAATGGAGAATCTCCTGCTGAGGAGCCTAAAGCTGAGACCAACGGTGAAGCCACTGCAGAAGACGCAGATGTAGAGGTCGAGGGCGGTGCCGAGGTGGAAGTAGAAGGAGAGGAAGTCGAAGCCGCAGTTGAGGCTAACAAGGGTCGTTTCATCGTCTTTGTCGGTATGTCTCGTGCATACTCCAGCCTACCACGGCCTATCTGACACAATTATCTAGGCAATCTTCCCTACAGCGCTACGAAGGAGCAAATCGAGAAGCATTTCGAAAAGATCAAGCCTACCGAGGTCCGTCTCCGCACATACAAGGGCACCGAAAAGTTCATGGGCACATGCTTCATCGAATTTGACCGCTACGACCGTATGGTGACGTGCTTGAAGAAGTACCACCACTCAGTCTTCCCCGATCCCAAGAAGAAGGAGGGCAGGAAGATCAATGTTGAGCTGAGGTAAGATTCCCATACTCTGCATACCCACTGCGCATCTCTATTTTCCCACCACCACCACTACCACCACTGTCATCCCGAAACGATACAATACAAGTGATGAAGACACATACTAACTCCACCAACAGCGCAGGAGGCGGTGGCAACAGTGAAGCCCGCAAAACCAAGATCGCAGCCAAGAACGAGAAATTGCACGACGAGCGCGCCCGCGACCGTGTCAAGAAGACCGAAGTCGAAATGAAGCAGAGCGAGCGCAAGCAGAAGAAGGAAGCCAAGTCAGGCAAAAAGGGTGGTGACGACGCAGAGGCCGCTGAGCCGGAGCAGCCCAATGAGGCTGCTACTTTTGGCATGAACCCTGCGCGTTTGGCCATGATGCAGGGGCCTGAGCGACCCCAACACAGGTCAAGGTATTAAGGGATGGTTTAGTCAAAAGCGATGAGACGAAGAGTTCATGTTTGAGCTGATTTGCTTAGAGATCTGTTAGATGGCTATATGAGTGGACTTGTTGTACATGACTTGAGTTCCCGGCTTGGCCTCATCTCACGATACCATAGTTATAGACTTTTGGGTAACATCGAAATTATAATGCTGCAAGACGGTCTTGTGTATCTGCTTTGAGTTCAAATTATGTGTATTTCTTAATGTAGCTCTGTAGCTGGGTAAAATAGTAATCTAAAGGAGTGACTGAAGAATTGAAAAGTGCTGTGATTCCACCTGTGTATACATCATTTCATTCATAAGGAGCGCTGCGTAGTTGGAAATTCGCGTTTCAATCAATCCTGAGCCCCAATGCTAGCTTCCACAGTACTGTAGTTTTTGGGCTTAGTAGCCGCCGCCATAGCTGTCCTTAGTCGTGCAGACTGTGGTAGTGCCAGTGGTGATGTGAGTAGTCGGCTTCTTCGCAGTTTCCGTAACAACGGATGCGGTGGTCTTCGAGGATGTAACGGTCTCCTTAGCAGTGGCAACGCTGGTCTTGTAGGAAGTACCAGTGGAGCTATGTACATGTGAGCCAGAAGGTCATCTTCGGGAAGGGTAGCTGGGCACTTACACGAATGGCACGGTCTCGCACTTGGTGGATGACTTAACTTCGCTTTCTACCTTGGTGCCGTAGATGGTTGTCACAGTCGAGTAGGTTTTGGTGGTGAGATACGTAGTGAAATCAGTCACGGTCTTTGTGCTAACGCCTGTAGTAGTGTATGGACAGGGCGACGTGGTAGTAGAGTATTTCTCCGTGACAGTGGTGACTGGAACCACCACAGTCTTGGTAGAAAGGTAGGTAGTCTTGTCCTCTCCGACACTAGTGCTGATCCATGTAGCTATGAAGAGTCAACTCAAGTTCGTGTAAAGCTGCATTGGTACACATACATGGAGTACAGACTGACTCAGCGGGGTATCCGGGAGAAGAAGACTTGAGGTGAGGTGGAGAGTAGCCGGGAAAAGCAGCGACCAGGGAAGCCGAAGCAACGAGTGTGAAGAGGTTATTGAAGAGCATCTTGGGCTAAGAACGAAGGTGGCCTGGGCTGAAAAAAAAAAGCGATTGACGATATGTACAAATCTGAAGCGATGGAGTTTCGAAGGAATTGTTGCGAACGCTGGAGGCTGATGATGGTTTAGAAGAGGACCATGGAGTCTCTTTATAGTTGAGCCCGGCTCACCAAAACTCGCATCTCCTTTGTATCACGAATGTTTCTTGTTGAGCGTTGAGCAAAAGAAGCAAAGGTCGTTCTCCCGCAGTATCCGGATGATCGACAACGCGATCAGTAGTGTCTTGCACATCTCACAGAATGGCTTAGAGGAAAACATACCGAGACGGGAATAGATCAAGCGCGCTGATGCGGACTAAGATCACATCGCGCCACGAGAGTATGCATGCATGCAGTTAGGACGCTACCACGAACCTTTAGCCCACCAGTTGCTATGACTAACAGTGTCAACATACTTGTTATGCATGCGTAAGTTATAACCAAACCGAGTTTACTTTCTCGCACGGAGGTAGGCGTCGAATATGCACCTGGAAAGCGTTCTGCTGCATGAACTGGATGGTGACTGAGAGGAAAGTGGCTCGCTTTAGTGGATCAAATAGCCAACGAGTGTCTCCGTGACATCGATGTACAACAGAGTATGCCGAAGTACGTCAAGAGTTTCCACGTAGAAGCATTTGGTCGGAGGAACATGCCGTACGTCATGCATGTTTATCTATCGCGTACCTTGGTGGTTTCAAGCATGAATCCCAGGAACCCGGAACCCGTTGGAGTGGCTAAACGACGCGGAACCGTACGGCTGAGTCTCTAACCCTTGACCGAGAGCTACTAACTAGTTCGATCGAGTATTCCTGGCGAGGATCACTGCATAGCTGCAGTTCAATATCGAGTCGTCTCGTCGTGCGGATTCATTGCGGGGAAAGATGAGTGATACGATGTAGGTGCGGCTGGAGCAATTAGCAACCCTCGATCGGTGCTGTTGTTTGACAGCCAGCAATCTATACGTCAGGTCGAGTATTTTGATGAGTTGAAAGCTTGTTTGTAGATGGCAGGGGGATGGTATGATGGAGGACGAGGGTCCAGCCATTGTGGGGTCTCTGAGCGCACGGCCCGAGACCCACCGACCACGGCTTCCATCACAACTTTTTTGTGATGTCGCTGAAGAACACATCTCCTCTGCGATTGCCTCACAACCCCACGTTTTCGGCTAACAATACGTTCGTTCCGGGTATTTTCAAGACACTGCCTTCACTGTAAGGCGTTTGGCAAGCGCAAAGTATAGCTCTCTATCAGCAGAGACACGCTCGGGAGTCCGCAAACGAATTCGGCATGCGACGCTAGTCCTGCAGTCACCCGACAGATCGCCCCAGATTACTTGCAGTACGACTGAAGGACTTGGTGGAAGCTATTGAGAAGATTCCGATCTTGAGAACGATGAGCCGGCCAACAGCTGCTCCCGTCAACCCTCCTTCACGGCTGGCTGGAAGCGCCCACGAAGGCATACCCGTCACGTCCCCACGATCATTACGCCAACTTTCGATATACTTCCTCGGAAGCGCCTGTTTACTAGCATCGACCGCAATAACGCGAAAGGCTGTATGGAGGAGGCAGCTCCGTGTCATGCCAAAGTTTTATGAAGCGAACACGAACCCGCACGAATACTTTAGTCCCTTCTCCGATGCCTGCCAGGCTCTAAACTTGGCCACAATGAACTGCGCCAGCGTCGGAATCATGGCACTGGGTGGCGCAATGTGGACCTTCGACATTGCCAACCTGAAAGAAGCTAGGGCAGTTCTACGGGGCCGCTTGAATTACGACCGAATATACGAATCTGAAGATGATGTACCGAATAGCATCAGCGAAATGATAGTAGCATCTGGACAGATGCGGATAATAGAGGAGGACGAGAAAAATGAATCCGAGAAGAACCAATAACGACCGTTGACGTGTACGAGTACGACTGTAAGAATAGTGTATACAACAGGAAGGCTGAGTGTCTACTAGCCGCGCATAGTTCCACATCCGCGGTAGTCTATGAATGCCTCATCGGATGAGCACTCGCAACCAAGGCACGGCGTCCCGAGTCTAATGAACAACTCCGCCCCTTTGCCAAGCCGATATCTATCTATACTGTCAACGTGTCGTAGATCATGTAGGCTTTTTATGCGAATGCGTCACAGGCAGGGCGTCACACTGGAACGACGAGGAAAAATGCGCCATCCTCCGAGTTCGTTGTATGAGAGACCCACGATTGACAATTGAAGGATGCGATTGGGCATTAAATTACCTCCCAATGCTTCCGGGTACGTTCCAAGGGTGGTTTGGAAAGGTACCCGGGTATGTGCCACGACATGAGCTCAAAATGACATCAATGAGGGGCGTCCCACTCAGAGCATGTTCTGATTCAAGCATGTCTCAGCCGAAACGAGTTATAACGGGCAATTGCCACAAGGCGTCGGGATCCGTATACTCTGGCTACAGCTTGTTTTAATATCGTGTTGATACGCACAACCAAACCTCCGGTACATACTAGTCGACGGATAACGACCCTCCCGTACAAGTCCGGACTGGCTGCATTAAGGTACACATACGTATATGCGATTTTCCACTCAGCTCTATAATTGACCACTATAACCTGGGAATAGACTTGTGCTCGTGCTCATGACCTATGTCGTTGGCGCAAAGATGGGGATGATAGCTCAGCCAAGGAGCTTTCCAATTTATTCGTGCTGCATAAGCTTACATAACCTGCTCTCTTACTACGCTTCATGATCCGGGGACTGAACAACACATCACCTCAACGTTGATCCCTCAATGTGACTTCGCGTATGTCATGCTATCTACTCGGCAGGCATCACCCAACACGCCCAGCATGTGGTATCGCAAAAACATCCTACAGGGCTCCAACCACTTAGTAGTTCTTGACGACTTGATAAGCAACCATTGAATTATGTTTGACCCAACTTTCCTTGCACCACTATTGTGTTCCGTCTTCAATCTTGACGCCTTTTTGCCCATCTCTGTTCGCTCTCCAAACCCCCTCGCCACCCTCGAATCTCTCAAGCTTCCAAATCTCAGCTCTGTCCTTCGTCTCCTCCAATGCTTCCTCACCCGCTCTCCACGCTGCCTGTCGGTGTGGTGCGGACACCGCAATGACAATGCTCTCCTCACCAATCGGACATTCGCCCAGCTTGTGAATGATGGCGATCTTAGTGCATGAGTGCTTGGATAGAATGGACGTGGCGATTTTGAAAAGAGTGTTGATGGCAAGGGGAGCGTAAGAAGTGTAAGCTAAGGATGAAACAGGCTCGTTGTTGAAAGAGTCGCGAGTCGTGCCTATGAACAGAACAGTCGCGCCTGCGGATGGAGAACGCACGAATTTTGTTGCTGACAAGGAGTCTAGATCGTGTGGGGTGAGTTCGACATGGATAGTCTCCGTGGTCTTGGTGACAGGGTGCGAAGGTATGTCCGGATTGTAGGATTGGGATTCTGTTGTTGCCATTTTGGCGGAAGTGTACACGATATATACCGACTGTAGGATGATTAGCGTACGTACCTTGATGAATGATACAAATACTTCAAAACATAGGAATAGAAGAATCAACCCCCGCCATCACTGACTTATCTTTGCTGTAAGGAAAGTAGCCTGTTGCCTGCAACACCTACTTTGAATGAATTCGTGATACCAATGGAGTTGGAAGATTTTCGAAATTCTCAAGGTTCCAGTGTGTTTCTGTCTCTCAAAATCGTGCTGGTGGAATATCGAAGATGCCGTCATAGCAGCGCGGGTCATTATCTTAGCGCCGATCAACGACGTGCATCCTCACACGTGGAGCGTTAACTCCGGCCCCGCTCATACCACAGCTCTAGCTCGCGTCGAACCACTGCTCTCACCACGAGCCAAGTCCGAGGCAAGTAGTCCTCGTGAACACCTTGTTGCCTTACCACCTGAACTTCTCTGACAAAACGTGCGCGCAACGTACACGAACGGGCCTCTGCATTCCTTCCACAACCGCTAACGTCGCTCGCTACCTTACTTGCTTCGACGCGCCGTGTTAACCGAATACCTTTCCATCTACGTTCCCAACACCTATACAAACTCGTCTATCCTTTGTGATCGAATACAAGCCTTCGCGACACTTATTTACATGGCGAGGGATGGTCTACAATACAGCATAAGACATAACCCAAGATGAGCGGGGACTGGGGGTATGGAGCTGTATTTAAGATATTCGTATGGGGCTACCTCGTAGGTGGGCTGACCCTTTTGCCCGCTGTACTTGTGGCCGCCTGGTTCTTGGGCACTAGACTCGTCGAACAAGAAAGCATTACCGACACTACAGATGCAGGGGCGACTTCACAACAACGTAGGAAGTCGGACGGATCTACACACGGCAAGGACAACGATAATGTACACTTGGGAGTGGGCATAGACGAGGAGATACTGGACAAGCTGAAGGGAAGGACCCACGAGCCGGATGCCTGTGCTGGATACTTCGCGGTATGCCGAGAGTACGTGCCAGGAGGCGTCAATGGCAAACCTCCGGATCGAACGACACCGGCTGGTGCTGTAGTAGCTGTAGAGAGCCCGAGCGTATATCAGTCCATATACAGGGGCATATTCGACAGGAATAAGACTACAAGTCCCACAATAGAAGCAACAAGTGCAAAGAACAAGAAGGCCCGCAATGTCTTCTATGTTGTCTTACGGTATGTCTACGCATTTGCAGTACATGAAGTCGGACTAATTTCAGTCCAGTCTCGGACACCTCATGCTATACGACAACGAAGACCAGCTCGAAGTACGCCACGTAATATCACTCGCGCATTACAAAGTTGACATATATGGGGGCGGAGAGCGCATACCGGAGGGCGAGCTTTGGATAAAGAGAAACTGTATGCCTTCATGCTAGCATTTAAATGACTTTCCTGGAACTGACAAATTTAGGCATTCGACTCATCCAGCAGCTGGACAGCAACAGTACTGCCGACGCGAAAGATTTCTATCTGTTCTCCGATAACTGCTCCGAGAAGGAAGACTTCTACCACGCGATGTTACACGCCCAAGAAAACCAGAAAGATCCCACCGACACAGATCACCCGTCCGTTCCGCTCAAATTCGATACACCCGATCTTGTCAAGCTAGTGCAGCAGCTGCATGCTTCGGAAGAGAACCTACATACCCGCTGGATCAATGCGCTTATTGGTAGAGTGTTTCTGGCTATATATAAGACCTCGCAAGTCAAAGACTTTATTGCGAGCAAGATCAACAAGAAGATCGCCCGGGTGCCGAAGCCTGCTATCATCAGCAGTGTACAGTTACGCAAGGTCGACATGGGCACCCTGCCGCCCTTCATCACGAACCCCAAGCTTAAAGAGCTAACTGTCGATGGCGATCTCGTTGTGGAGGCCGATGTCAGCTACAAGGGAAACTTTCGCATCGAAATATCAGCTACCGTACGAATCGATCTGGGCACTCGGTTCAAAACCCGCGAGGTGATACTCGTGTTGGCCACGGTATTGAAGAGGCTCGATGGACATATTCTTATCAGGGTCAAGCCTCCGCCTAGTAACAGACTCTGGATGACGTTTGAGACACCGCCCAAGATGGAGTTCTCGCTTGAGCCGATCGTGAGTTCGCGTCAGATTACCTATGGTGTTGTCCTTAGGGCAATCGAAAACCGCATACGGGAAGTGGTGAATGAGACATTGGTTTTGCCCAACTGGGATGACATGCCGTTCACCGACACCATTGCGCAGGTCATAAGAGGCGGTGTCTGGGAAGACAGTGCGAAGGATGAGGAGGAAGACGCCGATAAGATCAAACAAGATGAAGCCGCACTCGAGACTGTAATCTCAGAGGCTGAGAAACTTGATGAAAAGACCGATTCGGCGAGCGCGCACTTCTCCATCGCTTCGAGTGTTGATTCAGAAGAGGTCGGCACCGGTGTTTCTTCCTCGACGGATCACAAGTCCTCATCGGCTTCAGTGAGACCACGGGCAATGCGGTCTTCATCGTCTGTCGCCCAGGTGAAAATTGACTCATCGAACGCTTCTGCTGAAATTTCAAATGATCGTAACATGACACCAACAAGTGTCAAATCACTTCCAGTCACGTCGCCTATGAAGTCACCGATGCGACCTAAAAGTGCACGAAAAACGACGGATTCATCAGAGAGCTCCTCGGAGGACACTTCTGCCGCATCAATATACGCAGAAAGCACTATGTCTGTACCAGTCCTCAATACCGAGCACTCCCGAACAAGGTCGAAAGAGCTGTCCGCACAGGAAATTGCTGCAGCAGCCGCAGCCGCAGCAGGAGCCAGTAATATGGCGACAAAGAAACAAACCATCAATCAATCTCTCAACTCCGCCACAGCAGCAGCCAGAAACTGGCTCGCAGCCAAGCAAAATACCAAATCCAATACCAACAACAACAGACCACCTACATCCGAAGGCCCAAGCATAGATCACGACTCATCATCGTCGTCGTCTTTGGATCCCCGCCCACAACTCCACTCAAACCCATCAATCTCAAAATCCCACACAGAACCCATGGGAAGAGGCCAGCCGCTCCCTCCCCCAGGCACACCTCTTCCGCACCCCAAGAACGAGAAAAGACAGACCTGGGCCATCCCTGCCGCGGCCTCCAATACCTTTGCTAATCTCACAAAACGCAAACCCGTTGCCCCTACTACGAACTCGCCTGTCGTTTCCAGCAAAAGATCAGTCGAAGATCTCGTTGACAGCTCAAAAACATCGTTGGGTACAGCTTCCTTGGGTACAGCCTCCCTCTTACCAGCTGCACATTTCCCAGATCAAGACGCTAGGACTGGTGGCAATGCTGGAGATCACGATGACGATGGAGAGGATGTGTTTCGTGAGATGCGCAGGAGGAAGAGTAGTGCTGCTAGTAATGAGTTAGCGACGCCGCCTCCGCCGCTACCCAAACGAAGGCAAAGACAGCCGAGTCTGAATTTGAGTGCGCATCAGAGGCGGGCGAGTCAGAACCAGAACGTGCAGCCGTTTGGGATGGGAGAGGAGCTATTCGTTGTTGAGGCGCCGGCTGTGGATGGGGGTGCGGGGAGGGATGATGAGGGGAGTAAGGCGTAACGTCGATATGGAACATCGTGTTTGAACCAATCTCGTGGATACTCTGCTCTGAGCGAATGAACATTTATGCAAATTGCACACTTTGGCAGTAGGACGACTGCTATTTCTATGTCTTGGCTCCCTGTCATAGTGTCCTCACGTTCTACTCTGATCTCTCAATCATCCACTTCTGTCGTTCCCGTGTCATCTGCAAGACTCATGTTCTCTTCTTCCTCATCGTGCTTGGGCAGACATTATGGAATCTGTAACAATGTATTTGCAGGAAGTTTGTAACGGTGTGGTGAGCGGAGATCTGACAACAGTAGTGTTGTTGACATGCTCGAAAGCACTTGTGGCTTGGTAGTAATATTTTGGAAGGTGCTACGGAGAAGGTGCAGGTTGAGAAAAGATGGCTCCTTCCTATTACGTGAACATTGTTGGGTCACTTAGAAGATCACACCTTCTTCGTCCATTGCATTTCGAAAACCTAGTTTGACTGTATCGACCAAAATGTTCTCCTCTCGTCTGTTGCTTTTTCTACAAGCTTGTCTCTCTAAGATGTTTGCCTACCACCACAGACCCGAGACGTATCCGCCATGTTTTACATTCAGACGCTAGCAAATGGTAATACAGTGCATACCTTCAGGATCAAATGTAACATAGCTTTGATTAGTCACATGGATGGTGCTAAGCACGGTTCAACCCCATCTGGCATTTCATCTGGCCAATCTTATCGATGGTGCATTCTCCCGTTCCTTTGAGTGGTGGCTTTTGTTATCCTTCCCTCTTAGGATTGGACTTTTAACTCCCGGAATTGTTCCCCCCTGGTCATTCATACCGGCTCAACCCATCTTCGCGTTGGAGAAATCCATCTCAGGATGCTGCTTCTTGAACTGCTCCAAGATATCCGCCTTCTTCTGCTCGTCGCTTGTTGGCTTCCCTTGTTCCTTTTGCCTCTGATCGAACATCATCTTCTCCACCATACCACGTGTCTCGCCATCGAGGTCGCCTAGTTTGCTGTTCTCGGGCTGGATCTTGGAGGTGTCGATCTTTGGCGCAGTGGTGACTACGTGTGCCCACCACTCCATCTGGTTCACTTTATCGAGGTGAATGGAGATCTCCTTCTGAGATCCGACGGAGGTCAGTGTCCAGGTGGAGTCGTCGACACGGATGGCATGAGGCAGCTCGCCCTGGAGAACGCGTTAGCGCAAGACATGGCTAGACAGCGTAGGAAGCAACAAACGTCGATGAAAGGCTCCTGGCCCTTGATGCCAGCCTTGAGCTTATTCCGGCCGATGTCGATGATCAAGTCTTTTCCCTTGTACTTGCCATCAATGGTGATTGTGATGTCGAGGTCTTTGATGGTCTGGTCCCATTTGTAGGGCAGCGCGGCCTGTTCGGCCTGCTCCTTTGCGCGCGCCTCGGCATCGGCCTTCTTCTGTTCCTCAGGGGGTGGTGAGCCGGACATGGTGAATTGTTTGGTGGTGTTGACAAAAGTTTCAGTGTTTGGGAGGGGGAACGTGGGCGGGACACGATGACGCTCCTCCGCCGATCCATCGTTCGCAGCAGGACCGACGCAAGCGCAAGCTCCACCATGCGCCCTGCTTCACTCACCCTACCCCGGTCCACTCTAATAACGGACATCCTCCTCGGGCCTTGAGATCTACGGGCTAACCTCACTTCTATTGATAACGCGACGTCTCCTATCCTTCCAACCGCGTCGTAATGCTGCCATAGGAACGCCGGAGCTATCCATTGCGACACATAGCCAGGACACCCGCAACCAACGGTAACACCAACGGCAACCCACAGCCAGCGGCCCGACCGGGCAGCGACCTGTCTGAGCGACAGTATCCCTAGCAACTCATGGCAAGCTCCTTTGAGAAGAGTGTCAAGGGTGGCACCAAGATCAAGGTAGCTATGCGCCTTCCCAGCATCCTCCGTTCACGTCATTGAGATCCGTTGCGCCATTACAGTAAACTAACTTGTCCTATAGCTTGCGGCACCCAAATCGAAATATGTCGAACACATCCTCGTCGCGACGCATGCTGGCGAAGCTGGTGTCGCTGAGATCTTCCGCGCCCTTACCAATCGATTGCGCGACTCGACATGGACCATCGTATTCAAGAGCTTGATCATCGTACATCTTATGATAAGAGAGGGTGAACCCGAGGTTACGCTCAAGTTTCTCGCGCAAAATCCACACAGAAAGTTGGCCATCAACCATTTTACAGAGGGTACGTCTTGAGATTCTATGCTGGCGCCGGGTATTCAGGGTGATGTGGCTATAACGCGGACACGAATTGGGCAGCAACAATGTCGCCCAATGCCCTGTGACTTGCGGGCGGATGTGGCTTGGTTTGCGATTGAAGGCGTATACAAGGCGCTAACATTGCGGGCAATAGTACAGACCCAAGGACATAACATCCGGACCTACTCCGAATACCTGCTACGCCGAGCGATCGAATATGGCGCCACCAAAGTCGACTACGTGCGCGGCGGCGAGGGGCGTCTTAAGCGGCTCACTGTAGAAAAAGGCCTTCTTCGCGAGGCAGAGAGTGTGCAGGATCAGATACGATCATTGCTCAAGTGTCAGGTATGTGAAGCCACGTGCAATAACGTCTCTTGCTGGTTTGACTCTGTATAGCCATTCGACGATGAACCGGAAAATGAGATTACCATGACAGAGTTCCGACTGCTCACAATGGATTTATTGGTGCTCTTCCATGTTATGAACGAGGGCACCATCAACATTCTCGGTGAGTCAAGCATATGTACTTGGGTTGCAGTGTACTAATTTGACAGAGCACTATTTCGAACTATCAAAGCCAGACGCAACGCGTGCCCTGGCAGTCTATCGCACATTCGTCAAGCAGACTGAAGCCGTCGTTCAGTACCTCAGTCTTGCAAGAGCGCACGAGCACTCGACAAGACTGGAGATTCCCAAGATCAAGCACGCTCCTACCAGTCTGGCGGCGTCATTAGAAGAATATCTAAACGACAAGGACTTCGAGATCAACCGACGGCAGTACATCGCCGAGAAGGAAGCAAAGAGGAATGGGGGCAAGCCTACGAATGGCGCTAGCAAACCCGTGGATTCAAAGCCTGCAGCTGCACCATCGAATACCACCAGCAGTCAACAGCCAGCGGCACCGGCAAAACCCTCTTCTAGCGCACCTTTGATTGATCTCTTTGCCTCACTCGAGGACAACCAACAGACTATGGCCACGCAGCCCATGATGCAGCAGTACCCTCAACAAACAGGCTTCCAAGTTCCACAACAGACTGCGAACATGGGTTTCCCTCAACAGCAGCAGCAACCTTTTCCGATGCAGAATGGGCAGAGCACCAACCCGTTTCAGATGCAACAGCAACCACAGGCGCCACAGATGCAGGCACCTCAAATCCAACAACAGTTTACAGGTGCAGGCTTCGGAGGCTATTCACCTCAGCCTTTCGGCGTGCAAAACACCATGCCATCGATACCACAAAATGGTATGCCTGATTACTCACAACAGCAGCAAATGCAGATTCCCACAATTGCCGAACCTCTGCAGCCACAACAAACATCAACAAATCCATTCCGACAGTCAATGTTGCCTAGTACCGAACCCAGGATGCTCACTAGCCCTACCAGCACAGGTTCGCTCAACCGTTCTTCCACAAATCCGTTTGCAAAACACAATACTGGATTTTCACCACAGTCGCAATCTCCTGTCAATTCTCCGCCTTATTCCATGTCACCCATCCAAGAGTCACCGTTTGCACCGATGCAGCAGCAACAGCAGCAGCCCATCCAGCCGTTACAACCAACGCCTACTGGCACGAACCCATTCGCACGGCAGCCTTCGCCGCAAAGTGCCGCACCTCCACAGGGTGGCCTAACAGTGAATGCAACGGGCAGTACCAACCCCTTCCGACAGAGCGCTTTCGTCAACCAGCAAACAGGTCAGGGCTGGCAAAATGCAGGTAGTCAGGGAACAATGGGGGGAATGAACTTGGATCAAGTACCTACCACAAGCGTCTTCCCACGACCGGGACAGCAGCAGCAACAGAATTTCCTTGGCTAGGATCGAAAGAGATGGTGAGACGGTGATAAGCTTCGTGTCTGCAAGAAGTTCAAAGGGTAATTCCCGTGACACTCCTGAAGCTGTTATTTTTTATTATGGATGGCGTTTTATTACCGCTAGCCGCTGTAGTTATTACGTACTCGGCTGGACATAATCGTGCCGCACTGCGCAAGGCTAGGTGTTTGTACACCGTTCTCTACAAAGGAGCGTCGGGAGCCCGCTCAACGTCGGGTGCTTGGAGGGCAGATTGGGCTGTTTTGTGATAGATCATGTATCGACGATCTCGTAGTTCGTTGGGGAGCTGGGCGGATTCTGGGAAGGAGTCCCTCGCTAATGCAATATATAATTACTGTCGCACTTAGCGTGCCGTGCTGCTGATGTTTTGTGAATGTCAAGAATTGACTGTACCTCCAGTCGCACATCTACCTCAAAAGTCGCGGTGGGTGGGTACAGCGGGTGACACAAGCCACGTGCCGACGCGTTGCCGTAGATTTAGCGCGACTGCAACCACCTTGACCCCATCAGACTTCACAGTCAGACCAACAGTTCGCCACAACAACCTCCCTCACTCCAAACTGCTTGATATATACTGCAGCATGACCACGGTTGCTGGTATCTCTATTTCCGACTCTCATGATAGTATTGGTACCCCTGGGAGTTGCCTACTAGCGCTTACAAGCCCGCGTTTGCATTTTTAACAATGAGACCGAACGGGTCTCTCGATGCTCCCATCGTTCTGGACGATGATGAAACGCCTGGCCATGTACCTGCAACCACGGTACGGAGGCGGAATCGCCAGACACTTGAACAAGATGGCATTGAAGAGGTGCCCAAAGAACAGCAAGCTGCAGCTGCATGGAAACTAGCTGCCGCAAGGAGACAGGCGAAACAAAGAAGCACAAGGAACCTGAGTAATGACGTGTCTGAGCAATATGGCAATGCAAGAGACAGCAATCTTGCAAAACAAGCGAGGGAACGGACGTCGTCTGCAAAGTCTGTTGATATCGTTGGCCTTGTGATCAATGAAGCCGAAGCGGCAGCATCAGGACAAACAACACAACGAGGGGCAAATGCCGGAGATAGACAGCCTACAGTTAACGCAGCACGGCCTTCTATACCACAACATGATACACATCACGAAGCCGTACTTCCCCAGCGAGCCAAGCCCCCCGAGCCCACCCAACTAGCGAGTCTGGAGTCTGCCGATGCCATGGACTCTTCAGCAAGCCCGGCCTGTCGCCCACCCTACCTGCCTCCATCGATAATTGCAAGAAGGCTGGAACTAGGTGTGGACCTTCCCGATTTTCTGAAGCCTTATTCCTGGCCATCGGAAGTACCGACAGCAACGACAGACTCAAGCGCCAAGGCACATGCAGTGCCGGAACGCAATAATCATCTCAATTCACCCGAATATCGTACAACGTCAGTCCTCGCAACCTCGAATAAGCCTACTGCGCCAGTTTTGAGCCATGCTGTACCTCCACCCATACAGCCAATCAGGGATGTTGCCGGCAATCACCGAGAACGGACCACTCCCAGTCGCGTAAACACAGCTTTTGAGCGCGACGACGCAGGAGTAGACAGCAACGACAACAATATGGCAATCCCGTTGCCTACGAAAGCGCAAAGACCGAACGTTCCACCAATTCCAAGACTGCCACGGACCAAGAAAGCCATCAAGTCGGTACCGCTAAAATCGAGGAATAATGGATTCTCAAAATCAGGTCTCCCCGTCAGACCGCCGCATCAGCTCCCAGGTAACGAGCAGGATGTGCCAAGTGTTTTCCCGGAGCGTCTCGACGCAGGCTTGAGTAACATAAAATCCGTGTCGCCCGTGATTATGCATCGTAGCCAAAGCAAGGATCCATCAGTTGACACCAACAACATCGCCAGTATCAAATCTTTTCAGGCTGAGAAGCCTGAAGAATGCGATACAACGCCAAATCAGCCGACGCTACCACATCACCAGGAGGTAGGAGAAGCTGTCCCGGAACGCGCTGTTAGCACTACGGCTCTACTGTCTCGTCCCGCAACCCCTACTGTACAGCACTCAGTTCGGACATCAGTAGAACATACTCAAGCCTTGGAACTGCCACGACCATTAACAGACACTACGGCGGCCGAAATCGAAATGGTGCAGAATAATGGAGTACAACCTGAAAACCCTGGATTGCCTGATGGGTACAATGGTGGTCAAGCAAGTACGGTTCTTTCATTACAGGCGGACGTGCTCATCACTACTCGTTCAGCTATAGAAGAGTGTTTGAAACATCATATCGCGAAACGACATGAATCACATGCATATCTGGTCTGGGCTAAGATGTGGCGTCAAAGGACTTTTCAAGAGCGGGAGCTGCGTGCTCGAGGCCGTAAGCAAAAGCGTCCATCACACTCTACTTTGCCGGAGAGATATGTACAAGAGACTTCCCCTTTCAAGAACATGTCTCCGATACAGGTGCCCTTCGACCGGAGCGTCAGCACCAAACGCATGCTAGATATGACCCAGGAAGTATTCGTTAAGGCCAAGCCAAAAGACGTAGTTATCAAATCAGGCTTGGCTGCGCTTACAACGAAATACAAGAGTGATGCGCCTATGATCCCTCCTTTCAAAGAGTATGTTAGTTTAAGGAACAACATACTTGCCGACAATGAGTCGAAGTTACTCGCAACACCCTACTTCCAAGACGAAGATTATTCTGGTCGCGAAGTTTTGCTGGATACGCTTCCATATATCTACGAGATGATACATGATGAGAACGGCCCACTAGACTTTCGCAAGGAACAGTGTCGGTTCTACAAAGACGCCATCGAAGCGTTCCTGTCTGAGACAGGCATCTCATGGAATGTCATTTTGTATTGGCTGCTAGCACCAGAACGAAACATCATTCGAATCAACGATTCTATGCCTGGCAGTAGACAATTCGAAGCATATCTGCTCGAGCGATCACGATATCATGTTGAGGAGTTCGAGCGAGATGGAGAACCAAAGAAAAATATTTTGTTCAACCGAAATGACAAGAAATGGCGAGAGTTCCTTCCCCAGCTCAAAGAGCCTAGTACAAGTGCTCTGAGGCTTGCAGCAACGGCTTGTGAAGCGGTTCTCCAACAGTGCGAGTTTAGCATTTGGTACCTTGCTCAACAATCGGAAGCTGTCCAAAATCACGTAGCGAAGAAGACTGCGCGTGGACAAGCTACCAAGCAATTTACATATAGGGAGATCATGTGTAGGGTTTGCCATCAGTACGTTCCATTGTGCGATCCTGAGGATGCAACACTAACGTTCTTGACAGACACAACTGTCTTCTTCATGGTGAGGTTAGACAAGCACCCGAGGACTCCTGGAAGACAGACTCCGAGGATGAAGATCGCGCCACACAAGCGACTGATGATACCAGTCGTCGAGGGTCTGAAACCAAAAGGACTCCGCGCCGTATATCGACTTATGGTGGAGACGACACGGAGGACGAACACGAACCTGAGGGTCCCTTGCCTGCACACTTCGATGACGATTCCGATATTGAGAAGGTCATCAATTACAAGTTGCCTGCAAATCCAGATGCCTTCGATACTTGTCCTGATTCAGAGATGATCACTTCTAAAGGTGCGAAACCGCCACCCGGTAAATTCAATACCAACTGGTGGTTACAGCAAGATATGACGCAGCACTGGGAGAAGCGGAAGCCGTTTTTCCCGTGCAAACATGAAGGCACTTGCGAGAATGCAAAATGCCGGTGCTTCAGGGAAGGCATCAATTGTGAGAAGACATGCAAATGTTCGCAGTCATGCAACAGACGCTTCCCTGGTTGCAGTTGCGCAACAGGACCAGGAAAACGCCCCTGCCTTACCGTCTCATGCCTCTGCGTCAAATTCAACCGAGAGTGCGATGCGGATCTTTGTGGCTCTTGTGGATCATCCGAAGTTCTCGATCCGGTGAACCGGTACAATGACGTCGTGGTCGAACGCAATTGTTGCAATGTTGCAATTCAGAGAGGTGTTCCTCGGAAGACATTGCTCGGTCACTCCGAAGTGCACGGCTTTGGACTATATATGGGCGAAGACATCAAGAGCGGCGAGTATATTGGCGAATATACTGGTGAAGCCATCTCTATCAAGGAAGGGGATCGCCGAGTGACAATATACGACTACCAGAAGACCATGTACCTGTTTCGGTTGAACTCCAGTAAGTCTCCAGGTTGCATTAACGGGACCCAGATTGCTAACACCAGCATGTAGAGCAAGAAGTCGATGCCACATACATGGGTAACAAACTGCGCTTCATCAACAATGCTGACGATAAGTATACGAACTGCGGTCCCAAGAACCTGCTTTGTAACACAGTTTTTCGCATTGCTCTTTTCGCCACTAGGGACATGAAAGCAGGCACAGAGCTGTACTTTAATTACAACTATCCCAAGGAGAAGACGGCGCAGTTCAAGCAGCCGAATGCGAAGATCGTCGCAGTCAAACAAACGAAACCGAAGACAAAGAAAAGAGAGTCACTTACCAGTAGTCAGCCCATCGAGGACCGCTCACGTATCCTCGCCGCCACAGCAAAAGCCAGAGCAGCGAAAGCAGCCAAGCGAGCAGCAGCACAAGCTATGTTGGAAGCTGGAGATGTGCAGACTGCTACGAGAAGGCGTTCTGGAACACTCAAAGCTCGAAAGGCAGCTACCAGCGAGCCTGGCGTTAAGAGAGTCAGGAAGCCCACACGTAAAGCGCTCAGTAGGAATGAGTCCACAAACACAGATACAGACACTGGCGTGGATGCGCAAGCAGAAGCAAGCGACCCCGAAATCCCTCTCGTCACCGAGTCGCAGAGTACTCAGACTAGCCAGTATATCCAGGACACTGACGAGGAAGGCGACGAGTACATCTTGCCAAATACGCATGAGGATGAGGAAGAAGAGGTGGTTGCTGAGCCAGTCTCCAACAACGATGATACGGTTGTCCCAGACGCAGGCAGATCGACGAGATCTCGTCGTGGGCCTGGTAGACCACGGAAGAGGGGATCAGATGTGGTGCCGGTGGTTGCAGTGAAGAGCAAGAAGACGAAGGCGAAGATGGGTGGTGCACGACCGGGTGCTGGTAGGAAGAGAAAGCGACCTATCATTGCTAATAGCGATGATGAGTGAGAACTCTATGCCCGTGATTGGAGAATGTACGAAGATGAAAGAGTGGACGTGGTTTGGAAATGCGGGTTCATTTTTTATTTTTTTTCGTGGCTGCGCTGTTGATAATACCCCATATTACACTAATCGAAGCCAGTCTTGCAATTGGAGGGCCACTTGTTCTGGTGAGGCTACAAATTATGATGTAGCAAGTGCACTGCACGTTCGCGCATCATACGAAATTACATCAACTTTCAACAATTACTACTCCTTGCCGTTGCTTGAGCAGCACCAGTATCACGACATGAAATTTGGTGGACTCCTTCGCTTTCGCAACGTAAAAGCTGCGTCATACGAAACTACCTACTAAACACCGGTCTTAGAGCCTCCAGACCAATTGTCGTACCAACATCTCGGGACACGACCCGTGGAAGCGTTGAACCAGACCATCTACCTACGATAGAGTTACCGCACGTATCTCCGGTCTGCGCAGCACGGAGAAAGGATATAAAGTTGGGCACCTGAGACTATTGAACGCTTAGGTAGCGAGAGGGGGGTAGGGCGGGGGGTGGCATCCGCGCGTGCTTTGTTCGGATGATAACCTCAGCGTCGGCAAGGAGTTGTCGACAATCTTAACGCTGCGTACCTGTGCATGCGCAATTGTTGAGATGGTATATACAGAATGGGCATCTCAAATTGCATGCATCTACTGGCTTGCACACATCGCGTGCGGTTCTTCCGATAGCGGGATCGATGCACGAGATGTACCCGGCCGAACATTAAGGTTTAGAGTGGGGATGGGAAAGTTACTAGTGAGATGGTGAAGATGGATGGAACAGGAACGCGTGAAAACTGAGGTGTCACGGAATTGATGCATCTTGTTGGACCTGAAGACAAAGATAGACTTGGTAAGAACGTGAGTTTATCTCTCATCTGACTCGGCCTAATCTGAATAGTCGGGTAAAGACGATCGATGGATGAGCATCACGTGGGGATTCCATCCGACCTGGGAAGGTTAGCAGCTCGCCCCTGTTCTCGGTCCTTACTACAACCTGATCCCGAATCTCAACCGATATCGTCATAATCAATCATCTGTCCCACAGCTACCAAAAATTCCGCTTCAACAGACAGAATGCTTTTTACCCATTAGCCCCGATGCTCGTCCCAAGCCAAACTTCTCGAAAAAATACCCGCGACGCGCCAAGGCAGCTCAAAACCAAACCCACCTGCTACATTTAGCCTCTTAGCTCCGCATTTAGCTCCACCCACTTGCTTACTAGCCACACACACAAAGCGACGGCTTGGTCTCGGCCAATCCTCGTGCCCACGCCGCAATGTTAAGCTGCGTGTGATGGGCAGTTCGGCGCGTGTTCCTTTTCGCGCCTGGGATGCTGTAGGGAGGAACGAAGCCTCTAATTCTACTCTGAAGTAATTCGATAGTGTCAAAGACAAAGAAGTAACAACAGACAAAGGGGACGTTCAATCTCCGGCGTCGCGCATGCCGCAGCGAGGTCGGGATCCACCCGTCTGATTGGATACTGATGTCATATGCGCATGGAGCGTGCACGACTTTCACATGCCAAAGACGATGAGTGTCGTGCGCTGCTGCAACACGGACAACGGCCCCACTGTCTGAATGGGCGCAAATGATGGCGCGCTTCACTTACCCTTCAGCTTGCGTAACAAAGCTTGGAAACGTGGGAACCCGCTACAAACCTCACCTTGTCATTCTTAGGCGTCTAGACTTTTCTTCGTCACTTGCTGTTTGAAACATTCGGAAAAATTAACGCGACGGATTTGTTGTTGGAAATTGAAAAGTTGGTTCTGACATTACTGCCGGTATCCGCAAACACGCATGCAGCTGGATCTGTTCATCATTCATCCAGCCTTACTCCTCAGTCTCACCTGACGTATTCCAACTCCGCTTTCCAACACCACGTCCACCCACCATCTGGGCACGCTACTAGCACATCACCACATCCACTCTCGATCAAACTCTCGGTCTTCCTCCACACTCTTCACATCTTCTCGGCGAAATGGATTGCATAGAGGCCATGGGTGCGCGACGAGCCATGTCGCTCATGTTCACCGTACCAGAGCGCTTCATAGGCTTCGCCCATATGGATCAGAAGACCTTCTTCGAACTCTCAGACTGGATCCTGGCAAATGTCGCATCGCAAATCACTCCCGATATAAGTGTGGAAGAGTCGCTATTTGTGTTCTTGGATATCGTAGCGCAAGGGAACAGCTTCAGTACTGTGGCGTATGGGTGGGATCATGACTTGGAGCTCACACAAGGGTATGTCGTTGAACCAAAGCTGCTTGCATTGAATTGGAGTGGGGACTGACTGTCGCGTGTGTAGCATATTCCTAAACGTTCTCAACGCCCTCACAATCCTACGCGAGAGCAGGGAAATCGCCGATACATGTCCGCCCTTCACCCAAACCCGTAAGCGATGGGAAGTCGCCCGTAAATGGAACCAGAAGCGATCTCGTATGAACTCCGGTGGCGGCGTTGTCCGGATAGGTTACGACGAAATGTGCCGAGATGGTCTCGAAGTTGACCAAGAGTGTCTGAAAGAAGCCCTCATGGCGCTGAACAACTTCATCCATGAGAACGCAGACCACGATGAATCATGATTGCGCGCACAATGCTGCCATTTCCTTTGTTTCTCCGCATTTATTCCGGTGTTGTTTTGGTGTTCTGGTAACGACTTGGGTAACGCATTGCACCTGTTGGAAGGATTGAGCTTGGTGTTGACACGATCTTCTTTTCGTTCTCGTTTCGTTTGTTCGTAGGTACATATGTACACTCTTTTGCAGATCAAATTAGATCTCCGCTGGCCGTTCGATGCTATGCGATTCGCCTCCTTCAAATATGGCGTGGATGTATCGTGACGTCTTCCATATTGGCTGCTCAAGCCAGAGCCACAGCTTCCACCGTACCTTTGCCCAGCACACTCAGTCTCCCCCTCTTGATCCCGAGTGCATCTTCAATCCTCGCATCGGGTTCTCCCTTGGCCTGTCTCATCATCGCCAGCGTTATGACACCAGCATCCACATATGTTCTTCCCTGGAAACCCCTCCTACCTACGTCTCGCAACTCATCTTCTGCCTGATCCGCTATCCGTTGTCTGGCTTCTAACACCCGTAGCACGGGGTTGTTGCGCGGATCGGGAAACGCGGACTGTGGTGGCGATTGCATCATGGTATCGGAAGGGAGGTTTGGCGAAGTATTGCGACGAGGATCAAACTGCGATTGAGATGAAGGCGAGAAGTGAGGATTCGGTTGAACAGCACCCAGACTGCTCAGTCGAGATGCAAAGGCAGGATCGCGCGCATCTTGTAAAACAGCTAATGGCCGATGTTAGCACTGCACCTCTAATTCCCTAGCCTTGCGATAACACATACCTTCAGTCTTCTCTCCAGTAGCCTGCACCTCAGGATGCACAGTCGGTCCTCTCACAGGGTCCTGCGCAGGCACGGAAGGTGCGGGAGCCCGTGTTGTAGTATTCGTAGAAGCCCTAGCGGGGTATTTACGTGCAGCGGAGCCAGCAGCCTTTGCGCCCTTGGAAGCTGAGGAGCCCATTATCTTTGTTGGGAATACGTCAAGTGTGGGGTTGTTGCAGGATTGTTGAGATGCGTGGTGATAACGGGGGGAGATAACATGCACGTATGGGACTTTGTAAAGCTCGGGCCAACTCGATGATGTAGCGGACATCTCCCGCGTCATGAAGGGGTTTACTATATTGGGCGATGCTTGCGAAGTGTTCAACGAATCGTAAATTCATTTTAAGATTATCGTGGCATGATAGTCTCAGCAACGGCATTTCAGACCTATAGGAGCTTTTCGTCTGCGCGGTAGTGCCCCGCCACCAAGAAAGCCAGCTCCAACGCCTGCTTCTCGTTCAATCTGGGATCGCAGTATGTGGTGTAGTTCAGACTTAGATCCTCATCCACTAGCCCTTCACTTCCACCAGTGCACTCTGTGACTGCATCACCTGTGAGTTCTAGGTGCATACCACCAAGGAAGGACCCGTGTTCCTTGTGGATCTTGAGTGCCGATGAGAGCTCAGAGAAGATGCTGTTGAAAGAGCGGGTCTTGATGCCCGTAGGTGTGCTGCGCGTGTTGCTATTAAGATATTAGCAGGTAATACCTTGCATGCTAAAGACGACTTACCCGTGCATAGGGTCGCACTGCCAGACTACAACGTGTCCGCTGCTCTTGACAGCTTCGATGTGCGCGCCGAGCATCGACTCAACCTTGTCCGCACCATAGCGCGTGATCAACGTAATCTTGCCGATCTCCTTGTTTGGATTGACAATGTCAAGTAGCTCCACCAGCTCATCGTTCTTCATGGAAGGTCCAACCTTGATACCAATAGGGTTCTCAATACCACGGAAGTACTCAACATGACCTCCATCGATCTGGCGAGTACGGTCTCCAATCCAGATGAAATGAGCAGAAGTGTTGTACCAGCCCTTGTTGTCGTTGGATGGCTGCGAAGGCTTGTAACCAGCTGGGTGCTTGAGTCTCCTCGTCAGGCTCTGCTCGTACTCTAGAACGAGGCCTTCGTGGCTAGTGAAAAGGTCTACTGTTTGTAGCTGACCAGAGGTGTCTGCACCAATAGTCTTCATGAAACGCAATGAGTCGGAGATGCTGTGTACGATCTTCGAGTACTTTGACTGCAGCTCTTCATCCCGAACATGACCAAGTTCCCAGTCCAGAGGGTTGTGCAAATCAGCGATGCCACTTGCCAGCTGTCCGCGAATGTAGTTCAGTGTCGTTGCGGAGTGGAAGTAGGCGCTGACTAGCCTCTCGGGGTCAACTCTTCGGGAGTCAGGATCATATCCATTCAAGATGTCGCCACGGAAGCTAGGAACCTCTTTCCCATTCAACATCTCAGTCGGGCTTGATCTTGGCTTGGCGTACTGTCCGGCTATACGACCAATGCGAATGACAGGCTTGTTTGAGCCCCAAATCAAAACTAAACTCATCTGCAGGAGGAGCTTGATCTTTGCATCGATTGGGTTGTCTGCGCAGTAAGAGAACAGCTCAGCGCAGTCGCCTCCTTGCAGCAGGAACGACTTTCCCAGTGCAGCATCGCGGAGATTGGCCTTGAGTCTGGCGATTTCTGTTGGTGTGACGATTGGCGGAAGACTTGATAGCTTGGTCAAGGCAGAAGAGACTGCAGCTTGGTCTTCGTACGTGACAACTTGCTTTATGGGTTTTGACCTCCAAGCTGAAATTGTTAGTACGGTAACTCTAACATCCACGACTCTTTCTTACAAGCTGGCGACCATTCCTCAGATGCACTGACCGTCTCAGCTTCTTGCTTCGGCCTTTCCGGCAGTTGTGTTGAGTTTGCGCTCATTGTGGATTGAGATGGCTGTGATTGTGGTTGGCCACTCGCTGCTGCCATGAACTGAGAGACGTAGTCGGTCAATTTTGCGTGCCCTTCGGTGTCCATAGTGTGATGCTTTCTCAGGTGATACACAGTTTTGGTGACTAAGTTATGGTTGTCTAGGCGCGACACAGAAGACTAGTTTTGAGTCACTTGTTAATATGGCAACTCGGCAAGGGTTCGCCTGCATAGAGGCGTGAATAAAGACATGAAGCACATGACTCAAGGAACAAAATCTGCAACGAAAAGCGGACTGCGCGCGCAATACATAATGACGTAACGCAGCCAACTTACCTCGAAGATGCTAGTAGGTGTTCAGCGACTATGAAATCGCTCTTGTGTTGGTTCTCCTATGGTAAGATTATGTTCTGTGTTTGGGGTGTGTGCCCAAAAGTACAAGATGGATAAATCCAGAAAATCAACCAATAGCGGCCACTCTCTTTTCCAATTGGTTACATTTCCATAATTGCTAGCTACCCCACATCCCTCAACTCTCCGATCCACAATCGTCATTCCAGCTTCTATCGACTGTGCAAGCTCTCCACATCACCACCTATTACCTTACACTCCCCAAGCCCACACCGCATTGCTCTGAACATCCACAATGGCAGAGCCTCAACCTTCCGCCGTTCAGGAAGGCGCTGCCGACCCTCACGCGCCCACTAGCACAGCCGAAGACCGCAAAGCCGCCGCCGCCCTCTCTACTCTCGACGCTCCTCAAGAGGGAGAGAACGGATCGAAGAAAGAAGTCGATGGCAAGGCACTAGACAAAGCGATGAAGGGGCTAAGTGTCAAAGATAAGAAGGAAGGCGAGAAGAAGAATGTCAAGATTGAGGCGGCGGACGTCAATCTGCTGGTACGTTGGTGCTGTGAAATGAGAATGGTGAGGGTATTAGGGACTGGAATCTAACTAAATGATCTAGGTCTCTGAACTCGAAGTTACGAAGCCAAAGGCGACAGAGTTGTTGCGTGCGCATGATGGCAATGCGGTCAAAGCAATGAATGCGTTTGTTATGTCGGCCCCTTGAACGACATATAGGATGAACGAGGCAGGATTATACACCTAAGTGCCAACAACGCTCTAATACGTCTACGGGGCAAGTGCTGCTGCTACTGATATAGGTCACAAACGTGGTACGCATCTCTCAGAGAGATCAGACGGTATACTGGGTCTGGGCCATAAGAGAATCCTCAACCGCCACTCTCATGTCGCAGAAGACGATCGGGCAATGGCGTTATCTTAGCTTGTCTTCACCGATCACTCGCACAAGATCGACCGCGAACTCCCGGCCCTCTTCCAATAGCTGTACGAAATCCTTGTCATTCTTGAAAAGAGAGATCTGGCATCCAACATATTCCGTCACCAACATTCGAAGCTCGTCAACTGTTCCATCGTTTTTCCTATTCTCACAATGATCGTATGCATATCTGACAAGCTCGACTACATCGACCAAGCGTCGATGGAATGGCGTAAAGTCCAGCAGGTTCCCGCGCAGCTTGTGTAGAGCAAGACGTTTCAGAGGGTCTATGAAGCGCTTACACGCGAACGTGTATAACCGGGCATGTGCTAGGAAGACTGGTGCGAAATTCTGCTCAGGTGCTGTGTTCGGCTGGTGTTTGAAGCCCTTTTGCATACAAACATTTGGCTCGGCATCGCTCAGGTAAATCCGATCCATGAGTCTAGATTCTAAAGTCACTGGTGGCAACGTCGGCGATCCGAAATGCTGCTGCTGTCGTCTGAGCATGGTTTGTGGAGGTTGTACTTGTGACGCAGCGTTTCTGGCTCTTATTGACATGTGTGACGGCCGTAGTACCTTGCCCTTCTCGCTCTTTCCAGCTTCGACATCGGCTACTTTATCCTCCAGTACCCATGACGGCGAAGTATAGTCGTTGCGGTATGTATACTCGACAAAGCGCACAAAGTCTACGGGCTCGATGTCACTCAAATCGGCACTACCCGTTTGAGACTCTAACATGCCATTGTTGATGAGCGCGTTGAGCTGTGACGATACGGCTGCGACGGCGCCAGAGTGTACTGTGAACTCCTGCTGTTGATTGCCAACGCGGAACGTAAAGAGCTTCGACAGGATCAAGCTGTCCATACACTGTCAGCCTATGGTGACACTACGTTCGGAGAATCGGTTACATACCCTTCAAAGGAAGACCCATTAGTAGTGCTGGCCATGTTGTCTTGTGCTGCTATTATCTATTTTGTACTCATCACACATATATAGCTGCTAACTCGACGCCTGTGCCTCAATGCGGGGTGGGGTCGGCGTACAACGCATATTGCAGATTTGACCGGAATTCATTGTAACACAACATTATTCCACATGTTCTCGGCGTGACAACCATACACATCACAAGATGATGTGCCTGTAATGCATTGTGCTGCGACCACCATCACTGCGCTTGCAGAGAGGCGTCCAGACATCAACACACACAGCTGGGCTCTATCCTAAATATCCCTATCATGCATCCTTTTTCTGCCAGCTGTATTGCATCACACCAAAAAAAAGGTCGAACACCCAGTTCCTCGTCGGGACATGAAGCCTAGAAGCCCAAGCGAGCTTTAGGGCAGCTGCAACCGCGTCCCCTCTGCCGTTGCTTTTCCCTTCTCAAAACAGGGTTCTACCACGCTGCGTCATCCGTGATCCTAGCAAGATGATCGCGCGGGATGTTGCGCAAGGGTTTCCATGCTTACCGTCGATATTTTCGACGAATCGCGTCGTGCAGTCCGCGACTATGTGCACCGCGTACGTCACCGATCCGTGGATATGGTAGACGCTCCATACCTCACTACTCGTCGTTCAAGTCGACATAACGGAAGCCAGATACACTAACGGCCGTTTACTAACTATCCATCTATCCTGTTTCTTTGCTGGCGCTACTAGCGCATACAAGTCGTCAACACGGCGCCTCAAATTCCCTCTCGTCGCGCTCTCGCTGGCATTGCGCTTATATCTGTGCTGTCGGCTGTTGAGAAACAGCGCAAGAAGCAAGGCAGAGACAAAGAAGACCAGCACGATTTTAACGCATCCGAAGATATGTCTGGTGAATTACAAACAATACCTGCGCGCCATGGCGTTGCGACTTTTGTACCGAGAGGTCGTACGATCAAGGTTATCAACACGTACGGGAAGCAGGTAGTCAGTATGTGGGCGTTCACTTTGGGTCCACCACCTGAGGAGGGAGACGATGAGGAGGGTGAAGGAAAGGAACTGGATGACGAACAAGTCAAGAAAGAGGCAGAGCAGATGAAGAAGGCTGTGGAGGAAGAGGGGGAGAAAGGTGGAGAGGTGACGAAAGACAACGATGAGAAGAAGGACGATAAAGAGGAGTCGAAAGAACCAGAGAAGGACGCAGAGGATGATTATAAGGAACAGAAGAAGGATGCGGGTAGCAGTGGCAAGGAAACACAATCTACCGAAGAGGAGGCAGAGAGCCCCAAAGAAGAAGCTGCTGAAGACCCGCCTGAGCAAGCTCCCGATACACCCGATAATGAGAAGACAACCGAAAGCACGGCATCGTCATCCAAGCAGCCCAACAAGCGCACTTGGGCATCTTATCTCCCTTCGATCCCATACCGCAACAAGGGTGGAGCGAACAAGCAGGAGGCAGAGCAGAAGCCCAGTCCTGAGCAAGAGAAGAAACAGAACGAGGAGAATACCAAGAAGTGGTCGTCATACTTACCAACTGGAAAGAGCTTCTCCAGTTATGTGCCGAATGTCGAAGTACCAGATAAAAGCGCAGTTGTGAGCGCGTTCAAGTCGAGCCATTACCGCGATCCGAACAAAAGCTATGCGGAACAGCTATACGACTTTTCGAAGACGCCTGTAGGTGCTGGAACAATTGCTGGTAAGTCGCTCATGTTATATTGTGTAGTTTGCGAGAGTGTACTGACTTTATGTAGCGGCAACGGGTTCAGGTTACGCATCCTCAGCCTACGCTGTCTACTCCGCATACGCCTCGACGCATCCCTCGAACTCTTCACAACCGCCAATGGAGTATCTGTCCCTTCCCCACACTCGCGCTGCTTCGCACAAACTCGTACCGGAAGTCGATGATGAGCTCTTGACCAATTTGCGCAATCCGATTGTCACCCTCATCGAAGACACATCGCCCGGTGCACACGATACACTGACGGCGGCATGCGACGCGAACCAGTACGCTTCACTGGGTGTTGACAAGCCAGCAGAACATGGTAGCTGCGCCGAGAACCTCGTCCTCGCACTTAAGGAGATCAACGAGACGGCAGGACTGAAGGGTCCGAAAGCAGTTGGTGCAGACATCTCAGTCAACATTGCACCTACGCCTCTTCACCTCTTCATGAATGCGCCCCTACAATCTGAAGGTACTAACCAAAGCGACGGTGCAGGCACAAAGGGCGTAACACTAAGGGTTGATGAGCCCAAGGGCAAGAAGCGTTGCTACGTCCGATTCCGCGCTGAACGAGATGTAGTTATAGTGTTCAGCGCATGCCCCATGGATGTGGGCAAGCAAAATGGCGGACGATGCATGGCAGCCAACTTCATGGTCGAAGACGTGCAAGAGGGCGAGGACCTGGCATCATCCGTCGCATCTGGCAAGGCGAAGAAAGCGCCAAAGAAGTTAGGCCAGAAGGACAAGGCGGATGACAAGAAAACAGAATCCAAGGAAGCAGTTGAGAAAGACAAAAAAGAAGATACAGCAGGGAACAAGGAAGCACCCAAGAAGCCCGAGCTGAAGAAAACAGAGTCGACAAAACAAGCACCCAAGAAAGTGGAGGATCCAGCAGACAAGAAACCGGCGGCTGCTCAGCAGAAATCATTGGAACCACAGAAGGAGGAGAAGCCAAGCGGCTCGACGACGTCTGAAGAGCCAAAGGCAAAGAAGAAGCCTAAGAAGCTCCAGGTGCGCAGCCAAGGTGCTTCGACGTCCACACAGTCCTCATGAGACTAGCTGGAGTGGGTGGTGTGTTTGAATCGCTTGGATTGCTTAAAACTATGGGCTTGGAACATGTATAGCACATTTAGTTAATTGCGGTACTGGATTTTATAGGAAAGTAATGTTTACCCCCATGTCATAACTTCAAGTGTATCCTTTTGCATAATGCGCTTTGCGGTAGTGATGTCCAGAGCATTTCAAAGCTCATTGAGACTATGTAGCCGATTACAGGTAAACATTTTTTTTGGGGCAACAAGAAAAACAACATATTGAGAGTTCTGATACACTTGGGGGAACGAGGGTACGCTATATATCAACCACCTGTCCCTCCCATTTACCCTCCCGCACCATTCCCCCCCCCCCTTTACGACTTCTTGCCTTTTCAAGCTGTAGCCTTGGCCTCCCTCCCCTTGACATAAACAGTCTGCATTCTCTTCACCGGCACCGCCGTAGGCACCGCAGCATCCTCCCTCTTCCCCCATGAGATATACGTCGGCGGCGACGGCTTCGGCCACGTGATACTCTGCCAGGGAAACTCCAACCCAATACTATTCTGTGGCTGTGGCTGTGGCTCTGCTTCCGCGTCCCTCTCAGCTACGACGGGGGCAGCAGTGGGTTCAGGCGCAGCGTTAGCGACGCGCTTTTCCTTTTTACCCCAGATGACGGTGTAGGTAGGTGGATTGATGCCGACGCTGTTTGGTTGTGTTGGCTGTGAGGGGGGAGGGAAGTCATCATCGTCGTCGTCCTCCTCAGGAAGCTCAGGCGATGAGGTAGGTGCAGCATCATCTTCTTGGCGCTTCTTGCCCCAGATGACGGTTACGGTGGGTGGGTTGAGACCGATGCTGTTTGCTTGGGTTGGTTGCGAGGGAGGCGGAAAGTCGTCTTCTGGGTCTTCTGGGAAAGGTTCCTCAGGAAATGGGTCTTCTGGGTCGGTGGGGTAGGGTTCTTCTCCATCTTCAGGAAGGGGTTCTTCGGGAGTAGAGGTAGGCTCGGGTTCGTCGTAGTCCCAGCTGACACTGTAATTAGGCGGGCCTACGGTGATCTCGGCTGGTGGCGTGGAAGTAGAAGTTGGAACAGGGGTAGATGTTATGATTGCCTTCGAGGAGGACGGGGTGGGACTGGCCGTCGGCGTAGGAGTGGGAGCAGGAGTCGGAGTAGGGGTAGGGGTAGACGTAGGCTTAGGCATTGTTGTAGCCTTCGTGGAAGACTTGGAAGTGGACTTCGAAGTAGACTTAGATGTCGACTTTGACGTACTCTTTGAAGTACTTTTCTTTGTAGTCGTCGTGGTCTTCTTGGTCGAAGTCGTCTTGGTCTTCTTGGTAGTCGTAGAAGTAGGCTTTGCCTCCCTTCTGTTCAGATCCCAGCTCACGCTAAATTTAGGGGGCGAAAGACTCATAAAAGCGCTCTTAGTTGTTGAAGGCACTGGCGCTGGGGAAGGGGTTGGCTTGGCAGTTGATGATGGCTTTGGGGTTGAAGTTGGCTTCGCAGTAGACTTGAGGGTGGATTTTGAGCTGGACTTCGTCGGCTTCGGTGGCCAGGGGTTCCATGGAGGGTAGGGCTTCTTGGTGGACGAAACCTTACCGGAAGAAGCAGACTTGGTAGAAGAAGACACCGGAGACTTGGAGCTAGTGGTGGGGGCTGTGCTACCGATGCTTGAGTTGGACCAAACGGGAGGCAATGATGTGATGGTAGGATACTGAGGGGTCGGCTTCGGTGTTGGTGTTGGTTCTGGTGTAGGGGTCGGTTCTGGCTTAGGCGTTGATGAGGTGCCTGGGCCATCTCCATCCCAAGTAATACTAAAGGACGGCTTACCAATGCTAAATTGGTCGCTCGGCTTAGGTGGGGGGTATGCAGGCTCCTCAGGCTCCTCCGGCTCAGGAGTCGGTGCGGGACCGTCAGTCTCCCAGCTTACCCAGAAGGATGGCTTGCCGATACTGAACTGATCCGTTGGCGTAGATGGGGGAGGATAGTCGGGTTCTTCAGGGGCCGGCGTGGGCGCTGGTCCACTAGTCTCCCAGCTGATCCAGCCAGATGGCGTACCGATACTGAATTGATCCGTCGGTGTGGCGGGAGGTGGATATTCAGGTTCTTCGGGAGCATCTGTAGGAGCTGGTCCAGTGGTTTCCCAACTGATCCATCCCGATGGCGTTCCAAGACTAATCTCATCGGTTGGCTTAGGCGGGAAGACGGGCTCCTGTGGCTCTTCGGTGGGTTCCGGGTTGGCAGTGTCCCAAGAGACGCTCTGCTTGGGTGGTAGAACGCCTAACTGGCGATTGTGTAAATTCGCAGGTGCTGCACGAACACTGAAAGAGATTTAGTAGAAATCTATCGTTGTTGATGCCATCACCAACCTGATGGCAAGGCCAAGCAGCGCCAGCACGCTGTTCCGTGCAAGAGCCATGTTCCAAAAGTAGTATCTTACGCAAATCTAAATGGTAAGTTATGAGCGACCTTCAGCATTCACCGCGACTGTGCGGCAAAGTTATAGACTTTGTTCGGTACGCCATCCGAGTCGAACTGAATGCTTAGGCGACGATACTGTCTGTAAATGAAAGATACGAGCCTGGACACAATCGTGCCGTACAGGACATCGGTTGCACGTGTGCGATACTACGGGCATTGCATTAGCGATGGTTTACAGTTGTGAATCCGGGCTCTAGGTCGTGCTTTCGATCTCGCAGCGCAATATATCCTGATAGCCGTCGGGTACAGCAGTGGCATGACCTAAAAAGGCCTAAATATAGGCATCTTTCGTACTCTATAGAGATTTGATTTGGCGAAACGTGGGGACTGTCGGCAGAATTAAAGTGCATGTTGTTTGGCTATATTGCTGGCTATTTGATGTGATCGTGACATGCATGGGGACAACCGAGAAGTCTGGGGTCGCCAATGCAATGCCCTTGCATATTCATATGAGCCGGTTCCAGCTCTGAGTCGCTTAACACTCCGACAACCTTATCTCCTTACCGTACAGGCCCGGTCTAGAGGCGGAATTGCTTGGCACTTTCTTGCTCGTACTGACAAAGGCAGGGTCAGGATAACAATGCTCGCATTCGGAAAGGGGAAGACTATTAGCGACTTGATGCAGGGCATCTCTCGGTCCATCTACGCTCCAGATGCTCTATCTTTAGACAAGACAGAAAGAGATCTGTAAAACGTCGTTCTGATAACGTCCTTGGCAGCCGGTCTGCCAGTGTGGTCATAAACTTGATGAAGCACGCGATAGTTTACGTGCCGGGAGCCGGGGTGATTCATGGTAGAGGATTGCTTGGGTGCTGAGGAACGACCTTGAACAGGCAGGTACTATTGTTCTCGGCCTATGCAATGTGCTTCGGATCCTCGTATGCTATGCGTCGCATACGTACAGTACGCAGCGTGAGGAATTCACCCATCCGATGGAGGATCTAACAACTTATCTAGAGGCCATTTGCGTATTGCTCTTATGCTGAATGGAGCGATGTGGCCCGCTTCAAACATCTCGAGACCAGCCCATCCTATCATTGCAGCATTGTCGGTGCAGAACTTGGGCGGCGGGAAATGCAATTCAACATCCGGGTAGCCATGAGCACAAAGAGTCTTTGCGAGTCTTAAAACATGTTAGTTGGCTCAGTTTTAACTGGTCGATGACCCTACATGTCGCAACCGTGGATGAACTTACATGTGTCGCAGAAATAAGTTGGCGGCCACACCACCAGCCATAACAACCGCGGGTGCAGTTACAACGTCCTGCTGAGTTTGCAAGCCTAAAACCACCCGCGAAGCAACGTGTTCAAACGCTGCACGCATAGTCTCACGTGCTAGATCCATCCGTTCTTCGATGCTGACGTCGGCCGACGCCCGCTCAACTTTATTGAATTTCCTTGTCACTGGATCCATACCAAGTCGAACGATGCGCTCAACCATTGTGGTAATGCCAGAAAAGCTTAACTCAAGACTGTTGATTTTGACTCCTCCGCCTGCTTTCGTCAATGGTCGGTTCAGTGCCCAGCCCCATTTGGTTGCACTTTTCCGCATCGCGTCTTCATGGTTAATCGGAACCTCATACCAGCTATATTGATACCCATGGGTTTCTAGGTAGGTCTTGGCAGAATACACAGGTAGCTTCGAAACGTATGGAGACGAGTCACGAGATGTTGGCCGTGTCCGTGACGAATGTGGTAACGCGAATGCTTCGAGGAGCGCTCCATACATTGTGCTTTTTGATGTCTGCAGTATCTCTGCGGGCAGTACTACGCGTGCAATTTTGTCCAAGCATTCTCCGATAGCAATGTCATTTGTAGAGCCCAGAACGCGATGGTCTGTCAAGGACGCTGAGTGTATGAGCAAAGTATGGCCTCCAGACGCAAGAACCGAGAGAAACGGGAATTTGGGGGTGACTTCTGTTGACGCCGGATCGTGAAAGACCGGTTCGGCAGGCGAATCTCGACTCTCGTGGTCTTTTGGCTCGGTGTAGGCTTCGAGGGCGCTGACCATGCGTGGCGTGAGCGCATGAGCCTGCATGTGATGTACTCCAACTAGAGGTTTCTAACATAATCATTAGTAGCAAGTATTTAGATAGAAGCTAGTGCAGTACCTGCCATGCTACAGCGAGTCCCTTGGCCGTATCAAGACCAGTAAAGAGGTTACTGCGCATGCCTGGCCCGCGTGTGACGGACACGAAATCGGGCAGCCTTCTCGTGGCGAGGTCTACTGCGCTCATCGGTATCTTGTCTGTCTCTGAAGGAAGCTGTCCATCTCGCATCGGAAGAGAGCGAATGGCTTCATTCACGAGAATAGCAAGACTCTCCTGGTGAGACACCAGCGATACCAGTGGATGCACGCCTTGATACATGGCATTGTCCGACGTCACTTTCTTGTGAAAATGTAGTTGCGCCGTTGGCCGACCACATTGTGTTCCTTTTTCAATTATGGCTACGGATGTATCGTCGCAAGACGTCTCGATGGCAAGCGTCATCAAGCGGCGTCGAGGCCTCCATTGCGGGGGAGGAAGCGTTCGCAATCGGACGGCAGCTTGGAATGCGTTGCATCGAGGTCGCATGCCTCGCAGGTGGGCGAGTGTATTCGGAATGCGTGAAATGTCGTGTTGAGGGTACGACGCGTTGGCGACGGGGCATGCAGGTGCACAATCCTGCATGAACGGCGGAAGGGTTCCGAGTGACGTACTTCCGAAGCTTCGAGCCTCACATGCCAACATGTTCATTTGACACCACCTGAACCTTCACCCCTAATCGTCTTGACGATGCGACTTAGACCCAACATTTCTCTACCTCATGGCTGACGTAGATAAAAAGACGGACGGCCCAGAGCCATACTCGTCGGCGGGCTTCGACTTCACCCTGTTGCCGGATTACGACAACGACTTCGTTGAAGAAGACCATTTCGTCGAATTCGAGAAAGCCTTAGCGGCGCCCGAAAACTCGCCCTCGACCGAAGATCTTACTGCACTGCCGCCTGAGCGAACCTTCATTTCCGCCCTCAACGACTGGCGCCCCGTCCACCAGCGCGTCAAGCGGCGGAAGAAGAGCAAGGCGCCCCCGCGACGCGGCAAGGACGAGACGCGCGAAGGCTTCGTCTATGTACTGCTGAAGTGGCCGCTGCTGCTAGTGGTGCTTGGGTGGTTGCTCTTCCTGAGCATAGCCTACGTCTTCACCCGCCTATACATATACCTATACGAACACTGGATAACATGGCGAGGTACACGGCAGAGACTAAGACAGCGGATGAACGACGCGAGATCGTATGAAGAATGGATAGAGAGAGCCAAGGAGCTCGACGCATACCTGGGCAACGAATCCTGGAAGGACAAGGCTGACTACGCATACTATGACAGCAAGACGATCGCAAGAGTACATCAGCAGATGGTCAAACTGCGCGAAAAGGCTGAAGCAGAAGAGAAGGGTGCGTCAAGCGCAAATGCCTCCAAAGGCCAACACACAGCTGTAGAGGATCTCCGTGCGCTCTTGGAAGGTAGGATCCCGGCTCACGTCACCACAGACTATGTCTAACGTCGCATTTAGCCTCGATGAAGAACAACTTTGTAGGATTCGAAAACCCGCGACTATACAGTGAGACGTACTATGGGACGAAAAATCTAGTCCAGAAATTCGTTGACGAAGCCGAGACATCGCTCGGTTTCCTCCTGCGAACTACACAGCTCGATGCAGAAAACAAACGCGCTCTGTTCAAACACCTCGGCAGCAACTTCGGTCGCACTGCGCTATGTCTGTCTGGGGGAGCCACCTTTGCCTACTATCACTTCGGTGTGGCTAAGGCTCTAATGGATGCCGAACTGTTACCTGAAGTTATCACCGGTACATCTGGAGGGGCGCTTGTGGCTGCATTACTATGCACGAGGACTGATGACGAGCTCAAGAAGCTGCTTGTACCAGCTCTGGCTCACCGCATCACGGCATGCCACGAAGGCATCCTTACATGGTCAAAGAGATGGTACAAGACTGGAGCGAGATTCGACAGCGTCGATTGGGCGAAGAAATGTGCTTGGATGACCCGTGGTAGTTTGACATTTAAAGAGGCATACCAAAGGACTGGACGAATACTGAACGTCTCATGCGTACCCTCGGACCCCCACTCGCCGACTATTTTAGCAAACTACATCACAGCCCCAGACTGTGTCGTCTGGTCAGCAGTCCTGGCTTCTGCTGCGGTTCCTGGCATACTCAACCCAGTGGTTCTGATGAAGAAGAACAATGACGGCAGTCTTTCACCCTACTCTTTCGGTCACAAGTGGAAAGATGGTAGCCTAAGGACGGATATCCCACTGAAGGCGTTGAATCTTCACTTCAACGTTCGATTCTCAATCGTGAGCCAAGTTAACCCTCACATTAACATCTTCTTCTTTTCATCTCGCGGCTCGGTTGGTCGGCCTGTCACTCATCGGCGAGGACGCGGCTGGAGAGGCGGGTTCCTTGGTTCCGCCACAGAGCAATACCTAAAGCTTGACCTGAACAAGTGGCTCAAGGTGCTTCGTCATCTTGAATTATTGCCTCGTCCACTCGGTCAAGACTGGAGTGAGCTTTGGCTACAGCGCTTCAGCGGCACTATCACCATTTGGCCCAAATCCATACCTTCAGACTTTATTTACATACTAACTGACCCAGTAAGTGTCTCTGTACCAGATGCATGTGAGACTTGTACTGACTTCGCACCCCAACTTTTAGACACCCCAGCGGCTAGCACGTATGATACATGTTGGCCAACAATCAGCTTTCCCCAAGTTGAAGTTTATCGCGAACCGTGCAAAGTTGGAGTATGCTATCCAGGAAGGGAGACGGAAGTTCAGGCCTCGCGGTATACGTGATGACAACATAGTCAACGCTCTTAGTGAGGAAGACCTCCGCAGCTTACTAAAGCGTACAAGAAGCGATGATCCGGAGGATGGCGCTCAATACCCAGCATCAGGATCAGAGTCCTCGTCGACAGCAGAACCGTCACGGCCTAGCTCGCCTGTGAATCTGCCTCTCGGCTTCACATTCGCTCGCAAGAAGAAAAACGCGCCGGCTGAGCTAGCGACCACTGCTGAGAAGCTAGACGCTCCTGACAGCCCATCGCTGGGAAAACGACTAAGCGGATGGTGGTCCGCAATGTCACCTCAAGCCACAGCGCACTCTATAGAGCTCAAAGCTCGCCCACGCGATTCGCCATATAGTCACGACCGCCCTAACTCGATGTTCGAGTTCCGACCAGCCGGCAGCATCATAGACCTTCCGACAGGGAGAAAAGAGAGCAGGGTTTTCGACGACTCGGACGACGCCGCGGAAAACCAAGACATCTCTAGGCGCAGACAGCAGCATAAAGGGGGTATGTTGGGCGACACCGATGCCGGCAAGGAAGACGCCGACGATCATGGTGAAGCAGCAGATTTCGGCGATGACGAAGAAGATCGAGGTGAAATACAGAATGTTAGGGTAGGTCTTGGTCTTGAGGGACCCGCTTTGTAGTGCCTCCATTTGCCTTATACCTAGATTAGACTGTAGACAATATTAATAGGAAAATCTTTCAATGAGTTTCTTCATAGAGCGACAAACTTGTGGCAAGCATCGTTCTCCAACTTCACGCACGTAAAAGTCGCGTCCACGGCCAGACCTGGCGGCTTGGCATGTCGTCATCGACGACACGTTCTGAACGCGCGATCACACGGCTGCCTGCGCCAGTCAGAACTCACTTCAATACCAACGACCACAATTTTCACCCCTCGAAACCGATGGACCACGTTCTTGGAAGAGCACCATGGGTGTCACTGGCCTCTGGACCGTTTTGCAGCCTTGCGCGCGGCCAATCAAGATCGAAACGTTGAACAAGAAGCGACTCGCCGTCGATGCCTCCATCTGGATCTACCAGTTCCTTAAAGCCGTGCGCGACAAAGAAGGAAATGCGCTGCGAAACAGCCATATTGTCGGTTTCTTTCGCCGAATATGCAAGCTGCTCTTTATCGGCATCAAGCCCGTCTTCGTCTTCGATGGCGGCGCACCAGCGCTGAAGCGACAAACTATCAGCAACCGCAAGTCGCGCCGCGAGGGTAGACGGGAAGATGCAGTCAGAACAGCAGCGAAGCTGTTGGCTATACAGATGCAGAGGGCTGCCGAAGAAGAGGATAGGAAGCGGAAAGAAGCTGCAAAGCACCCCAGAGAGGAGCCGCAGCAGCAGGAAGAAGAGATACCCGATAACTTGGTGTATGCGGAGGAGCTTTTACAAACATCGGAAGAGCGTACACAGAACCGCACATTCAAGCGCAAAGACCAGTATCATCTGCCAGATCTGGGCAAGTCTATGTCGGAAATGGGCGCTGCGAACGATCCTAGGGTAATGTCACTCGAAGAGCTCGAGGAATATGCACGCCAGTTCGACAGAGGCGAGGATATCAATGTCTACGACTTTTCCAAGATTGACTTCGACGGTCATTTCTTCCAAAGCCTGCCTCCAGCTGATCGATACAACATCTTAAACGCAGCCAGGTTGCGAAGCCGACTCAGAATGGGACACTCCAAGGAGCAACTTGACGCAATGTTTCCCGACAGGATGGCTTTCTCCAAATTCCAAATCGAACGGGTGCGCGAACGTAACGAACTTACGCAACGATTGATGAACCTCAACGGTATGAACGACGATACGTTTGGTGCAGGTGGTTTCAATCGTGTCGCAGGCGAGAGAGACCGAGAGTATGTGTTGGTAAAGAATGACGGAGTCGAGGGCGGTTGGGCGCTAGGAGTTGTGCTGAACAAAGAAGAGGGCAAGGCACACAAGCCGATCAACGTGGATCTACCGGAGCGTCCTGCTGAAGGAGATCAAGAATGGGAAGAGGATGAAGACTTCGAGGACGTTCCGATCGAAGGCCTTAACCGACTGCCAAAAGCCAGGGGGGGTCTGAGTGCCCAAGAGAAGGAGGGTCGCGAGTTTATCGCTAATGAACTAGCGACGCGACGTAGAAAACTGTACAATTCGAGGAAAGAGAGGCCAGCGCAGTCGAAACCACAGAGAGCTGCACCAGTAAACCAGGATCCTGACTCCCTGTTTCTTGCTGATGACAATGAGGAGGAGGAAGACTGGGAAAATGTACCAATGAATGGAGTGAACGATATGGACGATGCAGGTGACGACATTGAGAACGAACAATTACAGCAAGCCATTGCGTTGTCAATGCAGCCAGAGAAGCAAGAGGTTGCCGATGATTCGGAGGACGATCCAGTGCGTGAAGTCTTCGAGCAGAGACGCGCCGCCGAAGCCAATCCTTTTGCTGGAACGAAGGGCTCTGGGATGGCCATCGCAAGGCTTGCTAACCAACGCAGTAACAAGCTCGCTCCGAAAGGTCCTTTTGAAGGAAGCGACAGCGAAGATGACATGGACCTTCAGGCTGCATTGACGGAATCTCGAAAGTCGAAAAGACCTGTAAAACCACGGCAATCGTCGCATAAGCAGCAGGACCCAACCCCAGCACCGGCTGTGAAGCCTGCTACCAAGCCGAAGAATGCCGCTGGGTTTGATGGGCCACTGCCTTTTGAGAGGCTCAACTTGGGCAACTCCCTTCTAGGCAAGAAGAAGATGGACAAGCTTGAGGAGGACAATGCAGGGGGCTTTGAAAAAGATTATGGGCAAAAGAAGGAGGCTGCCGTGCCACTTCCGCCATGGTTTAGTGGCCAAAGAGATATTGCACAAGAAGTAAATGCTCAGCGGCAAGAAGAGAAGCAGCAGTGGGAAGAGGCACGTCAAGAGGAAAAGTCCAGATTCCAGTTCCAGTCGCTACCGAGCCTTCGAAAGCCAGAAACCAAGGAAATTATCGACCTCGATGCTCCCATTAGTCAGGGCCAGAAGCAAGTGGTTGCAATCGACTCAGATGAAGAGGCTGATGCGGAGATGGAAGATGTGCCAATTGAGGACCCTGAGTTGAGGATGGGCGACCTTGCCGATAAAGTCAAAGCAGAGCCTCCCAGACCGCTCTCTCCGGAGCAGAAGTCACCTCCTCGCCAGGATCCTGCCTTAGTGAAGAAGACTCCGTTTGCAGACGATTCCGACGATGAGGCAGTGGACTGGTCCGAGAGTGAGCCAGAGGATGAGAGACGCGCACAACAGAAAGCGACTGATGAGGAGAAATCAGAGCCACCCTCAAAGCAGCCTTCAAGACCTCCGTCCCAAGAATCCGAAGAGTTCGAGGACGTACCGATGCAAACTGAGACAAGCACTGCGGTTGAAGCTGCTAAGTCGCCATCACCAGAGTTCAAAGATGTACCTATGCAAAGCGAGTCTGTCGCAGAGACTGTACCACCGAAGTCCCCATCGCCAGTGTTCGAAGATGTCCCAATCCGTCAGCAAAGGTCACGCCGACCCCAAAGGGAGCTGTCTCCCTTGCAGGGCCCAGACGATCTGACCAAGCCCATCGTACCCCATAGTGGCGTAGCGGACGACAATGCGCATTTTGAAATGCCTGAAGGTCACGAGTCAGATCAGTACTCTGACCCTGAGGACGAAGAACTCTTCGCGTCCCTTGCCAAAGAGGCAGAAGAGCACGCACGCTTCGCTCAAGAATTGAGCAACAATACTGCCGCGCGTGTAAACTTCGACGATGAGCTCAAACAACTCCGCGCACAACAGAAGAAAGACCGTCGAGACGCCGATGAAGTCACTCAGACGATGATATCCGAGTGCCAGCATTTGCTGACCCTATTCGGATTACCATATATCACAGCTCCCATGGAAGCAGAAGCTCAATGCGCCGAACTTGTCAACCTTGGCCTTGTCGATGGCATTGTAACCGACGACTCCGATACCTTCCTTTTCGGCGGCACTCGTGTCTATAAAAACATGTTCAACGCAGCCAAATTTGTCGAATGCTACCTCGCCCAAGACCTCACGAGCGAATTCAGCCTCACACGCGAGAAAATGATTGCCATCGCCCAACTACTTGGTAGTGATTATACAACAGGCATCCCAGGCATCGGACCCGTCACCGCACTAGAAATTCTCTCCGAGTTCCAGGACCTAGAGTCGTTTAGAGCATGGTGGGATGGCGTTCAAAACGGTACTATCAAGAAAGAAGATGATGCGAAAAAACCTTTCCGGAAAAGATTCCGCAAGAACCAGGCTACAAAACTCTTCTTGCCGCCAACTTTTCCTGATCCTCGTGTTGCTGAGGCCTATCTTCATCCTGAGGTTGATAGTGATCCTGAGCCGTTTCAGTGGGGTGTTCCCGATTTGGCTGCTTTGCGCTCGTTTCTGAGTTCTCAGATTGGATGGAGTTCCGAGAGGACGGATGAAGTGCTTGTCCCTGTTATTAGGGATATGAATCAGAGACAGAAGGAGGGTACGCAGGCCAATATCACTAGGTTCTTTGAGGGGAGTGTGGGGGCGGGAGCTTTTGCGCCGAGGGTGAAGAGCGCGGAGAGTGGGCCGAATGGGAAGAAGAAGGGCATTAGTGCTGCAGGGAAGAGAATGGAGGCAGCTTTGACTCGATTGGCACGGAAGGATGGGGAGCCAGTGGATGGAGTGGCGACTGGGAATGGAGAGACTGAAGATGCTGATGTGTCGGCTAGCGGAGCAACGGGGAGGAAGAAGAGAAAGGCTGCGAGTAAACCCATGTCCTTGGCTGAGAAGGAAGACGGAGACGCGGCTGCGGATGTTGAGGAAGAGGAAGAGGAAGAGGAAGACGAGCTCTACAAGGAACCCACAAAGAAAAAGCCAAGGAAAGCGCGGAAAGGCAAAGCAGCCAAGTAACTTGAAATAAATGCATAGTTATCTGGTATCATCTATGCCTACTCTACCTTATCTTACAAACAAACCTTCTCCCAATGTTCTCAAAGTTTCACACTGCCCCCCTCAATGCGCTTCAAATCCTCCTCCGTAAACCTCGTATAACTCCCATCCCTTAACCAATACAGCACATCGCCCTTCTCTTCCACAACCCGCGGATCAATCCCCTCCTTCTGCAGCTCAACCTTCTGCTGCTTGTTAGTCCCCGTCAACTGCATCTCCCTCGTCACTCTAATCCAAACAGGTACGGCGAACGCCGGCAACTCTTTCTTAACATGTCGTGCCAGTTCTTGCAGCAATTTGTCATTGACTTCACCAACGCCTTGTTCGAAAACAATGGCAGCACATCCAGCGCGTCCATCATGGCCCGGAACACTGACACCGTAGACGTTTGCTTCGGCAACTGCGGGATGTTTGCCCACAGCTTCCGAGACCTCAGCCGTAGACACATTTTCCGCTTTCCAACGAAACGTATCCCCGATGCGATCAACGAACCAGAACCTGCCCTCGGCGTCCCACCGCATAAGGTCGCCAGAGCGGAAATACGCATCGCCCTTTGTCTTGACATCGCGGATGATTTTGGAATTCGTAGCCTTCTCATTTCCATAGTAGCCCTGGAACCCCTCTTTTATATTCGCCGCGTCGAGTTTACCCAGGAGTTCCCCGGGTTCGTTGTAATCGCTGATTTCGCACAGGCCCGTGATAGGGTCGCGTAGAGGTTCTGGAGGATCGGAAGAAGGATCCATGCGCACGAGTGTAAGTTTGCGCGACATGAGGAAGTTTCCCAGCGACCCGTTTCGTGCGATTGCGCCGCTGGAGAAGGAGTTTGTGGAGCGGTTGAAGAGGCCGCCGGGCGCTTCTGTTGCAGCGTAGAATTCGAAGATTGTTTCTATGCCGAAACGCTGTTTGAAGGGCTCCCAGACATCTGGGCGCAGGCCATTGCCGAAAGCGGCTCGGATTTTGTGTTGTTTGTCTAAAGGGGAGGGAGGTGCAGAGAGTAGGTAGCGACATGTTTCACCGACGTAGTGCAGGATTGTGGCGTGTGAAGAGCGGATTTCCGGCCAGAAGGTTTTGTGGGAGAATTTCTTGGAAAGGCATATTGTGCTGCCGGCGCGGAGGACGGCGCATAAGCCCAGGACGGAGGCAGAGCTGTGGTATAGGGGCATGGATGTGTAGACTATGTCGTTCTTGAGCGACATCCAGTTTGCGGCGAATTGTGCGCCGCCGCCGCATTTGCCCCAGGACATTACGGCGGGTTTGGGCAGACCCGTTGTGCCGGATGTATAGATGAGCATGGCCATGTCGCTGCGCTTTTGGTCGGAGCGAGAGGAATCGGGGAGGCGCGTGGGTGGGTGTGTGAGGATGGTTGATGTGAGGGCATCGTCGAAGAAGATGATTTCGAGGTTTCGTTGCGCGGTCAAGGGCTCAGAGACAGCACCTGCTTCCACGGCAGCTTGGGGAGTCCGTGTCTGGTTTTTGACTGATCGTGGAACGTCCGACTGCTCTACTTGGAAAGTGTATTTGACCTTGTCTGCATGATGCACGCGAGTGAGGCCATGCTCCTTCAGCGCATCTTCGCTGAACTTGTCCTTGCTTTCCTGGTCCACCAGCACCAACTGCGCCGTACTCGTCCTGATTGTATGAACCAGCGGCTTGCCGGACAAGTTGTAGTTGATGAAAGCCGGCTTCGCACCGATACTCCAAAGGCCAAACCAAACCCATATGAAGACCTCCGAGTTCACAAAGTCCATTGCGACAATTTCATCTTTCTCTACGCCCTTGCTCTTCAACCAGTTGCCATATCGGAGCACAACGTCGTAAGCCTGCGCGTATGTCCATGTCTTTCCTTGAAATATGATCCAGGCGTGGTTTGCGCGCGAAGAGGATTTGGCATGCGCCTCGAGTTCGTAGAAAAGGTTCAGCGTGTCGCGTCGTTCTTGCAGCGCGCCAGTAATAGTGCTGCCGACAAAGGAGGAAAGTAGTGGCCAGTCGTATGTAAAGCCATGGCGGCCGTTCAGATATGCGAGACCTGCTGCGGCGGCGGGCAGGGCGAAGGGGAAAACTGGTAGTGAGACGTGTTAGCGAGCTGTAGGATGCGGCGCGGTCATGGCAGGGTGACGCGGGATTACCTGACATAGCTGGTATCCTATGGACTTGGCGCAACAGTAAAGTATACAAGAAATGCTAGAATTCCACGATTTGGAGAGTTAGTTGAAGATGATACATCCTTTCACTATTGACTGATCAAACTGCCCCAGCGCTCCATTGTCTTCAGCTAGTGACGTTTGACCTTACAGCTAGTGGCACCATGGGAGCTGTGGAGCCGAGGCATGTGTTAGAGCACCCCCCTGCTTCCTCGAGTAAGCCTTCAACCTTCTCCCTCTTCTACGCGTCGTCGTGGCTGCTTCCCCTCATCGCTTAGACATGGTCTGCCTCTCCTGTTGCTAGTAGAAAGCCACATCCCACCCTTGCTTCGGTTGCGAGCGGCCGGTGAAGTATGGCGTTGATCAACCCTGGAGCTTTCAACTTGACGGCTACACGAGTACGAGTATGATTTAGTAAAGCTAGATCAAATGAACAATTCAAGTTCCCAAGTCCCAAGCTTCCCTCCCTTTATTACTCTAGTTGTTTTCCATTGCCCACTTGCGGTCCAACTGGGCCCCTCGGAAAGCCGCAGTTCAGTCTCTCTACGGTATGCTACCATGCTCACAACAGCCGAACACCGGCTACCTACAGCACAATGGTTGCGCCATCACCTAGGTGCCTTTGACGCGCACAAAGAAGACAAAATATGGTATCAATGATCAAACTGTCACCCAGTGGCGGTCGTTTGCGGACAGCACTATAGCTATTTGCTTCTGGCAACCTTTGTCCATTATCTCTATATCGTAACAAAGACGCCTTGCCACTGCTTCACAATCAAAGGCCGTTCAATGTCGTGACAAGAGGACCCTCGTGTTCTTCACTCGAATTGAATTGAAAATTCGTCTGGAGAAGAGGCGTCCTGGTATGTTTGCTACATGTGCATAATAGAGGTGTCATCTACTAATGCGCCCAAGTGAACAGTCAGCACACCGCTTCCCAGAACAATATCGGTACGTCCAGTTGCATGATGACGTCCAGAAACCAAGGCCGTGGTGCCGCCGACTCCCCGGATCTTATCGATATCTTAGCTTTAGAAGAGATTACCTCAACCAGCGAAGACAAGCCGACACCGCGGGAGACTAACGACCACCGACTGGCTCAGGCAATCAACTACCTGGATGAAGAAGGAGGGCACGATTCTCCTGCAACATTTATGGATCAGGTTGATCGCATCGACAACTCTCTTCTCCTTCCACTTTCCCAACAAGGGCTCAACTTCGACATCGATCTCTTTAATCGCGTACGTAATATGGTCCGTCAAACGCAGCTTGATTTCGATGAAGCTGCACAAGGAAGTCTGTCAGAAGAAAATTCGTCATCAACACTAAATAGAGAATCTTCTATACCCGAGAGCGCAGAGGAACTACCAGGCTGCTGTACGCCATCTGCAGCGGAAGCTCTTTACCGGAATGGTGAAGGTCCGGATGCGCCTCGTTTTAAACCCCATAAGTCAATACCTGCAACAAAGAACCCCGCAGCGGAGAAAGAAGAAGGCATACATAGCGAGCATATGCTCGAATATGGTGGTCCGAACGATAAAGTCGAACGCTGGTACAAGAACTATCCAACCTCGATACCGTTCCCAGAGACATTCCAGTTAGCACGTTGGGAGAGTCTCAAGATTGACTACGATCTTTCAGAATCTGTCAAACCAATGAAAGCGGAAGGCAAGGTTGTTGAGACTAATGTTCCTTTTGATCATCCTACCCTTGAGCAGTACAAAAGCCTCTCACCATATGTGTCTGGATCACGCTTCAAGCTTCCGAAACCTAGTGCAGCCGTTCAGAAAGAGATCAATCGTCTCGGAACGCCAAGAAGGCTGGCAGAGGTCGTAGAAACTCCTAAAAGAACCAACAATGGAGTGAAGGATGGGAAGTTCCAATATACTCCTCGAGCCTTTCTAGAGACGCTGACTGCGGGAGACCAAGGTAAGCAATGTATTCTTTCTCAGCAGGTTAAAACTAATAGCAACTTAGTGGATCCGACAACGATCCGCCATGCCGTGAACACGACACCCACCAAGTCTCGTACTGGTACCATAAGTAGCAGTGTTCTGCGTGATGTCTCGAATACTACACAAAAGAACCCTCTTGTCAAGCCACCAACCAAGCCTATTTCTAACCCTCCACCCTCAGCTACTTCACAAGCTTATGAGAACGACAGCGTCCTTATGAACGAGCCATTAGACCTCGCAGACGAAAACACGTATCCTGCGGCGCGGGCAACTCACGTTGTATATAATAATCTTTACAAAGCAAAAGAACACGCTCGCAGCTCGAAAAAGCACGCGAATTTAGTACCGCCTGCATCGAGCGCTCGAACCACGTCGCCCTTAGTTAGGAAGATCAACCGTGAGCGCGCAACATCGCTCGAGCGTAGCCCAAGACGCCAAAGCGGGATCAGTACTGCACCTCCAAGTCCTGACACACCAACTAAGGAGACTGCTGTTCAACCACAGGTAGTCATTGGAGAATTTCCAGGTAGTCGCCCACCAAAGTCTCCTGCTCCTGTACTCTTCAAGTCGCAGCCTGTCCCTGCGCCGATCAGCGTCATCACACCTAGAAGCACCGCCAAGAAACCTACGAAGCGCAAACGCAATATCAGTGAACAAAAATACACCCATGATCCCAAACGCTCGAAACCCATGACGCCCCCTACATCGAAAGTCACTAAGACTAGAGCAGTTACTAAGAAAGTGACCAAGAAAGCCGCTGCGACAGGCAAAGCAGTGGGTAAAGCGCAGACAAAAGTGGTAGTAGAGGAAATTATCCATGAAGAGGAGCATGCGCTCCAGATCACCGAGAAGCAGAAGACAAAGCCTGGGGTAAAGTCTGGGATGACGAGAAGTGGGCTGAGATACCTCAAGGAGTGAGTGATAGTCAACTTGAGGAAGTTGAAGTGGCATTGTAAACGGATGGGAATTGTTAATTTATGATATCCATTTGTGTAATTCACAGTAACGGCCAAGTTTTAAAGCTATTCTATCTGGTTATGACCGCATTGTTGCTGTGTAATAGTAATAGCGCTATGTCTACTTCAGCCCCAACGGGCCTCAATTTCTTAAGCATAGAAGCTACCCTTCCCCTCTCGTATGGAGCAGTTGATTCACCTACCTTTTAGTGATACATTGGTTGCCAGTGATCGTGTTCGCTGAGCAGTCACGTAGTGTCCCCGCACATGCTGTTCCGAGCAATAAGCGGGGCATAGCGCTAGGACAAAGTCAAGTCCGGCAGCGCAGGAAGAAAGAATCGCCTTTCGCCAGCGGTGCCCATGGAGCGCCGATGCAATGGTGAGTAGCCTCTGTTACCCCAGATCTTCGTGCTGGGCAAACTTCTCATACGATCTAGAACGAATCCGGCCAGTTCCATCCGATCGCGTGCGAGTCTTGTCGCAACAAGAAATCAAAGGTCTGCGTTACATCTCTAAGTTGAAAAGCATCAGCTAAACATCTACAGTGCGATCGTGAACTGCCAGTATGCTCGCAATGCGTATCTGCGCGGTTCTCATGCCGGTATCCGCCAATCAATAAGAGGTACGATGAGAGCGGTCTGAGTGAGATGAAGTTAATCATTACGCTAGAGGCATCCCCTCCGGGTATATATCGTTTATCGAACAAAGGTTACTCGAGACTGAGATCGTGGTGATAGAGCTTCTTTCCGCCATCTACAACTCTCAGGTTCCAATTGAAACGCAGCGTCTTTCTGATACGCATCGCCGAGTGTTAGCGGAGAATGCGCAGAAGCAGGCCAAGTCAAGCAAGATAGAGGAATGGAAGAGTCTACCCCTCAGCACGAACGAGGAGCGTCTGTCTTGGTGGTCGAAAAGACAGGATCTTTTGGCGAAAGGCGTCGAAGCGAATACCAGTCATGTATCTCATGCCAGTCCCGCCCCGACAGAGCCATGGGTCATGGATTCGAGTCCTTCAGTGGCACAGTATGATGATCTTCAACTATCAGCCATTGAGAGATCAAATCTCTCATCCGCACAGCAGCCTCAATTAGTGCAAGCTACATGGCAGCTAGTTCCGGATGTATCTGGAGTACTGGAACCAACTTCAGCTCTGCAACACCAAGAGCGGGATATGATAGGTGCTGCGCCGGTAGAGAATTTGTCGAGAGAAGGATATTACGATAACAGACCAGAGTGTCTTGCGCCTTCGGTATCGCACACAGCGGCCGATTCGCGACCTTCAACCACAGAACAATGGCGCAAGTATTTTTGAAATTGTACGAATGTACGCTGTAATTCGATTGAGCCCGTAATGCAAAAATGTAGAAATGAGCATATGCAGCATGCGAAGCATAGTTTGACAGTGACACCAATTTCCTAGCCCCAAACTGACTCGCACAGCGCTAACGCCGTTTGGCTTCGTCCATGGATAGCTTTCTCACGCGTCATCTTTGTCGCGCTTGCTGAAATCGAAGTCACGCGCCTCCAACCTCCTCCCTTTTCGCTTCCCTTCACGTTGACGTCACTGAACTCCGTTACAGCAGCATTGATTAAACGACGGCTAGACCTTGTGTTCCAAGCTTGATGTGCTTCTAAGTGCCCCCCACTCGTGATGGCTGAAACTACCGTAAGGTCCAGCAAGCGACCAGCTCTTCACGATGAGTCGGAAACCAACATAGCGGCGCCCGATGTCGGTGCGGTGAGGAAACGTAGAGCATACCTCCAGACAATGGGCCAGCAGCTTCGGGAATTCGGAACTGAAGGTACAAGTCCGCAAGATCATAATCGTAACACGTTTGGTACCAGCCCTGGCAGTAACCTGAGGCCTCCATCCAGTGCAGGCAATATCGCAGCGAACCAGGCATCTGTCCGCCATGTTGATACACCAGAGAGTGATGCTGCGCCTGGACAAGATGATCAACTACCCGCAGGCGCTGTGAAAAGTGCATCGAGATGGCTCTGGAAATTGGACGAAGTGCGGCCGCTTGAACTAGAGAGCGTTTCACCGACGGTTACCTTTGAAGACCTCCTCGAATGGAGCCAGTCTTACTTCGACCATTGGCATCCCGCTTTTCCGTTCCTCCATGCGCCCTCACTCCTGGATTATTTTCGTCAGATAGCGCAGAAAGGCGTTCGTATCGCAGCCCAGTCCACAACAAACGAACTCCAGCACATCATACTGCGCTCGATCATGTCAATATCCATCCATGATCGGCGACAAATGAGCCCAATAAACAAACTCATGCCTACAGCTCTTGTCTTCCATTCAGTCAACGATGCCATCCGGAGTGTTCAGTTGGTGCTGACTGAGGAGAGCTCAATTCTCTCGTTGCAAGCCCTTGTCAGCGTTCAACTGTTCTTGATCACGATGCACAGGTACAACGCTGCATCCCGTCTTGAAGGCTTGGCTATCCGTATGGCCTTCCAGCTAGGTCTACATCGGTGTCCACTGCAACTATCAATACCAAGCAAAGAGGCAGAGCTAAGGAAACGGCTCTTCTGGTCCGTAACTTGCATCGATAGACATATATGCATACGGCTTGGCACACCATTAGGCATACGGTCGGACGAGGCCAATGTGTGCTATCCGCACACAGAACGACATCGCGAACAGGATCCTCAGGCAGAGAGTAGGCGCGCAAAGATCAGGTTCCGATTGTTCTTGGACTAACCTTTCTCTAGGTCGCGAGCGTGATGACCGACTAGACTTATTGGACTTTCTAGCTCGACACGCCGATATCCGCGGGTCTATCATGCAAATGCGACATCAGTCTATGCTACATGGTAGCGCCGATGATGTTGACCAAGCACTTGAAGTGGAAGCCGAACACACTAAGTGGTGGAATACAGTTGATGAACACCTATCTAATGACGAGCAAACACAGACGATATCCAAAACACATCAGGTCATTCTCATCGTCCTTCGCTTCGAGTCAGTTCTTGCTCTGCACCGCTCCGTGTTAGCGACATCGAAGAAGAATGCAGCATACAATGCGGCGCTACAACGATGCATATCAGCCTCACGCTCCATTATCAATACACTACACAAAGCTCTCCGGGGATTTGGGGCGTTCGATGGCTCACCTGGTCAACATGGATATGAGAGAACTCCTCTTCTTTGGCCGTCGTTTACTTGGGCAGTCTGGATGAGCACATTCATCATTCTATCCACGGCTGCAGAGGGACAAGTTGCGCGCGACATCGCACTGAGGCTCTCAGATCGAAGTGTACATATCCTCAAACACCTATCTTCAAGAGGTACGAATTGGCCAGACGCATGCATTGTCGCCATCCAGAATCTTGCTGCACGACTGGATAAGCAATCCAATCAGGGCCCCATGAACACGTCTGGAGATGGCTCGTGGACAGTAACTCATCCAACTCGTAACTCTTCCCTAGGCATAGATAACGGGCAAGCTCAGCGACAGAGTTTCGAAGCTCATTCGACGAACCATACGCCACTACGACACAATCCAGCGATAGGCACAAACACGCCAGCTGGACAGCCGCACAGATTCTCCAATCAGTCTCATGTAGCACCCTTCTCTACGAGCTTCACAAACCAAGCGAACGAGCCGAGTTTACCAAACGTGAACCTAAATCATAACAATGTACAAGCCGCTAATAGCCTTACAACTGACTATCTTGCCGGCGCAGGCAACTTCCTTGGTATCGCCCAGCAGTATTCGGATAATCCGTTACCCAACGAAGAGATCATGCACCTGTTCAATGGCGAAGACATCAACTACTGGTTTGGAAACGACTCAGGCATGGCTGGCAATTCTCTCTATCACGAAGAGAACTTTCATTGAGCTACGAAGGGAAAACTAACAACAATATGTACACCCAGTTAACCCGATTTCGGCGCTGTTACCTTGCCTAGTGAGGCCGACTTGAATGCAGCATGGATCTCTTGCTCTGCGCCATCTTGTAATGGCAAGAGTCCACTCCGCACTGTCGCATGCTCCAGAATACCTCTTGCTACCAGACCGTGTTTCAGTGCGACAGTTCCCTCCATGTGCGAGCCTCGATGGTAGACGTTCCTGGTTACTGGGAGGAGTCTATCATGGACAGCCCTCGCGCGAGGGTAGTCTCTTGCCTTGCCAGCTTCGATCATCTCGAGTAGCGGCTCCGGAGCAATGTTGCCGTATCCAACAAGCATACCGTCGACATCGAAGCATGTATGTAACAAGTATTCGTCGTGGCATGTGAGGATGGTAAGGTCGGGGTTTTGCTTCTTGATGATAGGGATCTCAACGTCCCAACGGCGCATGTTGCGGACACCGTTCTTCATAGCGATGACACCGGGTTGAGCGGCAATCTCGAGTAGTGTGTCCAGGTTATAGGTAGCCTTAGTGTTGTCGGGATATTGGAATAAGATGAGGGGAAGTCCAGACTTCTCGTACACAGTCTTGTATCTGTCTTGTGGAGCTCCCGGCTGATATCCAAAGCGTAGCCAACCATGGCTTGGGTATAGCAGACCCGCCTGCGCACCAGCAGCCTTTGCGCGTTGGGCCTCGAGGGCAGCCACTTCAGTCCCTTCAGTGGTGATGCCGGCAATGATGGGTATTTTGTTGTCCACAGACTTGACGAAGGCTTTGATAACACCCACTTGCTCTTCCTGAGTCAGGAAGGTGCCCTCACCAGCGTGTCCCAGTACAACCAGGCCCTTCACTCCATCGATGCTGCCAAGCCAGGAGCCAAGACGCTGAATCGCTGCGTAGTCGACCGAACCATCCTTGTTGAATGGAGTAACCGGGGCAGGGACGAGACCTGCGAGGTCGATTTGGGGAGCTTGCTTAACCTCAGGCATAGAACCCATTGTGGTGGCAGGAAGTATCGATATTTAGGTGTTGGGTAAGAGTGTATTGTTTATGAGGATGGAGAATGTTTGTTTGCGTTTGATGATGAGCAACTTGGACTGAACGTCTGCATTATATGTACTTCGCTATCTGTCGCACAGGAATGCCGAGCGGTAACCGTTGGCGATCTCGCTCCAGTGTACGGCTTCGTGCTCAGTCTCCAGCGCGCATTTGGGGCGCGGACTTGGGCAAGTCCGCTGAAACCCCACGAGAACTCACTTAACACGCGATTTCAGGCGTGTCTTAGGGTCATGCGAGCAATAGGGACTTGAATTGTTCCGACGTAGCGCCTATGGGAACGCTCGATGTGCGGTTAGGGCACCCCGGACTTGTCTTTGTCCGAACTAGTGTCCACCAGCCGCAAGCCACTCTCCACCCTAGTAAAGCCGACGGTTCTCACAGCCAATTGTCAGGTTTTTTTCTACTGGACTCTTAGCAAAGGTAGGGGGTGCTTTGAACGCCCTCGTCTTCCCCATGTTTTCTCCGCTTCGTGACAAAGAACTCAGGATCTGGGGAAAGTCCGGGGTCGAGCTTGCTCGTGGACTTTCTGGGGAACGTTCGTCCAGCAGGGTTATATAGCAAAGGCTTCTCTTGCCAGTCTCAGTCTTTCCGCCGCTCATCGAAGAACAAACTTCTGCTTTTGTGTATGACTTAGCCATCAATCTTGCGCCTTTGACGACTGCCAAAGATGGCCAACACCAACGCCGACCGTTACGGAGATCCCGAGAAAAACGTACCACTGCAAATCGACGATGTCGCAACATCGGAGAAAGACCTTAAAGCGCAAGCTGCGCTCGATGGTGCCGACTACAGTGGTGCAATCGGGAAAACAGACCCAGCAGAGATCGCTCTAGTACGCAAGCTGGACATGCGAGTGATGCCAGCACTCTTTTGCATGTATTTCCTGTACGTCACAAGAAAGCCTTGAAACCTTCTGAACTCATCTATGACAAGCTGCTGATCATCACGCTATCAGTAACAAGCTTGACCAGAATGCGATAGCGAACGCACGACTGAACGGTCTCGAAGACGACCTTGGCCTTGTCGGAAGCCAATACAACACTTGCATATCCATTCTCTACGTCGGATATCTATTTGCCCAGATTCCCAGCAATATGCTCATGTCATCGAAAAAGGTGCGACCTTCACTATATATGGCCCTGTGCTGTACGGTTTGGGGTTGCGTAGCAGCTCTCACAGCTCTTGTCAAGAACTACACTGGGCTAGTACTAGTACGCTTCTTCCTTGGTTTCGTGGAAGCGCCGTTTTACCCAGGTGCCTTGTACATTCTGAGCATGTTTTACACGCGCAAGGAAATTGCTACAAGAGTGTCTATCTTGTATGCTGGAAACATCTTCGCGGTGTCCTTTGCTGGACTCATCGCCGCTGCTACTTTCGCGACCCTGGACGACAAGCATGGAATGCATGGATGGCAGTGGTTGTTTATCATTGAGGGGATCGTCACAGTAGGCGTATCTGTCGTTTGTGCTTTCTTGCTACCGGATGAGCCACTGACAACAAAATGGCTGACCCCCGAGGAACGACAACTGGCGCACGATCGCATCGAAAGAGATACTGTGGGTCTGGAGCCAAGCAGGGGAGTCAAGGCTGGTTTCATGCAAGCTTTGCGAGATCCAAGACTTTATCTATTGATCTTCATGCAGAATATGCATTTAAGCGCCACGTCTTTTAACCAGGTACGCCCCATCAATAACCCCTTCTTCTAGCTCGCAGATTACCCTCGCTAACTCAACCTAGTTTTTCCCTACCGTAGTCAAATCATTAGGATTCAGTACTACCATTACATTGGTGTTGACTGCTCCGCCATCGCTCGTCGCTGGCGCGGTGGGCATTGGCATCGGCATCTCATCTGGAAAATACAACGATCGAACATGGCACATCACCGGCATGATGGGGCTCGCAGTTGTCGGATTCGCCATCAGTGCTGCCACACTCAACACCGCTGCACGCTACATCTCCTGCTTTCTCTTTGCCTCTGGTTCGTCACTCCTGTCTCTGTCCTCATATCTACTGGCTGGCCATTGTATGACAACTACTAATACATGTTGTTCTAGGTGTCTACTCCGTCAACTCCGTCATCCTCGGGTGGGTATCAGGAACACTCGGCCAGACCACCGAGAAGAAGGCAGTGTCACTATCCATCGTGAATGTGGTTTCCATGGCCAGCTTTATCTACACACCTTACTTGTATCCTGCAAGCGATGGGCCCAAATATGTGATTGCTATGAGCAGTAATGCAGCATTTGCAGGAGCGTGTATTGCAGCAGCTTGGGCGCTTAGGGCGTGGCTTCAGGTGACGAACCGGCGGTTGAAGAGGGATGGTGTCAATGTCTTTTACGCGTATTGATCCGTGGACTTCAAGCTTTGTCTTAGTGTTGCAATCATATTGGGACAGTGCAAATATATTATAAAGAATCTAGTCGACGTCTGGAAGATTATTACGGATGCAACAAACGAACACCAAACGCAGCAGCAAATCAAATGGGGTATCACTAACACCACATTCAAACATCCCTCGAAACTTCCACAATATCAACATCCCTCTCCAACTCCTCGCTCGTATGCTCCCTCCAAAGATGGTCCATCAACGCTTCAATCCCCCTACACACCGTGTCTGATTCCTTGAATCTCGCGCAAAGTACGCACGCAAAGCCGCCGCTGTCCCTGTGGCATTTCACAATAAAGCGGTTCCTGATGCGAAATGTCCGAGACGCTATCTTGCCGAGTCCTTGCCCTATACTTCTCCTATAGCCGTCGACAACAATCTCCCAAGCTTTTCCGGATTGGATGGTGACGCGTGTTCGACAGAAGGGACATCTACCATCTCCGCCGTGTTTGTAGGCGTCGGCGAGGTGGAACCGTGGGTTGAGCTGGAGGTCTTTTGCGTAGATGCAGAATAATCTAGTACTGTAACGTGATGACGGTGGCTGAGGTTGAGGCGTGGGCTTTGGTTTAGGGTTTGCGATCGGTAGTATTTTGACCACCTTCTCTTCCGATGCATCCGAGGAACTAGAGCTGCTGCTCATGCGTTTCTTGTGCCGGAGTGGTGGTCTTGAAGGTGGTCGTGGATGATCAGGTAGCGGAAACGCGCCAGGGATCTTCAACGGCGGATCAGGGCCTCGAGGTGGTAGTGGTGATGGGAGTGGCGGTAGCATGCGCTGGTATTGCATGTTCAACGAGGCGATAGACGCCGCACGCGCTGTTCGAGTGGTCTGAATCAGACGCACGAGGTGCGAATGAGACGATGACGGTGCGAGATACGTACTCAGCAACAGGTCCTGCTGGATATTGAGAACCGTCTGCTGGAGCTTTATGATCTGAGATTGAAGTTGGGTGTGGGTTGTAACTGTTGGTCTCAATACCGGATGATTTAAGCTTGAACGGGACGGGAACATACCGTCGCCACGCGCAAAAGGCTCTCCTAGCTTCCGATATCCACGTTCGTACTCGGCTCGGATCTGAGAAGAAGAGGTACAGATAAGCTCCTCTTCGCTATCACTATAGTCCTCCTTGCTCTTTCCCGAGCCAAATAGAGAGTCGCGACGACGCCTGCGCAAAGGCCTCTGGATATGAAATTCATCGTCTTCACTCTCGCTGTCCTTTGCACCGGCTTTACGCTTGAGCTTTCGATACAGGTCACTGGCAGAGCCGAAAGAATCTGTCAAGGTCCGCACAAGAGAAACAACGACTACAAGGTCCTGGAGTAGCCCTTTGGCCTAAACAAGTTTGATCAGCACTTGGTCTATAATCGCGAGAAGCATTCAAAAGCATACTGCCTCTATTGTTTTCTCGGTTTCTTCTCTCATGATGATGATATAAACGACATGCAATATGTGTTGAGTATGAAATGAGAAATAAAGCTATCAGTGAAAGTGCGCACCCAAACCTTACGCCAGAGCGTACCAGTCAAACAGTCATTCTTACATTGAGACACATCGCTACTGTTTGCTCAGCTGAAAGGTTTGTGTTCGCACTTGGTGCATCATGAGTACCTTTTGACATCGGTGCTGAGTGGTCGCATGACTTCACCTCTGCACGTGGTGTCTGGCACCCACCAACTTACCCAAGCTTTTCTCAGAATACAACACTACGTTATCAGGGTAACCTGTCGCACAATAAAGGTCCAATAGTCTGCACATACTAGACATCGCGAGCAAGGTCGCGAGCAGCTTGTCAAGATTTCTTCAATGTTTGGCTTTGTTAGATGATCGCCTTCGGCGTTGGCTTCAGGAAATCAGCGAATGCGCCACACCCTTTGTCGCGTGCACTTCACTTCGTAAGACATTCGTATCCCATATGGTGACCATGGTATCACTCGTCCATCTACACGTCTACTTGTGATATTTTTGGTGTAGAGTCCGAGGAGATTTGAGAATTTGCTAGCAATCATACTCTGGTAGATTGGCTAGTACCGACTCACGTGTTTTTGCACGACATCTGCTCAGATGTTCGATGCGCCCACTTTGGACGGGGAGGTTTTCGGAATGCCAATCCCAGAGAGGATGTGATCTAGCAGTCCTGGCTTTTCGCGCAACATGTCCCACTCGTCTTGGTGCTTGACCATCATCGTACCTCCCAACGTTGTACCGTTGAGAGCTGCGAAGCCGATCTCACTACCATCGTCACGGAGTAGCATGGTGCCCTCGGCGCGTCTCGGCAGGATTACCATGCCTGCAGTGGTCATAGCGAGGTTGTAGCTGATTGGAAGATCACCGTCATCGGTAGGATTTAGAGCGAAGCTATTCGGGTTCGAGGAGATAAACGCGTCGACTGCTGTTTTTGCTGCATCGTACAAACGGCTGTAGATGTCAAGTAACTGGGTACCGGATGGCTTGGAGTCGAATGGGTAGGCAAAATGCGTGAACGGCAAGGAAGGGTGTTGCAAGAATGTCACATGTCCGTCTAGAAGACATGTCAGCTGCCGCATGGCGAGTAGTTGATATAGACACGTACCGGTCGTCTTGGCCGCTGGGCTGGACAAGATCAAGTCTATGAGCAGACTCCAGTCACTAGCCTTTTTGCTGTCGCGCATGCCCTCCACAGGCAAGAACTGCAAGTGCCTGTGGGGTTGAGACGCACCGCTATGATCGCCAGAATTGAAGAAGGCGAGAAGACGCTTCTGGCCCTCACTTGAGTCCGCCTGCCATGCTTCCAAGACAGCGTAGGTTGCCTCAAGGTCGTCTTGTTCCAGCAAGTGTGTCTGTTTTTTGTTCGGTTTGGTGGCAAGGATGAAGTGCTCGGATATTATAGGAAACTTGTTAAGGACGAGGAAGTGGGTTGGGTTCGTGGCGGGGATGTCGGCCAGGTGAAGGGCTGGTGGGGGATTTTCGAACGGGTCGACCTTCTGTTTCGGAGTAGCATCTTGGAGCTTTGGTATGGGTTTCTTTGCAAGCGATGGGCAATAGCGTAACTGAAACTGCTTGTACGTAAGCCTCGTGTTGGTCGCATGGTCGGCATACTTACGGGAATGCCTGCAGATGTGCGGATGATTGCCAGCTCCGTAGGTGAGAACAGCAGATCTGACGATGCCTTTGCGGCTTCGAACTTACGCTTCGCGATGCTCGGAAGAGCTTCAGATAGCCCGAGCAGCATCCTCATTAGTGTTGGAGTATCAGCGATGGGTGGGGTCGTGGTTCCAGCTCCTAGCTTCGAGCCCGGGGTTAGCGCGAAAGCCTAAAACCGATGTCACACTTCAGTGCATCAACACTCTTTCATCACTTTCACCACGTTTACCAAACATGCGCGGGCTATCACATGTGCTTTATTATACTGCATACCATGCATTGGAAATTATATTGTAAAGCAACCTGTTCAAAAGACCCCCGGGGGCCACGACATATGCCTTCCTGACTTTGCAGCTGCTCCATCTATGCCACGGAGGCTCCTTACGCCTACGAGATGAAAGTAGGAAAAGCATCTCAACAAACATTAAAATCAACATAGAAATAGTACAAAGTAGTACAGAAGAGAAAACAAGACTCTGGAAATAGCAAGATCGAAGATAACGCCCTGCGGTAATCTTCGGCGCAAATGTTGAGGACGAGTGCCATGTATAACCCCCCCAGACGGCTCAGTAGAATCAGAGGTGCCTTACAGCTTTAGCAGACTCCAATTATCATGCTTAAAGAAGTCTCCAACATCAACAGCACTCGACACCAATCGGGAATACTGGACGATGAAGATATGTTGATGCCACCACTCGTTGTGGCCTACATTTAATACCGATCACTTACGCGCTGGATTGCGCTCCAGCCACCTTCTCTTACAGGTCGCGTTGCCGAAATGATATGAGCCACCATTATCGGCGATGAACTCTGCGACCTTCTTCCAAGCGACTTTCGAAATCTTTTGGTCGAAGCTTATCGAGTACGGGTTCTGCAGGTTGCTCTCAATTCGATCAAACTCTTGCTGGACACTCTCATCTAGAAGCTCTAACTATCAAGATGTTAGTTTGTTACATATCGAGTAGAGTCTACAATGGACTACTCACATCAATCTTCGTCCAGATGGGCTTTCGGACGCGATCCTTCCTCGCCTTGGTCAAGGACCGGTAGCGGCCTCTCAGGGTGGACTCCGCAGGCTTCTCACCAATCATCCTCAGCTTAATCTCCTTGTATGTCTCTCCTCTCTTCTTGCCCTCGATAAGCACTTGGTCGTTGTGCTCTCGCTGAGCTTGCGCACCCGCACTGCGTGACATCCGAAACCTGTCCTGTACATGACTCTGGGGATGGACACTTGGGCGCGAGTCGTTCCAAGGCGCTGAAAGATACTGCGTAGAATGAGCTCCGGATGTCGATGGGAAGCTTGTATCACTGCTAAGCTTGCTACAGGTCTCAACGTCGCGGGGCCTGTAGGGTATGTTCGAAACATCATACGAATAGTTCACATGGTACCAGGGAGAGTGTCTAGCGCTACTGTTCTGAGAATGAGAGTACTCAGATCCGGACTGTTGGTCATCGTCGAATGGAGCAATCAGTACTGGGTCCTGTCTGCCAGACCCATTAGATGGTATGGTGGTCATACCCATGCTTGCGTTCGTCCTCGGGAGTCTTGAGAGCCCAACGTCACTGTCCATCTTTTGCGCATGGAACAACGTGTAGGGAGGCGATGACAGAGCAGCGTTGGGGGTGGCCGCTGGGTACCCATTCCAGTTGCCGGTCGGTGAGGCTTGATCAAGCATTGAACCTGGACCGTATGTGTTCCCAAATTCGTCGCTAACGTAACTCTTCGGCGATGGTGACATGCTCGCATCCTGGACAGACCCATCGATAGCTACCCCACAAGGTAACCCGTTCAGTCCGTAAGATGGCCATGTTGTCGGTCCACCTACACAGCTCTTTTCGAATGTGTTCAGTGCGGCGGGTGTAGAGTTGTATACCAACCCATGATTCTGGCGGAATTGCGATTCCGAGTTCGGTAAGATGTAGGTTTCCGCCTGCTGGAGAGCATCCGACCAGTCGAACGAGGTTCCAAGGCTTTCGCTCCAGTTCTGGCCAGATGGGCATGTATGGATGTTCGAGCTCGGTGTGGTGGGTGATGTAGCTCTCAGCTTGGTGTCTTCTTGCTCAACTTGCTGTAGCGCCCATGGCTGACTCTGCATGTAGTGGTTTCCCTTCACGGTTGTCAGTTTCAGTACATCTCCAGCGAAAGCATTACTTACCACCGTTGATTGGACCATCATTCCAGTGCGGTTATGGAGACTGACTGACTGATCTGTTGAGGAGTCTTCCGAAGCGTATGTCGAACACGGCAGGAGCTATGCAAAGGACTGACGACAAAGATATCATTCGTCAAACTTGCAATGCTGGTGAACTCTTTGAGCGTTAGAAACGAGCGCACGCACAGCACGCGCCTCTTAAGGATATCACAAAGGCCGTTAATCTTACAATACTCTTCTAGTCGACGTGAATGCGTGGTTATGCGGTGTCGAAAAGGGCGATATCCTACGGCTGTGAAGTGGGCGTGACTGAGGATTGCGGGGTGCTATGGAGATGTCGAGATCCACGGGTACGTTGAGCATTCACGAGCGCGGCGCTATATCATTCGCCCAATGCAGTTGACCGCTTCACAGAATCGAGCGGTGGGACTACGGAAGTCGAGCCAGTGCAGAACGCTGCCAAGATAGGTCGACGACAGCGCTAATATTGCAATTTCTAGGCTTGGTGATGTGAATGGTCGGCTCCCAAAACGGAAAAGGCCAGCCTGATTCAGCTACCTATATGCTGCAACGGTAAGACCACGCAAGGTACCTAATCGATACGCATCATCAGTACGCTAAGCCAGGGCTAATACGTGAAGGAGTGTGCGGCCTTACCAGAAAATGCCACGAAATCTTGGAGAAACTAGGAGGAGCCCAAAGATGGGGGCGATGACCGCATGGACATGTACAAACACACTACAGTGTCTATCGGCGTACTCTAATTCGTGGAACGAGTATCTTGGGCAGCAGGCAATGAAAACACACAAGGTGAAGTGTCGACTTGAATTGTACACTAACAAGACAAAGAGCAAGTATGAAGCCGAAGCCAATTGATGAAACAAATCCAATCACATATGTGTTGATATAGAGAGGTGAGGGAGGATCCCGTACGTTTATAGCCTAAAACAGCCCCAACTCTCTTGACTGAGTGATGAGACTCGCATTTGAAGTACGCAGTACCCATGTCTTGCTATACAATGGTACGCGGAAGGCAAAGGCCTAAGCTTTCGGGTAGACCCACCGTTTCTTCTAGGCAGCGAAGGATTCTGCAAAGCACGGTGGAGAACGACTGGCTAGGCCGCTCATCACCTGTGCAAATCTGTCCGGCGCGCGAAGGAATCGTTGAAAGCAAGCATATTTCCCATCAAGCAACAGCACTGCCATTTCGATACTGCGAGATCTCCAACGTGGCTAGCTCAAAAAAAAGGCAAATACCACCTGCCGCACTGCTCTATGGCTCTACGCCTCCTCACATCGCGGTTGGTAGACCTATAACGGAAGTTGTCAAGCGTCGGGCCGAGCAAGATTGCTCGTTCGGTGCTAGCTGAGCTGGCGAAAAATGTTCTACATCGTCTTGTTTGGCTGACGTACAGAAGCGAACGGTTATCTGCATAACGTTGCTTGGCAACAAGCCATCGTGTCCAAATCGCCAGTAAATGACCAGCTGAGATGTCATGGTGTGCAGAGATGCAGGTACGTATGTAATCTGATGCGATGATGTTCACTGGGTTGGCAGGAGCCTTGTGGGTACTACATGTATCGTCGATCATGACGCTCGCACTACACATGGGGCTCGCAACCACCACTTCGGTCGCCGCAACAATCCCTACAACCCCCAAAAGTCTCAATCCAATATAGGTCCTTATCCCGGCTTATCCCTAGTGAAAGCAGGGAGGCTTGTAAGTGAATCTATCAATGATGTCCCAGTGTCGGCTACATGCTTCACACACTTTAACATACCCACGAATGCGGCGAGTAACAACTGACGCATATACCGATATACTTCCGATCTCTCCTGTTCCGTTGATGCCACCGGGAGGCCACGGTCGAGCAACCATCTGCCAGCCACCCGCGCGACCGCGAGAGCGTGAAACGGGTGAGACATGCGAATGATCCGCCTGGTAAATTCTGTCGGGTGGCGCATGGTTCCGTCCTGATAGGTCGCGGAGACTTTATCTTGCATGCTCTTGCATAATTCTGGGGAAGCTGGTATCCGCCTCCGGTGGCCACACTACCATGCTTCGTCATGAGTGGTACAGAACGGCAACCGTGCAGTATGCATGGTATGTGCGAGGACAATATGGTTGAAGAGATGATTCCTCAGACTCGTGTAAGGCGAGTAATATGTTTGAGCGGATAGAGACACTAGTAAGACATTGAGCATGAGGTAAGAAGCCTGAGGTACTGGAAGATATTTGCACTAGAGTCGGGGAACTGTCTAGACGTACGTCCACCACCATCCGTCGTGCAGCTTCGCGCCAAATCCTCACAATCCCCCCGTACCGACATACCTGCAAGCCTCCCGACAGTGCCTTTATCATATCTTTGCCTTCGCATTACCCGGTGGCAACAGCTCAACGTCCTTCCATGGCAGTCCCAGGTATTCCCACATATAATGGAACCTAAACAGCATACCCGTCAGCACGCCCCGCAGGTCTCGACCGCTCGTTTGCCGTGTTACAATAGTTCGCATCACATCCTGTATGTAAAGCGGCACCTCCCTTGCATACGGCGGGCGCCTAACTGGACGCGACCATAGCATAGAGGTCCAGCCCTTTCTAGCCGCAGCCAGACTTACGAGGAGGCAAGGTAAGAGACGGGGGATGGAGGTACTGATGGAGAAGATACGCACCTGTCACTGCCAAAGAAGGGCTCTTCTTCCCCTTTCGCGTTGCGTACGAAGAACCACGGGCAACCAAAAGCACCATGGTCGAGCGCTTGCTTGGTATTATCGTTCAGCCGCTGCTTGTATGGTGGGCTGTTTGCTTTGGCCATCACTTCTTTGGCTTCATCATCCTTGAGGCGCTGCTGGAGTACCTCTACAAGGATCTCCGGCTTACTGACATCCTTGCCGTTCTCCCACATTGCGTGGAAAATGTCACGGAAGATATCGAGGAACTTCTCTCGATGCGCTTCCTTTACGGCACATAGTGCTCGCTGCGGTAGCAGGGAGAGGATCGGGAAGAAATCCGGCGACTGAAGATTAGGAAGGCCGAAGTGTTTCTTCGCTCGCGCGCCGTCGTATGCACCGTACTTCGCCTTTGCTTCGAGGGACCAGGGTGGCTTGTTTCCTGCACTGCGGTGTCAGGGCTGATCCAGTATAGCTTCTCCATGTGGAGTACATGGAAGGGGATAGGGGATTTGTACCGCTGCCGACATTAATGCCACCTAGGAAAACGGGCACTATACTGTATCAAGTCAACTCACTGACTTGCTTTCGATGAATGCGCGAGATGGTTGGTGGGATTCCAGGCTAGGGAATTGGTCTTGAAGATCGGGGTGCCAAGGGGTACACACTCAATCTCTACATTGTGCGCTTCGAGGACCTTCCAGTTCCTTTCGAGATGTAGGAGAGTGTAGTATGAATATGGAGACACTAGTCCTTAGTTAGCATGTGATCCTTGGAGTAGGAGCATGATAGGAGCATACCGCAGTCCAGGTAGCACGTAATTTTGCTTGTCATATTCGCAATACTTCTACCCACAGGATGAGAAATCAAGTTAGTTCTTGAAGTTGAAAGAAGTCGGTCGCGTCTTATGCGCGTTGTCGTTGGAGCCGCACAATGTCTTGGCTACCGAGGTCCGTCAGTATAGCTACAGGAGCTTTATCACTAATCAGTACCACACCTCCACCTCTTGAGTCCCGAATGATGCAGCTACCCCGGATTTCCGCCGCACAGCTCCTACGCGCGTAAATGCAGCGCGATATGCAGCGACCGAGGCGCCGATGATGATGCTTGATTACAATGTCGTGTCTCCTTATGCTTTGCAGTCGTCTGCGCCGTCCGCAGCAAGCTACAACTCTGCCTACGCGACATAATCTCTTTAACCAAGCCGTAAATTTATCTCCACAATGCCAAAGTCTACTAGACAAATCGCACTGGTCGTAGGTGCTTCTCGCGGCATTGGTCGGCAGATTGCCATTGACCTAGCAAAGGATGGCTACGCGGGTACGCATCACAACAGCCTTCGCTCTCCATCAGTGAATGTACTAACAACAAGCCAGTCGTCGTAGCAGCGAAATCCATATCCGATGCCTCCAAATGTTCTCCCTTCCCACCCGACCCAAACTCCTCTGCGTCCACCATCTCCACCGTCTGCCGCGAGATTCACGAATCAGGCGGCGAAGCCACAGCCATCAGCGTCGACACAAGAGACTTCACCAGCATAGAACGCATGGTAGCTCAGACGATAGAAAAATACGGAAGACTTGATGTACTGGTGTACAACAGTGGCGCAATATGGTGGGCAAGCGTAGCCAAAACGCCTATGAAGCGTTTCCAGCTCATGCAGCGCGTGAACGTAGAGGGCTTATATGGCGTTATACAAGCCTGTCTTCCACACTTTGAACAAAGTGGTGGGGAGTGGAGGGGTCGTATCATCATTGTTAGTCCACCAATATATTCGCGCTTCTTCCGTGGTAAGACGGCGTATGCGATGGGGAAGGTGGGTATGTCTGTTCTTACCAAAGGACTAGCTATGGATTTCCTGAGGGAGGGAAAGAAAGAGATGGCGGTTACGAGTATCTGGCCTGCGACGGCTGTTCAGAGTGCTGCGACACAGAATCGGGGAGGGGATGATGCGAAGGATCTTAGGACTGCGCACATCTTCTCGGATGCGGTGTTGCAGATGATTAAAGCGCCTGTGGAGGAGGTCAATGGGGAGTTGTTGCTTGACGAAGACTTTTTGAGGACGAAGGGGGTTAGTGACTTCGACAAGTATAATCTGGTTGAGGGGAGCAAGCCAAGGAGGATTATGCCGGCAGAATTTCCGAATTTGAGGGTCAAGGAACACGATGATGAAGGGAGGAGGGTGGATAGTACAAAGCTCAGAGCTTCGAAGCTATAGTTTGGAGGACTTCGGTCTCTAGCTTGGTGTATGGTTGCATACGATGTTAGGTTTTTCAATAGTTTGCGCCACTTCACCACTCTCCCGAACAGTTGCCCTTGATCCCATGTATTACACTGCTCTTCCGCATACCATAACGTATCAACGAAAATGTCCGAAGTGAGCTTCAGTTCCGTCTCGATGAGCTGTTCGCCCCTCCCCAGACGCAACTGCCGATGTTCAGTGAGAAAGACTTCTCGCTCTACTGCCAATCGTGCTTTCTCCTCCTCGATTTGCTCGGCTTGCTCGCACAGTGACTTTGCTTTCCCTTGAGTTGTTCCAACCAGCGCAGATTGTTCTTCCCGGTTCTTGTCTTGCTCTTATTTGAGCTGCTCGTTGAGTTGAACTAGTCCAATGCTCGGCTCACAATACTGCCGTTCCCATGTATCAAATGCCCACTGCGGAGTGCTCTTGCGTGTCGCTAAATTCCTCCTATCCCGGTTTGCTTTCTGCACTTTGTTGTCGATAGCCACGACAGCATCAAATATGTCTTGCAAAGTTTTCGACTTCGCTTGAAGATGCTTAAGCCTCATCTTTGTGATTTTCAGGTCCTCTTTGCGCTTTTCGACCAGGGTCAACCTATCCTCAGCTTCCTTTGTCTTCTTCTCGTATCCTTTCTTAAGGGCTGCATTTAGTGCCTCTCTCTCTCGCCCATCCCGAGCTCGGCCATATCGTCGATAGCTTTCTTTCTATCCTTGGCCCGCCCTATCTCCGCGCTAACTAGTCTCTTCTGCCGGTCCTCCAGATGCTTTCCCAGCCACTCCATGTAGGCCGAGAATTGGGAAACGAAGATTGATTGAAAATAACTTTGCCGTCTAGAGTGGGTTAGTCTACAACTACTGCATAACAGCAGGCGGATGGCATCATACCTTGCTCGATAGCAACCCATCGCCCACCACTACTACCTTCGGGGATCGTGGTAGTGGCGACAGACGCAGTAGATACTTGAACTCCAGTGCTGCTCACAGTGGGGAAAAGGCTGACTCCAGGCATCACATCCCTCACTCGCGTTCGCGCGACCGGTGTCAGGTGAGATATCAAGATAGGCAATAACGTTCACTCTGAAGTACAGCAAGGCAATCAGGTTACCTACAAAGACTCCTGGTATGAGGCGAGGGGGGAGCGCAAGAAAGATGGAGCGCTACGATATCTTCAGTTGTCTATAGCCGATGATGAGAACGTACTACGTTGTCACTTGTATGTCGAAAAGAGGAAAGAGAAGCACGACTGGAAAATTAGAAAAGGTGACGCAATGACAGACATAACAAGATGCAAGAGAGGAAAATACCGGGAACAATGAACTCGATAGTCATGCATTAGCTCACCCATCTCCCCTATTCATTCAATCCATTAGACCCCCAACCCCGATATTACTCCTTCATGATCTGCGGAGACTGCCTACCCTACCCACCAAGCCCTCCGTCCATCAACCCATCCCTATGCCAATGCCCAATAAACACCATGCTTGCTTGAAAAGAAACCAATTAACAAAAAACAAGACGGTTCTACTAGTACACAGGAGCGTTCGTAGATGCAAGAATCAGCCATGGAGGGCCGGGGACGCTCAATTAGAGAGATCTTGTAGAAGGGTATAAACGCAGGGAACCTGATATGTAATGCTCGCTATAAGACGTATGCCAGAACGATATATGCATGTGCAAAATTCAAGACGATATGATTGCAATCTGCGAGGCAGGAAATCGACGATAATTGCGGAAGAAAAGCCCGAGCGGCTTGCGGATTTCTTCTGGTGACGATGAAGATGAAGCTTGTAGTCTTCATCTAATACAATCGTCCTCGGCTGGCCTGACTTGCTCTGCTGGGCGACGTTCGGCTCCTCTCATCTTCCTCAGGCACGTCGCTCAATCTGGTAGGATGGTGATGTCTCATCCCTACCCACTCGTCGCCGTAACCATCGCCGCTGTAGTCAGGTCGACCACCAGCGGTAGGATGGCCCTGCTGCGAAGATCCCGCGCCCGAACTGGTTGCGTAGCCACCCTGAGAAGTGGCAGTTGTGCCATAGTGCTGTAGATGCTCAAGCTCACGTTGGCGTGCGTCGTCTACATCGTACTCGTCCGATACTGGAGACTGAAGAGATCGAAAAGGGATGCGGCGGCCCGAATCGTCGCGTATAAAGTTGCCTCTCTCATCCAGGGCGTACTCAATGTCGCCTTCTGACTCTGCCTGAGAAGTAACGTACGACTGCTCGTCATCTGGGAGACCAGATTCGGACTCCTGGTGTAAATAGGATGCAGGCTGCTGATAGAAGGCCTCTGGCTGCGACATGGCCGGCTGACTAGGTGCCTGCTGTGCTTGAGACGTATAGTATGGATATTGTAAAGGAGCAGGAGCAAGAGATTCGTCCGCAACGGATGAGCCAGTAGGCCGAGATGATGTAGCTGATGCTGCGCCTGATGGGACGTAGGTTCCTTGAGCCACGTGTGCAGGCGCCTCAGGCTCTCGGCGCGCATGGCGAGCGCTCTCAGTGAAGGGATCGGTGTCGGTCGGTGATTGGCCTTCCTCGTATGAGTAGTGTTGTTCGATGCCCTCGCTGCTGCTCTGCGCACCAGCATAAGTATCATCCCCATGTCCCCTCCCTTGACGTCCCATGTTCTGCGCCATCGGAACCACCTGCACTCCGCCAACCAACGTAGGTTGACCTTCCCTCAGCGAGAATGTGCGATCACGCTCTTCTTGTTCTCGCCTTCCAAGCTCCTCCCATGCTCGGCGTGCTTCTTCTTTCGAGATTTGTAGCTCACGCTTCATCTCAGACACCGCTCGTTCGGCATTCTTCTTCTCAGTGGCCATGCGCTCCATGTTTGCTTCAGCCTCAAGGCGAAGCTCGCGCTCCGAGTTGATTTGTTCTGTGAGCTGCGCTTCGCGCTCTTGAGCCCTTTCCTGATCCTGGCGATGTTCATAGAACCATCTTTGAAATTTGCGTTCGGAAGACGCGCGTAAGCGTTGTAGTTCGACGACAGCATGAAAAAGGTTGGCGCCAGCTGCCGATAGATCGGTGATTTGCCTAGACATTTGCTGGGCCAGTGGCTCTCTGCGAACTTCATCGGTATTCTGCTCAAGTCGCCGTATCCAGTAAGAGGTAAGACCCTCCCAATGTGATGATAGAGTTTCCCAGCGTTCGAACGCATGTGGGAAGTTGGAGGTTGTGGACTCCCGAGCTTGTCCAGTGGATGAACCTGGCGGAGGCGGCGGGCGTGGTGCAGCAGTTGAGGGTCCTGCTTGTGATGAGGCCGTGGCACCGGACGGTCGCCGGGCATGACCTGAGCCAGCTGGTCTCCTGCTTTGCTCTGCCGTCGTCGGCAGACCTAGGTTTGCCTGAGTGGGTCGAGACGGTTGCTGCTGTGTTTGCGAAGCTGCCCGAGGTCTGGATTGTGATGCGCCTGTGGGCTCTTGCGCTTCGTTCAAGGTATTTTGTGATGGGATTGGCCTCTCTGGTTGACGTGGCACTCCACCCGACGAAGTCGGGTATTGTACATATTGGTCACCAGATCTTAGAGGAGCTGATTGGGGCTGCCTCTGGGTCCCAGGCTCAGCGGTTGGTGCTCCAGCTACACCAGAAACAGCTTGGGCTCTTCTTTCCGCGCTGGCTCTCCTGCGCTCCTCCTCGGCGGCTTTCCTTTGCTCCTCCACTTCAGCCCGTTGTCGTCTAGCATTCATGATCTGCGTTGGCGTACGTATGTTGGACCGATCGACAGGCACGGGTCCACCAGTTGTACGGGCCCCGCCATTGGCAGCGCGGCCACTCGTCAGGTCGGACATGGGGGCGTTTTCTTCGACCAGATCCGGGGTGAAAGGATGCGGAAGTCGGAGTCCCTCTTCGAGCACGAAGCGTATCGCCGAGGCGGTACGTCGACTGATGCGAAGGGCGGGGTGAGGCTCAGCGTAGGGGGTTGAGCGAGGGCGAGGTGTCTCGAAGCGAACGCGCTGTTGTTGGCTCGGATCGACTGATCTGGCGCGTTCAAAGTTGGGCGTACGGCGAAGGCTGTTCGCGACGCTACCAGTCGAACTTGATGCTCTCGAGTGGTTGTGCTGCGTGCGATAGAAGGCGTCGGCTTGCTCCTGGCGTAGCTGGAGGGAGGTTCGGTATTCGAACAGTGGCGCTGGGCCGTCGCGGTCGTGGTCTCGTGAAGATGTCTGTTGAAAGGGTAATATGTTTGCGAGCTCTGATGGATCACTGGACGTCACTGTGAATCCAGGGATTCTCACTCAGGCTCAATTGCCCTTGCGCCGTCGAGGGCACCCGACCGGGTTGGAGAAGATACCCAGCGGCTGGTTCTCTTGGAATAAGCTAAGCAGCGCGCGACGGCGTGCTTATGTTGGAATTCACGAAAGCTGGCTGGAGAGTATAGTGTTAGATACAGAGACTGCGGAAGGGCTAGCAGACGAGCCATTGCTGCGGTGCACCCTAGCAATTCCACGCGTGAGGTAGGGTGGTTGGGAGGAGGTGAAGGGCTGGGAGGTGGCTGGGAAGCATCGTGAAATCGACTTACACCTCTCACCGACACTCGCAAAGGACAGCCAATACGCGTGTCTGTATGCGCAATGTGTGAGTAGCTATGCGCTGTGCTGTTGTTGTGGTGCTGGTTGCTGTCCAATGCCTCAAGTTCTGCTGTTGATGCCGAAGCAGACGTCACCGGACGGAAAGCTGTCCCTCAGCCCCAGCGCTCGGAAGCGCGGCGCCTGCTGTAACGCGCGGGCGGGAAGTAAAGAGTGACTGGAGAGACAAAGGGTATCGTATGAATATGCATTGAAGTCGCGCGGCCGAGGAATTGCGCACCTGTCGTAGCGCTCTTGGGGCGCGAGCGGAGGTTCACCCGGGAAGCAAATACGACAAACACTGATATTTGCTGATGTGGAGTCGCACTGACCGACGTGCAGCGAGATGCATGCAAGCGACTGGTATGAGGCCGGGATAGCAGACGTGGAGTTGGTGACGGCTACGATCGATTGCCAGCGTGCCAGCTCATCGTGCTTGTTCTGCTAAACCTGGCATGGGGCCAAGGTACAGCGCGAGCCGGAAAGCGGAAAGCCCATCGCGGTCATGACCGGCCGAACGAAGCAAGGCAGCAGAAGCCAACAAGTCAGGATTGTTTCTCAAGAAGACATGTAGTTGGAGATTTATTTGGCACACGGCCTCACTCAATGCTCGTGGTCGCGGTTACCTCATCGCACCTGCCCACCGAGATGCGCCTGCCAATCAGCGGGCCATGATGCGACTTGTGAGGAAGGGGCGGCCCGCCTACAGCGGGTCAAAACGTCACAGCATCTGCCCACGAGCCTTGTACCCCTTGAGCTGACAATAACTCGCTGTATCTACTGTGACTGCGACTTGTGTTCCATTCGACTTTCACGATGTTGAAGTCCCTCATTGTCGTGCACAGCCAACAAACAGTACGTTTGTTCATGTCGGCCTCTGCAGCCTGCATACACGACATGCAACTCCCAGCCTCGCCTATGCATAAGACCCACGGTCCTGCAGCAACGGAAGAACAAGGAAACATACTGCAGACGTAACGTCTACTAGACCCGCTGACGAGTTGTCATCGTCAGACGCCTGTCCAATTTGTGATATCTTGAAGACAAACACATCGCGCACACCGCCTCGCAACACGAATCGCAAGCACGTCGGACCGAGGCAGCAACGCGAGATCTACTGGAAAGACGCCGACATGTCAGCAGCGAAAGAGTAGCACCGATTCAACACGGCTTTGGAATATGTATATTCGTGTCGATCCTAGGAAAGGGCCAGACTCTAGAGTGAGACCTAGCTACAAGGGTATCCCCAAATGCCAGTTTCCAAGGCTTCCAAGCGCCAAATGCTCCGACGGCGCGTCGTAGTTTATCATATTAAGACCAAAGTTCAATCTTTCAGTCGTCCGCCGTTCCGCAATCCGTGTCCCGCGTCCATCGGTTCCTATGAAGGCAAAGCAAGGGTCTTTGGGCAGGATCAGTTGCTGTTGCCAGCAAGTCCCTTCCATGTCTCCTCACTCGCTATGGTCAGCCTGATAACAAGAATAACATCAAAGCGTCGAAAGCGAGTAAGACGTTGAGAAAAGCCGGACCAATTTCAAGAGGCGGCGCCAGAACCGGAATCAGAACCAGACAACCAATCCCAGGATCGCCTTACCTTGTGCTTGAAGCTATATTTGGCGGCCGAGGTAGAATCGTTGGAGATTTCGTCGATATCTACGGGGCTGACCTGGTCGTAACTACTATCGTTGGAGAATACAGAGTCTGCAGTGGACGCCGCGCTATCGACAAGTACTAGGCTCTCGCCAGCTGGGGAGATTGCGCCAGAACCGATGTTGCCGGTAGCAGCAGGCACCTCAGGCATGTTGGGGGAGCTTCGAGTGGTCAAGGGGGCTACAGACGTTGTGGTCTTGAAGCCATAGGTCGAGACATTCGACACCACAATCAGCGAGGCGTCACGACCAGTTGCGGGAACGGACAGCGGCTGAGCTGAGAGATAGCCATCGTCTTTGATGGCGCCATCCAAGGCCTCGCCAAGATCCTTCATATGGAGGGACTCTTTGGTCAGCGGGACTGGGGAGAATAGTGAGGGATGTTGTTCAGCTGGAGTCGAAAGACCGGTTCCCTCGGGGACGACATCGCCTTGATTGTTGCCTAGAGATTGGTGTACGAAGGTTAGCATTCGTCTCACATGCAGTTCGCATAGGGATACTACGAACGCTGGTCACCACGGTCATCGAATACCCCGGTCCAATTTGGCCAGCGGATTAGGCAGGGGGATATCGCGTTGTTGACAATCTTGCCCCATCTATCTATATGTTGGTGTACGAAGTCAGTATGTGTCTCATATGCAGTTCGTACAGAGACATTGCTTACTGTGAGGAGTGTGAGGAGTCTTCAGAGCTCGCATGCCGCTATCGATACAGTTCTTGCCGCAAGTCAACAATGCGATACGAGAGAGCTCTTGCTCAAAGGGCAGGTAGTCGACAACGAAACCGTCAAGCTTGAGGCACCTAGTAAAACGAGTCAGTCTCTATGCTGTACGAGAAGCTCCCTTTTGATGAATTGTACCCAAAGATACTTTGTCTTTGGCGTTCGTTTTGGGCTACAAGTCATGACGAATGAGCTTTTTGCTGTGGCTCATGTCCGCCCGGCTTCCTGAAATTGTTGCACATACCACAATGGGAGCGGCTTAGCCTCCAAGCCTGCGGCAATACGTCCTTTGCGCATGCTGAAATCATCGAGATACTCGCCGGTGCCGAAGAAGTAGTGTAGGACTCCCTTTCCATCAACGCCCCTGTAAGGTGTCAGCGGAAAAGCTCTAGTGTGGAACACCAGTTGGGTCCATGCGCATGGCGACTCACTTGTACTCCTTTTCTTTAGAATCTGCCTTCGAAACGGTCAAGCCACGGACGTCTTCAGCCTTGTGCCAGTGGCCCTGACGCACGATTGGGGGGGCCGCCATGTTGAGGTCTAGGACACGCATGCCGGTCTCGGACGTGTTGCGAAAGACAGTCTCCCAGTAGATGGACTGGTAAGAATCATGCATACGGAATAGCCGAAGCTCCTTAAGTTCCTTCTGCTGAACGAGGGGCTTCATCTCTGCTGGGGTGATGTACGACTTGTACTCAATCTTGCCGTCCTGTTGGAGGCGAACGGGCTGGCCAAGGTCGAGGACAAGCTTCGTGAGTGAAGTGGACAGCTTCTCCCAGATGACGGCCATGAACGGTAGGCCAGAGACCCAACTAGACTCATTAGCGGATAGGTAAGGTGTAGCAAGAGGATATGCATACGTCAACTCCTTTAGCGCAGGCATCTGTTGAACGAGCTTCGCGATTTGTTCGCCCGCGTCGTGCCATTCTTTCTCAGGCTTGATATGAGGATGCGGCTTTGCTTGACATCAGCTTCATCTTCTTAACTTGTTTTACTGGAGGAGCTTGTTGTTCATCCTCGTGTTAGAAACGGTATCCTAAAGGTATACACTTGTAACATTCTGCGAGTGTCATAACAAAACGTACAGCGAATACCTTTCGAGTACTCTAGTCAGGTGCAACACCGGTTATATTTACCTCGTTCACGTATTGCTTCTGCTCCTCAGGCATACCGATCTTCTCATCGCTCTTCTTCGGCAGGGTCGGCTTCCACTCGCCGACGATGTAGAGCTTGATCACCGGAGCAAGACGGTCGTACACATTGATGAGGTAATCATCGACTTGCTCGATAACGTGCTCGAGCGAAGAGACTATATCGCCTTCGTTGTTGCGACCGACATCGAGTATGAAGCAGTTGTCATCGCCGCGGTCAGCCGCCAGCGCGTTCTCGAGGATATAGGGACCCAGGTTGTCCTTAACTTCCGCCATAGTTGCGGCGTGCAGATGTGTGGTTGGTTGCCTGGCTGTAATTGTCGGTGTCAGTGATTAGGAAGTAGGTGAGTTGAAAACTCTGGTATAAGTGGTCGCGAGATTGTTGCTGCCCAAATCATAGGTGACGCGAGACTGCAGTTAGAGCAGCGTTAATAGGGCCGGCAAGAGTGTTTGCTGTGGAAAGGTGCTCATGGTGAAGCTGCGACACAAACAATGACGTGAGCTCATCTTGGTCCATATGCAGAACAGGCGCGCTCAGTCGTCGCATGGTCCTAGCATGTGACTGACCCATGGTGAAACAGCGAATTCTGGTCGCTTGATTGGTTATACACGGAAGATGCGTAACCATGGGAAGGTACGCACGAAGAAAACCCGGAAATTGTGGTGGGTGGTCGCCGAGTGCTCTTTCTGAAAGGGATCGAAGATGAAAGTGAAGGCGCCTCTTTACATGTGCAAGTGAATGACTGCATGACTTGAGCACCTGGTAGATGAAGATCAGACAAGCCGTCAGTGAACAAAAGAAGCGACGTCGAAGACTTTTAAAGGTGACAGCAAGCGTGGCGACGACCAGGTCTATAACTAGGGTGTCTCTAACAGAGGTTCTGAGCTCAAGGCGAGATCTTTGCTCGAAGTACATTCTGTTCTCATCACTCACTCCTACATAATATCCGCGTGTGTTGCAGTTTCAAAGGTGTAGATATGATCTCCCTCAAGGTTGTCTATACACCTTGCTGGTGTTCAGCTCAAGGTCTGAACTCACGATTTCCCTGCAAGGTCAACGACTAAGGCACTGTGGCTGTCGTCTTCTTCGCTATCAGGATCAATGGTATGAACACATCGCTGTCCGGTGGTTGCCGTTGTGCATGGTCGTAATCATTACTGTCGGATGATATGCCTTGATGGCTGTAAATCTGTCCGGCGAGAGAAGCCTCCATGCTTAAGGGTATCAAAGTCGTCACACTGCCCGTGGCCTTTCTCATCATTCTCAAAGGATGAAGCGCTGTATGTGAGAGCCAGGACTCCAGTGTTCCGAATGAGAAAGAAGAAGGAGGCAGATGGCTGGCCACCACCGTCGTTGTATGAAGAGGTCGAGGGTCCGTCTCAACATTTTCCATATCTAGATGTCTTAATGAACGAAGAAAGTGGGCTCAGTGGGAGGCCAATGCTCCTAGCTAGGCGTCCATAGTACTGGTATTGTATGTAGATGTAGAGCAATGCTCTCTTACTTGGGTTTCTTTCATTTGCACGTTGATGATCGACGACAATTTAGTACCACAGTCCGCGACATGGAAGGTTAGCTATATAGATCGCTCGGCATACGAAGACTCTAGTTATCGGACCCAATTTCACATCTCAGCCTACGAGTTGTATACCCAAGCAAGTTAGTCAAGTTAGTCAAGTTCATCCACGAGGTCTTTTGGTGCCTGACCTCGGGAACCCACCCTCCAATAGGAACATTCAAGTAATTTCGGAAAACTAAATTCGGCCGCGGGATTATGAGATCTCGAATCGAGATCACACTTTGCTTTTTACCGCCCAAGTGGAGACATGAAACCAGGACTCGCATCGATCTATGAGCTTGCTTTTTCTTTCGATCTACTAGCAACGTGGCGGCTTATAAGAAGCGATAACCCACTTGCCATTCCTGGCCCACTTGCTTAGCCTTGGTATACCCACGCGATACGGATACACACTTCCGACCCGCCACCAGTGCTCCTTGTACACGGTGAAAGCGACACAACCAGTAGGATGATTTACCCGACGACAGCAATTACCCTTGCGCAGCTGTGAAGGCTCGTATCGGCTTCTATTGTTACACGCGACCCAAATCGGCCATTGAGTCGCTTCCCGGCACAGTGGCCGTTCCGAGATGTCGCCTTGATTGCGTTGCTTGCCGGCTCCCGAGTCTCTGCAGTACTGATTCGTGGAAGTTTGTTCAGATCTTGGTTCATCTGTGACGGATGTGTGTTTGCGAAATTAAAGTCTATGGAAAGCCTAAGTATGGTATTCATACTCCAGAGCATGATGGATGGTGGGTCGTATTTTCGGCCCCGGATTTACAAAGCGATAGCAGCGGGCCGGTAATCGGATAGCCGCAGCCAGACCTGCACAAAATTCGGCGTTCAAGGATCTCAGCTAGAGATCGGTGAGGCGTATTTTCTTCTGTATTCCCTGTCCATAGTGAGGCAAAGGAGATGGTATAGACCAGACCCTTCGCCGCATAATTGGATCATTGTTGATGCCCAACATCAACCACAGTAGGCAAAACGAGGCGCTTGCTATCCCACAGTATTCTAAAGAGGCCTAGCCTAATAATTGTGGACACATCGTGATCTTGGTTAGCACGCTTCGTGTCGCGCCATCGATTGATACGGAACGAACCTGATGTATGGTGGTGCTTTTTCGAAACGTTGTCCTGCCATGCGCCTGGAGAACATTCCCGAGTAACTCTCCTTTTGTTAACCGTTGGGCGAACGGGATATTATGAGATCGGTATGTGTTAGTGAGGACTGCAAAAGTGTGGGGCGTCAGAGTAAAGACGCAAGAATTCCAAAACTCCTAGGCTTGCCCTTTGACTATCGCGTGGTGATGAGGCTTACCAGCTTGCTGACATTTGCGTGCGATGGTGTTCTGCACAAGGTTGCCTCTATAGATCTCTAGCGACAATGACTGACCACTTGCATCGTTGGATTGTGATGGCACTCTGCAGAATGGAGAACGTTGGTGTAGCTACTGGCGATCTGTATTCAGGAAGGACCTGAGTTTGACATGCGTCGTGAGGAGCATGGTTACAATGCCGTTATGCTAGAACTTTATGTCGCTAGGTGGAGACCGAGTCAAAAGCAAAATGTGGTAACATGTAGCCCTCCAGTGGCACGAATCATGGAGAAATCTCAAATCGCAATTGTCCGATGTTGCGCTGCATGGATCGGGCGGTCATTGACAGGCTAATGGGAGTAGAATCTGAGAACAGAATGATATAAGAAGGAATTCTTGCTCGGGATAGAGTGCCGAATAAAGTACCTGTATGTTGAAAATAGTACTACATCTTCATGCCTCATGACGTGGGTGCGCTTCATCGGAAGGGCCAGGAGCCATTTCGACGGTCATGCATCGATGAACGTGGTCTAGTAGATTTCGTTCGCTTCGAAAGTGCTTACGACGGGCCACAAGGCGATTCCAATCGAACGCTGCAGTCGCTGGAAGAGCAAGGAAGATGCTTGCACATATAGGGCATATGCAGGGCAGAAAGGGTGAAGTCTGATACGTGGGGTTTACGATGAGATCGAAAAGGTCCCCACGCTAGTCTACAGCTAAGCGCCTACCACCGCGACGCAACTCCTGACCGCCTCATGAAGGATGCGACACATCATGTCACTTTCAATTGTTGACTGCGCCGTCGGAGCAATCATCCCGCTGTAGCGGGAATAGCTAGTACCAACGAAATAGGCATAGGATGACATAACTTTCAGTTGTGCATACAAAGGTTCTGATAATGATTCCGCCATACTGTGGCGTTATGCGCCTTTCGCCGACAAGCAACAGTCGTGCAACAAATCCTTCATCCTACACATGAAGAAATTGCGCGCCAAAGAACCCCGACGGCGAGGTTGTTGCACTGGATGACCACGACGTTGGACTAATGTTGGGTCTGGATGGATCGCGTAATCTCCACATCTAAATTTGGTCTTTGTTTGACGCAACTTTGGTGCTTCCATTGTCCCATAACGTGTTGGAGAGTCGCGAAATTATTGCAGTAGCTGTTGGGTGCGAACGCGGATAGGCCAAATATACGCCAAAGGGTACTGAGAGAGGAAATGTAGCGGTAAGACCTGAGTGCGGATGTCCCGCGTACCTGGGCGGAAAATTGCACAAGGACGCCCACAATCCCATCATGTAAAGCCATGTCCAGGAAAACGCTCGGAGTGCAGAGAAGACAATGGTTTGAGTGGAACGTAGCTAGGGAGATGATATTTTTGATACATTTGCTGCTACAGGGGGTGCGTGGGTGGCATGTTGAACAAGATGGATTGCAACGAAAGTTGTTGTGGCTGCCATCGCGACGTTTGTTGCGTAGACTAAGTCGTTCTTTGCAGTGGCTAAGTGTATCGACATCCACCATTGTGAATTGGCGGCATGCTACTTACTATAGCACTGGTACTCTGTGAGATATAGGATGCACTTGGGCTAGGGATGTGGTGCAACGGAATTATGGCCATGGTATCGTTGTATATAGCCGGTGTGTTGCCTAGCGATTGTTGCTAAACGTAATCAGATGGCGAACTGATTTCCGTGGCGCCATGTGAAGGTCGACGTCGGGGAGTAGAGGTCTCGAGCGAGTTCGCTAGGGTTGAAGGTAGGGTGGACATAGGCCGACACAAAGTCTGCTATCACTCAGACACTGTGAGAAGAACGGCTGTCTTTTATGCCGACTTTCATCTTGCAGTCTTCGTCGTCATCTGAGTCAAGCAAGTGGTCGCGAGGAAAGCCTCTTAGTCCATGCTCCAGCATGCGAAAGGTTTCTGAGTAGGCTTTCGAGGGAACGGCATCCGGAGGGATGATGAGTGAAGCGATGTCCATTTTGATCGATCTGGGATAGGGGAGGTCGTTTGGATCTCTAACGAACCAACTGCGGTCTTGTACAGCACCGAGCTTCCTCCCATGATGCGAGCCTAGGTCCGAGAACCTCTCATCCAGAATCTTGCGTAATACGCGCTCAACTTGCTCATCTGTGGGGCCCTGTACGGCTTGTTTTTGCTCCAGCAGAAGGATGCGTTCGTGCAGCTTCCGAAAGCACAATTCTGTTCTGCGCATAAACTCATGACTATAAACATTAGCATAAATGATTGACCAGCACGAAAACTATGTTGTACTTACTACCATGCTGCGATTTGATCGAACGACTGGTTGATCTTCTGTACTTGGAAAGTAAACGACATACTTGAACTGTGTTTGAAAGGTCAAGTAAGGAGTGGCTGAAGATGTGAGTCTAAAAAATGCCTTGCAAGATACCACCAGTTAAATGCGAACACTTGATAGTGAAGAGCTATGTATGTGCAAAGACAAAGATGGGGTGGGGCATGGAAAACGAGAATAGGAATCTCTAATATACATATATGGCCATTAGAGGTGTGAGTCCCGGGGAGGCGTTTCAAGTGGCACCAACAAGCCCGACTTTTGATATGCAGTTAGGTGGGTAGCGCGGCAGGGCCCTCGGATGGCGGGAGACTTTGATGGGCTGGCTGGCTAGTAAGGATTGCAAGGTGAACACCCAATCAGAATTCCGCGAGTATGCAGCCCTCTAAGTCTCCCGAATTGGGGTGTATTTGGATTATACATTTTGGGTCAAGCAAGACGAGAATCGAGAAAGGGACATGCTAGAAATACCGATCAATGGAATTTACTGGGTGGTAAGTGCGAAGACAGGCAACGCAAGATGCAAGAGCTGCTCTTCCCCTTTGCGATAGACGCGATTGTGTGGGACTCAGGGATACAGGGGCATGTGCACTGGACACCGCTCCGAACGTGATCGACAATGGTAGCGATAAAGGTACAGGGCCAACGTGGAGTGGCTCGCCTGTCTAGGCGTGCAGGGTGCCCAAATACTGTTGTCGACCCATTTGATCACAGGTCGTGGCCATCTCACCGCAGGACAATAACGAATACGCGGGAACGGGTTTCTATCCCAGCGGCGGTGCATGCAATGCAAGCCGTCAGGTTAATCCGCTTATTGCCGTGCCTCTAGGCCAAGGCTCTCGCATCCGGTTTCCTTGCCTCCAGTTTTCGCATCGCTGTAGTACTCTCTAGTCTCTTGAATAGCGTTTGAAGTAAAGCGAAGTCGTCGTCAATCAAGGTTCGTACCCTGGTGTCCACAGCTGCTACCAACCTTGGAAAGCTTGCAAATTGCGCGTTTGGTTTGTGACTATGGAGCTAGTCTCAAAATAGTTACAGCTGACCTTGAGTAGCGGACCCCGGGGACGACTTCCAACTCCAGAGCCACCCTCGTCATCGGTGAACAATCTGCAAGCGAAGCAACCGGACACGTCAGTTATCCCGACAAACACCAGTTCCCCCTAGCATATCGCCGATTTCTAGCTTGGGAAACTCGGGATCAGACATTTTCAGGTGTTTTCCAAGCCGCGTGCAGTCCAGAGCCAACGCGTCGCGTCTATGGCAAACAATTGGTGATCCTACTCACAGCCTTCATACACCTTACGCCATCTTGTCGCCTTATCAGTACCTGAGGCAAAATCACGAGATGGCTCAGCATTAAAACTTCGCAGCGGTGACATACTCATGACGGTATTTTGATTGGCTGGATCACTGACGAAGTACCTTCATGTAAACTACATTCGATGCCAACTGTTCGCCATTAATCAGGAGGAAACACCCAATCCCTCTTCTATGGCGCCACTGTGGTGTTGTCTAGATGCAGACGTTCTACTATTCCCAGTATCAGAAATTGCGCCCAGGGTGCTCAGCCAGCAATGCAGAATTTTGAACCACTGGCCTATACGCTTTCTGATTAGCGTTGGATTTCATTACAACCGACCTTCGGGGACGTCAACTGCCGACGACCGGCATTGTATCCATGTGAAGAATGCCAGCATGCTTTCATCGTGCGTATCTATCCCAGTCATACAACCGAGGGCACCAGGCACACACATGGCATGACTTGCTGACAGCTAGTAGTACTAGGAAGTATGCCACGCGTATTACAACCTGCATCAATGCACATCAAAGCCTGCTTCGTCGGCGATCCACGGATCACGCCACTATCTTTGAGGCGTCGCTTCGTGTTTTGGGGTTAATTGAGTACATGTCTGATGTTTTTCATTGCAGAAACACTAAGAATATACTTTCGGTATCTTCTGGCGCTTGTGATTGCGGAAAGCAGATCCACCTGGTCGGATCGTGGACAGACACATCCCACTCAAAGATCTCAGCCACCTCCACGGGGCTCGATATCGTGCGCGTCAAACTCAGGTCATGTTCCTCATTACCCGAGTGTATGATTGTGTACGGCCAGTCTCTGTTTGCCGGTCAAAGTGTAGTATCACCGACAACCCTTGAGCATCAGCGGACCATATGGCGCCATTGCTGAGCTGATAAGTCGGACGATTCTCAAACGACAGTGCGACTCCAAGTATCCTAGCACTTCATGGCTCACCTCTTGACTTAGATCCGAGTCTGGGGATGCTGCCATGTATAGTAGGCTAACGCAGCCTCCCGAGCAGTTTACCGGCAGTCTAGGGTGCACTGGGCGTCCGTAACGGCGCCGAAGTTAGGTACAGACTACTCATCCCCGCTAGTATTTTTGTTTTCTGCAGAGCAACTTCTGGCAAGAGTGCAAGTATGTCTGCTTGAACCGCAAAGCTCTACTAGAGTCGAGAGAATCTAGTTCCGGTCACAGCATTACATATCATTGGAGTCCTCTCCAAAATTGGAGACATCTCGGTCCAGACTGTATGCATGCCTCACTAGGTCCGGACAAGATTACCACATCGACGATGATTTACGGAAGCTCCACAGAAGCCGGCGGCCTCCCCTCGCTAAAGACTGCAACGTGAGACGTTTCCAGATCACATATATGCATGCATCGAAGGTAATTTTCTTTATCGAGTCTCCAAGAGCTTGAACAAATAGTCAGCGTATCGGGTCTCGACCCGAGCTCCATGCTGCAATAAGGATTCCATTTCCGGGGCCGTCATCGCTTGACATGTCGTAAGGCCCACGAAGGACTACGCCGTACCAAGGACCGGGTCGCTTGACGCATACAGCAAGCGCTGGGACGCCGCGGCAAACTCGCGATACGTTTAAACCCCTTATGCCAGCTTCTTAGCCCTCGCTATCGCGTCAGAATGATCCGAAACGATTACCGGTGCTATATTGCCGTCAGCTGACGATGCGCCCGCACGGACTTTGACGTCCTTAGTCCACAGATCCTGCACCTTGAGCGGGAGTAGGTATCAGGGTTCCTACATGGTCTCCACCCGGGGAATACTTTTAGGGTGGGCCTCAGAGACTCAGCGCTCTACCAATCCTGTATTGATCCGGTGACTGACTCGTGGAAATCAGAAGTGGGGTTATGCGACGTATACCTGCCTTATCAAGACTCTGAATTGCCGAATATAGATGCTTTGACCATATCCATGGAAAAGACATACGATTGTAAGCCTTTACGAACGTCGGTGAAGCCGATGGAATCTTTCTTTCTCGTGCAATAACCAATAATTTCTGGTTTGGCGAATACGGCTTATGTTACGATGATTTTGGGACTAAATAGTCGTGTTGATGGAACCTTCAGACAATTAAACCCGGGAAAGAGATCAATTCGAGTTGCGGTCAGCACCTTGCTTAAATAGAAAGTATCCTAAGGGCTCACCAAGAAATGGAAGGATAGTACTCAATCAGGATGATGAGAGAATAAACGCGCCATGATATTCTCGAAGCTATTTACCGGATAAGAATTGAAGCGGTACAAGTATCAACAAGAAGAAGACACTGGTCATACAACCCCACTGCAACGCGTCCATCATGCGATCGATGAATCTCACAGTTGTAATCAAATTGGCTTGCGATGCCCAAACACCTACTTGAACAGCTCTATCGCATCCAAAATCACATTTGGAGCCAGAAAGCCATCGCCGGAACTTCCACTCGTACAGCTAATTTTGATGGTGTTGCTTCCGCTAATCAACGTGCCAGCCGGTATATCATAGTTGTAGACCTCGCCGAAGCCCCGATACGCGCCTCGAGTCAAGCCACGTGAATCGATCTTTGTTGGTGCAGCAGGTGTAGCGGCATTGAAGCTGTTCACCACAACCGAAGGACGACAGCCAGCGAAGGAGAGTGTGGTGCCGATACGAAGAGTCGCTGCAGTAGTAGAAGTACCCGAGAACTTGATGGTGAGGGGGTTGTTGTCTTTTACGATGGCCATTGGAACACTGTCAAGGGTGCTGGAGCCAACAGTGTACGTCAACGGACCCCAGGATGCCATGCGCGAATCTGTTGGATGCATTCGTAGTTGCTTGTCTGCGTTTCGGAAGCCCTTTGGCTGACCATCCCACTCGCCGATGCGCCAGATGGAAGTCTTAGTTTCGGCATCCGCTGCAATGTTGGCAGTGGTCGCCTTTCCGGCCGAGACCGTCACGCTGGCGGCTTTAACCTTGAACTCGCCTTGGTAGAGCACCTGTGTGTAAGTACCAGGCTTCATTGCTGGTGATGTGAATTTGCCGCTGCTATCAGCGTACGCCCAGTACTGGGCTGCATCGTTGTACCAATGCAATACCCGTTGGAAGCTAGAGCCAACACCTGTTGCCGTCCCGGATACTGTACCCCTGGCAGATGGAGCCACGTAGCCTGTTATACCGAGGTCCTTGAAGAATGTAGTATCCATACTGGAGCCACCTGCTGGTACACCAGAGCGAGTAAAGGCTAGGGCATACGGGCCGTGCAGACCCTGACGGAATTTCTCCGTCTGAACATGGCCACTGTTCATGTAAAAGGTCAACGAGGTGTAGTCTCCACCGTTATTTGTGTTGATATCGCGGTGGAACGGACCACCAGAGGAGCCTTCGTAGGAGTAGGAGTTCATCAGGAAGCAGGCATGTATTGCGTCGCTACCATCGCGATATACGCAATGCTGATTGCGTCAGTGAGAATGCTCAGCACTACCTTGACTTGGAAAGGCACTTACTGTAGTGTCGTCGATGAAGCGCTCACTTGAGTAGAACTTGCTTCGCGTCTGACCACTTACTACGAAGACATCTGATCCTTCCACTGTCGATGTCGAACCAACAGTTGTTGATACGACGCCAAAGGGGTACTCTAGCGGCAGCGCGCTACTTTTGAGACGAGCAATGAATCGTAGTTCGCCAATGCTGGGCTCAGCAGTAGTATACGTCGCCATGTATATCGTCGCTTCGCCGGACTTGGCAACGAGGTAATGCGTCAAGGTACTGGTTGTACATGTAACCTTGACGTATTGGCCTGATACACTTCATTAGCTGCCATTTTCAAAGTACAGAGAATATAACTGACTGCTAATCGTCTCATACTTGACAGTTGCAGTGCCTAACCCTGATGAGATGTGCGATCCCTTCTCTGACGACTGCAGCTCTTCTCCACGGTATTTGATCGAAGTGATATCGCAGCTCTTGGCGTTGACGGTAAAGACGAGGGGATTGGTTGCGCCAGCGTCGACAACGATGTTGTCACCACTCTGAGTGGCGCCAAAAGCCGCCAAGGCCGAAGGAGAGAACGTGGCCGCAGCCAACAATGCGCCCTTGAATAACATAGCTAGAATTGAAGCTTACGAAAAGGCAGGTGGAGGAAATGTGTGAAAGGCCTCCCGATGACCGCCCAGGCTTGGATAACAAATGAAGATTTTGTCCCCTACGTATATGTCGCCTTCTCAAACAACAGCAAGGGTTTACTACATTGCGCAATACCAGTCGGTGCCAAATGCTCCGACACACTCATCATTTCCACCCCAGATCCTCCACTAGCCGCAAGGATTGCACCATTGTTACCCAAAAACAGCCACCTGCGCGGTCATTTGACACGTTAATTCACCGCGCTACGAAGCCGGAAGGTCGGAAGGTATACTCAACACAGGTAGTAATTGATGTTAGGTACATGCACCTCGGTATGAAATTGTTCAATTCCCCGGATCGACAATATTGAGCGATGGTGTTGATCTAGGGGCTAAGATTGCTATGCGGGGGGAGGTTGCTAGAGTCCGGGGTATATCCGCAGTATGCACCTTTAGTGGCGGAAGATCTTGGCCTGTAAGACAAGCACTATGGAACAACTTGGCGGGGCTGCATGAGGTAACGCCATTACCGACATGGTCATAAAAGTCCGAAGTGCCGGTTGCAAGGAGCGAATGATCGTTTCATGTAGAGATGGGAGGTTATTGGGATGATAAAAGAGAGTTGCTGTAAGTCGTATGCAACGGGGGAGCGCAAAGGACCTAATGGATAAGGTTTAGAGTAGAGCCTGGCGTCTGGAGGAAACTAGCTTTGTCGTAAATGACAACGAACTGGTGTGTGAAGGTATGAAAAGACCGGAGAGGGTAGAGAGAAACAAAGAATTACTTAACGATGGTTCTATCAAAAGTTGCCATAACATCTTGTCGCTCAGTCATCGCCGCCTGGACAGTCATTCTTGTACAGCGGATTGACCTCTACTTCTCGGCACCAAAGCGCCCACGGCCTTGTCAGTGTGCCTGAAACCGATTCCCAGGCATCGTGGCATTCCGTGTCGCTTAGGTACTTCAAGTTACCGCCTTCAACCTTGGCATGCCCTGACTTGATTTTGCCGCCGGCTTGTACATCGACTTTGCCCTCGAGCGCATACCCTGTGTGTGCGTTCAGTACTGTCATGGCCGTGGTTTGCGCCTTCGCTGCCTCTTTTGTGTATATCGCTTGGTAGACGGCTTCCTCAATGCCATGTGCGACAGTCGCAAAGCCATGTCCTTGTAGCAGGACAACGGCATGGTCAGGCTCCATCTTCGGCTCTGAAGATGAGCCACCGAGCTGCGTTGGCAGAGCGGAGCGCACTTTGGAGTATATGAAGCCGGTCGAAGTCGCAGGCTTAAAGGCAGCTGCGAGGGACGAGCCGAGCGTACTATCGCGGACGAGGAGGTCGTGCTTCGAGCCGGATGGATAGTGGCTTGAGGCATCCCAGACTGGCACGTTGGTACCTGAGACGGAGGCATCAGCGTAAGGCTAGACATTGTGGTCCAGGCAACTCACCCAAGAAGCCAGCCATGTGTATCGTGTTCTTCAGTGGCACGCCGCTAACACAATACGGCAGAACGTCGCCAGCATGGCTATGCACCACACAATTAATCGCCGGAAACCTCTTGTATATCTCACTATGGACGTGTCTCTCGAGATAGCCCGGCTTCGCATTCTTCTCGACCGCCTCCGCACCGTCAACGTTGTATTCGACCAGATCATCCTGTGAGCTGACTAGTGCTGGCGGCATGTTACAAGGCATCCAGAAAGTTGCAGGATTATCTGGCGACCGCACAGAGATATGCCCATACGCATCGAGGATGCCATTGTGGTGTAGGATGTGGCAGGCGGTAACGAGGCCCTTGAAGAGGTCTTCAAGGCCAACCTTTTCGCGTTTCGGAAAGTATCCGGCAGACATATTGTGAGAATACAAATCGTGTATGCGACATCATGGCGGGCGGGATTTGCATGTTGTGTAGTGGTGCTGTTCTTGCTTCGCGCGCTCGATGACGTGCGTTGCCCGCGGGCTGTGTGGGGAAATGACTGGCGGGATGCACCGCTTCTTGGTCAGCCTTCAAGCATCTTCAACCAGACACTTTAGCGTTGAAGACTCGTGTCCACCCACTCCGCGCATTCCAGTTGCTGGTTGCTGCAATACAGGTACATCCTGTCTGATCATCCCAGTTTTCTGCTTACAATCCACATAATGACCGATTACGCCCTTTTCAGAGATGGCCCAGGGTAAGATTGTGGCTACGGACAATACCACGATGATATCTACTCGATAAGATGACCCAGTGTGCACCTTCCTTGTATCAATCTAATAGTTTGCCTATTCCATGAGAGGTGCCAGATACTGAGTGGCCACTTCCTTAATGCATACATGTACTCTTTCTAGGCACCAACTGCTCGGTCTTGCAGCTTCTTCCGTACTACGCACTTTCTATTGCTATCATGGAAAATCACGCCAGGGCTCAAAACATCAATCCCCTAAATTCATAGCACTACATCAGGAAACCATTTCTTTACTTGCAATCAACATGCGCAGCCTGATAGCGCATCCGGGACTCCAATTCTGGGTCTACAAATTGCAAGGCAGGCTCACCTACACCCACTACGTCCCAGGACAGCTACCACGGAAGTACACGCTATACGGATATGAGTTCAAGGGGATGCCAGAAGGAGGAGAGGGGATCCATCGGCAGACGATGGTACATCGAGGAGGAATCTTTAACTCTTTTTCGGCAGCTTTCGTCGAAGAAATGTCCATCGTGGTCATGAGAGTGGATGGGAAGCTTGATATAGAATATTACTACAAAGAGGGTTTTACAGAGGTCATATACCAAAAAAGCGGTCCTTGGGCGATTCCAAACGATGGAGCAAATTGGTGTATTCATCCATACCCTCATCACGCATGCGATTCAGTTACGGACCAGCAAAACGCACTGACACTAGCCCCTGGCGCTTCATCTCCGCAAGCAACATTCAAATACGCGCGGGACACCGCGGTAGATACACAAAACACCTCACTAGGCGCACGAGAAACACCGCCAGACGTACAAGTCACTCCACCAGACGAACAAAAGACCCTGCCAGACACACATTCGAACTCGCAAGATACTCAAAACGACCAGCTAGCCATAGCCCTTTCACCAGGCGACCCGAGACAGCTCATGTATGCTTTAAATCACCTGTATGACTGCCTTCCGTGAGAACGTCAGTATGGCTAGGAAAGGTCAGTAAGAAGTTTCCGCTGCCTGTGCTACTGCTGATTTAAACCCTAGGATCATTCCAAGTCCGATTTGATACGACTGGTATGGAAGAATAAATCCATAATACAATGCAGCAGAGTTTGGATCCGCTCATCTACCCCATGGGTTATAGGAAACATCATTGCACATTCCTTACCGGCATGTCCTTCTTCTAGCCGCTGACATCGCCATCCATCATTTCCTCCATTCCTTGCGTGCTCGTTGCGTGTAAATGTGTATGTGATATTCTTAACGCCGTGTTTCACCACGGGCGCGTAAAAAAAAGCTCGATGGGTTGGAGGTGCCAGTCGAATGGTTAGGAACTGCTCAGCCCCTCGTGTGCCTGTATTGGACCTTGCTACCGACGCAGACTACAGGAAGCTTCTCCACCCGCGTCCAACGAGTTTCTTGAATGTCCATACTTCCGACGCCTGTCACGGCTAAACGAAGTATCCCAAACAGATGTTCTCTCTTTTGTAAGCGATTCCCGTCGTGTGCGTCAATGCCGTATCCCTCCCCCTACTGCCTGTATCTGACCATGCTTCTCTTCGTCATGCGTATCGTCTTGTTTCCATCATCAGCCCATCTCCACATCGCCGTCTTGCTCGCCCATGCCGTCCACGAGATCACTGTCGCCGCTCTCTCCGCTCGTCTCCTCGCTGTCGCTGTCTTCATCCACAATCTTGCCTTCCACCTCGCACTTCCTCGCATAACAGCATTTATTCGTCTCTTCTTTGCCACCCACCCCGATCCCAATGTACAATCCTTGTTTCACCTCCTCGATAATCTTGTCAAGGTCAACTGTGCAGTCGCCATCGTTTTCGTATATGATCTTTTTGGCTCGGCTGTTGGCTGCCGCCTTTGTGGAATGCACCGAGTTTATATGCGTGGTGCCAATGTTGTTTTGAAAGCTCGAGGCGGTCGGGTAGCAGGTATCGGTTACGATGTATATTATATAAGGACCGGAGTGTGCAGCGTTGACAATGGTAGCGATTGGCGGATTGGGTTGTTCAATGCTTTGTTGGATGTAGGAATCGCCGTCGTGAATGTTGTTGTTGTTGTCGTTATCGTAGGAGCGTTGGGTGGGTGTAGGCCCATCTTTGCTGTTCATGCGGTGTTGGATGTTTTGAGAGTCAGACGCCATCGCAGACGACAAGCTCTCTTGTAACAGGACAACTAACAAAGAGAAACAACAATCACGTTAAAATACAAAGACGTGAGCATAGAATCAATATCGCAAAAAAAAAGTGAAATCAGATGTCTCGTTCCACAAGTACAAAACCACGCTTTCCAAACGTAACCGAAAACCGAGGAAAAAGTTTACGATGTTGTGAGCATGGGAATTTGGCGCAAGTAGGAGGGGTTCTAGAAAAACACGATGCGCGGCTAGACCGCATTGCTAATTTATAAAACTTACAGTGCGTCGAGTGTGTGGGCGTGTGCAGGTATTCGCTCCGCGGAGGGTAGAAACACGAGAGACAAAGGCTTCTTCTTTAGCTCACGATAGGTGGCGGGCATTCCCACAGAGAGCACATGAGGCTCGCGACACTTCCTGCGTTTGCCACCCAGGACAAGCAAGGAAGAAAACGTTCGGTGTTTTACGCGTATCACCAACCAGATTTAAGCTACATCTTAATGCCCAAAACAACAATTCATTTTTTTCTTCTTCATATAGACGTGATCTGTCGGCGAAATAGTAGTCAAAAGTTGTTGATCTTACAACAAATGGGGTGTTGGTTACTTGGGTCAGGCGGAGATCATGGACAAATCTAAAGACTTGTAGTAACTCTGCCCGAGCTACTGTGTGACTTATGCCCGACTTCGCCACCGGACGCGAGGAGTGGGTTTCGCGATGCTGCGGAGCCTTCATGGGCCGAAAAAAAAAGAAGCTCCTAGCATGTGCGAGCGGGTACAGAGAAGTGATCAGCTACCGTTTAGATCTAGAGTATCCCCAGTTGTGACCCTGGCTGCAAACGTGTTCTAGACATTGTGAACCTGGTGGTCCATGCGGTCAAGAAGTGCGGTACAAAGGACCGAGACCAATGATATGTCTTGGAATTGCGCTTAGTGTACTGGAGCAGACTCGGATGCTAGTTTATAAGGTTGTCCAGGAAAGTCAGATCTCTGCATTGTGTACCGCGGCATCCGATCGCGGGAGAGCAAGCTGGTTCGCGGTCCATCCGGTAGACCGGTTGAGAAGACTGGGCCCGAGGCTGGAAGCCCTTGAATCTGGGACGGCAAGGCTTAGTCTGCAACTTACAGTCACTAGCCTATTATGTCTTCGTTGCCGACTCGCAGGAATTGCTGCAAAATGGTAAGATGCCGCATGACCTCGCACCAGCATTGCAAACCACACTATCACAACCACATTGACATTTGATACCTTCTTCGTCCTCATCCTGATCGTTCAGTCTCTATTAATGTAGTCCTGTGTAGCAATCCCTATAGCAACATGAGAATGTCTTGGAACAAGTTGAGGTTTGGAGATGCATGCAAGACAACAAGTCAGGTTTTCACAAATCACATTATATGTAGTCATACAGGATCCAAGACAAATGCAGTCCACTCTCCATCTGCCGTTACGTGTGTTTGCCATGCCAGACCTAGCGCCACCAGCTCCGTACGTTGCTAAGTATATCCGTCCCTATGGTACAAAAGAGAGAAAAGAGACCATGGTAATGCCACGGGAAGAAGAAAGGGCAGGTTTACTCCTCCTTTTGCGTTGCCGACTGGGCCTCGCTGGCTGGCTGAGCCTCCTCGTGATGCTGCTCAACGCTCTTCTCCTTCCGCTGGTCTTCAGCGACCTCGACAGTTGGTGGGGCCTCGCTAGCTTCAGGAGCGTCGGCTTGTCCCTGCGTCTCGGGATTGCGGCCTTCGGCGTCAGGGTGGGGTGGTGCAACGCCGTTCTCTTCCGCATCGCCATGTGAGTCTACAAGACCTTCGTAGATTTCGTGACCTTCACCATCAACAATGCGGGTTCGGGTCTCGTAGCGCGTCTTGAAGCTGACCTTACCGGCAAGTGCTGATACCTCATCATCGTCTAGAATACGGCCGTTCTCATCGCGGTACTCGATGCGCTCTTCTTTCGACACAACAGGTAGATCCTTGGGGGGCTCTTGAGGTGGCTGGGAGACTACCGCTTGCTCAGACATTACATCCTCCTGCTTCGGTTCCTTTGCTTGCTGGATCGGTTGCTGGTTTGGCTGTTCCTTAGGTTGCTCTTGCTGGACCTGGGGAACGACCTCGGGCGCGGCTGGGCCTGGAGGCGCAGGTGGTGCTGAAGAAGGTACAGCGATAGATGCTACTGGCTCAGAGTGCATAGTGTTGTATGCTTCATACTGTAATGTGTTAGCTGATGTTGGCCGTTCACGATATGGAAAGCACTTACAGAGGTGAGGAAGTTGTTGCAGTCCCAGTCCCACGAGTCGAAGAGCTTGACACTGTTGCACGCATCCTTGGTCCATGCGTTGCCGTACGCCAATGGGGAGTAGACCGTGAAGACCGTGATGGCGACAGCTAGAAAACCGACAGCTGCTGCTTGGCCGATCGCAGGGTACTGCCTCAGACCAAAGACGCTGAAGCGGTAGCTCACGAAGTCGAAGATCTGGCAAAGAGCCAGGATAGCGAAGTATAGAGCGGGTAGGTAGTGGTGCAAGAACAGCTGACGCGCCATCAGGTAGAATGGGAAATAATGGAAAGCCCATCCGAGAATGCTCATGCCAACCTCGTAGTCGAAACGCTTGAAGGTGACATTGCTGTAGTCACGGTAGCCGCGCTGCCAGCGAAGAATGGCGATACCCTTGATAGCGATGTAGAGAGCAATGAGCGCGCTGGAGCTCCACCAGATCACGGGGTTACCCAAAAGGTAGATCTGACGGTTGTGCTTGCCCCAGAAGTTAATACCGCGGCGTAAAATAGGCCAAGATGGAGGGCGGGAATCCCAGGCGTGCGATTCAGTAAGGCCGGCGTTTGTCTTCCACATGACTTTCTGCAGCTCCCAGAACTTGCCGAAGAATCCGGGATTACGGTAGTTGACCTTCTCGACCTCTCCATCCACCATCAAAGGGTGAACATTTCCCTCGATATACCAGATGCTGTTGGGCAAGGTACCTTGCCTGGCGCAGGTAACCTCTTGCTGCTCGAAACCCCAGTCAGGAAGCTTGACCTTGTGCGAGAACAGTGCGCAGCCGGTCATGACGTGAACAAGCCTGAACTTAGTCTGGATAGTGCGGACGCGCTTCTTAGCCACCGCTCCATCGGAGTGGCCCTTAACAATCTCGATGCGGAAAAGGTCGTTCGCATCACCCTCAAAGCCTTCATAACCATATGCAGAAACTTCATTCTGCCAGTCAGCCTCGGTGACAGGTGCGCGGACATCGTGGGAATGAAGGCGTCGGTCAGTAGTGATATGGTAGAGACGGACGACACCACCATCCTCAATGTAAGTGGGGCCTACGTTATCCCAGGCCTTCGGGCTTGTGAGGTTCGGTCCAGAATAGTCCTCGGGCATGATCGGAAGAGTTTGGTTCTCCAAAATCCAGATGTTGTTCTCGTCCTTGTGAGGGTAGAGGGTAATCTGCTGTTGCTTGCTACCGGTCGGGTACATGTGGCTGTGAGAATGGAGGTAACCACCCTGAGTGTTCCAATGGCGTAGAGAGACGCGACTTCCGTACGCGACGTCAGCGGGAACAGCTTGCATGCCCTTGGAGTTCAACGTGGCCTGGAACTCGGAAGACATAAAGCCGTCACCCTCGCCGGGATTGACCAGGCAAATGAAGTGGATTCCGAACATGGCCATATAGAACGAGACGGGAATGACAATCAGGCAGAACATGCGGGCGAAGAAGTGCTTGAACCACAAGCGTGGCGTGACGTTCTTGGTGTCCCCAAGAAGGACCCAGAGCTGCACGAGCGTCAAGCTGCCGACCCAGGCAATGGTAAACAGGCCAACCCACTTGACACTAACTGTTGCGCCGAGTCCAACGCCAGTAGTAGCCAACCAGAACCACCAGGATGGCTGGAAGGCTTTCGAAGGTCCTTGTTCGTGCTGGTTCATGAAGCTTGTCCAGGCGAGTGCGGTAACGGCTGTGAAGATGATGAGGGGTGAGTCGAGGAGGATAAGGCGGGATTGAGTTACAAGCGCATTGTCTGGTCAATGGTTAGTATACATGGTAACATATAGGAGAATGCATCTTACCAAAGATGACAAGGCCAGCGCCCAAAGCTGCAGTAGTAGTACGGCAGCCCGCAGCCTTCAGAGTAAGGAACATGGTCGGAATTGTCAAAATACCAAGGACGGCGGGCAACATGCGCATGGTAACGTATGGAACCTTGGGCTCCAGGTAGTCCTTGCCTATGTCCTTGAAGTCGAAGTTCCCGTCGAATCCACCTAACCATCCTGCCAGTGTGATAAGGAGCTTCGCAAGCGGAGGGTGGACATCCATGAAAAACCTGCCCTTGATGTATTTCGACGCAAACCCACCGAAGCTGAGAGATCTGTTAGCCAACACATTCTCCACGTTCTTGCCAAAACGAGCCAACTTACTGGACTTCATCGAAGACAACACTCGTCGGCTGTTGAATACGGAAGAGCCGTACAACAGCAGCAACGGCAGTCAATATGGCCAGCAATGACCAGTCGGAGCCGGGGAGGTTGAAGATGTCATGATCCTGCACTCCCTCAGAGGTGTAGCCTTGTACTTTCTGCTGCTGCATCTTTTGCTGCTTCCGGCCATTTGGTGCTGGAGACCGCGACTTGGAACGCGACTTAGATCTACGCGATTGAGGCTTCTCGCCCAGGTAGGCATTGGGTGCCGATAGGCTCGCCATGACGGCGGGATGTGACGATGTGACGCGGCTCGATCAGCTGGTGGGCGGCGCTGTACCAAAAGTTGGGGACGCTGTGGAGTTCCAACTAAGGTCCAGGTTGAAGGCACTCACGGCCAACGTTGTAACAAAAAGAATTAAAGAGAGTTCGAAGAGAGTCCCATCAAGGTGAGGGGAGAGAAGAGATGGAAGTCTCAATGGTAGGCGCAATAGTTCAAGCTAGGGGGGAGAGGGTCCCGCGAGGAGTAGTGGTTGCGTACCAATTAACCCTTGTTGCAAGCTGTTCCTTACGGCGGACCTTACCGAACTGGGAGGGCTCAAAATAGGTCAAGGCCCGTATAGATCACTCACTCCACGAAATGTTTTTGTACATTTGCAACAATCAAGGAAATTCTCTCAGCCATAGTGATCTGACAACTTGACAGCCGTTTGCAAGCCGAGGCGCCTTGGATATTGCGCCGAGTGCTTCACCTTGTTCAACTGTGGCTCAACTGTGGCTGAGAGTCGGCCCGGAACATCTCTCGGAGCCTTACTCTACTGTACTATGGGAACTTTGCGACAACTCGAAGCCTAGTCGCCGCTACCCCCAACGTACACATCCTCCCCACGCGATCTACGCGCAAGCCAGCGAAAGTAGATAATCACGATCGAGATCTGTTCCCTGGCGCTTGAAATTCTTCCCTTGCCCTCGCTCCGGCCATTGCTCCACCCATCTTTCGCGACTCATAAACGGCACAACCGATACATTCCTCGAAGCCGGAACAGGCATCAGCAGAACGCGCCATGGCCAATCCCAACGGTGACGGCGCTGCGGCAGGACCTCCAGAGCTCGATGTCAAGCCGCCTGCGAACTTGGTTATCCCCCCGCCCAACGTGCGCGAAACGATTGCGAAAACAGCCGACTTCGTTGCCCGACGAGGCGAGGTGCATTTCAATGGACTGAAGCAGCGCGTTACGTCCGACCCATCGGCTGCGAACAACCGTAACTTTGTCTTCGTCATGGAAGAGGATCCCTACAATGCCTACTTTTTGTGGTATCTTCAGCAACTGAAGGAAGGTCACGGGCGAGCGGCTGGAAGTGCTAAGCAAGTGGTTGACAACAAGCCCAAGGGGCCCCCAGAACCACCCAAGTTCCGCTTTTCCGCACGCATGCCAAACATCAGCGCAAAGGACTTGGAGGTGCTAAAGCTCACAGCTCTATACACTGCGCGCGTAGGTGAAAACTGGCTGAAGGATTTGCGTAATCGTGAGTCTGGCAACTTCCAGTTTGACTTTCTCCGACCCAACCACAGCTTCTTCCAGTTCTTCCGATCGCTCGTTGAACAGTACAAGATCTTGCTTGAAGAAGAAGCCACAGTCGAGGCACGTATCGAGGAGTTGCAGCACAACATCAAGAACCGATTTCATGTGCTGGATCGCGCCAAGGGACGCGCGGAGTACGTTAAATACGTGACGGATCAGAAAGCGAAAGAGGAGAAGAAGGTTGAGGCTGAGAAGCAAGAGTATGCGACAGTCGACTGGCACGACTTTACAGTCATCGCGACTGTGCTCTTTGATGAGGCAGACGATGCAGCGGATCTGCCTCCCCCCGCACAGCTGAACGATCTACAGTCGCAGTCGCTCGAGCAGAAGGCCGCGGTCTCACTCTCAACAAGGCGTCTCGAAGAAGCCATGCCCGACGAGATGACTTACTACAACGTCACACAGCAGCAGGTACCGCCGCCTCCGATGCCGCCAAACTACGCCCCCGCGGCACCACCTGTGCAACCACCGTACGGCGTACCGTCCTATGCACCTCCCCCAATGCCCGACTACCGAACGCCGGCACAAATATCGCGTGAAGAAGAGCAAGCTCGGCAGGCAAGAGAGCGTCAAGCGGAGAGCGAGCAGCGCGCACGCGCTCAGGCTGCTGCCAGAGGCGCGCCTGGTCGCATTGTCACAGACTACGTTCCCCGCGCTGCCGCAAAGAAGGCAAACGTTCCGATGGCCGTGTGCCCTAACTGCAAGCAGCAAATCCCCTCAAACGAGATGGACGAGCACATTCGAAGTAAGATTTGTCCCTTTTTTATCTTGCAAAAGGCTTTTGCTAACATCGCATGCTAGTCGAACTGCTTGATCCACGCTGGAAAGAACAGCGCGACAAGGCTGAAGCCCGGTACTCTACTACGATCAACACCGCCGACGTCGCAAACAATCTTAAACGTTTCGCCAGTCAGCGCGAGGACATATACGATGGTGCTACTGGGTTGCCTATATCTGCAGAGGAAGAGGCTCGGAGAAAGAAGGCTGCGCTGTCGTACGACGGTCAGCCTGATCCTGCCAAGGACGCTGCCCGTCTCTCGCAGATGCAGAGCATGAATGTCCAGGAGCAGCTCCGTAGGATCCAAGAAAAGCATCGCCAATAGAGCGTGAGCACGAGTGAGTTGATTTTTTCTTCCATATGATGCGGTTGTTCAGGACATCGATCGCTCTACTTGCATTGGGTGGCGTTTTTGGCGATGTCACTTGTGTATACCACCGATCAGAAGCTATAAGAGCTTCATTGTTTCGATAGTTTTGGGTAAATAGCTCGATTGTAGGATAATAGCTGCAAAGGCTCAATGAAAAGTGTGTGTCCACGGTTCTGCTCAATCTACAATACGTTTCCGTCATGTTCGACGTGGGGTAAGCTGCAGCAGTCGTATGCCAGCTCGCTGATCGGACTTTTGAAGCTTTCTCCGACATGTGCCCCAGACCTATGACCTAACCAGCGACTTTTATTCCCAAGTCGCACCATTGACATACACACGTCCGCACACTGCTCACAATCATGTCATTAACACAAGCAACGAAAGGCGACATGGCTTATCAAGTCCGCTCACTCGTACGTACCCCTACTACGATATTCTAGTATATCCGCGGCAGCGCGCACTTATGAGACATCGCCGCCTGAGATTCGCGGCCCGCTATCTGCACTGTATCTCTATGAGCACCGTAAAGATATACTGTGCGCGCGCATGTTGCTTCCATTATCAGAGAATGTCAACTGACCACCATATACAGTACCGCTCCCTCCTGCGCCAGAGTAGCCAATTCGCCGCCTACAACTTCCGCGAATACGCTAAACGGAGAACGCGCGATGCGTTTCGGGACAGCAAGAATGTGACTGAGGAGCGAACAATACAAGAGCTGGTTCAGAAGGGCCTGAGTGAATTGCAGATGCTGAAGGTGAGATACATTTTCGCCAATTCGGCACTGGAAGTGAAGGGTCCGCAGCGCGTGGCGGAAGAAGTGGCGGAACAGAACATATCGGAATCTACAGACTCATCATGTGATATGTGTCATAAGATACGAAAATGGCAGACCGAGTGCAGGAGGACAATATAGTGTGTAATGGGATGGATGCTAACTCGGTTCACAGAGGCAAACAGTGATAAGCCAATTCTATCAGATCGACCGATTAGTCGTCGAAGGAGGGAAAGAGGGCAAGCAAAAGGGCGACAAGAATGACATCGTCAGAGTGAAGGACCAAGGTTGGGATTAAGTGCTTCGCTCAAGAGTGTGGATATGGATGATGAGACGAAATGATCTTGTAACAATATGGCGCGTACATTGCATAGGGCAGCGGGGTATGCGCGGTAGCGGAACAGCAATGTCCATCTTGACGGCGATGACAAGTCGAGAATGAGTGTATTGTACTATATTGGGCCTGCCATTCCACTCTGTGAAATGGAATGTTCAAACTGAACACGAAGCCTACATCATACTGTGCATCCGTACTCCCTGTGCTCATACGAAACGCCCGAACAGTTTTCTCTTAACAACATGATTCTGGATTGTTACAAGGGCACTCCTTTCCTCTTTTATCATATATGTGTTCTTTGAATTGCAGAAGTTGTAAGTGGCTCGTTGCCATGCCTTATTGCAGAACCAGGCATCGACTAAACCACAACATCAAAACAGTAGAACAATATGAGATAAGTGATGCAATTTAAACCAATAGCGAAGTTCGACCGAGAGATATTCCTCGACATCGAGAGACCACCCAGAAGACTGCTTGTTGCGCCTCTAGTTTCAAGGCAGCGATCGCAAACGCACTCAAAAGGGTATAGCGGCGCACGGTTGTGCCTGCCATCTGCAAAGCGACGCGCTTCCCCTTCACGCATCGCGACTTCCCGTTGCATTGCGCCGACTTCCATACCCACTTTCACCGCCTGATCCAGTCCTCATCGAGGAAATTACACGTCGACATGGCTCCGGTACGTCATCTCATGTCTCTGTTCGAGTGTGCATCCTTGAGCTGCGTCTGATACATCGATTTCCTGCCATTTGTACGCGCGCGACGCAACACCACTCTTGCCATCACGTGCATCGCCTTTTCAATATCTCATCTTCTATCATCAACGCAGCACTATTTCTCAGAGGACTAGTAGCGAAGGGCCAACCTCGTGGTCTGGAGCTCTGTCTGCTCTAACGAGTGGTGATGAGTTATTCTGTACCTACATACCTCATACGCAAAACAACAACCGCGCCAAATTGTTCTAGCTAGGCAACGTAGCAGACGTGCGCGTATATCTTCCAGACTTCAAGCTAACGTCATGTGACTAGTTCCGGAACAGGGACAGATCCAACAGATCAGGGCGTGGTCAAATAGAACATAATGTGCTAGAGGGACTTCCAATCAGTCAGTACCGGGAAGCCGAGATCACTATTGAACCAAATTCTACCGACAACAAACCTTTGGATAAGGATGCTTGGCCCGAACTACCCATGCCTCGAGACTCTCACATGTTGCCTGAGCATTCTCAGCAGTTACTGCGGGCAGCACGATCCGGGAAGTTGTATAAGCCATCAGCACCTCCAGAAGACGACAACGAGATGAAGGATGAAGAAGAAGAGACTAAAGAAATTCGTACCGGATTCACCATCAAGAAGTACGTCAAAGTTGCACGACACCTAGAAGTTTCGGAACCAGAGTATCTCGCAAAGAGAAGGAAGGGTTTACCATCACCTTACGTCAACGGTCAGGTCGCTCAACCTGCATTGCGCGAAACGAAAGTAAAGAAGCTTGATGCAGACGGCAACGTGGCCGTTTACAAGGTGCTTGTCCCAGAAGGTCAGGCAGTGGAAGGCGAGGTCCAGCCTACAGATGCCGCAATCGAAGTTGCACCAGCTACTGCGGCACCAGGAACGATTGTTGAAGGAGTTGGTGTGGTGAACGCGGAGGGCGTAGTTGTAGCTAACGACATTTTACAACAAACGCCACCTAGGCGAAGGCCTCCACCTCCTAAGAAGAAGGTGAAGCGTGGAGGTCCAGGCAGAGGCAAGAAGAAGGTCGTTTTCGCCGAAGGCGGAACAGAGCAAGGAACACCAGCATCAATCGCTGGAGGTGACATGCTGGGTTTGCCGATCGTCAAGCAAGAGGACGGATCTGTAGCACCATCAGATGGAGGAGATACACCAATGGCAGACGCTGGCGGCGAAGAAGAAGAGGGCTCTGGCGAGGAGGGCTCAGAAGATGAAGATCAAGACATGGAGCATGCCTCCAACCCAGCGACTCCTCAGAGATCATCTGTAGCCCCCACCAGCGCTTTAGCGAACGAAATCTCCAACTTCACAGACGCTACTCCAGCAGAAGCCGCCGCACCAGCAACTCAGCCACCACCGACTTCCATTGACCCCTCGCAAGATACCGCAATCATCGAAAGTATCGCACCTGAAGCCCCTCCTTCAGACACGGCTGTTCAAATGCCAAAGCGTGACCAATCAAGCTCACCTGATCTGCCGCTTTCTGCTGTCTCCCATAGTCGCCAAAACTCTATGAACCGGACTTCGATCTCTGCTACTACCACGGAAGCCTTCATTCCCGAGGATGCTCCGAGCGAAGCCCCGGCCCCAACAGTAGAAGCGGACGCGGCACCAGCGCTGGTAGTTGCATCTGAGCCTCAGCCCGATCCCGAACCTGTACCCGAAGCGGAGCCTAAGCCTGAGCCTGAACCTGTGCAACAAACATCCGCCGCTCCTCCCGCGCCACGTTCAGAATCAGATCCCATGGGAAGTCTTGAGAGACAGCTTGAGAAAGACAACGAGGACATGGGCGGGTCATAGAATGACCAAGCCCAATCCTCTCTTACTCCTAGAGTATGTTTCACTTGCTGTATATTGCAAGGTAGGAGTACAGGAATGAGTCTACCGAATATGGTTGTTACCTCTTGTTGTCACATGCGAGGAGTTGGATGTACACGTTTCTCAGGGGGAAGAAAGGCTTTGGTCTGGCGTTACGCACATCATTGTATTAATATAAAGGAACTTATCACTTTATCAGTCTGCCGTCAATACACGCGCTTCCAGTTTCTTAATTGCTGGAGTCTTCCTTATCGGCTTGTTTCCGTAGTATCTTGCAGCCGGAGGTATCGGTGTCACGATTAGATACGCTACCCCACAATCCAACGCACGCTCATACGTCATTCTCGACTTTCCCCGTCGGGAACCACTTTTCCACCACATCACTAACGCGACAAGGGAAGGTCGTTTACCGAGCTATCTACCGCATATCTGGGTGTATATATTGGGGATCAACTCCATAACACTGACAATCGAGTCGCAAATTCCTGCAGAATCGCGAGACCATCAAAGTAGACACTATGCCCTCGATAAGTGAGATTGTAAAGGCACATCAGCCTGACCTAGCCTCTTACGAGAAGCTTTGTAAGTATTCTTTCCATTTCGTGAAATCTACCACTAATGATAGCTAAGACAAATGGTTTCACACGCACCCCGAGCTCTCCTTCCAAGAAGTCAAAACCGCCGAGGCCATTGTTAAACATCTCGAGACCTTCAAAGCTTTCACAATTCACTCTGGCATTGGCGGTCACGGCATCGCTGCCAGCTTCTCTAATGGCCCGGGAAAGACTCTTCTCTTACGTGCTGACATTGATGCGCTACCCGTTGAAGAGAAGACTGGACTGAACTATGCGAGTACGGCACGCATGAAGGATGTAGATGGTGTTGAGAAACCCCTTATGCATGCTTGTGGCCACGATATGCATATCACAGCGTTGCTTGCAGCGGCGGAAACCTTGGTCAAGTGTAAAGACCTATGGAGTGGAGAGTTGATTCTGGTGTTCCAACCCGCGGAAGAAAGGGCAGGTGGCGCGCAGAACATGGTGGATGATGGTCTTTATCAAAAGGTCAAGGAACCAGATGTCGTTGTGGGAGCACATGTTATGCCGGAAAGAGCCGGTGTTATAGGCACAAAGCATGGTTTAATCGCCAGCTCAGCAGACAGATTCCAGTACGTATTCTCTTCTCCATCAAGATTTTAACACTATGCTCAAAAGCTAATCATCACAGACTACGTATCGAAGGCCGACAAGCCCACGCATCCACTCCCCACCGCGGCATCGACCCCATCCTCCAAGCCGCCTCCACAATAATGCGTCTCCAATCCATCGTGTCCCGAGAGGTCGACCCTCTGGATTTTGCCGTCGTGACCGTCTCCGCATTCCACGCCGGCGACGCCGAAAACATCATCCCCTCAGAAGCCAACCTAAAGATCGATGTCCGCGCCGCTCAACCCCAGACTCGCGAACGCGTTCTCGCTAGCGTAAAGCGTATCGTTGCCGCCGAGGCCGAAGCATCAAACAATCCGAATCAACCTACTTTGACACCAACAACACAGTTCCCCTTACTATTTAATGACGCTGACATTACCAACGCGCTCGAAGGATCCTTCTCAGCGCACTTCCAACCCGGTAAACACTCGTACCAGTCTGACATTGCACGCCTACAGGGCTCAGAGGACTTTGGTATTCTGGCCACTGCGATTGGCAAGCCGAGCTGCTTTTTCTTGTATGGAGGTACGGATCCGGCGGTTTGGGATAAGGCGGAGAAGGAGGGGAGACTTAGTGAGGATGTTCCAGGGAATCATAGTCCGTTCTTTGCGCCAGTTGTGCAGCCTACGTTGACGGTGGGGATGGAGGGGTATGTTGTTTCTGCGTTGACATTCTTGAAGAAGGGTGAGTAGGTCCAAGTGTTGAGGTATACAAGAGGCGTTTGAGTGAGAGAGGCTAGGATGTAGCGACGCTCTGTGCGAAAGTACGTGGTGTAGAAAGATATCGAGCCCACTAACAGCTCTCGCAAATGTCTCAGACATTTTGAAATCATACGTCTGGAACGGTTTAGCTATGCGATATTCATTGGTCGTGCTAAAGACAGCATCGAGACATCTTAGACCCGAAGCTTCCTCAAACCGCCTACATTGTACCCAAGACTTTCCATAACTATCGCCCATCCCTGTCGAGACTCGCATGTGCGAGCGTCCTTTCGTAAGATTCCCTTCCAGATGACAACCTCCATTCTAGATCATCTGGCCCCTGCTTATGATGAGTGCGTCCAGCAAAAGGAGATCATCGTCTAGTCGGTCAAGGATCCCATCAATCCTAAAAATCAGACCACCCAGCCAGAACTGAGGTTCTTTCAATCTCTTTCTGCATGCGTCGACTTTGACGTTGCAAACTCGCTAGTCGGTCAGCGGTGCGTCGGGCTTGGAAGTAAAGAACAAGAAGACCGATACACAAGATGAGAATTGATGCGAGGAAGCAAATGAACATGACGGCTATGATTGAAGTGGAGAGAAATTGTTCTTCAACGAAGGTTAGGTCGCGCGGCATTGGTAGTCGTTATGTAGTGAGAAACTATTCTGAATTGGTTCTTGGTGCGAGAGTTGATCAATGTCGAGAAGTGTCGGAGTAGACGATGTCTGTGGAAGATACACATGTATCCGCATGTACACCCATAGGGTCATATATATTCGGTTTTCCGTTTGCTGCAAGCTGAGCACGCGGAAGTGCTGTCCACATCTGATACGCGTGGTTGTCACGAAGTAGCTTTCCGTGACCTAATAATCTGCTGCTCAAAGCGCGTTTCGGACGCTGTATTTGCCAGGCGTGGTTGTCTCGCTGTTTGGCAAAGTCGGCAATCATCGCAAACTCTTCAACATGACGATATTACAGAAAGAGGTGGGAGTATGCTATGGTTTCACTCAATCTCTAGATGTGCCCACTTCTTGCGCCACACGCTTGTGACTTAGCGCACACACAGTCCTTTCCACCTCCTTTCACGGACTGATGTCTTCAGATCTCTCCTTCTCCTAACAACAAATGCACGCGCCGTACACTAGCGACAAAGCCCCATGATGATTTTATTCCAATACACTCGTCTTGTCCACACCCAAAATCAATGTGCAAGTCGTGCCGCGCTCGAGCCGCCGCCCCACAGCTCCCGGGGTCCCATTTTCGGCTTACCCAATAGCACCGTAGAACGCGCTCTTGACTGTGACAAGCTCAACCATAAGCAAGCCTCTCGATATAGACGTGTACCAATGGTTTCAGCGCCTTGGATATATACAAAACGTGACGGAAAGAGCGGGTTGTAGCGTGGCTGCTTGGTACTCCGCATTGGGAAGTCCAAACTTGCATTTTGTGTGATGAAGCACACGATGGCTTCCGCGGTGAACCACGAACCGTGAAAGTGAGTCGGTGGTTTTCTTCTTATATGTAGATAGATATCCGCTTGATTGTCTAGCTGTCGCTCAGTTGACTGTGTAACCCTCTTCCCAAGTCATTCTTTTCAATCAGTCACTCGTTTGCAACATGCTTCCTTTTTCGTCACTCGTTATCACTGCACTGCTAGGCGCCATAACTAGCAATGCTGCGCCACTTATTCAGGAGCGAGGTATGTTGGTGTTGCGGAATGCCTTTTGCCATGTAGACTGACCAGCGACAGGAATCGCTGCAGACCTTCTGAGCAGCTTCAAATTGATGGAGCAGTATGCTTCTGCGGCATATTGCTCAAACAACTATGACTCTACTGGTGATCAGATTGAATGCTCGACGGGAAATTGCCCGCTTGTGCAAGACGCAGACTCCACTACTGTCATTGAGTACAGTCGGTAAGTTCATAACCTGATCTTGCGCACATCAGTCTAAGATGAGACTTACATGACCACAAGCGACATATATGCTAACAACAAGTAGACAGGAGACCTCGACTGATGTTACCGGCTTTGTCGCTGTCGACCATACCAACAAACTTATAGTCGTCGCCTTCCGCGGCAGTCAAACCATCGATGCCTGGCGCACAAATCTCGACTTTGGCACCACCAAAACGGATATCTGTCCTGGTTGCACTGCTCATAGTGGTTTCTGGCAGTCTTGGACGGATGCGCGCGACAATGTATTACCCGCTGTGAAGCAAACGTCTGCTGCATTTCCCAGCTACAAGATCGCTGTAACAGGGCACTCGCTAGGCGGCGCTGTCGCTACACTAGCAGCCGCAAGCATGCGCAACGCCGGCTACTCCGTGGCATTATACAACTTCGGATCACCGAGGATAGGAGGTACCAAAACCAGCTCTTATATCACGAATCAAGCTGGTGGTAACTATCGGGTCACACATTGGAACGACCCTGTTCCTAAGCTGCCCCTGTTGACGATGGGATATGTTCACATCAGTCCTGAGTATTATATCAACAAGCCGAACAAGCAAGAGGTGTCGGCTAGCGATATTAAAATTTACGATGGCGCTGCAAACTTGAGAGGAAACATGGCGTGGCTTATTGTGGATATTGAAGCTCATCGTTGGTATTTTGGAAGTGTATACACCTGCGGTGCTAAGAAGTCGAAGCGTGGGACTCTGGAGATGAGGGGTGTTGAGGGAAACATGGAAGTTGTCACCACATTCTGAACAGCGTAAACCACTACAGATGTTCTCTTCAGTGTTTAACCAAGTGTATACTATGCTCAGTGCTCGATTCCTGTCCACCCTCTCCTTCCTACGAAGCCCTCGATTCCCTCATCGCTTTCCACCTCCCGTGCGAACCTTCCTGTGACGACGCTCCGCTCGTGATCCCGACCGCGGATGAGGAACGGCTTGAACCCTCCAGTCCATCTTCCTCTTTCGCTACCGGAAGTTTCCAGTTGAAACCCGCTATTTTGCCGATCGAGTTGAAGAAACCAGCGCCGCTGATGTATCGATCCGATATCATTCGAAGAGCCGGGGTATGCGTTGGTGGCGCGTGTCTGCTCATCTTCTTCTGTTTCGGTCTCTAGTTCTTGATTTCCTGCGCTCTCCTGTACAGACATGCCCGCAGGATTGTCCTCATCATCCGAGGTAGTAGGAGTTCTTGCTATAGAACTAGCTTGAGAACGCTTCGGACTCTTTTGTTTAGCCGTCGACCGTTTGGCCATGTCACTTGATGAGAGACGCAATACAACTGTGTAATTCTGTGGTAGTCGCGTGCCGTAAAGGCGTAGGTGAATATACCGAGCTTGAAAAGCTGCTATCAGCTTCAAATTCTCGTCATTCTCTCCGCCCGCACTTTTGCGCTCTCGCACTGTTGCTTCGTTATCTGGGCCTTCATCCGCTTCGTCATCATCCGTAGTCTGCGGGCTTAGGGTCTCATCCTTTCTCTTTGTTCTAGGCAGAATACTATACGTTCCAGTATCCCATATTATCAAGCTTCCAGTCTTTCTGCTTGCGCTCTCAATTAGATGGTTCCAGTAGTTATGTACCCTAGTCTCAATCGCGAGTCTACTTATACTCTTAGAGTTGGCATCACCAGGCAATCCCTTTGGAAGGGCGAAGGATATAGAACTCGTTTCCGAGAATTGAAGACGCAAGTCATAATGCACACCCGCGACGGGGTGGTTATGTTGATGAACGACGAAGTGGTGGCCATGCGGGTGGAGATTAGAATGATAGAGTGTAGCGAAGATATCAACGGAGAGTCTTGGGACATCGGATGATGTACACCTAGAGGCTTTGGCCAGCTGGCTTCTGAAGTAGGCGAGGTGATCAACGATCTTGACCTTGCCGGCTTCTACCGCTACCAACATAGGTAGGTTCTTTGGGACAGCTGGCTTGGTGTCTACAAGTGCGGCTTCTGGGGAGCCTGGAGGTGCACGCACAGTACCCGTCGCAGACTGTCTTCGCTTCGAAAGCGGCGGCGGCGATATGTCTCGTACGAGGCTTGCTGGGAGGTCCATTCCCACTATGGCTGATGTGTTGCCTGGGTAAGACTGAGAATAAGTAGAAACTCAATAGTTCATGTCTTTTTGCTCGTCAAGCTTGTTGCTGGGACTCGTGATTGGTGTTTGTCTAGCTAGCGTGTGATTTGCGTGTGATTTGCGCAGCGCGTTCACCAAACGTCGCCTCGAAGCAATGATGTCATCTATTCGCAACTTCCAGTGCTGAACACCACGGGCATTCCATAGATACTGTCAACGATCGTACGAGCAGTTGAAGGAGGCAGACGTCGGGATGCCAAAAGCGAAAGTTCCGGATCGTGACGAGCAGCGTACACGCGTCTGCAAGGTGTGGGGTCCCCGCAGGATCCGACACTGACCATTGGCTGTCGGCAGACTTCCTCGATGCCTGCTCGGCAAACCTGCCTAAACATCGACCACATCGCAACGACGTCCCGCGAACATAGACATGAAAAGGTTAGACGGCACCCATACTCCGCACATAATGAGGGTGAACGGAGAATGCAGGGCCTACCGATGGAGATCTGGTAGCTCTGGGCTGTGTGTAGGTGGATCAGCGGGCGGGTTGGCGTGAGAGTGAGTGTAGTATAAATATCCCTGTCTCGTGCTCTGGTACTTTCCCATCGTACTGTATCACAAGTATCTCCTAATCGCACTTTGGAGTATCTTCTAGTCATTTGAAGCAGCTTTACCATGTCTTTCGACACAGAAGTTCTCATCATAGGCGCAGGCATGAGCGGCCTGGGCCTCGCAGTTCAAATCGTTCGAAAGTACGGTCTTCGCAACTTTGAGCTCATCGAGAAAAGCGAAGACGTCGGTGGTACTTGGTTGGCAAACACGTACCCAGGGTGTGGATGTGATGTAAGTGATTCTCAGTCTTAATCGTTGTCAGTACGAAGACCTGTGCTAAGCTGAATAGGTTGCCTCGCACTTCTACTCCTATAGTTTTGCATTAAACCCGAATTGGTCTCGGAAATACTCTATGCGCCCGGAGATCCAGGCCTACTTTCGCTCAGTAGCTGAACAGTACAAAGTCGTCGACCACGTCCGCTTCCATTCGATTGTGGAGAAAGCAGCTTGGAATGATCTCGATAACGTCTGGGAGGCAACTATTTTGAACTTACAAACTAAAGAGCGAACGATACGGCGAGCGAAGATACTGGTATCTGGTGTCGGCTCGCTGTCAGTGCCCAAGGCATGTGATCTGCCCGGAGTAGAGACGTATAAGGGCAAGATGTTCCACTCTGCTCAATGGGACCACAGCTTCGACTGGAAGGACAAAGATGTCGTTGTACTCGGTGGGTCACAAGACTACATGTCGGTCAGTCGTTCAACAGCACGCTTACAGGATCTTAGGCAATGGCTGCTCCGCAACTCAATTTGTTCCTATCATGGCTAACGAGCCTAACCCGGTACACAAACTTGTACAATTCGGTCGACAAGCGCAATACCTTGCAGAGCGTCAAAACCCATACTATTCGAACACTTTCAAAGCTGTGATGCGCTACATACCACTGGCAATGCGCCTCTACCGTGCAAAGTTTTACTACGACATGGAGCGCGACTGGAGTGGCTTTGATATCGAGACCGGGCGCAATATCCGCCAAAATCTAGCGAAAGAGAACGAAGCATATGTAAAGAGCATGGCGCCGCCAAAGTATTGGGGCGCGCTTATTCCAAAGACCGAGATTGGGTGCAAGCGGAAAGTATTGGACACGGACTACTTGAAGACGCTTTGGAGGGACAACATTGAGCTCGTTGCCGATGATCCAGTGGAGAGAATTACTGACAGCGGTGTGGTCACAAAGAGTGGTCGTGAAGTAAGGGCAGATGCAATTGTACTTGCAACCGGCTTCGCAACGCAACAGATGTTGTGCCCGATGGAGATTGTAGGACGCGACGGACTGAGCCTCAACAAATACGTACGTTCAGCTCTCTAAACTACCAGGGAGCCATATACTGATGAAGGTCATAGTGGGAAAAGACCTCACATGGCGTCGCGCAAGCTTACTTTGGGACTGTGGTCCCCGACTTCCCGAACTTTTTCATCCTCATGGGGCCAAACACCGTCACCGGTCATTTGAGCGTCATCTACACCGTAGAGTGCCAGATCAACTTTACTCTCCGATGCCTTGAGTCTATATTCAAGTCACTCCCATCATATCGATCGCGATCGTATATTCCCCAGGTACTTGCACCACCACCAGCGACCGTAGAGGTCAAGTACGAAGCCGCAATTGCAGACTCGCACTGGACACAACAGGCAGCCAAAAAGCTAGTGTGGGCTTCTGGCTGCGCCAACTGGGCCGTCGATCCCAAGACAGGCCTAAATAACAGTAAGTGACGATAGGACACCTTAATACGGACCCGTGCGCTAACCCACTCAGTGATGTACCCTGATTGGCAGTTCCTCTATTGGTTCAGGAGCATATTCTGGAAGAAAAGTGATTTTATATATCGGAATGAGATGACGCAGGAGGAGTTCCGACCAGGCACTGGCAATACACTTTTCTGGCTAGCCACTGCGGGGATACTTGCGGGAGGCGCATTCTTAGGGCGAGACTGGATTCAGGATGAACTGCCCAGGAGACTAAAGAGTCTTGATGCGAGGACGTTGGTTCAGAATTTGACTACCTGATCGACGACAAGATCACCATCTTCGTCACCGACACCTTCAGGCAACAATATCTTCCGAACATGGTAGCTAAGATATTCATGAGATGGAAAGTATAGTATTGATTCTCCCCTTCAGGTCGAAGTGTGTAGTTTTTCTCTTATTACGGAGTGTTCGTCCGCCTGCGATGGCGTTGCCTGGTTGAGCGGTCATCCCTCCAGCAACGAGTGACCACTGCACCCAGATTTCCGCGTTCGCAGCTCCAAAGTCTGTTCCCAGTCGCACAATCAAGTCCGTTCTATTGTACGGGCTTTTCTGCAGGAACAATACCAGCAACAGAAGGGAAACCGGATTCGGCATCCGAGTGTCCTTTTCACCTTCACTTAACCAAGTCGTGTCCCAACCTCTTCGATTCCAAATTTTCAAGCCCACAAACCTTTTGTCAATATTGACCACACTCTTAGAGAGGTACCAACGATAAATTGCTTAGCTCTTTACACAATCTCCGGATCTCTACTCATCTCAAGCAAGTCTTGCCTTGATCGTCTCATATCTTCCAACCTCACAATCCACAACACAAGAAGTCTCCCAAGATGTCTGCTAAGAGTCTCCTTCCAACTTTTGCGGTGGCAGTCAGCCAGATGGCCGTTCAAGCTGCAAACACAGTCTATCCGACGGACTACATCGTCGAGCATATCCTCAAGCTCAGCAACTACATCATCGATCTCGTTGGCAGCAGTAATCTCTTTGGCAAGCCCGAACTCGACCTCTACAGTCCCAGCCTAAATACCTTATTCGCCCGCCTGCAAAAGAAGCAGGTCGGGCCCAGTCTGCTGCCCCCTGGCTTTCTCACTGTTGAGGGCATTCACGAGCGAATCTACCTACGTTCCGACCAAGAGGTTGCTGACCGCCCTCTCGCCGACTACGAGGACCTATACTATGCGCTGGTCGCGCGCATGCAGGAGATGCATCAGCTGTTGAACCTTCGCATCGACAGTGGCTTCAACGATACGACTCAATTCGTTTACGAAGGCGGTCCAAGCATCGCTGAGTTCTACAATAGTCTGTCTGAGTACTGGAACATCCTCAACAACCCGTCATGTGGTAAAGCGCTTGACGATGCAATACGTGAGGCGAGGGTCCAGGCGCTCCACTACGAGCTGGTCTGGCAAGTCGAGAACGACAACATGTCAGCAGAAGATGCGCATAAGCAATTGGCGGAGTTATACAGCACCAACGTGTACAGCGGTATCCTCGGACTTCACTTCGTTCAGGACTGGGCGCCGACTATGATCGGTGCTTACTTGGAGCAGAAGTACCGCCACATGCTCAATCTGGAAAAGGAAGAGGCGACTGTCAAGGCGAGACAAGAGCGTCGCCAAGCCAAGTCGAGAAGCATGCGCGAGGCTCTTGCCGGTACGCCAGCTGTACAAAAGATTCCTGATCGCCGTCGCCCCTACGCCGTACGCAAGGCGGCAGACAACGCCAACACCAGAACCCACATCGAGGCCGACCACCAGTACCTATCCAAGGAACAGGCATCAGTGCAGCACTCTCCAAAATACCGAGCCGAGCTCCACCCGGGTCGCCACCACGAAGAGCACACCGCCACTATCTACGAACAAAACATAGCGGAGGCGGAAGACATGCTCATGCTTCTCGAGTGGCAGATGAAGACGCAGCGCGTATCAGAGTACAGTGACTACCTCCGTGCTCACGCTAGCCAGGACTCACAGCATGCGGTTCAGAGTAGCCAGAGTTCAGTCACGGACAGCTTTGTCGGACCTTTCTCCTCTACCTTGCCTCGTGGTGGCAATGGAGGTGTATTCCATCACCCAGATATGGATTACAGTCAGTATATGGAGTTTTAAGGGTGAACAACAACCTCGATTTGGTAAGAAGAACGGAATGGGTTCTAGAATGGGTTGACGATGCCGGCGACGTATGAGCAGATCATTGAATGACTGAGTAGGCGGATGGGCAAGTTTAGGACCGTATACCCCGTACTTTCTTTAGCTAGCTATTTACATAGATGATGGGGAATTGGAATAATTGATCTTCGATGTTCACGTCGTAGCAATTCCGTGCTTGATCAAGTATCGAGATATAAACAATTCAAAAAGGCCTCACTGACTCCATTTCTTACTGCATATACTCCGGATCGACCTCTATGATCATATTCTCGCTAGAACCGCCCGGTCTTGGTCCTACAAATTTGGGTACATGCCATTCATCCCGATCGCACCGATCGAGCTCCCCAGGGTCTTGTTCCTGGCAGTTGTAAAGGTTTAGAGACTGTCTTGGTATCAGCACGCAGCCTGTCGCCTACTCAACAATGATAAGACGGTACCGTACCTGTAAGCCATGCAACCTCCCCACCGCCGCCCTTGCCTCCTCCCCCAATATCCCCCCACACTCCGCTACATCCAAAACCCTCAACTTCTCCCTCCCTTGCCATTCTGCCAAAATCGTCCACAGTGCTCTATCCAGATACCGACACCGATCCAGCCCCAACTCCCGACACCCACGACTCTCCTTCAACAACACTGCCAACTGTTCAACCTGCAAATCGCAATTCTCCAATCTCAATGCCACAAGCCTTCGACTCCAAACAGGCGTCTCTTTAGTAAGCAACTTCCAAGCCTTGCCCTGCTCCTCCCGCTCAACAGCAATACAAGATCGCTGTTCACGTCCCATGGCACTTCTCTCTATCCTCAGTGAAAAGCGACGTAGAGAACGTAACCTTGCAATCGCACTCGCCATGGGCAAAGTCAAGGCCCAGACACTTATCTCAAGATGCTGAAGCATTGCTCCATGGCGCTTGAGTATGCTGGTTATAAGTGCACTTTGAAAATTGAGCAAGGTCCAGTATTCGACGATTTGAGCTGTGGGAATGTGCAGCCAGATGGCGTAGGAACCTTTTGTAGTAGAGCTGGTGGGTTGATCGAGGTCTAGCAAGTTGAAGAAGGGGGTTGAGAGGGGCGATGCCGAAGGATAGAGTGTGGAGATTGGCATTGGCGAGGGAACGAGCGTAGTGGGACGTTTCTGAGAAGCGGAGGAGAGAGGATGTGGGTAGAGGGGTGAGGATTTGGTTAAGGATTTCTGCAGGAAGATCGAGGAGGTGTGTTGACATGGTTGAGATATTTGTTTAGGATGGGGAAAGAAGGTAGTGCCGTCTACTCTTATGTTTATAAGTCGAGGCTGAGTGGAGTCTACATGTAGGCAGACGTCTTGGTCCCATCGCATTTGCGAAATCCATCCAAAATATATACTCACTTACCCACATCACATACGCTGCATCTTGCATCTTGCATTTTCCTCCCATCCTCCCATCCTCCCGTCACCACGGCGCTTATTCATCTTCCCCAAATGGCCATTTTCCCTTAAATTAAAGCAGATATTCGTTTCGAAGCTGCGTTGTTGTGGCGTCAGGCGTGAACCATTGAATTAGCGAATGCGCCACATTGACGCTATGTAAGGCGACCCCCAAACTGCCTAAAATGGCGTTAGTAGAGTAAGGGTTGCCCTTCGTCAAGGGCCTCGAGTTACTATATACAGGGTTTGTCGCAATTTGAAGGGGTGTGGCTGCATAGGATGGAGATGGGTTGTGGTGTCCCGCATTGAGGTGGTTGTCACATACAGGTGTGATGAGGCGGAGCTCCGAGTGGCACAGTTGTGTCACTGCAGCAGGATTACATGGCTTTGCTGTATTGATTGCATGGTAGCCTGAAGGTCGGAGTCGTCGCTGCACCATGTTGGTCAGTTGCTCGCCGATGTTCACGGGTGAATGTTCGGGGTGTAGGATTCGGGGATCGGGGTTGCTGCATGTATGCATGCACGGGCTGCGGCGTCATATGAATTTCGCGTATGTCCGATATAGAGACGTTGAGTTGGCTCTCAACAGCTGATGATAAGGACTGATGATGTGTGAGTCTTTTCCATTGTAAGGCTCGCAGCATGCTCCGCGAAGCTGAGACGTTTCTATTCACCCCTTCTCTCGTGTCGCATCTGCAAGAAGCAGCTGTAGCGTCCGCGAAGGATGTAGACCCAAGGTATGCTCAACTCGCTACAGTATGCAAGACCTTAGCCCTCTCCGCCAGCACCACGCTCAAACACCTTCACGCTACCATCGCTCTTGACCTGATATAAGAACTCCTTTCCTCTCCCACTATCATCAGCATCCTGGTTCTCTTCGATACCAAAGCCCACATCGAACCATTGTCTTCTCTGCTCAGTGACGCGTATCACACCGCTCACGTCTCTTGCAACACCAGTGTCTAATATCCTCACGCCGAGTATCCTCCTGCTCATATGCGCGCACTTGACAAGCAGGTTATGGTGCGCCACTTCGAGTGGCTGCGGAGGCGTGGAGAGGCTGAGGAGTGGGTTGTCGGCTTGTATATGCGTGAGGATGTGCGATACGCTCGGTAGTGTGTGAAGCTGTAGCATGAGGGAGGTAAAGTCAGAGGGCGTAATAGCTGGGTTCAGCGCAAGGAGAAGATCCGGATTGTCGAAGATGAGGAGTGTCTTTCGTTGAGCGGCAGAGGTAGAGAACGAGGATATGGCGGTGGAGATGGTCGTCTTGATGTCTGCGATATCGAGGCTCTTGAGTGTATGGTGACCTGGCGCGCTCTTGTTTGCACTCGCAGGCCCGTTCGGGGCGTTCGTAGCTGATGAAGACGCTGTCGCTGTCGCCGCCGCTGCCGGAGCCGTTGGAGGTGGCCCTCTTGCAGGTACTACCCGTCCGGGCGGCCCTCGTGCAGGCAGAATCTGTGGCCCTCTCTGCGCTGGTGTCGCGTTTGCTACCGCAGCTCGTGGTGTCGTCTGTATTTTCGTCTGTGAGTCTCTACTGGGCGTATTGCCATCGGTCGCATTTCCACCAGCACCCAGTCCGTCAATGAAGGCGAACTGTCCCTCCCTCCTCAGCTTCTCCAGATCTAGAGCTGCTCCTTTCCTAGCTTCCTGCCTCCAGAAGTCGTATTCTCTCATCCATGACACCAAGACGACGTTGTACCCCTCATCCCCGCCATCTTCTGGTGTGGTAGTGCTCAACGCATTGCATAGGAACCGAATGAGCAGCCAATTCGCGCTGGCGCCGAGTGTACTCGTGAACAAGAGGACCGAGTCGTCGCGTGGTAGTTGAACATAAGGTTGTAGCTGCGGTGGTATGCGCGTCGAGGGTGGCATAGTGACGTGGGCACCGAGAGGAAATTACGAGTTGCGCACAGTGTGCTGCTTATCGATACCAGGCGTCGTCGTCATCGTCATAGCGGTTGTTTTCCTCGAGAAACCACTCCCACTGTCAATAAGCCTGTTGTTTATGTTTTCTATTTTCTATGTTTTTTTCCGTAGTTTCGTGGATTCATCTACTTTAGTTACACTTAACACGAGCGTCATAGGCCAGCCAAAAACGCCAGCAAACCCTTCCTGCATCCTGTGGCGCATATTCCGTGGCGCTCATGTCACTCTTAATACTGGTTTGACCATGCTAAATCCTACCGTAGTCCCCGGTTACAATTTTCGGAAAGCTTGCTCTTTGCACTTCTCGAGTCACCGCTTTTCCGTCAGTCCGTCTCAGTTTCTGCTATTAAACTGAAGTCCAAATCCAACAGCTCTCCGTAATGCGTAACGCCTGCTTCGGTTTCGACGGCTCCTACCTCGATTTCTGCAGCCATGGCTGATTCAGCATGCTTCTTTTGTCGATTCGGAATGCCTTGTTGGATACATAAAGAGTCTAGCTGCCGTGTGACGGTGGCTCCAGTTGCAATCTTGCCCAATTCACTAGGGAAGAGCCAGGGGAAGGAGATCAATGGCATGTGTTCGGGCTCCATGGGTCGCACTGGAACTTGTTGACCACCGACAGTCTTCGTCTTCGTATGACACTCGGATAGTGCCACTTCCATCTCTTTAGCGGTAACCGTATACATCGCGGCAACAAATTTCCCTAGGCGGCTCCCGTCTGCTACGCCTTCAACAGCTAGTCCTGCAGCAAATCGACACTCTTCTCGGTATTGCGACTTTAATGCCCCAATAGTCCTACCAAATTCTTCTGCGAATTTGTAGTCACGGCTTTCATGATTGTGTAAAATGACGAAGACCGACCAGGCTTCAAATTCGGTTCGAATGCCATGCTTGGCCATCAAACGTCGCAATGATTCGTCGTATGAGACCTTGACTTCCTTAGCTTTGGTCAACAAATCATCTTCGAGTTCGAATTCGAAGGCTCCTAAGATGCGCTTGTCGAACGGATTCTCCCACTGCGGCTTGAAGTCCACCAACTGTACTTGATCGTAAAGCATTCCCAGTACCTTCTCTGAGTGATAGATCCGGTGTTCAGGAAAATGCTTCTTGCCCATGAAATGCGGCCACTTCATTGGCCTCAGCTCACGGGTCATCTCAGCTGGCAAACCGCTCTTTGGAAAATCGACCGCCTTGGAATGGAGTTCAGCTAAGGAAAGGCACTTCTCATCGTTCACACCGTCGGCTTGGAGGTCGGCTTGTGCTAGATGTGCGTGTGCTATCTGACCAAGAGAGTCGTTCTTCATGTAGGTAACGAAGAAGTCAGCAATATGCGAAGCCGTGATTGGGTCTTCAGTTTCGATGGGCTTCTCAGCTGCGAAATTCATAGGTGGTACGTTGACCATGCCGGGTATCAGATCAGCGTCCCATAGTACCATGTAATCGTCTCCGTCAAGGTCACCACCTGAGCACATATTGGCGAGATCCCGATCCCCGGTCTGAGGCAACACAACAACATTCTTGAGGTGATGGAGTCCTGGTACGTCCACGGCGCGAACCACCCGGAGATCTCCTGGATGTAGTGATGGATTTCGTGCCAAGATACACACGCCCTCAATAATCTTGTAGTGACCCTTCTTGCTTGTGTCATCGACTTGCAAGAAGATCTCCGGTAGTGTCGCTAGTTTCTCATGCTTCGTAGCGTTAGGTCGAGACTGCGGATCGTTTAAGTGGCCTTGGAGCGTCGCTGTCTCATCAACACAACCGAGTACGAAAGCACCATCTTCGATGGCGATACGAGCCTTCTCTTTAAGGTTTTTGATAGTACAAGCCCTCCAGACCTTGAGAAGGGACATGAGAAAGGGATCTTTAGCTTTCATAAATCCACCTAGAACCATGCCTGCCATCGTTAGAGTAGTCTGGTTCATGTCGATGTGCTTTCGGAGCTTCTGCAAGGCAACCCCCTCATCTGTCATGGCGTTTTCGTAGTCATTGATCATCTCTTGCTGCTTCCTGATAACAATGGAATCGGGAACACCAAGGTATGACAAGACAACAATGATCTGACGGTTGAAGAATGGGGTGGCAAGGGACGACGACCGGATGATCTCGAGACCGTTGTGGGGTGCCACAAACTTCAGTTGGCTTGGTCTGATGTGAACCTCGGGGCCAGTAATCTTGGGATCGAGCGCAAGTACTCCTTTGCAACCACCAAGACGAAACTGGAATAGAGATGGTGGATCATCAAATGCATGGGCCAATCCAAGCTCTTGGGCGGCCATCTGGGCTAAGAAAAGCGATATCTTGCCGACGCCGTCCGTGAAAGTATAATCGCTGCGTATGATATCAGGGATAGCTATAACCCTGACGTTATCCCGCATCGCGCGAGTGGTTGAGAAGCATTGACCGAGACGAGCACCGAATTTGGCCACAGTCTTGATATGACTGAAGTCCCCTAGTGAGACGCGAATGTCATCGGCGGATTTAGATGAAGTAGGAGCGTAAAAGTATGCGCCATGTTCGCGAAATTGTGAGTTGCCAAATGCTAGGAACTCATAGTACCTTCCCGCGACGACGATGCCGTGGTTCATGGCACGACGTACCCTGTCAAACGTAGCCTCGGCCCTTCCGTTAGGCATGTTGCGCAGCTGACCTTCTGTCTTCTCATCAGAGAATTTTACTCGGATGAACCGATCGCTGTCCGCAGCATGCTTGCGGATGATGCGATTTGAGGTTTCCATAATAGGCGATGCGATGTGCATCATGGTCGGAGTGATTGTGACCGATCGCTGGAGGACGCAGTAACTAGGAACCTTCTTTACAAGGCCCTTAACCCGGATGCTGAATATTTCCACCGGGTCATAGTAGATATGCTGTTTTTCAACAACTTTCTCAAGTATATAGACGGCACGGTGAGGATCCATTGCCACAAGCTTCTCTAAAAAGTCGCTCGTGATGCTAAGTTCTTTCAAATAGCCGTTCGACAGGCAAGCCTCGAGCTGGTACCGGACTGGAAAGCTTAGGTGAACTTGACCAGCGAAGAGGTCGTCGAAAACTGATCCCTTCGAAGTGGGCATCGGTTCGAGATGCGGGTGGGTGCCGGATATCTCTTCCTGTAGCAATGACCATAGAGGCGACGCAGCATGTTCTTTGACTGTGTACTCGCCAAGATCCTCAATCAGCACTCCGTGGTCGGCGAGTGCATCACTGAAGTCCTTGAACTTGGGCCCAGTCATCACCGTTGCATCAAAGGTCAAGCGAAAACTGGTCCATCGGCCTGAAGTAGTCAGTTGGGTGTTCATCAGGAATGACAGGTAAGACTTACCAATATCAATGACAGCGGTGTTCTTGTGATTCATCAACGGTGAAGCCTGGAGTTTCTTCCTGATCGTGTTGTTGATTATATCAGTCGCTCGGAACCAAGTATTCCAGTCATTCCAGAACCTTTCTCTGGAAAAGCTGGTATGCTGCGTTCCATCCTCAAGATATTCACCTTCTTTCCTCTGCATGTAGAATTGCGGTGGAGATTCGAATGGAATTATCAGAGTTGGCTGGTCAGTGGCACTGTCGGTGACCTTATAGATACGCGAGAGCAGAGCAATTGGTAAAAGAAAGCGAAATTTACGCATCTCGTTATCCATGTTGATGGAAAACTGGATGTCGAGCTCTTTACGAACGAGGTTCAACATCATGCGGACACCATCTGGCGAACGCAGGGTACGCATAACGATCATGCTCTTGTCTGCCACCGTGATACCGAAATCGATCCCTTGCACTGGCATAACATTGAACTCGTAGTAGGTCTTTGCAGGGTTGGCAGGGCTCGGAACGGTCTTGACTTCTGGAGAGAGTATCTCAGATCCTAGGAGAGCGACACCGACATGTATGTTTCGATGCGGTATGTCTTTGAGGGGAGGAGGCCTATAAGATGGAAGTTAGAGTGTATTCGTCTTCACAAGACGTATACTTACCGGAAGACGACATAAGCGGTATTGTCTCGCATGCCAGGGACCATGTCGACCCTGAAGACTGTGCCGAACGACGACATTGCGTGGTACACGTCTTTTATCCAATATTGCTTGGGTATGCCTGACAGCCTGATCTTTTCTTCCTGAAGATGGGCCCAGTTCTGGGCTCTACCACTCAAGGTTGGTCGGTGTGAATTGCGCTGATCAACTGAGTTGTAGCGTGGGCGATTGCCTCCATATTGAGGTGATGCTTGAGTAAAATGTCTTGGTGGGCTGGTAATTGGTGATCTCGCGACGTAGGTCTCGTTGATGCTGTGGCCGTTCAAGTTAAAGGAGGAGAGCTGTTTAGCTGGCGTAACGGGTGAGTCCACGCGGGCTGGAGAATTGATTAACTGTTCAGGAGTTTTCATGCGAGTATGAAGTGCCTGGGTAGATTGAGAGGCTAAAGCGGGCTTGAGAGTTGGCCTGTTCTGGTTGTACTGGCCATTAGAACTACCAGAGCTGTCAGAGTATGTGCGATCACCGCCTCTATTAGCACGATATCCGCCACGGCCACCGCGTTGATTGCCGCGGTACATATTGCGGGTGCCGAATGATTTCTCACTGTTGGAGCTCGTCTCTGATTTCTGTTTACTATGTTGAATCGGTTCTCGCCCCGGAGTATAGGATCGCGCTGATGTGGAACAGCTGGTGTTCAAGGCAGGAGTTGAGTCAATGGGATATTGGTCAAGAAGATGACGATCCATGTTTGTTTGTCAATGTACTTGCCCTCGCTCTAGCCCTCAGGGAATGACGGTAGGAATGAGAGGTGGCGGCAACGAGCGGCCAAATCGAGAGTGACCGCTACTTCAGGAAGGCCCACTCTAGCGGTGCCGAAGCGACTGCTTATGGAATTTTGGAAGCGTATACTGACGGCACCCAGTCTTTGAGAGGCTGAAATGAGAGGACGGGGACTTCTGTTTGCTTGGGATGGGCAGGCAATGGAACAAGCGTTTGCTTGTAGCCGTTCTGCATCCGGTAGGAGCGAGTCGCGACACCTGTGCTCGATATTTGCGTGATGACGTCGGACTGAGGATTATGTGAGTTGGGAGCTGAAGGGTCGCCTGCAGTTGGAAGGATTTTGGAATAGATGTATTAGATAAGACAATGTCTCAGCGCAGTTGAGGTAGATAGAAAGCCTTGGAGGAGCAGTTGTATGAGGAAGGTGCGGGGTCAAATCCAGAGCTGCTACTTGACAACGTGCCTGAGCTGAGACGAGAAAGGTGCAAATGAGGAGCGAGCTAAGAGCTTGAAAGGTACTGGTTGGTGTGATGGCGAGTGACGGGAAGGCACATGGGAAGAAAGCGGGTAGCCGTAAGGTACAAAGACTAAGAAAACGTCAAACAGAGAGACCGAAGGGGAATTGGGATTTAGCGAACAAGAAAATGCTAGTAGTGCGGTAAAGCTGGTAGAAGGTAAAAGTAAAGTCAAGACCTCATGTAAGGATAGACCGTTGGGTATCTCAGAACTGTTAAATGTCTCGTGCGCCATGTATCCAAGTGTCGGTATTCAATGCGCAAAGGAGAACTGATAGCTGACTGCCTCGCCTTCCTGCCATGCCATGTAATACCATACCCTCTTACTCACAGTTCGGTCATAGTCTCATCGTCTTCCACCGGCATGCGCCCAGTCCCTGACATAAAGCCTGGAGTAAGTGGTGTGCCTGTTGTAAACTCGTCGTCGATGTCGAAATCTGTCTGTTCAAGAGGCTGAAGGCTACCTCTGGGCTTCCTGACTGACCCAAACTCACTAGCAGGGTCTTCTCCCTCGCCATCTGGCAACGTGAACCCAGCGGCTGTGTGGCGGCGGTTCGGCGACACTGGCCTCAGGGCCCGCTTACTTGATGATGATTTGTGTGGGTGCGAGACTGGCTTGGAGATCATATCGGGCTTCTGAGTGTAGGGCGTTTGCATCGTTGGCACTTTGAACGCTGGCCTCGGCTTGGCACGCTTTGGTGTCGGCCCACCGCCTTGGGAGGAGTTCGAGTCGGCCGATGACGGGAAAGATGCATTTTCAACATTTTCCATGGCTTTATCAGATAGTCCCTGAGCATTTGACCTAGCCTTCGGCATGTCCTCTTGAGTGTTGATAGCCGACTTGCGTCGTCTGTGAGTTCGCGGCTCTCGTGTGTTTTGGGGCTGAACAATCTCCTTGTAAGTTCGAGAAGCGGGTCGAGCGGGCAACAAATGCATGGCCATCATCTTCCGAGCGGTTCTAAATTCTTCAAGTTCCTCTTCCTGCTCTTTGCAGAACTCATCAAGCTCTTGAATCCTTATCTCTAATGGTGGTATCAAGGCTTGAAGATGCTGAACATCGCTACGTGTCTTCTCGTGATCATATCTTTCCTGTTCAACGCTGCCTTGAGCATTGTGTAGCTGAGCTTCTAGCTCTTTGCGTTCGATTTCAGCTTTCGATGTGGCAGCTCCCAGATCATTGGCATGCTTTGCTACAAGCTCTCTCATCGTTTCTGCCGACGTTTCTTCGAGCTCATGGTAACTCGTCCGCAAGACGTGTAACTGTCGGAGTGCATCCTCAAGCTCTGCTTCTTTCTCTTCTAAGTGATGCTGGTGCTCTGTTACTTGCGCTTCAAGCCGTACAATGTTTTCCGATTGGCGAGAAGCATTTGCACGCTCCTGTTCAAGCAAACCCTCAACTTCGTGGCTATGATTCTGGTACTGCTCGCACTGAGTTGTGAGGTCTTCATAGTCTTTCTTGTGCTGCACCTGAGATTCCCTGAGCTGCTCTATAGTGAGGCTCAGCTCGTGAATCTTCTCATCGCGAGCGCCGATGGCCTTTTCGTACTGGAGCATCGTTGAGCGAAGCTCTGACTCCACTGTGCTCAATCTTTCGTGAGCGGCATTCAAAGCCTCAGTTGCATTCCGCTCTGACGCCTCCAGAGAGATCTCTACTTCTTGTAATCTGGAATATGTTTGCTCCTTCTCCTTCGCTAACTCGGACTTCTGTTGCTCTAAATGCTGTTGGTCATCCTTCATATCTTGCAGTTCCTTGTCCAGGCCATCTATATGATCGATATAGTCCTGTCTTTCTTGGTGTAATGACTCGATTTGCTCTTCGAGATGAACAGTTTTTTCTTGAAGTTTGATGGACTTCTCCTTCTCCAGCCGTAGCGGCTCTTCGACTGTGTTGCAACGTGCCTCGAGATCACTGCATATCTGTGCCATGGAGCGCATGACGGCATCTCGCTGATATTTGCTTTGGCTTTCTAGCTCCGAATCGAGTCGCTTCCTCCAATCCTCTAGGTGCTCGCCCGTGTATTGCGTGCTTGCTTCTTGGAAGAGAGAAATTGAAGGTTGGTTCAAACTCTCTGCCGAGTGCAAGCAAGCATTCGATACTGAAGGAAGGTTTCGCTGTTTCTTGATAAGAGCAGTGATGAGGGTATGCGGTATCGTTGACTCTCCCGGTTGCGCCGTGAGAGTGATGGTGAGTAACGAAGCAATCGTGGCAGCGACTAATCGCCTACGGACTGATGCTGAATGTGTACAGCAGCCGGTGCCTTCTTTTGTTACAACAGGATGAGCTAGGTTCGCAAGTTTCTCTTGCAAGGTCTTCGATGACAGTGCACGCAGCACAGTAGTTCGTAAGATGCCAGATGTCATCGTAGCAGTGGCCAGCTCATCGATAGTATCAATAAGATTAGATGCCTCATGGGAGCCTGGCTGCGAAGCACACGCTTCTAAAATGCCTGATACGAGTGCTACTATGGTGCCCTCTTTGATCTGCACTGCATAGACCGGCAGCGAGACTGCAAGAAGCTCGACAAAGCTTTCGGGCTCTGCTACACGAGGAGCCTCCAATATACACGTCTCGTAGCGTGCGACGATGTCTTGCGGTAAGCTCTGGGGATTCGAGAGTACGCCAAGGAACGACAGAGCCTCCAGCTGAACAGGTACACTCGCGCCGGAGTTTTGTACTTTGGAAAAACACTTGCTGTACAGGGTGACTGCCGAATTGCTAGACCGGGGCCAGTTATTCTTTACGTCTTGGCCAATGAACTGTAAAGCTCTAGATGCAATGCGAATGCCTTCGACTGCCTCTTCATCCTTCATCCCTCCTCGAAGAACCCACACCACGTTCAAACAGGTCAGCTCAATGGTCTTGTATGAGTCTTTCGTTGAACCAAACAACTTTTGGCCTGAAGGTGTTGCCCAATGTTGTCTCAGCCTTTCCGTAGATGTCGGCTCCTCATCAGTAGGCAGACCTTGCAGACCCTCAACTCCTTCAGGATGCTCTGTGATGAGCACTATACCTTCTGCCCATAGGAAAAGCATAGAGGACTGTATAACTCTCTTCGATCTGAGTATATTGCACAACTCTGTGTCAAACCGCTGCTTCAAGTCCCTCGGAAGAAGACTGTAGAGTCGACGACATGCTCCATTGAGCATGCGATACACTGATCTCAGTGTATCGTAGTTGGGTTGCTGTGTAGCGTTTTCGAAAACATTAAGGAAGAAGGTCTGTGCTACAGCAGGCAAAGGTATCGCCTCAGGCAGTGGACGAGAGAGCAGGAGCACACATAGCTCGGCGTGCTACATAGAGTTAGTCGGGGATGTACCTTGAAGTTTGCGTACTCACCTGCTCGAAGTCGGACTTGGATGAGTTTGCCTTCTTCAGCAGAGAATGAAGTAGTGTTGGTTTCAGGACCAGTAGCTCATCTCGAAATTCTGGCGCATGACCTGGATCATGTAGTCAGCTCGATTGCGTCCCTGGTATCAGGGCAGAGTGCCTACACAAAAGATGCAGCACATGCAACGTGTAAGCACTCAGAGGCAGTGCATCGAAGACGATTCTGGCCAGCCTGTTCACCGCACAAGGTGACCGGTCTTGGACGCATGATCGGATAGTCGGTACGTCTGCGCGAGCCAGAAGATCAGATAGGTTCTGTGGAATCTCGCGTCAGCTCATCAATGATGGGATGCATATGCAGCGAGTCATGTGCTCGAATTTGGGGGCATGCTAGTAGTGCGACGCGAGGATGCATTGGGCGTTGGGAAGATGAGGGGCAACACGTACGGATAGCGAAGGGGGGTACAGACACTCGATAATCCTTGTCAGTTCGGATGTCAACTCTGCGCTGATATCCGCCATGTCCGCTGAGTTGACTTGAGTTCGGATATGGGCCGAATAATCGTTGTGGAGCGCGTTTGTTGTGCATATGGGATGCGAACGTGTTTGCTGCCACGTTCGCCCGACAACCGAACTAGGCGCCGAGATCACCGACTTCCGTATTGGTATCAATGCACGCGACCATGCAACATCTCGCATCCTGTGCTCGCACATCCACATACACATCCATGGATGTTTGTCCCTTGACGTCAGCCATCTACGGATCGTACAGCCGCTGTGCGCAATATTGCTAGTCTTGCAGGCGTGGCGGGGCTTGTTCTATTCTCCGCTTCCATATTGCCTCCCATTGGCGGTAATAGATTGTACGCTTTTTTGCTTTTGGCAGCTCCCTCTGCCTTGCGCTTAATAGCGCTCTACGATGCCGCTCAAGGGAGACATATACGGCATTGCGCTCCAGTAGCATAAACCTGCCTACCTAGAAGCTGTAGCCGTTGCCGCGGCATTTACAAACCCCCCCGGGTGTTCCGTCTTCACCGACAAGCAGAAGCCTAAGATCGCGCGTGGGGTGTAGCAAACGTCCATATGCAGCATGTTCCCCCCACTCACTCGATTGTCAGCCAGCAGCTTGGCTGCACAGACAAGAGGAGTAGGTTTAGTGAGGTAATCGTATCACAGTCGTCCAATCGACCAGGGCAGGTCTGCCGCATCCCTCAGCTGCTCCACAAGGCTTCCAAGCTTCGCTCTTGAGCCTCAAAAGCCATGGGCATCGGATGTCGAGGTAGGCGATCGTTCCTGGCATACGCCTCTTCTGCCACCTATCTTGACCTCGAAACGAAAGCATACATTGCAGAAGCGCACCTCGCAAAGTTCCAGATCCACAGCTGCGGTCCTCGTCTGCAGCCGTTCGGGCCCTAGCGAACGCCTCGTCACGCGACGGCATGTCGTTCGGAATGTCATCCAGCGTCACCTGTCGCCACGATGCATCTCGAACCAACACATTTGCTTGTCATCGCCCTGGTCTTCCCCGCAACCACCTTGCGTGTGTCCAAGCCCCCCTTGCAGGTGATCATGCACGACTTCATTTGCTGCGTGAGCCGAAAAATTTGATACATAAAATCGGGAATCTAGTCAGCCTCCCACGCTATCACTGGTCCATCCCACGAATACTGGGACATGTATTGCGACTTTACCTGTGCGCTGGCCAACGATGCTCAAAGCGATGCCCGAAAGAACAATCGCGCCAATTGCGTTTAGACTGAAATATCTCTCCCCGCTCTCACTATGCTTGCCGTCCGGCCTCTAGATCCACATAATGTGTAAGGCAGCCTTGCTACTATCCTCTACTCTACTCTTCCATCACCCTAGTTCGGTAAATGCGTCCTGATCCATACTTAGCGAAAGTGGGTTCGACTTTTCGTTCTATCAACCATCTCAACAACTGATTGCATCTTTCTTTCTTTCCCCTTCGCTATCAATTTCGTCATGTTCCGCCAGCCAACAGCGCGACTGAGGCAAATAGTCTCACCTTTGCTCAAGCGTGGCGCTCGAGCACGTACCGGAGGCGAGCAGACATTCAAATCCAAACAATTCCAACAACCCTTTTGGAACTCGGGAAGGGTCCTGCTGTTTTCTGCAGTTACCGGCACAACTACATACTTCTACGGCGCCAACGATGAACCTCATAGGATTCAAATGCCATGGCTCAAGTCTTCAGGGCCCCAATATGCGTCCAAATACGAGATGGAGAAGGTAGGTTCTCGAGTCGTGCAAAGATTCGCACGGATCGGTCACTCACCTGATGCAGGCAATTGAAGAATTGAGGACGACGCTCGGAGAAGATGCAATTAGTACCGACGATGAAGATTTGCACAGACACGGATACTCAGAATGGTCTTCCATCAACATCGACCAGCTCCCAGTCGCGGTAGCATACCCAAAGTCCACTGAAGAGTGTGCCTCGATCGCCAAAGTTTGCTACAAATACAAGATACCCATGAGTATGTTAACGAGGACACACGAAGGGGCGGGCGTTGATAGTGTACAGTTCCCTACTCTGGAGGATCAAGCCTGGAGGCCAACTTCTCGGCTCCATTCGGTGGCATGAGCATCGACTTTTCATTCATGGACCAGATCATAGCTCTGCATGAAGATGAGTAGGTTTGCGATTTTCCCAGCATGCCAAATCGACGATACTGACGTGGACACGTAGTATGGATGTGGTAGTTCAGCCTTCCGTACCCTGGATGAGTCTCAACGACCAGATCAAAGACTCGGGTCTATTTTTCCCAGTTGATCCTGGCCCATCGGTACGTCATCATATGTTACACTGCTTTGCAATCAACATCCGGTAGCCCGAACACGGAAATCCGAATTCATGTTAACGGACGTGGCAGGCTCGAATTGGAGGCATGGTGGGTACAAGCTGCAGGTAAGGTCACAGATAGTTAGTGACATGGTCCCAATCGCTAAACTAAATATCCCAGTGGGACCAACGCGGTGCGATACGGCACGATGAAGGATTGGGTCATCAATCTGACCGTAGTCCTTGCAGACGGCACAGTCATCAAGACAAGACGCAGGCCCAGGTATGCAAAGTTGTTACATTTTTCAATATGAGACAGACTAACGATCTCTAGAAAATCTTCGGCCGGATACAATCTTACCAATCTCTTCGTTGGCTCCGAAGGAACACTCGGCATAGTGACTGAGATCACTTTGAAACTCGCTGTGGTACCACAAGAAACCAGCGTTGCAGTTGTGACCTTTCCAACAATCCGAGATGCTGCAGCAGCAGCTTCCAAGGTGTTGCGCGCCGGGATCCCAGTGGCTGCGATGGAAATTATGGATGACGTGCAAATGGGTGTGATCAACAAAGCCGGATCAACGACCAAGAAGTGGAAAGAATTACCAACCATGTTCTTCAAGTGAGTTTCCAGAACAACCTTTTCGCATGTGAAAGCACGAGCTAAGAGCCGCAAACAGATTCTCGGGAACCAAGGCAGGGGTATGTCAGCCCTATGCGATCTGCAATTACCCAGAATGGAACTGACTGCATACAGGTACAGGAGAACATTGAGCTGGTAAAGTCCATTTCCAAGAAACACAAAAGTGGAGACTTTGAGTTTGCTGTCAGCGCAGAGGAGCAGAAGACATTATGGTCAGCGCGCAAGGAGTCTCTGTGGAGCATGTTGGCGCTCCGTCGCGAAGGTGACGAGGTGTGGTCAACAGATGTTGCTGTGCCTATTTCCAGACTGCCCGACATTATCGGTGTGTTGTCACGCTAAGTTCGACGTTGAAGCAGGGTTGCTGATTTGTCGACAGAAATCTCCAAGAAGGAAATGGACGACCTCGGCCTTTTCGCGAGTATCTTGGGTCATATCGGAGACGGCAACTTCCACGAAAGCATCATGTACAACAGCAAGGATCCCAAGGAGAGAGCAGCCGTCGAGAAATGCGTTCACGATATGGTCGACCGTGCGCTTGAGATGGAGGGCACATGTACCGGCGAGCACGGCATCGGCCTGGGGAAGAAAGCATCATTGCAGAAGGAGCTTGGTCTCGAGACCATTAACGTAATGAGAAGCATCAAAGGCGCGTTGGATCCGTACTGGCTCATGAACCCGGGAAAGATCATGGACGCTCAAGCGTAGAACTGCATGTCAACACGGCACTTTTCTTTTCATTTCTGATTCTCGGCAAGCATCCATAGGGCGGATGTCTGACATTTCGATGCACCTACTAGGGGCATACATAGATCTCTTAGCATTTCCATCATGGGTGTCATTCTAGTTCGGTAATAAAAAGCATGATGTATGGCAAGAAATAAGACCAATGCGAGCGTTCGAGATGCGGACATGGAGACCTCCGTGATCGGCTGGTGTCGCGTTTTCCACCCCACCCCCCGCGTCATACCTGAACTTTATGAACTTCATTGACTCAATTTCTCAATTCCAGTAACAACCACAATGGACGCTGAAAAGTTTACATCTCAAAGCAAGAGCTTTCCCAAGAAGAAGTGCGGTTAGTACAACTTCCCACTTGAGGAGTTATTGACTGACTCAACCGCAGGTGTGCTCGGCGCGACTGGCTCAGTCGGCCAACGCTTCATCCTCCTTCTCGCACTACACCCACACTTCGAACTACACGCTGTCGGAGCCTCTGAGCGATCAGCTGGCAAAAAATACAAGGATGCCGTCAAGTGGAAGCAGGCGCTGCCTTTCTCCGAGCGTATTGGAGAATTGGTAGTGAAGAAATGCACGCCTGAAGAGTTCAAGGACTGTGACATGGTCTTCTCTGGTCTCGACAGCGATGTTGCTGGAGATGTTGGTAAGTGAGCACTATGCGCTCAGAGTACGAATCCTGATGCGTTATAGAAATGGCCTTTCTCAAGTCCGAACTCGCCGTCTTCTCCAACGCAAAGAACTACCGCCGCGATCCTCTCGTACCGCTCGTCGTACCCACCGTAAACCTCCCTCATCTCGACGTCATCAAGCACCAGAGACAACACTACAAGCTGGAGAAGGGTTTCCTCGTTTGCAACTCGAACTGCGCAGTCATCGGCCTCGTCATACCCTTCGCAGCGCTACAAGCGAAGTTCGGTCCCATAGACCAGGTCTCAGTCGTCACAATGCAGGCCGTGTCTGGCGCGGGCTACCCTGGCGTAAGCAGCATGGACATCATCGACAACGTCGTACCCTTCATATCAGGCGAGGAAGACAAGCTCGAGACGGAGGCATCCAAGATCCTAGGTAGCGTCAACGACGACATCACAGGATTCGTAGATCAGCCCATGAAGGTCTCCGCAGCATGCAATCGCGTGCCAGTACTAGACGGCCACGTTGCATGCGTATCGCTACGCTTCCAACGTCGTCCAGCACCAAGCGCAGAAGAAGTCAAGCAGGCGATGCGTGAGTACGTGTCTGATGCGCAGAAGCTGGGATGCCCATCTGCACCCAAGAATGCCATTGCGGTTATGGAGGAGCCAGATAGGCCGCAACCAAGGCTAGACAGGGAGACAGATAGGGGATATGCTGTCAGTGTGGGCCGGATAAGGGAGGATGAGGCGGGCATCTTTGATCTCAAGTTCGTCGCGCTTAGCCACAACAGTAAGTCTAATTTGCACGTGAAAGTATTCAGGATATCGCTAACTATACGCAGCCGTCATTGGAGCGGCGGGATCGTCGATATTGAACGCAGAAGCGGCAGTACTGAAGGGCTACGCCTAGTGTTGAAACCAAAAGATACAATTCAGATCCAAGAAATGTTCATTTGCACAACTCCCAAAATTGAGAAGTGTCTAACAATTGAGTGCTTTTTGAACATGATGTGAGATGAGACATCGATGATACTGTTTCAAGCTCCAAAAAGATGTCATCTTAATGCCAGCAGCTAGAACGATGCTTCGCTGTAGCTCGATGATCATGGTACGACATTTCATAATTATTCGGGTGGAACAATCTACATTGATGTTGCGCTGGTGATGGTCGGGATTCAGAGACACCTGCGTTGGGCTTGGCGGCGCTAGTCCCTCGCCTAGCACACGCGCTAGTGATGAATATTGATTCTCAGTCGAACTCTTGCTTTTCGACGACAGGACTTCCGACAACCTCGACGACTAACCTCACATAACAGTCAACATGGCCCGTGGACCCGTCAAGCACCAGAAGCGCCTCAGCGCGCCCTCGCACTGGCTCCTGGACAAGCTGTCCGGTACGCTCAACCTCCGCAACCGACGCAGAAATGGACATGGCGAGATCAAAACTGACGAGTTCCAGGTGCCTACGCTCCCAAGGCCTCCCCCGGTCCTCACAAGCTCCGCGACTCCCTTCCCTTGATCATCTTCCTCCGTAACCGCTTGAAGTATGCGCTCAACGCCCGCGAGGTCAACGCCATTCTCATGCAGCGCCTCGTCAAGGTTGACGGCAAGGTCCGCACCGACTCGACCTTCCCCTCTGGATTGATGGATGTCATTTCCATTGAGAAGACCGGCGAGAACTTCCGCCTGATCTACGACACCAAGGGCCGCTTCACCGTCCACAGGATAACAGACGAGGAGGCACAATACAAGCTCGGCAAGGTCAAGCGCGTCCAGCTTGGCAAGGGCGGAATTCCCTACTTGGTTACGCACGATGCGCGAACGTAAGTTCCCGCTCTATCAGCCGTTGGACCACAGTTTGGGCTAGGTGTCTGAGGGAAACCTCTTTCACCAGGCATACGACCAGGGTCTGGCTATGTCAGAATTGCTGCTAAAATTTTGTGTAGAATCCGCTACCCCGACCCAGCCATCAAGGTCAACGACACCGTCAAGGTCGACCTCGCCACTGGCAAGATCACCGACTTCATCAAGTTCGACACTGGTGTCATTGTCATGGTTACCGGTGGTCGTAACATGGGTCGTGTCGGTGTCATCACTCACCGTGAGCGCCACGACGGAGGCTTCAACATTGTCCACTTGAAGGATGCCGTTGACAACGAGTTCACCACTCGTGAGTCCAACGTTATGTAAGTTGGACATGCGATTACGAAGCAGAATACTCTCTAATATTTTTTCTTAGCATCATTGGAAAGGAGAAGCCATGGATCTCGCTGCCCAAGGGTAAGGGTGTCAAGCTCTCCATTGCTGAGGAGCGTGACCGACGCAGGGCGTACGCCATCGCTGGCAACTAAACGTGTCGCGGGCGTAGATGTAGGTTAGCATATGAAGTACCCATGAGTTCATGACCATAGGTGCAGGACTCGGATCCTAAAATTCAGGCGTTCGTGATTACCTGTGGGGAGGTTGATCGGATCTGGAGTATCTGCATTTCCATACGAATACCATGTGAGGTCTGAGAATCAAGAAAATAAACACTTCAGTCTTTCCCCAATGAATTGCTTTGAACGAGCATGCTATACGTGGAGCCGCGCAGGCCTTGTGACGGCTCGGATCGTCTTGTACCGAACGAGGTAGATGCGAAAAGCGTCAAACAAAGAGGATCTCGCGTGGAAGGCGATAACTGTGGTGATATAGGTTGGTGGCGTTTGGCTGATCCTTTTCTGGGATCAAGCTGGGGTCGATAGGAGGGCGCTATGTTTGTGCCCTGTTTCGCGGCGATAAGGCATTGCAATCTATACAGCCGCAACGTCGCAACGTCAACAAAGCAAATCATAACCACGATGGGTGGTGTTGATGCTTCGCTGCGCTGCCTCAGGACTAGGAAGCTGAGCGTCTGTGTGTTTCAGGCTTTCTTAGCAGCCTCGTTTGAAGCACACGGAAGGCAGGCGTTGTGTGTACCTGGAAGATGACAGTGGGTCGTGCGACTAGCGAAATGAGACGATAGATATCCTTGTCGTAATACTCGGGAGGGCAGCGTGGACGCGCGTGGGACTCCGACTGATGCTCCGAAGACAAGCAGAGTCGCAGGGTAAGACATGGTTGCTGCGAGGGGCCAGGGGCGTGACACGATGGCCTGTTCGTGAAAGAAAAATACCGCTGTTCAGTGTCTCCTACAACAAGCATACATTGACTGCGTGACGGTTTCAACGTCTGGATCAACGTCAACGGCTAGATAGCGTGCCGCCTTGCTACCAAGTTTCTTCCAGCAACTAGCCGGCATAGTTCCAACGCTCGTTACCTTGCGCAATTGACGCCATTCATTGGCTGCGCGTCCGCTTTCTACTGCAGTTCAAGGCTGTCTGTCGCTCCTTTAGCTATCCAACCCTCCAGCTGCGCCCACCACCTGCCCCCCAAAGCCCACCACGCTTCCCCGCAACCCCAATCGCCCAGCGAAGGCCAACTTGGATCAGCTGTGCGCCGTACCGCGGGTTCTGCTATTGTCGCACACACGCTTTGAGGCATCAATGACACAGCAGGCATTACCTGTGTAACCTCACTCGTCGCTCGTTTCACGTCTGGGGAAGAGTCGCGCGCAAGGCACGTTTACGACTGCGCCTACTGCCACACGACGACACTGCGGACCGCCCGCCCCTTCACACTTGGTCGCGCAAGCCTCCGACCGATCTCTTCAACACACGCCGTCGAATCTCGAGAGCCGGTCTCTGGCGAGCCGGAATTACACGCGGTAGACTCCGCCATTCTTCGCCGTCATGTTGCGCCCTGCGACTCCCTTATCGATACTATTCTTCGTCGCATTCGTGCTGCTGCTGCTCTCGACGCTGTCGACGCCCCTCATCAAGAGCATCCCCCTCGCTACCTACCGCGGCGTACACTTTGGCGTCCTCGGCTACTGCGAGAATGGCGACCAAGGGTGTAAAGGACCCATGATCGGGTACAACACTGGTATGGCCCCATGCATCTATGTATTGAGACGTGACGACGATGCTGATTGTGTGAAACAGAGAAACTATTTGCAGGCGAAGACAGCTCCGACTTCTCGCTACCCTCCGCCCAGCGCCATGCCCTCTCCTCCATCCTCATTGTGCACCCCGTCGCAGCCCTCATGACGCTGATATGCTTCGGGCTCTCCGTTGCAGCCCACTTCCACTCGCCCGCTCATTCCCCGCGTTACCTGCTCGCTCTGCTCATATTCACGTTCCCAACTCTTCTCGTCTCACTGCTCGCTTTCCTTGTTGACATCCTGCTGTTCGTTCCGCATGTGGGCTGGGGTGGGTGGATTGTCCTTGGTGCTACCATTATCATCGTCGCAAGTGGCATCGTCACCTGTGCTATGAGGCGCACACTGGTCAGTCGCAAGGCGCGCAAGAGGCGCATCGCCGAGAACGATGAGATGAACGGCCAGACTTACTATGCGAATCGCAACAACGCGACTGTCACTACCGAGTTTCCCAAGGCTGAATCGCCACCTCCTCTATCTGGCGAAACAATAACATCTGGAGGCATGCCGAATGGCAATGCGGCCTACTTTGACTCTTCCAAGGCATCGCCGACCGACGACATGACGCCTCTGAACCAGCGCAATCCTTCGCTCAAGACAGTCAGCAGTGGAGGGGACCGCTCAGACAACATGAACCCTCCGAATCGCGGTCCCTCTGGTCGTCGACAGCCGATGGACCAGTACGGCAACCCTGTTCCACCCATGCCAAACGATGGATTCGCCATGATGAACGGTGCACCACGCGGAAGAGGAGGTCCAATGAGGGGTCGAGGAGGCCCACCAAGAGGCGGACAGTACGGTGCTCCAAGAGGAGGAGGCTACGGACCAAGGGGTGGCATGCGAGGACCTCCACCACCAGGATGGAATGGTGGCGGACGAGGTGGACGACCTCCGAATGGACCTCCAATGCAAGGTCAGCAGCCAATGGGTCGCGGAGCGCCTCCGCCAGGATACAACAACAACAACTTCTACAACCAAGGGCCGCCGCCCCGTGAGCAGTCACCGTATGGCAGAGCTCCACCGCCTGGTCAGGGGCCACCGTTGCCAATCGGCCAAGCCATCGAGATGGACAACCGCACAGGTACACCTCCGACAAACTACGGACTAAGAGAAAGTGATGGCGACGTTGCAGGCATGCTTGCTCTTCAACAGGGTGGTTTCCCTGCCGGTGCCCCCCAAAGGCGGCCATCTGATGGCATTATGAGCCCAACCAGCGAGTACTCCACAGAGTGAGTATTACGTACAGTCGCGTCTAGTACATAATGCTAACAGTGAACAGTGAATCAGCATTACGGCCACCGCCTCTACAGCAACAACAGCAACCACCAATGCCACAACAGCAGCAATATATGCCAGTGCGAGCAGGATGGAATCAACAACAGGTTCCATCGGACCAGACACTCAGCACTTTGAACAACAGTAGCCGCGGTCTGTCGCCAATCCAAGACTCGCCTGTTGAAATGCCTGCTCAGACGTCCCAAGTCGGTGGTCCTAACAGAGTAGAACGCAGTTCCGATTACTACGAAGATGTAGATCCCAGGTTCGCAGAGCCCCCACAAGTTCACGCACCTCCCCCACTACCGAGCTCCCTCATGCCTGGTGGTTTCGCTCCACCCAACCCCAACTTTCTTTCCACAACCAACTCCAGCGACACCAACCTCCCACGCAACAGTTCCTACGATGACTTACCGGAAGGCGCACGCTCACCCGCCGCAAGTGAGGCCTCACACTTCACCTCCGTCTCACAACGTCCCGTCAACCCCAACTGGCGACCCGAAATGGGTGCCGCAGCTGGTCAATTCGCGCCTTTCCCTGGCCCACGTAGACCAATGCGCCAGGAAGATGTCATTCTAGAAGCCAATGCCGCGAATCCCGACTTTGCTATTCCTGGCGCTGGTCGCGGTCGCGGTCGAGGACGGGGTGGCCCTGGTGGTGGTGGTGGTGGTGGTGGTGGCAGAGGAAGAGGGGGTCCTATGATGATGCCTCCTGCTACTATGATGGGACCTGGACCTGGGTTGTCGAATCAATCAAGATATCCGGGTGCTAATGCCATGTAGGGCTGGCAGATGACTTCCCAACAGTAAGAAGGTTTTTTTCCAGAGGGATGCTCTTTGTTCCCTTGTTCTCCTTTTTCTTCTTTTTTTTCTCTCGCCCTTCTGAGGTCTTCTCTTCTGAGGTGTACAAAACTTTTCGTTTGCATCTTCACACTTGAGCATACCTTAATTTCTAGTCTAGCAGCGAGTTGGTCATCCTGGCCGTCGTTGCTTCTTCTTTCCTTTTTGTTTTTACTTCACTCCGCTGGACCGGGTCGAAGGAACATGATCCTCTATCGGCCGTCCTGAGCTTCAACGTCCTCATGGTAGCGGATACCTCCTCAGCTGATTTTGTTCTTGTTGTCTTTTTGATTTCCTTTGACGAATACACATGAGCGGCCTCTTTTTCTCTTCTGCTTCTGCTTCTCTTGTTCTCTTCATTGCGAAAGGGTTAGATAAACGATTAGCCCTAGAGGTGGGCGGACTTTTGCATTTTTGACAATAGGCTCCCGGATGAGGGGGCGTGGAAATGGTTTGGGGTGGCGGAATGTACATAGGCTTCTGATGGGGGGCTTGAGGGATAACTGTTGGTAAGGATTGTCTTGCATGGATGAATGGATGGTGGCAAAGCGACTGGGAAGATAAGATAGCGAACAACAATATTAAATCTTTTTTACAAGCAAGACAGTCATGACATGACATAACACCAGTAGTGCACCATCGAGGCAGTTTTTTTTGTGTTGTGATGGTCGTTCGGCAGTTTTATCTCTTGGAACGTAGTGAGAGGTAAGCGTCATGTTGAAAAAAAGGATAAAGATGTAGAAAGTATTTGGCACAAGTAGATTTAACATCTATATCTAGGACTACTGCTTGGGCCCTTCCGTCCGTGATTGAGGCTGTACCTTGTCGACATCAGGCGTTCGATACATAGGTAGTCGTTGCTTGGGTAGAGAATATTGTGAGAACCATGGTATGTGCTGGTAGGCCGAATCCAGCTGCATGTCCACGGTGTGGCGTCTGTATGGAATCGTTAACTATACACAGAGACACGTTATCGAGTCATGGTAGGGCCGTGTTCGTAGATGTACTACATGATTCAAACTAACACCTCCAAGGCTTGATGTTGACGCTGAATGCCAAGCCGGTATATAGGGGCATTCCCAGGTGTCAGTGTTCAACGTTTATAGCTAAACATCAAGTTCTATTGCGTGTCGTGCAGTAGATGCGCAGTAGTACAAGTCTAGGCTCATCACCCTCAGCAGCCGTCTCGGACTACGTTCCGGCGTTGTCGTTCAAGTGTTGAGCTGCGCGGCTGAAAATAATGCTCCCGCTGAACCTTCCAGCGTCGTGAAGAATTTTCCGTCGGATACGACCAGCTGCGGACCGCCCACCATTATGTGCATCTCCGGTGTAATAGCATCCTAGCTCAGGACTTCCCCAGACGTGAACTCGCGATGACGAGCTTGGCATTACACATCGCGCACTTTGAATGCACCGTCCCCAGATTCTACCCCAGAATTTTTGCACTGGTGCTTTTGTCATGCTTACCGCTGTCGTATCGAATTTGCGGGGTATGAACTGCTCGGTAATTGAGACCGCCAACCTTTACAAAAGCTCGCGATGTGCCTCGTCTCGACGCCGCTAGCCATGTACAATTGCTCAACATGAGCCCGATAGCCTGGCACTGCCTAGCAAGGGCAAGACTCGACAAGCAGTGCAGTAGCGCAGTTTGCAGTTGCCGACCAAGCAGAGCCTCGACAAAGATAACGGTCTGCACATTTTCGCATGCTACACCTGGATTACGAGGGCATTACGAAGCTTGTGCGATAGGTCCCTTTGTTCGATCGAGGCGGTTGCGATGGCAGTTTTCCCAGAGTCATGCCGGCGCCTGGATGCACTGATACGGATAGGCCTGGACGCTACCTTGATTGACGCTCCGACATCGTCACGGGGCATGCGTGCAGACGCGGCTTTATCTTGGGTTGAGGTATCGTGAAGCAAGATGATGCTGTCGGTGGAGCTAAGCGCGAGCGCTAACCACATCTAGTTATCAATTCCACTTCTTTCACCCCACTTTTGGATGATTGTGGGGTAACCGTTGATCTGGCTTATCTCCAGAGTCTCAACATCCTCATGATGCTTTTTCAGCCACGACCTTCTTCACGAGCCCGTTGCCGATGATAGTTCCAGGCGATGCGGATAATCTATCCATCGTGTGTCCAACTTTTCCGCTCTGCGGGCGTCCTCCCATAGAGGGGTTTAAAGGCGGAAAATGTCAGGGTTGATCGCTGTGGCTGGCCAATCAGCCTCACTCTTATGCAAGAAACGGATACACCGGGGAAACCTAGATTGCTGAAAGGCCGAAGTTCGGCATCTAGGCTTAGACTCGATGCATCAACCACATCAGCGACACCTTTTTATCAGCTGCTATCATGGCCCATCCCAGACTAATGATAGGCGAAGGAAACCATCGGGTGTGTCACTGAACCGTCACGCGCATTTGAAGGGTCGTTTCCGCATTGTCTGCATCCGCATCTTAAGTCCTATTACTTCGCACCGGGAATCTCACCCCATTGTCGTTCGACATTCCCAGACCTCCCAGACCTCACCTCTTTACCAAGTCTATCCACATCCTCAACATGTCTGCACTGGCTCAAGACAAGGTTTTAGCGAGAGATCTAAAGGCTAAGAAGACCAAGTCCAGGAACGGATGTGGTCGATGCAAGCTCAAGAGGGTAAGGATTCTACGTCTTTGCCTACTGCATTGACCCACTTGCTAACAAAAGTAAAGCTCAAGTGTGACGAGACCGCTCCCGGTTGCTTGCAGTGCAAGAAGAGGAACGTTGCATGCCCTGGCTACGAGAAGACTCTGAAATGGTCGACAAAGTACGAAGTCTTCAACCCCAGCCAGTCCAAGTCCACATCTCCTAGGCCTAGATCGACACTCGTCGCTACCTCTACTGCGTCTGCGGCAGCCAAATCACCCCTTCCCCAGAACGTCGCCAGCGGCATCGAGGCTGCGTTGGCTGCTGTACTCCCTGCAGGCAGGAATAACATCGCCCCTACACAACAACTCTCAACAACACAGACATCATCAGCTGTCCCATCTCCACCAAGCTTCGAGGAACCAACCTCGATACAAGAGTCTTCCACTGAGGATGGTGACTCCCCTCGTGAGTACGAGCCTTTCCCTATGGAGGACATCAACAACATGGATCCTATCATGCTCGACGGATTCACCGATGCTATGCAAATACCCAACGAAGACTTCAACTTCGACCCATTTGAGAACATCGACTTCGACTCTGAATCGCTGGAGGACCTTGCCTTTGACATGCAAGACCTCTCACAGAAGCAAGACATGACTTCCTCGTCATTACCTATGATGGACCGGGAATCAACACGGGAATCTAGCCCCAGACTCTCTCGCTCATTGCTTCTTGACCTGTATCGTCTTCCAAGTCCTTCTCCAGACCCATCCTCCCCGGATGATGTAGAGTCGCTGCTCATCCAGCATTACTTCAAGGACGTCTGCGGCGTATTTTCTTCTTTTGATTCCGTTCTTAACCCTTTCCGGACTACCATCGGTCGCATCTACAAGGAGTGTCCTTCTATTAATTACGCGATCCAATCCATGGCCGCCGCACATCTGGCCAACACTTTCCCCAACATGGCGGCAACAGGCCTTGAACTACAGCGCAAGGCCCGCGAGGCATTGGAAGCGGAGCTCCCGCTTGCTCAGAGAGATCACAAAAGTACAACCAAAACCTTCTTGAGCATCATGCTACTGGGTCTCACCACCTCGTGGCACGATAGCAATGAGCTTGGACTAGAGTATCTGTCTATCGCAAGGGATCTGATCCTACCTAAGCTCTTCAGTCGGTCGGGAGGCATTGAATTCGAGCGCGAAGCACAGTTCTTTGAAGAGTCCTTGATCCACTGGGAGATGCTCATGGGCTTCGTGACAGAAGATGCGATGAGCTTCTCTCCCAAGTCAGGACTACGACCTAGTATCACCGCCAGGAAGAAAACTCCTGCTGCACGCGGACCGCAAGGCAAGATCGTGCCCCATCCTTGGACAGGTATCGCACCAATGATTCACTTCTTGTTTGCTGAGGTCGGTCGCTTGGTTCGTAAGGAGCGTTCGATGGACCGCGAGGCCTCCATGGACCTTCGTCGACGGCAGGAAAATCTCCAGAACGCTGCTTCGCTCGAAGAGGACTTTCTAGCTGTCGAATATCCATCAGTCGATCAGGTCATTGACACGGGTGATGAACGTACCCCCAAGGAACACTTCGTTACCATGGCCGAAGCATACCGTCTTGCTGGCTTGTTGGAGATCTACCGCGTCTTCCCTTCCATTCTGCGCAAGCGTTTGGGATCGGGCAAGCCCAAGGGTTCCGACAATATGGACTTTGACTTCCCGACCCCGCGATTTGAGACAGTCTACGAGGATACCGACATGAAGCTGTGGCTCAACTCACTTGCGATGCATATTATTGGGTCACTCCAGTCTCTGCCTTCTTCGTCTGGCACGTTCTGCATCCAGCCGCTTCTGCTCGTCGTTGCTGCCTCGGAGCTGAAGTTTGTCTCCTCGATTGACTTCTTCGATGTTCAAGCCAACGACTCAGAGATTGTCGTCGCTCGTGAGTTTGTCATTAGGCGCCTGCAAGAGTTCGCTCTTAGGTTACCTAACAAGCCCCTTCGTAAGATGATCCAACTTATCAAAGAGACATGGTGCCAGTCTGATGAGGGTCACGATGCTTTCTGGATCGACGTAATGAATGAGAAAGGTTACCACACCATCATGTGAACCAAATTCTGTCAACCTCTACCGGCATAGCGAGCGGGATCCTGCGGCTTCCTTCAACCAAAACTCCGTCCTTTCTACGATACACTTACGACTCTACATTAGCGCTTTTTCTGGATACGGCATTTCTGTACGGCGTCCGACATCCTGTTCCTGTTTCTTTTTAGCGCGCCATTCCGGAGATTAATCTTCTGGTCTTCACCTGTACGACTGTACCCACAGTCCTCCGATACGAACTCTAATGTACGGCTTCCACCTAGACCTCTCGGTTCTCAACATCCCGGTGATGTGAAATGTGGACTCCTGGCCTTCTGCGACAACCATCCTAATACGACTACGATACCCCTTCGCGATACCCTAGCGACTTTACCATTGCCTACTGCAACAAACAAAATCTTTAATACTGGCACCCATATGGAATGCCCTGCCAACAACCATCTACCCTTCTGCGACTCTATCCCATTACGATACTCCCAGCTGCGAATCAGCCCACTGCGATAACATGTCACGATGACTTGTACCAATATCTGGACCCATACCAGGACCCCGTTCTGCATAAAGACATCTATCGAGATGCCCATAGTGACAACCCAAGCGACCTGATTGTTTTTCCAAGCGACAAACCTTCCTACCAAGCAACAACTAATTCTTCTTTTCCACCTTTGCGACACTCTTGCTGTTTGTACATTAGTATTCCTCCTCTTTCAGGTAGGTATGATTAGATGCTTCCATGTGTTTCCCGATCGCGACACTTCGTCCATTGCGGCCGTGCATGCTTGCGCCCACCTACCTGGCTCGACCGTTTGCGCCCTGCCACGATTGGACTGATGCATCGTTCGGGTGACCTGTATGTAAGTTGTTTGCTGTAGCGATTTTTCTTTTTCTTGCTTTACGATACCCATTTGCTTTCTTGGTTTGCAATATGCCATCGCGCGCTTCCTAGTGCGATTTTCGTTTTGCGCACTGCGACACGAACGATTTGGGTGGTTGCATATGCGAAAGAGGGAGGAGGGTTCATGGATGGGAGATGCCATCGTGCTGTAGCACAGACATTGCCACTTAGCTTCCTGGATAAAACCTAGGAGTGCGGGGTATGCTGGAGATCGGGTGGAGGACCATTGTTGAAGTGTGTCCGCAAGTGGCAAGGCGGGTGAAACCGCATGACATACAGCGGTAGATGAGGCCCAGTTGTTTGCCTGGACACATGTTATAGCACCGCACCATTTCACCATCACGCCGTCGCATCGCTGGAATATGCATGCAAGGTAAACATGTAAAAGTGGAACGTGGAACATAATACATTCATGCAAAGCCGTGATGTGGGTAACACTACATCACAGGCCTGTTCGCCTCATCATCACTATCATCGTCATACGCAATGAACTCCCTCCTCCCACTCGATGCCTGCGTGACAAAGTATCGTGTCGTCTCGTACGCTCGCAGCTTCTTCTCTGCACCTGGGCTGCTCACCAAGTCTGCTTGCTGGGGGCCAGTAGGGATGGCTAGGAGACGTCTCTCCGCACCCGACAAGCGTAGCCTGCTGTGCTTTTCGCACGCTGGCTTGGAGGTTTCTTTGCTTTCCATCCTAACAGTATAGTCAGTACGTAATCCAGTGGAATATATTAGAAGTGGGTTGTGTATCTTACCATTGTTTACCCAAATGCACACCCTCGGCGATACAGGCCAACACCGCCGCCACAAGAATAATCTGAAGCGCCCATAATCCCACAAACGAGCTCTGAAATTCGGACGGCGACGAAGATTGAGCTTCTTGGTGACATACTATCCTCCCCTGCGGCCGTGATGTGGACTGTGCTTCATCATAGCTCTCCTTTTCCTCTTTACTGCTCATCAACACAGTCGTTGGCACCGGCTTCTGAGCTTCCTTGACAGCTCCCCGCATATATGAGTTGTAAATTTCCGGTTCGGTATGCTGCAACTTCTCCAACTTGGATCCTAGACTCGCGCATACATTGACTGCGGCCACGGGACTTGGCAGAGCGTTTGCTGGCGACCAATGCGCAGCTGAGGGTGTATATGCTGCTGTTGCAGGAGCCGGTGACGATGGGATATCATTGACGATTTCGCAGCGGCAATGTGTTTGTGTAGGTGCCGCAAGCGTTGTAGAGATGATGAGGGTTGCAATAAGCGATGTAGAGAGTTTGGCGAACATGTTTGTCGTAGTGATTGGACTTTTCTCGTGGCGATTGAGAGAAAAGACGATTATATGGATATGATTCCTCCCACTTGCAGAGCCACGCGCTGTGACGTTTATACCAAGATGAGGGGAAGGGGCGCAGCAGTTGTGGTTTTCTTGCTCTGTTCGGACCGTTAATGCTGTTGTCTCGGGCGTACTTGTGCTTGGTGGGCTAAGATTACATACCAGAACCAAGGATTGGGCTTTGAGAGTGATGTAAGCGAGTTGCTTGATGATAAGCCGTTGATAAGTACTGCGTTAGGTCGATTGCTATCTGGAGACCCGATAGGTTAAACAGATGGAGATTAGGCAGTAGTTGGGTAGGGAAGTGTGGTATTGCTGATGTTGGTATTTATAAAAGGGTGCTGATGATATGCACTTGCAACAATCGCAAACAGTACACGAATAAGATGACTTCGAATTACTCAAAAGAGACAATAGGCGGAATAGCTGAATGCGCGCAGCGGCAGCCCAGTCTATATGCAAATTCTGCTTATCACCCCATTCTGCTTCAGCGCAGCTGTTGTATCAGCTACGCCCATACCACAGCCGGCCGTTTCGTACAGTAACATCTCGCCGGGGGTGTAAGCGGGAAGCAGAGACCGGGGTCTAGGTCAGGCACCGCCCAGGGTCCCGCGCTGCGCTGTGGCTTTTTGCTGTAGCTTTAGCCGAGATGAGCACTGGTTTGAGCAGTATACGAACGGCGGCTTGTCTGTAAGGAGGTTGAGATGAATGAGTTGGTGAGTGGGTATACTTCTTTGGAAGGTCTAGGTTAGATTGCAAGGTCATTGGTGCACTGGAGGCGCAGCTGCACGGCTGGGAATGAGTTGGAGCTAGCGGCCTCCCCGCAGATCTCTAGCATGACCGCTATGGCTTAGATAGATGGATGATGCTGGTGATGTTCATGTCACTCACTAAGCCATAGTTGATGTTTAATGACGAACTTGGTCGCATCTTGCTGCCCTTCCAGGTTTTGTTCCCCCTCTCACAAAGCGGACCTCACTCCGCTCGCTTCGCTTCGCACCGCTCCTCACAAACAGGGGCTCCACTCACGATCACGGACTGCGAAACGCTACTCTCGCACACGGACGTCCGCATACAGTACTAACCCTTTTCTAGCTCTAGCACAGCTATTTTTCCTTCTCCCAGATGCATCTTCTCGAGTCGTACCTGAGGCTGGAACGAAGACAAACACCCTCGGCCCTTCCCCACGGCGGCCACGGCAGCGGCTATTAATACTCTTTTCTTTTTTTCTCATTAAGCAGCGGGGTCTTGTAGTACCTTACCTCGTATATCACGCGATCCTTTTTATTCCTTGGTGTGTGATAGCGCGAGCGTTCTGGAGGGCTCTGGACCAGATCGTTGCGTGAGTGATACGAGCACCGAGTTACTCTCACCACCCTCAATGATGTTGTTGTGTGTCGCTTGGATAGCTTCTTTTCAGAGTTAGGGGTCTCGGCTGTCATGTCAGATGTCGAACGCGGCGTCTTCTCCGTGCGCCGCCATTTAAGCATTGGAGAATTCTTGCTGGATGGCGGGCGGAGGGCCAAACAGTTGGAGTCGTGAATTACCTTTGCTTCGCGAAACGCATGGCTTGAGCTTCCGAAACCGATCTTCGTGGCTAAGAAATGCCGCGGAAAGCTTGTGGTTGATAGAGATCAGGGTGGAAGCGTGTGATGTTTCATGTCGGTGGGTCTGTATGCCGGATGGCAACATGCGCGGTTGATATCATATCGCAGGATTGCACCACAATTGTATCTTGAGCAGGGTTGTGGAAGAAATCGGTTATGAAGGTGGAAGTAGTGGGGTTGTTGAGCATTTTAGCGACGAGGTGATTTTCTTTATAAAACTTGGTATAGTATTGAAATTTCTCGCTGGCTGCCGTTGCTCACAGAACGTAAGGAGCCGTATGAAGAGGAATCTGGATACCTTCACACTCGCTGTATGGCGACCACAAATCCCACTCTCCCTAATCATTAATCGTCCATACCTCACCATTTTCAAGTCTCTCTCTGAGCCCATCCCAAGTATTCACATAATCACGATCAATCTTCAGCACCTCTTCTTTTATGATAATTATATGTTTTTTGGCGTTCACACAACTCGCTCTGAATCTCTGGCTAGGATGCCCTTCCCTTCGCCCCTCTCCACAGTTCCATCTTCCCTCTCGACCTCTTGACTGTCTTCTTTTTCAGATGTAGCACCCAAAGCTCGACATGATCCGCCCTCCCCGCGTAATTTTTTTTCAATATCGCTATTATCATAGCCTTGCTCTTCTCTTCGTCGAACTAGATCATACCACAAAACCGACACCAGTTTCTTCTCGAGATGATCCACTGATGGAGACAATCTTGACCAACAATATGCCAGCATCCGGGTGTCCAGTTCATGACTGCGATGTTACAACTTCGCATAGGGTTACAACTTTGTGTGCACAGGTAGTATGCATTTGTCGACTAGGCCATCCCTATTGCTCTTGTTGTAAAAAAACACTATGGACGATGGTGGTAGTGTGAATTTTTGATTCACAATCCCTATAGGGCGCTCCGAATATCAAGATAGTGGTCTCTTCAGCCCGTAACAAATGGGCGCGGATGCGGCTGAAGATAAGTACGCCAATATATTAACTCTAATCATATTTCCTGCATATACGACCATAGGACACTGGAAGTAAAATTTCTCTCGCAATCCGTCAAATCTCGTCGTGCCTTGTTCGGTGTACTAGCACACAATACAGTGTACTTGTGGTGGTAGTCTGTACTAACACCAAACCGAAAAGGGTAAACTGCGCCACTCCACAATGCGGTTATGCGACATCCAGGATGCAGGCTGTTGGAGCCTTTGCACCCAGTGTGTTTGCAGTTAATCATCCGCGTTCGAGCGTTGGGCCTACCCTTCTTTCATCTTTCCGCCTGTTTACTAACCTTACAACGTACTCTCCATTCTAACTTATGCCATCATGCCCCTTAAGAAGAGGGAAGCGAACATCGATTTTTCGCACCTTAGGTCTCTCGTGCAGCAGGAGAAGGAACCAACTCAGCTTAAGACCAAGAATATTAAGGCTATGTTAATTCCTTCAAGCTTCAAGGAGTACACGTGCATTAGGTCACTTTGTGCGGATTGAGTTGCAACCCTAAGTATGCATCCTGAAATGCACTGCTAACATACATACCAGATTCACTGAATCTGTCCTACAAGAGACAGGGAACCCAACGTTCGAGCAGGCGCCAACGGTTTATGGGATCCAGCTTTCCCTTCGCTGGCTCGCCGAGATCAGGACAAGTATATGTGATTCCAAGAGGCAGCCAAGGATCCATTGACGTAGTCTTCTGCTTTAGGTATGTCTTGCCCATAGCAAGGCCGAGTTCCGAGGACTCCTTACTATTTATCACCCAGCAATAGAGGCCTCGAAGTAAGCCGAAGGAAAGGAGTTATACCTTGTGTGGATATGAAAGCCTTCTACTTGGATATTTTTATGACCTCCCTCGCCCAGGGTAACTCTCTGCCACATTGAATGTCGATAAGCGGCAATCTTGCTCCCTGTCGCCCATCAGTGGCACCTATCTCCGTCTTAACTTACGGCTAAGCTGGGAGACAACGCTGCTGCCCGCTGCATGGATATGATATTCTTGGCTTATTGTTGCTGCCGATTGAACCAAATGGGCTAGCTACTAGTTCATTCTGAATTCCTGCTCATGCCGCAGGATCCGTTCTACCGTCTTCGTAGTGAGCGAGTTTTGCTGGGCTACATGGCATGTGTGGTATCGCGCTTACTTCCCAAGCTGAAGTCCTCACAATCCACAGGGACCTGGATGTGATCAAGTAGAGGTGTATGGGTTGAAAGCTATGGAGCCGAGTAGGCATTGTCGTTGCTGGTTTAGATCGTGATTTGTTAGGTAAAATGAAAATATATTCTTTTTGCGGGAGGCTTGTCGTTACACCGATTGTAGAGACTTTCCTATCAAGATAAGCTCTGATAAGAAGGAGAGCGTTAACTAACGACCTGAGCCCTGCCGATTGCGAAGCCATTGAATGAACCCTTTGAACTTTATACCCAATAGCGTGCTGTTACACCCGCGTTGGCAACAATTCCCTTCTGTACAGCGTACTGGTCACTGTGTCGGTGCCTCGAAGTATTTGAGCTGAGCCGAGCTTGCATGCATCAGCGATACTCCAACATTGAAGCTTCTAGTTCTGGTCCACAGCAATGGTTTCCAGCGGTGTGGTGTGTAGAAAATAAATGTTCCTGCGGGGCATAACTGATGACCGATAGTGTGGGATTCGGCGTGGAAGAGTGCCGTTCACCCGTAGTGCACGGTCCAGTAGTGATGTAACTTGACAGGTACCAATGGCAACATAGTAGCCGCCAAGCTCGGAAGCGTGGTAGGGCGTAGTTGTTTCCCGTACAGCCAAGCATCTGGGCACAGCCGGGGTAATTCTCTTTTCATTACTAAAGCAGACTACCCTCAATTATTCTTGGAGAGACCAAACTCTTGGTACCTCCAATTGCTCGCCCGAAATCTGCAACCACAAATACGTATCTCAACATGAGCAACACGGCAAAATTAGCCAGCCACATGAAGAGAAACCAGCTCGTCATACAATTCTCCAACCTTTCTTTTAAGTCTTGGTGCGTCCGACGCAGATGCAGCCCATACGCGAAGCTGAGAAAGCTGAGAAAGATCAAAGATATGCCGGGTATGCAAACATAGCGCCAGTACCGCCATGGGATTCCTAGGTGCGATGTGATTAGGCCATTTCTTGTTGTAGAAGCGCTAGCGTATCCGCTGTTACTGGCCGGCACCCATCTTTGCATCAGGTGGTATCGGCTTAAGAGTGTGTATCTCGAATTCGAAAAGGTCTACGGAAATACCGCAGACGCAAGCAAAACGTCTCACAGGCAGCCTTGAGAAACATGAGGTCGGCTATTAGGGGCTATTCGCACAGCATGTGAATATGGCAATATGCTGCTTGAGACGCACAAGAAATATCTAGAGCGTTGACAAATCAATGGCAATTATGAAATTTTTACTATAGGAGGCCCAAGTCTAATACCACTAGCTACCTATTTCGTTGAGAACTTAGTGACGAAGATTAATTATGTAAACCTTCGAATAGTTGAAAGCGGTGTTGCATAAATCATATCTCTTCTATCAACCGTTTGAGGGTTTACAGTTGGTGCAAAGCCAAATCCAAAATCCACCCATCGTGACCTCAGTCCATGCGCCAAAGTAGAAAGACTCAGGAAGAGCTCACAGTGCATGACAATCTTGGGGTATCTTTGCGTGTGCTTGCCTACTGCCTCGCCTGAAGTTGCCCTGTTAACCTCGATTCACGCCAAAGCGTCACGAACTCCCAAAACGATCGCCTAGGTACTGGATGTTCATGTTTCGACATATCTGATATTGACGTTACTCGCAGGCTAATCTGACATCGCTTTTTTCCCTCTCCGCCGACTCTTCTCGTTCGCTTCCCACCCGTAGTATCCGGCTTCCATCCACGAATACCATCCACCATCTGAGGACTCACACTACCCTACAAAATAATCGACCCATTGTTGCTAGAAATGAGACCAAGCTGTCCCGGCTGAATCGTTCCATTCTCCACAGCCGCTGCATGTCCTCGAGCCACCATTCCGTAAACGGGCAGGTACTTGTCCAAGTACGGGAGCAACTCCTTCGCACCGGGGGTGTTGCGCCAGTCCCTCATCAGATCGCACACAATAGAGAAGAGCGAGACGAGCTGTACACCAGCCTGTTGCATGCGTGCGTTTGCTGTGTCACGTACGAGCTCCGTGTAAGTACCGCTGGCTTCAACGTTGGCAAAGACGGAGTAGCCCTCGGCGCGGAGGGAGAGGGCGAGGAAAGTGGTGCAAACGTCTGTGGTGATGCCGCCGACGATGATTTGGGTCTTGTTTGCGGCGCGGATAGCGGCCTTGAAGTCCTCGTTGTCCCAGGCGCTGGGCGTCTGTTAGCTGACTGCACAGTGACGGAGACTTAGAGTAGGTGGGTAGGAGGAAGAGCTGAAGATGGTAAATATGACTTACTTGACCTCGCCTTGACGTCTAATGAGGGGCGCATCGGGGTACATCTCCAACATTTCCTTGGGCAAAGGACCGTTGGGACCTTGGTCGGCAGATGTGCTCAGGATGACTGGGATGTCGAAGACCTTGCCAATTTCCGCGTGAGCCATGATGTTCTGCTTGTAGAGGGTCGGGTCCCAGTCTCTAGCGAGTTGGAAAAGGCCGACTTGCAAGTCGAGAATCAGGAGTAGCTACATGGGACGTCAGATGGGAAGATGGGTCGAAGAGTGGGATCTTGACTTACTGCATCGTCTTTGTCGATACGCTCCCATGGTACAGCTGAAGTATGTTAGTCTCTAGAAGACATGTCTGACTGGACAATCGTACCATCACCGCGAACGGTGTTGAGAAGCGTGAGAGCCGCAAGGGCGATGGTAGAGCAGAACTTCATCTTGAAGATTAGCGATGTGATCGAGTAGTCAGGCTGTGCTACTGAAGTTGAAGAAGTGTTGGATGGCGATGCGATGGTCTATTACTGAGAGCAGTCCGAAGGTCTCTTTATACTTCTACAGAGTCCTATCCCCATCCACCTCTTAACTCCTATATCCTGCTCGAAGCCCGGTCAATGAATTTGCGACTCCATGCCAATGTTTCTTGGGCCTTGGCCCGCGGACCTATTCTCGTGCAGCGTGGTTCAAGGCGACGTTTGAGTGGAGCTTGCGGTGAAGTCCTGCATCGTGCAACCCGTCGACTACCATCTGCATTCAGAAATTCTGCAGCCTCCAACGCTATGATAAGGCATGACTAACAAGCGAACCAGATGACTTTCAACTTCACTAGAGCGAAATTGGTTACCTACAAGGCGTGGCCCCGCAATACCGACCCGGACTTACCATTGTGCATGTCCGAAGTGGATCACTGTCGACATCGTTGGTGTCTTGACCTGGTGCACGGAAGGCAACTGATATTATTTCTTCCTGATTAAGACTTTGATAATCGGTTGTAGGGTATGTAAATTCGTGCAGGGTGCGGGTGCCAACGTCATTACCCCATGTTCGTTCGCCTCGGTTGAGGCTGTCGTGCATGCGGAGCTAGCCGGCATCCGCCTTAGACAGCTGCACGTCAGCAACGAGGTTCTTATTCATCAGCATTTGGTCACCCGCGCTTGCACTTAAGTTTCATGCAATTTCCACCGCATCGAAGATTGGTAGTCCAAGTCTGTTAGTCAAGGCTTAGAAATTCGAACGTCTGTATGTGATTGGTGGGTAAAGGGTCGGGAAAGCATCGAGGTACCTAGGTCCTGATCGTGACTTGCGACAGGCACAACCATGAGTAAGCAATAACAAAGACAGGACGCAAAGCTTTCACCGAACAAACTTCGTACATTAGAGCGCTACAAGACATTACGTATTCATTCTCTACTACGCTAAGTCTAATTACGCGGAATATCATAAAAGGCTCTTGATCCAATGTGACAGAGCGCAACTCGTTAACGCTTTACTGCGCCGCGAGACCGTTGCTAGCTAAGAAGTCCTGAACGACCTGGTAACCAGCGGTGGCGTTGTAGTGAAAGTTCAGACCGTGACCAGTGTTAGGCTGAATGTACGACTCGAATGCCGAAGCTGAAGGGAAAGCCATGGCAACGCCCTCGGGGATGTTGGAGGTGTTGGTGCCCATGACTTGACCGTAGCAGTTTCCTCCGCAAAACGGCACATCGGTCTCGCCAGTAATGACAAGGACGGGGCCGGTGAAGGGAGATGAACTTGGCGAGCTACCGATGGTCAGAAGCTCACCGGTGGTTACAGGTTGCTTGGTCTTCTCGGCTGCAAGAGCTAGGCCAACATCGTAGTTGCCGGGCTCGAGGAAGGCATACTGTAGGGCAGTAAGATCGGAGTGTACCATGTATCCGGAGGGGTAGTCAAGGGAGGCGACAGTGTTGTTGTAGCCGTTGATCAAGTCGAGGACCTCGGTGGTCGCAAGCTCGTTCCACACCTCGTCTGAGGTTAGATCTACACCGGCGGCTGCAAGGATCTTTTGGAGACCAACAACGATGTTGTCACTCAAATCATACTTGTCGGCGACGGTACGGATAACATCGTTCGAGGCGTTTCCGAATCGCAAAGGCTGATTGAGGCGAGCGCTGTGTAGGTTCCATCCAGCAACGATGTAGGCCAGGAACTGCCCAGCTACAGAGAAACCGGTAAGGATAACACCATCCGTGTTCTCGGGGTAAAGAGCGGAAAGCCAGTAAGACTGGACACTGCCGAAGGAGTGTCCAACGTGGATGACCTTGTCATACGCGCAGCCAATCTCTGGGATCTCACCCTTGCGCAATTGCGTAGTGACGGAGTTGAGAGCTTCAACTTCAGCTTGCGTCTGAATCCTGATGAGAAAAGTGTGTGATCAGTATATCATAAATATCGGTTGTGTTTACATATTACTTACTCATTGAAAGGGTCTCCGTGAGAGGAGTTGCCGATACCGAAACGGTCGATTGCGAGCGTACTGTAGCCAGCAGCCAGGGCTACATTGACGTAGCTATAGTTGTAGTTGTCGTACTCGAGATCCCAGGATGTCTTGTCGAAGCCGATACCGTGGGTCAAAACTTGGATTGTACTGCTGTTGCCACTGTCTGGCTTACAGTACTGCGCAGAGATGTTGTAGGTCCCCTGTAGCGTCTGGTAACCCTCGAGAAGCTCTGCTGTGTAGTTCTTTCCGAATTCGTTGAATCGAGCTACGAATGCGCCAACGTCGAGGTTACTCCCGACCGGTACCTCTTTGAACTGTCCCTGCCTTGAAGTGATAGGAGTCTGAATGATGAAGTTTTAGCATTGCCTAGCGGTTGCGATGCCGGCGAGGGCAAGGGGTAATAGTGCTTTGACTGTAGCCATACTTGTGCGTGGTGTGAGGTTGAGTAATCAGTATTCTTTAGAATATCTTTTCAACGCTTGCCCTGGGGGAGAAAGAGAAAGAAAGAATGCTGGCTCAATCGGTTAGTTGCAATGGGATCTAAGCAGAATGTGCTTTCACCGCAAGGAATGTAGCTGCCCAACTATATAGTACGTGGCTCTGTAAGCATGCGACTAGTTGCGTCGTTCCTTTGTCCATTTCCGGCCCTTCCCAGATAGGAGCTATCAGGAATGCCATAGCTCAACAATTCATCGATCCGAAGCTTCCATAGCGTTATCAGGCAGTTCGTCCATCCGAATTGATGTTGTTCAGCCAATAGTCAGTTGCCGGCCTTCTGGTCAAAGTAACATGAGAACTGGTCTGCATGTTGAGTCAGCAACTAACATAGGTGCCGGCAAGGCGACATCCGAAAATATGAAATCGCGGGGTACTAAAGCGTATAGTATCAAATTGGGCACAGCTTCGGCCTGGTAGTGGATATTCCTGTGGCATCATAGGCTGAATTGAGTAATTGAAGCATTTTGAGCGGTAGCTCCAGTATGTGGAGACTACTTTGCCACCCCAGCGGAAGCTACCATGAGCAGGTACATTGCGATGTTCCATCCTAGAAGACGTCAATAGCACATGCATAGGACGTACGAAGACGATGGGAAGCCTCGCCCCACAGCGTCGTCACGCTGCATGTTGGTCAGCCACTTTGTGATTTTGAGCGGTAGTTTGGCGGATATGCAGGTAGACCTTGCAGCTCGAGTTATCGTTCATTGCCTTTGCCCATGCGCTCATGGTGGAGTTCGGAAGTACTAGCAGTACACAACCTGCATGAGCATGCATAGCCGGAACGAATTTGTGGCTAATGGTGCGTTGTGACTGGACACAACGTGAACGTGTAAGCAACAACACGTTGGTATCTCAGCATGCAGGCTTTCGATAATGACGTGATAGTCATTGCCTTTGAGCTGCCATTGAGCACGGTTGCTATTTCCGTGGTGTTGATCGCTGATTTGCGCTAACAATTTGGAATTCTCGCGCCTTGATCGCAGATGGAGTCCGACCCCCTAAGACGTCATGGTAGGCGGCTGCGAGGGCTTCCGTGGCGATCGCAATCGCGCCTTTCCTTCCAGAACCACTATCTCTATTAGGTGTAATGGGTTTTAATAATCAGTAAGAAAGGGGCACGATACGGGAAAGCAAAGAGCAGGTAAGGCGGAGAGGTATGGGAACAACGAGGTTGACGCGTCTTGAGGATGCCGCTAACATTGACCGTTCCGTATGATTACTAGCTCAAGCCTTGCTGATCACAACTCTGAGAAACATACAGCCAACGTTCGACCAGTTCGTTTTAGAAAACCTTCTTCTTCAACATGTAATCTCCGCCCTTGACCGCCTTGTAGATGCCATATAGTCCACTCAGCAGAGCATTGCTCTTCACGATTCGTTTCAGCATACCCTTCAGGCCTGGACCGAATTCCTCCTTCCTTCCCCGATCTTTGACTTTGTCCCATATCGTTGGCAGAGAATTCGCGTCATACTTGCGACGGAGAGTGTCGTACTCGTGCTTGTCGTAGACTTGCCACCATTCGTCTTCGGTATAGAAGACACGCGAGTATAACCACTTGAGTCCACCAAGCTCGCGCATCTTTGCTTCAATTTCGCGATTTGCGCGGACATACTCAACCTCGCTAGATGGATATGGGCCCCAAATTCCAACACTGATGTATTTACCGTCATATGTACCCATCTGCTTCCCACCAACTGGGCCCTCAAACGGCTTGGGATGCCCCATCGAGCGTCTACCATCCTGTCGAAGGGGACACAACCAGATCGGGTACAGGTTGAACGATTGATCCGCATACTCTAAGAAGGGTGCAGTGTTTGCCGCCGGGAATGAGATGTCGTGGATTATATACCGGTCCGTGTATCCAGACGCATGTAACGCGTGATACATGATCCTCGTGTGCATGAAGTAGTCCAGCAAGAAGCGTGTGAACCACATGAAGGGGACCATAAAGTGCTTGTAAGCATACATGCCCATCCAGAACGCCCCACGATCGTAACGAAACAGGTAGTCTTCTACGGGAACAAGCTCCTTTGTAATTATGCCTTTCGAAGCAAGTATTTTCGCGCGTATCCAGAACCACTCGTCCCAAGGTCTAGAGAATCGTTGAATAGGTAGGCCAGGCGTATGTTCTGTGTCAACGAGGCGGCCTGTTACTATGACTCCGGTACCCTTGGAGAATAAGACCCCATCAACGTAGTCGTTCCTTTGGTCGGTGGTATGATATTGCATCTTATCCGTGGCGTTCTCAAAGGAAAAAGTCGGGTGGTAGGTGACCTCGACTAGCTTCTTCAGAGGAATAAGCTGCATTTCCACCAAGGTGAGTACTCCGAGGGTTCCAAAACTACCTCTCAAACCTTCGAAGAGCTCTTGGTTCTCGGTCTGGGAAGCTGTGACAAGCGTGCCATCTGCTAATACCACTTCAGCACTCAACACAGTACGATCGAAGAAGCCGTGCTTGAAACTGCTGCTTTCTCCTGCTGTGCCCACAAAACCCCCTCCTACGGTAATACCTGGAAACTCCATGACAACAGGAGGCAGCAAGCCCGCTTTCATGGTCTCCTTGACCAAGGCATCCATAGGGACATTGGGTTCGACAAGTGCTGTTTTCTTCTCTCTGTCGATAGATAGGACGTGGTTGAGGGAGCTGACATCCACGATGGAATCTCGGTCGAAGTTAGCATGGCGGGTGCTGTTGGTGCTGCCATGGTAGACTCGGAACCCCGTTTTGGTGTGGTAGAAATGCTGTATGCGAGAGCGAACTGTCTCTACAGTAGCCTTGTGTTGCTCCATTGGGAAAGGTTTTGTAGAGCCGACGGCAGCTATGCGACTGTGTGTGCAGAGTTTCTAGTACTGGCTCCCTGCTTGATGCGTGGCTGATGAGGCTGAAGAAGTTGCGCTAGCAGCGGGTCGTACTTGCCCCACGAATCCAGAAGGCCAAACCACCAATGCTTCCTTCTGCTTCTGCAATCGCGGAAATGATGTGCTAGAAGTCTACCAGCCACCTTCAGCTTTCGTCTCTGTCGTATAGTATACGCAAGCAAAATCCCTGGGACTGGGTAATCATTCCGAACGCCGCACGTTAGCGTTCTTAGCGAGTGGATCGTCTTCCGCGCTTCCGGTCGCTATGGGGGCGCGCAATTCCATCATCTGCGAAGCAGAAAGCGACACTCGCACGTGTGATCGCGAATCTGGTTGCTCTGAATCACGTTCAACGACGACTCTCCATTCAGATATGTTCGATGATACGAATATCTCAAAAAGCAAAGCATATCGATCCTTTGCCCCGCAGAAGAGCAGCGCCTGGCCCGGATCGAGTGGTCAGATATTGACTTTAGCAGGATCGAACGGGTAGTGGAGAAGGCTCAGCCCTGCGCTTATGTATACATCAAAAGTAATGCGACACCATGTTCTCTTCATCCTTCAATCGCCCAACAACACCGTCACGTCGCATTGCATCATTACATGCCCACCATGGATACACATAACTCAACAGTAGCAACACTCGCATCGCAGGTCGCCCGATTCAGTGCCTCAAAGACACCATTTCGTATATACCATGGCTCTACGCTGTCTACACGGAAATCGTCCCGTGATCGCAATCAAATCATCGACGTTAGCTCCCTTAACCATGTGCTGCAGTTCGATGAGCTTGAGAAGACCGTACTCGTGGAGCCGAACGTGCCGATGGATAAGCTTGTAGAAGCCACAATGGCCAAGGGTTACTTACCAAAGGTCGTTATGGAACTTCCGAATATTACAGTGGGTGGTGGGTAAGTGATCGCAACAAGACGTACCCTAGCGACCAGTCTAGTCATTTCTCAGCTTCAACACCATTGTGACGAGCACCAAGTCACGGAAATCCGAGCAAGGAATACGCTATGTCAGATGGCTAACTAGTATTGACAGGTTTGCTGGCACTAGCGGTGAAAGCAGTTCCTACAAGTATGGGCTGTTTGATCGCACAATCTCAGGCATTGAGCTCATCCTAGGAAACGGCGAGGTGGTATGGGCGTCAGCAGTAGAGCACCGCGATTTGTTTTTCACTGCAGCTGGGAGTTGTGGCAGCTTGGGCGTCATTACTCTACTCAAAATGGAGCTTATTGATGCTCGTCGCTATGTTGAGTTGGAGTATATCCCAGTCCGCTCAACGAATGAAGCCGTCGAACAGTTGCGACGCTACCAAGATGATCCGGAGGTCGACTACATGGATGGCATCCTGTATTCGATGACGAGTGGTGTAATCATGATTGGTCGCTTGACCGATGCTCCAATGGATAGGAAGATTCAGAGTTTCGACAAAGCGACAGACCCTTGGTTGTACATGCACGCAGAAGACATTCTAAAGCGGACACAGAGCGAGAAAACGACATACAGGGAGCTGGTAACTGTTCAATCATATCTCTTCCGTTACGACAGAGGCGTCTTTTGGTCAGGACTGCGCGCGTTCAAGTACTTCGTTACGCCATTCAATCGTCTTACACGTTTCCTACTGGATCCTTTCATGTACTCTCGGACAATGGTACATGCCCTGCATCGATCAGGCCTTGCCTCCCGAACAATCATTCAGGACTATGGAATACCATATGATGCAGCAGAAGAGTTTGTTAGATGGACGGACGAAAGGACGGGCATCTGGCCGCTCTGGCTGTGTCCAGTCAAGTCAGCACCGCGCGGAGAGCGTAGCTTCTCCCAAGGTAACAATGTCAAGGACGACATTCTCCTTGACGTGGGAATATGGGACATGGGGCCAAGCGACGCTCACGCATTCATCAAGCTGAACCGGGATTTTGAAGCCAAAGTTACGGAGCTAGGCGGCATGAAGTGTCTGTATGCGCATGCGTACTACACTGAGCAGGAGTTTTGGGACATCTACGATGAGAAGAAGTACATGGAGCTACGGAGAAAGTACCACGCCGAGAGCTTGCCAAGTGTCTACGACAAAGTGAAGGTTGATCTGCAAGGCGTCGCGGGAGGAGAGAGCGTCCAGAAGACGGAGTCGTGGAATGACTGGGCATACCGGCAATTTTGGGATACATGGCCTCTTGGGGGATTGTATGGGGTTGCGAGCGCAACCAAAGGGTTGTTTTTCCAAAGCGACTTCTTGTTGAAGAAGTGACAGCGCATGCATTGTACCGAAGACGGCTGGTGATCGGGGAATGCATGGGGAGATCCATTGCATCGGCAAACCCCTCAAAAGCATCGTGATCCATCTCCGGGCCGTCTGTTGCCCTGACAGCTGCCTGCATGTGTGGGAGACTAGAACAATGACGATCATCTGGCTAGAGCCCCAAACGCGTACTATACTAGGTGAAGGGCTGACAATGACGTTGCGCCCCTGTTATAATGACAAGACAGCGCCTCATCTATACAGCGGTTCACAGGCAACAAACCGGTTCACGGCCTGTTTCAGATTAGATATTGCTATTCGTGAAAACGCGTAGATGGCGCCGGTAGTCGCGTCGACGTCAGTGGAGGTTAGCGTGAAAGCTCGACCACTAGAGGCCTCGACTCACCGCAAGCTCGCATTGACGTAGCAAAGAGCTAGCCTCCACCCCAACCACCCCATTTCGCCCACTACCCACTATTGCAGGTGCCCGTCAACCACTTTTTGAATATATCAAAACTAGGCCCTGCCTCTCTCCATACCCCCCCACTACGACTAATTTCACCACACCCTCCACTTGTACCAACTGCAACCGTCGCTGTTGCAAATCACAAGCCATTGGACGACCTTGCTCTGTTGGACGAATTTTTGGCCAGGTACGCGAGCTCCAACACCACGTGTCGCGGCAATTCACCGCCGCCCCAAGGAGCTTCTGTTCTTTGTTTAGTATTGTATACTAAAGGCACTCACAGTCAAATCTCTTCTACTCGCTCAACTATGGCGCGCCTCAGTGGCCTCCCATCTGAGCACCACCACGAGGGTCCCGGTGACGCTCCTCGACGCAAACGCGGCCGCCCGTCTAAGAACCAGACGACCGAAGACATGACCTCCGTGGGCAAGCGAACCGCATCGCCCTCTGCAGAGCTTTCACAGACGAAGCGCACCAAGCGCGTCCAGGCCGACGAGGACGAGGACCAGATCGCCGAAGAGATCCAGCAGTCCTTCTCGCGGTCCCAGCGCGGAGAGAACATCGACATCCAGGAGCAGAGCACCAGCACTACGACGCGCCGCCACAACCGCCGCCACTCTGAGCCTCCAGTCGCTGCCGACGACGAGGACGATGAGCTCATGTTCAACCGACCAGCCTCCACACAACCGCTACCCGGCCTGACACCCCATCTCAATCGCGTCGGTGCCTCCCGCAGCCGCTTCACCAACACCCGCCGCTCCCGCATGTCCATGCCAGCTCAGCTTCACATTGAGCGCGTGGATGAGGTCGACGAGAACAACGGCAACCGCGTCCAGTTCGCGCCCCTCACACAAGTCCTCGATGGCCGCGCGCGTCGCCGCCTCCGTCGAAGCCATCTGAGCCAGGAAGTAAACGACTTCGAAGACCACCAGAAGAAGGACAAGAAGATGTTTTTGGAGTTACGTCGCCAGCTCAAGGCACAGGACGACAAGATCAAGGACCTGGAATACCGCCTCGAAGCCCGCCGACTTGGCGAGATTGACCTCGAAGACGCAGACGCCAATGATCTGCAAGTGGAACTAGATGAGGCCCGTCAACAGATTGACGAGCTGCGTGCTTCTTCCTTGTATAACGGTGACGACAATGAGCCAGTTGACATGTCCGACGACGAGGATGGCCTGATCATGGTCAACCCCGACGAGCTGAACATGTCGCAAGATCTCGACTTGGAGCCGACACCCGCCGGCAAATACACCTCCCGCGCGTTGGAGATCTCCAGCCAGATGACACTCGAGTCCTTACCAACCCTATCGCAACTCAACCGCGACAGTCTGACTGAGGGCGAGGATATCATAATGGATAAGATCGAAGACGAGGCCATCGAGCGCTACGAGCGGGAATTGCAGCAGATGAGCAAGGCCCTGGGTGAATCTCAAGGTGCGCTGCGCTTGATCACCATCGAGCTTCAGAACCTTCGCTTCATTGAGGCTGGTGCTCCTACGAGCGAAATCCTGACCGACTTGCGCCATGGCTTCGAGGACCTTCGCGCCGAAATCGAGAAGTTCTTCCCCGGTACCACCGTTGGTCTTACCAACCAACAGCTTCTTCAGAAGGTTCCTACGCTCTTCAGCGGCCTCTTCTTTGAGCTCAAGCAGAAACTCACCCTAATCAGCAGCTCCCAACGGTCTGAAGTGCTTATCCGACGACAATATGAAGGTGTTCTGGACCTGCTTGGTGAATCAGACGAGCGGGTGAAGCAGCTAGAGTCAGACGTCTTCACACTCGACAAGGCAAATGAGGACAAGGCTCGCGTTATCCTTGATCTCGAGGAGCGCAACGCCGCCTTGGCGGAACTTTCTAACGAACAAGAGGGCGCACTCGCCGATCAAGATGCTGTGATCGCTGGTCTGCGAGAGGAGAATGAAGACAAGGACACCTCCCTAGCACGATTACGCGAAGCCCTCGAGAAGTATCGTGTGGACCTTGACAACGTCACCGCCGCTGCAACGGAATTCGAGACGACCCACCACGAGACGATCGCTCGCATGGAACAGGAATATACCGAGCGCATACAAGCTCTGGAGGCAAACCTCGATGCCGAGCAGGAGGGTCGCGATGCCGCGGAGGCTGAAGTCAAACAAAAGGATACTTACATCCAGGAGTTGGAGGACAGCATCGCGCGCATGGAGACCGATGTCGACAACATCACAACCGACATGACGACGCTCAGGGAGCGTCTAGTTGCGCAGACTGCCGCCCGCGAGGCTGCGGAGGGCGAGCGTGATGACCAGATCGAACAGGTCTACCAGCACGCCAACACCATTGAGAACCTTAACGAGGCCATCGTTGAACTCAAGGAGCAGCTTGCCAACACCCGAGAGAATCTGGGTTCTGAACGTGCTCAACGCGAGAAGACCGAAGCTGATCTTGACGAGGCGAACGAGAAGATTGAAGATCTCACCGCCCGTCTCCACGACACTGGCCTCCAGGCTAACGAGCTGCGATCCAAACTGTTCCAACTTCAGCAAGAGAAGGAGAACGCTCTCGCAGACCTTCAAGAAGACGCTGATGAGCGTGAGCTCGACCTCAACAACCAGCTCAATGCTGAGACTCAGCTTCGTCAGGCTAAGGAGAGTACCATCATCCAATTGGAGCAGCAGATCCTCGGGCTTGAAGGCGACATCGCAACACTTGAGAACAATCTGTCTGACATGACAGAAGCTCGCGATCAGCTCGAGCAGGATCGTGATATCCAAGTTGCCAACCTTGCCGCTCAGCTCACTGACCTGCAGAACAAGTACGTCGCGCTAGAGAACTCCACCAACTCCACCATCACCTCGCTCCAGGCCAACATCACGGATCTCAACAACCAGATTCAACGGCAACAAGCTGAAATCAACGATCTCTTCGATCAGGTCACTGAGAAGGAGCGCATCTACCTTGAGGATACGACCCTACTCAAGGGGAAGATTGATTCTCTTGAGGAGGATCTCACTGTCCAGAGGGCTGAGAACGAGGGCTACCGCAAGGAGAACTTGTCACTTTCAAGGCGTGTTGAGTCCGAGGCCAATGAGCTTCTGAACATCGTCGACGCTCACGCCAACGAGGTCAACGCCCTCAATGCTGTCATCAAGACACAAGAGGCCACCATCAAGAGCCTCCAAGACACATCTGCGAAGCGTACCACGGAGTACGAAGAGATGATTGAGGAGCGTACAACTGAGCTCACAGAGATGCGTCTCCTAGGTGATGCTCGCCTCGAGACCATCGTACTTCTTGAGGCTCAGATCGAAGAGATGAAGGAGCGCTTCCGTCTCGCTGAGGAAGACACCCGTGCCACCATCGACGCTCTCACTATCTCGCAACGTCAACTTCAGGAGCAGAATGAGCGTCTTGCTGATGACTTGAAGCGCCGCAACCAGGACGCTCTACAGGCTATTCAAGAAATGAAGCTCAAGCGCGTTGAAGTCAAGACCCAAGGCGCCGGCGACCTCCACCGCGTCGTTAGCGGTAAGGTCTTCAAGACTAGCGAGAAGGTCAAGATTGGAAAGAAGGGCAAGAAGAAGGTCTCTAAGCGCCAATGGGATTCCGGCTTCGGCGTTGATGAGAATGTCGAGGACGAGGAGCTCAACGGAGAGGAGCCGCTCGCTGCATAGAGTGCAGTAGCTAACGATGCCAAGTTCGCATGATGACTTGGAGGTTTGGGTTATCTTTGGGTTCTATATTGTTGCTGTCACTGCAGGACAGTATTCTTCTTGTCTTTTTCTCTCTCACACAATTTTGGACATCACTTTGGGCAACAGATTGTTTCGTTTGTCACGATAACACCCGGCACTGGCATTTGCTATCTTACGACTCGACGGCTTGGCTTCATCGCTTTGTTTGTTAGGATAAATGGTGGTAACGAGATCGCGGTGTATTGCATAGCGCACGGTGTCTGGGTTACAGTTACGGTAACGGGGAAAAGAAGTAGTGTAATGACTTCGTATCTTGTACAGATTCTCATTTTATCATCATCAATAACAACAACATCAGACTTCAGTTCCTTCCTTCGCATCACTGCATCCGTGACTGAACTCTTGCACGAGCATGTCGTCTCCCGGGATGCTGGATAAATGTTCTAGAGCCTTGCGTGGCCCCAACGTTTGACCGCTGAACGGGAACCGTCAACATGGGTCTTCCCGTCGTGTCCTCGTATCCATGAAACAGATCTGCAACACCGCGTTACGTTGCCCATCAATCGGTCCGCACCACCCGCACCCAACAATAGGAGGTTGCTCAACTTCCGAGACAAGGCAACCAAAATCATTTAACTCCTTAACCTTCCTCCTTTTTTACTAACCACCGGCGGCTCGACATATCCGCGCTAGCAAATCTCTCCTTGTCAAATCGTCAACACAGCAGTCAAGCAATATGGGTAGCAGCAGCTTCCACCCACCCCCCTCTCCTCGCGACGACGAAACCGTGCTTTTCCTCTTCATCGCCTTTGCTATTCTCATCGTCCTTTTACTTCTGCTAGTGTTGATGTCGTGTCAGACTTGGATGCTGTGGAAGATGGCCAAGGCGGTTGTTGAGCAGGATGCTCAGATTGCACAGCGAGGGCGAGGTGGGTATGGGTATGGCAGTAGTGAGGGAAGTAAGAGGAGGAGTGTTAGGGGTAGTGTCTATGTGGTGGAAGAAGAGGAGACGAAATTGATGAGTGGAGGGAATGGGACAGAAGGGAACAGGAGGACAGGGGTTTGGGGGCTAGGCAGGTGGGTTTGAGGAAGATGGATATCACTTCATGTTGTTCGATGTTCAACATGGGGTTGTAGGAATGCTGGATTCGATTTGGTACGTTGTAGAAGATGAAGGAAGAAAAGGGTGGGAGAGGGGAGGAAAAAAGCGCTACGCAACAACACCCGCCACCAACCTCTCGTCTCACACCATTAGCTTTGTCTTCGGCTTCAACAATGTGTCCTTCAAAACCCGATACTCCTCTCTTAAAGCCGCGACTTCCTGTCTCAGCGCCCTTTGATCCTCGGTCAAACCTCTCACCTCCTCCGCCACTGCCCTCGCCTCTTCATTCACATTACTTAAACCCATTCCCTTCGCCTTCTCCACAGATGGCTCGTCAATAGCCTGCAGATGATTTCGAAACATACCAGGTATAGCCTGCGAACACAAACTACTTGGCGAGCTTGTGAATAACGGGGTGCCCAAGGCATGGATACTGGGTCGATTCTGTTCTTGTGGTAACGCTCTAAATGCGTTGGAAGACGACGATAATTCTTCGGTATCTTCGGTAATACCACTGTCGATCTGACATGTATCTCCAGCCACACCTGAGATGGAGCGGGAGTACACACTGCTTGGTGAATCTGCTCGCGTGTCGATCGATTTCGGTATTGGCTGTCGTTGTAGAATTGGTGTTAGGTCGCCATGACTGTGGTTTTGGACGAGATCGCTTTTTGCTATGAGACGGGGTGCGGGGTAGTAGAGGCTCTCAAGCGACGATGAAGAATCCGCTGCGACAGGGACAGATATGTAGTCTTGAGGAGTTCTCGGCCGCGATACCAAATCGCTTGAGCCTGCAATGTCGTTTACGCGATCATCGGCAGCTAAGTCTTTCTTCACGCCTGGCGTTGAGCACGAGCATGCACTACTGGGCGATTCTGGCTCCGAGTCGATCTTCTTGAGAGCAGGCTTCAAGTCCGAAGGCTCGGTTTTATCTAGAGGAGCAGATTGTTGATCTACTTCATGCTCGTTTGCCTTCCTCAGCAAAGGTCTTTCGAACATCTGAGCATTGGCGCGGGAGTACAGACTACTCGGGCTATCCAAAGGCGACGAAAATTCTGGGTCGACGATAGTGACGTGACGCACAGCTTTTGGCACGCTCACTGAGCCATTCGATACTTCCACAACAGAATCTCGATATCTGACAGACCTTTTCTTCGTCATGCGGGAGGTTGGACGAGAATAGAGATTGTTAGGTGCATCCAATGCAGTAGGAGAAGTCTGTGGAAAGGGCATCGGGCGGATTATCGTGACGGTTGAGGCATCTAGTGATGAGTTTGGGCTCAGAGGACGCTGTGATGGTTTCCTTTTGAACCTTCGCGAGGACGGAGGTGTGAACCATTCTTGATTGGAAAACTCCGTGTCTCCAGACGAGCTAGGTGATCTAGGCGGAACGGAAGAGTGCCGTGCTCGCGAGGGGGTTAGTACACTTGGCGCCTGATGTACCTGCGGCCATCTTCGAGTTTCTTGTATTGGTAGATCGGGTCTGAGTAACGGCTTTATTGCGCCGACGTAAGAGACGCCGTGCGAAGACGAGTCTGGAGGCAACCAGAACGTCTCTGTGGAGATGCGCAGTCGTGCCGATGACTTCTTTGCGGGCCTATTGCGCACTCGCTCGACACGGAGAGGTGAGCTTTCCAATACATCTGAGGCTCTGCGACTAGGTACCCTCGACCTGAACTCTCTAGGCACATCGGAAAACAGATCTGGCAGTGGTAGAACAGGTACCGGTTTTCCTGTCACAGCTGGCTTGTGAGTTGATATTATCTTCTTGACAGTACCCATTTCCTCTCCAGAAGAAGTCAATTGCTCCGCCTCCGCCACACCTGCAACTGAACGAGGTCTCGGAGACAATGATGACACGCGAGTCGGAAGGGCCGAAGGTGCGCTCATATCACCAACCCACTCAATAGCAGTAACAGAAACTCCCACAGCGATCTCATGTATCAGTAGACCCAGAACGTTGAAAATGAGAACCTCTCCAGCCTGTGTACCGATTGCAATCAGTGTCTCAAAGCCTTCGTAAACCTCTCTTTTGTCTTGTGTGGCATCGCCACCCAGTAGCACTGTCCCGTCTGCTCTGCCTTTCGAACTTACTGGGCCCTTCGCGGAAACTGACAAGCAAGTAGCGGGGCTGGAGACATGCTATGTCCGGAGGACTTTCCCTCCACTCTCAAAGTCGACAAGTCGACACTTTCCATCATGCCTAATGCTAACAATTCGCGACTTGTAGCCCGGTATGAACTCCGCTGCCAACATACCGCCCATGGCTGGCTTATGAAGCTTCTTGATGACACCGACTCGCACGGGCTGTAACTGAAAGAACTGCGATTGATGTGTGCGTTGTTCCTCGGAACGTTTTCGGAGTGAAGGTAGGAAAAGTCGATACATCGCTAGTAACCCATCTTGAAACCCAATCACGAAGTTCGTATACGATGGCTGTGCGAGACCATCCAAGTGTTCGAATGCAGCGCAGGTAGCGGGCGAACAAGCATCAGTTGGACGGAAATTTACCGCCGCGCTGCGTCCCCATCTTTGGTCTTGTAGGTAGATAGTCGGTGGACTCGGTGAGGTTGAAAGAAGAATGGTGCCGTTACTAGATACCGCGATCACGTTCGGTGGAGATGGATGCGATGGCAAGGAAGGCAGGAGCTCGTCATTGGGGATGGAGTATGCTTGAACCGAATTGTTCAGCGTCGTCGTGAAGTACAAGGTACGCGAGTCGGGTGAGAACAATAGAAGACGTGGCTCGCCCTGTGATATTGTTAGTTTGTAGACCCTATTCCCACTAGTGAACATGCCTTACGTCGCCATTCTTCAACTTGTACTTCCTGTCCTTGTTTCGCGTAGGATCAAGAAGTATAACAATCTGGCCATCTGCCACAGCGAAGAGGCTGCTATTATCTGTCGAAGCACGAGCGTTGACTATGCCGTTAGCGGTCTCGCACTCGAACAGCGTTTTGCGGCTAAGCTGCGACCTCAAATAAATCGCGTTGTGTGTCACAACAAACAAGCTCTGATCAAGCGGTAAGCGTTGGGAACTTGTCATTGCTGGAAGTAGAATAATGGTGGGTTTAGGGGTGTCGTTGTGATGAGGTGACAAGAACCGATACCAAGATCGTGCAATAGCATGCTCGAATGCGCTGGGGCAGGTGCTACATGTTAGCACGTGGGGCTTTGAAGTAAGCGTAACAGGATACGAGGTTAAACTCTAACATTCTTAGGCGTATAAACATATTATGTAGGGCTAGCGGTCCATTCTAGATCGCTAGTCTAATCTACTTCAACTTGGCGTACTGCTTGCCCCATTTCTCCGCGATCTCTTCCTCCGAGAACTTTCTTGTCTTGCGCTTTAGCATCTCGACTTTCTCATCAAGCGTAAGATTCATCTGATCACCCATGGGTACGAGGCATTTAGCAATGTGCTCATAGTTCTTCCTCAGCAGATTGACCGTGAGAAAGAAGTAGTCGATGTTGTAAAATACAATTGCGTGTTCGTCAGAGTATTGCTTCTTCTGTGAGAGGAATGCGACTGGGTGCTCGCGCCAGTGGCGGAGAGGATTGAGGTGGTGAGAGGTGTGATAGCCATCGTTGTAACAGTATCGGTTGCTCTATTTCAGCATCAGCTAGATGTACAAAGATAACAAAAGAAGATGAATGTAGACTTACGGGTACGTCAATGAGTGTGATGCTCGACCTGAAGTCAGAGTCTGGCTCGACCTCGTCAACGAAGGCGTGCTGGCCCCAGTTGCCAGTCATCAAAGCCAGGCGCATGAAAGCCAGAGGAATCAAGAACACGAACGCTGTTGCACGAGCGTTCACAAAGTTGTACATCATGTACAGGAATATGTAGTTTCCGACTTCGCAACCACCCGCTTGGAGCGCGAGATTAGGCTTGCGCGTGCGCAAGAAGTACATAGGCAAATCGAGCCAGATCAAAAAGTAGAACCGACCAACATATTGCGCGAAGTCCCAGACACTGTCCCGCTGGTATCGAATAGTGGAAGATAGGTCATTAGGTCCGTTGCCTTCAACATGATGGTGCTTGACGTGATGGTAGTAGTAAGAATTCCAGGTGTGGCCCATCATTGGATCGAGGATGTATGGGAATAGCCGGTCGATGAAGGCGTAGTTCTTGCTTAGAACACCACGCATATGAATGTGCTGATGCTTCAAGAGAGTGTATGCTCCCATGTAGTAACCTTGCATGACGCAATGGAGCACAGCGTGCCACCAATGGAAGTTGATGTACAAGTACGTTGCTGACGGGATACTGGTGCAGAAGTAGAGCAACAAATGGGTAACCATGATAACATCGGTCTCGACTCGCACAACCTTCTTCGCCCATCGAATGTAGGGATCGATGATCCATTGGCGAAGAAGAGGGTTCTTGATGTCCGGTTCGTCGATGGAGCTGAACACAGTAGTCTCAAAGCTATCAGTCTTGGGGTCGTTCAACTTCTTGAGATAAGCGATTGCTTGCTGCTCCTGGTCCTGAAGATCTATGGAAACTTAGTCATATGAACCAGATCAAAAGTACACCTCTAGATTCGATGCTTGCAGCTAGCCATGGTTTACAGAGAGGATTACTGACCCTCTGGTGACGGCGTCACAATCTCGGAATGTTTGACACCCGAGTCATCTGAATCTTCTGCTGCATCTGCCGTTGATTTTGCAGGCTTGGTGTCATGCAACTCGTACTCTTTCTGTAGGATGTTCAGAACAATCCGGTCCGGACCAGTTAGCTCTGCATCGAGAGGGAAAGCCAGTTTGCCCATGTTTTCGATGACTTATTAGGGTCGTGGATGGGTTGTGTCGTGATGGCGTGATGAATGCGACAGCAACGACAATTGCCCGCTTAAGGAACCGGCAACAAGCGCTTTCTACTGCTGAGCAAGTAAAGACCGAACCGACAAACGTAAAGACAATGATAAACGTCAATGGCAGAAACGCATGATGGGGTTGTAGCGAGCTAGGTACGAGGCTGCCGCTGTGAAGCCAAGTAACTAGAAGCGGTGACAAAACAGTTTAGCGCGCCCCTGGTGACCCACACAAGTGGCGAACGAACTCCAAACGCGTACGTATCGTTTCACATGGCCAGTGGATTAGAACACTGGGCATCATGGATCATTGCTCGATACATGTAGCGAAGACAGGTATGAGCAGTCTGATAGACAATTGCAATGGCCGCGAATCATGTAAAAGCGCCGTCGCAACCTCCTGTGGCGAATCCAGGGTCTTCGACTACCCCGCATTCGCCCAAGCGCCCTCACAGAACCCAGTGGGGCGCATGTCAACATTGAAGACTCACGGTATCCGAACGAAGTAAGGAGATGAATGATCTGTGCTGGTTGATGTACCTCGCATTGAAGCGCTGCATACGATATCTTCGATAGCCTATCTAAAGCCGTAGGTAAACAAGACGTATTGTCTACTTGTCACCACTTAATGTTCCTTCTCTGCCCAGAACTCCAAAAACCGACTCACAGTCCTCTCTTCCCAATAATGCGCCTCCCTGATATAGTCAGGCTCAGCACTGACATTCTTGATTCCATAGCTGTCCCAATGATGTCCAGCTCCCGCAATCAGGTAGCTCGGGTACTTATCGCTACTAATCCTAGGCTGGGATGCCAAGTTCGAATGGTAGCATAGGTCAAGCCAGACGTCGGTGTTTCCATCGATCAGAGCGAGATTCTCAGCGTGGACGTCCCAGCCTCCGTACTTGTTGTAGTAATGCAATTGAGGGGTTGCAGGGATGCTGTTGTGCTCGCCAGGTGGGAAAGCCCAAGTACACCATTGCTGGGTGTAGTCAACTTGGAGGACGCGGGAGATGAGGGATGGGCCATTCGTGGGCGCTACTTGATAACCACCAGACTCCAAACAGGTTGAGTACAGATATGAACGCGCTGCTCCGTTTGTGGGATCGGCGTAGTATGTTTGGTTTTGCGTGCCGAAACAGCCCTCGTCCGTGCTGTCGATTCGTCCACTCTCGCAGTTGGGAATGAGCGTCTTCTTCACGTAATCGGCGTATCCACCTAATCCAGTCCAAGCTTCGCCCTTGGAGTACTTGGCAAGCGCCATGTCGACGCTGCTGATGTTTGCCGGCGGGTTGATGTTCGTCACGTTAGAGCAGAAGTTGAAGAAGTCTTCGGAACCGTAACGATCGGACCAGTCTGTAACGAGATCAGTAAGTGTCTCACAAAGACCCTGAAAAGTACCATCACTTACTGAGTTCTTGCCATGTGTTGGTGGGATAGTTCATCGGACCACCAATCGGGAATGCAATCGTCATGGCAAAGTCTCTCAGATCTTGCAGCGCACCGAGACCGAAGATCTCCTTGAGTTGCTGAATACCATCCTTGTTACCACTCCAGATGAGTTCGTCAATTTTGTCAATGATGTCGACAATACTAGATACGCAATCTGCAGGACCGAACTTCATGATAGGATTATACCACTGAGGGTATTCGAACAATGCTTGGGTGGTAGCACTGCTACCAATACCTCCAGCAAATATATCGTTGTAAGTTTTCATGGTGAACGCGGTGTGGGCGCCAGCAAGCGAACCGCCATACATGATCCAAGGGGTGTCAGCACTGCTCAGACTGGCGTTGACGCCGGGGAAGGTAGCATGCTGTCTGAAGTAGGCGTTGTCGGCAATCGCTGTTCAAAATCAGTTTGTGGGTATCATAGCTTAGACATGTATATTGCTTACTCTGCTCGGTAGTCAAGAACCTCAGCTCATCCGTCGTACTGGAATTATACGGGTAGCTTTCTCCATAGTACCGATTCTCGAGAATCACACCAAGGCCATTGAACTTTTCCATGAGAATCTGGATGACTGGGAAAAGATTAGTCGCCTATCCATAGGTATTGAGTGTGTTCCGTTATAGTTACTTACTGCCAGTCTGCAAGTTGGAGAAGCGTGACTCTCCGCTCGTCTCTCCACCAATGTAGAGAAACACGGGGCCTCCTGACTTGTAATACGACGAATCGAAAACTGAAATATGTTGTTAGGGTATGGTGGGCATATTTGCAGCAAAGCTATACTGACAGTAGCGCTGCTTGAACGTAGCATTGGTGTGAGGAACATAGCGATCACTTTCCGGATAATGATCAGTCTGCAACAACAATCAGCACAAACACAATGGTCAATTGAACAAATGGTGACTTACTGGCTGATCAATCGTATGCGCCTCGTAAGCCGGCGCTTCAGTAGCCTGTCTCTTGCCCTGCCATGATGCCGGAGCCGGAGTCGTAGACCCCAAGGCCACGAAACTGCAAACCAACGTTAAAACCCTCATGTCGATTGTTACTTCTCAGTGGACATACCAGAACACTTCGGGAATACAACAAAGCTTTTATACAGTACTCAAGCTCGGCTTCCCGGCTCCCAGGATGTGAAGCTATGCCATCGCGTCATGTTCATTCGTACCTCAAAGTGGGGCAAGGCGTACAGCGAGCGATGCCTATACAGGCAGGTAGACGCAAGGCTTGTGCAGGCTTGGAGAAGCTTGTCGCTGCTTGGTATCTGCCTTCTGCTTTGGAGCTATTTGCTTACTGTCTTATCGTGCGGTGAGGCTTTCTGAAGGACGCGTAGCGTGGTGTTGGTTGTGTTCGTGCGGGGGAGGTACGCGCAGACCCCAAATACATGGTATCATGGAAGGAATCAACGCGTCTGTTCACACAATGCAACAGACACTTCAGAGGCATGGATGATTAGTATTCCTGAAAGTGAGCAGTGCATGTAAGTTAAGATGTGCATATGCTTAGACAATAGAGCTACCTAGGTATGGTAAGTTGAAGGGCCGACCCCTGCCATACAAGCTCGTATACCGAATTCCAGTAGCCTTATCTGACAAAAGATACAGAAATGATGACACAACACTGCATCTCCATTACCATCACTACCTACTCCAACTCCTTACTCGTAGGCCTAACCATCATGCCAGCTCTCTCATAAGTCCGATCCGTAGCTTCCATCTGCTTAATACTTTCCTCACCTTCAATCCACGCACCACTTCCCTCTCTCCGCTTAACTCTATTCACAAACTCCTCAAGCATGTACCGATACGTAAACCACCAGTCCTCACCCTTTTGCTCTCCACCCATGCCCTCTGGCCACTTGTACGCTTTCTTGTACTCCGTCTTCTTTTCTTCCTTGACAATTTTGCCAGAGGAGGGATCGCGCAAAGTAATTGTAGTGGTGACATCGATGCGATGGTAAGAGTGCGGGCCCATGAAGCCCCAGAACACAAGCACCTTTTGGCTAGACTTTTGTAGACCGTTGTCTGTTGTTTCGAGGTTCTCAGGACGTAAAGTTACAGAGATCGAGGCAAGCAGGTCACTGAAATTTGGCCAGCTTGATGTTAGCCACGAGAACCAGTAGCCGCCTCGAGCACTTAGATCGGATAGAACGTGACCGCTACCGCCGTTAGGGAAGGTGTAAGTAGCGTCCATAGCTCGATCGCAGAGCTCATGTTGTGTTGGGTGAATAAAGTGAGGTGTTGCAGAGGTGACAGCTGTAGGCTCTGTTCCGAAGACACCTCGTAGTGCAGATAGGGTGTAATGTCCTAGGTCCATTGCAGCGCCACCAGCAAGATGGTAGTCATACCTGATATCCGTGCTGGGAAAAGCTCCTTTCGGTATTCCCGCACGAGCACTTGCTTTCTCTACGTTTGCCTGTTCGAATTGCGCCAGAAAGAGATGCCAAGCGGGATGGAATCGATAGTGACTTGCTTCAACAAGTACAGGGGCATCTGGAGCCCTGAGAAGTTGGTGACGGAAGAGAGAGCGTGCCTCTTGCGCATTGGAGACGGAAGGTTTCTCCAGTAGAACGTGTTTTCCTGCCTTGAGGGCGGCGAGCGTCCATTTGTAGTGCAACCCGTTGGGTAAAGGGTTGTATATACAGTCAATTGACGAATCGTTGATCAACGCTGCGATGGATCAGCATGATATTACAGTAGCATGGAGTAGGCGTAGTTGGTGCTCATGGACTGGAGGAATATTATCACCTGGTTCGCTTACCTTCATAACTATCATGAACAATCGGAACATCCCACCTCTTCGCATAGGCTTCCGCTCTCGTTCTGTCTCTTGCTGCAACAGCAGCGACTATGACATCTGCATGTGAGCGCGCTGGGATGATCAAAGCTACCGGACTATTCAACGATTCAATTTAGCTCCAAGATACTATCTCAACTTCCTCGTTTTGATAAAGAGAGCAGAGCGTGGACATACGCAATTTTAGCAGCGCCCAATATACCGAAACGCAGCGCATCCGAATTCTTCGTTACTGGCTTGCGTCCAGCGGCCCATTCGGTAAACTCAGCGCTGGAGTTCAACCAGTCGACGAGTCCCATGTTTGACTAGGTACGTAATGTGAAAAGCGACGACTTCGCAGTATAAGACTGGAGAAGAGGAGACAAATTTCTGTCTACAGAAAAATAAGATATTCCATTGCTTACTGTCACCTCGTAACGGGGCGTTGCCTTGAACTTGCGCGTCGCATGCAGTGCGGTTGGAGTGCGGGGACAAGCCAATGATTGGCCTGTTCGTCCGTCCGGAACACCAAGGTACCTTCAACTTCCAAGTAGCATCTGTGGCTGTGCAATTAGACGATAGACTCCATGGCAATGTCAGTACAACTCCAACATAGCCAAAATGTTGAGGGGAGAGCAAGAGGTCTGCATTCTCGATTAGTTCAGATAAACATAGTGCGAGTAGGTATGCCGAGAATTGATGACCCGCATAAGCAGTTGGTGTGTGGTGGAGGTAATATACTACACTTCAGCCGGATACAGCATCTTGCACCAGGAGCGTGGGGCGTTCCTTGCTTACGTCCTCCAAGCCGTGTCGATAAGGTATAATTCAACTAGTTGAACCTACAGTGTGGCAGCCATGCTCGGGAGAATGCATATTCTGATGCCTGAAAGATAGGCCGAATCTAATTTCGCACGCCTCAAACTTGCTAGCCCGGCTAATGACCATAAGCACCGCCTTTACACCTGCATCTACCGAATGTCCGAGGCTGGAGACACCGTCCGAAGCGGAAATTTTTCCACCTCTGTAGATCATGTAAGTCAGCAATGTCCGAGGCCAGCGGCAACAGCGGCGATAACAAGTGTGGCAAATACTGAATCAGGGCGCGAATAATGACTAGAGTTGTTTCACATGTCAGACGTGGTGGTGAGAGAATCCACTTTGCCATATCGGACGACGTGCATGAACGGCATGTTCAGGACGCTGCTGTTTGATCGACAGGGCACCACACACGATTGTGTGGGAAAGAGTGGGTGTGGAACTGTAATGTCCACGAATGCCTGAATGCCTGCGAAACAGATTGCGCAAGCGAAGTGTAAGGAGTGCCCCCATCCTTGTTGTCGTACTATATCTTGCAGGCATTGCATATCATACACTGCAGTAGGCAGGTAAGAGAAATTTCGTCCAAGGCTTGCTTGGATGATCTTCATGAACATGGCGGAAATTTGTCGGTGGCGGTTACGGTGACGGAATTATCACAATGATCACCGGTATCATTCGGCGAGGTAAAAAGAGAAGAAAATAATTGCGCCGAGCTTGATTAACCGGACACAACGTTTGCCGTGCTGGGGTCTTCCTTTGAAGTGACCGTGACGGTTCGCTTACAGCCGCAATGCTTGGCTGGCGGTGTATCTGCGTAATGATCACCAGTAGGAGTGTGATAGGCGAACATCGCAATTCCCACACAACAAGTCACAAGATTGAAAATGCTCCTCACAGATGTTGCGTCGTAGACTGCACATGACCTAGTGCATATACAGCGGTGAGAAATGTAAGGGTTCTACAGCGGCAACCGGCAGTTACAGAATCAACGGCTTTTCCCTTTTGCGCGACAAGATCCGAGGACCAGGTTATAGCGACAAGGGACAACGGCCAAATCGCAACGGCGTCCGTGTCGTAACGGTGACAGCTTGGGTACACCGCTGAAGGTGACTCACAGCGAGTAACCTAGTCGCCGGAGAGGTTCCTAAAAAAGGCCGAGTGCGTGGGTGGATTGAGAGCAGACTTCTCCAGCGCTGGGACGTGGCAGGCACCAGCAAAGTAAGGCTGCATGCTCTGCCCGCGGACCCACGATCTGCGAAAAAGGAACGTGGTTTGTGGAATTGCGGACGTGAGTCAGAATGATCTGCCAGGGATTGAGCAGCATGCACATGGACGCACACAGAAGGGTTGCATGGGCATGTGATTGATGTGCGCTTGCTTGCGTAAGGTTGATGTATCGAAGGACGACTGCAGGTTTCCACACGTAGCACACACGGCAACGCGCAGTCTGCATCAGCCGAGGGCGTACATGGAACGCCTCGCTTCTTGGAGGATGAGTTGACGTCTGACAGACATGACTACGCACTTCGCTCTGTAAATTTAGCACGATCGGTGCTGAGAGAGTTTCGATAGCTAAGCGATAGGTCTGTGTGCGCGTGGAGGACCGATTGCATGGTTGTTAGAGTCCGTATTCGTCAGACCGGAATGTAGCCTTGTTGTCTTGGGCCAATAACTCAAGCTTCAACGGTAGAGGACGGAGGACGAAGGCGCAGTTCAAAAGTCTAATTGCTTATTGAGCGCCATGAGCGAGGAACTCCGGTCGTCACCTCGGACATGGGCAAACTGTACGTTGTAAGCTGAGCCGTCTTTCAAGGTTTGTTCGCCTACTGCGAATGTTCGGCCTGCTCATCCGAGTATCAGAGGTCGAACATGGTCAGGGTGCTGCTACTTTTGGTGTGTGGCTGCCCCCCCAACGTGGTTTGCGCGGACCCGCTCGGAGGGGTGGAGATTGGTGCCAAATTGCGGCGTAGGCACGACAATGGTACTTACTGTGTAACCGCGGGATGCGCTGCTTGTTGTTGACAATGACGATGAAGGAGGGGGTTACTATCCTTCGGTGGATAGTGCATTGCAACGCAGACCGCTAACGGTTGTGGAGTTGCGGGCACGTCTTGCTGAGCGGTGAAGTCGTGCAACATGCGAAGCTGTAATGGTGAAGGACGGTGTTGATCTAGCGTATGGTAGTCGCACGTCTGCGTAAGACTAGCGATGCAGCTGATGGTTGGCTATGCGTGTAGAGGAGTCATCTGCCTCACCTGAAAGCAGGGCATGGATTCCTAGAAGCATGCACTTGTGCCTGAACGGCTACATGGCCGTGGTTGGAGCTAGGCAAGCGCAACCGAGCCAAACCACCAAAAATGGCCTGCCAATATTCGCATTCATGGTGTGAGGCCATATCCGTCCCAGCTGATTAGCGTTCCAAGATGAAGCTGCGGCAAGT